AATATATATATATAATTCCGATAACCGAAACTATTAACGTATAAATAATAGCTAACCTACTACTTAGATATATATTCGCTAACTATAGAACACCGAGTAAGATTACCTCGGATAGAGATAAACTCTTTATATCTAATATATAGTAATTACTTATAGATTAGATCGGTATTAAGTATAGACTCTCTACTATATACTATCCTTAAACTAATAGATAAATAGAACGAGTTAACTAGACCCTAGAGTAATACCTACGTTATTATATAAACTACTAATAAAATAATTAGATAGGATTATTACTAATAGCGTAATTCGTGTATAATAATACTATATACTCGACGACTAAAGAAATACTATTCTTCGTAAATTATAGGCTTAATCCTATAATTATCGGAGAACCTATCGGTAAATAACTAATTATAGAATTATTATAACTACTAGTAATAGGGATAAAATAATTATATCTTTAACTATCTAGAGACATCGAGTTTCTTAATATATATATAAAGTTCTACTATAACTAGTTACGCTAGGAGGCGCCGGACTTCTAAGAGAGGAAGAAAGTTTACCTCCTACGATATAATATTCGCACTAGACGACCTAATATAAAACTCGATTACCTTAAACTAGGACTATTCGAAATTACAGAAAAAATAGGACTACTTAATTATCGACTAAAGCTACTAGAAAGTATACGACGTATCTATATAATATTTTATATCTTATTATTAGAAAAAGTACCTAGAAACGCTAAAGTCGCTACTAATATAGAAATCGAGGAAGAAACGGAGAATAAATATAAGGTCGAGGAAATCCTAGCGACGGATAAAGTTAATAGGAAACCTTATTACCTCGTAAAATAGCAAGGATACGATACCTTAGAAAATATATAGGAACCTATCGAGAACCTAATAGGCTACTACTAGCTAGTTTAATAGTTCTATTAGCGAAGGGGGAACTACCTAGCCCGGAAACGTCTAAACTATCCTAGAAAGATAAAGGTAACTAAGTAATCTCCTAAAATATCTAATTAAAGTTCGGATTCTTAGCAGTAGACGCTAACTACTAAACTTTAAAGGCAGAAAGAGTAGCCTACTCTAGGGATAATATCTTTTTATTAAGAATTCTTAATAATTTAGTATTATATTCTAATATTTTAAAACCTTTTTACTTAAGGAAGGCTATTTATTTTCGTAAATAACGCTATCGAGATATAGCTTCCTAATACTATTTTTATTTATTTAATAATTATTAATATAGCTCTACGAGACGAGACTATAAATCGCTTAACTCGGGTTCTAATAAGTCGAGTTTACTTTTATTCTTTTCGATATCGGAGGAAAGTTTATTCTCAGCGTAACGTAATAAATCCTATTCCCGGCTAGTATAAAACTCTCGTTTATACGTCCGACTAGCGTAAGTATAAGAAGCACACTTAGAATATCGACGACTCCGATCTATTATATACTCTTTACTAGATTCCCGATAATAATCGCAAGGAACAGACGCAATAAAGCTATTTATAACGATATATTTAGCTTAACGAATACGACTAGCGACCTAATCGCGTAGAATAGGAAGTTTAGGAATACCTTTAAGAATAGAGTTAGCCTTACGTTTAGGTATAATAAATAGATATAATAGAGCAAGAAGAAAAACAGAAAAATACTACACTTACCTAAGGGGGCACTAATATTTAAAAGGAAATCCTTTAAGGATAAAGGACTAGAAAGGAGGGGATAATATTACGGACCTCAAGAAGATATAGGGACCGTAGTTATTTAAGGAGTAACCGTAAACTAATCGTCTACGGACGCTAAGGAGTAACGTTATTACGTACGTTTCGGTATACTTAGATATACCCCGGAAGGCCCTAAGACGTTCCGGAAAGAGAACCAGAAACGGCCTACAGCTAACTACTACGGATAATACCTACTTATATAATAAGATAGTTAGTATAACACAGGAAACGGCTACTATTTTACCCGCACTCAGATTACGTCCTAAGTACTAGATACTAGTAAAACTATATATAACCTCTAATAGTAGAAAGGTAGATTAGTATATAGGTAGATCGTACTAAGACTTATCTACCACTTAACTATCTACCACTTATACTATCACGAAGGACTAGATATATAAAGACACTCATTTAGCATTATGTATTTAGTTCTTCGCGATTAATTACACATTATTACTTAGTTACTACCTTTAGTACTCTACTTCACAGTTCACCTTTAAGACAACCTAACCTACGAGCAGGGGAGCTCACTTCGTAGCAACACTCAGTGACTGACCTACTTAGCGCACACCTCTGGCACGTTCTGTAAGATACTCAACAGGACCCGAACCCGACGTAAGGCTAAGCATAGCAACGGTACGGTTACGAGATACTCTTAGAATCCGCAGTTAGAACCAGGCAAGTATCACCCGGACGCTCTAACTCATAGTGACCAGTCGGCACCGCGTAACACTATACCGAGTAGTATATAAAGTACTTCGGCTTTATATATTATACTACTATAAATTAGGGGAAGAGCCTATCCTTAGCGTATATATAAAGCCGTATAGTATATATTCATAGTCGCTAGCAGCCGAGACGGCCGTAATAGCTCCGATAGCTACGGCTAAGGCCTAGTTTAAATCAGAATTTTATCTATATTAAGCTAAAAGGTCCTCCCTCCGTTAATCGATTTAACCCTCATCGAAATAGCGTCTCTACAGTCCTCCCTATAGGAAGCTATAGCTACTACTATTACGGTAGTAATATCTTTAACCACGGTAGCTTTATTAACCGCGGTAGCTTTATTAACCGCGGTAGCTTTATTAATACCTATATCGACGCCTATACCTTCGATACCTATAGCCGTATCTTCGCTAGCACTAGCGTAGCTAATCCTACGTTTTAATTCTCTCTCTTCTCTTTCTAGTACAGTAAGCGCAGCCCGGAGATCTTATATACGTTAGCGAGAGAGACGTCCTCTCCTACTACTACTACCGCCGCCGCTAGCAGCGCCGGTAGCGCTAGTAGCGCTGTAAGAGGTTTATATCTCTATATCTTTCTATCTCTAGGAGAGCCTAAGAGAGATAGAGCGGCTACTAAGTAAGTATAACTACTACTATAGAAGTAGCTAGCTAACCTCTTATTTATCGGTTAGTATCGCTTTTATACGTTTTTCCCTCCTCTAAGACTATCGTTAATATACTATTCTTCGCCGGAGACCTCGTCTCGCTACTCGATTAGTGTACTATCTAATATTTAGGAGGATACCAGAGGAGGCTATAAGATCGGTTCCTTATAGCTAAGGATATTACCCGGTAGGGTAAAAGGCCGTTAATCGCGTAGTTCCTCTCGTAGTAATATTCTTTCGTATCTAAGACCCTTAGTAAACTTTACTAGCAGTTACGGAAGGTAAAGGGAGAGTATTATATATACGTCGTGATTATACGGCCCTCGGAGGCAGAGACAGAGCGGATAACGACAGCGGAGACAGAGTAGGGGGAGTTTGATTTTAATGATCTATAGATTATTAGTAGTGATACTAGCGGTAATACTAGCGGTGCTACTTCTATAGTAGTAGCGGAGGATACTACTTCTATAGTAGTAATAGATAATACTACTACTATAGTAGTAATAGATAATGCTACTACTACAGTCGTACCAGAGGGTGCTATATCGAAGAAGCGAGCAGCTTCGCCGATACGCTAAAGCCAGCGGCTTCGCCAGCGGCGGTGGTAGTTCAAATTATATAGAGAGCTTTAATTAGACGGCGTACCACCTAAAATCAGCGGGAATGACCAAGATACACTATAAAAATAGCTTCAATATAGCGACAGCGATATAAATGGCCTTCGAGAGAGATGCACATGATTTAATATGGGCGCACCGCCTGAAATTAGCGGAGATGACCAAGATGTACTACAAAAATAGCCTCAATATCGCGACAGCGAGGTGAATAGCCTCTGAGAGAGACATACATGATTTAATATGGGCGCTGTAATAGTAATTCAGGTATCTAAACTTTCTGCCGGTCTTAGAATATGCATATTATACACTTTCTTCGTGTGGCCGCTATCGGCTTCCGTAGGACGTCGACACCTCCAAACAGCCGTAAGTCCCTACGAATATTTTTAATTGTAGGGTCGCTGCATTCAGCTACATCAGCCATTTAGGATATGGTTAGCATCTGGCTTTATATCATATAAAGAACTAAGTGCAGCCTTTGGAGTTAGAGTCTTGGTGGTATATTCACGTCGCGAAGCTGGAGAGTTACCCGGGACCTAGAAATTCAACGGCTAGACACAAGAATCGCCGTGAAAAGATATTTCCTGCCGAATACAGTTTTTTACGCCACTCTACTTTTATGTAAAAAGTAATCTCTATTCCTACATCGACCTTAGGGTGTTTCAAGATGGGGTTCGAGAAACAATTCGGGAGTGTACAAATGGGGATTTGCTTTCCGTTCCGGCTGTAGTAGAAGGGTATCTCGACTATCTTGCGAACGCTATCGCTAAATCCCCGCACTTCTACAATGTCTATGTTTCCCGACATTGGAAGGCGATATCAGGCGCTACAGTACTTCTCTATCGAAGGCTTAACAGAGTTCCGACTCGCCGATTTCTATGGACAGGGTCAGAATATCGGAAGACCATGCTTGATATCCATGCTTTCATGGTTTGTTCCTTTTCTCCCTTTCTTTCTTTTATACCCCAGGGCTTTGAGCAGGATGAGATTGACCATCCCAGGCAAAGACGAATTTTCCAACGAAAACTATCATTATGGCTGTTTCTGCCATAACTAAAAGGACTCGATCACCAAACAAAATTTTAGCAAGCTCAGATAGCCAGGTGCTGAAACCAACGACTAAGGCCCCAACTCACGAGAACTAGGTAGAAGAAAAGAAAGCTAGAACTGCTTTCAGACATAGGTCCTTGAACATTTGACCCAGTGCACCGCATGCAAAGAGATATCAAGCTAAGCCTATAGATATATCACAGTGCATCTAATCCTCCTCAATTTCGCCCTCCTCACTGCCAGAATGAATAGCCTTCTCATCCTTTGTCGCCTCCTCTTCCGGAATCACAGAGCGTTCCCGTCCACCACGTCGGGGACCCTTACTCCGATCCCGTTCACGGCTATCCCGGCGATACCGCTTCACCGACCGGCTAGCCACACTCTCAGAGTCGCTCTCCCGTCTGCGTCTGCGGTCCACGCTCCCTGTGCTTCGGGTATCACCGCCATAGTCAAGCTCGTCGCGGCCACCGCGGGGATCACCGCGCGTGCGGTAGAGGCGCTCGCGCTCGTCCTCTCCCCTGCCAGAACGGCGGTCGTAGTCGCGATCTGCTCTGTCACGTTCACGATGACGATCGCGATCTCTGTCGCGCTCACGGTCATCACGGCGATCGCGGGGTGGGGAGAACCCACTAGCCTTGCGGTATGACCTTTCGCGGTCCGCCTGTGCTTTGCGTCGGTCTGCCTCATACGCATCCGGCTCTGGGCTGCGACTGGCCCGGCTGCCGCCACGTCGTTCTCCGCGGCTGCTGCGGTAGTCGCGATCACCGCGGTCATAGTCGCGGCGGCTGCGATCACGAAGGTCACGATCCTTTTCGTCTTCTTCCTTTTCCTTTAATCGGCGGATAATCTTCTCGAAGGCAGACTCGCGAAGCTCATCGGATTCGACAGCTTTGTACTCTTCGTACTTCTCAAGACGAGGCTTGACCTCATCCCAGGTATCTGTTAGGCGCACAGGAGGTTCGAGGCGCTTAATTCGAGAACGCAGGGCGTCAACGGCACGGCGCTGATGGCGATCAGCTGCATGCTTCTCTTCTTCATCACGACGAATCGCCTTCTCTTGAATGCGCTGGAAAATGAGGAGCAAGATGTTCTCATCAATCTTGGATGTCCGTCGATCAGAGACCATGATCTCGTTGAACTCTTCAAATGTAGTTTTGGACGTAACCTCGTAGCGTTTATCCTGATAGACGTGTTAGTAATTGTAAGCAACATCGATTTCTGATAAACTCACATCAAGGACATCCAGAACATCATTGCGAGGGCCGCGGAGGGAGCGCTCCTCTTCCTCGACCATATCCCAGAACAGATCGAGAGGGGTAGACCCAGATTGACCCAGCACGGCCTGATACCTCGGATCATTTTGGACTAAAGGGCAGATTTCCATCCACTTACTGCCCGCATTGATTTTTCCTTGAGACTTCAGCTCCTTCAGTAGCTCCAAGAAGCCTTCACGATTCCGGCGCTCCTTTCTTGCTCTGACTGCCTTCTGCTGCTGGCGGGCGTCGTTGAAGGCGCGCTCCAGAGTCTTAATGTGGTTCTCAAACGCAGTCAAAATATCGGACTTGCTTAGGGTCTTGAACTTATCGTCGCCCTGGACCTTATCATGGGACTCAATGACAGCCTGAGCCTCCGCCCATCGCGTATACGGCTCCAATTTGAGAGAGTTGAGAATGGTGACGAGCTCGTCCATGGCTGCCTTTCGGGTCACAGACTCATGCTCGACATGCGCCTTCTTGAGCTCAATTACATACTCCTCGAAGAGCTGACGCCGCTCATTCTCATCGCTGGTAGCTCGGAACGTGGTCTCTCCCTCGATGATGGGGCGGATGCTCTTCCAGCGACTATAGTGCTTGATTTCAGGATGCCGCTTCAGCATAGTATTGAAATCTGCGCGGAGCTTAGCGAATCTTTCTTTCGCCCGGTCCTTTTCCTGCATGCGAACCTCGACCGCGTATTTCTCAAAAGCTGCCTTGCGGTCGTTCGGATTCTTCAGGGAGCGGTACTGCGGGTCTTTGATCGTCGCGCGCATGGTCTGTTCCCAGGTCCAATCGGGTTGGACATTGTGTCGCTTGAGCATCTTCATGAAGGCGCTTTCCGCTTCTTCGATCGAGCTGTACTCAGGCTCGGACTGGGTGGGTAGAAGTGAAGCAGCTACCATTCCATTGGTGTCGTAGGAACCATATCCTCCACGACGGTCGCCATATCCTCGGTCATAGTCGTCGCGGTCGCGGTCGCGATCACGATCACGATCACGCTCGCGCTCACGTTCACGATGAGGGGGTTGGGAGAAGGAGCTGGTGCCGCCTGCTACAAAAGCGGGAGCGCTGCAATAGAGTCAGTTTGGGCTCCCACACTACATCGCAGCGAATTTACTTACGCAGCCGGGGGGGCCGGGGGGCTGGAGCGCGCGCAAGAGCATTCTTGTAAACCTCGGGCATCTCCCATGTGCTTTGCTTGCTCTCCGTGTTGTACCAGTATTTGCGCCCTCCCTCTGCCGTGTACTCTTTCCAAGGTTGGTCCGAAAGAGCACGCTAAATAAAACGAAGCATTGTCAGTCGAATTCCAAGACATGTAGGTGTAGCTGAAGACAAACCTCTACGGGAGTCATCAGCTCGACCGGCTTCGCCCACTGTGTCGCCTTCGTCTGGACATTATAATAGTAAGTCCTCCCATCAGCATTTCGCGCCTCCTGCCACAGCGCGGGAACACCCGACGGGCCATTCATTGGGTTCATGGTGAGCGTTGGGGGGGGAAGGACGATGAAGTGAAAAAGAGAAGCGCGTGGATTAAGCTCGGGTGTTTGCGCTGTTTGCAGGTGCCACCTTATCAATTCGGGCCTATCTCCTTATTGCCCGCAAACACGCCGAGCCAAACCCCGGGAACTTGTTGACAACTGTTGCATGCGACGAGCTCTGTCGCGATGCCTGGCCTGGAGATCCCGGGCGAGCTCCTGCGGCATGCTGTCCTCGATACAATTGTGCCTCATGCCCCAGGGATCGATATTGAGAGTGCGCTGACCTCGGCCCTCGAGGACGGAGCAGACGATCTTCCCTCGGTGCTTTCCTCAATCCCCCAAAGGTCGCTTCTGTTTTTTGGTATGTAGCGGAGCTTACTACTCACTTGCAGCCGGGTTATGATTCACTAACATCAATGAAGATGAATTTCTTCCTACCCGTATTGTCCTGCGACTCTCCGATTGCACAGATACTATTTTGAAGCACTATCTACCTCGTCTTGAAGTGCGATTGGACGTCTTCGCAGTCGATCCAGCCGAAACTGTGGCAGATAGCCCAACTCCAACCAGGGAGGTGATCTTCTCTGGTATTGTGAGCACGGATGAGGAGCCATTGGTGATTTTCAATGAATTTGAGGGCGAAGATGGGACTGGGAACCATGTCTACCTTATTTGGAACATGGAGACATTCCTGAGTGAGTTTTCACAATTGAGACACAGGATGTTTCATAAGTTGACCATATGAAGAGCGCCCTCGGACTCGCATCCAAAACCCGTCGCTGTTATTTATCGCTTCTGCGAGCCTCAATCCTTCTGAAACCGGCCGACAAGAAGACCCCGAAGATGACTACCTACCTCCACTCGTGCCTGCATCGACCAACATGCTTCAGCCCTTGTCTGGAGATAAAGCTCTTGTTCACAAAGAACCCTTCCTTCCTGCATCAAGGTTGTTGCGAGTGGTGCCCACAACATACGATGAGGATCCCATATACAACATTCAGCAGCAACATGGCCATCCCTTTCGCGTGGTTCCCGCAGCCAGTGCAAGAATTCGCTACTCGCGATTGAACTCTTACAGCGGTCTCCCAACGACGGTTGCCAGTCTGGATTTCGAAGTGACCCCATTCCTGACCTGCGAGGTCTCCTTTGATAGAGCAGACATGGACCTGTCCGAGGGAACAATCGAGCCTCTGTCAGATGTCCCTGGCCTTACTCTCCCTCTAACTTGCCGACCCCGAGACGACGTGACCCTCGTGTACAAACTTACTCCTGAATATGGCCCCGAGACCAATCCTTCCTCGACTGCCATGATGAGCTTGCTGGACATCTCTCTAGGAGCGGTCATTCTCCTATCCGACGACTGCAAGCCACGCATCTCTATGCAATGGCGGACCAACGTCGACTTCTCGTTGGCCCTCAACCCAACTTTTGGCGGTCCCAGCCCGGCGTTACAAAGGAGTAACCGCCCAACCAGTCTATCTATGCCCCAGGGCCATTCTCAAGCAGGGCCAACACCGACCAATCGAAGCTCTCTACGCGAGCGAGCTTATTCGGTCACTGATGTGGGAGTCACAATCTCGTTCTCTGGCCCTTCTCGCGTGCAAGTTGGATCACCATTCTCTTGGGACGTGTTCATTGTGAACCGCTCCAACATCCCGCGAAAATTTGCCCTCATCGCCATCCCCCGCCGGAAACGCGTAGACCCGAGGGGTCATATGGCCCGCCCCTCGTCATCGTCCATCTCAAGCCGGAAACAGGACCATGTGGCCGAGGCTGTCACTGACGACAATATCGTGCATGCGATGCAGAAGAGTGTCGCTGGCCAAGAAGCTGAATTGATTAGTCTGAGCACTGATATTCGTGTTGGGTGAGTTGCATTGTCCTGCGGTTGTCATTATTCTTTTGAGGAGCCATTGATCTAATACCGGCGCTGATTAGGCCCCTCTTACCTGGAACCTGCCACTCTACCGAACTCAAACTGCTTCCTCTCGCGACTGGTTCCCTGCATCTCGAAGCGGTGCGTCTTGTGGATGTGAATACGAACGAAACGACCGACATTCGAGACTTGCCGGACATTCTGGCCGATGACCAGCCTCGAATATCAGCATGATTCAACATGGCATGAAAATTGTATGATTTATATAGGGTAGTGAATGTACTGACGAAGTGTACAACGGAATAAGAAAGTTAAAAAAAGCACGAAAACATAGACCGTAAGACCCGCCCCGGGGTCAAGGAAATTGACGGTGATAGGTGGGGCTAACCGCGCAAGGCTGTCTCCCAAAGTCACCGCCGAACTTGCTGCCTGCCCAGTTGGCAGGTGACTTCGCCGTTAGTCATACTGGAATCTCCTCGAGACAGAGCGCAGTCGAATCGTCCACCTCGACCTGGGCTTGACGTCCAACTCCTTGATATATCCTGTCCTCTCCTCCCCTGATCATTCTAGACGCATTCCAACCCCCAAGAAGCTGGTGGGCGATCCACACCGTGCTCCGCTTATCAGGTGAACCTTGCGTCATACTGGCGCGCGACAGCCCAGACTCCCCCGGCCCCATTTCTTGCCTTCAATCCCTGTCACCATAAAGCTGTTCCACGTCCGCCCTCAGTCCCCATGATTACCTCCATGAAGCGGAACGTCCTCGATGGACTGAACAAGAGATACATTTACGGTCGCGTGGTTCGTATTTCCTTCCCATGTGGTTGCTTGCCTTGTCTGTCCATACCCGGACTGTCCGCGCTAACCCGGTCGCTGCTGTGATATTAGCCACTCCTACACACGATCATCTTCCTCATAGAAATGGCTGTAGCCACGCGGATTGCTAGCAAATTCAATACCTACTATGCCGAAAGGCCAGGTAAGGCGCCAACCGCGACGTCCCGCGAGGAGGTGTCACCAGTTACTAACCAGCGTATAACGATAGTGCTCACAACGATGGTCACCAATGCTGTAAGCCTCTCCGTTTCTCAACACCACGAAGATATCTCAGCCTTGAAACCGTTATTAATGATGGGTGGTTGTCATAGGTGCTTGGTGGCGTCGCCGATACCGTTGCGCAGGCGATTACGGCCTTCCGGGCTCGAAATGACCAACGATCCCATGAGAACGACGACTTTATCTCGATAGAAATCCACGACTTGGATAAGGAAAGGCCTCCTACGGTCGGAGAGTTGGGGTTTGCGGCGCATTCGCCGCCGCCGTTCGATTTCGAGCGTCTCACGAGGTTCATGGCATACGGTTTCTTTATGGCGCCGGTGCAATTCCAGTGGTTCGGTTTCTTGTCTAGGGCGTTCCCTCTCACTAAGGCAAACCCGAGTCTCCCGGTGTTCAAGCGTGTTGCCTTTGATCAGCTTATCTTTGCGCCTTTCGGTACGTGCCCGCCTGCTCGTCACTCTCGTCGGGATCTGTACTGACTAGCTTGGGATAGGTCTGGCCTGTTTCTTCACTTTCATGACGATTGCGGAGGGAGGAGGCAAGAGAGCATTGACGCACAAGTTCCAGGATGTGTACTTGCCGACGCTGAAGGCCAATTTTGTCCTGTGGCCGGCAGTACAGGTCCTCAACTTCAGGGTCATTCCCATCCAGTTTCAGATTGTAAGCTGCCTCAGATCCTCTCTCCAGTCAGTGCCAATATTGACTCTCTTTTTCAGCCTTTTGTTTCATCCGTTGGTATTGCGTGGACCGCATACCTCTCGCTCACCAATTCCAGCGAGAAGTCTTGAGTACGCTGCCCACAGGGAACTTCACGTTAACGACCACCCCCCTTTTATACACTGCTTTAGTCGCAGACTATCTGTTCAGGCGTTTTAGTTTCGGATGATCCATGTTTCTAGTTTTGTGTATAGGGGATGTAAATTCATGCACGCGGGAAGACATGGTTGCATTCGAAAAGGTTCTGGCTTTATTTTGCGCATTCGGGGATAATTTATTCGGGGTACATGCTCGTTCGCTTTTACTGTCGACTGGTTTTGTTGGACGCTATCTCCAATGCCTTCGGGATTTTTTTGCTGTCTTTTCAATCTTCGGGTTTGCAACGGAGCTTCGTTTCTTTTCACCAGAGCAACCAAGTGTTCACCACTTGCGGTCACCACCGTAGCGGCTATGGACAATACCAGCCTGGCCAATCAGAATTGGGCCAGAAGCCTAGCACCCAGCGATCTCCCCAGAATTCCCCGACTCCGAGGCTATCATGGACACCAAGATCCCCGGCCTGTTCCGCATCAACGAGGGGCTCTGACATCAGTCCCGCATCAGCCCGATCTATGCGCCCGGAGGAAGTCGGGTTACTTACAACACAAGTAGAAGGATCTATAGCGATACTTTCTTCTGTGTGAAGAGAGCTCTACCGCGCTAGTCACCCAAAGCACTCAAATACATCACCGGTAAGTACCCCGCTGCTACCCAGCTGGATGCGGCAGCCTCCCTGCTTCACCGGCGAGCCCCACCATGTCCCTCCACCCCTCCTCCAAGCTGGCCCTGTCGCGACTCACCGTGGCCTGATTAAGATCCCTCAACTTTCCTCCCCTTACATTTTCCCCTGTCCTTTCTGGCTCTCTACCTGTCTCGCTTCTTCCGTCCACAGTCGTCGAGGTACTGCTGCCCATACCCTCTCGAGCTTCTCCGACCCCACTGACATCACAGATTCCTGCCGACAATGTCTCTCTCCAACAAGCTCAACATTACCGATGTCGACCTCAAGGACAAGCGTGTCCTGATTCGGGTATATTTCTTATCCAATTCCTCTTCTGTGACGTCCAATGGCTCATACTCTCCCACCATAGGTCGACTTCAACGTCCCCCTCGACGCAGACAAGAAAATCACCAACAACCAGCGCATTGTCGGCGCTCTTCCCACCATCAAGTATGCCATTGACAACGGTGCCAAGGCCGTCATCCTGATGTCCCACCTGGGCCGTCCCGACGGCAAGGTCAACCCCAAGTACAGCCTCAAGCCTGTTGTTGCGGAGCTTGAGACGCTGCTGGGCGGTAAGAGCGTCATCTTCACCGAGGACTGCATTGGCCCCCAGACTGAGGAGACCGTCAACAAGGCCACCGGTGGCCAAGTCATCCTGCTGGAGAACTTGCGCTTCCACGCCGAGGAGGAAGGTTCTTCCAAGGATGCCGAGGGCAAGAAGGTCAAGGCCGATAAGGAGAAGGTTGCTGAGTTCCGCAAGGGCCTGACTGCCCTGGGTGACATCTACATCAGTACGTGACGACTTGTCCGGAACTATATTGGCGATCCTGCGCGACTACTAACTGCTGTGCTTCTAGACGACGCTTTCGGCACTGCCCACCGCGGCCACAGCTCCATGGTTGGCGTCGATCTTCCCCAGAAAGCCGCGGGCTTCCTCGTGAAGAAGGAGCTGGAGTACTTCGCCAAGGCTCTCGAGAACCCCCAGCGCCCCTTCCTCGCCATCCTGGGCGGTGCCAAGGTCTCCGACAAGATCCAGCTGATTGACAACCTACTCCCTAAGGTCAACAGCCTGATCATCACCGGCGGCATGGCCTTCACCTTCAAGAAGACCCTTGAGAACGTGAAGATTGGCAACTCACTCTTCGACGAGGCCGGCAGCAAGATCGTCGCAGATATCGTCGAGAAGGCCAAGAAGAACAACGTCGAGATCGTCCTCCCCGTCGACTACGTGACCGCCGACAAGTTCTCCGCCGATGCCACTGTCGGCGCTGCCACCGATGCCACCGGCATTCCCGACGGCTACATGGGTCTGGACGTCGGCCCCAAGTCCGTCGAGACATACGAGGAGGTTATCGGCAAGGCCAAGACCATCCTCTGGAACGGCCCCCCGGTGTCTTCGAGCTGAAGCCCTTCGCCAACGGCACCGAGAAGACCCTCGCCGCCGCCGTCAAGGCTGCCCAGTCCGGCTCCATCGTGATCATCGGTGGTGGTGACACCGCTACCGTTGCCGCCAAGTACGGCGTCGAGGACAAGCTCTCTCACGTCTCGACCGGTGGCGGCGCCTCGCTCGAGCTCCTTGAGGGCAAGGAGCTGCCCGGTGTGGCTGCTCTGTCCAGTAAGTAAATGGCACATTGGCGGGGAATCAGCGTGCCCCCCTAGATGTCTATCAAGTTGGGGACATTTTCACGAAACTGTAATGTACACAGCCAAGGTGTACGTGTTTTTCCTATAAATTACAAAATATCCACGTTCAAGTTTGACGCTTTCTTCTATGTATGGTTGGGAGCTAAGCTTGTTTCTGGTCAGATACGAGACCGAAGCTGTGAGGGCGATGCCCGAGTCTTCCTCGTCCGACAGGACTTATGGGAGGGAAGGGATCTTGGGAAGTTACGTATAGCGAGGCCGAGAAGCTGTACATAGAATCCTGGTGAAAATCAATGGAAACACGAAGTCTACGAACGATATGACGATAGTGTCGTATGTGATTTCGTGGCAGGCGCAGCAAGAGCCCAACTGCATTATTCTGCCCGACTTGCTGTGAAGAATCTCCCAGGCATATATTACCGGAACGGACTCTCGCCAACACGTCCCAAAAGTGAAACGCAGACATGGAATAGAACAAGCCGTCAGATACATCTTTTCCTCCTGCATAGCCAGGCATAACCTGATGGCAACTAAATCGATGGCCTCGCCTCGCCTCTCCGCGCTGTCCTGGGCTGCTCTGGTTATGTTGGTGCCCATTTCGTCCGTCTTCATCTTCGATTGATTGGGGTATAGTATGTGTAGCGTGAGAGGCGTTCAACGGGTTCGAGGGTGTGCCATAGGAACGCGGGATTCTCTTTCATTTATTGTCTTTTCACTGTCTTGTCTTGTCTAGTGTGATGCTTCAACCTTCTTGAGCTCTTCCCTGTAAAGTGCGAGTAAGGTTAGCTCTGTGAGGGCCAAGATAAGCAATGCAAAGGGCTTCGGTCTGTAAATGGACCATGTGGTCATCCAAGGCTCAAAGAGGAAGGTACTCGCTGGCGCCCGGCATGATACCAAGACAAGGAAACTGCAACCTACTTCAGCTGCTTCGAGAAATCCTCCGCGGCATCATCGTCGTCCCAGCTCTCCTCCCATAGATGCTCATTTCCACCGTTCGCTGCTGACCCGGCGGCTTGCTCGGCTTCTTCCTGGGGCCAGTCTGGCGGAGAGAGAGTCAGCGCAAGGCACAGCTCGTCATGGGCATCGTATCCATGTATTCAGGCGCGGGAGATACACTACCTTCCACGGGGAAATCCTCGAATTCATCATCCTCTTCAAGCACTTGGGGCTTCTGCTGTTGCTGGGGCTGTTCGGAGGGGTCGGCCTTGTTCTGGGCCGGGGTGGAATTGGACATGGTGGAAGTGTGTATGGCGGTGTAGGGTGTGAAGAGCGTGGATGGAATTGGAGGAGGTATAAGTTCTCGCACACCGATGGAAGTAGGTAAGAGGAAAGCGTGATGGTAGTTTTGGGGGGCGGGTTTGGATGATGAGGTGCTGCCGGACGGAGGGCGAGTTGGAGCTTCCACTTCGGCGGAGGTGTTGGGGCCTCAGGTTTCAGGCCGGCGCTCGAGCCCCGTGATTGGCGATAGCTTCGAACCATGTACAGTAGAATTCATTCCATCATGGTTATATCACTTTTCTTATTACGTACTCGTTATAGTTGTGATTTGAGAACCATGCAAACGATCGAATTCAGTGCCAGTTTCCGCGTGCTATAAACATGAGCACATCTCCGATCTACGCGACCGATTTCGCCCCTCGGAGCCATCGGCACCGCCGCGCCTCGAAGCCCATGGAACGCGCGCTGATATGGGGCGGCCACCGCAAGGCTGTGATTAGTTCTCTCGCTTGGATTACCCCCACGGCGGGCACTTATTATCATCATAGTTCCCTGATCTGACTTGCTTTGAACTGTCGCGTCTTTCTTCTCTCTCCACCGGTTCCCCCGTGCTATCAGGCCGTGCTCGGAAATCAGTTGTGCTCCGTGCATGGGATCCTTGACAATCCGTCCCAATCCGTCCCTCTGCGTTACCGCCATTCGCCGCGACGGACAAAGGAGGAGAAAGTCCCAATAGCCTCGACTGCTCCCACTCACTGGGCTTCTAGATCTTCCGCGCCGGTCAAGTTCTCCGTGTGAGTGGTGCGCGCTCTCACCATGCTGCGAGTTGGGTCCTGGCTGTACGGCAAAAAGCCCGCCAATGCCTCGACGCAATCGCTTGACTCGCTGGCCGAGTTGAAAGACTGTACGTTCGATCCTGTTGGTGCTGATGTGACCTGTTTTTGCCGCGTATAGTACGATTGCGCGGGCAATTTTGCTTTTATTAATTGACGGGCTTTGTGCTGACGGTGGGATATTCGAGCGGGGAAGTGGATGAGGCGATGGAAGGTACGTGCCCGCCTGTGGATGCCCCGATCGTCCGAGCCGCAACATAACGGGCTGATCACCTTACCAGCGGCGACCTATATCCTCAACGATGATGTCGATAGCGCCGAAAGTGGCTTGGCCAAGGGCACCTCGTCTTTTCATAATGTGCGTGTGCAGCCTGCGACTTGCAACCTGCTGCAGTGGGCTATGACGTACTGTGCGTAAGAGGCCGGGACAGTATGCTAACATTTTTGAGTAGTTGGGGAAAGGCATGGTGGCTTTCGTCCGAGCGACTCTGGGCTTTGAACAGGATATCATGCGTCAAGGTCAGTCTAGTGAACTACCAACCCGCGAAATGACCATCGCTCTAACTGTCAGCAGCATCTGAACGGTTGAACGAGGCGGAGACATCGGCCGCCGGTGATCAACACCGGGCGCAACACAATTCCCATGCCCCCAATGCTTTTCACTCGGAGATCTATACTGCGGGCAGTGAATATGCGTTGTGCCAAGCTATCGCGCAACTGATGGGTGCCGTCGTCGGCGTGCTGAACGAGAGTCTGACGGAAAGCATCAGGGCATTCTACCGGTTGCGAAAGGCGTATATCGCTCTAGATGCTATCTTGAAGATGGAAGAGAAGTTCATGGAATTGCGAGAGCCCAGCCAAGTTCTTCTTCCAAGCGCCAATGATCTCTCCCGGGCCAGTACTAGCCAAGATCCCAAGTCGTCAGACTCATCCATTGAGTCACCCAGCAAACTCCCATCCGCGGCCCCTCGTGCTGTTTCCCCAGATGGTCACGATCTCTCTCACTCCCTATCTAGTTTGACGGTCGCCCCGGGGTCGGAGCCTGTATCCTCTGGAACTTCCACGCCCGGTGGTTCCAACGTTATCAACCATGACCCGGACTCGGACATTTTCAAGAATGAAATCGACGTATTCGTGCACTCCGGAGCCAATTTCTGCTTTGGCATCCTTCTCCTGCTCATTTCCATGGTCCCTCCGGCCTTTAGCAAGCTACTCGCCATCATTGGCTTCCGCGGTGACAAGCAGCGGGGAATAAGGTTGCTCTGGCAAGCCAGCAAGTTCCACAACTTGATTGGCGCCATGGCTGCTCTGGCATTGCTTGGTTATTACAACGGCTTTGTGCGCTACTGCGACATTATGCCTGACCCTACGCCCGGCGAGGATGATGTGGAGGGCTATCCGCAAGAAAGATTGGCTGGATTGCTTGCCGAAATGCGGTCGCGTTTCCCGGACAGTCGGCTTTGGCTTCTAGAAGAGTCTCGGATGAAAGGTGCAAACAAGGATTTAGAGGGCGCGTTAAACCTCCTTTCTGAAACCAAGAGGAGCGCGCTCAAGCAGGTCGAAGCCTTGTGTGTTTTCGAGAAGAGTCTAAATGCTCTCTTCTTGCACAACTACGAGGTCTGTTCCGCAGGTTTCATCGAGGTCAGTTTTGTTGTTCCCTATCGTCAGCTTCTTCACACAATCAGGATATATAACTGACTTGTCAGTGTGTGGATATCAACTCCTGGTCCCGCTCGCTATATTACTACATTGCCGGCTCCTGTCAAGTCGCTCTCTATCGCCAATCTATCACAAGCGATCCCAAGAAAGCAGAGCAGCATGCGCGCAAGGCCGCCGAATACATTCGCAAAGCGCCTTCCCAGGCCGGCAAGAAACGTTTTATGGCCCGCCAACTACCCTTCGATGTGTTTGTCACGCGCAAGATTGCCAAGTGGGAGGCCCGTGCCAAGGAGTGGAATGTCGAGCTGGTAGATGCCATTGGTGTGGACCCGGTTGAGGAGATGATCTTCTTCTGGAACGGGCATAGCCGCATGACGCGCAGCGAGCTGGAACAATCCCTAGTCCGGCTGGGATGGTGTGAAAGCGACAAAAATAAAACCTGGTCCCGCGAGGGACAGGAGGAGAAGGCCATGCTGGAGCTTCTACGGGCTGCCGTGCTCCGGTCCCTGCATCACCACGAGGAGGCGAAGCAGACCCTCAAGACCAAAGTGCTGAATCATGAAAAATCTCTCTTCAAGGGTCACTTGAAGGATGATTGGGTTCTCCCGGCGGCACATTTTGAAATGGCCGCAAACCTCTGGATGGAGCGGCCGACCTACCAAACCTTGCACAATCTTTCGTCAGATGTCTCTGAGAAGCCGGAGTACGAGAGAAAGCAGGTTCACGATTGCAAGGATCATTTAGAACGTGCTGCCCGTTGGGAGAGCTACGAGCTTGATGCTCGTATTGGATTGAAAGTTACGGCGGCCATGGAAGCTATCCACAAGTGGGAGACCATGCATCCGGCATGAGGTGGTTCCATAGAGTTTTTTGTCTATTTTGGGACGCCGATTGTTCATAGCATCTCCCTGGCGAGTTGTATCATTAAGCCATAGACTAGACCACATCGTAGACCGCGGCCTGGGGGTTTGGGGATGTCTTTTCAGATACTTGAATAGATCTCTTGGATATTCTGGAATCCGATTTCATGTGGACGTATCATGTGACCTCTCTTGGCTTCTGCCCGCTGCACAGCAGCCTGCCATTGTGACCATCTCGAGGTGTCAATTTTACCTCCCGTCACACCATTAAAGCTCCGACTTGACGGCAACCGACAATTCATTGCTTTGGATATCAAATGCCGACTGGCTGCAGCCGACAGCCGGACCGGGACCTTGGTTCTTACCCCTCACCCTTTGGCAGTTGGGGCGCGGCGCAGAGCCAATCAGCCGGAAGCTCCGAACGACTCCATAGAAGCTATGAAGCTGTCGCACTCAGAAAAGCAATCCACCTCAAGTTCTCTGCGCCAAATTTACACGAGATAAGCATAACATCTCAACAAACCACCTTCGGCGAACACTTTATATCGCCGAGCCCGGATTTAGCGCGAAGTTGATACGCCCCACTTCCTGACCATGTCCGCTGTCGGATAAGACGGCTCGCCCTTGGCGTCGGACGTCCGATCAAAGCTTGGTGGAAAAAGGATTTAATCAATATCGCTGCCACCCTACAAAAAGCCCAAAAGCTTTGGTGGAAACAAGAAGCCAAGCATCGCCGTTAAAAGTCTAAGCGGGGCCCATATGACGTTTTCCCTGGCCCGCGGTCCATACAAATCCGCGCGCTTCATCGGCGGGCAATTCCTTTTCCCTCCTGTGTTCTTGTCGCGGTCCCTTTTCTTTTGCTGGCTCCAGGAACATTCAATCTGAATCTAATTTTTGCAATATTTTCTTGTTCCCGCGGTTTAAACCACCGCCCTACTATCACGACGCTGCACTCGCGCGCATGAAGCAATCATGGTCGAGCATACAGAGCACGACTACCGCTCCAGCACGTCGACGGATGAGATCGAGTCGCGTGACGCAAATGACCAGACCGAGCACAATGGTGAGCCTAGCACATCGCTAGCGAAGCAGAGCACCGCGGCCTCGGGGCTCTCGGTGTTCGAGCAACGCGCGCAATCGGTTGTTTCGCGTATTCGCAGCCGAGACCCCGGCCAGACGGCGAAATTTACACATCCGCTGTTGCACACGAGGACGAGCCCGGATGTGATTGTGGATTTCGAAGGCCCCGATGATCCGTATCGGCCGTTGAATTGGGGATTTGGGAAGAAGGCTTTGACGACCGTTCTGTACGGGTTGACGACGATGGGTACGTTGGATGGGAACTCCCCGCTTACCCCAACCGTGTGCAAGGAGGGGTACAAGTGCTAACGAACACTGTTAATTGCAGGTGCGACGTGGGCTAGTTCGATGTAAGAGCTATGATAAGTCTTGGAAGATTGAGCGCAACGGATACTGACCATTTGACTATAGCTACTCGACGGGTCAAGAACAAATCAGTGACGAATTCGGTGTTTCGTTGGAGGTTTCTACACTTGGTACTTCGCTGCTGCTATTTGGATTGGGCTTGGGTCCCCTAGTATGGGCACCTCTCTCAGAGGTGTTTGGTCGCAAGCCAGCTGTTCTGGCGCCATATTTCATTGCAGCAATCATGTCGTTCGGCACTGCAACGGCCAAGGACTTGCAAACGATCATGTTGACCCGATTTTTCACGGGCTTCTTCGGATCCGCGCCCGTAACCAACACAGGCGGCGTGCTAAGTGATATCTGGACACCCGAGCAGCGCGGTGCTGCAATCGTTGGTTACGCTATGGCTGTTGTTGGCGGGCCTGTCCTGGGTCCTATTGTTGGTGGTGCGATTGTCCAGAGCTACCTGCACTGGCGATGGACCGAATACGTCCGTTCTCCTTCCTGTATTCATAATTTTGTCACGTTCTAATATTTTCTAGCTCACCGGCATCATGATGATGTTCTTCCTCCTTCTCGACCTCATCTTCCTTGACGAGAGCTACCCGCCTGTTCTTCTAGTCTACAAGGCGCGCAGGCTGCGGTTCGAAAGCGGCAACTGGGCCCTTCACGCTCGCCATGAGGAATGGGATGTGACGCTCAAGGAGTTGGGCCACAAGTACCTTGTGCGACCCTTTCAACTACTCGCCACACCAATCTGCTTTCTCGTTGCCCTCTATGCATCCTTCGTCTATGGTATTCTCTATTTGAGTCTCGCAGCTTTCCCCATCGTCTTCCAGGAGATCCGCGGGTGGAACCAGGTTGTCGGCGCCCTGCCTTTCCTAGCCTACCTAGTCGGTATTTTGATCGGCGCTGCTGTTAACTTGTCAAACCAGCGCTTTTACCTCAAGCGCTTCAGGGCAAACAACAACCGGCCTGTTCCTGAGGCACGCCTACCACCCATGATGCTCGGCTCGGTGCTGTTTGCAGCTGGTTTGTTCGTCTTTGGCTGGACGAGCCCCAAACACATCCACTGGATCGGCCCCATCATCGGCGCCGTCATTATGGGCTTTGGCTTCTTCACTATCTTCCAAGCTGCCCTGAACTATCTTATCGATACGTTCCAGAAAACCTCTGCTAGTGCCGTTGCCGCAAATACTTTCCTACGCTCTGTGTTCGCTGGTTGCTTCCCACTCTTCACCAGCCCCATGTTCCATAACCTTGGCGTGCCTTGGGCGGCGAGTATCCTGGGGTTCATCGCGGTTACTCTCATCCCTATACCGTTTCTCTTCTACATATATGGAAGGCGCATTCGAGCGCGGGGGAAGTGGTCGCGTGGATCTCTTTAGACTCTGCCATAATTAATAATTGTCTTCCAATCGTCGACATGCATAGATTTTCTTCCTCCGTCTTCATATGGCGTCTATTTCCTTTGGCCCGGTCCTGAATTCCAGGATGTAAGATACCCTTGTATTGTATTTAAGTTCGCTTGTTCTAGAAATGGTTTTATCTAGAGGAATTAGAGGACTGGATGTTTTTACTGGCTATAATAGCCTAGATAGCGTATAAGCGAATAGTTAATAACAAAGATACTTCAGATAGATGTTAGCTAGTGATCTTGTCTGACTTTCTCCGACTACAGCCTTCTTACTTGCACACACACTGTATTTCAACTTCGCGATAAACAACGGACAAGGGCCTACAACCCTTCCCAGGGTTGTTAGAATGCAGCAAGCCGAGTTCGCTATTTTTGACCATAGCTTTGCATTAACGTTCCAATCACAAGGCCAAGATAAACCTTCAGAGCAGCACCACCGTTGTGGGGCAACTAAAACCGATGCGGCACCCTGTGTGGCTGGCTGAGCTGCATGCCCGCTAGTGCCGTGTACTAACACTAATTTGACTGGGGAGACGTGGCGTTACCTGTCGAAGCTGTTGAAAGCTATTTGCTAAAGGCTTGTGAGGGAAGAAATAGCACGAAACCCAATAAAGCTGTGTTGAATTAACTGCGTGGAGTCCTGATGGTTCAGCAACGAAACTCAGGCTAGAGGTCGGCATTTCATTGGCCCAAGCATACCAAACCATGCATGAGGCTATGCCTAAAAGCCGAAGGTTCAAGCCTCTAATTTGAATTAAGGAAGTTTCAACAGAAACTAGATTGACTGCCACGTCATGAAACATCTTCGGAGAGACTCCTATCTGGAGAAGGATGAGCAAGAGCGGGTCTTCCAAACGCACCTATAAGTAGCCCCAGATCCTTTTGATACGTATCAGTTCTCTAGATAATCATTATCTATAATTCCGACTGCACAACTAGTTCGTTTATTTGTTGCTCCCGGCAGCTTCATCTGCATCACCCTGTATTTACGGAACCTCATTAGAGATGCTCGACACTCGTGAAAAATATGTCTTTGGGAGAAGTCAGAAGGAGTCAGAAAGGTAGGGGGAAAAGATTTAACATGGCAGCGACTTATAATATCTAATAACAAGGGCGGTCCAAAATCTAGGCTCAATGCACAGCACAATCTATTGTCGAAAGTGACCGAAAGCACCCTTATTCATCCTTCGATTCCTAAGGAAAGCATGCTCGCTATTGCCGATATAGCGACAGGAACTGGGTAGGTCTTTCATTTATTCCTTTCAGACCAAATGACTAATGAATATATTGTTACAAGAATCTGGCTGAAGGATGTCTCGCGGGAGCTGGGAACAACAGCTACCCAGTGTTACTATCACGGATTTGATATCTCACCAGACCAATTTCCCAAAAATCCGGGAAACATCGATTTCTCCGTTCATGATATAACGAAGCCGTTTCCTGAGGAACATCGGAACCGGTATGACCTGGTTCACGTGCGACTATTGGTTGCTGCTATCGAAGAATCTGAATACAAAGTTGCAATCTCCAATATCTATGCCATCTTGAGTATGTCTCTTTCAATTTCACATTCATGCCCCTTTTTATCCGACACTGTGGCAATTTTCCTTACTTTTTATCATCCAGAGCCCGGCGGATTTCTTCAGTGGGAGGAGGTAGATGAAGAAACATATACATCGAACGACAACCCCGTTATTTGGGAGATTCGAAGATGTTTCGAACTTTCATACAAAGCCGAGGGTAAATGTTTCCAAGCTTCGGCAAAGGTTCACGATGAATGCATAGCTGCCGGTTTTTTGGATGTTGAGCGGTCAGTTTATAGCTCAGACAGGGATGATAGTCTCCGTCTTGACACAGAGCGAGGACTTGCCACGCTTATTGAAACATTATATGCAAGCCTTCTGCTGCGATCTGGGCAGGTCGATTCTGAAGAGGCGGCGATAAGGCAGGCCGAAAAATTAATCAAGCAGCACTGGCAGCTGTGTGATAATGGGAATTCCCCACCGCTGAAGTTGATGAGGGTTGTTGGCCAGAAGCAACTGCGTGGCTCATCTCTATAGAATCTATTTCTATCAAGGTGAGGCCTACCGTTCGGAATTTTCCAATTTTAGAGGATAGATGTGAGTGAGACCTCAAGGCTCGGACACGAAGGGAAAATATTCATTCTGTCCAATTTATTGTTCCCCTGCGTAAGGTTGCAGGACCTCGGATCTTCCCGCCTGATGTGTTAGAAGTATGATCCCTCTATAACTTAGGCAAACACCTCTTAAAAAGGATTATTTTGTAGGAATATAGCTAAATGCTGTAGATATTGTTTCTGCCGAAAGTGAAAAAGAATGTGCGCGCACCATGTTTTCAGACTTTTGCACTCCAAGTGTATACTGACTGCGTACAAAAGCAAGTTGTGTGACCTGTTGAGCAGAATGGGCAATATGCTACCCCCGGTAGCGGTAGTGGATAGGACTTAGTATTTTCTCATACTAGGGCATATGATAAGAAACCTCGTGCATGTCGAGGTCGCCTTCACTTGCGCAAACCTCTCAAAATGAGGATCACAGCAGCTCCCAACAAGACGTTAAGGAACGCTTGCCAAGTATATTTGCCGTACTGTGGAATCGTGCTACATAAACGGCGGCCATCACTTATTTCGATTAGTGAGAGATTAAAATGGGCCGATGTGGAAGGCAGGACCTACTGATGGCACCCGGCGGAGGTCAAGGAACTATGAAAATTAGTCCTTTTTTTCAGTATCATGAGAAGATTACATATAGGACTGGTTTCAGAAGAACAACTATGATAATTATTGCTGCGTGGGTTTGCCTATACGGATAGATACCATTCCCGGGCAGTGGTATCGTCGCCGCTTTCCATTCCTCCGATAAAGATTGCTCTAGAAGGCGGCATACGGTCTCTGACGGGTTGATAGAGGAAATTTTCCATTTATTAGACGACGTTGACATGACAAAAGAGGGGACCAGATGTAGAGAGAAAGAGAGGTGAACGGTGTAAAGGAGACAACAAGGAAAGTGTAGAAGATGACATAAAGATCGACATAAGACTCATATCTCGAGATTCCGTACCACATCAGTAGAAGAAACACATAGGAAATGTAGCGATTGCTGTTCTTCGAACAGTAGCACAGACGTGAAACATAAGTACAGAAGAAAAATAGGAAATATCCGATACACCTTTTTGGTTTGTTTCCACGATCATCACAGGATGATTTCTTTGGGGGGATGGTTTCTTTTTTTTCTTTTTTTTTTTTTTTTTTTTTTTTTTTTTTTGGAAAGACTTTCCAGATTATCCAACCAAGCATCAAGCACGGCTGGAGACCATGTTGTTCCTCCGGGTCAGCTTGCGTGCCAGCGTCATGGCCTTCTCCCATGTTTTCTTCTTCTCTCCACGAGTATTGACGGTGGGCCTGGGCGATACGGCATCGGTGGCGAAGTCAGGGCCAAAGTCCTCCTGGTGCTTGGCATTGTGCAAGGCCAGGACGGCCATCTGACCGAGGAAGGAAGGGTGCTCGAGGAGGTCTTCGAGGCGTACCTTGAGACCTTCTTGCTCAAGAATCCAGGTCAGCTGGGCCATGTTGAAAATATCGCCGCCCAGATCGAAGAATGATGAGTCAAGCTGGAAGGCTGTTTGGTGTGCAGTCTTGTCACCGGAATCTGAGTCGGCGGAAGTAGTGGGCGCACGGCTGGGTAGGACCTGATGCCACGAGCGGGATAGGATGTCCGAGTGGACAAGCAGCTCTGCGATTGAGCGGGACTTGAGGTGCGCACTGAGGAAGTGTTCATCTGAGGATCGAGACAGGTCGTCAACTACTTGAGGCGGAAGAGAGCGCAGCATGCTAGGTGATGGAAGGGCGGTGGATGGGTTTGCAACAAGGGACTGCGCGATCTCGCAGACCATTCCGAGGACCCTTGTTGCGAAAGCTGGAATTATAGGACCCCTCTCCGAGAATCCGAGAGTAATATTGAGGTTGCGCTCGTCGGCAGGACGGGAGACCATCGTCAAGTCAGCAAAGTTGTCGTTGACACCGGCGCCGCCCATGCGGTACTTGGTGTTGTCCAACTCCAGGGAACCTTCATAGTCGACATTCTGGTGGAAGACCGAAGTAGTGAAGTAGGTCCAAGCAGGCCAGTCGGTGCACTGTTTAATAATTTCCCGGAAGCCAAGGGACTCAAATGGCATGTTTGAAACTTGTTGGTCTTGAAGAGAGCGGAACAGCTCCAGGCCGGTCCATTTCTCATCAAACCTCACGCGCACTGGAATAACGTTGACACATGGGCCAACAGTGGTCTCAATACCAGGGACGGTGGCATTGCGACCACTGATTGTCAGGCCAAAGACGACATCAGACTGCGCAGACACCTTAGCAAGCGTGATAGCCCAAGCAGCCTGCATCAAAGTTGCAATAGTGACATTCCCTAGCGCATTGGGGGGGATCTCAATTGTTTTGCGGATCTCAGTGAAGGCACCGATATTCTGGAACATGGAAGTTCCCTTTCGTCGCACAACCTGCGTCATTTGCGATCCCTTCAGGAGGTTGGACCAGTGATTGTAATGGTCCGGGGTGATTGTACCCGGAAGTTGGCGAAGGTAGCTAGCAAAAGGAGTCACGGGAGGTAGAGGGCTGCCCTCATATCCCAGCTTGATGGCAGACATAATCTTTGACAAGCACACTCCATCGTACTGGGTGTGAGAAAGCCGGATCATGATCCGGTGCTGGTCACTCTCCTTCTTCTTGACCACGTAGAACTGCACATACTGCTCTCCCTCACGAGGGCCGTATTCACGATCCCGTTGCTGTAGGTTCATGGTAAACTCATCCAATGCACGATCAGTCTCATAAACAAAAATGCTGGGACGGATCTTGCGAAGTACGACTTGGAAGAACTGGTCGTGGAAGCACACGAAAACGGTGCGCAGGATGTCAAATGCATCAACAACCTTGAGGCAGCTCTCACGGAGGCGGCGGAGGTCCAAAGGCCCATTTCCTTCCAGGAAGAAATAGTTTAACATCCAGCGCGATTTGAAAAGAGTCGCAGTCAAAGACATTGCCTGGAAGTCTGTCACTGGGAGGACATCAGCAATGCCACCCTTGAAAACACCGATCTTGGGACAGATGCCACTCTGCACCAATGCATCATCAACAGCCATAGTAGGCCGAAGAACGGAGATACTTTCAGAGGATGGAGTAGGTGCCAGTGTCGTGGGCTTGCTGTCAGCGAAAGAATCAACCTCCTTGTGCGAAGGCTTCAGATCAACATCTAGCATCTGCTGGGTAGCATTGGCAGCACGAACAGTCGCAAGCATATCCTCAAATACCGGGTTGTTGAAAACATCTGCAACAGTAAGAACCAGGCCATCCTCGCGGGCAGCGCTAACCATCTTCATCGCGGTTATGCTGTCGCCACCCAACTTGAAGAAACTGTCCTGGTGTCTCACTACGTGGGGCGAAAGGCCCAGAGCAGTACTCCAAAGACTCCAAAGTCTTCTCTCAAGATCCGCCAACAGTCCATCCTCACTCGATCGCGATGTTGCAGAGCAAACACCGGAATCATCTGCTCCTCCCTGAATAGCCTCCAACGGGTACGGGGAATCCACTCCGTCATCCGGGTGACAATAGCCTGAGAAGCTGTCTGGCTGGATATGGGGTACCATCAACTTGCCATCTCTTAGCATCTGGCCAATGATTTCATGCACGCGGTTGTCAATCAATTTTTGCATCGCGGAACCATCCAAAATCTCGAAACCAGACTTCATCTTCTCACTGACAGTGGACTGAGCGCTGTCAGTGTTGTCCCATCCCAAAGGCTGCTCCTCCACAGCTCTGCTCTCGAATTGGAGGGATGATATGGTGGCGGATGGAGACTCAATGAAACCAGTGAAGACCTTGGCGATGGTGTTTACTAAAGAGTGAGCCTGATCATCGCTGACCACGTCATTCCAGTAGCGCAACATGATACCTTCTTTGCCGCGCGAGATATCCACGTTGACAGTGACAGCATACTATGGTCCTGTGAGTAACTTCAAGATATGTTAATGGGAGATCAGGATGGAACTTACCTCACTAGGGTCGTGAGCATGCTGCAGATCAAAGGACAGACCCTTCTCCTTGTTGCTACCAGCTACAGTGTGGTTCTGAATGGAGAGGGTTGTATTGAACAGAGATTGGCCTTTCCAGCCAAGTTCGTGCTGAATGCTGGCCAAAGAGCAACTCTGATGGGGTATGCTGCGAATATAATCCCCATTCACCCTCTTTGACACATCCGTAAGGGACTGATGGCCAACGAATTGCACTCTGCAGCAGAGCATGTTGATGAAAATACCAACCATGTCCTGAATGCCGTTGACAGGCGCATCGCGACCCGCAGAGAGGTATCCGAAGCAAACATCATCGGAGTGAGTGAATTTTTGAAGGACGATCGCCCAAGCCGAAAGAGTCAAATTGGCAAGTGTAACCGAAGTCTGCTCACAGAAGTTGAGCAGCTCAGGGTAACGCGTGAAATTCATCAAAATACCCTTGAGTTCACGCTTGGCCTGAGAGGTACCAGCTGGAGCAATATGGCAAGGGCGCACACCGCTGAGGTACTCTTTCCAGTGATCAAGCGCTGCACCCTGACTCTGGCTTCTAATATAGCGAATGTACTCACTGAATCGGGGCCCAGGACCGTCAGCAAGACGGTTATCATACGCCAGGGTCAAATCGCGGAGAAGAACATCGACACCACCGCCGTCAATGATCGCATGATTGATTTCAAGCTTAACGAGGACCCTCCCGCTGGTGGTTCTGCAGACAGTGAACTGATGGGACAGCTTGGCTGGTCGGATGGCGTTGAGGTCTCGAAGGGAGATGGCCGCCAGTTTCTCCTCGACTTGGGAATCGGGGCACTCGACACGAAGTACATTGTCAGTCATCTTGTTGAACACAAGCTGATCAAACGATCCGCCGGTGTAGTTGCTGTCAATGAAGACCGTTCGAAGCACTGGATGGCGGTCCACGAGCATCTGCCAAGACCAGGCAAGTTTCTCGGAATCTACCTTACTGGATCGCGCATCTCTGATCTCGAAGATGGTATGAAACATGTAAGCACTAGAGTCACGGAGCTGACTGAGCAACAGGCCCTCCTGCATGGGAGAGCAGGGATAAATGTCCTCCACTTCAGCCTTGCTGCCAATGCTGAGTTTTCGGAAAGTGTTGTTGAAGAGGATCTGGAGGCCATTGTAGTTGATAGGCAGCAAGGGATAGTCGCTGAGGGTCGGCTCCGGGGTGGCAGTTCTCAGAGCAGACATTTCCTTCTCAAGGGTTTGCTTGCACTGCAGAATCCAGCGGCGGATTTGAGGCTCCCGAGACATCTTGCGGTTGTAGGCGAATGAAACATTGAGACGTTCTTTTATAACAATGGCAGAGAGCTCAAACAGCGCAAAACGATTTGTTTCTGGGCCCATGTCACCAGCAACAGCAAAGTCAGAGCTGTCGAAGACACTGCCCTGGTGGCAGAAGAGAGAATCAGCCCGCTCAAGCTGTTGCAACTTGCCAAGATAGTTGAACAAAATTTCCAATGGGAGCTGGAAATTATCATATGACTGTTGTTCGGACGCAAGAAGGCTCTTGGCAAAGTAGGGCCGGCCATTGTCGGTGAGTTTGCGCCGAGTGTCTTTGACACGCTTGATGGTGTCAAGTATTGTTCCTGTAGACGTCATTAATGTCTCGCCTTAATGGTGTGTGTAAGTACAAGAAGATTTACCTTGCTCTCCGTTAACAAGTAGCGGGGCCATTGTGGTAAACCACCCGACGGTTCTCGAAAGGTCGATGCTGGCATCCCAAGGCTCGCGACCATGACCTTCATTGTAAACGGTAGGAACGTTCCGGTCCGTAAAGGTCAGACGAAAGGAGTGAACAATTGCGGCAAGCAGAATGTCGACGGTCTCCGTTCCAAAGACATCATGACAGTCGGTAAGGAGAAACTTGGTGGTCTCTTCACTCAAAGTGAAAGATTCCATTTTGAGATCACCGTAGAGATTAGGAGTATCTCGCATACCCCAGTAGCTCATATCAGGCTGTGCTGGGATGAATGGGAGAGTCAGGGCAGCATGATGAGTCTTGGCTCGCTCAAGCTGCATGGCACACCAGCTCTGGAAAGATAAGGGCTTCTCATCAGAAAGCGAGCCAGAGACGACCAACTCTTCAAGATCTTGGAGAATGATTCGCCAAGATACCATGTCGACGCACAGATGGTGACCCACAAGGAAGAGTACCTGGCCACCACTGCGCAGATTAAATAGGTCGGCCGCAAATATAGGGCCATTGAGTGGATCCAGGCAGGACTGGCTCTCGGCGATCTTTGGGACCATTGCACGAGTGTCACTGACAGAGTGCACGCGGAATCGGTAAGATGCATCAACCTCCTGTCGAACTTTAGTAAATGGGTGATATTTCCTGACAGTTGGTATACTTACACCGGCAGTTTTCTGTTGCCAGATTCCGTCTTTGCCCTTTTTGAATCGAGCCTGGAACATGGAGTGCTGGCTAGTAACAGCCTTGACTGCCCGGCGCAGAACCTCCGCTTCGACTCTGCGCGCGATGCGCACTGTGATGCTTTGGTTGAAACGAGAGACACCCTTGAAGGAGGACGAGGACTGCATGTAAAGCTTTTGAATAGGCGAAAGCCCGAAGCCCTCCCCAGACTTCTCCTCTCGCTTACCAGAAGCGGGCATCTTGGCACTGGCTGTCTGGGCCAGTTCCTTGACTGATCGGGACTGTAGAATGTCATTCAATGTGACAACTAGACCCTGTTTACGCGCTCTGGATATGACTGCCATGCCGGTAATACTGTCGCCGCCTGGATGGATTTGTAAGAATGGGTCTTCATTTGGATTGGGACTTGAATCGATTGGAAACTTACCCAAGCTGACGAAAGAGCGGTCGACGTTGACCTTTTGTAGCGAGATATTGAGAACCTGTGCAAAGATCTCGCGAATAATCTTGAATGCGCCATCTTTCTCCTGCTCCGGCTGTGGCTTTTCGGTCACGCCACGTTTCATGCGGTCGAAGTCTTGCATGATGCGCTCGTACGACACATCGTCGATTGTCTCAAGCCAGGCAGTGATCTTCTTCCGATCAAGTTTGCCTGACACAAGCATGGGGAGCTTCTTGATGAGAGCCCATGTCTGTGGGACCATGTAAACAGGGAGTTGAGCTTCAAGGTTCTTCTGAACCTCGACAAGAATAGACAGCCCCTCGTTGTCAAATTCTTCATCATCAAGCAGCTCGCATGCCTTATCGGAGATGAGCTTGTTGTCGGCAGCAATTTTGTTGGCAGACATGACGGTCACCAGGCGCTGCTTCAAAGGGCCAGTCTTGGGCAGAATGACAACTGCGTGGCGAACCGCCTTGTCTTCATAGAGTCGGTGCTCAATCTCACCAAGTTCCATGCGCTGTCCATGCAATTTGACCTGATGATCCTTCCGGCTAATGTATTCGATGGAGCCATCAGGGTTGTAATAGCAAAGATCGCCAGTTTTGTAGATTCGGCGCGGCGACGGAACAGATAATTCAAAGTCCTTGACCCAGGCAGGATCTGTGACGAATGACTCTGCATTCTTCTCGGGGTTCTTCAGGTATTCTCTGGCCAAAGCAGGGCCTTCAAGGGCGAGCTCGCCAACTGCGCCCAGCGGGGCGAGCCGGTCATGGTTCTCGGCATCAACGATCCAAGTCAAAGTGCACGGGATACCATAGCCAATGCGTGCTGGGTCTCGATTGGCAGCGACGGCCGTATCAACAACCGCGAAGACAACAGTCTCCGTAGGACCGTAGCCATTCATCAGGTGAAGAACGTTGGCCCACTTGGTAATGACTTCTTGCGACATCTTCTCACCACCGACAATGAGGATTTCCAGAGAAGGAACGGATGCGGGCTCGATGATGCTTGCAATGGATGGTGTTAGGAAAGTCCAAGTGACGTTCAGACGGCGGATGGCACCAGCAATATCGTTTAGACGCTCATCTTCACTTGGAACACAAATGCAACCACCAAGCATGAGAATTGCAAGCGTTTCCATTATAGCGGCATCAAAGGTCAGAGAGGCGAATTGGAACACTCGAGATTTAGGGCCCATAAGGGTCATTGGCCCAAATGCCATGATGCTGCTGACGACGTTCCTATGCTCAACGACGATTCCCTTGGCGCGTCCAGTAGAACCAGAAGTGAAAAGCGTGTAAGCCATATTCGAAGGAACGACCTTGGTGCGGTTCTTGGTAGCGACATTGCGGGCTCCGTAAGCCTTGAGGGTTTCCTTGCTGATCGGAATGACCGTCTTGACAGCTCTGGTGTATCGGTTGGTGTACTTTGGTGTGCAGAGAATCATGTTGGCGCTGACATCCTTCAAGATCTCTTCGTGGCGGGAAACAGGGTGATGAGGATCCAAAGGAACGTAGCCACCACCAGCAATCAAGATACTGATGAGTGTGACCATCGCCCAAGCGGATTTGTCAAGGCAGACAGGAACAAATACCTCCGGTCCCACACCGCGGGACACAAGGTAGCTGGCGAACGAGGAGGCAAGCGCCCAAAATTCTTTATAGGTGAGCTCTCCATCCCACGCGCATACTGCTGGTGCGTCCGGCGTTTCGAGGCACTTGTCCTGGATGAATTCATGGACACATCGCTCAACTGCAGCGATCGGACGTTCGTTCCAGCGAGAAATCTCCATCTTGTCCTCGGGGCTCACAATTTCAAGGTCCACAAGCTTGTTGGAGCTTGCCTTGGGAATTGACATGAGTTGTTTAATCACATGACCGAACTGCTGCGCCAGACGCTTGCTTTGCCAGCCATTGATGACGAGCTCGTCATGATGAACGGTGAATGAAATGCACGTCTTGGAGATGCCACATTCAATAACAAGCGGGTGGGTGAAGAAGTCTTCGCTGGTCTCCCGCTTCTCATCAATCCAAATCTTGCTGTCGAGCTCGCCCTCCGTTGACTGAATGACCAACAGATTTTGGAAGCCACAACCAGCAGAGGTGTCATTGTTCAAGGACCGAATGCGCTGGAGGCCGGCATGTAGATGAGGAATCATGTCCGTGGTGGACTGATGAATTGTATCCAGGTACTTGACAATGGTCATCTGATTGTCGACCATGATGCGAGTGGGGACGGTGGTGAGAACAGGACCAGCAATGTTTCCGACACCTGGGAGGTCGATATTGCGGCCAGACAAAGTCTCACCAAAGCATACATCTCCAGTGCTAGTGTGAGTAGCAACCACAATGGCCCAAGCAGCCCGAAGAAGGACAGGCAAGGTAAAGTCAACACTGTTTGCGGGACGTGAAATCTCCACAGAGTGGTACTGCGTATTTCCGGCACGGATTGCATCTGACAAGGAGTTCTTATTTTGGGGGAAAGGAGTGGCGGACATGTTTGCGAGATAGGTCTTCCAGAACGCATCGGATTCTTCCATATTCTTCTTGCTGAGATAATCGATAAAGAGGCCATAAGAAGCCGCAGGCAGCCTCTCCTGTGATGCATTATAGTTCTCCTCGAGCTTGCGGTACACGAGAGGAATACTCCAACCATCGTAGAGGGCGTGGTGGACGGACCAGACAAAGTAGCACGCGGATGTTTTTCGGGGCTGGACAATTGCATACCCAGTCAACGGAGCACCATTGTGTTTAGGCAGTTCCAGAATATCGCTTGGCAACTCATCGAAAGATTCCGCATGGACCCAGTCGATAGGAGCTTCCTTGAGAACAACCTGGGCGAAGTTCATCGCCTCTGTGTGAACAATTCGGGTACGAAGAATGTCTAAGTCGGCTACAGTCTGCTGCCAAGCAGCTTTGAAGCGGTTCAGGTCAGCACCGTCGGCAAGGCGGAACGCTGGCTGGGCAACATATGCACCATGGTGTTTGATGGACATTGTGAGGAGACCCTCCTGAACAGCACTGCATGGGTAGACATCAAGCACTGCTTCCTTAGAAACAACACAGTTGTCTGTAACCTCTTGCAAGAGGTCATCGATATTGACAGATGGTGGAAGAACGGAGAATGGCTTCGAAAAGACCTGTTCGGGCGCGGGAGTCTCTATAGACTCAGAGCAGCTCTTGGCCATGTCAAACAGAACAGGCGTTTTGAAGATTGTGGCAACATTGAGAGACATACCCTGGGCCTGGGCAGCCCCAACCAGGTTCATGGCAGAGAATGAGTCGCCACCCAGAGCAAAGAAGCTATCTTCGTTAGTCACAGACCCGGGCTCAAGGTCGAGTGTCTTTTCCCAAAGGTCACGGAGCTTCGCATCAACGCCATTGGTTGATAGTTCTTCATTCTTGTTAGGCACATTGAAGGTAACGTAGGACTTGAGTGTCTCTTTAGGCAAAGTCTGCACCATTGCACGCAGTCTGCGGCGATCGATCTTTGCAGAAGAAGTGAATGGCAGATTGCGCAGCGGGAAGAACAGACGAGGCATCATGCTTTGTGGCAACAAATCAGGTAGAGAGCTTTTTAGCTTCTGAACGGCGTCCATGTTTGAAACAGAGATTGGGAGAAGCAAGGGATCTGCACCGGGGACGGTAGGAACAAACTGATCGGTGCTACCACCCTGGAAGGAGTCCTGATCATGAACAGTAAAGAATGCCGCAAGACCCTTTGCGACGGTTCGCTCTTGAGGAACAACAACATCCACCGCAACTTGAGAGCCCTCTGGCAGGCAACGGAGGCACTGCTGCTCAATTTCCTCCAGCTCAATGCGCTGGCCGTTGAACTTTATCTGCGTGTCCTTGCGGGAGATGAACGCAAGAGTGCCATCGCTATTGTACCGGACGAGATCACCAGTCCGGTACATGCGGTCTTTGCGCTTGAAGAGGCCAAGCATACCACTGTGGTTGCTCCAAATTGGATCGTCAACGAAAGCAGCCTTTGTTTTCTCTGGATTGCCGAGGTACTCCCGAGCAATGTTGCTTCCCTCTAGGAGCATCTCACCCACAGCGCCAACAGGAAGAAGGCGGTTGTAATTGTTCGGGTCAACAATCCACACTCGACAGTTTGCAGCAGTACCGATTGAGGTGGGATCATCATTGACACGATTGCCCTCCCAGTCGACTTTGACGCCGACCGTGGCGACAACGGTGGCTTCAGACGGGCCATAGGCGTTGATAACAAATCGGTCATGCCAGCGATCGATGTGGTTGGCGGGCATTTTTTCACCACCAGTGATGATGGTCTTCAGTGTCGGCACGGTCTTCGGCTCCAAAGTATTAACAATCGCCGGAGGCGAAGCCATGTAGTTGGCTTCCATGCGGCGGATAGCACCGCCCAGATTGTTCATACGCTCTTCTTCACTCGGCACACAGACACAGCCACCGGTCATCAATGTCATCATGATCTCGAGAACACTGACATCAAAGGTGTAATTAGAGAATTGGAGGGCACGAGTACCCGAATTCATGTGAAGAGCGTCCATCATAGCGATGGCGGTCGTGCTCAGCGCAACATGCTCGACCACCGTGGCCTTGGGCTTGCCAGTGGTCCCAGATGTAAAAATGGCGTATGCAGCATTTTGAGGGGTCGGTCGAACACCAGGCAACGCGAGAGGGGATTCAGGAAGCTGGGATATCGAGTTTTGCGAGACTGGGAAGGCCTTTTTGCACAGCTTGGATAGTTTGGACTGCAGAGAGGACGAGCAGAGAACGAGATCAGCACCAATCTCATTAATGAGCATCTGTAGACGGGAGTCAGGGTGGGAAGGATCAATTGACACAAATGCACCCCCGGCCTTGAGAACCGCCAACTGAGCAACAACAGCCCAGGCGGACTTCTCGAAGCAGAGAACAACAAAAGCTTCAGGCTTGACTCCGGAATGGGTGAGATGGCGACCAAGGCGGCTGGCAACGATTTCCAACTGGCCATAAGTGAAGTTCTTTTCCCATGAGCAGATAGCTTCAGCACGGGGATGGAGGAGAGCTTGCTGTTGGATGAGCTCGTCGGCGCACGCATCCATTCTGGGCGGAAGTTTGGCATTCCACTCGCGGATTTGGCGGCAAGATCGTTGGGGGAAAAGATCCAGATCGCCAACTGTGCGATAACGTGGGTTGGAAGACATGATGTCGTTGAGGATGTGATCGAACACATCAATGACGTGAGTGATCTGGGTGGAGGTGAGGGTATCGGCGGAGTAGGTGAAGTGAATTTCAGCAACAGCGCTGGATACAACAGCCGCAACAGCAACCTTGTAGTCCTTAATTGCGTTCGAGTCACCAAAATTACCCTGAGGAAGGGACGAGGCAGTCTGGTAGGTAAGGAGGGTGTTGAAGAGATTCGCGTCGTCGAGACCAAGGTGGTGCTGGATAACAGCAAGGTCGGCGAAGTTCTCGCAACATTTATCGAATTGTGCCTTGGACTGCTGTAGCGTCTCTTCTAATTTCCGGTCGTTATTCAAAAGAATGCGGCAAACAGAGACGCATTGAGCATTGGACTCTGTAGAGAAACCAAAGCAGACATCGTCGCCGCCGGTATAGCATCGCAGGACAATGCCCCAAGCAGTCTGGAACAAAGTTTCCATCGAAACACCAGACATTTTGCTGAAAGTATGCAACTTCTGCGTTTGCTTGTTGAGAGTGCGTGTCGAATATTCCTTCTCATTGGCCTGGAGTGCGATTGGCGGGAAGTTGCACGGCTCTACATCAGTAAGATATTCCTTCCAGAAGGCGAGATGGGTATTGGAAATATATGATCCATAGGAGGAGGTGCGGTTTGCCGATCCAGCTCCTGACCAATGTTTGAAATCGAAAGAGCGCAAAACACTCGTGGGAAGAGCTTCGAGCTCTGTCTTTAGAGCCTGGTAGTTTAGCTTGCCAAAGGGAGTTAAAGGGAGTGCGGAGATCGGAATGTATGTACTCGGAACCTTGCTGGTGGAGACCTTCGTAGTCAGATGCGTGTGCAGCGACGCGATCGTTGACTTCAACTCAGGCGCAAAAGTCAGGATGACCTTTTCTTCAAAGGCGGCTGTTGCGGTACCTGGTGAACCAATGAACGCAACCATGCCATCCGAATCGGCTCCTGGTAGGGTCAAAATATCAATCACTGAGATTTTATTCCGCCCAAGAAATGCTTGGACAGTTTGTTGAAGGTTCGTTCGATCGAAGCACACACCATGGACGCTCTTTCGTCCAATGAATACCAAAGATCCATCCGTGTTGTAGCGGACAAGGTCACCAGTCTTGAAGAATCTCCGGTTAGCTGAACCAGGGAAGGCATAAATCCAGGCAGGGTTCTCGAAATAGTCCGACTCGTCGAGATCCTTGCCATCCAAGTAGCCACGGGCGAGCACCGGCCCTTCGATGGCCAACTCACCAATTGCGCCCACGGGAACGAGAGCGTTATGGTTAGTGGCATCAATAATCCAAGAGATGGCGGAAACTCCTGTTCCAATAGTACCCTCAGTCATCCCGGCAACAACCTTGCAGTGCATGGATGCAGAAGACCCCTCCGCGGTGCCATACAAAAGGTGGATTTGGAGGTCCTCGGTCTCCCAGTTCTCGAGAAGCTTCGCTGAAGCTGATTCGCCAGTGAATGCAACTATTTTCAAGCTGGAGACGTCCTTGGGAGCCATGAAGGAAGCAATAGTTGGAGTAATGCAGGCAACATTGGCATGGAGGACACTGATGGAAGCGGCGAGGTTGGCTGGCTTGATATCAGCGGGAATGCAAACGCATCCCCCACGACTCAAAGTCCCGAAAGTCTCCAGCAATAACACGTCGGAAGTATGAGCTGCAAACTGCAAGGTCCTGGAGGAGTTGGCAAGTCCAAGGCAAGAAGCAAAGGCGTCGGCTCGACTCATAATGGCACCATGGTCGAGCACAGCACCGCGAGCTCGGCGTGAAGTACCAGACGTGAACACAACGTAGGCCGGATCAGACGGGGTGGCGGTCAATGGCAGGGGCTCATCATTAAGGTACTCCAGGAGGGACTCGCTGACAGGAATGACATATGAGATGGTCTCCTCGAGGATTTGAGCCTTCTCCGGGGAGGCGAGAGCGACCTGGACAGCATTTTCTAGAACCCACTTGTCAATGAGAGCCATCGTCTTGGCACTATCGACAGGAATACAGCCGCCGCCAGCTTTCATGATGGCCAACATGGCAACGGTGTTCCAAACGGATTTTTCAAAACAGATCGGGATCAGACTTCCTGGGCCGACCCCGAAAGTAACCAAGTAACTGGCAAGTCGTGAGGAGTACTGATCCAGCTTGAAGTAAGTCAGATTGCCGTCCCAAGCAGCGATTGCCAAATAGTCTGGCTTCTCCTTAGCCATCTTCTGAACGACCTCGTGCACGCATCGGTCAAGGCCTTTGGTGGTCTTCCGGTTCCAGGATTGAATGTCGACCTTGTTAGAGTCACTGACACAGTCAAGCTGACCGATCTCGCTGTCTGGGTGCGTCAGAATGCTCTCCAGGCATCGAACATAGGTGTTCGCGACGTTCGCCGCCTGGTCATCGGAAAGGTTGGTGGTCCAGTAGTTCAAGTCAATACGAGCTTGCGTATCCATGGCTTCAATGTTGATGAAAACCGGGAACTCAGCCGGGTCATGAATGGAGCCAACCTCCACACACTCAATGTCACTGGTGACAGCATCTTTAGCGCCAGGCAAGCGACGGTAAGAAACACCGGAATTGAACAAATTGGCATCGGACAGCTTGAGCGCATGCTGGATATCAATCAAGGAGGTGTGTCGGTACGGCAGACTTTCCATGTAGTCATTCTGAATTTGCTCAAGGACATCGGTAAGAAGCGAATCACTGGAGAACTTCATGCGGCAAACCATGAGGTTGATGACGGGGCCAACCACCCACTGTACTCCGTCTGCGGGAACATCTCGTAAAGAGGCCATGTAGCTGAAGCTGACGTCGTTGGATCCACAGAACATGCGCAGAGTGAGGCCCCAGGCCGCATTGAACACATTGGATAGTGTAATACCCTTACTCTCACAGACACTCTGGAGCTGAGGCAAGGAATTAAAGCTGACAGGGACCGAGCGGAGGCTCTTTTGCACTGATTTCTGATCATCGGTGAGAATGGGGAAGAGACATGGCCTGGCGTCGGACAGGTATGACCGCCAGTATTTAATGCTGGCCTCCTGTGGGGCATCAAGCAGATACTGAATGTAATCCTTGAACAATGGCCGGCGGCTCTCTCCAATTCTGCCAGCGTACGCCAACTGCAGATCACGCATGATGATGGAAATTGAGTTCCCATCCATAGCAGCATGGCTCAATTCGATTCGGCAAAATAACTCCCTGCTGGGAGTCTCACAGATGCTGAAGCGGTATGCGGGGGCAATCTCACTATAGTCTTTGGGGCCCTGGGCATCAAATGTAGCCAAAACATCGTTGTCACTGGTGGACTGCAGGATGACGGGCGTAACATCGTACTCTTTCAGCACAACTTGGCTGAACGGATCCCGAGGTGTGAGATTCTCCACGAAGATAGTCCGGAACATGGCATGGTGGGAAATTACTTGCTTCCAAGCCTCGATCAAGCGCTCCAGGTTTGGTTTGGTCAATCCAGTCCCGCGAACTTTGAATGTATCATGCACAGCATAGTACGAGCTGTCCCGCGCCCGGCCAAGCAGAATGCCCTGCTGCATGCGAGAGCAAGGATAAATGTCCTCCACCATCTCCGATGACCTGACACCGATTGCGGGCAGCTTCTGCGTGAGCAATTTGTCAAGTGTCTCGTAATTCAAAGAGAGCATCGGGAAAGAGCTCAAGGTCAAACGGGGCGACATCGCACTCAGCTGCTCAGACAAGGAGACAAGTTGCTGTTGGCAGTTCGACACCCAATCATGAATCCGGTTCTGGTGCTGCATAAACTTGTTGAAAGAGAATGTGAACCGAATCTTGCCAGCAACTACCATTGCCGAAATCTCAAACAAGCCAAACCGAGGAGTCTGTTTCCCGAAATCGGCAGCATCACTACCCTGACCAGCTTCGCCAGCCATTTGGTCCACAAGCTGGAACAGGCCGTCCTTTCTTTGGAGGTCACGGTGTTGACCCACATAGTTGAACGACATCTCGAACGGATGTGGGTGACGACCACTCTCCTTTCCCTCGAGTTGAAGCACACGGCTAGCGAAGGCAGCCCGGCCATTGTCGGAGACTCGGCGGCGCAAGTCCTTAATCTGAATCAAGGTGTCGATCGCACTGTCTGCCTTGTAGTCTGGAACGAAGATGGGGTGCAGAATAGTAAACCAGCCGACTGTGTGCGAGATATCAATCGAGGGATCCCACACCTCTCTGCCGTGTCCTTCATTATAGACCGTTGGCAGTGGTCTATCGGTAAAGGTCTTGCCAAATGAATGCAGCATGGAGGCAAGGAAGATATCGATTGGCTCTGTGTTCAGTGCTTTATGGCATTCCATCATGAGGGCATTAGAGTGAACTACGTCGATTTCGAAGGATGCACAGTCAACATCACCGTAAGTCGTTTGGCTATTCTTTAGCCCCCAGTAACCGAAGTCAATGACCGGAAGTTGACTGGTTGGGGCCTTGCCCTCTTTGATCAGGTCTTTGCAGTACTCCTCTTGCAACTTGCACCAGGTCTGGAAAGGAAGCGATCCATTCTCGCTCATACTCTTGCCAGGGTTCACGAGCAAATCCTCCAGATCTTCCAGAATAATCCTCCAAGAGACAATATCAACCACGAGGTGGTGAGCAGTCATGGAAAGCACATGACATTTCTCCTCGCCCTTGACACGGAAGTAGTCAGCAGCCAGCAGAGGGCCCGTAAAAGCGTTGATGCAGGACTGGCTGCTGCCAATAAACGCCTTGGTCTCCTCCATGCTATTAACGCTGTTGGTACGCAGTCTGAAGGAGCCCTTCACATCCTGTGTGATTCGCTGCTTCAATGCAGTACCGAATCCGGTATTATCAAACCTAGCGCGAAGCATAGAGTGGCGAGAAACAAGAGTCTCAATCGCTTTCGAGAGAGTCCGTTGATCAATAGGCTTGCTGAGACGAGTGAGAATGCCCTGATTGAAATGACCCTGCCCTTCCTTGCGAACACCGAAGTGAAGGTGCTGGATGGGAGAAAGTTCAAACGGCTGGTCAACAGCCTCCTGGTAAGTGGTAGCATTGCCAATGGCTCGGGCCCGCGAAGCCAAATCTCGGATCGACTTGCTGCGCAAGACGTCCTGAACAGACAATCCAATGCCACGCTTCTTGAACATGCCAATGCAAGTCATAGCCGCAATTGAGTCACCACCCATTGCGAGGAAGCTCTCATCTAACCTGACGAGGTTCTGAGGAATGTTGAGAACACGGCTGTAAACAGCAACCAGAGCCTCCTCCTTTTCATTAGTCGCCTCAGAGATCCCTCCAGTCGGTATGAATTCAGGGCTCGCTTTTGCAAGATCAGGATCCGTTTCCATGCTCGTAACCCAGCTCGCGATACCCTTTCGGTCAAGTTTCCCTGACGGGAGAAGTGGCATAGATTCTACGCACAACCAGACTGAAGGAACCATGTACGTCGGTAGGCGATCTCCCAGTCGTTCACGAATACCTCGCACAATTTTCGCTTTCTGAGTCGAGGGAATTAACCGCAAGGGCTCCAAGTCTGCATCTGATTGTTCCGCGAGCAGGCCTGCGGAGGAGATGACGGCTGCGAGTCGGCCCTGGGAGAATCCCGCCTTTGGGAAAAATACGGAACAATGCGTAACTTTATCGTCCTTGTTCAATTGGTTCTCGATTTCGCCCAGTTCGATTCGCTGGCCGTGAACCTTGACTTGAGTGTCTTTGCGACCAATGTAGTTCATAGCGCCCGTGTCGGAGTTGTACCTCACCAAATCCCCTGTTTTATAAAATCTGCGATTCGATCCTCCTCTTTCATCGAATTTCACCCAGGCAGGGTCGTAGATAAAAGACTCGTTCGTCTTTTCTGGATTATTGACGTAGCAACGGGCAAGTGTCGGCCCCTCGAGAAGTAGTTCGCCCGGGCAGCCGACGGGGACGAGCTGGTCGTGGTTTGCAGGATCAACAAGCCATGAGCGGACACCAACTGGCAGGCCGATATCTTTGCAATCGGTGGTAGGTGTGACATTCGAGTTCAGCACAGATGCGACACTGGCCTCGGTTGGGCCGTACCCATTGACCAGTTTTATTTTGGACCATGTGGCCAGCTGCGACTGAGACATTGCCTCGCCGGCCAGAACGAGACTCTGCAACCCCGGCACGCTGTCCATTTCAATAAAGCCGATGAATGACGGGGTGAAGCATGCTTGGTTGACCCGGTGCTCGTTGATGAATCCGACAATGTCATTTAACCGCGTCTCCTCGCTGGGAATGCACACACATGCACCGTGGATCAACGGCGTCAGCGTCTCGGCCAAACTGGCGTCGAAGGTGTGAGCCGCAAAATGCAGCGCTCGTGTATCACGGAAGACTCGCAGGCCGGGGCCATGCACCATTGCGCTCGACAAGAACGCGCGGTGCTCCAACAGGGTGCCCTGCAACCCACAGGTCAGCTCTCCAATTTCGTACAGTCAACACTACACAAATCCCGCTTCACTTTGCCCACGTCCCTCGTCGGACCCGGATTGAAAACATACCTTGGGCTCTCCCGTGGACCCGGAGGTGAACAAAACATAGGCGGCATTCTGGCTCGTAACACCCGATGCGAGGTCGACACCCTCCGCAGGGCCTGGCAAGCGATCCAGGGTATCGGCGCAGAGGGGGATTAACGTCTTCGCAATGGGCCGGAGAGCCTCGACGCGGGACGGGGAGCACAACACGACTTCAGCCTTGACCGACTCGATTAAACGTTGCAGGCGCGAGGTCGGGTGGGTCGGGTCTAATGGGACGAAGGCTCCGCCGGCTTTCATCACGCCAAGCATCGCAACTATGTTCCATTTCTTGTCGTTGTCAGCGCGTGGTCAGTCACACCATATAAGACACACGGCCCGCACCAGTACATCATACAGGTTTTCAGGACCGCATGGCACACTCAACACCCCAGCAACAGGAACGGGAAACACCACTCACCGATTTATCAAAGCAGAGTGCAACACGCCCTTCCGGGCCGACGCCCTGCATGCGCAGTTGACAGGCGAGTTTCGACGCCACGACATCGAGCTCCCCGTATGTCAAGCTTCCATCCCACGCGCTCACAGCTTCTCTGTCAGGACCGCTGAGAGCCTGATCGCGGATTGCATCGTGGATGCACCAATCGTAGATCTTCGGAGTATGCGAGTTCCACTTGCGGATGCGCTGCCAGTCATTGTCCGAGAACAAATTAAGCTGGCTAATAGCGGTGTTCTCGGACGAAAGTACTTGGCCAAGCATCTGCTCAAAGATGTGGGCAACGCTCTTCATTTGCTCACCCGACATGTCCCCATTCCGCCAGTCGAGGAAGATGGTGATGTCCCGGCGCAACACCTTCACATGGAGGCGAACTAGGCACTACAGCCAGCAGTATTAGCACAAAGCCCAGCGTATGCGAAATCGGCCTGGGCCTCTATCTACCAATCATATGCAGGGAGCCGACCACGAATAAGCCTTGAAACAAAAACGAAACGCACCTGGTCTGGGAGTGCGATTGCCAGCATTGGTTGTTGAGAGAGCGGAGAGGAGGTTTTATCGATCGCCTTGCGGTATGTACGCAGCATCAGGATGGTGTTGAAAGGCAAGTAGCCTCCATCAGAAGCGCCCTCATCGCTTCTCATGCCCCCGAGCTGCGAGTCGACTCCATCACGGTTCCGCACTTTATCTACAATTGTCTGGATGGAGTCGTTCTCGTCAATGGCCAGCCGGACGGCTGACAGTTTGCTGATACTCGCCCGCTGTACAGGGTGGCGAGAAGAAATAGAGTCGCCGTCAATGTGTTGGTAGCCGAAGCAGATATCTTCGGAGCGGACGTAGTAGTGCAGGACCAAGCCCCAGGTGGCCCACAATACGGAGTCTAGTCGCCCTTCGTGGAATGCGGTTAACAACTGCGCATGTTGCAAAGGGGTCGGTCTCGTCTTCATCGAAACCAGGCGTTTAGGCCCCTCGACCGCCGTAGTGAAGCGAGGGAGGTAGCAGTGGGAGGAATTAGCCATTGTGATGGTTGGTCGTCGTAGGAAAGATGCTGAATGCTAAGGATGCTGGCGGCGAAAGGAACAAGTTTAGAGAACAGCGTCGGTTTGGACTTTTGGCTGAGCAGTAGCGATGAATATGGTGTGCGTCGTGGTCGTAATGCGATCAAGAACGAAAGACACAAAGCGAGGACCGAAATTATGTGGAGAGCCTTCAATTAGGGTGGATTAGGGGAATAAATTAACAAAATGCAAGAAGGAGGAAGGCTATCTCGCACTGAGTCACTTGCGAAGTCGGATGGTGTCAGATATTTTAAAAGTGCAGGCGGTTTTATTTTTCCCAGCCTGGCAACCAAAATAGTTACGCCATCGGTCATTGGGACTAGATGCATGGCCATGCTCCGGCTCGTTCACGAACCTCTGCAGTACGGGACGTACAGATGGACCAACATCCCGTAGGTACGGCGCATATCGGGCACTGCGTTACTCGGGAGTGAGTACAAGATTACTGTAATACGGACACATCTACGACGGGTGCCAATAGCATGAGCGCGCTGGGGCAACTGGCAATTTCAGGATCCCCCATGTATCTTCCTTGCATGCGTTCGGATCTAGATGAAGGACTGGAGACGCCACGGAGCGGCCGCGGGTGGATCGCGTTCTCCCCCTGTGGAACGAACCAGCTCAGACAGTAGCGACCCTCTCGGCCTTCCCCCTTCTTTTTTTTCTGCTCACCGCGTTGATTATGGTGTTTTGATCATTTCTGGTGATTACACGGCGGATGACAGACCGTACGCTGAATAGAATCATCTCTACCAGAATGGAATATAAGAAGAAAAAAGCAATTATGCAGTAACAGTTCCTTCTGCTCCATTTAGCGAGCCGTCTGCGTCGCTCGTTCTTCGCGATGACCACACGGCCACCGCGAGAATTTTTTCCTCTCCTGTCTTTTGACTAATTCATTATGCCCCGCCTGCAATTTCCCGATCAAGATCCCTGGGATGCGGTCTCACACGTGGTTCAGTAAGGCGGGACGCATGCCGTCAAACCCGCGCTCTTTCATTCGGGCCCACGATGGTAGATGGTCATCATGAAGGCAGCGGGGCTTTGGGTGTGTTTCGGTATTTCCAATTTCTCTCTGGAGTATCTAGAGTATAGGCAAGTGTCTGATTGTTCATTCATTCTCGTTCGAAGCTTGCCGGTCAGGTGGTGATTGAAGGTTCCTGATGACAATCACAGTTCGGCGGATGCATAGGGTTTGGCCCGGAGAACATTCCATACCAATGGAATGGTCAGCGGGATAACTCCATGCTCTCGGCCGGATCCAATTGACTCTACATTGCAGCCATTGGTGCACCGGGGTCCTCACGAGATCTGTGAGGCAATCCCCTCGATACTTGGCAGTTACACCGACTGGGTGAAGGCGCCCAAGATGCAATGCTAAACACATGGCAACACTCCCACCGGTACAGGGCTCACGCGCACCTTCTCCTGAGCTGCAGCGTCCTGTCCGAGGCGCTGCGGCTCCTGCTGCAGTCTGTGCGGTACACAAAGCATAAGGCTCATCAGAATCAGCAAGGTTCGAGTGTGGATGGGAGGATCAGCCAGAGGATTTGCCGCGCAGTTCAGGGGCCACACCGGGCCACGGGGTGAAGAGGAGATGATGATGATCACGATCGGGGCGGGTCCCCATACGATGACTCCATTTTGTCTCGCACCCCTTTGTGTCTGAGAAATTGCAGTGCAGACTGCCAACGGATGAATAGTCGGTGGGGGAAGTTGCAGCCGCCCAGATAAGATGATTTGGTCTGTGAGTCCCGTCATCATTTGGATTTCATAATTTGGATCTTGTTTTTCGCTTTTTTTTTTTAGTTGTACGGCCTTTTCTCGGGATGGTCCTTCCCTTCTGTTCAGATGGATAAGCCCAAAACCGGCTGCGATGCTCAGAGCCAACAAGGGCGAAAGTGGGAGCAGCACTAGTAGCCGCACGTCGGAACATTACTCGACAAGGTAACCAGTTAGCGAGAGGCGACGAGCGGAGGAACGGCACGCCCGGCAATTCATGGCATTGGTGATTATGCCAAGGAATAGTGAAGTGGAGCGCACACCAAGAATGTTACCAAGTATAGAGAGTACGAGAAACACGATCGCGGGAGGCCGTCAGGTCTCAATCTTACAAAGCAGCATTTAATGAACTCGAGGACTCGAGCGGCAGGGGCCAGCACGGCTGGCCGGATGGGGCGGTTTCGTAGCGCTAGCAACCGGCGTAAACGAAGGAGGACCTCCATTGTCTCGGCTGCTAGCGCCAAGTTTTACCTCGGGGCTTTCTGCAAGGGCTGTACGGAGTACTAAAACAATGGAAAAGGTGAAAAAGAAAACACACAGGGGAGATCGCGGGTCGATCCGACGGGGCCCTTCCGGCACGGATCGACCTATCAGGCGGGAGCCCACGACGCAGTGGAGCTGGTGGGGGGGTGGATTGTACCGAGGACTTGTCTCCTGTCCGATGATTGTTGGGTCCTCCTAGAACTACACATCAGATTATCGATCAGCCCCTATGGATGGGCGGATGACACATACGGTGTAGCCGAGTCGACTACACCGAATGAGGATCACGCTATAAGAATGTGCAGGCCAAGTAAGTCAAAACGTGATGGCTGCAGCTCCCACATTTCCCCTCCTAGCAGGGAATCCCCGCTAGGAGTTCCTCTTTCCCCGCCGGTCGTCCCTCGCTCACCAGATACCCGGATTGCATCTTCACGTAAGATTCCGGGAACGCGGTCAAAGCATGGTTCGGTAGGAAAAATGTTGTACGACGCTAATTTCTCCGTCCATGTGGCTTTGATTGCTTTTGGCTGGTTTGCAAATCTGGCGCTGTTTCTGGTCATTGTTCTTGCTTTGTTTGTTCCCCATGATCGTCCGGAGCAAACAATGGAGCGCCACTGCGTTGCGGCGTTAACCTCGGCGCTCGATCGCGCCTGATTGGGGCGTCCGACCGGTCTTCGACCCCAGCCAGCCGACTAGACCGGCTCGCAACTAGCGAGTCTAGTGCCCGCTCAACGGGCCCCATCAATGCAATTCGCCCTAGCGACAAGTAGCCCCACAATTTGCACAAGGCCAGGAAGGCTAAAGACTATGGAGATCGGCCAAGCCGCCAGCCTGACAGGTCATCTCCGGTCTATCAATCGCTCGGTTCGTGTCCCGATCTAAGTATGGCGTTCATTAGATGGCCATGGATTCGGATTCAGGAGCCAAGATTATGTAATTCCATCTCCGGGCGGGTGGCCTAGGGCTGGTTTGGGGGGAGCCGTGAGCCGTGGGTATGGATTTGGAATGGCCGTCGGGGTCTGCTGAGTCTCGTCTCTTGGAACCTCTGGGGTAAAACAGATGTATGATATGGTACCCACTTCACCCTTGCCCCCCATCAACCATGCTGCCCTGCTGTCCGTCGAACGGAACCGGCTGATCCTAGTTAGCCTGCATACGCCTCGCTTGGCCAGGGTGCTTTTCTCTGGGCATTTGCTGTAGGTACCGGTGCTGGACATGCACAACGGGCTGGCGTGCCACGGGGAACCACAACGTCAGCAGGGAATCTGCGGTCTCGCCGTGGCAGCCAAGGTAGTTGCAATTGAAATGAATGAGGTGGAACTCCCATCCGACGGGCTTCTCGGGGGCGGTTGGGCAAGTAGGAATTGCTCCGAACCCGAGCAGCAAACCATCATGATTGGGCCAGATGGATCGGCGTCCATACCAGAATAGTATGGTGACGTGCTCGAGAAACCTGCCACTCGCGAGTTGCAAGTCGCAAACAAAGCAAATCCCGGGCATGGTAGGGGGAGTTGCCCAGTGAAAAAACAGACGGGGAATAGCCGAACAAGCGAGGAAGATGGGAGTATCGTGGGATCGTGCACAAATGCATAGCATAAAAAACAGAATCAAGTAAAGAGAAGCGAGAATGCGAGCACCCACCATACGAACTGTATCCAAGAATTGATTCACCTCGGTCGTCGATAAGTTACGATGAGTACTACCTCCGGACTTCCCTCCAACTGGGACCCCCACGCATCCAAGACGTGTCTGCGAGTTACCCGAGGGCTGATGCTGTCGTTGCGCAGTCTGAGATATATCTCAGATGAGCCCTTGACTCTTCCAGTCTCATCCTCACCGAGTCACCCGTTGTCATACAGCCAGATGGCCAGACCCATGGCCTTGGGCATCGTTCTGTCTGACTTCAGCTTCATTCCGGTCAAGGAAGGTTCACCCGACAGCTGCAGTTTCAAAAAGGTCACGTCAGCGATGGTCGCCCATGAGTCAATTTCCCAGGGATCCGTCATCATACAGATGGGCCACGCCCTCGCATGTAGTTTTGATCAAGCTGTCGCGAAAGGGCTGCGGGGGTTTACGCCCAGAAAGGGGAGAGGGGGAGAGCAGGAAAGGGGAATTGTCACTGTCTCTGCTGACGCACCATTGGCCCGCTTCCTTTCCAATTGTTCCTACACATTGACCCGGCCCTCTCCCCTCGTGTTGATCGGACGGTCGATCGGCTTGAGGGCGTCGCGACGCCTGTTTGACTCCAGGGGGAGAAGCTCTATTGAGTGGGCTGCATCCCCCACATCCCCAAGGGGGAAATCCAAAATAAGCTGCCCGAAAATCATACGGTAGAAATGAAAAACTAAAAAAGTGGAACGTTAAATTACACCACTCTATGCACTTGAGGCATTCAGCATCAGAATATCACACTAAGATAGTGGGCCCATGATTTTTTCTCCCAAAACAACCAATGGAAATACAGGACCAAGTCACATAAACATTGTCAGAAAATAAAAACCAGGCCATCGGTGGCACGGATGACCACGAACCGACTAGACCCTGATGCGGCCATAGGGCGTGGCCAGTAATAACATTGTAAGAGTTGTAAAAGGCATCTGGAAAGCCCACTCGCTTGCAGGGACCCAGACAAGGGCAGGAGAGAAGCCAGGCCCATAGGAGCTCAGGAGCGAAGGTACATCTCCTGGATGCAGTCGCAAGCTCCTCCTGCACAGAGGGATGCATACTCTCCAGGCACGGCACCCTATGTACCTACGGTGCCACCATTTTGGATGCATCCGATCTAGACCCCAAGACCCCCAAGTTCACCCCATGATCTCTCCTGAACATATCTTTCTGCTCCAACAACCCGACACTCGTGCCGCCTTTTCCGACTGATCCCTCTCCGACTTCCATCTTCTTGAGCGCGTGGATGGTGCGTGGAGAGAATAGTCATGGCCTCAACAAGCTCTTCAGGGCCTTTGTGCCACGAACTGGATAACATGCTGCGCGTGGATGCGGGTTCTTGTCGCGGGGGATTCGACTTTTCGCTCTTGTTTGAGGAGACCATCCTCACTCTCCTTCCCATTGCATTGATTTCACTGTTGGTTCCGTTACGGATATGGCAGCTTTCGCTAAAACGACGCAAAGTCGTGGGATCATGGTTGCTTCCGATTAAACTGGTAGGTGAAGTTCTTTTCTTTGAGTCTGGTGAACACGATCGACACGGCTGCAAGTCGTACAACGTCTTCAAGTTGCGAGTACTATTATATGTCTAACGAGTTGGTGTCCGCAGGCCGCGTGGTCATTCTTCATCGCGCTTGGAATCGCCCAAACCGCTCTATGGGCTTTGCCCGCCGCGGATAGCACGATGGCTTCACTTGCCACTAATGCCGTGCTCGCTGCTGGGGCCCTGTTGCTCTGTGCTCTTTCGTATGCGGAGCACACGCGATCTGTCCGACCTTCGTTCATTTTAAACACATACCTGCTCTGCAGCCTGCTTTTCGACATCGTGCGGGCCAGAACTCTATGGCTTCGGGCGATTGATGGATTTAATGATGTGATTTCAATTGTGACTACGGTCGCGGTGGGGGTCAAGTTGCTTCTTGTGATCTTGGAAGCGGTTGAGAAGCGCCCCATTCTGAAGACGGAATTCGCGGGTTACCCACCAGAAGCTACCGCTGGCTTTTATAACCGCTCGCTGTTTTGGTGGTTGAACCCCCTGTTCAAGAATGGCTTCCGCAATGTGCTGTCTGTAGAAGACCTATTTGTTCTGGATAAGGAACTGAGCTCTGAGAGACTCCTCGCTATGTTTGAAGAGAGATGGAGCAGAGGTAAATTGGCACCTGATGGTTGGTTCTACATGGGCCTGGCTAATAGCTCTTCTGCAGTGAAATCGAAATCTCCAAATACGTTGCAATTCGAGTCGTTCAAGGCTGCCAAGTCGCCACTGCTAGCAGCCGTTCCGGCTCGCGCATGTGTAGTGGCTTTCAACTTTTGTCAGCCATTGCTTCTGACTCGGTCCCTGTCCTTTTTCAAGGAGCCCGTGAACAGCGCCACCAACAATGTCGGCTATGGTTTAATTGGTGCCTATATCTTGGTCTATACCGGTTTAGCCGTGAGTATATCGAGCTGAGATGTCACTAAACATATTCACTAACTGTCTCAAAGGTGGCCATGGGTCAATACCAGCACATGACGTACCGTGGCATCACCATGGTCCGCGGCATCCTCGTCACGATGCTCTACAAGAAAGCCAGCAGTCTCACTCTTAACGAAGCCGACCCGGCCAACTCACTCACTCTGATGAGTGCCGATGTGGAACGAATTACTCAGGGTTGGCAGACCATGCACGAGATCTGGGCCAACTCTGCGGAGATCGGTCTGGCCATCTATCTGCTAGACCGGCAGCTGGGAATCTCATGTGTCGTTCCGGTTTGCGTCGCCCTTGTCGCTCTAGTTGGCTCGCTCATCGGAATGTCCTTTGTAGTATCTCGACAAGCCAAGTGGCTTGAAGCCATTGAGCGACGGATCTCATCTACTTCGGGCATGCTGGGTGCCATCAAAGGAGTCAAGATGCTCGGCCTGCAGAATTCATTCATGACGATTGTGCATGGATTGCGCATTGATGAACTAAACATCTCCAAGAAGTTCCGTACCCTTTTGGTGTATAACATGGGCTTTGCGTGGTTGACTCGCATCTTCGCCCCCATCTTCACGTTCGGTGTGTACGTCGCCATCTCCGATTCGACATTGAATGTGTCTCGGGTTTTCACCTCATTGTCGCTCTTTTCTCTCCTCTCGGATCCCCTGCTCACCCTCGTTATGGCATTGATGTCTTTCGCTGGATCTGTGGGGTCTTTCGCTCGTATCCAGGAATTCCTCGACAAGCCAGATCACTCCGACCCGCGACGCAATGCCCCTAGAATTCCTTCTCTTGAGGATCTTGGCGAGGCCAAGCTTCTCTCCAAATCTGGTGATCTGGACATGTCTTCGAGTCACTCCGAGTCTGTCGAGTCCTTCAAGCGCGGTTCTGCTTTCACCTCGGCCAACGCTGCTATGATTCAAAACGGTACCTTTGGATGGGATGCGGAGAAAGAGCCCGTCTTGAAGGATATCACCGTCACTGTTCCTCGTGGCAGCTTTACTATGCTCATTGGTCCCTCAGGCTGCGGCAAATCTACTCTTCTGAAGGCGCTTCTTGGAGAGATCCCCTGCCGGAGTGGAATGGTTGAGTTGACCTCCACAAGCGTGGCATTCTGTGACCAAACACCTTGGCACATGAACGGTACCATCAAGGACAGTATCGTCGCCATGTCAGATTACGATCCCAAGTGGTATGCGTCCGTTCTCCAGGCTTGTGCTCTGGAAGAGGATCTTGGGCAGTTCCCCCGTGGTGACCGAAGTATCATTGGAAGCAAAGGTGTTGCTCTCAGTGGAGGTCAGAGCCAACGCATTGCTCTTGCTCGCGCTGTCTATGCCCGGAGAAAGACCATTATCCTCGATGACGCGCTTAGCGGCCTTGATGCCACCACTGAGAGCCACATTTTCCACAGTCTTTTCGGAAACCTTGGCCTCCTGAGAGAAATTGGTACCTCTATCATCGTCGCTTCGTCCTCTGTGAAGCGCGTCCCTTACTCCGACCACATTGTGGTTTTGGATAAAACAGGTCGGATCATTGAGCAAGGCAGCTTCGGCGCACTGATCAAGACTGGCGGATACGTGTCTAGCTTTGGTCTAGGTGCCCCTGACTGGGACTACAAGCCTAAGAGATTTTCCGCGTCCCCAAGCTACAGCACTATCGATTCTGTTGATGAGGCGAAAGAAGCGATCATTCCTGAACCCGAGAACCGTGACACCGGTGGCGACCTCTCGATCTACACCTACTACATGAACGCAATCGGGTGGCTTCCTGCCCTTGTCTTCATGGTTTCCATGGCGGTCTTTGTCTTTTGTATCTCGTTCCCCAGCATATGGTTGAAGTGGTGGGCTACGTCTGACACGGCTGAGCCCAGGCAGCATATTGGTTACTATCTTGGAATCTATGTTATGCTTGGCGGCGTCGCCATGCTCTCCCTGATCATGGGCTGCTGGCAAATGATTATCACCATGGTTCCAAAATCTGGCGAGAACTTTCACCGCAAGCTGCTGCAGACGGTTCTTAGTGCTCCAATGCTGTTCTTCTCAACAACCGATAGCGGCGGTATCCTAAACCGATTCAGCCAAGACCTGCAACTCATCGATATGGAGCTTCCCATTGCTGCTATCAACACCGTCGCTACAGTTTTCCTCTGCCTTGCCCAGATAGCACTGATCGGGGTTAGCTCTAAATATGCTGCCATCTCATTCCCTTTTGTGCTTGGAATTCTGTTCCTCATTCAGAAGATGTACCTACGCACTTCTCGGCAGCTCCGTTATTTGGACCTTGAGGCCAAAGCTCCATTGTTTTCACACTTTACCGACTGCCTTCAGGGACTCGTGACGCTACGAGCCTTTGGCTGGCAACATGGCATGGAAATGAAGAATATCCAACTCTTGGATTACTCGCAGCGACCGTTCTACTTCATGTTCGCGATCCAGCGCTGGTTGACTCTATCCTTGGATCTGGTTGTCGCTGGTATTGCCGTCCTGTTGATCGTTCTGGTCGTTGTCCTCCGTGGAACAAGCCTAGGTGCAGGCGCTGTGGGTGTTGCCCTCCTCAACGTTATACAGTTCAGCCAGAGCATCAAGCTCATGGTGACCTTCTGGACCAACCTGGAAACCCACATTGGCTCCGTTATGCGTGTCAAAAATTTCACCCAGGACGTCAAGTCCGAGGATCAGCCCGGAGAGGACGGCGATATTCCTCCCAGCTGGCCCTCGAAGGGTGCGGTGTCTTTCCACTCCGTCTCCGCGGCTTACAGGTATGGAAACTACAGTGGCATTTTTGGATGAAATGCTAATCATCAGTCTAGACCCTCGGAGCCGGTTCTCAATGATGTGTCTCTATCCGTCTCGGCAGGAGAGAAAGTTGGTATTTGCGGACGAACTGGAAGGTAAGAAGCCACTTTGTCCAGTATGGTTCTATTCCAGCCTAATCTCATACGATGACAGTGGTAAAACCTCGATGATCATGAGCATCTTCCGGATGATCGAACTGACTACCGGCATCATCACCGTGGATGGTGTTGACATCACCAGCCTCCCGCGCCGTGAGATTCGCTCACGCATCAATGGGGTCTCACAAGACTCACTGCTGTTCAAGGGCAGTGTGCGCCTCAACGCCGACCCGACGGGTTCCTGCACCGACCAAGACATCCGCAACGCGCTCAAGAGCGTGCAGCTCCTCCCTGTGATCCTCGAAAAGGGAGACCTGGACTCGGACATGGACGAGATCCACTTGTCGCACGGGCAGAAACAGCTCTTCTGTCTCGCCCGAGCACTCCTTCGCCAGGGCAACATCCTCATCCTCGATGAGGCAACCAGCAAGTGAGTACATATCATTTATTGACTCTCCCCCTGACGTGGTTCCCTCGCATCTAGCTAGCTCCACTTTGATTTCTCTCCTTTTTTTTTTTATCTTTCCTTTTCTGTTTTGATTTCCTTCTTTTCACATCTCTCAACTACCCCCTGCATATGCGGCTTGATCCGAGCGCCACATCACGCTCGGATCGACCAAATGGCGCTTCCTACGAAGCTAACACACGTCGCCCCCCTCCCCCCTGCCCCTTGCAGCCCTCGAGACGCGCCACAAGAGATCGAACTGCTTGCTAATCAGCCGAACCCAAAACAGCATTGACGCCAAAACAGATGAGGTCATGCAGCGCGTCCTTCGCGAGAAGTTCTGCAACCACACCATCATCGCAGTCGCGCACAAGCTTGACACCATCCTCGACTTTGACCGCATCGTGGTGCTGGACGCCGGCCGGATCGTCGAGACTGGGGAGCCATACGCGTTGCTCACGGAGCCCAAGTCGCATTTCAGTCAACTGTACGCGAGCTCGATGGCGACCGAGAACTCGGAGCATTAAATTCACGACTTTCCCTCTTTGCTGGATTTCTTTCTATGTAACCCTTTTTATTGCACTGCACAGATTGAACCTTAACCTCCATTGACGGCGGGCGAGTTTCCTTTGGCGTGCTAATCAATTTTTTAACTTTTTGCGGTACATCTCGACGTCTACATACAAATTTGGGTAGCCAGGCGTTGTTTACTATATGTCTTCATTTTTCTGTTTCTATGATCTTGATTGTTTTCTTGACTCTCATTCATTCCGGTCGCAAAGTCCGGTTACTTCTTACTCTCGTTGACTCCTATTGACTTTTGATTTGAGCTGTGCTTGTGGCAGATGGAATGGCGTGGATTGTCTATAATAGGCTTGTTTGTGATCACCTCCTCTTACTCTTAATGATAATTACGAGGAAGTTTAAAATCTCAATGAAATTATATTCTCTTTCCTCCAATCTTACAAATTAGAAACATCTTCGTTTCCCTCTCAAAGGACAAGTTCATCTGAGCAGTTAGATGTAGAATTTTTACCTATGACTTGGGCCTTCCCCTCTTGATGTTGACGAATGAAGAGAATGTTCCGTTCAATTCGCTATTAATTGGGAATAATACATGTTGGATTTCTTATACTTTTCAATATGTCACTCATGTAATTTGTCGATTTTAGTTTTGGATCAGAAGCCCACAGTAATTGCAATATATATCTTGCAGGAAGCCATACGGGACGAACCCTAGGGTATCAGGTACCGGACTACTTCGCCCTTCCCCCCTAGCTACCACCTACTACGAAAGATCACATGAGTAGGAACTGATTGAGTCCATGTCAAAACTAAGAGTGTTTTGCTTAGGTGATACGTTGCTATCAATGTTATTAGGTAGGGTTAGCACCATCGGTGCCCGGTGCCTAGATTTGCGATTGGTTTCAATCCATGGAATGTGTACAAGCAGTACCTAAATGAAGGAGAACAAGTCTTGCTGCAACAAGCAACGATAGAAATTCAGATCCCATTTTGCCCCGCATCCACATACAATATGAGGCTATCCTATGTAGAAAAGAAGAAAAGACAATTCGGGCATGATGCTAAACTCCTCCATGTCAACTTGCCGCCACATACACACAAAAAGGGAAAGAGAAAAGACGTTAATAATCTCCCAGCCACAAATCATAGATGATCACCATCAGCGCTATGACAGAACCATCGTTTCATCATTATCGACGTCCTCATTTTCATCACCCAGAAGACCAAACTCCCAATCGCCGCGCTCGATACGGCTGACGCGGTCGAGTTCAGACTGGTACTCCCGTCGCAAGTGGTCGAGGGTAACGATGACTCTCTCTTGGGGCGGTTCAACGGGTGTCTTGAAAGATACGCTGCCACGTCCACCACTGATCGAGGAGCGGCTGCCTCTGCGACCGGCGAATGAGACTGCGCTGGAGGATCTGCGTCGGGCTCCGAAGGGAGTGGGGGAGTTTACCTCCGCATCTTCCATGGAGACGTTTCCGTCATCATCAGCTTGTCGACCCCGTTGCTGCGGAGTTGACGCGCCCACGCCGGATGATGCGAATGGGCCAGTCTCGACAAGAATATAGGCCTCGTCCTTGTCGACAGAGGCGAGCAGGTTGATGAGCGACAATAGCTCGTGGCGTATCTCCTTACTCTCCAGGTCATCCTCTGGTATACTGACATCCTCGGCTTCCCTCTTGGCTTTGCGGGCCAGAGCGGATGAGGGGGCATCTCTGGCCTTGCGCAGACGTTGGACGTTCCGGTAGGCAATCTCGGCGGCGCCGCGGTAGTCATTACGGGCAATTCGGTATGCCTGCAAGACGCGGTGGTAGTCGGGTAAAGCATCGGCTTCATCATTGTCGATATCGGTCCATGAGGCAAACGAACCCTGCTTGCGGGCTAGGGAGACAAGTACTTCATCGATATGAGAGGCAATGTTGGGAACAAGTGCAGTCGGGAAACGGAGGATCTGCTTGATGCCGGCGGTGCCAGGCCCGGACACAGCAAGAACACTGGTGACGAGGGAGCTGAGTGCGGACCTCTGCAAGGCAAGGTCTTGGTACCGGGCCAGGGCGGAGTAGGCCTGATCAAATTGGCAGGTCTTGAGAGATGCGTAGAACAGCCGGGAGAGCAAATCGGTTCTCATGCTCGTGTAATCAGGGTCCTGCTCAGCCCACGCTTCCGAATCGAGGGCCTGCAGCGACAGGCTAGCAAATTCCGCGACGTGGGAGAATGAGCGCACTTGCTCGAAAACTGAGAGGATATGCTGGTAATATTTCGGAATGCCATTGTGAAAGCAGTTCACAGAAACAAGATCCAGAAGAGTCGACGACATTTCGTGCAGGTTACCCAAGGGTTTGCCACAAGCTACAATTTTTGTTAGCATGTCCAATCACCCGCGTTTAATAACAAAAATCCAGTCAAACTTACACAGAAGATATGCTGCCTTGCGGAAGTAAATGGCTGCAATATCAAATTCAGCCATCGCCACATGCAGCCGACCCTTGACATAGGTTGCCCAGGAAGTGCTTGCTTGGAAACGAAGGAAGTCCCATGCGAGATCGATATTGTTCTTAGCAATAAGGTCGCACTGAATGTAGGCCAACGCATTCGGATACGCCACTTCACCCGGTCTGGTCACCCAAGCCAGGACATCCCGGATCCCCAGAGTCAAAGTATAACTCTGCGGCATGCCAACAGCTTGACGTGGCTTGATGTCCGCGACGAAAAGATCTTCCAGAATAGTAGCCGTCCGCCAATGCTTGTTCTTATTAGACTTGTTCTCCTTCAAAGAAAGAACCGGAGTCGACGCTTCTGTACCCGAGCTGGGGGCACGATCAGGGCATTTCCGGACATTTGAGCTGAGCCAGTACATCATTTCGTACTCTCGGAGGGAATCAATGAGAGTGGAGAACAGATCCGCCGCGTCGAAGCTTGAGCGTTCACCCTGTTCAATCTCGCCATCCACAAACGTGACTAGGATCAACAAATCATAGAGGATCTGGCGAGTGAGCAAAATTGTCTCTAGCGCCCCACTGACAGCAATCCGTGCACCGAAATATGTTGAGAGAAGCCCTGAGTCCTTCCCACTGAACCCAGAAGGAACTGTGTCGATAATGGCATAGAAGGCATCACCAGATAGGTTCTCAGCATCCAAATACTCATTGAGTGCCGTAACTAGACTCTCAAAGGTCTTGTTGGAGATCCGATCCCCAAGCTCGCAGCGCTCTCGGAAACTGTCCATGCGATCGATGATGGATGAAGAGGGCTCGTTGAAGATCTCAACATCAAGCGCAGCCCGACACGCCCCGTCAAGTTCCGCAGAGAACTTCTTTCTGAAATCGGCAGCAACCTTCACCAATGAGGAGGCTTGTTCAAATAAATTACCCAGCTCGGCGTTCAGGTTCCGGTGCCTCCAGCGGTCCACGATCTTGGGAGCCTCTTCACTGAGCTCAGCGCTGGAGTTGTGTAGGAGTAGTTCGGAAGTATTGCACTCTCGGATCACAGCGCAGGCATCTGAGAGAAGCAACCAAGGAATTTCGTAGTATGAGTCGTAGGCAAGGGAAACTGGTTCGAATCTGCGCTTGTTGAGATCGTCGGCGACTTGCCAGAACTGGCGCCACTTGGCATCTGTGTCCCTCCTAAATCGTGCGTAGTCCATCTCATCCTCGGTATATTTTCGCAGAGAGACGGTCGCAGCAATTGTAGAGCAAAGTCTTTCTGCCAACGGGACATCCTTCTTCAGCACTCCAGACGAGGCGGAAGACAGTGGCTTAAGGGCCTCCTGGTAAACCGCCAAAGCAGTCTCAAGGACTTCGGGCAGATACCGAGTCGGGTGCAGAAGGTAGGCAAGCCACTTCTCAGTCGGATCGACGACATCTTCGAGTGTTGATGCAGGCAATGGCTCCTGTCGGTGAGTCTCAAACGTCGTCGAAACCCAATTTGTAGACCAGTCCGTCACGAGAGTCTGAAGATCAAAGTGAATGGAGTAAAGCTGATAAAGCCCGTGGTTTCTCCAGAGCACCCACAACTCCATTCCCTTCCCTTCCTCCGCTGGCTTGACCTGGAAGTCGGCAATGCTCCAGAACATATTGCCCGTCACGTCTGGGTCCACGGGTCGAAAAACTGCATCCGCAAAGAGATCCTCAATAACAAGGTCAGAAGTTAGACCTCCCTTAACAGCCCAGAATTTGAAGCGTCCGTCTTCGAATGGAGAGTATGTAACAACATAGAAGCGGTGACCCCCGTCCATCGCCCTCTCTGCATTGAACACCCGGATGAACGAAGTTTCCGCAGGGTTCAAGGTATATGGCACTGCATCGGGATCCATTGGGCGGCCCAGAAGATCCTTCGTCGCCGCTAGCTTGTTCGTCGCAAGATTCCAGATCTTCAAGGTGTGGTTCAAGCAGATAGCGAAAACATAGGTTTCGTCGGAGGTGGTAGCGATGGCATTGGCGGCATTCAGGTCGATACTGCGTCCATCATGCTTGAGCGAGGAGGGTGCATTCCATTTGACGAGGCCCCGAATCGAAGCGCCCCATGTTCGTTCGTCGAAAGTAAGAGGGGACCAGTGCGAACCTATTCCAATTATCCAGTCAGTTTCGGATTCAAACCTGCAACGAGATCTCTTCATAGCCTTACCATCGTCACCGGCTCTACGAGTCAGTCGCAGGAGCGCGCCATTGTCCAGAGAGATAAACAGCTCTTGTGGGCTGCTCGCGTGAAGTCGGTGGGGGTGCGAGAAGGATAAAGGCGCAGGGACGCAAGCCTTGCACCATTCGGTCACATTGTCGTCAATTGACTCTATCCTGCGGAAGAATTCAGGGCGAAGCGATAGGGTGTGCAGCTGTTTAGACGCCGTAATCACAAACAGGCTGAGGGTCTCATGATCCTCTGCATCTGCTAACGCCACGCCTGACGGAAGAATCTGTTCTTGGAAATGCAGCCGCAGGGTCACGTTGTGCTCGAGGTGCTCTGTGCCACTTTTCGTCAAGTCGGCGCATTGGATCTCCAGCACCTTGTTGTCATTGACGACCCTCCACAGGAACGTCCTCGGGTAAGTCCTGTGTTTGCGAAAGTAGACCGCACCCTGTGTCGCAAGATATCGTCTAGCAAATTCGTCTTCATCTTTCGCGATCGGGATTTCGGGCTGGTCGGGGGCAGACGAGATTGAAAAGCGAGGCCGACGGAACGCGCTCTCGTGAGCCGAAATCTGGATGTTGGCGACCGTGGCCGGCGAGAATGGCCGGAGGTCGACCCTGGTATCTTTGTAAATTTTCGCCATGATGGATAACTGCGGAGCCTGCACGAAAATCAGGGCCGACTCAGAGTTCCATGGCTGGTGGCAGACGGAAAGGTTGCAGGGCGGAAGCTGGAGCTTCAAAAAGCAAAGTCTTGGCGCGGGCGCGACCTTTCACCCTGCGGGAGTGGCAGTTTCCAGCTAGCGCCTAATCATTACTACAAGCACATCGGCATTGCCTACAAGATTTAGTGGCAAAATTCTATGATACAGTGCAATTGACGCTGAAAAATATTATTCTACCATACAAAATAAAGCATTCACCAATCGTCTTCTGAAAGAGGTCGCTACCTCAGTAGCCACAGCCAGGTTATTGGATGAAGTAGCAGGTCAGTTCGGGCTCATGAGGTCACTAAAATCGTGTCAAAGATAACAAAATAGACGAGGCGGCTCAGTCTTTCTCCAGGTCTTTCTCACTGGGGTCCCCGATACCATCTTCATTGATGGCAAAGAGGCAGTCGCTTTCGGGCAGGCAAGGGCTGTCATAAATTTTGCAAATACGGGTCTCAGCCCGGCCTTTCTTAAGGCTGAGCCGAGTAGTGCTGGCATGGGCTATGATATTGCCTCCAATAGGTTTCTTTGGATCGGGGTTGAACATAGCACTGGGGCCACCGTCGACCTGGGCGACAACCTGGTTGGTGATGACAACAGCGATACCAAACTCATCTGCAAGATGTTGCAGCGTGCGCAAAAACTTTGCCAAGTGAGTCTGCCGAGATGCAAGCTCACCACGACCATTGAAGTCTGTACGGTATAGCGAGGTCGCCGAGTCCACGATCAGGAGCGAGAATCGAGTTTCACACATCATCTGAGATGCTTGATTAAGCAGCTGCAGCTGATGGTCGGAGTTGTAAGCTCGAGCGTAAGCCACATTGTCGAGAACCTCTTCACCAACAAGCCCGAACCTTTGGGCAACTGCAAGGAGTCGAACCGGTCGGAAGGTTCCCTCCGTGTCGATATAAAGACATTTGCCCTCGCCTCCACCCATATCAAAAGGAAGTTGACAGGTTACTGCGAGAGTATGGCAAATCTGACTCTTTCCCGTTCTGAACTCTCCAAAAATCTCCGTAATTGATCCCGTTTCAATACCACCGCCGAGCAGGGTGTCAAGTTGTTTGGATCCAGTTGTGATTGAGATAAGCTCGCTTCTCCGGGCGTGCATCTCAGTCGCCGTTGTAAATCCCAGGGGGACAAGTTTGTTAGCTAGTCAGGGAAGACATGTCAGCGCCCTTGTGCGTGAATGGGGAGCTTCAATGCATTGCAGATGGTGACTCACCCTCAGCCAAGATCTTGCTAGCCTTTTGCTCTGAGATGCCCTTGATCTGCTCCAGCTGGCGCTTTGGTCTACCCCCATTATGTTAGTTGATTTCGATTCAATACAGAATTAACCCGTGAAAGCTGTAGTAGTAGCTGAGAGAGCGGGGATGGGTTCAGCACGTACGTAAAGGCAATTCTCTCGACAGTGTGGTAGCCGGCATCCACAAACAGCTTGATATCTCTGGCAGACAAACCCGCCATACCCTGTCATATAGATTAGGTCCCCGGTGTATGAAATTTGTGCTTCGGGGTCATTTCGGGGTCTTACTCACCTCTAGAGCAGAGAGCGGGGTTGGGGCCCCAGGGCCAGGCAGACCACCCTCATCATACTCCCCTTGGGGTTCCATGTCGGCTGTCATATCTTCAGGTTCGGTAGCTTTAATATTGCAGCGTGGAAGCAGTGTTCAAAGGCGGGGGCAGTGTTTTCCGAATGCAAACACGAATGCACGCGTCCAGTCTGGAGAAGGTGGTCCACGCAGTACCGAGGGTTCCTTAAAATGAGTCTGATGAGAAACTGCAGGCTCTGAGGTGATGAGTCACCGGTCTCTTCTGCTTTCAATTTCAATCTGTTGGCGGCAAAACTCGGGCTTCCTAACGAGTCAACAATTGCCTTCGTGCCAGACGCGTCGACGCCGTCGCGCGGTCACGTGGTTCCGCCGGCGATTGACCGGGCAAGGCAGCAACGGGCTAAGCAGGACTGGTGCCTGTTGCTCTACACAACACAAACAATTATAAGGATGCTTAAACAGCAGTTCAAACAACAGCATAGGGTCAGGTACTCGGGTTCGCAGGATATTTAGTGACATATCCGCGCTCAATCCTCATCCGCAGCGATATAATGAATACAAATCTGCTTGAACAGCGTTCACTGCATGCTTCCACCGAGTCTCGAGCTTTCCATGTTACCGACCTCGATAGAATGATGGATAGACATTCCATTTTACCCCGCTGTGATCCTCAGTCAATTTCACAGTCTATCATCGGAAGAAAATCCCTTGCTCAACATCCCTGGTAGCAATTCTTGATTCATGGATGATGAATAGAATCCAGCAACTCAAAACGCCCATGCGCATCGCAACACTCATCCTCTACCACTTAATGATCCCACGAACGGACCGAGGTGAGTATCGACATCCGTTTGTGTCGTCTCTGGCCATCTCGAACCGTCGGGTTCAATTGAAGCCTTTCCGCGGGCATATTCATGTGGATTCGCTCGTTGAAGATGGCGCTCATCTTGCGTCGGAACTCCTCCGAAGACCGTTTGCGAAGAACCCCTGCGAACACAGCGTTGGTTCAATGGTCCAATGTCCTAGTGAGGCCATGAGAGATACTTACTGGTAATCCGTGAAGTCTGTTGCTGCTCGCCCGCCAGTCGGAGACCAGGTTCATCTCCATCTGGGCCTAAATCCAACTCATCAGGGCTATGAGGACCCGCCCTCGCGGTCTTTGTATCGAACGCTTGACTTGCACGCCAAATTCGGGAGTGAAGATTGGCGCGCTTGTTGTCGCTGACGAAGCCTTCGATACGCCGGTGGAAGGTACCGGGCGAGCTCGGTGTCTTGGACGACATTACGGGCGAGTAGATTCCACCAGGGACATAATGTTCATATGTGTACTTGTTGGCTGTGACAATATCCACCTCGGAGCTCAATCCCGGTCGGATGTATGCTGGCAGGGATGCCCGAGTGTTCCTCGAACTCTCGAGGGTCATCGAGGAGGCCGGTGTAGGAGGGTGCACTGGGAGCTGCCTCGGAGCTGGGCTGGCTGGGCTAGATGGTCGATCTCCAGTGGGTGTCCCGGGCTGGTGTGGGCTCGGAAGCGGAGTGTTGTGATTAGAGACCCAGATGCCTTCGATTTGCAGTCCTTGTTCGAGGGCTCTGGCGCCAAATGGCACATCATCACTCGCTAGCATGGGGTATAACTCGGCTTCCTCCTCCTTCTGGCGAGCTTCCGCATCTGCGTATCGGCGTGTCATCCACCTGTTGAATGCAAGAACGCAAGAGGCGTATATGAAAACGAGGACCTGTATTATCGTCAGCTCTCCTTTCTCCTCTGCGTTGTGGCATGTCTCGTCGCACGATCAAGAGCACCAGCACCTGCAAGGTTAGTGGTCAGCATGTCAAACAGATTTAAATAGGCGAGGCAAGATCGTACAAAACTCAACTTCTCCCACAGCGCCCAGTCAACCCAGAATGCCATGGCAGCTTCGGGCGCTGTCCAGCACGGGCACAGCTTGTACTGGTGAGGTCAGGTCGGGGTGCGTACTGAAGAAAGTGTGAGAGATAATACAGGGAGGGAGATTGGCAGTTGTTACCCTAAGAGGGGGTGCAGGCGGTGTTTTCATGGTTATACTGTGAGAGCCACTTGAGTTGGTTGAGTGGGGGCAAGAGCTACCTACCGAATTTGGACGAGTCGAGGAAGTGATAATTGGTCAATCGCGTTCATTGCCTATTATAGATATCAAGTCTTTCCAGCACGGTGTTCTATGATTGAGTTGGTTGCTATTGCCCAGAGAGGCTCACCCATCGTCAATCAAGGTTGCTATTTGGTTGCACGGAGTGCCATCCATCCCATCGACAATCTCGATGCATGTGGAGGTATCAAGAAAGTCCGCACAACAAAAGGAGCTCAAACCTTTCTAGTAGTATGTAATGTAGGAAGAAGAGGATCGAAATGCAAAAAAAGATCTCTCCCTCGGGGAATCGAACCCCGGTCTCCCGCGCTTATCAGAGTTAATGACAAGCGGAAATCATGACCACTAGACCAAGGAAGATGTGATGACCGAGTTACCGCTCGACCACTTGGTGTTGGTTGATGTAAGGCGCTCAGTTCCTAGATAGATGTTCTTGTTTTATCTGTCGACCAAAACAGCATCCCATCGATATGGTCTGAACTTACCATCCATCTCACCGGTCGCAGATGACCCTAACAGAGCCTGCTTCATATAACTAAATACTGACTTATTATGTAATATATGACACGGTCTGACTACCAAATTCTTACTAATCGGCGATTTGATTGATCTATTGTTTTCATCTTGTGGAGATATATACCTATCCAGTTCATAGGATCCGATGGTCCATACTCATGACACTTACCACCACAGGAACGGTAGGTACCTAGTTCATGGCATAGACAGGTACTAACTACACTGACAACCATGATTGTCCCCCTTGTCGAAAACATAGGGATAATCCATCGAACCCCCCAACGCACAAGACACGAAGCTTTACATAGATAACACCCATTGATTTTGACTTTGCCTGCCCCAGATAAAGCCCAGAGGCGAGCGAATTCAAGCAGGATTGCTGCGGGGTTCCAGCCTTCTCCGGATACAGATTGTAGCCGTAGTGATGAGCAGTATCTGAGGTCGAGATATGATCATTTCGTAAGTACCCGGTATCTAACCAGGAAGGCAAAGTTGTCCGAACCGAAAATATGCGCCTGGAGTCGAGGGATCATTAATGATAAGTGCCGCGATTTACATAGCCGCAGAGGGGCACGGTGGGGGGGGGCGGAATGGATCACAAAAATCACTCAAAAAAGGGCCCACAATGATCGGACAGAGCTTGTCTCAATAACATCATCTGGCTGCTTTTTGTTCTTGTGTGGCGGAATTCCAAGGCATATTGGTCGGCCCGCGCAAAAAGGGTGATAATTCTCTACCATGGGTTTATCGATGATCGCCTCAACTCAAATTCATTGAGGATCGACTAACCTTATCATGATTGTCTACACTTTCCGAAAAGAAGTGATAGCTTATGAGTTACTCCCTTCCATGCGTGTTGTGCCATTGCCTTGACATGCGCTTGAATGTAAGGACATCGTTTCAACTTCATTGACATCCTCAGAGCTTAGTACCAGATACCTGGAGTTCCATGGGTGATAGGATAGGCGAAGATAGAGAGATGTAAGCACCGCACCTGCGGCAAGGGTTGTGTAGTGTCATGTGATAACAATTTGAGGGCGCCGACCTGAGGCATTTTGTTCAGTTGCCAGAAAGAAAGCCCAATCGCAGCCAGCCTGGGCTGGCCCCTAATACTCTGCGTCCTGGCATCAAATCCGACCAATGGATATTTTGGGTTTGCTGCACATGCGGCTAAAGAACAGGAGTTATTGATCTGATCCGGTCCAAGAAATTGAACAACATTCAGAGGAAGGCTGCATGAACTGCGAAGCCAAGATATGCTTCGACCACCTGGGTTATCCTTCACTGACAACTCATATGTTATGCATGTTTTCAAGCATTGGTTGGGCAGGAAATGAAGACTCCCCGCTTGAAGCGCCCGTACTGTTGATCCAGACGGACTGATACCCAAGATGGAATCGCAGCGTCAAGGTGTTCTCGGACGAATTTTGTTTTTCACAGGTGCTTCCGGAAAAAGTTTCCTGTTGACCGATTTTCAAAACAGGCTAATAATTGCGACTCGATCTTCTTCTGTTACTGGGGTTCGCAATGGTCTGTGCTTGCAATTGCGTTTCAAACTGGTGGGGAACGAAAGGGCTCAAGCATTCGGAGTCGGTAATGCTCTTCGGGCCGAGAGTGCATTGTCCGTGCAGACAATGTGCGTCGCAACGCAAAAGTGCTATCTCTAAACCCAAGAGGAAAGCCAACTAGTCTCAAATGATATTGCAGAAAATTAGACGGAACCAGAAGGTGGAATTAAGTGGTATGTCGTTTCCTTGCTCCTCTGCGTTAATGGTGGTGTTTTTCAATAATGCCTCCCGCTTAAAATTCGCTTGGGCCAAACCCTGACCAAAGATAGCATGAGCTCAAGGAAGAACTATCTCAGTGCTAATCAATGAGACAGTGCTCTGAGAGAGCCTAAATCGTTCATTCTATTGTGCGGGACAAACCCCAGAGCCAGACTTACGCACCCACAGTGCATTCTCCACCTGGGCATTCTAGTCCCCATAATCGACATGATAGACTTGCCGGAGGGGAGAGTCTAAGGCCTACGTCCAAATATCGGTGAGACCCTACCGTGGGTCATGAATAGTCTCATAAAGCATCTCTCAGTAGACCAGAGCGCTCTATCGCACGTGTTTGAGTGGGTGGTGCTTATCTCCAATGTAGGCGTAGCCCCTCCGTCGCAATAGCTCGCTGTTGTTGTCTTTCCGCGGTGCAGGCATTATCCACCCCTCCTGCAGCACCCTTCTTCTTCCTTACGATGGGGTAGAACACGTGTAAAAGCTACTCCAATTATTACATTCGATGTGTCTGAAAGAGTCTCGACCATTGCGTGCGATAGCCCGGTCCACCTCGCGGGTGCTACCCGAAGGAGTACTATTACCCACTTTTTTTTACTGGGCCTGCTCCATAGTTCAGATTTTTTTCTAGGATTTTCCTAGAAATCTTATAAATTTGAAGAATGTTATTCCAATTTTGCTCAATTAAACAAGACTTCAAGACTCCAAATGGCCATCTTCGACTGGGTTCGTCGACTTGTTGGCCAAAAGGCCACCAGGGCTGACGAGGGCTTCATCTCCGGGGATGTTCTTCCTAAAGTTCTCGAGCCAACAGTATTCTCTGTTCCTAGTACCTCGTGGCCCGGCACACCATTCCCGGAGACACCGAATCCTGCGGTGACCTCCCCTGCTGGCAGTGAACAAACCCTGGTATTAGAGAAGCTCCCAGAAGAATTCGGTCGGCTGGCATCTTGGAGAGGCTCCTTGATTTTGCTGGTGACTTCAGGCTCCCAATTTCTCGACAATGTTTTCATGACAAGTTCTAACATGGCATTGGCGTCGATCCAAGAAGAATTCGACGTAACTAGCTCCAATCTGCAATGGATGATTTCTGCATACACCTTGACATTTGGCGGCTTCCTATTATTAGCTGGAGCTTTATCTGATCGGTAAGATCTTCCGGAAAATTGATTCAGAGCAATCCCTGACCCTTTTTGCAGCTATGGAAAAAAGAAAATCCTTTGCCTGGGCCTTTTCTGGCTGTCTGTGTGGACATTAGCCATCGGATTCGGCCGATCATTTATTCAACTCACGGTCTTCCGTGGTATCCAGGGAATTGGCGCAGCAATGACCGTTCCCTCAGCAATCGGAATCATCAGTTCTTATTTTACCGGTGTTGACCGTACACGAGCACTCTCGATCTATGCCGCCTCTGGGACCCTGGGGTTTTGCGCCGGTCTCATCTTTGGTGGCTTCCTGACGTCTTCTTTGGGCTGGAGGTACATATTTTACTTTATTGTCATCATTACCGGTTCCCTGGGAGTTTTGGGTTTTATTGTTCTCCCGCGGGACCGGGTGGACACCAAAGTGAGACCCCAGATGGATTATTTTGGCGCGGTTCTTTCTACAGCTGGACTAATCCTGCTCCAATTTGTCCTCTCTGGTGGAGGTGTTTATGGCTGGGATAAGCCGTTCATCATGGTGCTTTTGATACTGTCAGTCGGCATGCTGGTTAGTTTCGTACTTTGGGAAAAGTACGTTAGCAATCCGTTGATGCCACTTCCTCTTTGGAAGATTCCCAACTTTGCCGGTCTCTGGGTGGCAGGATTCAGTAAGCCGTCTCTTCATTTAACGATTTTTTTAATCAATAACATTACTAACCAGAGAAAAGCTTGCTATGGAAGCTACCAGAACGTTATCTACTATATTGTGCTAGCTGCCCAGCAAGTCGATCATCTCTCGGCTGGAGACACTGCTCTCCGTTTCTTGCCGATGGGAGTGATTGGGTTCATTGTCTCCTTGGGGACTGGAAAACTCCTCGAGTACATGAATGGAAAGTACTTGCTTCTCGCAGGACTGATCCTCACTGTTTTGGCGCCAGTCCCGAGCGCTTTGACCGTGACTTCAACCACCGATTTGTGGGTGTCTTTTCCGAAATTTCCTTTTGGGAATGATGCTGACTTTGGCAGTTGGGTGAATGTCCTCGCTACCTCCCTCATCAGCATTTCTGCCGTTTCTCTTATTTTTGTGACGACTAGCACAACCATCTTGACCACTGTTCCAGCGGAGGTCAAGAGTTTGTGTGGTGGAATGGTGAGTGACTTCCATTATAGGACTTTGAATCGAAAATAACTGACCAACTTTTAGTTGAACACTGCATTCCAGATTGGCTCTGGTGTCGCGCTGGCCATATCCGCCGCAACTACTGAAGCAGTCGACATCGAAAAGGAACACAGCGTTGCACAGCAATACTCTACCGGGCTCTGGTGCTCTACCGGACTGGCCGGCCTTGGCCTCATTATTGGTCTCATCGCCGTCAGACGAAGGGGGATTAGTCCCGAAGACAGAATCGGTGGGGCAGTGGCTTTGTGATTCCAGTGATTCCGTTGATTCCATTAATTTAGCGAGCGTTCTCGGTTTGATAGACTTTAGATTGCATTGTTTTTGGGTTGGATAATGGCGGCATGACGGTTCTGATGGCGGATAGATAATGATTGACAATCGCGACAAGTTTGCTTGCTTTTCCGAATTAAAAAACTTCTATTGTATCCAGATATCGCTAAGTGCCCGTAGTGGAGACAACATCCATGGTGAGCAAGGCCCACTCCAGATAAGCTTTGACCTGCCCTCGGACCAATCTGAATTGACCAGACTACCCTGTGCCACGGTGCCCAGCACTTATCTCCGAAAGCTCAGATGCAATATCTGGTTCTGGTGGCAACGTGCATATCAGAAATTTTTGACCCGCAGCAAATGGACGGAGGGGTTTCCCACTCGGCCCGCTCAGATGTTCGCGACCCGCCTTTTAGAGAAATCGATAGTGCGGGAAGGATAATGACGACCACTGTAATGACACCGAAAACATTTGTGGTACTAGTGGGGGTAGTAGAAGTGGAGATCAAGATTATTCGATTGACGATTGATCGCTATGAAGACAGAGAACGAGAAAAGAGGAGAATTGGCAGTGGTATTGTGTCTTGCCACGCGCTTCTCTGATTCGCTTCTTGCGGAGCCACTTCATCACCTTCCTTGGACTGGCCTGTCTTGGCTTTAGGGTTCTAGGGCTTCATCTGCATATCTGTGCACGTTCTACTTATGTGCCAGCTTCGTGTTATGCTTCTCACCCCTCCTTTAACCACAACGTTCCGTGTACTCATGCCACCAGTATCTCCATATCTCCAGTCAAGTTTATGCTCATTTGGCCCTGCTAATGAGTACCCCGCATGTTTGTGTGCTACCAAGGCTCGCACTTGCCTCTGCGCAGAAGCTTCAGCATTGATCATCGTTTGTCTCGCAGAAAATTTTTATCAGCTCACTGATACATCATCTACTACAAAATGGAGTGCGTAGACCCTAGGAAGGCCCCTACATGGAGCGCCCGGGGTGGGGTAGATTTGCGACTTGCCCGTATAAAATCGGCTCTACGAAAACAGAGACGCAAATCCACTGTACAATGAGTCAAGAACATCTTTCAAGAATTAAGCCGAACAGGGTAAAATGCATAGCAACCCTTCCACTAGGCCAGATTGAGTCGCATTGGATTGTTGTTGTGTCTTCCCTCGGCCAACTTCATGTCAGGAAATTAGATTAGCGTTTATTTATTCCTCAATGAGACCCTTAGCCGTCTCTTAGGTAGGCAGGGCTCAATGGTTCTATAAAAAATCTATTATATACCCCATTGCCAAATGGAATAAATAATGAGATTAGGCACATGAGACACGGTATCAATGCAAATAGCAGACCGGATACCTTGGATTCTTCTCAAGTCCAGCACTGCCAAGAGTTGATCCAGCCAATTTTGGAGTTCTGACAGTTCCAATCCTGTCTGTATCTTTCAGCCTGGTAGTAGGAGCTACCAGTACACTTGTAGCCTGTATATAGAACACAGTCCATTTTGTCGTAGACACTTGTACGGTCAATTCCGGTGGATGCGGATCCTTGCGAAAGATCATAGCAAGCACCACTGTTGCCTGGATTCACAAAAGTGTTTTGCTGGTATGCGTTGCAGCCACAGTCATAGCATTCGTAGCCGTATACGAATCCAACGCTGTTGCCGGCAAGGATTGGGGTCGCAAACAGTGAGGCGAGGACGACGTCTCGGAGTTGGAGTTTGACCATTTTCGGTAACTTTTCTAAGAAGTTTGTCTAGTCAACCAATATGTTAGGTATTTCCCTCAGTTTTAGTAGATATAATGAAAGTCCATCGATTACTTACCGGGAGGATTTTATGTTGGTTCAATGTTTTTGCAAGGGCCGTAGGTAGGTATGAAGCAAATGGTCCCTGTTGCTACGTTGAAGATGTGTTAAGCACGGTAGCAGGAGGTTGGTGAATGGAATTTCGTTTAATAGTGAAGTCTACGTCTCCATTTATATTGAAACTAAGCTGATCTAATACCTCACGGTGCATGGTGAAGTAAAGTGGGTCTTGCGCAGACTTGCGCAGACTTGCGCCCGGCTCGTGATGATGGCCATTATCCTAAAGAGGAAGTTATATTAACTTGCAAGCCCTTGCAGCTGAATTGCGGGGCACAAGCATGACTTCCGTTACTCCACTAATGTTCATCTTTTCGGTTAAAACTTCTAGAAGCATTATTTTCACGAATGCTTCTTCAAATGAAGGAAGGACCTTCGAGTATGACGCTCAAATGGCCCCCACGCAACTAGTGATCAGCCGCAAATATCAGCCAAGCCACAGGATTTCATGCGCTATGCTACTGTAATTCCATCTACTAGTCGCTCACCAAAGATTTTAGCGTCTTCACTTCGATAGTTGTGGTCCATTGTCTCGGGGCTCTCGGCGGAGTAAGCAGCTGTGGCTATTCATCTACACGAGACCGAGATTTGTATTTAAATTCTCCAGGAACTTCCTTCAAAATGTAGATAAGAGTAATTTCAAACAAAAGACCATTCTTCACGCAGATTTCCTCCATCACTTGGGTGGTAAACTTATGTTGTACGATAAGTCCCCTAAGTCGCTATCTGAGTACTCTCCTTACTCGTTCACTCCATATCTAACTACAAAATAGCCATCAACAGTGTTAGAGCCCATCCTAAATTGTCTCTCACGATGATTATGCCAAACCTGCCCCTCTTTTTGGCCCTTCTCAGCCCAGCATTAGCAGGATCCGTCACTACAACCTATGCATACCCATGCAAAGGATGTGACTGTGCCCAGTCCCATCAAAATATCTGGTTGACTCAGCTTAACCAAACCTGTTACGATTTCAACGATAGTCCGATTTCCATTGAAATTCAAGTGGAAGACAACCTGGGCTACATCCAATGCGACTTCTTTGCCGGCGCGGGTTGCACCGGGGATAAGCATAGCGGAGAAATCACCGCTAAAGGGGAGTCGGCAGACTGTGTGCTGCCGGACTTGGAAGTTGTGAAATCGTATAGTTGCTTTACATTCTAAACGAAACACTTCCCGGAGAGTTGGGTGGAGCATGAAATATCTCGATGGGAGTATCGGAGTAGAGAGCGGACATGTATTTACGCGACTTCACAGTAATGGTTTCAATCAGGCATCGATAATATAGAATCATACCTTCAGAATATGATCTCATTTACTCAAGGAGTAGTAGTACCATGCGATTGGGATCAGATGCCAATCAGAGAAAAAAAGCCTTGCTAGTCATGTAGTCGTGGGTTCCTACACAGTCTCTCTACGGTGAAGGCTAAAAGTAATTTCACTACCGATTATATGCTTTGTGAATAATCCACCCAATGTAATGCCTCTTCTCTAATTTCTAACTCTTCATTTCAGGGCCGATGCGTGCAACGCGCGCGTCTTCCAGTGAAAACAATACAGTCCGAAAGGGGTTAATAGGGAATAGCTAAAATTAGACTAGCGTATTTCGAGCTCGGGTTTGGGAATGAATATTACTGTAGTTCGTTGGCAGATAAGACTGGCCCCAGAATCGCGCCCCCATTGAAAATTGCCTCCTCGACAGCACCGGGGAAAGACCGCGCATTAAAGACACGGTAACTCTCTTGTGGAGCGTTGGTACGCTTTTCGTGTTTGCTTTTTGCCCTGGACCAAACCATGGGTCGCACCCACCGCGACGATCTCGCGGACGCGACCTCGTCGCACTCGCTGCATTCCATGAACGACGTGGACGACCTGCCACCCCCTTTACACCGACGAGCCCACTCTCGATTCCATTCCCTCCCAATCCACCCCCGTGCTGTTCCCCTCTGGCCCGACTCCTAGTTTCCGGCCCCTACGCCTTGTCGACGCGGCTTATGCGCTCCCTGGCAGCAACGGCATTCACTCCCATGACACCCGCGTCGTGACCCTCTCGCCGAGCCTCTCCAGGAACACCAATGAGCTCTTCCACGTTATCCGCAGACAGCTCAAACTGCCTGTGCGGCCGATGCTGCATGTCCGTGGCACACACACCGAAACCTCCAATGATGGCAAGCAGAAGAAGTCCAACACTGTCACCGACTTCGACTTCCGGCTGGATCTTGCCGAAACCGTGCTGAGGGGATGGGAGGGCGGCCCGTTGCATGCGAATTGGATGGAACTGGACGTGATCCGCGATGGAGATGACATTTCCGCCTACCGGGGTGGAATTATGCGCTCGCGCGCGTACAAAGCCCCCGCGTCGGGTCCGGTCGTTGGCCACGCCATGGACAGCGATGCTGCCCTCCTCGGACCCGATGTCGAGGCCGGCGTTGATGTGGATGACCAAGAGGAAGGGGAACATCCTGCTGTTGCGGATATCGATGCCGACCTCAAGCTCTGGTGTGAGCGATTCTGCCTCGACCCCTCGCCTGTTAAATCGTATGGCCCCCTTTGCCGCCCGCTATACTCCGTACATTATGACCTCTTGCTGATCTGATTTGGAATTCTAGCTTTACGATCTACCGTTCTCTCCAGGGGTTCGATCATCAAGCGATGCGTAATATCTTTGACTCACACATCCGTGATCTCAACTACCGGGGCAGTATCCATCAGCAGTTCTCGCAGGCCCACAGCTCCGTCACCGTCTACTCCCCACACTGGATCAACCAGCTACGCACCAACAAGTTCGTGTGGTGGGTTGTTGTCATCCTTCAGCTCTGGATCATTACATGGCCGATCATCTGGCTGATGGAGAAGCGGTACGAAATCGCTCGCACGCGGTGGAATGCTTCGCTTGACCCCGGTACCAGCTCCAGTTTGGTCAAGTGCTACGCACACAGTCGCAATGAGTCAGCTTTGGCTGAGTTCTGGGCCCCAGCTGTCAAGCAGGCGGCCTGGACCCGCCGGTCTGGCGACAACAATCTCCTGACGCGGCTAGACGCCGAACGAACGCAGGGAATGAGCACCGAGCAGTTGATTAACTTCCGCCCTCGCGAGTCCGATGCGGAGTTAGAGCGACGCGAACGTGTCGCGAGAGGTGAAGGTGGTTTCATGGACAGTGTCGTGGGCTTGGCTCGCGGCATCAGTGAAGTGGGTCAGGATTGGAGGTTCACGATGGGCTGGGGTGCCAATACCTGAGTTGGTGTGTCCGTTGGTCTCGAGGCTCGCTTGGTATCTGTTTCTTGCTTTCTGTCTACGCTGGACAGTCCGTCCGATCCACGCGCATGGCCTTGTTGGTACTCCATTCTTCAACCTGGTTCCAGCCGCACCATCTTCTGTGCCACCCTCCAGTCCGGATTACAGCCGCTTTTCCTCTTCCTCTGCATCGCATGATGGCCTGACGTTGACGAAAGTTTTGGGGCCGAGAATCTAGTCGACAAATATAATTTTTTTCCTCACTAAATACCCTCTCCCTGAGTATCTTGTGCTGAGGATCGAGGCTGACGTGAGGGGCTGGTTGGCGGATTTTTATTTAGGCCCCCGCTGCATAACTCCCAAGCCGCATTTTACGACCAGCCACGGCGCTTCCTGCAGTGCCGTTGGCCTGCAGCCCGCCTTGGAAATTGGGAGGAGAGGGGAACATTCAGGCAGTTATCGAGGCGGTGAGCGTGGCGGTGACTTCCAAATAAGTTAATTTAGGAAACCAGTTTATACTTTTCCGTGTTGGTGTCAGCAGCCGCCGTAAGCAGGTGAATACGAGATTGATATGACCTCCCATTCTCTCGCATGCCTGGATCTCCACTTAGAGCTCCTCCTCTCCCCATCTCGGTGCACTACTGCAAACATTCCTGGTCTCTCGACTTTAATTTTCATCCTTCAGAATGATGCGCAAGAAAGAAAGCTATACACACATTACGCCGATCCCCGCGAGTGTGCCCCGCCAACTGGCCCTGGATATCTTACATAGCCATGGTGAGATCATCACCCTCAATCCTCTCGTGCTCTCATACCATGCAATCAAGGCGCCGCGAGATGCTGCGGCAGACGAGTATTACTCCACATGGTACGAGATCATCGAGCGAGTCCAGTATGTCCCCGGGCTCGGCAAGCTGGGCTCAGGCAAGATCAGTTTCAAGGGCTGTTTCCACGACACTCCGTGGGGCCTAATCACGCACACGTTTGTTCCGTTGGGAATCGATATCAGGAGCAAATGGCGCATCCTCGGCAACCAGCCCGACGAACCACGCAAATTCCAGGAATTTCGTGTAGAGGGGGCCCCCGAAGATGGACTTTATCTGCAGGAAGATATCGAGATCAACTGCAATATCACGCTGGTCTCATTTGTCAAGAGTCAGATGAAGGCATCGTCCAAGGTGCTGGTGGATCGCCTCATGAAGAAGGCGGAGCTTCTCGATGCCGGCGTCCTGCAGGCGATTATGGAGGACGGGAAACTCAAGACCGTCAACCCGGCCGACCGATCAAGCACCATCCGACCGGATTCGTGGGCCGCTCGAAGACAGTCAGATCAAATCTCGTTGAGCTCGTACCAAATGCCCCGGTCGGCGTCTGTGTCGACGCGACATTCGTCGATGTCGACGGGCTCACAATCGATGGCCCCCTTTGTCTCCCCAAAGTACGGACAAGATAGCAAAAACTTCGCCGTGGAATTGCCCGCAGATTTTTACCATCCACAGCCCTCACCTGGGCTCAATGAATATCAAGAATTGCCTGGTATGAAAAGTCACCGATCTTTGAAAACTAGAAATGTGTCTAAATCATCCAACATAGATTCATCCCTCGACCGCGGAAAGACATACACGGCCGAAATGCCTGCAACGAGGTTGAATTCGAAACGACAAAGTCAGCATCGGGATGTCATTCATGAGATGCCTGAATCACACCAGTAAGCATGGCGGTTGGAATGCAGAGATACCCTTGTAAGGCGCGCGCTTGCTGTTTTGTTTTGTTCGACTAAATTATTTCTGGGGCGTTCTGAAATTACGCTACTTATCTCAATGTATCGGAGATATGTTCTACAGGATAACCTGTGGATCTGAAAACAGGATGGAACTGTGATATGTGATTGGAGTTCGTTGGCCACTCAAATGGACCCCTGAAGGTCCTCGAAGCGCTGAGCGGCAAGCGAGGCAAGCTATCGCGGACATGATTGTACAGATTCATCTTCTGAATGCGAAGAATTTATTCCTGCTCCATGATTCAAATTTACTCGCGGGGTATAATTTGGCAAGTGGAAGTTTGTTAATAGGCAAGGCCATGAGCCAACGGGGTCCAGCGATAAAGGGAAAGCAACTCCCTGCGCCGGGCTTTGTGCTCATCCCATGTGTGAGGCCCAGCTTGCTGAGCGTCATATAACATTGACCTGAATACTTTACGAAAATTTTTCTGTGGAATCTGATGAGCCCTCTGTCGGAATCCTGCGAAGAGAATCTCATTTACCTGGAAGGTTGTATCTAGAGTCACCACACTGACCTCGTGGGCCCTGATAATCGTCTCGCATACCTCTTCCACCGATCGATTTGGACCCAGCTCCGGCATTCGGTCCACGAATAGAAGCAGAATGAAACTCCCTTGGAGAAGATAGATGCCAAAAAGGTAGGGCATGAAGGACAATTCTGGATCAATGGTCAGGATCTGAGAAACTACCCCAGACGCACTCAGGGCGTGGGAGGCACAGGTCACGAAGCTTTGCGAGGTTATCCAATCGTCCTTGTCCTCGATCATGGAGATTGGGTCCCATTTTCCATGCAGAAGGATATAAAACACATGCAGAAGATAGGTGCTATAGACTTTGACGAAGGGAAGCTTGGGATCCTGGGATGCCCTTGCAGGGGGAGAGCCGAAGGGGTCCACACCCCGGGATGATCCTCCATGGGATTGCGGAGGGAAGGAATGGACTGCCCCGTCCCCCGAGACGGAAGTGCCGATTTGATTGTCCAAGTCACCGAGCTCCTGTTCCCGCTGAGATATCATTGCCTCGATACGGCGAATCGCGTCCAGAGAAATGAATTGACCGAGAGTGGGATGGCCCCGAAAATGATGCAGGTCGATGATATGGCCCAGAACTCTAGCCAACGGCAGGAAATATTCGAAGAATCCAGGGCCTGATATCTGAGTCGGAGGGCCCAATGACCCAGCGGGGATACAATTCAGATCCGCTGTATCCAGGGATTGCCAGACCCTCTCGGGCAGGGGAGTTCGCACGCAGAATGTGCCTTCTGCAATACTCAGTCGCAGGTTGAACGATAGGGCCAGATGTCGGTCCAAGCAGTAGATTAACCAAAACAGGCGGCGTCGTTCCTCCTTTGCGATGAGCCATCTTCGAAAAGTAGCATCGCCATTATACAGCCCACAGAAAACCGGACCGAGATCGATGTCTTGGTCTTCCATACTGAGCCCACTGGCTCGAACTAGTCGAATCAATTTGTCACGCCATTTGAGCGAGTCAGCCTTGTAATGACCGCCCGATATTACCAATGTTAATATCGCAACCGCGAGAATGATCTCGGTCGAACCGAGTTGTCGCGGTAGCAAAGTCTTTCCACTCGCTGGCCGATCTGGGGCCGAGTGCGAAGTACTTGGGGGACCATTGCTAGAATGGGGATGAGACTGCCAGCCATCTAATGCGAGTCAGTTACCACATCACTCTCCACGAAGCAGATCGATCAACTCATACTTACCAGAGGTACGGAAGTAATTGTCTGGGTCTTCCGGTTGAAGCAGGTCCAATGAAAGACGATAGAGATCCACACTCATCCGCTCTCGGGCCCCTGGGATGTCAAATATCTTCATATCGGCAGTCTGTGCTACGCAAAATAAAATGACCGCAAGGAGAGCTGGTGATGTGGGCCGAGGGTCGGTAGAACGAAGGACGGAGGATGGGTGTAAGACATGTGCAAGCATATAAGGAGACGTTGACTTGAACGAGTTATGCTCCTCATTGAAGTAGATTTCGAGCATCTCCGATGCCTCCTCCGCGGAGAGGATTCCATCTAAGTGCGGTAGGACCGCGTCAAGGCAGCGGTAAGGTTGTCGTATTGAGACGTGTTCAGGAATTGCCCCCGGGACATCGTCAAAAACAGCCTGATGAAGGACCGGCAATGACCCCCCATGATCAAGTGACATCTTCGAGAATCAACTTAGTAAATCGAACTATTCCAAGTCGGTCGGTCATAAAAGAAACTTACGCGACCCGGAGTCATCGCTGCCTGGCTCGTCTCCAACCGTACACTGCTTAGTGGTGTCTGGAAGAACCCAACCCAAGGGTCTTTCTGAGAAGTAAATGCTGAAGTGGTTGCAAATGTCTCCACGCCAGTAGGACTCTTCAGATGTGCCGCATCCTTTGTAGGTGCATCTAGACCATACGGTCGATGTTCTAGCGGCGACATCACCGAGGGTGCATCTTGAATCGATGCATTGCTTGAAGTCACTGTTTCCCCTGGACTTCTGGCCTGCTTCTGCGGTGAGCTGTCTCCAAACGAGTTCTGATCATCTCGCAGCTCCCGGCTAGAGCCTCCCCTTGGCCGGCGACCACGCTTTCGGACGGTCTTGGTGTAGTGGCAGGCCTCCTCGCGCTCTTTGTCCATTAGCAAGGTAGATCTGAACATGTTGGAATGGCCTTCAACGTACCTGCACATCGGCGGCTTGATGTGAAGTGGTTAGCAGAAGCCACAGGATACCACTAGGACCACTTACCACGGTCGCTGCCCATCACATCGTTGTTTGGAGTGCGTGCACGAGTCGCAGGCTCGCAGAACCCGGCTCTGGCTCCGGTGGGTCATTTTGGTGCTTGACATTGCTGCAGGGAAAGGATCGAAAATGCACCGCGAATGCGGGGATAGAAATGCGGGGGGAGAGCCGGTGGAGTCCCCGTTTTAAGACAAGGACGATTTGACACAAAGAACTAACTTGCCCCTGCATGATTTGCGAGAGCCGCAGCATTTATTGCATATATAGGTTCTTCCTTTCTGAATGACATTTGCTCTCATCGACATATGGCTACACTTGCTCAAAAGCAGACATTGGGATAGGCCGCGGTTACTGGCAGACCCACATACTTCTGGCACATTGGGAAACCCGCTTATACCGATTCGATTAAACAACCACCCCAAAAAGGTATCATAAAAATTCCATCCACCGTGAACTATTCCCCTTCCCGTCTTGATCTATGACGCCTAGGGTCATAGTCTGGCGGCCACTGGCTTTTGGTGGCCACATCCCAGCCGGGCCCCGGGCTGGGGAAGCAGTAGTCAAGCCAGGGGCCGAGAAGATGATGGACGGCTGCACGGAGTTTCTCATCTCCTTTGGCTGTGCTGCTTTCTGCAGCTAGACCAGAGTCTGCGCTCCAGAGCCAGCGTGGTTCATTGGTTACCCGCAGAACCTGCCGTGCTGTTGCAAGGTTGTCTTCCAATTCAGCGATCGAAGTAATTCCCATGATGGTCGTTATACGGAACTCGGTAGTTGAGAGCGACTGGCCGCGACGGATAGAATGCCGCAGCGCCAGAGCTGCCATTGATTCTCCCTGCTCTGTGACGTAGTCGGCCGCTTTTCTAACCGCACTCCGTAAGCCCGACGGTGCTGGGTGAAAGTCCCCTAGATCCCCGACGGGCACACCCTTTGCGCGAAGCAGCCCAATGGCTAGTGGACTGGAGTTACAAACGCAAGAAACCCCTGCTTCCTGGAAAGCATGCAAGCCTTCCTGGGCCAGCCGATCATTTTGCAGAGTCATTTGAGCCCAGTTTTGGACAGCGTCAAGAGGTCGAGAATAGCGCTGTGGAACGCGGCGAGCGATTCGGGTGAGGATGTCAATGGAGTATCCTGAGATACCAACATACCTAATATGGCCCTCGCAAACCAGATCGAGCAAGACGCCGATCGCCTCCATTACCTCTTCTTCCGGAACAAATTCGACATCATGGCAAAACACGACATCAAGATACTGGGTGCGCAGCCGCTGCAGTGAGCGCATCACTGACTGTCGAACCCATGCTGGCGAATAATCAAACTGAGTGGCAGTGATGCGGCCAACCTTGGTCATCAAAAGATACTGGTCGCGGGAATAGTGAGGAGCAACATCAGGGTGTGACAATGCTTCGCCGAGAAGTATCTCCGAAGGATGATAGTAGGCTGAAGTGTCGATAGCTCGCAATCCCAGTTGGAAAGCACGCTTCAGCACCTCCCGCGCTTGTGCCGAATTGGGATTCCGGGATACTTGATGGCTGAACCCAGCACCACCCAGAATAAGCGGAGGGAGCAGATGAGATAAGGGTGGTGAGGCCGGGGAGACATTCATCCTGAGACCTCGTCCGCGCGAGAACTATCCCGGAGTGGAAGACAGATTGGAAGAGGAAGAGGCGGTCGGTGAGTATTCAAATCATGCGACCGTACGAGTGCCCTGCGTGCATCGTGGCCATTCCCCACTCGCCCACACAGGCAGAGGCAGCTTCGTGCATGTTGAATATGGAGTCCAGACAAGGCAAAATAAGGTCGACGCGAGATGGGATTCTCCGCTGCAAATACCCGACGGAAAAATGTTGATTGGCCGGCTGAAGCGGCGCCGATGCTTTTCACTTTTCTTCACTGCGACTACGCGGTTCGAAATACCCGATCGCGCTGGTTGCTCGGAGGTCAAAATATGCTGCGATCCGCATGAACAAAATGAGAAACGCAAGTCCATTGCACGGCCGCGTCTGGTCGGTCATACCTGAGCGAAGGAAGGTCTTGGGGGCACCATGAATACTATCACCGGCTTCACATCCCACGTCCGGTTTCCGGTCAGCAAGCCTGGACGAGGCTAAGCAAAGGAAGACATCGCTAGACCAGGTCGGCTCGGATGGAATGAACCGGAGTCCTGATTACTCCGCTGCATACTCGATCCTACCAAAATTCCAAGCACAGTGGGCATAGCATATTTAGTCTTAGAGACGTGTCGTCGACCGACCAAGGAAATTTTTTCCCTAATAACAAATCGCAGACTTCTCCCGTGAATCGTGGAACGAACACTTGACGGACTGGTGCGGAACTGGGCGCAGACTAGGTGTTCTCTCACGTCCAATTCTCAGCTGTGATGGGTAGGACCCGAGAAAGGCGTGATTCACATCAAGCTCTGGTTTATAGCGAGCAAATGAAACCAGAGACGACAAGTTGACGTTGGAACTCTTTAACAATAGGTGGCATACAATTAGAGTATTATTTGGCTCAATGAAGGTTTCACTACTGCTGCCTTATGGACGCTAGCTGAGCCTGCTCTGTACCTTTGTAAACCGACTTGGAAGTTTGCGGAAGTAATTCGAGCGTCTGGAGTAGAATTGACTGCAAATTTTCGCACGTCGTTTGATCCATCTGGCCATCGTCGTAATCTCGTTCGATCCCTTTCCATAAAAGTTGTACGCCCGCAAGGACATGGTGGGGATAAGGGTCGATGGCAACTAGTGGAAATGAACCATCGCTACTGTCACTGTCTAGTCCTTGGCGTGTGGGTATTGTGTACTGGTTGCTGAGGCCAAATTGTAGACAGTTCAGCAGGCTGCCCTGAGCGTCGGATTTGGTAACACTCATCTTCTCGAGAATGTCTTCTCTGGATGCGATCTCAATGGCGTCTATCATTATCAAGATGCACAAGTGGTGATGCACCATCAATTCATCTATTAGAAAAGAGACGGCAATCAGTAAATTCATTTAACGATTAGTATTCTCGAGGGCCGAAACTTACACCAACGCAGCTTTGTATGCTGAGACAAAAACTGAAGGCGTCGCTCGCAGGCGGCTAGCAAGGGGCGGTAAGTGACATTGAACTGTCGGATCGCCTCGGCTGCAGAGGTATGCGCATGATGAACAGCGTCTTCCCCATGGCCTTCGCGAAGAGCTTCCTTCAGAATCGTGCCCATCTTCCAAACGCGAAGTTTCCATGCTTGAGCTGCCGCAATAATTTGATTTGCAGTTTCTTCGGTAACCAATACTCCGTGAACACGCCATCTCTCCGATTGTTCGTGGAATATATTCGTACAGGTTTGGACCATCCGCCACGATGATTCCGACTCCCAGCCCAGGAGGCCGGAGGAGAGGACCGATTTAGTATTGAAGGTTAATGAAGATGAAGTGTCAAAGGTGAGAGCTGCCCAGTATATCATGCTCTCAATGTTCATGAACTCGGATCGGATCTGCTCCGGCGTGGATATTGGGGCCGCTTGGTCTGATAGAAGGGAGACTTTGGAACCGTTGAATTCGAGACTTCTTTGACGAGCGCGAAGAAACTGTACTTGCTGCAAAGCAGCCTGGACGCATACCTGTGCAGGAATGCTGTTTTCTTCCTCGTCTTCTGGAATACCGACAGGCACTGGGACCATGGCATAGAGGTATAAACTCAGCATGGACCGATAACAGGGCCGATTCATGGACCGGGGAAGGTTCTTTCCAAGTTCCCGCCAAAGAGATTGAATTAATGGGGTTTGTGCCAGTTTCTGATCAGCCGAGTAAAAAGTCAGAGGGAGCCAACGGGCGGAAAAGGTTTGGACCGCTTGGTTCAAGGTATTTTCAATCTGCCATTCCTTCATCAATTCAGCTTGCGTGGGTGGCTGAGCCCTTGCGCCACTCTGTCCCTGCCGTTCTAGATCCTTCATCAATTGGTCAAATTGCCTGCAGAGTGATGAGATGCTGACTGAGAGAGAGAGCTCTCCCTGGTGACTCGCACTGCTTTCCAAATGACCATTCTCCCCGAATCTGACACCGTGTTAGTGGCGCTAGACTGGAGAGCCTGCTTGTCACTCACGCAAATGGGCAACTGTAATTGCCTAGCCAAGATCCAAACACCTGTTCAAAGACATCCTCATACATCAACCGAAGCCAGTCCGCGACCTCTCTGCAGATAATCTGTGAACGCGCAGAGGGGGTAGGGGTCCCATGGTCACTGTGTAGGGGAACATCATCTGCACTAGACTTGTCGATGAGCAATTGGCCAACTCCCTTTCAAGAATCCTGAAGGCTAACCTGTTGATAGACGATCCTTCTGCAAGGGGATCTAACTGTGGGGTCAAATTGAGCCCGCCGTGCTGGCCCCCGCCGTATGTCGGGGGCGGGGAGAGAAGCTGATCCCAGCGATCCGAAGATGGGCTGGACCCATCGGCTCTCGAAACAACCTTCTTCATCCACTGTCATGAGCGTCGTGTCAGCGACTCCTCAAATATACATGCAATTGAAGATTCGCACCTCAAAGCTGCAGTGTCGGTTCCGAGCCGCACAGCGACTGCAAGCAGCGACACTCGACTCCCCGGTCGCGGGACGTCTTCGCAGAGCATCGCAGGCCACGCGAGACTTGCGGCATAAATCGCAGCTTGAAAACTGCTTGCGTCGATGGATACGACCGGCGTGCATCATGAAACTTGCTCGACGATAGGCCCGACGCGGATGTGAGGAGGGATGGATGCAATATGAGATGGGGTCAGGGTCCACCCCCGCAGTCTAGCCGAGAGGCGACAAACCGGGATCAGCCAATACGAGCACTACCACTGGGACCACCCGCCAGGTTGAATTTAGTTCTTGCGCGAAAGGTCTGGGGTGAGAATCTGGGGTAATTGCTCACTCCTGTCTGTGTGTAGGTAGCTCACACTGGGATCGCGCCGTTGCATCTCAGCCAGTGCCGAAGTAGCGACTCCGCTCGGGGGTGCAACGAGACCCGCCTTGCGCCATACTTCTCGGCGGGGAGAGGTTGAGCTTTCACCACCCTTTTCACAGATCGTGTAGTGGCTCATAGCTCGAAAATTATCTCAAAAGGTGGCATAGATCCTGTCGGGACTTGAACCCAATGTAACTTTGGTGCTGGCGGAGTATACCAACGAGAGAACGACGGTCACACTAGCCTCTCGTGGGATTTCGCCTCAGTATTCTTGGCCTGTGACTGCCATCAGTATATTCTCTCGCTATGTGGGCGGGGTTGTGGCAAGTTCCTTGCTTTTCACTCGCTGTTCATGCCAAGAAAGGGTATATACTTTGTCGCTTCGGATCCGCTGTGGAGACGGCCACTTTCACCAATCAACGATGTCCTTCCCTCCGGATAAATGGGGCAACTTGTGTTCATGGACCCCCCACCTCGGCTCAGAAGCGGCGCATACGGATGCGTGCGCTTGAGTATCCCCCCTGAGAACTATGGAGGGTCAAAATCTTGTTAGCCGTGGGTCGTGATTGGAGACCGGGAAGTCTACTCATGCAGTGCCGGATCCGAGCCACCGGCCCGTCGTGCGATATTTGCCATTCCCGTCGGTGATACGATCGGTCATAGATTCAGTAAGTCTCTCTAAGCCGCATATAATTGGTCAGCGAGAACTGCAGCATAAATTCTTTTCAAGAACAACTGTTGTTTCGTGAAGTAACCGAGTTTCTGCTTCTCGACACCTCTCCGGTCAATTTGGCAAGAGTCCGAATTGTGGAAAAACGAACCATGGACACCCCTCCAAGGCCCGCAGGGTCTGTTGTGATTATCGGCGCTGGAACTCAGGGCAGGCGCCTTGCATTTATGGTGAGTAGTCCGTGGGCGAATCTGGTCGTAATGTATTAACATAATGAAGTGGTCGAGCAGAGGCGGCTCTGTGTGTCTGGTCGACCTTCAGGAGCAGCAGCTTCACGACGGGCTGAGCTATGTGCATCAGCTGCGGAGTGCGGAGGCCAGCCTGGACAGAAATTGGGGAGAGGTGGCACTTGCCCACCCAACTTCCCTGGATTCTAAATTGCAAGACGCATGGCTCGTTGTCGAGGTACCAATTATTGGATTCGAGCCCTAATGCGTCAAGAAGTGATCTAACATCATGGAAAAAGTGCGTGCCCGAGAACCTGGCACTAAAGCAGAAAGTTATCACTCAGCTGGATGATCTGGCTCCCAAAGACACCATCATCGCTTCCAACTCTAGCAGTTATGGCATTTCCGAAATTATTGCGGGGCTAAACCTGAAGCAGAAAAGCAGGATATTGAGCGCACATTGTTGTATGAAGCCCCCTGGAGTCTAACAAGAAACACACCTTGCTAAAAGATTACAATGTCCAGATTGGCCACCAGAGACATCAGGTATTCGATTTGGGACCCGCAACCTTCTCGCTGAGAACGGTCAGAGCTGATGTAAAACTCAGCAATCGAAATCATGGGACACAAGGATACTGATCCTGCTGCTGTCTCCCTGCTCTTGGAGCAATGCAAGTCACATGGGTTTTCCCCCTTCCATGTCAAGAAAGACTCCATCGGGTACATTTATAACAGGTAATATGAACATGATATGCCCTTTAGCAGCAACCTCCAATTTGTGTCCTTATTGCCACACGCTTACTTCAATGACTTCACAGGATTTGGGCCGCTATCAAGCGTGAAACGCTGCTGGCTCTCTCCGAGGGGGTTTGTACACCTCAAGAGATCGATGCAATATTCAAAGATGTCTTGAAGACACCAAAGGGTCCATGTGAACAGATGGATGTTGTTGGCCTCGATGTAGTATTGGACATTGAGAACCACTATGCAGACTCCCGAGCAGGTGTCCCTGACGAACCGAGAGAATACCTTCAGAAAATGATTCACAGCGGGCACCTTGGCATCAAAAATGGCGAAGGGTTTTACAAATACGCAGGATGAAACAGAGATCCCAGCAGTTGGATGGCGCAATCGGGATTGGACTGGTTATTGGGGACCTATAGATGCGATAGTACACCGCTGTCTAATCCACCGTGAGAATAGTCACCGAATAGAAATTCAGTCTGGATGTCTAGATTACTCTACTGTCGATATTTCCTCAATATTTAGTCCGGCCTTGAAGCGCACGCGAGCGAGAAGTCAAGAAGAAGGACGTTAATTTGCATGGTGAGTAGACCAAAATGATAGCTGCATTTGAATGAATAGTTAAATGTAATCTATCAAATTTTGACGAGAACGAACATTCAATCGGACCAGAATCTCCTTTAAGTGTACGCCTTATTCGATAAGGTCATCAACAAGTGTAATGCTCACCATCAACTCGGAGTCAGAATCAGTCTTACACCTGCTTCCACATGAAAAGAAATTGTGCTGCTTGCAGATTCCCTAATTCATTATTCATGATATACCTTCGTAACGAGCGTACTCTATGCAAATGCCTTTCTAGCTCCAGCGGCTTTTATTCTCTTGGCACTTACTGTTACCTTTATTCCGTCTGTCTCAACTTAAAGATACCCACAAGATTGCTTCATTTAACAGCCAAGCTCGCCGTGGTTGTTACTGATGCATTTGTCTTTTGTTGAGGACATGTCTTAGCCTGTGTTTTGTGGCCATCTTATATTCATCGAATGTTTGAAACTCACTGAGATCAATATGTGCAGGGACATATTTGTGTTCTTCATCAGCACTCCGGCATTGGCACTCCAACTCCGTGTGTCCTCGAAGACTGCAGTTGATGCAGGACCCGGCAAAGTTTCCGCTAGTCAGAAGTCAGAATTATGAGTTCAGCCGTAAAAGAGATCCAAAACCAACTTTTTCCCGCACTGGAAAAAAGTTAAAATCATATTAGCTGGAGTGCGCTTTTGGTTTCGGGTTAACGGAACCTACCTTGAGTGATCCGTTTTGGTTTCTAATACAGTGATTCAGGTCAAGGCTGCTCAGTCTAGACTGGCCATTTTCATACTCCTGGCACTCTGCTTGAATCATAGTTCCGGAGCTTTCGATGTTCTCGCAGGTGTTGGCAAATTTAGAGGCGCCAGAAACAGCGAGAGCAAAGAGCGAGAGCAGAGCAAGGTCCTTGAGAGCAAAGTGCATGATGGCGAGTTGCGTAGATGAGAGTAAGATCCAAATGGTTTAGGATACCAAAATTGATGAGAGTATGATATTGGAGCTATCTATTGAGAGGGAAAATGCTCATATTTATATTCATCTATGTCACCAAGGTATTCTTGTAGTAGTGTTCTTTTCTAGCAACCTCAACCGAGTTTATGACCGCATTAGGGGCTCCTTGCATTAGTTCCCTTTCCCCCCATGAGAGTTAGTCCAGGTCAAGGCCATGTGCGTTGATATCATGGTACATGCTCCTTCAAATCCGGTAGTTAATTTCTCACGGGATTTGAATGGCTATCAATATACTACTGGGGCAATCATAAATATGCTGCCTATTTGACTTTGGCAAGTTCCCGTGGAAGAAAGTTATAAGCGTTCCTAGTCTAAGTAGTCCGGCTTTTTTGGATTAATATAGAAAATTACATCATATGGAGACTAAGATATTACGTTACCCAAAGCCGGGCCGTCATATTGTTAATTCCTTCTATTTTATCTTGAATGAATGCACATTATCTCCCATGGACGTGGCTGTCAAAGCGCCTGGGGTCAGGCGTGCGTAATGCGTTGTCCTCGAGGAGCGCTGCAAGGGACATGCATTTCTTGCCATGCACATCTACCTAGGGGCACTCACCCTAGGACATCACCAATAAGCTCTCTGAACAAATATCTCATCGTGTGTCCATGTTTAAACAATGATCCAACCCGTCCGTTCTGGAAGCGTGGACCCACGATAGCTGCACGTGAGATCCTGCCCCTTGATAAGGCGCTTCACCTTCCATATGAGGTCAATCAAGATTGCCAAGAGACTTAGTCTGAGTTTCCTGTGGACTCCTATGGATGCCATTCGGTCTTGCATTCAAGCTACTTTTTGCGTTCTCCCGCACTAGAATCGCCGGCATTTCCATACGCTAGCCCTAGCAGCGTGAACGCATAGAAGAGACGGTGAGTGTACTTCATTGTCAACAAATTTCAATCAAGAAAATCCAAGCTAGCTCAGCGGTGATGATGCTCAAGCCTGATTTAAATGCTTGTCCTGCTTAACAGGCTGCCAGAGGCAGATGGAACATGGAACACAGTGTCATCGTGAGTACAGTCTTGAGCCACCGATTTCCAAGGTCAATAAATCACCCAACCTGCTTCATTCCATTCGAATTCGATTGGCCAATGTTAGTTACCTTGATTTCCTCATGGCCAGACATCGATTTAGTCGCCCGCTCGAGCTGGGTCCGTATTTTATGGATCTTAAAAGCAAGACAAACCCCAGCTAGAGCTCCAAGTAGGACATTCGTTTCTGAGCCACCGCCAATGATCTTAGCATGCTCGCCGCCACCTTCTTTCCTTACCCGCGTGATAACGGGCCTAGGACAAGAATTGCCCAAAATAACAGTAAACTGAAGATTTTCAAACCGGAGAATCCCTTCATTTATATCCTTTCTTCCCGCGTCTGCTTGATGTGAGCTTCGGCCGTTGTACTCGAAAGCCAAAGGATATCAACCGAGCGCGACTGAGACAACCTTTCTTACCTTTCAAGTAATCGAGGATATTATCCAAGGAATTTGCTAGCTAACTGATGCACTGGCCTTCGCTTGCCTAAATTTCCTCCGAGCGGGGAGGTGTTTTCTGTCCCATGAATCATGCCCGTTGTGTGGGATCGATGGGAAAGAAGGCGTAATACTACCTTCATGTCCTTAAAAGCACGCTTTTCTTCTCTGTCTAGTGATGCTGAGCCCGGAGCTATGCTGACCTCGGCATGGGGCGATGCCTATGATTCTCCCTGCACAGCTAAGATTAGACCTTACAGATTTCGGAAGAGGGAACTTCGTCGACATAGGATGAACAGCCGCCAATGCCATGTCTAGTCAAAAAAAGGGCACAGACAGCGGCTCTGACTTTTCGTCAATGGAATACAGCTCTGAGCGGTAGAGCCCGCGAACGCAAGGGAAGAGAAAAGGGGTTGCTGCGGGAGGAGAATCCTCTGGCCAGCGACCGAGACAGCAGGGCAAAAAACCCCTCAAGCTATCATGTGCCCGGAAATCGAGTTCTACATGGCTCTACTGTACGTTCTCGATCGCCTTCTTCCAGTATCCATATTTCATCTATCCATCATTCAGCATCTACTCCTCCCTTACTACAAAAAGCTCCCTAAGAGTGAGTTTGAGGAAGACTGCCCCCTGGTTCCTTGACATACTGATCCCACAACCCAAGCAGCTCTTTCAGAACGTTCGGCTGTTCTGCGGCCAGGTCATGGATTTTGCCTTGGTCAGCATCCAGCTTGCATAGTTCCACCTCGTAGCCACTTGAAGAAAGTGTAATTTTTATTGAGGGCCTGTAGAGCGCCTTCCAAGCCCCCCTTGCGTACAGCGTCGTAGCCGTCCATCTCCAGCCACGGAACCACGCGCTGTCCTTTCATGCCCACCACTTTTCAGCCTCTGCAAATAGACAATTGATCTGGTCCTAAGCCGCAAACGGCTTTCGAGCGCAATTGACAACATGCTCCGCTGAGCTGTTTCTCTCCTTCTCTCTCGCTCCAGAGATCATTCTTTCGTTCTTAGTATTACCCTCTGCCTTATCTTCAGACAGTTCGCATGATGGTATCTATCTTGTCAGCATCGAAATTGCCGGCTTCATTTTCTCCATAAATCAGACCTTGGCTAACCACTGTATGGCCAAAATATTGTTAGTTTTTAGCGTTCTCCAGTATCGCTCCAAGGTCGTGCCGTGGTCGGAACAGAGATACCCAAGAGATGTCTTAACCGTGGCAATAGTATTAGAACTCTGAGAGGCAAAAGGAATGGAGACTTCGAACTGTCGCACAGATCATCCTAGATATAGATACTGTCACTGCAAGGTAGGATCTGCAATACTTACGGTTCTTAATTCTGGTGAAAAGCGCATCAGCCTCGTATATGAAGAAGCCGGCACAACCCCGCTCACAGCGGGCAGTGGCTGCGCGTCGTGAGTGTTACACAGAACTACCACGTCACCGATGGTAGCCGGACCCAATAGTGATGATCGTGTATTTTAATAGAATGTTCTGTCATTCAAATCAGCAACAAGAGATAAGATATAGCCAATCTCATGCCATAGCCTTGGCATGGCAAGGGGGGAAAGATCGTGTCTCAGCCAGCCAAGCAAAGCGTTCGCATGGCCAAAATCCCAAATAAAACTCAGTAGAGGCCATTGGCTTGGTTCCGAGCGCTCCATTTCATGAACAGTTTTGATACGCGAGCGGAATAACGAACTAGCCAATCTGATCCTTCACTCAATCTTCCCCGCCACACCCCTGTCCATAGTCCCCCCTTTGTCGGCGAACCATCCCAGACAATCAGGCAGGTGACCACCAAGAAATGCTTCTCGAGGCCTTTTGGGCCACTGGAATAAGGTGCGAGATCTGATCTAGTCCATCAGCCCCCTCTTGCAAAGGGACGAGGGAAAGAGCTACTTAAGGTAGCGGAGTGAATCACCTCAGCACGTGGATATTTGAGCCTTAAAACGCTCCGAAGGGACTGCTTGGGTATTTTATCTTTCATCCAGCTACCTTGAAAGAACCAGCTTACCCCTCAAGCGAGTCAGCGAGATCCTTCTGAAAGCCAAAGTGATACAGAACCATCTCTCTGCTTCTTCTTCCCCCCCCCAATCCCCAACACCTTCAAAGGGAATTTATTAATTCCACCTTCTCAGACGTTTACTCCCTCATCAACCATCAACCATCCTGTTTTGTCATGGGTGAAAAACCCGATCCTTCTCTTCACTCCCCCTCTCGCGAGGCGGCTTCATGTACTCTCATGAAGCCCCAAGCTCGCGAGCCTTATGACCCAAGCATCTCGTTCGAGGAGTATTCTTTCTATGCGCAGAAGACTAGAGAAGAGGAGTTGACTTTTGAGCCACCCGTGCTTAATTTCTGGGGTATTCTTGCAGCGAAGAGAGAGTCCCATGAGCATAACGACCTGCCAACCACGACCTTGACAGCGGATGACTTTACGCACCGCGACAGACGGCTCTTGATCACCGACGAGGAGTGGTCTAATGCAAGCCGTTCTTTTAGGTCTGCCTCATGGGGCGCATGTAAGTGTAGTTGATATTTTCTTCATGTACGTTAATGGAATTGACTTCTGATCAGGCTTCTTTCTGATAACTACCGACATTATGGGGCCGTACAGCACCGGCTTCACGATGGGCACGTTGGGCTGGGGTCCAGGTGAGACAGAAAAATTGAGATAATGCATATTCACATGTTACAACTTGACTAACAGACAGAATAGGCATTGCATTCTATACCGTCTTTGGTATCATGGCTGGGTACTCAGGGTATCTGATTTGGCGAGTCTTCCTTGGCGTGGACAGTTGCGAATATCCAGCAAAGAACTACGGGGATCTTGGCTTCCGCACACTTGGTCGATTTGGTCGCTACGTCACGAACGTCTGCCAAGGGGTCTCTCTACTTCTAATTGTGGGACAAGTCGTGATCTTGTTTAGCCAGAATATTTCCCAGATCTCCAAGTTCCGCCTCTGCTATGCCGTTTGTGCAGCCATTTTTGCCTGTGCTGGCTTTCTTATGTCTCAGGTCCGCACCCTGAGGAACTATGGTTGGTTTGCAAATCTTGCAGTCTGGATGAACTTATTCGTCGTTTTCATGACGATAGGTGTTATGGCAAACTCACCACCAAACTATCCTATTTCCACCTTGGGATCTGCGGGCAGTGCGGTGAATCCGGAAACCATCAAGCCTGACAAATCCGGCAACTATCCTCCAATTATCCACTACAACACCATCCCGAATGATGGGCTGATTGGTGCCGTCAATGGCATGCTGTCCGGTGTGACGGCTTATGCCGGCGCTCAGCTGTTCGTGGAGTTCTTAGCTGAAATGAAACGGCCCCGTGACTTTATCAAGGCAATGTGGGGAGCTCAGTTCTTTATTTACGCCGTCTATCTCACGTATGGCTGCATCGTGTATCATCTGCAAGGACAGTACAGTTACAACCCGAGTTACCAGGGTATCAGCATCTATGGATGGCAGACCGTGGGTAACATGGTCTCCCTTCTCGCAGCTCTAATATCAGGGGGTCTTTATGGCAACATCGGTATCAAGGTATTCTACAACAATGTTCTTCTTGATATTTTCAAAGCTCCCCCTCTCACAACGAAGCGTGGGAAGCTCATCTACGCCGCTCTAGTTCCCCTCTGGTGGACTATTGCCTTCATCATCGCCGCAGCGATTCCTGATTTTTTTGGGTTTGTCAGCGTTGTGGCAGCCTCTATGCTTCTCAACCTGACATACGCTTTCCCCCATTGTTCGCCTTGTGCTTCGATGTCCAGAAAAACGCTATTCTAACAGAGGGTGGCGAAGGATTTGACCCAGCAACCGGACCAGTCGCCAGAGGCGATACAACTCGGAGCCGATGGATCCGAGGGTTCCTGGCCGGAGGCCCTGTCCAGGTTGCGGTGAACACTTGGCATATCCTCTACTTCTTGGCATCACTCGCCATGAGTGGACTTGGTATGTACGCGGCTATCGTTGGTAAGTGTGCCCGCTTCTGCTTCCCCTCGCTTCAATGCTAATTCCATTGTTGCCACAGGCATGGTGGATGCCTTCAAGATTCCGCAATTGAACTCGTTCTCCTGCGTATCTCCACTGAACTTGAACGCATAGTCTTGGGATTTTTGCCACATTCCAAATGAAGAGTTTCTTTGAAGCTGCTTCTACAGAACACTATCTTTGCTTTGCAGATAGTATTCTTACTGGTCAACATTTTTAGTAGTAATATTTTCTCACTTCATCCCAATGAATTGCCAATATTTTTACTGTATATTCTCACTCTAAGTCAATACAGGAGATCCAGGGAGATTGTAGAGCCTATATTCATGGCCATAGAGTAATAGTCCTGCATTGCAAGACTGTCCTACTACAATCAATATAAATTAAAAGGATCTTGACGGTGCCTGCATATCTTGCCTGAGTTGGCGCGATGTGATTTGATGGCCCGCAAATGGCACAGTGCCCACAAAAGATATCGAGAACATACAAGAATACGGCTGGATAACTGACAAAGCAGGGATAGGAGACCTCTACGGTTACGAGAGAAAGACGCTGCCTTACTAGTACGCCGATATTAAAGTCGAAGTGAAGAGTTAGATTGGAATAATCAAAGATCGATAGTTCAAACATAATTCGACTGACTTTTGTGTAATTAAGCTGGCCAAAATCTCTCTATTCCCTTAGCCGAAATTTGCTTCTCGACACGATGCAGCTACAGAACCTTCCTCTCAGAAGCGAGCGGATCTCGGCTGTTTACAATGCGACCGATACCCTTCCGGAGAGGCTTGCTAGTAGGGTACCAGCTGCGCGATTCCGGGCGAAGAAGGCTAGACTCGAAGGTATGGCAATATTCTCTTAAATTGATAGGATCCAGTCTAATCGTTTCTGATAGATAAATCAAAATCCCGGCTCTGAACCCGTGCAAGAAGGATATTATCGTAGGATTCTATATGGTTCAACGGTGCAATATCTTCCAATGGGCGGGGCGTCTTGAAGTTAACTTGTCAAACAGATACTATACCCGAAGTACAAACACCGCAGGAGGAACCCATACGCCTGTCAAAGAGGCTAAGTTTATTTCACGTTTGTAACCAATCCCAGCATATGTAAGATCATGAAAGACCTTAAGTAATCTTGATGATAGGCGAGTACATTTAGTTCAAAATATGAGTAAATAAGGAGCTCCACACGGTTCTGACAAGCTGCGTGAACAATCGCGATGTCGCTGAGGGGCGGGGGGCCGCGGTGCATAATCAGCACACCTTCTGCACACGCACCGCCTCCATCAACTCATTCCCCGCCCCTTTCTCAACTTCTTCAACCTTCATACCACACGCCACAGATATAAGACAAAATGCTTCGGAATGAGAGCAAGATAGAGATTGCTGCGCCGCCCGAAAAGGTGCGAGAAGTGGTACGTTCTCGCCTGGTTCTTCTCAGAGGTGATTACAGTACGTCTGCTAAAGAATGCATGCTATAGCTCCTCAACTTCTCCGCTTACTCGGAATGGCACACCGACTTCATCAAGAGTGTCAAGATCCAGGACGAGGCCAAGTCGGCAGAGTCCCTTGCGGAAGGAGACAAGGTTGAGTGCAACATTGAAGGATGGAAGTTCATTGCAGAGATCAGGGTGGGTACCACCCGGGCCCCTATTGTCTTAAAATATCCTGCCCCCTCGATGCTAACAATCATCTCTTCTGAAGGAAAACTCCAAAGACATGTTCTCTTGGCAGGGTCCCCCCGTATTGACCATCGCCGGTCTGCATCAGTTTCGCATGGAGCCCACCAAGGACGGATCAGCCACTGTCTTCACGCAGTCCGAGGATCTCAAAGGTCCCTTGGCATTCCTGATGGGCCCATCGCTGTTGGGCAAGAAGATGGCTGCCCATTTTGCCGAATTCAACAGAGACCTCAAGGCTCGAGTAGAGGCTTTGTAATCTACGCCGTCAAGGACGACGCCATGGCTTGCGCCGCCAGGGGTACCTTGTACGCCCGTTTGCTATACGCACTGCTTCTTTTGTTTACCCCACACGCCACCCCAGCGGTCGCATATCCCTGCCAGTCTGGCTTGGCCGAAGAGTGATACGAAGATAACCCCTTTTTGTTTCGAAAGCGACCTTGCTAGAGTTATTTTGAATAGTCTCACTATATTTGAAGCGTTCTAACATGCGTGGCACTTTAATTGGGCACCTTGGCTTGCATGAAAGATCCTGTACGAGTTGAGACTGTAACGGCCCCCAAACAAATTAAGCCCCCTGCTGATGATCGACCAAGACCAGGGTCAAGAACGTGGCTGTGAGAAATAGAGAATTGGTAATCGGCAGTATGTTAGTTAGGTACACCGAGGTAAATGAAACATGGTTGAGCGCATTCGGTGAAGTGGCAAGAATGAATGGACTGTGACGAATAGCTTGAAAGATCAAAACAGTGCATGGAGATGGATGAGATCCTCTGGATAATGGTAGCGCAAGGCAAGGGGACAGGTGTTACACAAGTAAAAGAATTAGAGGGGAGGGAAAAAAGGTAGACAAAAAAGACAAAGCAAAAAAGAAAGGTGCAGTTGTCTCACCAAGCAGCCAGCTTCCCTGTAACGGGACGGTGTATTCCGGCGACGCCACCCCCAGGGTGGAAGTGTCTCTGCAGAATTGCTTCCCTCAAGGGTCACTTCCATTGCTTAGCGCCTCACAGCGTCGTGGATTACTCGCACGAGTGTAGCGGCGACCCCAGGATTCGTACCGGGCACACGTACCCGCTGGCACAAGGCCGAAGCAAGGTTGCCAGCTTGGCGGTGGGCCTCCCACTAGGTTATCCATGACAGATTAACAATATTACAATGTTTTTCACCCTATTATCACAGTCTCAAATTTCAAGGCCCCGTGTTCGAACCCAAGTACCACCTTTTATCTTATCTTACCATGAAATCTCCCTCGAATGTGTCCAAGCTATTCAGGAACTAATAGAAATACCTTTTTCTTTTGTACTTCAAGTTATGCGAGACTTTTGTCATAATAAAAAAAAATTAAAATAAAAAAACTCGCACAATACTGAAACATAAAACAGCCGTCCGCCCGGTCGGGGTCGGAGGTCGGCATATGGTGACCTATTGCTTGCCTTACCGGGGGTTCGGGGTAAATTGCAACCCGCCCAAGGCTAAGGCTTCAGACTCCGAGAACCCTCCAATTAGAAATCTACCTAATAATGTCACCCAAAACCCGAAGGCAACGGGATATATGTAAGCCGACGGTGATACAGACGTGCAGTCTTCAATGGGACAGCCCAGGAACGTCATAGACTACGTCTTATACATGGGCCCCTGACGTTTCACATGAGGCAAAAGCACAGCATCTTCATTGCATAGCAAGATTGGAGGTATATCTTCAGCGGACGACTTATGAGGTAGACAGGGCTTGATTGGGTGCTGTCAATTCAAGCCATTATTGTAACTCTAGGCATTAAACGGCACTCCATGGTGACCCGGGCATCACTAATTGGCCAACTACACCCAAGGGGCTAACATCTGATTAATGATGATGCCCAGAGGACGTTCCGGTGAAGTGTGGCCGACGGAGCAATTATCAGCCCGATCGAACTATCCTGGTGGAACTGTGGGGATTGGCAGGGATGGATCTGAACCCATTTCACATGTGGTATTATGTAGGTGGCTAGTTGTGCATGGAATTTGGTTAGTAAGTCAGAGTTATTTTATTCCGGGCAGATATTCTCGGGGGCCGAGGCCCCGCTATGGCTATGTATTACAATGCCGTTACCCTACCAGCTCATCTTTCGGGAGACTGGTCCGTGCCTCCGATTGGTTGAATCAACTTTCTTCAGGCCCACACCTTGCGAGGATGATCGAAACGGGCGACCCCATATACTGATTTTGACGATTAGAAATCAACTCTGGTTCTCCCTCTTCGAGAATTTCAGGCCCGGATAGAGAATACCTCCCACTCCGGGTAGGTCTCTCGATGATGCGCACCCGCCACTCTTCGCCGGAGATATAGATAGTGATTCGGCTTACGCCGGCTCCGAAACAGCCAAGAGGGTTCGTAGGATCGCCATAAAACTAGAAAATTCTGGATTGTTGCCTCTAGGCTTTCGCCATGTGGATACTGACGATATGACCATGGATCTCGGAAGTCCCGATCACCGATGATATTGGGACTGGATTTTCCTTAAGTATTGGGTCATATAGTTCTCGTCTAGGAACCTCACTCGATCCACTCATTTCTCTCAACTCCGACCCTTACGCCGCTCGTTCAGCCTACCATGCACGTCGTGCACGAGGAAGGTCCCTATGAGGATCCTCTTCATAGTATTTATGAGGAACAACGCACTGGAGCCTCATCACCATCCTCCTCCAATGATACCCTAGCACCACCCACGAGCCCCCGGGCTGAAATTGACCCAGCTGATGCCCAGTATATCACCCAACTGGTCAGCTGCGACCAACAACTCTCCAAGATCGCTTCTCGAGCCATTGGCCCCGATCATCCCGCCCTCGATCCCGACAACAAAGAATTCGACCTCTCCCAGTGGCTGCGGTACATAGTACAGCAGCTGAATCGCGAAGGAATTCTTAATTCCAAAGCCAGCGTCTACTTTCGCAATGTCACCGTCACGGGCACAGGTGCTGCCCTGCAGCTGCAGCAGACGGTGGATGGAATGCTCACCTCGCTTCTTCGTCCACGCGAGACATTCAACCGCGGCACCAAGGCGCCCAAGCAGATCCTAAAGCAGTTCGATGGTGTCCTTGACAGTGGTGAGCTTCTAATTGTTCTTGGACGACCGGGGTCTGGCTGCAGCACTCTTCTCAAGACTCTGTGCGGCGAACTGTACGGCTTGGAGCTTGACAAGAACTCCGAAATTCATTGCAATGGCATCCCACAGCAGACAATGCAGAAGGAGTTCAAGGGTGAGATGGTTTACAACCAAGAGGTTGACAAGCACTTCCCTCATTTAACGGTCGGTCAGACGCTCGAGTTTGCTGCCACCGCCCGCACTCCTTCAGCCCGTGTGCAAGGTCTATCTCGTGAAGAATACGCCAGGTCATTCACCAAGGTGATGATGGCAGTGTTTGGACTTACTCATACTTACAACACCAAAGTGGGCAATGACACTGTCCGTGGTGTGTCTGGGGGCGAGCGGAAGCGTGTCAGCATTGCAGAGATGGCACTGGCTCGAACTCCCTTCGCTGCATGGGATAACTCGACAAGAGGCTTGGATTCTGCCACTGCTTTGCATTTTGTTCAATCGCTACGACTAGCCGCTGATATTCACGATTCGACCCATGCCGTAGCCATCTACCAGGCCAGTCAGGCGATCTACGACCTCTTCGATAAGGCCGTGGTTCTTTACGAGGGCCGTCAGATCTATTTCGGTCCCGCAAATGCAGCAAAGGCCTTCTTTGAGCGACAAGGCTGGCAGTGCCCGTCTCGTCAAACCACTGGCGATTTCCTCACCTCAGTTACCAATCCGGTTGAGCGCCAAGCGCGTGCTGGCATGGAGAACCAAGTCCCGCGAACGCCCGACGAATTCGAGGCTTACTGGCATCGTTCACCGGAATATCAAGAGCTGCAGCGAATCATGAAGGAGCACCATGATGCGGTCACATCGCAGTCAGATAATAATATCCGCCAACTTAAGGATCAGAAGCTTCAGGCGCAGGCAGATCACACTCGCTCAGCTTCGCCTTATCTGCTCAGTGTGCCAATGCAAATCAAGATGAACACGAAGCGTGCCTACCAGCGTGTGTGGAATGAACGTACGTCCACCGTCACAACCTTTATCGGAAACTGTGTGATTGCCCTGATCGTTGGATCGGTATTCTATGAGACCCCCGCTGCCACCAGCAACTTTTACCAAAAAGGCGCCGTTCTCTTCTATGCAGTACTTCTCAACGCCTTGACAGCCATGACAGAGATCAACAGTCTGTACTCACAGCGACCAATCGTTGAGAAGCACAATACGTATGCGTTCTACCATCCATTCACTGAAGCCATTGCCGGAATCCTGAGCGACATCCCCGTCAAGTTCCTGCTCGCAGTCGCGTTCAATGTCATATTATACTTCCTCAGCAATCTCCGACGAGAACCCTCTCAGTTTTTTATTTACTTTCTCATCAACTTCATCATCATGTTTGTCATGAGTGCAATCTTCCGTACCATGGCCGCCATTACCAAAACCGTGGCCCAGGCTATGACTCTCGCCGGTATCTTGATTCTAGCACTGGTAATCTACACAGGATTCGTTGTGCCAGTGCCATACATGCATCCCTGGTTTGGCTGGATACACTATCTCAATCCAATCTACTATGCCTTCGAAATCCTGGTGGCCAATGAGTTCCATGGTCGCGACTTTGCCTGTTCTTCGATTGTCCCAGCTTATCCGAACATGCAGGGTGATACCTTCATCTGCTCCTCCAAGGGTGCTGTGGCTGGTCAAACTACAGTCAGTGGCGATGCTTATATCTGGGCTGCCTACCATTACTCGTACACCCATGTATGGCGTAACTTTGGAATTCTAGTCGCCTTTTTGATCGGCTTCCTGGCCATCTACTTCGTCTGCACCGAGCTCAACTCATCAACCACGAGTACTGCCGAGGTGTTGGTTTTCCGACGCGGACACGAACCAAAGGCTTTGAAGAACGGCGGTGCCGACGAAGAAGACGGAAACAATGGACCGGTGGTAGCTTCGTCTAACGAGAATGCTCAATCTGGCCTGCCGTCTCTACCACCACAGCGGGACCTCTTCACCTGGCGTGATGTCGTTTATGATATCAAGATCAAGGGTGAGCCTAGACGATTGCTAGACAATGTCTCTGGATGGGTCAAACCGGGTACCCTGACTGCGTTGATGGGTGTGAGTGGTGCTGGCAAAACTACGCTGTTGGATGTATTGGCTCATCGCACAACCATGGGCGTCATCACTGGCGATATGTTCGTTAATGGAAAATCCCTTGATTCAAGTTTCCAACGGAAAACGGGCTACGTCCAGCAACAAGATCTGCATCTTGAGACCGCAACAGTGCGTGAGAGTCTTCGATTTAGCGCAATGCTCCGCCAACCAGCCTCTGTGCCAAAGGAAGAAAAGTATGCCTACGTCGAGGAGGTTATCTCTATGCTGAACATGGAGGAATTTGCCGAAGCGGTTGTGGGTGTGCCAGGTGAGGGCCTGAACGTGGAACAGAGAAAGTTGTTGACCATTGGCGTGGAATTGGCTGCCAAGCCTAAATTATTGCTTTTCCTTGACGAACCAACTAGGTAAGCCTTATACACCATTCCCATCTGCGGATATTTACTAACAGGATATAGCGGTCTCGACTCTCAAAGTTCCTGGGCAATTTGCAATTTCCTTCGCAAACTCGCCGACGCCGGCCAGGCCATCTTGTGCACTATTCACCAGCCTAGCGCCATCCTTTTCGAGCAATTTGATCAGCTGCTATTCCTCGCTCGTGGTGGCAAAACCGTATACTTCGGTCCCATTGGCAGCAACTCTCGCACCCTCCTTGATTACTTCGAAAGCCACGGAGCCCGTCCCTGTGCTGATGACGAGAATCCAGCTGAGTATATGCTCGAGATAGTCAACGCAGGCACCAACCCAGAAGGCAAGGCGTGGTTTGACCTATGGACTGGAAGTCCTCAGGCAGCGGGTGTGCAAAAAGAAATTGACCGGATCCACGAGAGCAAGAGAGATCAGCCAGCGCACGACCCTGATCAGATTCCAGATCCAAGAGAACAATCCGAGTTTGCTATGCCAATCATGAAGCAAATGCCTATCGTCCTGACCAGAGTGTTCCAGCAGTACTGGCGGATGCCAGACTACGTTATGTCGAAAATCATGCTGGGTCTTTGCTCTGGTCTCTTCATCGGGTTCTCCTTTTTCAGACCCGACCATTCCCTGCAGGGTATGCAGGACCAGATTTTCTCTCTTTTCATGATTTGTGCAATCTTTTCTTCCTTGGTCCAACAAATCATCCCTTTGTTCCTAACTCAACGCGCGCTCTATGAAGTCCGCGAGCGTCCTTCCAAGACTTACTCGTGGGTCGCGTTCATGACGTCTTCCATTCTGGTTGAAATTCCCTACCAGATCCTGATGGGTGTCCTTGTATACGGTTGCTACTACTATGCCGTGGATGGTGTACAGAGCTCCTCGCGACAAGGATTGGCTCTCCTATTTTTCTTGCAATTCTTCGTGTATGCCAGCACTTTCGCGGATATGGTCATCGCGGCTCTTCCAGACGCCGAAACAGCGGGTGCAATCGTGACTCTCCTGTTTTCCATGTCCTTGACATTCAACGGTGTCATGCAAACACCTGACGCCTTCCCCGGATTCTGGATCTTTATGTACCGGGCTTCTCCATTCACCTATTGGGTGGGCGGTGTCGCTGCTAACCAAATGCACGGCCGAGAGATCAAGTGCAGCAACACGGAAATGTCTGTCTTCAACCCACCCTCTGGCGCGACCTGCGGCCAGTACCTTGAGAAGTACCTTTCTGTGGCCCCTGGGTATTTGGAGAATCCAAACGCTACCCAGTCTTGTGCCTATTGCTCTCTCTCGACAACTGATCAGTACTTGAGCTCCGTGCGAATGGTATGGGATGAGCGATGGCGTAATTTTGGCATCTTTTGGGTTTATATCGCAGTTGACATTGCTGCGGCTGTTGCTTTGTACTATTGTTTCCGGGTGAAGAAGTGGAATTTTGGCAAGCAGAAGGCTGCTTAGCTTAAGGGCTTAATAGACGGGATAGAATCATACACCATTCCATTCATAAATATGTTCGGTCATTGTGCGAGTCAATAACTGGAATTTCTTAGGTAGCCAGATGAGACTACGCTTCAAATTTCGATAAAGTTATATCTGCTGGGATTAATATAAGTATAGCTAAATAGTTCGAACCTCGTATATGTACCTAGCACTTAGGTGTAAATAGGGTCGTCACTGATGGCACTTGCTGAGACGCGAGTGATGTTGAGCATGACCACCTGCCGGAAGTCCCGTCGATTCTCAGCTTTCCCCTCGGTGGTTCATATCGTCTACTCAAGAACTAGGTGATTTCCAAACTCAGATATTTGTTGTTCGGGAACGAGGATCACTGCCAAATACTAGACCGCCATGCCATCAACCGCTATCACCTCCACGGCAAAACACAAGCAAAGACCAATAGGAATCAAATAATTTATCGGCAGAGCCCTCACAGCCCACAATGATTGTACCGCCATCCACGGTAATCTTTATTATACGCCATTCTTCGTCCCACATGACTAAATATTGTCGCTACCTTGTGGTGAGAATTGTTATTCCTGGGCTCATCGCATTCGAATACAGTGCACGGCCGAAGCCCAATGGCTGGCATTTCGAAGGAAGATGTGTAGGATGGAACGAACGAGGACTTGTACGCTGGAGGATATGAAGAGCGCGGATAAGTTGGAAGATCCGAACGGCTTTCTGTGTCGAGAGTAGCATCGCAGCCAGATTATATTTCGGTTCAGTGAGTGAGTGTAGCTTTCTAAATGCTACAGCCTTGCGATACCTCTTTGAAACCTCAATTCATATCATCTGAACCGTTCATCGCGACTTGTTCTGCACGCTTGATCTCAAGATCCTGGGCCGTGAAGTAGTTCGACGATCAATATTTGAGTTTGAACCAATCTGGGTGAGTCCTTGCGAGATTGAAAGGAGAGGGCTGCTCATCAAGAGGGACAATGCCCTCGCCGCTTCCCATTGTAGGCTCGGTATAGATCCATGGATTGCCTCTCATTCAAGACTACAATATAGGAGCCGCAAAGGTCTTGCCGCCTATTGCCAAAGAGCTGGCGGAGAAGTCCGGTTTTCTATATTTCTGCTAGTGCAGATCTTTCCTCCATAAGAAAGTAACAATTATGCAAAAGGGAATTTCCATTATGACATATGAGTAAAAGTATAGTCAAGGAAACAGGCGAGGGTCGCCGAAGCCAGAAGCCAGCGATATCTAGACTGGCAACGCACATTAGCGTTGATTTTAACCCCTGATGACTTCAGCGGTCACCCTGTTGTGGATTCACTGTAGGGAGGCCATTCAGAGGCGCAGCAGTTTGGCACTGAGCGTCGCGTCAGTGCGCTGTACCACCAGTTTCTCACGCGGGCACTGCCCCATCCGGATATGCGGAGAGTGTGGATCCAGGAGGATGCAGGACTGTGGGACCCAAGGGGGAATGAGCAGGAACAGCCATTTTTACGCAGATTGGCTGATCGCGATCATCGCTATGGCTGATGTGGGAGGACTGCTGATCGGACGATGGAGAGGGAGGGCATGACGTAGTTGGTGAGCCGAGCAAACTGGGGATGGGGCTGATCACGTGATGGGTCCCCAGTTGGTCGCATTTCATCGCCGGGGTTTTCTTCTCTTCGGCTTCCAATCCTCCTTTCTGGTGGCCCTTTTGTTAACTATGCCTCCTTTTCGCAATCTCCTCGGCCGAAAGCCCCAGCCCAATGGCGCCGACGTGGCTGTCTTGGACGAGACCCGTCTGTCGCCGAACCAGCGCCCGGGCCCGGCTCCCATCAGTATGCGCCGGAGTTGTGACGGCCAACAGCCTCCCGAATACAAATTGAGTGGTACGACTGGGCCTGACTTCTCACTACGTCGCTGTAGTACACGCTTGTCAAGGGTATAATTTGCTAATATTGCTTGATCTGATAGTCGTGAACGATAGCGGCGTTTATCTTCCGGTTTAGTATCTCCCTCGACGATTGAACAATGCAATCGACGAACCGGGAGGAAGGCGCCGACTGACAGTGGATATAGCCTTCTCCTCCTGAGAAACAAAGCTTCTGGCACCGGTACCCTGGCTCGTCGCGGTCGGCGAACCATCGTGATCTCGTCGATGAGAATGAACCCTTCTCGATCTCGCGCGAATCATTCGATTCGTATCGTCGTTCATTCGTACGCACCTCCATGGCCATCGCTTGACCAGCGCAAGACAACCAAGACTGACCCAACTCAGGACATCTCCGCCCGCTCCCCGGTACTACACTCCGAAGCCGCGCCCTCCCGAACGTCTCTCGACTCCCGCTTTTCCCGCATCAACTCCGTGCGTTCCACCAGCTTCGAACGGCCCGAGCGCATGGAAGAAGAGAATTTTGAGGATGTCGGCCTTAATGATGACTCCAAGCCCAAGAAAAAAGGGCTCTTCGCACGATTTGGCGATTCGTCCAACGACACACAACAATCCGCCAACAAGTCGTCAACATCCTTTGGGTTCCACATACCCGGCCGAAAGCACGGGCAGAGCGGGGGTGGATCGGAGTTGGGCACCGTGAAGACCCCGACAGCTGTCGTAGCACCTGCCGCTGAGAACAGCGAATAGCAACCAGCTGGCTGAGCATGCATGATGAGACGATATTTTCGACAAGCGGTTTGATTTATTGGGGCGTTCTGGCTTATCAGGGTCGCGTGATTGATTCGCGCCATGTTCTCTTGTTTGTCGATGATATCCGCTGGACACGCAGCTGTCGCTAATGGATGCAGTTGTTTCTATTGAGGGATGGTGCACGGCTCTCCTTTATTTGCATCTTCTTTGTACAATTCTTTTTTCTTTTTTTTTCACCTTGTTTCTTTTCCTTTTTTTGAATTGACCGAGGACTGGCCCTAATGGCGACATGACAAGATCGAGTCCTCTTATCCCACACAAATTCCTTTAGAAATGGCTGATATACACTTACCAATGAATTACAATACAATAAACGCTATATATGCAATCATAATATATAGACACAGTATTTCTCCAAATATGTCAACACGTTCTGTCTTGCAACTCGATCGCAGGCTCTTATCAGTGCAAACCGTGCAAACAACCGGCAAAAAAACTTCCTCCGCCCGCAACCAAAAAAATTATCCTCCAGCACAACGGGCATCTGCAGCTCGTAAACCTACCCAACTTTTTGTCCATTCCCAGTCCAGAGACATTACCAGCGTCGCTGTGACTTATATCAACCATGCCTGGTGTGAAACGTCGTGTCGACGCCGCTGAGGACCGCAATGGAAAGCGGAGCAAGAGCCAGGTCTCCGCACCAGTGAAGAAAACCAAGACCGCCGCGCCGGCGAAGAAGGCGGCTGCTGCTTCTTCGAAAAAGGGCGTCAAGTCCGGCAAGACCGACAAGAAGGCATCCAAGAAGAAGGTTCAGGAGGAGGACTCCGAGGAGGATGACGACGACTTCGACATCGACGATCTTTCTTCGGCTTCCGGGGATGACGATTTTGATACCCTGGATGCTTCTCCCAAGGATGTTGACATGGACGGAGTGAGCGACGATGATGAGGACAGCGAGGAAAAGGAACCTGGGGAGCAAAAGAGCTTCAAGTCGGATAAGACGGCTACCACCGCACAGGATGGCAAACAACAGAACGGCGGCGAGGCAGCAAAGAGTATGTATTCTGTTACATTATACACCGCGGAATCAAATTGGGCTGAGAATACTAACATCGCTATTTTGATAGGCAATGCGTCCCGCGAGTCGCACGCAAAGCAAAAGGCCCTCCAGCTGGAGCGCAAGGCAGCCAAGCCCAATGCTGACATGATCGCCCGCTCTAAGAAGCTCTGGGAGCAGCTGCGCCGCAAGTCCCACGTCCCGCTTGAACAACGGAAGAAGCTCATCAAGGAACTATTCGAGATTATCACCGGCCGCGTCCGCGATTTCGTGTTCAAGCACGACTCAGTGCGAATTATCCAGACTGCTTTGAAGTATGGTAACCTGGAGCAGCGCAAGGGGATTGCGCAGGAGTTGAAGGGGAGCTATAAGGAGCTGGCACAGAGCCGCTACGCCAAGTTTCTGGTTGGCAAGTTGATCGTGCACGGTGATACAGAGACACGGGATCTGATCATCCCCGAGTTCTACGGACATGTTAAGCGTCTTATTCGCCACCCCGAGGCATCGTGGATTCTCGACGATATCTACCGTACAGTGGCGACCAAGGAGCAGCGCCGCCGAATCCTCCGCGAGTGGTACGGCCCTGAGTTTGCCATCTTCCAGGATGACAAGGAGACGTCCGATCTCCCCAAGATCCTGGAGGCGCACCCTGAGAAGCGGTCGCCTATCATGCACTTCTTGCACGAGATCATCAACCACATGGTTCAAAAGAAAACCACCGGTTTCACTCTCTTGCACGATGCTATGTTGCAATATTTCCTCAGCACCAAGCCCGGCAGCAACGAGGCGAACGAATTTATCGAGCTGCTCAAGGGCGATGAGGAGGGTGATCTGGTGAAGAACCTGGCGTTCACCCAGTCCGGCTCGCGCCTGATGTGTTTGACCCTGGCCTACGCTGGTGCTAAAGACCGCAAGCTGCTTCTGCGCTTCTACAGAGACACCATCAAGATGATGGCAGGCGATGTGAACGGTCACATGGTAATCCTTGCCGCATACGAAGTGATTGACGACACGAAACTGAGCGGCAAGTCTATCTTTTCGGAGCTCTTGAACCAGAACGATGCGGAAGAGGCTCGCAATGAGGAGCTGACCCTCCAGGTCAACGACTTGATTGCCCGTGTCCCAGTGCTTTTCCCCTTCGCTGGTGATCGTGTGAAGTGGCTTCTGCCCGAGGCCGACCAGGAAGTGCTCAAGGAGATTCGCGAGATCCGGAAAGAAACCTCGAAGAAAGAACCCGCCGTCCGGCGCAACGAGCTGGCTGCAGCCGCCTCGCCTACCCTGCTTGCCTTTATTGCCGCCCGCGCCGAGACTCTGCTCCAGACGAGCTTCGGATGCCAGTTCATCGGCGAGGTGCTATTCGAAGCTACCGGCGACAAGACCGCCGCCCTGGAGGCCGTCGCCAACGCCGCGAAGACCAAGGCTGTCGCCAATGCCGAGAAGCCCGAGGCCGAGCAGGGCGACTCCGACCCTGCCCCCGAGCAGCGGGACTCTGGCGCCGCCTTCGGGCGTCTGCTTAAGTCCCTCGTGCAGGGTGGCCGGTACAACCCGGCCACCAAGTCTGTGGAAAAGCTGAGCCCGCCTCTGAACTTCCACGACCTGCTGTACGAGCAGATCCGCAACGAGGTTGTGGAGTGGGCCACGGGCCCCGATACCTTTGTAATTGTCGCGATGGCCGAGTCGGACGACTTCAAGGGCAAGAGCGAGCTGCTCAAGACCCTCAAGAAGAATCAGAAGGCGCTGACGAAGGCCGCGGATTCCGGCAAGGGCGAGAAGAAGGCTGGTCCCGCGGCCAGCGGTGCCAAGCTGCTGCTGCAGAAGCTATAGATATGAGCATTGGGCCTTGATTACTGGTCTCTGAGTGGAAGGGCGTTTAATGGATGTCGTTATTGTGTAACATGTACAAACGGAGTCGCGAACAAAAAGCATTCTATTTCGATGACCTCTAGTCGTGGTTGTTCTCATGAAATTGTAAAATTAGAGTCTCCACCAAGCGGTGGATTCCCGTGGAACGCAGCCGCGGATCTCAGGGGTTCGAACCGCCCGATGGCGGGTGTTCGCCCCCGACAGCTGAACAGGGCAGTCCTTGCTTGACCAACTTGCAGCAGTCATTTCGCGCGCCCTTGTATCACCTCAAACTGAGCTATAAGTTCGGAAGCTCGGGCACAATGTCCACTATTGTCTAATTAGGGTGGTTCGTGCCATTGGCTGCTGCAGGAGGGCACGGGCGCTCTAGATATCTTAGACTTTGTTGGACGTGTTTGCCGAGTGGAGGTTAGTGTAATTAAACACTGGGTAACCTAAAAACTCTATGAGCTTCGTGACAACAATGCCTTTTTGTGAAAGACGACTTGTATACTTCCCCCTCTTACCTCCCACCACACCGACCCTCGTAATCCTAACGAGGCACTCCCAGTCCCACCAACCACTCTGCTTGTCGGCACATCGGAGACGCCACCAGAAAAGCGATAGCTAATCCCTCGCAGCAACAGCGCGATTATCTTCAACCACACGCTGCCCAAACGGGCAAGGATCTCGGTACGCTAAACCGCATCCACCGCGCCCGTTAGGGGCAGTTTTCAGGGCAAATCGACGCCGAACGGACTAGGCTGCTTGTACCAACGGCCTCTTCGTTTCCCCTTCTCCTTTCCATCCTCCAGTCCAAATCTGACCAAGAGAACCACCCCGGCCCCGGGCCTCCCTTCGTCACGCATGCCCTCCCTCACCCTGACCGACCCGGACATGATCCTGCCGTATGACGGCAGCGAGCGCGAATCCCAAACCCCATCCCCGCCCTCCCAGCTGGTTTACCTGACCAACCTGAATGCGCGCTACAACGCCGCCGACCCTCATGCCGGCCCCGGCCGGCCCAAGAAAAATTTTTCGCGGCACAACCGGACGCACGAGGACGGGAATGTCAATCGCCGCTTGTCGGATATCGGGGAGGAGCTGTCGCCTGCGCGATCAGAGCGGTTCCAAGATGCTGAACCGCACCAGCAGAGGCGAGCAATCTCGCCGCGAACGGATCATTTGACTGTGTCCGGACATCAGGGGACGGCAAATGCGGCGTGGAGTAGTAGCTCTAGCTCGACGGCGAGTGTGGGAGGTGGGCGCGCCTCACGAGAGGCATCCTCGCCGCAGACTGCGCCGGACGTGTCGCCGAATCCGAGTGCCGCGGAAGGTGGAAACAAGACCCGTGATAGCGGGGACGGGGTCAGGGCTGCAACTGCATTGCCAGATAGCAGCGTCGTGGCATCTGTGGCCAAGGGCAAGGGCCCTGGAGAAGAAATCTCGTCCGTGATATTGAGCAGTGAAGCAGAGCGGATTCTTGAGAATGCAAAGAAGCGTCTGACGGTATGTGGAGACCGGGCACGGTAGAGGCGAAAAATAGGGGCATTCCAGCGGTTGCTAAGTTGCTAACTTGTTCGACAGTTAATGGAAGGCAATTTGAACCGCGCTCGCTCGTCGGTGCGTCTCACGCCCTCGCCCTCGCCGTCGGCGTCGGGGGCCACGTCGCCCATGGGGCTGCACCCCGGTGGGCTGTACCGGTCCATTTCCAAAGCAGATCGCAAGGGATCTACGCTGCGGCGCCAGTCGCTCCTTCCGCAGGAGGCATCGACCAAACGGCATTCGCGCGTACATAGCGATACCAACTTCCCTCCAGAGTCAAGCTTGTCAACTGATACGAAGCGACCGTCCCGTTCGGTCTCGGCGATGGGATCGAGTAGCATGTCGAGTTTCCACAACGACGAGCGTTCCTTTCAATATGACCCTACACGATCCTATCTTACACATCGGGCGTCTATCTCATCTATGCGGCCTCCGCATTTAGACCAGGCACAATCGCCTCAGCCAGCACAATCACCGGGCCTTCTGGACTCCCCGGTCATCCAGTCCCCTGTTCTCCGGGATGACAGCTCCACATCCTCTCCCAGGGGTCTGGGCTTTTCTGAGGAGGACGAGTCCAGATCTAACTCCAACGGAGGTGACTTCAGCCCGGTTTACAGCTCGTACGGACCACCCAGCCGCGCGCAGTCCCAGCTACAGGTACGTGACCTTCAGTACCAGATGAAGGGTCTCCACATCAAGATATCCTCGCTCAAGGTGCGGACCCAGGAGGATAATCTCCGCCGGCGGAGCTTGCAAAGCCTGCGCACGCCTAGTCCTTTGACTGCTGCGGACCCTTGGTACCAGAATGGCTTGGAGGTCCGCGACGGTCGAAGCAGCCGCGGGTCGAGCGCTCGACGGGACGGGAGCTCAGAATATGCACGCGAGACCCAGTCCCGGCAGTACTACACCGAAACTGCTCCCAAGCATCAAACCGGGCCTTTTAACCCTGAGCAAAGTGATGATAGCCCTATGGAGCAAAGTCCCAATCTTGCGCAGGGTACGGACAGGACTTGGCAGGGTCACGGGCATGGCGGCTATAACGGCCGCCAGTCTGCCTCGGTGAGCTTGTATGAAGACGCTGAGGAGGGCGACTACTTTGACGATGGCGACATCGACCGGGAAGCGCTGGACGAAATCCTGCGTGAGCCGCTCGACGCAGACCTAGCCACACCCCACGAGGAGCGCGAGGACGCCTTCGACTACGAGCATTTCATTCTCCACAGCGCTCTGGGCAACTTCTCGCAGCAGATGCGCCGTAGAAGCGTCAGCTCTCGGGGTTCTGCTGAGACGACGCGACCTACCCAACCGGTGCGACACTCTCGAGCTAACAGCGCTGTGTCTGTCTCGAGCGATGCCACATTTGCTACGGCCACCGAAGGCGAGCCGATGCCCGATGACGCGGACGACATCCTGTACTGGGACCGGCGGTTCAACCATGAACTACGCCACCGCCATCACAGCCAACATGCCGGCCCTGCCACCGGGACTGACCGCTCTGAAACGCCCCGTGGCGCGCGCGACGATGGCAATGCCACCCCAGTCGGATTCCAGGAATCTCCATCACGGAATATGGACATGACAGGCCGGTCCTCGACCGCCGGCTCTGCGACTCCGACATCTCTTGTTTCCTCGCTTGTTTCGACCGTTCGCGCGGCTTCGAGCCCGCACCCTGGCTCCGCGACTCCCACCTCCGGCGGTATCAACCACGACGATACCCAGATGCTGGAGCAGCTCTTCCACAGCCTTGGCAATGTCTGCATGGAGCTCCAGGCCCTCACGACCTCGCCCGATCCAGACGTGAAGGCCGCGCGTGTGCTGCGGCGACGACTGGATGCGGCGCGGAGAGTGCTCGATGGCGAGCTTGATGCTTAACTCCCAGCTCGCTCTGTATGAGGCCTGGTATGTGTGCTTGGTATCCTTGTACGATCTCGCTCTGTTCCTTCCTTTCCCTTTTTCTCTTTTTTTTTTTAAAGTCTCCATGATACCCAATGTCTTTTCTATCTATCCTTTTATCAGATATATTTCCTTCTGTTCTCCCCGCATGGTTGATCCATATCCATAGTATTGTCTATTTACTATACGATTCGTGTCGAAGTTGCGCGCATCTCCCTACTACTTTGCCTGTATCCAAATCAATTCTGAACCAGACTGGACTCTCACAGGGTGTCTTTCCGATGATGAAAATAGCCTATATCCTACTTAAACCCCGAACCTTATGCCTATATCCCTGGCCTTTCCAGTCGAGCCATTAGTCTCAATAGTACAACCCACGCGTGGCGGCTCACATCTTCCCCTCCAGCCCCACCAGCGTCAACGCGCACGGCAAATGAGAGCAGCACCAGCGTCGGTCCACCGAAAGACCTACAACCCATATTTCGGTATTTATCGGGCGTGCATGGCCTTAGATTCAACAGCGATCCTTCATACCCGATCCTGATTTCTTCTAGAAACAGCGCTCTCTGTCGCGGCGCGGGTGAAGTACGCGGCATCCCCCCTTTTCGCCCCGCGGTCCCCCTCCACGGGTATTTTGATCGCGGATCCCAGACTGGATAAGCAGAGCCTGTCGCACCTCCTCCGTCCGGCTAGTGCACCAGTGGCTGCGCGGATATCCGAGTAAGATCTACTGACGACCCCTTTCTCTGCTGTTTATTTTAGAATCATAATAACGGGATTCCGCAGGCGAGGAGCGTCTCTCTGAAGCGCGAGGCGCGAGGCGCGAGATCCCCAATCCCCGCGCGGGATAGCAACGACTCAAAGCGAGCGCATCTTCCGCGCACAGGCTCCCCTGGATACTGCGTATCATTCACCGACAGACAGCGAATTGCATCATTGCATAATCAAGTCTCATCTATCCCCATTCCCACGACCATGAGCAATCCCCTGCCGATCTCGCGCCGCCTCCTCATCTTCCAGGAGGCGCGCAACCCGCATGACTCGGCGGAGGTCGTCTATCTCCCCGTCAACAAACTGGGTCTGCCCATCTGCGGCGAAGGGCCGGAGCTGCCATCAATCTTGAAGCTTCCGCTGCGCATTCTGAAGGTGTTTACTGAGATTTTCAATCAGCCAAAGTACAAGGGGTGGTATGTTTTTTTCCTTCTCCTTGTCTTCTATCCTATATTCTATATCCTTTCTTTTGCGGGATTCAATATCGGTTCCGGTTTGGGAAAAGCTGACCTAATCATTTTCACCAGGGCTGTCGTTGCTGCGGGCCCGTACCATGATACATCGGAGGAAGGCAAGTTCTATGCAGTTGTTCTGGAACAAATGCCGCCCCAGGCCCAAGGCCAAGGTCAGGGAGCGATGGGGATAATGACTGCAACGCCATGATGTTGAGGCATGGGTTGGGGGAGGGTGGTTGTGTATAGTCTATGATTCTTGTGTTATTATCCGCGCGACTTCGAAGACTGAGAGCTCTTCTAGATTCCAGTCTATTTGTATGATTGCTTCCCCAGAAGGGCATGCGCCTGTTCCTTATCCCAGCCGCATATAAAAGCTGCAGAATGAAAGTCTGTTATGCTCGAACATGCAGATCGTTTTTCATCTACTTTCATTGAGTGCAGAAACTTTTCCTTTATAAAAATACAGTCATACACATGGCTTCAAGGGACATAGCAAGCTAGAAAGGGAGGGAGAGGATGTCCACTATCCCTCTATGATAATCTTCCCACTAGAACTGTACAATGGTCCCTTTTTTCAGGCCATGATACATTCAGGAGGTATTTTCTCGAGATGGACTCTCGCTGACCATTTTGTTGCTCACTTCACCTCTCTCACTTCTCCGGTTAATCATATGCCCCATTGGCTCCTAAGATGTCATTTATCACTGTTGAGACACTTGAGAACTAAGTACCTCCCCTCCTAGAACCTCCTGGTAGTCTATTCAGTTCCACCACTCATTTTGGTCTTGGTCTTGCTCCGCTATCTCGACCATTTGGAGGCATCGATGTCCCGTGATCATGCCTGAAAACCCCCAAAACATCTTCTAATTGCAGGCAGGCTGCTTCTTGACCAATGAGATCGCGGGCAGATGACTTGATACACTACTTCCGTTTGTTTGTCATGCAGCAAGCGGAGCTCCGTGACTCTTTCAAGAAACCTCCCAAGCAGCCAACGCCATCTAACGGAATCTTCCCCAGACCACTTCCTCACATCCTCCCTCCCCAACTCCCTCCATTCCTGCAGACTGGGACCTTCCCTCCGGTTCCCCTTCAAGATTCCCTTCCTCCCAACCTCAGAGATGGTTCTGCTTGGGGGTTTCATGCGAGAATCCAGGCTAATCCCCCCGGGCGAGCCACCGATGCCGAGTGTGTTAGGATCAACGGAATGGTTGATCTCACGACGAGGAGCCATTTGAATGTATCAGGGATCTCAGCCATGAAAAGGGTTGTTCACATGGAAACAGTTGTTGTTGGTGTGCTGACAAGTTGTGGCATTAGGAAGGAGATGGGCAAGAAGGTGCTTATCAACAAAGCATCAACAGGCACCCTGGCCAAACGCAGCCAAAGGTGTAGGCAGAATCAAGAGCGTCATGTGCAGATCGGAGCCTTCAGGATTCACTTTCCTCTTCACTGTCCTACTAGGTATTTTAGCCTATTCACTCCTCCCCACCACTCTCCAGTCCTCATCTCACACCACTGGAGACTCGGCACCATCGTGTACGTACCCACTTACCATACGGCGAGCTCACAACTCCCATTCATGTGTTCTTCTCTCACCTCCATCACTTTTGAACTGAAAACCCGCGAACCGAAGCTGATACCAGCCCAGTTCAAGCCACCATTCAACAAGATGGGTTCCATCCTCCTCTTGACCTACTACAACGACTGCGGCCAGTTCGTCTTCAAGAACAACCCTGGTCGGCCCATCTCAGAAACTTCGCCTTTGCTGCAAGGTGCTCCAGCCGAGTGACTTCTATACAGCCTGGGCTGCTGATATTCGTGACCGATAAGCTGGCAGAACAAGGTGCATTCGAGAAGCTGTACGTCTTTTTCCAGCCTCGTCACACCTAGTGGCGCATTAGGCTAATCTCCTTCCAGTGCCTTCTCTCGCAGCTGGGATGACTATAGCATGGATCATCACTATTTCCTCGTGGAGTCCAACCCGGCGTTCAATCCTTCCTACAGTTGGTCCATTCCGCACCGATTTGCGACCACTGCTCTCCCCGGTGTCCCTTTGTGGACTACCACCTGATGCAACATCCCATGCCTCCTCCTGTCTTATATCGCGGGACTAAAGGCTGTAGTCGATTGCTACTGGGTTCCAGTGTGTGGGAACGCTCGGCCGGGCACTTGCCTGGAAGTCCTGCCACCCCATGGTTCTAGCGGGCCAATATAAGTAACAGGGTGTAGTGCGTTTAATCGGTCCTGTTCGTTTCCGACCTTCTTCTGGCCCCCAACAGGCCCAACTAAACGCACTGCACCCCATTACTTATATTGGCCCGCTAGAGCCATGGCAGGACTTCCAAGCAAGTGCCCGGCCGATCATTTCCACACATTGGAACCCAGTCGCAATTGACTACAGCCTTTAGTCAAAATTTCGATTCCAACAAGATGGCTAGGAACGAGGGAGGCTGGGACAATTCCTCTTTTCACCCCCCAAGCCATCAGATACGTAATATAGCAACGGCTTCGATATACTTGGGGCAATAGCAATCACCGCCGTAAATCTTGCTATCGCGATGAACGCAACCAACAACAGCAGAAGTGGCAGCGCAATTCTCGCCACGACAGCGGCGACTCTTGGGTGCCACAGGATGGCGGTAAGGACCGACTGGGTTGAGCGTAGCACCGCTCCGAGTTCTCCGGCTCGTAGCCAGGATTGGTGAATACCTCGTGGGCATGCACGATGATCAAGTTCTCAAGATTGGAGAGCAAGCCCCGCTGTTAATCAGGCTTCGGGGAAGGGAGTTCTGGGGGGCTGATCTGGAGAGGATTTACATGGTCTTCTCTGATGATCCTCAGGAAGGCTTCGGTGGAGTGGAAGAATCAGTGCCTCTGAACGTCCTCTGGCTTTCAAGATTGGGTTTATCTGTGAAGTCCGGGTGCTGGGACGATTATTGACTCCATCGTTGGTACGTCTTCGGGTTTGATCTTGGGCATCGTTCTTGAGATGTCGCCTTCATGATTTGGGAATCGTTCCCTCCGTTATTTCTGCTTTGTCTGGATATTTGTTTGAACAGGATATCATTCTTCACTGGGCTTTCTCAAGTGTACATACTGTCATCTGAAATAGACGTACCCTCAGCATATTCTCCCAAAATAGGGCGCCAGGTTTCTACAACTGGAGGTCCTCATCGACAAAAGCACAGCTGGATCGATCAGTATTGAGACACCTCATCGCTAACAGATAATCTTGAGTAAGCAAGCTAAGGTAAAAGCCCGGGCAAGTTCGCCTCCGAACCCCACAACACCTTCTGGATCATAGCGAAGACCCCATATCAAAAGCACAAAAAGAACCAGTAAAAACCAATTTCCCTCCCTCGCTCTGGACGGCTGTATGCAACTCCTGTTTTTGTTCGCTTTTTCTCATCAAGAATTGTGCGTCCTCCAATCTCAATACCAGATTCTTGATACACCCTCCCCCATGATTCATACAAGATAACCGATATTATAACTAGTTGTGGTTCAGTTTTCGAAGTGGTAGGATGCCAAGCAAAAGAGGTTGGGTTTGTGCTTTAGGCGTTGCTAGGCAGGAGCAAGCCGGCACAGTGACGAAGATCGAGAGAGCGCGAGTTTTGTGGATCGAACATGGCGTTGGCACGCTCCTCAAGGTAGTAGGGAGTAATCTGGATCATGTCGAACCAGCGCACAGCATTCTCGTCACTACCTTCTATGGCCTTGAGGGTGCCGCTGTCTGGGCGGATGGTGGTCTTGGGTGGGAGGCTGCGCATGCGGAGGAGCATGTGCAGGATGTCGGCAAAGCGCTCAGACTGGTTAAAGTAGTAAGGAGGACGCTTGTCCAAGGGCCACTGGAAGATGTTAATAGATGAGCTTGCGCGCAAGGCGGGGAGGCGCCGGAAGAAGGGGGGGGGTTCAAACTTACACGCTGCGCAAAGTTTTCGTTATCCCACGAGCGGAAGAGCCAGCAGGTACGCTCAACACAATTCAAGAGGACGACGGCAACGAGGAAGGTCTCGAACCAGCCAGTCTTCTGGCGCTGAAGCAGGCGGCGCTCTAGATCATTGATGACGGACTTGCTCAACTGCATGGCACGCTTTTCCATGGCGGCGCGCAGCTGACTGCACAGCAAGGCGTAGGATTCGGGGTCCGAGACATCTTCAATCGGGAGGCGGCCTTCATCCGAGGGCTGGGACAGGGAGTGCATGGAAGTAGGGGGAAGAGTAGGGTTGCAGAAAGTCTTCCAGGAAATTTCGTTGTCGACCAGGATGTGAGTAGCGACCCACAGATCCACGGCACGGTCAAGCAGGGTGTCCTTCTTGGTCTGGCTGAGTTCAGACGCCAGCATTAGGGTGGACTTCATGAAGTTGGATTCCTCGCGCTCGAAGAAGAAGGGAGCTGTCTTCTTGATGTACATCTCCAGCTTGCTTGGGATGTCATCGGCATCGCTGTCTAAGAGGTAGATTTCCTGGGGAGGCGCGGAGAACTGATCGTCGCCCAGACCTTGGAGCTGCGGGTCGAGGGCCGAAACAGAGGCACGGTGGCCCTGGAGTCCACTGATGGTAACATAGACCATGCTCTCCTCGATATGGGTCACCTCAATGCGCCCAGCGTAGTGTTCAAACTTGATCTGATTCTTGATGGCGCTGGTGTCATGGTAGGCAAGGGTAGCATGCAGATCTTCTTCCGTCAATTATCAAGCTAGCACTGGGCCAATAAAAAGGGGGAACTCACTGGCATTGTAGAGTTCAAACTCCTCCGACAGACGCGTGCGAATGCAAGGATGCTTCCAAAGACGAGCGCTCTCAACGCTGGCGCAAGTGGTACAAGGGGTATCGCCGGAGCACTATGTACAATGTCAGTGGAGACTTGGGTAATTAGGCGGTAAAGGAGTGAGTCCATACCGGCTTTTTCAACATGCGGCAACGGATACACGCTCCACGCTTTCGCACTTCCTGGACCTCGCGACGTCGCTCCGCAGTGAAGCGGCCGCGCACCTTGGGCTTAGCAGGCTTGGTCGAGTTGCCAAATTCGTTGACAAATCCCTTGGCCTGGGTGTTGGGGTTCATCGCTATGGGTCGCGGGTAAGACGCAGCCCGCTGGGTTGCTGCTGTCAGAGACGGATCATGCTCTTGCAAACTGTCGAACAGAAGCTGCTCATGGGTCGTGAGCTGCTGGTTCCACTGGTTCATCTTCAAGCCATCATCGTCCATTGTCAGACCCTGTGGTACCATCTCGTTGGCCGAGGCAGCAATCATCGACAGCTGTGATTGGCGCGCATTGGAGGTTGACTCGGGTGTCAGAGAGTGGTCGCCAAGTGGAGGAGACATTGAGTTATGGTGGTCGGATGTATGGCTAGGGAGAGCAGGAATGGTGGGAGTTCCAGAAGGCTGAGAGGTTCCTGGAGGATGATTTGTTAGCATGATCTGTTTCCCTACAGGTAACCCATCGAGGCCACGTACCCGGTGCATTATCCTCTTGCTTGTCATCCTGAGACCCTTGAACGGTGAACTCGGCCTCCAGTGCCGGGTCAACCACGACAGTTTTTCCACCAGCTGTCACAGACTGAGTATATGCAGGACCTCGCTTGGTCTGATCCGAGGCCCCAACTTGGCGGGACGCCTCTGCGAGCACATTCAAGCCATCGAAATTCGGGCGGTTCCCGAACGAGCCATCGCCCTTCTTGCCTCCGGACGCACTCGGATCCTTTGCGTCGCCTTCGGTGAGGTCGGGGAGTTCATGGAGGCGCAGGAGCACGCGCTGGCGATCACGGAGCGGGATGGCCTGGCATTTCTTGACCAGGTGGTTTGTGAGACTGTCGATGCGACCCTTAGGAAACTTCTCGCCACAGGCCTTGCAGGTGTGCTGGTAGCGGTTGCTGGAGTCCTCGAGCTTGGGCCCTCGAATAAAGAACTCGAGGATGAGCTGATTGGGCTTGCGTCCCATATTGAGCGGAGATCGGGGGTCAAGGCGTCCGTGTGTGCGTGTGGAGGGACAGGGAAGAAATTTGCCGACGCGTCAATCCAAGGGGTCCACCAACGAGTCCAATTGCTGTAGTGACACGTCCGAGACCTCCAGGTTGATCAAGGAACACGCGCGATGGCCTCGGCCACAAACAGAGCAGCACGCGGTTCAGACCGAATCAGAGGGGCAGAAACCCAACCGAGCACAACAACAGGACGAGCCGACGTGGCGACGTGGCGACGTGGCGACGACGACCTCGACGGGAGCAACCAGGTCGGGGGTCAGGCAGCGCCCGAGTCAACCGAGGTGCAGAAAGTCGTCGTCTGAAAGAAGCTGACGACTCGACGACAATTGTCTTGATGTGCGGCAAAACTGGGGGGCAGTAGAGGGCGGTCTGGAAGTCGTAGGGGGGAAGAACGCGATGAGGCTTCACCGCACGAAAGGCGGTGATGGGGGGAAAAAGGCGGTGATGGAAGACGAAGGCGGTGATGGAAGGGGGGCGAAGCTAACGGGGAGCTAAGCAGGTGAAGGCGGTGATGAGAAGAAACGAATTATGGCGAAGGGAAAAAGGGAACGATGAAGGAGGGATAGCTGGACTGTGGCAGATGGCAGATGGCAAAAGGAAAGGATGAAGTTGGCCAGGGTGAGGTCACCTTCTGAGGAAAATTCTCTTACTGGCGGTACCCTCCAGCAACCTGCAAATATGCAGCTTTTTGTATTTGACTTTGGCTGGCCCTCCAACGTCCCGTCCCCGTTTCTTGAGCTTTGCATAGTCTTTGAATCTATTTTCTGGCCATTTCATTGAGAGCAATTTGGTGTTGTAGAAATCATGAACTGTCGACTCCTAGCAAATTCGCTGCTCCGGAGGCCGCCAAGGCACTCCTAGCACCGCAAAGATCCGACGTTCATCGCGCCCCTCGACCAGCCGGCCGGGATTGACCTTGCCCTGTGCAGTGCGCAGTACATCCGTATAAAGTCCTCGCTGATTCAAACACATCCCCTTCTTACGAGCTAGTAGTCGCATGCTGCGATTAAAGATATCGTTGCCCGTAAAATATACCAGCGCGGCTCCAAATTCGGCGCCGGGTACAAAGAGCAGATCGATGCGTCGCCATATCTTGCTCCCCGGTATAACAGACGCTCCCTGCCACTTAGAGCCGTTCCCGTTGCGTCGAGAAGTCTGTAGACCGATCCGCAGGAAGCCATCGTGGATCAGCTGCGGCACCACAGTATCCAAGACCAGCGACCGAATCTCGCTCAAGGTAGCGTTCGGCTTCGTGATGAGGAGATCAATGTCTCCCGAATCCGCTGCCCCGCGGCGGTAAGATCCAGCGATGATCACCTGCATATCGCTGTCCACCGTCTGGATCGCCCGTCGCACAATCTCCCCGTGGGCCTCGACCTCCTTGCGCGGGATTCGCTGCGCAAAGTCGTGGTAGCGCTCCAGGCCGATGCGCTGGTTTTTCGTTAGAGGCGCTTTGTCCCGAAGGTCACTCAGCGACCGGTATCCCTGCGCGACCCATTTGGACGCTTGCGAAAGGCCACACCCATATATACCGAGAAACTCCTGGATGATGCGGTCGGCTTCAGTCTCATTCGTATGGTCAAGCCGGCGAAGGTGGTCGGTGAGAACGATTTCCTCGATTTTGTCTGCCAGCCGTGTTCCAATGCCGGGGATGAGCAGAGCCTCCGTTCTTGTCATGATCGCTTTAGTCTGTCGGCGCAGGGCATTGATCCCCTTGCGGTAGGCCAGCGTACGCCACTGATCTCCTGTTTGGGTATAGTAGTCCAGCAACTGTTGTAATATCTCGATCGTTCGGCTGTTCGGTTTGTCGCGTTTTACATTGAGGTCGAACTTCTGCATGCAGGCAAAATTGCTCGCCCATGATTCGACCACCTTTTCTCCTTTTGATGTTACTTCTTCCTTTTGGGCTGGGCCAGGCTCGGGTGATTGAGCCTCACTTCCAGATTCATCAGCAGACTCTTCGTCGGAGGAATCGATCGGGTCAAGTGGCTAGTTCATATCGTCAGATAATAATGTTCCCGTTATAGGTTGGGTCAATTCACACCAGATGTCTGCTTGCTCTCGCCGCCTCGATTATTGCATCGAGGTCATCACACTGCCGGAACTCTTTCGGGCTGTTCTCAGGGATAGCCTTGCTGGGAACCAGTTCAAATACAGGAAGACCAGATTGGGATGATTCCGGAGTCAGCTTCTGCTCCTTTCTTGATGCTTTCAGAGGTAGTATGTCAATCGAGGCTGCCGGAGCCGGAGCCGGAGCCGGAGCCGTAGCTTCTTCATTTCCAGAAGCTGTCGGTGTCCCATCAACAAGAAATCGCGCCTGGAATGGACTCAGAACAGAGCGGAATCTGATGCATTCTGATGGGTATGACTCGTTAACAAGAGCCACGTTTCCCTGGAGACTTGTTAGTCCATGCCGGAAGCGTCATCAGGGGAGCGAACAGACCGGAAGAGACTCGAGCTTGAGGTACTTTATAAGATCCTGGTATCGCAGCCCCTTGTCCACGATCACATGTGTGACATTCTCTGTCCAGTCTATCGTCCAGTGAGCACCGTATTCCCGTGCTCGCTGGATGCGCAGCCTTCGGGAGGGGGAGGCATCATTGTTCGGAAAGAAGTCTAGTTTAAGACGTCAGAAGAAGACCATATTGAGATAAAAGAGAGAACATGGGTCCTCACAGAATACAAGTTCTTTAAGTATTCGCTGAGTCTCGGGGACCAACTTGATGATACCGTTCGTCCTCCGTTTCTTCGGAGCAGGGCCTCCATCGCTCTTAGTGCCAGGCATAGTTCCTGTCGTCTGAGAGCGCTTGATAGTCCTCAGTTTCGGCTCAATGAGCTCAGCACGCCTTCTTTGATGGACCCCATGGGCGATTACAGCCTCCTGAGGTTCTTTCTCCTTATGCGAGGGCTCCGGCTCCGTGTTTGCACGGGTAAGAACTATCCGCTCTGGGGCGGGTGAGACAGTGGTCAGGTCGACGGTTACTGGTGGTCTTGCGTCAAGAACCAGACGCTCCAGGGAATTTGTGTCATCGTCCTCTGCCTCATCAGAGCAATCCAGCTTCTCCAAGCTATTAAAGAAGCTTGTCTTGCTTCTCTTCCCCGCCATGAAGTTAGCTAATCAGGCATCCGACAGAGAAAAGTTCGTCTGAGCCACGGACAAGTCATCGCAGTTGCCTGGAAGGTAAAGTGATGGTATTATGACCGGCCCACCGCAGGCAGCTCCGTGTAATTGCCAAGCGGACTGGAGCCACGGTTGAGGCATCCGTCGAGGCACTCACTGAGCTTCTCGCGGACGCGGCGTTGCGCGAAAATGCCGCCAAGTCACGGGACCGCGAGTCGATTTATCCCGATTCGTCAGGGAGAGGGAAGTGGCCGAAGCCTACACAATCAGTAAATCTGGTCTAAAGGTGACTATTTTCTCAACTGAGCTGGAAGTCTACTAGCTTTCTATTACATATTTATCCTTTCCCACACGAAATGTACCCGATGCACTTATGAGGTACACCGTACAAGTGTTATATCTGTAGAGGAGCTTTTCCAGGTAAGAGATGACTCCTGCTATACCGAAATCGGTCGTAATTGCCGGGACGCATTCGTAATCGTCCAATCGTTCACGGATTTGCTGACTCCCTACAGCCCGGTAAAAAATGCTGTTAACTGAAGGCCTGCGTAAAACTCCGTGCTATCCTGCTCATCGGGCCACGTAGCAGCGGCTGAAGGCCACTGCCAACGCGACTCGTAGATAACCAAGAGCTCTAGATATGTTTTTACGTTACACAAAGAAAACAACGAAAGATCGTCTTTATGTATCAGGACTCCTGTTTCAAAGGTGTCGCTCTCGTCCAGCTTTCTGATCTCAGCCGGAAGTAATGAGGGCCGACTCATTGATGACCAGCAAAACGTGGTGTGTCTTAAACAGACCATGCACTGGCCATCTCATCCGGAATACACCCCGTCGCAAAAGTCATCAATTTTCTCGTAAGACATCCTCAACTCGTCGCCGTCGCACATCATCTTCCAAAGGTCCCACAGCACCCTCGACCAACATTTCATCCATCCCGGAAATTCGTCATATTGGTCCACAATCGGCCACGCTTCGACGACCTTGACATACCGCACTGTTTCTTCTGTCTCGTACTCGGTCTCCTGCTCGATGGCCTCCGCCGATGTACCTATCAGCGTCTGTAGACACTCCTCGTCAATGACGATGCACATTCGGAATTTGTTAAAGCGATCACGCTGGCCCTGTGCATCGACCCAGGCCTCGAAATGTGCGCGGATCGAATCAGTGGATGCCCCATCGAAGTGTGCCTTGTCTTCCATAATAGTTGAACTATGCTTGGACCAAATTACATTGTAAATGGCGGGATCTACCGAGGGCTGGTACTCGACCTCTCTAGCACATTCTCTAAAGAATTCGGCTTTGAGGCAGGCATCGAGATACTTGACGATAGTAGAGAAGTGAGCGTCCGATGGCGGGGAGTAGGTGGTGCGATAGATAACATATCCCCAGGTGGGATGGACTTTCAGGTTCTGATACAGCTCCCATGTGGATGCCGGTGGGGGACGAAAAGGCATACTGTGAGAATTCAAGGAAGGGTGTGTGGGATGAGGAGTAAGACAAGAATCTTCATGGAGAAGATATGGGAAAAGTCGTGCTTCTGAGGCCCGAGGTGATTGGTCTTGTCGGAATGCAGTAGGCTAGGTGGAACAGGAAAAGTCCGAAGTCCTCCCAAGGTTAGTCATGTACTCCGTAACCTTACTAGTTAACTAGAGCCCACCTATCCAAGTTGTCAGCGAGTGGCCTTTGTCTAATAGTGTAGACCTTTTACCTTTTATTCATTCCTTGGTGCCCCTGTAGGATCCATTTCTCTATGTTCCGATAGATTTTCTCATTGTCCCTTCGGCGGCAGGATCTGCATCTCCACGTCGGACCTGGAAAGGTGGATCAGCATAAGCTCTGGCTGAAATACCCAGGATTTAAGTCACGTACCCGAACTTTACAATATTCAGACGATTGAGAAGAAGCGTGAAATCTGCACGATTACGTGTGCTCCCTAAAGCTTGCATAGCACGCTAAATAGGCACCGAGTCCTGATCGCCGCATGTGTCAACGGAGTGAAATTGGTAAATGGGATTTTGAGGAGTGATTGTGGGTGATTATCGACAAGTAAGTAACATAAAGCAATTAAATAATCATCTCGGGAAGGGTCACGGTCAGATCTAAATCATCCAACCAACTGAGAGAACCCCCGCTAGCAATTCCTAACCCGAATGCGTCCGATGGAAGGCCCAATCCAATCCCCTGTGGGGGAATTTCCACGTTATGACCTATAGCTAAGGTACTGATGCTCGCATCATTTTCCTGTATAGCACCCAATGCAGGCCGATAATCAAGCGCATCATCTAGCAGTCGACCAATTACATTGATCAATTCTAGACATGCATCAACAGTGGTAGAAGGCGGCAGGAATGCCATAGATCAGAAACTGCAAGTATGAATCATGAATACCATGCCTGGCAAAGACTCTGCTCGAAGGAAAAGGAGACGGGCATACATACACTCCAAGGTAACTGCTTCTGAATCTCATGCATTTGATATTGTCTTGTGAGGTCCATAACAATTGATAACACCTGAAGGGAAGTATCCAGTAAGTCGCTGGTTGCCTCGCTGCTCTCCTGGCATCGGATCCGTTGGAGCTGCAGTACGCTGAAAAGGTATTGGAGGCGTACAATCATCCGGGCGAGACATTCGATGGCATCCATCCCTTTCCAGCAGCTCGGGGAGTAACGGAAGCGGGAAGGGATTTGGTCAAATATTTGTTGGCAGGATTGATATGTTTTCCTAGGTTAGTTAGAAACATTGTGTTTCTAGTATGGAGGAAGGGATAGTACAGGAGACCGTCACCATAATCATGGGTCGTTCGACACCCAAGCGATAGTTCAAGGACTTGTTCTCTCAGAGTAGATAGGATATGACGCATACTCATCACAGTTGCAGGGTGGAATCTGCCATCACGGTTCCAGCCATCGTTGTCTAAGCCTTGTAGAACGAATTCGAGAGATGTATTGTCCAAAAAGAGCTCCTCATCTGGAAGGTCTAGCGGCAAAGCCGCGTCACAGTACTTATGTGGCAAACGCGGTGGGCGGCCCATTAGGGTGGATATGTTTTTGTCTGTCCGGTGGGTGACAGCCAACATCCGCTTTCTTGTTTCGGCCAGGAAAAACGGCACGTCCCGAGAAGCCTGATGATGAAGACCTATTGCATAGATGTTTGATACCAAGTCGCCGAAGAGGCTATAAACTCTCTCGCCTGCCGATCAGTCAGTTAGTCAATCACACGAACTGGCGCAAAAATCGTCAATTCGAAGTTTGGGGATGCAAACTGGTTTCTCCCAACACCTCTATCCCCAGGAATACATGCATATAGCGCATCCATATTGTTAAATCGTTAACATGCCCGTGTTGCTTGCAATTGTCAATACAATCATTACATGCCAACACCATTTCCTTTGTAAAAGTCTCTACATCCAGCGTCTCGCCGTTACCCAAATCTAGAAAGTGTTGACTAGGGTATCGGCCGTGCACACTTAGTCCCGCCAACGCAAAAACGAACCCTACAAATTCCAATCGTAACCGTGGCCCAGTAAACAATGAGTAGAACTCATCCGCCGATATACTAGAAGAAATCTCCAAAGGGCTTGCCGTTGCTGCGGTAAGCTGGCTATAGAGAGATATCCAGTTTCCCGTTACATCCCACGGGTGGTTTTCCATGTACGCCACTGTTTGAGCTAGAGAATCCAGAACTGTTGGCGCGGGAATAATCGTAAACCGACCTTTGCGATAATACCATGATATCTGCTCCCGGTAGAATGGCTTCGCCGAGACAAGACGGACCAACCGTGCAGATGCATATTCAGGTTTGGTGCGCCAGTGTTCGAATTCAGCGTACAAAGACCGATTAGAGGCTTTCCACACCCCCAGCGGCATCTCTCTAAACACAGATAGGTAGCTTGTGGAGCCTAGAAATTGCGAACGGTCCGAGGTCGAGACCGAGGTGCCAGTGGCTGTACCCGGAGATGGCACGGGAGCTTCGTTCCGCTGGTGTGGGGTCCTGGGTGCATTAGGGGAAGCAATACCGGACCTGGGGACCCCTCGTCTCCGGGACGGCCGAGAGCGCACACCATGACCTTGCGCTCTTATCAGAGGGGCGGGATGGTAGTAGCACTAACGTATGCATGTCAGATTATCAAAATTGAGAATGGTCGATGATCCAGGCAAACAGTCATGCATAAGTACCTGGCTAGCATTGTCTCGCGATTGGCAGCGGTGGCACACCGGAGTGGCATGGTCGCACCGTACTTTGGCCAATCGACACGGTTCACAGAGGAAACCTTCAGATTCACATTTTATTCCGGCTTGGAGTCCGGAGTAGGCTGCTTGACTCCGAACAGCGGCTTCGGCCTTTCTGCACTCGACAAGTCTAGGCCATATCCTAGAACGAGGTACTTTTTCATATACTGTCGCCTTAATGTCAGTCGCAGTAGATAATCAGGTGAGAATCGTGTACATTATTGATACCCGAGCAATTCTTCGCATATAGGCCCTTTCCCACCGCTCCACGGTAGAGCTAACACCGTAATATCCAGTTCTCGTGTAAGCTACTGAATTTTTTGATGTTGGAGTTATTCAGCAGCCACTCCGGGAAAGCCGACATGACCTTTAGTTGCTGCGACAAGGAATTGAAAAGAATCTTCACCTAAATAAGCACAGTGCCTAGAATTGTTAGCTTAAATCCAAACAGGCGAATCAATGGCGGCTTTACCTAGTCCATTTTCTCCTATAGTCAATGGGCGTCCAGTCCGCGGGCCTCCTACAGCTGATAGTCGCACCCATCTCATCCTGCCCACCACGGCCCAATCAACACCGTTACCGCTCTGTGGCTGCTCCCTGAGCCGACATGTAGTCTCAGGTGGCTGACGGTGGTAGAGGATAAGATAACAAGTTTTTCACGTAGGAAGATAGGAGGTGGCCAATAGCGGCAGAGGATAAGATGACAAGTTCTTCGCGTAGGAAGATAGGAGTTCCCCTAGAAGTTTCGATCACGTGTACCCTGAAACACAGGCCGCCTAGTATTTTATTCTGGAACTCTGGGTCTAAAGTTCAATTTTTACAATCCTCATGATCAAAGATGGAAGCCTCGATCCTGGCCTTACTTCCACCGCCATCCCAAACAAAGCCAATCTATACCTCTCGGCTCGTTCTCCGACCTTTCAAACTAACAGACCTACCAGCTCTCTGCGAGCTTCGAAAAGATCCCCAGGTAATGAAATGTACGAGCCAAGGTCGGGTCGACGACTCTGTGAAAGAGACTAGCGAATGGATGGAATCGTTTATATACCAGGATGATGAGACCCCACGACGCAATTTCAACTTTGTAGTCGCTCTTCAAGCTTCGAAAGCGCGTCAACAAATGCCTCGTCAAGAGAGTGATGACCAATTTCTTGGCGTGTGTGGCCTCACTTCCTTGAGCTCCTTACCAATTTCCGATTATCCAAACTTTGGATATATGTTTTCTCGAGAAGCATGGGGTAAAGGGTATGCAACCGAGGCTGTCTTTGGCTTTCAAAGAGCTTGGTTGCAATTGATTGCCTCATACAAACAATCTCGACTCATGTCAGGGCCTTTCTTCGATGATATCGGCAAAATTAGAGCCGTGACTTTCGAAGAGAATAATGCCAGCGCAAGAGTTCTTCAAAAGTGTGGTTGGAAGATACATGAACTATCGCAATATTCGGGGTCAAAAATCATCAGATGGATTTGGGAAGAGTAGCCTATTACTAAACCCTGTGGCCGCCGGTTAGACTGGGCTGGGGTTCGAGAGATCCGATTGATTAATTGCTTGAGGGCGGGCTCAGGTGATCCCCGATTGTTGATTAGGAGCTTCACGGTCTTCCTTCCCCTCCTTCCCTCGAATTTGTACTTAGTTGGGGACAGTACTGTACACTTGTTCTTTTTATTGTGATCAAACGGGCCGACGAAATTCAGCAAAGGAAAAACAGGGTACAAGTGTGAAAGTACGAAGGATTTACTAGATTCCCGCATGTATCGTAATACTACGATTACTCATTTTTGTGTGTTTCGAATCAAAGCTGTGGAATTGATTCAATATTGTGGGGTAAATCTGATTTCAAAATGTTACCGTAGGTCTTTGTCATCCCTTATAGAGTCAAAGATATTCTAGATTGTCAAAAATTGTTAATAGTTATCGTCTTATACCATGACTCATGAAAGGTACGTTGCTGGAGGCAAGAGGGTGGAAATGATAGCCTAATTTGGAATAATGAGTTCCGAATAGGGCGCTGGGAAAGAATGTGAGAGAATGGAGGTAAATCTGATTTCGAATATTACTATAGACGCCATTCTATTCCATACCTTCTTCGCCTCCAGGCCTACAAGGTCATAGTACTTTCCGAACCAAAGCTTCAATATGCCTCCGTAGAGAACAAAGAAAGTGGGCTTTTCGGCCACCTTCCCCCCACCAGGCGCTGGTCCAGTCCTACTCTCCAACAACCACTCGAGGCTTCTATGGGGGATGTCAAGCGCTCACCTCGCATAACCAGCTCTTGTGGCCCCCGCGAAGTGCTACCATAGTATCCAGAGGAGTAGAGGTTCCTGTGAGCAGATAAATGTGTCTCTACGACCAAAGTAAGAGAGGCTAGGAATAGTCTAGCTCGTTCCTGGGAGTGACAGGTATAGTTCCTAGAGGACATTTGGCTCCCAGAAGCCGATAGCATAGATCCTAGAAGCGATAATTGAAAAGAATAAACATTGAAGTCTTCCTGGTACATACTCTAGAGAAGACTCCCTTACTTAGCATATTGCGTGTTGACCAGAGAAATAGCTAGCTAAGTTCAGACTCGAACAAGATAGGCAACCCTAACAATATTTGTGTTACAATGACAGAAAAGAGCTAACTAGAAAGGAACTAAATGTATTTAACAAAACAATAAAATAAAGAGAGAAGAAACTATAGAGGTAGTGTCTACTATTTTATAGAGAGCTTCTATATAAATAGGCCCTTCTACTTAGTCTAGTCAGCTACTCCTCTCTACTATATATTTATTAAGTGATCTATATCTATTATTATATTATATATTATATAGCCCTTCCTTTTAAAAAGGCTCGCTTTCAGACTCTAGGATATTGTTCTTATTATAATCGCCTATAAAGTTATCGATCTCTAACATAGCTAGCTAGATCTACAGGTTCTTTAGGTAGCCGATTCTTAGGAGTTATATAGGTAAGGATAAAATATAATAGAGAGTAAGTAGTATAGTATCGATATTAAGATAGTAAAAAAATAGAGTAGTAGAAAAAAGAGGATACTAAGAAAAGATTCGCTAACGATAGGGTAGCTAGGAGAGGATCCTATACTATAAGAATACCTATTAGGTATATAACTATAGTTTACACCTATTAATAGTAGAGAAGGGTAGCTAAGAAGGCCTCGGAGGCTAAAAGTAGCTTAGTAGTTATATAGTTATCCCTAGCCTATAGTGTCCTACCGCTACATTAGTGCCCCCTGATATATAATAAAGGTCTAGAAGCGGTAACTAATATATACGAGTATAAATGATATATATATACGCTGTCGCGCCCACAAGGGTAATAAAAACCTACACTAGTGTAGCAATAAATCACTCCCTTCTATCTTCCCGCACTTGCTATAGTCGAACATATCATTTAATATTGCAAACGAACGAATCACGCGTGGCTAGGATAGTCTCGAATAGTAGCATTCAAATAGACAGGACGGCTTTGAGCGTATTTCTGCGATTACTAAAAAATACTAATAGATTTTATATAAATCATATATGTTATAGGGTTTTCGAAATTTACTCTATCTATAGGACCACAAGACTACACTAGACTATAGTGGTGTGGTCTGGTCCCTGGTCTAGTCCAGTCCCTTGTGGTCCTTGCCAAGGCCTACATAGGTTTACTCTACTGCATTATGACCTCGATGTTATTGGTCAAGAGAAAGATACTAGATCAAACTATATTATTCAACGAAGGTATCAAGACTAAGGAGGGAAAACAGAAGGAAAAGAAAGCAAGCCAGAAGAGAGAGTTTTAAGTACACAAACCTTCCAAAAGCAAGCAAACAGACACCTGAGACAGAGAACCCATGAACGGCAACGCCCGAGGTTATTCACATTCGTCACAGTGTGCCCCGCGACTAGGCTACACTATGGTGAGCTCCTCTTATCCATCTACTCAGATCACCCACTGGAAGCCGCATGGGCGCATCAGCTGCTTTAAGCAGCAACGCGGCAAGGAGGTACCATCCGCCACTGACAACCACGAAACCAGCAGCCCCAGCAGCCTATAATTAAACAATCAATTAGCATGTATCACGAATAATTGAGCTGCGGAATATATGTAAAGCTACCTCTCCAATTCGAGCCGCAATCGCGTCATTGCCTTCGGCTTGAGTCCAGTTAGAGCCGGCGAGAAGGCTGTATTGAATGAACAGGAAAAAGAAAATAACGACGTCAGGTATAGTAGACCTCAGTGAACAGAGGAGGCTAATAAAAGAGAACAAGGCCATGCAAAGGTAGAACCATGCTATAATGTAACGAATTAGAGCCTGTCAGCTACATAGCAACACATCATGGGGAAGTTTACCGAAACTGGACAGAAACCCAGGGTCACTAAGACCGAGGTATGGTTTACTTGGATCTGGGGAGTATGCAGCGTATGATCCAAAACTTGGACAGAGAGTCGCACCCATGGTCAACCAAAATCCACCTTTTCCCTGACTGTTAGTACTCATTGTTCCTTCGATTCCAACGGTCGCAATTTGCAGGGTGCCTTACCAAATCCACAAGATACAACAAAGGGGAATGTGTTTCCAGAAAAAAATTCAAGAACACCCGCAATTACCATTAAAATTCCACCGACGAAAAAGTATGTACCACTATGAGAACCAGATCAGTTAGCAAGACGAGAAATTTACTAGTAGATGCTGGAATATAATAAAGAGAAGGGGAGTACGTGCATAGTGGCCGCTCCGCCCCCACCTGAACCTCTCCAGCCTAAGAGATCCAGCGAGATACACGATAAACTCATGCATAAACCCAGTAAAGTCCTAAGAAAAGGTTAGCCGAGAAGATAATGCGATTTTTTTGTTCCTCACAATGGAGCTGCGTTTCCCCATGGACGTCCTTTAAAGGCCCGCGGGTCCAAGAATAGGCTCCTTTGCAGCACTTCGGTGTCCAATGGAGAAAATTGAGCACCAGTGACGCGCTCTTTTTCATTGGCAGCCTCTTGAACGCTCATTTTGGATGCAGAACTGGAGCCTGAAAAGACTGTCTGTGTTGTCATAATGGTTTCAAGTGCGATGAGGCTCAATTCGCAAGAGGCCAGGTAGCTAAATTGTTGATGTACCTAATGCTATTCAGTGCCGTTAGGAAGATTGAAGCCTTATATGTTCAGTTCAAAGTTGCTTATCATTATTATCTCGGATACGGAGCACAACCTCAGCCACTTGCAAAACACCGTGCTAGCATTCAAAAGCGAATATCTTTTACCTCTACCCTGCCTGGCAAGCAGGTTGCATGCCCCACATAGTCACACCGCCGTACCATGCATGTATCTTTAAGTATTTATAGTACCATAATATGCGACCAGATACTTATACGTACTTTCGAGTTACTATAACATGACTAGGTGGGGCATGCAAAATGCTTGCCAGGTAGGGTATCTTAATTGCAAAAGGACAGCTAGAATAAGGTTATCAATGATTTCCGTTTTAGGTTGTTAAACATGGTGGGTCCACGAAGACCTATCAGGAATGGCAGCTATCTCAATCGTGAACGGATAAGGGGCACTCATGAAATAACATAATCTCCACACGCTTACTTGATCGAGATAACGTTCGGATCGGACGATTATTGGGCGAAGCTGCTCCGACGATGCCGTATATACATCTTGGCACCCCGGCCCATTCCAAAGATATGGTGTACAGACGTGGAGAATTTGCACGCTCGGGTTTATTAGAGAATATCAAGCCGAGAGGTATCTTAATTGCAAAAGGACAGCTAGAAAAAGGTTATCAATGATTTCCGTTTTAGGTTGTTAAACATGGTGGGTCCACGAAGACCAATCAGGAATGGCAGCTATCTCAATCGTGAACGGATAAGGGGCACTCATGAAATAACATAATCTCCACACGCTTACTTGATCGAGATAACGTTCGGATCGGACGATTATTGGGCGATGCTGCTCCGACGATGCTGCATATACATCTTGGCACTGCTTCTTCTCCCGGCCCATTCCAAAGATATGGTGTACAGACGTGGAGAATTTGCACGCTCGGGTTTATTAGAGAATATCAAGCCGAGAGGTGGTATTTTACCAATAAAGGCAGGCCGATTCAGCGACTACCCACTCCTTCCCATGTTTTTCTACGGTAAACCAGGTCAGCTCAGAATACGCGCGTCGTAACACGCCATACTAGCCCCTGAGGGTATGAGAAGCCTTCAACGGCGTCTCCTACTAGTTATTCAATCAACTCGTTCAATTGGTTCCCTCAGTACTAGTATGTACAGAAATCCTGTGGCTCAATAGAAAAGTCAAACAGAATGTAGTTTTAGTGTGTTATTATCATATATTCCGATAAGCGTAATTACAAAGCCACCGATTCCTAAAGGTCTCTGTTATGTGCCAGGTTGAAACAATTGGTCCATTACGGATCATATCTACATTGCCTGGGCACTTGCTGGCTTGGGGAGGCAAAGCAGTTAAAGGGAATTCAAAGGCTAAAATGGCAAAGTGCAACATATTCCGAGGAGCCGGCTTAGATATCCACATCGCTGGTTCTACTAGCGGTTGCATGTAGGTACTACGGTATCGACTTTCTAGTCGCAGAATATTATTAGATGATCATCACTTTTGAGCTCCACTGATACACTGACGCAGCATATCAGTGGTGAGCGCCATACATATAGAACTACTTCCTACCAGTTTGCTCTAGGATGCTTATTATCCCTGCAGCCCCACATGCCCTAACTTCCTAAGAGAGTAATAGTGGTAAATATGGGAATGGCCACACGAACGTCCATGATAAGAAAGCAATCTTCAAATAACTCTAAAGAGTCGGACGTGATTCTTATCTTATCACCTAACCCTATCCACCGCTTTACAAGCACGATTTTGAGTCAGTTACGGATGAAACAATGATCCCTTGTGATACCGGTAGTCTTCAGGTTTATTATTTAAACCCCTCATGACCTCCTCTCCTGGTCTCTTCACTTTCATTAAGAGAAAATCTTGGACCTTTTACTAAAAGCTCATTTCACTGAAATTCTGTTCTGAAATTTTGACCTTCTTTCCACGACACTATGTGCCAAGACGAAGTTGCAATCAATGGCTGGACCAGCACGCCAGCCAATGCCGGTGCCATCTTTGGTGATCAGCCTTTCATCAACAAGGCGGAGCCCCTTTCGATCGGTGACGATGTCAAGTTTCCATTCGACGATCCTATTGTTGCAAAAACTCTGGATTATGTACGGGGAGTCCTGCATCCCGAAACCCTCAACCACTCTATGAGGGTCTACTTCTATGGTATGCTTGCATGGTGAAATTCGCCCAAGGAATGCTCTTACTCGCGTGTCTAACACTGTCTCAGGGATGGTTATCACCAAGCAGCAATTTCCCGAAATTGCTGCCACTCTCAGTCCGGCGACTTGGGCTTTGACTTGCTTGTTACATGATGTGGGCACTGCTGACGAAAACCTTACCGCTACACGGATGTCGTTTGATATATATGGGGGCATTAAAGCCCTGCATATTCTCAAAGACCTTGGAGCCACTCAAGATCAGGCGGAAGCAGTCTCTGAGGCAATCATTCGCCATGAGGATATGGGGGTGGATGGGACGATCACGTATATTGGCCAACTCATTCAGCTGGCCACAACCTATGACAACACCAGCATTCACCCGCATGTAAAGGACTTCGGAAAGATGGTCCATGAGACTGTTTGTGTGCAGGTCACCGAAGCTTATCCCCGCCTCAAGTGGTCCACGTTCTTCTCCACACTCATTCGCAAGGAGGAGAAAATCAAGCCCTGGTGTCATTCGACGCACCTTGTTGACTTTGATATTGAGATTGAGACCAACACTCTCATGAAGCAGTTTGAGTGAAACGTGACAAGTGGAATGGCTCTATCGTGGTTTCAAGCTTCTTACCAATTATGACTCCAAGTTGTCTATTGTCAGATTATGATGGCTATCTAAGAAGTCTCCTTCCCATTTAGGCCGCTTCCGTTTGCATGTTTTGCACCGGCTCTGTCCTGGACATCTCGTGTCTTGTTTCAGACCCTCTGTCTTCTTTCCGTTGTTTTCTATATCGCACAACGTTGTCTGTTTTGTCCTGACGGAAGATGTGTTGTCGCCAGCGTATTTTCCGTCCGTTGTATAGCAGATTTACCATGTTTTCCCAATGTTTTCTTGTGTTGTTTCTTGTTGGCCAGTGTAGCGGCCTTATAGATGTTGCACGGTCTCCCATAGTCGGCAATCAATCGATTCAGTCTTTGTTTTCAAGAGTTTCCGTTTCGACTTGATGAGACCTCAGTCTCGTCAGTAGGTATTGGTGTTGGTGTCACCAACTAAGTACCGTGCACACAGTTACGTTAATAGTTTATGCTCTTAAAGCAAAAGTTGATTGATTTGTGTATGTTGATGTGTGTTCCAGCTCAGGTTGAAAATAACCTGAATCCCATACGGCGGGAGCCGCAGCTTAGCGCAAGATTACTTACACCAAGCAAAGACATGTTGTTGTCTATCAGTCGCTGGCTTGTCCTGACGGCAGGATATGTCCCGACAGAAGGATAAAGGACAAGGACCAATTTTGAAAGCATTCCCGTGTTTACCGGAAATCATCTTCTTTATGTTCACGCATTTCAGAGCCAGGCTCGTTCTAAGTAGGTAGCCGTTACGATGCTAGACTGAGAAAAACTTCCGCAGTCTTGGCAGTTCATTCTTTAGACAGGTATAATTATCTGACTCTCATCAAAATCTCCAGCAATGCAGTGACTTAGACGAGTATCGTTATAACTTCCTGTAAACCTTCTTAAGTATATCTTCTAAATCTCTATGCACCCGCCGTGCAGTCTGTTGAGCGGTCCAATTCTCAATGACAGTACGTAAGTGCCTGCTATAGAGTTAGTGCAATAACTAGATAATTGATACTTAAGAAAGATGAAACTCGATCTCCATGCCGTCAAATCCTGACAAGGTAGAAATCATCGAAACAAAATAAACAAGATCAGCTCTTGAGCAGTCAGATTTACTATGACTATATCACGATATGCTGACCTCGCATTTCGTGGTTATGGATGCAACTCGTTAAATAAGTCTGTAAAATTCATTCCCTTCCTCTCCAATGTTATATGAGAAGCAAGCCATGACCCAATCCGTCTAGGTGAGACATCCCCTGTGTTAGAGTTCCTGACCGCTTTTTTCCTTTCCAGTAGTCTCGCAGAATATTTGAAGCGCCGATCACATTTAAACAACTTGTCGAATCCCAGAGCATCTCCAAAGATCTGATGACAAGATCTTGTTGGTGCTGTGCCCGGCTACCAAGACCGGCAACAAAAGTCGGCCAGAGAAGGCACTTGAATAGTATTGCATCTCCTTTGAGGGCTTCAATCAGGCCAAGCAATTGCGAAACCAATTCTTCATTGTCTGATGTTGCTGCCCATTGGGTCCCAAGGAACTGCCTTCCGTATAGCAAAGCGGCACTCTTGTACGCCTCTGATAGCATGTAGAGTTTCTTGATTTCCGTTGTAGATGATGCCCTTGGTCGGTGGAAGTTCGATGCCCATCCAAAAGAATCGAAATCGTCAGTCAGCTTGAGCATATCAATGGTGTCTCGTATATGTGTATGCATGCTAGCGTCATCATGTCTCGTAGACTGCATAACAGCTCGTTGATTGGAAAAGAACCGTATCGATCTTAAAAGAAATTCAGGGCATCCGAGAAAACTCCTCACAATGGACTGTTGATGTTTGCCTCCATCGTTGCTAACAGACTGTTCGGATACTGGCGTCGAACTTGAGAGCGCGGATCCGAGGGTTTCAATTCTGCTACTGTCAGTGACAAGACGGTCACACATTAAGAAATGGGACCTACGTACAACGAAAGCTGTCCAGTGACAAATTGTCTTATTTCCTGGGCCGTATCTCCACGATCATTGTCGACATTGCCACTTGAGCTTGACTCCACTAGTGACCGAGAGAGGATATGAAGACCTTTGGCCCCTTGAAGGTGGAAATGCCAGCCATCAATCCCAGACTCAAGAAGGTCAAGAAAGATGAGGAGTAGTATAGTTGCCAGGGTCGCGTCCTGATTACAAGTCTCTGGATGGGACAGTGATGAGGACAGCGCTTCTATAGTTTGCTTTTTAAAACGGAGTGCATCGACTTTAGCATTCAAAAATCGAGGGGAAATATCCGCGTCGATCCGATGAAAGGAGTATCCTGCGTTGAGAAAGTGGCGCGCTGCCAGGGCGACGATAGATCTTTGCAAAGCCACATCCTCCAGGGCGTAAGAAAGTAAATTCCGAAGGGGATTGCTGTCACTGTCATACAAGATGTATAGTTTGCAGAGGCGTTTGTTGTCTGTGGCTGACATAAGTATACCTAGAAAAGGAAATCTTTCTTGCGTGACATGAACGTGAACTTACAGTAGTCAATATAAAATCTCGACAACCGATTCAAATTATGGATGTGCGGATCCTGCAACGCAAAGAAAGGGCTGCTGTCCACTGCCAACGGTTCGGCCGAATCGAGTAAGAGTTGAGTTGGCCTTCGTCGCGCTAATTGTGCCTTACTAATGACCTCGGGAGCTGCGCCAAAGACGCGTCCCCGCATCTTTCCACGAATCGCCACCCCTGCGACCCATTTCAGTGGTCTTTTATCGAAGCATTGCAGGCCCGCTTTCTCACATTTGAAGCAAGGGAATCGGGACTGGTCACACTGAATGGTGCGGCTGCGACATGTCCAGCATGCTCCGCGCATCTAGTGAAATTCCTTGCGAATATGATACTGGAATTAAGTGAATGGGGGGGGATGCAAGGAGAAAATGATAAGCCGACTTGGAACAGTGTCCAGAAACCAAAGCTCGGGGGGGGGGTTTGGGTCGGAAATATAATCTCCTACCATGACTAAGATATGGTTGGATGGCCACTTCGGCAAGGACCGGGACCAGACTATCCGGTTGAAACAAATTCACCGCCACCACCAATTATAGTTAATGCCTACACTTTTGATCCTTCATCCTTTAAAGTATAACTCACATATTATACACTCTATTTTATTTCAATATTAAAAATTGGGTTCAACCTATTTTGCGGGGTCGTTTTTGTAGTCCTAAGCTCTCGGCGAGAGGATTCTATCCCCGCTTTAATACTTTCAATTATCAAATAATATTCCTAAATAGCTCTATTATCGATTACTAGCTATTCTTTACATAAAGTAGAGTGCCTAATGTAGTAGGCGGTCCGGGGACTATAGCACGTCCGTAAGCAAGCAATAAAGCTGCGTAGGAGGTTATATTATAAAAGATGATAAAGGTAGGCAGGATATAATAGATACACTAAGAAGGGGAAGAAAAGATTGTAAAGGAAGCTTAGTTATAATCATTTTAGCTAGGAATTTTTATGGTTATTTATACTTGAGGTATGGCTCTTGCCACAGTTTTATCATGTTTAGACCTCGGCAATAAGGGACCAAAACCGGTCTTAGTCCTAACTTTTAGGACTGCTAGGCTATCCCAATTTTTGTAGGACCGGATTACTACGGTCCCGGTCCCCCGTACGGTCCTATAAACAGAACAAATACAGGAAACCCCGTAATATATATATTTTATATAGAATTAGTTAGTATTTTTTAGTAGTCTATGCCATCATTTATTGCTCTGACATCGTATGTATTATATCAGATTAGGCTTTGTAAAAAAAATTCTGGATCCTGGAAATGAACTGGCCTCCAATCAAAAATTCACCCATTTCAATTCAGTACTCATTATATACTAAGGCCCAGGAAGCTGTGTGGGGGATGGAGATCCACCTCCAAATCGACGGTAGATCATGTGACTGGCCATTCTAATTTGGGCATTTTTGAAGATCGCGTTGAAACCAGCGGACCCTCGACCTTGTCCGACCAGCTGACACTCCTTGGCGTCCCATCTCATACGCCATCCAAAATGTGGAAGTCATCATTACCAACCTATATGGTGTCGGAGCTTCCGCTCCTCCAGACAGGCCGATGTCTGAGCTGCCAATTCCGAAGCACCGGAGCGCTCGCGCATCTACGCGCCAAGTCCTTAGCGACACGCAATTATGCCACCACGAACGGTGCAAAAAACCCCAGTCCCAACAACAGCGCTACTGGCGCGACAATTTCCTCCCCTCCGCGCAGGGAACCCCAACCTGTGCGACGAGGGGCCCAGTTCCAACAAAACCCAGACATGAAACCCCAGCCGGGCGATGCGGACTTCAAGCCGCCGATGCTCGACCGTCCGATAGGTACCCCGGCGCCACCAATGGCTGGCGAGAACACAGGAGTCGACACCCGTTCGTTGAAGCAGAGACGAGACGAATTTGTGGACTATGATCGGCATATTGAGCGGCGGAAAGAACTGTACGTTTTAAGTCTTCTTTCCTTTCTTCTCAACATGGTGAACGGGATGAGAAGCTAATCTACGATCATATTTAGAACCCGCCAAGTCGCCAAACCCTACTTCCGAGAATGGTCTAATCTACGCTTCCTGGAGGGCAAAACTTTCGTGTCGAACCCCCGGCTCTTCAAGGGCGACAAGGCCCTATACTTCCCCAACTTGTTCGGAGTAACTCTCGCAGAACCGAAAGATAAGCAAAACACAACGCCGACCCTGTATGGAAAGATTAGCGTCGTGAAATTGTTCTCCAGCGTCTGGGCCGAAACCCAAGTGGGGACATTTACGGGCCCGGCCCAGAACCCTCGTCTGGCGGAGATACTGGCCAAAAACCCGCAATTCGCACAAACCGTGGATATCAACTTCGAAGAAAACCGCATGAAGGCGGCGCTGGTGCGGATGTTCATGTGGAGCATGCGCCGGAAGTTGCCTGTGGAGCAGCACTCGCGGTATTTCTTAGTGGAGAAGGGCTTCTCCGAGTCTCTCAAGGAAGCGGTTGGTATGATGAACTCCAAGGTCGGCTATGTGTATCTTGTGGACTCGGACTGTCGTATCCGTTGGGCTGGAAGTGGCAATGCCGAGCCAGCTGAGATGGAGACGCTTAATACGGGGTTGCAGAAGCTGGTTGCGGAAAGAAAGCTTCTTTATGAGGCCGAGTTGGCAAATCGCCAATAAAAACCATACCAGAGCCCGAATGGGTGTCTTGAAGGATCGCTGTGAATGATGTGGATTCTCCCCTCAACTGAATTTGTACATAATATAGAGAATGTGTATGATAGGAAGAACATAGACGCCATCGCAAGCCAAGTGCAAGTATTATCGTCATTCCTGTTATCACAGAGAGCCCTAAGGGACATGCCCAACCCCGAAACGCCGCGGCGAAAATCAACAAAGAAAATAAGTCGCTGTACGGGCTACAGAACGAGTGCGAAAGAGACAAGACGGAACGCAGTGATAACAAAGCATGTCATAAGACGAGCCCAGCCCGCTTACCGGAAGAACACCAGCATCAGAAAGCAGAATCCAATGAAGCAGCCCAAGATGATAGCATCTCGCCGCTTCTTGGTCCCAATCTTCCCCATCAAGTAGTTCATGCCGGGGACTTGGCTGGCAGCGCCGACAATACGTCGGTTGATGCTGGTGAGGGTTTCGCGCTGCAGTCCGAAGTTCTCATTGATGGCATATGCCTGGCTGAGCACGCCGTCCATCATGTTGTGGCTATTCTCGACTCGCCCCCTCTCCTCGAGCATGTAGTCGGCCTCGGCGGCACTGGGGTTAGATGCGCGGTAGGCATCGATATCAGAACGGACATTGGAGAGTAGATTAGCGCGATCGCGTGACTCGGCGATAGCGGATGTCAAGCGCTGGAGCTCCCGGCGGTGATCGGCGAGGACCTCGCGGTGGCGGGCGAGGTTATTCTGTTTGAGGGCGGAGGAGGTGAGGGTTGCTTCAGAGTCGAGCAGGCGGGAGAGTTGTGAGATGAGCGATTCACGCTGTGTGAGACAAGTCAGCCAGGGTATTTTCTTGTGGAGTTGATTGGGGGGATGCCTGGTGCGGACGTACTCGTTCGAGGAGGTCTTTCAACTGTGACTCGAGTCGCAGTTCCTCCTCTGTAGGAGTTTGTGGGGGCTTGGTCAGGGAGCTGAATTGTGCGTACGTATGGAAAAGATTCTCGGTCTGTTTGCAAGGCTTCGGGTTAGTCTTGCGTACGGGATCATATCCTCGGTCAGATACTGGGTACCTGAGTCTCGAGTGAGCGGGCCTGCTGCCGGAGCTGTGCCCATCCAGAGCCGGTGGACGTCATGGCAGGCAGATAATAGACGGTGAACAGGAGTGTAGGAAGGCAACACCGACTCAAATCACTCAATCCACTCTTTCGATCTCGCCCGTTGGACCCCGGACATACCAGATGAAGGGCCGCTGCCGTCGACGTAGCGCACCGCCGAGGAGCTAACCTAATCTAGTAATTGTGTTAGTGCCTTGACACCTTGGTGCGCACCCCTTTCTTTCTGCCTGAAAATCCAGACACCCACACATTTTCACCTTTTCACTCTCTCACATCACGTGCACGCTTAGTGCGACCAACTCGCTTAGCCCTAGTCCCACAACCACAATTTGGTCCTGGGACATCTTCAATTCTCAACGCCGACAACCCAGCACACAACACACGCCACCATGGTATGTTCGACCACGATCGCTCCCTTTGAATCTCGCGCTGATGGAATCTACGTCTAGTCGTCCAAGGTCAAGGCTGGTCAGCTCTGGGGAAAGAACAAGGATGAGCTCTCCAAGCAGCTCGAGGAGTTGAAGACCGAGCTTAACCAGCTCCGTGTCCAGAAGATCGCCAGCGGTGCTTCCACCAAGACCATGAGAATGTGCGTATACGATCCCGACACCACTACACTTTCTACGGATGGATTTCTGCGACAAGCGATCGGGCTGGGGTGTTTTATGCGGCCAGAGAACGGGACCAACAACCACCACGAAATTTTCAAGAGGAGGCAAACCGTTCAAGGACAACGGCAACGACGCAGCGAACACCCCGGCGACACGCATCGCAGAAGGAAATTTTCATCGCAACCCGCCTATGGACCCCAAAAAAATGTCGAAATTTTGAAGATCGTACACTGACCTGTGGCTTTTCTCCATGTACAGCGGCGAAGTTCGCAAGTCGATCGCTCGCGTTCTCACCGTCATCAACGCCAACCAGCGCGCTCAGCTGCGTCTGTTCTACAAGAACAAGAAGTACATCCCTCTGGACCTCCGCCCCAAGCTCACTCGTGAGATCCGCCGCCGTCTTACCAAGTTCGAGGCTACCCGGACCACTGAGCGCCAGCGCAAGCGCCAGATCCACTTCCCTCAGCGGAAGTACGCCGTCAAGGTATGAGAGAATCCCGCAGTCAGTCGCGGCGGTGCCGTTTCCTGCCTTTGGGGGTCGTCCACCTCTTCAGTCGGAACTCTACACAGCCTACACCGCTGCACACATTTCCATTAATCCGGGAATATATTGCTAACATACCGGAAACAACAGGCTTAAGTGCAGAACTTTATCGGATCTGGAGTTTTATGGGAGAGACGTTACTTGCCCTTGGACACATTTAGCAAGATGTGTGATGTGTGGACCTGAGCGGGGTCGGTTTTCTCTTTTTTTTACATCCCAAAAATGGAACTTGATTTTGTATCTTAAAAAACCGGTGCAAATCGACTCTTGACATGACATGACACTTAGACGTCTTTCGCTCCTGGCCATGATGGTCTGTGCTGGAATTGTAGAATGGTTGATGCACCTACACAAAACCTGCCCTCGGGCCCATGTTGGCTTCCTCCAGCTAGTCCCACACTAATGTCCTCCTTCAAAGGATCTTGTGCACTGTCTGTTTGTCTAGCTAGGACCACTCTTGATTTTGACAAGGAGCCTCTAGGACTGTAGTGCCCGGGCCCTCCGCCGTGCGCCCACATCTGTGGTATAGCACTCCTGTCTATCTACGCTAAGTGGCCATGATGGCGTTGTACAGCACCAATCTGCTATGAGAAAGTAATATGCATTCAAATGGTCATCAACTTGCTCTGATGGTTTCTATCCAAGCCAAACCAGCTACCCAGACCTTAGAACAGTCACAGCTCTCGACGCCGGCGCATGGGCCTGCCCCAAGGCCCCAGCACTCTGACCAGCCGCAGCCGCAGCAGGTTCAGACGCGTCCAATACCCACGCGCCACCGCAGGCGCAAGTCCGCAGCAGATTAAGCCTATGCATCATCTTCGTCCACGGCCCCGTCCTAGGCCGACCTCCATCTCCCGAGACCTCGCAGCAGCGCACACAGCGGCGCCTCCGCTGCACCTGTGCGCCAGAAGCATCTTGGCCCGAAGGCATAGGCCGCAGCGGGAGTTTCATGAGGATGTCAACGTCACGGCGCTTGCGGTACATCACCGTGCGCGGGTCATTCCCGAACCCGAGCCAGCTGTAGTCGCCCAGCACAATGTCCTTGCGGTTGATCTCCGCTCTGATCGAGGGCACGGTCTGGCTGAGGAGCGTTTCTACAGCTGAGACGAGGACGGGCGGGATCCGCGCGTTCACAAGGAGTTCTTTTTCTGGGCTTGGCCGCTCTGCGTCCCCGAAACCGGAGCCCTGGTAGGCATGCTTCACAGCGGAGTCGACGCCAGCTAGGAATTTCTCGTAGATGTCGACGCGGACTGGCGAGGTCTCAAGTGCCTGGCAGATCTCAATGTAGTAGAAGCGTGATTCGGCCTCTAGCATTGCCGGGTTTATTTGTTCGAAGCCATTGCGGACGCCGCGTAGACCGCGGCAGATGAAGCGCATGAAGGCGCGGGACATGCTGGAAAGGAGGATGAGAAGGGGTAGGGATGTTGTGGTTTTCACTGCAAGGGATTATGTTAGTGCGGATTGGGATGGGTATGCGAACGGGCTTTTGCGTATGGGACGTACATTTTTGGGTGAAAGCTTCTGTGTCATCGAAGACGCTTTCAAAGTCGTCGGCTAGATCAAATATTTCGCTCAGAATGTAGTGGGAGAAATCCAGTGCCCATCTTGTGTTTCCTAAGAGCGCATGTAGGATTCCTGAGGGCAACGTCAACAACTTATCGCGCAGTTGGTGTTAGTTTATGTTCTAGCTCACCTGAATCGTGGGCCTCAGCAGGCATGTTTTTGCCGTTCTGGAAGTAGGCTGCGTAAAGCACCGAGGAATGGCGAAGCTGCAAAATGGCCCAGGACACGGCTGATGAGAGACTGCGGGGCTTGATTCTTCCCTTGAAGCCCAAGCTTGCTTGTAAGCTTAAAGCCCGCGGAATATATGCATGGGTCAACAGCTTTTCCTGTTCGACCGTGAAGTTGCAATTGACCGATAATGCACGGTACACTTCACCAAGGAAGGTGGATTGAGCTTCTGTTGATATTATTAGCAGTTGGTTTTAACACTTCGCCAACTTTGTCCCAGCTTACCGGGAGAAAGCTGGCCCAACACCATCATCAGAATGTCGTCGGTATTAGCATCGCTACCAGACCCTCGGCTAAACGCCAGAGTTAATCCCGCAATTGCAGCAGAGAATTTACCTAGGTTGCCCGGTCAGCATGGATACCTGGCAACGGTTAGTGAGAATCGCTTACTCTCATCGTAGAGACCACCGGTAGATCCGAAGGTGTGCTCCATCCATCTCAACCTAGGCTGGCCCTCGCTATCCAATGCCACAGCAGCGCAGGAGTTGGGAGAGAACGTGATAGAAAGTCCTAAGTAAGTCAACTTCGAATGCTATCGGAACCAACGCAGAATTCACCGTAAACATACCTGGTATATCCATTGGGTACTGGAACCCTGCCTGCGCTAGGCAATTCACTGTGTTTGCATCGTCCAGCCCATTGAAGATTGCCATTGTCTTTGTATCATAGAAGGTGACAGAACTATCATCGTGAGTAAGTGCAAGAGCTGGAGCAGTAACATGCTCCACCAGATCCACCGAGATAATATATTTATCCAAATGTATGTCGTCGAGTCGGCGCATCTCTATTTTCGGCTACCAAATAATCAGCATCAATCATCATGACCAAAGGGTTGGTTTACATCGTACCTTGGCCTGTGCATTATTCTTCCTAGATGCAACTTCGTCGAACTTGGGGTGGAATGCCTGCTGTGCAGACTCGAGTTGCCACCGAACAATCACACTCAGTGGGCCTTGTTGATCTGGATATTCTGGCGTGGCATGAAGAGGCTTGGAGAAGACCGCCAGGATCCATGGACTAGTAGTTGGTCCCGAAGGGCTATCAACCTGTCCCGGTATGACCTCGAGCCGGGTCAACGAGTAAACAGAGTTAGGGAACGTGAATAGCTGATTTGTATGCTCTCCCGAGCCAGGGTTGACGCTCAAGATGCTGCTAGGCATATCGATTTTGTAATGGAGGAGGCGGAGGGAGGGGATAGGCCATTTACTGGGGGTTCTGATCGCGGCCGGGTCCCACTTGTTGGGATTCCAGCTAATCTCCACACGATATAGACAGACCTTCTGGCATACCGAATAAGTGGCAAGCAGGATGGTTCCTATATAAAGGGTGTTAGCCATCCCCGCATGTCATGATCGGCAGGAAGAGAAAGAGAACCTTGGGTGGCGACCATAGCCGCATGTGTCAATAACCGATCTGAATAGCCGGTGTTCTTCAACTCTGCAGGTAGTTCTGCCCACCTGCCATCCATATTCTGGTAGATAAGCTTGATTTGGCCTGCTCGCGTGACAGAGATCAACGAGCTTTTCCCTGCAGGATGGGAAGGGTGAGTCGGGCGCCAACGAAATGGTGAATGGGCCCATCTATTATTCACTTTGGCTGCTTGCTGGAAAGCATGAACCTGTTGTGGGAGGTCAATGCTTGCTACCTCGGCTCCAGGGTCTGGTTATTGACAAGAAGAACGTACCTGACGACCAGGATTGAGCCACATCAGGCCCACAATCTGGTTACTATCATCACTTGAGTCGTAGGTCGCCTGGCGCAGCCCTGTAATATTATCGAGGGCCATGAAGACCGAATATATGGAGATCCGTCCGAGGCAGTCAACCACGGCTAGCTCCGATCCAGCATCATTCCAGGACAGATGGAGCAGTAGGTTGCCATTATGGGCTTCGGTGACAGGTCCCAGCGGGAATTCGTCACTTAACACCCATTTGCCATCTGAGGAACGGCATTGAAGGTTCCGCACACATACTCGGACTCCATCCGAGGGGATATAGGCAATGCCTCCCAGCCGGGACCAGGCCACCTTCCTGTAGTGGGAAACACGATTAGTCTGATACGCGGGTTTCCACACCAAGATGGACCCAATCACTACTTACTGGCGACAGCCCAGCAGGCGCATCTCATCGAGGCATTGGGCCAGCCCTTTGGTGGGCGGGGCGGGTGCCGGCGTTAACCCCAGATCCAACGAATGGGCCTCACCAAAGAGGTCGTCGACATTGATACCTTCCTCCATGATCAATGGCATTTCTATCGCTCACAAAGTCAATTGGCAAGGTTCCAACCGTCATGCAGAGGGTCACTGGAGCCCGCCCCGCATGACTTGAAGGCAGAATGCTAGACGCCGATCTAGCCCCAGGGACCGTCGGCGGTGTTGATACGGCAGGCGAAAAATAAGCGGAACCAGCGTGCGGTGCCGACTGATATTAGGAGAGACGGTCGGGAGATACTTTGAAGATATAAGAGTAATATCGAATAGAATTAGGGCCGCACCGGGGGTTCTCCCGGTATATACCGGTCTTCTATTTTTCAGCCTCGAATAATGCGTTTCCTTTCAGGCCTCTCGCCAGTCCCCGCGACTCCCCGTGACTCGGCCGCGCCTGCCTCAATGCTGACTCAGCAAATTTGATCACATGATGGTAGCCCTGCCAACCGACATCCACCAATCACGCGCTGACAGATGCCCCACATACAGTCGGGCCAATCAGCGGGTGTGCTTCAACATGAAAACTGTCAGGGCGGGCACAAAGCAGTGAAAACAGAGAAACCAGCTGCACAAACAACGAGGGTAACAGAATGAGGGCTTCCATATAGAAAGCCCCTAAATAAGATGCGTAATCGTCACTTATATCGCATCATATCGCACTGTAGTGTCCCAAACTGCGCTGAAACTGTATGATATCCGGCCATTGCCCGCCGAGCGGCCAGTTGATGTTACTTCGCATCAAAACAAGCGCATCATCGAGTCCTCCTCCTCCGGAGGTTCGTTCGCCCAGCACGTCCCAGCACATACCGGGGGTTTTCTTCAAATCTCCTCCCGCAGCATCGGCGATCTTCCTCTCTTTTCTTCACAACAACCACATTCCACAACCCTCCCCCTCCCATCACAACCCCACGGCGCCTCCCGAAACTCCCGTCAAAATAAAGCGTTTTCGTTTTCGACGGGCCGTTTCGGTTTTCCATTTCCTTTTCCCAAATGGTCCTGCCTCCCTCACCATCATCGAGTCCCGACAGCTGACCTCATCGCCTGCAACTTCTCCCTTTCCACCTCCTGCCTTCTTCCCCGACCACAACCCCCGTTCATATTCTTCCATCTGGGCATTTCCACCCTTCTTAGTGGTCGCGTGGATGAATTTGGGCGTCCTACATGATTCTATTATCGCCAATCTCTCCCAACTGTGTATTTCTACGAGCGGGTTAATCTCTCCCCCCCTTCCGCCCCCGTTCTTGCCCAGCTGTTCCAATTCCCCTGGGGCGAAGTCACCCAACCCTTTTCTCCTCGAACCACCTCTCCCACCCTCCCGGCGGAGACCAGCACCCTCTCCGTCATGGAAGGCATGGATTATGATCTGTCCGACGTCTCGGACTTGAGCTCCGTGCCCTCCTCATCGACGCGGTCCTCGCCTGAGCCGGCCACCCGGTACCTGACACCGTCTTCCCAAGATGCTGAGGATTCAACGCGCCAAGACTGCCCTCCACCCGCGAAGAAGCGGAGGCGCAACCCCCTGCCCAAGGAGCGCACCACCCAGTATCTCTATCTTTCTAAATCATCCTACGAGCAGCAAGATCAGGTGAAATTGCTCGTCGACACTCTGCGCCACCAAAAGGACATCGTCGCCATTGCGGGCGCGGGCATCTCCACATCCGCGGGTAGTAAGTTTTTCACCCTGCGTTTCCGGTACCCGCGTTTCACGTCAAAAACCTAAGCTAACCGCCAATTCTAGTTCCCGATTTTCGCTCGACAGATGGCTTGTTCAAGTCTTTGCAGAAAAAGCACAATTTGAAGGCTTCCGGCAAGCTGCTCTTTGATGCCGCCGTCTACCAGGATGATGCCTTGACGGCCCCTTTCCATGAATTGGTCAGGTCGCTGTCGGTAGAGGCCGCCAACTGCAAGCCCACCAAGTTCCACGAAATGCTTGCGCGTCTCGGCCAGGAGAACCGGCTCAAGCGACTGTATACCCAGAACATTGATGGCCTTGAGACCTCTATGAAGCCCCTAGCGACGGAGATTCCGCTCAGTGCCAAGGGTCGCTGGCCCGTCACTATTCAACTCCACGGCAGTATCACCAAGATGGTATGCCAGAAGTGTCGCTACCTCTGTGACCTGATGCCTAGCAGATTCTGTGAAGCTGATCCTCCCGAGTGCGACGAGTGCTCTGTCAAGGAAGAAGTCCGCCAAACATCTGGGCACCGGAGTCATGGGGTAGGGCGTATGCGACCGCGCATCGTTCTTTACAACGAGCACAATCCCGACGAGGAGGCGATCACGTCTGTCATGAATGCCGACATCAAGTCCCGCCCTCGCGTGCTACTCGTCGCTGGCACCAGCTTGAAGATCCCGGGGGTTCGACGCCTTGTCAAGAGTCTATGCACCGTGATCCGCAGCCGCAAGGACGGCGTCACGATGTTCATCAACAATGAGCCGCCTGTCGGCAAGGAATTCGAGAACTGTTTCGACCTTATTGTACAGGGATCTACCGACGAGGTGGCCGATCTCGTCAAGCTGAAGAGCTGGGAGGACCCAACGCCCTATATGATGTCGCTGCCGGAGCCGGTCTTCGGAATCAAGCCTGGTTCTGACGAGGAGCTCTCCTCTTCAGACACCGAACAGAAGGTTTCCGTGGTTATCAATACTACACCCAAGAAGCGTCCTCGCAGTGACACGGGGTTGATGACACCTTCCTCCTCTCACGATGAGAAGCCGGCGGCCAAGAAGCCCGCACAGAGCAAGACCAAGAACGCGGCCAGTAAAGGCCCCAGTATCAAGAGCCTGCTCAATCCGGAAAGCAAGCCCGCTGCCTCGGCCAAAGGAGGCCGCAAGCCCGCTGCGAAACCCGCCGCCCCCAAGAAGCGCGCTGGCAGACCCAAGGCCGTGCCAGCTCAGTCCAAACAGATTACATCCTTCGCCACCGTCGGCAAAGCGAACACCGTGGCTGCCCCGGTGGACAAGAAGAATGGCACGTCCAAACCTATGCGCGCTTTGCCATATGGTGCCGCTAAAAGCAACGGTCCGGTCTTGATGTTCCCCGGTCTCGCCCAAAAGCCCGGTGTTGAAGCGCCTGTGGCTGAGTCGGTGACTACCGTGTCTTCTTAATACCCCACCTGTGATGATTCTTCTTTTCTTCTTTCTCCATTCATTTTCTTCCACTCATCGTGGCATGGTGCATATCCAACGGCGCCCGTGGTGTTGATTTTCCCCCTCCATTTTTCTGGATACCTTTCTTCGGCCGCTACTTCTTCCTCCGTCTTAAGAATGCTATGCGGGCCTCTTTTTCACCATTCATCCGTTCTTCGCGAAAGATACCAAAGATAGACTACGGATCCGTTGCATGAGGTGGCGTTGGCGTTGGTGTTGGCGGGCTAGGGTGGCTTGTTTATTCATGTTTTCGGGTTGCAGGTACTGGGATGTGTTATGATGTGCTGCTACGGAGCTAGCAGACCGTAGCAGTTAACCCCCTTCTGCTGGCATTGTGAACTGGAGGATGTGGGTGATATCCTGTTTCTGATTTTATTTCTGAGATGGACCCTGAACTAGTCTGTGTCTGATAATACCTATGAACTCGGATCCTTTGATCCTTTTTGACGTTTCGTGGATGTCTTTCGTAGTGGGCTCTTGATGCACATCCTTAGGCTGTGAAGCTTTTCAGGGGCCTGCCCTGGTCATCTCTTTCTGGTATTGGCTGGAGGGATATACTTAGTTACCTCTCTGAAGGCGTCCATCCGGTCTCGCAAGCAACGGTCAATTATACAGTCTGATCAGAGGCGTTCAAAGTCATTTTAGACCAAATGCATGAATCAATTCATCATTATGTATATTATACAGCAACGGCAAACCCCCTCCAAAACCTCGTCTACCATTCTGATAGGCACCACAGAGCAAGACAAGACGTCCAATACCAAACTTCCCCTAAGCACCCCATTAACCCAGCCCCAGATCATCCCGCAACTGACTGGCCGGCCCATCATCATCATCTGTCTCATCAGCATCAGGATCCATCCGCCTAGGCGCCGCATCCAAATCCTCCACCCGGTCAACATCCTCCTCGCCCTTCTGGCCCTCATCCTCCTCATCGTCCTCCTCCTCACCCTCCTCTTCCTCCTCCTCACCCTCCTCTTCCTCAACATCTTCCTCCTGCGTCTCATCACCATCAGCGTGCTCGCCCGCGCCAGCGTGCTCGCCGTCACGCTTCACCCGCTTCGCGGGGTTATCCACCATCTCGACATCCTCGGCATCGGCTTGGGCGGCGGATGGCCCAGCCGCAGCGCTGGAACCTTCAGCGCCGCCGGTCACGTCGGATTTCTTGGCCTTGCGCTTGCCGGCTTTGATCTCTGTGTAAGCGTCGAGCTCCTGCTCGAGGCGCGGGCGGAAGGAGTCGAATTCGAGCTCAGAGAGAGCGCTGAAGACATCTGCGGGGGCGACGGTGCGTTTGAGGGTTTCGTCGTTGGCGCTGGGTAGAGTGTGGTTAGTTGGGTATTGATCTCTTCTAGAAAATGCCAGCATGGTATAGTAGAGGATAGGCACGGATTCGGGAGGCAATCAATTAAGACTGTAGACACGGATGTGACACGGCCAGGGGTGGTTTCACCTACTGTGATGAGAGGTACGAGATGAAAACCGTCGCTGCCTTCTGTATGGCCAGGACGGCGTCCTTTTGGATCGTCGTGTTGGGCGGAAGCACCGACTTCGCCAGCCGGATTGTCAGCGAGCGCGGGAGGAGGTAGTCCTATACACAGACAGGGGAAACAGTGTCAGCCGTCAGATTTAATTGCTTTTCGTCTCATACCCAAACGACGGGCTTGGGGTGCGGTGTGGCCTGCTTACATCGACGCTCACGCCCAGCTCTGCACGCGCCTTCAACTGCTGTTCCGTCGCGGTGATGGGCTTGTCGGCCGTGCTCTGCGCTTGCGGAGACAGCTGCGACGGCTCGTCTGCTTCGGCTGGGGTCACCGAGGAGGTTGATTTGCGCGGTGGCATGATTTCAACCGCGAATTGGGGGGGGGGGGTCGTGTCTTTTTTCTTGCGGAGTCTGGTATATGGGGATCGGGCGTGGGCCTTGCGTGTTGGAGTTGGAATTGAGTTTCCTCGTACTGGATTTGCGGCCAGGTGGGTGAAAGGGGTTTAACCCTGATGTCTGATGTCGGGAGGACTGGACATTCAGGGTGTGTCGATTGTGTGGTTGTGTGGTTGTGGGGGAGGGTGGCAAGATGATGAGAACGCGAAATCCACGACGCGGGTTGCCTCGGGGGAACGCGGTGTGGGGACTGCAACTGTAAGTGATCAGGGACTGGGAAACCGACAGTGTCAACGACGACAAACAGTCCAAGATTTTACAATTTGTTTTACTTGATTGGATAAATATCGACAAGGTTGCATACTTATATTCCACCCACTTCTAATCTCAATAGTGATGCTCATTGAATTCGCAGCTTCTGTAGAAACGGAGTATGCACAGATGCTTGAACTGGGAATACGAAGACGTAGAAAGGAAAAAAAAAAAGGAAACATCGTCCGGGAAAATAAAACGCCCACTTTTTGGTATCCAAGAAATCTAGAACGAGAATGGATGATTTCGTAACAGGAGCAAATCGGAAGCCTCAAGCCCAAAAAGACAGCCGTCTACTCAGCCATCTCCTCGTCATTGCCCTCGCCATTGCCCCAGAGGCCCTCGATGTTAAATTCCTTCGCCCACTCCGTGACAACCTGCACATTGTCCACAGGGCCGGTGCTGGTCGCGGCCTCTGTCGAAGAACCAGCGACGGGCAGGGCAGGGGCATTAGCCCAGCCCTGGATGCGGCCATCGCGCCAGTCGTTGATCACAGTCATCGCAGCGCTCTCGACGTTCGGGATACCGCCTCTGCCCAGACGGCCACGCTTGCGGGCCACCTGTATCAGGAAGTCGGTGGTCTTGTCACCGGTCGGGAAGAGGGAGGTGATGCCGTACACCTCGAGCATCTTGGCGATCATGTTCTCCGAGGAGGAAAGGCGCTTGATCAGGAGGTTGACCGCAGGAATGGGGTCCTCGATCTGCTTGGGCGGGATGGCGTTGAGCAAGATCAGGCGGGCCTGCTCGTTCTCCTTGGACTTTTTGGAGGTCTTGCCGTTGGCACTGGGGAAGACGATACCGGGCGAGTCGATCAGCTTCAGCTTGTTGTCGAGCTTGACCGAGCGCATGTTGGTGGTGACGCCGGCCTCGGCGCCGGTCGGGCAGGCATTGCTGGAGCCCTTGTTGAGGCGTGCCGTCAGGGCGTTGATCACAGACGACTTGCCGACGTTGGGGTAGCCGATGACACCGACAGAGATGGACCGCTTCAGCTGCTTACTGTGGGCGTAGGACTTGAGCGCGCGGAAAAGCGTCTCCGAAGTGCCCTTGACGGTCAATTGCTTATGGTCGAAGCTGTGGGCGTTGGGGGCGCCGTTAGAGGCCTTGAGTGGGAGGGTGGGGAAGTAGCGGCGCAGGTGGACCAGCCAGGCCTTGAGGACTGGCGGAGGGACAAGATCGATCTTGTTGAGGATAAGGATCAGTCGCTTCGAGCCGGCATCGGCGGCCATGATCTCCCGCTCCACCTCCCTCGACCGAGTGCCTTCAGGGTCGCGTGCGTCGAGCACGTACAGCACTACATCAGCCGCATCCGTAACCGTCTTGAAGACCTTGTCGAATTGACGCCGTGAACTCTCCTTGGTGGAGTTCTGTGCGGTGACCAGCGTGGGGGCATCGTCGAAGGTCACTCTACCCTCCTCGTCGTCCTCGTCCATCTCGTCATCGTCCTCCTCCATCTCCTCATCCTCGCTCTCATCATCGTCATATTCCGCAGCCCGGGCCCGAGCCGAGGCAAGCAGCGCCGCCATAGGGTTTGAGTCCTCGCCATCGGCATCCATGTCATCGTCCAGCAGATCGTCCGCAACAATGTCCACACCCGCCTGGTTGCCACTCTGGGCCTGTTTAGCCTCGACCTTGCGAGCCCGTGCCTCCTCACGCATGCGCTCTTGCTCCTCGGCCTTCAGGCGCTTCTTCTCCTCAATATCGTGAAGGAGCTTATCCTTGAACGGGAAAAGGTTGGGAATGCCCGGGTCCTTCTTGAGCTTAGACCGCCATTCCGGGTTCTGAAGAATATGGTGTTAGAGCCGTCTTCAACTGCGATGTTGTTCTGGTAGGAAGAATTCATTGGCTCAAATACCTTCTTTGCCAGCTTCCTATTCTTCTTCTGCTTTGCAACAGCGGACTTCTCAATCTTGTGTCTCAGGCGGACGGGCACCCGCTTGGAATTTTTGCCTGCACCGAGTTAGCAACACAATCTGAGATGCCAAAAACTGTTCATAAACATGAGAGCCTCACCGAGTCTGACCATTTTGCCTGTGAGCCTGTTCTAAGCAAGTAGAGGCGAAAAAGGTACAAAGGTCTAGTGTCTATTGCTCCGCGAACTCGAGTCGAAAAAGTTGAGCGCCAAGATTTCGATAAGCGGACAAACATTAATGCCGATCGCCGATACATGCCGGCGGGACAACTACGCGATTCGGTAATGCAACCGCCGCTCACGACATCAAGCAGATTTCAAACATCGTCCTTTTCCCATTCCTTCCCTTTGTAAAGACATAGACATAGATTTATTCTCGCGGCTTCCTACACCTCCTCCTCAGATCCTTCCTCAGCTACCCGATCTTCCTCTTCGACCTCTGGACTCAACTTTAATCCCTCCGACTCATCTCCCCGCATAACCCCTCCCCCGCCATGTCATCGGCCGCGACACAAACTTTTTCTGCGCCTGCAGAGGTTCACACCTTTGATGGCCTTCTTTCTGACTTCGATGGCACAATCGTCGACTCTACGGATGGTATATACAAGCACACTCGCCCGGCCCTTTGCGACGAAGCCAGAAGCTGACTCATAACCCCTCTTCGAACAGCCATTGTGAAGCACTGGCACCAGTATGTCGATCACTCAAACCTCCCGGTGATATCGCAAGACTCCCTCTGATACTATATCGCAGAATCGGCGCCGAACTGGGCGTGGACCCCAAGACCATCCTAGCAACCTCGCACGGCCGCCGCAGCATTGACGTGATGGGAGTATACGACAAGAGCAAGGCCAATTGGGAATGTACGTCCGCGCCTCTGCACTCCCCACCATAAGCCCAACCCTTTTAACACACCCACAGACGTAAGCTACATCGAAGGGCGTATCCCGCAAGAATACGGCTCCGACGCCGTCGAAATCCCCGGTAGCCGGGATCTGCTCGATGCGCTGGACAGCTCCGCCGCCAAATGGGGCGTCGTGACGTCCGGCACGCGCGCCCTGGTTGATGGCTGGCTAGGCGTACTGGGCCTCACGCACCCGACGCACCTCGTCGTCGCCGAGGACGTCGAGGTGGGCAAGCCCGACCCACGGTGCTACCAGCTGGGCGCGAAGAAGATCGGGCTAGAGGGCTCTCATAACATCGTGGTGCTGGAGGATGCCCCGAGCGGGATCAGGGCCGGCAAGGCAGCGGGGTACAAGGTGATTGCACTGGCGACGACGCACTCGCTTGAGAAAATCCGGGAGGCGGGGCCGGACTGGATCGTCGAGGATTTGCGGAGTGTTTCGGTGAAGGGCGTTGTGGATGGACGGGTTCAGATTGAGATTCGGAACGCCCTGCAATAGGTACGTCATGCGGAACTCGTGAGGGTGAGGGTGTAATGCAGGGGCCAGGGTCTTGTCGGCTCCGGGCAACCTGGGTGGGAAGGGAGTTTGGGTGCAGATGGGTGAGTTGCACGGCATGATGGTGCGGGCGCCCTGCGTTTGGCTTGAGTTAAACGAGCGCACAGGTGGTACAGGTGCGCGTTTAGCTCCATTGGGCTTTGGGTTCCTGGCTGGTACCTACCTCCTCTCTCTCTCTCCTTCTCTCTCCACCTAGTACGACACACGGTGCATTACCTTACCTGCCTTGGGCTTGTCGATCATGTACTTTTGCTGTCCTCCGCGCGGTACCTTTGAACATATCATACTGCAGGGGAATCTTCAATATCCTTAGAAGAGAGCAAACCACAATGGAATCTCGGTTTCATGTATGGACATTGGGCTGCTGATCGCGAATCGTGTACGTACTATACAGCTTACTACGTACCTGTGGAGCCCGGCCACTCGGATTGGTCCAGAAGAACGGTGTTGAATTCCCTTCTGGCGGCGTTGGAAGGTAGCACGTCTGGCGCGCCCTTGACACATCGGGGAGCGGTCCTTCAATTCCGACCGACAGGCCAATGCCGAGCTAGGCCGAGACCCCGCCTCCTCAACTCTACTCTCAGAGAGATACGGCGTGACGAATCAAGCCGAACGTTCCAGCTCCGGGGACGACGCAGTCTTTGACAACATAGGCAAGAGCCTCGAGAGCCCCGGGCGCCAGATGTAACTCTATGCGGGATGCGGTACGGGCATGATGACAGCAGGCCAGTCCGGATACCCATTGATTAAACAGATGGTGACTCTCGGGCTACTCGCCGTGTTTCACTCCAAGCCCTTCCAACGACGAAGGTGGCGCACCGCAAGGACCATCCTTGCAGCTCCCACCGCCAGCGGCATATTCTCGGTGTCTGCGGAACGAAGGAGCCAATCAGTCCAATCCGAAGGTACATACTTTACAGGAGGATCAGCTGCACATCCACCCCGTCAGCCCCCGACCAGCCCCGGCCACTTCCTGCGAACAGTAGTTCAAGCAAGTTTGGGCCACCCCTGTACCCGGGTTCAAATGACAATCTGACCAGATCCATCCCCCGTAGGCATGATCCGGACGTCTCGGGGCCGATGCGCGGACGATAAAAGCCACAGTATGTACGGTTCGAGAGGACCGTAACTCCAAGCGCACCGCATCGTGGGCCCCGGCTGCTGTACGGCTGCAACTGCACCTGCGAGAGAGCGCACGCTCACGAGGGAGACTATGCCTAGCAACCAAGCGCAATGTTCGGTGACCATTGATTGGGCCTGGAATCCAATTCCCAATTCCCCGCTAGATCTTACAGGTCCGGCCGACGAGCCCCAGCTTCGGGAGGCAACGCAAGGCAAGACAGAACCAGAAAAGACAGAGCCGAAGAAAGTGGTCCTGATTGGACACAGGACCATAGCCTGCCCCGCCGCTGAAGGAAGTAACGTGCATAGGATCAAGCTTCCCAAATGGTCGTGACGCAGCAAGTTCCGGTGAGCAGTCATGCAGGGGCGGGGAAGAAAGGCGCATTCAGCGCACAGGCCGAGAGCTCGCAGTCTCGGGAATCTTGAGAATCCCCCGTCCAGCGATCCACGGAAACGGTTGGTCCGAGGAGCGCAGGAGCGCCCCTCGAGCCAGCCCTAATGATAAGGGCTTACAACCGGTCCTGTTTGACCGTAATCGACTCACAGGCCTCCGACTCGAGCGCACCAGTATGCGTGATGGTGAGTGCGGCGGCAATGCAATATCATCACGTACAGGAGGGGGACATTTGAGCAGGATTCTTGGCTTTGCTTTTTCTTTGTGCTGGTCCTGATTCCGATCTCGACCACAGCATCGGAACGCGCTGAATCGAACGGCACGGCAGCGAGCCCTGCTTCTCGCGCGGCGCATGCAGCTCGAGTCCCGAGTGTGGCGGGTCGGTCTCTCTACCGCCCTGTGGACCGTCAGATCCGGGCAGATCACTTGGCTTGCATACAGTCGCTGTACTGTGCCTGTTGCGGAGGGCCTAGACGGAACTCGGGCAGAGGCCAGTGGCCTGCGGCCCTGACAAATATTTCGTGTGCCAGCATCGTCTGTAGGAGGATGCCTGTGCGCGTTACGCACCGCCACAGGCTGAACGTTCAGATGTGCCGTGCCACACCCCAAGGGGGCCATGGGTGGGTGCCATTGGTAGGGCCGGTAGGTTTGGTCCCTGGACAGCGGCAGACCTGTCACATTTCGAGGGACGGGCTCCGGGCCTCAGTCAGCCACTTCGCCTCCTTTCTTGACTTTTGTTGCGGGCTTGCGAGACCGAAAAACTCCGGGCTCCCTCTGGACTTGACGAGTCAAAGCCCGCCTGCAGCGCCGGGTCGAGGGACATGACAATGCGAGGGGACTAGGGGCGGGGACTGGGAGGATCGGAGGTGGGCGGTGCGACATGCGCGGTCGATCTGAGGATCCCCCAAGGAAAAAGTACGAAGTCTGTGGCTGCCGTCACACGGTCAAGGAGCAAGCGACAGGTCGGGGAATTCTTGGGGGATGCTTTCTTTTGCGCCTGTGCTTTTTTTTGCCGAGGGATTTGGTTACCGCAGTGCGTGGGCGTAGGTCGCTGGGCGATACTGTAGTGGAGCATACGGCGTATACATCATGTTACAGGCGTGTATGGAGGACATTTGAGATTGCTCGTTCTACCGCAACGGCTCACGCCAGATCCCATCAATAGTCGGATGGGGCATGGGGGATCCGTGCGTGCAGATCCTTCGAGGGGGAAGTCGGGCAGTTCGTGCACTGTTGGGTTGGGGGACTCCTTTGTTAACGGGGTAAGTCGAGGGGTAAGTCGACTTGACTAACAGGAGTTAGTGCCTAGCTAGCCTGGTCCCGTCGATCGTTAGTCTTGCCGCCCGAGAAGGGGGGGCGGAAGTGGTGGGGTGGTTACTTCCCCCTATGGAGACATTCCATCACACGATGGACAACGTGATGATTTACGGACGATGCTGGAGATGACGGAGAGGACGGAGATCACTGTGCACCGGGCCCGTGCCGAGTATGGCCCAGTCGACGCACGCCATACACATCCTGGACCATCCCATCTCGGACTGGCGTGTCCATAGTTCATCGTTCCCGAGAGGACTATCTACTTAGTATAGGGGGAGGTAGTAACGAGGAGCATCTCGGAGATTCTCGAGCTGGCTGAAACAATAGTCGACGGAACTTATCGACTAAATCGACGCTTGCTGCAGTAGTTCCCACAGCACCTTCATGGTTCATGGTTCATGGTTCATGCTTTTTAGTTGTCGCCATGTGCGCGGTGGGTTCGGTGGAGATCCGACAGCTGCTGAGCACAGAACGTCCTCCTCGGCAGCTCCCTCAAGCCCACAGACTGTGATTGGCAGCACTGATAGGCGCCCTCCTGCACGTGAAGCTCTTTGTTCACCTTCGATGACGGTATGGTATGATATGATCATCAACAGCCAGGCGATCGCGACAATGGCCTATAGAATGCGCTGTTGACGTGGTCCTCGGAATCCATCCCTGATCTCCCATACAGCACAACAAGGTTTGTCGGGTGCAGAAGCACGCCACGTTGTAGCACGATTGACACGAGAGCGGAGCCCAGGCAGACCGAGTCTGCAGATCTATCTCCAGCCCAGTGCACGAACGGCGTAGTTCGTGTTGGACGGGACCCAAGTTCCCAAAGTCCCACGCTCTCGCCCCCATTTCGGCTACCCCTCGCCCCCTCTCTTGCTGAGGAGGTACGTTGGCGGAGAGGGTTTTCTCCGGGGAGGGAACAAAAGAGGAGACGGTTCGTGATCGCGGCCCACCCCTTGGGCCCGGGGGATTCCCACTGGCTCATCGAAATGATCACCCGGAACATGGAGCGTTGGATGCCCATGCTACACCCGGGTCAGATCCTGCGCTGAACGAGGCAAGCGGGCTCGTCGATCACCGGGCGAAGTGGGATGAACAGAGGTAGGGGTTGCTGTGTGGGCGCTGAGGCAGAGCGTCTTCCGTTGGGCCGGGCCGGTCTTCTCATTCGCATGGTCATGGTCACGGTCATGGTCGTGGTCCTGCTGATTGGTATCTACAGACACAGAGACCCGGGTCGACTGGTAAGGACAGGGCGGAGTGGAGGGCGTCCGTACGACAGAATGAGAGTTTGGGATTCGCATATCCGGAACCAGGCCGACTCCATAACTTAAACTTTGCCAGCAAGGATTGCCTGTACAACGTTTTTGTGTCAATTGCCCCGGCACTCCCTACGGTGTGCTCGCCCAGGGCATCCCGCCTGGGTCGGCATGGACATCGGACAGGGGCAGTGATGCCCCCGGCAAAAGTAAAATTCCCTCGTTTGAGGAACCGTTCAAGTGATTCATGTGGTCTGTCTAAACTGGAGGAGTGGAGAGTCGGTGTCATGTACGTCCTGGGACGTCGGAATGTCGGGGATGCGGCAGAGTCGAGCATTTTGGCGCTCACTCCTCCGCTGGGTACAGTATACACCGCAGAGAGACCTCGGCAATAGCTTCTTCCCGATTAAAAGGCCGTAGGCTGGTCTGGTAACAGGCCAATAGGCCTAGGCTCCGTATCTTTTCGAGTCGCCTCGAGGCTGGCAGCTGCGAGCTAGGGTGGGGGAGGTCGCATGTGCGCCTGCAGGTGGACGATCAGGAGATCCTCCAGACTCCTCTGATCTCCCGATCCTCGAGAACTCACCAGACCCGACAATCAACGACCAACCAAAGAGGAACGCAGGTGGACGCAGTTGGGGCTGCGGCGTCACCCCGTGACTTGTCGTGCATGGAGCCTCTCTGCCCAAGACGTTTAGCGCCGTCGCGACCAGGGCCACCCAGATTGTCGGGGCAGATGGCGCAGAGATGGTGTCACTCGATGCGGATCAAACAATGATGGCAGCCTGGAGGTTCATTGGGGCGTGCGTTCTCCGTACAGACTGAAAGAGCTGAACAGGTGTGTCCAGTGTACCGCGTCCAGCGTCCGAGCCTTCTCCGTACGGTCTAGGACAGAAGCAGAAAACAAAGCTCGGCACATCCTGAGTGATCGACGGGATCTGTCGACTATTGATGTTTAGCTGGGCTTGGCGTGCTGCTGCCATGCCCGCCTCGCTAGCTTCTTTGGGCTAGCGAAAGGGGTCCGGGCAAAAAGCATCTGCCAGCGTGCTTCAGGCCTCAATAGTGTGTCGACATCATCGGGCTCCATCGGCCATCCCTCTCTCCCCACCAACCCCCCTCTCGCAGGGCGATCGCGACGCATCGTGCCCATGGCACTGAAAAGGAGGTGGTACAAATCGAGGCCGGGGAGCAGAGTCCGATCGTCCGACCCAGCCGGTTGGTCCGGGGACGAGGAAACATCTCGAAACATGGCCAGACGATGCACCGCCCTGCTTTGGGGCGCTTGGCTGTACCGCCCCTTCTTCCTGCGAGTCTGGGCCGACGCAGATGATACCGTATGGATTCTATCCCCTCTGTATACTCCGTATAACTACCGAATATGGCATATACAGGGTTGCCCCATGCAAGCTGGATCACCCGTGACAGATGGACCGATGGACCAAGTGGACAAGTGGGCAAGGTTTCAGGTACTCCGTAGACACACCGGGAGCGGACCGAACAGTCGGCCGTGACCTGACGACGATTCTCTGCATCTTCTTCTGAAGGGGGTTTGCTTTTTGCCCTAAACCGAGATGACGGTTATTCTTCACGGAGGATTCATTCTCCACTCCCTAACATACCTCCATCAGGTGCCGTGCCTTCACTATGCCGCATTCGCTCTCGTCGTGGTGGAGAGATGATTTTCGGGGCCTGTCTGGTGGTTGGCTACACGACAGGCCACCGGCTGGGATCAGACATTGCGCTAATGCAGGAACTGTCCCGCGGCTGGCTCTGTCATGACCAAACCCGATTTGCGGGTTTACCCCAGTACTGCGTACGGGGGGTGAATACACCGTACACGCCATCCTCCGCAGCTCGTATAGACGGGGACGATTTCTGGGATATCTGCAGGCTCTGATAGGACTGGCTTGAGAAGCGACCGAGACCCATGGGACGGTACCCGTCGAGGTTATCATCCCGCCCTCCACACGTAACCATGGTTCCATTGTTGACGCCGAACTCTGTACCTGACTAGAGAGAAACGAGGGTTGGAGTTTACCTCCTGATGGGTATCCAGCGAGGACCTTAACCTCGTTTGGGCCAGTGGGTCATTCTTCACAGCGCCAGATTCGAGTGATGCAATTGGTGAAAGCAGTTGCCTCATAAAATACCGAGTCCCTTCTTCAAAAATACCGACTTCAGGCGGGCCGGCAGAGGGGCCGAGTGGCTGAGTGGAGCCTAATTTCAAACAGCGGTTGATCAGACTCAGTCCGCTGATTGGTGCCAGCGATCCAAATTGGAGAGATCCAATTTGCTTAGGGCTCATCGACAGACACCGATGCTCGGGGAGGAGAGCTCCATGGCGCTGGGAACTGTCATGAACCCCCTCGTCGGAGACCCATCGCCTCTGCGGTGTATACCCATATTCCCCCTCCCCTGGAGGCCGTCCCCCTTCTCCTGCAAGCCACTGGACGGGAGGTCAGAGATCTTGCACGCTCGCCACGGGGTGCCCCCCGAGGCCCAGCCCGGGTCGGAATTGCGTTCTGGGCCCGATGAGGTGTGACCTTTCGCAGGTCGCAGCAAGCAGTCGCAGCCAGCAGCCAGCAGGGCCGCCACCCCCTAGAACCGAGCGGGTGGTAGCGCGACTCCACGAACCAGAAGTGGGGAGGGGTTATTGTCAGCCCGATTTGGGGCCCGTCACGGGAGTGAAGAGCGTTGGGGTCTTTGGTCGGTCACGGCATTACAGGAAGAATACCAGAGTACTGTACGACTGAATGGGTGTGGTAGACGATCAGATCGTCTCGCCCGAGCGCAGTCCGGCTAAACCCTCGTCGATACCGGCAAGCGTCCAGGATCCCGCGAGGCACAGATGAGGTACCGAGGAAGTACAGATGATCTGTGCCCGACAGTAGCCTGTCATAGAAAAAGTGTGCTCGTGGAGAAGTACCAAAGACTTTGTTCGTAGACAGATATCTTGTCCCTGCTCTACTGTACGGAGCATACTCGGTAGTACGCGGTTTGTTTACATGCTACTGTACTCCGTACTAGACGAATAGAGATAAAATACAGGTGCCCAGATCGTACCGCAGCCGCCACGACCACGGCGCACCTCCCCCAGTCTTCCCGTACCGCCCCTTACCACTCACTACTGTACTTCTCGAAAAGCCCCGATCGCAACTCCACCGCGCTTCTCTTTCCACCTCCCCTTCCCTTCTCCTCCTCCCTCCTCTCTCCTTCACATCCGCTCTTTCCTTTCATTCCCTCTTTATTTACCTAATCTTCCGTCGTGACGTTCCTTCGCTCTTTTCTTTTTCCTTCAGCTGCCATCTTGGTCCTCCGTCTCTCCTTAATCAACAAGGCTTATATGCCTTCACCTGGCTCGTTTCTTTTTCCACCCACGTCCACCCACACTCCTTCCAGACTCGCCACTCATCACACCCTGCGCTCTCCATGATATAGCCTTCCTCGCACCTGCGCTCTTCTCCTCGTGCCGCGACCTTCTTTCCTTTAGAACCCACCGGCTTCCCCTCCCCTCCCTCCCCCTTCTCTCTCTTCCCTCATCTCCTCATACAACATATCCTCCCTCGTCCTCGTGCTCTTCATCCTCCTTCCTCTCTCCCCGTTGCGGCCATGAGCTATATCCACCCCTCATGGAACTATCCAGCCCATTCGGGTCTCCCAATGGACCACACCCTTGCCTACGATCCAACCATGGTGCCGCCGCCCATGATGCACCATCCCATTGACGGCTATCTCTACCCCCATCCGCCGATGGAGATGCTTGACTATTACCATCAACCCATCATGGACTACGACGAATACACAGAAAACCTGTCGCGTCCCCGCTTGACCAAAGAGCAGGTCGAGACGCTAGAGGCCCAGTTCCAGGCTCACCCCAAACCCAGCAGCAACGTCAAGCGCCAATTGGCGGCTCAAACCAACCTGAGTCTGCCCCGAGTTGCGGTATGTCTTGGTGCCAAGGCGTGACATGGTCGATGGGTTGATAACATGCTAATCGCTGCCCGCTAGAATTGGTTCCAAAATCGACGCGCCAAAGCCAAGCAACAGAAACGCCAGGAGGAGTTTGAGAAGATGCAGAAAGCCAAGGCCGAGGCCGAGGAGACGGCGCGAAAGAAGTCCGAGACGATCGATCAACTCTCCGAGTCTCGACAGGCGTCTGCCTCCCAAGAAGAACCCGAGCGGTCCCCAACCCCCAAGCAAGAGACGACCACGACCACCACAACCAGCACCGCCGCCACATCGACATTCGAAGACAGCAATGATGATGCCAAGTCAAAGAAGCACCACAAGACAAAGAGTGAATCTGCCAGGGATGCCACATTCGCGTCCCTGCAGCGGGCGTTGAATGCTGCATGCGCTGCCCGTGACCGCTTCACAGGGCGACGCGGTAGCAAGCATGAGTCTACACCGGAGGAGGAACCCGTTTCTCCCACCTCCATGGCCCCGCCCAGCAAGGCCTCCAAAGCACAGGAAAACAAGATTCAGGTGGCCGCCTACAGTACCGGCTACTCAGACTGGCATAACAGTGAGGAGTCGGCGTCGTGGGCATCACCCCATGGCCAATCCGAGACCAATTCCTGCCAAGCACCGCCGGCGGCGCCGAGTTCCTCGCACTCAGTACAGCAGAACGTGGATGCCTTCTCGGGAGCTCAGTTTCGTCCTCACAATGAGGAGTGGGCAAAGCACTCGAAGGATCAGCTCTCTGTGCACGGCATGGGCCCTGATGCCAACCTCGGCTACAACAACAACATGCAGTACCCGATGGCCTTGCAGACTCCAGACATCTCCATGATCCGGCGTGAATCGTCCGGTGCGCTCACTTCCTTGGATGGGATTGGGATCCACACGGGCGAGTCGGGGATGCCGCAGTCCACAGGCCGTGTTGGAGAATCCTCATGGAAAGAAGCCGGAAAGGAGCTTGATCTTGCCGCACGGCGAAAGCGCCCGCGTCCTGCTGCCATTGGCACCTCCAATACCCGCTCCCTGGCTGTCTCGACTTCCATGTCTTCCCTCTCTCCAACTAGCCGCATTCCCAGCTCTGCCGGCGCTGGCAACTCGATGAGGCACTCGAAGTCGACGCAGAGTCTGAACTCCCGGTATGCGGGTGTTCGAAAGGCGTCGGCTGCTCACCGCTCTCCCCTGAACTTCACCTTTGCCGAATCTGGGTCCATGAAGGCCAGCAAGGCCGAGATGCTGCGCCCGTCGGTATCTTCGACCACCTTGGCTCCGCCAACCCCTTTGACTCCTCAAGACTTCCAGCACTTCATGCCTGCCTCGCCGACTGATAGCAACTATTGCCTTTCTGCGCATTCCACAACTCAATTCCTCCCTTCCTCGCAGCCGATGCAAGTGAACATTGCATCGCCGCCCACCACGCCGCTCGATATCTACTCCCCCTTCGCGTACCAACATGTCGGCCCGCCGATGTCAGCTCCCGCACAGGTTTCTACTTTTCCCGAGTATGTGAGCTGTGAGCCCGTGCCTATGACGGCCCGGAGCTGGGCAGACACTGGCTCCCTCTCCTCGCCCGACTTCCAGAGCGGTCTTCAGGTGCCCCATTCAAGCACTGTCTCGCCCATTGGGTTTGAAGCAGTTGTTGACCACCCTGGGCATGCCTTCGGGATGGAGTCCGTGTCTGGCTCCCCTTCTTTAATCTACTCGATTGAAGACACGGACCTCCAGGGCTCTGCGGATACCGGTGAGAGGAAGCAAGCTGAGTTTATGATGCACGATTACTCCGAGCAGCAGGACCCCCGCTTTTCTGCCCACCACATGGCGCACAAGACGAAGGGCTATACGTTTGCGAACAACACGACCCCGAGCAACTACCCTTCATGAGAGTGTTGCGCTCCCTACACGCCCCTTTCCATCGGGATGGGATGGCTTTGAATGAGAAATGTGCCGCGATAAATATGCTTTTGTTGGTCTAGGACGAACCGCTACGCATCTTCCCATCCCTCACGCAAGATTTTCCAATTCCTCGTTTCTTGATTTTTATCATCCCTTTTGCCCACCCACGGGTGGTCTGTCTATTTCCCAACCTGCCGTGCGCGGAAAACCGCAGTCACTTTGTCGAAGGCTGTCTCCTACATATCTTCTTAACTGTCTTGTGTTTCTTTTTGTGTCACTTGTGTCTCTATTTGGTGTTGTTCCACCAGGGTTTTTTTTACATATTCGGAGCATTCTGTGCATTTGTGTTTATTGGCCTGGGATGTTCTATTTGGTGTCTGATACGATCTTTTAATTCTGCTGGCCGTCGATGCTCGAGGCTTTTTATCTTCTCCTTGGACTACTTGACCACCGCTCTTGATTTTCTTCGTTGATTCTTACACTACCTATTCCATGTTCTTCTGGGGCGGGCTCTTTTCTTGGATGGAATTTGGACTTGCATATTTGGCTGCATTTGGCTATCTGATACATACTGACACGTACCGATCTATACCTACGTTTTCTCCAGCACCCGACTTCTGCTCTCCTGTCACATAATCGAAAATAGGGCGATGTCTACAAACTGCAATATGCAATATGCAATATATTATTTTCTCTCCATGGCCTTTCTTTATCCGCATGTAATATCCGAGCTTCCCCGACTCGCAGGCGAACCGGAGGCCCATTAGCCGACACGGCTTCTGCAGGGGCCTCGATTGGCTGTGCCCTGCGGCATGCAAAGGCAGTCGAGGCCTCTGGCCGCGACTAATGCGTCGTCACTCCTTGTTAGCACCGGCTTACTTTCTGTTTAGTCTGATGTTAGCGGTCAGCCAATTCTTCCGCCTCTTGGCGCGGAACACCACGTGCGTTGCTCCGTTGGCCGTCGCTTCTCCGCCCACCGATTGACCCACCACGGGGAACTTCAACGTTCCTCGCCTCCAGCCGCCGCGGTATAAAAGCAATGGCACTACCGATCTTTCGGAAGAACTCATACGGGATCCGTCTGTCCAGTATCTTCGGCATCGTGGAACTTTGTCAACCTGCCCAATGAAGGTTTCTGCTCTGAGCCCGGCCCTGCTGGGTCTTGTCGCGTCGGTACACGCGGCATCCTCGATCGAGTACTCGACTGTGACGGGATATTTTTTGCAGGACGAGACCGCAACCGATGCATCAACTTTTGACTATGTATGTGATAGATTTCCAAGACTGTGTTTACCTTGGGAGATGTTCCTCGTGATCTAACTATGCTTTGTATGGATGTATAGACTGCTGTCAACTTCGGCCTCATCAACCGCACCTACCCAGTTGACCAAGAGCTTAAGCGCCATGGCAAGGACTTCACCCAGTGGGAGCGCTTCTACCACCAGGTCCAGAAGCTGAACCAAGACTCTCACAAGGACGTTGAGTACAAAGTCCTCTTTCTCGGCCGCCACGGTGAGGGCTGGCACAACGCTGCGGAGACCTACTATGGCACCCCAGCCTGGAACGTAAGTCCGCGTCTCCCTCCCCTTACCTCCCACCCTTGAACTAACGATCCCCATCCAGTGCTACTGGGCCGAACTCGACGGCAACAGCACGGCAACCTGGCACGACGCCGCGCTGACCGACAACGGTATCAACCAAGCGCTGATCGCGCACGCCTTTTGGCAAAAAGAGATCGACGAGCAGCACATCCACACACCGGACAACTATTTCGTCAGCCCGCTGACCCGCACCCTGCAAACAGCCAACTACACCTTCTCCGGCCTGTCCCTTCCCGACGGGTCCGCGACATTCAAGCCCCTGATCAAAGAGCTCTTCCGCGAGGGCATCAGCATCCACACCTGCGACCACCGCCGCAGCAAGAGCTACATCCATGAACTATTCCCGTCGTGGCCAATCGAGAAGGGCTTTGCGGAGACCGACCAGCTGTGGAACGGGGTAACGGCCGAAACGAGCGGGGCGCAGGATGTGCGCAGCAGCACGGTGCTGGGCGAGGTATTTTTCTCCAGCGCCAGCAGCAAGCGCGACGCTTTTGTGAGTGTTACCAGCCACTCGGGCGAGATTTCTTCCATCTTGCGTGTTGTGGGGCACCGCACGTTTGGTTTGAGTACCGGGGCTGTTATTCCCGTGCTTGTTAAGGCGGAGAAGGTGGGTGAGGCTAGTGCTACTACAGCTGTGTCGTGGACTGTTAGTGCGCATTGTACGGCGCCGCCGGTTACAAGCGTTTCGGCTTGTGTTTGTCCGTCGAGTGCGGCGCCGGTGACGACGCCGTTGGTTACAGATGTTTAGATTTGGGGTTGGTATTGGAATAGATCTGATCCTTGGTTTGGTTGACTCTTTGGCTCGAAATGTATTGGTATATACTTTAGAGTGTATAAATGTAAATTTCGTGTATATAGATGTACATATATTTGGGTTTGCTTCCGAGCTAAAACGCGCCTATAGGAAAGGGAGGCCAGTGCCTTGCTCTGGGGTGTCCACATCGCTTATATTGTGCTCCTTCCCTTCTGTACTTTTATCCTAGCCTCCTCTTTTCTTCTACTTTCTCCCCTTCTTTCAGTAGGGATTCTCTCGCTCCATTCCGCGCAGTCGCACGCTCATTGCTGTCGTCGCTATATTACAGAGCTCATACCGGGCATTTTGATACAGAAGCCCACGCAACGGCCCATGATGCCAGCATATTTCCCAGCCCGACGATTGAGGTCATCATGGCTGGCCCGAACATCTGCCATGTGCCACCCAGTGTCTGGCTGTCCCCTTGTGGTGAGTGCAGCAGGAAGGCGGCATAGGAATACCGCGGCAACGAGATTACCCCTATATCTCCACGCGGAATCACCATATCGAGCAGACACTCCGAGAAGAGAAAATCCGATAAGCGCAAAGCTCAGGACTATTCCCGTCAAGGCCAGTCGAGAAGGGCTTCGTGGAGACCGACCAGCCGTGGACAACGTGCGTCCGGGTAGGTGCTTGACGGATAACTACACTCGAGTGAAATACCCGGAGATGAGAAAGAACATCCCCATGAGTATGATCAAGATGGTGTTATGGGGTGGGAAGGATTGCGAGCGGAACTTTCAGGTGCAGTGCCGCCATGGACGGTGGCTGTGTGGTGGACTATGATGAGGGCTGTTGGGAATGTGCGTAGGTTGTCGATCGCATGATTCTGGTGCTTGGATGGGAGATTAGTGGGCGCTACGAGGCTGGTTGGTGTGAATTTATGTATTTTCGGTCTTCAGGTGCTCTAGGTAATAGGTTGTTTCATTAAGTTCGAATTTGGAGATTGTGTTATCTTCTAGTGCTTCATAGTGTCCTGTTGGGCCAGGGGGTGTGAGGTGATGTTTGAGACTCAGATGTACCTAGACAGGCAGCGTAGGAGGTTCGTATTGAATGAGTGCACTGTTGCTGGCAGTATTCCACGCATAGGCTGGCTGAGGTGATGGGTAAATGCCGACACAAGCTCGGTTAGGTTATATCTGGAAGTGGGATATGTACCAGCCCTGGATACGCTGAAGAGCGAGGAAATCTAGTCCCCGTGTACACTTACTAGAGAGGCAGGTAGGTAGCGGAAAGTAGCTGCACAAGGGGTTCAGATATATATATATGATGGTTGGAAAATTGCATCTGCCTGGACCAGGCAACCCAAGTTTAAGGTTGCACCTACCGAATGATATCGGGTGAAAGTCAAGATAGTGAATGAAGAAATTACATACAAGAGGGAAAAAAAGAAAAAAATGTAGACAGACTAACCAAGAACCACTGCATTCCAGTAGTAGTTGTCGCGATCGAGCAAAAAAGGAAACACGTCCCCGGGAAGGCTCGAACTTCCAACCTCCTGATTAACAGTCAGACGCGCTAACCAATTGCGCCACGGAGACGGTTGCTTGTTATCCATAATTAATCTAGTGAATTATGACTGAGAGGAAAGGCGGTGAACCTGAACCCCACTACTTCTGCAATAACGTCAAAATTTGTCATATATTTTTTAGGCTTACATCATGGACGACTAGCTTTTAGTCAATCGTGTGATATCTTGACGTGCACCTCCTCCAGCTACTTCAAAGAATGAAGTATTAAAGTTTCTATCAGTTAATATCATCATTATAACAACTATTATTGTACCTATAGCTCCATATCGAAGAATAAGCCCCACGACGAAATTCACTCACTTGGCCTTTGTTGCCCCTGCTTCCTAAATAGTCATAGGGGGCAGATAGTCTGCTACCAGCAATATTAGCCAACGCTGCCAACGTCAACAGTCATCTTATTACGGACTATGCCCTAAGCAGGAAACTAACCCAAACATGTCTAGACCCTTTGTCATTACTACGCGTGGAATGATTCGTGGATTGGGGCGCCGACGCAAGTCTGATACGCGTCAAGATCCCCGGCTCACGTGCCTGGTCTATCATGCACCTCAAGAAAGAGGTGTCAGTGCGGAGTAGTTTTTGATCGGAGATTCATGAAAACCCGAGGCTACTGGACGCTACCTCCGAAAGGGGTATCGTGTATACCCGAGAAACATGTCCATTGTTACCATATGATTGCACCCTGGTTGCCGGTCCTTGTCCTCCCGGAAAGGGGATGACCTAACCTCGTCATAGAGTAATGAGCAAAGATCATAGAGTACTGTGCAAAGAGAAGAGGATCCCTGTAATCGAAAATAGATCCGAGGTGGCTCGGGCCCGACCTGCCACTAGCTATACATCGGAGAGGAGAATGCAAACAAAGCTAGAAGCCACCGTACAGGCCGCCACCATTGACACAAACTTCAGTGAGTGGCTTTACGTAGAAGCCAAGAGAATACCCTCCGCTAATTCACCTGTTTTGGACCCTGAAGCCTGGAAGTTGGCTTTTGGCCATCGGAGCCGAGAATCAGGTTTAGGTTACATGGGGGGTCCCGCCACTGACGACACCTCCCGAGGTTCCCCACAACCACTCTATACTGTGCCTGTAACTCATACCCTTCGAGTATGTCAGCAGAGAACACTCCGCCAGACAACCTTTGTTTTTGATGCTGGTCATCTTAAAGTACCTTGTCCTTGAATTTTGGGTTTCTTTTATTTGGGTACAAAATATATACCCGGGTTTCACGTGAAACTTGCATCAGATTTGGGAGTAGCAGAATCTTGATTCGGCCGAACTTTAACCCGGGAGACATCTCTACAGGAACTTGGAACATCATAAACCGATTTGGACGTCAATGACGCAAGATACCACAGGGTAGTTGAGGTCACCCGTATGTATCGAAGATAAATAGCTCGCATTTCGCCCTCGACGGATTTCCTTCATCATCAACAATCAACACTATCTCAAACCCAAACAAAACACATTTATCTACCCTTTACCTTCACAATGGAGACTGTTAAGGTTCGTTGCTTTCCCTTAAACTATTTGTCTCGTCCTTACCCTAACTTTTTCTGCTAGAACGCCGCCAACTACGTCGCCGAGACCGTCCAGGGCACCGGTGCCACCGCCTCGAAGGAGGCCAACAAGGAGGTCGCGAAGGACTCCGATGCCGGTGTCAAGACCCGCGCCAACGCCGCTATGGATGCGCTTGGCGATAAGAAGGACGAGTACTCCCACAACACCAAGGCCGATGTCCACAAGGGTAAGTCTTTGGGTTCCCTTCAATACACTTCACAAGGGCTTTGTTCTAACTCACCACAGAGGCTGCTAAGCACTAAATTCGCCAATAACTGAGTTGGTGTCTTAGAAGATGGAATGGTTGCGGTACACCTAGGGATATGATCTTCCTAGGATTCCATGTACAACACGCGTTTTCCTCGCAGATATCCTTCAGATAGATATGATTCGGCTCTCTCGAGTGCTACCTAACGAATAAACGTCTTTCAAGTTCAATCCTAGCTGTTTGATTACATTCAATTCCTTCCCAATTTGCTATAGGAGCTTTATATATAGGTCTATGAAGATTCCATGAAATGATTAGTGTTGTGCACTATGCCCTGGAAGAAGAAACCCGCAAAAATCTTCTGTACAATTGAATATCAAGTCCAATAAAGATCAAGCTCCATGACAAAACCTTAATCTTTACTTACGTTCTATCAAATTTCTGCACTTCCGTGCTAATCTACTGAACTCGACAAGGATATGCAGGCCCTTTAATAATATGGCGAGCTATTATAAATAGTTACAACACAATTCCCATAAGCCATGCTGGATCTTTAAGTATTTATGCCGTGGATTTTCAACCGCCAGTCGGTCATTTTCTGTGACCTATCTTTGCGTCCGCACGTTTTGCCTGGATCAGCCTATTTATCTTAGTTTTTTATTTTCGCTAGAAAACTTTTCATTTACAAGGGTCCTAATATTGACTTACCTAAATATCCCCAATAGTCAAAAATCAGCTGAATCCATATAGATTCTATAGCAAAAAACTTGAAAGTACTTAGACAAGTTGAAACGCAAAACTCTCAGACCTGATATACGTAGGTAACCTATGCTAAGCGAATAGTAACTCATATCCTCATCTGTATTATGATTGAACAAAGACTTTACCTTTGTCCGGAGACTGGCAACATGACTATTGGCTAGGTATAGAGTGAATATTCTATGTGGCTTTCAAAAGCTTTGATGGGTATTAATAATACACACAAAGTTTCACCCCAACTCCTTGACTTTTGCAAAATGTCAAGATAAACTTAAAGCCCCCTTCTGGCCTTGACCCGAACAAATCATAAAATATCTAGGTTATACTGGAAACAAAGGGCAGAACAATCAGCTTGACCAACAATGAAAAAAATGGCTGTGTGAACGCTTGTGACTTCTTTATTCTCAAATCTATTGTTATGTGATCTACGAAACTACTTTAGCCCATCTCCTCGCTTTCAGTCCCAATCAATACTCACACTCCATTACAATCTTCCATCAACTCATCTCTGACACATTTCACTCTAATTCACACAGAAACATACACTCGTCCCATCAAGCCTACCTCGCCACAAGATCAAATGTACGGTTATCAGGTTCTCGTTCATCTCGAGCGCAACGACGGCTATCTTTCTGATGTTGACCTGCTAAACCGAATCCGCGGTGCTTTTACGGGCTTCGGTCCTAGGGTGGCCACCGTCGGATACTACAACTACAGCAACAGAATACCTGCAAATTCCATTTCCATCGTTGTCGAAGTCAACAGGCCTGTAAGCCTAACGAATCAAAACAGGCAGTGGATGTTCGATCGGGCGCTACAAAGGGTCGACGATTGGATCAATGGATACAACATCAGCGGTCGGCTTCCGTTCGTTCGCGCAAATGTCTTCAGGTGAAATACCCCTCTTCCACGCGACGTTCTCTCTTTCGTTTTGTTTTTCTATTTCGATCTACTCAGAATGCAATGTTCTCGGTGCTGGTGTTACTCAACTATCAGATACCTTGAACCAAATTTAATCAACTTGAATTGCTGAAATTAATCCCACATGACGGGCAAGTTAATTCATTCCGTGTACACTGTAGAGCTAGTAACATTTGTTATAATTGCGGATACAATTAGTGCCAGAACATGTAGCCGATCCGAGATGAAGTGGCTTTTTATAAGTGTTCCAAGTAGATCCCTAGAAGTTGGTGTAATGAATCTAGAGCCTACTCATGCCATGCCGTATTCACTACCCTAAGACATAAGACATTCTCCCGCGTAAGCTGTTTGTCCATGACGAGCTAGTAAACGGTGCGAGAGTGCCATTTCCCTGGAATTCTTGATATTCGTGCAGCGATCGATTGGCTACGACACTCAATATATAGTAGGTCGATGGAATAATTTCTGTTTCTTCTTAGGTCTAGTAGGTAACACCCAGAAAGGCATGCTCGTTCAATATTGTCTGATCATTATTTCATTCTTCCAATTGATACTCTTTCGCCCGGAAGGAACTCCTGGAGCTACTAGCTCAAGTGTGAAGACTACTTATAACTACAAGCGTTTAAATCGCTAATTACAAGGCTGAAGGCTAAATGCTCGGTAGCTCAAAAGCCATTTTCGAGCGAGGGTCAGTCAGTGTGGGTCACCAGCATGAGGCTTGGCGAGAGGCGCGCGGGTTCACAAAGTTGATCTGCTTAAGGGTCACGGTGAGGTCTACCTCGACATAGACAGAGTTTCTCTATTATTTCTGGGTGGATGTGAATAGCGAGTTCCATATAGTGGCTCCACAGCCTATCAGTCTCGTGTGTTTTCTCTGTCACTATTCTACCACACTTGCATTAGTCCCTTGTTCGATCCTACCACTTGCCCAAGATACGCGAGATTGTGATTCATCAATTTCATTTCGTTGCCACAAGCGGGTCTCCGTGGCGCAATTGGTTAGCGCGTCTGACTGTTAATCAGGAGGTTGGAAGTTCGAGCCTTCCCGGGGACGCTTCTTTTTTGCAATATTACTCTTGCAATTGCTTTTTTATTGGTGAAAGGAATAAAATATATAGAAGGGAGGCGACAAAATTCCATTTTTGCAATGTGGGCGGGACCGGGTATGAAAAACTCAATTTCGTGGTTGTCGGAACATCGCTTTCGCTTGGCAGCTATCCGCGTGAGATTACTAGATGATTGTTTGAATGAAAATAGTCGTCTGTCATTGATTCTTATTGGATGTGGACTTTGGTATTGGAGATTGGGCATAGAATTGTTTCAAGGTTGTTTGTACCTGACCTGACCAACTTTGAGGTTCCGGGGTCACAGGTGTGCATGGTTCCAGGGTAATCCTTCGAAGAGAGAGCAACGGAACTCTGTCGAGCTACAGTGAGGGAAATGACGAAAGTTGATGTTGATAATTGCCCTCCGGTTACCTTTACTGCAGCGCACCCAGCATTGACATTTGCTATGGAAATACCCAGAGAGCGACCCTCCCGTATAACCTCCATCGCTCTCTCTGGGTATTTCCATAGCAAATGTCAATGCTGGGTGCCCTGCAGCAAAGGTAATCGGTTAATTCCTTGCGCTGGAATCGATTAGGAACGATGGTGGGTGGCTCGTACTACTTTTATTAGCACGCTGGGTTTGCTATGTCTGCCTTCACTGTCGTAGATCATTTCTTACCTGAGCAAGCTGAGCAAGCTCAGGGAGGGAAGCTTTAGTAGTCTCCCTTCACCCACATCTCCACTCTCAGCCAGCACACACACACTCTCACACACTCTTACATACTTTCACACACACATACCCTCAATCGCTCTCTCTCTCCTCCCTAGTTGCTCTAGCATCACAGACACTACGAACATGACCTCCCCTTCATCTGCGGTGCGTTCAGATCCCCAAGAATCATCAAAAATAGCAGAAACTGATTCTTGAAGATCTGAACGCACCGCAGATGAAGGGGAGGTCATGTTCGTAGTGTCTGTGATGCTAGAGCAACTAGGGAGGAGAGAGAGAGCGATTGAGGGTATGTGTGTGTGAAAGTATGTAAGAGTATGTAAGAGTGTGTAAGAGTGTGTGAGAGTGTGTGAGAGTGTGTGTGTGGTGGTTGATAGAGATGTGGGTGATGTCACGAAGGAGCCAGCTGGGACAACCAGCTGCATTCAACGAAACAAGTAGAGTGAGGAAGGAAGAAACTATGGGGGAGAGTCCGCTATTATGTAGAGAGCTCCCATGCAATTGTGCCCAGTCAGGTAAGTCAGGTCAGTTGCCTCCATCAGTCATGTGTCCCCCAGGTGATCTCCAAGTCCATCGTCTAAGATTAGTTACGGAACAAAATTGGCTTCTATTGGGGTATCTTTCTACCCTCAAGGATAGGTAGTGAGTGGGCTCAATGGGGGGATAGATACAGGTAACTTAACGTCCGTCGGTGTTCCTACCTAGAAGTTGACGACCTTTACTGCCTTTCTTTGGTGATATTTCCCTTGCGAATCATTGTGCAATAGATGGCTACCCGTGCGGTAATGATTAAATTCTTAGGTGGAGGTTCTAGTGCGGCTTGTAGTGGTGGATCAAAAAATCGAGTGCCTGATGCCTGGCACTCGTTCACAACAAGGTTACACATATATATTGAGTTGAACATCTGGACTTCACCATGTATCTTGACCCGAAGACAGGCGAGCTTACTGGCCTTTAAAATTCGATATACACTTAGACAAAAGAGTTGAAAAAGAGGCTGCAAATTAAGCATCTTACAAAAAGTATACACATGTCACTAAAGATTGGATCGTTCGATCCGATGTCCGCCGACAAGCTGCACGAAAAAGGGTAATGAATTGAAATATTATTGTGCTCATATCTCATAAACCTTCACCCGATATCATCAATCGTCTCCGTGGCGCAATTGGTTAGCGCGTCTGACTGTTAATCAGGAGGTTGGAAGTTCGAGCCTTCCCGGGGACGGTGATTTCATTTTTTGCTGGGCGCACGCACAATCGATTCAATTTCAATTTATTATCCTTTCTTCCTTTTTTTTCCGCAGAGAAACTAACCGACATCTCGTCCAAATCCCACACCTCGGAAAATGAACAGAAAACACATTCAAACCGCACTAAGCGGGAAGCAAGACGACTGAACGGAGCAAAGCCGTGTTTGATTGCATGCAGCTCATAGCGGATGGAGTGGGGAAGAGAAGCATAATTGGGAAAACGGCAAACTGAATAGGGAATGCGGTCAAGTCAAGTCTACTGCCAAGGACGCAATTTACTCTATGTATGGGCTGTGGTTCTCAATACTGCAAACACTAATCCGCCTATATCCTGGCATGACCCGAGATGGACGGCGGGAATTGCCCAAACTTTGATCTAGGAAGAACACCAAGCTGATAATGTTTTATTTACCCTGTAATGGAACACAGAAAAAGGAAAAGCCAACAATCGCGCAGAGCAAGGTGTTACTGTTAATTTGAAGCTAGTCAAAGCGAGAGGGGAGGATATGAAACAATCTCGAGAACTTGAAATAATCCAGACTCGCCGCAAAAAGAAACCATCAAAGTATGGACAGCAGAATTGAAGACCAAGAACAAGATCAAGAATTGATGTTGCCATTCACATATGTCGACCAAATTGAATAGACAGCAAAGCAACAAAAGGGGAATCCGAAGAGAGCCCTTGGCAAGATCAGACGGTAATACACAGGCACGAGAAGCACGAAACACGAACCAGGAAAACACGAATAGCAGCTGTCGAAGATGCAACCCTGAAAGAAGACGCATGGTCGAGAGGAAGAGAGTGGCACAGCATAGGTATGGATAACAGATCAATCTCGGCCCCATGAAAAAAATACCGCCAAACTCCGCAGCGGAAAGACCCTCTCTATCGACCATGTATAGGAAAAGAATAAAAAACGAGGAGACCGTACATACTCATAGTCCTGTAGATAACATATCGGCTGCAGCATGAACGCCGTGGGATCGAGCAGGAAGAAACGCCGGGAAAAAAGGTCCCCAGAGCCAATAGAAGGAACAGATTAGGAGAAAAACACACGCAAGAAACAACGTGTAAAGACATCAATCGAGACCGGAGCCGAACCGAGTACAACAAAGGGTATAGGGAGGCTGGCCCAGATTAACATTACCATAAACCCCTCTACGAAGGGCCGTCACACAAGCACACACAATATGCAAGGGGTAGAAGTTTGAAGCAGGTTAAAAACAGAACAGAGCATCGAAAAGAAGTAGCTGAGAGCCTTGGGGGTTTCAGGAAAGCGACAAAGAAAGAAAAAACAATGGCATCTCTGATGCTGGAAAAATAGGTCCCATAAAACGCCATTCTAGACAACGCCAAACCACAATCTAGTAGCCTGACCATCCTCCTAGTGGGCTGCCGGACTGACCCGGCTGGGGTTGACCGGGTTGCATGGGCGCACCCGCCCCAGCAGGCCAGCCAGGCATACCACCTGCACCCATGTTCATTGCCATACCTGCTTGCTGGGGATTGCCGGTCATGAAGGCTTGACCGCCAGGACCCTGCGTGGAGGGGTACATCGCCCGCGCCATGGTAGGATAACCGGCTGGAGAACCAGCAGCTGCATATTGCATTTGCTGTTGCATTTGCTGCTGCATTTGCGGGTGCTGCATCTGCTGGAACTGCTGGGGCATTTGGGACACCGAGGGGCGGTGTTGGTTGCGAGGGGACTGTTGAGGCTGCTGGCCATGGTGAAGCGGCGACGGTGCCTGTTGCGGACCTGCTGGCATTTGCTGACCGTATTGAGGTATCCCCACCCCTTGCGGACCCGAAGAGGACAGTGGTGAGGGTTGGGGTTGCGGTGGTGGTTGACCCCACATCTGTTGCGGCTGCTGAGAGGGATATGCGTAGGCACCCTGCGGCAGACCAGCCGACATGGAAGGGTTGGATCGCTGGTGCATCAGGTTGGGTGGCATGCCTGCGGGAATACCCCGGACGGGGGACTGCGCGATCGGTTGCTGATGCGGCTGCTGGGGAAAAGCTTGCTGACCAGGAACCATCGCTTGAGGAGGAATCATATGTTGACCGTGGGTAGAGTTTGCCATCCCCGCCGGTGGTATTTGGGCAGCCTGAATGGGCTGCGATACAGACAAGCCAGAATCAAGGGCAGTGGTTGCCTGGCCCTCAGATTCAGGAGCCTCACGGGGCTTCGCGTAGAATTCATCCAAGCCCTTCAGACGGAAGCTTCGCTGAGAACTTAAAAGCTTGTTGAAATCAGCCGCAGTCTGGGCCTGGTGAATGATCTCCGCGCCGGAACTAGTTCGCGTGTTGTCCTGGTACGGTTGGCCGGTCAGTTCCTGGCGTGAGCGCGGCATAGAATTGTAGTCTCGCAGCCGAGGGTCGTCGGTTGTTGCCATATGAATCATCGGGAGCTGGGCCAACGAAGTAGAGTTTGTAACATCCAGAGACAGGCCAGGCGGTAGAGGCTCGATCGTATTGCTGAAGATGACATCGTTGTGGGGAAGCGGCAACAAAGTGGAAGTCTGAGCCTCTACCGGAGGTTCTCGAGCCTTGGTGGCCCCAGGGCGTTTCTCACCGGCCATGTCTTCCTCAGTGAAGCCCTGTTTCCTGGCCTTGCTTTCCCAATAATCATCCCGAACCCGTCGACCGTTCACGATCACACGACTCCCGAACTGGCGGAACATGGATCTGGCGGAAACGATGGCGATTTGACGAGACCGATAGGAGTACGGAAGAATGTCTTGCGCAATCAGGTCGTCCTTCTCAATCTGAGAAGCAATAATCTTGTGCAAAGAGCGGTTCTTGTTGAATAGTAGGTATGAATCCCGATAATTCAATACTCGCGCACACTCTGTCGCTAGCATGAAGAGCTTGGTGCCTCGGTTGGGTACACGGAAAGTCCGGCATTTGTATTCACGACCGCCAAGCGGATATCCCATAGCATCCACCTTTGTCTCCCCCGCATCGTCAAATTCCTTGGGGATGTACTCATCGCCCTCATCGTTCAGCTGATCCGATGTATGATCCCTGACGGTCGGAAGCGCCTTGACTAGCGTCTTTGTCGGAGTGGCTTTGTCGGGAGGCGATGCAAGCGGCGGTGACCCGGCAGCCTGGTGAGGAAGGGGCCGGGGTTGCATTTGGGGCGTTTGAACCGGGGTACCCGCGGCTGGATGGTCGTTGGAGCTGGCCCGAGGCGTCTTGGGGGGACGACCACGCTTGCGACGACCTTGATCCTCTACAGGGGTGGGAAAGGTGGTTAGCAGGCTGCTGTAAGCAGAGCACGAAGCAAATGCGACCGGTTGAAAAGAAGGCGTAAGTGAAGGAAGGATGCGATTTCCTTGCGGAAGCGGAAGCGGAAGAAAAGACATGAAGAAGACCAAGGTCCCTCCTTCTCCCCTCCCATCGCGCACGTACCATCATCCTGATCTCCTTCTGTATGACCATTCCCAGCGTGATCTGGAGTGCGACTACGCTTGACACCACGGGGACTTGGCTCAGCAGGGGACGGTGCCGGCATAGCAGAGACTAGGAGGGGCATCAGTTTACAGGAAGGTGATCGGGGATGTCACAGCAAAGGTGAAAGTGAGTAAAGGGCAAGCGCAGTTGCCGACCGGCCGCTACAGACTGCTCGCGCGCGGGGTCGCGCAACAAAGCGACAGGTGTGATAGCAGCAAGCAGCAAAATCATCCGGCGCACGAGGAAGAGAGAAAAAAAGAAGCGATGAAGAGATAACAATGCGACCGCAAGAAAATACGAGGCAAAAGAAAACAAACATACCCGAGTTGCTCAGATTTGCCGGATCGATGGTCCCGGAACCATCAACGACCTCGCCTCCCAGTCCATTCATCGTCGAGTGGGAGCGAGGCGTGCCATACATAGTCGAACGATCAAACGGCAGCGAGGCCGCGAAATGGCGCGTCTAGGGAACGCGCCCTGGGGAGGGTTGGGATCAAGTCGCAGAGGTGCGACAAGAGGGGGTCGGTGGCGCAAGTGAGCGGGTATGCTAGGCTTGCATGCAGATGGGGGAGTCGGGCCTCTGAGGTCGATCGGCGGGAAAGGTTGGGTTAGAGGTGGTCGAATGGATGGAGCTTCGGGATGCGCTGGGAGTGCAAGAGGGGCGAGGCGGTGAGCGAGTTGAGGTGATCGATGGAGACTTGGATGCCTGAATGTTGCCTGATTCCAGGACCGCCTAGAGAGTCGGGAGAGCCACAGCCACGTGAGGCTGGACTGGGAGAGGGGCGTTCTGCAGGACAAAAGGTGGGCCGGAATACCGAGTAAGTAGTTGATAGTGGTCGATAGGCACGGACAACACAACCCCAATCAGATAAAGAAGTAATAATCCAGGCCCAGTCCCAAAATGACAACCAGTTGACCCACGGCGATGGGTCTCAAGGGGGCGGGAAAAGAAGATGGGGGTTTTGGGGCAAGGGGGGGGGGGGGGAAGATGTGAGATGTGCAGGTGCCGTTGGAATGCAGCGTCGCGTGATTAGTCACGGGAATAGAGAGACCGGGGAGGTATAAAGCCCGAATGTATGGCAGGGATCAAAGTAGTCCAATAGTAATCTCGGCTGAGGCGGGGGTCCAAGACAATCATAAAGAGCATAGAATAATGCAAATCAGTCCAGGAACAAAGCAGTCATAGAACATAACAAATAAATTCCCAAACAAGTAGAGAAGGACGTAAAGTTAGACGACCGGGCCAAATGGAGGAATAAGCCGATCAATAATGGCTGGCCTCGGAATCTCCCGCGGGGCCGCAGAACACACGAGATAAGGTGATATACACCGTGGAAGGGATAGGGTATGCTAGGCCTAGAGGTTCACTGAAGCTGAAGCACTCCACAGGCCAATCCGCAGTCTGTGAGGAATCCCCTGGGTGATAGGAAGGATCCGATAGTGGCCGACAGTGAAGGGTCAGATCTAGGAAGGACCCGGCGGCGAGGAGACCGGAAGTTCTTTTTGATCTTCTACACCGTAGGAAAGAGGGGCGTCGCGGGTACAGCGCGGCCAGGGTTCGGACGGCCCTAGAGCTGGCGGCGAGGAGACAAATGAGAGGCCTCGCGGTGGGTAACTCGCTTTGGCAGCAACTGGCTCGAGCGGAGGCCGATTTTCCGAGGTGGGACGGCGATCGATGGGGTTGGCGAGATGGAGGACCCTGCGTGGATAGGCGTGGACTGCATGGGCCAAGAAGGCGTGCAGTTATGCAGTTGCGTCGCTGGGAGGAACGAGGCGAAGAAAGGAAGGGGGGAGAGTAACCGTCGTACAAGTTGGATTTCAAATGGAATCCGCGGGGCCCAATCACGAGATCCTCCAGGTGGAAGTGTTTCACGCCCGGACGAAAGACCTGGCCGTGTAATATGGCATTGGTGCTAGCCTAGTGCTACAAGCAGTGTTCTTCAGGTATAGATGGGCTAGACTGATATTGAGGCCGAGATGAGACCGTGGTCTATAAAAATCCCTTGCCCCTCTTCAGGGTGCCTTTTGCTTTCCCGCCTCCATCACACAGCGAGGGCATACGTTCACTGTGATAGGCCTCCCAGGTCTCCCAAATCGCCGGCGGTCGGCTAGAATTGTGTAACTTGAAGTGTCTTAAAACCAAACTCCTCTTCAGCAATCTCAATGCGGCAGAAACAGAGAGGGACAATGATGAGAGAGAAAAACCAGTAGCTAGAATCGACCGCGATCTTGTCGGTTACTCGTACGATAGTTATGGCGGGAGATAACCATGGTTCTAGTCGATATAGTTCCCACTTTTGCAGCTCATGTATAGTTCGCGGAAGCCATGGATCCAGCCTCGTTTCTGCACGACAGCGCTAAAAACCACAGCCAACAGCCAACAGCCAATCCGGGTGGGAATACGCAATCGGATCATATCGGATTCAACGGTGAATCCAGCAAGTCAACGACCACGCGCGGGGGGGATGCTTTCTCCTCGGTGAAGGGCTCCAGGCATTTCTTGTTTTTGCACCGACCTTTCCTCTCTGGTCGAGCGATAATCTCCCGGAAAAGAGCAATGAGGGGGGGTTTCGGGCAAATAAGATCCGTGGACCTAAAAAAGGCCGATAAATGGGAGCTCAGGCCGCATCTTGTCAGCCGGACGAGACGAGCTAGCGACGTTTCTGACCTAGCGGGTTACGGAGGTGATGCTCATGCGCTCCGATGCCACCGTTAATCAAGGCTCCGGCGCCGTGGGAATAGATAGAGCGGACTCTCTACTTCTTCGCGAAGGGCTGGTTGATGATGTATGTCATGTATAGCGCGGTCGATTCAGACGATAACCTCCCGGTGCAGAATATGCAAAACCACCCGATATCTCTCCTGGCCAGGGTCTCCCCCGGGGATGGAATGGTCCTGTTCGCAATCTGCACGGAAGCCCCGCCGGGCTGAGTGGGTTCGAGTGGGTTCTCTCCTCGATATCCCCAGGGAGCAGATGACCTCCGATGCCCCAGACCGAACGGTCACTTGAGAAGATCAACGGCCCATGCGCACGACTCCAAATGCCTCCAAATTCCAAATACCACAGACGCGCGATCGTCCTTGGGCTCTGTGCCTTGAGCAGAAGAGCCCTCCCCCGACGGCTGTACGAGGGCGGGCGAAGATGTACAGAGTCGCACAATAACGACCATCGGCCTACCCCTCGCAGGACTAGAATGCACCGTACGCCGTCTAAAATGGGAATAGTCCGATGGTCCCGAAGGCGCGATACATGTTTCTCTCAGGTCCCACAGCAGTCCGGCCTGCGGTGCTGCCGTTTACACGCTTGGCTTCGGTAGTTCCCTCCGTGGATCCCCTTTCGCTCCTTCTCTTGCTCTATTGTCTTGTCTTGGTCACACAAAGCCCAAAGGGGCCCCAAAGCAACCCTAGGCTCTAAAAAGAGGCACAATGTGACTCTGCAGCTTCGAAGTAGGCCACGCTTAGGATCTTTCCGTGCGAGGCGCTCTCCATGGGTCCAAAACATGCAGGATCGCCATCGGAGCGACCCCAGTTCGATCCACCGATTCGGATGCAACATGCAGGTTATACGACCCTATCGGACACAATGATCTGGTATGAGGAGATTTTTCTGATGAGCGGGTAAACGCGCTGGATTGCTGCATATCCTGCACCCCTGATAGGCCTTTGTACGCCTCTGCGATCTACGACTCGCCAGCCATCACGTACAGAGCAGTTGACTTCAGGGCCCTGTAAGGTGATATCCTTGTCCTTGTCCTGGTTCGGCCAGAAAGAGCCAGTCTGCATTATACAGAGAATCTGTAAATGCCGGCATTCTTCAGACCAACCTGGAACCTGACCCTGGACCGTAATACCGCCGCAACAGCCTAGCCCTCTCCACACCAAGAAAGTCTTTTTTCCAGAGCAAGTGGAGACCTGTATGATTGAGGACCAAACGGGGATAGCCACATTCGTCAGCTCATTGTGATGAACAATGACAGGTTGACAGCCCCAGTCCCAGCATTCTTTCCCACGGCTTGTCTCAATCTTCATGTAAGAGGTTTCCGGTGCGCTGTTTCTCGAATGCAACGCAGCGTCAAGGCATCAAGGCACCATTCATCCAGAGATGAAGCAAACAGTGTCCGAGTTTCGCAATCATGAAGCTTTTTTCAAACAGAACTCCGACTGAAGAACCAGACCGCGGGGTCCGTCACCCTCGTGGGGGAGGCGCAGATCGCAGCCTATCCCAAGCCTCTCATATACCCTGGGCGGCAAGTTGAAGAGAGATGCGATGCCCTGATTCGACAAGGAAAAGAGAAGCCGTCTGCACAGCTGTGGCATGTGGACATGTCCATCACGCGCGTCCCGAGCAGCGACCAAGCCAAGCCTAGCCCCAGCATCTTCTTGTTTCTGTAACAGATAGACCTGGGGTTCTCGGAGCGTGGCGGGGAAGGAAAGAGGGGAAGCGACGCGTTGAACGGCGTGCATTCGCAAGCGCAACGAACCCAAGAAGAGCAGGAGATGATCTGTGATCTATCACGGTACGCTGGCGCCGGCTGGTACGAGGGAATAGCCTTAACTGCCGAACGCAAACCCTGTCTCGCGGGGTTGACCCTCTGCCATCTTCCGCCTGAGAAGTTGTCTCTAGGCCCCCGCGTCATGGCCCGATCAGTCTTGACGGCCGATCGTTGCAGTTGCCCTTAGGCCCTGGACATTTGCTACAGCGCTAGACATCAAGGAAATACCCCTCACAGTGGCGCTGTCTTTCCATTCCTCGAATGTAACAATAGGTAAGACCCTGTGGCGGGTGGCCTATTATACCGCCGTCCGGCTGTGTGGATTGGCTTTGAGTTCTTACACCCGGGGATGGATGGAAATGGAGGATTCTGACCGACGAGCGTGATGTAACGGGACGTGAGGAGGAAAAGGAAACCATGAACGTTGAGAGGTGGAGCAATCAACTTGAGATGTTGATCAAGGGATGAGCCTGAAGGCTGGGTAGTAGATGCAGGTTCATTGCCGATTTGGGGAATCCCTCCCGGCCAGGGCGGTCGTCGGTCGCCCTCTTGCATGAGTTGGTGTTAGGAATGTTTCAAGCTGAAGCAGGAGCCAGAAGGCGAGATCCCCTCGCGGCGCACGGGGGCGGTTGAACCCATGACCGCTAGATCGGGATCCGTAGTGCTACAACTCGGAGTCATCCGCTGTCGTGCAGTAGTTCCCGCTGGGAACGTTAGCATGGAGTATTATCGTCCTGGAGAGGTTCGGCAGCCCTTCCGGGGGCGATGCAAGAGGGTGAGAAAGAGAAGAGTTGCTGTCTTATTGGTCGTCCGTTGGGCAGCAATCTGGGAAGTTGGTTAATGATACAGGCCGCCCTGAAGTGTAATTCCTGTAGGGAAATCTATTTTGAAGCTCACAAAAGCAATGAGCAAGTCTTCCGTTCATCTGTGCCTTGCCAAAGCGTACGGATCGCTAGGCAGGACCCCGCTGAAGGTTGAGATGAGGACGGCCAGACAGCAAGTTAGAGAAGAAAATGTTTGAAGTGGATCAATTGCCGTGGTCATTTGACACCCTGTGCATATCAAGTGAAAATCCGGTACGTCTGATCTTTAGGATCGCAAGCACTGTGCCCGGTCATATACAGCCGCCTAGGATGGACCATCGCTGCATATTCTATTGAGGCCCTGAACCCCAACAGAGAATGGCTTGAAAACTCGGGTCAACTGCTTCAATATTGCATTAATAGTACTGTAGTATCTGGTTGACGTTCAGTGCTGGAGATGAGCTACCGCCAGGCCCACCGCCGAGCTAAACATGTAGCTCTAAACCGCTGTGTCAATGCTCGATTTAGTTGAGCTCTGGCCAGGAGGCCGATCCTCCAGTATGAAAATGAGGTGCAGTATCAGATCTGAACCCTTCATGACCTCTGAACGGAGAGAGTACACTTTGTTGTCCTTTGTCCTTTTGTGCCTTGCATTCACATCCGAACTCTGACAACATGTGCTCCATCTAGGCATAACAAGTCGGTTTCTTCGGTCTTCAGGGATTTGTTCACATCGTTAGTGGACCCAGCGTATTCGCGTGGGTGGAGGATTATCGATCCAGAAAGGAAATGCCCAGGAATGACGCCTGCGATGGATTAGTTTTGGAATGGCAGGGAGCAAGAGGCATCATTGCAATCGAGACAGCAGAGACGGTTTGGTGTGTAGAAACATCGCAGACTGGGTTCGATATGAAGCAATGTTCGACGTTTAGTGATGACTTGGCTGTGGTTTAATTGATAGAGATTTCCCAAAAGTAGTCGCCAAAAGATATCAAGATCAAACCCAGGTACTAGCCCCATTGAATGCATTGACAAGTACGGAGGTGCATTTCAAAAGTTCGGCGTCGCGCACCGACCACCACCTACTACACTAGGCGATTTTTAGCTAGATTATATTGTATTGTATTGTATTGCCTATAGCCTACCCTCTTTATATTCGTTACCACCATCTAATTCGATGATCTTTTTGATATGCGTAGGGATACGCTCAATCCAACGCTGGATCTTCTCCTGCGGCATCTCTCGCCATGCAGCTTGCCAAGCAATATAGGCCTCCTGCCTACTCTTTGGTGCGCCTTTCTTGGTTGTAACACGTTTCAACCAAGGCCAGGCAGGCTCAATTGGATTTAGATCAGGCGAATTGCCACACCAAATTAGCCGATTAACCTTAGCTGCATCAAAAACACGTTGTTGGATATAGTGGCTATGTGCCGGTGCTTTATCCTCTTGAACAAGCGTATTCGGCCGTTGAATAGCGCATTCCTTTGCAAAAGGTAATAGCTTTGGTATCAAAATCAGTTTTTGATATCGATACCAATCAATTCCACCCTTACGACCACGACCAAGCTTGCCAGTTTTCTGGTTAAATTTCCATATAGGCCTTTTACCAGCAGGTTGTCGTCGAAGATTCACACGACGCATCTGCGTTTCAAGCTCCCAATCAGCTTTTAAAATAGGCTCAATCTCGCAATTTAATTGCTCAATCTCTTGCTCAGATTCACGTTTCTCTTGCGCAGTTTCAGGTTTCCAACAATAATAAGGGCCTTTTTTATCATAGGTAAAGCAGCCCCAAAACATAAATTCACAAGCGCCTTTCCAACGCTCACGAATACAAGATCGAACAAAAGCTTCATCCTTGGAACGCCAAACTCGATAGCTACCACGTCGATGTAGTAGAATAACCGAAGTTTCATCGGACCAAATCACATTCTTCCAATCATCAAGTGTCCAAGCTTGGTGTTCAAGACACCAAGCAAGCCGATCAGCTTTCATCTTCTTCGTCAACCCAGGCTTCCGAGTTGGCTTCGTCTTACGTAGGCCGGCGTTCTTGAGGATACGCCAAATAGTAGCAGCAGAGATAATGATTCCTTCCTTGCTAAGCTCACCAGCAAGATCAGCACAAGATTTCTCTCGGCCATAACGATCCAGACGCACCTTAGATAGGATAGTCGTCGTTATTAGTTGGTCTTGCTTAGTTAGCCGGCCAGTACGTTAGGCGTCTTGTACAAAAGCATCTTGAATATTATTATGATTAACCTCAAAGCCTCGCTCGATTGCGCGTGCGTAGATCTTGTTGACAGCTGAGATAGATAGATTGGTAATCGTAGCAATCTCATGCGAAGATTTGCTAGTGTAAGCCTTTAAAGCAACCACGGTTGCTCTTGTGGCGATATCTGGCTGTTTTGGCATATTTTGAATAGCTCGTAGGTTGGTAGGTAGGTAGGCAGGTAGGTAGGTAGGTAGGTAGGTAGGTAGGTAGGTAGGTAGGTAGGTCGGTCGGTCGGTCGGTCGGTCGGTTGGTGGTAGGTAGGTGGCTATGGGAAGATAGAAAATAATATTATTAGGGGTAGTTCGACGTTACTGTGTGTATTCGTCTGTTCGATATGACTAGTGGTAAATATGGTGGTCGGTGCGCGACGCCGAACTTTTGAAATGCACCTCCGTATAAAACTCCGATTTCTGATGATTTCGCTTGGACCAGTGTTTGGTCAGTTCAGGATGCAAACGAAATCAACAAAATTCATGCCCAGAAGTGGCTGCCCCCGTTTTCAGAGTATGAGTGGAGCGCTGTGGGCCTATACACCGTAGGGGCGGTCGCGCCGCAGTGGAGGGAAGGTCGTGCCTGCAGGACACCATTTATTGGGGCATTGGGGATGACAAAGGCGGATCGAGTGGGGCGTGGCAAGATCGACGGGCCCAGCTCGTCCGAAAAGCGGCCAGCGTGGGAGTGTCCGTGGGAGGAGTTTTCCAGCATTGTGTGCCATGAGAGCAAAGCACGGAGGAACGGGTGGGCGGTGTTTGAATAGATTGAACCGGTCGGAGAAGAGTTCCATGCCGTGGAACTTCTACGGAAGTACTCAAAGGAGTAGGTGGGAATGTGTCCCCGGCGCTAGGGTTTGCCTGAGTCACCGCCCCGATTTTAAAGGAAGCCCGGCACAGCGACAAAGGAGAGCGTGCGATCCTGATTTTCCAGAGGCATGTTGGACTCAATTGGGGTGCCCTCTGATCGAGACTACGCAGTCGACCGATGGGGACGAAGAAGACCGAAAACGAAAACCATCGAATATTCGTCGCCGTTGTCGGCACTATCGTGGTGGAGAATCCACGACTCGCCACGAAGTTGAGGGGGTTCGGATTTCCGGACACGGTAATCCGTGGAAGATCGTGAGATCCCGCGGCGTTGCTAGGGTTGCTATTTGTAGTGCTGAATAAAGGGAGATAAGCTCCAGTCTCCACCGAAAAATTTTCGAAGCATCAACTGATCAAAAACTGGGTCTTCCTCCACTCGCCCGCCGTGCGAGGGTCTCGATTCGCCGTTTTGCCTACCACACCACTTAATCCCGGCATAGGAAACAAGAAGATGGATGTTTCTCAGTAGCTATGAGAGAAAGATCATGTTTCAAAACAAAAAAGACACGGAAGATCTAATTCGGTGGATGGCAAATTCTGGCTTAGTGATGAATCATAGGATCCGTTACCCTGTTATTCCGCGGGGAAGAATCCCCTTGTGAAGGCCCGGGTTGGTCGGGTTGGGAAGCGCTGGAACGGCCGAACGCGCCGTCGACCGGCTGGACCGTGCAGTGACAAGCCAACAAAGCACGCCAGCGCCAACAAGTTTGGTCTGGACCCTCTGGAAGCGGTGGTGGATCACCTGTGACACGGCAGACTTTTTGCCAACCTCTTAGCGCCGGGCTTGGGCCAAGTTCCCCATACTGCAGATCGGTCCCGTATAAGACTCGCTTCGGCTCGCTCTTTTCTTACTCCCCCCCCCCCCCTTCCCCCTTCGATCTCAAAGCAATACTTCCTACTCTTCAATCACTCAACCCATCATTTCACTGTCTCGATACCCGCTCAAGCTGGGCATCAGTTCTGTCCAACTGCGGTCAACTGCCAATCATCACAACTACACCACCTACATACCGTCGGCCGTCACCAGTCACCAGACGAGAATGACCGTGGCGAGTGGCCTCAATCCTCCTGCCACGCCGAAGCCCATGCCTGCGGTTCCAAACTTCACAAAGAACACCAACAAACGTTGGCCCCCCATGGCGAACCGCAACGCTCTTCCATACAAACTCACCCTCATCTCCAAGGAGAAGCTGGCCCGAGAAGCTACTGCTCCGGACCCCGATCTCCGCCGCTGTGTGGCTCACTTCCGCCTCCACTGCGGTTCCGTCCTGTGGACCGAGAATGACATGAAGTCTCGCATCAGCTCGTTCGACTTCGAAGAGACCGACGAAGAAGATGAGGATGATCTCCCCGAAATCAAAACTCAATCCGCGACCCAGAATGCGTTTGTCCGAGTCGCAATTACCGAGACACCCGAGACGGATGTCGTGACTCAATCATCGCATCTCTCGACCGACAGTGGTCTTTTCCCGGATCAAACTCACTGCATAGAAGTGAGCAAGAACATGTGCTGCATCTCGGTCTCTCCCATTGCCGCTTAGGCGGGATCCCACCTTCTCGACTACCACTACCTCGACCACCTCATCCTCCTATATCAAACCTCCCGACACTCCAACCATTTTCTGACCGACATAATGATTCATGATTCGACGACCTTTTACGATCCACCAAAACGACGCCTGTATATAGCTACCACATACCATTTAATGACACCTTTTTGGCTGGCCAATTTCAACTACTCGCAATTACTCGTAAAACATCGTATCGATCTGAATCCATCCTTTTCATCCCACTCCGGCCGTATATCCTTTTCGCCGGCCCTGCCTTTTCGGCGATCGCCACGGCCGATGATTTGATCCGCAAAAATGTGCATCGTGACTCACGGTCACATGATGATCGCTCCGGAGATCGACCCTGGGCCCCTCCGCCGATGTCATGCCAGAAGAATAATGATTGAAGAAAAGTAGAAACATGGAAAACCGCGCCTAATAGAGGCTAGACGTAGCTGGTACTCCGTTCAAGGTCCCAGCCCGTACGGGCAGTGGCAAATCACCGCCGATCTCCGCGGATGTCATCATGCAAGTGTCATGTTATCCGCCGAGCCGCGATCATTGGGTCTTAGGGAGGATATACTCAAGAACAGCCCTTTTGGAAGACAGTTCTGCACCTCCACAAATATACGATCGAGGGTGTCCTGCGGCGTCAGACGCCAGCCAATTGGGGTGTACAATTGGGCATGTAGTCTCCCAAAAGCCATTGACACGCTATTGGCGGCAACCCCACCGTACCCAAACCGTCGCCGAGCTCGGACTTGAACCCGAAATCAAGGCAGAGTGCAATGTTGCCTCCTGCCGCACGAGTTCCCCGTACCTGTGGGCTGCCAGGGCCCAAACTCTCCAGGCTGCATCATTGCCCCAGACCTTTTCGCGCTAGCATGATCTGAGGTTCCAATCCACTGGCTGGGATTGCACCCGCGGTTGAGGACCGTGGAGAAACCCTGGTATGATGTGATGTTGTTATTGTCAAGTATACTGTAGGTCTACGGCATTTTCATCTCCGTCATGTCTTTTTGCTTTCCTGCTATGAACGGGGAAGTTGGTGGGAACTGCTGGATGAGGTATCCCGAGATGGGTCGGATCATGTTCACGCACTGATCTTTTGAAAACCAAGACCAGTCTTGAAGGCAAGATAGATCACCATCGGTCTTGATTCCTGAAATGAGGATGTAGCTGAGAATCAGCAGCTATCTATATCTACGCCCTAGACACGGTCACATCGGTCCCTCCAGAACCAAGCTCGACCGTCCATCCATCTCTCTGCTTTTCTGTCTTGCCAGCAACAACATAATGATCAGGAGTCCCAGGCGTTTCGACCCACACGATTGTGGAGGATGCTTTTGCCGGGCCCGGTGCGACATGAAGCTTCACTGAGATTGGATCGGATGTATCGAACGAAAAGCTCTCAATCTGTCCAGCACTGATCGTGACATAAACCCCCATCTGCGCAATATAAACACGTCGACGCACCGCATCCCGGGGCTGAACCGTGACAGTACTACCGGACACATCCATGTTTCCACCGTATGTCACCAGACCGACATCTGGATCGTGCACAACATAAACACCCGACCCGATCATCATGCCGAGGAAGTTTGGGCCATAGTCTCCCGAGTAATCGTCTCCTCGAAGGGTATCGGGAAACGAGTGAAAGCCATTGTACATGGATCCATCCTGCCGGATATTGCTCAGTGGACCGAGGATGCCACCGTATCCAACGCGCAGAAGATAGCTGTCGCTGGAATTCTGGCGGAACTGGGTGAGTAGTGGGAGTGCATTGAGGCTTGAGCCGTAGTGGTGGATCATGCGCTCGATTCGCTGCAATTTGCCACCGTAACTAGATAGCGGTGCGGTTAAAACGAGTCCGAGGCTTTTTGGTCGAGGAGGACTTACATGAAATCCCAGTATCTTCGAGCATTGCCGTTCCAGCCCCAGTGTGAAATCGTCGGCATGTATCCGATGATGCTGTTGATGGTTTTCGTTGCGGTCTCGGCAAGATTGAAATAGCTGGCAGGAAGCTCCCACGTTAGACCTTGCCAGTCACCTTGACGAGAAGGAATCACTTACTTGCTCCAGTAATAGATTCCTTCTTGGCCCGTGGAGTCCCATGCCATTTCACTACCATAGGGCACGGTCTCATTGTCCCAGTCATGCGCTCGGAGCTTCATGGCCGCTTCTACCGCATCAGCCTCACTGGTCCAATTCTCGCGCCGCAGATCCGCGAGCAGCTCCCCAACAACAGTCTCTCCCATTAGCCCCAAGCGCGAGTATCCGACCAGTCCATTGCCATCTGCGTCTGTCGCAAAACACGCGACCGTGGTATTGTACGCTTGACTGAGATACCACTGCCAGGTGTTCACCTTCAGAAGCTCGTGATCGGCTCTCCCCGCGCGATAAAGTGCCCAATATGCTCCAATGACATGGATATAATCGTACGCGCGATCTGTCGCATACGACGCATTTTTGTTCCACGACCACCAGTTGCCCCAATTAATGGACTGGTCATACTGGTACCTAGGGACTTGGTCGGGCTCATAAAAGAAGATGCTCTTGCGGACGGTAAAATCAGTGTTTTGAATCTTCTTCGATAGGACCTCAGTGGCGAATTGCTCCAATTTCGCTATTTCCGAGGCGTCGCTGAGACCGAACTGTTTCATGGCGGTTGCTAGGTAGATCACACCACCTTCGTCGCTGAGCCCTGAGATCCAGACGCGCGGCTCTTGCAAGACTTGCGCTCCGATAGAATGGTCCCATGTCAAGGCTGATGGTGCTCGGCCGAAGGGGTCTGTCTTGTCGTCGAACCACATGGACGTCGTCGAGAATTTGCCGAGCTTGCTGATGACTGTGGGCGCAGAATCGGTGATAAAATAGTGGACTGTCTGGACCTTGCCGTCTGTGTATGTGATGGTTACTTTGGTTCGGCCCCAAACAGATCCAGTGGGAGTCAGACTCAGAGTGCCGTTCGACACGTGGGCAATCTTAAAGGCGTCGTGTTCGGATTCCACCTTGGAGATATCCGTGTGGAAGACGTACAGTTGGGCGGTTAGGTCCACAGGAACGACATACCCCGGAATGCCAATGGCGACGGGTGTATTGGTCGATTGCACTGCCTTTTGGATACCGCGAATGCCCGATTTGACCACCGAGAATCGCAGTCCATACGTAGCCGACTGACCTGGCTTCAAGGTTTTGGAGCTCGGCTCGTTCCAGGGCGTGACATTGGACCATTCGTTGTCCGCATACGCTTTGCTATGGGTTTGCCATTCGTAGAAGCCCTCAAAAGTCTGACTCCCGTAATAGAGAGGGTCGGTGCTGGGCTCATCTAGATTTCTCCACGCTTCTAGCGGAGTACTGGTGTTGAGTAAAGGGGTCACAATCAACGCAGCTCCTGTCCCGGAAGTTGGAGTGATTTGGAGATAACCAGCATCCATCCCAATGTAAGGGTCAGTGAGAGAGCAGTTTGCGGCCATATCTTCTGCAGTGCGACTCGTGAAGATACTGTTGAATTCCGTGGGAAAGCCCAGACTACCGATCTCCAGGCTTTGGGTTCCCGTGTTTGTCAGAGTGAAGGCGAGGCCCAAGTCGCCATCAACGTCGGACCATTCTCGGACCACGCGGATCGGTGAATCTGCTGGCAGCGTGGGGGAGAGGTCGGCAGCGGCAAGACCATTCGATTTGACGCTCATCACCTGTTTTCTCGCGGTCGATGAGTCGGCTGAACGCCACTCCGTGGATCCAGGAACACGGTAGCGGAAGGTGATGTCGCCGTTATGGTATTGGCCATTGGCTGCTCTGTAGGTGATGTCGTCGAATGGCAAGAAATCATAAGCATCACCGGTGGGTTTCAGTGAAGCCAGAATTTGGGAATCCTTGACTAGTTTAATGTCGAAGCTGGCTGTTGAGAGCGACGTGTACCCGCGGCTGAGACCCAGGCTGTCATTCTGTCCCTTGGCCACAAGGGCAAACAGAAGGATATGAATTGTTCGCCACAGCTTCATGACGAAACCTGCTATCAATGCCTCAATATGTGGTTGATTAATCCGCAAAGCATGGATAGCCCTATACGCAGAAGCTTCATATTTAAACTACCCTTTTTGCAGGGCCCCTTTAACGCGGGAAGCTCATTCACATTATCATTATAGGCAAATTTCCAGCGGAGAAGGCCTTGCACATTCGGGGAAACTGGCTGGGATGCAGATCATTTACCCCACACTCGTTCCGCAGCGTCGTATTGAAGCTGCTCCCCACACGGCATGGCCCTCTTTCTCGCATTATGCAGGGGTCATGCAGCCGAACCTGGTATCTTCAGTCAATCTTTTTGCTAGTCCATCTTGATTATACAAGCACTAATCATGCCATTATCTTGTCTCTATTCAACCCTTCCCATGTTCATCGCAACTAGCCTCTGTTGTCTCTAGACTGCTTGTTGCTCTCAACACCACCTAGTCGAATATGAGAAGTGGAGGGCTTCACATGGAATCGGATCGACTTGAATAATGAAAACCCGCCGGTGCGGGTGCTATTGAAGCGGCTGAAGCTTCCTGGATGGAACAAATGGAGATATGTCTTAGTCGGGCCATCCATTCTTGATGTGTTGAGCTCTCAGCGGGCAACCCGTGCATAAAGTCCTTTTTTTCGTCGTCGGCATCGTCAGGAGGGTAGATGTAAGGTTCTTCCTTCCAATGCTCCTTGTACTATCGGAGAAGCTTGCCGTTGATGAAAGGTTACATCAGATGTCTCATCTTCGGCGGAAAGCAGAATGGAATAATCTGTGCTTCTGCCAAATCTCGAACAACTGAAAGTCAAATTTTGAGGCTGATCCCCGAAGAGCTCCTAGGAGCCTGGGCTGGGCATCCGCGGCACGATCTTTGGTCTGGCGATGAAAAACCCGAGTCTATTCCACTCCAAGCTTCTCGGTAACCCGACTGCTCCTCGTGTAGGCATGGTGGCGTTGGAAAGATGCGGACCGCGAAAATGATCAACGACTATGAATGGCATCGGGGGTACGCGTGACCGCTAAATAAAGGCTGTCCAGGTACACGGCCGTTTACTTGGTAAATCCGGGGTTCCAGCAGGCGAGTTTGATACAGATTTTCAGCGGAATCCGATGTCAATCAAGAAATTGCACAAAGTACAGCGACTAGACGCCCCTTCCCCCCAATCACACTCTTATTACTTATCTAATTCTTCCTCTATCTCACGTAGAAACATGTTGATCGACCCTCTTCTTTCAAATCAAATAAGTAGGTCAAGGGCGCGATATGTGAAAACTCATGATCAATCCCGCTCGAATCGTGTATTTTGCAGAGCTTGTATCCTCGGGTAAGAGATGCCCATCTCCATTTGCAATGAGAGCCTCGGCAAGAGTGCATTTTCCCGATTCAATGAATCCAAGCCGTTCATATAGTCTAACCGTGGCATGGTTCTCTGGCTTAACCATGAGACGTACTTGAACGCTTGGAGGCGAGGCTTGATAGTTTCGAAGATAGTCGAGCGCCTTCTGACACAAATTTCTACCTAGCCCATGACCACGATGCTCGGGAAGGGTAAACAGACTTAGCATTTGCCAGTGCTCCTCTTCATTGTCGGGCTTTTGAGGCGGTTGTCCAGATTCAGCTGGGAGTGTGAAGTCGTCTTTGGACAGCGGGCCCCGGAGAGTGACCTGACCGATCCATTCGGATGGACCGGTCCGGGCCTGACTGGGGTAAACTGGGGTGGCAGCACAGATGAAGACTTCACGATAGGGAAGGGTCACGCGATCAATCCAATCGGCTTCTGTGAAGATGGCTTCGACTTCGTAAGTGGATGCAAAAGAACCAGGCGAGGCCTTCAGGGCCCTTAGACGGAGATCACGGTATTTCTGAGCGGAATCATGGAAACCCTCGGTCTTAGAGACCTGGAAATAGGAGTAGGTGTACTTGGCCTCCATAGATGGGATTGAAGAGAGGAGAAGATGGCAGATCAGTATCGGCCATGTTCCTGGCGCGTTATCCGACATGCTTTATAAGTGGATCCGGCGATGGCGCGCTACGGCGAACTTCAAAAATGCCGGTCACGCTTATCCACAGCCTCCCGTCTGATTCGAGGCACAAATGGTAGCTTCAGCCTGTACCTGAACCATTGGCAGCCCACAGAAATGCTAAATTAAGACCATTAGGCATCTCCGGTGCAATTGCCCGACGCAGAAGAGATTGAAGGTGTCGTTTCGGCCCGGTGTTGATCTGCCTCTACAATGGCTTGCCTTAGTCGGTCATACTGAGCACGGACAAACTTGAAACCCAAGTTCCACAGTAGTTGAATTGGTGAGACTTGCCGACATATGTAATGTCAGTGAGATGGAATCTCGACTGGCAGAGCATATGAGAGGGATCATCGTCCCGGTTCCGACGCAGAAGACCCCCTTCGAGAAGATTTGGATGGAATGGAATTCATCATTGTCCGACAAGAGCATATCTACTCTTCATATTTTCTGCTAGAAGGATACCCGGCGCGAGCTATATTGGCCAAGTCTTTAGTGGGAGGCTACCTTGGGAACGATCGCTAAAATATTCCACCTTTGCTAACGAGCTTCTGCATGAATTGAAAATCACATTCAAGCAAATGATGGACCCAGAGCATAAAACACGGTTCAGAGAATCCAACTAATAAGGAGTTCACCATTCAGAAAACGTAGTCCCCAACTATCCGAAATGAACTGTCCTTTTGATTATACATACGACCAGGATCGAGAGAAGGAACTGTGATTATTAATCCTCGTGTCCATTTATGTAAAGAAGCTCATTGGATATCCCCAAACTCAATAGCCTCCCGGTCGTGGGCACCATTTGAAGTTCTGTTGCTGCTTGTTGTATCAGCATAATGTTGGCAGACGAATCCCCATACTATACTCACAGCTGGATACTAGGAGATTTGCCCCTATGATGAGTTCCATTCCCGCGACGAGAGGGAGTCGGACTGCGGGATGGAGAAAAAAGATGAGATTCTATTTCCGACTTGTTAGCTCAAGGCTATGCATCTTAGCGAGTGGTAACATTACCCAAGATGGACGGAGGGGCCAAAGAAGAGCCATCGGTCCTGAAAACGTTCATCGTTCGCATTCCTGCTTCCAATTTTTTCAATTCTTGTGTCAATCTCTCTCGCTCCTCGTGAACATATGGTGGCTCCGCCGCTATATCTTGGATTTGTTCATCGTTCATGTCGTTGATGACCTGGCTGGTGAAGATATGCTCCAGGGGACGGAGGAGGCAATTCTCGATTGCGAGAATGCAAACATTATCAATGAATATGAGAATAGCGGTCTATTTGACAATTCCGTAAGCACAAGTCGGAGAGGTATTTGATTTTTCACAATCCATCAAGTCAAGCGATACTTACATCATAATATGCTTGCATCTGAACGGCAATATCCGCAACCGCGAACTGGTCGCTGGAAGACTGAAGATGAGCGGCAGCCTTTTCCAGGTCGTCAGCAGTAAACGTCTTTTGTGAATCTCTATTGAATCCTTTGAGGTTATTTTTCAGAATATCCAGTTGACGCTGGCCGCGGCTTTGCTGAATCCGGCCAAGAAAGTTTCTTCCAACGGGCAGCGGATGACCGGTTTTTGTGTATGAGATTAGTTCGTCAAGCTTTGCCCGCAACGAAGCTTGTATCTTCTCCAATTCTGGCATGAGGATGCTACCTAATAGCGAGGAATAGGTGTCTTCGCCCGCAAGGTACTGGAAAACCAGACAAACGAAGTTTTTCACTGATTCCCACGCTTTAGTCAAATGCCAATCGGCGATGTCCTCCCAGGGCTTTGCTTGATCGCGGAACAAACTTCCCACGAGAAGCTGGTTTGCACTACCAGGAAGCTCTATACCTCGATTCGTTGAAGCTTGTTCCATCATTTCTTCAAGGAGTTCAGCATCAGTGACCTGTTCCGGTATCCAGCAGTCCAGGTAGGATTGAAATTCTGCGTTTCTCGAGTGTGAAAAGAGCTCCGGCACTTCGAAGACCGGGAGCTTTCGGCGAAAGCCACGAATATACATGGCATCCGCAAAATATTCATTTAATTCCCGAATCATCGCCCGCAGTCGACGTTTACCCTCAGTGTCTGAGGACTCGTCATCCAGGCCACCGAAAAATTTATCCTCGTACATTCCATTCAAAGCTTGACCCGCAATGCGCTCAAAATTGCGGCTTATATTAAGCAAAAAGCCTCGCTGTTGCTGAGGAGTTGATCGCTCCACCCCAAGCTTTGCTAGTTCATGTTTGTGGTCGTCAATCTTTTGCTGGATATCCGTGATCAAATAGGGAAGACTCCGACAAATCTGTTTCAGTAGGACATTGCTCAAGCGATGCCGAAGGCTGTCGATTCCGACCTGGGCCCGAGAGAGTGAGGCCCATCGCCCGGCTTCGAAGAACGCTTTCTCTTTTTCGTCTCGCTTGTCGTCGGTAGACTCACGCGTCTCGAACGAACGGTTCCGCAGGACATGCCACCCCAGTTTCAGCCGGACCTCCTCATTTCTGATGTATTGCAGATATCGGCCCTCCTCCTCCGAGCCGGCTTCCAGGATATCCGGCTGGGTGACGACGGCAAGAACCCTCTCGTATTCCGGATCAAAATTCTTCGCGATGTTCAAGATCTCCTGCAGGTGATAATCGATCTTTGCACTGATGACGGCAAGGATGACACTGCGCTTGTTTTCCATGTACTTCTCCGTCAACTTCCGAACAATCCGGATTCCTTCTTTGTTCTGGTCCTTGCTGGTAGAATAGTAGAGACCGGGAAGGTCCACGAGAGTGAGCTCTGGCTTGTCCGGGCCAGAGATTTCGACCTTGAGCACATCATCACTGAACCCGGCAAGATGAGGATCGTCATCGCCGATCCCCATGTAAGCCTTAGCCTGATCGATCAGATCAGGGAGATCATTGCCATCCGAGAAGACCTCGGAAGTAAAGCTTTGGAGCTTCTTTCTTTCCTGCTCGTCTGTTCTGGAGTCACCTGGCTCAATAGAGATTTTGACCTTTTTCTGTGGTTTCCGACGGAGTATAACTTCGGTCGCAAACCGCGTGCAAAGAGTACTTTTAGTCGGAAAGCGCACTCTCGAGATGGCTTCAAGCACCGAGCTCTTGCCGCTAGATTGATTGCCGCACACGATGAGCTGAGGAAGCTCTACGAGACCCCCAACCCCAATGGTACGCAGCTCATCGATCTTGTCCAACAATTTGGATTGCTGGGACTGCAGCTGGTGCATAGCCTGGTTCTCCTGCTCCGATGGCATAACTGAAGTGATGGTATTGGAAAGATTTAATTGATTGTGACAGAAAGAGATTTCTGATTAGAGGGAAGATTTAGGGTAGGGCTTTGACAACGTATTTAAGGACATATCCAACATCGCCTGGGGCCCTCCGGCCCCATGCCGAGATGATCCTGGTATAGTGCCTTTTGTTGCATTAGTCTCCTGCCGCAGCACCGTGGCTGGCCCTCTACTCTTAAAAATGAGAGCACGAAAACTTATTATTAGAAGGCCTCTTCTGGTTGGGAGATATTTTTATTCTGTTGCAGATAACGTCCTGTGAACCTCTTTACCGAGCGCCATAATACCTCGTACACTCTTGAAATGCGGTAGTTGCAAACGCGCGACGTCCCAATGTATTTATAGAGCAGGATTCGACCCAAGTTTCATCACCAAATATCCGCAGGTGTTCTGTAGGATGATTTTGTTACGCGTACGTAGAACTAACGTGGACATACGTATATCCATCGAACGGGCCGGGCCTATCGATCAACCTTGTCGGCAAAGTGACGAGCTGCATATGCTAGGACACCCAATATTCCATGCGACTCGGGCTGTACCAATGATAAGATGTCTATAACTCCAAGTGGGGAAAGATGCTAGCCGGGAGAAGATCTAAGGCGCTTAGCTGCATCGCCCCCAAAGTTAGCAGGCCATATATGGGACCAACGCGGCGGGGTAGGAGCAGTTTACAGAACCAAGATCAAGAAAAATCATTAATTAGTTGAAGCCTGTGAGTTCTTATGTTTAATGCGGCGTACTACCCTTGACATAATTGTGCATGTAGTGGTTGGCAACCAAGGCGCATCGCAAGGCGTCTACTATGTATTATTGCTTCGCCCCACTCAGCATATCTTGCAACAAAGAACTCCCGAAGATTCCCCGTTCTATGTCTTTTTCTTATCATCTCTACGGAGAGACGCTTCACGAAACGAGTGATAAGGTAGCTTAATTTACTCTTGGATTCAGGAGGATACCGCAGCGTCAAGATCAGATCGGGTTTCAATAGAAACGGCGAGGTGTAGATTAGAAGTAGGAACCACACTACCAACAACACAAGCAAATCAACCCGCCTCTAGTGCTCAAAAGGTGTGTTGATAAAGGTTGCCTTGTAGGGTGTCGGCAGAGTAAATTTTGCTGCTACCAAGCTTGATAGATATGATACGGAGCTGACCAACTAAACCTAGATTGAGCAGCTGTCGCCCTCAACCGCCGCCCTATCGGGACTCGCACCCGATTCCAATATCAGAAACAATAGGACGTGCAAATCAAAGAAATATTGTTCCGCATATTATTAAGTGTTGCGCTCTGATTAATCAACTAGCAATGAAGTTCTCTATGTACAAGGAAGAAGGCAGTTATACACTCATTTCATCGTGCTGTCGACCAGTTCGCGATAGATTTTCTTCAGGTCAGCAATGTCGGCTTGAAGTTCCTCCACCTGTTCACTCTTCTCACCCAGCATCTCCAGGGTAGTCAGGTACCGCTGGTCGATATCAGCAAGCCTAGCCTCGAGCTCTTCTACTCGAGATTCGGCGACCTTCTTCTCCTCGAGCTCGCGCATGAGGTCGACAACCTGCTGCCTGGCCTCGTCACGTTGAGTGGTGACGCGCGCAAGCTCGTCCCTGGACCCAGCTCGCTCGCTCTCCAGCCTGCGGACTGTAGCACTCATGCGCTCCACCAACTGCACAGATGGGCCCGCGCCGACAGTTGATTCGGAGATGATATCATTAATACCGCGGGACGGAGGCGCTTGTGTACCACCATAAGCGGATGGAGTGGCAGGGCCACCAGAGCCAAAGAACTCGTCTGGCTCGAACGTGATTGAAGGGGTTTCCATAATCATGGATGGTGCGATAGTAGTATTGATTGGGGGAGGAGAGAGGGTTCCTTGAGCGATTGAAGCTGGATAGGAATTTTGGCGCGGCGGTGTGCCAATATCTGGTGAAGCGCAAGGCATGGTGGACGATCGCCGACTAGTGGGACGGTAGTCAGACAGACCAGATGGCACAGCATCGAGGTTGCTTGAACGGCGCGTGGAAGGAACTGGGGATATGCCACGAGGTTGTTGCAAGCTATTTACTTGCTCTCGCCATCTGGCACGTTCTTCCTCGAGTTTCTGTGCCCAATTTGCATCCCACACCTTCTTCTGCTCGAGTAGGTCCTTTTGGGCAGAAGAGACGTCGTCGTTTGCCTTCTGGAGTTTTTGCTGCACCTTCTGCAACTCTTGAATGCGCCCATCCAGCTTACTGTTCAGATCGTGCTCAGTCTCCTTGGCGTTTTCCAACTCCTCTTCCAGCTCCTTCACCTTGAGAGTCTATAGAACAACCGTTAGTACAGTACTTCGTGGAAGTTGTTCTGTAGTGTCTTACTGATTCCCGAAGCTTTTTTCGCAACTCTCGCTCTCTATCTCCAGCTTGGTCGCGTTCCCTCTCCGCGGCATCTAGTCGAGAGATGTAGGAACCTTCCAAAGTATGCCAATTCTCGCTCGCAGCCGAATACTGAGTCTGCAAGGTCTCGACCTGACGTAGCAGCTTCGCTTGAGTTTCTCCGGTGGCCCCAGACGAGGCTTCCTCTGCACGCAAGCGCAGGCTTTCCATTTTGCTTTCCAGGGCGTATTGCTCCCCTTTTAATTCAGCTTCAAGCACACGGGCCCTTTCTTTCTCCTGTTCGACCTTCTCTTTCAAATCATTGATCTCCTTCTTTGACCTTTCCCGGCTGATATCAAGCTCGATTTTCGTGTTCGAGAGCTGCTCTTCGAGTTCATTGGCTCTGTGCTTCTCGTTCTTCAAAGCATCCGAGTGGGCCTTAGCTTCAGCAGCCTCGGCGCGTGCAACGGCTCGGCTGATTTGTGCTTTCATTTCTCGAACGGTCTGGTTCAGGGCATCACGTTCATTCGTCACGGCTTCGAGGTCCCTGGTGGTTTTGGTATGGGATGATAACGTTTCACTTGCTCTCTTCTCCGCGGCTTCGGCTCGCCTGGCTCTAGCTTCAGTGTTGATCAAATCCCTTTCCAAGTTCTCGGTCTTCTTCTTCACATCGGTTTGTGATTTCAAGTTTTCAGCAAGTTGTTGCCTCAATCTCCGAACCGCCGTTCGAGAACTCGCCGCCTCTGACTCGAGTTTTTGCCCTTCCTTCATCAACAACGCATACTTCTCTCTTGTTTCTTCAAGCTCTTTCTCGCGGCTCCCCGGAGAAGCGGCAGCGGCGGCATCCTTCGCCGATTTGGCAGCCTCTCCAGCCAGGTTCTCCAGATTTCTCTGAAGCTCATCAATCCGTGCCATATATTCATATCTTTCTTGTTGCCACAGGGATTCAACTCCATGGTCCTCACTCGTCCGCGACTCGGATGGCGTATCCACGCTTAATCGAGTACTTTCCCCAGATGGACGAGCGCCTGATATCTCACTACGTTGTAAACTCGGCAAGTCCTGGCTAGTTTTCCCCAAGTTTGAAGCCTGTTCATCCACATCGGTTGATGCCCTAGGCAACGATTCCGCCACAGTGATATCTGTCGAATTACGAGTAGATCTTCCCGAGTCGTAGCTTGCTCTCACCGCACTTGCTTCTGCTGTAGCAATTTCTCCATCTGGTGGGGGACTCTTTGATTCATCTGCGGCACCCGCCCACGAGGCTGCAAGGCTAGCGTCAATGTCGATACTCGATCGCGCCTCATTGCTTAGCGCTGGGCTGGCGGCGGATGATGAGACCTGACTAGTTGAAGATTGCGCGTTCCTATTTGCTGTGTTTGATTTGACCACAGCTCGTGCCAGGCGTTCTTGGAGCCGATCATTCCTGCGCGCATTGGACGAGCTCCGCGATATTGCTAAGAGGTTCCGTTAGCTAAGACCAACAAAGTCGACAAGTGGCAAATAGGCCGTACAGCCAGCAGGAGATCTCGAAATTGGCGGCCCTGGACTCTCCGCTTCCTTGAGTTTCGCATTTGAGGCTTTCTGTGCCTCTTCCTGGTCCATCAAGATATTGTCTAGACGCGATTCGACGCCCGCGACCGCCTGCTGGAAGAAATTGCCCATGCCCCATTTGGGCTTGGACGTCTGTGGATTTTGCGCCATGAGAGAGGTGTGATGTAAGAGTGCGACGCGGCTCTTAGGCAGCAGATGCCTCGTGTTCAATTTGCATAGGTTCGGTGGGGGCTGCTCTCGGACAACTGCTCGGTGCTCTCGAGGATTGTGACGGTTTTGAGTTCGGGAAGGCTAGTCGGGGGGCGCTGAAATTGAATGGATTGAAGCCAATGGGGGGATCCGGTCGAGGGTGTAAACAAAGGACTTGGAGTGGATTTCCAAGGAAAGTAGAAGTACAAGCCAACGACCACGTTGCAAGATAGACGTCGCACAAGAAGTCTCAGTGCAAAGAGAGCGGAAGAGGCAAGCCCAGAAAGGAGCGTTATGCCTGTAAAACACACAACGATGTTCGCAACGGAGGATGGTGAAAGAGAGGAAGAGGGAGACTTGAAGATGAAGCGATGAGCCAAGATCCGTTAGGAGGGCCGACATGTGGTCTTGGCGCTGCAGCTACCGTCATCTCCCCCCAAGCTCCTCCTCCTCGACCGCCATCTTCCACCAGAACCACGGCCTGCACTCCAGTTCCCTGGCCCGGGTTTTATCTGATCACCATGTCGCTGGAGCCACCCACTTACCTCAGCTCTTTGCAGAACAACATCCGCGCTCGGCCAATTCCGTGGGAGGGCGCCGTTCGCGCGGGCAACATCACCGATGACCACCTCAAGAAGATCAAGGCCGTGGACAAGGTGCGCAAGGATCAGCGCATTCAGACAATAGAGGCGGATCTTCCTGGGTACACAAGCCTTCTGGCTGGCGGGCCACAGGGAAAGAGTGTTTTGGAGTCGGCCTCACGGAGAACCGATATCGTGCAATACATCTTGGTACTGGCATCAGACTTGATTCAAGGTATTTTGCAGTTGCCGGGGAGGTTTCGGTTTCTCTGAGCTAATCTTGATGTGCCAACAGATGTCCCTGCGCTGGCCGACTCGCTCATTTCTCACCCTGAACCCTACAAGCCGTTCCTGCCGTTCCTGCACCACTCTACCAACGCCGAAGACCCGATCCCGTTGCTCACGTCTACGTTCCTCACGGCTCTCGTGTCACACAGCCTTGTGACTTCTTCCAAACCGGCTTCCCGCGACGAGGAGGCTCTCCCGCATCTATATACCTATCTCTCTACCCTGACCAAGAACCATGATAGCGGACTTCAGGATATTGGTGTCCAAGGCCTCTCTGAGCTGCTGCGTAAGAAGCACTCCCGGGAGATCTTTTGGAACCATCGAAAGGAATCCTTAGATCCATTGATTGAGACACTCCGTACCGCTGCGGGGGCGGGGACTAAAGAGAATGGTGGTACTACGGGAAACAGCACACGTGGCATTGAGCCTGGCCTTGCTGGTGGCGTGGGTCTTCAGCTGCTCTACCGGGTTCTTCTGGTAATTTGGCAGCTCACATTTGAAAGTGCGCTTGTCGGTGATGAGCTCCAAGAGTAAGTGCTTCCTACGCGGGGGAGGAATGAGGTTGTCAACCGGAGTCCAGCGATTGACTCGATGCAGGAACTATGAGATTATTCAACTCTATACCCAGCTGCTTCGCCTTTCACCGAAAGAAAAGACGACCCGTCTTCTTCTTGCAACCCTTTACAACCTGTTCACTAGCAACCGGGCGACCCTCCTTCCTGTGGCGGTGTTTGTTCGGCTGCCGGGTCTCTTGACCAACCTCAGCGGACGTCACCTGACCGATCCTGACCTCCTTGAAGACCTCAACGCTCTGTCTACTATGTTGGATGAGTATACCAAGACCCAGACTACCTTCGACGAATACGCCGCCGAAGTCCAGTCTGGTCACCTGCGCTGGTCGCCCCCACACAAGAACCCGACCTTCTGGAAGGAAAATGCCCGCCGAATCCTGGATGAGGCAAACGGCGCATTGCCCAAGAAGCTGGCAGAGATTCTGTCCAAGGACTGGGACAATGATAAGCAAGTCTTGGCTATTGCCTGCAACGATGTGGGGCATTTGGTGAAGGAGCTCCCCGAGCGGCGCACCCAACTCGAGCGCACTGGCTTGAAGACGCGAGTGATGGAGTTGATGGCTGACAAGGACGAGACGGTACGATGGGAGAGTCTGCGGGCTGTGGGCGAATGGCTTCGGTATACCTTCGATGGTTGAAGAAGGGAGCACACGAAGCACTGGCATTTTTTGATCTTTAAGGGATTTCGGGGTCCTAATCCTGGGATGAACGTTTGCGCTAGATACCACCTATTGTAGTCTAGATTCTCTCCAAGACCACTAGTCTACAAGAGCCTATTCCCGTCCCTTCCTTTACACATACCGCACTTGTCATCAGAGTACCAATCTTGTATATTTTCAATCTCAATTCTGGGGTTTGGCATATTCAAATAGTGCCCAGGGAGAAAAAAATTTGAGACATGATATTCAGCATGAGCTAACCAATTAAATTCAACCTGTGACTAGAACTTCTGAAGTGTAACCCCCATTCTTGAATATTTCCAACCTAAGAGGAGGAGGATTGCCGCTGTTATCGATATCGTCTTGATATTTGAGCAATTTCCTCCAAGAGCTTCCCCGTAAACCAACACTGTCGAAACGGGTATTCGCTCCGGGAGAAGCTCCCAGGTCTGGATAGCGGTCGTACCTTTGCACTTGCGCTCCAGACGATATCTTTCACGTGAGCTTCAAGGCCAATCGCCTCGCCGGATCTGATGCCAATGTCCCTGCAGCATGACATTGTGGACGCTTGCTTATCCATCTCTAATTCGATCTTGACATTGACGACTCCATCCCCGAGATTTTCAGTCTTTGAAGAGAAAACGCTGCAAAAATGCATCTTGAACTTGATTTCAGCCTGCCCTGGATTGAGATAATGCGATAGAGATATTTTTTGTCGCGTCGGTGATATTTCTATTGTATCCAACTATAAGTCTGCTTATTGTTCTTCGTGCGAGGGCCGGGCGAGAAAGACAGAATTGCCTCCTTGCAGAGTGGGTTGACACTCGTAGTGTCAGGGTCCAGGTCAGTTTCTATACTCGGGCTTTATACGGATTGATTTGACCTCAGCAATAACCTCTGGCTTGATTGGCGTTGGGTCAGCCGCAGCACTGTCTAGCTTTAGTGAACCACTTAATTCTCTGATAGGGTCAGCTTGATCCTCCTTGGGGAGACTGGATTTATTGAGACCACGTCGGCAAATTCTGTCACCACCTGTTCCGTTCTCTGCTTGAAAATATCTGCTATCATATTCTGCACCGAACGAAACTCCGGGGCCAAAAGGAATTGAGCTGGTGTCTGGACACGTTTTTGAGGGGGAGGCGCTCTGTTTTTGTCTTGGCCCTAGTTGTTTATTCGATCGTGTTGATAAAGACATCAGAATGGGGAGTGAAAGCTCGAGGGACTGAGCCTGCTAGAATATGGATATTCGAAAAGGCATCTTTAGATATGCCCTCGCGAGCTAGCCAAAGCTTTGTATCTTCATCGAGGGGTTGGTCAAAATGATTCCGTTCTTCTCCAACTGCCTCCAATGGAGGATCCTGCAAATACAGCACAGCGAAATATCTCAGAGAGCTGGGAGTTAGTAGCATCCCTTGGCTGCCAGACCTCGCTGGGAAGACGTGGGCAGCAAATAATGTTGTCTGTGAGAGATCATACCATTGCAACGTGCAATGTAGATGCCATGTTGAGATCCGTACCTTCAAGGTAAAAACCATCATAGAAGGTAAATCCATGGCCTGCTCTGCGCGGCGTCCATGTAAGAGAATCACTCCTTGCATTACTGCCGTTAAGCAACTTATCTTGGTGAGTACCCTGATCCTTTGTTGTCATAAAGTCTTTTGACTTGAGAGCCTGACTCTGATCGGATTCGACTAACCATTATAGAGTGTTGTCGGTGTTAACAGTTCACGATTAAATATTTTAGCGGAGTAAATTCCACACCTAATGCGTAAATATCCAATTATATTTAGTATTTTAGAACAAAAGAACACGGAATCTTTGCCTAGCTTGATACGTTTATTTAAGTATACAGCTACCTCTGGCTAAAAGCTGAAGAACCAATTAAAGGGCGGCTGGCCTAATGGCAAGGCGTCTGATTTCGGCGAAGACTTCAGAAGATTGCAGGTTCGATCCCTGCGTCGCTCGTTAATTTTTTAATCATTAAAAATAAGATCTTATTTTATTTTTGGTTCAAATCTCTAATCAAAAAAGCGTTGTAGCAATAAAGAAATACACTAATATAAGTATAGGTAGGTAGGTTTATGAAAAAGGAAAAGGAAAATATAATGAAAGAAAAAAGAAACGAGCGACGCAGGGATCGAACCTGCAATCTTCTGAAGTCTTCGCCGAAATCAGACGCCTTGCCATTAGGCCAGCCGCCCAGTTACTTAGGGTTAAGGCAAAAGAAATAACATACAAGGTAAAGCATTTTCAATTCTTTTTATCTTTTGTTTTCCAAACCGTGTTTTGCCTATATACTCTGTTGGCATGTGCTGTGCATTTCCTGCCATAGCGCACATTTGTATATTCTCCTAGGGCAGCTCTCTCTTCGTTACTATAATATCTACTGTAGTTTGGCTATCATCTAGACAATCCAAACGCCCCCAAGTCTGCACCGATAACCCCCCGCTGATCAGTGGATCCTCCTCGCGAGGATTTGGCCGCTAGATTGCACCCTACGACGCTGAGGGAACCAGAGTTAAGTCGTAGGCAGAGTTAAACTTTATGCCTCCCCTTCTCCCTCTCCCCCTCTCTCTTTAGGACGTGAGGACTTTGCTTTCCCCAGAACCGCCGCGTCGGTTGTGCCACGCGGGACCTGACTGACCGACCGGAGATCGCGCATTCCCCGCAGAATTTCTTCCCTCTTCCACGATCCGCGATCTTCCTCTCCACACACCCCACGAACAACTGCCCCCAGCACCCATGTCGAGATCGTTCACCGGCTGCACAAGATGTAAAGCGCGGCGCCAGAAATGTGACGAGCAAAGACCGATATGCGGGCGCTGCCAGACCGCCGGCGTCCAGTGCAAGTATGCCATGCAGCTGCAGTGGGGTGGGCGGGCGTTCTCGCGATCGCGATTTGGCGCCTGCGTGGACACGGGGAACATGCAGAGACTGGGTATGATGACACATGAGGACTTGTGAGGCACGCGCATGCTGACTTGACCTCTCAGAATACTCACCAGGAGAGTTCATCTATACCACCAAGTCAGCGCAAGCACAGGCAGGCTCAGACTTAACCTTAGCGCAACCCGTCGATCCTTTCTCGTCCCTGTCATCCGACCAAAAAGCGCTACTACATCATTTCATCAACGATGCGTCTCAAATTACCGCATGCCACTCGGGCATGCAGCAGGATATCTGCCGCATGATCGTGCCTATGGCCCTTCAAACCCCATCCTTACTCTACGCCACCACTGCCCTGTCCGCAATTCATATCCAGGCTCTACACAATCAGTCAGAAAGCGTAAAATCCGCGCCAGATATCGCGCGGCTGATGGCTCTCAGCCTTGAACATTTTCGGAAAGAGCTACAGAACCCATCTTCGACGGACTCGGAGGCGCTGGTGGCGACCGCTCGAACTCTCTGTTTGGCAGAGATTCACTCCGGAGCGATCCATCCCAACTCATGGCGAGCACATATTGAGGGTGCACGGGCCTTGATGAAGGCATCGGGTACTACAGGGGAGAACTCGCTTCGGACAGAGAGCGGCTTCCGCCGGTATCTGGACCGCTGGTACTGGTCGATCGTGTCGCTTACAGCGTTGACGGGGAACGGGCCTCCCATTGGGGACATCTCGGACTTTGCGCCGTCGGACTTGGCAGGGCAAAGAGGGTCACCGGACTATCTGGATGACTACTGGGGGTTCACGGTAGACCTGGCAGCTGTCTTCCGGCAGATAGGCGCTGCCGCCTGGCGCAGCCATCAGGCCGAGAGAGAAAGCCAGGGCTTTGTTGCCGGTGAAATTGATAGCAACGCTGAGGATGAAGCCGCTGCGCTCGAATCCTCTATACGAGAACTCATGGACCGAGGCGCGACTTCCCAGCCCTCATTCTATCCCGGAGTTGCAGAAGGGCTGTCTGCAGATAGCGTGCAGCATCTCGCTCTCTGCAACGAGGCATTCCAGCACAGCGCTCTAATTCAGATCAACAGGCGACTGCGGAAAACACCGACTACATCAGCTCTCGTACAACAGTCGGTGCAGCGGATTTTGGAGTGTACGGCGCAGATTGGACCCTCGGCTGGTCTGAGCCCCTGGGTCATGTTGACAACTCCACTCTTCATTGCAGGCTGTGAGGCACGCGGCGAAGATCGTGACACAGTGCGGCAGCTCCTGGCCTTATTGCATGACACTATTCGGGTGCCGAATGTGTTGCAGTCTTTGAAGTTTCTCGAGCTGTACTGGGCAAATCAACTCAGCGAGGGGGAGGATTGGAGTCATTTCCTCGGTATGTATCCCACCGGTAATTCTGTGGTCATGTTTCCCTGCTGATCTCCTTTACCCTAGACCGTATGAAGTTCGACTTCATTCCGTACTAAAGCCTTGATGAGCTTGATTCTTCCCGATATGTGTGACGTGCTACGATTGATGTTCCAAGGCTGATTTTTGGTATATACTTTTCTTTGTTTTTCTTTTCTTATTCTTGATATCAGCAAGCCACAGGCGCAATGAGGGCCGGGGGATTTCCTGGAGTACATATTTATTGTCTTGGCGTTTGGATTCTGTGGCATCATGCCGATTATTCTATAGCACTATATTGTCTAAGCAAACCCTAGCAAATGAACATTCATTAAAAAGCTCCTCACAAACTAACAAAGTGAATGTCTCGAGCCTCCGCTGCTGGACGCAGGCATGACCTGCGCCAGCTCTTGGGACCCCGGTTCTTGGCCAATCCTGCGGTCCCAACTCGCCAGAACGACATTGAACAGCTCGTTCGCAACTCCAAGCAACACAAAGATGGCAATGACTTGCCCAAAGGTCCATCCTTTCTCCTCCGGGCTGAGGGTGTTCCGTTGAATCGTCTGTTCCAGTGACACAATCAAATAGATGCATAACCCGCAGTATGCCACCTTGTTCAGGGTGAAATTCAGCAAGGCCTGCCCGGAAAGCTCCTGCTGAGGATTGTTGTCTTGACCCTCGGGCTTCTTTGATACCTGCACAAACCACTTGATACAATCTCGCTTGCGACCGGAGTCGCTGCCCGGTGAATGCCGTCGTGAAACAATCCACGCCCCACACATGCACGGCAGCATGCAGGTGAACACGAGGGTGAAACCCGCAGCAGTAGCACCCAGTGTACCGAGGATAATATACCGGAACACTGGGGATGTTGCCTTGATGCTCACGCCAAACACCACATACACCGTGTCCGAGTTGCAAGTGGGCTGGCTGCCGAAATGAGGCGCAGTGACCCAGAGGTAGACGTTGAACGCGACGAAAGCCCCCAGCGAGAGGATCTGGATTATTGCAAAGAACCACAGCCGCCAGGGCCCGAATCCAGCGTACCGGCCTTTGCTGATAAGGTTCAGCCCCAGCAGGGCGAGCAAGTGGACCACACAAATGGCGTGGAAAAGGGTCAATTCGTTGCGAAAGGTCTGGTAGATTGCTGTACAGAGCAGCGCCAGGCCTTGCATGCCCAAAGCGGACGATACACCGCGCGCGAACTCTTCTTCATCTTCGCCTGGGGAGAAAACCCGGAGGAAGTAGCTCACAAGTGTCCCGCCGAGGCAGAGGGCATAAATGGAGGCGCGAATCTGGAGGAAGTGCGAGATCAGTGGAAGTCTTTCTCAAATTCGGTGGGCAAGGCAAGCTTACCCCGGTCCCAGTTACATCGGGATTGGCTTCAATCACACAGATTGTCGAGTTCATCTTGATCTGGGCAGAACCTGGAAGACCTTAGGAGCAACTCATGAAGATACGATTTGGTCCCAGGATCATGAAAGAGCCACCCACTTAGTTTATCTGGCAATGCCCGCGGCGGCGGTCAGCCTCCTCCAGTTGCCCGCCAATTGACCGCATGTGCCTAGTCTCTGAACGTGGCTAAGCAGGAACATTGCGCCACTGCCAGCCCATCCCACCACGCGACCAAGACATCGGCCAAAATCGCACCCCTGCGGCTTCACCCGGGCATCCCTCGGGCCGCCATTGGATCGTATCTCGCTGCCCGGCACTTGGGTGGCGCAGGGTTGCGCGCTGACTGCAGATGTTCGCGCGCCAAGCTATTTGCCCTGAGCTAGTCTCGCCAATGCGCGCCTCCCATTGGCCGGTCGCGAACTACATCTGCTAGCCTCTGCGGCTTTGTTTTCCCCGTCCATAGCCATTTGCTCGAAGAAACGCCATGATGGCTTCAGCCCCTCCAACTTAGCGTTCTCTGAGTGGGAACCCGTACTCGAGACGCGGATCCTTCAAGCTTCGTATTCCGTGATGGGTAAGCGCCGACTGCCTTGTGTATAAGACACTCGGTTAGCCTTGTTGAACTGCACAATCGCCTGTCAAAAGCAACTCCGCTCCATCTCGAAGGCATCTGGCGCATTGTTTTCGCTTGAACCTGAGGTTAGCTGAGACGCCATGGACTCGGATCGTCCGCTTCCCGCCATCAACAGTAAGCTCCTACTTCCTTTGCGCAACAGCTGCACTGGACCTTTTTCCTAACAGATCTTCAACTACAGTATGGGTGTTTTTCGCTCTAGCCGCCCTTGACATTGCCGCAAATGCCGCTGCAGGCCCCGCCGCCGTGGCGACGGCTGTTCACGTCAACGGCAGCGAGCTCACCGTGCGAGCATTGCAATTAGGGGCTCTAGCTGGGGTCACTAAGTCCGGGGTACTGGCATTCGTCGAATTTGTCTCATATGCAGGCATACCGACTCCAGCATGGCTGCTTCTCATCTTGCTTGCTAGTAGTTTTGGGATCTGTGTGCTGGTGACGGCGGAGATAAGCAACCTAGTGCTTGGGGAAGGTATGTGCATTAGGCAGACCTGGCGCGGGGTCATTGTAAGGAGACCCACTAACGTACCAATCTTCTAGCACCGAGTGGATTGCTGATTGCAGCTATTGTCGCCGCTATACCGCTGGGCGGGGAATGTATGGGCATATATCAGTGTGAGTCTATTGCACATCTTCGGGAAAATGGAGATTACCCCCTTGTCTGAAGCCAGTCACTGAGCTCTTCTTTCTTCATGCACAGCCGCTGGTGGCTTGAAAGGAGGCAAACCTCAAGCACAGATCTTCATCATAGGGCTCGACGCCCTCGGCGGTTATGTCTTTGCTCGGATGGCTCATAACGAAGGCAAGTTTCGATTGGACTTATTCAGACATCCCTAGCCAATATTTCTCCTCCATCCACCACTATGCTCGTGGGACCCTGTCTTCTTACAAGGCTAACATTTTTGTTCATCTAAATAGGCCACGACATCTGCCCGTACAACGTCGCCGCTGCCGCCGGGGCTGTTTACGGCGTCATCACCGGGTTCTTCCACACTATCTTAGGATGCATGGCTGGGTGGACAAGAACTGAGAGTACCAACGGCCACTACACTACAACAAATATTTTTGGGACGGTGTCGGGCTATGATCCAAACTGGCACCACAATACATTTTTGTAGCTTTCATGCTGAATGAATGAGAATATAAACTATACCGACCACATGTGAATAGTTTTATAATGAATATGAACAATGCCTTCGCAAAGTGCAAGACAAGAAAGACGCAACGCGCCCCCTCTGATCACCACCAGCTCAAGTATCTTGCAGAGTGACTCCCTCACAAGTCCATATCGTCATCGTCCCAGCCAAGCTGCTCATAGATGGATTTTGTCTGTGCTTTCTCCGGTGTGACCGGCACAACAGCGGCGCTCTTAACTGGCGATCCCACGACTGCAGTGGAGGGGGGTGCTCGGGGGATGTTGGGAGCGAGAGGGGGCACAGATCTGGGCGCGAAGATAGGGTTAGGGGCGTGCTGCTTGGGAGGGGTTTCTGTGATCATGGAGGACCGGGCAGCTTCAGGGGATATGCTAAGATGCGGTGACGAGTCGGGGGCAAAGAGGATGTTCGTGTGGCGAGAGGAGACCGGGGTGGTTGGAGCCACGGGTTGGGAGGTTTGATCGATAGGATTGAGGCGTGGTGCTGGGAGGCTAGGTACTCGGAATAGGCCTTTGCCTTTGCTGGAAAACATAGGAGGTCGATGGGCTAGGTCTGTGTTTCGGCTGTCGGGGAACAACTTGAGTGGAGGTCGGGACGGGGTCTCTTGCAGGGAGGGCAGTTCGGTTGGTTGGGTTTGCGGGTCGCGTTGCCGCTTCCTCGAAGCGCGTTGGGAATCAAAGGGTGTTGAATCGGGCCCAGAGAATGAGATAGCTCGGCGAGACGATGAGGGAACCATGACTGGAGACTCTGCGAGGGAGTGGTAGTCCATCTCGCCAGCAAAAGACCGTGAGGTGGCGAGACTGCGAGGTAATGGAGGTAATCCGACCACTGCATCCTTCTTGCGGTTCCCACGGGGCGTGGCCATGACCTGCACACCCTGGCCAAGGGGGTTGCGGACAGGGTTCTTCGGCTTCCGTGAGCTCCCTCCGCCTGCGGACATTCGCTTCACAGCATCCTCAGCAATGTCCTGTGCAACAACTTCTCGGTTTGGCTTGCGAAGGGTCTGGATGGCGGCATCGAGCTCCTTCTTTTGATCAGCTAGAAGCTGCACCTTGCGCAGTTTGGTCTCGTGTTGTCTCGCTGCAGCATTAAGATCGACCTCACGGTTTTCCACTCGTTTAACCTGGATGCCACCTCGGACACTACCCCCCATGACTGTGGGCAGCAAAGGTTCCAAAGAGTCGTGCTTAGTATCATGCTGTGTGGGAGCGGTCTTTGACCGGCTGAGTGACGGATGGCGAACCTGAGACGCAGCAACTTTTTCGTCCGTCAATACGCGCTGCAGCGAGCGCCGGGGCTTTTGCACTAGAAGCTCTCGCTTGACTTCAGAGCCTGGCTCTGGGCGACGTGACTTGCTCGACAACTGGGACTTCTTGGTAGCGGGGGAGATGCCACCGGACACCCCAAATTTGCGGGTAATCATCTTGCACTTGTCGGGAAGTCGTGATGCATAGAACGGGATGATGACTTCAGTGCAGAAGTCACGCACCGCGTCACTCCCAACTTTCTTCCCGGACATATGGCCATCATTAAAGAATGAAGCCTTCGCCGAGTCAGAAACAGTAGATTCCTCCATACTTACAGCATGCCAGATGCAAAGCCGATCCAGGTGCAGTTCGAGAAGAACGTTGAGATCTTGGGGTTTCTTAGTCCTCTTTTTTGGTGTATCTTGCACTTCGCTAGTCGGATTATCATGGTTCGGGTTGGTCTTATTGTCAAGAATAGTCGACTCTAAAGCCATCACCTCCAGGATGAGGAGGATCTGCAGTTGCGTCTCGCGTAGTCGAAGGTCGGAAATATGCTTTTTTGTCTCCGCCTCGCGCGAGCCCTCCTGTGTAGAATACTCTGCCAGACTCCGGTCTTTCCACCACTTGCACACGAATTCGTCCTCTTCAGGGTAAAGGCCATTCTTGCCCAATTTCTTCTTCTTGCTCTTGCGCTTTTTCGCCGGGGGGGCCTCGTTGTCGGAGACAGCGAGTACCGCTTCGCGAACAGAGGCGGGTAGGGACTCGCGGTACTTGAGATCCATCTTCTTTGCGGCCAAAATGGCCTCACGGTAGAAGTCGATGAGCTCGGGGCCAGAAGCTTGGGAAGCAGTACGGCAACGCGTCAATGGACCCTTGGCAAAATAGGCCAGAGATGTCTGAGGGTATCAAGTCAGAAGCAAGGCCGCAGCAATAGATGAGCAGTGAGCTCACCTTGGAAATATAAAGAGCCTGCAGATAATGCTCTCGCATCCCGTTGAGCAGCTCTTCTGGAGATTGTTTCAGATCCGGGGAACCATCAACATCCATAGCGTCCGCAGCGCCAGAGACCTGAGAATCGCCAAGTCCGACTGAAATTTCCAGCTGAGAGTTATCTCCATCGGTAGCCGGTGCGAGCGATTGGCCCCGATGTTCCAGTACACCCACGAACGACGGCTGTTCTGATGCATTATCGTTGCCTGACGAGCCGAATACAACATTCACCTGTAGCCCAGCCGCAAAGTCCTCACCCAGGCCCAAGTCAGAAGGGGGTTCCTCGATCTGCGCAGCCTGCCACCAGTTCAGGGAGTCCGGAGCCGTGCATGCGTTATCTTCAGCATCGATATCCATAACCGACCCTTGCCATCCCTTGACAGCGACGACGACATCGCCTTCATGCACACACTGGGCAAGCCTCGACAGCGAGTATATCCCCTGCTTAACTCTCTCGACGACATAAAGCCCTCTATTAGCAGCCAACCGGGCAGCCAGCACCGTCGGCTCGACACAAGGCCGCAGATCCGTCTCGAGGGCGGGGATGTGGGCGACGAACAGTCCACCAGGCTGCGCATCGGACCGCGACCAAGACGCGTCTTCGAGCCATGACAGCGGGAGCCGGGATCGAGGAAGTAGAGAGATCGGCTCGAGGACTAGCGGTTCATCTGATAGTGACGCAGCATGGGCCTAGGCAAGCCGGCCATGAGCGGTTAGCTAGGGGGTTCTTCCCAACTTAATTGCGTACTCTGCAACCCACTCACTCTAATAACAATGGAAGTTGTAGCAAGCTGGCCAGCAGCGTTGTCGGTCCCGACCTTGCGCTTCTTCGCCGGCGGTTGGGCCGCCTCGCGCAGTCTGTTCACCGCGGACGAACTGAGGGGATCCAGGGCGCTGGGGTTCGTGCGCGAGGTCATGGTCGCGTTTAATAGGTCGTGTACATCGTGTCGTGGCCGGAATCAAGTTCGAAGAGAAAGCAGCAAAGAAATGCAGCAACTGAACCCGCAATCAAGAAAACGCTATGCAATTGCCCATTTGGAAAGTGATGGTGGGTGGAGCGCGAGTCTTTTTAAGTGCTTGGCGATTCTGGCGTCACGCGTCGAGGCCCACGCGCTTCCGTCCCCGCTTTTGCAGCCCCAAGTCCGACATGTACAGAGTAGGGGAGTAAGGAACATCACTGCGTTCTACATGTACAAGAATAATTATAGTAAAGGACAATCAGTGAATTTACTGAAAGTGGTATAAGTATTATTTCTATTTGCTAATGTTTAGATTAGCAGCAGACCCACGGGCCAGAAGTGAAGTCTCTGAATGTTGAAAAAAAAGCAACAGGACTCCCTCCGACCCGCACTCCCCGGACTCCGAGGGTCGATCCTGCACGCAGGATCAATCATACTCGGAAGTAAGTCACTCGGGAGCTGGTCGAGTGGTGAAGGTGGAATGGTTGTTGAAGACTTCGCTCCGCAAAAAAACGCCAAAAGCATCCCGTTCCCAGCCGATGGAATAGTGGTATCATGTTGAATTTTGTCTTCGCCGAAAGGCCCGTCTTTGGGCGACCATGCAGAATAATGAAACAAGAAAGAGAAAAGATTGGTTTCCGATTGCAGAAACCAAGCTTTTTGAAAAAAAAAAAGATTTTTGGAGGTTTTATGTCTATGCACGTGCCTTGAGTTGTTGAAAACAAAGCATACTCATCACAGTCGTCACAACGTCTCCGGGGTCACCGGACGCAGAAAGCCGTTTAGAGCTTGAGGGTCTTGGGCTTCTCCCAGGAGAAGTCCTGGTTGGTGAAGTGGCCGTTCTTGGCGGTCTGGGCATAGATGGGCTTGGCCAGGTCAAGGTCCTTGACGATCACACCGGGGCGGAGATCGAAGTTGTTGCGGATGATCTGGACCAGCTCATCGGAGGACTTGGTAGAGGTACCGTAGGTCTCGACGAAGATGGACAGGGGCTCAGCGACACCGATGGCGTACGAGAGCTGAACGAGGGCACGGCGAGCCAGGCCGGCGTTGACCAGGGACTTGGCGATCCAGCGCGCAACGTAGGCGGCCGAGCGGTCGACCTTGGAGTAGTCCTTGCCGGAGAAAGCACCACCACCGTGAGCACCCCAGCCACCGTAGGTGTCAACGATGATCTTACGGCCGGTCAGACCGGCGTCACCCTGAGGACCACCAATGACGAAGCGGCCAGAGGGCTGCATGTGGTAAACAGTGCGGTCATCGAGCAGGTTGGCGGGGATGACCTTGCGGACGATCTTCTCCTTGAGGACATTGCGGAGCTCCTCAGTGGAGACATCGTCGCTGTGCTGGGCAGAGATGACGACAGTGTCGACGCGCAGGGGCTTGACGGCACCGTTGTCGTGGGCGTACTCAATGGTCACCTGAGTCTTGGTGTCCGGGAGCAACCAGGGGATGGAGCCGTCGTTACGGGCGGCCTTCATGGCAGCGTTGAGCTTGTGAGAGAGCAGGATGGTGAGGGGGAGCAGCTCAGGGGTCTCGTCGGTGGCATAGCCGAACATGATACCCTGGTCACCGGCACCGAGCTTCTCCAGAGCCTCGTCGTAGTGGAGACCCTGGGCGATATCGGGGGACTGCTGCTCAATGGCAACAAGAACGTTGCAGGTCTTGTAGTCGAAGCCCTTCTCGGAAGCATCGTAGCCGATGTCCTTGATAGCGCCACGGATGACCTTCTGGTAGTCCAGCTGGGCCTTGGTGGTAATCTCACCGAAGACCATGATCATACCTGTAGGAATGCATGTCAGATTTGGGGACATTTTTGGGGGAGTGAGACGGATCCTCCGATGGGATCAGAAGAGGTAAAAACCTACCGGTCTTGGTGGCAGTCTCGCAAGCGACCTTGGAGAGGGGGTCCTCAGCAAGGCAGGCATCGAGAATGGCATCGGAAACCTGGTCGCTATCGGAAGGGGGAGGTTAGATCTGGAAGGAGCGAATTGAGGTTTTTCCTTCAGGGGCAAAAAAACTCACGCAATCTTATCGGGGTGGCCCTCACCGACGGACTCGGAGGTGAAAAGGAAGGTGCCAGGTTGCGAACCGTTTGCAAGGGAACCCATTGTGACGGATTGTGTGACTTGGGAGAGTCTGAAGGGAGTAAAAAAAGGGGAATGAGGAATGAAAGAAGAGGATGAGAGAGGGAAAGGGAAAGGAGGGAAGGAAAGAGAAGAAGAGGGGAAAATATGGTGGGGTTTTTCTCAGCGGCCAGTGGCTGAGTACATGGCGGGTACGAGACTCGCCAGTGGAAGAGTGGTGGTGCACGTGGGTACCGCGCAAGTTCCGGCCAGCAGCCGTCGAACTCTGCCACCTTTCGCTGTCTGCACCCGTTCTGCACCATCGTGGGGCCAGCCGGTCCCTCACCGCCCTGCGTCTGTCAGCCCCCCGATGGCGCCATCCGTCGATCTGCCGGGCGGTGATAGCCGGCAGAGATCAGCCCCTCCGGCAAGTGCAAAATCTCGCTACCGAGCGGCCGATAAGCTGATACGAAGCTCCGGTGATATTTTCCTAAGCTCATCTAAGCTCATCACCATCATTGATACCTAGCCACCACTGCCACCATGTCCAAGTTCGGTGTCCTGGTTATGGGCCCTGCGGGAGCAGGCAAAACTACCTTCAGCAACGCTCTCATCCAGCATCTGCAAAGTACCCGCCGCAGCTGCTTCTACGTCAATCTCGATCCTGCCGCCGAGAACTTCGCCTACGCACCAGACCTCGACATCCGCGAGCTGATCACCCTGGAAGATGTCATGGAAGAGCTGGGGCTGGGTCCTAATGGCGGTCTGATCTATTGCTTTGAATTCCTCCTTCAAAACCTTGAGTTCCTGTCCGAGGCACTCGATCCACTGAGTGAGGAATACCTTATTATTTTCGACATGCCCGGACAGATCGAGCTCTACACACACATCCCTCTCCTCCCATCATTAACGCAGTTCCTTTCGCGGCAAGGACCATTGAACATCAATCTCTGTGCCGCCTACCTCCTCGAAAGTACATTCGTCGTCGACAAAGCCAAGTTTTTCGCCGGCACCCTCAGCGCCATGTCTGCCATGCTTATGCTGGAGATTCCGCACGTGAACATTCTCAGTAAGATGGATCAGGTGCGAGACATGGTGACCCGCCGGGAATTGAGGCGTTTTGCCAATGTGGATGTCCAACTGCTACAAAATGACGAGGAAGATGTGGCAGCCAGCGCCAACCCCATGGCGACGGAAGCTTTGATGAGCGGTGGCTCCTTCAAGCAGCTCAACCGGGCGGTGGCACAACTGATCGATGACTTCAGCATGGTCTCGTTCCTCCAGCTGGACGTTCAAGACGAGGACAGCGTCGCGGGGATCTTGAGCCATATCGATGATGCCATCCAGTACCACGAAGCTCAAGAGCCGAGAGAGCCCAAAGACGAGCAGGAGGTGAACTACGAAGAATAAATCCTCGATGCTGGAATTATTGCAGCACTTTGAGCTGTGCCAAGCACAATACCCACGACAGAAACCCTCGACACGACACCGCCCCGGCTCATGAATGCGCATACTCAGTATACTTGCATCGCGACTAGTCCGAGATCCCTCGTCCTCGTTCCGACCTACGCCTGCATTCACTTGAATAAAGTTTCTCTCGACTTACCCACTACCAAGGCGTGGTGTGAGTTCCGGTTTCTGGAGACAAAATTCCGGTCTACAAATATGAAACACTGTCCTCGATCATGGCTGTGGGGCCGATTGTATGGGTGACAACGTCCCACCACCCATACCACTGGAGTTTGATTCCACGCCAGCCTTCCGTTTTCCCGGGGACGCCCCAAAAAAGCCCGATAAGAACAAAACACCTAATCCATAGACTCCAATAATCAATCCCTCATGACTGATGACATGTGCAGAGCCCGAGAATCCCAAGTCCCACCCCGCTAGGCACCCAAAGCAGAGTAGAAGTAGAAGTAGTGACACACACACACACACACACACACACACACACAACACGATCCATGCCCGCACTATACCCCCGCGGCAATGGCAAGGAAACGAGAATCTAAACCGCCGCTGTCCATTCCATCCCCATACAGAGCTGCCTGCACCAGCAGCAGCTTCGCCTAGCCCCAGCCAGCGCCCCAACCACCCCGGCCTACTTTCGCGCCCTGCGATCCCGCAGCCGCATCTTTCGACTGCTGGACAAAGCCCTCAACAAACCCCCAAATCTTCCCTAAATCGCCCACGGCATTCTCAAGGCCTACCCGGTAAACATGCAACCCAAGCACGATCAGCGTGCCCCAGAAGATGAACCGGACCATCATGCGCACCCACCACATTATCATGCGGCGCAGGTAGTCGAGGAGTATCAGGGAGACCAGCATGGTACCGGCGAGGACCAAGATGGTGATGAAGTCGGGCATGCCGGATGAGCCTGCGGTGGAGGCGAGGACGTTCGACAGCGGGGTTATGAGGTATGGATCGACATAGGCGGTGCGGATGTTGGATAGCTGGGACGTCAGCTGTGATTGTACCGTGGAGCGGAGAAATGAGATTGTTGGGTTGTTCAGGACGGTTTGGAGGTTTTCTGGAGCGCGATTAGCGAGGGGTTGAGGTTGAGGTTGAGATTGAGATTGAGGTTGAAGGATAAAGGATGAAGGATAAAGGATAGGAGGGAGGTCATCGGGATACCTGGGAGGTGGTCCATAGCTGAGGCGGAAGTGAGAGGTAGGGCGTAGAGGGATTTGTGGCGGGTAGAAAGGCTGGTTTGGCGCTGGCACAGCTAGATATGGCGCTGTCGATGCGGTCTCGGAAGGACAAAGCAGACCTTTGTTTGCGACAGCTGTGCTAGTGTGGTTGCGGTGGCACCGTTCTGGATAGCGGAGAACAAATGGTTCGGGCAGGGTCTGGGAGGAAATAAGAAAATTCAGGACCAGACTGAGACGTATATTAGCAATGCGACAGCAGGCCCGTTGGAAGTTTTGACACCGTTGCTGTTGCGGAGATAACCACGGGGATGGTGCAAAACAAACAAACTCTCCCAAGGGTCTCAAATGAGGCGGCCCACGGCTAAGCCAGCGAGTTCTACAAAGCCTACAGGAAATGGACAGAAAGGGATAGTGGAACCACGAATAATATAAGCCTTGCCAATGAGGCAAGTACTGTACAATCGATTATATACGAACGGAACAAAGAGGGGGTCTGTATATACACGAGTGAGCGGGCGACGAAACACACCCGATCTCGCCAAGTTTACAACCGTCGCTCCCAGCTGGTCTGCGCGACGCCACGCACACAACATAAAAACGAGCAAAACCATCACGATCCAAAAGAAGAAGAAAAAAAGTCTCAAGCACGTGAAAACGCCGAGGACCCATAACTCCCAGACACCCGGGATCTTCGACCACCGAGCCGGAGGTGAGTCCTGATGCAGATGCAGATGTGGTATAGGTATAGAAAGCGCCAAAGTGACAAGAATAATGATGAATAAACCAAAGATGAAAGCGCGAGATTCCTTGTTAAATGTTCAAAACGTAGCCCATCACATTAGGGACCGGAGAGTATCCCTCTCGGCCTGAATGTCCGCCTGCAGGCGGCGGGTCTGACGGAGGGCGTCGTCCCTGTCAGAAAACGGGTTAGCCTGGCTGGCGCCCGAAACACGATGCATCTCGTAGCCGAGCCGGGATGAGATCAAAACCATCGCGCACAATAATCTAAGAAAACTTACCTGTCAGATTGCAGCTGGGCCACATCAACCTGCGCGCGGTTCATCCGTCCCACCACTTCTTCCATCTCCATGTCTGCTTCGCGGAGGGCGCGCTCCAGCGCCTTGACGTGCTTCTCCAAGTCTTCGGCCCGGATAACGTCGGCCAGTGGGACGCCGTCACCACTGGTGGTCTTGTCCAGACGCGGGGAGCGGCTGGTGAAGGGTGCGTTCGGTGGTCGTGGGGAGATGGCCACTGGTGCGCGAGCACCGTTCTTCATCCGCATCAGCTGGGCGCTGTGGCTCTCCTTCAGCAGGCGGATTTCGTCCTCGTGTTTGCCCATTTCCTCTTCGGAGTGGTTCTGGGCGACGAGGAGGTTGTCTTCGAGCTCCTTCATCCGGTTTTGAAGAATGTTGATGCGCTGGACGGAAATTTGCTGATCACGCTCACCCTTGTCGATGGCGGTTGCCAGACGGCCCCGGAGGGAGCTGTTGACCTGCAGTTGCTGGTGAACGTGGCTGGCAAGTTCGTCGGCCCGAATGATGGACGCCTCAAGATCGGCGGACTGGCCGCTGGCCTCGAGTCGTTGCCGGTCTGCCTGGAGCTGCTGGAAGGCAGACTCTAGAGAGGAGGAGGTTGCCATCACCTCCGCAAAGCTTTCCTGATCCGCCTCCAGCCATTCGGGCACGGGGGTATCATGCTCCTGGAGAAGCACCCGCAGGGAGCTAGTCTCCTGCTCAGCGCGGTCCAAATCCATCTTGAGACCCGCCAGGTTCTTCTCGCACTGCCACTTGCTATCCAGCGCATCCTCAGCGCGCAAGCGGAGGTGGTTCACTTCGTCTCGCAGGCCACGAACCTCCCGCTCATAGCCCAGTTTTTGTGGAGAGCCCGATTCCTGGGCGCGCGCAAGCTCGATCTCTAGAATGCGAGCGCGCTTCTCAAATTCGCGAGCCTGGAATGCGTGGCGGTCAAGGAGGCTTTTTAATGCACGGTGAAGGGCATCGCGCTGGGCCTCGATATCCTTGACCTTGTCAAACAGCGACTCACGGCTCTCCCGGTCCTTACTACCAGATATCGAGTTGGAACGAGACAGGGAACCCGACCGCGCCAGACCGCTAGGAGGCTTCCGGGCGACCGAGTTGGACCGTGACAGACCAAACGCCGAATTGCGCTTTCCTTGCACACCGTCCTCTTCGGCAATCGAGGCAAATCGTCCGCCTTGCAGTTGTGCTAATGAGGCGTTCTCGATCTTTAGGGCCTCGATCTCCTCGATCAAGCGCTGCATCTCTGCCGGCGGTGCCTTTCCTTCCCGGAGCACGTCACGCTCATTCCGCAACTGTTCCAGTTCCACGCGCATCGCGGTCAGTAAATCTTCAAAATTATCTTTGGATTGGCGTTCCTCGAGCAATTTCCGCCGCGTGTTCTCCAAAGCGGTTTCCAACTCTTTCGTCTTAGATGAAAGATCCGACAAATCAGTTCGATCACGTCGAAGCTACCAGAGTCCAGGTCAGTAAACACCCCGACACAAATCCAAATGACCCAAGTCGTAACTTCTTACCTGCTGAACCTGATTCTCCAGAATTTGAACATGCGATTCAGACGCGGTCCGCTGCATCCGCTCTTCCTGGAGCTTCTGCGAGAGCTCGACCTTCAATTGCGCACGTTCCTGCTCCGCTGCCCGACGGATCTTCTCAATGTCTTCCTGCCGGTCCGGGGCATATCGAATCGAGCTGGTGCCCGAGTCGGAGAAATAGTCACTCGTCCGCCGGTTAACCTCGGGTCCTTCTGATTGCAGACGCTCAATCAGGTCCTCCAGTTCCATTTCCCGGCGAATCGACCCCGCCAATTCGGAGCTGATCTCGCGCAATTCATTCTCCAAGTCGGCCAGCTTGGCCGCATACATGGTGTCGTGAGCACTCAGGGTGCCTAATGACGGGGTTCGTGCCGGAGGGCCAAAGCCAGGGGCCTTGGTGTCGTAGGGAGAGGAAGGCTTCATGGGGACGTTGGCTAGGGGGGGCATGGGGGAGGGCATTGGGGATCGACCGCCGTCGGAGATCTCGGTGCTTGAGGATTCCGCGCCGGGGGAAGTGGTGGTGGCTGCTTTCCAGCCAAAAAAGGAGCTGATCTTGTTTCCCGGTGTCTTCGGTTGTCTGGGGTCCGCATTCCCCATGGACATGGACCGGGGGTCTACATCAATTTGCAGAGGTGGTGGCCGGTGCATGGGTGGGTGCAAGGCCATGCTCGTTGCGCGCCGTTGGGTAGGGGGCGGCGAGTTGAGGATCGGAATGAAAGGCTCGCTCACTAAACGACTATGAAGGGGGGTTCCGAAGCCGGTTCCATTCGTGAACTGGTGCTCGTAATCTTCGTAAAAAAAGTCGGCGCTTTCGTCGTCGTCCTCGTCGTCGTCGTCCTCGACCACGGATCTGAGGAAGGCGGCAGTGGGCGCGGTATCTATACGGAGGGGTATCGCGGGATGCCGGCCACGGGAGTATCTGGGGAATCGCCAAGTGGGTAAGCGATGATGGGTCTTCCAGGTCTGGGGGAAGCGTGCGAGCATGTGGTGGCCATGTCGCCAGACACGAAACACGCTATGACAGGCCGGCTCTTTGTCACAAAGAAGCGGAGTCACCAAACACCAAGGCCTGGTCGATCAGGGGTGGGGGGGTTGTGCAGGGGACGGGTGATGGAGTGGAACGGGCTTGACCGCGGCGTCGCATACCTATTGGGGTGCTTCGGTGATATAAAGGAGTCGTCTCCCACCAACGAAGGGGATAGAGGTCTGGCGGCAGGAGTGGGAATGGGAGTGGGTTTATGCTCAATTGAAAGGGGAGAAGAGGGGAGGACAGGGTCGGCGATCACTGGACTGGCATGCTGTGACGGCAGCGGGACAGGCTTTCGGCGCGCTGGTGCTGGTTCCTGTGCCGGTGTTTGATCGTGGCCTGAGACGGGGACAGGGTCGGGGACCGGGTCGTGGTCGTGGTCGTGGTCGTGGTCGTGGTCGTGGTCGTGGTCGTGGTCTTGGACGTGTGACGAGGGGGGTGGGGAGTATAGCGAGTAGTCCAGGCTGGAGCTCGTCGAGTAGCGACTAGTCGGGGTATCAGGAGTCGAAGTGATAGTCGCGGTCGTGGCCGGAGGAGGAGAAGTCACAGTCGCAGTCGTAGTCATCCTAGTCGTGGTCTCTGCAGGCCGAGAAGCGGGACAGCCGCCTGGAAGAGGAGGAGACGCCATGAGACCACCCTAGTGAGTATCAAAAAATAGCCATCGATCGACAGGCCGATACACACGGGAGGAACAAGAATGCGGATTGGACCAGGGGGATCAGGGGATTAGGGGCGCCAGAGGGCTCAAAGGGGAAAGGATTGAGTTCGTGGTGAGACTATCAGGGACAATCATGAGAGAGCAAGAATTCATAGGGAAAAAAATGGAGCCAAAAAAAAAAAAAAGGAGAAGCTCATCCAAGAGGAGACTGGGGCGGTTAGCGGGCTGTCCAGCCCGTGGCCAGCCCGGACGTCTCCTGGTCTCCTCCAGGGGAGCGAAGCAGTTAGCGCCCTTCACGGACGGAGGTGGAGCCCCCTGAGGGATGGGGCCGCATGGGCGGGATGCATATGATTGGCACTGCATACAATCTGCGCGCTGATAGCGGTTTGCCAAGGTACGCTCTGGCCGTGATCGACACTTGCCAGCCGACGAACGTGAAGAGGTTGGTCTACCCCCTCGGAGTAGACAGATACGTCGTCCGGTCCTTTCCCCCATGATCTCTCATGATCTTTCATGATCTCTCAGGGTCTCTCATGATCTCTGTTGATCTCTGTCAAAACCCCTTCTGACGAGAGCGTGCCGAAGTTCCAGGCCAGATGAAAATAGAAACTGGATTCAATAGTCGTAGCCGCCCGCAACCCCCTTGAGTGGTGGATCGGGAGAGGTTGGGTCCGACCCGCGCTAGCTGGTGAGGGGGCGCTCGATTTCAGGGGTAGCGGCCGGTCGCTGCCAAGTACCGCGCTGGTATTCGCGGCGCGCGAGGATACGCGTTTCCGTGCCAAAAGCTACCTGGCAGCGACCTTCCCGAGACACCTGCCGCAGCCCCAAGGTTCCTGGGCCAAAGCAAGGCTGGTCGCCAATTGAACATCGATATCCTATGAAGAAGTATGGAGTTGTTGCCAGTTGTGAGGAGAACCATAGCGCACCCCTCACCCTCATCCACTGTAATGATGAACGGTCTGCATTGGGCCTCAGGACATGATAGACCGAGACCCCATCACGGAGGCTCTACGTCGCCAGACACTGACATACTGAGGCATAAGCCCCCCCCCCCCCCACCAGACATTAATTAGGGGGTGTCTCCGTTTTTCTTGTGCTGCCCATCCACTTCCTGGGCCTCCGATCGATATCGTGGATCGCCAGTTCAACCTCCCCGAGTGGAGCAAGATCCTGCCCCCTTTTTTTCCCGAAAGAGTTGCGCGCAGGAGTTGCTCTCTTCGGCCCATGCATTACAGGCCCTTAGCCCCTCCTCCACCTCCGCCCAGCTCCTTCGCGCCGCTCCTGGTAGAGAACGTGCTCATGTCCTGCAGGCTAACCGTAGCGCAGTAGTGCGACGGTCACCATCCAATCACCCCGGCAGTGCCGGCATCCTGGGGCGGGCACTCGGGCCAGCGCCTGGCCGGCATGTACTTCTTCAATGGGCATGGTGGCCGCTCTCTGTCCCTGTGTGATCATATCACCTCCATCTGGCCAATCTGGTTGCGCAACGAGTTCTTAGCCCGGGCCTCGCTGTTCGAAGCGCTGAACCCTTCGCGACAACAGCTGAACATGGCTGACTCCCCGGGAAATGCTGTTCTCTAGTTCCCTTGTCCGCCTGGTTCATAGGTGCGCATCTTCTGAGGTGATCACCCCCTGGCCACAAATCACCGACCCAAGACTCGGTCAAAACCCCCCAACCCCCCAAGCTTCCACCCACTGGGCCCAGGGATGGTCCACCTGGGCTGGGCCCAGAACCCAGAGTTCCCACCTGAGTACTCAGCATCTGACGACAACCTCCTTTGAGACATGGGGTACATGAATAGCCGGTCTCGGGAGCTGCATCGAACCGGACCCGTAGTACGTAGTACGAGGCAGCCAGGTCGTGTGCTCGGCCGCCACGCTTCGAGTCTGGGCCGGTCGAACACACCTTTTCGTTTCGCGTGTTGGTATTTTCGTTTCTTTTTTTCCTTCTCAGAGGCAGACCTGATCCGTGCGAGATCCACACTGGCCTGACAGGCCGTTCACGTCTCGGCGTCGTCCCCTCCGAAGGGTCGACTCGACCGTACGAGACCGGTCGCACAGCTCCACCACACGTCGCGTTTGAAGAATAAATAGGTTGTTACTGGATGACGTCCGGTGGCTTGCTCTATTGTTACACCATGAGTATCTATTGACGCCTACTCTTCACTCGGAACCGGCGCAGGGCTGCTAATGAGGGGGGAACAGATGTGCCAGGGCCCACCTGAGATATTTATATATCTCGCGGCCGGCCAAGCTGGGGACAATCATTCCGGAGAGGTGACGGACATGACGGTGTTCGGTTCACGGTGGATCTCCCGAATGACACGTACAATCCCCTCCGGCAGACCTTAAGGTCCTGAACAGCAGCCAAAGGGAAGCGTTCGTTAACAGGGTTCAAGAACACTACGGCATCGCCGAAGCCTCCCAGAGCATTATTAAACAATGAATGATATTAACCTTATATATTGAGAGCTGATAATCGACAATATAGGAGCCTGCTGCCCTCCACTACGGAAGCGATGGGTAAGGTATCTCGGCCACGATTAACTAAGAGGAAAAGGAAAGCAACAGAAACGGGAATAGCTCAGCGTGCTTTCAGCAGCTTTGACTGAGCGACAAAGTAGCCGCCTGCGATGGCGAGAAGACCAGCTGCCCCAGCAAGAAGCGAAGCATTGCTAAAGTAAAGTTCCTCATGAACTCGCCCTAACTGGGTAGTTTTCTTGCGTGTAAGAAGGTCTCTACCCGAGCCTTCGGCAATATAATCCCCCCAGTGGACCTTTGCCAGCTCGTGCTGGTAATCGAGGACAGTGCCAGACCAGTTGTTGGTGATGACTCCGTCATCCCTCTTGTACCAACTGTGACACTTGGGGTCTGCGAAGCTACTCTCCCGCAGGAGGGCTTGGATTCGGTCGTTGTACTCTTTGAGCACCTCGGGTGTTGGCTTGAGGGTCAGGGTCTTTCCCAGCTGTCGAGAACGAATGACCTCGCCCACCAAGGCGTTCAAGTACCGCGACTGTGCTTCGATCATCAGGATGATAGAATTGTGGCCTACTTTCAAATTAGTATCACTAGCGATGACCATCTGCAAGGAGCGTTTACTGACCAAGGTTCGTGTTGGGTCCATAGAACATGCCGAAATTGGGCAAGTCCTCCACCGTGACCCCATAGCAGGCCTTGGCTCCATCCTTCCAGATATCCGCGAGGGGCCGACCGTGAGCACCATAGACTTGAATCGGATACATGAAGTCCACTGTTTTGAAGCCCGTGGCCAGCACAATGAAATCATATTCCTCCTCGCCGGCCCCGTCGATCTCAATTCCTTTCTTTGTGATGCGACTGATACGCCTTGTCTCCAGGTCAACATTGTCACGGGCTAAAGCAGGATAATAGTCGTCGGATATAATGGTTCTCTTGCACCCCGGCGCATAGTCGGGAGTTAATGTTTCCCAAAGCTCGGGTTTGTTGGGCAATTGGCTCTTGAGCATACCTGTGCACCAATCTCGAATCATCTGTGCATACTCCGAGTCATCATCGAAGACGGCAGTGTGGAAACCCTCACGGAATTCCATTTGCATCGCCCGTTTGCGCCAGCGAATAGGTGGGATGTAGGTTAATAACGCCTTGGTAAAAGCGGATATGGGAGCGTCAAGGCGAGGGATCAACCAATTTGGAGTTCGCTGGAAAACCGTCAGATGAGAAGCCTGCGGTGCAATTTCCGGAATAATCTGGGCGGCCGTTGCTCCTGTAGTATGGGTCAGATCTGCTTTTTAAATCTTGTAAATCGTCTTGACGGAAGCTGGTACCATTTCCAATGACTGCGATCTTCTTCCCTTTGAGATCATAACTCCAGTCCCACCGGGCAGAATGCATCAGCTTCCCCTGGAAATCATCGAGGCCCGGGATATCGGGGGTCCGCGGCATGTTGAGTTGGCCGACGGCGGAGATGAGAAAGTCAGTGGTGATAACATACGAGGGCGCGAACTCGCTGTCCTTCTGTCCCGTCAGGTTGACGCTGACTTTCCATTTGGATTCGCTATCATCCCAGCGGGCTTCTTCTACGGCCGAGTTGAATCGAATATGTTTGTAGAGTCCCCATTTCTCTGCGATCCCGACAAGGTATGCCTTTCACCGAGAACATTTCATGTAAGCTTCAATCTTGGTCGAGCATGTAGGTCAGGGTAGGTTCAGGGTAATGGCTGCTTACATAGAGCTCCTCTTGACCAGGATACTCTCGGGACCAGTTTGGGTTCTGCTCGAAGGAGTAACTGTACAGGGAACTCCAGACTGGATCTCATTAGCAATCTTCTCAGCCGTCGTGTTTGAAAGGGACAATGAACATACCATCGCAGCAACAGCCGGGGTATTTGTTGTCGTTCCACGTTCCACCAATATTGCTACTCTTCTCCAGGATGATGAAGTTGCGACAGTTGTTTCGTTTGATGAGATCAATTGCCATGTTCATGCCTTTGCGCAGGGTCGGTTAGTTCGAGACGCACCCTTTCCGTCCCAGGGCACTTCTGATCAACTCACCGGATATGCCGGCTCCAATAATGACTACCGTTGCATTGGTGAAGTCTTTGTTTCCCACCGGAAGACGCGTGCTATACGTTGTTGCCATTTTGGCTCTGGGGGAGGAGGACTTCGTGATTTCTGGGCTGCAAGTATGTTGTTGGCTGTGAAGAATGTTGTTGGCTGTACGATGGGTGGCATTTACAGATACACCGCAGCAGATATTTATATTTAACTATGCTGGGTATAACCGAGGCCCCTCTTTTGTAAAAATGCAATGGGGGTTTGGCTACCTGCGCCTAGACGTGGCAGTAGCATCATACATGGATATTCAGAACCGCCTAGTCAACCCAGAACGGACCGTCCCCTTCACCTACATGGAATGAAAAACATACTGTACTCAGACTCCGTAAGAGCTTACGAACTTACAAAGATACCTGATCAATTTGTATGATATACTACGAAACCGCTTAAGATGCCAAGCGAGGGTCGCCCCGGATTCGGCAATCCGGAGGGGGAAAGTGCGGGGAACCTGGAGGTTCCGAACGCCGAGGTGTGTGAACTGTACAAAGGAGGAGCTTGTCTCTTTTAATTCGTTGCTTCTGCGGGGAAGTCGGTGAGCATGTACCTTGTATCATGGCAACTCGATTCCCTCTCTTTCTGCGGTTTGCAGAATGTACTGTTTGACCTGATGGTGGAGAAGACAAACTGTTAGAGACGCTGGCGAGACCCCCTGAGCGGGGAAGAGCCCCGAAAACTCACCTTATCATCCGGGACCAGCTCAATAGCCAGCCGTCCATCGCCATCGCGCTTTTCTGCTTCCGCACCGGACTTTAACAGCAGGATCGCAGCATCGCCGTGGCCCTCTGAGATGGCATGATGCAAGGCCGTTAGTCCATCGTTATCCGTCGCATTGACGGGACTCTTGCCTTCCTCCAACAGCATCTTGATAATAGGAACAGACCCCACCGCTGCCGCTCGGTGCAGAGGTAATTGGCCACGGATGTCTTTTACCCGGGCGCTACATTTATGCGCGAGCAAGCTCCGGACTGTAGAAATGTTGGATTTGGAGCTCGCAAAGTGCAGAGCGTTCTATAGACCGTTAATCGTGATTCGGATTGCTGTCATGTATTCGAGGACGCCACTGACCTGACCGGAATTGCTCTTGACGCTAACGTCGGAGCCTCGGCGTAGGAGCAAATCGATGATTTTATCACCTTCCGCGTCCTTGAGGCTGGCAGCAATCATGAGCGGAGTCCAACCAGACCCATCCTATGTTTGGCATGTTAATTACCCAAGGCAGCAACGCCTTGTAGCTCCTGAAACTACTCACTTCAACATCAGGATCGAAATGCGTGCTGGCGACCAGCATTTCCACAATAGGTAGCCGATTGTAGGCCACTGCCCAATGGATGGGAAGACGATCATCGTCATCCTTGGCAAACGCAGACTTCGGGTTGGCCTGGTGAACTTATTAGTAGTTTGCATTGTGTGGCCTGGGAGCTACATGGAAGAGCCAGCATTCGTTGGGCTGCACAGTGTGGGTTCTGCGGGGCAGCTCGAAGCTCTACAGATGGCGATCACTCACGTTAAGAAGGGATTCGGCAAGCTGAACTGTCGCATACTGTCAGTCAAGATTCAGAAAATCTATTCTTGGCTTAAACATACCATTACCCTCACGGGCAGCCTCGTGCAGAGGGAACTTGGCGTTCTGGTTGGAATCCATGACGATGGTAAATTGGAAGGTAAACGATCAGAGCTGCGATACAAGGTGAATGACGGTGGACACCTGATGGCGGACGCCTCAGGCATCAAAGCTGGCCAACTTCCGCCCAGCAGAAGATTCACATCCGCATTCACCACACCTTTAACTCCACCCGTCCAAGTCGCCGTCTCACTTATTGGAGCTGATCACCAGTATTCCTCGGATATACTGAGCTCCGTGCGAAACACAAATCTGTATTGCGATCTGCCGGAGGGTTTCACCGCGCACACGACTTCTGAGGCTTTTGAGCCTCCGCGCGTTGACTTCTTTCGCGACGCTCCTACCTCTCTCAATCGCGACCGGTCCTTTCTCAGCAACCTCAGTCCTGTCATCTGAATGGATTACCTACCATCCCAATCGGCCGATGAGGCGGTGCGCACCTCGGCGAAACGCACCGCCGACCTCTTCGGCACAGAATACTTTATGGTCACACCATCGACCCTGGCAGACGGCGGCTCGATTGGCGTGTCCTACCGGAGGAAAGCAGAATACCAAGATGTGAAAGAGTTGCCGCCAGCACTGGCAGAGAAGCAAGCCAAGACTGCCACAGGACGCGCAAAACGGCCCAAGATCCAGCCCGCCCAGTCGCAGGCTTCTGGGGATGGCAGCGGCGCGTCCATGGCTCTTGTCAAGAGGCCCGCGGGTGCAGGTGCTGGTGCTGCTGGTGGCAAGGACCAGCCTCAGAGTTTGATTCAGAGACCTTCCGCGACGAAGCAGCAACGGCCAGACTGGCACGCGCCGTGGAAGTTGATGCGTGTGATCTCGGGACATTTGGGCTGGGTGCGAGCTTTGGCGGTCGAGCCGAACAATCAGTGGTTCGCTAGTGGTGCCGGTGACCGGACAATTAAGATCTGGAATATGGCGACGGGCGCGTTGCGGCTTACCTTGACGGGTCACATTTCGACTGTGCGCGGTCTGGCGGTGTCACCCCGGCATCCGTACCTCTTCTCATGCGGTGAGGACAAGATGGTCAAGTGCTGGGATTTGGAGACGAATAAGGTCATCCGCCATTACCACGGCCATCTCAGCGGCGTGTACACTTTGGCTCTGCACCCTCGCCTCGACCTGCTGGTTACCGGTGGTCGTGATGGTGTATGCCGTGTATGGGATATGCGTACACGAAGCAACGTTCACGTTCTTTCTGGACACAAGGGTACCGTCGCCGATATCAAGTGCCAGGAAGCTGACCCACAGGTCATCTCCGGTTCCCTGGACGCCACGGTGCGGCTGTGGGATTTGGCAGCTGGCAAGTCCATGGGTGTTCTGACGCACCACAAGAAGGGTGTTCGTGCCCTTGCCACTCACCCAAGCGAGTTTACTTTCGCCAGTGCCAGTACCGGTAGCATTAAGCAGTGGAAGTGCCCAGAGGGTGACTTTATGCAGAACTTCGACGGCCAGAATGCCATCATCAACACTCTTGCCATCAACGACGAGAACGTCATGTTCTCGGGAGGCGATAACGGCTCAATGTCGTTCTGGGACTGGAAGACCGGTTACCAGTTCCAGTCTACTGACACCATGGCCCAGCCTGGCTCCCTGGAAGCCGAAGCGGGTATCATGGCCTCCACCTTCGATCGGACTGGTCTCCGTCTCATTACGGGTGAGGCTGATAAGACTATCAAGATCTGGAAGGAGGATGAGGAGGCTACGCCTGAGACTCACCCTGTTACCTGGGCTCCTACCCTTGGCAGACAGCGGTACTAGAGTTTGTTTCTTCAGGCTATCTGTTCTATGTCGTTAATACCCTTCTTGTCTGCTCCATCTTTCATATTACGGCACCGTGTGGAGTTCCAGGTGGTTTTATGTGCTTGCCCTGCATTTCTGAGTTTAGGGCACTGGGAAACATCATTTCTGGAAAAAGGTCTCATGTTTCAAAAGATGAATCATGGTCTGTACAAGTACTACTCTATATAAAACTCCAATTGAGTGCTGTCCTCAGCTCCTTCTCTCATCCAGTACTAGGCAAAAAAGAGAGCTACGGGATGCAGAAACTAGAGTACTCAAAGGGTATCATATGCCATGCGAACTACCTACTGTGTAGCTTGTCAAAAATCGTTGTACAGAATGCAGAACTGAAACTCCAAGAATGCATATCAAGCCAACAGTGCATCAGAAAAAAGGGTCACTGATCAATACCCATCCCGAAGCCCTTGGCCTCCACATCCTCACGGAATGCGAGCTTCACATCCTCTGGCGCAACACGAAGCCGAATCTTGCCGCTTCTGTCTCCACGAGTAGGAATCGTAGAGCCACCCATCACAATCTTCGTGCCTGAACCCTGTTCCAAAGCCAATACCCCGGAGTTCATGAGCTCCATGGCAGCGAAGCCTAGAGCTCGCACCCTTGATGCGGCACCACCGCCAAGTAGGGAGTCTTTGACACCTGCTCCAGCTGCACCGGCGACGGCGACGGCTGCATCAGCGATGCGTCGTGCCTCATCTAGAACATCGCCGAAGGTGGACTCGGTGATTCCGGTACGATGCACACGTGCCAGGAGGGCAGCGAGGAAAAGTTTTCCAGAAAGCGGCAGGCAGCGCAGGGATTGCTGGAGTGGTGTGGAAGTGGCTTCCTGGATCGCTTGTTTGATAGTTGCAATGGTGACACGGCCGGGCTGACCCTTGCCTGAAGCAGGTTTCGGGGCCGGTGGATCAGCTGCTCCCTTGTCTGTGAGCGCTTTGTTGCGCCTAGCAGGAGTTTTGCTCGGGGTTAGAGGTATCTCATCCATGGCATCGTTGTCGACTGAGGCGGAATTGGCAGCTTCTTCGAAAGCTTGCTCGGCGATTTCAACGGCACGACGACAGATATCTAGGGCGCGTCGTGCATCACCGCTGACGGCGGCAACTTTACGACTGGCGAACTGGATAGCGTCTGAGTCGACGATGTTGCCAGGGACATTTGCTAGACGTGTGCTGATGATCTCCATCAAGTCCGTGTGTCGGTAACCGGGAAATGTGATGCGAGTGAGACCGAGACGACTGGAGATCTTGTTGCTCAGGGTTCGTTCAGGCAGATCCATTGTATTGGCAACAGCCAAGACGATAAGACGTGAATGGCGAAGGGCAGGCCAATTGAAGAAGTTGTACATCACTGACTGGTTTTTGGTGACTAGTTGATCCAATTCGTCCATGAGGACCACGCAAGAGACTCTGCGGGGTGATGGATTGGAGAACTCTTGTTCCAGCAGGTCGAGAGCGTGAGAAGGGGAGACTCTGTCGCCCTTCAATGCCTCCCAAAGTAAAGAGTACGATTGATGAGGATCAGTTACTTTCATGCCGTTGATCTCCACAAAGATGAAATCATCCATCTCTTCTGCGAGAACAGCGCCATTGAGCTGGGCCACCACCTCCCGCACAGTTGCGGTTTTGCCGGTACCTGGAGTACCTGAGATATAGATGCATGCGCCAGTTCCCTCCATAATAGCGGCACTGAGATGACTGTAGACGGTATTGAACTCGGTCTTTCGACAGGGGAGGGATTCTGGGACGGCTGAGACGTGCAGCAAAGTACGTGCTTGCCGGTAGGGCGAGGCGAAATGGGACGGCTCAAGAACGCGAGTGCCCAGCGGGGTGAATTCGAGAGGTTTCTTCACCACAATCCTGAGTTCTCCGTTAGTTCATGGGTACTCTGGAATGGGCATGGCTGTGCCTGCATACCGTTTGTTCGATGGTGTCGTAAAGGCCTTCTTGCGCTGTGATTTAGGGGTTGTATTGGTTGCGGCCATTCTCTGTCGTTTTCTTGGGGTCGTCGGTGCCGCGCTCTCGTTCTTGGTGTCGATATACTGTACAATCCGGTTAGATTATCATGTCAAACGGGTTCATTTTTGGTTTCAATCTGGCGTATCGCTCACGTCGTCGTCAGCCGCCTTCCTCTTCCGCGCGGCTTTCAGGCCGTCCTTCACAAGGCAGATGAGTTGATGAATGTTGCCGTTCCCGTAGACTTGCTCCCAGTTGAACTCCTCGGTGTATCGCCCTTGCACCTGGTTGACGCCTCGTCGGCAAACAATGCACTTGTTGAACTCGGCAAGTTCTGCTTTATCCTTGGGTGGCGTGCCGTCCGGGTATTTGGCGTAGAAGGCGTCCTTCGACATCACGGTGGCCTTGCCATTGACAGATGTGAGTGGGTTCACGTTAAAGTCCGCTGTGAGATACTGCTCGTTTGGCAGTGCATCCGTTCTCCGCTTGTTCCGCGTTGACAGGAACTCGTCTGGCGATGCAAACCACATGATGTTGGCCGACTTGATCACCCCTCCTTCCACGTCCTCATCTTCCTCCTCGCGGAACTCTGTGATAATCCCGACCCAGTCCTTGCCATGCTCTGGGGACTTGAGGAGCACGGCATCGCCCAATCGGCACTCGAAAGGACCCATCCGCGCGCCCACAATGGCCGGGCCTTTCTTCGCAGGGCGAGAGGCGCGCCGGCGACAGGGTTTTTCTGGACTTGCATTGGGTGTCCCCGTATCTTCTTTGATCTCAGGTTCTTCTGTGGCATAAATCCAGTCCCAAGGATGGTCCTCGTCGCCCAATTCATCGTCCGAGTCCTCGTGCACCAGGGCTCCCTTCGTCATCCATTGCTCGGCGCGCTTTCGCACATTGCGACGTCTCTGGGTATCCTCGTCACTCGAGTGGTCTGTATTGGCGTCCATTGGATTTAAGAGTCCGGACGGGATAGTCAAGTGGACTGGGGAGTCGAAACCGACGGGAGCTTTGCAGAGAAACGAAATCGCGTTGGAGGTACGCGTTGTCCACTTTACGCCCCTTCGGGTTTAGCGCACTAGCACCACACCTGCCAATCAGATCGTCGAAGTGGATCCCAGACCATAGATCCTACAGTACGGAGCATAGAACATCGATAGCACCTTTAGACACTGCACAAAGCATAGTCACTCTATATTAAAGTTTCAATCCTCCTACGGAAGGTACTGCCTGAATTGAGGCAGAAACTGGACACCGGAACGGGCCCTGGCTCCGTAGGTTGATTGCCTGATTTCAGCCATATTGCCTTCCCCCCAGAACCGGGTCTCTTTCAAGGAAGTAATCTGTCTTTCTTTTCTTCTACGCAAAAATTCTGAAATATTGATCTTTCAACCTCAACCCAGAAATCTTCTGTGCGTCTCCGAGGCTCCCACCCACACGTTGAGAATTTTCTTTTTCACCGTACTTGAGACTCTGTTGATTTCGCTCCCTTCCCACTGCGTTTCCCTTTTTTCTCATCTTTATCACCCCAATCTGCTAGATGTTCGTAGTTCCATAACCAAGCCATTTCAGTTCACCATCCATTGAAAGCCATCTTCTATGCACCACGGATGTTTTGAATCCTGTCACCAACCTGCCTCTTCCAATTGCTTCCGCACCGCCAGGTCTCAAGGCTACATATAGTGACCGAGTTATATAACTAGCCATGGATCCGTGAGCTTCTTATAATCTGGTACAGCTGCATGAGGAAGTCATATACACTGATACCTTGATAGAGATCGCTTACAGCGCGAAGCCGCTCTCAGTATGCCAGCCTGCATTCCAAATATGTCTTTGCTTGATAGTCTACTACTTTCCCAGGGACTGACTTCCAATAACAGGCTGCTGGTATCTTCCAGGCTACGGCATTGAGCCTTATCTCGATACTCGCGAAGTGAGAAACGACTTGAATGTCAATAACTCACCCGACTCTGAAAATGATGCCTCAGAAAATCTCATCATATTCGAAAGTCGCTCTCTGTCCCTACAACTAATCGACTTGCAGACTCCTGCGCTTCAATTCAAGCCGTCTGCACATGAGTGTGTAGCTGAAGCTAAAGTTCCAGATATTCCCGGGACCCGTGAGGCGGACCTTTGTTCACATCCTCGGAGCATAAGGGGCCAAGGTTACCTACCGTGTCGCGCTAGTTTGCCACAACATACATACCTCACGACGCACTACTCTAGATTATCGGGACTCCGCTCCGCTGCAAAGAAAAATGGAGTGCTAATTTGGGACCTGACTGTATGGAAAGTTGACTACTTTGTTGAAGAACCATTATTAATTTTGAGAATTAGGCATTCTGCAGCTGAGTGACTACGATGTGTAAGGCCATACCTGCGCCTATTGCTAGCTATTGCTAACAAACATCTATGTCCACGCAGTTTGGCAGAACACCGCCGCACCCCAGACGGATGGAAACATTTGTTGACGTATCTCGTCGAAGTGGTGCCTTCATCAGGCCGCCGGTGGAGAGTGATAATGTATGCTGGACGTATTTTTCGGTAACAGAATTAACAAATATGGTGGTATATTTAATTCCTTTTCATTTTGTGACATTTCTAAGCCGTAGTCGCACTCATAAACTGCGTATACATGTTTATCCCGCAGCCGCACCAGCAGTCTGCGCGGGCACAGCTTCGCCGCTGAGCATCTTTTGACGAAGAACTGCGAATAATCAGTAAAAAGAACTTCAGGTTCATAAAGTAGTCTCAGAGGAAAACCTGTGGACACAGGAATACTCACCCTCCTCGGTAACTCGCAACTGCTGGCTCTTGCCCTGTACAATTTTCTCCAGCTCCTGCAGATTGGCCTCAAGGCCCTTCACCTTGTCGTCGTAGAAAGCGATCGCCTTCTCGGGAGTCTGCACCAAACAAAATATAAGCATTGGCCCATCTCCAAACATACATCTCCCCATTTTGCGCTTGCGTCCTCTTCCATACCTTCTCGACATAGAAACCAGTTCCAACATCAACAAGCACCTTCTTCCGATCTGTCAAACGGCCCTTGACATACAGCGAGCTGGTCAGAGGGACCAGAATCTCGTCGCGGCCATCCGTGCCCTTCTTTGCAGAGCCAGTCACGCCGTCGTTGATCGAGTTCACGCAATCCCGGAACCTGGCCTGCGCCGCGCGCAGCTTCGCGTGTGAGGTAGTCAGGTGTTCCAGCTCAGAGGTGAGGCGAGTCTGAAGGGATCGCAGTTGGGGGACGGAGAGAGAGGCGAGGTTGACTGTTGAACCCGCAAAGGAGAATTGTTAGCGGCCTGTTGGATTCGGGGGGCATAGGTGTTATTGCGGGACGCGGGCGTACCTGAGCCCGGGGGAGCTCCGCCGGAGGAGCTGTCTGAGGATGCCATTGTTGATTGTATGGTGGTGGAGGTTGGGAGGTTCGAGTTCCGCGGGTTTGATGTTAGAAGCTCACGCGCCCGGTCGTGGACTCTGCACGCATGCGATATGCGGGCGGAGGTGGGGTGGCAGCTCGAGAAAACTGCAGGGACGAGGGTTGTGGAAATAGTGCGGCTAGGCCATTCGCCCTTGTCCACAGAGTGAAATGGCGTATGCACACGCACCTCCACTCCGCCCGATCTTCAGAACTCCCGTTAGTCTCATTATACAGGGCTAATTATTCAATGATGCAGAGAAAGCTTGCAACAGATTTGGAGATGAAGTAAATCTAGTCACAGTACCTGTGATAGAAGGAATGAGTGGTAAATTCGCTATCTTACAATCGCTATGTCCGGTCTGCGCCTTTATCAATAGAATACAATATGCTACAGATCCATGTCTTCCAATCGCTTTACAGCTGTGAGAGCAGCTTCTTAACAAAGGTAGGAAGTTCATCGAGAGAGACTGCCTCTTTGACACCCAGGCGGTGGCACTGCACTTCCAGGGTTTGGTTCTTCTTCCAGCCATTACCAACGACCACAATCACTGGGTAGCCGATTAGGTCGGCATCGCCCAGCTTCCAGCCCATGCCCTTATCGCGGTCATCAAGTAGGGTGTCCACGGGGGCGGACGCGGTCAAAGTGAGTCTGTCATAGACTTGCTCGGCCACCGAGTCCAGTCCCTTGCCCGAGACCACGACAGCCTCAAAGGGAGCAATAGCACGAGGCCAGTTCAGCCCTTTGCTATCTGCCAGTCGGCTAACAACAGCTGAGATCATGCGGGAGACGCCGATACCGTGGCAGCCCATCTGCATTGGGACAATCTGCTCCTTGGTAGACTTGCCACCCGATTCGGCGGATCCGTCGAGGACTGCTGAGTTAACAGACACAGAGGCATTGAGCACTTCACTGTAACGCGTGCCCAAGTGGAAAGTGTGGCCGAGCTCGACCGCAGGATTGCTTGTCAAGAGGCCCTCTGAACACTTCGAGCATCGATCTCCGTCATGGACCCGAACGAGGTTGAGCTTGTTCGAAGTACCCGGGAAACGGTCCAGCATAGTGTACTCAATGTCCGCAGCGGTACAGCCAGCTTCCTGGAGGAGGTCACTAAGCGGTGGGCGCTGGTAAACCCGCACTTGCGCATCATAAAGGTCCAGAACACGCGGCTTCTCAGACGATGTGCAAGATTGGACATGTGAAATCCATTTCTCGAGCGGTTTCTCCACACTGAGGTCGATGTCAACACCAGCTGCGGTGGCAATAGCCTTGACAGCATGAGAATTAACGTGACGTTCCTCCGGCTCCGCGGAGCCGTCCTGCATCGCGAACTTGGGGAACCAGCCCCGGAGAAGAGTGCTTCCGTCATGTGAAATGGCCATCCACATACCCGTGGAGACTGTTGAACCCCCTTCAACAGGCGCATCTCCGGTCTGAAAGCCAGGAATAGCGCCCTGGCCTGGTTCTTCATGGAAGCTGTGAGCCTTCCCGTCTGCGAGCTCCTCGTTGTATACATGGTCACAGTTTGAGCAGCTGACGACGTGGTCTTCGCCCTTGGTGCTGATGAAGTGGAATTCGTGGCTAAGGCTCCCTCCCATATTTCCAGAGTCCGCGGCTGCCACGAGATAAGGGATCTTTAATTCGTCAAACAATTGGGTGTAGGCATGTTTCACAGCCCGGTACGTTTTGAGGGCCTCATCCACGCTGTAGTCGAATGTGTACAGGTCCTTCATGACAAATTCTCGTCCACGGAGAAGACCTTGTCTCGGCCGGGCCTCGTCACGGTACTTTCTTGCTTTGATAAAGTCAGTAGGCGGCATTAGAGGGTGGGAGTGGATGTTTTTCTGACATATTTGGTACACTCGTAAAGGAAGACTCTTGTACGATGTCGTCAGGTTGCCTACTAGCGTAGTGATTTCTTCCTCATGCGTCGGAGCAAGAAGAAATCGAGTGTCTTTCCGATCATGGAATCGAAATACCTAGGCTCACGTCAACGGTTGGTCTTCTGAAGATCTACAGGTAAGGCTTACTTCGGAGCCTTCTGTCAATCGACCGGATTGTTCCCAAAGCTCCTGGGAAGATATTGATGATAGAGAAACTTTCGAGGCGCCTTTTACGACGTTAGAAAACACACCTAGTGTATTTATTGGCAAGAGACTTACCCAAGGAACGCATGTGTTTGTCGATGAGACTCTCTAGTTTGTCCTGGACCCTCAGACCCAGTGGCAGTAGATGAAAAATCCCAGAATATGCCTAGTAGACTTGTAAGAAAGCATAATTCTCTGAGAAAGGGATTGACTAACCTGACGGAGAAATCCTCCTCTGATCAAAAGATCATTGGCATCCTCTGACTCTTGTTAGCATTTGCTACCCCCTTGTCGCGATTGGGCGTACCCTTCTCTCCATCGACGGGCTTTTTAGAAATGCCGCCAGTGGGGATCCAGAAGTTGGACACACGAGTTCGCCCATCATACTGTGGCCTATTAGTGGTTGCACTTGTATGATCCGGAGAAGTGATCATTTTCGGGTGCATACATGAAGCTCGCAGCGCTGGACACGCAGACCGAAAACAAGGCGTCTCCCAGAAAGGCGTCCCGGTACGGGACGGAGCCCAGAGATCATTGAGGGGTAAGTTCCCAGACGACCTGCCTAAAAAAATGAGATACCTGACTGCCAGGCGTCCAACAAGAAACTCGGGAAAAGCGTCGCGCGGTCGCCCTTGAGTGTTTCTTATCGGATGGTCCGAGCGTCCTGATTATCGGCCCGCCGCAGAAGATTTCTCCGTCAACTTTTTTCTCCGTCAAAAATATATGCCCCAAAGCTAGCCACACCACAATGGCTATAGGGAAAGGCAAGCGCTCGTCGGGCGCTAACGAGGCCCTCGCTAATGGAGGTGTCTCTGTTTCCCAACCCGAATCCGCACCTGAGATGCCCCAGTTGGAAGAGGGCGCATTCGCTGGCCTACGACAGAAGATCGAGCAACGGTTGAAGGACCAGAGCTCTGGCAAGGGAAAGTCGAAGAAGAATGACAAGCCGATTGCTGCCGCCCAGCAGACCCCTACGAGGAAGGAGAAGCAGGCTGCCCCTAAGGCCGGCAAGAAGCAGGAGGGCTCTGCGCAGGGGAAAAAACGGGATCGCAACGGAGATGTGATTGCGAGGGAAGAGAAGAAGGGAGGCAAGGACAAGCAGGAAAAGTCTGCAGGTTCCAAGAAGGGAAACAGCGACGATACCTTGCGCCAGGAGATTCTGGCTCTGGGTGGTACCGAGGAAGACTTTGATCTGCTCGCTGATGTCGACTCGGAGTCTGAAGTTGAGGGCGAATCCTCCAAGCCAAAGGTCAAGGGCGGTGACGACGATCTGCGCAAGGAGCTATCCAAAATGTTGGAGGCTGCTGGGCATGTTGTGCCGGACGACCTAGCGGACGACGAAGTTGAGGAGGAGGAGGAGGAGGAGGAGGAGGAGGAGGAGGAGGAGGAGGAGGAGGAGGACGAAGAAGAGGAAGAAGAAGAAGGCAAGGACGACATTGAGGAGGAGGTTGAGCAAGGCAATGGCTCCGAAGATGACAGTGGAAAGACCAGCGAGACAGAGGAGGATGTTTCGGAAGTCTCTGATGTCGAGAAAGCACCCCCGGCCCTCAAAGAGTCTAAGGCAAAGAAGGAGCCTGAAGTTATCGTTCCTAAGGAATATGCGAAGCTTGTGCGTTATTATGGCCTACTTGTTGCCAATTATGTTCCATGCTAACACAGAGGTTTTTAGGCTGTTCTTCCTCGTTCTGATTGGTACGCCATTCCTCTGCCTCCAGTTGGCGGTGCGAAGCAAATGAACGGCCTGCCCCGTCACTTAATCGATCGCATCCACGAGCTTGCCAACTCTCTGCTTCAGGCGGAAAACGAAGAATATGCGAAAGCCCAACAAGCTTCGGCGTCTTCATCGCACAAGTTCTACACGACCATCATGTCTTCCGGTACACTGAGCGATAAGATCTCTGCGCTGACTCTTGCCGTGCAAGAATCGCCTCTACACAACACCAAATCTCTCGAGACTCTCATCGGGCTTGGCGGCAAACGCAGCCGTGCGCAGGCAGTCGAAGTTCTGCGGTCTCTAAAAGACATGTTTGCTCAGGGTACCCTGTTGCCCGATCGGCGCCTGAAGTCTTTTGCCAACCAGCCTGGACTTGTTGCTGCATTCCAGGGAGCTGGAGGACGATGGACCGAGCGTGATCCGCTTCCTGGTGGCTTGCAGAAGAGTCATCTGATGGTCTGGGCTTTTGAAGACTTCTTGAAGGAGCAGTATTTCGAAATCCTGAAGATTCTGGAGGTATGGTGCAATGATGAGATCGAGTTTTCGCGGTCTCGTGCTGTCAGCTACGTCTATGAGCTGCTCAAGGAAAAGCCTGAGCAAGAAGCAAACTTGCTGCGCCTTCTTGTGAATAAGCTTGGTGACCCTGGCAAGAAAATTGCTTCGCGCGCATCATATCTCCTTCTGCAGCTCGAACAGACACATCCCATGATGAAGCCCCTTATCATCAAGGCTGTTGAGGAGTTGCTCTTCCGGCCTGGCCAAAGCCAGCATGCCAAGTACTACGCCATCATCACCCTAAACCAGACGGTTCTTAGCCTGAAGGAGGAGAAGGTTGCTATGCAGCTGCTGGATATCTACTTTGGGATGTTCGTTACCCTCCTGAAGCCGGCCCAGCCTGGTAAGCCGGCCCAGCCTGGTAAGCCGGCCCCCAAGGGTAAGCCCCAGGGAAAGAAGGGACCAAAGGGCAAGGGTCGGAATCAACCCGCCAAAGGGGAAGCCCAGGATGATGAGATGCGCGAGAAGTTGACTTCGGGTGTCTTGACCGGTGTCAACCGCGCATACCCCTTCACCGACGCTGACTCTGATCGGTAAGTTGAATATATACACCCCCGAAGCTGAATGTTATACTGACCTAAACCCCTAGAATTTCGAAACACATCGACACTCTTTTCCGCATCACCCACTCTTCGAACTTCAACACCAGTATCCAGGCCCTTATGCTGATCCAGCAACTCACGGGATCCACTCAAATCGCCAGTGATCGTTTCTACCGGACGCTGTATGAATCCCTTCTGGATCCTCGTGTTGCCACCTCTTCGAAGCAGTCGCTCTATCTGAATCTCCTATTCAAGGCACTCAAGAATGACCTTAACGTCCGCCGGGTCAAAGCGTTCGTCAAGCGTATTGTCCAGGTGCTCGGAATGCACCAACCCTCGTTCATTTGCGGTGTTTTCTACCTGATCCGCGAGCTGGAGAAGACCTTTACTGGTCTCCAATCCCTGCTCGACCAGCCTGAGGACAACGAGAGTGATGGTGAAGAGGTGTTCCGCGACATGCCTGATGAGGATGATGAGGAGCCGGCACCCGCTCCTGTGGTGACCACCCCAAAGACGAACAATGGCTACGACCCTCGCAAGCGTGACCCCGAGCACAGCAATGCTGACAAGACCTGTCTCTGGGAACTGGTATGTATTCCGTCTGTCCGATCCCTGATTTTGTGCAAGTGCTTACACGTCCCAGCTGCCCTTCGCGTCTCACTTCCACCCATCTGTCTCTGTCAATGCCGCTCGTCTCCTGGAGCATGAGACCATGAGTGGCAAGCCCGATCTGACTATTCACACTCTCACCCACTTCCTTGACCGCTTCATCTACCGTACTCCCAAGGCCAGCGCTGCCTCCCGCGGTGCCTCGATCATGCAGCCCCTCGCGGGCGGCGAGGCTCAAGACCGTCTGGTGGAAGCCGGCAAGTCCGCGCCCCACGGCCAGCCTCTCAACTCCGAGAACTTCTGGAAGAAGAAGGCCAACGAGGTCGCTGCAGAGGATGTCTTCTTCCACGAGTACTTCACTCGTGTTAACAAGGACAAGATCAAGGTTAAGAAGGGCAAGGGGGCCGAGGACCCTGCTGACAATGACGAGGAGGATGCCGCGGATCTTAGCGATAACGAGTCTGAGATCTGGAAGGCGCTTGTCGACTCGCGGCCGGATCTGGAGGCTGATGATGACGAGGATGACGATCTGGATATGGATGATCTGGAGTCTGCCTTCGACGACGAAGACGAGGATGATGAAGAGGGTGCCGGAGGTAGCGACGATGAGGTCATCTTCAACGACGAGTCGGACGTCCCATCCGACGAGGAGATCGACGATGCTAGCGACTTCGATATGGACGAGGAGGTTGCTTCGCCGCCGTCGAAAACGGCCAGCAAGAAATCCGCCAAGACGGAGAAGAAAGCGGAGAAGAAGGCAATGGACGACGAGGAGGACGATTTCGATATGGACGTCTCGGACGAGGAGGCCTTCTTCAACAGCGACGACGACCTGCCGTCCGACATGGAGCTGGGCGGCGTGGACCTGGAGCCCAAGGCGGAGGCCTCGGAGAGCAAGAAGCGCCGCAAGCTCAAGCACCTGCCGACATTCGCCTCAGTGGACGATTATGCGGCACTGCTGGCGGACGAGGACGAGGGTATGTAGGTGGGGTGGATGTCGCTCATCTAAATGTATACTTGGACATAGGTTGTTTTCTTTACATCAAAATTATTCACTATGGGAAGGAAGTCCCGTCGCGGGATTCTATCATGACGGGCACCTGTGCCGGAGTTTTGATTCTGTGTCGCATCTACACGGCTATGAGATTGGTTATTATTAACCACAACATGCCACCGTAGCAAAACTCATACGTATGGCTAGCGTGTTAAACTTCTTTCAAGCGGCACCTACAATGTGGATACTCAACGTGGAATCCTAGGGATCCCAAGAGGAGATACCAACCTAGATAGTGATGAGGCACGGAATAGCCGCAACGCTAGAGGCATGGGGCTATGTCAGGTGTTTGGCCAGTGTTTTCTTGCGGTTGATTCCACATACAAAGGCTGCGACGACGATATGTAGCTGGAGGACTTCTGGGCGGGTGATCCGGCTGTAGTTGCTGGCTCTCAGGTCCGGCGTCATGTCAAAGTTACCAGCCATCGGAATGGCCAACGCTAGCGGATCCACGATCGGAGTATGCCAATGGTCAACACGCAACTCTAACCGCTAGTCCAGCCTCAGCTGGTGTGGGCAAGGCCTGCAGGGCACATCGCCACCCGGCTATGAACCGAAAGGCTTCTAGAACAGCACGCCATCATGAACCGATGCGTGGAAGATGCCAGCCAAACAAGGTTGTGGGTTTCAGCTGGAGAGGGGGCGTACCCGAGATTCCGAGCGAGTACGTGGACTCCGCATGAGGACATCGTGGAGGACAAGCACGCAAGAGGTGGGAACCCGGCTATGCCGCGTGAACCCGCTGGTAACTTCGGCCATGTCGTCGGAATCGTCGGGCGATTTGATGTTGTTCTTAGGCGGAGTCTTGGTTCTTGGCTATAACCGTTAGACATCTGTCACCTGCAGAAAATATTGAGAATTTGACTCCGTATGCATCTCGAGAGTCCGTCGATGTGAAGGGCGTAAAGATGGAACTGGAGTGCATGTTGACTGTTGACTGGCTTGACTCGGCAGCACCTGCTGAGAACGGCCGGGCTGATTCATCACACACGTGGCTCGTACTGTCAGCGAAATACCGCCGGGTTCAATTCAGATCGCCTCAACCACTGCTTTTTCTGATCTCCTGTATTTCTCTCTGCCTGGCCCAGCGAGCGCAAAATACTGCAAATACCACGCTTGGCTTATTCAGGGGTCCTTGTGGAACCCTTCAATCATCTCATCATCAATGCTCAGTGGCTGACTGACAAGCACTAAGCCCAAGGCCCTTCCCCATAGCGCCAGGGCAGCACCGACCCCCCAAGGAAGCACCGCATCCGGCTTTAGACCGCCTGCAAGATCAAATCAGCGCGGCCACACAGGCCACTGCACCAGCATTCCGTGTTTCCGGGCGTGGCTGATGCATGGGTTGCTGATCCCAACTGGGGCGTACGGGGCCCGCACTCGTGCTTCATTCGACTGCGACCGCTTGCGGGGCGTCCAGGTCCACTTCGGCAGGTTGTAGCTCAGCACGCGATATGATATGCGGGCGCAACCGATTTGCCCTGGTGCAGTCAAACGTATGGAATACTCCATACTTTGAATCAGGATTCCTTGGGTCTGACGCACTACAGAGGGCAGGAGAGCCTGCTGGGATCTCGGCCGTGAGCCCATTGACCCTGGATCCCATCGCATCAAATCCAGTGCAGCGCAGCCACCAAGGGTCTGTTCACTGAGTGCATGAGACCGTCAGTTCGCAGACTGCAGATCACACACCGTACAGACTCTAGTCACTCTCTCGACGAGTCAGATGCACGGGGGAACTTGTTTCCCTAAGGGGTTGGTCTCATGGATCCTCGCATTGGAGGTTTGGTTTTCTTTCAGGGCGGCGAACTCTAGTCTGCGCCGCTTGGCTGGACGTGGCTTGCCGGCCTGGCTGGTCCTATCCCTCGCAACGCCGGCCGCTCTGCCCTGGAATCAACCACTGGTCGCACCCAACGTTCCCTCGACGGCTCCGCCGTGGCTTTCAGGCTCGCCTATTGCGGTGGGTGTGCTACCTCCATCACGTCATGCCACGGCCGCCCGGGATCGACGATTTTTTTCCCTTCCGGCAACAGAAACAGGGTGGAGACTCAAATTCTAAAATGACGGGGGTAATCTAGCATACCCAGTTTTCAAATGAAATTACCGCCGCGCCGCTACGATCGCAACGGTACGTAGCCCGCCGGGTATAGCAGAATACCTGATACCATCTGGTCTCTCTAGGCCTTCTCTCTTTTAATTACTGAGATTCGTTTTCACTCTCTTCTCTTCTTCTTCTTTTTCTTCTCTTGTGACTCCCGCCCTTTTCGCTGCTGAACCTTCCGCGTTCGGCCATTGCGATCTTGCGGTCCATCCACTTCGGGTCTCTGTAGATCCCGTTTGCCCTAAACGCCGCGCCAGTTCTCCCAGAACACGACATCCCCCGGCAGGTGAGGGATCCCCTTAGTTCCAGCAACCGCCAAAAGAAAAGAAGTCGAGACCGAAAGAAAGACATTTCTTCCTGCGCAATTCAAATCCTCGATTCGGCATCCACCCAGTGCAACTGTACCTCATTCACACGGGCAGTTCTATGTATCCGAAGGGCTTCGGCACCGTTTTCCTCCCCGACTCCGCCGAGTACCGTCAACAGCGGTTCATCCGCTCGTTAAGCTTAAAATGGCTCGGCCAGAAGACTCAGCAACAATGGACACTTATGAGGGTGATAGCGATCGCTCCCGCGATCTGATCGACAAGCTCGAGCCGGAGCCGAAGTCGAAGGATCTCGATCTCGAGAACCAGAGCCGCCGGCTGTCGCATCACCATGTCACGGCGATTGACTCGTCATCCACCTCGGAGAGTGTCGGCCGCCAGATTGAATTGGAATCGGAGAATACCATTAAGTATCGGACTTGCAGTTGGCAGAAGGTAAGACGGTGCCTATGCGACATGGTTAATAAATGTGGTAAATTTGGCAGAGAGACTGGGTACTGATCTGCTGCGGTAATAGACTGCTGCTCTGCTCTTCTCAGAGTACATTTGTTTGGCTATAATGTCCTTCCCTTGGTCGTACTCCGTTCTGGGTCTCGTGCCCGGTTTGATCCTGACCGTTTTTATTGCCGGTGTGGTGTTGTACACCTCGCTGATTGTCTGGTATGTTCTATGACCTTCAACCATAGCATTCGCGCATTGCTAATATATCTTGCAGGCGATTCTGTCTGCGACACCCCGAAGTCCGCGATGTGTGCGATATTGGCCAGTACCTGTTCTGGGACTCTAAGATCGCTTGGTGGGCCACCGCGGTCATGTTCCTTCTGAACAACACCTTCATTCAAGGTCTGCACTGTGTTGTTGGTTCTGAGTACCTTAACACCATGTCAGGTGGTGCAGTCTGCACGGTCGTCTTCTCGCTCATTGTTGCGATCACCTCATTCGTGTTCTCGCTACCACGTACATTTAGCGCATTGTCCCGGGTTGCCACCTTCTCTGCCTTGTTCACGTTCATCTCGGTCCTTCTGGCGACCATCTTCATCGCCGTTGAACCTCACCCTGCCGGGTATCCTGAGAAGGGTGACCCGATCGTTTTAGCCATTCCCGCGAAGGGAACCAGTTTCATAACGGGCATGAGTGCGTTCCTGAACATCAGCTACACCTTCATCGGCCAGATCACCCTGCCCAGTTTCATTGCTGAAATGAAGGAGCCGCGCGACTTCTGGAAGTCCGTGACCGCTGTGACCATTGCCGAAGTGATTGTCTTCAGTCTCGTTGGTGCTGTTGTATATGGCTACACGGGCGGCCAATACGTCACCGCACCCGCCTTCGGCTCTCTCTCAAATGAGACTTATAAGAAGGTCTCATTTTCCTTTATGATCCCCACGATCATCTTCCTGGGCGTGCTGTATGCGTCCGTGTCAGCTCGTTTCATCTTTTTCCGCTTGTTTGAAGGAACCCGCCATAAGGGTAACAACACGGTGGTGGGCTGGGCCGCCTGGGCGGCTATCTTGGCTGTCCTGTGGGTTCTGGCCTGGATTATCGCCGAGGTGATTCCCTTCTTTTCGGACCTGCTGTCGATCATGAGTTCCCTGTTTGATTCCTTCTTTGGTTTCATCTTCTGGGGCGTGGCATATATTCGCATGCGGAGCGAAGACTACGGACCGGACTTCTACAAGACGCGTGGCCTGCGCGGCTGGTTGGGCTTCCTTTTTAATGTGTTTTTGATCTTCGTCGGTATTTTCTTCCTTGGCCCTGGCACCTACGTAAGTACCATTCACTCGATGATTCTCTTTTTAATTCCGTCTTCCCTTACTCACCTTCATTTCTTTCTCCAGGCCTCTGTCATGTCCGTGGTCCGAAGTTACCAGTCCGGCACCGTGGCTGGCATCTTCTCATGCGCCAGTAACGCACTTTAATTTTCCCCCGCAGGGCGGGGAGCGCTTTATCGTCGCATCTGATTTTTTTGCTTATTCCGTTTGGTCCGACCTGGGGAGCTTATGACGTGATGACCGAGAACAAAGGCCTAAATGCGTTGCATACTGGTTTGAGTTTCGCATGATTGTTCTTTCTTTGCAAGTGATATCAATGGTTTTGGCAGGAACCCGTTGTTTACTTTGGAATTGGGTTGTATCATTTAGTTTTTGGTGGAGCCTGGGGATGTTAGGATTTTTGCTTTCTATACGTCGCTCCAGCATCCTTGCACATAAAATCCGCGGCCTCGAATGAATACGGGCGACTGGCTACGGAGCAGCTATTTGCACTGCTTTCCGAATGGTTATTTCGCCGTCGCCAAACTAACTATAAACCACTCCCATATTCCCATCTCTATACTATCTCCATCAGCCACCCATAGAATCAATCGCCCTTTCCCGAGGAGTGAGCTCTGCGTTGACCTCAGTCGGGGTCTTCCTATCACCACGTGATTTTCCCGCTGTGCTTCCCCGACGGCGGAAGCCACCACTTTCACGCGGTCGCTCTTTCTCTTTCTTCCTTTCTCTTTGTCTTATCAATTCAACTCCCTCAGCGTTGGTTTACCATGTCTAGCGTTCGCCTCTTCAAGAAAAGTGTCGATCTTGTCGCCGCGAGGGCAGCCGCCTTCAACGCACCCCGCGCCTCTATCGGCTCCACAGTTTTGCGGCGCGAGCTCTCCTCCGCGCTGCGGGCAGCTCCCCGGACACCGGCCACCAGAATCACTGTACGAGCTGTGATTCCGCAGGTGAGGAATCAGGCTGCCCGGTATGCTTCTAGCTCCAGCGAGCCGCTGGCGAAGACCCAGCTGTATGACCTGCACCAGGCGCATGGCGCCAAGATGGTGCCCTTTGCCGGATACTCGATGCCACTTCAGTATGCGGACTTGAGCCATGTCGAGAGCCACGCGTGGACTCGCGAGAAGGCCAGTCTGTTCGACGTGAGCCACATGTGAGTCAATTGCCTACCGACATTTCAAAAAGCACGCACAATGGAGGATCGGAGCTAATCAATTGCTCTAAATAGGGTTCAGCACCAACTTAGCGGCCCCGGCGCCCTCGAGCTGCTGATGAAGGTGAGCCCTTCGTCGCTCGACAAGCTCGCTCCAAACACCTCGACCCTGTCCTGCCTTCTGGAGCAAGGAACTGGCGGTATTATCGATGACACCGTCATCACCCGCCGCGGCGAGGATTCCTTCTACTTTGTCACCAACGCCGGCCGCCGCGCCGAGGACCTGGCCTTCCTGGGGGCTGAAATCGACGCCTACCGCTCCCGACATGGCATGGACAGCATCAAATGGGATATCCTTGAGGACCGCGCGCTGGTCGCGCTGCAGGGCCCGCTCGCCGCCAGCGCTCTCCAGCCCCTCATCAACACCTCCGCCTCCACCGCCTCCACCGACCTGAGCACCCTGTACTTTGGCCAGTGCCGCGAGCTGTACATCACCCTGGCCGACGGCTCGGCCTCGCCTTCACCACTCCTCATCTCCCGCACTGGCTACACTGGCGAGGACGGCTTCGAGATCTCCATTCCCACTTCCGGGGCCGCAGACCTTCCCGAGCAGGTTGTCAACCTCCTCCTCAAGGACAGCAACACCGTTCGTCTTGCCGGTCTGGCTGCGCGTGACTCCCTCCGCCTCGAGGCCGGCATGTGTCTGTACGGCCACGATATCTCCACTGCCCAGACTCCCCCTGACGCCGCCTTGGGCTGGGTCGTCGGCCGTGACCGCCGCGACGCTGCGACTGCTACCTTCAACGGCGCCTCCGTCATCCTTCCCCAGGTCGCTAGCCCCAAGACTCTGAAGCAGCGCCGGGTCGGTCTTACTGTCGAGAAGGGCTCTCCTGCCCGTGAGGGCGCCATCGTCGTCGACCTCGCTGACCCCGCGAACCCCGTCGAGGTCGGTGTTGTCACCTCCGGCTTGCCCAGCCCCTCGCTCGGCGGCATCAACATCGCCATGGCTTATGTGAAGAACGGTTTCCACAAGAAGGGCACTGAACTTGGCGTCAAGGTGCGGAACAAGGTGCGCAAGGCTACTGTTGTGGGTATGCCCTGGATCGAGAGCAAGTTCCACCGGCCGTCCTAGACGTTGTTTTTGGACTTTCTTTTCTTGATTTCCATTGGTTGTTTTGACTCGTTCGTGGTTGAGTATGGAGCGTGGGCTAAACGATTGATGTATGATATATTTGGTTGCTCTTGTACATACAATTTCTCTGTTTGCAACCGTTTTCTTTTCCTTTCCTTTCTCCCTTTCTTTAGAAATGATGTTACGTGACTATACCTTGCATGTTCTACTTCAACAGTCTAGAGTGATTGCAAAACACTTACAAATTTTTATCAACGCAACGTCAGCTGAAAGCCAGTTTAAGACAATTCTAGAAGTACCGATCTGTTGACCTCAGCCAATGTCAGATTGCAAATCCGCCGAGTATTTGTTATTTGTCACCAAGTCTTAGGTATGAAGACTATACAGGCCTAAATTTCCCCGTCGAGGCACTACGGATCACCACCTATCTTAGTGTGGTATCAAAGCCAGCGTGAGCCCAATAGCTCTTTAGGTAGGTCATCCAGATCTTTGGTAGGGTTCTAGAGTAGGTATCAGAAGAAGTACGAAAAGCGTGAGATAGCCATATTTTATCGTGATCTACTGTAGCTCTTGTAATACATGATAAGTATAACCGTGCGGTTGGAAGCTAATGCTGTATATTCTAAGATATGATCTCCTGACGGATTACCATCCTTTCTGCCAATGGGGTTCTCTCGCAAAGCGAGCGTGATGATCCAAGTGCACAGCATGCTTCGCATAATTTCCTCGGATGCTGACAAGGGGCAGCTCAGGTTCACTCAAATTTTCAACTATACCACCAAATGAACGTCTGTGCATGGTCGACGATGTACCGTCCGACAGGGAAGGTGGCAGATCATCGGGTGCAGTGCCCCAGGTACTTTCGTTACTACCCAGAACAAGCACTAGGTCCTGCCCCTCGGTGAAGAAGTCATGGCCGATCCAATTTCGGGTATATGGCTTGCCATTTAGAGTAGCCGACTGGATAAACCCAGCGCTCCCGGTGTTGTTGAGTGAGTTGAAATTGCTCCAGTTCGAAACGCTCACGGTGGCTGTATTGCCTGTAAGAGGCGATACAATGCTCACAGATTCAAAGAAAGGGACAGTAATTAAGTAAACGCTTTGTCCTGGGTTCGGGAAAAGACCCATCATGGACATTGCAACGAACGAGCCCATGGCACCAGAGTCGTCATTGCCGGGAAGCCCTGCTGGTGTGGGAGAGAAATAATCCGGAATGTAGGTGCGAACCCGGGCGGTGGATTTAGCGGGACGGCCAGCGTAATGATATTGGAAGACAGTCAAGAAAGCTGGTTCGTTACCAATATAGGTAATGTTCTGGTCGTGCAGGTAGTCAAGGCGCTTGACAAAGTCGGAGGTGCCACCAAGCATGGGAATGAGAGCGGCCATGTCGTGAGGTACGAAGCTGTAAGATAGTTGTCAGCGCAGCACAGTACATCATGAACAATAAATGAACACACAATTGATATTCCCAGATACTGGACTCGAAAGTCTCTCCAGCAGTGTTTTGCAGAGAGCAAATGCTTCCGTTGTTATCAATGTTTGAGCACATGAGAGGATCCTGATGTCCCCAGGTTTCATTTAAGTATCTGGGCTGGAAGAAACCAGTAAATCCAGTGTCTGTGCCATTGACAAGTGAGGTTTGGTCCTCCTTGAATAAGTTCTTCCAAGACTCTGAATTTTTCTCGTATTTCTCAGCGTCATCAGTCTTGTTGAGGCCACGCGCCATTTGAGCAATAGCGAAGTCGTTGTATGAATATTCAAGCGTGCGTGAAATACTGCGTGTCATCGTGCCAAAGCCCCAGTAGTCAAAGTCTTCCACGGGTATGTAGTGCAGTTCTTTCCAGCTTCGGAGACCTCCACGGCCCTCGTTGGACCAATCATATGGTTCCTCTTCGGCATCCTTCTGAACTGCTGCATAACCTGCTTCCCAGTCAATTCCGTCATTCAGACCTTTGACATAAGCATCAACCAGGATATTATCGGCATTTGAGCCGCCTTGCGTGAACCCTGGATGGCGACAGCAGTTAGTCCCACGTCCCTGATTTCACGAGAAATATTCGTCATACCCTTGCATAGAGACATGCGGCAGTCTGGTAACCATCCTAAGTGGCGCTGGGTGTCAATAAGAGAGCGCACCATCTGGGCGACTGCGCGAGGGTCAAAGATTATGAGGAAGGGAATCTGGGAGCGGAAAGAATCCCAGAGGCTGATCGTTGTTAGTGCATACAGATGGGCTCCGGAGTTGCTCACAAACCAGTAGAAAGAGTCAAAGTATGGCTCGGAGCTGGTCCATAACGGATTTTCGCCCGTATAGTTCTGGGGGTTGACCATGGTTCGGTAGATACCGCTATAAAAGTTAGTGAGTGCCGATGCCGTTACACCATTTCGTGAGACACGAATTGGACGGAGCTTCTCAGTCCATTGATCAACAGCGGCCTGGCGTGTAGACTCAAAATCGAAATCACCAATCTCGGCTTCCGCGTGAGAGCACGCTTGCTCGGGGCTGATGAAGCTTACACCCACGCGGGCTTGGACTCTTCCATCTGGAGGAGTCTCATGTCGAACAAAACCACCACCCTAGCACAATTAAAATCCAAGAATACCCACTTAGTCACAGGATTTATCACCTACCGGAAGTGGATATCCATTGATACTTCGGGAAATGGTCAGATCATGGACGTCCGCGCTGGCGCGCGCATCGACAAAAATCCCACTATCCCGCAACGCGCCAGAGCTTTGGAAATCGGCACAGAAGTGGAGCGTATATGCTCCACTACCGAAGCTGGGCAGGAACTTGCCGCTACCGGTCATGCGGCCGCTGGTATGATCAATTGAGATAGATGCATTGTCTTGCCGGGAGTTGGACAGATCCGAAAGATCCAGCATGATCAGCGGCTTGCTATCTTCGGGGAAATTAAATCGAAACAGGGATGTATGCTGAGCGGTTGTCATTTCAACATGAACCCCCGACTTAAGCGACAGCGTGAAGTAGCCGGGGCGGGCCTGCACTGAGCCCGGAGTATAGGGTGTAGCCCGAGATCTCTTCGGATAGGCGCAGCCATTCACCTCATCGTCTTTGCATTGCGCATAGGGGAAAAGAGGGAAATTGCCGAGAGAAGGACTCCCACCAGTGCCGGAGTCGTGCATGCTCGAGAAGCCCGTCACATTGCTGCCATCGTACGCGAAACCGCCCTGGTTGTTCACAGAATCGGTATCGGCGACGGCCTTGGCCATGCCATACGGTAATGAAGCACCCGCGAAGACATTGCCTGCGTGATTACTTAAAATTGGTACGCTTGCATCAAGCACCGGTGCGGTTCTCTACCTACCTCCGTTGGCGCTGCCGATCAGCGGGTCGACATATTGCAGCACATCGTACTCCTCGACTGGCGCGGTTTGGGCCGCTGTCAGCGCGCGACTGCTGGCGACAAAGAGCGACAGAATTAGATGCTGTGCCAACATGATCAAGGAGTGTGAGGGAGAAAGCCCGTGGGATTGCAAAGAAATAGGAGGGCCGGTGGTATTTACGTGCAGATGCCCCTGCGCAGCGCGTCGTCCCGCCGGCATGCGGCCCCCCCTGTCGATCCTCCGCAGATCCTCCGCAGATCCTCCGCACCCGCGTTGGCTTTGAGGCCCTGGAGTTGCAACACGTCTCGGCACGCGAATCATGCGTGTGATGGAATATCTTGAGTAGGAAAGGGCATGGTCACCCGTGGCAATTGTTTATCTGGGCCGATTCGAGGGGCGACGCATCGGCGCGCCCGGTGCTGGTCTCGTAACAAGATCCTTTCATTCCGCAGTGGTATGATCCTAGTCTACGAGAGAATGCACTGATGGCTGATGAAGCCGACGCCTAGATGGGCTCTGTAGACGTCAAGATACTTATAGCGCAAACGTCTGGTGTTTTCTGGGCGGTATTCTTAATGAAATACAGTAAACGGCGGACCTGTGAACTACTACATCTGGTTAGTTTTGCCCGGCTTAGCGCCCCGATACGCTGTCCTGTAACCTCTTCTTTCTCTCGTCCCAACATAAAGACCTGACCTCGCCATATTCGTGTGTAACGAGAGTGAGCCAACCAAATCTGGCTAGTAGGTAGATGGAGAGACTAGCATATCATATTCCTCGACAGATCCTTCTCCTGCCATCTCTCTACTGATTCCTCCCTCATGATTAGTTGCTTCGTTGAAATGATATTACGTTGGTTGATATCTGTCTCTCCGTACCTGAGCGTAACAGGCAGGACTAGAAGGACTTATCAAACGCTTAGAACTGGTCGTGATTGTGATAACTTTTAGGCGTATGTAAAGAGAAAAGTAGAAGATAAAGGGAAGAAGGCTCTATTTAATGATTAACGAAACGCTGGGAAGTAACTAAGATCTTTTTGAATCTAAGTCGAACGAAACAACGCAAACAAAAGATTAGAAGGGTGGCCGGCCATGCCACCGGTATAAGAAAGCCCGCCAGTTGGTCAACCAAACCCAATCCGAGTTTCCTCGACATGGTGGCTGGTTTAATTGTCAGAGAAACCATCCTTCAGGTTCGCATAGGTGCTGGTGGGATAGTTCAAGTTGTTGAGCGTCTGATCCAAAGAGCCAGCACCTCCGAACTTAGAGACAGTGGTGCTGATGAGACTCAGGGTATCGTTCCGGTCCATGCTAACTTCCCACCAGGCGGTGCCAGCAAGACCCAAACACTGAACATACTCAGCCTTGAGGGCAGCGATCTCAGGAGTATCATAGCTAATCAGGTATTTCTGCTCGGCGTCGTAGCTGTAGCTTCCACCAACACGAGGAACGTTGACAACCTTAGCGTTGAATCCGGGTAGGGGAAGCGCCTTGTAATTCCAAAGGCCAGCGGTACCAAGACTGCCCTGCGTGCCGCCATTGGCGAACTTATCGCCCATGCCGTCAGTGCCATTGAAGACACGACCGTACAGCGGATTCTCCAAAACGATCTTGTTGGGTGGAACCTGACCGTTAAACAAGTAAAATTCAAGGCTGGACGTTGTATCATAATCGGTTGCACGTGGATTGTGGACATCTGGGAACAAGTTTGACAAGTAGCCAGAGTAGTTGCTGAATCCGGGTCCCATGTAGTCCAAAGCCATAAGAGTGTAGAAATCGAGATACGGGGTCATGCGAGTGAGGTCCAACAGGGCTGTCTGATCATTGCTCGATGGAGAGGCATAGCTGATCTGGAATGGGGATGTAGCGTTGATCTTTTCTGCCAGCTGGTCCAGACTCTGGCGCAAACGCCTGAGCAAATCGACCATCTGCGCCGCTTGATTGTGGTCTGCCACGTACTCATAGTCGATATCAATTCCATCGAAGCCGAGATCAGCGACAAATTGGACGGCCGTATTAACAAAATTCTGCCGCTTGGTGGGAGATGCAAGCATAGGGGCGAAATTCTCGCGGTAGCTCCAGCCACCGATGGAGAGCATGGTTTTGAGATGGCGGTGCTTCTTCTTCAACAGGAACATCTGCTTGATATTCCCATACACATTTTCTCCCGGCGCAGTGGTATTATCTCCAGGGTACGCATACTGGAGATCGGCCCAAGTGTCACTCAAAATCCTATGTATAGCGTCTATTAGCTTGGTCTATTCTCCAAAGTTGTGGATGTGTTCGTACACGCTGCCAGTAGTAGAGTTGACGTTGGCGAAAGCGTAGACAAGATGCGTCAAGCTCTCTGCTGGGACATCGGTGATGAAGTAGTTGACTGCGTAGATATCCTGTATGTATCACGAAAGCACCATTAGCTAAAAATTCCTCAGGAAATGACAATTCAGCATGGACTCGCTCGTACCCAATTGCCGAAGTAGGCAACGGTTTTCATCCCGCCGTGGATTTTACCAAGGTTTCCGCAGGAGATTCCAAGCTTGTCATCTATGTGAGAATGTCTAGGCTTCTCATGCCGGCCCAAGACACCGACAGCAGCGAGGAGAAAAGGGGAAAGGGAGCTGAGACGCATTTTGCGACAGTGATATTCTAGGCGAGGCCTTCAGGTTGAAATGACCGACTCAAGGAAGGACTAAGGTAAGTATGCAGAAACAAGAAATGAGTGGACGGTTCACGAAGGTAACCTAGCGATGATGTTCTCGAAACCCGTACGATGCGCCTTTAATAATTTACTGAAATGGAGAGTTCTAAAGATTATCGTCCACCTTTGTAGTTCCCGCGGTTGGATCCTGCAGAACATCGTTATCAGTCTTCAGAAGCCTCGAAAAGCTTAATTTATCTTAAATAAAGTTCAGGAGCAAAAGCCAGCCGTTTCATGCACCCCTGGGGCACCATGAAGTGCGCAGTTAGTTGGAGTAGATTATTTCCCCCGCCGAAATTTCTCCATAGGTATAGAAATTGAGTTCTGCAGGAATTTCGGGTGGGGTATACGGGAGTGACTTACTTCAGTTCTAGGTAGGATCTGCAGATCCTGCGATCAAGACCAATGAGTGGCGTGATGAAAAATGAGGAAACGCAGGTAAGACATTCATTTCTCTCTTACTTTTGGGTACGGATAATTTTTTTCTTGCGAACCTTTGATAACTACAGTGGTGTTCCATAAGTTTTCGACCACCCAACGATGACATAATATTCTGCCAGTCAAACATCTCCCCTTACTCCTGCATCACGCCCTCAATATATGGCGTTCTAAGTTTGTAGATCGAGCTTGGTCCATATTCTAAATGACCTTTACTAAGAAGAATGGTCGTATTTTACTTTCATAGCGATTTCTTGACCTGTGAAATTTCCCTGAGAGCGGAAGACTGCGGTCGCGCAAAGGTTGTCGAAAACATGAAGCACCACTGTACAAATGTACCCGTAAGCAAACATGTCAAGAAATTTACAGGTCCTACATACCTCACCCAAAGTGCTTGCCTTTATATTGGCCGGATATGGGCCTTTGATTCGAGATGGAATCATGGCTAGTGAACACGCTACGATACAGTTGTGGAGTGTCATCTGTCCTTTCTGGTAGAAGTTTATTTCATTGAACACTATACGCCATAAACAACAGCGCAAGCTATGCGCATAAGCTCCGGCTTTGTTCATCACTCCGTAGCACTGTACTCCATCAGTATGGTCTGAGTCCAGGATCGTCCCAGAACTTCGCGTTTCTTTCCCTCGCCTATTCCCTTTCGTTATCTACGGAGTAGGGAGAACGTAGTGCCCAATCTCCCGACACTTAGGCAGAACTCATCTGAGGGGATATATCATTTATTAATACCCTCACGCTGCTATGACTGTTCCTAAAAGCGACCTATATTTTTGCCTTTGTTCCTCGTAGTCGTAGTGGAGCATTTGCCAGATAAACAATTGAGCCCCAATCTTGTCGCCGTCGGCCGCAATCTGGCGATGCTCGGATTCGCTTTTAAGAAGAACACTAGTGACGCACGCGAGTCCTTGGCGATTGAGGTCATTCACGCCTTGCTCGAAGAGCGACCGGCCGAAATTGCCATTTCGACCCATGCTGCGAAGAAGATATGCGCGACTTGGCCATGCTGAGACACTTGGCCGCGGTGTGTCTCAGCACGGCCCTTTAGCAGATCGTGAACGTTCACCCAGCCACCAGCCAAAGCATCATCCAAGCCATCCATGAGCTCTCCGATTCAGAACGAACTAGCGCGCTTAGATCCTATCTCAAGACAATCCAGTCTCATGAGAAGGTACATGGGCAGGATAGTAGCCTAGTCCTGACTTAATAACACTAGGATTGTGAAACCCGTGGTTTTCTCACCCACCACTGGTGCAATTTCCAATTATCTTCCGTAGGGGCCAATACGTGCCGTCAGCCTTCGTTTCGGATCCTTTCGGACCCTTCGGATCCTTTCAGGAATTGCTCGCATGCTCTGCTATTGTGTTCGGCCATACGTCTCGAGAATAGAACCAGCTGCTTGCAAACTACTGTAAGACGTCTGTACATGTGAATACAGGTATTTTTTCCGGCCGGAGAGTGGATTCGGTAAGTGAAGTGTATCAAACTATGTCGTGATACCTGCTACCTAGGAAACATATATCCCCCGTTCAAGAATTGAAAGAGAACATACTATCCTGATCGAGATGGCTCCTAGGTATCTAACCGAACTTTTGCTCTACCCTTTTTCTGGATGGGCTCGGCAAGGGGTTTGCTGACTATATTCGAGACGAAGTTGTTCATTTTCCCTGTCGCTCCTGGAGTTATACCAATCGTTTCTTTCTAATTCCAAGGGGTGTTTTGCACTGCCTTCTCCTATGTCGATAATATGGTTTTTTTTGCCATGAGCTTTTTGGTTTCGATTCTTCCAACGAATACCCCTTTGGAACCTGGGACCTTCGGCTCGGCACTGTGTTATGTAGACATGCCAAGGTGATGTTATATGTACGGCCGAAATTAGGTGAAATCACCGATAGATAAAAGAAGATCCATGTGAATTCTATACCTTCATTTCTTGATTCAACACTAGATTCATATGAGGGTTAGGTAGTGTCTGATTTTCGCCTGTTCCCCCGCTACCTCCTGCTACCATTACCCAACCTTGGGAGGTGACATTTCCAAACCAGAGCTCGAATTAACTGACGTTAATATATCATGAGACTAATTCTTATCCTTTCAAATTTTGCATGACCGCAATTGCACCAGGTGTCTCGATCCACGACTCGTAGTTCCACCTCACAAGAGTCTGCACCTCACTCACAGTTCTTGGTAAACTATTTGCAGCAATGGATTCCCGCTGATGCACTGGATATACCATCGCTGACCAGAAGTGGGGATTGCGATCCTTGATTTCGCAATACAGCAGATGAATCTGCTCCTTCAACCTTGTGATTGTCGTCCGGCGAGCTTTTTTGCTTGCAATAAAACCGTTGTCTCCAGCGACAGCGTTGCTAATGGGCACATGTTCCATGATGAGGATTGAGATCTCCGCAGGAAGCCTCAAGCCGAAGATAGATGTTGATAGCTCCAGTCGTTCGAGATCGAATAAGAGCTTGATTTTCAAGAGAGTCAAGGGAATGAGAGTGGTGATGGGGATTTTATCACTGAAGAAATTGACCGGTTCAAAAGGGTTCTCGTTCCTGCAGCCGACGCATGGCAAATTCAGGTTCTGCATACTGGGTAAGGACAGCAACCGAATGTTGATGTTGATCTTGCTGGGTATTTTGTGGATCCACCACTTCAGAAAGTCGTAGCACTCTTGATCTTTGTGCAGGCGGAGCATGAGAGCTGGGACTTGGTACCTGTAGCCCATGAAATCCCTCCGGCCCAGCCGTAAGACATGGACAATATGTGTCAGCTGTAGTTCAATCGACGCCTTATGCTTGATTTGGCGAAACGATTGCACTAGCATCGCCAGAGCTACCAAGTACTTGGTAGTTTCTGGCAGCTCCCAAAAGATCCCTGTATTGATGTTGAAGTAACTCTCAGGGGTTTGACGTAGTCTCTGACTTTCTTCCTCAACGTCGGTTCGACAGGATCGGATTGCCTCGCAGATAAGTCGGTGTGACGGACGGTCTAACTTTCTGTGATGATCACTGCAGTATCGTATGGCCACGCAGCTCGGACATGGGTGCAGGTCTTCCTGCTTTGGGCAGATGGCACAACCGGAGGGAAGAATCGATTCTGTTCCACCTCCCAATGTCAGATCCGACATGGACACGAAGAGTTGTGGGGGTTCCATTCCAGCGAGAGTGCACTCATCCGGAGGCGTGAGAATCGAAAGCAAGCTGGCGCGGAAGAAAACTTCCCGTTCAGTGTTCTGAGCGCGTATAAAAAGGTGAGGTGAGAGGGTGGATATGTCAAGAGAGCCGATCTCACAGTACTCGCTCCATCATGCTCTCATGATGGCTCTGTAAGCCTCAAGGAGATCTCTCTTCTCTCCAAGTTTCTGTTGGACTCTTGTCTAATGTCTCTTAGAGTTCTACCTAATGTCTCTTCTAGGCATCTGTTGACATATCTGTTGATATCTCCTCTGGGAACTTCTTCTGGAAAGCCGAAATTGTACTCGCCTAGCACCAGGCTTGAATGTGAGCTCACGGCGGTGACCATTGCAGAGTGACCGGTATGGTCAATTGAAATACTTCTATGTGCATAGAAGTGATTGGGATGGGCTGTTATAAGGGGGATGTCATCTCGTACAATTGGGAACCAAATGTAAACAATGACTTCAGATGTAAAGCGCTTTGTAAGATCGGCCCCCGTGGAAGACGCGCGGAGTCTTCCAAACAATACATGCTCGAAGCGTCGGCCGCTTTCTGTCTCTCTCTTCTTTCCCCTTCTCCGCTTCCGCTCCTCTTCCTGTCTCCCTCTTCTCCCATCCATGGCCTCTCGACATCTTTCTCTGCCTTTCATCGCATCGAATAACTCGAAATATGGAACTCACAGCAGCCTTGGTCACGGCTGCGGCTTCCATGGAAAGGACAGCCAGCTTCTTTTTCAGGGTGCCGGGTGTTATTGCAGGGGATATTGAAATGGAGCACACCAAAAGGCTCCTCGTCAGTCGCGCGATGCCTCCTGCAAGAAGATCAAACTTAGCGAGTCAAGCACGACTGATCACAAACAGCCTTAGTGGAGCCTATCGAGAAATTCTTTCACAAACGACAGTGAACACTCCTAGGACCGTGAGGTAACTCCTCTTGCTTGGTTGGCTGCTCGAGTCCATCTCTTGATCTTTCTCCAAGTCATTAACACGGTGACATCGGTTGCGCAGCAACGTGATCGCAGAATCGAGATGATGACATTGAATCAGGAGGATAGTTTGAGCTTCCAGTTCAACGGGTCATCACTGATGCTCCGCCTCCACAAAGCTGATTAGCGCAAGCTTCAGAGTGGGCTTTGACATGTCACTCAGCCCGATATATCAAAATAGGACTTCATATTTTCGTCGAAAACAATTCGAGCCTCTTTCTTGAGGATTTGCAGAGCAATTACAGAGTATAGATCAACCAATCACTGCCATGGATACCATGTTATATACAGTAGGAAGTAACTGATATGTAGCGTGGGTATACATTGAGATATAGGTAATTATTTTTTGAACATTGTTCGAAGTTGGTCAGAGTCCGCCTCAAGTCAAGGCATGTGCGTCTCTATGATTTGTGAGCGCCAGACAAGCATAGATTCAAACCATGTCGTTTTACAACTATGCTGGCCCCCTGCAAGGCTCGTCACTGAAAAAAAGGGCCCCAATGCAAAGGTGAGCTTGGTTCCCGACAAAGCTCCCACGAGCCCTAAATGCAGGGGCTAAGCTCTCTGGCCAAGCCGGGGGCTACCAACTCTTGTGAGGCTTATTATCGACCAACCCGTGTTTCATCAGTTATTTGGGGCCAAGTCGATTTGGTCTAGCCTTTTTGATTATTATTGCCTACCTATAGTAAGTACCTCTCCAATGCAGATCATTGTTAGTCATCAGCCTCGAATTCAACGCACAGCTGTTTGACGCGATTCGGGATATCTCATCGTTCCCCATCACTCTCATTTATTTCAGTTATTCAAACAACCAAACCCAAACAAACCACCATGGATGATATCCAGATCGCTCCCTCCTTGAAGTACTCAACCACCGATGCAGCGTAGGTACTCTGCCAATCTGAGCAACGGGCTACAGCTGATGCATTCTAGGCCTGATACTCCAAATCTCACGCTTTCGCTAGAGCTGCAAGGACTTAGCGACTCCAAGATCGCCAAACGAAATTCCAACAGTGGAATTATCTTCCGCATCCATCGAAATACTGATGACCACGACCAGCCCTGCTCGTTCTACTGGTCCGAGACTGTGGATGCCTGGGGCTCCGGAGGCTTGGTGCTCCTTCGGCACAACCAGGGCCAACTAGAGAGAGTCAGTCTCCCTTCTGAGCCATGGCGGGCGCATGATCCGAGAGAGCGGATCGCGCGAAATCCCCATCGTCTGTTTGAGCTAAAGCCCGGTGAGAGTACGTGGTTTTTTGCGGGTATTCCAGAAAGTTGGCTCGACACTATGGTGTCGGGGGAGAAGTACGAACTGTTATGGCCTGGTGGTGAGATTTACTGGTGGGCATGGGGCGGCATCGCAGAAAATGAAATCAGGTCGCGTGATGGTCTACCCCGTGCCCTTCTTTCAGGGACGCCTCGTGTGTCGTTCACGGTGGTTGAAGAGCCACCGGCTCCTCTATACGAGACACCACGGCCAAAATGGCCCCAAAATCCAGCGTACGTGAAGAAAAGCTTTGCTCTCTGCAAAGATCATGGCTGACCGAATCACTGTATAGTCCTAGGACACCGCTATTCACAGTTGTCCTGACTGGCGCTGGAAGTATGGAAATGACAGATGTGAACTTTCAGCTGGTACAAACAGTCACGTATCGAGGTCTTGTCTCCAAAGATCCAGGCGCCGATCCAGAGCCGGCCACACAGCTGATCACCTTCGATGCCTTCAATCTCATGATTCCTTTTGAATGGGCTTTTCGGTCCCGAGGGAACAGCGAATGGGAGTACTGCCAGGATCAAAGCGTTGATTGTGCCTTGACCGACTTGATATACGATAGCGAGACTGCTGTGAATGTCGGTAAGGATCGTAGATGGATAAGCCTTGCTCCTGGGGAGTCGTGGAGCCAGGAACTTGAAATTGACGAACGGCTTCCCTCGGATCTGGCTCCTGGTGACAACATTCGGTACCAGCTGGAAGGAGAGATTATTAAGATGTGGAATTGGGGCAGCAAGGAAGATCATGCGCAGACCGTGCTGATGCTACCGAGTGGCCGTGATGCCGGTGACTGGATTAATCGGTCGCCCATAGTGGTACCCGCGTCAAATCCGCTAGAGTTTACGATAATTAGTTAGATATTTCGTGCACGGTAGATTAGATACTTTTATTAGATACTTTTATTAGATAGTTTTGGCAGATAGTTTTCTTAGAGCTTTTATTAATACTTTTATTTAATGCTTTTATTTGATACTTAAGTATTTAGTTTGATATTAAAATATTTTTTATATAGAATTTTGGTCAATTATAGCATTGTTTAGTGGAATTGTTTTATATAGTGTGCCAACCTTTTTTTATCTTTTTTTTTTTTTACATCCAGACACTACACAGCCCGCTACGTAGTTATATACGGCCGATGACAAACATAGTACAAAAAGAGGAACAGAAGCAGCAAGGGAAAGGAAGGCTTCAACAATTATCATCACCGAATATTACAATCTCAAGCGATGGATCAGACTAAAACTGAAAGGCTAACTGTAAAAAGATGCATAGGACCGCGGTCCCAAACTACGTGTCTGGTGTATATGCAAGTAGTGGAGCGGGTGGAGATGCATATGCATGGCGGATCCAACCGTCAGGCCAACCTAGGAAAAGCCCCCATGGGAAAGGGTTAAATCAACGATAATCCAAAGGACCGAGTCACGAGAGCATAAAGCAAGAAGTTGGTCTGGGCCCTTTCACAAACTTTCATGCAGCCGTGTTCCTCGCCGAAATTTCCGGCACAGCGCCCGAGACGGACAAGAAGCCGAGGTAGCTTTGGCCGAGGAGTCCACTCATCCTCAACCAACTTTTGCCTCCCAACAACTCGACTGCAACTACTCGAACGGATCGGATTTGGAATATGCTCCGTCCACCATCTTTTGCTCCATCTTCCTTCTTCTCCCTTTCCTCCGCCTTCACCTCCACGCCCCGATTGACGCCCTCTCCTTCCAGGCTACTCCAGCGCCGCGCAAGCCCATCTCCACACCAGCCCTCATTCGCGTCTCCGCGCTACAGTCGCCGACGACTCTACTCTACCGGTAAGCGGTGTTCTACGTTCCGAACCCCGATGCACCCTCTGCATCGCATCTCCAAGTTGCGAAGTGTCTAAACCTGTCGGCAATCACAGAAGCAAATCCTTCCGTTCACCCGCAAACCCCTCCTCCTCCCCCTCCACCGCGCTCGCGATTGCGCCGCTTCGTGGGCTTCACCTCGATCGCTGTCCTCGCCTTCTCTGCCGGTCTTCTCTACCAGACTCAGCGCACCGTCTCGCGACTCATGGCGACCCCTCTTATCTCCGACGCCGAGACCCTCACGGCCTTCACCCCTGAAGATGCCCGGGCCGCAGAGGTCAATGAGCATCTCCGCACACATCCCGAGGCGAACAGGCTGCGTGCAGACCCCGATTTCGAGGAGTCACGCCCGCACCTGAGGTTCCCGGAGGCGATACGCGCGCGCAGTTTGACGGCCGGCGCTCTTTCGGGCCCCAACAAGATCGTGGTCCCACCGTTCGTCTTTTGCGAGAAGGAGGGCAAGAGCATGGTCTCGCTCATGTTCCTCGGCTCGGATATCTGCGGTCACCCGGGGATCATTCACGGCGGTATGCTGGCTACGTTGTTGGATGAGGGTTTCGCCCGATGCTGCTTTGCCGCGCTGCCGAACAAGGTCGGCGTTACCGCCAATCTGAACATCGACTACCGCGCCCCGGCAATGGCGAACTCCTACGTGGCGCTTCGGGCCAAGACTGTCAAGGTGGAGGGCCGCAAGGCCTGGGTTGAGGGTCGCATTGAGACCCTCCCCGACGACGGAAAGGAGCCCGTTGTCCTGGTTGAGGCGAAGGCGCTCTTCATCGAGCCCAAGCAGGCTGCTGTAAGTTTCCCCCAAATATGCAGTTCTTATCTCCGATTGGATCATTGGATCCAACCGATTTTTTGCGTTGTGGCAAATGTGGCTAACCAGTTCCCCAGGCCCTGACCAGCCTGTACCGTGGCGTCACCGAATGAAAATCTCTGACCCGATCAGCATGCGTTGTTTTCCTGGTTCCTGGCGTATTGGGCGACACGTTCTATATTTTTAGTTTTTTTTTTCATTGCGGTCTTTTTCCTAGAGGGCATTGTGTATTATTCCGAAAGACATAATGGGACTTGGTATAGCATAGAATTGAGCATATTTCCTCCGGCTATACTCCACAATCGATGGCGCAATTCCTATAGACCCGGCTTCGTATGCGCCGCGCCAAGCCCGCAGAACACCCCGCGATCAGGGCTCGTTTCCGCTCTTACGCGGCCCCGTTTCACCGTCTTTCTCCGTTCATTTACTCTCTCTCCATCTCTCTCTTTCTCATCCCTTTCTTTTTGCACATACACATCCCTTCATTATGGCCACGTAAGTCACCGGAATCCCTGACGACTCTCAATTGCCAGCATACCAGCTCAGAGCCAAGACCGGACAATGCTAACCCCCGCCTCCAGCAACATTACCTTCCACGCCGCCGCCCTGACTCGCACAGAGCGCAGCGATCTGCGCAAGCAGCAGGGCCTGACCATCTGGCTGACTGGCCTGTCCGCCTCGGGCAAGTCGACGCTGGCCGTCGAGCTGGAGCACCAGCTGCTGCGCGACCGTGGCGTGCACGCCTACCGCCTGGACGGCGATAACATTCGCTTCGGCCTGAACAAGGACCTGGGCTTCAGCGAGACTGACCGCAACGAGAACATCCGCCGCATCGCCGAGGTCGCCAAATTGTTTGCCGACTCTTCCGCCATCGCCATCACCTCCTTCATCTCGCCCTACCGCAAGGACCGCGATACCGCCCGCCAGCTGCACGAGGTCCCCACCCCCGGTGAGGAGACCGGTCTGCCCTTCGTCGAGGTCCACGTCGATGTCCCCGTCGAGGTGGCGGAGCAGCGTGACCCCAAGGGTCTGTACAAGAAGGCCCGTGAGGGTATCATCAAGGAGTTCACTGGCATCAGTGCCCCCTACGAGGCGCCCGAGAAGCCCGAGGTGTACATCAAGAACGTCGATCTGGCCATTCCCGATGCTGTGAAGCAGATCATCGACTACCTCGACTCCAAGGGTTACCTGCCCCCCAAGCGGGAGTAAACTCGCTTTTCTTTTCCTGTCAAGAAGTACCGTTATGAAAGTTTTTGTGCGAGCGAAAGGGCATGCGAGGATAAGGGCAGTCGCATAACCGCGGTGTGGATCTGGAGAGAATAATTGGCTTGACTTTGATTCCCCGCATACAGGCGCTGTAAATACCGGATAGATATAGATCGCTTTGAAAAGAACGGGTCAAAGGAAGAGGGCATGGAGATAGATCCACAACGAAAACCACACGTGGAGAAGTGTATTCAGTAGAACGAGTCACGTCCCGAAACCAAACAAAATAAAGAGGACGATTCCAAATGCTAGTTTGTGCTCGATGTACCTGGATGGTATATGTACGCAGTTCCTTTCCCTCCCACAGCAATGCCCCTCTCCCCCCCACCCTTTCTGAATTCGGCGGTCTTACTGGAACTCGAATTCGTAGAAGACATATGGTGTGTACTCTGCGCTTCCTTCGGCAGCCGCGTGCATCTCGTTCGGGTCGTCCCGCTTCATGCGACCCTTCTTGTCTCGTCCGAAGGCATTGCCCGCCAGGTACGAGTACTTCTCTTCGAGATTCTGCTTGGCCTTGCTTGCTTGTTTCGCGGATGGTGTCTATACAAAGACGAACAAACCAAGTTAGCAAGCAACATCACTATGATTGCGACCAACAATCAGATGGAAACATACCCGAACCAAACCACAGACAAAGTCCAGCGGAAGACCATACCGCAGGACGGTCTCTACAAACACCCGCAGAACCAGAATATGGATCCAGACCATGACCGCCTCGCTCCAGGCAGTCCGACCCAGTCGCAGTGTCTCACCCCATAGCTTGCGCTCATCGCCACCAACCCGCTCAACCTCCTTGCGCTCCTCTTCCTTGCCGCCCTCGACATACTTGAAGTCGCGCGGAATCCATTTCTGCTCACGGCACTTGTGCACGAACTCGACGCTATGCTTCTTGAAGCTAGTCACGGCGTACAGCGAGAATTCGTTATCCTCGGCGAGCAATTGCGCGGAGCGAGGCACGACCATCGGGGCGACGGTCTCGTAGGTCTTGAGGAAGTCTTTGACTAGCTGAGAGGGCACGGCGATCAGGTGGGTCTCGATGTACTCGGAGTCTTGAACGATGGATCGAGGGTCGATCACGGAGGCGAGGGATTTTGTAGAGAGGTTTCCTCTGTATACATGTTTGAAAAATTAGCTTGTGGTAGTGATTCATGGTGGAACGGCGGCGGAGTCGCACGTTTGTTTCCGCTGAAGTGTCGCCAACGTGTTCTTAACTTGGTTATATTGCGAGTATTTGGACCGGATGTCACTGTCGATACTGGCAGCTTCCTGGAGTATATCTTAGCTCAGGTCCCGACTCATACTACCCCTGTCTCTGACATGTAGTGCCACTCACCTTCTGCAACAGATCGATCAACTCCGCCAGCGGCTTATCCGCGCGGTACTTGACTTTGTTCCACGAGAACGTCCGCAAGTACTGATCAACAGGCTCTATGCACGGTCAGTCCGCAATTTGACCTAGTATCCCACTCTACTGTAAGCACATACTATCATTCACAACCTTCATGCGCTCAATCTGCGCCTCATCGCCCTCCAGGATATTCTTCAATGCATCGCCGACCTTGGCCACGACGCCCTGGCATGAGGCCTCAAGCTTGGCCAGCTCGTCAGCCTGCTGCACCAGCGCATCTAGCGTGCCGATCTTGAACTCCGGGATCGGAAAGGAGGCTACGGAGCCATTCTCGGGGGAGACGGTGGCCGAGACGGCGTCGAGGGCGTCGTCGCGGTGGTGCGAGGGGACGATGGAGGTCGGGAGGGAGAGGAGGATGTACTGGCCGGGCTTGGACATGGTGACAACAGTACAGGAAACGGTAACGAAAGAGCAGCCCTCGAGGCGGGGCAGGAGTTGAGAGTTGGGACAGGGAGCTGCGGGAGCTGGCGAGGTGATGTCGTAGGCGGTCGGGCGGTGATTGGCGCGGGACGGAGCAGACAACCGTGGAGTACATTTTATTAAGACGGTGCCCAGGCGGCCCTCTTTCTTCCTGCATTTACCTTGTTTACCCCAAATAACCTTTATAATAAAACATATACACCACGACGAAGAGTGCAAGAGAACCCGGGCAATTTACACAAATATCTGAATTCGGCCAGCGATGAAGATACATAACGCTAGACACTATCCAATGCTCGCTCAACACGGGGTGTGAGAAAAAGGGTAAGTTAAACGAGTAAACAAATGAACGGTAAGACTGGAGCAGGACACCAATCACAAACAAACCACCCAAACAAAGATAGATTCAGAAGAATTCCTCGTGTCGAGACAGAAGATGTGCTTTTGTTGCTGACGAGGCCGACCGAGTGCCGGGAGATTGACCATAATAGTGAGAGGGAAGAATGATTGACTAGCTTCGAACCTGCGGAATATGTAACGGAGAGCGTAAGGCAAGGCAGACAAAGCAGATGGAATAAATGACATGGCAGGGTATCTGTATCGAGCGTGCAGCGCTGATCGTGAACAGAGTAGTGCAGAGAGATGGGAAGGAGGACAGGGTAGGCGGGACGGGGGCCAAGTGACCAAAGAAAAAGGTTGGTATCTGTACAGAATATGAGACGCCAACGAGAAAAAATAGACATCAGGCAGAAAAAAAGGGGGGGTCAAGAAAAAATGTGGATTCAATGACCCGAGACTAATTTGGCATGCCCATGAAGACGTCCTGGCAGTTCTCGACCAGAAACTTGAGAATGTCGTTCTTCTTCTGCACGTCGGTCATCTCACGGGCCAGGCTCTCGGGCCGCATGATGGTCGGCGCAAAGACGACAGCGATGTTCTGGCTGGTCATCAGATTTTCATCCTGACGCTCAACCACACGCTTCAAGTGGAAGACGAGGAACTCCAGAACGTCGCGGTGCGTGCGGGGCAGCTCAGACAAGCACTTCTGTAGTAGTTCAACCCGTGCGGAAGCGTGTGGGATTTCAGCAGAATCGATAATCTTGTCGTAAGTGTCATAGGTGATCAGTGGCATGGGGAGCTTGCGGAAGTATTGTTTGAGAGCAGAAGTGACAGCGTGAATATCAAGGTCAGGATCAGAGATATCGTAGTCGAATGGAGAGCGTTCAAAGCCATCGCGGATACCTTGGATGGCGGAGGCGGCACCCGATTTACGGTAGATTCCCTCCATGTCCATACCTAAATGAATTAGAATAAAAACCATGGAACAATGGTGAGAGAGACCGGACGCATACCTCGTAATTCAACCTCTTGAATACACCGCGTCACAATGGCAGGAATGATACTCTTTTCATGCTCCATGCGAGCCTCCAGATCAGTACCGAAGAGACCTGAGAGAATGGTTAGCTGAGGACTGTTATCATCGTTGCATGGAAACGTACCACCACCGGCAGCTTCAGCCAAGACTGGCACGCTGTCGGCCTGCGACATCTTGCCGCCCTGCTTATTGCGTTGGTTTCCAAAGAATCCAAAGCCCTGACGGTTAGGGTCCTGCGTCTGGGAACGGGGGAGACCACCACCACCCTCTCCAGTTTCACTGGACATGAAGGCTCCCTTAAGACCCTTGACGCCCTTCGCAACGTTCTGGCCACCCTTCTTCCAGTTGAACTTGCCCTTGCGAACGTTGACTACATGCGGCCCGGGCACCACTGTAGCCGTAGCAGTGGTAGTTTCCAGATCGTCGGAAATATGGGCGGTAGAGATGGAGGATGAAAGACTATCAATGGTGGGCTTCAGAGTCTCAATCGAGTGGATGGACTTGTCCTTGTTGTGAGAAACGATGCCAAGTCCGTTCGCACCGCGCTGGCCATCAGAGGTGTTCTTGTAAAGCTCCTGGATTTGGTGCACCAATGTGTTGTTCAACTCAGCCAACTGAGCGTTCTTAGACGAAAGCTGCTCAAATTCTTGGAACGTCTTCTCCTTCTGGCGGTTCAGGTTGGCGAGCTCCCCCGATAGGTCATTGCGCTTCTGAATGAGCTCCTCAATCTGTGGAGCATAGGACTCCTTCAGCTTGTGGATTGATTCGGCAAGTTCACGAAGAACATGATTCGAAAACTTGCCGAGGTCTAGAGGTCCACCCGCGGCGCCACGTTTCTCTGCTTCTAGGTGGTCAGTTAACACCGTAAGCTCCCGGAGAACAATCTCTCTCTGGGCGTCAAGCACAACCATGGTCGATCGCTTCTCTGAGAGTTCGGTGTTGACCTGCTTCACATCCGCCGTAGCGCGAAGAGCAGCCTCCATATCCGTTACACGCTGACGTTCCTTGCGCAACTCGTTGCGAAGCCAGGCGACCTCCTCGGATTGGGAGATACTAGCAGTAGGACTGCCGATATCGGTACCAACAGAGCTTCCATTGGGAGGCGAGCGGGGATATTTGCCTTCTTTTGGGAGACGCACACTCTTATCGCTGAAGCTTCGGCCGTGGCGGACAGAGTTTGAGACGCGTCGTAGGAATGATTCACTATTTGGATCATCCTCCGGCGAGAATTCACTGCCAGTATAGCGCGGGAAGGGCGGCGAGCCGGCGCCGTTCAATGTCGTGTTGACCGATGTGATGCTTTGTTTCTGCTGCTCAGTGATGCTGTCAGGCAGTCTGGGAGATCCTCCATAAGCGGATGATGCAGGCGATGCACCAACTTCTTTCCGTGGGATTTGATGGTGCTTGCTATCGAGCGAATCGCCTCGCTTTGGTGGGTAGGTCATGTGGGAAGTAGGCTGCGAGCGGTTGGAGTCCACAGATGTGTGTTCATGAAGTCTGCGGAGTTCGTTGGATGGGCGCGCAGAACCCGAGGCCGCACCGTCCAGTCCAGTAGCTTCCTTCGACCGGTTGCTATCAGGGCTAGTGGCCCCTGAGAAAGCACTCGTCTCCCTCAGTGCCAGGGGCAGATCAGACCTAGAGCTACGAGCAGACTCCGACATTCCGAGCTTACTTCTCTCAGAGTGAGATGTCGATGGCTTCTCTGCCGACCCATTCGCGGCATCCATGTCACGTCGAGCCGAGTCCGTCCGGCGGCCTTCCCGGCCTTTCTCCTGGTATGCAATATGAGGAGACGGATGCTCGGACGAGGTACGAGAAGGGGGTTCAAGAGTGAAGTCTCGGCCATCGCGAGAGGTTCTGATAGACGAATCGCCTGATCGGATTTGGCCAAAGTAATCACGGGCGGGTTCCTGTTGAGACTGTGTCCGGGAGGACGAGCGCTGGCCCTCTGAAGGATCGAAGGTGAGAGGAATGAGAAACTCTCCGCCGGCGTCCGCGTCGTTGTCACGCTGTCCGCCCAATTGACGACTGCTCCGATATGTGCTCGATGGGAGGATAAGGTTGTCTAAGGAGGGAAAGGACATGCGATCAGTTGCTTTGTTGTGAAATGGGGTGAAACATCGTGCCTTGCTTACCTGTTGCAGTTGGCGGGCGCGTCGGTGAGGTTTCGGTGCGGGCACTATCACCATGGCTGTCTGTCCTGCCGTGCGAGGCCTCTGCCGCTTCTACGTACGTCTCACTGGGAGTCTCTTCGATAGAACGGGTTTCCTCCATACTCGGGGGCAACGAGGGCAACGATTTGTCCAGCTTTACCCCCGGCCCACCTGGTCGTTTCCCTGCGGCACTGGCCTTTTTCTTTCGCCTTCGTTGCATTAATGATTCGTGACAGTCCATGCAAAAAATCCCTTGTGACGTGCGAGCATAGCGTAGATTCTCAATCTTCCTCTTGCAGTTGCGGCAACGGAAACACTGGGCGCAGAAAGCCTGATCACCGGTGAGAATGGCCAGATCTTCGATCTTATTGCCACACGAGTTGCAGCTGTAGGTACAGCTGCTGCAAATGAGGGATCCGTCGCCCAGTAGAAGGAGGTGCGCATCCGAGTCTAGAAGAGTGCCGCAGGTGCTGCATCGGAAACAATCGATGTGCCATCTCTGTCCAGCTTTGAAGGTATTAGCACGACTAGAACCATGGAACAGGCAGTAGGAGACATACAGAGCTCGAAGGCCTTTCCTTCTTCTAGGATCTAAACGATGGTCAGTCTGCGACATTGCCTGTGATCGTCAAGTCAACGATGCATACCTCGCCGCAGCCCATACAAGGGAATGGAATCTCGTCTTGCTCCATAGGAGAGTCCGGGGGAAAAGCCGGAGAATCCATTCTGGAATATTTGTCCTAATCACTACCACTTCCAACGATGTTTGTCTTATCTTCCTCAGCTGCGCACTGAATTGCGAGCTCGCTCAGGGAAGTAGCGCGGTAGTAAGGCGAGTCACGGTCGCGGCGGAGATGCACACACGCGCTGCGTGGACATGCGATCGTGCTCCGTCGTAGGATTAGTCGAGCGTTCGTTCCTGAGGGTTTGACGTTGGAGTTGTGTGGTAAGGCTGAGCCCGATGTCGACAGTCGCACGGGATTGGAGAGGGGAATGCGACAGGGGTGAGCTGGTGAAAGAAAGGCGTGGCTGAAGCAAACACTTGAGGCGTTAGCCACCGAAAGACCCATCAGCGGGTTAAGCGTGAGACAGAACCGGCCCCTGCGCACAGGGTCACGGACAATCAAGTGCAGCGCTGAGGTGAGCGAAGTCGACCGCGGTTCTGGCCGAAATGGCCCAGGACCAGCGCAACTACCAGCACGGAGGGGCGTCCACTAGGTCCAAGGGAAGAGTGGAAATGATCGCACATACCAAAGACGGCACCGCCAGCCTAAAACCGACACGGCGTTTCAGGTAGATAGGCGCGGGTGTTGTGACAAGCGCTTCAGGCGAAACGAGGTGGTCCCGGGTTGCCCCTCGCGAGCGTGGGTGATGTACGGCGCAAGTAGTTCGAGGAGAGGGGAGGACTGGAGCACAAAAACAAAAGGTCGTGGGGAGAATTGGTCGTCAAGGCAGGGCATGCAAAAACAGGAAACAGAAGAAAAAAGAAAAAAGAAACGGTCGAGAGCGTCGGAGGCAGGGGGGGGGCAAGGAGGAGAAGGAAAGGAGGCCGAGATGAAGTGGCAGTGGCAGAAAAGACCGCCGTCCACGTCCAGACGGCCTTGCCCTTCTACCTTCCTCTTCACCTTCACACAATTACCATTACAGTCACATTTGTCGACCTAATCTCCCAGATTACAGTCCCACTTTCAATTACAGGAGATGAGAGGCTGATTGGATGGCAATCATGAAGCTTCAGCAGCCCTGCCCGCACAGAGGCATACAGGCCTACGTGGGAACTGGAACTGACGACGCGCCAGAACGTGCGGGCCGCATTGCTGCCCATGAGCATCCCGCACGGCCCAATTGGATCGTCCAAGCCCCCGGGGACTCATTTAATTAGAGCACTGCCGACCAGACGAAGATCCGGAGTCCACTGCTGGGACGGCGTGGGTATGGCTGCGCCAAGGTGTCCACAACGAGACGAGGGGAACTTAACAACACATCGGCCCCCAATCATGCAAACCCGCGAGCACGTACCCACGCTAAGTTGGTGATGGCCAGTCTCGGTCAGATCTGAACATCCATCTCTGCTCGCGAAGGGCAACCGTCTCCGGCTCTAAGCTCGACTCACTCCGTACTATTCCCGGGTGGTCTCCATCGGAAGGCCGTCTGCGCCCATGGAACGGCTCGTCTGTCTCAAACAGTACCCCTGGGCCCCGTTCTCATTCGCCATTCGTCTCACTCCATCCTGGCCCCCCTCTCTCCCCCCTGAATAAGTATTATTTGGTTGCCCCGTCGGTTTGACGTCGCAGTCGAGGCTGAAGAGGAAGATGACGAGACTTGGACCCGACCGGGCGACCAGGTTACCGAAAACGAGCAGTGAAAATGAGTTTCTCTATTTTAGCCCACCAACCAACTCAGCCCGGGCCTCGTTTCAGCGCCCTCCTGAAACACCCGTGGTGTCACGTGGCCGATCGGCGTGGGTGGCTGCCGGGCGAGAAGGGCCTCTATCGCTCTGCTGCGTCCCACCTCCCCCTAGTCACGTCACATCCATCTCGCCTGAGACTACAGAAGTACACCGGACAGAGTAGAGATCTCGGGAGATATCAGATATCCCGGTCCTTGACTCTACCAGTTTCGCAGTCCATGCTCGACAGCGTTAGAACCATGGTGCATACTTGAACCCCATCAAACTTTCTCCTGGCCACATACGATCCCCATCAGGAACAGTAGCCGTCATTTTAGATAACCCCTCGGAGCTGAGAAAAGGGTGAAGCGTAGATGGGTTCGTCATACGGTTCGAGTAGGCTGGATAGGTAGCTCATCTCTGTCAAATCTTTGCGTGACGGTATCTGAGAGAGGTCTAACAGGGCACCACTCGTCCGTCTCATTTTACCAGCGGTCTATATCTCTGCGCTTTCTATGCGTGACTCTTAGCGGCAGGCTGTAAGACCACCATGGAATTCTCCGTGGGGTTCTCCTCTGTTCGCCCAGACTCCAAGACCAGGCGACCGATCAGCCAAAAGTTCATCACATCATAAACCCCCTCAGGGTTCAGCGGGTGCATCGCGTTCATCAAGCGACACTAGGAAGACGCAGGTCGAATGGAGGCAGGGCGCTCTTTGGGCGGTAGCCCCTGTGGCGGATGAATCGCCATCGAGACGATCAATTTAGGGGCGCCTTGACACGAGATGGATCCATAAAGGTGATAGCTCGATCACCAGGGAACATGGTTGCCGGGCGAAAGAAGGGTCCTGGTGAACACTCAATCTGGCGGCTAGCTGAAACTAGCGGTATTCGAGTGGAAAGAACACGGCGTGGGTTTACCACATCACTCAGCTTCGCACCCGGGACATGTTGGCAAGGTTGTCTTTAGATGACAGCCTACAGCCACACCCGAAATCGGTCATCGAAGGACCATTTCATGCCAAACAGCAGACTCTGACTCGATATGATGTGAAGCAGAAGATGAATTAACAGGGATGACTGTCGTCTCGAATCCTGTGCCATCGGCTGCAGAGATACTCGCCCTGTGTCCGCCACAAATACGACCCGAGTTTGAGGCTTGAAGATAACTGTCGGGCTGAGTATAGAGGATTTGTGCCATCCATATACCCCCTCTATGCAATAGCGGCTTTCTGTCGATGTCACTGCCCCTGGGATGATTTCAAAGTGCTCGCCTCCTCGGCCCCCGGGTAGGGGACCCGATAGATCGTGCCGAAGGAAGACCAGCATGTTCATATTTCCGGAGTAAATCCACGCTTCAAGAACTAGCTTCCGCGAGGGCTCCGGAATTCCTATGTTGCATCGTATTAGCGTGGCGCAGTGTTAATAAGGGATGCAAGGAGTTCACTCACTATTGAGCAGAGCCTGATACCCCATGAACGACACCCTAGTCCCCCGTCTCCAGATGTGCGCCAATCTTGAAAACAATAAACCCTGAACGCGGGTAGGATTCCGGTGACGCCCTTATACATACGGCCGGCCTTATGGTTATTGCGTAATTCTGCGGTCGCAAATTCAAAGTGACACTCGTTGCATCGCCAGTTCGGTAATGGAAAACGCCTCCTATCTCGCGTGCAGACTAACCGAACTCTGCGTGCTGCCATCCGGAATTTACCCAATGATGTTGCATATATTTATGGGTGTCTCCTGACCAAGATCAATTCTTATGCGGATGAAAACCGTCTGCTAGCTTTAGAGCTGCTCAGGTGGGTAGTCCACGCCACATGACAGCTGGATGTCTCTGAAGCGTGCTGTGCGCTTGCGATTGAGATCGGAGAAAAAGAGTTGAACCTGGATAACATCCCGGCCTATTTGAAAATGAGACTGGATATGCCCGCAGCCCCCGTTTATCCGTTGACAGCAAAGGTGTGCACTCAATAGTGGCTAGGCATCTTCTGGAAGCTCCTATGAAGCTTCTGCCACAGCGTGAAACTAGCCCTAAAACCCGAAACAATTACGTTTTGGTTCGGTTCGGTCTTGCGGGTTTGCAGTTTTTGGCGTACTCTATTCGGCTATATCGAGGATCCATAGGTGCCAGCGGAGGATCGATGAACGTCGAGCTCTGGTTTATGATTGGATAGTCAGTGAACCATGAAGTCAGCCAATCATGATGCCAGTGGCAGATGAACTTTTTGTTTCCCTAGGAAATACACCATTGGGTTCCCTAACCCACCAACAGCCGGAAACCTTCTCGCGATCACCAACTTCACTCAAGACCTCGCTAGTCATGAACTACGCTAAAAAGGCGATAAACAAAGAAGGTGTTACGTAATAGGCCTGAGAGAGGTAAATGTGATCCTATTGCTATATGGAAGTTACGTATGATAACTAAGGAGGGGCTCAGTCATCCTCCGTAACATAACAGAAGGAAAGAGGCGCCTTTCTATCTCACCAGGATACGTCAGTGACCTTGTTCCGGCCCTTCATGACCTGTCTTTCTACATGATTATGTTTCGCAATACCAGTGCAAAGGAGAACGAATCGAAGGAATTGATATCTTTCTTATAACGAATTGAAATTCTATATTGAGTTCCCTGCGCACAACCAGAGTTTTCCCACTAGACACATGACTATCACGCTGCTTTCACCACTCTCCAGACAACCTCCATCACGTACGGAGGCTCCTCGTTTTGTGGGTTATGGGCATAGAATTGTCGGATAGTGCCTTCTTGGTCAAGTACTGCGCCTCTCAGACGAAGTGAGATCTTGTCTTCATCTTTCGGGCGCAACAGCCCAAGACTATACGCCCAACCCTCTTCATGAGCCCACGGGCTCGGATCCCATGTCTGCTCCATTCCAATTGTGTCCATCATAGGTGACGAATACTGAATGATTGAGAACCCATTAATAAAGAACAAATCATCTGATATCCGCCAGCGCCAAAGCTAACAATCATCTCCGCATGCCGCTGAGACTTTGCTTAGACTGACTATGTCGACAGGAAACCGATCGGTGGATTTCCAGTGGTGTAGAGACAATGGCAGTGGTCGACCGGATTTGTAAAATCCGGACCCGTCACTTTGCCAGAAATCCAACTGGTGCAGTCCTCGGTCCCACGTTAAGTTTGTCGTGGTATGGAGATAGATGCACTGAAAAATTCGTTTATCTCCGGATTCAGTAAGTTTGGCACATTCGCCATGGAAACTATCCATCTCCAGTAAGAGTGGCATCGAAAGAAAGATTCCTGCTGCCCCATGAGCCATATATCCATAGTTTCTAGGCCCATTGATGTTTTCTGTGAGTGCTCCAATCTACCAGGGCACTGTGTCATCATAAGAGGCGAGTTGCTTAACAAGATTCCCCATGGATGGAAGGAAAGTGTCGTCATCTATAATGACACCCCACTGTGAAGCAGTATCACAATTCTCGAGGAGAACTCTAGTAAGCGTGATATACCGACCCAGAACTTCTTGATCAGATTTCAGAATAGTAAGACAAATATCAAGCTCCTTAGCGCGTTGCTGAATAGCCGCCTTCAGTGGACCGAATTCAACCAGTTGTGTGCCTCTTGCCCCGTGTCCGAAGAGTCGTCTTCCCTCGGTGCGTGTTCTATCGCTAGCTGAACTAGTTTCTAGCGAGGAGTGTCCTCGTCTACCAGTAGGTAGTAATACTCCGCGGCAACCGATCGGGTAATACCTTTACCTATATAACTATGTAGATAGGTGATATTCGCCTATTTTGCTTCCTTGCGGTTATACTCCGTAATTAGGCAGCTATGCTATTAATACTCGTTATTGGTTAGTTGCCCAACGCCCTTAACTTATAGGTTAATCTAACTAGCCGTCGGATCGATTTCTACCTTCGGGAGGACTCTAATTTATCTATCCGATAGTGTAGGGTCGAGATACTCCTATAGCCCTAGCTAGGTAGCGGTTGATCGAAAGTAATTAATCTAGACCCTCTACTAGGCCTTCGACCCTAATCATAATCCTATAGGATAGACGGAGTTGCTTGAAGTTCAGCTCCGTCCGACATCTTATTATATGTGTTTTGGAACATTTAGCCCATGGGGTTCCTCGATCCTACTACCACTAGATCTGCCCAGTTACGAAGAGTGATCAGAAGCAAAGAATTCTTTTCACAAGATAGCGAATAGTCCTATCTACTCGCCGCTATTTCCTTGACAATGGGGTATCATGCGAATGTTTCCATCAGGACAATGGATCGCGGATTGCCCAATTTCCCAAGGCAGTAAACAGTCTGGAGGAGGCCGAGCTGGCCCTTGCTGAAAATAAAAAAGAAAAAATTTCTTATTTTCACTTTTCCTTTCCTTTATCTTCTTTTCTCTTCTTTCTTTTTAATTTTGTGAGGTTGATGTCAAAATGGAGAACGTAAAAGCGCAAGACGGCAAAGGATTACTCACGATCTATGGCGACCCAAAGAATCCAGTTTATACACGATAAAATTGTAATGGAGTGATCGGCGCATGATTGGCTCGGCGACGAGTCCACTAGCATGAGTTATCTGTTGTGCTTTAAAGGCCCCCTCAGCGCGTCATGCTTCGCCGGTGTATGGAGACATGTCGTAAGCCGCCGCGCCACCGTTACAGGATGACCTGTTGTAACTATTTGTTTGTCGAGGGGTTCGCATCCAAGCCGGTTCTACCCGATTCTAGACTTTCTTTGTCCCTTGTGGTTGATCGCAAGTCATATTTTGTAATCAGTGATTTGCGTGCCCTCTCCTTTGTTCATGTGGGCCCAATGTAGCTTCCCCCGGGTATCCACTACTGCGAACTTGCGGATGTCCGATTGGCGACTGAAAGTCTCAAAAGCTGAGCCACGAGCAGTTGCGCCATTATTGTTGGTTTCTTCCGGGGTTTTTCATGTCCCTTTGGAGGAAATGGATGGGCTCTAAGCTTCCAAACAATCTGCTTGTGGCTGCGAATGGCAAGCCTTGCGATGAATGGTGTGTGTGTTGCGGGTGGATTCAGGATCGGCCATGTATCCTCGGAGTCCGTACCTGACCTTAAGCTAAAGCCCCCGATGCACCCGTGCGGGGAACGGGAACGGGGCGAGATCCCCGTTCAGCCCCGTTGATTATCGGTTCCACTTCGGAGCAGGCTCCGGCTTGCCGCCTAAACACGAGCAGGGTATTATCCATGGGATCTATAGTGACCAGGATGAATGGATATTGCCCGTGGCTTCGTCTCCACCTTTCCCTTGGCCGTGACGCGCCTGCCTATTTAATCCTTCCTCCACCACATTTTGACCGGCTATACTCCTCGCCTCCACCTCTGTTTTCACCGTGTTTGCCCCATCTTGCGTATTCACTGCTACCTATCAACATTTAAGCCATTCCCATTTTACGTCACCGTAATCCTTTGGACCATTTACGCGCTTACTCTCCCGCACAACACTGCAAACCAAACCACATAGAGACAAAGAGAGCCGAACATTTGAGACAATGGCACCACCATCGCCCTCGTACACCAAGGTCACTCACTCCGCCACATATGCTGGCATCAATCCAACTCAGCCCGGCCTCTCCACTGCGGGCAAGGTTGTGTTGATCACTGGCGCATCTGGCGGTATCGGCCGGGCCACAGCCTCATCCTTTGCTGCATCGGGTCCCCGAGCCCTCATCCTTCTCGGTCGACGCGCCGACGCCCTGGCGGAAACCGCCACCATTGTCCGCACAAGTCACGCAGAGGTGACGATCCAAACTCACCAGGCTGAGCTGTGCGATGCTTCGAGCGTCCGGAATGCCATGAACAACGTGGCCGCCGAGTTTGGGGGCATCGACATCCTCGTTCACTGTGCCGGCGTCCTGGCCCCCGTTGTTCCGCTTCTGGAAGCTGACCCGGCTACTTTTCTGGACGGCTACAAGACTACCGTTGTCGGTTCGCTGGTGACGGCACAGGCTGTTGTCCTGGCAAACAAGACAGTTAGCCCCAACGAGGACAAGCTAGTCACCTTGATAAATCTAACCACGGCCGGCATCATATTCCCACCGTTCGCCGGCATGGGTGCCTATGTGAGCAGTAAAATGGCCGCCGTCAAGATCTTACAGTCCTTCGCCGTCGAGAACCCGCAAGTGCGTCTTCACAATGTGCATCCCGGATTCCTCCAAACAGCTATGTCTGCGAAGTTGTCAGAGTCGATCAAACTGCCATTTGCCTTTGATGACAGTGAGTATAAACTGAGCATGTCCTTTATGGCTAATCCGTCTTTATGTCTAAGTTGCTAAAGATCATTATTTCGCAGTGTCTCTTCCCGCCGATTTCCTTGTCTGGATTGTCTCCCCCGAAGCAGAATTTCTTAAAAACAAGATCGTCTTCGCTTCTTGGGACGTTGATGAGCTCAAGGCTCGCAGGAAGGAGATTGTCGGTGGCCCGCCGGGAACTGGTGAGCTCTGGCTCGGCTACCAAGGATTTCCACGATTCGTAGGTGGCCAGCCTTTGCTAGGCACCCAGTAGGCGATTGGTTCCCTGGGTGAGAAGTCGCCATCGCAAACTCAAGGGACGGTACACGCGCGCGTTAATCAAATAAGTATACAAGCCATTCACATAGTGGAGTGCTAGCATGAAGACCAGTAAAAGAAATTCTTGAATTATGTTGCTTCAAAATCGACAAGATATATGATGTATTGAGTATGATACTACATAAAATACAACAAGACTCAAAGGAACAAACCTCTTGCAACTCCGTGAGCCAGAGATTGCAACCTGTACCGAAGGAATGCTGCCACCGGCGCAACGACCCATGTAGTGTGCTCCCAGCGCGCCCGACCCATATTATCCTGGCAGTACCTGTCCGTGAACTGCAAAACCAGCCCAAAATTCTTGGACAGATCCCCAATCTGAATCTGGCCATCGCTGGCCAACCTGTGTGAAAACGACTGTAGCCGTGACCACATGGGAATATCCTTTTCACGTGAACCGTTGCTGATGGATGTGCCATAGCTAGACGATACGTCGATGTTAACCGATCCTCGTTCATAACCAGCACCAGCAGAGCGATGAACCAGGTCTGACGGCACTGAACAACCTTCCTATATGAAGCGGGAACAGATCAAGGACCGCGGCCTTGAATCCTTATCTTTGCTCCTGGGGCAGCAGTTTCCAATTGGGCAGGCCATCACAATGCTGGACATGGCGTAGGTGAGGCCCATGGGGAGGTACGCCATAAGTTCACCGATTAAAAGCTTAGGCGTGGCTGCCTGCAGATGCCAAGAGATCAGTGTTTCAGGGCCAGCGTTTATGCCCCATGATATATCGCCATAGCCCAGCCAAGCGGTCTGTGCGGTCAGCGCGCCAGGCCGAAGGATTCTTGTCCCCTCTTCCGCACACCCTCTCTACTGCACTACTGCACACCTAGAGGGAGCCAATCAAAAGTCGCGTCGCCCTCTTGCTCACCCTGGCCACGGCCACCCAGTTATTGATCGGGCTTGAGGCTAATATCTATCCCATCTAGTCACTCTGTTGGATCTCCTGTAACCAACAGAAGCTACTGTAGCTCCGTGGTCATGGACCCCTTCAAGTGGGGGATTGGATTACGCCAACTCCCCAGCCTCGTATTGCACTAACTCACTATGTGGAAAGGGCCAGTTAGTATGCAGTAGTGCTTATATTTTATGGCGTGTCGCGCTACCGCCTCAACTCATCCATATACCGTACCCCTTGGCGTCACCTAGCGATGCTGTTACAATACTATTCCAAAGCACTTGCCACGCGATGGAGCTCGCAGCTGAACCCGAATTTCAGTATGTCGGAGATCCTCTTCCTCTACCAGGTGGTTTTCTGGATGCCAAAATCCCTTTTTCATCCTAAAAACTAAACTATAATAGTTACGGTTGAAAACTACCTAAACCACAACCATACACACCCTTGTCTTAGCTGTGCACTATATCCGCGTAGCACTTACCCAAAGGAGCATCCAGAAGAAGCCCTGCTGGACGGGCCAGTTTCGGTCCTCCCCTCCCCGGACTAGTCAGTAGGTTGAGACGGTGAACTGTACACCTCAGCGACGCTGCTTGAGACCCAGCCAGGTGCAGTTTGCTCAGAAATATTCCCTGCCAATATCGGAGCTGTGCAGGTCGTTTTGGCTAGATTGGTTGGAAGCACGGCACGGTCTAGACCTCTTGCCTGACCGGTGCGGATGCAGACGAGAGACATTTTTGCTATCTATGAATAGCAAAGTGGGATTTGGTCAGCCCGAAGGACCGTATGGATTTTCTACCCTAGATACTCCCCAGGAATGCGTCAAGTCTAGAGTAGGTATAGGTCATATATTTTTAACCGTTCGTTCATGATAGAAAGCTTGAGGTACAATCCCCGTGATCATTACTCGTGAAGGGAGACAATGTGCCCATATTAATGAAGTAGTCAACAGAAGATGGTGTGATTCGGACCGCATCGAACAGCACCGCACCGTTGGAGCCAATGTTGGTCTACGTTCGACGGGCATTGACCCGCTACCGATCCCACCTACGACCCGCCGATGATGGCGATAGCCGGGGAGGAACTCCAACGCGAGGGGAATGGTAACGAATTAGTGCACTAAGCCAGCATCGATGCTCCTGCTGCAGATCTTCTTTCGGGATCCACAATCGCCACACCGAGCACACATATTGTACAGGCATAGCAGTATGGCTTGATGCTCGTGACTTGCTCCTGGTATGACATCAGGTGGGCTGGCCATCAAGGTTCTGTAGCCTGCTCTGGATGGCATTGCGATCATCGTGTACCTCGTCGTCCTCGTACTCCTGCAAAACGATGGTGCGCATAAGCCGGCGGGGTGCACGGCGCCCTGTAAAAAGCTCGAATTGGGCGAAGCCTTGCTCGGGAAGAACGTCCAGGCCGTCAAGTGCTACCCAACCACGGTGTGACAGGGCTCGCATCTGTTTCATGAGGGGGGTGTTCAGAGGTTTATAGGCCAGCTAGAGAAGGAGAGTCAGCTTTGGCGATGTACACCTTGGCAAGGGTCCCGATAAGAACTTACATCGACAACAACACCACCGGTCGGGCTTTCGAGCCATTGAGATGGTACGTTGAAGTTGGGTGCGGGCTCACCACCGATGCTATGAGCTGGAATACCGGACACTATAATCGTTGGTGGCTTGTAATCGGCGGGCCAAGGGTCATTCAACGAATTAAGTGTGCTGACTCTTGGACGTCTATCCGGACTTCGTTCGTTGGAAACCAAGTCTTGCCGGTTGTAGTGATGAGCAAGTCTCTCTGCATTTGCGATCGTGCGGTTGTAGACAAAGATATTTTGCACACCGAGATGGATCATGGAGTAAATAGCGGCCCGCGCCATACCACCAGATCCAATAACTAGGCCGGTGGTTGAGGGGCGTACGGCGTTTGCTGGCGAGAGACCACGGCGAATGCAATTGCAGATTCCGATCCAATCAGTGTTGTCTCCATGCAATCCCTTGACCGGCCCAGCACGGGTCTTCTCGAGGTGGATAGAAGATTCTTGCGAGAGGCGAGGATCAGCACCGTCATTGTTCCGGATTGGTATGAGAGTGTTGACGGCACCAATTGCTCGAGCATGCGGTGACATGGAATGAAGCAGGGGTATCACTTCCGTTTTATAAGGAAGACTGACACTTGAACCGCCAAAATACGGGTTTTCCACAAGCTCGTTCAAGCCGCGAAGGGTCGAGCATTGGAAGATGGTGTAACGATGTGGCAACCCACAGGCCTTGAATGCGGTGTTGTGCATTGCGGGCGACATACTGTAGTTGACATTGGCACCGAAGAGGAAGAACTGCATCGGATCCAATGCAAAGGAACTGTAGAGCGCTTGTTGAGTGTCGCGAGCAGTGATGGTAGGGCATAGTTGGGTTGGATTTTCGGGTGTGAGGGATGGATGTGTGACGGGAGTTAGAATGGGATTAAAGCAGCGGGACATGCGTCCGAGATGCCCAGTATTGTAGGCGATGAGCGGCAGCCCAGCCACCGGAAGACTTTCAATGCGGTGTCGGAATCGCTGCACGGCCAGATTGTCTTCTATCGTTTCGGCTGGCTGGCAGATTCGCACTACATTGCACCCGAGCCTTTTTGCTCGCTCGTAGACTTTCATGTATTCAGGACCGTCCCAGCCACCAGACAAAGGATGGAAAGCCTCAAAATGGCCAATAATCTTGGTAGTTCCCCTGCAACTGATAACTTGGGACAGGAGAGAATCATCACGAGCTAAGTCAACAGACAGGAGGCTGGGGCCAAGTCGTAACCCATGTTGAACGAGATTTAAATAAGCCTCATCGCTGATGCGAGTTTTCTGGTCTGGCGAAAGAGACCCTCTGGGTGTGATATAGCTCTCAACGTGGTACATCAAAGGAACGATGATGTTCCGCCGGATAGTTGCCACCACTTGGCTGATCCTATCGGCCAGGTTCGAATCGGCGCCCAGCTGGTCTGAAGGGCTTGTAACGTCTATGGCTATCTCGAACGCGTCCACAGTGAACTCAAGCTCCTCGATGTCCAGCTCTCGATCACAGAGTGCTGAGAAAGGAACCGAAAGCGCCGACGTGTTTCGCCGAGTCTCGACGGGCAATAATGATAGTGGGAAGGAAGCATGCTGGCGGCTCATCTCTTTGCGATCGCCAGTCACGAAAGCGACGAAGCTAAGGAAGTCGCGTTGAACCCTTTTTAGTGTTAAGAAGGGCGTCGGTGTTTGAGCGCGCTGGTCCAGTTTGGGCCCCGGCGATGGATCATGGCCACCTTTCGGCGTATATTCGCCGCCGCGATGGGTAGTCTCAGAGAGATTAAAGTACTCCAGATTCGAACAGCTTCGATATATCGGACCAGACAGCTCGAGGAAGTGTCGCACCTTTTGGATATCCCAGGCCTTGAGATATGATTGGATGCTATCCGGTTCCCGAATGACTTGAATGACGGGATGTGTCTGCGCATATTCCCTCAGCAGCCTCTGGCCACTGCGCTCCATTGATCCTGCTCCGCATGCAATCACGCATCCCTCCTTGTTATCGGTCAACATTGACTCGAATACCAGCGCTTCCTTTCGTCGGTACACGTCGTGGTCGTTGTCCTTCTTGAACGCGGCGCGGGAGCATCCGGTCACCTGGTGGAAGTATCGGTCCGAATCGATCAAGCGTCGGCCAGAGGTTGCCGCAAGAATAACTGCCAGGCTCGACTTTCCGGTACCTCGAATGCCGATGAGAACGACTGATGACTGTGGGGTGAAGTTGCGTGAGGTCTGCAAGGGTCCATTGTCGAAGGGAACCGGAGAGCCGCGGTTGGAGTGCAGCTCCCGCCACGACGCCGCCAGCGTGTGAGAGTCGCCGTTTGACTCTACTTGCTCACTGGCACGTCGCGAACTAGGCTGCGACCTGACTGCCGACGGCCAGGATGTTATCGCACCGGAGCCATACTTCCGGGGCTCCTCATCGCGATCGACCTCAGCCTCGTGCAATTTGCGCTTGGGCGGGCGCACAAGGATGGACATGATGTGGCAAGGAACCTGCTCAGAAGGAGGAAAAGCGGGGGCCCATTACCACAGAAGATGATATGGTAGGGCTCAACAACGCAGTGTGGGAGATAGGATATAGAATGGGAAGTTGGGGTTGCAGGGAGAACCGGGGCGAGCAATTAGGGAACACTTAGGTAACCCGCAACGAGGTGGAGGATTTGCGGGGGGAAATTTCAGGCATACGCGATTACACAATTACCATACGGCGACCGCTGGCGGACAAGCCCTCAGCCGGCAATGCAGTTTTCCCCGCGGGGTACGGTCCGCCCTCGCATGCGCGTGCAGCCCGGAATCGCTGGGCAAGAAAACCCAAAAAAAAAAGAAAAAAATCGTTAATATACTCAGAAGGATTCACAATGTTGGGCATCCTTAGGGCTCAATTGTGACAACGATTATTCTTGTGGTCCTGGACCACTTTTTGCTAAGGTGTCCGCCCCATATTGCATTTTGCCCCATTGCGACTGGCTCACCGCTGGCGGGTATCCGATCCTTCCCCGGAACAGCGAGAATCCTGACCTTTGCGAACTTGGTTCCTCGGCTTCAATCTGCTTTCGACGCGATCGGTCTTCATCTTTCCTGCCTTCTCCCATCTGGACAGTCCTGTCAACTCTCGCACGGTCCTTCTCTTGTGGGGGCGGTTATTCTATGGAGTAGGCCGCCACCGTCTGCGCAAGCCGCGGTCGGCAAAAGATTCAACTCCCCATCTCTCGATCGCATCGCATGAACATGTGGCCGAACCCGCCTAGCGTATAATTGAGACAATCACCATGAGCTCCGAGCCTCGCCAAACAAGCGGGGCCAGCGGCAAGTCCAAACGACGATGGACTGACCCGGACGAGGATGGTAAGGCGAATGCGCAAGACGACCCTAGCCAACCCAAGCGGCAGCGGGTATCACGGGCTTGCGACAGCTGTCGCTCGAAGAAAGACAAGTGCGACGGTGTACAACCGATCTGCTCCACGTGTGCATCTTTATGCCGACCCTGCACCTACAAGGCGAACCCCAAGAAGCGAGGACTGCCAACAGGGTATATTCGATCGCTTGAGCTGCTATGGGGGCTCGTATTCCAGAAGATTCAGGGTAGCGAAGATGTGATGCGCGCTTTGATGAGATCGATCAACCTGCCGAGTCATCTCGCCACGATGGGCAAGGAAGCAGAAGGGTCGGATACCCTGCTGTCATCATTCAAGAACAGCACAGTGCTGAGAGACATCGAGCGCATGTTAGTCGTGCTAGAGCAACCAGAGGAGGAAAGGGAAAGAAACCTCCAGGCATATGGTGATGGTGATACACCGCTGGACGTCGATTCGGTTTTGGCATCCTCCGAGGCCCACGAATGGCAGATACCCGAAGGACTAGAGCACCGCGAGACGCCCTTGCCGGGAATTTCACCATCTCGCGTATCCATGATCAGCTCTGCTCCAAGACCTCCTGGGTACAACACCAGAGACTCTGGCGTGCAAACAATATCCGCTGAAATGCCAACCCCGTCCCTCCCTCCCTCTTTCGATCACGGCGACCCTCGAATGATTTCCACTAACGCCCCCCTTCAACTCCCTTACAACGCATGGCCTCTTCTCGATATATACTTCTCATATACGCAATGCTGGTTTCCCATACTGGAGAAACATGACATACTCCGTACGGCTTTCCAATATACCGAAGGCAATGTGTACATGTCACGCGCAGCGCCTGGATCCGGCGACCACGCCGCTCTATGGGCTGTCCTGACCCTTGCCTCGCTTCAAGATGCTTCGATCAGCCCTGCACATCCGCCTGATGCTCAGTCTAACCATCAAATGAATCCTTCAAGAATGTACAATTCTGCGAGAGATCTCATTCCTTCAGAGATTGGCCCATTTGAAGTCGGCCATGTTCAAGCACTGCTTATCTTATCTCTCATCAAGTTCGGCCAGCAGGAATGGATTGCCGCATGGATGCTTGTGGGACATGCTGTCCGCATTGCTCAGACCCTGGGTCTGGACCAGCCATCACTTACAGCTCCGTCAAGATCCCCAGAGCAGGGCAAGCAGCTGGGGCGGGCCAAGCATGTCTTCTTAGGATGCTTTGTGCTCGAAACATTAATCGCGGAACACACAGCGCAATGCCCTTCTCTGCGAAAGGACGACCTAGCTAGGGTAGGGGCTATCAATGAGGACGGGCTGGAGGAATGGCATCCATGGGAAGATCAATCCGGTCTTCGTCCTACACAGTCCTCCCGCGCTTCTATGCAGCGCGGACCCCTACATGCACTAAGCACTTTCAATCGTCTTGTATCTCTTGTTTGCATATTAAACGACCTTTGTTACTATAAACAAGACCCGACTATCTCCCGCTTACAACTGGAGTCACTGGAACTGCAGCTCCACCGTTGGGCGTCAACGCTTCCGAAGAGTTATCGAGTCGACTTGCAAAGCCGCCCAGTCAAGCTGGCCTCGCCGCACATTTTCGGTCTTGAAATGACATACCAAAGCATTGTTTCAGCGATAAGTCTGCACATTGCCTCGCGTGAAAGCGACCAGAATATTCCGGAAATGCCTCACAAGGCCAAAGCGATCGAGAGTTCTAAACGCCTACTTCAACTGCTTCAGGTCTTTATGGAGACCTACAGTCTTTCAGCCACCGCGCCAACCTTTGGAATGATCCTCAGATACTGCTTGCCACGCTCAGACCCTCGGTACTTTGCCACAGATATCGAAGTGGGCCTTCGGAGTACGATCCAATCGTTCACGTCCCAGCTTGCGCAGTTGTGGATTGCCCAAGATCGACCCCCGACAGGCCAGCCAAGGACCCAAGGGACAATAGTGTCCCCGGCATCTCAACAGCCGGCTATAACACCAATTGAAGATCCCACATTGCAGCATGTCATGCCAGCATCTACACCCCGCCACCTCGCGTCCTCAACCGATTTGCATGCTTCTCAAAACAATATCCACCATCCACCTACATCCGACCCATTCCTCTCTACTCCTTGGCTCCATGCCACTCAAGGCATTGACGATGGTGGGACACTTCTTCCTACGCCTACCGCATCCATGACTACTGTTGGCGGCGCCTCGGAAATCTCGGCACGACCAAGTCAATTAGATGGCACCCTAGGCAGCAGACTCCGACAGTCTACATCAGTTCCTTCCAAATCTCACAATGGCCCAGCCATGATTCCCGATCTTTCACCATCCTTCCCACCGAGTGGACAGTACCACCAGGTGTATCAAGACCCTCCCCTCCACATCAGCTCCTTTGTCGACATGGACGGTTACGGGCCACCGCGGCAGCGGATTGCACCAGATCTCGATGCCCTATTCGATGAACTTGCCTCGTTGGACGGTGCTGAAAAGTCAGTTATCCATCTCCTCTCCCAGCCAAGATAACTAAATAATAACTCGATTTTCCAGGCCTGATAATCAACCTGAGTTCATGCAGAACCTCGGCTTTGTATCTGATACCGGCGTACCAGAATTCTACTCGTTTTCGAGTCAGATCGAGCCTTTCCTGTTGGCACAGACTCAACAAATGCCTGTTCCCGCGCCTTCGTCTGCAGTGCGAAGAGAGTCATAGTCTCTCAGCATGTCAGGAACACCAAAACGATGACGCGTCTGTGGTTCTTTTCATCCCTGCTTGTCCGTTGAAAGCCGCTGGTCGGCAGCTCACCCGGCGTTGAGGGCCATAAAGGCCGGCAGTCGGGGTCGCGATCAGTATTAATATATCGTAGTGAAGCTCTGCGCGTATCAGGAGATGTACGATACTGCCTTGCACAGTCCTGTTCAAGGGACCACTTTGATGGATGCAATTGTGGCGGCTCATAGATATTTCATCATCCCGCGTTGGAATATTATAGCTAGTTGTTAACTAAGCGTTCGGACGAGCATCACAACAAAGCCGTTCTCCACATCTTCCAATACATCAGAAGTCTTCCAGTTCGTAGCAACCATATCCACCATGCCATCATGGGAGAATCAATAAAGTCATTCCAGCAGAAGGAATAGCCTTGGGTAACCTTCAATCAAGCTGCAACAGAATTACCGGAAACCCCTCCGGCCTCAAGTGCCCTATATACAACTGTATACTTGAACCAAAGTCCCATGTTGAGCCCCATCCCATTCCATTGTCATCAACACATCAGATAACGTCCCAACCCTTCTGCAAGCCAACCTACAATGCAGCCTTATTATCCTTCTCCAATTCCTTGAAATTCACCGCAACATGCTCAACGGCAACCTTATACCCATAAATGCCCAGCCCCACAATAATGCCCGCCGCCTTATCGCTAAAGTACGAGTGGTGGCGCCATGGCTCGCGCGCATGCACGTTGCTCACATGCAGCTCGATGAATGGGATGCCCACACCTAGCAGTGCATCGCGGATTGCCACGGAAGTGTGCGTGTAAGCACCCGGGTTGATGATGATGCCGTCGACGCGGCCGCGGGCGGCTTGGATGCGGTCGACCAGCGCACCTTCATGGTTAGACTGGAATGCGTCGAAGGTGCAATTGTGTTGGGCTGCGACAGCAGCGCAGTTGGCTTCGACGTCCGACAGCGTTGTGTGGCCATAGATGTGTGGCTCGCGGGTGCCGAGGAGGTTGAGGTTGGGGCCGTTGAGGAGGAGGATTGATTTGCCCATTTTGTATGTCAAAAGGTGTGTAATGGTGGTGATGGAGGTATTCAGGTGTTTAGGTATTCAGGTACTTGGATTGGGCCGTATGAATTGAATTCCAGAAGTGCGCGATTGAATCAGAATGTTATATTCGGTATTTTGGCTATTTGATTCGCGCGCTGTTCTCTCCGCATTTTTGCGCCCCCCCGCTGCCGGCTGAGCGCTTTGCCGGGTGGGGTATCGAGTCGGCGCGGCACTCGGCTGGAGTTTGTTTGCGTACGTGGGTGCTGTCATGCTTTTGTTATGCCGAGAATTTGGTAATTTTCCCACGTTCCTATTTCCCGTTCTGTGAACGTTTTATGGTGGTCTGTGAAGTCGTAAAATTGTGGGGGATGAGGACGGACCCTGAAGGGGATAAGTCGGCTGGGGAACCAGAGCCCGGGCCAACTTGGGAGGATATATGAACTGACCACAAATTTGCTCGCCCATAATCTAAACCCCTCGGGATCACTGTAAAGGAATTCCGAGGTCAAGAAAGGTGGGACTCACTTCAGTTTGTCACCAAGATTATAACACTGGGTAAAGACTTTTGGCCGGCTGTCTCCCTTTATTATCCGCAAACCTCCAACGATGGATGGGTTTAGAGTAAATATTTTGCTTCCATATCCAGGCAGAGACATGCCTTAGCTAATTTACACGCTGTAAGCAGAAGATTTCTAAAAAAATCCCCTCCAGGAGCGACAGTGCGCTCGTGCGCCTCCTGGGGTCCATTAAACAACATCAAATCGGTTCCTGAACCCTCATGTACATGACCAAATACATGCGGCCTTGGTCGAACAATATTTCTACTCCTGGGTTAGGTATCGCCGGCTTGTCGTGGTGGGTTGGCATTTTAGGGCTCATTTTAGGACTTACCTCGCTGTTCTTGGTGATTGCAAAAGGAATCCTGCGCAGGTAGTGATGCGAGATCTAGCAATTAGGCGACAAAAATGGGAGATGCAGGTTCTCCGAGGATTGACGGAAGTGCCCCTAGGATCGGTACGGATATTTCTTCGTTATTCCAAATCCTCGTGATTCATGTTTGTCTCCTTTTCCTGTAAGCAGTGTCACTTTCCTTGTCCCCAGAGCCGTACTTGAGGTTCTAGGAACAGCAAAGCTCCCAGGGCCGGCTTGTACGTTCCAGGAACCGATGAGGCCGTCTCTAGTATAGACTGTAGTGCCTATGGGGTTATTTTTCCTTCAAGTACAAATGAGGAAACAGTGCCAGCAATGTTGCCCCTAAAGTATGAAGAAATTTTATCGGTAGACTGCCCAAACCCCCTTTAGATGGTTCAGTCACGGTGTAGGTAGCAGATGATAGGATAATAGATCGCTGGTCCCGCTCAATTTTCAGCGAAGTAGCTCATGCAGTCATATCAATGGCCTCGTTGCGATTTTGTCTTGCTCAGAAGCTTTTGACTACTCATTAGCACCAGGAACGCGTGCCGCGTCTCTAATTTCGCGCTATTTTTCCAGGGAGCTACGAGTCCTCCGGGAGCCATGGTAATAGCACCTGTGAGCAAGCAAAGTGGTGTCTGGGAGCTTCAATCTGGCCCAAGGATACAGCCAAGCCAGGGTTTGCCCTAATTTGTTTGACGCCGTGCATTACAATATCTAGCACAAACAACCGGTCCTTTGGCCATTTGAGACAGTGGTCACTTCGATATCTCACTTACATGTTTTCCATACCGATGGGATATCACTTCTCTGGTAATAATACTCCTGTAACACGAACCTTTCCAGCCCCCTATTCCAGATAACTAAACCTTGGCTCGGGAATCCTGGGTGACGCTAAATGAATTTAGTTTGCGCCCCACACCCCCAATCCTTTGCGGCCAGGCAGCCTTGTATCCTCGAGAGCACATTCAGGCCGTTCGGATCCGTCGCAATTGATATCTTAGAGGGCCATTAATTATACGACTTTTCGTGGCCATACAAGTCCCTTGAACCCTTAGAGGAGATCAACGATTCCCAGTATCAATTGCTCTCACACTACCAGACGCCAGCCGCCACGGACGTCTCCAATTACTTTTCTACAGGCAGGGTCACCGCTGCCACGATTTCCTCTCCATAATAGAGAGTGCTGTTACTGGCAAGATGTCGAATATTCAAGAAAACGCACGAGCCGCTTGTCGCTAGTCCCACTAGCGAGTTGTCTCGATCGAGCAACTCGATCGAGCAACTCGATCGCCCACCTCTGCCTCACCGTTGGGATGATTGCTAATAGCTCCAAGCTGATTGGTTGAAAGCATACTATAAGCCTTGTACGCAAGTAGTAGAGTCGTTTGTATGGCAGGAGTTCACACGACGAACCCTTTAAATACACAATCTGCCCATTATTGACTAGAATTTCACTTTTTTTAAATGTGAATCGAACGAAATCTTCATCTCTATCCTGTGTCATGTCTTCCTCAAAAGCAGAGCCGATGAGCGAACTTCCCATTCCAACTCATGCGGCCTCCGAACGCCATTCCGATTCCGGCGAAATTATTCGGGACCTGACCATTGGCTTTGCTGATGGCATGACTGTTCCCTTTGCTCTTACGGCCGGTCTATCAAGTCTCGGATCCTCAAAGCTTGTCATTATCGGTGGTCTCGCAGAGCTGTTTAGCGGAGCTATCTCGATGGGACTGGGTGCCTACCTAGCAGCTGTCACGGACCGAGATCACTACAAGAGTGAAGAAGCACGCGAGCGCCAAGAAGTTATCACCAAGCCCGCGGCGGAAAAGGAGGAGTGCCTTGAGATTCTTGACAGTTATGGCATTTCTCGTGAAGCAAGCCAGTCCGCAATTGAATGCCTCACTCAGGACACTGAACAGTGGATTCGGGTAAGAGCCAAACAAAAGTTTCCACAAAAGATGCACAGTTACTGACGCATGGGTATAGTTTATGATGGACTTTGAATTGAAACTGGAGAAACCCAATGTCTCACGAGCATGGATCTCAGCAGCCACAATGGGTATCTCGTATTTTATCGGTGTGTCAAAATTCGGCCACCTACCCCTTCTCCTGACTGATGAAGCCTCCATCACTGACTATATTTCATTCTCCTTTAAGGTGGCCTCCTTCCTATGATCCCATACTTCGTTATGAAAAATGTCAACCACGCTCTGTTCATCTCCATCGGCATCACGGTAGTCGTTTGCATCATTTTCGGTTTCTCCAAAAATTACGCCATCCTCAAGACCAAGCGCGCAGGGTTCTACGGCGCTGCGCAGACACTGTTCGTGGGTGCACTTGCTGCTAGCACGAGCTACGGAATCGTTTACGGAGTGGATCATAGCAGTCTCCATGCATAGAAAATACTCGTCTCATTTGACAACTTCATGTGTCTCAATATTTCGTGGTACCTCAACGAAATTTTGCCTCTCGTTTGCTCAGTCTTCCTAAGCAAGGGAAGATTTATACCAGTCTTGATGTCAAAGGAAGTATTTATCTAGGCTCATGGCTTCAGTTCATTTTGGTATGTGACGCATTGGCCCCATATTCCAACTGGAGCGTCCTTGCCTGATCGTCCCTGTTTGCCCGGTAGTCCAATCGTATGAACGTTACTAACTTTACCACCATATTTGCCAGTATGCCATCCTCTAACTTAGAAGTAAAAATCCAAGTCACTTGGTGACCCGTTCAATAGCGAGGTATCTTATTGAACTGGGACCAAATCCCGCGATAGAGATAGTCTAGGCCAAAAAGCATTATTACGGATACCTAATTGAAAACCCCTAAGATATATCCTAAGATATAGGTCACTCAATTCCCACTTGAGATATTGGCGGGATTGTTTGCATCTGACTGCGCATCTGTCCGTAAATTCTAGGGTGAACGGCAAAGCCACCAAGCAATGATATATTCACACAATCTCATCGGCCAGGGGATAGAGTTCGCACTATGGATAGGTGGCGTCCGACGCAAAGCAGGGGGCAGGGCAAAATTTGGAGGGGCGGATGGCGAGTGCGAGAGCTTCACAGCTGGGACGACCTTGTAGGATGAATACGTTCAACCCGAGGAGTAGGGAATTGTACGGATGTCGACTCTGTCCAGACCTTGGATTGAATCAGGACTCTGAATCATGTTTTCTCAAGGAGCGCTGGCCAGAGTGTGGTCTCAAGAAGCCGCGCGGCAGGACCAAGGAGGCAAATCAGGGGCGATCTGCGACATGTCGCCCTTGAAGCGGCATTTCTGGAGTTTCGATGCGTCGTACCGCCAATCCTTGTATGCATAATGATCAGCAATCAACTGACCTTTCTAATCAAGAAGGCAGTAGCACAACGACGCAGTAATAATTTCGATCGAGACAGAAGTAGAGGAATATTATCGGCGACTAGTGATTATGTGCACTGCGGTTAGGATACCCGTCAGAGACTCCGGAACCCCCACTCTCGCGGTAACCCTTGTTATCATAACATCTTCATTCTATCCTCCAATGGCCATGGATAGACCTATGTGCCGAAAAGGCCTTTTTACCCTTGCTTCCTAGCTTCCACAATTTATCACTTAAGATATGCTCGTTTGTCCAAAAGCAGGACGTGGCTTTTCAGCGTCCTTCTGTTTTCCCAGGAATCCCAAGTGGTCTATGGTATGCAAGACGTGGGTCGATTAAACGCCGCCTTGGCTGCGGGAAACAGTTCGCAACCTTCGTCGAAACATTTGCCTGCCTCGATAGGATCATTGCAGCGACTTGAAGCTGCGTTACCTAACATTACACAGGCATGGCTGTGGTCATCTCGGTAAATGGAAAATTCGGCTTTGTTGCTCACACCTCCAAAATACTAGATCAAGCTCTTGCTCTTGCTCAACCCGTTCGTCCTTCGGTGACCTCGGAGAGGAAGGTGGCGCTGCTAGGCACCCAAGCACCCTGCTGAGCAACGGCCTAGATCGGAAATAGAGTTAAGGGGCTGCAGTCTACCAATCACGTCTAGTGTAATTCTAATCAAGTCGGTGGTCTATTTTTGGGAAGCGAAAAAGCTAAGTCGAGATCAAGATACATAAGATCACACACATTGCGTTGATGATGAATATTATTCATTCTCCCTTGCAAGAGGCTTAGCGCCAGGCGAAAGTTTTCTTTCCGAGTCCCTCAACATGGTAGTACCCACCAGGAGTGGGGTAATCGTGAGTCTGTCAGGTTGGTTCCGCCCCTTAAAGCTTAGCCATGTTGGCATTCCAATCGTCCGAATCCTTGCTGACCCAAACATTCAACTTGAATATAGGTCTGTTTTTGTGTATCATTGACCTGGTATCTGCTGCGTCCGCCTCGAATTTCGCGAGCATTTTCAATCTCCCTGTCACGTCAAGCTCGAATTTTACTTTCGCTTTGAATATACCCAATGGCTCTACCGACCTCAATTTCCACCTGTCCGGCCCGACCGATTACTCGTGGATTGCGGTCGGGACGGGCGATAAGATGAAGGATTCTCTTATGTTTGTCGTTTACTCCAATGCTGGTCAAAATAGTGAGTCCTTGATGACCCCCAAATGGAGTATTCCTCAAAGAAAGTATCTCATTCTTACATACTCCCTCGCTTAGATGTGACTATTAGCCCCCGTCTATCGTCAGGTGAACAAGAACCGGTGTACTCATCGTCGATCTCGCTCGACATTCTGGAAGGAACCGGAATTTCGAATGGTACCATGACAGCCAATTTTCGATGCTTGAACTGTACGAGCTGGGCAACGGGTTCGCTTGATCTCCAATCCGCCTCCCAATCTTGGATTTATGGACTCGGTCCTACTGGCAGCATGTGTGCAATGCTACGGAGTAATTCTATGACAGCCAGCATAGAGAGACACTCGGAATACGGTTAGTCTTACAATCCGGTAACGGTTTTATCTACCTCTGGAAACTGACTTGTGTACTGTGAATTTTTCAGGGATGTTTACTATGGATATGGTTCGGGCGACTGGTTCTGGTGGACTGCCAACATCCTATACAGCATCCATCGGTTCGGCTCTAAGCGATCGCGGGAAAACACACGATAGTAATTGGCCTAGCATCATCCATGCTTTGAGCGCTTGCGTAGCCTTCATTCTCCTGATGCCGACCGGTGTCGCCTTCCTCCGCATTGCACCGAAAAGTGTTCGTTGGCACTGGATCAATCAAACTTCGTCTGCAGTAATCGGTCTCATTGGAATTATGATTGGCTTCTACCTCAGCACCATGTTCACAAAATCACAAAACTACGGCTCCGCGCACCAGATTCTGGGTATCGTGATCCTAATCGCAGTTCTAGCTCAATGGATCATGGGCTTCTCACATCATCTCATGTATAAGAGGTATCAGTCGCCGACCAAGCTCGCTCCTGTTCATCGCTATTTCGGTCATGTCATCGTTCTTCTGGCCATTGTTAACGGCGGCATTGGGCTTACGTGGTCATATGCGTCCAAGTCTGTCATCATTGGTTACTCGATTGTGGTGCTTATTCTGGGTGTAATCTCTATCTTGCTCTTTGGTTGGTCGAGATGGGAGTCTAGGCGCAATAAAAAGGAGTACATCAACCCCTACGAGCTGGAGAGTTTTCGGGGAATCGGCGATATTGACGGTAACTAGTGGACTCAGTATTCAGACAGAGACAGGACGCGAGACAGGGACTGAACTAGTTATGGTCGGCTATGATGCTTCTACGGCAGGGCCAAATATCAGGTCTGGTATTAAACAAGCGAGCACGTGAAACAGTGGTCCATTTGGAATTAACGATGTCAAGATCTTGCCTCCATCTTCCAGATCCGAGACATGTCAAGAGCGCTACAGTCTTCAAGGTAGCCTAGCATCATTTCAGAAAGATCAACCGCATAGCATCAGCAGGGCTATCGCATTAAACCCGCAAACCAAGTTACTGAAGCTGCCCCTCGCATTTTCGAAGCGGGCATCAAGTGATTAGCGGAATATACGCAAATAGAAGAAAATATAAGAAACAGTACCATGATTGTCGGCCGCTTGACTATGTACATTAAATTTATATACTGAAGATCCAAGAATAGCATGGGAGAGACTCAGGTTTAACTATGCCGCCCTCCTCCCTTGAGAGCTTGATTAGGTGGGACGTACCTGGATTAGCTACTTGGAGACATTACCGGTGATAAAACCAGCAATATTACAGAGCTCTGTAGAGAGGTATCGATCGAGGGATCTCTAGACGTCGTTGCTATCCAACGCTAGGGCCCAATTTTCCGCCCCTCTCTTCATGCTCAAATACTGAGCTAAATGGAACGTGGGGCTTCTGGACTTTATTACTTGACAAATACTATGTACTCGCTATGAAAGATCCAATATTGCGCTTGTTTACGGTGGATCTCCATTAAATTACTAATTACTAAATCTTCTAGGAATCTTACTACCCAACCCCCTCCACAAAACCAATCAGGACTTTGAAGCAGCTCAAAAGTGAAACATGCGATATGAAGAGTTCAAAGCTTGACTTGATATAGTATAAAATAATGGAAAAAATGTGCTTCGATTGTTAAATTATTAAATCATCGCGTATTGTAGCTCTGCTAATAAAATTCCGCCCAAGTCGATATGCACCTATATACGCAGAATAATATCCGCCAGGTAGGGCTTTTCTGCCTGGGCTGCCGCCTCTTTTTGATGGTGAAAGTGGTTTATTTCAGTTTTGCTAGGCTAAAGAATGATTGAACGGGCTAAGGTCATATAGATACAGCTCTGGTAACCAAACAGAGCTACATGTTTTCTGGAAATCCTTTTGCCAATCCGCCCATAATTTAAGTGCGCAAGACTTCAGACAACGTGCAATATTTGATTAGATTAGTATTAATTCAATGTATCTAGGTATCTTCAATATCAGCAGCTATGTCATGTATTCATAAACGTTCCACCGAAAAATTCCTCTTCAACCGGGCTGTGTGTAAACCGTAGTGTTACTGACAGACTCAGCCGGTAGCCACTGCCCGGCAATGGTGTTGTTATACGTGAGTTGGGCGAGTGTAAATGTGTGGAGCTCGGACACCAAAACCGTGGCATCCATGGGCAAGACACGGTGCACCATGGCATTTTGAGTGAGCATAGAGATGTACTCTTCGCCGGAAACGGATGTGATGCCAGCGTCAAAAGTCACGCGAATCAGGGCATCGGGCGAATTGTTGCTGAGCAGCGACGTCGACAGGAGCCACAAGGCTGGGCCGCCGGCTACGCTCGACGCGTCAGCGATATGCAGTAGACCAGCGTTGGTGCCGAGCAGCGGGTGCTGGAGCTGGAAGAACTCCATCTCGCCAGAGGATCCGATATGGCCAAAGGTGCCGGTGCCACCAGTGGCATTCCCAGCGAGAGTGAACCACACACCATTCATGGGACCGTAGGCGGAGATCATTCCGACGGCGTTGTTGCCGACGCTGGGCGGAATTGGCAGCTGCGCCGTCTCGCCACTGGTGACATTGATGCGCATGATGGACGAGTCACTGTCTTGAGTGACGTAGATCAGGCCGGTAGTCGGCTCCTCCTTAATAAACACGGGGCTCTTGAGGCACTGATACATCGTATAGTCCGTAGGGTTGGAGACATGGGCAGAGAACACATAGTACTGGCCAGTTTGCTCAGATGCTACCTTCAGGCCGGCCCAGACGCGGTCGCCAATCTCAAACACACAATGCGGACCGTTTCCCGGCTCCGGTATATCAATAGTCTGTATGATGGACGGCGTAGTCGAGAGGTTCTGACCGGGATCCACGAGCAGCAGCTGGTTGTCGCCCTGGAGCGATAGCCACATCATGCCTGGGTACACAGTCGATGGCCACACACCATGTAGCTCGGAACTACTGCTCTTTCCCATGGGGAACGAGTGAAAAGCAACGGGCTCCTCGGTGGTTGGGTCCAGCTCGATCTTGATAAGCTCGCTGTCAGACATCTGCGTCAGCAGCACGAAATTCGAGTCCGGCACGCGCGCAAACTCATGCGTCTCAGTCGCGGCCGGCATCAGATACTCAGTGAGGCGACGGCTCACTAGCGAATTGGCGGAATTCTGTGCCAACGCGATGTTGGTGCCGAGCGCCAGCGCGATCACGAGCGACTTGAAAGTATGGTACAACATATTTGAAGTTCCTTGCTTGACGGTTCTGGGCTTGATATTTTTGCAATGGGCGAAATGCCCACTTTTATTTTGTCGTAACAAGCTGGATAGGTATAGCCTAGTATACACTCAAGGCGAATAATATCAAGCGGAATCAAAATCAGATGAACAAGAGTGAGAAAGAAAAACGGGGAGGGAAGGGGGTATAAGCACAAGCCATGCGGGCGCGCTACGGCCCGACCGATTCTACACTCGTGTTCATGAATGCCAAGTACCAGGATATAAGGCATGGGATCTCCAGTGTGATCTATCATTTGCTAGCGGCAAGTTACCGCTCCATGTTTCGACATATTTTAACTGCCTACCACATACTGTAATCGTTCAACGCCACATCCCGCACTAGTAATTCTACATACCAGATCGTATTATATACCGCTAAATCCCCTTCAAAATATTAGTGTTTACGAGGAAAAATCGTCTGCACCACAAAGCTTATACATTACCAAACAACAAGGGGCCAAAGCGGTTAGTGTAAAGAGTGGGGTGTAGATCGTGGGACACCCTCATCCTGTCGCTTTTCAGTGTCCATTCTGAATGGCATTCAGAGTGCTGCTAGGCCGAAAGAGGCAATGGGCGACCTTTTGTGGTTGATGTGGTACGTGTAACTAACGTAATTCCCGGTTGATCTGGCCACCCGGTTGAGCTGGCCACCCCTTCAAAAAACGCGTCTTCTAAACCACCCACCCAATTCAACCACCTACCATGCCACCAATTCGCTCTGAATCCGCGCAGAAATCAGCCAATCAAGAGGGCAAGATCTTATTAGCCCTTGATGATATTAAAAATGGCCGCATCACCTCTTTCCGCGCAGCAGCAAAGCTATACGCAATACCACGTTCAACACTACAGACGCGCGCTCACGGCCAGACCTCACGCGTCGAGAAGCGCCCAAATCGCCATAAATTAACACAAACCGAAGAGGATTCGCTTACTGAGTGGATTATCTCTATAGATACGCGTAGTGCAGCGTCTAGGCCCTCTACGGTGCGAGAAATGGCTAATATTCTATTAGCTACGCGTAGTAAAGACCCTCCGCCTACAGTAGGCAAGAACTGGTCATCAACCTTCGTCTAAAGACGCCCTAAGCTTCGTTCAGCGTTCTCAAGACGCTACGATTACTAAAGAGCCCAAAACGAAGACCCTACCTTACTACGAGCCTAGTTTACGACCGTACAAGATATCGTCGACGCGCACGGTATCCAACCGGGGGATATCTATAACTTTAACGAGACCGGCTTCGCTATAGGGATTATAGCTACACAGAAGGTCGTTATAAGGGCGGAATATTACGGTCGGCGATCGATTTTATAACCAAGGAATCGGGAATAGGTCACAGCGGTCGAAGCAGTCAGCGCTGATAGCTACTCGCTACCGCTATACGTAATATTCAAAGGCAAAAACTTTATAGCGTCGTGGTTCGACGAAAAGCTTCATCTTCTAAAAGATTAGCGTATCGAGGTCTCGCCAAATAGCTAGACTACCGATAAAATTAGCCTTCGGTAGCTACAGAAGCTATTTATTCCAGCGACAACGATACGTACGAAAAGGAAATATCGACTCTTAATTCTTAACGGCCACGGTAGCTATCTTACGCCTCAATTCGACCAGATCTACACAGAAAATCATATTATACCACTTTATATACCTCCGTACTCTTCGCATCTTTTACAACCGCTTGATGTTAGGTATTTTGCTATATTAAAACGCACATACGGTCGCTACGTAAGCGATCTAGCTCGTATATTATATAACCACATCGACAAATTCGATTTCCTCGCAGAATACGCCCGGGCGCACACGGAGGCCTTTCAACCTTATATTATTCAAAATAGCTTCGCTACTACTAGTCTTATTCCAATCGACGCAGATCGAGTGCTTTTAAAGCTTAATATCTCGCTCAGAACGCCCTTACCTCCGAATACTAGGCTATATAGTCGATTAAGCTATTTCTTACCAAAAACACCTAGAACCGTCGTATAACTACAAAAATCAGCTTCGATATTAAAGGATCTATTAAGATATCGGTCAAATAGCCCTCCGAGCCCATCAAAAACCGTACTAGATCAGATTATCAAAGGCGCTTGCATATCGCTTCACGGGGCCGCGCTATTAGCGCAGGAAAACAGCGTTCTACACGCAGCGAATCAGAAAATACGCCAAAAACGCATACGATCAAATCGACAGATAGCTCACGAAGGAGGCCTTACAATTGAAGAAGGCCTACAGCTAGTTAGGCAGCTAAATCAGCCAATTGAAGCCGACCGGGTCGTACCGCATAAGCAAGCGAATGAGGCTATCCAAGAGCCTCAGCCAGCAACCAGGGCTCCACCGAGGTGTAGTGGGTATTTTCAGATTGGGCACAGATATAATCATTGTAAAAACCGCTAGATATAGCCTAATTGATGTGTTTTGGTTAAGATATTAAGATTCAAAATTTCCTAATGGGGTAGGGTGGCCAGCTCAACCGGGTGGCCAGATCAACCGGGAATTACGTTAGGCTGAAAATTTTTGTGACTAAAGAGTAGAACGTGGGGGTTGGGGGGTCTTAAGGAATGCACGGACCTTGTAACCGGAGTCTCACTGTAGAGTAGGGCCGTGAAGAGGTCCCTGATGCATCTGGTCATGGCCAGGCCACTCATCACCACCACGCCGCCTATCGCTTCTTAGTTAGTCATGGTCGGCGCGTACTGCTTCACCAATCAGAGATAGCGTCATCCCTGCTCAGTCAGCCCAGCCTTGTTGACCCCAGTTAATCGCGGCTCAATGTTCCTGAGAGCCGCAAGATCGCAGAAACCTGGAAACTACGCCTAGCCACATTTCAATGGCCCCAGGATCCGCACTCCCGTCTCTAGGATCACAACTGTCCGTTTCCAGGGGCTAGGCTACGCGTGTCCTGGGAGCCGTGTCGATGGCCCCTAGGAGCAACCATCATTGCGTCTGGAGGTCTCACCTTATGCCCCCAGCACCAGTTGTCTAGCCCCTGCCTAGTTAGGTAAAGACATAATACTATTAAATTCACCTTCAGAGCCTCCTTCTAGTCTTCCGATAAACTCCCTGTTAAACCCAGATCAGCTTATCCAATATATACAACATCGAAGCATATATCTGAACTCCCTTAAGGAGTTACAGATCACGACAAGCAGGCCAAACGGAGGCGGCGGAAGGGTGTAGATAGCAGCTGATCGATGGCACGCCCTCCATGTTTGAGGGTTCTGATTGGCGGTAAAATAAAATGATCATTACTATTATGGGATGAACTCGTTTTCAAGCTTTCAGGGCCCATTTGGAATTTCATTTCGGGAGGCCAAATTTCAGAAATTTCGAAATTCTATTTTGACTTCTCTATAGGACATTAATCCTGCAAACAGGCCGAACAGATGGGTGTCTGCTTTGCTTGTCTGGCGACATGGCTGGAGTTTGAATCCCAGTTCTGTCAACTGCTCACCGTCTACAGTGAGCACTGTACGTAGACGAGCGAGTGGTATAGAGACAGTACTAGTGGGCAATATATTTTTTTTGCTTTTTGTGATAGGCTTGGCCTTCTTAGGGACTAGCATCTGCTAAACTGACTGGTCGGACTCATGCTGACGTTGGATCCGTCAGACTATTAATTCGTATCCCAATGACCACGATTTTCGGCCGCATGGGCTAAATAGAGGGTAAACCAGAGTGCAGGAAAACAGTGGGGACAAGAACAGACGGCGAATCTTCTGTTTAACTACTGCCTCATGGCTTGTGGGTTTGGAGCGGAGTACTGGGATCGATTGGTTTGGCAGCATCACATTCCGGCTCCATGCTCTTAGAATACGTGTATTGGTAATAAGCCAGTGGGCCCCCGCTCTGCAACCAGTATTTCTCAAGTCATGGAAACAGGCATACGATCATGATCATGCTCTTGCTCACATTTATCGTCATCTTCGTCCTCTCCGACTTTGACGATTCTATACGGGGCGGCAACACGGACTTCTGAGTAGGACTCGGTACCAACTGGTAAAAATCAATATTTAATCCAAAGGGGAAAAAAGCTGTTGGTGAACTCACATATGGTCCAGTACAGGTACTTGCCGATAACAGGGGCCCAGATCGCGATAGCGAGAATTTGCCCAAAGGACCAGCCACTTAGGTCAACTGTTCCAGCCCGAACAATCAGGACAAACAACACAACATATGCAATGGAGGCCGCGAGCAGAAGCACTTCGACGACAGTGACCAAACATCTGTAGCCTTATATGAACCACCACGATTTTGAGGACCGGAATCGCTGGCAGGCACAAGAAAGTCGAGTAAGCGCAGGGGTTTTCTCGACAATTAATTCAAATCGACGCCATTTGCACAGGCGTGGGAACAGCCATTCAATCAGACAAAGAACATATATCACGAAACAGATCGGATCAAGACCATAGCCAAACATTTTCTGCGGGATTGTTAGGAGATGCATAAAATGCTGGTTTGCACACCAACTGAGAGGAGAGGGTTGGCCTCCACAGCTGCTTGGCCAACTCCCGTCAAGAGCCGCCAGACGGTTGATATTTGGCCATTTAGTGGCATTATTTATAAATGCGGCTTCCGCCATTATGAGGGTAATGGTAGAAAGGAAGAAGATCCAGGTAGAACACATGTGCATCCTCATTAAACTCCACTGGCCAAAGACAATGGGAAGGATACCAGCAGCAGCGACCATATTCGCCACTGTATTGTTCGCTAACAAGGCCATTAGGGTCGAGGCATCGAAGACTTGTTTGTACCTCATGGCGAAAAAAATAGCAGCCTGGCATGCGATCATAAACCAACATTGGGCCTCTTGATACTCGACCAGAATGGATTTCAGGACATATCCGTGTGTAGCTAGAAACTCTCTGGATCTGGGTTCTAGCGCCTCAGCTTTCTTTCTAGCTTGGTCTCGTCTTAATCGAGTCGCAATAATGCTGGCAAATTGGAACATTCGAGGAGTGAGTCTGAATGTACGTAGAAGGAACCAAATGTAGAGGACAATAACCAGCTGAAACAAGTACGAGATAACAGCCTAGAGGAACCGAGTTATTCTCCGAAGAAGGCACGTATATAGCGAAATATTTGATTTACCCCAGGCCCCCCAATATCGGCATTGACTTGCGCATTAATTCCAGCACAAGCAGGACTAGAATAGAAGGTATATGAATCGTTATCATTTTGAATCGAGAATTCGTATGGATACTGGTATGCAGCGAGATCCTGGCACCCTCCAATACTGGCGCCCGGATTCTCACAGTAATCACTGACACAAGTTTGGACAAGGGTTTAGAGGATTGGTTGGTTGGTAGGCTATTGAAGCAAGCCGCAAAATTATCAAATTGTTCAAAGACGAAACTGGGCTCCCGGCATAGCGAGGACAGATTGCCTTCCATGGCTGCCTCCACGGCGGTCCTTGAATGAACAGAAAACTGAATAGAAATAAAAAGATAAATTAGCAACTTAAGAAACGAGGGGCCATCTTCGTTATAAAGAAAGGGTGTATGCGGCGTCCTGCGGCTGAGATGTTAAAGCGTGGCTCGCGGCGTCCAGTCGCGCCGGACGGAGATGCGAATAGAGTTCGAATATCTGATGCCGCGAAATCTACTGCCGTGGGGTCACCCTGAACTGCAGGAAAAACACGCAGGACGCTACATCGGAAACAAAAAAAACCAGACGATTAGCGAGTTTCTCCAGCGACGATGCAGCCAATGATGGACGTGTAAAAAGTCGGGACGGGGAATGTATTGGCCCCCACGGCGCACTATACCCAGCAAAGCTAGAAAGCAGCCGAAAAGTGGCCCAGCCAGGGCTGAATATAAATGCGCTACCATAGCGCTAAATACCTTAGCGTCGCCACGTCTCATCTGACCGGACTATCTGTCCCTGCACGCGGGATGGCTCGCGCATTGACCGGCGCTACCACCACATTCTCGATCGCTTTGCCTACACTCAAATTCGAAATTGGCTTTTATGTTTTACACACAGACACACTCTCAGCCCGAACACCAAGGCTATTGCTAAGCCTATCTGGGACAGTGTAGGTAGCCCATATGTTATCCCCTGTCCGTCAGAATGCAGACGTAAATTATCTGACAAGACAAATACGCGTTGAACATTTGATGACGCGTCTGGCCATACATACGGTATGTACATGCTCCCCTCCCGTCAACAGGCCAAAACAATCCGGGATTCATGAGCCATCAGAGTGTCTGCTACTTAGCTCACAGGGCAAGCTTCCAGGATAGAAATGATATACTTGGCGAACTATCCAAGGTTAGGTCCGGCCATACCTGACGGAACCTTCATAGATTGGCCGGCCTGTTCTCATTTCTATGTCTCGCATCCTTTAAGGCAATATAATCGCTAGACCAAATATGCACTACAGTATACAGTAGGCTGTATTCTTAGTCTATACGATAGTTTTCCAGTTCGACACTATACTTTGTGGCTGATTTGATCATGACACAAAGTATCATGGTAGGTAACCCGTCGGAAGTAAGAATTCCTTTATACACTAATACCGAATATACCCAACGATGCCGAATCGGAGATCCATAAATGTCTGATTATGAAGCTATCTAAATTACCTCTAGTTAACTAGGTTAGTTAATGTGCTTCTCGCCTACGCGGAACACCCTACCAAATCGCGCCTCCCATATTGATATATTATCTTCCACTGCACACCATGCCACAGACACGCGTCTAAATCATATCGAAATCGCAGGGGACAGAGGACAGGATCATACTCACAATACAGGCCTATAAAATGGAAAATTTCCCTCTATTCGCGTAGCAGCCTTGTGTTATGAAGTATCCGTTACCACTAGATATACGCGCATAAACGGAAGACCCTCTGCTATATCTAAAGCCACCATTACCTAAGGTAACCTGCTGCTAAAACGGCTTCGCTGCTACGATGGAAGTTTGATTTAGATATACAGGATTAGTTTATCACCCTTTGATATATTATCGAAGATGATAGTTGCTACGGTATCTACTTGCAGGGTAGAAGGCCTGCCGATCAGGTTAGGAGGAACCAGTATGGTCAATTTGAAACAAGTCTGGTTCCTAAGGGATCAGGAAGAGACAGAGAGGTATACGACTTTTATACTAGGGTATCTTATAGGCTACCTTTAACGAGAGTGATATCGATAGAGTATTACTATAGGATTGATATAGTATATACCGAGATATACTACCCCTCCGGAGCGGGGGATCCTATAAGGGTACCTAGGTAGTAGGAGACGGGTGTTGGCAGAGCATCGCTAGGGAATGGACAAATCAAACTCACACCTTCCCGGGGTGGGAATTGCCTTATACAGACGAGAACCTCATTTCGAAACATTTAGTTCTGCGGCAATTTGGTAGGCAACGCGCCCTACTCCAGCGCATATATTATAGCAGCACGGTGCTTAGTGGATAATTCGCCCCCTGCGCGACGATTTCCACTAATTGCATCGCCAAAAGATCACTTGTGGTGTAGGAAGAAAAACAAGATGATGAGTGGGAAGACGTGCTGAAAACGCTATAAATTTTTTAAATTAGTCAATAATATTTACATATCTTGATATAATTTATACCTAAAGAATTAGTGGAGTGTACATAGAATGGATTGTATATACTCTCTCCTTGAGTTGTCTTGAGTGTAAAGATAAAGCTTCTCCTTAGTCGACCTCGGTATAGAAGCCCTTGGATTATTTGAATAAGCGGGCATCAGAGGAGTGACCCTGTAAGCTACTTCCTTTTAGGCACATGAGAAACACCATAAATTTTTCAATACTCATCATTCTTCCAGCATGAGCCCAGAAGAACCATTGCGGCTTACAATGACCCGAGCAAAGAACATTGCGTGCATCATCGAAGTCGCCTCGACTCCACCGCAAGTGGGGTAACCACCGATCAGCCAAGGCGGCTAGCGACGGTGCTTTCTACCGTTTTTCCGGCGTGAGTCAAGATCCGATTTCTTGGTCTCTCCGTCAAGCCTGTCAAAATATACTTCTTATAGCTGCGCTCCCCGACCGTGAATCCCACCAGCTCCCACTTACCATCCTCACCGCCATCACCACTCCCCCCTTCTCCTCCCACCATGGCAGTAGGACAGCTCTCGCAAAATGAGCTCAATGAGATATACGCCTTTGCGGTGGACCTAGGCCGCAAAGCGGGTGATCTGCTCATGGAGCGTGTTGAGCAGCGCATTTCTGGCGGCGAGGGTGACTCGCATAAATTCGAAGAAAAGGATAATGCGGTCGATATCGTGACTCAGACGGACGAAGGTGAGCAGCCGAGCTCGAAGAATGATACCAAATCGGATCTTAGATGGCGAACTGACTTCTTGCCAGACGTGGAAGTATTCATTCGAAACGCCATTCAGAGCAAATACCCGTCGCACCAGTTCGTCCCGTTCCACTGAAGTGAACCAGCCGGTGGCGACGCCACTGACAGCCCTCTCCAGATTCCTTGGCGAAGAGACCTATGCCAAAGGCCAGTCGCGAGACTACCTGATCGACGAGCAACCGACATGGTGCATCGACCCTCTTGATGGTACCAGGCCCCCATCATCCAACCTAATCCACCCATAATCTCCGACTAACACGCTCCAGGAACGGTCAACTACACACACCTCTTTCCAATGTTCTGCATCTCCATCGGCTTCATCGTAGCGCACCGCCCCGTCATCGGCGTAATCTACGCCCCCTTCACAGACCAGCTTTTCTCCGCCTGCAGCGGGCGCGGCGCCTGGCTGAATGAGAAGCGCCGCCTCCCCCTCGTGCGCAACCCGATCCCGCCCATGCCGGCCAATGCGCCGTCACAATGTATTTTCTCCTGCGAGTGGGGCAAGGATCGGCGCGACATTCCAGATGGTAACATGCATCGTAAGATTGAGAGCTTTGTCAATATGGCGGCGGAGATCGGGGGGAGAGATGGGAAGGGTGGCATGGTACATGGGATGCGGAGTTTGGGGAGTGCGACGCTTGATTTGGCGTATGTGGCTATGGGGACTTTTGATATCTGGTGGGAGGGGGGTTGTTGGGAATGGTATGTTTTGTTTATCTGTTGTTGTTTTTTTTCAGGTGTGTGGTATATTGACTCTCACGCCGGTAGGGATGTCGCTGCTGGAATTGCTATTCTGCTTGAAGCGGGCGGTCTCGTTACGACGGCGAACCCGCCAGAGAACCCGGACACGGCAGAGATAGAAGATGTCCGGCTCGGAAGCCGACTATATCTAGCCATAAGGTGCGAATTTCCATGCACTCTATGCCAGATTCGAGTTTTCTTAACTAACTCCGTTCCAGACCCGCTGGTCCATCGACTACCGAAACCGGCCGCGAGTCGCAGGAGCGCACCGTCCGGGAAGTCTGGCGGCGGGTCCGCCAACTGTCATACGCGCGACCGGGCGCATAGCGGGGAAGGTGGTTGACATGGAGTTTTACATCGTCGATGATCGACAACGAGCTGTAGCTCAGACGCTCTCATCATATTCCTCCTCCAGGCCTATAATTACGGTTTCTTTTCAGAGACAAGTCATGTGTTATGTATTCCACAACCGACGCCACCCATCTATAATGCAAGAATTTGAAGCTTTATACAATCATTAAATGAACCATGAGAAACAAAGAGAAAGGGGGAGAAAAAGAGGGGGCACCCGCATCAGCATCAGCATCACACGGCCAGCAATCCACAGCCTACAGGTGGGAAGAGGCCTTCTGAGCCGCCGCTGCGCGCTCAGCAACGGATCCATTGACAACGGCCTTGACGGCATCCACGACTCCGGGCGTGCCAACCACGTCCTTGCCAGTCCAGAGGCGCGCTTGCTCCAGACCCTGCCAGATCAGGGCCTCCGAGCCAAGGATAACCTTCCAGCCCGCGGTGGACGCCAGCTGGGCGATCTCCGTCCACGGGACGGGGTGGTAGCACATCTCCAGGATAACGCCCTGCTGCTTAGGGGCATCGGCGGCGGTGCCGAGGAATGACTGGATCACGGCGCGGGCGTTCTGCTCCTCGGCGGTCTTGGGCGGGTAGTTGGGGATGCCGGAGACGATCGCGGCGGGGGCCTCGAGGCGGGCAGCCTCGACGGGGTCAGTAATGTAATGGAGCAGAGCCTGGGCATTGGGATCTGGGTTGCGGGCCCGGTCCTCGTCCATGATGGTGGCGACCTCGGCGGCGTCCCGGTTGACGATGTAGATGCGGCTGGAGCCGAGCCAGCGGCGCATCACGTAGATGGCGGTGCGAGCGGTGCCGCCCCCGCCGATGATCAGCGCGGGCCGGCCGCGGAAGCGAGAGGCATCGGGTGCGTTTTGGGTCAGCGCCTCACGGATGCCGTCGCAGTCGGTGTTGGTGCCGACATACTGGCGCGCGCCGGTGGCTGGGTCTTTGCGCAGGAAGATGGTGTTGCAGGCGCCGGCCTGCCGGGCGTGCTCGGTCAGGTCATCCAGGTGCGGCATGATGGCGACCTTGTGCGGCATCGTCACCGATGAGCCGACGAACTTGGGGTTGGCCTTAATGGAGGCCAAGAAGGTGTGGATGGCAGGGGACCGCGTGAAGGGGGGCGGGTAGGTCGCCGATGTGCCACTCACGCTGGACAGCGGGATCTGCGACCAGTTCAGGCCCAAGGCATTATAGACGGTCTGGTGAAGGGGCGGCGAGAGCGAGTTGAGCAGCGGGTGGCCGTACAGATAGGCCACGCCGTCAAGGTGCGCGGGGCTGGTGATAGGCTCCTCCGGCTGTGCGTGAGGGGCGGCAACCTCGACTGCAGGTGCGGCCATGGTGTGTCACTGTATGTGAGATTGGGGGAGTTTAGAGGAGAATGGGAGGTAATGGACGAAATGGGCGAAATGGGCGAAATGGGCGCGATGGGGAGAATGAGGGGGTCGGAGATATTATACATGCCGGACCTGGTGCGGAGCCCGTTGAAGCTATCAGGGCAAGTTTCTGTCGTCGTAAGCGTAGAGCCGCGGGGCGGAGAAACACTTTTGGTCCCCTCTCCGCCGCACCGTCACGCCCCACGCCAATTGCCCGTGGAATGTGGCCATCTTCTACGTTCCATACATAGCATATCCCCATGGAAGCTGTTGTGCATTCAACAGGCATGGTGACGTTATCTGGCGCCCTTTAACGTGGTCCGTCGTCTATGCCTCCCAGCATCCAGCATACATCGGCTGCGGGCAGAATGCTTTCCCGCAGACCACCTCCCCTACGAGGAACCCCCTTGGCAGGTCTCAGCGGTTTTGCGCAAGCCCTCAGCATTACAAGACCGGATACAAATCATTGCAGGCTCGAGACTCCCGCTTTTCACAGTCTCCACAGCTGGGCGCAAACCTACCGTGCTTTGACAAACTCTTGGAGAGACGCCGGGGGATCGCTTTTCCCCGCCACCCACTTCGCCACTCGCAGCCATTGGCCGCACCCCTGGAGGCGGTGGCGTGGATCCAACGGGCTATGCAAATCAGAATGCAGCTTTTTCGCCATTGCACAAGCTGCTCAGGATTATGCCCCCCGGCCCCAGAGTCCTCGTGGTACCCCGTGGAGAGATCACAGATGCTCGGCCGTGTAGACTCCAGACTTCTCCCCGGCCGTGGCTCCACTCCCCAGCATTGGAGCTCCCCACAATCCAACGCCAAACGAGCAGACCCACAGAAATTTCCAGCTGGACGGCCCAATCCCCGTCCTGCGCGGCCTCGCGCCCAGCCTTGGTCCTCGCTTTTATTCCGTCGCCAAAACAGCCTTTGCGCCTCTTTTACCTTTAATCTCTGCGCACTGTTCGCTGGGCTTTCGACACCTTTTTTATCGTTTTGCCGGAGCTTGGCCTGGTGAGCCATTCCCAAGGGCGAATGGAAGGTTTTTTGAGTTATACTCTTCTCCGCCTCCGCGTCTCCACGATTTTCCTTCACCCCCCGTCGCGCATCGACCCCGGACTTTCCTTCTTCTCTTCCCCCAAGCTTGACTCGCCGTCTGGGGAATCGCGTGGTATTTAGGCCGGGTCCATCCCTCCTGCCAGAGCGTCTTCCCACTCATCACCTCCACCCTGCTCTACTCGCTACCCTCTTTGCGGCGCAACCAACCATCCCTTCGCCTGCTCGGAAATCCTCCTTGCACAGTGCATTGGCAGGACAGGTTGAGTGCCACCCCGTAGCTCTACGTGCAAGACTTGGTGATTGCAATCCTTGTTGTTTTTTGATTCGCTATGTCTATCCTGAAGTTGGTCGAGGATCGGCCGACGCCCAAGGCCGTCTACAACTGGAGGGTCTACCTCCTGGCCGCCGTCGCATCATGCACCTCCTGCATGATCGGCTATGACAGTGCCTTCATCGGCACGACCCTAGCTCTGGACTCGTTCAAGAGCGAGTTTCACTTCGACACCATGTCGACCACCACCAAGAACCTGATCAGCGCCAACATTGTGTCCTGCTATCAGGCTGGTGCTTTCTTCGGAGCCTTCTTCGCGTACCCTATTGGCCACTTCTGGGGCCGCCGCCTGGGTCTGATGGTTTCCGCGCTGGTTTTCGTCCTTGGTGCTGGTCTCATGCTGGGTGCGAACGGCTCCCGCGGTCTTGGTCTGATCTACGGTGGACGAGTGTTGGCCGGTCTCGGCGTCGGCGCCGGCTCCAACCTTACTCCTATCTACATCTCCGAGCTGTCACCCCCTGCCATTCGAGGTCGACTGGTCGGTGTCTACGAACTGGGCTGGCAGATTGGTGGTCTGGTGGGTTTCTGGATCAACGTAAGTACATCGCATCATCACGGCACACAGGTCATTCGTCATCACGCAGTGTGCTAACACATCCGCCACAGTATGGTGTCGACCAGACGCTGGCCCCAAGCCACAAGCAGTGGTTGATCCCCTTCGCCGTTCAGCTGATCCCTGCCGGCCTCTTGTTGATGGGTGGTGCCTTCATCCGCGAGTCGCCCCGTTGGTTGTTCTCGCGTGGTCGCCGCGAGGAGGCCATCAAGAACATCTGCTGGATGCGCCAGCTGCCCGCGGACGACATCTATATGATTGAGGAGATCGGTGCGATCGACCAAGCTCTGGAGGAGCAGCGCACGACTATTGGCATTGGCTTCTGGAAGCCATTCCAGGCCGCCGGCACCAACAAGCGTGTCATGTGGCGTCTGTTCCTGGGCAGCATGCTGTTCTTCTGGCAGAATGGCTCCGGCATCAACGCCATCAACTACTACTCCCCGACCGTATTCAAGGTGAGTCATGGACATGAACAGCCAACGGATCCCTCTTGCGCAGAAGTAGCAACCCTGCTAACCCCCTTCACAGAGTATTGGCGTCACTGGCACCAACACCAGCCTGCTGACCACCGGTATCTTCGGCGTAGTCAAGACTGTGGTCACGTTCGTGTGGCTGCTGTATCTCATTGATCATGTCGGTCGGCGCAACCTGCTCCTCATCGGCGCCGCCGGTGGCTCTGTCTGCCTGTGGATCGTCGGCGCGTACATCAAAATCGCCGAGCCGGCGAAGCATCCCAAGGCCACCATGGACGGTGGCGGTATCGCGGCCATGTTCTTCTTCTACCTTTGGACCGTCTTCTATACCCCGACCTGGAACGGTACCCCCTGGGTTCTCAACTCGGTGAGTGCACACAAAGCCCCACAATGGCCGCTAAAGCCAACTCCTGCGAAATGAAAGAAGATGAGACTAACACCCATCACCCAGGAAATGTTCGACCCGAACATGCGTTCGCTGGCCCAGGCTTGCGCCGCCGCCTCCAACTGGCTGTGGAATTTCCTCGTCTCGCGCTTCACCCCGCAGATGTTCACAACCATGGGCTACGGCGTGTACTTCTTCTTTGCCTCGCTGATGATCCTCTCCATCTTCTTCGTCTTCTTCCTCATTCCGGAGACCAAGGGTATTCCGCTCGAGAGCATGGACCAGTTGTTCGAGATCAAGCCTGTCTGGCGCGCGCACGGCGAGATGCTTGCCAAGATGCGCGAGGACGAGGCACAGTTCCGCCACGATATCGAGGAGTCCGGCTTTGCCACGACTAAACTTGACGCCGAGCAGGTCGAGGACACTACCGCGCGCGAGCCGAAAACTTCGTATGCATGATGAGGGCGCAGGTGTATAATCCTTTTTTGTTCCGAACTTCATTGCGTTCATCACGCAATTGTAAGAGTCACGCGTGGGCTTTGACCCGCTTTGTCGGCCTGACAGGGCGAGTCCCCGCCGTATACGATAGTCCTTGAATGAATATAATTTGATGATTCACCAAATGTGCAATGTTGTACCCTTTAGAGTAAACAGCAAAGTAGAAGGCTTGATTCCCCCCCAGAATGACCGTTGCCGGAGAGAGGGAACATCGCAGGCCCCATTCTGTACATCGGGAGAACCCAATTAAACACGAAAAAGGCTAAATTTGTAACCCTGCCAGGTGCCCTAGCTAGAAATCGCCATGAAATAATTCACACATTCCGAAGTAGCCATCATGACCAGTTTCCAGATTTCTCGGCTTGGAGTACTTTCATTGCGCCAGCGGATCAACAGGAATGTCCACCGGCTGGCCAGTGTGCATGGCCGTCTGAACCGCCTTGCACACAATCAACGCCCGCAGCCCTTCATCACCGGAGCAACTGGGCTTTGCATCGCCGCGGATAACGTCCACAAAGTGCGCCAGCTGCAGATCGAAAGGCACCGACTCATCTGGCAGAGGGATTTTCTCTGCAACCAGCGGATTCGACCAGCTCTTCTCGGCCTGTCCGTAACTCCAGCGGGTCAAATCCGGCACGCTCAAGGACGCATCAGACCCAAAGATACGGTAGAAGTCATATGCCTCCTGCGCACGTGGAATCATGGGGTTTTCGCCCGTGCCGGACTCGAAATTGTGCGCGGAAGGTGTCGCATCGCAGACCAGGAAGGTGCCCACGACGCCAGATGCAAAGCGCATGGTCAACGCGACACCCTCATCTGCGTCGTGGGGCGGGCTGAGCCGTTGCGGCAGGGTCTTTTCAGCCTGCACGCGGACGATCGGGCCGAAGAGGTGGTGCATCAGGTCGATGTCGTGCACGAGGTTGATAGGGATGACGCCGCCGCCGCGGGCCCCGGACGCGCGCCAGTCCGTCGGCGCGGCGAAGTATGAATCTGGCTTATACAGGGTCCAGAGCCCGTTCACGGCGATCAGCTGGCCCAGCGAGCCTGCCTCCAGCACGGCCTTCGTGGCTCGCACATAAGGGTTAAAGCGGCGGTGGTGACCGACTAGGAGCTTGAGGTGGGCGTGTTCTGGGGCTCGCGCGAACTCGAGGAGGGAGCGGCCGCTTTCTAGGCTGTCGCTTACAGGCTTCTCCAGGAGGACGTGGATACCGCCGGCTAGCAGCTCCTTTGCAAGTGGGACATGCGTGTGGTTTGGGGTGCACACGATTGCGGCATCTGGTCGGTGCGATGAGCTCAGGAGTGCAGCCACGGAAGGATAGAAGTTTGTATTTAACATGGCGGCTGTGGCTTCGCCGGTGGGAGCTGGGTCGACGAGAGCAACCAACTCGGTGGCCGAGTTGGAGATGACCGAGTGCGCATGGCGGGGGCCGATGAGCCCAGCGCCGACAATAGCAACTTTAAGAGACATAGCCACCGGGGGGAAGGGGGAGAAAAGACCAAGGTAGATAGCTTTGTTCTGTCTGAATTGATGGAGGATTCACAACAGCTGCGACGGTGGAATTTCAGGGTGGCATGAATGCCATGTTCGGATAGTTCAACTCCGTAGGCCCTGAATTGGCAGCCATCTTCGGGCACCTCGGGGTTAACAGCCTTGGCACGCCCAGCTTTCAGGAAAAAGTCTTGCCGCTCAGGGGTCCAAAAGGACAGGATATAAGCGGGTACCGACGGCCATTATATTGAGCGAGCCGGGCAGCTCTAATGAGAACTTCCCGCAGACTGCAGTCAAGGCGAAAGGAGCGGGTGGTGGAGCGGAGAAGTGGAAGAGGGTCGGGTAAACGTAATGAGAGTAATTGTTTACCCGGTCAGCAGACCTCCCGTTATCAGTTTGCGTCAGGGCGATGCAGCACGTAAAATGACCCCTCGTTATGAAGAATATTAAGAGGGATAATATTTTTGTCGAGTCGGTTCACTTCTACTTGTCGCGAGAAAAAGGTAGACCCGGTTGACTCTCGCCTGCTCGTCTCCCAGCTGTCTTAACATTGTTTGCATTTGCCTGCGCCGCATTTGACACTTTCCACTTCGAGAAATCCTGGGGCAAATTAAACCGTTTCATTGCTTGATCCTTCTATCATTATAAAGGTGTCTGTTGCCTGCGGTTCGTATTCAGCTTCACATCAACGGTTAATATCATATCCTATCGTCAGGATGTTCAACCGCCCCGGAATTGCCTCCATGTCCCTGGGCAGGCCATGGATCCACGACCTGCCTGGCAAGTTGATGCAGGCTGCTGCACACGGCTTCGAGGGTATCGAGCTTTTCTTTGACGATCTGGCTTGCTATGCGCAGCGCACGTTTAATGGCGACCACATGGAGGCGGCCCGCCAAACGCGGCGCCTGTGTGAGCGGCTCGGGATGACCATCATCTGCCTGCAGCCCTTTTCCATGTACGAGGGCCTGATCGATCGGGCAGAATCTGACCGTCTTGTGAATGAGAAGCTGCCGAAGTGGTTCACTCTGGCGCGGGCGCTGGGAACCGACATGATCCAAGTGCCTTCCAACTTCCTGGGCCCCGATCCCACGACCGGCGCCGCGCGGACAACGGGCGACCACGCTGTGATCGTGCGTGACCTGCAGCGCCTGGCTGATTTGGGTGCCGGGGCTGGTTTCCGTTTCGTCTACGAGGCCCTCTGCTGGGGCGATCACGTCAACACCTGGGAGGCTTCGTGGGAGGTTGTCCGCGATGTCGACCGCCCTAATTTCGGCCTGTGCCTGGACTCCTTTAACATCGCCGGCCGTGTATATGCCGACCCTACCTCACCTGATGGCAAGACGCCGAATGCCGCCGCAGACCTGGCTGCTTCCCTCCAGCGCCTGCGTACAGCCAACATCGACCCTGCCAAGATCTTCTACGTCCAGCTCGTCGATGGCGAGCGCCTCACTGCCCCTCTGAATGAGGACCACCCCTTCCACGTCGCCGGCCAGCCTGTCCGCATGAACTGGTCCCGCAACGCTCGCCTTTTCCCCTTCGAGGAGAACCGTGGCGGTTATCTGCCCATCCTGGACGTCGCGCGTGTATTTTTCGATGACCTTGGCTTCCGCGGCTGGGTGTCTCTTGAGCTCTTTAGCCGCACCCTAGCTGACCCTGATCCCTTCACCCCGGCTGAGCATGCCCGCCGTGCTATCGAGTCTTATTACAAGATGGGTCGCGCCTTGCGATGGGATGGCCAGGTCGAGAAGAACATGGTCTCTATCCCAGAGCCCACTCCTGAACCTGTGCAGCACCGGCTGTAAACAGTGGGTCCGGTTGATGTTGACTTTGCTTTCTCATGTCGATATGGGAATTCTGTATATATTTTTATGTTTAACGATTGCCGTTGATGATGACTACCACGAGGTGGAGCATTTAGTACAATTTAGGCTCATGGCGATGTTGTTTATTCAAGAAGCTTGTGTCCGCATGAACAATGACATGCATCAGTTCAATTCAAACCCTTCGTCCAATATTCTCAAAAGGCGGGCTCACCAGGATGGTCCTCGGGGTTTGGATCTCGGCTGGCTTCAATGGCAATCAGTCGAGAAGGCGTGAACTGGACCCGAATGTTAATTTTGCCAAAACGAGTCGTTCATGCCTTCAAGGATACTCCTTCAAGGGATGGCCCTAACTTAGAGCTGGTCATGGCAATAATTGAGCCCCCAATTTGACCCTTACGATTGGTTTCTGGTCCCAGAAACCTACCTACCTAGCGAAAATTATCGTCACAAACGGAAGGACCTGTAGTAAATACTGTCCCAAGAACGTGTTAGGTCTAGCCTTAGTCGCAACAAAGTTAGGCAGCCAGCTCTACTCCTCAGCCACTGGACGCTGGTCAACTACGGCCAGGCCCGATGATGGCAGCGGCGAAGCTGCATGGTCAACCCTAGGACGTGCAGTTAGACTTGCGGATCGATTAAGTCTAGAGGATAGCGGGTTCCACGGCGAATGTAATATGCTTGACCGACGAGGCGCAGTGGGAACGCCTCGGCCGGACGTGTGAGTATACTTTCCTCACATTACGACAAGGGAAATTCTTGACTTTTCTTGAGACTATGCCAAGTACCATCCATGACACGAGCAGAGCGATGAGCGTGTGGCAGCACGCGAAGCTCGATCGCGGCCTTCAAGCCGCTGCGGAGCTGTTTGGCTCCGATGCAAGACTATCTGCGTCTCTACATCAACGCCTTTGCGTTCTAGGCTGTTCTGGACCGAGCTTCCCCAGTCACGCCGCGGGATACACGGGCCGGGGGTAATGGCCATGCAGTGATCTCGACTTTCCAGACCGGACGACGGCAAGCACAGGCACACATCAGAACTATGACGCTCTCGATGCGTTGGAGTCGCTCCTGCGAGTCTTCACGGAGGACTTTGACGCGAGACACATCTGCGATATATGCCGGCGCGCTTTCTACCTGTAAGCACCCTACCGTGACCTCCCTCTACCTTTTATCACACCAGACTAGGTCAGCAGCTTACTATCGGACTCGGCGAAATCCATTACCCAGCCGTTCTGTACAAAGCTCACGCCCGCAGGCGCGATCTCCCCATCGCGGTACACGCACGCAGACCACATCCCTCATCCACCGCTTTATCACCCTCCTCGACACGATTGCCGTTGGCGACCACTTCGCCTCCCGGCACGCGCCGCTTCCCGAACCAGCTATAGTTCCAGCTATAGTTCCAGCGGCCGCACAGCGCTACAGCAGAGCATGCCGCGCCTGACTACACAGGCGCCGGGCTGGAAGCGCACGGCACGCTTGGCGCTATGCCGGGCTCGCGGACGCCAGCTGTGGACCGTGGGGCGTTCAATGGTGTTGGCTGTTCCTTGCGATGCGGCCTATGTTTCCGTATGATTTAAGACAGACTTGGGAGGGGATTGGGATGGATCATACCAATGATCCATTTGAGTATGATCGTCTAGGCGGGTCCTCGCTACTAGTATATGCTGGCGTATGCTAGCTGGTCAGCTCATTGGTCCTGGGGCAGATTACCGTGCGGGGTGACGCACGGAGGCTGCAAGAGTTATCCTGCCAAGGCGTGATAAATCCTAGGCAGGGTCGTGAGAAAGGACCGGATAAACAAAGGAGCCACAATAAGAACGATCGAAGACTCAGAATATTATGATTAACCTAGCTAGTCAAGTCAAGGGCTCCATGTATTGCTATGTCTTCAGCGGGGTAGATAGAAATGATCGCAGATCCTCCGACAAGTCAGCAAACACTATGTGCAGCGAGTAAAAGAGAAAGAAAGGGGGGGGGGAAAACATGCAAAAAAAGGAAAAGGCAACACATGGCATATCAATCGAAACCCATAATTTCAAAGCCCAACACCGTCGTTGAAGACCACAAATGACGTCGCAATGCAGAAAAGCCCTGTAGCGGGCCTCCTCACCCGCTCCACCGATGCACGTGGCTCCCCTTTGCCGCACTCATTGGCCCTGCCGGAGACAACCGCACTAGACGCTGCTGGGCGTGACTGCCAACACCAGCCCTCTCCACCGGGTGGAGAGGGAGGATGTAGACTGCCGGCGTCATCGCGGGTCCATCAACTGGGCGCGAGGACGCTGAGACTCAAGAGGACGGGGGTGGCCCAGCGGCAAAAACACATGCGTCAGTTGACCGCAGCTCATGCAGGTCGTGACGAGCGTGGAAAGGGAGGGGTTTGGGGTGGCGAGCGAGGCCCACTGCTGGCTTATGTGCCGCTGGGTCAGATGGGATGGTGATGCAAATGCAAATGCGAGATGCAAGAGGCAAAGGGGAGGAGGAGAAAGAGGAAGAAGAAGAGTCGTCAAGTCCGAGAAGAGGCCTGCAAGCTAGGAAGGAAGGGAGAAGAGGAGCAGTGGGCGGGGCGATGGTGGAGGCATAGGCAGGCCATTTGTGAGGAGGGGCATGTTATTCATGCCTCATGCCTCCTGCGCCCACCGCTGCTCGCGGAGGGGCAGTTCTTCGCCGGCTTGCTTCCGGCTGCCGTCAACCTCACGTTTCCACGCCCAGTATTCGCCAAGTCGCAGCTCAGCGTAGTTGGCATAGTCGAAGTCAATCTGGGAAATCTGGGCCTGGATCAGAGCCCACACGCCCCTGAGAACCAAACAGAGTCAGCACGAGTTTCATCGTGTGCCGTAAGCAAGGGGAGACATCTTTTGAAAAGATGAGGCCACTTACCAATAGAGCCCAGGAAAGCCGCGGAAGCGGTCCACGTCCTGGTATAAGCGGTCGACAATCTCGGCCTCCGATGAGGCGCCGAGTCCGCGGTGCTGGCAGTAGCTCTTGGTATACTCGGTGAGAAATTGGCGACGGACCGAGCGGGTGGGGATCATCTTGTAGTCGCAGTCGTAGCCGATCCACTCGGCCAGGTGGTTGGCAATGTCGAAGGCTGCCGGGGCGGGAACCGCGTACTCGTAATCGATGAAGTTGACCGGGGCGACGTCATCGTCGGCATTCTGCACGCCCTCGTCATCGGGCAGGACGATCACATTGGCGCACAGGAGATCACAGTGCGAGAAAACAAGCTATGCAGAAGAAATAGAAAGTCAGTGACTCTGTGCGCCATATAGAGAAAATGGAGGGGGAGGCAGATATGGGTCTGCAAGGGGGGTCGTACGCCGTCTTCACCAATGCCCACGCCATCGTCGAGCTGGCCCACAACCCACTGAAGTTCCTTCTGCAGGCTCAACCGCCGAGACCGCTGCTCGGGCGTGGTTATCGGTAGGGCGGCGATCCACCGCTGGAGGACTGCCCACATGGAGGGGCCTGCACGGCGCGGTTGGATTGGCGTGAAATCAAGATCGTGCTTGTCCGCAACTCCGTTCGTAGGCGCAGAACCGGCACCGTTGTTGGGAAGTACGGCATGCCACTGTGCGAGCTTGCGCGCCACACCGCGGAAGATGGGAGGGGTCACCAGATCTTCGTGGCCGCAGGGCCTGCCGCGGATGAAGCGGTAAAGGAGGCCGTTTTTGAACCGCGCGAGGAGGGGAGGGGCGAGGCCGCGGCTGGCGAGGAGGGCGTGGGATGTGGTTTCTCCTAAATGCAAGGTGTCTACTTTTAGCGGAAGTCGCACTGGGCAGCCATGGATGTGGAGAGAGAAGGGGTTGGTGACATGTTACGGAGCATGTCGCATGGAGGGGAGGGAGGGTAACAGGGGGCGGGGGTCGCATTTGGAGGGGAGGAGTCCTGGAATTCTCGTACTTTCACGGTCTATAAGGATCTCTGTGCCATTTCCGTACGCGCGCATCAGTACCGCATCATGGTCTATCTGCTCATCCGTCAAGCCAGGCTTGCGATTGATGATTTTCAGGAGCTGCACCAGCGGAGTCAGTCATTGTACCGCGGGGGAAGCATTCACAGCGGAAGAAGGCGAGTCTGCGCCGGTGAGACAGGGACGCACCGTGTTGGTAATGCCGTCGGTGAATCGCACGAACTCGATCTTATTGCCTGGGCCCTCCCAGTGAGGGAAGAGGGTCAAAATCAAGCGCAAGGCGGAGGCCTGGGAGTCGGCGGGGCTGTAGGAGAGCGGTATGTAGCGCAGGGCCGTCGAGGCCCCGTTCACGTTGTCGGTCGAGCCCATGCTGGGTGTCGGAGTGCAATTCAGACGGGGAGAGGAGCGGAAGCGGAGGAAGCCGTCGCAGTGGTAGGAATGTGCCGTTGGCGTTGGCAGGAGGTCTCGGACAGGGGTCGCCTGGGGACCACGCCTTAAAAGTAAAATCTCAGGGTCTGTGGGGTCGAGCAGATTCAAACGGAGATTGGAGACAGGGCTGTCGCGGCTTCAACAGTTTCTTGGAGCGTGGCGAAGAAAGATGGAAACGGGAGATCTGCAGGATAAGAAACGGGGGACCAAGGACTAAATATGGCAGAACATTGGACAAATGGAACAAATCTCTTCTTTCTATGGGGAAGGAGGTCGCATGGGAAGGGCCCAAAAGGGGAGCCGGCGGCACGGCTGATTGGGGGGTGGCAAAAGCTAGTTTGTATGGTGTAAGTCAAAGAACGGTCACATCTGGAGGGGGGAAATGAGATAACAGAGGGCGCGGATGGTCTCGTGCTTCCGCACCTTGATTGGAAGACACGTCCGGAGGCCCCAGGCTCGCAACAGTCTGATAGGTGGAGGAGAGGGAAAGAGTCTGGAAAAGAGGCTAAGATACGAATCAAAAAGGCGGTCATTTTGACGGAAACCTGTCCACTTCCCACATGTTGAATGTAACCACAGAAAAGGGGGATCCTCTAGGGAACTATGGCATTGGAGCATTGGGGCATTGGGGCATGGGACGAGGGAAGACACATGTATATCGCATATAGTACATAGTATATCGATCTCAATGTTGTACAGGGCCAGATCGTGGACGTTTCTATGTACACTTTTGCTCCCAGGGGGGCGCTTGACCGCTCTGAAAGGCAGATAAAAAAGCCAGCACCAACAGCCAACTAAGCCGACGAAAGCCGACCAAGCCAACTTGGCTCTGGCCGACTCCACTGTGGGGCCATCACATGCGAGCCTGAGCGACAAAGTCACCTGGTCCTCATAAGCCCTAACAGCTCCTTGCCCTACTTTCCCAATCGACGCTGGTCGGGGGAATAATATTCCGTATTGCCCAATCAGCACTAGCGCAATTCGGGATTTTTTTCTTTAAATACGCGCACCGCCCGCCAGCCTTTGCTTGTTTTTTTCTTTTCTTCTCTATCATCAGTAGAGGTTTACTATATCTACAATATATGTAAACAATCCTGTGGCTCCACTACGGTGGCTTGCTGAGGGTTATCCTGGGTTTTTCCCCCATGGGTTTCCTTCCGTTCCCGGCCCCAGAGAACAACGTTCGTCTCTCTATATGGCTGTGCTAGGGTTCCCTCACGGGAGCTCCATGCGCGTCAGCTGTGGAAGGGGCGATACACTCCTTTTTTCAAATTTTGGGTTGATTTGTGTGTTGTGGACGATGTGCATCCTCGGTGGATCGCAGATCGTTCCAATTCCATACGTAGTCTCTTAAAAGCTTTCAAACCCGAGGTCCTCAACCACGCCAATCGTCTTGGTTGTGGTTGTTGGCACTGTGAATGGGAGGCTCTTGCGTCCTTGCAGTCTCGCTTTGCCAGGCTCCCTTAGGTTGCCTCCGGTGCGTGGTCTTGACGATAATCCAATCCTCGCTTCGTTCCGATGCGCTTGGTGGGTCATGCCGTTTATCGCAGATAGCTCTAAGCAAGCCTCAAAGCGTGGACAGTTCCCGTATGCGGAAAAATTCTGGGGAACATCGGCCCGGGTAAAGCTTCAAGCTTCGCTGAAAGACAGTCCTTGGCTTATACAGACGTGGGTAGAGGTGCTGGTAGGTTTAAGTCTGCTGGGTCTAAACACTTGTCAAGCTGCTTAGGGCCTGCGTAAGGCAAGAGTTGCGGCGGCCAGAGTAGTACCGAGTTCCAAGGGCATGGGAAGGATATATCAAGGAACTACTGCGGCCTTGGCTTTCACGGGAAGTCTATGGAGGCTCACTTTCCCTCTATTTCTTTCTTTCACCGACAACTCGGGTCTGAGTGATCCCTTGTAGATGGATGCTTCAGGGATCGGTAAAATTGGACGAAACTCGAGGCCAGCGTACAGAAAGCTGCCCAGCAAGCTGCCGGAAAGGTGCACTCAAAAACAGGTTAATCACATTCATTGATGAGCTATCAACTGGCCCTAGTCATCCCCATTATGGAGCAGCATCAAGTGAGAAATCACAATCAAAACTCAGCTTTTATATCCTGGTCCTCCCCTCTAGTTATACGCTAGCCAACTCAAGCCTTAGGCCCGTCCGGCATTGCCAATCTGGATGCGCTCGCCAGACCACTTGTCGTCGCTGCGCAGCACGGGCCAGCTGGTGCCGTCCGCCTTGTGCAGTGTCAGCTCCAGCTTGGTGCCCAGCACGCGGAACGACGACTTCTCCGAATCAATCGGGGCAAACAGGTTATACGTATCCTGGTAGCGTTTGTTGTCGATGGTGGGAAGGTCGAAGGTAATGGTGTTCGCCGCGAGGTCGACGCGGGCGCGCTCCTTGTCAATTTTCTTCAGGTAGAGCGAGACGGTCACGGAGGAGGGGGTCTGGTAGAAATCGCTCCTAGGGGCCGGATGATTGCTCGGTCAGCTGGATGGTCTGGAACTGCATGGAATTGGGGCGCTGCTGTCGCCGCTCGATGAACTTGGACGTACCGGACCGAATCGACCTTCTCCTCGCCTGGCGCTTTCGGCTTGCCCACAAACATGTGCCTTGTCTTCTCCGTGCAGCCGGGGATCTTCAAGAACTGGTCAAACTCCAGCACGCGCCGCTTGCAACACGACCACCCTTTGCTGCCCTCGTGGAAGACGGGCTGTCCCGGGTGGTGCACACATTTCTCCTCATCCCGAGCTGTCGACCCAGTAAACGTAGCACCGCAACCTCTCCGGCGGCATGTCGCATTGGCGGGGATCTCTAGCTCCGGATCATCCGAGTCAGGCTCATCCACAACCGGCTTTTCGGGGGGCGTGGGAGGCGCGATGGCGGGGGAAATGGCATGGCGCTCCGGGAGCTTGGTCGTCTCAACGGCGGCAGGTGCGGGCGCAGGAGCGGGGATTTCCTCAGTGGCCTTTGCAGGCTCCGGGACAGGTGTATCGTCGACAGTGGAGTGCTTGCCCGTGGTGCAGGGCGGGATGGCGAGGAATTCCTCGAAGGTCAAGACGCGGGGTTTGCAGCATTTCCAGCCTGGAGCAGTTTAGCCTCAAGTTGCGGGGTCAAGTGAGGGTGACAGCTACGATCGCAGCAAAGCAGAAGCGCAGAACATGAGGGCACAACAAGCTCAAATTATAGAGTGAACGAGATCGAACGAAATGAGACAGATCGGGAATAGCTCCAGCACCCAAAGTACCTACCCTTCTGGCCCTCGTGAAACACTGGGGGACCCGGATGATACACGCAGGCTTCCTGCGGGTCCGCGAACGTCTTCTCACATCCCTTGTGAACGCACTTGCCGGTCATGGTGTGTAGTGAACGGCCGAACAGAGAGATCGAGCAAAGGTAGTCGGGCCCGTGAAGGAGCAGAGGAGAGGGATCAGTCTGAGAGTATATCACCAAAGCGCATGGGCGAGCAAACGGCCGCCCAACTCGGTTTAGCCGAAGCTCGAAGGTTCCATTGCCTTTCCATGACGGGGTTGCTTTTTGCGGACGGAAATAGGAATGGGCAGAGTTCAAGGACACTCTAGAATTACAGATTATCTGTACCTGTGGCCAAGTGGTACGGCGTCCCAAGAGATTGCAGGTTCGACCCCGGCGTCGGTCAATCTTTTTTGCATCTAATGCCTGCCTACTAATTTATACCCGTAGTTACGGCAGCCGTACTTACTGCGTCGCTTTTCTTTGCAGTCGCGGACGCAGTAGCCCCCGGCGGTTATGTTTTTGAATAATAAGAGAACATAGGATTCGTAATATTACCTTCATTATATCGACGGCATTCGATGTCGGTTACAGCAGGCGCCTCCGGGTAGTCTCGAGCCTTGTGTATCGTTAGGCTTGTGGACCTTGGATAGGGGTAGGGAACAGAACATACCCGCAGTTACGGCAGCCGTACTTGCTGCGTCGCTTTTCTTTGCAGTCGCGGACGCGGTGGCCTAGGGTCTCATAGTTACTGTACTTTATCTCAGTCTTCTGAACCTCGGCACGGTCCTGCTTGCAAGCGGGATGAACCAGTCCCCAGCGCCAACATCAAGACGACGAATCGCCTAATGGCGACCTTCCCGATCCCGACGAGAATGGCGATGATCTTCACAATGAAGTCAAGCGACTGCGTCGCGAGGTCCAGGAGAAGGATCGCCGCCTAGAGCAGCTGGAGCGTATCGTCGCCGATCTCCAGCAAGCCATTCCTCAGCCGCCTATGCCCAAACACGACCCCCAGCTTACGCAGGCGATGCTACCTCCCCTACCGCAGGCAGGAGATTTATAGAAGAGTGATTAACCAATGCTGGACTGCCTTACGATCGTCAGGTCACCAAGTGCCGGAACTGTGGGGATAAGTTGACTTGATCAAGGTCGGAAACTACCATTTTTGAAATCTGACTTGTGTACCTCACGCGCTCCCTGGAACCCGTTAAAATGCGGATCCTCAAGGGCGAGGAGGACGCGCCATTACCATCTAACAAGATCACCCACACCGTAGATGAAGCGCGGGCAGCACTCAGCCGCGCGCTTTGTATGGTACCCGAATCCATATCCGAGAAGGCGATCACGGAATTTCTGAGCTTTTGGAACTTCCGGGATAACGCTTAGCTTGACGAGCTTTTTCAAAGCAAGATAGCCAACTAGAGGAAAGCTCTGGCCTACTATACTTGGTGAAGAAGCGAAGACGCTCATCCAAAACGTCGACAGTCCCCCCGAGGCATTCAAGAAAATCAGGCTCTTCTACCGCTAGCCTAGACACCGAACTCTAGCTAAACGATGGTCTGCATGGGTGAAAAGCTTCCTACGACGCGAAGCACTTGTTATCTTATCCTCTACCGCCGGCTACTACCTAGCTTCCTATAACGAAGTACTTCTCTTCGGAAGATGGGTACTACTGTAGTAATCTGGGTAATACAATATTCTCTATATCATATCTATAAAGCAGGAAATCTAGGAGTATGGAGAATAAGACAAGATAACCTCTACAGTTCTTGAGAATGAGTAGAGTATCTATATAAAGAAAAGAGAAAGAAAAGAGAAAAAAAGTGAAAAAAAAAGGGATGGGGGGGGGGCGGAAGAACAGAGCATCTAGTTGTCATTGGGGGTGCTATTTAGGTTAGTTCATGATAGTCACCAGAGGCAAAATGAAGAACATAGAATAGAGACAAAACACAAAAGATGCGAAGGCCATGACAGATCGACAGAACAGAGTATAAGGAAGAGGTGTAGAGTGAGGGCTGAGATGGATGAGTGGACGAGACAGTGCGAAGAGGAAACGCGGAGCAGCAGCCGCAGAACAGCAGAGAAAGACGGACAGCAGAAGAGACAACAAGAAGGCCAGGATATTGAGTGGTGTACATGAAGGCAAGAAGCGAATGGCATCGGAACGGCATCGGAAGAGGGACGCATTGCTCAAGAATATTACGTACATTCGGGCCTCGAGGGGGGCATCGGCATGGCCCTGGGCCTCATCGGCCCCTCCATCCTCCTCCTCCTCCTCGTCCTCCTCCTCCTCCTCTTCGACCTCATCAGGGTCGACGGGGTCGACCGGGTCGACCGGGTCGACGGAGGCCGCGTCCGCGGCGGCGGGGGCGGAGGCAATGGCCGCGATGGCCGAGGGAGGCGCACGCGACGGACGGCGGGCAAGCTATACTCCATCGTCAGAGCAACGAACGGGTTTCAATGATATTTGATCAACGAACGTAATCATCTGGCGAGACGCCCTATACGCATGTTAATACAGCCACGGAAGTACTTGCAGTTACATTATCGAGGTGTCTACTTACAGCTTCATGCATCCGCATGAAAATCGACGCCACGAGGGCGAGCGAGCAATTGGCCTTTACATGGCCGCGTTTTCCACAAACATGGCACGTATGTGCCCTATTATTGTTCTGCTACATCTCCACATCAGTATGGAAACAGTAAATCACGGCCATCTTATGTCAACACCAAGCAGAGCTGGGAGTGATCAACACCCAGCAGAGCTGGGAGTGACTCAAGAAGCTGGAAGATGGGAACTCTCAGTACGCTACCTTTTTGGCCCCCTTGCCACGCCGTCTGGCCATCTCTAAGACTTGTTCTTGTTTCAGGATCTTGAAAAATTGCTTGTATTTGTAGTATAATAGCCACAGAGGCAAGAAAAGCTTGAAGGAAGAGAGGTGGAGAGTGGAGAGTGGGAGAGGATGAGAGGGAAAGGCGCGCGACCTTGATCACGAGGCCTTCCAGAGATGGTGGACGACCATTAATAAGGAAGGTGCTACTTTAGGAAGGCACAACCTTGCGTCCACATGATCCGAAGGCAGGCGTACGTAGTAATCTCATCGCGCACTTCAGCTGGTCTTCAACACTCCTTGTACTCACTGTCCATCATGAACTTGCAAAACCCAATCATCGTTTTTGTTGCTCGAGCCAGCACAGCTGATGGCCCTACGCACGAGAAAAGAGATTGGTTGCTCCGATCTCTCGAGCCTGTGAAAGAGCATCACGAGGTTACGTTCCCTGACTAGTTTAATGGTTGTTCCGTTGAATTATTCGTGTTCATTTTGCAGTCGAACTCTCCATTTAGACCGGAAGGAGAAGTGATGAAATATTTCACCGATCTTTTCAGTTAGGCCCAGCAATATAATCAGGATATCTTGCTCGTTGTAAGTGGTTGGGATGGTCTTACTACCAACCAAGGAGCGTTCCAGAAGCTTTTCGCGCTTCGGCCAGAGAATGTTTCTGTATGTCTGCGGATTTTATCTGTGGATATTGATCGTTGGGAGGAAAGGATTCCTTACCCTTGTTTCTACGACGTGGATCCCCTCTAGGTATGCGCCGTCTGGGCGGGAGACCTTGACCCGGAGGATCCGAACGTCGAATTTCAATGGTCGACTAAACGATTTCTCGAGTTGATTCCCGCTATTGCCGCAGCTAAGCTGAGGCTGTCACACGATTTCGAACTCGTAAGTGCTGTGCTTCCTTTAGTAGAGATCTTGCTTACTATACAATGGCTAACCTGATACCAATTATAGCTCCGGGAACTCACATACGAACGCAATACGCACCGGTGGGCAAAAGAAACCCGCCATGTATGCGTCGTCGAAGGGTGTAATGCCGTCTTTTCTACTGCGGCGGGCCTCCGCACGTATCGGTATAGAGAGCACCAGGCGTTAGAGTCCGAGGAAGCAAAGCAGGCCGATAAAGTTTCGAAAACGTGTCGATATTGTGGGAAAACATATGCTCGGAAAGACACTTCGGTTCGACACGAGAAGACTTGCTCGAGCAATCCGGACCGTGAAGCCCCCTCTGCCAATCAGCCTATAAGCAAGCGCCGGCGGACAGTCGACCCGACACAGGTTCCAATCCTGAGCGGGGGCGCCGTCAAGTCATACGAGGCGTTGACAGAGGAAGAGGCCCCGGGATTGCCGAGAATCAACATTGACTCACCCACGTTCTATCGCGGTGAACGTTTCTGTCGATATCCGGGGTGCGAATTTACAACGCGACACGCGAAACCGTCGGCGTTGCGCCTCCACTATAAGAATCGACATCGTGGGTTTATGTTCCCTATATTTTCGACTACGGTTGCCAAGGCTATAGAAGCCGAGCATGAGCAGGGCCTTTTTTGGCTGTCGACATGCGTATTCCGTGGAAAAGTCGAAGGGAATCCTCCGGTCGTTAGCTCAAGATAACCAGAGCTAAGTCTCCCGCCGAGAATATTGTTTGTTTTGTTCTTTCGCTTGCGTGCTAACGAGCATTTACTTAGCGATGCTGACGCGCGAATATTCTAGCAAAACGTAGTCTTATTGGTAATATCTATTGTTTATAGTGCTAATATTCTTAGACCTCCAGCGCTGATGGCTCTCACCTCAACGTGGTGCTGGAGTCCAGTAGTCCCTATGTTGGGATGAAGCCAAGAGGAGCCTCGTCTGTCGGATATTCTCCGCAACCTTGACTGATGAGAGCGAGGAGAGAAAATTCGAGGTAGGTCTTGCGCTACTGCATTGAATTATTCCCGATTACTAACTTCCAGCGTCATCGCTTGGTCTGACTCAACTTTATCGGTCCGAGGTGCGGAAAACGTGACTGGAGAACATTCAAACCAGCATGAGCGCCGCGTATGGTTCCTCCCCCTTGTGGAAAACCATGGAACGAGAGTGATTAGTTGGCAAGAATGATTGTACGTGTGCCTTGCCGACGATCGAAGGAAATGAGTGTTGATAACGGTGCGACAGTCTTGTGACCGACATAAGGGTCGAACCTACAATCTAGGGACGCCGTACCCAGGCCTTCTGGGGCAGTTCCGGCACGTGGAGCCAGAGCCCTCAGAGAGCGAAGACAACGAACCGCCAGGGTAACTGGCAAGGATACAGGTGGTGGAGACGATGGGTATAAGGAACGACAAAACCACGGCCCACCGAGAGGTCGTGGGGGACTACATCGCCGCGTCGATAACTGGTGGAAAACATCAGAATGACCCCGAACCACGATCAACAGAGAACGAAGCAGGAGGATGAGAGTGCCAGCGACTGGCCGGGGATGGAGACACAGGAGAGACAGGCGGCCAGACTGAGGGAGATCTGAGGGCCGTGGGACACACAATGGGCGTTTGGTTACCGTTATTACATTGGTTTTGGGGGATTTACTATGGCAGAACGCCGTTTCTTATGTATCTACTGTTTCATGCGCGTGGGCTGGCGTTCGGAATGCTCTTCCTTCCGCCGGAGGAAGCGCCTGCATAGCCATACGACACTAGTTAGGCTGCATCAGGTTAATAGAGTATCATCATCATCATCATCATCATCATCATCATCATCATCATCAATCAAGGGACGCCGTACCACTTGGCCACAGGTACAAATAGTCTGTTGTTTTAACACTATCCTTGAGCTATACCCATTACTGTTTTTATCCGCAAAAAGCACCCCCCGTTATGGAAAAGCAATAGAACGAGAGTGATTAGTTGGCAATCAGGGTGCTACGCAAAACGCGCGGCTGAGTACTGCCCGAAAAAGCTGGTTAAGCTGAGCGTTGTCCCGGAAGTTCCAAAAGCTCAGAAATTCCGTGATTGTCTTCTCGGATATAGAATCGGGTGCTACGCAAAGCGCGCGGCTAAGTGCTGCCAAAGTCGAGTCCACGGTATGGGTGAATGTCTAGGCTGGCGGTAGAAGAGCCTGATTTTCTTGAATGCCTCTGGGGGACTGTCGATGTTTTGGATGAGCGTCTTCGCTTCTTCACCGAGTGTAGCCCGAAGGCAGGCCGGAGCTTTCCTCTAGTTGGCCACCTTGCTTTGAAAACGCTGGTCAAGCTCAGCGTTGTCCCGAAAGTTCCAGAAGCTCAGAAATTCCGTGATTGTCTTCTCGGATACGGATTCGGGAGCTATGCAAAGCGCGCGGCCGAGTGCTGCCCGCGCTTTATCCACGTTGTGGATGATCTTGTCAGGTAGCGAAGGCATGTCCTCCTCGCCCTTGATGATCCTCATTTGCATGGGTTCCAGGGAGCGTAAGATACTGAAGCCAAGGCGCAAAGTTGGTTACGCCATCAAGAGTTGGCACGAACTGCTGCAGAAAGAGGATGTGGGATGTGGGATGTGAGAGGTTGAAGTTCCCCCAGCATTGGGTCCTAGTTAGGTTTTGGGTCGAGACCTTCGAACCAAGTTAGGTAGTCTTATCATTCAAAAACACAACCGCCGGGATTTGAACCCGGGACCTTCCGTTGAAGAACCTTAAATAGGAGACGGATGCCCTGACGACTAGGCCACGGCTGCAAGTATATGATACGATTTCTATTTTATACTATAGTTGAATATACACAGTCGCATCTTACTTAGTTAGCTAGTAGAGCATCCCTATAACCAAATAAGCCCTTCACTCTCTTTGTGAAATAATAAAAAATAAATGCTCTGTAGGCACCTAGCCATATATAAATCCTCCCAAAAAAAAAATTAGACTAACATAGGGGTCGAACCTCTCCTATTGCCACGCATCGGTGAAGGGAAGACCGAGGGTTCGATCCCCTCCAGGTATGTCTTTTTTGGGGTTGTTTTTGACCAACGCAAACAACAGACTATCTACCTGTGCCCAATTGGTACGGCGTCCCTCTCCTATTGCCACGCATCGGTGAAGGGAAGACCGAGGGTTCGATCCCCTCCAGGTATGTCCAATTTTTTTTGGTTTGTCGTTTTGGTTCCTTTCAAACGCAACACCTCGCCCCTTTTTGACCGACGCAAACAAAATCAACCACATCCGTGCTTTCCCTCTGTCGTCCATTCCACCATGTTTCCCACACGCATCCTTCTCGGTCAAGCTCGATTGACCTTGTTCACCCGTGCCGGGTGCGGCCTATGCGACACCGCGAAGCATACTGTTGTCCAGCTCCAGAAGCGCCGGCCCTTTGAATACGTGGAGAAAGACATCATGGATGCTGCCAACAAGTCCTGGAAGGATGTTTACGAGTTTGATGTTCCCGTTCTACACGCACAGGCGGTGAAAGATGGGCTGCCCAAGGAGGCCGAGCTCTCCGACGCGCGGAAGCTGTTCCATCGATGGACCGAGCAGGAAGTTGAGCAATTGGTCAACGAGGCAGAGAATTAACCTCCCCCCGGTTAAATTCTTCCGAACTCATAAGAGATTTAAACCCGATATGACCTGCGGCTGGGGTCGGAAGAGTGAATGCGTGCACACCCACCCACCTCCCTGGGCTTCACTCCCCACTGCAGGTACCCGATGCAAGGCATGATCGAGTGGTTTGGGAGGCAGAAATAGCCATCTGGTTGATGGAATGGCTAGGAGAGGGCAGTGCAGCCAACCAGTACCGACGAGTGCTGGAAGTGTAGGGCCTGACCACTTGCTGCAAATTCTGCCTACGCTCTCTTCCTTGCCCAGAATCCTTGCAGCTACCTCACTATTTCACTATTGGCAAATTGGTTCCACCGTGCCTTTTGTCTTCCCAATGCCGATACCGCAAACGCGCTTCAGACCTCTAGGGATCAGGCCGAAGGGACGGTGGGCCACCTCGATTGATTGATGTGCAGTAGTCCAAGCCCGGCGCCATTGCTGTACGGTCGATCCAATCCATACTGGACAGGTGAATCTGTCGCGGTATCAATGAAGAGTTGTCTTGGTTTTTTTCCATTTCTGCTCATGTTTAATTTTCTAGGCGGGTAAGAGACCGTGTAGGGGTGCTTAGGCCATGTTACTCATGTCACTCATGTCGCAACCCTCTACTAAACCAAATATGTGACTAAACGCCCATCATTGCGGCCAATGTTATGCTTTTATGAAATGTTTTCCTTTCACCATATCTCAGCCGGTCATATCCAACAGCTTCACATCATAGAATAGACGACTGGCAACCCAGGAGGCCCTACGCTCAAGCTCTTGCTGGCCCTCAGTGGCTTTCATTCCATATAGAAATTTCTCTCGCAGCAAAAAGCGTGCACCTGAACTGCTTGTTTATTTGAATAGCTTCTCTTCTAGTTCATATGTGGGCTTAGAGGATATCTACCCAGAAAATATATATATTACGTGATGGAGCAAGAGCGTTGCCCACACAGTATTCTAACGTTTTTCTTCTTCTTCTCTTCTAGTCATTGGCCCATTCTCAAATATACGCAGTGACTTGAGGCGAGACATGATATTAAGTGCCATTGAGGGGTATAAGTGAGAGATTTGCAATGTTCCGTCAGTAAGGTGTGGAGGCGACTGCTCGACCCGTGCTCGGCACAACCTTCCGTGCCCCGAACAATGGCGATTCTCAATGCCGCGCGAAGACCCACGTATGGATTTTATTTTATCATTGGTCATCTCGAAAAATCACCACAGTTCATACCTAAAGATAGTAGGTCACCAATAGAGCCAATGGTTTACGATGGGGCCTAAACCGGTCATTGATCCAAGGCAAACCGGCGACAACAAGGATTTAGGCTGATGCCAACCACGCCCGAAATACTCGACTAAGAAGCAATTTAATCTAGACGAGCCTCACGATAGTCCTTGAAAGCCCAAATAAGAAAAACAAGGGATAGGTCACCAGCATTTCCGGTTCATCCGATGCCTGTGCTCGACTTTATTGGGTTGTGTGGGATCTTATGAATGTGAAGGTGGAACTTGGAATCCCAAACAGGGTACCCGCCGTTCAAAGGCATCAAATAGAGATTAATTATTTCTCAAAGTGAAGAGTGATCTCTACTCATGGAAGTCGTCTTTCTTAAAAATTCCGCCGGATTCGAATCACCACGGCGATAGAGAGGTCAAACCAGACCCGGTCGTTTTCGATTGCTAAAAATCCTTGAGCCTGGTCTCTGTACATGGAGTTCCGCTCTATCGCCACTGACTGGTCTTTGGATTCTCCCTGTCAATCAAATGCGCATGCAAAGATTTCCTGGCGAGCCTCATATGACTAGGAAAAAGCATGTGCTCCTTGATACACCCAGGGAGAAAAGCAAGAGGCAAGTAAAAAGGGTCCTAATTCTGGCATTTAAACATGTAGCTTCTTGGCAAGTGTCTTTGGGCGGGACCCATCCATGTTCAATGCGGATGGCGGCGTTTAGGCGCTTATTTCCGAAATCCTATTTCTCATTGCCGCGCCTCACCTAGCCTTCCTTCCACGTACTCACCCGACACCCAACATTAAGATTTCCCATTATGAATGCGCCGATGAAGCAAGAACATGTTGATAGGGGCCTTACCGTAGAGGACTCCATGGCACCACTTGACCCTGCATCTAGACGAAGGCTACAGAATCGCCTCAACCAGCGTGCTAGTCGTGAGTGGCATTTTCCATTTCGCCACCTCCGAACTCCACAAACTTTTGAATCGACCTAACCTTCATTTAGGTGAAAGGAAGCAAGCTGAGAAGAAGCGACAGAAGCAAGAACAACGCTGGGTTATCTACACCAATGAAGCCAAGGCCTTCCCAGTGGCCGAAGACATTCAATTGACAAGTGTGCCAAAATCGACGCCACCACGTGAAACCCCCCGGCGAGCCAAGATCACAAGAGTTCTTCCTTTTGTGCAATCGGAAAAGCGCCGCCAGAACAGTATCTGGCTCTTACAAGAACGCAAGTGATCCAGAGAGCCAGCAATAATTTGCTACCCCCCAGTCATCTTCTCTCTGTGGCACAGTTTAATATTATTCGTGCAATGTTTGCAAATGCTGCCAGCATGGAACTCACTTGGGATGTATTACGCGAAGACATTGCATCGTCTTTCAATATCGCTGGACCGATCACTTTTTGCTTGCCGCCAAGTCTGCAACCAAGCTCGATACAAAAGCGAATCATCCATCATCCCTGGATCGATCTCCTCCCGATCCCCTCATTTCGAAATACCTTAATCGGGAGAATGGAAGAATATGGGGAGGACGAACTTTGTTTAGATCTTTACGGCTTCGGTAACTCACGAGACGTTGGGTTAATCGTTTGGGGTGAACCATGGGACCCTAAAGCATACGAGCTGTCAGAGACTGTGGTGCAAAAATGGGGCTGGCTTTTAAAGGATTGTCCAGAGCTCTTTACGTCCACGAATTTTTGGAGGAGGAGAAGAGGAGAGAAGCCATTGAAATTGCTAAAGTCTAGCGGCCACTCTATCCGAGAAATCAAATAACCAGAAGCGGGGTCAACAAGGTTCACCTATCAATAACTCGACCTTTATAAGGGGTACTTCTCCTGGATCATCTTTTCACTCATCTCCCAGAGGCGGGTGCAGTTCTGTTCATCTCGAACATGGGCGTGCATATGATCATTTGCTACGGCGTTTTGGCTCAGGAACGCCCCGGTATAATCTACAGTCAAGGCTAAAAGTCAGCATGATGCTTCAATCCACAAAAATAGCAAATGAAAACAGACCTGCGATGGTAGGGTCAATCATTCCCGTGATCATGGTGGCCGCTCCTTCAGACCGAGTTGTCCACGTGGGGAAGTCGAATTCTTTTCCGTCTACATCCAGAAGAGCTATTCAAATGTGAGTAAGATGTAATCGATTGGACAGGGGGGAGTGACTTACGACCAGCTTTCTTCCATTCCTCCATCATTTCCGGAAAGTCCGGGGGAAGTGCCTTTGCAAGCCGGTGTAAACAGCTGGTGAAATTAGCCTTCGAGTACTCAGTTTACAGGGAGACAGCATACATACCACCAGGATCAATGCTGAAAACACGGATTCCTTGACTCTTCAAGTTTTCACCGAGTCTTTTTGCGAACATGGTGCGCGCGGCGTTGGACTGGCTATACGCAACCAGTGGTTCGTAGGTCTTGCCATCCTGTCAGGCTGGTGAGCTATTTGCAAATCCCCAGATGTTGGAATTAGTCTTCAAAGCTTACACTGAAATCAAGATCATCGAAGTGAACTTGGCCTTGCCTCATCGCCGCACTTGATGTAACGATAATCGAAGACGTTGGGCCAGCGGCTTGAATCTTTGGCAAGAGGAGCTTCACAAGAAAGAAGTTTGCCAGATAATTGACGCCGAACTGCATCTCAAATCCATCCTTGGTTCTGCTGAAAGGGCATGCCATCACAGCAGCCACGAAGACCACATGGTCAATCTTGGGCACATCTGCGAGGCCCTCATTAACTGCCTGGTGGATATTGCTCAGGTCTCCCAGCTCCATGTTGAGAAAACGGGTTTCAACATTGGGCTTGGAGGCCTTGATCTTCTCGGCAATCGGAGCTACCTTGGACTCGGCGCGGGCGCTCAGGATGAGGAGCTTGGGATCGGCATTGGACAATTGGATAGCAAGTTCACCCGCAATGGACTGATCGGAGACACCGGTGATCAAGACTTTTATCGCCCAAAGTATTAGTGCAATTCAGTTATACAAAGCACATCAATAGTAATTTACCTGTCTTTCCAGCAAGTGACTTGCCATATTTCTCCAAGATGACCTCCGAGCGAAGGTTTTGCTTGACAGACATCGCGGCTGATAGGAGTTGATTAAAGAGATTTTTGCAAATGGTGAAGTATCTGAAAGATGAAATTGCGCTGAAGGAAGATCAACGAAGAGTCAAAGCCCTTCTTATACCTTTTTTGCGGTTATATGGGCCTACAACTGGGACTTAGAGGAAGCCATAACTCCGACAGAAGCACGGAGAATAGCACAAGCTCCGAAATCAATATAGAAAAGTTTCGCCCAATCTGGCTAGGTTCCTGTCATCTGCCGCGGCATTTTAACCTTAACGTCGGACTGCAGACGATGAATTATTCAGCTTGCCTTATTCCAGGATCCACCTTTTGTCTACCTCGGGCTTTCATTTTCTTCTTTTCTCTACAAAAACTAAAAGAAAAAAGAAAAGAAATAGCAGCGACTGCACAATATGACCTTTAATCACGGCACACAGCTGGGATTTGATCTCAGCATACCTGTCGCCACAAAAAAAAAAGAAGGAAGAGCTACTCTTTCTGCAATAGGTGGTTGGTACTGCCCAAGCACTGCCAAACTGGATATTGTGGTCGGGCGAATCACGTTACAGGCCTGCTAGCCCCGCAGCTTTACCTGTTTAGGTTAGTGTCGTGTCATCATCCGCAGACACCTTCGGATCTCGATCACGGATCCAGGTCCAAGGATATTTACCATCAAAGAGATTAGAAATTTCCAAATGACCACGGCTATCTGGATAGCGGACAGTCCGACAGTCCGACATCAGGAAATACAATCTTTACATTATTGAGTCTTCCGCGAAAATGTTTGACATCATCTTGCAAAAAGCAATATCGACGCCTGTCGGCCACGTCGCAAGACGAAAGCAAAAGAAATACGAAGACAGGATGGCCTTGCTTGACTGTGATTGAATAGCTCAGAACTCGCGTCCGATGCGTGGCTATTTTGGTATCCCTTGCCTAGATTATTGGAATGCTCCCGCTAGCTCCTTGAGATTGAGTAATGCTGTACGGACGCTGAACAATGCCGATAACTAGCCCCAATCCCTTCGAACACGCTCAGGATACGAAAGCATCATGGCGACAACGGCCCGATACCAACCACTCTATAACGAGGATGCTCCAGTCCGACCCGCCATTGTCGCTGGCATCGTTTCGACCTGGATTGCCACGTTCTTGGCAGCGGCAGATAGCACCGTCACGTCAACCCTTTCCGCTACGATAGCCAGCGAATTCGACTCGTTAGCCATCATATCATGGCTGGGCTCGGGATATCTGATCGGCCTCACAGCCATACAGCCGCTCAGCGGGAAATTGAGCGATATATTCGGTCGGCGGGCTAGCTTTTGCTGCGCCTCTTGGATGTTCACGATCGGAAACCTGGTTTGTGGACTCTCCTGCTCGAAGGGTGTCCTTATTGCCGCCCGCGTTGTCACTGGAATCGGTGGTGGCGGGTGTATCTCAATTGCTACGTTCATCGCATCCGATAATATCCCTCTCAAACGACGTGGCATCTGGCAGGGAACCGGGGCCGTGGTGTACACAGCGGGAATGGGACTCGGGGCCGTGATTGGAGGCGCTGTCAACGATGCGGTCGGCTGGCGATGGGCGTTTATTGGCATTGCGCCGATCTCGCTTGTTGCAGGGCTTGGAGTCATGATGTTTGTACCTGGTCACACCGACAAGCAAAGCACGCGGGAGTTATTGGGTCGCGTTGATTTTGCCGGTGCGTTGACTTTGGTCTCTTCCTTGGTATGCCTTCTTATCGGTCTCAACCACGACGGACCTCGGATTGTTACTCGCTTGTTTGCAATCACCGTTCCCCTTGGATTAGTTTTTTTGTTGGCTTTCTTTTGGTGGAATGGCGATGGGCTAGAGAGCCTATTATTCCGCTATCACTCTTCCGCGAGCGGACGGTGGTTGCCGCATGCCTGACTGCTTGGTTTGTGTCCATGGCCTTCTATGCACTCACCTTTTATGTCCCACTGTACATGAAGATGTTGGGCCATTCCTCCAGTGAAATTGGACTTCGTCTTTTGCCAGACTCTATTGGCGCGGGGCTCGGGTCTTTCCTGGTCGGTCTAGTCATCCGAGTGTCCGGCAAATACGGAGTCTTTCGGTATACTATGACCATATTGTTGGTGCTAGCGTCAGTGGGGTTTGTCTTCAGCTCTGTTCACACGCCGTGGATTCTTCCAGAGCTATATCTGCTATGCAAAGGATTTGGTATGGGCGGGGTGCTGACGATGTTAATATTGGCTCTATTGCATTCGGTGCCCCACAAAAGACACGCTACTGCCACGTCTGCATTGTACGCCTTTCGGTCAACTGGTGCGACTGTGGGACTCTCAGCAGCTAGTGCAGTGTTCTACCACCGAATGTATCAGAGCTCGTTGGAGAAAGGGTCTAGCTGCAAGGAGGGAGATCAATGCTATTTGGATGCTCTGCATGGAGCTTTCCAATTGGCATTGGTATTCGCAGCGGCGGGAGTGGTGTCTGCGTTATTCGTCGCAACCCATGAATCTAGCGGGCGGGAAGAGGACGGAAAAGAAGGGGAAGAGACTCGGTGAACATCGTGTTGGCTGATGGAGTACCTGGATCAGTACTGCCCCACCTCGGGGATCCGAGCGCTCCGCATGGGGCGGGCCCATATTTAGTCCACGTCATAGCTAATCCTGCTGGATCTAAATGTAGTTCATAGGTGGATTACATGAGCGATCCATGTCCATTACAGTCAGCACGGGCTAGAACTGTTTGGATTACTTTATTGGAATGAGACCGTGCAACGTGATCGGGTCGGGAGTCACGGGTCTGGAATTGCTCGGAACCGGACTGCCTAAACGATGCATGATACGCGCCCGACAATGGGGATTGGCAAACTGCGGAACAGCGCCACTTCCAGTCATGAAAGAATGGGCAGTAACACCATTGCTTACCGATGTGCCTCAAGAGGAAGCCTCCTCGCGAACGGGAATCGCTATCGCCCGGAGGAACCTTGGCCGAGCACAGGTGCAGGCGTCATCTATTATCATGCCACCCGTTTTCACGACCGCAGGGTCAACGATATGCTTTCTTATCGTACGATTGACGGATAGAACTGACTATTAGGACTGAAGCGGCTGCAACATGCTATGCTTATCTATGCCTTTCTCATTTCCTGCAAGGGGTCAGTTGTTGAAATAAGAAACTACGAGGTGTACGAACTGCTAGCTCTTCAAACCTTGAAATAGGCGCCACCACAGGCATTGGGAGATCTCCGTAGAGAGATTGGATTTGCCCAAGGCTCGAGCGCAGTGGTCATAGCAACTTCCGAGGCAGTCGGGGGCGGGGGTTTACTGGGTCGCAACCGAGGAGTCAATCGAATGAATTGGACGATAACGCAGACATAGAAACCACGGGGATTGCCGGGTGTTGTGATTCGCACCCCCGCGGGTGAGTCTCCCCGCGCCCCGCACTCCGCAGCGGCGGTCTGGCCCAATCCCCGCGACGAGCTTAGGAATCAGCGGTGGCCCAGAACTTAAGGCTGACAAAAGGGGCTTTCCCGAGGGGCTGCGATGCTCTAATGGGTTTCCCGCCATTCGTTAGCTTCTGCGTGGTTGGTTAGCGGGGATTAGCTTTGGCCGGTTGATTTAAAAAGTGCGGGGGGCCCATCACGGCCATATCTTCTCTTCCGTTCGTGCTTTCCTCAAACCATCTCTTTCTTTCACCTCACACAAATTATCACACCATGGGTGAATGTCCAGTACACAAGACCGCCAACGTGGCTGGTAGCGGCACTCGGAACCGCGACTGGTGGCCCGAGTCATTGAAGCTAAACATTCTGCGCCAGCACACCGACGCGACCAACCCGAACAAGGACTTTGACTATGCCACTGCCTTCAAGAGCCTCGACTACTATGCCTTGAAGGAGGACCTGCACAACCTGATGACCGACTCTCAGGATTGGTGGCCCGCTGACTTCGGCCACTACGGCGGTCTGTTCGTTCGGATGGCCTGGCACAGCGCCGGAACTTATCGAGTCTTCGATGGCCGTGGCGGTGGCGGCCAGGGCCAGCAGCGTTTTGCCCCGCTCAACAGCTGGCCCGATAACGTCTCCCTTGACAAGGCCCGCCGCCTATTGTGGCCCATTAAGCAGAAGTACGGCAACAAGATCTCGTGGGCCGATCTCCTTCTCCTGACCGGCAATGTCGCCCTTGAGTCGATGGGCTTCAAGACCTTCGGTTTCGCCGGTGGTCGCCCCGATACCTGGGAGGCCGATGAGTCCGTCTACTGGGGTAGCGAAGCCGAGTGGCTCACCAATGATGCTCGCTACAAACCCGAGTCCGAACAAGAGGCCGGCAAGCAGAGCGACATCCGCACTCGTGACCCCGAAGACCCTCTGGCTGCCGTCGTGATGGGTCTGATCTACGTCAACCCGGAGGGTCCCGATGGCAACCCCGACCCCATTGCCGCGGCTCGCGATATCCGCATCACCTTCGGCCGCATGGCCATGAACGACGAGGAGACCGTCGCTCTGATTGCTGGTGGTCACACCTTCGGAAAGACTCACGGTGCTGGCAGTGCTGATCACGTCGGCAAGGAGCCTGAGGCTGCTGAAATTGAGCAACAGGGCCTTGGCTGGGCCAGCGGTCACGGGTCTGGCGTGGGTTCTGACGCTATCACGTCGGGGATAGAGGTTACCTGGACGAAGACTCCCACCAAATGGAGCAACCAGTATCTGGAGTATCTCTTCAAGTATGACTGGGAGCTCACAAAGTCCCCCGCCGGTGCCCACCAGTGGTCTGCGAAGACCAATGATCAGATCATCCCTGATGCCTTTGACGCGAGCAAGAAGCACAAGCCCCAGATGCTGACCACCGATCTCTCTCTCCGCTTCGACCCCGACTACGAGAAGATTGCCCGTCGCTTCCTTGCGAACCCTGACCAGCTCGCCGATGCTTTCGCTCGCGCCTGGTTCAAGCTCCTCCATCGTGACATGGGTCCCCGCGCCCGCTGGCTCGGCCCTGAGGTCCCCAAGGAGGCTCTTTTGTGGGAGGACCCCATCCCTACCCCCGACCACCCGCAGATCGATACTGAGGATGCTGCTGCGCTGAAGCACCACATCCTGAGCTCTGGTGTCGACCCCAGCAAGTTTCTTTCTACTGCCTGGGCCTCTGCCTCAACTTTCCGTGGCGGTGACAAGCGCGGTGGTGCCAACGGTGCGCGCATCCGTCTTGCTCCCCAGAACCAATGGACCGTCAACAACCCCACCCAGCTGCGTGAGGTCCTGGACGTCCTGGAGGATATCCAGCGCCGGTACAACAGCTCCCAGACCGGCAACAAGCGTGTGTCGCTGGCCGACCTTATCGTTCTGGCCGGTTGCGCTGCCCTGGAGAAGGCCGCCGGTGTCCCCGTTCCCTTCACCCCTGGCCGCATGGATGCCACCCCGGAGCAGACCGACGTCGACTCCTTCAAGTACCTCGAGCCTGTCGCCGATGGCTTCCGCAACTACGGCAAGTCGTCGCGGCGTGTCCGCACCGAACAGATGCTCGTTGACCGAGCTCAGCTGCTCACCCTGACCGCCCCCGAGATGACCGTCCTGGTTGGCGGTCTGCGCGTCCTGAACGCTAACTTCGACCGCTCCAACCTCGGTGTCCTGACCCAGCGCCCTGGCCAGCTGACCAACGACTTCTTCGTCAACCTGCTCGATATGAGCACCGTTTGGAAGCCCACTGATGACAGCAAGGACCTTTTCGAGGGTGTTGACCGCAAGACCGGTGCCAAGAAGTGGAAGGCTACCCGCGTCGACCTCATTTTCGGTCACCACGCCGAGCTGCGTGCCCTGGCTGAGCTGTACGGCTCTTACGATGGCCAGTCCAAGTTCGTGCGGGACTTTGTGGCTGCCTGGGACAAGGTTATGAACCTGGATCGCTTTGATGTGGTCTACTCGGAGAACCAGGGCCGCGCTCGCCTGTGAATGTTAAATGTCTTTATGTCATTGATGTGAAATTTCGGACAAGCACTATCCTGCTTAACCAATATATCCAATTTGCCTGTGAATTATGAATTAGCCAATTTCGATTAACTTCATTTCATCCTCCCGTAGTCTATTTTCTTCCTGTACTATTCTTATCTGCCGTCTGGTTTCGTTCCGCATTCTGCGCCAACTTGCCTACGCCCCACCAATGCACTCTACCCACCAATCATCTTGTACATATCGTCGTGCCTCGCGATCACATCCAAATAGGAAATTTCGGCGTATTCGTAAATTCCCTTTCCCCAGCATCCCACCTATGGGACCAAAAGAAACAAAAATAGTACGAGGAAAGACTTTTCGATCGTTGTATCGATTGCGCCCACTTGCTCTAATTTGACCTTAGTTCAGTGCCCTTAGGCGAGTGGTTTCAGGCTGTCAGCAGGCTGCAGCCGTGAACGGCATAAAAAAGGAACGAATACGACCATCTCTATCCCGCGAGAGAGATGGATCTCTCGGTTGGCAAGGCCTTGAGATCACGGCGAACACACCAAAAGTCGCGACTGGGCTGTGTTAACTGTAAGAGACGGCGCATTAAGGTAAGTTTATATGGTGTCCTATTTTCTATCTCAGCCTCCCCAGCACATTCTTCTTTCCCATCTGCCTTTGATCTTGAGGCACTTCATTTTTATCAATCATGTTGATTATTCTACTTTTTTTATACGACTTCTGGCGACGAATGCGAGGGATTACTTTGGGTTGCGAGGCTGACTCTGACGATGACCTCTCACAGTGCGACGAGAAGAAGCCTATTTGCACCAACTGTGATAATCACGGAGTTGATTGCTCGTTCTCAACCGTCACCCCTACAATACCAGCCTCCGAGTCACCGTCTGCAAACGCAAACATCTCCGAAACGTCGCCTGAAGAACAACCGAAAACACGCTCTCGACGATTCCAGCCTTATCAGTACTCGACCGGAGGGGTGAAACAGACATTCAAGCTGTCCAAACCAAAAGACCAAACGCAACCGCCGATCCGGTCAACAGAAGCTGGATCTAAGTTTATCTCCTTGGCCGATTTGCAGCTTTTCCATAACTATACTGTAGCAACCTACCGGACAATTGTAGACGACGGTGACCAGTATGGCATTTGGCAGACTCAAATCGTCCAATGGGGTATGGAGTTTCCCTCTATTCTGCATCTCATTCTCGCCATGTCTGCCCTCCATCTTGCATACAATAACCCTGCATCACGCGACAAATACATTCAACAGGCGGACGAGCATTTTACATTCGGAGTCCGGACGGTGACAAACATTCTCTCTCAACTAGACGCCGAGAATTGCCAAAAGATCTATATCGCCGCGGTGCTGATTTGCTTCATCTATTTTGGCCGTGGGCCATGGCCCGGGGAGTACCTTATCTTCAGCGACACCGGTGCTGCCGAGTGGCAGGTTCTTCTTCGTGGTGTGAAGCTGATCCTCATGTCCCACCACGCCAAGGTGTTCAGCGGAATACTCGAGCCGAAAGGCGAGGAACCAGAACATTCCCTAAGCGATTCTATGCGTGTTGAGCTTCATGAGCATACCATCCACGTGGAAGCGTTGCGGCGTCTCGTCGAGCAAGAGATCACAGACGAAGCTGATCGCAGCATGTGCACAGCGGCAATAAATGACCTGCTGGAAATCATGCGTGAGGTCTACACGAAAAGGTCGCATGGGAACCCAGGCGTTGGTTTGATGCATTTGCTGATCGGTTGGATCTATCGTCTACCTGGGGAGCTTGTGGGCCGGCTCGAGCAGAAAGAGTCGCGGGCTCTAGTTATCTTAGCGCACTGGGTTGTTCTGTTGAAGTATATGGATAGTGTCTGGTTTATGCGCGGCTGGGCGGAGCATGTATTGATGGGAATATCGGCGTCTCTTCAACCCGAATATCAATATTGGATTGAGTGGCCTCTGCGGCGGGTGCAGCAGGCTGATTAAAAGTGATACTCCAATCTCAATGAGACAATGTACCAATCTACTCCAATCCCGCAAATCGATACGTTATACACTTTTTTTGGTCTTGTCTTGACCGAAGATGATTGGGTCAATCTTGATGGACTGCAAAGTAGACCTGGCGTGGTCGGAATAAAGATTTTTTCCTATAAGTCCTTCAGGTAGATGCTTGGCGGCTCTCAACTGGGTCTAAAGATAAATCTGTTTCTGCCTAGATGATTTAAAAATCGAGCATTCAATGGTGTGCGATCTGAAATAAACCATTTGTCACTAGTCTCTGAAAGTGGGCTCATCGAGAAATGCCTCACAAGGATCCGCACGTATTCGTTCTCAATAGTTCCTAATCCGGTAATGGGTGATCTACATCGCAAGGATGCCGACCAGAGTGACTTGATAATAAATATGGAGGTGGGATCGTTTTGAAAATGGAGGATTAACAATCTCATTCAAAATTATTGACGCCACTATGGATATCGTTTTTCACAATGGCACGAACGGCTCGAGCCCTTGGGTTGAATTCTACCCATACACACCCTCTGCTACGGCGGGCTATGCCTTCATGGCAATCTTTGGTATCACAACAGTCGTCCACCTTGTCTTGATGTGCCCTTTCCGCGCTGCCTACTTTATACCTCTGGTATTAGGAGGTGTTTGTATGGTGTACCCCTTTTCGATCTAAAGTCCCTGGCTAACGAAGACCCAGGTGAGACATTTGGTTACTATGGACGAGCATGGTCACACCAATCTCGATTCGAAATCAAATCTTGGGCACTACAAGAGATGTTGATTCTCTGTGCACCACCACTCATTGCTGCGACAGTCTATATGGTTCTCGGTCGCATTATTCGCTCCTTCGACGCCGAACACCTCTCCTGTATGCGCCCTAACCGGCTCACATTCGTATTTGTGATGAACGATGCGTTATGCTTCTGCACACAGCTGGGTGGCGCCGGTGTACAGATCACCGGTGACTCTACTATCATGAGCATTGGCAAAAAGATCGTTCTCGCTGGTTTGATCTTCTCGCTGGTCGTCTTCGGCTTCTTTGTGATCATCGCAGTAACCTTTCACCGCCGACTCAAGCAAAGACCTACCCCCATCCTCACAAAAAACCCGGCTCTTGCGTGGACGCGGTATATGTGGACGCTCTACGTCGCCTGTGCCGCCCTTATGGTCCGCAACCTGGTTCGAACAATCCAGTTCGGCGCGAACAGGACCTCTGATCTCAACACTAAAGAGGCATACATCTACATCTTCGACGCTTTTCTTATGTTTTTGGCTATGCTTGTTCTGATCATGTATCATCCTGGTTTGCTTATTAGAAACACTCGCCAAGCAATGAAAGCTGTTGGCTTCCATCAGCCCCTGACGGATGACCGGAGCTCGGGACAGGTTCTTTTGACAGAATATGAGCCGCGACCAACCCATTAAAGAGCATGCAGGGGCCTTTCTGTCACTATGTCCAAATGTAGGTGAATTGCTCAAGGTGCCAGGCGCTTGGGGGGTTCTTGATTATTACTGTTCACTAGTTGTTGTTCGGGGTTTATGATCTTGAGAAGCTTTAGTATCGGCGGTTACTGAGCGAAGGCTGCTGAGATCACAAGATAATGAACCCTCATGAACTTGAGTCTTTGGTACCACCATAAATCAATAATCTTACCAAAGAGCGCGTGTTTCCCATGTGAGGCCGTCGCGCCTGTATTAAGCCAGTCTTGAGCGATACAGTCGGACATGGCTCAAAGCCAAACCGGAGCAATGAGGTCCAAAAAGAGATCGAGCAAATGCAAAATCACGTACGGAGTTCAAGAATCGGGGTTGGAGTGGATGGATGTTCTCACATATCTCAAATAGCTTTTTAGTCATGGAATATTATCTGATTGGAGATGTTGATCTTCCTCGAGATTTGTTTATTGCTACATAGTTGACATTAGACCGTCAAATGGTAGATTGAGTCATTATTAAAATCCACTGGAGGCTAAACCAGAGCCATTCCATACAAAGCTCCGGCCAATACATATCGAGTTCAGACAGACCAGAAAAGAACTCAGTACAGGTATCAGGATACAGAAATATTATCGCAATGATCCACGATCGCAAGACCAGAAACCGATCACTGCAGGTAGGGCACAAGGTGGTACATGGAGAAGTTTCACATGCTTCACGCCAATGTACAAAATTTGAAACTCCAACTGAAACCATTGGGCGACAAAGCATATCAGGTTAGAACCACATGATTCCTGCTACGAGGCCAATCACCACCGCCATGCAGCTGCCCCGCAATTCTGCTGTGTGCCCAGCAGCGTCTGTGGTCTGGTCACCCGGTGCTGTGTGTGACTTTGGCGTCTGCACCAGCAGACCCAGACTGGCGTTCGTTGCAGCCTGGACGCCTGTTGGAGGGTCCATCAATGGTGATGGCTGCTTGGCGGTCGCATTTGGCGGGATGAACATCGATGTCAAGTATTGGGATCCCAAGTTTATTAAGAGTGGTACTCCGGAAATGTATGGAGTGCGCTTTGAGCCTTCCCAAAGGCCAATTGCCGAGCGGCAGGCCTGCTGCCACTTGGTGCATTGGGACGGGAGCGGTAGACCCGAATTTGCTTTGCAAGGGGTATATGAGGGTGCTGATTGATTATAGGAAGGTATCGTTTCGGAGCGGTTTTCATCAACTGAGGTAGGTAAGGGGGAGGTATTGGGAGGCGTGAGAGGAGGGTTGAGGTTCGTGGGCGCGGCCCGAAGGCTTCGATTGGAAAAGGGGGTGAGCAATTGATAGTCGTCTAATTGCTGGATGAAGTACGTTCGAAATGCACGGGCTCGTCGACCGAACATGAATGATGATGCTTCGGGAGCGACATAAGATTGTCGACTTTTATTATCGACTGGAGTAACTTCACCGGGGACGATCGCCGCGACAGTGACGGGTCGTGAAGAGCGCGATATCCGGCTTCCGCGCGTACGATATTGCGCGGTCATAATCCAAGACTTTTGAGGTTCGTTGGGAGGAGTGTCCGGGGGGAGTTGGGCGACGCCATCCTGGATTAAGGGGATCTCTGCAAGCAGCAGCCATTAGCACAATCTGAACTTTTGATGGCGGAAACAGGGTCAATGGACGTACGGCGAGCTCCGCTGGCAAAGAGGTTAAAGTCCGCGAATTTGATATTGTAAATACTCGACAGCGACGGCACGAGAGTCAGCAGCGAGAAGAGAATCAACGCGAGGAGTGGGAGCGCGCCCGGTTTATCCAGCCCTGGGCGCATCATCCACGATCGCCGGTCGGAACCGGAGGCCGCTGGCGATAATGAGGTGAGGGTGTCTATAAGTTCCAGGAGACACTAGCGGTGGTAGTCTTGAAGGCCATGGAGAGATGTCGTGTGGTGGTTCGGGGGGAGTGTTTTGGATTTCACGGGGGGAGGTTGGTTGCTCGACTCGACTCGACCCTCAGGAAGCAGGACGCGCCAACGCGCAGGGACGGGGAAGAGGGGGGACAAGAAGTTTAGCGGCACGGTGAATGTCCCAAGAAAATAAGTTTTTCGAGGAGGGGAAAGGATCCAAGAAATGGATGACAGCGATAAGGCTGCAAAGGTCACCTCGGTGGTGCAAAGTCATCGCTCCTTAGCGTAGTTGTCCCCGTTCGGCTCGAATGACGTAGATGACGGTAGCACAGGTAACGGTCGCAAGCATCGCGATTAAATCTCCCCTCACCTCTTCTCGCGATAGCCGTAGTTCACATTAAATCGGAAGATCTTATAGATTGGACACTGGGAATGTCGCTCCCCATTGCCATGCCGGTGGTGGAGTTTTTCGCGACGGCTTCCAGGAATGTTGCCTCAGGCAGCCGCCTCCTGCGCGAAGGCAAGTTTCTCGGCCTTGCGCCGAACCAGGAAATGACAGTTGACAAGAAAACTGGAAACTGGGTCTAACAAGGTTCCATCTGCTGTGGAAGAAACTGAGGGTACTTTCAGGTGGAGACCCCTTGGGTAGGGCTCCAGCTAGTACTGATTTTATAAACTACATGACATGTGCCGTCACAGAATATAGTTGTGTACCCATCTCTCTCTTCATTTGTTTCTCACACAGGCCTAGTTTCAAGCCTGATAAGATAGGTCTTTGGTAGGGTTCTGAGACATCATTAGGTACCTAGCAGCAAAGGTGCGAGTCCTAGCGGAACACTTGCTACAGGTGGCGGGCAGGCGGTCGAATGAACGCAGTGTAGCTGTGTACACTGTCAACCTGTAGACGCCCAATTTACCATGTCCACGGCCAGTGCTCCGTACTGGCCTACTTGTCCCTTCGCCGGGAAAAAGCTAGCGAAAAATAATAGAGAATGATGGCAGCTGAGATGGCTTTCGCCGGACAACTCCCGTACACTCTAAGAAAAGCAGCCGATCGGCACGCCCAGTCTCACTTGCATCGCCCTAACGTCATCATCGCCGTAGAGGCTGGGGCTGGCCAATCCGTCTTACACCTTTTGCTCTACTCGCATACGGCAAAACAAATATAGAAAAGCCACTGCAGTGTCTTGCGCGTCCACAACAATGTGGCTAGAAAACCAAGACATCCCGATGAACAACGCTTCTATTTCCCCCTCAAAACGTAAGTAGGCCCATGCAACCGATCAAGTTAAGACATAGCAAACAAACTAAACAACACCAACCCTGTCGGTCGTAAACTCCTCCACACGCAATGCGGATACTGTCATCGTACATCATCCTATGCCAACAGGTTTCCAAAAACCCCCCCATCCTGGAATAGCCAGGTTCGACCGGGTGATGCCAAGAAAGAGGGCAGCCACTCTGGCAAGGGCACCGACTTGCGACCATGAGACTCCTCACCCCCGCGACTATGCAGAGACACCAATGCGTGTTCCAGCTGGAAGCTATTCCCACCAGGCGGACCTATGCTGAATGCTCTCATTCTTACCATCTCACTGTGTTCTGCCTCTAGAGAACTCTGGCTGCTGAGTGAGGCGTGCAAGCTGCCATGCAGACTTTGCAGGACTTTCATACCTCTCTTAGCCAAGCCATATTGCGGAGCTTGCCGACACAGTAGACTAAAAGCATCAAAGAACACAACAAAACTATATTGTAGCTCTGCATCGGGGCTGATTTGCAATCCGTTCCCTGCCAGTCGTTTTTCGTCGGCTTGAACAGACAGTAGACACACCCCGAGACACGCTAGCGCGTCCACTAGCTGCACCGGTAGCATGAACAGCCTGTCTGCAGCGCCGCCTTCAGCATCACCCGTCAAGCCGTACAGCTTGGTAATGGACGAAATCACCTTGCATGTGGAATCCATCAGTGCTCGCCGGTGAGAAAGTGTGAGGAGGTCGGTTCCGTGCTTCAGTGGCGTGTTTGTGTCCCGGTGGAGACTGTTGCAGGGATCGGCAAAGGCTCTATAGAGTGAAGCCTTTGTGGTGTAGATGGAAAGATAAAGCCACTCCCTCTTGCAAAGCATGGTGGATTCCACGATATCCCACGTGGTATCTGGGTTATCGAGCCAAAATACTGGTGGCAGCTGGCCAACAATTACTTCTTGAAAGCGCTGCGCAAAATCGGCAACTACAGCCGGAGTATGCTGGTCGTCTTTCCAAGAAGGAGGGCTCATAAATGCAGTAAGGTACCGAGCTAGCTTGATGTGAAAGATTCGGTCGGTAAATGGAGTGAGGACATAAGGCGTGATCGTTAGGGCCTGCAGATTATCGTGCGGTAGGTCGATATCAAAGTATCCCTCAGGAATGAGTGGCCAGAGTCCGAAAAATGTACACATGAAACTGGAATGCTACGGGTCAGAATCGAGAAATATTTCAAACTGAATTGAATTTCTGGATGCACACATACCGATCCAACACGTAAAGATTCCAAAAGGTCCGTCTTCGAAGTTCCATATCTAATTCACTGGCAGGGATGCCTGGGTCTTTCAGATGCAGCCCTAGCTCACGTGCGTCTTTCACAGCAGTACTCAGAACCGACCAGCTCGGGCGAATCTTCGCATAGTTCTGCAGATAGCACACATGATAGAACCGGTGCTGGACGGTGACTATTGTGGGCTTTTTTTCGAGTGTTTGAAAATCCTCAAGCTCATCGGCAAGGGTACAAAACCAATTCTCTGAGTGATCCAGATGAGTGCTCAATAATCCAGAGGTAGGATACTTTGAATGTGGCAAGCTTTGGATGCTGAGAAGGCAGACTCGGAGAACGAGCACCCCAAAAGTGAGATCATCTTCTGAAATCGCTTCCCCAGACTGGTCATTGGATTGCTGTGCTGCCCACCATTTCTCATATCTTGACTGGAATGATGGAGGATGGGACATTTCATATATTCGGTTGATCTCCTGCAAGAACATGCCAACGAGGAAGTCTGTTACAGATCGATCGGGCCAGGTTCGTGATCTTGGCAACCCGGCTATTTCAAGAGGGTCACTATTAATTATTTTCTTATTAGTGTCATGCACGATAGATAACGAGTACAGGTCAAGGGTTGCAAGAACGAACAGAGATTCATTAGTAATGGATAGAGGGCTTCTGAGTCCTTGCGATCCATGACCCAGCGCTTCCAGGGCAATCTCATTGGAGTCGGATTCATATGAAGAAAGTGTGCCGGACGTTTCCCTCTCTTCGCTTTGGTCAAGAGCAGAGCTTGGTCGCCGTGAAGTAGAAAATCCGCTGCGACCTCTGCTAATGCCCCGCTGCGGAGGAGCGCTAGAATAGATGCAAAGGTGCTCTACTCCGCGACCTGTGCAGTGATTACATGGCTTTTGTCGATTGCACTGGGAATAAGTCAGCAAATCTGCTCTCTGGAGCAATAAGAAGGCATCCACGCGCCTTTTGCTTTCGCCGATTGCACTCCAGACACGACTTGATCGGCTTTCGCCGGGTGCGTTTCTCAGTCTGCATTCTTCAAATCGCCACGAGATAAGCCTGTCTGGACTTTTAACTGGATTTTTAACTGTATTTTTACTCTTCAATTGGACTGGATTGTGTTCAACTATAACCTAGTCAGTATTTCGATGTCAGCTGCCAAGACCCAAAGGGCCCCCCCATCGGACACGGCACCGCACCTTAAAATACACGTGGCTATCGACATCCTCGAAGTCTAAAGCTTACTTGGGAATTACAAAGACACTGCATATGGCCCCAAGTTTTGTGTTTGGTGGGGTTCGTCTTGCAATCCAAAACATCCTTATCGAATCAGCGGATTGTTGGCGGACGAATCGCAGTCGGATGTAATGGTAATCTTGAACGAGAACCGACTAACAGGCCGATCAGACTGTCCCAAAACTGAAAGATGTCCCATTTTTTCACAATTCTATGTCATCATACGATTAACGGCAATCTGACTGCCGGGATCCTTGACTCAGGTGCACGCGTGCTATGCTGTGGGGCGCGGCTCGGTTCTATGGGGGACCCGAGAGACTAGGGCGCTACCAGGGTGGGGGCTGCGCTCGGAACGCCTAGAGCCGTCCAAAATCCAGTATGTGCAGCCATAGTCGGGTTTCGCTCGGGGCCAAGAGCCGAGCCTCCACCACAAACACCCGCTTATCCTCTAGCCCTATAGAACAGGGCGCTTAAAACCTGAAATTTCAGTGGGATAGCGGAGGTTGACCGACGATGGCTGATCCACAGCAAGCCGGTCAGCACCGGATTCTGCCCGAAAAGAAACGGTTTGCAGTACCCAGTCATGTAGCCTCAGATCCCTGCGATGTTTATTCGTGGGCTTTGGTTCAAGTAATGGAGAAAGTTGAGGTTGCTGAAGTATGATTCGTCGGTGAATTTATCCGTAGGAATCCCATCCAGAGCCGTAGATTGGTTGATAGCAGTGCTTATCCTAAGCTTTTGAACTCAAATCTAGTTATGGCCACAGGCCTCGCGATTGCCGAGTACATAAATAGCTTCTCAGGATTTAACCCTCTCATGTGATATTCTGTTCTTGGCCATGCCAGCGGGATGGCGTTTTATGAGGGAAATATGTACAAAGCTATATGAAAAGCACATAAAATAGCCGAGGGAACAAGCCGAAGAGAGAATATGCATTGTATACATCTTTTAAAAATCACAACTCCAGCACCCGAGTGAAATCCGTACCCAAAGTGAGATCTCCAATACGGGCAAGCGACACACATGCTGGCAATCGCATAATTCCCACGTGAGTCACTAATCACCAGAGCCATGCTATCTTTGTACTTGAACTTGTAAACCAATATTCCGAAACACGGAAACTTTCTATACGTCATTTTCACATTCCACACCCCTTTTAAGTACTGTAGTATCATAGGAGCGCGTGGTATATTACAATGCTAGGTAAGCTACCACCCTTCCAATCCTTCGATATCCCTACAGGCTAGAAATTCCATCAATCCCCTTCTCTTTCCATAGATTTGACTTCTCATCTGGCTGTCTTGATGGGATTTCCTCGTCGAGGTATGACTTAAACTGACCCCATGACCAATCTACTGCTCATGACTGCTATCAACATCACGAACCTGGCGACCGTTTCCCTGATCAGGACAGTCATTCCTTGATATACAAAACGTTACAGCCACCGCTAAAGATTTCTATACGACAAACCCTGTACGAGGAAACTGCATGAGCGGAAACCCGCTCCTTGGTCGGTCCGCTTGCTGAGGATCCTTCAACCCTTAAGAGGGTATGATGCCACATCGCATCCCACTATAGAAATGTGACACGAGGATCAAACAACCTTGAATTACGGGCAGCAACCTTGGAGCAAAGCTCTATCCAATCACATTATTTGCAAAGAGCTCCCACCCCCTTGTGGCCCCACAAATACCTTGTAATTACCCTCCGGGGATCATCCCTTGGAGATTAGAGCCATCCCTTGAGCCTCAGGAATTCCATAATGCACAGACCCCCTTTCAAGGTTCGCGGCATCCTACCTCGGAACAGACCTCCCTTTCATCTTCTCCGTGAATTGATACCCCATTAGATAAATCCCCGGGATATGGACCTCGAGCGCAGCAAATATTTTTTGTTCAATTATAATCCAGGGATGATTTTACGCCAACACGCCGACTGACAGGAACGAAGGCATAGTTCGTGAACGTGAATTATCAGCCCGCCAATCTGCATCAACCACAACAAATGGGACTCCCGGAAATTTCCCAAGATGCATTTCGCTATGAGTCCAAAACCACTCTCAACTCCCGGGCTAGCCTCCACAGCCTCGACGATGTAACGCCCAACCCGGCGCAGGAGAGCAGACTGCAATTATTCCAGGCCGAGTCCTCATACGAAGAGGAGCAATGGCGATTCGATGTGCGAGACTGGCTGGTGTTCATTTGCATAGTCATCATTGCGATGATGGACGCTTTTGATGCGACGGTCATGATACCTGTACTGCCTGTAGGTAACAGCTCCCCTGGGGGAGGGGATCGCGAATCTTTGGCTGATATTTTGGTCTGAAGGAATTGGCCAATATGTTCGACAGGCCCCTCGTCAGCACTCTCTGGGTCAACATAGCGTATCTCATCCCCAACGCCGCCAGCCAACTTTTCTTCACAATGATGTGCGACGTATTCAGCCACGGAGTGGTGTGGATTATCGCTCTAGTGATTGGCACGATCGGCACGGGCATTTGCGGCGGTTCGATGAGTTTGATGGAGCTTATTATCGGCCGGTCGATCCAGGGTATTGGCGGAGGCGGCGCGATGGCCCTCTGTTTCGTGATCATGGCGGAATCCGCACCGGAGTCGGTTCAGTCACGGTATTCATGCTACATCCTCCTGACGCGGCTCATTGGATCCATGCTGGGTCCAATTGTCGGTGGACTGTTCGTGGACAAGGCAGACTGGACATGGGCGTTCTACTTTAACTTTATCTTTTGCGCGCTGGGCTTACTGGGAATTCCATTCGCTACGGACTTGCGCGTCTCCACCAATATCCCGCTCCGCAAGCTGCGTACCTTGGATTGGTCTGGCGCCACGATGGCCCTGCTAGGACCGGGAAGCATTCTCATTGGCCTGAGCTGGGGTGGTATCTCCTATAAGTGGACTCAGTGGCAGACGCTGATGCCCATCATCGTCGGTGTTGCGACACTCGTTGCGATGACGTTTTATGAGTCGATGTGGGCATTGCATCCGCAATTTGGCACGAAGGTTTTCAGATCCACCGCCACAACTATGACCTATATTGGCTGTTTCTGTCATGGCTTTGTGGTTAGTCAATATCCACCCCTCTCCCCCTTCCCCCTTAGTGTGCTTAAAAGGTGACTAACCCCGACATCCAGATCTTTTGTCAGATGCAATACTTTACAATCTACCTATTGTCAGCGAAATACATGTCTACCACTGTTTCAGGGCTGGCGCTCCTGTGCATCACCGGTCTCGCACTTACGCCTTCAGCTGTGGTGGGGATTGTGCTCGCAAGAGAGCCGCAGTGTTCCAAGTATATCATCTCCGGCGGGTGGGTGCTAACCGTTCTTGCATCTGGCTGTTCCATTCTTCTCGACGCGGAGACTCCTACTGTTGGATGGGTGTTTTTGTTCTTCACAGCTGGCCTGGGACATGGACTCCTCCTTTCAAGCTATAACATCCGCATCCATAGTATGCCCAAGGATGAAGGGGCCTCACTGTCCACCAAGCCTATTATGATGTTCAACTTCATGGGAGCGTGGGGGATGGCGGTCGCCATACCTATCGGAGGCATGGTGTTCTTGAATTGCTTCGGCGACAAGCTTCATAGTATCGGGTTGAGAAGAGATCTCATCAATACCGCCGACGGCTATCTAGTGCTAATGAATCAAGTAAAGATGACAGACGAGCAAAGAGAAGCGATTCAAGAGGCCTCTGCAACGGCATTACAGGCTGTGTGGGAAGTCATCACAGGTGTCGGCGCTATAGGTGGCATCTCATCCGCCTTTTTCTGGAAGGAAAGACGATAGTGTCATGAAGAATGTCAAAAATTTTCTGATTTTCTGATCTGCCTGGGTGGCATAGCAATAGGCCCGCTAGCGATAGACAGTAGTCGCAATAGTAGTATGGAGCAAAGCCAGGCTGGGTAAAACGAAACAGCAGCAATAGGCATCGGCATCAATGAGTGTGACAGGGCATGGTTATTTAGGCTGAAAAGTGCAAAGGATGTGTGCAAGGGTCCTAGTCTCACATGAGGCTGCATTTATCTCGTCGCCGCGCAGTTTGACCCGGCTTGGTGCCAAGAGGAACCTCAGGGGGAACGGAGGCTGATGTGAGTCGTTCCAACTCCTGCTCCTTCATCTGCTCCTGGGCCTTCAATCGCTCGGGAGTTATATACTCCCTGCCACCCTGGATTTTCCAGCCGCGCAAGCGATCTTTCCCCAGCTCACGGAGAGTCTTCCTCTCTACAATACTGTAATGGCTCGAATCGTTGCGATCGAAATTAAATGGCGCATTCAACGAGACTGGTGGGTTGGTGATGATGCGCGGGATCCTCAGACTGTTGACCGAAGCCGAATGGACCATCAACGGATGAAGCAGAATCACATCTCCCACGTTGCCGGTCATCTCATGAAACTCATGGCATCCTTGGACGACATCGTCGTAGAAGTCACCACTCTGGTCATCGGGCTGACCACGGGGAACCATGTATGGGGAGACACCGTGCGGATGGTCATACTGTAATCCAATCAAGTTAGAGGAGCGGGGCCCTATAAACAAGAATAGCCAAGCCGGCTGAGCTTACCAGATGCTGGGCTATCTTCTTGATGGCATCAGAACAGACCATGGTGCCACCCGCATGTTCCTTGATATCGGTGAATAAGGGAATGACCAGCAGCGCTTGCTCCGGCGAATCAAGGAAATGGATGAAAAAGTCGCCATCCACATGCCAGCCGTCCAAATCAGCCGGATGGAGCCACTTGCCTTGCGACTCCTCCGTGCCAAGATTGAGGATGAAGGCGTCGTTCCAGGTGGCCGAGGGCGCCGCCACGCGGTCCTCGCCGAGCAGCTCGCAGATGGCAGCCCATGCTTTGGGGGCGAAGGTTTGAACGGGTTCCTCCTTGTGCTGGGGCATATGGATGCGTTCGGTGGCCCAGGTTGACTTGTCTGTCGGGGAGTAGCCGAGCCGTGTCCACACATCTGCCGTCCACTCGGCTGCCTTCTCCCGGGAGAAGCAGTTGCTCAGGCGGACGTATCCATGCCGCATGAAGTGTTCGATCTGGTCGTTGGAGAGCCGATAGTGTTTGTGGTCATTCACGGCCGCATCCTTGGGGAGTTGATAGTTTAGATCATTCTTCGTGGACTCCATACTGTCTGCTGAAGAACAGAGAAAATAGATGTGCTCTGTTGATGCTACCGGTGGTTCGTTCCAAGGCAAACGCGGCGCGTTCCTTCACTGACAAAGTACGATCCATCCGATGTCCAGGCTGTTTAGACACTGTCGACAATGGCGATCCTGTGCGACACTGTCTGATTCTGGCTGATGAATGGCGCCAAGAGCTGTTATCGGGGAAAATGCAAACTTTGGTGGTTTAACACTGCAGCATCCCCATCGCGCCTGCCCGCAGATAGCGGCGTCCTGCGTCGCTAACCACGTTGGGCTGTCCTTTGGGCTGTTCGACTCGCCCAACCCGCCCAAATTCTTGGCTTTTTGGTTTCTGTCTTACCTGTAGCGTCTTCCCCAAGCAAAAAGGTCTGTTGCTGATTTGGCCACGGAGGTCAACCCCAGTGCCAAATCTGAGTTTGAGCCCACCTAGCCAAGCTCGCAGCATCATGGTGCTTCTGGCTCTCAGACTGCAGTCACACCAGCAACACCGAACCAATCCCAAAAATTCAAATTATCAACACCCGCTATCCAACACCTTTGGACGACTTTGCCTTCATTTGACTTCCTGGCCCCGCAAAGAGAACGGGGGCTGGTCCGTCACGCCTAGTGGGCCTCGGCCCGGCCAACCGTGCTGGATTGGAGTGTGGGGGAGCCGATCCTCGTATTGCTGGTGTTCAAGGGACTTCACGACCTGAAAAAAAACCCTTGTCGGGGGACCGAAAGCACGCGACATACGCTGTATATCCATATAGCCCCCGTGTAGAGTGTCTAACACCCTTTACTTCAATCACTGGGATAGCCAGCTCAAAGCCCCCAAAGCCTGGATGAAGTTGCCTGGCGGACATTCCTTGGCAACCCAGGAATAACGGGCGTCGTTCCATTCTGGTCCAAGCGACCGTAGCTTCGCATAATATTCTCCAAAGGCAAAGCTGGGGTAATTAGCCAAATTACGCACCAATAGGCTGGCTGGCCCCTGCGGCGGCGGCTGCACGCGATGCCTAGTCTTTGGCTCGTTGGCGCCACCCCTGGCCCTTCACCCCGGGAGACAGTGTCCCTGTCCCAGTTCTATTACTTTGGAGGGTCCAAGTCGTCCTGGAAAAGCTGGGGGTAAAGCCAGTACCCTGTTCCGAAGCGCCACGCGAGATGAGCCGGTTAGTATCATCGTCTAGGATCCTGGGATGGCGGATTCCAAAGGCTTAAATGTCTGGAATGTCCCGCGGTGAAGACAGCTTTGTTATTACCCAAGATCCGTTAGTGTCGTCTGCTGGTGTGTCACTCCGAGACTTGATTTCTTTTGAGATTACATCCATTGCTGGTAAACATACCTCATAGGCACCATGCCTCTCGCTGTCGGAACGTCGGCCTTCAAGTCCGAGGTCGAGGTCGCCCAGGCTGAGACTCCAGAGTTGGAGCAGGTCAAATGGTGGCGTGAACCCGGTCTGCGAAGACTGTACGTTTGGGCCGCTGTTCTTTGCGTCGCGTCTGCGACTACTGGATATGATGGGTAAGTTGAGAGAACTACCATGCAGAAGACACCAGCCTAACGTTCGAACCCCAGAATGATGCTCAACACCTCGCAAAATCTGGATGCATGGCAGAGCTATTTCAAGGCCCCGTCCGGCTCCAAGCTGGGATTGATGAATGCCATCTACCAGATTGGTAGTCTGGCTGGTTTCCCAGTCGTGTATGTGGATGGATCACCAAAGCTCGCACCCAAGACGATCGGTCCCCTAATGTTTGCGTGTTCGATATAGTCCGTTCATGGCCGATCGCTGGGGTCGTAAGCTCCCCATCATCCTCGGATGTCTTCTGATGATCCTCGGTGGATTCCTTGGCGCATTCTGCAAGGATTATGGAAGTATGTGTCTCCCGCTCGCCTCCATGACTGCTGCTGACCGCAATTTCTAGTGTACGTTGCCGGTCGACTATTCCTTGGCTTTGGCAACAGTCTGGCCCAGATGGCCTCGCCGGTGCTTCTCACTGAGATCTGCCACCCCCAGCATCGTGGAAAGGTCACTACCATCTACAATTGCTTGTGGAACCTGGGCGCATTGGGTCGGTACACTATTACTCTTGGGTATTGCGGTATTGCTGACCAGGAGCAGTTGTCGCGTGGATTGCTTGGGGCACGATGTACATTAACAATGACTGGTCTTGGCGGAGCATAACCTTGCTTCAAGTCTTCCCCGCTGTGATTCAGATTTCCCTCATTTGGTGTAAGTACTACACTCAAGCCATGTCCAGGATTTATCTAAATGTTCTCAAAGGGGTCCCGGAGTCTCCTCGTTGGCTGGTTTCCAAGGAGCGATACGATGAAGCCCTCCAAACCCTGGCTTATTATCACGGGAACGGCGACGAACGCAATGCGACTGTCCAGTTCGAATACCGCGAAATCAAAGAGACCATTAGTTTGGAGATGCAGTACCAGAAGAACAGCAGCTATCTTGACTTCATGAAAACCCGTGGCAATCGCTATCGTCTGGCCCTGCTGATTTCGTTGGGTGTCATCTCGCAGTACAGTGGTAATGCCTTGTTCAGCAACTATACCAGCTTGATTTACAACAGCATGGGTATTACCGAGCAAACCAAGAAGATCCCCGTATGTCGCTTCCCCCATATTTAGCTGAGATATCAGACGCTCACGTTTTTTTAGCTGAATGGCGGCCAAACACTGCTGAGTTTGGTAGTCAGTGTTAGCAGTGCGTTCTTCGTGGACCGAGTTGGACGGCGGCCTCTCTTCCTGATCTCCACCGTGGGTATGGTTCTCATGTTCCTTGCGTGGACGGTCACGTCCTCGGTCTATGAGAGAACTCAAGATGTCAAGACCTCGGGATATCCGCAGGTTGTGTTCGTCTGGCTGTTCTCTGTGTTCTACGCGATCGCCTGGTCTGGTCTCCTGGTTGCCTACACGCTCGAGATTCTGCCATACCGACTGCGCGCCAAGGGTATCATGATTATGAACTTGACTGTCCAAGCCTCCCTGGTCCTCGGAAAGTAAGCAGCCCCGCCTTGCCAACATGCATTGCCATCCTGATTTTCCCAGCTATACCAACCCCATTGCCTGGGAGAACCTGCCCCATCACTGGAATTTGTCGCTCATCTATACGGTACGTTATGTCCCCTGTCTGCACACCTTACTGGTCCCTACGAAGCTCATGCTCCTTTTGGCTAGATCTGGATCTTTATTGAGTTACTGTTTGTCTACTTCTTCTATGTGGAAACCAGAGGCCCGACTCTAGAAGAGCTGGCCAAGATCTTCGACGGCGAAAGCGCGGCCGTCGCCCATGTAGATCTTCATGAAGTCGAAAAGGAACTTCACATTGATGATAAACGAGCAACCACCCATGTGAAAGCTGTCTAATTATGTTACTGCCTCAGTGCTTTTGCCTAATGGGGATTTGTTGATGACTTTCCTCACCCAACTATACCCGAATTAGCCTGGAGTTCCATGAAAGTGATCATTTTGAAAAAAGCATGTCTCGGAAAGCCGATCAGCCCTAGTAGCAGGCCCGTGTTCCTGGAGATCCTCGCCAGGGTGCTGGGACTCTTCCGATGTATTCATCTATTCATCTGCTCACAAGGAGGTGATGAGGTGATTCTCACATGATGTTTCCTATATCAAATCATTCCCGCCCCCACTAAGCTGATGCGCTTTTCATAGGCCGACCGCGCCTCAAGCTTAACAACAAGCCACAGTCTAAAAACCCAAGCTCTTGCGCGATCGGGGTATTGCACTGCCGCGCGCCCGTAAGAATAGCTCAGTGGTGGCTGGTTTCTCCCATCCCCCACGTCCCACGTCAGGATCCAACACGACACAATAGCCCGAATAGCCATCAGGCCGTACCAGCACACCCTTACCACTTCCCCATCCAGATGGAAGAGGGAGCAGTACGAGGGGATGACCAACCCGAAAACCTCTCCGCCAACTAAATTTAGTCCCGTCGCACAGCGCCTCCCGCAAACGAGTTCCTTTGTCACTTCCGTCGCTGCAATGTTAGCATTGCTAGGGCAGCGGCGGCTGGCTGCGCTTGTAGAACGCGACTTGCTCAGTGATGTACCTTCCGCACCCGAGCTGGTGTCCGTTGAGTGTTGACTATTTACTGCCCGCGATGCCCACACTTCTCCGGCTTCATTCCCATCTTTCTATCTCTTTCCCACTCGATACTTGAAGTCGCACTATCACATCACTCATCACTACTTCCTCCTTCTTTGTTTCTCTCTATATCAGTTCACACGTCGCTGTCCGCCATCAACCAGCATGCGCAACCTTTACCTTGCTGGGGCTCTAGTGAGCCTGGCATGCTTCGTTACGGCCGCTCCAACTTCTCTCATGCGGGGGCAACTGCCCGATGGAATGCCCTCGCCGGGTCCAAGCGAGCTGAAGCAAATCGAGCAGTCTGCCCACGGCACCCTGCCAAATGGCCCTCCCCCGCCGGCCATCAGCAACCAGGGCATTGTGAACCTGAAGTTGATTGCGTTCAACGAGCTATTCGAAGTCGCCTTCTTCAATGAATTGATTACCAACATCACCGAGAATGTTGAGGGATATCGCTTTAACAAAGCGGAAGAGCAGACCGTCGTTCTAGACGCGCTCAAGGCCATTCTCGCGGTAGGTACCCCTCAGTTCCAAACTTAGGCCTCCCATTTACTGACTTCTCTGTGTGAGCAGCAAGAGGAACTGCATGCACTCCGTGCCAACGACGCCCTGAGCCATTTCAATGTCACGGAGATCGAACCCTGCAAGTACCAGTTCCCCGTCCAGGACTTCGACGATGCCATCGTGCTCGCCTCGACCTTCACCAGCCTCGTTCTCGGGACCCTGCAGGATGTGGTCGAGCGGTTCGCCTTGGGCCACGACGTCGACCTGGCACGCGAGATTTCATCCGTCATCGGCCAGGAAGGAGAACAGCAAGGATGGTTCCGCGTTATGCAGGGCAAGATCCCCAGCGAGCTGCCCTTCCTGACCACCAGCGACCTCAACTTTGCCTTCACCGCCATCCAGGACTTTGTCGTACCTGGCAGCTGCCCCAATATCTTCGATATCCCTCTGCGTACCTTCGAGGATCTGAAAATCCTTTCAACCCCTGGCCCCCAAAGCCAGAATCTCACCTTCCAGTTCAACGACCCGGATAATGATGCTGCACACCCACTGTGGATGACCTATATCAACCAGCAGAACCTGCCGATCGTCGAGCCTCTCCACATTATAAGCCGTGATGGACGTGAAGTCCAGGCTGAAGCACTCTTCCCGTTCGACGACCATGAGATGAATGGCCTGACGATCGCGACAGTGACCAATCTGGAGGGTCCCTTTGAAGACGTGAGCAGTGTGGCTAAGTGGACACTCGCTGGGCCTGGTCTGATCATCATCAACTGAATTGGATCTGCATTGTGGCATAGCATGGGTAGCCATGCATCAAGTTGGCGGGCAGATGGTGAATATCGTTACGAATGCATGAAGGGAAACGGACTCGATGCGACCAATTAATTTATCTCTTAGCGCGCAATGACCGGAAATAGAATTGGAATGAATCAATGATCGTTTCACTTTTATTACCACCCCTGTAGGGAATTTATATTGTGGCGGTTCCTTGGCTCGTAATAAGAAGACTAATCACCCGCACACAAAAAGAAAGAAGAATGTATACCAAGATCAAGCAGCAAATACAGTGGTTTAGCAAAGGAATCTATTACAAGGTGGTGAACGGTCTTACAGAGAAACAAACCCATTAAACCTATTTAATTCGAAAATAGTCGATATCTACAAGAGACAAGCACGTCCACCACCTCCCTTCAACACACCACCATCACAACCTCAACCTCTTCAAGACCTATAAGCCCAGCTTACAGATTACAGTTTACCCTGGCCAGCGTTAGCCTTAACGCTTGACGCCACAGAGGTGTACGCAGAGGCAGTCGCGATGTTCTGGCCGGAGAATTTGGAGAAGAAGCCGGTGTCAGACTGGCTGAAGGTGCCGGAGCTGCCAAAGCCGTTGATCTGGCAGACGCGGCCGAGGTAGCTCGAGCAGGCCGTGTTGGCGTTGGTGGATGGGGAGGTGAATAGCTGGCCGTCGATGGGGGACTCGACGACGGTGTCGATGTTCTGGAAGACGTTGCCCTCGGCCAGGACGTAGCCGCCAGAGCCGATCTCGAAGGCGTGGCCGGTGTTGTCGTACCAGTAGTTGTTGACCTAGATGGAAACGGGGTAGGTTAGTGGACGAGATTCTGGGGTTTGGTTTTTGGTTTCCGTTGGGAAGGGTAAACGGGCCCGGGGGAGTCTTACGGCGTGGAGGAGGGTGTCGCCCTGGACCTTGGGGGAACGGCCGCTGGCGTGGTAGATGTAGTTGCCCTTCAGGGTGACGTAATCGTTCGAGCCGTCGAGGTAGATGCCCCAGTAGTGGTAGCCGTCGCAGGTGGCGGAGTAGGAGGACAGACCGTCGATGTAGCAGTTGGAGATGGTCACGCGCTTGGAGGCCTCGGTACCCAGAACGATGTGCTGGCGACCAATGCGCGCAGTAGTAACGTGGTCGATCCAGACCATGTCGCTGTCGTCGATGGTGATGGCATCACCACCCCAGACGTACTTGGGGTTGATGTCGGTGATGGCGATGTTCCTGGTGACCGGTGAGCGGTTGTCAATTGCTGGATATGGAGATGGAATGGAACACGTACTGGATGATAACGTTGCTGGCACCGCTGACGATACGCAGACCCTTGCCCTTGATCACACCGGCAGAGCCCTCGCCCAGGATGGTCTTGTCGGAGGCAACGGTGATACCGAGAATCCCAGCATTGTAGCTGTGGGCGGTTAGCATGCCATTCGATACCAAGAATGGAACTGTATCCCACTTACTAGGAGACCGAGACCGAGGGCGCGCTCGACTCGTAGTTATCGCACCAAGAGTTCTGGTTAATGGCAAGCTGGCAAGCAGAAGCAGTCCCCCAAGGAGCACAGCCAGTGCCGGTGGTAGTACCCTCCGTATCTGTGAAGTCAAAGGTCTTGGTCAGAACAATGACGCGAGCCTTGCTATCACCAAGGTATGAGACCAGCTCGTCAGTGGTAGTGGGATAGACAGCGGTAGCAGAGCCACCACCAGTGACGCCCTTGGCGAAACCCTCCGCGGCGCCGGAGACGCTGACAGCAGCAGCGTGGGCAGCGACAGCTGCGAGCAAGGCAGTGTACTTCATAATGACAGCGAGGGCCCGGAGAAGAAGGTTGAGGATGGTGGTGGTGGTAGGATACGAGAGAGTTTCAAACAGGGGCACGCTGCACGCATCTTATAAGCCCAAGAAGCATCAGACAACATGAGACGAGCACTGCGGGACGATAGCAAGCAGAGGAAGAGTTCTCCGCCCACCCATCCACACCTCATCCATCATATACTCCTAGAGTCAGATTTAGCTTCTCCTGTTTCCAAACAACTACCACCGGGCCTGCCCCATTGATTTGGCGAATAAGGGCAGCTGCCTAACCTACCCTTGCACCCAAAAAGAGGGAGACGTCTCTCACACTAGCACACTAGCCACCATTGTGGAGTAATCGCCAGGGGCAGGTTAGTTCGATTCGGCCGACCTGGCTGGAGGGGAACCCACGCGGCCAGGCTTGATAAACGAGGAGCATGGGGTGCGCTAAGCACGAAGACCGTTGGAGTTGACAAAGCTGCCGAGGCGCGAACAAACTCCGCAACTTGAAATTGATTAAAAAAAGTGCCGGCGCGGTCGCAACAAGCGCCACTGGTGTTAGAGGACCAGCTCGGCGCTCGAAGATGTCTCACCGGGGCACCGACGGCGCCCCACCTTTCTCGATGCAGTATGGAATCCGTGGGCAGCCCGGTCCGCACTCTAATTTGAGGATGATCCTGGGGCTGGAATAAGCTGTGCCCACGGGGAGGGGCAGAGACGGCCCAGGAGGTTGACCGTGGTCCGGAGAATCTCCGGCAGCCTCATGCCAGGCCATGATTTCTTCCGGATGATCTGGGCCGGCATCAGGCATGCTAGCCCGCCCATCGCAAGAACAAGCTCAAAGGTTGGCGGGATTTGCAGTGAAGGGAACCCAAATTCTTCCGGCTTGGCGTGGGGCCGTGGTCCCTGCCATCTGCCGTGGAGCATACATGAGGTACTCCGTACGCTGGACGGAGTAGATCTCATAGACGTTGCATCCCATCTTCATACGGGACTGTCCCCGTGAAATTCAATGTCTGCAGATCTGGCCTGGGATTGTCCGTAATTTCGCGTCAATGATATCGATCCTGGGCGTGCAGTGCGACCGTTGACGATCTGCAATCTCCGGCTAGCGTGAGACGGCGGACTCTAAACTCTTAACTGTGGTCATCCACAACGCTGGTCTATCAGATGATTCTCCACCGTTAGCCTCTTCTTTTAATAGCCTTTCAAGTGCAAGCAATTTTCCGATATTGGTGCTCCGTTGATGAGAGGCCGGCTTTCGCGTATTAATATAATTTTTTATAGTGCCAGTCTGGGCTTCTGGAAGGCATGCTCCACTCTCGGTCCCAATATCCGGATATGGCAAGGGGCATACGGAATATGGACATTCTAGACGCGACTGACAGCAGCGATCAGTGTGGGAGCACCTCGGAGTATATATCCGTCATACACTCACCGACCCATACTGAAACCTGCAGGCAGCAGGAGATGGATAGAATGCAATCTCGAGAGGCCCAACGATATGAGTGGAGAGCGGAGTTGCGAATTTCGTCGAGATTACAAACGGCGGCATGTCGTCAGCAATATCCCATGAGATTCGACAAGATTATCTCCTGACGCTACAGAGAACCCTCGAAAGAACAATGTGAATGCAAGTAGGTATAATCGATTAAAATAAGCTCTATTCTTACATGATGCCCAACTATACAGTTTCCATATACAACAGACCTTTCCATCTCAATATTAAGTCCCTCAACCACCCAGGGCCACCTAGAAGGGCTCGGGCAGCATGCGCTGCAGGTAGCCGCGCCACTCGGGGAGAGTGCGCTGCCATTCAGTGCCGGAGGTCTTCTGGAGATCCTCAATGGCGCTGGCATACTTGATCAGAGTGGGCTCCGAGAAAGCAGTGTTCATGATGGCCAGGCCGTAGGGCATGCCAGACTCCTTGCTGACACCGGCAGGAACAGTGATAACGGGGTAACCAGCCTGGGCGGCGATCTGGATGCTCTGAGCAACATCCGGGGGGACCAGGAGGCCGTCCAGGGTGCTGGTGCCGTACTTCAGAGCAGCATCAATACCCTCCTCACGGCTCGTGCGGCGGCAGAATTCCAGCGCCGAGAAGTAGGTCTCGTCCATGATACCCTTGCTCTCCAGGGAGGCGATCAGGCCGTCCTGGCCAGAGCCAAAGGCAGGGTGGATGCCAGGGTAGCCACCCTCAGAGCCGTAGTTGTCCTCGTTGTACTTGACAAGGTCCTCCACGGACTTGATATTGGTGTTGTTGACCTCGGCGAGGTAGTCGCGGAGGTTGTTGTAGAAGTCGACCTTGACGTAGGAGTACTCCGACTCGTTGGCGTAGCCGCGGACGGTGCCGTAGTCCCAGTTCCAGCCGTCGGGCGACACAATCTCCTTGTAGTGGGGGAGCTCGGTGCCATTAATGATGGTCGCACCGGCAGACTTGATCAGCTCGATCAGCTCCTCGAGTTGAGCAATCTGGTTGGCATCGCCAAGAGCCCAGAAGGACTCCCAGGGCAGGCCGAAAACGGCACCCTTGAGGGCGTCCTTGTTGGTCAGGAACTGGGTGTATCCGCCCCGGGGAGTCAAACCCTGCTGGGCAAGGGTGTAGTTGTCGCGTGTGTCCACGCCGTAGATAGCATCAAGGGCGTACACCGCGTCACGGACAGTCTTGCCAAAGGTGCCGACGGTATCCTGGTGCAGAGACTCGGGGATGACACCAGCACGGGAAGTCAGGCCGACGGTGGGCTTGATGCCCACAATGGCGTTTCTCTGAGCGGGGTTGATGACTGGCACAATGGTTAGTAATTGGTGGTACAAATACAAGATCGGTCAGGGTAAAATTTCACATACCACTTCCGTCAGTCTCAGTGCCGAGGGCAATGGGGATCAGGTTGGCACCAACAGCGACGCCAGGGCCAGTGCTGCTACCACCGGGGTTGACCGTGAAGTTGTAGGCGCTATGGCACTGACCACCACGCGCGCTGAAGCCCTCGGAGTAGTTGTTCGAGCGCATATCAGCCCACTCGCTCAGAGCACCCTTGCCCAACAGCACCGCACCCGCCTTACGAAGACCGTGGACGACGTGGGAGTCCCGGGGCACAACGCTGCCCAGCAGAGCCCAGCAGCCAGCAGTAGTCTCCAGACGGTCCTTGGAGGCAATGTTGTCCTTGACAATGAAGGGGATACCGTGGAGGGGACCACGGACCTTGCCCTGGGCACGCTCCGCATCCAGCTTGTGAGCAATGGAGAAGGCATCCGGGTTGAACTGCAGGAGGGCGCTGGAGACATCGTCAGTCTTGTTACCAAGAACACTTGAGGTACCGTTCCAAACTCACTTCAAATAAGGCTGGGTCTGGAGAATACGGTCCAGATAGCACTCCAGTAGCTGAACGCTGGTGAAAGTGCCATTGCTCAACTGCACCTGAATGTCATCCACACTGGCCTCCTCCAGCTTGAACCCATGGCAGAGTCGCATGGGGAACTGCGAGGCGCCAGGGGCACCCAGACGTGGGAAGTCAAAGGCATAGGGATCCTTCAGGATCTGCGAAGCGACCAGAGTATCAATCTCCTGTTTTGGGACGACCGCGACGGCCGAGCCCGCCAAGGCAAGGCCGGTCACGAGAGCCTGCAGTACAGGTGACATGATGAGGGTGTCAGAGTGTAAACGAAAGAAATGGAGACCCACAGAAAACCATGTGGCAAGGAGGACGATCTCAGGGGAGCTTGGCTACATATACGGGTGCAATCTCCCCTTTCATATCGTGCAATCCGTGGATCTGTGACTAATCGAAGAATGCCGGCCCACTTGAATCGCCTGCTATCAATTACTCTCCTCCGCCCTCATTTCCGACAAGCAGATACCCGGGAAACCTCGGAAGGACCGTCAATAATCCGGAGAGGCGTTTGCACGCGAGTTATGTTTACACTTTGTCTGCCAACCAGGATGCGCGCGTCCTTCACCAGTCGGCCCACCTTCATCTCCAAGGTAGCATCAATTCGCCCCATTCCGCGGCTAATAGCTACGACCTCGTCGTGTGAGTGGTAGCCTCCTGCCTAATTGCACATAGCTTCCAAAAGATTCCACGCAGAAGAATTTTTAGGGCAGCAGCAGACCCATGGATCGGAGCCGGATCTCGCCCGGCTTGGCTCGATCGCTTCTACCGATGCAGGCCCACCGGACGTCATTGCCGTCCGTTGAGTGGCCCGTCTGACCTACTAAGCATTTTGGTCGGGCACAGATTGCTAGTGATGCCACTAGCGGCCTGGAACTTACCCGTTGAAAAAATGCGTGACAGGTTTAGCGTGTGTGCTGAAGGTTCTGTAGTTATCAATAAACCTTAATATACGAGAGCAAATGTCTCACTGCAATTTACAACTGCTACTAGCAGTCATCGCAGAGGCATACACCGAATACCTGTGAGCTTGATTTGGAGATTTTTTGGTCCATAATAAACGAGGATGATATCAACACTCGCCAATCCCTGGGGAGGACATCGGGGAACCCCCAAACCCTGAACCTGAGTGGCGAAACGGAGGCTGGAAATGCCCCCCTTGGGTAATCTTCAAGGTCTGGAACACCTATTAACTCGAGCTCCACCCGTTCCTCCTTTTCAGAGCCTCGGCAGACTGTCGCGCAGCTGGTACTCGATCTCGTTGGCTGCTCACCTTCAGAAGGATTTCACTTATCGAACAAATAGGCCCACTTCCGCATCCACTTTTCTCTACGGAGGGGAGATCGATTCTCTCCGTTTCAAGCTCATGGCCGCGCATTCATTACAGCTAGAGTTCCCCTTTCCTGACGTTCGTTATTCTCAATTTTGAAGCTGTTCGCCATGTCTCGCTGAACCCTTGATCTAGACTATGCCATCTCATTGATCTATTCACCATGACGATCCCGGCCGATATTCTCGCTGCAAATGCAGCGGGGAGAATCCCCGATGAGATTTCCTTGTCGTATCTCGCACAATCGCGTGATCATGCTGCGATTGTGGGCATCATGTTTCTGGTCTGCTTCACCGGCGTGCTTATGCTGGTACGACTGTACGCCCGACTTTTCTTGGTAAAGAAGATTGGTCTGGACGATGCATTGGCGGTTCTTACCTTGGTATGTGCACTGTCTAGTTCAAGACGATCCCGGAATTGCCCACTTTTAATGTGGAGTTCATGGAGGATCTACACTTCATGCAGAGATCTACATCAATAAGCATAAAGAATGTCCTCTAACATCACGAACGCTATTACCAACCAACAGATTATCTATATCGTCTTCGTCGTCCTCTGTATTGTCCTGATCAACCTAGGGAGTGGCCGCCATATCGAATATATCCAATATGTTCTCTCTATGCCTACCGTCCGCCAGACCGAGGTTCTCGACTTCGTTGCCCACATTCTCTATACAACGGCCCTTTTCCTTTGCCGACTGTCCGGTCTTGCATTCTACTTCCGCATCAGCGTGCGGTCAAGCAAACTACGTCTGGGTATCCTGATCGTCGCTGGCATTATTTCCGCCGCCTACGTGCCCCAGCTCTTCCTATTGATCTTTCACTGCAAGCCCGTAACCGGCCTCTGGCCTTACGAGTGGCAGACTGAGCCTATCACCTACACGTGTCTGGATTGGGGCACGGTCTACTCCGTCAACTCGGGTGTCTCTCTCGCATGCGACGTGATGATGTTTATTATTCCCGGCATTCTTATCAAAGAACTGCACGTTTCTATGGAAAAGAAGATTAAACTCTCGATTATCATGTTTCCTGGTGTCTTGTCAGTACCTCCCATCTGCTCACACTACCAAGCTCTTTGCTTACAATCAACCAGTGTCATCGTCATCTCCGCTGTCCGCGTCTGGCTCGTAGTCATCGGCCAATGGGCCGCCGACGGCAGCTGGGCCTACAACCCCATGCTCTGCGTCGAGAACGCCGAGATCGCAAGCACACTCATTGCCCTCTCCGTCCCCGCCCTGAAGCCCGTCTTCGGTAACCTCTTCTCCCACTGGACCGAGTACACCTCCAGCCACACGCGCTCACGGTCCACGGGGCGGCTTCGAAGCCACTCCAAGCCCGTGAGTGGTCTGGGCTCGAACATCCGGGATGACAAGCGGCTTCTGAATTGGTCCAAGCGTGACCACGATGATTATGAAATGATGCCCTCCGAGGTTTCGGTGACGCGCAATACGCAAAGCCGTGGCTCCACAACCAAGTCGCCGGGCATTCGAGTGACGAATGAGGTTAATATTACGAGAGGGGGAGGAGAGGGCTCCTTCACAGCTCTCTGCTCGGGCTTCTCTCTCTTCGTGAGCGATTTTAGAATTTTGCTTACAAAATAATAGACTAGACTTTGCGCTTGTTAGTATTTTTGAGAACTTCAATGCCTATTTGGTATGTCGAGGTTGAAATGAACATTATAGATCAGCTGTCTTTAGATATATCAAGCCAGCACGTGGTGTTTTACTTGCATTCTGACGTCCAGTGGGATTGCTTAGGGCGGCAATCTTTTGATTAACAACAGGTATGCGAGAAACCGAGCCCCTTTCTGACATTTTCACTCATTCCAAATACCCGAACAAACCTCCATGGAAGACCCAGTCCCCACTGTGATTAATTACCTAATAAGAAACCACCCCGTCCATTTCCAGTGTGAGCTCACAAATCACCGGTCACCGCTAGTACTCGACTCTCTCTAACCTTTAACTTGCTCCAGTTAAGGTTTTCATTGCACAGGATTCGGCCCTTCGGGGTTTTATGGTACGGCCTGATGATCTCGGCGACTCTTACAAGCGACCGAATCATACTGCACGATGCCCTTTTGGGTTACAGCAGAATAGCTGCTTAGAAATAACTGTGCTTACCAGCCTAGAGTATGTCGGACATTGGAAGCTTCAGGCAAGGTGTCCAGTAAATTGAGAGCATGAGCTGTTGATGCTATGCTTCCGTGATATTGAGGGCGCTACCCTCCACTGTATAAAAGGGATTTGTTCGGTCGCGTCCCAGGTACCTCTTTATCCAATTTATCTCAACCCACCTAGCCAAGTAATCACTTGCATTACGTCGATACTTGCGGTAGTGCACGTTTAACGAACGATTCGAATTGATTGAACACGCCTCCGCTCATCATGACCCTCAAGTATCTCATCACCGGTGCTACCGGCGGTCTGGGCTCCCAAGTGTTGTCCTACCTTGTTGCCAATGTCCCCATCTCAGAATATGCAGCTGCTTCGTCAAGCGAGGCAAACCGCAAGGGGTTCGAGAACCAGGGAATCGCCTTCCGGGTCGTCAACTACGATGATCCACCAAGCCTGGAGACCGCATTCCAAGATGTCGAGAATCTCCTGTTCGTAAGCACCAACACCTTCGACGTCGAGAAGAGGCGCAGACAGCATCAGAGTTTCGTCGATGCTGCGAAGAAGATGCATGTCAAACATGTCTGTCCCGATAGCTCCTGCCGTGGTTGATAGAGACCCCATCTAATCTCCGGGTAACAGGTGTGGTATACATCTCTCGCCTTTGGCGGGTTCGGCTCCTCCGAGGCAGATGTGCAACAGGCTCATTTGCTGACTGAGGAGATGATGCGAAGGTGAGCGAGACCACCATCAGGCAGGACCAGAACGCACAGATAACCCGCTGGCTAGGTCCGGCATCAATTATACATCCATCCGCGAGGGCCTCTATACCGACGCCTTTCCAGTATTCATGAACTGGTATCCCAGCACTTCAACCATGTATCTCACAGCCGACGGGCCCATCGCCTTTACCCTGCGCGCAGAGCTAGGCGAAGCCACCGCCCGTCTGATGATTTGCGGCGGTCACGACAAGGAAGTTGTTCTGCTGACTGCTCAGCAAACAATTACATTCTCCGAGATCATTGACGTTATCAATGAGACCACGGGCCGAAACGTCCAAACCAAGTTTGTTTCCCCGGAGGAATTCGTGCGGTTGAAGGCTATCGACGACGAAGGAGGGAAATCGGAGGCATTTTTTCAGAAGCTATGTTCATGGCATGAGGCCATTGGCCAGGGCGAGGCCGCCACGACGGATCCCCTCATGGCGGACTTGCTGGGGAGAGAGCCGGTCCCGCCCCGAGAGGCGATCCGGGGCTTGTTGACGGAGAATCGAGACTATGAGTGGCATCAGAACTATGTGAACCGGGGTTAGTGCGGTAGTTCGCATGGAATAATCATGGCAAGACAGGGAGTGTAATTGCAAGCGATGTGATTAGTTGCATGTGAGTGCCATGGAGGCCGTTGATGGCAGCGCCGAGGCAGGATTGGCCCGGCCGGGGAAAAGGGCAAAAGGGCGCTCGGCAACGTGTGTCGGGAATCGGTGCCTTGCAGCCTGATACGGGCCTGATGGGCGCGACCATTGCAGTACATGGCGACGAACAAATCAGTTGAGAGAGAGGGCCATACAGTCGGCCCTACCCATCTGATCTTTTGTTCTTGTTTCTGGCACTTTAACTCGTGTATACATGTCTCACTTGGACATCGGTAATTGAGTAGCGGCAATCCTCACAGCCATCGCACGCAGCAAACCCTGGCGACGCCGTGTCCGCCCGACGCTTGCAATTAGCCCGCCGTTGATTGGCCGATGTTCGCTGAGTCAGCGCATTACCGACGCTCAAACCCGAGGTTAGTATGCCGGGCTCCTTGACTTCATTTTGTCGCCATCGTTGCTTCTTGCTTGCGGTGATCCTAGGCCCGACCCCGGCTCTGTCTCCATTTTGATCATCTCCCCCCCTCACGTCGCTGTTCGTCCGGCGTGCTTTGCTCCTTTGTTTCGACAATCCCTCCCGGGTGGACTTGTGCATTTTCATCTCTCGTCTTGCTTCGCCCGCCATGGCCTCCCTCCGCACCACCTCGCGCCTGTTCGCTGCGTCGCGACCGCTGTTCCGGCCCGCCAGCTTCGCTCGCTCCTATGCGACCGTTGAGGCCAAGTCCATCGACCCTGCCGCCTCTGAGAACCCCAGCATGAAGACTTTCAAGGTCTACCGCTGGAACCCGGACACCCCGAGCGAGAAGCCCACCATGCAAAGCTACCAGCTCGACCTCAACAAGACCGGTCCCATGATGCTGGACGCCCTCATCCGGATTAAGAACGAGATTGACCCTACTCTGACCTTCCGCCGATCCTGCCGTGAGGGTATCTGCGGTTCCTGCGCCATGAACATTGACGGTGTCAACACCCTGGCCTGCTTGTGTATGTGCTTCGCTTCCCACAGGCCCAACAGCCACACAAGACTTGGAATGCGCGCAGAATGACTGATCTCACCTTTAGGCCGTATCCCGACCGACACTGCCCAAGAGTCTCGCATCTATCCTCTGCCGCACACCTACGTCGTCAAAGATCTCATCCCCGATCTGACCCTCTTCTACAAGCAATACAAGTCGATCAAGCCCTATCTCCAGCGTGATACCCCCACGGCCGATGTGAGTAGCCCCTCTCCGACCGACCCGCAACCGTTTATTCCTCCACACGTACTAATGACTGGATGTTGTAGGGTCTTGAGAATCGCCAAAGTCCCGAGGACCGCAAGAAGCTCGATGGTCTCTACGAGTGCATTCTGTGCGCCTGCTGCTCGACCTCGTGCCCCTCATACTGGTGGAACAGCGAGGAGTACCTGGGCCCCGCCATCCTGCTCCAGTCCTACCGCTGGCTCGTCGATTCGCGTGATGAGAAGACCGCCGAGCGCAAGGCCGCTCTCGACAACAGCATGAGCGTCTACCGCTGCCACACTATCCTCAACTGCACACGGACCTGCCCCAAGGGTCTGAACCCCGGCCGCGCCATCGCCGAGACGAAGAAGATGCTGGCCGCCTAGATCCGGATATAAAAACGGAGTTGGAGATCCTTATTTTTCCTTTCTGTCCCCAATGTCTTTGCCAGCCGCCCTTACTCTGTTTTCATTTCTTTTTATTTATCTTAACTTTTTTTTCTGATCTGTCACGGATGTCTCAATAGGTGTACATTGTGGAAATATGATTTTTACAGGAATGCACTAGCGATCCAATTGATTGATATAATAGTACCCAACACGTGGATGATGGGGGGCTTTAATCGGCAATATGAGACTTGACTCCCGGTTTTCTTTGGTTAGGGCATCGCCGCCATCTTTGTCCCTGCCTACGGGCATACTTCGATCTGATTAGATCTGGTTCACCTTGGTTACGTTTTATTTTGATCTTGTTGCCCCCGTCTTTTCCTGCCTGCCAACAATACTTGTGGGTAAAGGCATTGCACTTCGGCGGGATTTCCGGGAATCGGCTATTTGTTTTGCCCAGGCAGCCGCACTCGACTCTGCTTACCTCAGCGCGCCTTTGCATCCAGGGCCTCGCCAGTTAGCCAGTCGGCACGTTTGACCTGCAATGTCGGTTGTGTCCGTGTGCCAATCTGATCCTTGTCATCATGCATGAGTGACTAGTTTTGGCATCCCGTCTACTTGCTACCGTAACAATTGGTCACTATCATGGTTTGCTATAGCCAATAGCGCCTCGGTGGCTGGCGTCAAGGTCTAGTGGATGTTTGCTCCCAATGCATCCTTTGCTGTACCTTCTTTTTAGTCCATCACACCCCTTCTATATTGTGCGATGAACCAAGGATCAGTTGCCATCCTTATTAAATTGAAGCGGCTATATAGTTTATCTGCTTTGGGAGCTTAGCAAGCTATCTGCTGACATCTTGTTGCTTCTGGGTCACCGGGGGCTATAAATTAATAATGCCCTTCTAATATAGGTTAGAGAGGGGTCGGCAGTTCTTTGATGCAAGAGTATAGAAAGGGGTTCGCAGTTCTTTGGTGTGATAATAGATAATAGGTATCCTTGCAACCAGTCACAGCCAGAGACTTCATATTCTTTGTTTGAGTCAGATCCGGTCGAACCCCCCGTAGTTTTGTATTTTGAACGATGACTTTCTGCTCATCCCCCTTTCTGCTCGTTTTTTTTTTGGCTCCTCCATCTGTGATATTGGTCCCAAGTCTTATCCGAGAGTCTCTCACACAACAGTCTACTATTATGGACTATTTTTCCCTCTTCCCCATCCTCGTCGCGGCCCTCTCTATCTGTTTGGCCTTGAACATAGCCATTTATCGGCTATGCATCCACCCGCTATGTGGCTTTCCGGGCCCAAAGCTCGCTGGCGCCACATTTCTTTATGAGTTCTACTACGACGTGATCAAGGGCGGCATGTACATCTGGGAGATAGAGCGCATGCATGAAAAATACGGTACGTGCAGTGTTTCATCCGATGTAGCAAATTCGAGCGATCGCTATCAACTAGATCGAACAGACACTAACGCACGCACGCATATAGGACCCATCGTCCGCATCAACCCTAGAGAGTTGCACATCAAAGATCCGTACTATTACGAAGTGATCCACGCCGGCAGCTCTCAAAAGATGGCCAAGGATCCCAAGTACGCCGTGGCCTTCGCGGCCCCGTACTCGCTCGTTGGTACCATAAACCACGACCACCACCGTCTGCGCCGCAGCTTCTTGAGCAACTACTTCTCAAAGAGGTCTGTGGTGAGCCTGACACCATACATTCACCGGAAAGTGGACCAGCTGATCCGCAGGTTTGAAAATGCCTACCATCAATCAACAGTCCTCCACCTGCAATTAGACTTTGCAGCCCTCACGGCAGATGTGATCACGCACTACTGCTACGGCTGGAGCTATGGCTATCTGGACGATACTAACGGTGCTCAAAGCAACGACCTCGTCGAGGCGGTCGCAGGACTTATGGCTATGTTCCATACCAACCGCTTCTTCCCTTTCCTAGTCACGATCTTTCGCAACGCACCGCCGTCAATCGTGCGCTGGATGCAGCCGCAGATGGCAGATCTGTTCGATGTCAAAGCTAAATTGCGCCAGCAGGCACAGGATACCCTCCTGAAGAAAGGAGCCAAGGATGCCAGCTCCTGCGCAAAAGATACCATCTTCGATGCCCTGGCGAGCCCAGATGTGCCGCCGCAGGAGAGGACGCTGGATCGATTGGAAGATGAGTCTGCATTGCTTCTAGGTGCGGGCACGGAGACGACTGCGAGGGCTATTGCGGTGTCTATGTTTCACCTCATGAACAACGAGGAGATGGGGCGGAAATTGCGCTCGGAGTTGAAGACTGTGTTGAAAACCCCAGAGTCTAAGGCCTCATGGGTTGATCTTGAGAAATTGCCGTACCTGGTAAGCGCTGCAATAATATTAGGATTCCTCCCTGAAAGGGATAGAAAGGCTAACCTGCTTTCTCCAGACTGGCGCTGTCAACGAAGGCCTCCGTCTGAGTCACGGTATGACATCTCGCCTAGCTCGGATCTCACCTACCAAGCCTCTGCTCTACAAGCAATGGATTATTCCACCTGGAGTAAGTTGATATTATCGGCTTTCTAAGCGGGGTTCCTGCCAGTTCATCCTGTGGAGCCCTTCAAGTGGGAATGAAGATAAATGTGCTGACCACCATTAGACCCCCATCAGCCAGTCAAACTATTTCGTGCATATGGACTCTACACTTTTCCCTGAACCGGAGAAATTTGACCCAGAGCGATGGGTTTATGCCGCAGAGAAAGGCAAGAATCTCAACCGGTTCATCGTCGCATTTACCAAGGGCAGCAGACAGTGCCTGGGAATCAAGTAAGCCTCCCCATTCCTCTTGGATCATAACCCGTTGAAGCGAACATTTCAGTAACTTTTTGTAAAGCCTGGCCTATGCAGAGATCTACATGACATTGGCACACATTGTCCGACGCTTCGATTTCATGCCGTTTGAGACTACAGTTGATGACCTGGCTGTCTACCGAGAGCAGGGTGTTGGCTTGCCAAAGTCGGGGTCTTTTAGTGTGAAGGCTATTGTTGCCGGCATTGCGGAGGATTGAACAATAATAGTGAAATAACTCGGTATATTTTCAGATGAATTTAGGAGATATCCCATGTAGGTGTAGGTAGATCACTCTACGTAAATTCAGGCGCAGGGAAGTCAATTCAGCACTCTGGGGGGTATCGATTTAGCAATTCTCGAAACAGGGGGCGGCTAGCTAAAACAGTTTAACGTGGTTGAATAATAACTCAACTTGAAAAGAAAAAAGAAAAAAGAAAAAAGAAAAAAGAATAACTTGACAGCTGGCGGACGACGCCGCCTCCGAAGATAATTGATTTCAAGTCAATCGCCTTAGACCACTCCCCCAAACTGCCCGTAGGATGATAGAGGGGACCATTTTATTTTTTGAACAGAACGGTTCGACTCTCTGGACATCCCCGGGCCACCTGTGCAGGAAGCCGATGTGGTCTGAGGTAGGTGTTCCCCGTGTAGGTATACACCGACCGGGTAGGGGTTGCCCGTATGGGCTTTCTCTTATTTTGGAGAAGGTAGGTATTCCCCAAGGAGGTGTCATCTGCGAAGAGAATATCCATGTAGGTATACTCCATGTAGGGATTCCCCGCCTGTAAGTCTTGCTTGTATATAAGACAAGGTAGTCTGACTTCGGAAGCCTAATCAAAGACGTTGAATATAATCCACCCATTTCAAATCATGGACATTTTCCTTGATGTTCTCGACACATTCGTGTTTGATCGACTCTATGCATTGATCTTACCTGATTCTACCGCAAGCCCTGGAAATATCAATTCAAGCATTTTAAACTACCATGTGAAGGTTTACTTCCCCTTGGAACCGTCCAGGTGGGCGGAGGCCAGCCTTTGGAAGCGAGACAATATGGCAAGGCAAACATTATCATTGTTTCTGATGATTTGGTAAGTATTGACCTTGAGATTGAAGAGTAAATCGATTAACTAGAATTCTTTACTCGCTAAACAGGTTCTTCGGTTTAGCCATGTATCTTATTGGCAGCTTCATTTTGTACCACACGTTATACGACAAGCGCCTCCTCCAACACCCCCGATACCTACCCAACCAGATTCAGCAAGAGATCAAACAAGGTCTGTATGCGATGCCTGTCATGGCTATCCTCACAGCGCCTCTTTTCCTCGCAGAAGTGCGTGGGTGGTCCAAGTTATACAATTTTGCCAGCGAGGCCCCGTTTCCCGGTTACAGCTGGCTACAATACCCGCTTTTCGTCTGCTTCACGGACAGCGGAATCTATTGGATTCACCGTGGCTTGCACCATCCCCTGATTTACTGCTGGTTGCACAAGCCGCATCATAAATGGGTAGTTCCGACGCCTTTCGCGAGCTATGCATTCCACCCTCTGGATGGGTGGTCGCAAAGTCTGCCATACCATATCTTCCCCTTTATCTTCCCGCTGCAGAAGGTTGCTTACTTGGGACTGTTTATTTTCGTGACGCTTTGGACAGTGTTGATTCGTAAGTCGCCCTTTTTCTCGATGTCTATGGTATCATCTAACATAGATTAGATGATGCAGAGTATCTTTCTACATCCGAGATTATCAACGGTGCGGCATGCCACACGATGCACCATCTCTACTTCAACTACAATTATGGTCAATATATCACCATTTGGGATCGTCTTGGAGGAACATATCGTAAGCCTGAAGAAGACACCTTCATGCGGAATTTAAAGAATACGGGGAAGACCATAGGGAAGGAGGATTGAGGATGCGGAGAATATGTTGTACAGTATTATTTGTATATTGCAATATTGTTGATCGTTACTTCATAGCTTCATGTTGCGCTTCGATCGCACCACTGAATGAAATCATTCAAGTTTCCTAATTCATCGGTTGCAGTGTTGTCAAGATAAGGGAAGGTCTTGTCATGCTTGCTGGCAACCTTCAACGTAGCGTTCAATAGCCACCAAAGTTCTTCGGCATGTTTTGGATAACCCAGATGCAATATTTGTTCCTTTTCCAAAGAGCCCATGATGGTATCCCAAATTCGCTTCCAATTGTCGGCAGCTCGACTGATTGTTTCGAGCGATAGATATTTGAACAAGCCTGTCCTAGCTTGGAATGCAAGGGAGTTCATAGCTAGAAGAAGTATCTCAGAAAGGCATTCGTTTTTCAGGACGGGGCCCTTGAGTTACCGTAAATGAGAATCAACAGATGTTCGGGAGATAACGATGAACTCCACGAGATCGGGTCCGCAGTTTTGGGAGACTCGAGTAATTGCTCAACGACTTCCTTCAAAGGAGGGATCGGTGCCGCTGATGAATGAGCCGTAGCAATTTTACTAAAGGATGCTGCATCCTCGGCTTCCCATAGCTCCGCACTCCAAGCAAAGTGACAGTCCATCTCAAAGACAGAAAGTGCTGGATGGTTCTTGAAGCAGACAGTAAGGAATCCATCCGCGAGGAAGACCCAGCAAGCAATTCTCCGCAGTTATCAGCAAGACAATCCTGAATATGAGGCCAGAGAATAAGGAGTGGTGTACCTGATGCACATTTCCTCCGCCACCAGTATTCTCCACGTCAAGTCGTCACAGACCTCGGGAGCCATTCTGCGTTTCAACTTGAAAATTCCGAACGACCTGATAGTTGATACCAAACAAGGATGCCGAATAATACGAATGCGACGTCTGGTTTGCACATCGTCTCGCCCAAATTGAAGCATCTCCATTATCAGAGCGCTTTGTATTAACTGCACGGTGGGCATCAGGTGTGTGAGATCCTTTGGCGACAGAGTAGCCGATAGATTCGCGATCTTTCGGAAGATGAACTCCTCTGCCACGTCAAAGATCCATGGTGAAAAATTTCCACCGTCCAAGGGAAGGCTGTATGCTGCACCAGCCAAGGAGATGGCGAGGAGCAAGGGGTTGGAAACATTGCCAGGATCAAACGTTGGGAAATGGACAATAGGCAAGTGCCAATGCAGAGATTGGAAGAAAGCTGATATGAAAGTGGGAATGTTGGAGACACTGAACAGTGCATTTAGTTCCATGCAGTCAAGTGGTTGTAGTGTATCTGCGCTTCCTAGCACCATCGATTTTGATGTTTCAACCAACTCAGTCCTCAGATCGGCTAGCTGATTAGATAGTTTCGATGGAAATAGTACTTCAGACGGGTATTCCGAGAGAAGGTAGTCCGTGGATGAGGCAAGCTGCGAGGAAAATTCCGGCATCTGAAGATCCCCCACGGCCACCATCGGATGGGTAGGTACCAGCGCATCTTCAAGATGAGAATAAAGGTTCTCGAGATTTCTTCGGATAGAACATTTCGCAGTCTCTCCGATCGCAAGCCTATCTTTGTGGACAGACGGGCTGGCGAAATGTTGAAGAAACGAGAAGGGAGCGTCACCCTTCGGCAACCTTTGTGAAGTGTTTACCAACGGTGAAGCCGAGGTCGATGGTGAGACAAATGCCGAGAGAGGAGAAGTTGTAGAGACAGGCGACTTTGGAGTTTCAAATGTGCACTGTCGCTTCAGAGATTGGCAACGAGAACATGGTGAGTTCCGATCGCAAGCTGCTTTTGCGGCAAAGCATGCCTCGCAGGATAATCGCTTCCTGCCCGGTCTAGCGGCAGGAGGTAAAGGCCGATTATTCTTTTTCGCGCATATTTTACTATGTCTTCGTGTGACCTCCCTTGGCAGTTTAGTGATAGTTATGACTTGGGCCGAGGATTTACATACGGCTTCTGGAATGATTTCTTGCAGAATGGGCAACTGGAAGTCAGCTGCGATGTATCTATCACCTAGTCAGCACATCGCCCGAACTCGAGTTGTGTCGGGTATTTTACGTGTTGCCTCATGACGCAGCAGATGCGTCTTTCTTTGGTATGTTTTATCGCACTGTGAACACTGGAACATGATGTATAGACCGGCATAACAATTGACGGTGGAATTCCCCTAGTGAGATTTCGGTCACGTAATCCATCGGTCGGGCTCGGCACTTCCGAGCCCGGCCTTGCCGACCCACTGATGAACCGCGTAGTTGGGAAGCCTCAACTTATCAAGTTTTTAACTTTATTTCTTATAATAGAAATATTCACAAGCCTTCCTGTCACTTCCTACCTAGAAAGGAAAGTAAGCATCATTTCTGAATCAACAAGAATTCAGTTGATGGCCTCGTCATGGAAAAGCCCTAGTGAAAAAACAGAAGGCCACGTCTTCCATGTTCGACACTTCACTCCCTTCACGTCTTAAAACTAGCCGCATTATAGCTAAGAGTTGCAACACTCAACCTGAGCTTGGAAGAAGCCAAGGGATGCTGGCACAGACTCTTCGATACTGAAGGTGATCCATCAATTTGACAGGCCCTATCAAGGCTGCTGGGCCGTTACATCTGGCTCGGATCGAACAAGAATGCGAATGGGCTTCAGCGCGCAGATCCAAACATAGGAAGGAAATAACGGGTGCAGGAGGTGGATTGATGGCGGTGATAGGCAAAAGTGCTTGTGCTGCAAGGGATTGCCCAGGTTGCCAGGGGAATGAGCTCTGACGTGCCTGCGTATCCCTACCGAGAACCGATGTGGAAGGCCTTGCTCGGAATCAACAATTCAATGATACAGCTTGGAAAGGCTTCAAGGGTCAAGGTTCTTCGTCAAGCGTCCTCCGAAGCACATCATATCATGCCATTCGCTGGTTTCAGGGCATCCAGATACAGAAATTCTACGCAACCGCCCCCACGAGGGCAAGGCCCGGTAGGTGGCGTCCAGTTGCATGAACGGTGCCGCTTCTCCACTGACCAGCCTCTCCCATCACTGTGGGATTGGATCTATATCATCCTCGCGCCTTCTCGTACCTAAGAAACCGCCTCCCAGAAATGCGGGCGTCAACTAAGAAAGAGATAGGTCCATGTCCAAAGCTTGCTCCAACTCCCAAAGAGCCCTGACAGGCAACCTCTTTGGAGATCATTCCACAGGCATCCATAGTGATTCGTGGATATGCTCCTGGAATCCAATCACGGCCCGTGTTCCCCATACCGGTTGAGCTTGCCCGCCCTTTACGCTATGCTCCCCTCGCTATCCTTCCAACCAGATGGCGATCTTTATCAGTGCACGCGTTTCCGGCATGAACGACGCGGTTGATACCGGATCACAACATAGCGAACATCAAGAATCCTAACAGTCTCAACATAAAAGCCTACACACCCCTGTCCCCCGTTTCTGGCTGCAAACTGTCTCTTTCCGACCCACTACACTCTTTAATATTCCCCGGTCAGAGGCTCGCCCGGTCCTTCAAGCCCAACAAGATGCATCCTTCTTACGTTTCTCTGGCGATCTTCGCCATGGGCGCCGCCGCCGCCGCCCCGAGCTTCCCCAAGGCCGATAGCGACCCGTTCGAGGGTAGCTTCCCTTTTATGCCGTCCGGAAGCTCCAGCGTGGAGGGTGACGATGGTCTATCTGACCCGGTTCCTGCCTATATGGATGCTATGCAGGCTGTGCAGGCAGCCGAGGCGGGGGCATACAGCCCGGCGCCCACTCACCAGGTGGTTGCCAAGCCATTCCACCCGAAGAAGCTCACTGCTCAGCCTGTCGCAGAACCGGCTCAACAAGCTCCTCAGCAGGCAGAGCAGCCCGTGCAGGCCCAGCCCATCGCGCCTAAGCCGGCCGCACCCAAGCCTGTGGCTCCCATGCCGGATGCCGATGACGACGGGGACCTTGATCTGCCCATGGGCCAGTCTGGAGTTCCTGATCTGGATAACCCTTCTCTTGAGATCCCCGAAGCTGCCATTTCCTCGTCTGCGTCGTCGGCTGTTGCGCATGTCAAGCCAATCGCAACGGTTCCTGCCGTGCATGAGTCTTCTTCTTCAATGTCCATTATGGTCTCCGTGGCGACTCCCTCCTCGGCCCATGTGGTTCCCCTGGCTTCTTCCTCCATGACTTCTGTTGTTTCCAAGGCTGCTCCTTCCTCCGCCTCTACCCCGGTGGAGATGGCTCCGGTCAGTATCAAGCCAATGCCCGTGCATTCCGTCATGCAGACCACAATGGCCAAGCCCTCCAGCTTTTCGACCCGCCCCATCCTTAAGGCTTCGACTCCGACCACTCAGTCAATCTCCAGCTCCACGGCCGCCGTGCCCAAGTCCAAAGTGCACGCTGTCAACATTCACGCGCAGCACCTTGCTTCCGAGTCTGCGAGCTCTAGCACGGCGGAGGCCACACCCTCTGAATCGGCCACCCCAACTCCCAGCTCAAAAGCCGAGGATCCCGATGTCGCTAGCGCGATGAGCCAGATTCCCGTTCTGGGACCTCTCTTCGCCAGCCTCACTGGCATGCTGTAATTGATCACGACCTGTCGTGACTCATCCAGATCTGCGCTTCTTGTATTTTCACATATCCATCAATGGATATTGGACGGCTTGCTTTTGTTTCTCTCCAGGCTTCGTTGATATCCAAGAAATTTTAATTTGAAAAGGCGTTGGAGTTATGGTGGAAACCGGTCTGGTCTTGGAACGCTTGTATGAATAGTCTGACTACACTTTCATTGCAAAACCTCTGCCTCGCCATCACCTCTCGTAATCCTATCTCCTATGGGTATCGTCCAGTCGCGCCCAACATATCAATGCACCTCTCAACCGCTTTCTGCATTTCATTCGTAGCCTCCTCAAGCAGGGTAGTCAGGGGAACCTTGCCAGCCTTCTCTTGCTGCACCTTAATATACTCATTGTTCAAGACCTTGTTGATGTTGATTTTGGAGACCCCGCAATCAATGCACTGTTGGAAAATCTCCTTGGTAAATGGATCGGCACCGTGCAGCACAAGGCGCACCTTCCTGCCCACAGCAGCGTTGATGGACTGCAGTCGGTCATACTCAAGCCGGATGCCGCGAGGGCCGTACTCGCCGTGCACGTTGCCAAAGGCCGGCGCCAACCAGTCGATACCAGTGTCCACAAACTCATGACTTTCTTCAGGCGTCGTTAGAAGACCTTCCAGATCCGCCGTGTCAGCCACGCCATCCTCGCCCCCTTCGATGCGCCCAGGCTCCGCCTCCGTCGCAATACCCCGCGCGTGGCAGTACTCCACCAATTCGCGGGTCAACGCCAGGTTCTCTGCCTTCTCGTAGTGCGACATGTCTACCATGATACTGTCGAAGCCACCCAAGTCTGCCGCGCGGCGGATGATCTCAGGAGTTTGGGCGTGGTCCATGTGCACCGTGACGGGGACCGACGCGTTGCGGGCGGCCTCTGCAGCGGCGTGCACCAGGATACCGTCGGCATAGTGCACGGCCCAGGGGAATAGGAGGATCATGGCCGGCGCGCGCTTGGCCTCCGCGGCCCGCACTGTTGCCAGAATGCCCTCCACGTTGTAGCAACACATTGCGGGCACGCCGTAGTGGTTGTCGGCGGCATGGTCGAGAATGCGCAGGGCGCGGTTGTCTGTGAGAGGCATTGTGGCTCGAGGTGTGAGGAGGAGAGGAGGAGAGGTGAGTGAGGAGAGGAGGAGAGGTGAATGAGGAGAGTTAATGGGGGGCAATCTACCGCGGGGTTTCAGTGAAAAGCTAACACCCTCTAGTTATATAGGTGGATCTGGATCTATTGTTTTGTCCGAGTATTGCGATCAATCGCATGTTGCCCGACCCGTCGGAGATGGTCCGAGAGAGGCGCGTTACGTCAAATTGACCGCGGCCTGCCATAGCCCCCCCGCTGTCCACACAAAATTCGGCCTAACATAGCAGGCCAGCGCTAGTGAGACAGCTTACAGATTGTGGACCCTCGTGCGAAATGGTTAGGGGGAGCTTTGCAATCAGTCGATCGGCTCACTCGAAGCATCTCAGAAGTTTCAAGATTGGATGGAAGCAGACTTGGTATTTTGGGACAGACTATATGACACAATTTAATATACGGGAAATTTACGTTAATTGCCAAAAACCTTGATTACGCTGGTGCTTCCTTCGGCACCGAATCCTGCCTGCTTAGCCATTAGCAGAACATTCAGGGCCGCATTGCCCAGATTCAGTGGGCAGTGAAGATCTCGCGCTTTTTGCACGGCCTTCTCCAGACGGTTAACAACATCACTGACGGTCCCGGAATTCTGCCCAATGCGGCCCTCAATCATCTCGAGGCCTTTGGTCATAAACTGCCGGCTAGCACCTGCGGCATCGCTGACGAGAGAAAAAAACTGCTTGAGATCAACATTGAGATGGCGGGCAAACGAAATAGCTTCCGCTGCAGCCACGAGGTTGGTCAATTGCATCATATCCAGAACGAGCTGCAGAGCCTCGGCAGTCTCCTCGGCAGACTTGGTCTTGGTACACACGACCTCCGTGATTGGCCCTGAGTAATACTGGCGAACCATAGAGGAGTCGTCGACAGGGCCATAGCCCTGGAGCAAAGCCGAGAGATAAACCTGCTCTGCGGTTGAGCAAAGGGGCGTGGGGAACTGATTCTGGCGGGCGGAAGTAGTAATGATGCCCTATTGTCTCGCCTTTAGCAATTTGAGATCGGAAACAAGACTTCAATACGTAACTTACCACATCCTTGAGGATAATTGTCAAGGCGCTGGCCCCAGGATGCCAATCTTCCTCCAGCATGCGCTGCAGTCTGTTCTCATGCATCCAGGTCCACGAGTCAGACGATATGATAGCCTCTGCAGTCTTTGTCGCATCTAGCCCCAGCTGAGCAGCAAAGCCCATTGCCTCACTCGCACCGAGAATATGAATACCAGCCAGAACCTGGTGAACCATCTTCATATTACTTCCGGCGCCAATGCCTCCAGGAACCAGATACAGCTTGTTCGCATCGGACATGGCTTCAAGCAGGAATCGGCCCTTCTCCAGCGCAGCATCCGGCGCACCAGCCATGATCGACAAAGTGCCATCGGCAGCGCGTTTAGCACCGCCAGAGACAGGAGCATCAATGAACCGGATATCTCCCCGACCGAGCGATTGCAGCTCAGCCGCAACGGACTGGGCGTAAGACGCAGGGACGGTGGAGCAAAGAAGGAGAGTCGCATTCTGAGGGAGTGCTATTTGACAAAAAGGCAACATTAACAAGCGGCCCACATCAGAGACATCAATCTTCATATACGTACCTGAAACAATGCCACCCTCACCAAACAATACACTCTGCACCTGAGGTGCTGAAGCCACCATGCAGACATAGTACTGCTTCCCATCGGCAGATTCTTGCAGCGACGAGGCAGGAATGCCTCCTGCGGTCTTGAAGCGGTCCACCGAGGCAGGGAACACATCAAAGCCGTGAACGGGGTATCCCTCTTTCACAAGGTGGGTTGCCATGCCAAAGCCCATGGCTCCAAGGCCAACAAAACCAACAGCAGGCTTAGACATGATGGGAGATACGAATAATTGACCTGTCTCAGAATGAGTGTAGAAGTTCGAGAAGAGCGAAAACTATTTTGATAACTTGGAGCGACAGAAATTAGTGCTGAGCGTGGGGGTTGGAAGTGCTCATCTGGGGAAGCTCCCCGAGTGGGGTGTTCGGGCGAAGTCCGACTGCCCGAGCTCCCGCTCTTTTTCCCCCCGAACCGAAGCGTGCCATGGCAGGCGCGACAATTCGGGGAAATTAGTCGGAGGGAATGCCGGCGGATAAATTCATAGCGCAAACTTCTATCAGAATTTTGGTATTCGCTAGAAGGTGAAGCCACCAACGGGCCTGGGTAGATTAAGTCAATAATTTCAACTTCAAAGGTGATGAATTTCACGAGGAGGCATTTAGAGACAGAAGGACATTTTGTTCTTCTACATGGGATAGGAGAAGGGACGGTATCTTACAGGCACGGGCGAGAATAGAGAAATACTAACTCGAGCCAGGTTCCAAATAGAGCAAGTCAAAGGCACCAGATTTGCCCTCATTCATTTTTCCGTGCCTTAGATATTCTGAGACGAATAGGATCCTTTGTCTGACAAATCCACTAATTGAAGCTCATCTCCTGGATTCACCGGGGCAAGCATCTGGTAAAGCCGCGCGTAGCTTTTCTCCCACTCGTAATAGAAAGGTGGCCATTGCGGAAATCGTCGTAAAGGCTCCCCTGTCTTCAAACTCAACGTTCTCAGTTTATATTGCGAACGCCATGAGAAGAAGGCCTGACCAAGTTCCTTTGCAGATGGTTCGTTTAACACAGGCTTAGTGGGCTCGTATGAAGGTACTTGATCGTCTAAACCAGGACATTCATAGTCGTGTCGAACTCCGACTTCAAAATGCAGAGTCAGATGGCGGAGGTTCTCAAACCGTGTCGCCAATATTTTGAGGATATCTTCAGGCTAAACAGATTGTGAAATAGTTAGTATCTAATATTTTCTCACAGGAGGTTTTGTTATTACCCATTCACCGTCTCGCTGGACGTCAAGCTCTAAGCTCTCCAGCTGGGGGCAGTTGATATCAAGATCATATAGCCCTGTTCCCCCAAGAGTGGACCGTGGCACATCAGGATAAATGCTCTCGATCGTGTGTAGACAGAAATGTCTGAGATTAGGATGGTTGCTAAATGCACCACTGGATAAGAAATATCCTTTGACAGTCAGACTCTCCAATGAGCTGAAGGACATCAGAAAGTCTTCCAACAGCGAGCACTCGACTTCGCTATCATGGGCATGTACTTCAACAGTGAGACTTTTCAGTGATGTTACGTGACCCCTGATCAGCCCCAGAAAGTCGATATTTTTCTGAGGTCCCAGGCTGAGTGATACTAAGCTAGACCATTGGACACGGTGTCTCCAGTGTGCCCACTCATCAGCCTGGATGTGATATCCGTCAAGTCTCAACTCTTCCAATGGCGGAAATTTTTCATTGCCAGTCAACAAGAAGTTGCGAATCTGAGGGAACCGAGGTATTTCAATCACACAGCCACCATAGTTGCCGTACAGAGAGAGCGAAAAAGATCGCAAGCTTGGACAAGCGAAAAACAACTGCTGTAGGGCTAGAATAGATCGATTAGGGCCCCCGCGCTCTGTGAACGGATCTATCAGAGCATGGATAGTAGTGACACATGGCATAGGTATCGATACTTCTCGCGAGCCATTTTCAGCAAGAAGATGAAGCTGGGGCCGATTATCGTGTCTGCAGAGCTGGTGAACAAACTCGTCTGGGATCGACATGGAGCACATCATCCTGCAGATTATTAATTGGCGCACACTCAATAAACCAACTCGCATGCATCAAAAGATCTTCGTACCGAATGTGCTTCAAGTTTGGTAGCATCAGGGGCAGTCTAGACAGAGCATTCATCGAATGTAAATTTGATGAGATTGGTTCGAATGCAATGATGCTGGAACGCCCTATCTCCACTTCACGCACGGCGTTCCTTAACTTTAAATTGTTTGCATCAAAAAGCCTGCATAACAAGCTATCCCCTGCGTTCCGTATCTTGAACCAGTCACGTTCAAGATTCGTAAAAGGCGCCAAAATGACGGATCTGTGCAGTCGGAGCGTGGCCAAAGAGTAGACAGCTTTCGATACTAAACATAAGTTACAGAGGTCTTGGCGGCTATCTATCTGCAAATCCTTCGTCAGTTATCTAGGTTATGCCCAATCGATCCAAACTTTCAAACACGAACAGTTTCCAGAATAAGGTACCATATGTCATCACCCAAAGAAGCCACCATCATGGGGTCATTCCCATTGGAACGGGATGGTCCTAGTATTTCGATCATCTTTAGCGTTGGACAAGGCAATTGACAATGGCTTTTTTTTTATATCCCGACAGTTGACAGTTTTTTAAGGGGAAGTTGAGGCTCTTGGGCCGCTTGGTCACAGAACCCGGCGCTAAGGCCGCTCGGTGGCACTTTTAGGCGACCATTTCTGATTGGTTAATGGATGCACCACCATCTACATGAGATATCCCTGTGGGTGACTGGCAATCAACAAGGCGAGACAACTTCAGTTACGTAGAAATTTACATATGCTGCGGGCGTGGTGTGAAAGTCACGTTCGATTTCTATTGAACGGCAAACGAGCCCGGAGACAAAAGAAAATTCGGGAATCACAACATACCTCCCGCTAGCCGATGACTAAGAAGAAGCCGTAGAAAGCTCGTCCCAGGTCTCTAGAGAATTGGGGTAAAAGGAGGAAAACCGCGCTGGGAAAACCTGAGAACTTCCTTCACGGGATTGGCGTCGAGAACGCGAGAAGGTTTTGCGAGTCCGCGAGGGGTAGGGCACAGGTATCGGGGTCGCTGGTCTAGCAACCGGTCGTGCACGGTTTTGCACCGGGGCCAAGTCGATTTCATTGAATTCTAGAAGTGAAGATAGGGTTGAAGCCTCGTCAGTATCTTCGTCTTCCCACGGACCTGATACTTCGCATCCACCTGACTCATCATCGGCATCATCATCTTCATCTTCGCCAAGGCAGGCCAGGGTAGTTGGATCTTGTACCTCAGATTCACCTTCTACCTCCGCATTAAGCACTGCTGAGGAATCTTGGTTAATCAGATAGCCGTTGGGGGAGTTACCCTCGAGGTCAATCGACGACACATCGGACAGGTCGAAGCTAGGCCAAGAGCGAGATTTCGTGCTCATGCGCTCCATGTCAACAGGGAGAATGTCACACAAGGGATGACGAGATGCGCGGACACCTACCTGTGTTGAGGAAGGAGAGATATCGTTCGAGGATCCTTGCCGCAGGGCTTTGCAGAGGTCAGCAATGTTGTCCTGCTCGCTGGGGAGTGTAATGGGCACCACATCGAATGGGTTACCGTTCCATGCCGGAGAGGCAAAAGAGTCATCAGAAAGATGCCGATCTATATGCTTTAAGATGTCAGTCACAGAATCAGGTAGAGAACTATGATTTGTGCTCACGCTAGAGGTTTGAGTTGTCTGGTCCGAGTTGCCGGGGGCGATATTGCGCGACTTCGAGCAACTCCAGCACTCGCAGCTCTCATGCTGCTGAGCAATTGCTGCGAACATGTCGGGTCTATCACCATCGAAGATGTCCGACGCACCATCTTCCTCTTTTTCTTCCTCTTCCATTTTCCCATTGCTCACACCTACATTCATCTGAGTGACAAGCTCGATGATGGGGGTCTTCCAGCTCAAGCCTTCGATCTCCTGATAGGTCTTGGGTGCGAAGGCATCGCGGACGCCATAGAAAGCCGCTTCGCGCAACTCGTATTTGCACTGCCCACAAATATCAGCCTCAGTCGCCGACAGAAGGTCATGGGTGGCTCTAATGCGGTTGCATGATCCACTCATGCCTCCGCGTGCCAGGAGCCGGAGCCTGTTGGTGAACTCCTTGCAGCTCGTCACGGTCCAGTTGGAGATGTGCCCGCAAACGGGGTAGTGATGGTAGGTGTAGATGCACATTGTGATGGTAGACTGTAGAGCGTGGTACAGGTTTTGGGCACCGAGAGAAATGGAGAAGAGGGTGTGTTATCTGGACATAAGGGGGGCCTCGCGATTTAAATACTTCGGGTGGTCGGGATATACGAACCAAATCTGTGAGTAGACGCAGTACAAAGCCGAGTTCAACAAAACGGCCAAGTAAAGACAATAATTCAATGGGAGATTGTTGAAAAGATAGCCATTGTATTTGAAATCGATAGCTCTTTAGTCTCATCCCGTCAATGATGAAACAAGAATAAAGGCCAACATATTAGTTCGAAGATGGTCAAGGTATGAAAGGGAAACAAATGAAAAGGCTTACAATGAGGGAAGTCTGGGCAGTGTACAATGTTGAAAGATAGTTTTAATAATAGCTCCAAATCAACGAAGACATTCTCAAGGAAAACACGCCACGACCAGCTTTGACGCCAACAAAGAAAAAGAGCAGAACCTAGGTCACGAAGGAAATCTTGCACACTGATGCTACTCAAGACTCCATTTCCACCAAGTATCTCACGCCCGAATCAATCAACCACCACATAGCCGTTTCGTGCATCCAACGTAGCAGCGGCTTCTCCAGCGGCATGGACTGGGTTTCCTCGGACCGTCTCCACATCAAAGTCTCGCTGGAGAACACCACTGCGCTCTCCATCTCCCGAAAGCTAATAGCGAGCCGCCCATTGATAAACTCCATGTTCTTCATCTTAATCTCAAATTCCACCTTGTTCTTGCTGCGCGCGATCACGCGATACACGCCACATACGAGATCACCTTGATCAAAGTCTAGAGAAGAAATATACGACGCCTTAAAACTGCGCTGTTCCTCCGGAGCGCGACTGACCAGCCTGATCATCAAGGCTTGAGGGAAATGCGAAAAGGCGGTCATGTTGCGACGGACCAGTTTCGTAAGCAGTTGGTCCGTCGAGACATTCTTCGGAAGCGAGGGGCGCTGCACCGATTGCGATGCATGGTCATAGAGCGCAAAGTACCGATCTGTAAAGACCGTCTCTGGAATTGATTCCATCTCGATCGGCTTCGGACATGACGCGGAGAGTTTTCCGCGATGCGACTTGTGCTCGATGCGCGACGACAGCCTTCGGTGGAGCATGTAGAAGTATATAGCCGAGCCACCGGTGATGACGGTGCTGACCGTCACTATGAAGCGCAGCATAGTGGACAGGATTCTTGTGTCTTGGACTTCTCCGGTCTTTGAGATGAGAAGAGAAGGTCAATATAGGCCGAGAAAATTTGGCTGGGTGAGGTGACCGCATCATCGGACTGGAGCAAACCCAAATACGAGGATGTCTTGGCATCATGCGCCGCCCGCGGAGAGCACATGCCACGTTTTTTCAAGCCTATCGGATAATGGAAAATAGGGTTGTGATTGGGATTTTTGTATTGGTGACTTCCGAAAACAAGAAAAAGTGTCATGAGTCCGGGTAGGGGGTGTTGATAAAGAATAATTAAGAGATCAGCCAGACTCGGTGACTTGCACGTAATACAAAATAACGTCGTGATAGGAAACCCCGAATGGTATCTTTCAAAAAGCGCCGATATAGAAAGCAAATCGTTCAAATACATGCGAAACATGAAAGGCGCACGAAATGCCAAGTCTACTGCTGCTTCGTTTGCGCATTTGGCGGGGCCTGGGGCCCGTTCTGGGGAACCTGTGGCGCCGGATTTCCAGGCATACGCCCTGCATTTTGGAAGACATCAATACGCCCACTATTATGCCAGCAGACAAGCTTGACACCACAATGTCCACAGAAATGGTCCACATCCTTGAGCGAAGACATCAAGTAAGGGATACATCCGAGGCAGCAACAGCAGCATAGGATGGCAGCCCAGCCACTATGAGATAAATCAATATCATAACTTCTACCATCTTTAAGGGCAGGCATTCCACTCACTGTGTAGTCATGCCGGACACTGGCTCCACCCGAGTCATCTCTCGGCGCCCACAAGCGGGGCAGTCCACCGGGCAGGGCGCCGACTGAAGGGCGTGCAAGGGGACCGCGGTCGCATATCCACTTGGGTGGCCATAAGGTGCCCAGTGCATCGGCTGGGGGCCCGGCTGGCCAGCATACTCCTTCGTATCGGTGGGATGGCCCCCGGGCACTTGACCGGGGTAGGGCCCTTGGATCTGATCGACAGGCTGGCCCTCGTAAGCTTTGGTGGGAGCCGCAGGGGGTGATTCTGATTCGACGGGAATAGGCGCTTCATATTCTTGTCGCGACGTCTCATAGCTTGGCAGCGGAAAGCCTGTCTGTTGTGAGGGGGCTGAGGGAGCTGAGGGAGCTGAGGGAGCTGAGGGAGCTGAGGGAGACCCGGGGTTGATGCCGGTGGGCTCAGGGCTGAGAGGACTGGGAGTTCCCAGAGGAGGATGGGCAGGTTGGGAGGCCGGAGAGACGGGCTGTGGGCTGGATTGAGGGTTCTCAACGGGGATGAGACCTGCCAAGGTCAGGACCTGGATTGCCAATCGTGGGAAATCGTTACCTACCTTCGCTGTCGGGTCTGTCGGGGGCCATTGTGTATGAGATACCTAATTGGCAAGGCTGTCAATGTAGGTAAGGCGAGGTTGTGTCTGCCGGCGTGAGTGGAAGAGTGAAGGTCGAATTGGACTCAGCCTGCGCGACGGGGCGGTTTTGCACTTTATCCTGGGCTCAGAGTCAATTTCACGTTAAGATACTCGTACGGTACAGATGACTCGCCCCGGAATGGAAAGCTGGAAAGCTGTCCGGATGGGGATTTGCTGCACTGCCTTATTTCATTAAGGTTCAACCCCGCGGGGGTCGAAACCGCGGATTCAGCCCGCTCCCCATTTGTATTACGTCTATAGTCTGCTGGGAGCCGTTACCAGCGAGAGTTAAGGGTCGGCCGTGACGCAATGATGCCAGTGTTCGACTCTGGACCTCTCCTCCAGTCACTCTACCTGAAAAATTCTTTCCCTTGTAGGGGTTTGCTGCAGGCGCATGGCCGTGTGCTAGGCAGAACCGACCGGCGAGGCTATGCATGGAGCTGCGGCTCAGTCTGCGCCAAGTAACGCCCGGTCGTATTACGCCTGTGGCGCAGGGTCCACTTGCCCCTTTCCTAGACGCGCCATTTCGTATCTCAGGAAATGAGCGAGAGAAGGGCGGGTAAAGGGCTCTTGCAAGCTGACAGCGACCCGCGACAAGCTTTCCAGGCAGACGCCGTCTGCTAATCCGGTCGCTTCCCGCCCACCACGAACTGCGACAATCGGACGCATCCCCCCTTCGAGTCATGGTCCGAGCCCCCAACAAGGCAGCATGTTACAGGAGAGAGCTCAGATCGCATGAGGCCAATTAAAACCATTGGGGTCCTTGTTTGCTTAAACCTGGGCAATGCCCACCGGCTACGTTCTTTTAGGGATTCAATGGGATATTTGGCCCCCAAGCCTGGCCGCTAAAAATAGTCTCCCGACCGAACTATTCACAGTACCCGCACCGGTACAGGCTCGATGGGCTCGATCAACATCTCTGGTAGTTTCTCATTTACTTCAAGCATATTTTGACTCCATGCAGGCTGGCCCAGGCGTCCGGCCCGACCCTAAACAGGAGGCCAATTGGAGAGCTAAGGAAAATCCATAGAATGGCAAGTACACAAAAGGGACGTTGACCTACCATTGAGAGATAAGCGCAGATGGGCAAAGTACGAATTGGAGTACAATGTTCCGTGAGAAATCCCCTCTAGTCGATCCTGTGCAGCGGTCACATACAAAGACACATGCACCATATATCAAGCTACCCACCGCCGGCGAGGCTCGCTTCCAAATGGAGCCATACGTCTCACGCTCATCCAGTTGATGTCAAGGACAGTTCGTGTCCCAAATCAGTAAGTTGTGATCCCCAAAGGAATACCGACACCACAGGCTACCAGGAGGTAGCGGCCGGGGCCCGAACCAGCAAGCGTAGAACGTGCGTGACCCAAGCTATTTGAACCAAGATGGTCCCGGCAGCTCAATAATAGATAGAAACAGATCCACAGAATTCTTACAGGGATGACCATTCCCTGGGGCGCGGCGCGGTTCGGCCCGCGCGGGGTGGCAGGTCACGGCGACGATTCACACCCAGCTCCGTCGTGTTATGATCATTAGCATTAGATTCGAGAAATGCAGTCTCTTCGCATACCGTAGACTGCCCAGTCAGGAGTCTGAGGGCGAGGGCGATAAGTACATAAGCGACGCCTCCGCTCTGAGGTTGGGCACGCCAGACCGCCCAGTACAGGCTGGTGATGAACAAGATGGGGGCATATGGAACGAGGTAGATGGCCACATATCCATGGCAGAGGCAGAGAACGTTTAATACCCCTCTAAACCATTCGCTGTCGACGCAGAGCCGGGGCCAACCCAACATCCAGTTCTCTCCGTACCACCCTCAAGCAAAATAAGATATGGGTCGAGAGCAGTGACGAAAGGTTTGTGCTAGCAGTGAAGGGATATAAATCAGAATATAATCAGTAAGACAAGATAGCACATGCAAGGCACAGTCTAGTCAGGAACCCAAGCAGGGCTACAATCTTCTACATCAGCTGAAAGGTAACATAGCGGCGAAGGCTTGCAGACGAAGCCAGAGAAGGAATGACTTATTGAACAAAAGGGGGCTTTACGGTAGGTTGATGATCTATCTCCGAGCAGCTGATCTCCGAGTACATCCGGTTGAAGGATTGAAGGATCGGGCTTATCGCTTTGGGGAACGGAGGAGCTGTTCGGTTCGCGTAGCTGCTTACTAAATGGTCACTGACTCCATCGACAGCGGGACGAGAGATAGGGATCCTCGGAACGGAGGTGATTGAGTTATCCCCGATCGCAAGTCGTCAGTGGCGTGTATATAAATGGAAACGGCTTTATAAACAGCCTCCAAAGCCCCATCACCCGCCATCACTTTGACTTTCCCGAACCAACTACCCTACCTTACCGTGTCCATGCGAAGAATGGCTACCACGATCAACTCAACGATTAAGCTAGCCAGCGGCTACGAGATGCCTCGTTTGGGCTTCGGAGTGAGCAATTTTCCAACTTTATTGCAGGGTCAAAGAACTAACCGATGGAGCGCAGGTCTACCAAACGTAACAACCCCGCTAGCAAGGTCCGTTTCTGGGCGCACTAAGGCTAACACGATTCCACGCAGACCCCCAGAGGAGACAGAGCGATGCTGTCTCGAGGCGCTCAACGCCGGCTACCGCCATGTCAGTTGTCGATCTGCACATTCCCTTGCGCAGTCTGGTTGTCCGATGGCTCGTATCTCTGACATCAACACAGATTGACTCTGCAGCATGTTACAGAAATGAGGCTGGCTGTGGCAACGCGATTCGAGCCTCATCCATACCCCGCGATCAGATTTTCTTCACTACCAAAGTCATCAATATTAGCTACTATGGGGCCAAGGCAACTGTTGATCAAAGTCTTGCTCTGACGAAACTCGAGTACATCGATCTGATGCTTCTTCACATGCCCATGGGCGGCTCTAAAAATCGCAAGGGCGCATGGAGAGCGGTACGCAGCCTTCCGCCCATTTTAAATTAAATCCGAGCTTCCACTAATGCTACGCGCAATTCAGCTGGTCGAGGCCGTCGAGGCCGGTAAGGTGCGGTCTATCGGCGTCAGCAACTACGGCGTGCACCACCTGGACGAGCTTGAGCAACATATCAACGAGCTCGAACGCGAACGCGGAGGCCCGGGCAAGGGAGGCGTCGTCAGCGTCAACCAGGTCGAACTTCATCCTTGGCTTGCTCGTCAAGATATCGTCGATTGGTGCACACAGCGTGATGTTGCTCTCCAAGCTTACGCGCCCATTGTGCGCGGTGCCCGCTTTAAAGAGCCGTCGGTCAAGAAGTTGGCGGACAAGTATAACAAGACCCCGGCTCAGGTGCTCATCCGTTGGAGCTTGGATAAGGGCTTTAGTCCGTTGCCGAAGAGTGTTACACCGTCGCGCATTGTTGCTAATGCCGACGTCTTGGATTTCGAACTAACTCCTGAGGAGGTTCAAGAACTGGAGACAGACGAATACAGCCCTGTTGCGTGGGACCCCACAATTCGAAAGCTGTACGAGTAGATACGGAATGAAGAATGGGTTTACGGATACTCTGCTCGCTTTTTAAGTTTGCCCTACATAGTGGTAACTCGAATTTCACTGATTCTTCATAAACAAGCTCGCTGTACATGATATAGCATTCTCCACTGAAGCTATCCCAAATTGATTATCTCCTCTCAATTCTACGTGAAGAAGGGCCATTGTAAATGTGAAATCTGTTTCAGGCGCTGTAGGCATTGTTGTAGTGAATACTTAAGCCCCGTTGGATGTTGTGTTTAATTATTTAGGGCCCTTAATCAGCACCTATCCCTCCATGGACCCTCAATGGGAATCAAGCTTCGCTCACGAGGTTAGTGGCTGTTAGTCGGATTGTTGATAGAAGGTTCATCCCACTGATGGACCTATGTTTCTCGTCAAACAGATTGACCCTACTTACGCCACAAGCACCAAGTTTCTGCAAGCTGGACAGCCAGATAGATCACGAGCCATGTGACTGTCTCGATCGAGTGATCGCGACCGCATGACCCTCCAGTTGCTGAGGACAAGTGGCGTTGTATGAGAATGACCAGGCCTCAGAATCTTCAGTGTTTCGAGCCACCTATTCGTGAAATGGAAACCGATGGCGTAAATCTTCTGGCTCAAGCGGGTAGAAAGAAGGCCAAAGCTGATTCACCAGAAATCGCGTCAGCGTGGGGAAACCAAGGGCTCGGAGTCGCTTGCTAAGTCTTATATACAAGCACAATAATGGTTACCATGGATTATTATTCACAGCCAGTTGCTTCCATCATTTACATTTAGATGCGTTTTTAGGGTTTGCCATATCTACTTTTGGAGTGAAAGCGGCGGTCAACCTAGATTTCTACGTGCGCTAGTCGATCCTGCTACGCGCGGTATAATCGGCTAACGCATTTCCGGTCAGCCGAGTATAAGTTGCGCCGCATGAAGCCACGACGAAGAGAGTTTGGGTAATTTGGCTTGGCTGTAGGAGTGGGCCTGGCAGTATGGGAAGGGGCCAGGAGGAGTCCATGTGGGACCGAGATATGCATACCCACAGTGATGGATCGAGCGACCTTTAAAGACCCAGGGTTGGGTCTCTTGTATATTCAAACCGAGACCCACTACTTTCTCGCTATCCAACCCATTCAGAATAGGTTCAATATCCAGGAGAGGATAGTCGGGTACATGGAAAGATAGCGAAATAGCAAGTCCAATGGCACCATCATCTGACGCGTGCCCGAAATCACAGTCTGATTCTCGGGCCAGAAGTACAAATAGACACACCTAGACACTCTAGGAAACCACCGCCGTCAGCTGTGTGATGACTATTTCGGCGGCGTGCAGGAGGTGCCGGGTTGGGGCGGGGTAGGGTTCACAGGTCTCGACCGTAGGAGGCTTATCTGCCGGACACGGTCTGGAACTCGCAGGAATCATCCATCTTGCACACAGCGGATCATGCGAACAAAGGCCCCGGTTCCCAGTTCCTGTCCTGACAGAGTAGATATAATTCCAAATCCCTGAGTGCGTATATATATATACACATATAAGGTCTGAAGGTTACTACTAGGCACCCCCGTACAACAACAGCAGGGCAGACGCAGAGGGCTAGTTATGGAGAGGGAGAAAGACAGGTTTGGCGCTGATGACTTTAGGCAAGGTCCGGAATTCCTCTCTGGCATCTAGCCATTTACAAATGCTAATCTGAAGGTCTGCTCTGACCAGGTCTCGAGGTTCTGGACCATGAGATGGGTAAGGATGACTGGCTCATCGCCTTCGGCCCCATAACCCTCATCTCGACTGGAGGTTTCCTGGCGACGAATTTTTTCCGGAATCGAGAAAGCACAGGAGACATAGACTACCTCCTGGAGCCGCAATGGGCCCACGACAATGACATAAAAAAGCCATTGCAGAATGCGATAACCCGAGCGGCCCGACATCTTGGATTCATCGACGACTGGGTCAACGAAGAACTAGCCTTCTTCGTGCCGGACCAATTCCGCCAGCTCCTGTTCGAGAAGGCTGAGGAGCAGAACATCGTTCTGTGGGAAGGCACATATCTTCGTGTTCTCGCTGTGCCGCTGGAGTGGGCGCTTGAACGGAAGTTACGGCGCATCCATAATAGCAGAAGGCATGCCAAGCGGGGATCTGATATCGCCGATGTGCTTGCAATTCTGAGGCATCTGCGGGAGCAGAATAACGGACCTTTGGAGAAGGAGTATATCCGGACCCTGAATATCTGCTCCTTTGAGGTCCCGCCTGACCAGGCAACGATGAATGAGATCGCCGCTGCTTATCGAGAAAAATACAATGAGGAGGCTTTTGTCTGAGATGCGCGTGGCGTCTATCATCCGAGCGCTCTAAACTGTGTAGAAGTGGCCGGTGTCGATGATAATGTTCCGTTCCGCGAATATAGGATTCTCACCCCCTTCTTCGAGCACAAGTCTGCCCGCAGAATCTAGCAGATCTGCCGGCAGGTCTGCAATCAACTCGACATCGATCGGGGGCACCCTCCTGACCCAGCCAGGTGCAGTCTCCGGTGTGAATGACGGCAGGCGGTCCTCGAACGTCTTCCGGTATACGTGCTTGCTCTTGTCGCGTCGCATTCCCAGGCTCATACGCCAGTTAAACGCCCGCGCCAGTTCCTCGGCGATGCACGCCAGAATGGCATACCGCACCGGGTCGCGGTCGGCGGGATCCGGTATGCGATTCGCAGCCCAGGATCCCCGCGACTGGTACCAGAAGTACTCGACCTCCGCCCCGATAGCGTAGAACTCCCGCGCAACCACAGCCTCGTATATTCGGTAGAGGGCGCGAAGGGGGGTATCTCGAGCACGCCACAGAGGCACAGAGCGCATGTTGGTGAGGTCGGCGGATGCCTTGCGCGACTGCAGTAGCGCGACATTGTTCAGCATAGTCTTCACGGGAACCGGGTCGGGGAGGCGAAAGTGCCATGTCGGCAGTGGGAGGAGCAGGCGGAGCAAGGCTAGGAAAGGGTGCTTGTGCCGGTGGCTTAGGCGCGTGAGGGTGCCGCGGAGCTGGAGAGGTGACTCAAGGTTGTAGAAGAATCTCCGCAGGCGCATCCCCCAGGTGATTCGAGGTTTCGGGCGATTCCGAGGCACCATCGTACGAACTAGCGGGCCCGAACAGTGTGGACAGTCATGCCATATCGTATTGCGCTCAGGTCGGGCTATTTTCTTTTGCGCATGGTCGTCCCGGAAGGCATCAAGGCTGGGGAAAAGTGTCAAGGTGAGCCTGACCGTCCAGGCCACTAACCCCGATTGGGTGTTGTGGGGTGCCTTATCGGCATGGCTAGAGTGCTGACTGCCCGAAGTATACTCCGTACTCTCTCCTGGTCTCCCGACTCGGCAGACGGAAGAAGCCGAATACAATAGAATCACACGGAATGAATCATATAGAGTTCGAATCATCATGAGATAGCATATCCTAGATTCTACCGCGTACGGTGGACGTGACACTACGAGTGGCACTACGTCTTATGCTTCCGCACGCTCGAGGTTCTCCGTTCAAGATCAGCTCCCCCTTTCTCGCACCCCTTACTATGTGACGACCACACGACCACCTGATTCTCTCCTGCACTTAGGGTCTTCTCTTCCTAATATAACTATCTATTTACTATCCTAATAATATCAGAGCCAGCCTCCCTAAGTTAATGTATGCATACTTCCATAATCCTAATCGGTCGCAGCCAACCAGCGCCACACGTGGAGCGGTCCCTGATCGCCCCATGTGAACCCGCCGGCACCGCTGATTTGGTCATGCCCCTGCCCTCCACTCGTCCATACTTCGGGACACTAGCCACTACTAACTATCGGCCTCCCTGCCGCACTAGAAAATGCAAAATTGGGCATTCTGCACTGCCTAGTTGGGTAAAACAATGCCTAAGCCCCAACGACTCATATCGCCCCCTGCCCCCAGGTGCCCTAATCCCAGCCCGGATAGGGGGTGTACGCACCAATCTCCGACCCCCATAGGACAAGATGCCCGCACCATTGCACAGCGCAGATCTCACTGTTTGTACTCTCTACTAGGGTTTATTCAGTCATTCTTGTAGGGATATTGGTCACGGTATGATTTCGGCGGGACTGTGGGCCCTTCGGGTCTCTGGTCATTGCTTCGAGCCATGCATTCCTACCCCTCGCGAGCCTAGTACCGCCGGTGATAAATATTATAATTAGCTTCTTATAATTACTTTACCCAACAAGAAAAAGCCTAGCGGGAGCACGAGCGGGGAGATGCAACATCTTGTCCATGGAACTCGGCACATGCGCTTGGTCGTAGGATCGCCTGGCCGGGATACTGTAAGGAGTTGAAGCAGGCGTGATTCCCCCAGCCAGACTGTTAGCGCAGCACGAGGCGTTGTCCCTCCCTCCTTTGGTACTCGTTTAAAGGAAGCGTTGACTTTTTATGCACGAGGTCAATCCCAACTTGTTGATTCAATTATCAATCTCTTTGTCCAGACACGGTGTAGCGGGTGATCTGCACGTTATACATAGGTTCTCTGTCGGCTCCTTGGAGAGGGGCCGAACTAATGAGTTTCACCATGAAGTCCTTCAAGATGCTGACCGGCCTGACTTTGCTGGCATTGTCTGCGGCAGAGGACTTGACCAAGCATGTCGATGTCTTGTGAGTACCACCCCAGGCTCATTGCATGCACAAGATTCCTAACGTTATGCTAGCATGGGGACGCAAAGCGGGGGCAATGACTTTCCCGGTGCAGCAAGACCCTTCGGCATGGTCAAGCTGGGACCTGACCTTCTCCATTCCGGCACAGACTCTTACTCCGGGTACCTGCCGAATGGCAAATTCTCTGGCTTTAGTTTGATGCACGAGCAGGGTACTGGCGGCGCCCCAAAGTACGGGACTGTCTCGCAACTGCCACTCGTGGGCGATATTACTGATCCACTGTCCAACATTACCGTTTCTCGGTCTGGGACCGACGCAGGCTCCGTCGGGTACTACAAGGCTCAGACCGAGGACGGTGTTGAGGTTGAGTTGAGTGCTTCCGCGCGGGCAGGAATCTACCGCTATACCTTCCCGAGTGACGTGGAGAAAAACATCCTGGTAGACGTCTCGCATGTGTTGCCGTCTTTCCGGGGCCAGGGACTTGGGCAGAACTATGAAGGTGGAAACTTGACCATCTTTGCAGATGGCCATTACGAGGGTCTTGGGACTTACAATAATGGGTGGAACGAGGCCCCCGACTGGACGATATATTTCTGTGAGTCTGCGAATTCAATAGCTACTTAACTCATTGGATATGCTCACATTCCCAGGTGGCTATTTTGACTCTGATGCAACGAGCAATAAGACATACACTGCAACAGGTGCAGCTAGTAGCGTCGAGCAGTCGGGTGGCTCCGTCTCGTCCACTTCGAGCTCCATTCGAGTCGGTGCATTATTCACGTTCAGTGACGAGGAGGTCATCTCCCGCGTTGGAATCTCTTGGATCTCCTCGACACAAGCCTGCAGCAATGTCAACCGGGAAATTCCGGAAGGCATGAGCTTCGCCTCGGTCGTCAACGACGCTGTTTCTGAATGGAACGAGGAAGTGCTGTCCAAAGTCACTACAACCAACACGAACGATACCAGCCTTAGTCTGTTATACACCTCTCTCTACTTCATGCATCTGATCCCCACAAACCAGACGGGCGAAAACCCCGGCTGGGAGTCAGACGAGCCCTATTATCAGGATATCTTCACATTCTGGGTAAGTTCAGCCGATGGATCTCATTACCTTTCTATCGATATTAGTATTTGTCTAACGAGTGGATCCAGGATCTATTCCGCTGCTCTACCGCGTTAATGCAAGTCCTCCAGCCAACCACTTATGAGGAGCAAATCCGGTCTCTGATTGACATTTGGCGACACGATGGCTATCTTCCCGACGCACGGTCATCCAATTACAACGGCCGCACCCAGGGCGGCTCGAACGCGGACAATGTCCTCGCCGATGCCTACGTCAAAGGCGTTCGCGGATCCGTCAATTGGGAAGACGGCTACAAAGCCATGGTAAAAGATGCTGAAGTCACACCGGCGAACTCTCCAGTCGATCCCATGGCACCAGACTCGTCAACTCATGAGGGTCGCGGTGCATTGCCCGACTGGCTCAATCTCGGATATATTACGCCAACGTACAGCCGCGCTGTGAGCCGAGCTGTCGAGTATGCGGCCAACGACTTTGGTCTGTACCAGGTTGCGTCTGGACTGGGGAAGCACGAGGATGCGGCCAAGTACCTCAACCGCTCGCGCAACTGGCGCAATCATTGGAACCCGGAGCAGACGTCGCTTGGTTTCTCGGGTTTCGTTGTCCCGCGGAATACCACTGGGTTCATTGAGACTGATCCATTGAACGATAGTGGGTACTGGGGAGATCCATACTATGAGGCCAGCTCGTGGGCGTATTCGTGGGCGGATGTGCATGATATGCGACACCTGGTTGACTTGATGGGAGGTGCTGAGACAGTGGTGAACCGGCTGGATACTATGTTCACCGAGGGCGCCAGAGGGTCGAGCGGAATTATTTTTGATTCTACGAATGAGCCGTGAGTTCGCACCTGGCCCAGATAGGGTCGCCGCCACTGACAAAGAATCGAGCTAACGGGTTCGTACAGAATGTTCAACATTCCCTACCTGTACCACTACGTTGGCCGCCAGGACCTCTCTGTCTCCCAATCCCGGAAAGTCGCCAAGAGCGACTATTCCACCGGGGTGTCGGGCCTCCCGGGCAACAGCGATGCTGGCGCCATGCAGACATGGCTGCTATGGAACATGATTGGTCTGTACCCAATCACCGGGCAGTCTACATTCCTGATCCATTCGCCGTGGTTCGAGTCGATGACCATTGATCTTGGAGGCAACAAGAAGCTGGAGATTACCTCGACGGGTGGAGATGACAATGGTGACCGCGATTTCTACGTGCAGAGCTTGAAAGTCAATGGCAAGGCGTGGGAAAAGAACTGGCTGACTTGGGATGATGTCTTCGCTAACGGAGGCACCCTTGAGTTTGAGCTGGGGTCGACCGCGTTGAACTGGTCGACGGGCGAGTTGCCACCGAGTCCAGCTTCCGAGTGATAGACCGATACTCTCGTGATTGAGGATTCTTTGTACATGCTTTCCTCTCTTTATCCAGTATATATTGATTGAACTAGTCTATGATGATAATGAATTAGCACCGTTCAGAAGCGCCTCGTCGGTTGCTGAACCTTGCGATATACATGACTCTTGTTGTGTGCCCGGATACCTGCAGATGCAGATGGATACTTCGTCGAGAGCAACCAGGACCTAGTCCACGCCACGGGGGGCTTGTATAGAACCGCTTCATTTTTATAAAGCCATTGTCGGCTCACTTCCAGGTTCCGCTTCGAAACAGATGGTTAGAAGCCCGGCCGAGCAGCCAGAATATCGTAAACGTGTTTTTGCTGATCGCGAGACCCTGTATGAGACCCAATTCACGAAGTTGACCGGCTCACAGAACAAAAACAAAGATCCTCAATTACACAGAATCGCGGTGACGAAAGGATTGAATTTTCCATATGCGGTCCGGTGTGCAGAAGCGGCCTCGAAGTGTTGAGGTGGTACCGCGCCAGGCCAGGAACGGCGGAGAGCTGGCCATCGCCCCAAAACCGGATTCCCGTCCAGAACCGCAGAGGCCCGAGCTCCCCGCATTTCCACAGCGCAATCGCAGCTCACCAGCCAATCAGTCAAGCTCCTCGCAAACGCTGAGATGCGGGATAAACGTTGAGGGGCTGGCCACCTCCTCTCTTTCTCTCTTTCCTCCAACTCTCTGCAATACACACGAAATGGCATCCATCACTGAAACTCCCGCCGACGGAACAGGTACGTCATAGAGCGGCCTCGCGATCTCGCGACCTAAGCCAGAGCTAGCTAGCTGGTCCCCGCTCCGGGAACCTGGTGAATTGATAACTGACTCGCCACCAGGTGTCATCCAGCTCGACCCGTGGCTGGAACCGCATCGCGATGTGCTGAAGCATCGCTATAGCTTGGTCGAAAAGTGGGCCAATGCCATCAACGAATCCGAGGGCGGTTTGGACAAATTTAGCAAGGTAGATCACTCTTTCTCACTGGATCAGGGCTGAATTGGTGTTGACATCTTTTCTTCAAGGGCTATGAATTGTTCGGTCTCAATGCACAGCCCAATGGCGACATCATTTATCGGGAATGGGCGCCCAATGCGGTGGAGGCGTCGCTGGTCGGCGATTTCAGTACGTGCCCTTGTGTCGAGAGCAGAGCTGCGGGCTTTGGGATCGCGTGACTGAGACTGGCAGACAACTGGGATATCAATGCCAACCCCATGGCGAAAAACAGTTTCGGCGTGTGGGAAGTGACGGTGCCCGCGAAGAACGGCGGCCCGGCGATTCCCCATGACAGCAAGATCAAGGCAAGCCAGTCCACCACTCCTTCGGGGAGATGTGCCAAAGCTAATATAGCTCAAAAATCAAGATCACCATGGTTCTCCCTGACGGCGAGCGCATCTATCGCATCCCAGCATGGATCAAGCGGGTAGTCCAGGACCTCAGCGTCTCTCCAGACTACGACGCCGTCTTCTGGAACCCGCCCGCCAACGAGCAATACAAATTCCAACACTCGCGGCCGAAGAAGCCGGAGAGTTTGCGTATTTATGAGGCGCACGTCGGTATCTCCTCGCCCGAGACGCGGGTCGCCACGTACAAGGAGTTCACTAAGAACATGCTGCCACGCATCCAGTACCTTGGCTACAACGCCATCCAGCTGATGGCCATCATGGAGCACGCCTACTATGCCAGCTTTGGGTACCAGGTTAACAACTTCTTCGCGGCGAGCAGTCGCTATGGGTCCCCCGAGGATCTGAAGGAGCTCATTGACACAGCGCATAGTTTGGGGCTGGTGGTGCTGCTGGATGTGGTGCACAGCCATGCGTCGAAGAACGTGCTGGACGGGATCAACATGTTTGATGGATCCGACCATCTTTATTTCCATGCGGGTGGCAAAGGTCGGCATGAGCTGTGGGATAGCCGGCTATTTAACTACGGGCACCACGAGGTGCTGCGCTTCCTTTTGAGTAACCTGCGCTTCTGGATGGAGGAGTATCAGTTCGATGGTTTCCGGTTCGACGGTGTTACCAGCATGCTTTATTTGCACCACGGTATTGGAACGTATGGCAGCCCACTTTCTCCTACCCTCTCATCGACTGATGCTAACAGGGCTATAGAGGCTTTTCTGGTGGCTACCACGAGTACTTTGGCCCTTCTGTGGACGAAGAGGGTGTCACTTACCTGACCCTTGCTAACACAATGCTGCACAACCTCTTCCCTGAGGTCATTACTGTCGCAGAAGACGTCTCCGGCATGCCAGCCCTGTGCATTCCGCACTCGTTGGGCGGCGTCGGCTTCGACTACCGACTCGGCATGGCAATCCCCGACATGTACATCAAGCTGCTGAAAGAGAAGGAAGACAGCGAGTGGGACTTGAGTAACATTGCCTTTACGCTGACGAACCGCCGCCATGGGGAGAAGACCATTGCCTATGCTGAAAGCCACGACCAGGCGTACGTTGTCAATCCAACTCTCTCCCTGAAAGATGACCAGAACCCCCTTCTAACCGCCTGCCAAACAGACTGGTCGGTGACAAATCTCTCATGATGTGGCTCTGCGACAAAGAACTATACACAAACATGTCTGTCTTGACCGAGTTCACCCCCATCATCGAGCGCGGCATGGCCCTGCACAAAATGATCCGCCTCGTTACCCACGGCCTCGGCGGCGAGGGCTGGCTCAATTTTGAGGGCAACGAATTCGGACACCCAGAATGGCTCGACTTCCCCCGCGAAGGCAACGGCAACTCCTTCTGGTACGCCCGGCGCCAACTCAACCTGACCGAAGACCACCTGCTGCGGTACAAGTTCCTGAACGAATTCGACCGGGCGATGCAGCTGACTGAGGCCAAGTACGGCTGGCTGCATGCTGCGCAGGCGTACATCAGTCTCAAGAATGAGAGTGACAAGGTACTTGTCTTTGAACGGGCCGGGCTACTGTGGATCTTCAATTTCCACCCCACGGATAGCTTCACAGATTATCGCGTTGGCGTGGATGTACCTGGCACGTATCGGATTGTCCTTGATACGGATGACCCGACATTTGGAGGGTTTGGGAGGAACGTCAAGGAAACAAGGTTTTTCACAACGGATATGCCGTGGAATGGGCGGGCGAACTTCACGCAGGTGTACATTCCGACTAGGACTGCTTTGGTGAGTTTTTAACCCTCCAGCCGTCTATGTTTTGGGTCTGCCTGCTATGGGTTATATGTGTTGGGCCTGGCTAATTGACTCTTGCTCCGTATAGGTCCTTGCATTGGAAGACACGCTGTAGAGGCGGGAAAGCATAAGGCACCCACCTCCTCCCTCCCGGCTTTGTGATTCAACAATACGACGACGAACACATCCATACTGCAGCATACTCTGGATTTGGACGTTACCTAGTTAGGCAGTATTTCTTTCATAATCACTAGAATGGGATTAGGATCGAACGACTACCTCTTTGCTTTCCCTCGACGTAGACTGCACCTGGCCATTCAGATCCAGTCCCACCATGCCGTGGACCCTTGGCTCTTTACGATGGCATAGCTAGTGTTGCAGAACGGGCATGCGAGGATGATGGTCAAGACAGGACCAGGACTTTGATAGATCCGAACAGCTCCAAGTATCAAAGCCGGAAGTATGAAAGCTGCGACAACTAGGAAAGAGTCCGTGGCACACTCCATCATATGAGCTACAGTACAATCAACTTCTTGACTAGGCAAATTCAAACTCCAACAAAAGAAAATACAATTGGACACCAGGATATTTAGGGTCGCCATACAGGCCATGGGTTTTCAACTCTAAATACACAATAATGAAACACAAGCCAGGCCAGGGTGCGTCTGGCAAGGCTTTAAAAAAGACCAAGGGAAATCTCATCAACTCGCTCGATAGACAGCGTCCCCTGCAACACCCACCAGTCTCCCTGCGTCCGTCCTCCTATTCTCTTCCCGCCCCTCGCTCTCCCCAAATCCAGGTGAGTTCCTCATCCGCACAGGCGCGGCGTCATCTCTATCTCCGTTTTCACAAAGACAAGATCCGATGAATCAAACGCGATCAGTCAAGTACAGGTCTCCCACATAATAGAACGTCAGAAAGTCAAGAGCGGAATCGACAATGACAATGAAAATCCCTTTCTGGTTTTCTTTTCTCTTTTAGATCGGAGTACTATACACGCAATCGAAAAGGGAAAATGACGTCTTAGTGGGAGACGGGACACACAAGACCCAAGAGAGTTTGAAACAAAGGAAAAGAAAGACCATCCAGACCAAAGGGAAGACAGAGGGATAAAACACAGATAGGGAGAAAGCTTTCGCAAGAAGATTTCAGAAGCAGCGCAGGGTTTTTGACAAGGGGGATGTTGAACATGGAAACCCGCTGCTAACTAGCAAATGGACAAAATTACATTTAGGCGGAGCTCTCAAGCTCAGCCAGAATCTTCTCACCCTTGGCGCGGGCAGAGGCGAAGTCACCAACCATGTAGAAGGCGTTCTCAGGGAGGTCATCACCCTCACCGTTGATAATAGCCTTGAAGGAGGATATGGTGTCCTTCAGGTCGACAAGGGTACCCTCGATACCGGTGAAGACCTGGGCGACAGCGAAGGGCTGGGACAGGAAACGCTGGAGCTTACGGGCACGCTCGACGGTGAGCTTGTCAGCCTCAGACAGCTCGTCCATACCCAGAATGGCAATGATATCCTGGAGAGACTTGTACTCCTGGAGCATCTGCTGGACACGGCTGGCGGTGTCGTAGTGCTCGTCACCGATGATACGGGGGTCGAGCATACGGGACTTGGAGTCCAGGGGGTCGACAGCGGGGTAGATACCCAGCTCGGAGATACCACGGGACAGCACAGTGGTGGCGTCCAAGTGGGCGAAGGTGGTAGCGGGGGCGGGATCAGTCAGATCGTCAGCGGGCACGTAGACGGCCTGGACGGAGGTAATGGAACCCTTCTGGGTGGTGGTAATACGCTCCTGCATGACACCCATGTCGACGGCCAGGGTGGGCTGGTAACCGACAGCAGAGGGGATACGACCCAGAAGAGCAGACACCTCGGAACCGGCCTGGGTGAAACGGAAAATGTTGTCAATGAAGAGCAGCACATCCTGACCCTCCTCGTCACGGAAGTACTCGGCAATGGTCAGACCGGTCAGGGCGACACGGGCACGGGCACCCGGGGGCTCGTTCATCTGACCGAAGACGAGGGCGACCTTGGAGTCACCATCAAGCTGGATGACACCAGTCTCCTGCATCTCGTGGTACAGATCGTTACCCTCACGGGTACGCTCGCCGACACCGCAGAACACGGAGTAACCACCGTGGGCCTTGGCGATGTTGTTCTATGGGAAAGACAGCAGTTAGTAAGGCGAACATCTCTCACGCAACCGAGATGCGGGCATATAGAACAAAAAATCTTACAATCAGCTCCTGAATGAACACGGTCTTGCCGACACCGGCACCACCGAACAGACCAATCTTACCACCACGGGCGTAGGGGGCAAGCAGATCGACGACCTTGATACCGGTGACGAGAATCTCGGCCTCGGTGGACTGCTCGACGAACGCAGGGGGCTCGGCGTGGATGGGGAGGAACTTGGTGGCCTTGACGGGACCACGCTCATCAATGGGGTCACCAGTGACGTTGATGATACGGCCCAGGGTGGCGGGACCGACGGGAACCTTGATGGGAGCACCGGTGTCGTGGGCGATAGCACCACGCATGAGACCCTCGGTACCTGGAGGTGAATGTTAGCAGCATGCTCGGATGGCAGAAAACATGCCGGGCCGACTGGGTGGGTCCTTTATCCCCTTTTGGGCAGGAAGGGCACGACACGGTGGCTCGACAGGGGCGCGCGAAGGGTAAGCTTACCGTCCATGGCAATAGCACGAACAACATTCTCACCAAGATGTTGCTAGAAGGGAACACAGGTTAGCTATGCGATTTGGGGGGGGGATGGGATGGGAGAGGTCCGGGGACCAATCAGAGGGCACATACAGAAACCTCCAGAACGAGCTTCTGGCCGTTGTTCTCGGTCACAATGGCGTTGAGAATGGCAGGGAGCTTCTCACCCTCGAACTTCACTGTAGTATGGCGAATAGCAAGTCAGAGAGCGTCCTGCAGCTTGTTTTGGGATCGATTGCGATGGCTTTGGAGATGGATTGGGCCGAGGAAAAAGATTTTCGCGTCCCCCATTCCCGCCAGGGCGTCGAGCAACACGTACCGTCAACGACGGCACCAATAACCTGGTGAACCTTGCCGGCTTGAGCGACATCTGAGCTGGCGAAGCGGGCAGACAGGGCCGGAAGGGCATTGGAGCGGAGAGGCTGGAAGGCGCGGGCGACGGGGGTCGGCCGGGCGAAGGCAGCCCTCCCGAAGGTCCGGGCGAGACCGCTAAATGAGGAGAAAAACCAGTTAGGGGAGGCGAGTCCTAAAGAAAAGTCGAGGTTGAATTGGAGACGGGGATGTCGAGTGTGGGACGTACCTCTTGAACATGATGGAGGTGTTGAAGAGCGAGGTGTAGGGATAAAGGGTGTGGATTGGGGGGAGGGAAAAGAGGGAAGAAGAGGAATGGGAAGAGGTTGGTGGACTCTCTCGCTGGCACGGGAACTGGTCGCACTACGCCTTTCCGGGGCGGTTTTGCCGATGGTCCCGTGATGAACCGATGCTCGGGGGATAGCCCTGCAGAGTATACGAGCTATATAGTTGATTTAATTGCTTTACTGGTCCTCTCTACCTGATACTATATCTTTTTTCCGGCTCTCATTTGGATCCCATCTTGCTCCAGTTGTGCGGTGGTGATGCCCTCCTCCGTTGCCTTGCAATGCCCTCCTTCTCACCGGTCGGCTTGGCATCCGGATGCAGGGTAGCCCCGGCGCAAGTATAACACCTGCACAGCATGCAGACAACTCATCTACCCCATAGAATTCACGGGCATCCTGCTCTCGACATTTTACCAACCTTTTCAAGGCCATTGACTTCTATACTGACAAGAGGTGGTGGTTCTTCTGCACGTCAGCTCCAAGCTTCCCGGTGGAAATCTCTGACGTGTAACTCGGAGCCCTCAACCACCCATCCGAGCTGTGGTATGAGAATCTTGGAAGCTCCCCCACCATCCAACCACAAGCTCTATAGTGGCTGTTGAAAAATTGTAGAAAATATCCCAAATCATTATACATGGGTTCTGGTAATTCCTATCTCCCCACATGGCCACATTGTACTTCGCAATGGCCCCGGTGTCGCCCTCGGGGCGCTTGGACAGGGGGTTCTCCGCACCAGCTCTGTAGGTTCCGAATCCCTCCGGGAAAAGACGCACCACTCCATGCACGACGACACACGGATCATCTCCAGTGAATAATACAGGGCAAACGTGTAGTTTCATAGAACAACGAAACAGTCCAACATATTTCTCTATGGCTACAAAAGAGATACATTGATTATAGCACAGTACGGAATACACGCATTTTCGGATGCTTGTGGGCCAAAGGACAAAAAACGACAAACAGTTCAGACCAGCGGCGGTCGGGGGCCCATCCGCAGTCGAGTCGACCACATGGCCAGCAGCATGGAAACCATGGCCCAGGGCCAAACCCCCCGGGTCCAGATGAGCGTGCGAAACAGATTCCCACCCCCTACCGACGCCGATATCTGCACCCTGTTTATCCTGGATCGGGCAACTTGCCCACTTATTGCTTCTCAGCGGGGGGCTCTGAACGAAGCCCTTGCCTTCGTAGCCTTCCTTGCTGATGCCGTGGATGGGGTTCATCTTCTCGGACTGTTGGGGAAGAGATATGTTAGCAAGCCGATCAAGGTCAAGAGGGCTCGCGCGAGAACCAAATAGTCCTCCGCAGCCCGCAAAACGAAATCAGGAAGTGGATATATATGTGTACCAGAGCGTATTCGTTGGAGGCCTCCTGCCACTCCTTGGACATGGTCTTGGGCTGGGGCTTGGCGAAGTAGTGGATAGCGTAGAAGACGAGGACGGAGGCGAGGGTGAGCTGGGTGACCTTGAAGAAGATCTTCCAGCCCTCGCCCTTGGGGGTCTCAGCACGGGGGCCGTGAGGACCGAAGGCAATCCAGTAGGCTAGACAGGAAAGAAGGAATATCAGCAACGCCGAAAAAAGGAAATTTAGGATGCCGATAAAAATCAGCCTCGGATACCCCAGGGTAAGCGAGAAACCACTCCCGAAGCCGAGATCAGATATCCAGGGGGTAGTACGTACCGGCCTTCTTCTCCTGGAGGGTCATCTGGTGCCAGTCGACCTTCATGCGATCACGGAGCGACATCCACAGCTCGGCCTGCTCCTGAGGGGGCATACCCTCCCAGCGCTTCTCGATGCCGGCGAGGGTAGGGTTCGCGATAGCGTGAGCAGAGGCAGCACGGGCCTGGAGGGCGTTCAGTGAGGCCAATGGGCCGGCACGGATGGCGGCCGGGCTGCGAGGAGCAGCGCGAGCGATGGAGCGAAGAAACATTGTGCGGAGGGTGAGAGGTGGTAGCACCACGTCGAAAACGAGTCAATTGATGGTTGAGCGGGGAGTCCGGGACCAGCAGAGTCTGGCAGCGAGGGGGACTCGGCTGGGGAAGAGAGTGGAGGGGTGAGGGTCGGGGATGGAGAAGGACTGAAGTTGTTCTGGTGGTTTGAGGTGGAAAGTCGCGAGGTTTCCGGACTAGCGCTGGCCTGGTTTGTCCGCCCGCTGATTGGGCCGCTGCTCAGGCCGGCCGCCAGTGAGCATCATCATCATTCTCAGCAGGATCGTACGATGGGTTTCCCTCTAAAGAGACGATGAGGGGCCCCCCAAAAAGTATCGAAGATATTAATATCTCCAGAATTTATTGAATTGCATTTGCTTTTCGCAATGTTCCTTACCGATCGGAAGCCAGCAGCCACCTACGCTCGTATGGACTCGGTCGCAGCCTCGAGGGATTCGTACAGCCATAGAAAACGACTTTTGAAAGAAAACGTGGGCTGTCAGATTGCCATGAATTTCTCCGTGTCTTTCTACGTACACCGACACTTAATGCCCCTATTTTCCCTCCAGCCCACGCAACCCACCCAACCTGTCCGAGAGACCGCAAAAATTCATACGAACGGTCTCCCCAAATCCACCACCAGTCGCATGGGAAAAACCACCCGTAATCAGGTTAGGCAAATGATAATAGATGAACAAGAACAAATGAGGATGAGAAGGCCTGTTCCACGAAAAAGAGAAGAAACCGGCCAAGTCGTAACGGTCTTGCATTGCAACTAGGAAGAAGAACGTGGAGAACGGTATGCAGAGAAGGCGATTGGATCGTGCCGTAGCGCCTTCGAGGAGTTAACAACCCCTATCGCTTGCGCGGCCCGGGCCCAGCCGGCGCCGTTATCTATTTACCAGCCTTACCACCGCTGGCCTCGCTGAGGACGGTCTTCCACTCGATGTCGGACTTGTCGTCGGCGTGGATGGAGGTCGACAGGTTGAGGGCGTTCTTCAGGACCTCGCGGGTGCTGGCGTAGATCATGGACCACTTGTCAAGCATGTTAGCGGGTGACCTTTTAATTCATCGCCACACAAAATGCAATTGGGACTCACGAGAGTGGGGGTCTCGCTGGGGACCCAGGAGATGAAGATCATCTTGCTTCTGTATTCGGAACGGGTGAGTGAGAATGATTCAATCAAGACTGATGGGTAATGGGGATGCGCACCTCTTGCCCTCGCCACCACCGAGGTCGTACTCGACGTCGTAGACAGCATACCGGGGCGCGGGGCGGCCCTGGCTGTCCTTGGAAGCGGCGAGCTTCTCACGGAAAACCTCGTAGTCCTGCTCGTGGCCGACCTGGTCGAGAACAACCTCCTTCTTGTTATCGGCGATCTTGTAGATGATGTACTTGGTCTTGCCGTGGCTCAGGCGGAACTCATTGAATGCCGTGAGGCACTCATCCTGGACCGAAACACTGCGAATCGATTATCAATATGGAGGCCAGGTGGATGGGGGAGGCGGCGAATTGCCGCTGAGAGGGGAGGGGGTCATCATACCCGGATGCGAGCTGCGCAACAAATCAGATCAACATGTAATCGCACTGAGAGGGGAGCGGTGGTCTATACGTACCGACATGATTGTCTGTGTAGATGAGAGAGAAGACAAAAAAGGGGGAAGATCGGTCGCCTAGGCTGGGAGCACACGATGTCAGTGGCTGAGGTGTCATGTCAGGAACAGGGGGCCATTCTCAAGCCCGCTCAAATCGCAGAAGCGACGGGGCGGTGAGGTGAGGCTCTAAACACAATAGTCAGAGAGTAACTTACAAAAGAGCCAGGGACAAGAGGAAATTCACGAAACAACGGGGAATGGGGAGCGGATGGGGGAGGAGGCGGAGGGGTTGTTGCCCAGGTGTTGCGATGGTGGGGGTGGTTGCACGTGATGCTGGAACGCCTATTTCGGGATAAACAAAGTATTGGTTGGAGGAGAAAGTTGGCAGGGAATATATGTATCGGACATATAGGTGCATAACTTGAGGCTCAGAGAGACACTCCTAGTTCGTTATTGGACTACAATCACTTTCATTAGGCATCTGTCATGCGTTCTGGCTGCCTAGATACTGGTGACGCTCATCCCGCCAACTTGTAGCGCCGCAGCCACCCACACCTGCGGTACGATTGTTGGAAATCACACTACTCAGCATAGATGGGGTCTGCACGACATGCTTGCCCCGGGTACAGCAATTTGTCGGAGGCTGCATTGGAGGCTCTACCTAGGGACTTTGGGGGCATCATTGAGGATATCTGCGCGCTAAATTTGGACGTGGCCCGCAACCATGGGACGAAAGGCCCGGCCCACCTCAGTGGCTGCCCCTCCGTCGTGAAGTGTACACCGCCAGGCGACGAAATTTCCATCTTGCACTCATGCGACTACCCTGTCAATGTCGCTTTTGCGATAGCACAGCATGCTTCATTGCTTGCGTATAATGTATGTGGGTCTATAAGACTGATCCCACCCAGGCCACAGGCGGTGCATGTCTATCCTACGGCGTCAAGGTCACAAAGGCCCACCGAAGAAGTCAATTCCAGGGCATATCACCCGCGCTTCCTTCGACCAGTACAATAGAAGCCAAGAAATCAATCGTCCATCATAGGAAAAGATCAAAAAACAAAAAATAGAGATAAACAAACCCATCATACTCAAGCATCTGATCCAGCGATAAGCTCTCGTCATCCAAAATCTAGCAGCCTACTGCTTAGGAGCGAATTTAGCCCGCATCCGATCCGCAACAGCCTTCTCGTCCCAAATAAAGTTAACACTCTCATGAGCCACAGTGGCATCAGCCCAGCGCTTGAATCGCGGAGCCTGCTGGTCCAGCAGCGCAGGCAGCTTGGCGCTAACCAGGCCATGCTCAGGCTTGCTGAAGCCGAGAATGCGTAGCAGGAACGAGCCGGATTGGACCTAGTAACAATGGTCAATACAGATGATCACACTCTCGAACAAGCCCAGGAAGATAGGATCAAGTTTTTGGTAGCATACCTCAGCCAAAGTCAGCTTGTCGCTGCCTCCGAAGAAAGGACCCTTGCCCTCAGTGTCCGCGAGCAGAGGCTCAACCTCCTTCACGACACCAGCAACCAATTGCTCCGCAGCAGCATCACGCTCCGCCTCTGAGGCAGACTTGACACTGGCGAAAAAGTGCGGGACAACCTTGCTGAAGAGCGCATCGACGAAGAACGACACGCGCGCGCGGTACAGCGCATTCTCGGCTGGTCCGGACGCCGGCAGGAGGTGCGAGGGGTGTGCGTCGGCAAGGAATTGCGCAACAATGCCGGACTCAGTGACGATGTTGCCGTTATACGAGAGACTGGGGACCAAGCCGCGCTGCAGGCAAAGAAAGGGTTATGGCCATGTCTCGAAGAGCGAGTGAGGGGTTAGCGCTGCGGCGAGCTACTGCCGGGGTACATACCGGGTTAATCTCCAAATACCACGGCTCGCGGGGCTTGGTAAGGTCAATAGTGACCTCTTCGTATTGCAGGCCGGACTCCTTGAGAGCAATGTGGGCGCGATGCGCCCAAGGGCAGCCACGGTTGGTGTAAAGAACGATCTTGGGAGAAGCCATGGCTGGGGTTGCACTGGGAATACGAGACGTGGGAGCTCAGTCAACAAGGGGAGACTGGGCGATAGGGTGGAATAAATAGAAGCAGCTCTTCGAGATGAACAGGGGAAGACGCCATTATTTATGATATCACGGAATGCGGTGAAAGGAGGGGTGGATGGTGGATTAGTAAAAGCGAATTGGAAATCGAGGTCTTCGGTTTCCAATGCTCCCGTACACCCGAACCGGATAAGAAATGAGGAGAATTGCAGGAAATGCGGGGTGGTGCGAGTGTCGAAGTGTACCACCCAAAAACACCGAGTCAACCCTATCCAAACTATTCCCCTCCATCTGATTAGATTACTATGCAAGGCCAGCTTTTGTTGAATAAGTTTCGAGTCTAATTATGTACATACATTAATGCTTGCACTATATGTCCGATATCCTTAAACCAAAGCAATCACCTGAGGACTGCTGCCCAAGGTCTCTCAACAGCCAGGTACCGATGTACATAAAAAGATGAAACGAGAATATCAAGGCCAGCATCCATCGTATGCGAGAATGGGCCTACTCCGCCCGAGTTCCGTTGCGCCAGCGTCCCGGTTCCACAGGAAATCGATCAAATCGATCAATTGAAAAGAAGAGGCAGTGAAGATATAGGGACAAGGAGAGGTAAAGGAAAGGGACGAGGAAATCGTTCGCCGTAAATGGGGGGTATATAGAATACGAATAAAAAGAAACTGCACACACAATCATCCCACGAGGGTACGGTTACCAGAAAGGCCGCCAGCCTGAGAGGGGAATCAGGAGAAATGAGTACACGGGTGAAATTGCCTTCTCGTGAAGCTGGCGCGACGAAATGAGAATGCTGCACACGCTGTCGTCAAGGCGTAAGTATCGCATGAAATCCAGGGAGACACTTGTTTACTTCTCCCGCGCTCAAACTTCTTCGTCGTCCTCCGGGACGCCACCATCGATGATCTTCCGCCAGTGCTGCGGCAGACAGATACACACTAACGGGAAGGCTTTGATCTCGCCGGAGGGCGCAGGTGACGGGCCCAGCCGCTGCGAGCCATTGGATACTCCACTGTCACGCTGCTCGCGATGACGAATGTCATAGTCCTCCGCTCGCTCGGCGAGACGGACACCTGTGGCCCAACCGTCGTCCCAGATGCCAATCACCTTCAGCATCTCACCACGGTCCAGCTCAAATTCATCACCCGCCCGGGGAGAATATGCCCACAGGGCAGCCACCTTGTCGCCGGGTTGAATATCGTCTTGCGAGTAGTAGTCGCGGAAGTACGACAGCTGCTCGGACTGGCCACTGGTCACCCCCTCAGGGGACGAGTATTGATTCGCAGTACCAGATAGAGGTGAGCTATCACTGTCCAGTCCAGCCAGAGCAGAGCTGCTCGAAAGCGAGCCATGACGCTTTCCGGTCACAGGGGGAATTCGCCGAGACATAGCCCCTGGGCTGGCGCCCCTGGCCTCCGAGTCGGATGAATCACTATACTTCGTACCGCCAAACATCGCTCCAGATGTTCGCGAGTGGGCTGGAGAGGTACTGGGAATCTCGCGGAGGGCGGACATGCGAGCAACACGACCGCCAGGAACCATATTGTATCCTGTCGGGCTTTCCGGTTGCTGCATGGGTGGTGATGCGCCCTTACGCTGTGGGTTTGGCTGATTAAGTGCAGCATCGGATTGTGACCGCTTGCGGCGGCGAGTACAGATGAAAAGGAAAGCAAGCAGAGCGCCGAGGATGGCCGCTCCTGCAACCGACCCAATCACAATACCGGCAACCTGGCCCCCTGACAGATCATGGTGAGCGACATCAGCACTGGCTGCGGCGGCGGTGGTGGTGGTGACGATCGGCTGCAGGGTTGCGGTCGAGGTTGGAATGCTGACACCATGACAGCGGGTTGTGGAATTGGAGCTGGCGCAGCAAGTATCGGTTGAGTTGGGCGAGCTGGACGCACAGTAGGTGCACAGGCCGATCGTATTAGATGAGAAACCGCAGTTGTCCGGCTCGTTGTCGGACCCATCCACACAGCTTCCGGTCAGCGAGTCAGCCGGGTTCGAACAGATAGTGAAATCGGAGCGAATCTGTTTCATGTAATCCTCGTTGGTTTTCGGGCAGAGTTGCTTGTTGACCATGATCTCCTGTTCGCTGGTGGCCATGAGCGCGCACGTCTCGGCACATAGCGGTTCTGATTGGGCGGAAGACAGGCCACAATCATCCTTGGAGCTCTGAATGAGACCGCTGCAAATCACACTGGTGGTATATTGGGCATAATAATCATTCATGGCGCTTTTATTGAGGCCCTCGCAACCCAACAGGTCGACATATCTGGAGCGATACGGTCAATTTCATCATTCGCACGCGTTTGCCCTTATCGCCAACCGCACACTTACTTGGAGGTGACATAAGTGTCCGAAACATAATTGCTCAGGGCTTGATCGAATGATGTGAGATTAGAAACGCCGTCGAGCCATGGACTGCCGCATCCTTGGTTAGCCCGCATCCAATGCTGCCTGACGCAATTCCGACTCACAAGCTCGAATACTGGCTCGAATTAGTGGAGACTTTCGAGCTACTCCACGCCGGGCAGGCCGTCGACCCCGACAATGACAAACAAGATGACATCTCCGGACGGGATTCCCCAGCGGCCATCCCTCCGAGTGGTTGCTGTGAGGAATGTTGCCGTGGAATGTGTCAAATATGATGGAGAGGTCGTCGGGATTACGCGAATCGCATGTCGGTCCTAATTGTTTAATGAGGTCGGGTGTGTGGATGTAGTCGATACCAGGCCAGCTGAAGCAAAAGCCACCAGCTCGGGAAGAGAAGGGGGGAAACGCGCAGAGAGAAGGAATGAGATCAAACGAGTGACTCGGGCGCCAACAACGGACGTGGACCCGGGAGGAAAGATCGAGGCGCGGTGGCCACCGAGGAAATGGAAATAGAAGGGAAAGGATGACCAATCGAGGGAAGAAGAAGAGGGTAGGAGATATGAGGTGTGAGAAGAGGTGAGTGGTCTGGCTCGGTTGGTCTCGGCGTGGGTTTGGGTCTGGGGCCGTCGCAGTATCGTACGGAGTACGGAGTACTTGAGTACACTGTCGGGGCAGAGACTGGTAAAAGGGGGGGCAGGACCTGTGGGACGAACTGGTCTGGCGGGACCTGAAACGAGGCCCGAACGGGCCTTAGCGTTACGGCTAGAGAAAACTTCGCATTACGGAGTCTGGTTTGGGAAACTGAACTGCGATACACAAATAGTTCATAGCGTCAGCATAGTGCCAGCGCCAAAAGGACGCGGGTCAGGCGTGTCGCTTTGTGGACCACAGTGTCCCCATCTCCGGGCCTCGATTTCCCACCTGCCCAAGCTTGCGGGTATCAAAATATACAGTACTATAGGAAGCTTTCTCTTCGTACTATACGGAGGTGCATTTCAAAAGTTCGGCGTCGCGCACCGACCACCATATTTACCACTAGTCATATCGAACAGACGAATACACACAGTAACGTCGAACTACCCCTAATAATATTATTTTCTATCTTCCCATAGCCACCTACCTACCACCAACCGACCGACCGACCGACCGACCGACCTACCTACCTACCTACCTACCTACCTACCTACCTACCTACCTGCCTACCTACCTACCAACCTACGAGCTATTCAAAATATGCCAAAACAGCCAGATATCGCCACAAGAGCAACCGTGGTTGCTTTAAAGGCTTACACTAGCAAATCTTCGCATGAGATTGCTACGATTACCAATCTATCTATCTCAGCTGTCAACAAGATCTACGTACGCGTAATCGAGCGAGGCTTTGAGGTTAATCATAATAATATTCAAGATGCTTTTGTACAAGACGCCTAACGTACTGGCCGGCCAACTAAGCAAGACCAACCAACAACGACGACTATCCTATCTAAGGTGCGTCTGGATCGTTATGGCCGAGAGAAATCTTGTGCTGATCTTGCTGGTGAGCTTAGCAAGGAAGGAATCATTATCTCTGCTGCTACTATTTGGCGTATCCTCAAGAACGCCGGCCTACGCAAGACGAAGCCAACTCGGAAGCCTGGGTTGACGAAGAAGATGAAAGCTGATCGGCTTGCTTGGTGTCTTGAACACCAAGCTTGGACACTTGATGATTGGAAGAATGTGATTTGGTCCGATGAAACTTCGGTTATTCTACTACATCGACGTGGTAGCTATCGAGTTTGGCGTTCTAAGGATGAAGCTTTTGTTCGATCTTGTATTCGTGAGCGTTGGAAAGGCGCTTGTGAATTCATGTTTTGGGGCTGCTTTACCTATGATAAAAAAGGCCCTTATTATTGTTGGAAACCTGAAACTGCGCAAGAGAAACGTGAATCTGAGCAAGAGATTGAGCAATTAAATTGCGAGATTGAGCCTATTTTAAAAGCTGATTGGGAGCTTGAAACGCAGATGCGTCGTGTGAATCTTCGACGACAACCTGCTGGTAAAAGGCCTATATGGAAATTTAACCAGAAAACTGGCAAGCTTGGTCGTGGTCGTAAGGGTGGAATTGATTGGTATCGATATCAAAAACTGATTTTGATACCAAAGCTATTACCTTTTGCAAAGGAATGCGCTATTCAACGGCCGAATACGCTTGTTCAAGAGGATAAAGCACCGGCACATAGCCACTATATCCAACAACGTGTTTTTGATGTAGCTAAGGTTAATCGGCTAATTTGGTGTGGCAATTCGCCTGATCTAAATCCAATTGAGCCTGCCTGGCCTTGGTTGAAACGTGTTACAACCAAGAAAGGCGCACCAAAGAGTAGGCAGGAGGCCTATATTGCTTGGCAAGCTGCATGGCGAGAGATGCCGCAGGAGAAGATCCAGCGTTGGATTGAGCGTATCCCTACGCATATCAAAAAGATCATCGAATTAGATGGTGGTAACGAATATAAAGAGGGTAGGCTATAGGCAATACAATACAATACAATATAATCTAGCTAAAAATCGCCTAGTGTAGTAGGTGGTGGTCGGTGCGCGACGCCGAACTTTTGAAATGCACCTCCGTACGGAGTGCTCGACTCAGGAGCAATGGCGACAAGCGGCCAGCCTGATTGGCAGCGAGTCGGCCAGCGGTGCCTGTCTAGTCCGCTTCCATCCTGTCTCGTTTGGTCCCATTCCTAGCTGGTCCCGTCCGGTGCCTGGCGTGGTGATATCCGCCACTCAGATGCCCCCTAGGGGACCCATTAGCCGATCGCTATCACCCACCCGCCTCGCAAATTTCTGATGTTGTGATACACGTACGACAGCCACCGTACGGAGACAGACACTCAGTGTATTAGTCCCGAGGCTCACCTTGCATCCTGCAATGGCTATGCAAGAATTGTGAGCTGTCTGGTTGGGGCTGCGGGATCCTGCGAGGGACGGGTCATTCTCCTGCTGGATGCAGGGCCCCCGCATGCGATGTGAAGAATATCGTTGAACTCGTAACTAAGCACATCTGGAAGCGATAGCTAGAACAGCGCCGCAAGTCAAAAGTCTGATCCTCGCGTGAAGTGGGTATCGAGTTCCCAGTACGGAGGGACCAAACTCGCGTGTGAAGACCCTAGCCCCAGCTCCAAGGCCCCCGCTTTTCTGCGGTCGGAGACAGTCAGTCGACGGGTCTGAACCTTCATTGCGTGGTCGATCGGGGCCTGCAAGACCGGGTCTCCGCAAGTACCGTGAGTGCATGGAATAAACTATCAACCGTTAACAATATGTATGTAAAAGGTCGTTAAGTGGAAAGTCAAATACTGATACCTGACTTTGGAGGCCACAACCACAACTAACTACGGAAAGCTAACCACCAAGGCTCCTCTCATGACGCGTCATGTGATCAGCGTCATCTGATCCCGAAAAGCAGGCTGCCACCAAGAAAACTGACGCATCCAAGACTCAATCTTGTATAGAGGTTGAATATCTGCTCGTCAACCACCGTGGAGGTCCGATAAGCCTTCATTGTGATTTAGTCAACCATCCTCTCATTCTTGCAGGTGACACATAGAGCACAACCCAACCACCCCCTCCCTTTGGAGCCATGTGCAGCTCCGATATCTTCCTGGCGGTACTCGCCGTCTTCTTTCCCCCCATTGCCGGTAAGCACCTCCCCACTGCGCCCTTGCTACCGAAACACTGCATCCAGTGGACGATATCAACTGTATGAACGTGACCGCTGATCTAATAATGTCCGCGCGACCACAGTCTGGATCAAGGCGGGGATCTGCACCGCCGATTCCATCATAAACATCGCCCTCTGCCTGTTGGGCTACATCCCGGGCCTCATTCATGCCTGGTACATCATCATGAAGTACCCCGAGCCCGACTATGATGAAGCTGCCTACGAGCCCATCCCCGGCGGCTCCAGCCAGCGCCGCGACCTCGAGAACGGCCGTGTGACGTACTACTATGTCTCACACCAGCCTCCCCAGAACCACCCCCAGCGACCATCTTACGGCACGGTCAACCAGTCAGGCCAGCAAGCGCACGGCCAATCGAACGCTGCGCCCAAGCCCTCCGACGGCACGCAGCAAGGTGCTGGACCGAGCAATGGCACTGATGCCCGCCCGCCACCCACCTACGCTGAAGCTGTGAAAGGCGACCACAAGATCCAGACCCCGGACTAGAGGGCATAAGCACCAGTTTGATGGTGACTATCACGCCTGTTCGCCTCGGTTCTTGATTTGTTGCCGGGCGCTCGTCCTAGGTTCTATCGTAAACACTCTCCGTCTCTGGATGCGGGATTTTCTTTATGACTTTGACGAAGGATATGTTTTTGTAGTTTCATTTACTGTTATACCAGCCGGGAAGTCCAGGGTTGGCGGTTTTGCCGTCTTCCACTAAGAGGTGTTTCGTATACAGTATTCAAGTACGTTTTCGCTCAGCCGAGCAATAATGCATTGGTACCTAGTGTTGTCCATCTATAAGGCAATTGATTGCTTTCCTTCTCCAGATTCGAGGCGACGATCAAGGGTGTTTGAATGAATTAAAGTAGTCCTTCAATTGGAACTTTTGAGTCTTTTGCCCAGTTTAACATTGTTAAATTTACTCCCATTTCTTCCAATGTGGTTACATCAATGTTAAGTCCACAGAGTAGGCGTATAGTGTGGTCGAGATATATGTCTGTGGGGAATGGAACACGAAAACGCCCTTTCCACAAAAGGAATTCCTGGATATATACTACGCGTCCTCAGTAAAACCAGATTAGTACGCATAAGAAATCCAAAGAATCCACCAGATGTTGTCGAGTTAGTTATTCAGTTATGGCCCCCATACGTACCGGCCTCCCATCTGATAAGCGCTGGGTCCCAACCCGCTCCGAGATGATCCTCTGAGGTTCCGGCGGAATGGAAAATGGTGGATTCCAACACCCCAACCGACCACACCTCCCCTCCAGGTCCTTGGCCCTGACACCGGCCATGCAGCCCATGCCATTGCTTCTGCGGCAATCGCTTCGATCCAGTCTACATATCACCCGCACGACTGCTCGACCGGTGCAGGTCCCCCATCTCCGGACACCCACGATCGTTTTTCCCGCGAGGCCGACGTCACGGAGCTTCTCTGTCTGCCTCCAATGCCAGTTCCGCCGGCTTCCAGGGTCATACTTCCCCCTCGATGAGAAAGACAAGGCTACTACAGAGACGGAGAGACTGTTAAAGGCTGCGAAGGAAGGCGTGGTGCCTGACGGCGCCCCTGTCCCGGATGCAGCCGCGGGGAGTCCTCGTGCGAGCTCTCCGGAGACTGACCTGCCCCGCGGGGGGCAGGTACCGCCAAACCTTGATGACAAGATGCTATTGGAAGGGCTCGAGGCTGAGCAAAACGAGGAGAAAAGACAAAGCTCCAATGTCGAGGGTGCACAGAGCGGAGGGCTGCCCTCCTACTTGGAGAACCGCCGGTCACAACTGTCGAAGCAGTTTACCACAATGATGGACACCCTACAGTCCAACGTCTTTGTAGCTGGGCAGCGTCTGAACGATCTGACAGGATACTCGGGTATCGAGGCGCTCAAGCACGAGATCCAAATACAAGGTATGACATGGTGTTTGCCATATGTACCCTGCCCATCCGCTAACATTGCCGCCTTTTCCCCAGAAACGCGCCTCCGCACAGCCCGTGCACATGTCCGCAAAGCAAAGGAAGACTACACAGCAGCAATCAACAACCGCTCGACCTCCCAGCGCGAAGTCAATGAGCTGCTCCAGCGCAAGCATGCCTGGTCCCCGACAGACCTGGAACGCTTCACCCTTCTCTACCGCAACGACCACACCAACGAGGTTGCCGAGGTGGAGACACAAGAGGCCCTGTCCCGCGCCGAGCGTGAGGCCGAGGAGGCGGCTGCATCGCTGAACAAGTGCATTCTCTCCCGCTACCACGAAGAACAGGTCTGGTCGGACAAGATCCGCCGGATGAGTACCTGGGGTACATGGGGCCTCATGGGCGTGAATGTCCTGCTGTTCTTAATCTTCCAGATTGCTGTTGAGCCGTGGCGTCGCAGCCGGCTGGTTAAGGGCTTCGAGGATAAGGTCGTCGAAGCGTTGGAAAAGGAGAAGACGCTGAACCGCATTGAGGGCGGTTTTTCTTCCTCAGCGGCCCCGGTGGCTCTTCCTGAGGTTATTGATTCTACTATTGAGTCCTCGATTGCCTCGATTGAGTCTTCTGGTACGGAGCCTGGTGTGCCTGCCACCACCGAGGTGCTTTCTCCGACTGAGATTGTTTCGGTCGCTCCAGTCGTCGAACCTTCTCTTTATTCCCGCCTTTCTGACATCTCCTCTTCACCTATGTCTCTTGAATACTGGCGGCAAGCCTTGGATGAGCTCTTTAGTGAGCGCGGCGTTGCTATTTCCCAGCGTGATCTTACCGTGGCTGTTATGCAGAGCGCTGCAGCCGGTGCGGCAGTGGTAGGCTTGTTAATCGCCCTGGTGAGACCTCGGTAAAGGGGCTGGCCTCGGTTTTTTATACGACAGATGGATGTACTGGAGGGGCTCTGAGTCCACCCCTGCAGTCCGATCTTGTTAGTACTTGACATATTCTCATCAACCCTTTGGTGAAGCTTGTATAGATGAAGAGATAGATCCAAGTGGATATCAAGAATCACATATACTATTATTGCAGTTATTCCTTTTGTAGAGTGAAGCTCCCTATATACCGAACATGGCTCAACATTATCGATGCCTGAGCTAAGTGGATAAATCAAAACCTTATGTTTATCAAGCAGCTAATGTTGATGAAGCACAAAGGAAATTTCATGACTAGAGAATACACGAGGCGATATAGAACATAAGTATGTACTCAAGAAGACCGCGGGTTGTAACCTGCTCAAACGTGTAGCCAGAGCAAGAAAACCATCTAGTAGATCAACTTCGGAGACCGAGGACACAAAGGGTAAGAGAGCTCATTTTTGTCCATATTAAAACACGGTCTCTTAATCTTGACAAGACACACGGCCGCTCTGTCTAAAAAAAAAGGAAATAAAGATCACACAATCACATACACAGACAAGATAGACCCCTTCCCGTCTTCGTCTTGACCGTCCCTCCACTATCCCGGTCTAATAAAACAGGGTTACCGCTTTTCACATGGCGGAGTCTTTCGGGTCAAACGGAATCGATCAAAAGAGAGAAATGGTCGTTTAACCAATGACAAGGGTGTCGTCCTCGGGGAAGCTGTATTGGGGAACCTCGAGGTTCAGAGGAGCGGGGCCCCGGCGAATACGGCCGGAGATATCGTAGTGGGAGCCGTGGCAGGGGCAGAACCAGCCGCCGTAGTCACCGGCCTCACCGATGGGGACACAACCCAGGTGGGTGCAGACACCAAGCATGACCAGCCACTCGGCGCGCTGCACACGCTCGTCGTCGGACTGGGGGTCACGCAGGGTCTCCCACTTGGTCTCGCGGGCCTCGGCGATCTCATCCTGGGTGCGGTGACGGATGAAGACGGGCTTACCGCGCCACTTGATGATGACCTGGAAGAAAAAAAGACATGAATGTTAGGGATGGTTGGGTTGAAAGTGGTGCGATCTGCCTGGTTCACGTACGTTCTTGCCCTCAGGGATAGCGCCGAGAGCAATCTCAACCTTGGCCTGGGCCAGGACGTCGGCGGAGGCGGACATGTTGACGAGGAAGTCTGCAGGGGAAATCAGACGGTCAGCACGAATAAGCTCCAATTTACATCCATCCACATGACCCATCCCGTCTGATATTCATATCTCGCATTTGTATCCATGTCGCCATCTCACAAGGGGCCAGGAGAGGGAAAGCATACCCTGAACAGTCGCCTTGGCGCCGACAGCCGAAGCCAAACCCATAGTACCGGCCATGAAGTAGGAGAAGACCTGGTTGGAGCGAGGGGACTTGTTGGAGGAGTATTTGCTGAAGTTAGGGATCTTCAGGGTCGAGCCACGCTCATTAGCGGTGGCGAAGGGGCTCTCAAACGAGGCCTTCGCATCGGCGACTCCCCTCCGCTGCTGGCAGGAGGTGACGGCGGCGCGGGAGGTGGGCAGCTGCTGGCGGGCGCAGGTGCGCAGCAGAGTGCTGGAAGCGGAGGAGAGAGACATGGTGATGCAATTGACCACTGGGTGGGTTGTTGACCGCAATTGCGTTGGTCGTGTGGAGGGCGGGTGGGAAGAGAGAGGGAGGCAGTGGATGAAGTCGGAAGTCGAAGTTGGAGCCAGAGCTTTCGCTAGCGATCGGAATCACGGGGCCTGTCATTGGCTGAGCGGGTACCCGGGCGAACTTCATTCTCGACCAGCACCGCGAGTTGCCATACACTTTTATAGTAGATTACTGACCGTCGTTCTAGTTCAATCGACTGATGTCTGAGGCTAGATCTTCATTTTGAGTGTTTTGGGAGTCATTTGGTATCTATTATGAACTTGATTCTTCCCCATCTCCGAACTCGATGCGACCATACTAAAAAGCACCAACCGGGCAAGCAACAGCCCGCCAGAATCCCGTGAAACTCCAATGCAAAATTAACAGAGAAAAAAAGAGAAAAAAAGTAATTGCCATTCCGACCAAAGCTAAGCGTCCGGCGGCTAGTCCTTCATCTCGACGTCGGTGTCATTTCGAGCCGAGGAATCAACCGTTCGATCCGCGATCAGCGCGCTCACCGGGACCACGGGTGTGCGAGGGACTGATGGTGAGGATGCTGTCGTTTCATTCTGAGTGGGCGCGAGGTCGGCTAAGGCGCCATTGGTGTTACTGGAGGCAGCGCCGGCTCCATTCAGGGTACGCTGGCCCTTCTCCATCTCGGTTTGTTTGGCGGCCTCCTTGGCCTTCTTCTCCTTAAACTGCTTGTATGTCGTAGTCTTGGGGATCACGTCGGCTAGAAATTCGAGGTTATCTATGTGTGAGACGGCGGAAGCTGTTGCATAGTAGCGATTAGCCCATGCTATTTGGCGGACTTCCAACGCGGCGATCCACAACCCACCTAGATCCTTGTATTGCACGGTCTTTCGCGGTTTCCGTTCAGACTTGGCCACATTGTGTCCCTGCTCGGCGAGATACTGGATGAACATCTCCTGTAGATGACGTTAGTGGGCGTAGAAAGAATAGTTGGCGTGTGTGGCGCACCGTGGCCATAGCGATGACAAAGGTCGCATTATTGGAACATTGTACAATATCGTCGTCGAGCTGGATGATCTTCTTGATGCGAGAAACTGAGAGTCAGTTAGCCATTGTCAGCGTTGTCTTTTGGGGAGTCATTGTACGCACTGGGAAGGGCGCTCTGTCCGGTGATCTCATCCGGCTCACCCACGTTCTTTGGAGACATAGTGAGGGTTTTCGCACAAAGGAGATGGAGCGAAGATTATAGCAAGGCCTTTCTGCAGTAGAAGCAAGTGTTTCCTTGTTGCAGCTGTCCTGATCGCGCGAGTGTTGAGTCGAGAAAGTCAAACGCGTGTGCGCGGCGTTATCTCAGCACGGCTCCGTTATCGATACTTGGCGCGAACGCAACTCTTCGACACCTCGACTTCTGCCTGCAGAATCATTTGAGCGGCTAAATCGTTACAACAGCTGCAGCTCATTTTACGGCGAGCTGATATAGCTTTGGCCATAGTTTGTTCTCGATCCCGCGCCCCCTATCAGCGCCAGCCTGCGATCCCTTGTCGCGGTGGAATAGCATCATCGATACAGCTCGAATCCGATTATGCTGACTCCACCGCGCCAGTCGATGTTATGACCTCGACACGCCTCTCCTCGACCCTCTCGCGGTCGCCCTCGATTGTCGCTGAGCGCCGCAACATGCGCAGAATATCTGGCCATTCTCTTTCCTCCCCCATCGACCCCGAACCTGCCGCCGACGCTCAAGACGCCCAAGCCCCCACAATCACGGACGAGATCGGCGAGATCAAGCGCTATGAGGATTTCACAACCATAGACTGGGTCCAAGATGCGGTGAATGAGCAGAATGCTCGCCGAGCCAAGCGACGAAACGGCGTCGGCTTCTGGGACCAGGAAGGCGTCTTTGGCTGGCGACGAAAGGTGCGCGAGTCGTATGAGGCTGGGCAGGCCTGGCTTGTGGTGACGCTCGTCGGCATGGCCATTGGTCTGAATTCGGCCGTGCTAAATATTATCACCGAGTGGTTGTCGGATATTAAGCTGGGCCATTGTACGACCGCATTCTATTTGAACGAACAATTCTGCTGCTGGGGTGCTGAGGGAGGTATGTAGAACAACCCCTCATGTTCTGCTCATCATGGATAAATCTGACTGAAACTTAGGATGCCCGGAGTGGAAACACTGGACTTCTTTCTGGGTCGTCAATTACGTGATTTATTTCCTTTTCGCGGTAAGGCTACCACCTTATGTTGTACTCGAAAAAGGCCCGAGCTAATATCTAGCTAGATTTTACTTGCATCTATTGCTGCGATTCTCGTCAAATCGTTTGCTCCGTATGCCGCAGGATCCGGCATTTCCGAGATTAAATGCATCATTGCTGGCTTCGTTATGAAGGGGTTTCTGGGAGCTTGGACACTCCTCATCAAGTCAATTGCGCTGCCATTAGCCATTGCATCGGGTCTCTCTGTCGGAAAGGAGGGGCCTAGTGTTCATTTTGCTGTGTGCACCGGAAACGTCATTTCACGCTTTTTCGGTAAATATAAGCAGAATGCGTCAAAAACGAGAGAAATCTTGACTGCCTCGGCTGCTGCTGGTGTGGCGGTGGCTTTTGGAAGTCCTATCGGAGGTGTACTGTTTTCACTAGAGGTACAGGTGGATGCTCGAGTATGTTTTTGGGACCCGTATACTGATGATCAATAGGAGATGGCGAATTATTTCCCACTCAAGACTCTCTGGCGCAGTTATTTCTGTGCCTTAGTAGCAACCAGTGTGCTGGCGGTATGTCGTCCATACTTTTTCCCTAGGGCGTTACTGATTCATGCAGGCCTTGAACCCATTTAGAACCGGCCAGTTGGTCATGTTCCAGGTTGAATATGACCGCACGTGGCACTTCTTTGAACTAATCTTCTTTGCATTCCTTGGTGTCTTTGGTGGACTATACGGCGCGTTTGTGATCAAGTGGAATCTGCGAGTAGCAGCTTTCCGCAAGAAGTACCTCTCCCAGTGGCCCATTACGGAGTCGGTGGTTCTTGCGGCTCTCACTGCTATTCTCTGCTATCCAAACATGTTCTTAAAGATTAACATGACGGAGATGATGGAGATCCTGTTCCGCGAATGTGAAGGTGGTCACGACTACAATGGGGTGTGCGAGTATGAACCACCACCTCTTCTATTTAAAACCTGTAACTGACATGTCTACCTTACAGAACCAAGAATCGCTGGTCGATGGTGCTGTCATTAGCTATTGCTACGATTTTGCGTACCGGGCTGGTGATCATTTCCTATGGATGCAAGGTGCCGGCTGGTATTTTTGTGCCATCCATGGCCATTGGGGCATCATTTGGCCGCATGGTTGGAATCATGGTGCAGGCACTTCATGAATCCTTTCCCAACTCCTCGTTCTTTGCGTCATGCAATCCCGACGTTCCTTGTATTACGCCTGGTACATACGCCTTCTTGGGCGCCGGTGCAGCGCTCAGTGGAATCATGCACCTCACTATCTCTGTTACGGTCATCATGTTTGAGCTGACTGGTGCACTGACCTATATTCTGCCGACTATGGTATATTTCTCCTTAAGCCGACCGAATATATCGATTCAGATAAATGCTAACAATTGATGTCTCGCTAGATCGTGGTTGGTGTAACCAAAGCTGTCGGAGATCGATTCGGAAACGGCGGTATTGCGGACAGACTGATCTGGTTCAACGGTTTCCCATTCCTAGACAACAAGGAAGACCATGTCTTCAACGTTCCTGTCTCGCACGCAATGACCACGGACCCGCTGACATTGCCCGCATCAGACTTCCCCGTGCGCGAGGCAGAGCATTTGCTGAGTGACAACAAGTTCCAGGGCTTTCCAATTGTGGAAGACCGCAGTACCAAGACCCTGGTTGGCTTTATTGGGCGCACCGAGCTGCGGTACGCTATCGACCGCGCACGCAGCCAGGGTCTCGTCTCACCCAGAGCTCGATGTGTATTCACCCAAGAGGCGGCCGAGGCCACCGTTGCGCAGCGCGCGTCCGGTCCGCGGCATCTGCGACCCCCAGATACATTTGACGCAATCCAGACCAGTGTAGGCGCTGGTGTCGTTGATTTCTCGCGGTATGTCGACCACACGCCGTTGACGGTTCATCCGCGTCTTCCGCTCGAGACCGTCATGGAGATTTTCAAGAAGATGGGACCCCGAGTCATTCTCGTTGAGCGCCGTGGCCGCCTGACGGGCCTTGTGACCGTCAAGGACTGCTTGAAGTACCAGTTCAAGGTCGAGGCCGAGGAGCATGCGCTGGCAGCGACGAGCTCGTCTGGGTTCGCCTCTGCTCCGCTGGGCGGCCACCTGAGTACTCCTGCCCCGGAGACATTGGAGGACCGCCTGTGGCGGCTCATCCAAACAGTGGCTGGCTTTATTAGTGGGTCGATCCGGGCTCATCGGCCAGTGCGGCTGCGGGAACGAGATCGTCCTGGGAGGCCATCAGAGCCAGAGGGCATTCTGGAGGGCACCGAGGATGATGCGTTTGTGGAACTGGAAGAGAGAGACGAGCGGCCAAGTCGTCGCTAGGACTGTACCAATTGTGTCGAATATAGGTCGATAGAGGTGTTTGGTTATGCACAGTGATGCTATCTAAGCTTTGCTCAATCATTTGCTATTTGATCTTTCTGACTCTATCCTCTCTATTAATATACCTTGAGTTGAATTTTATGAGGTCAGAAGTCGGTGCCTGTTGTCCATGTACGGGTGTGACGCTGCGAGACCGTGGGAGAGTTTCGAGACGCCCGGTGTCTTCTGAGGGTCTTACGTGGGACAACATGAGGTTCAACTTAATATAGAATCTAGTCTTGAACATAACGGAGAGCTCCAAATATAAGGAATCTGATGCCATTTAGATGCTTCGATTGTTCATCCATTATCCCTCCAATTGTTCAAATCATGCCCCCTCTCGCATTCCAACTAAGATACACCCGGCCCCCATCATCGCCGCCCCGAGCCACCATAATCCCCCCACTGATTCTTGGAAGATAACCATACCCAGCAATGCCGTCATGAGGAAATTGGACGAGGTATTTGTGATCGAGACTTTGACCGTGGACGGACCGGCAGTCAGGGCGCGGGTGAAGAGAGCCCACATGATGATGTTACAGAGGACGTTGAGGCCGAGACATATCTGGACCGAGAATTAGTATATGGTATAGCGACCGGGCAACGAGAATAATCAAGGCGGAATATGGTGCGCCGGAGGCAGGAAACACGTACACCGCGGACGAGGAGCTCGAGGAAGCTGGAGGACTCGAGACCGAATAGGTGGGCAATGGATTGGGCGAATGCGGTAGTGTGAGTATCCGTCGTTCTGCAGAAACATGTCAATGTTGGTGATCGTGGAGACTGGGTCCCTTTGCAACGATCTATAGCTCTGGTAGCTTACAGCTTCGCAAAGAGCCCGTTCAGGGCGGCGAACGCGCCGCTTGCCAGCGCAATGACAACCCATGAGGCAGTGGCGGGGGTTTGTGTGGTGGGGGAAGCCATGGTGGGCTTCTCTTCACGATGCCGCGTAGGATACTGGCCGTTCCAATGCTGTACAGTGTATAACTAGCCGAAATCGAGTTGAGATTCGCCGGAGAAGGGCGAGGGAGGTTGAGTGCCAAGACTGATAAGATAGTGGTGATCGGCATTGATTGGACGCTTCAGGCTGCTCGGCTATGATAATAGTATGATCTCTAAACCATTTAAGACTCTATAGATGCCTCTCATGGCGAAAGTCTCTGTAACCGCCACTTTGCTCCTTCACCCTCGCCCTCAACTCGCACATACCGGAACCGATCGTGCAGGCGACTCCGACGGCCCTGCCAGAACTCAACCGACTCTGGCACCAGACGCACACCACCCCAGAAAGGTGGAAGGGGGATCTTCTCCACACCTGCAAATCGCTCCTCCATCTCCTTGACACGTTGCTCGAGCAATGCCCGACCGTCATCGATATCCGTTGCGTCAATATCGGCTGGTACATGAGCGCCAGGCACAGACCCCGCAGAAGCCTGCAGCTTGGCCACGCTCATGCGCCGCTGGCGCTCGGCCAGTAGCGGCGGTTCAGCCGACCAGAGCACACGGCTCTGCCAGCTAGCCCACGCGCCGATCTGACTGCCGCGCTCGCGCGTGCGCCAGTATAGCTCACTCTCCTCGCGGCGAAGCGGCTCCAGCATGCCCTCCACGCGAACTTGGCGCTCCGTGGTGGACCAGGTGAACGTCAGCGCAGCCCATTTGTTGCCAGCACCTGGTACCGATTGTGTCTCATCGTCCGGGTCCGGAATTGGGCCTGGTATATCACCCCCAGCCGCCTGGCGTCCGAATACCTGCCCGCCCTTGCCCTCTCGGCTACCCCAGTTACTATATACCACCCATCCACGCTCATCGAGCTCCTTAAGGTAGACCGCACGAGCACTGATCCGGCCGGATGGTAGCTCGGCCGTGGCAAGCGTGCATGTCTCGGGCGCCGAGCTCGCCGGCAACCGCGGGTCGCGGAACCAGGTGTGGAATTGGTGAAGCGGGTTGGTACCGTGCAGCTGGGATACCGTGAGCGGCGGGTTGGTCAGGAACTGGTGCGCTCGTGCAGGGTTCGACAGGATCTGGCTTTCGGTGGTGGAATCGGGGGTCGAGGTCTCGGAGCGAAGAACTTCGGCGTGACTCAGATAGGAAGGGGCTGCGGGTGGCATTTGCGACGGGGGAGTGGCGGTGCCGGGGGTCTCAGCCCCAACTTCGATGTCTCCGGGAGCGACTGAGGTGAAAGTGAAGTTAGCCAGGAGCTCGTAGGCCTGTAGGGAAAGTCCCCCGCAGAGACGTCTCACAGAGGCTGTGCAGATGCATAGGACGTACAGATCAGCTTCTTCGGACGCTGCGCATGAGCGTCTAGCCCGGATTCATACTGAGACATGTCTGGCCTGCGTACGCACAAGGGCGTTGCAGTCGAGAAATGGAGGCGGGGCTGACGGGAAGCAGTGCGGAAGCCGACGCGGAGAAATGAGTCAAGGGCCACGGGTGTAGTAGGTGTGGGAATGCGAGTGAACATTAGACACCAGTAGTACAATACCAGGTAATTGGGGCGCCTGAGACCCTGAGCAACTGGAGGGGAAGAGGAGGGGAGGGACGTGGGAATGATTTGGTAATAAAGTTGAGGCGCCGGGTGACATCCCCAGATCGAAGATCGTACCGAGATTCTCTCCCGAGACGTCATACCACATCGTACCAAACCATTACCGGGAGTATCACCTCATTTGCTTTCCGTTTTGGCTGTGATTCTCGGTGGCACAACACTTTGCACTTCAACTGTATCTTATTACTTTCCTCGGTGGACATCTGCGTAGGAAGCTCGTTCCTTGGCAGCTTATTGATATGGAACTTAGGGAAAATTCAGAGTTTCTAAAGCGCATTGACGTTCTTGCTATTCTGGGTTGCTGCTTTGCAGGGGTAGCGATAAGGAAGCAAACCCCAAGAACGACCCTGATCTTGGCAGCATGTGGTTCTATCGACGCAGCAAAAGGCCGAAGACAACGAATATTTCACTCGGCGACTATACCGTGCGGTCCTTCTTTCCAAGGTAAAGCTTCTAGCATAACAACCACAGCCTTATATCAGGAGATTCAAAGAGTCAAGCTAGAAGATGCAGCACATGTAGTATCTAGAAGTCCTAATGGTACTATGTCTATCACTCTCGTTTTCCAGGACGTCGCTAGCCTCGCAACTCCCTCCCCTCTCACTTTCCTCAACCTATTAGTGAAAAACATACCTTGATGAAATCAACCCTTCATGGCGATAGTCGTGATACTCGCGAGGCTTGGTAGACGGATGGTCTGATTGCTCTGGGATTTGCGTTGCGAAACTGAGTTTTATGGTTTTATTTGACAAGTCTTTCGAAGTATACCTTCATGACCCTCTCTGACATTTATAGCAGAGATGACTTGAAAAGCCGACAGAAAGGACAGAGAGAAAAACTTTCATTTTCAGGGCAATCGAATCAAATATCCATTGTTACCCACCTTTTTCCTCTTTTACTCAACAATTTTGTAGCTTTCGGATGCTGCGGTAACCCCGCTCCACAGGGCTGCTGTGTCGCTGGTCCCTGCCTCGCCATGCGGTTACCGTGAGGCAATGCCCCACCCCCGCTAACCTAACCGATCTAGCATAGAACCGATTACATATTTGTTACCCAACGTCGGCTTTATTCGACTAGGCCGACAACAAAGAATCAAAGTGGGACATTTGAGAGGGACTACAAGGGCCCCGGCCATCTTGAGACGGAACTCTGCAAATACCAGGTACATCAATCATACTAGTCCCAGATTGGGTATCTCGGTGCGACCTTTGGCTCGTGCAGTGCCGTGCAGCGTGGCTGTTCTAAAGCAGGCATTTCAGTGCGAATATATGCATTCCGACCCATATTCACGAATATTACGATGACGCTGAAATAAAACACTCAAGTAATTGAATCCACACGAACCCCCGCAGTATCACAAGCCATCTCGTCGCGCTACGTGTCTAAGTTTAAGGGGCCGCCGTTAAATTAAAATCCTCTCCCCTCAGCCAAATTCTGCCTTCTGTACAATTGTCTTCAATACGAAGTACCTACAGCTTATCACGAAGCTGAAATTGATTCTGCGTGTCGTATGACCAGAGTTGTGGCGGTGAGGGCTTGTTGTTACTTCCCTCTGCCACTACGCTGCAGATTTTTCGCTTCTTATATCCTGTTCATGTTACGGCTATTTATTGAGGGTAAATTGCCTAAGATGCACTGGACTTAACGAGGTGCACGCCTTTTTTCTATATCACGAGCACCCCAGAATTTGGAATCCTTACAGGATATGAAATTTTCTGAATCTTGAAGGCGTGCAAACTTAATGCAGCGCTCTGTCAATATGGATCAATGCTATCCTGCGAAGAAGGCCCCTTCAAAGAACGCAGTTTGCCAGAGCACCACCGATAGGCACACTTTCTCAGTTACATTCTTCGACAGAGTCTGGACCTTATATTTGCTTGCGAGTGGCATATGTTCAGTTGCTGCGGCGGTGGGCTTGGACTGACGCGACCACGTTGCTTGCCTCCGATAGATGGATTTTCTGTATTCAGACCCCTGGATATAACATCAGATGTGCATAGTGCGAGTACCCTCGTTAGCATACTCAAACTCCCAACCTGACGATAAACTCTGAACTGTCAGTCATATACAGCTATGTCTGGACAGCGGAGATTATGCTCTATTTCGGAATCAATGCAAGTACCGTCTCTTCCAAGAGCTTGCCTCAGATTTCTGATATTTCTAACCTATTCACATGCTCGATTTTTCATTGCCAATATTCAAGTTTACATCCTGGACCCCCTTTTTCAGGTCCTGGTAAACAAAATCTTCCACTCCGGACCCAATGGATGATATTCCATGAAGAAGTTCACGGTCGTGACTGATGCTGGAGCATCTGGAGCATAAGGCCACGGCCAGTCGTATTACGTCAGCCAGGGGCTCGTCGGGCCAATGAAATCGGGGTTCCCCTTTATCGTGAGGGTTTATGATCGACCCTCCCGCTGGCGGGTGATTGGCTGTGCTACCCCCACTTATCATCTCCTCCTCGGGTGATCCCCCCAACCCCACTTTCTCTGGGGCGCAAGTCTCTCCCTACTCTGAACATCACCCTCTCCTCCTTGCTTGGATCGGCCTCGCATCTGACCCCGGACGCACGATGACCTCTATAAGGCCGCATGAAAAGCTCCGATCCGGGTGCGTTGAATGCAAGAGACGAAAAATCAAGGTACCAGCTACCCACAGCCCCCCAGGAATGTCTCCTGGCTGAGTATCTCATAATTCAGTGCGATGAGACAAAACCGATCTGCAATCGCTGTAAACAGCGACCGGACAAGTGCAAATACGAGTTCAAACTATGCTGGACGGAAGGAAGACCGTTCAAAAACAAGAATCGCCAGAAAGAGAAAGCTCGACAGCAACCATCTTCGACGCAGGCAACCGCCTCCAGTAATGTTCAAGTATGGCAGTCTGAGCCTACAATACGTCCAGCACAGCCTGCCTTGGCCGAGAGTAGTGCTATAGGCTTGAATGTGGGCCATGCGTTGGGATCCCCCCGAAGGCCCGATGATTCGGTTGAGAATGAGATTGACCGCAGAGCATCTTTGGCCGTGTCAGAGAGTACCTGCTCGGACTACTCAGTGGCTACCCCGCGGACTCCGAGATTCGGTAGGCTTGATAAATTTGGTGTTTATCAACAAGATCCAGTCGGGATGACTTGGCACCATTGGCAGCAAGCGAAGCCATATTGCCAACAGAAGCCTTCTCCGGTCCACTATTATGATTGGCAAATCCCCCAGACAATATCCACCACTGCTTCACCTATTATCTCATCGTCTGAGACTCGATTTTTTCTTCATCACTATATCAATAACACAGCGGGAGTGATCTTCCCTCTTTCCCTGAAGGCCAATCCACTCAGCGAAGCCCTGCTTCAGTCCGCCATGAACTCATCGCATCTCTTATACGCATTCCTTGCGTGTGCCAGTTCCCACTATATCAGTCTGCGAGGAGATCCAACTGGTGAAATGACGAAAAGTGTCACGAAATTCACCAATGCCGCGTTGAACGGCTTGCGATTAGCCATGATCGATCCAAACCAGGCCGGGAAGTTAAGCACGCTAACCACGGCACTCGCACTATGCACATCTGATGTTATATCTGGGGGTCTGAATACCTGGAGAATTCACCTGTCGGGAGCAAGCAACTTGATCGCGTCGGTGTTTGAGCTTCAAAGCAACGATGACTCAGTGAGTACTCAAGACCCGACCAAGCTCTTCCTAATAAAATGGTTTGCTCTCCTCGATATATTCGCCGGGGTGGGTGGCCTCCGCAAGAGCTCCAATGCTGGGAGCTATTGGTCACTTCCCACGTCGAACGACACGGGTGGCTACATCGACGAATGGACGGGATATTCTCTGGAATTGATCCCGATTATGGCAGAAATCGGAAAAATGGCACGAATACAACGGAAACGATCGAAAGTCATTTCTCTCGACGATGACGGATCTGAAGATGAAGCAGCCAGCGAACAGAGTCGGATGGAGACTGTCGAAGACATACAACGCGTGGAGAGTCAGATTTACGCCCTCTATGACCGGACGACTCATCCGGATCTCGATTCTAATCCCGCAACTAAAACAACGGCTCAAGAAATGCGACACATCCATAGGATCTTTCTGCACACCAATCTTCTCCATCTTTACCGGCGCGTGCAGGGCCTGCCTAAAGAACATCCCAAGCCAGCCCATGCAATTCACATGGTCATCGAGTTGCTGCTCAAGATTCGGTCTACCTCTATGGCGAATATTCTGTGTCTATGGCCAGTGTTTACCGTTGGCTGTGAAACGGAGGATGAGTTCCAACGACAGATCATTAAAGATAGGCTGGCAAATATGGAGGCCTTTGGAATGGGCAACGTGCAGAGTGCGCGAAAGGCGATGGCAGAGTATTGGGAATGTGGGGCGAAGGAGAGATGGGACATTTGGCTGGAAGACCGTGGCTTTGATCTGAGCCTTTTCTGAGTCTCTTTCTGAAACTTCTCTCGGGTACAAACCTAGCAGTAGCTAGGTATTCAATGAATTATGATATCTATAGTCTACATATGTGTAATTATCGGGCTCCGATGCCTAGCCCTAGCTGGCAAGCACAAGTCCTGACTTCAAAACCATCATTCGCCACTCACGCTCGTACTTTCTTGGTTAGAATTGAGGCCCTCAAAGGCTCCCTAGATCGCCATCTGCTACATTTATCTTGTTGAGTAGCCTTTTCTGCCACCTAGACCATAGCCCGTGTAGTAGCGCTGATGGAAAGCGCCGCCTAGATCTCGAACCGGCGCGGCTCCGCTTCTACAGTAGCTGACGACCAGAGCATGCGATAATTTCCGGATCCGAGCAAATAACAGTCCTATATAACCCCGTACGTGCTTAATTGAATGGGAAAAGTGTAAATTTACTGACAGCCTTTCGGTATAAACCCTTGGCAGTATCTGCTCGTAGAAATCACGGGCTCCTCTCATAGCAATTTACCTGTCGGACTCACGGGGGAGGGCCGGAATCAGAAAAAAAAAAATTGCTAAGGAACATGCTCGGCGGCATTTATGATCCGTGGTAAGTAGATATACGTCAGTCTGATGATTCCTCACCAAGTGAACCCAGACTAGAGTTAACTGTTTAATAGACGGTGTCGCGCAGATGCATATCCTTTGCCGCACTCTCAAGTACATTATCTAATTTATCTAATTATATTAACATATTAGTGATCTTTGTACTCTCTGTTCAAAAATCTTAGGATTTCTCCGTCAGGCACACAGAGTCTCTTTCAACATGATTCCCTGGTTGAGCCACCATCCCTTCGAGGGCTTCTTGAGTCTCCTCTGAAAGCTTTGGTCCCTTGTATGACTTTCGACCGCCAATGAACCACCAGATGACAACGAGGATTGCCATTCCATATGACACAAGAGAAGTATAGTTCATCGTTTGCGCAGTTACCGGTGGGCGGGTGTATGGCAGGCAGAAGAACACATTTGAAACCAGGATATAGATGATGGCAATACCATTGATGGCAAAGCCCAGGAACCCATCACCGAGATAGAACCACCCAGGCGCGACTCTCTTGCGACCGGTAAACAGATGAACACCAATGGCAAAGCCGAAAGAAGTTGTGGACATGACGGCATAGGAGGCAACGAGGGCGTTGAATGCAATGGTCGATGCGACATACAGCGCACCTAGAGCAGTGGTTATAACAGCTGGAAGAAAACATCTTGGTCAGCCGTTGCACTGTAATCCATCGAATTTTCTCGTACCGATCAAGATATTCGCTCTGGCTGGCATCACGCTGCGCTCATCAATCTTTGAGAAGAAGTCAGAGAATGGCAGCGCACCGTCACGCGCAAAGGCCCAAATGCTTCTGACAGCAACAATTTGGAAGCCAACTTGCCCGGTCAAGGAGGCAATGAAGATAATCAAGCCACATCCAAAAGCCGCATGTGTGTTGCCAAAAGCCTGGTCCATAATGCTAGCGACGGGGTAGTTGGGCTGCGAGTTCAAGATGGCCTCGAGGGAGCCGGCCGAGTAGAAAATAGCAATTAGAACAATAAAGCCCCTTCCTCCGGTCAGTATATAGCAGTGAACCAGCAGCAACGAAGTCTTACATCAAAAATGATCCAAGCCACTGAACCAGGATAGTCTTAGGGATATTCTTCGACGGATTAGGGATCTCCTCGGCCATATGCGTGGAACTGTCGACGGTTCCGATGGCAAAGGCCGGTCCCACGAGGCCGAGAATAAAGGAAACGCCAGTGGGCCAGCCCGTCATGTTTGTATACTCTTTCCATACGAATGAGTTGGATGAGTGAGTTTTGGGAATGGCGGCGAGGCATATCACGACAACAAACCACACGCCCACGTTGACGAACACTGCGACCGTCGATTAGCGGGGCAGAACCACGAATTGAGCATGCAGACAATACATACGGCCGATCTTGGTATACAAAGGCAAGATCTTGTTACCGAACTGGACAAAAAGCGCGGCAGACCAGGTGAGAACCACGAAGACGACGAAAACGTGCCATGGCTGACTATGGTATTCCGGATGCCAGAGCTGATACAGGCCGGTTATCTCTAGACCAGCCACTGCGTACAGCGAAGCAAGACCGAGTGTATATCCCAGAACATTGAAATACCCAGTCAGGAAGCCAATGGGCTTGGCGAACCGCGGGCCGGCCAAGGCGGCTGACCAGTGGTAGACTCCGGCGGACGTGGGCATGGCCGACGTCAGCTCCGCCATGGACAGGGCGACAAACAGAAAGAAGATGTTATCGACGATCCTATAGAAATAGACAGGCGTGATGAGCGGAGACTTCGAGAGCGATTGTCAAGTGGACTGCCTTCTTACCAGGCATAGAGCAAGCCAGATGCGCCGCCATTGTAGATTGAAGTTATGATTGATCCGATCATGGCAGTCTATGCGGGGATCAGTATATATGGACAGGTTGGGGGCCATGTGGAGCCTGCTATACCCAAGCACTGGCGGTAATGACCGCGTTCGCAGCCATTGAGAAAAAGGAGAACTGGCGTTTGAGCTCCTGCTTGTGGCCAAGCGCGGCCAGCAGCGCCGCATCGTCCTGCACTGTGACCGAAGACATGGTCGCGATGGAGTTGGTGGAATGTGGCGTGAGTACCTTGCGCGTTACCAGGTAGATTTGAATCTATCAGGGTCTTTGTCACGAGGGCACTGATAGACCCCAGATTCGGCGATAGCGAATTAAGCTAGGGTGACCCCTGAAATGCAGGGTTGGGATTTTGCATGGTTTGTTCAGGATTAGTGTCGTCCTCGTCCTCGTACTTCTGCTCGCACCGAAGTGCCAATCGCGGGTTAGTCTCCCCACATCCCTGCCCCTCGACGGACTGTGCTTTTATCGCTCCGAATTAACCAAATCAGCACACCCTGCGTTGAAGCATGCAGCCGACCGTTAGGACTTCAAATGGAGGTAAACCGGCGATCGGCAGATCCACCACACACTTTTCAGCTTCCTATTCGACGTTTAGTCTCTCCCCGTTCTCGTAAGCGCCAGATCGGATCCTCTGTCGGCGTTTTTGTATAAGTAGCGGGGAATTTCCAGATTGCCGGGTTCGACTAGACACCTCCCAACTCGGCACATACTCCAACAAACATGGCTATCGTCCAAAAAATCAAGGACTCGACCACCGCCGAGAAGGTTGCTGCCGGCCAGGCTGGTGCAACGGCCGAGGATCCCATTGATGCCCTCATCATTGGAAGCGGCCCTTCTGGTAGGAAACTTTCTCCGCGGAAGGGTTTTTTTGTCTAGTAATCATTAACGATAATGGTCAGGAATGGTCTGTCTGCGAAATCTCCTCAGGGATCAACCACCACTCTCTGTGATTGCAGTAGAACGCCAATCAGTTCCCGGGGGCATCTGGACCGGTCATATTCCGGAATATTCGACGCTACAGGACCTGGTTTGCGAATATGAAGTGCACGGTGTCAAATTCCCTCGACGTGAACCCGCGAGACGTGCTACCAGAGACCAAATTGCCGAGTTCTGCAACGCCTACTTTCAAGAGTTCGACCTGCATGACCACGTTGTTTGGCAGCATGAGGTGGCTCATGTGGAGATGGTTAAGCCTATGCTGCACAAAGTCGTCATTCGCCCATTCGTCAAGGGGCAGGAGGACCCTGCCGGTCAGACCGTGTATACACGGAGTGTTCTTGTCTGCACGTACGAGATGTTGGAACCTGCTTCATTTTCCGCCATATGATACTGACCGTTCTTAGGGGTCACAATATGGAGCCTTATATGCCGGAGTTCCCCGGCCAGGAAACGGCCAAATTCCCTATTAAGCACAACAACACCATTCGGGACGCAAATGAAATGCCGGAATCTGATATTCTCGTCGTCGGTGCCGGACCTTCGGCGATGGACATCATTCAGGAAGCTTGTGTGACGCGGGGTGCGACGAACGTACATCTCGTCGCACGGTCTGCTCACTGGTATGCATTCCATATCGGAGCCCAAACCGTCGGTGTTCAATACTAACCTGCTATTTAGGGGGGCTCCTGATTTATGGTGGCCTTGGCTGTGGCAGTATGGATGGACTGATTTGCATCTGATGCGTGTCCTCTACCGCATTTTGCCTATTTTCGTCGTTGATGCGATCTTCTACTTGATTCATCTCGCCTGGGCAGTCATCAATAACGTGCCAGAATGGCGGCCCCCTCTCCGTAAGCTCGGTTTCTTTCGGCAGAAGAATGTCTCGCTAACGGCAATTACCCTCATTTAGACGAAGGGCCATCGGCAAAGGTTGGCCTGATTTTGCGAACCCATCTCGTGGAACCCTATCACAAAGGGAAGTTCCGAATCCACAACAACTGCGGTATCAAAGAAATCGACGGAGAGAAGGTTGTTCTCACAAATGGCACGGTCCTATACCCGAGGATGCTTGTTGCAGCAACAGGCTGGTCAACCGAATCGGCATACCTGCCTGAAGGTTCCCCAGCTGGTGAGTATGACTCCCTAGCTGCGGCAGATGCGCCGCGACCGCTATATCTCCGATTCTACGACCAGGACTACCCTGGTATTTTCTACATCTCTGTGGCAGCTGGCTTTATCACGTACACAGAAAGTGCCTCTTTCCTCAGCCAGGCTATCAATCAAATCTTACGTGGAACCTGGACACCTCCGTCGGAGCAGGAAATCCAAAAGAATCTGAAAGAGGTTGTTTTGCATCATATTTGCCTCCCTGGTCTCATTGAAGAGGACCTTGCAGCCGCGGGCTTCAAAGATCTCCGTGGAAAGAACCTGCGCTAAAAGATGGAACGGGGAATTCGCGATAGAACTTTGATCTTCATTTCTTTCTTTTAAACTTTAACCTTCGGAGTTTAGGGGGCATGCATCCATGGCATTGGAAAGGCATGAAGCTTGGACGAATTGCATTTGAGATGATGAGACATGACAAATTTTCCTTTTTATACCTGTATATATCTCTTTCTCTTTGTGTTTCTTTGGTGCTGATTATGAATTTGCATGATCAAAAAATTAATCGCAAGAAGTCTATCCTGGGAATCCTCCATTATAACGGCATGTAGGCTAACACGCAACCTCGCTGATTTAGACAAAGCTTCATCGTATCTCGACTGTCGACCGTCTCCATTAAACAGACTACAAGACCCCTGTCCCTTTGCAGCATATCAGTTGGTAATTTCTTTTTTCTACCACGTGCGGCGCGCGTTTTTGGAATCTCAATAGCAACCGTGGGATACCTGTCGAAAGTAGGGAACGATGTTTGAGTTTTCCCAAAAACAGGCCTCATGCGCAAGTGTGAAGTCATCAAATCCCGACCATATCGGGCCAACCGGGAACGGGTTACCACCTTATGGTTTCCCGATCGATCAACTCCCCCAGACATCGTAACATATTAACAACCAGTCTATGTAAACCTGATCTCGTGAGGGTATGACGTTACTACACGGTCATTGCCTCTTAATTATATATGAACACTTTTGCATACTATTGGAAGTTTTATCCACACTCATAATAATATACTGTCGCACCAACTACCACAAATCTGTTGTCTCTATATACAAGAACAAGTGTCTTGTCCTCGATGACGATCATGCTAAGCTATCAGAACGTTGCCACCAGAATAGGCCACGTTGGCCGTGTCGCATCTCAAAGCAGATACCCTGCGCTATTGCACTCCATTCCAACGAGATGGCGCATGAGAAGCGCACTTTATTCTACCGCTGGCTATGGAGATGGAGAGGGGGACCCAAAGGCTGAAAAGCCAGCCTCCCAGGGAGTAAACCCTCGAACCCGGGAATTAGAGCACCCAGGGCCCAAACAATCCTCTACAACCCGCAGCCAGGAGAGAGACACAAGCTCTGAACCCACCACCACAGACTCCGGCAAGGTTGCACATAAAACTCCGAAGGCCCCACCACCTTCCGGACGGAACATGCCACCTCGGTCGGCGAAAGAGGAACTTGAGAATGAAAAAGCCAGAGAAAATCATTAAAGCTGATCAAAAGAAATTGGACATTTCCCCCGTCTTTGTGGGGCAATCAAAGTGACACGATGGATATAACGGGGGGTACTACTGTACATACAATGAAGATATGCCTACTTAGGAGTCTGGATGAAGATGAATCCGAGATCTAGGATTGGACTAGACCCCCATTGGCAGAGTACATTATACCCTTGATCAAGATAAATGCTTGTGTTACAAAAACCAAGAGACTCATTCACTGTTTTTTGTATTTCATGGGCGTCTCGAAGCGCCATGCAGAGTAGAGATGTGTCTATCAACATGAAAAGTCCAAATGGTATACATGCCGGGGCAACAATAAGCCCTCAAAGCCAGAAAAAACCCCCAAACCCCTTTTAATCGCCGAGTCAACGCCGAAACCTCGCTGAATGCCGAAAACAAAAAGGCACCTCAATCACAGAGCACAAGACACAAAGTATATCCCACAACCAGGTGTGTATCCAAGCCAACCACACAGATAGATAAAAAGTCCACCCCCCTCCAAGCGCCGAACCGGAAAAACTAAGCCTGAGCCAAGCCGGGATCCAGCCCTGGCGAGATGATGTAGGGTGTTCAAGTCACAGTCACGGTCCGAACCACCAGATTAAATGGGTATAGACCTGGTCGCAGATAATCCAGGAAAAGGAAAATGCAAAAATTTGTTGAAAGATTTGGTGTCAGCCTAGATAGACGGCACAGAACCAACCAGATCGATGATCTTGTTCGCCACAGCGGACGGGTATCCGCGCGACATCATCTCCTGGACGATGCCAGCCGCAGCGGCGCGCTCATCAGCACCAAGGAATGCGCGAGTCATAGCCTCGTAGGTGCTAGGTTCGCGCTTATCGATGCCGATGCTATCGTAAATGGTCTTGGCCTTGGCGACGTTGCCCTCGGCGGCCCAGCCGTGAATGAGCGTGTTGGCGATGTACGCGGTCATCTCAACGTGGCGCTGCTTCATGCCACGAACGATATCTTCGGTATCAGCCACGTGGTTGGTAGCTACCATTCCCTCAAAGAGCGCCTGGTACAGACACGGCTGGAGGCGCACGCGACGGTCCGCGAGGACCGCATCGAACACCTTGCGCGCGGCGGGGAGGTCGTGCTGGACGCAGCCCTGGGCGTGGATCAGCGAGGCGTAGTGCACGGCGTCGGGTTGGGAACCGGCCGCTTGCATCTCGGCAATGACGCGCTCGGCGGCGGGCATGTCCACGGGATCGAGGGATGCGTGGGCGTCGATGAGCAGCTTGTAGGTGTGCATGGTGGGCTTGATGTTGCGGGCCTGCATGCGCTCGTAGTAGGCCAGAACCTTAGAGCGGTCGCGCTTCGTGTTGAGGAAGTACTGGATCATGGAATTGTACGGCGCCGGACGTGGCTTGTAATTGGGCATGGATTCCATCTCCTCGAACATCTCCTCGGCGAAGCGCTCGTCGCTGACGCGGCACAGGGCGTTGACAATCGTGCCGTAGGTGACGCTTGTCGGGCGGACGTTATTGGCGCGCATCTCTGCGAAGTACGCAAGGCAATCGTCGATGCGGCGAGCTTTACCAAGCTTGCCGATGAGAGCGTTGTAGAGGAACGAGGTGGGTTCCACGCCTTCGGCGACGGCACGGTGGAAGATCTTCAGGGCCTCGGTGGCTTCGTCGAAGGTCTTGGTCGACTCTTTCAGGGTGGTAATGTATAGGCCGAAGGTGTTGGCGGAGGGTGCTGAGCCCAGATCCAAAAGCTCCTGGTGGTATTGGCCAGCCTGGTGACGATCCCCAAGGGTGAGGCAGGCAGCGATCATGGCATCAATGATGGAAACCCAGCCGTACTTGACAGCATTGTAAGCTGGGTCCAGAGGGACATCGGCGCGCGCCATGGCGTGGATGTCGCGGACCAACTCCATACGACCGAACTTGGCAGCGGCGGTGATCAGTTTCGCGTACGTGATGTAGCGAGGGTGACGGCCGATACGGCGCATGTTCTTGAGGCGGATCAAGGCTTCGTTGAGGTGGGTCTCTGCGCGGCCGGCGGTCTTCTCGAGCTCATCGGCGATGATGGCAGAGCCGCGGAAGTCGGTGGCATGGGCATGAGGGTCGAAGGAATCCGGGCTCACAGAAGGTGTCGTGATGTTGGTGTCCGCCCTGGAGACAGGGCTGCGGCGGTCGGACAGGAAGGAGGTCTCAGAGGACCTCTCCAGGTGATCCTGCCATCTCTTGACGACATCGGGGTGGCTAGTAAAGAGCTTAGCGACAGCCTGGTCCACCAGACCGGTGGTGTAAGCATCCAGGGGTAGGGCAGTGGACAGAGCCACGTCGAGCATGTGTGCAAAGCGGATCGGGTGAGCAACATCAAAGAGCATAGCGCTGTTATTAGCCAGCATACCAGCCTGAACCTGGAGGGCCAGGGTGAGGTCAGCCGGCTTCAACTGCGAGATACCCATAGGTCCCAGATTAGCGACAGCGTGCTCAGCGAGAGGAGACACCAGGCCGCCATTTTCGACCATCGACCACAAAAGAGTCATAGAAGCCTGGGGCGAGAGAACAGCGGCCGTCTGCATGAGGACACGGCCGAAGAGATGAAGCGATTCAGTGACCTGCTCACGAACAGTGGCAGGAACGACAGCACCCTGTTTGACAGAGGCATTGCGAATACGGGCAAACATGTTGCGAGCCCCGCCCAGGCCCTCCTCGACCTGGCCGCTCTTCAACAACGCAACCGTGTACATAGCGGTCGGCTGGACCATATCCGGGGTTGCCTGACCCACTGTGTTCAACATGATCCACAAGGAACGGGCCGCCGAAACATTGCCCCGACGGACATGAAGGGCGAGCAATGAGATGGCGGGGGGCTGGCGCGTATCAGGCGAGGGGGACAGACGGTCGTATGCTTCGGAGGCGGTGGTGAGATCGCCGGCGTCCGCCGCAGCAACACAGATCCGGGAAATCGCCTGATCGCGAGCCGCATCGTGCAATTGATCCTTGGCCTGATCAAGGGCCTTGGCGTGCTCGCCAGCATTCAAAGAGTGCTGCACGAGCGCGTCCTGGACAATCACGGCCTCCACAGCGGCCCAGCGGCCCTCGCGGTTCTCAGTCACCTCGTCGAATGAGGAGCGGATCCGGTCAAGGAAGTGCATGGCACCCTCCTCCTTGCCGCAAGACAGATAAGCGCGGATGACAGCAGCGTAGACTTGGCCGTCTAATCGCTTGACAATGCTGAACACACCATTGTCGTCCGAAACAGCCAGGCTGCGGTACTCGTTGTAGCACTCAACCGCACTCGAGAGATCGCCAGTGCCAGCAAATGCATCAATCATGAAGGGGAAGATGGTCGCGTGAGGTGTCACCTTCTGCATCTCCATGTGAGAGTAGATGCGGATCATGTCCTCGACCTTGCCCTCGCGAGCACAAGCAATGATGAGTTGCCGGTACAGGTCGAGCGGGAACACGAGACGAGAGTGGCGGGTCGTGGCAGTGTCGAAGAGCTTCATGGCGATAGAGAGGGAGTGATCCTCGGTAAGAATGTCGCGCTCCAGTTCGCTGGACTGCAGCATGAACTTGCCCGGCTCCTCCATGCCACCATAGCGAACACGTTCCTGTTCAAGCACCTGCTTGGCCTGGATCGTGTCGTGTGCCTGGGTGACCAACAGTTGAACGAGGGTCTGGTAGGTGTCTTCGTCGGGGATTACCCTGCGGCGAAGCATATCAGAGTACACATCAAGGGCCTTGGGGATGGCCTGGGCGGCCTCGGGGTGGAGGCGGATGGCCGCAACCAGGAGGGCATTGTATGCCTCCACGGTCGGGGTCAGACCCTCACGGAGGATGTATTCGAACGCTGCAGGAATCTCAGAGTAACTTTCGTCTGTGGCCAGTTGCACAATACGGTCTGAAGCGATCTTGCTCTCCTCCGACATCGCCTCTGAGATTACCACATCCTCAATAGCCGACCCGGCAGCCGACTCGGCCGCCACCTCGGTCACCTTGGATGACTCCTCCGCTTGTGCCTGCTCCTCCTGAATCTGAATCTCCCGAGCAACGGCCTCCTCAACCTGCGCGCTGACATTCTCGTTTACGGCCGCCTTGGTCGGGTGTGGGAGTTCGGGCGAAGGGATGTGCTCGTCTCGCGCATCCTCAACTTCCTCGGAGGGCTTCCAGCCAATGCGACGCTTGAACTGGAACTGGCGCCAGTCGGTATCGTCGCCGGTCTGCTGGGCGTGCTGCCAGGCGGCGTAGTAGGCGGCTAACCCAAAGTCGCCATTACCACCGCTCCCTTGGCTCGCCTTGGCGCCGGCGCCAGACGAACTGGAGGCGTTCGAGAAAGCATTCTGTAGTTGAGTGCGGGAGAACTTGGCGGGCTGGAGGGCGAATTGGTTTAGGGTGGTGGACGACGCGTAGGTCTGCGACGCGGCGACGACCGACTGAGCATAGCCATGGGTGAAGGCTTTGGTGAAACTCTGGCGCGCGAGATGGGTGAACGGCTTAAAGACCATTTATCTAGCGGGTGACCTCTTCAGAATGAAGAGGCAATGCTGAAACGAGTAGAGAAACGCGTTAGAGATTGAATCGAGGTAGAGGATCATTTGTGCGCGTTCAAGGGGGGTAAGACACGAATTCTCGATTTACCTTGCACTCAGAATAGTATTGAAAATGCAGGTTCATTGAACGACACCTGTCGCCAATGAACGCGCGATTATGCGGTAGAAGGGATGGTGAGAGAAAGGGCCAGGGAAGAAAGACTTATGTTCCGGACAGGTCCTCGAGTCAGTGGGTGGGGTGGGATGGGATGGAAAGAAGGATGATCTAAAGAAGCGTAAAAAAAGAGGAGCCTAAGGGAGTAAAAAACGAGATGACGGTCCCAAGTAATAATGGGGGATTCTGGAAGGAGATGGCGTCGCACATTGGTGGGCCTGGTGGTTAGGGCCGATCCTCTCCGGAGAATCCTCTGGACATACTCCGTACACGGTACCTTCGAGGGCCACCCAAGTGTCGCGTGTCACTAGTGTACCGAGTACTCTATCCAGCCACGCTGGCGGGTCCCAGAGACAACGATCGGCTCCGTACCCTGACGGCCGTAATCAGACACGTCAACACGGCACTGCCTGGAGCATGTCCGGGGAAACGAGGATCCCGACCTGAGGGATGAAAAGATCGTAGGTACCCGTGACTACGAATTACAGCGAGGGGGGTATTAACAATCCAGGTCGAGTCTACCTGCTTCTTGGCGAGGTATACTTCGAATCTTTCCCGGCTCTTGCCAGATGTCAGCAGGTCAGGTGGCAGTTACAACGAAAAACCGGCCTGATGGAATCGTTTGGCCAATCAGATCGCTTCAAATGCCTGCGGGCGAGAAAAAGGGGGCTTAGAAAGCAGCAGCGGTGCCTGGATGACTCACCCCTTTCCGGTTCTTTTTCTTCTCGGAGGAACTCTCCTCTTCCCCGTCGGCTCGGCCTCCCGGACTGTCCGAACGGCGTTAACGGGCTTTGCTCTGACGTCGGAGATGATGGTTACCATCGGCGGTCCTCGAAAAGGATACGAGCAAGGTCAGCAGTCCCTCCTTCTGACGAAGTTACGGATAATTTCACGCTGGATACTGCCATGGTTCACTATAGTTCCATTCTCCTAGTCCCATGGCCCTAGGAAGCCCGCGCTTGATTCAAGATTCTTCATACTCCGGACTCGGCGCTTTGAGCTGCGACACTCCGTTCTTATATATTTCGAGAGAGCAAGGACCAGTCGCTGCCAAGATTGTGCCAAGAGAGGCCACTGATTCAGCGCCTTTCTGTCAATTCGGGTACTTCAGATAGGACCCAACAAGACGGCGATCACGTGCTATGTGACTTTTAGTGGGCCAGCAGTCTTATGGTAGTGGGAGCCCTCTATCACATACCCATCTTCTCCACGACGTACTTGTAAAATATTCCAAGAACGAGAACATCTAATCACATCCATCCCCTGATGTCAATGCTGGGAAAATGCCCTACTATGAATGTGGCTTGAGACACGATCCATATATTCAAATGATATATTTCAGGCCCGTGGAACATGACATTCTGATCCAACCAAACAGACCTGTATACTGCTGTATACCGACTGGAGGACCGACACCTACATAAGTAACAAATTCCGACGCGGGGCAGCTTAAAACCTCCCGAGCAAAAGGACCGTAACATTACGACATCCGACCAACACGCACGGTGGATGTTGATAGACATGCATCTGACGTCAGACGGGAATTCCAATTGTCAATCCACAACGCTCGGACGCCTGCCCGCAGCGACCGTGCTTCGTGCTTGTCGATTGATTTCCCGTGTCACTTCCAGGCCCTAGCTTGATCGTCGCTATCGTGGAGGGGGTTCATGGTCAACCCCAGATGGAAAACAGCATTTATTAGCAAAAGCGAGGGTGGTAGGAGAGGGATAGCGAAAACAAATTACGACGCCCCCACTTCGCTGGCTGAACGCCTCGTGGGATGGCGCCGGTGGCTGCCGTGCTCCCATTCACCTGTTTGGTCCGCCTGTTATCAGATCCTGGTTCGCGCAATCTATTCCGACTATTGTGTATGCACGAGGCTCGGCCTGGCTGTTTGCTCGAGATAAGCGAGGTTATGCCTGTTGTGGGAGTCCCTCAACCGGGCACTTGGAGCATATACATGTCACAAAATGGTAGCGGAGAGGTATATACCCCTTATCCACGAAAGCGCTCTAATGCACGGATTGATGATGAAGGGTCTCGTGAGTCTGCTACGTCGAGAACCGAGATGGCTGCAGTCACCCTAGTCGTCGTGTCCGCGAGTACCGTAGAGGTGCGCGGTATCTTTTCTTCTTCTGTACCCCGTACAATCGGGGTAGAAAAAGTCTCCGAAAGGATTAACCCCTCATCGGAATCTCCAGGGCTCCCGTTGGGAAAGGTATGGTATGACTCACAGTCGACCGCAATTAGCGAGGAATAATCTAAACGGGAGCCCGATTTGGTCGACATACACGTACCCTAGTCAGCTCGCTAACTCGAGTCGTGATAGTGTGGATGGCCTCATCCGAACTGCTCCTCGCTGGCGTTTCCGTAAGTCAGGAGCTCAGCGAGGCCTCGCTGGAGTTGGGATTTCATCCTGTGCTGATCGCAGCGGGTCGATGTACAGTGCGCGCCAGGACTTTTTCTATCGGTCCACCCGCTAGGACTCCACCACCACGCGTGCCCTTCCGAGGGGTTGCAGCATGGCCGATGTCGAACCCCGTCGATCGCGGGTCAGGGCGGGTACCTTTCGGTTGAGGAAAGAGTTTCCATGATGAAGATCCGCTTTTGTTTCACTGTTCTCACGCTTGTTGTCTTCAAAGGTACGAGAGAAAGGCGAGTAGAAGAATGACCGAGCATATATTCTAATACCTCAACCAGTCCGGCTTTGGCATTGCTGCGAGCGCGATGGTCGGGCCTGGCTAAAGGGGCCCGGCTAAAAGGCCCCGCCCATGTATATTCAATAGCCAGAAAGAAGCAATGTCAAGCGCCATGCGATGGACGGCATGTTCCGCTTGTAGAAATTTTCTCCAAACCCCTCTTCGGCGCCGGGTCTCCAGCGGTTTACCCCTTTGAGGCAGAGCGGAAGGAGAATCGCGAGTTCGCTAGTGGAGAGCAGGAGCATGATACTCATTTCAGAACATCAGGTGACCGGGGCCGGGGGGGAAACAGACTGACAGGCTCTCAGCGTCCGAGTTTCGGCCAAATTGCCGGGCAGATGACCCGGTCGGTCGTCTCAGGGACCAGAGTGGATCCTACCCGTTAGTCAGGTTAACCAATTCCGCGGTTGAGTCCCGCTCCAAACCTCCATTGATTATTCAATCACGACGCCATCAGTCGTAGCAGTTCGTGACAAAGTGCTGTGGCCCACTTCCAGAGCCATGGCCACATGAACTGGGTTCAAGGAATCTTATGGTATTTTATTTTGAATTGAATATGTCGGGAGAGGTTTCGTCGGAGGGAATTTCGGAAAAAAAAATTCCTGAGTAAAAATAGAGCTTGTCGAGCTTCCGTAAGCCTCCACTCCACCGCCCTACGGGGCGTATACTTCCTCTCCCGCTTCCAACGGGCGGATGGTGTGGCAACCCACGTAACGCTGTAGAAGACCCGTACAACTGCTCAGGTGCATAGACGGGGGACAGTCGCAAGGGCATCAAGGCCTGCAAGGGTTGCTAATCCTGGTGACGCCCCCGGGGGGTTTGAGAGCTTCTGGTGGATAGCGGGAACTAATAGGACACTTTGTCTTGAAGTTTCTGACGCCTGATAGGCCTTGTAGTCTTGTATGGAGTAGGCTTTGCAGGCATGTCTGTCCACCTGTAGATGCATCTCGCCGCACGCCAGCTCATGTACGATGATGCTGTCCCGTGTCCCCGCCAACCAGCGAGAGGGCCATGCGGGATGTCCATGAAGTACCTATTCCCCGGCAGTGAGAAAGAGTATTCATCGTCGGCGTGGGTCTTGATCGTCGCTCGCATGTCGATATGTCCTCGCATGGACCCCTCCAGCGTCATCCGGCATCCGTGCCTGGCCCAGCTCATACTCGTGGACCGGCCCTCTAGCCTCGGAGAGGAAAGACAAAATGCCAGCCTCTGGAGGATGGCAACTTGACCGCCGGCTTCATTTCTTTTGGTTATGCGGACTCTACAAATACGCAGGACTGGATTCTCCCGTCGTACCAGCCGTCCAGTCCAAACATCGGGCAGCTTCTCCCGTCCGGCAGGAGAGCCACTGCCGGTCTACCCGAGGGATGCTTCCTCGTCTGGTGACAATCCACTAATGTGGCTACTGTCCGCTCATGCGGCTTGGCACGTTTTCTTTGGACTTTGTTTTTCTGGATCGTTGGAGAACGAGGATCTCGGAGAGCGTGCGCTGCTTATAAATTGCGCCGGGCCCCCTGGAGCGCTGCGACAGTGAGCCAGGACTATACAATGGCGATCTAATCCTCTGCTCCACTCGCACTTTTTTCTTTGAGCTTTCGACTATCCCTCGATATTCAAACTTTCCATTCTTCTCGGGATCACCTCTTTATCCCTCCCCCCATCCACTCCCCCCTCCCCCACTGCATCTGGATCTAGCTTGGTACAGAGAAGAGGAGCTGTGCATTTCTTTCCATCATGGTGTCGCAAACCGTCTTAACAACACCGCAGCATCCCGGGCGGACCCAGCGGGGCTCCGAGAGCGATAGCTCGTTGGATGAGATCGCGGAACAGAAGCAGAAGCTGTTCGTCGCAGCGCTGGGCAAGCATGGCAAGGATCTCAACGACTCCGCTTCGCCGAAGCGGTGGAAGAGCTTCTGGACTTCCTTCCGCTACCTCGCCAACCTGACGCCAAAGAAGGTGGACGACTTTATGGCGTCATACGTTATTTACAACCTTGACTGGTCCAATGAGCAGCAGATGACCGAGGTCTTGGGTCCCAATTACCAGGAGAAAGTTGGCGACTGCTTGAAGTCTTACTATGGAGTGCTCAACCACCTATGCGCACTGGGCGATGTCGAGAAAATGTATATTCCCCCTTTAATGAGCCGCAAGGCGAGCGTCCTGGAGAACCAGATCCTCTATGAGCGCTCAATTGCGCATGAGATTGGTCTGAGCGCCGGCGATAAGGTGCTAGATCTTGGCTGCGGGCGCGGGCGCGTCGCCGCCCACATGGCGCAGCACTCCGGCGCCCATGTTACCGGCCTCAACATTGATCCCAACCAGATCGCCCAGGCGAAGGCCTTCAACGAGGACCGCGGCCTGCAGAACAACTTCATCCAACAAGACTTTAACAGCCTTCCGCTGCCCTTCGCCGATGAGAGCTTTGATGCCTTCTACCAGATCCAAGCCCTGAGCCTGTGCAAGGACTTGCCTGCCCTCTTCCGCGAAGTCTTCCGCGTGGTCAAACCGGGCTCCAAGATCTCGCTTCTGGACTGGATCAGTCTCCCTGCCTACGAGCCGAAGAATGCCGAGCACGCCGAACTCATGCGACGCGTCAAGCCCTTGATCGGTGCTGTCGGCACTCCCACCCAGGAGAGCCTGGAGACGGCGCTCATCGAGTCCGGGTTCGAGATCATCAAGTCCGAGAATGCCAGCATCGACGGCCTGCAGGCCCCGCTGATTGACACTGTTGACCTATACTTCCGCACGCTGCGCCAGGTCATCCTCGCCCTGGTCAAGCTGCACGTGCTACCGCGCCACTTCAAGACTCTGATCAACCGCCTGTGCCTTGATGGCCAGGCCTTTGTCAAGATGGACAACATGCGCCTGGCCACGACGAGCTATAGCATCATCGCGCAGAAGCCCCGAGCATAAATTTTGCGGGGAAGGTGTGGTAGCCAGCCCCACCAAGAAACCCCCTTACCCGGCAAGTATTCTTCGTGCGACTGCCAAGGAGGACAATTGGCATGGCGTAGCCGTCGCGGTCTTTAATTGGCGACCGTGCGCTCTCCCGATATACAAACACAACCATCCGCGTTGTTGTTCACAATACATAGTATATAACGCATGCTGCATGGGCATTGAGTCGGACCGATCGAGCCCCTCTCCGACTCCGCCGCCGGCCTGCCTCTTCCGGATACAAATACCCTGTACAGTAATAAAAAAGCTTAGAGGCTTTGGGAGTTTTGGGTACCCTTTTGCGTTCGGGTTTCACACGACTTTATATTCTTCTTGATTTGAGGTTTGCGTGGCGGCAATATTGGAGTTTATGTTTTCTTCAGAGTCGATTTGAATGGATGTCTGTCTATATTCATCCTAGCATCCTTGCTACTTGAGCTTCTAGTTTCATAATGAATATCCGGATACTTTGAATTTATGTCTAGCATAGACCTGAGCGCTCACCGTATTGTGTGTGTGGTAAGTAGATCGAGCAGGGTTGGGAGGTATGTCGCGCTCACTAAACAAACCTCTTCTTCGGTCTAGCCTTTTCCCACAAGGACTTGGCTCCTAAACAAATACCCGCCTGACAATAGACCGCAAGCAACAGATAATAATATATTTCAAACCATACATGTGGAGAGTGGAGGTCAAAAGAAGGGGGAAAAAAAGGTCGTGCCCGGGATCGAACCGGGATTGCCAGAAAGTTCAATCAGAATCTGGAGTGATGAACCATTACACTACACAACCTTACATGACGTACGGAAAAGCTTTTGGCTTCAAGACGCAACCATTCTTGCAGCAACACACACTTTCCTTGGCCCCCCAATCAATCTCATTTCCCGCGTTTATCCATCCTTAATGAATGCTGTGGCGCGGGGGAAAAATGTTGAAGTCATGACTTTTACGATAACCTGATCTGTCCATTCCACGCGCTCTAGACCTCTCGCTGTAAGCATAGAGAAGTGGTAAGTAAGCTTTCTTTTCCTTTTTTCTTTGCAGCTGACCATAGGTCAATGATTTGCCCGTTTTGCCTTCGCCACTTCCGGACGTATACACCAGGATCTGACGCTGGAGATGGCCTGTGCAGTAGCGTGGCGCAACATAAATCGAGATGTAGCCCTAATTCTTGTCGTCCGATCCAGCCCACCCCTTGTTTCCAATGCTTCCATAGATGGAACTTTAGGGCACGGTGTGCAACATGTGGCGCGGCACGCTAGCCCTCTTTAGGAGATTTGGATACATCCCCGAACTGACGAGACCGCCCTTTCTTTCCATTCGCCTTGAACACTCTTATTCACGTTGAAGGAGAATCCTCGGCAGCGAAATCTACGACGCAGGACCCAGTTCGCTACAATCGCTCCAATCCCCCCGCTGACCCTGAACGTTTCGTCTCCTACGCACCATAAGTCCCGCGGGGTACATTGTTAAATCACCCGGCCACCCCGCCTTTCCTACACAACCCCTCGGTCGATATCCATGTCCCCTCAACCTTCCTCCGTGACGGCCTTGTCCGCCCCCGGCAAAGTCCTGCTGACCGGTGGCTACCTTGTTCTCGACCGGGCCTACACGGGCACTGTTTTCGCTCTCGATGCGCGCATTCATGTTGTCGTCCAGCAGTTGAGGAGGGGTCACCGACGAGGGCCGTCGGGGTCAAGTGCGGATGCAAAGGCCGCCGTACCTGGCGCAGATGCACAGGCGAGCCGGTCTGAGGGTGAGGAGCAGGAGGCCGAAGACACTATTGTCGTGCGGTCGCCGCAATTTGTGGATGCGATTTGGGAGTATGGCGTGCAGCGGTGCGAGAATGGTGGGGGTGTGAAAGCAGTTCAGAAGAGCAGTGGGTATGTGAGCCCCACTCTTGCTATACTTATTTTCCACTGCAATGTGACCGAGGCTAATCTGGACATGCCAATAGACCGCGAAATCCTTTCGTCGAGACCTCGCTGAGCTACGCATTGACCTACATCAGCTACGTCGCCGACTCCAAAGACTTTGGGTCCATGTCAGTCACCATCCTGGCTGATAATGATTACTATTCCGAGACTGCTACCTCGAAGGGCCCTGCCTCGCATGCTCGTGGGGGACGCTTCGTCAATTTCGGCGTTCCCCTTCAAGATGCCCACAAGACGGGATTGGGTTCGTCGGCTGCCCTTGTGACGGCTCTTGTCTCGGCACTGGTGATCCATCGCACTATGCAGGCAGATGATCTCGGCGCCGGACGCGACAAGCTGCACAATCTGGCCCAAGCTGCCCACTGTGCGGCGCAGGGCAAGGTTGGATCGGGATTCGACGTGGCAGCTGCTGTGTACGGATCATGCCTCTACAAACGGTTCTCGCCCGCGATTCTGGAATCCCTCGGCGACGTGGGCACCGCTAAGTTTGACGAGCGATTGTTTGCGATCGTCGAGGACGTCGACCCCGAGCACCCCTGGGACACCGAGTGCGTGGACTTCGGCATGCAGCTCCCGCGTGGGATGCAGATGGTCCTGTGCGACGTTGAATGTGGCTCCCAAACGCCTTCAATGGTGAAGAAGGTGCTGGAGTGGAGAAAGAACAATCCCAAAGAGGCTGATGTCTTGTGGGCCAGCCTCCAGAACAACAACGAGCGTCTGCGACAAGAACTTAAGCGCCTTGCACAGCACCCGGATGCCAATGCCGATGGCGAGTTCTCTGAAATCGCGACCTTTATTCAGCGCACGCGGCATCTCATTCGTACCATGACTCGCAGGACGGGTGTCCCCATCGAGCCGAGCGTGCAGACCGAACTGCTGGACAGTCTGACTGAAATCAACGGTGTCATTGGAGGTGTGGTGCCCGGTGCCGGTGGCTACGATGCCATTGTTCTGCTGATCCGCGATGACCCCACGGTGATTCCTCGACTCAACGAGCGTTTCGAGAACTATCAGAGTGCCGTCGAAGACGACTTCGGCGGCAAGATCGGCAACGTGCGGCTGCTGGGTGTGCGGCACGGGTCCGAGGGTGTGAAGAATGAAGTGCTAGACCAGTACGCCGGTTGGGTCTAGATCCAGGATTTCCTTATTCCGTCCTCAAGACGAGGAGGCAACCCCTGCACGCCCTGCCTCGCCACGCTCGCGACCGACAGCGTGCCATGAGCCACCGGCCAGTTACCTGTCAGACCAGGACTGGGCTCCTCGGGTCCGTCGACGAACAAACTGCACGAATCACGGCCTGTCTACTGTTGAAACATACGCAGCCCTGACTCGGATGCTCACATCCTTCCATGCGCCCCATCTGTACCTCTGCCTGCATTTATCTCTCTGTATCGATTACCTGCGGCCTCCCGCCGCATATCCAGTATCAGTGCTCGCTATCCCAAGGTCATTTAATCATTTCCAGGGTTCTTTTGAGCACCCTCTCACTGTGTGCAACCGTAGTTTGTTTGTCGGGCGTTTCGGTTTGGCCTAGATGAGGTGGGACTCGTTGGGGATTGCACGGGGAGGAGGCGGAGGTATGATCCAAGGATCGGATCATCGATGTGTTGGGCACAAATTTTACAAAGGGCCATACTATTTCTAGCATTTGATAGAGTAGTTGCGCTATTCGTATGACAGGAAATCTTCGATTTGCATACCCGCGCGATGCACCGAGCCAGCGTAGACTTGTATAGTGTCTGTGTTACACTTGCTCTAGCAGTGGTAGTTTTTCGCCGTCACTTCTAGTTCGATACTGTAGTTATACGGTTGAGTCGTTGATGCAGTGACGCTAACTTAATGTCGCTTTGAGTAGTTCAGGCTGGGCCGAGAATGCAAACAAATTCTATTTTCCCTTGGCCTCTCGGCAGCTTTAATGCTTTCCCCGGATCTTCCTTATCTTTTGCCCTTGTCTTCATCCAACGGCTCAGCCTGCTTTTGGAGTCGACCTGGCTCTTGTAATATCGCTAATTCTCGCTAATTACCGACAATCTCGGGGTGCGGCAATTTCGCGCTGGCTTGCCTTTTTCAGTGTCACGAAAGTTGCGTGCGGGCTTTGGCTTTGTCTGCCGATCCCCTTCCTCTTCCCTCAACCCCAACGCATCTCGTCTTTTGCGCAGCCCTCCCCGGTCGCCTAGTGGATTATCTTTGCCTTCGTTTATGCACCTTGTGTCCCGTTATCCTGCTGTACAGTATCGCTTTGTTGGGCGCCATTTCACTAGCGAGCAAGACTATTGCGCCTCCCGCTAAGGGTCGACTCCTCACGTCTGGACCGATCGACCGTCTCCTGCTTCTCTCTCCTCTTCCCACCTCCCCCAATTATCTCACCTTTCATCCCCGTTGCGCCCATCTTTCCCGTCCCCGGGAAAGCCAATTGTAACTTGTCGGGGCCATCAGCATCATGTCTGCCACCGACCACCCGGCGTCCGGGGTGTCCGAGCCCAGCGACCAGCACGAGATGGGGGCCGCCATGACTTCTCCGCAGCAGAGCTCCCATGCCGAGCCCACCACGACAGAATCCCTCTCTGCCCCAGCAAACCCGGATGCCGCCGCAGATGCCCCTGCATCGGATGTGTCCGCAAATCCTTCACAGGCCCTGCCAGGCGAAGATGCGGCCATCGCGACCCAGCACCCCGCAACCGGTGGCGAAGTCGCCCCCGTGACAGCAACGACTAGCACCACGGCCACACCAACGAACGACACCGCCAACGCCGTCACGCAGCCCCAGAACCCGGACGCATCGTTGTTGGCGACGGATGAACCTAAGTCTGGCGCTGAGCTTTCGGTCGAGCAGTCGGAGGATATGTCGGGGAAGGAGGTTGAAGATGCAGGCCCGTCGCTGGTGATCACGCTGCTGCTGACGACGGGGTCGCGGCACCCGTTCACCATCGATGCTAAGTATTTGCGGAAACAATCAGTCAATGTAGAGAACAACGACCCCTTTGCAATGAGCGTCTACACGCTGAAGGAATTGATTTGGCGAGAATGGCGATCTGGTGAGTCAACCAAGCCTGGGACGACATCCTAGTGGCTTCTACAATTTGAAATCTCATGTTGACTGTTGTGGTAGATTGGGAAACCCGTCCGTCGTCGCCGAGCTCTATCCGCTTGATTTCCTTTGGAAAACTCTTAGATGACAAATCGCCTCTGTCTGGTATGTTCTGCTGGTCATGGGGTGACACCGAATGCCAGATGTGCTAACTCTGACATCCCAACAGACTCAAGATTCAGCGCAGACCACCCCAATGTCGTACATATGACCGTCAAGCCGCAAGAGGTGGTAGATGAGGAAGATGCCAAGGGCGCGAAGTCGCAGTTCGGCCGGGAGCGTGATGCTAACGAGCGCAGTCCCGGATGCCGCTGCGTGATCCTATAGACGTCAGATCTGGCATCTTCAGGCCGTGGCGGAGAGCATTATACACCTGCTCGATCTTGAGAGCCGATTTTTTCTTAAAGAAAAAGCAAATTTGGATCTTCCGTTGCACGTCACCTTTCCGAGCCCGCTTCCACAACTGCCACCACCCAGCATCGTGGCATCTCGACTTACTCTGCCTGGACGCAGGATCAACGTACCGGCACAGTCCTCCACGGCCCCTCTTTGCGCTCCGGAAGCGGCGTTTGGACAATTATTTTTAATTTTGAGATCTCATCATACTGATATTGATATCACGACGGCTTTTATGTCTCTCTGCCTTGTTCGCGCCTCCGGTCCGCTTTTCTCGAGCCGTGCATCACCTTTGTACATGGGACATGACCCGATCCGATCCGATCTGATCCACCTCGTGCCTCGCCTCGCCTGACGGCTCTTTGACCGTGGTCTGTCTAATTGCTTCTACGGCTTGCTGCATTTATGCCTCCACATCACCCCTGTTCTTTTCTTTGACCTTCACCTCCACCTTGACCTGGCTTCTCCTCTGTCCCACTCTCCGCTTCGACACTCCCTGTCCTTTCTATCTACCTCTCGATCTATATACCCATCATCCGGTCCACTTTCTTCTCAATCTACTTGCCACCTACTTCCTCCTACCTCTTATGTCCATTTATTGTATGGCTTGTCTTGGGAGTTGTGTATTCCCTTGCCTTCTCTCTCATTCTTGGTCTGTTTTGGTTCTTGGCTTTTCGTCGTTTTCCCTCTCTCTCGTACTGTACATGTTTCCAGCACTGGTACATAGTTAATGACTTGCGAGATCGCTTTTGAGTGATATGTCTTATCGATTTGCACCGTCGAAATGGCCGAATTTGTCTTATTGGAGAGGGACATATACAGAGTGTACATGTGTAGATCGGATTGGAATAATAGATTGGATTAGCCGCACCGTGCTTCTCGTCTGGCCACACACAAAGCAGCGCAGGTGGACGCACGGTGTTTCTGTTCCGGGAATCTATCTCTCTATCATGGACATCAGATGGAAAGGGACGTAGGCAAAGCGGGAAGGTGACTAATGGAACATGACGAGCGGGGGAAGAAGTCATCCAGCGAGGAAACGAAACGTAAGAGACAATTGGTCAAAGCCTGAGTTCCTTAAAAGTCCATCTTGAGCCTCTTCTCCATCTCGTCATGGAACGAGGGCGGTTCCCGGAGCTCATCGCCTGTAAAGTAAAGTGAAAATATTAGGTTAGCGAGACATGTCATGTTACCCAGACCCATTGGCCGAAGCAAAAGCAACCCCAGAAAAGAGCAAGTCGCTTACCCTGGAATACATCCTCCCATCCAATCTCTGTATCCCGCCCCCCAAGGACGAGGATATCCTCATGCACATTGCCGCCCTTCAGACCACCCAGCACAGCCGGCCGGAACGTACCGTCCCGCACGATCTTCAGCTCCATTCCGCGGCGCACGGGCTCGGCAATTCCGTACGCCCGGCGCAGGGATTCCATCTTCATTGAGTCTTGGGTTGCGCGCCACGCCAGCAGGCGGGCCTCCAGCGGGTGTGACGAGGCGGGGATATCGGCCGCGGACGGGTGGTTGGTTGACGAGGCCGTTGCGGAGGCGGGGAGGGTGAGCTTGTTGCGGAGAGTATCGGGGAGGCCGGGGGCTGAGGGGGCGCCCTTTGAGGGGCGGGCTATGGTGTGTGTGATCTGTTGGCGGGTGGAGGTGTTGGTGGTTGAGGTGCGGTTGCCGCTGGGGGGTGCGATGCGGAGGGACTGGTGGTGAGAGTGGTCAGCTTTTTGATGGAAGAGCCAAGGGTTCAAGAGTGATGGGGGTGGGATGAGGCATGCGGAGCTTGTATTCTCCTAGGGTTGGCATCGATGAGAGTTCATGAGATCATGAGAGTGCTCGTGGATGGGCTCGAAGATGGCTTGACAGGTGGGTGAGGTCCAGGACCGTAGCTTAATAACGCACCATTATGACAGATGTGAAGGTAATTCACAGGATTCTTGAGCTCGGATGGCAATGGATAAGAAGATCTTGCAAGGTTGACAGAGCAGGCAAGGAGGAAAACGAAGATGCAAGAAGGTATGAAGACGATGACCAAAATGCGGAGGACGACAGTGCCAGGCAGAGAGCACCAGCGCGTCCAGCTCCTCCGGCCGCCAGTAAGGGCCAACAGCGCAACTTGCTCTCCTTGGTCACGTGTAGACTCAATTCTAATCCGCAATTTGGACTCCAACATCCAGAGGGAACTACCCTCCACACTTCTAAAAACAACCCGCGCCAATGCCCCAATTAATCTCGCCCCTGGCTCTCCGGGCCCTCCGGACCCTTGTCCACCGTCCTGCCACAACACCAACCCCTCTCCGCACCCTCACAACCTCCACAACCAGCGTCTTCTCCCGCCGCGCAACTGCAGCCGCAACCCCGGTGACCAGCCGCGTCGCCTTCACACCCGTCTTCCGCTCCCAGTCCGCCCTCACCCTCTTCACTCGCAAATTCTCTAGCTCCCCCATCATCCGCGCAACCTACAACCAAGTGCGGCGCGGGTGCCGCAGTGGGCAGCGCGCGCGCCGCGGCCGCTCCCCAGCGCTGAAGGACCACCCCTCGCTGAAGGGCGTGTGCGTGAAGACGGGTATTACGAAACCCAAGAAGCCCAATTCCGGTGAGCGGAAGGTAGCAAGAGTGCGGTTGAGTTCGGGCAAGGTTGTCAGTGCAATTATCCCCGGCGAGGGCCATAATATCCAGCAGCACAGTGTTGTGCAGGTTCGCGGCGGCAGAGCCCAGGATTGTCCTGGTGTGAAGTACCACTTGGTTCGTGGTGCCATGGATTTGGTAGGTTTTCGATAGTTCCCCCGGGGAAAAGGCCGTTCTTGCATTGGATTGAAGCTGACTTGGAGTAGGGTGGTGTTGGAAGCCGTGTGAGCAGCCGATCGAAGTACGGTACTAAGAAGCCTAAGAGCAACTAAGAGGATGGAGTTGTATGGAGAGAGTATGCCATGGGAGGGTTGGAGAGCGGTGTATGGCGATTTCGAGTTTGTTTAAACTCGATCCTACAATCTAGGCTGGACTATGCCGGCTCAGCGCAGCAGCACTGTCTCCTTTTTCTTTTTCTGCAACATTGTTTTTGTGTAAGAGCCCACATTGTTATATATTGAATTGCATGTACTATTATGAAGTGAATTGGTTGTTTTATCCTTGTCTGGCACTCTGCTGGACTTCTCCTATAGGTATTCTTAACTATGCCACAACCTCCACATTGCGGAAAAAGGGAGTCGAGTGAACTAGACCTCAATATCTGAATAAGAAAGCCAGTGTTTGTATTTTTCTAGACACAAGTGTATATCAAATGTAGAGGAAAACAGCATAATAAAACCGTTGCTCATCCTCTGGGAATCTTCTTGTACTCCAGTGACCCATGCAACCAACTTCAGAAATGTTGAAAATGTCGAAAAAAGGAAAAATCAAATACAAAGGACGAAAGCGCTGCGAAAAATTCGGATAATAACACATGGCAGCTATCAAAACTCCAAAAGCTGCGACGCAAGGGAAGATAAAACCAGGATAAGGAACCAATAGAGCTGCGACTTCCAGTCTCAGCACACGTCATTGTAGTTGGAAAGGGTTGGGTTATCTTTTCCACCAGAAAAAGAAAACTCATAGCATTCGCTGCAGATGGCGGGACGAAATCGCATGTTTTATGCTCTTCCTTTCTTATCGCTCGCCGAGCGGAACTTGTAGGTGCCACGGCACACGTTGACAAAGTCAACTAGGCAGTCGATCGCTAGGCGTAGCCGCTGCATGACCCACATCCGCGCATGCTGGCTAGCTAGCAGGACCATTGCGCCGAACAGAAGCAGGGCAACGACATAGCGACCGAGCGCAAGAAGTCAATCTTCCTTGTCCCAGCCATCCGGCTTTTGCAGGTCGTTCACCTTGAACCACCGGTTGGTGCCTGTGATAATGACTTTAGTAAAGGGGTTTGCTGAATGATCCAGATGCCTTGCAACTTACAAGAATAGCCCTTCCAGTCAAAGTTCTCTTCGGGCTTGCAATGGCAGCGCAGGTCTAGCCTTGTCTGCTCATCGCTCGGGCAGTGGGTGAAGGGCACGTGGTAGTAGGCGATCTCGTTGAAGAAATGGATTTGCTCTTTCTTGAGCATGGTGGCAGCGGCGATGGAGTGGACGGGCGCATCGCCCCATCGCTCGTAGAAGAAGCCACCATCCTGGTCCAGGGAGGAGAAGTAGTCGATGTACGACTTGGATCGCAGCCACTCTAAGCTGCCGATCTCAAAGTTGGACCACTGCCGATTGGAAGTTAGTTTCTCGGGGCTTCCAAGTTCGGATCAATCAGGGTCACATACGAAGTGGCACTTGTTGTAGGTCTCACCGCCGTCCTCACTGATAAACTCCATGGCATTGCCACTCGGGATGTGCTCGGGATGGCTCTTCAAGAACTTCTTCACACTGTCCCACAATGTGGGAATAGTCTCGTAGTATTCGTACAGACTAATCACGAAACTGTACTTCTTGTTGTTCTCCTTCATGAAGCGGAACGGGTCGTGGCCGATGTCACAGAAGAGCTCGATGCTCGGTTCCACGCGCCAGTAGTACTCATAGTTCATCATCAGCGGGTGGCGGAAGAAGAAGCCCGACTCGTAGCGGCACATGTGGCGATAGCTCTCCGAGTCACCATAGATGATCTTCTTGCGACCCATCTCCTCTCGCGCCTCCCTCGCCTTGTCCTGGTCAATCCACTCCGGATAGGACCAGTGTTCCTCCGGGATCTTGCCATAATGCGTAGTGCCGGAGACGAGCGAAGTGGTGAGCTTCTTGAAGTCATCGCTAAATTCCTTGTCGTTCAGGAAGACCCAGTCATAGTTGTAGTTGCGGTTGAAGCGGTCCTCCACGGTCCGGATGGACTTGGCGATATCCCAGATGTCGGAGTTGCGGGCGAGGGTGACAAAGGTGGCATTCACCCGCTCGCTGCTGTTGGTACCAAAATTTTGTGGCTGGTGCGACTTGAAATCTTCATATGAGGGATCGGGGCGAGGAAATGAGGCGCTGCTGGGGAGGTGGAAGGAGGATCGCGAGATGAGGTAGAAGAAGCTCAATCCCTGAGGCCATGGTTAGCGAGGCCACCGCGACTTGCAAGGCTCCGGCTTCATTTGAAGCGCTGATGGGGGAACCACCCAACTTACCACGACAGCGAACACCAGATACTGGGCATACCGCGCGGATATCGACATTGTGGGGGATGAGGGTGGAAGGCGCCCGGGGAAGCAGGCAGGCGTAACGTGCGTTGGGATGCGACCAGGTAATATTGTGGTCTCTCCTCACAGAGGATATGTAAGAGCGACAAACATCCGCAGATGGCACAGCAGATGGGAAGGAAAGGAAGAAAACCAATGGAGAAAAAGCGTTCGGAGGAGAGGTGGCGGAGAATGGGGAAATTGGACAGGCGACTGGTTAAGGCCGCGCAAGACAATGGCGACGACCGCTTTCAGCCCGCGTGGTTTCACCGAATGCGAGACATTCGGACCGTTCAGGGGACCGAGAACGAGCGCATTCGTATTATTTCTGGACTGGCTTGTCAGAAAGGCCAAATTCCTGATTGACTGAGGGGCCTGGGATCTCGATGATGCGACCGCCCCGTCTGGCCCTGTCGATCTATATACGCAGTACGGAGTAGACAGCATCGAAATCGAGAGTTTACCACTGTCATCACCCGCGGTCGGCGAATAAAACGTGGCCCGTTGTGGGCGGGTGGCCCTACGGCATTAGGGTCCAATTGTGTGTGCTAATCACAGTCCTCCGTGACGGAGAGTTATGCCTATAGTCAGTACTCGATGCAGAGCATGAGTTCTGTAGGGGGTGGTGGGGAAGCTCGCATTTCAATCTGCAACTGAAACATGGTTTTTCTTGAAGTCCCCCACTCGCCCATTTGGTCCAGCAGCAACTGGCCAGTTGGTGGCGTGCCTGTTGCCTGAGGCACCCACACGCCAGAACTTCGCACCCTGCCTCATTCGACCTTCCCCCACCTATCGACCTCGTCTTCCCTTTTCATCCCCCCTCTCTCCCCCCTCTCATTCTCTTACTCCATCTGGCATCTGGCCAAAGAGGCATGTCTTTCTTTGGCTTCGATACCACTCTCCCCGGGACCGCCAACAGGCTCCCTCGGGCAGGGGGTTCTTCGAGAACCCGGATCCCTTCGCGGAGGTTGCTCGTGCGCAGGCGCTGGAGGATGATGACGGGTGAGCTACCGCGGCAGGTGATTGTAACGAAATTTTGCAGGAGACTAACCCGGGTCTCTAGAATCGACTTCGAGGATACCTATGACGGTCTCGGTGACCAGCTTGACGATGAGCAGGATGTCTTCAACGATGACACCTTCGGCGGTGGAGATACCGGAGCTGGAGCGGGTGCGGGAGCTGGAGCTGTCGGTAGGGACTTTGACTTCTTTGGTACTACGGCCAAAGTTGCCGATGTCATTGGCGAGGAGCAGATCCGCTACACCTTACAGCACCCCCATGCTGCCCCGTTGGCCCCTCAGCATGCCGCCGCGCCGGTCCCGACCACCTCAACCACCAAGCGCACGGGCTACGAGAAGTATTCGGAACCGGGGTACATTCCTGATCTGCAAGCCAAGTCGAGCGTGTGGGGGGTTTCGCAGAAGAAGTCTGAGCCCATCCCAGCTTCCAGCCGGAGGTCGATGATGAGCCTGGAGGAAGTCGAGGCGCAAATGCGACACCGGACCCAGCCGACCGCATCAATGCCAAACCAGTCCATCCCTCAGCACATGGCCGAGCCGTCCTATCTGCCTCCGCCGCAATACCCACCAGGAGTAGTCGAGGGCTTCCCCGCAGTTCCTCCGGAGTACTTGCGGGCGGCTCTCGAAAAGGGTGTGCTGCCCCCGGGTATACCTGGTCTTCCTCCCGGTATCCCAGAACTGCACGGTGCTCCTGTCATGTCCGGACCCCCATCGATGCATATCCACCAGAATCATTTTCCTCCTCAGAACCTGCCCCCTCAGGGCCCCCGTCATGCCGGCCCGCCCCAAGGTCAGCGTCAGCAGCAGCAGCAGCAGCAGCAGCAGCAGCAGCAGCAGCAGCAGCAGCAGCAGCAGCAGCAGCAGCAGCAGCAGCAGCAGCAGCAGCAGCAGCAACAGCAACAGCAACAACAGCAGATGCCACCCCCTCCGTCAACCCGAGGTTCGAATGGCGGGCTGCCGGTTATCACCAACCCGCAGCAGCTTATGCATCTCACGGAGGAGCAGCGCAATGCTTATCTGGTGGAGGATGCGAAGAGGGCGAAGCGCAACCACAAGATATTCCTCCTGTCTCGAGGCAATGGCTTGATGACACCCCAGGACAAGAACTTCATCACTCGCATTCAGCTGCAGCAATTGGTGGCGGCCGCTGGCAATGTTGTCGATTCAGACCCGGAAGCTGTACTGTCGGAGGACTTCTATTATCAAGTTTATAGTCAGATCCGGGGTGCGCCGCGCCAGCATCCTCACCAGCCTCTTGGCCACTTCGCGCAGACCTATCTCCTTCAGACCGGAAATCGTCTGGGTGGACATGGGAACCGCAGGGGGTTCCAGAGCGCCGATAACCACATGCAACGTATGCAGCAGCAGGTTCAGCGCGCCGTTGAGGCGGCCAAGGCCAAGCCAAAGAACAAGCAGCTCATTATCGAGGGCAGCTTGGGCAAGATCTCCTTCAGCAACGCCAAGGCGCCGAAACCAATGCTCAACATCAAGCGCCCTGATAGCTCCGAGGGCCCCCGGCCCAAGAAGGTGCAATCTGACCTGAGCCTAAGCGACCGGAAATCCATTCTTACCAACATCGAGAGCGTGTACAGTGCCCTGATGGCCATGGAGGATATGGAGCGCACGATGCCGCCCCCGCCCGAAGAAGGCGATGCAGAGGCGATCCAGGAGCACCTGGAATGGCGCCAGAAGGTCCACTCGCTCAACCAAACGTTGTGGCGGGCGCTCAAGGTTATGGAGCCCATCGTCCCCAACTCGACCACCCCACACCCCTTCATTGCATTCTTGTCGTACCCGAAGGGCAAGAAGGCCATTCCTCGCATCTTCCGTCACATTGACCAGGAGCAACGCGTGACCATTTTGACGATGATCGTGGTTCACCTGGACAGCTTGGATGTGGTGCGCCTTGCGCAACCCGGACCGGGCGAAGCGCAGCCTTCCCTAGCCGTGCGCGAAGCCATTGACCTCTTCTCGCTGGCTGTGATGCCAAGCTTGCTGGGTTATGTCAATGAGGCCCCCTTCAACATCATCATTGGTCTCCTGGGCCTGGTGATTGCCCAAACGCACGTGCAGTCCGTGGCTCGTACCAAGGTCGGTCTCGGAATCCTGACGATGTTGCTCAGCCGTGCCGAGATTGTCAAGGAGGCTGGCCAGGCTGCCGAGCGGGACTGGCAGCAGTGGGTGGAGAAGTTCAATGTCCTCTTCGACACCCTGGAGCCCTCGTTGGCTGATACCTTCCCTGGTTCGATCAACTCGGGTGATGACATGTATGTATGGCAGTTCCTGGCCGCGGTGGGCATTGGTGCCAGCCCCGAGCAGCAGCAGCGCCTCGTGATTGCTGTCAAGTGAGTACCCATCCCGATTTGACACTCTTCGGCCTGGAATACCGTTGCTAACCACTTCTTCCTTTTTTTCAGGGATCGCGTTATGGAGACTGTCAGTTATAGCAAGACCCTGCCCGCCGATATGGCTAGCCAGCGGCTGGGCAATGTCAATCTGTTCATGCGGGCTATTGGTCTGGATGTGGAACTGCTTGGTTAAATGCAATATGATCGCATGGAAGGCTTTCCATGGCTCATGCATCCCTGCGTCTCTCCCGTGGGACCCTGATCTCTTTGACCGGCTTGATCCCGCGATCGATCCGGCTCCCTCGAGGCCCTCTACCCTGTCTCATTTGGGTGTCTTGATGGTAGATGCACTGAACCGAGTTGCTTAAAAGCACACTGGCGTCCAATGCCTCGAGAGTTCTTGAATCGGATGCCCCCACAAATCCACATGGGCATCCCGACATCAGTTGGCTGGCGCCAACCTAAAAACGTGATTGGGCTTATTATTTTTTCTCGCCCTGAGCCTCGAGCATATACCTGTTCTTCATTTTTCTTCTCATACCAATTCATGTTTTTTTTCCTCTCCCCAACCAATTTGGCTCACGGCCCTCTCTAGGGAGATGGATCTACTGGGATTTTGCGATGGGTGCCGGGGGGGTTTTAGGAGGGAGATCTACCAGTGGCCCCGTGCATGCCAATAGTTCCCGACATTCCTGATAGTCTCGATATCGCCCGTCAAACCGGCTTGTATCTGTTCCTCTCCCTGTGATTCTCTGTCTGCGTATGTAAACCGGTGCCGTATGGCCACCCACCCGGCTGGAATTGGGAGCCCACCGCGGCTGGGAACTACGATCCACTCGGGCCAACCGCTGGGCCCAACTGGACCCTGGGCCGGGGGATGGCGCGTGCCGGGCTTCTCATTCGGCGGGCCCCTGGTGGGCCCGCGACCCGGCCCTGAGATGAAACGGGCCTGAGATTGACAGTTGGCATTTCGCCAACGGCGTATTGGCCGGAGATTTGTTTGTGCAGCGCCCATCTTTACCCTGCGCGACCAGCCTGGGACGTTCACAGTGGACTGATGGACTGACTGGGACTAGCCATGAGTGATCTCTGTTCCCTTGCTTTCCTTTGGTAGCTGCACACCGCCAGGACGATCAGCGATCTACACCACCGCCCGAGGACGGAGGACCGCGATAACAGTCTCCCTTCACGGAGGGCAATTGAGTTGATAGAGCGAGGAATGCGTGTCACATAGCTGGCTTAAAAATCAAGCGATACAATTGCACCTTGCGAGGGCCCTCTTAGCCATTGAGTGGAAGCGCGTTAAATGGTCTGGTCTGGCCGCGTCAGATGGGGAGATGACGGAGTGGCTCGAGGTGTGCCCCACCCTTCGTTTGTAGCCATCTTCCCCTTAAAAGCTGCCCCTCGTCCTCCTGTCCTGCCCCTCCTCTCCCTAATCCCCCTTCCTCCCCTCCCTTCGTTTCGTACACCTTCGATTCATCATGCCTGCTGGTTCCGTTCTCGTCGCTGGGTATGTCTCTGCCTCTCATCCAGGAACCCCCGCCATCCTGGCTCGCGCACCCGCAAACTAATCTCTCCGCTTGCAGTGGCACCGGCTACATTGGCTCGTTCACCACTCTTGCCCTCCTCGAGGCGGGCTACAAGGTTGTCGTCGCTGACAACCTGTACAACTCCTCTGTCGAGGCCCTGAACCGCATTGAGGCCATCTGCGGCAAGAAGGCTGAGTTTGTCCAGCTCGATGTCACCGAGGAGAATGGCTTCGACAAGGTCTTCGCGGCCCACCCCGACATTGACAGCGTGATCCACTTCGCTGCCCTGAAGGTGCGTGCTTCATAATCCCCGTCACCCCTGCTACAGCATTCAATTCTGCCACGGCATAGAACTGACATCTTCGTCTTCACTCAGGCTGTTGGCGAGTCCGGCGAGAAGCCCCTGGACTACTACATGGTCAACGTCTACGGCACCATCAACCTGCTGCGCTCCATGGTCAAGCACAATGTCTCCAACATTGTCTTCTCCAGCTCAGCCACCGTCTACGGCGACGCCACCCGCTTCCCCAACATGATCCCCATCCCGGAGGAGTGCCCCCTGGGCCCCACCAACCCCTACGGCAACACCAAGTTCGCTGTCGAGAACGCCATCACCGACGTGATCAACGCCCAGCGCAACAACGCCATCAAGGCCGGCAACGAGGCCGAGGCCAAGAAGTGGAATGGTGCCCTCCTGCGCTATTTCAACCCCGCCGGTGCCCACCCCTCCGGCATCATGGGAGAGGACCCTCAGGGCGTCCCCTACAACCTGCTTCCGCTGCTCGCCCAGGTTGCCACGGGCAAGCGCGAGAAGCTGCTCGTGTTCGGCGATGACTACGCCTCCCACGACGGCACTGCCATCCGTGACTACATCCACATCCTCGACCTCGCTGACGGCCACCTCAAGGCGCTCAACTACCTGCGCGAGCACAACCCCGGTGTGCGCGCCTGGAACCTGGGCACCGGCAAGGGCTCCACCGTCTACGAGATGATCAAGGCCTTCTCCACTGCCGTCGGCCGCGACCTGCCCTACGAGGTCGCGCCCCGCCGCGCCGGTGACGTCCTCAACCTCACTGCCAACCCCACCCGCGCCAACAAGGAGCTCGGCTGGACCCCCAAGTTCACTCTCGAGAATGCCTGCGAGGACCTCTGGCGCTGGACGAAGAACAACCCCCAGGGTTACCGCCAGCAGCCTCCTGCGGAGCTGCTCGCTGCCCTGAAGAAGTAGATAATATATGGCAGTGCGCTGGTGCCGATTAAGTTGGGGTTAAAACTATCGCGAGGAGAAATGTGCACGCACATAGAACAATTCCGGTAGAATACATGAAACGAATCTCCTTTTGTGCGATTATCTTGCTTTTGTGGCTGTTGGGCGCTATCATTGGAGGCTCCCGCGGATCCAGCTGCACGGAGATAAAACAAAAACGCCTGCGGGAATTCCATCCCATGCCTCTCTATGCCGATCTATAAGTTTTTGGTGGGAGATCTCCATACCCTGAGACAGGAGAGCCATCCCACTACCTCCTATGCTCTAATTCTTATTCCCCTTCCGACTCCTCCTCGAGCCCGCACTCTTCTCCTTCCCCGAGGCCGTCTCCTTCCTGACCTGCCTCTTCTCCGCCGCCTCCTTCTCCTTCTTCTCCAACGCCCTCCTCACAGCGCCCTCCTTCTCCGCTGCCTCAATCTGCTTCTCGCTAAACTCCCACAGCCGCTTGCCCAGCTCTTCATCCCGCACATCTCGCCGCGCACAATCCACCTCCCGACACTCTTTGATCAGCCACCCACCCTCGCCGCGCGCGTACGACTCCTCCATCACCGCGTACAGAATGCTCTGCGCGCCTTGCTGCGGCGACTTGAGCACCAGGCACCATAGCGGCCATGTGAGCAGGTACAGAAGCAGACCCCAGAGCGAACCCCCCGTCAGCCAGCGCCGTGTGCCGGGGGTCCGCGAGAGGCCGGGGTCGACGACGAGCACGCGCGTACAGGGAGGTAGGCCGTCCGGCCGGGCATATGCATTCAGATGGCGCTGGAAGGAGTGGGCGAAGGTCATGAGGGAGAATTTGCTAAGAGCGTAGATGCCCTTGGTCGATGGGGTAGCAGTCTTGGGCTTGGATGTATTTTTCGCGGACGTAGCCGGAGCACCCTTTCCTCGTTGCACGGTATCCAGATCGAATGTCGCCCCGATGTAGCTCGCGCACGTAGCGAAGATGACCCGGACATCGCGGTGGGCGGGCTGCACGCGCAGCGCGGGGCTGAGGATGCTCAGCAGGTGGAAGTTGGCGAGGTAATTGACCTGCCACTCTTCGTCGAGGCCGTCTTCAGTGTTCTTGCGTGCGCTGGTAGGTACGGCGGCGCCGCCGCACAGGACTACGGCGTCAAGGCGGCGCGGCGGGGTGTTATCGATCCATTTCGTGGCGAAGGTGCGGATCGAGTACAGCGAGGAGAGGTCCACTTGCTCTGCGTAGATGAGCTGGTTCTTGGTTGTGCGGCGAAGGTCGTCGATGTACTCCACGAGGAAGAGGTCGGATGGAGGTTGTTTGGTAAGGAGGATGACTTGGGCGCCGCGGGCGGCGAGTTCTCGGACGACGTTGGCTCCAATGCCCGATGTGCCACCCTAGACATGTCGTCAGCGATTGGAACTTCGTATGTGGGTCGGATGCATGCACGTACCGTTACCATCACCACCTTGGAGTGCATCAGCCGCTCGGAGGTGTTGCGTGCTCCGCCGAAGTAGTACTTCAGCGCGGCAATCACCAGCAGCCATGGTGCTATCTTGATTGCGGACCAGGCATATGGGATCGAGCCAATGCCGTCCTGGATGCCCTGGGCGATAATGGGGATGGGCATGGTGGGAGGCGTGAATTGGGCTTAGAAATCACGAGAGAAGGAGAAAAAGACATGGTGCTGTCACGGAGGTACGTGGCTTATCGGGCCTTATCGGGCCTTATTGCCACCGGCCGTGGCGGCCTCGTCTTGGGCTTTCCGGGGAGCTTTCGTTCTTTCGTCTTTCGTCGCTCGTTCTTTCTCCACTGCCTGCACCCACGATGCCGCCTCCGGTGGAAGATGGCGAGGACTACTATCTCCCGCTGCAGGATCAGCGGGTCTTTGGGGCGGGTATACGGCGCAAGCGTGTGCCTTTCGTGCGATCTTCGGAGCATGAGCTCCAGACGATCAACCCGACCCGGCCATTGTCCACACCTTCAGGACCAAACATAGCGGATACATATCTCTCGATTGTGCTCAAAAAGCAACCTCCAAGTGCCTCACCGACCACACCTCCAAAACAGGAGCCATCGCCTCCAGCGCGCACCACACACTCCGCACCGCCCACCTCAGAAGCCATCTCTCCTCCGCCACCAGCTCCTACATCCCCACCTCAACGCCACGGCCACTGCGAAATATGCAATCTCCCGCTAGCCTCAGAGTACGGGTCCGGCACAGACTCTGACACACCATCATCCCGACCCCACGAAGCCTCCCTCGCCCACCAAGTCTGCCTCCAACACTCACACCCGCCCTCTCACCTCGACCGCACCCGCGCCGGCCTGCGCTATCTCTCCTCCTACGGCTGGGACCCCGACAGCCGTCTCGGCCTCGGTGCAGCCGGACGCGAAGGTATTCGTGAACCACTCAAGGGCCGCATCAAGCATGACACTGCAGGTCTGGGGACGGGCTTGGATGCCGATGGGGATCGGATAGCAGCGCCGCCGCCGCCGAAGAAGGTGCAGAAGCTCAATGCGAAACAGGCGCGGAAGGGGTGGGCGGAGGAGAGGAGGAGGGGGGAGAAGATGAGGAATTTGTTTTTCCAGAGTGATGAGGTGTTGAAGTACCTTGGGGAGGATGCATGAATGGGACTGAGTCCGCGCTGGATGGAGTTTGGAGATTGGGATGTGAATTACGATTATGATACCCTTTGATTGATAGAGATTATAGTGAGCAAATCAGCCTTTGATATTGCAATTCCTCTTCCTCTCGGATCATGCTGCAATCCGTACGAACAGTCTGGTAGGTAAAATCTCCCCAATCCACCATACTTGTTATTCGACATGCAAAGGATAGGAAAATGACTAATTAAACCCTATTGTAGAAGCTGTCTGTTCTGGGCAGGATCATGTGGAACTATCCACATAATCTTCAAGGTTACTATCGCTGTTTCATGGCTTTACCCCACAATCTACAACAAAACCCTTCTTTTGAGAGACATCATAGTATTCTCGAACGGTCAATATTCGAAGCTTCGGAAGCGGTGTCTTGCTATATACATTAAGGTCTTTTCCCAAGGTGCGCATATCAAGCTTTGGTGGTAGAATGGCGACCGGGTCAGACTGTGCGTTATTCGTGTCTGAACTATAGACCGCTACAGAGCCTCGCGGAAGAAGCGATTCTCCGGCCGCTCAAGGCCGAAGTGCTCCCGCAAGGTCGCACCGGTATACTCCTCGCGGAACAAGCCCCTGCGCTGCAGCTCTGGGATCAGCCGGTCGGTGACCTCCTCTAGTCCTTGCGGTAAGAAGGGGAACGTGCAGGTGAAGCCGTCGGACGCCTCTTCTCTTAACCAGGTCTCCATCTCGTCCGCAATGTCGCTGGGTGATCCGAGGAAGGCAAGCCCGGAGTAACCGCCGTAGCGCTGTGCCAGTTGACGAACCGTCAAACCCTCCTCCGTGGCCAGCTTCTCGACATTCTCCCGGCTGGTTTTGCTTGCATTCGTCTCGGGCAGGTCCGCTGGCAACGGCCCATCAGGGTCGAAGCCACTCGCATCCGCCCCAAGGGCCACCGACAAGGATGCAATCGCACTGTCGTAGTGCACCAGGCTATCCAACTGCAGCCTCTTCTCCTGTGCATCGTGCTTACTGTCTCCCGCGATAATCAGCGCCGCCGGCAAGATCTTCAGGTGCTCTCTCCTGCGCCCGGCCTTCTCCACCCGAGCCTTGAGATCGGCATACAACGCCTTCGCAGACTCGATATCCTTCGGACTGCAAAACACAACCTCGGCCGTCTCCGCCGCCAACTGCCGCCCAGGCTCGCTCTGCCCAGCCTGCACGATCACCGGCCATCCCTGCGGCGGCCGGGCGATGTTCAACGGGCCGCGCACCTTCAACTCCTCGCCCGCATGGTTCAGCACATGCATCTTCGCCGGGTCAAAGTACTCCCCCGTCTCCACGTTGCGTGTAAACGCATCATCCGCAAAACTATCCCATAGCCCGGTGACAATCTCGTAGAACTCGCGGGCCCGCTTGTACCGATCCCCATGCGCCATGTGTTCGTCGAAGCCGAAGTTATGGCTCGACTCCGGATTCCCCGTCGTCACGATATTCCACGCCGCGCGCCCGCCGCTCAGATGATCGAGACTAGCGAAGCGACGGGCCACATGGTACGGTGCATCGTAGGTGGTGCTCGCTGTCGCCGCGAGCCCGATCTTGTCTGTCACCACCGAGAGAGCGGAGAGCAGGGTGAACGGCTCGAACGAGGTCACGGTGTGGCTGCGCTTGAGCGCTTCCGCAGGCATATTCAGCACGGCGAGGTGGTCGGCCATGAAGAAGGCGTCGAACTTGGCGGCTTCGAGCTTTTGCGCGAACCGCGCGATGTGTTGAAAGTTGAAGTTGGCATCCGGATAGGAGCCAGGGTATCGCCAGGCGCCTGTGTGGAGGGAGACTGGCCGCATAAAGGCCGTCAGGTGGAGTTGGCGGGGCTTGGAGTCTGCCATCTGGATGTATACCGAGTCGGTCTCAGGTTGGAGGAATCCAGTCTAGGTTTCTCTCGCTCTAGTGTTTGATGCGCTTTGTATGAAATAGGTCGCCCATTATATACCTCGCCGCTTGGACCTGGATAATGATTATATTTCTAATCCTATTTATAAGCTTCGGGCTTGAACCTGGGATATGGCGTGCTGGAGCAGGCCGCTCGCGCAAGATTTGACCGATGACTTACAAAGAGCTCCACGGAGAGCTTGCCGGAATCTGCGCTATGTGCGAAGAGTGCCTGTCTGTTCGGAACGGTTGTAGAAATCTTTAAGTCTACGGTAGTGTTCGAACTCCTCCCCTTTCTTGATTCTTATGGTCCTGGTTTCTAAGAAACGGTCCTGTCTTTTTTTTGATTCCTTTTGAGATATTGCAATTGCATGAGTAATTATTGTCCTCTCAACCCTGAGCAATCGAGTTCCTCTTAAAGCGAAACATTCCTCTATGCGATGAGATTCTTAACGAAGTTATGAATACCCGAGTTGGACCTAGGTGAGTATGGCGCCTATGTTGACGAACACGTTGATAATCAGGCTCCCGAGGGGGCCGCTTTCCAATTATGTTGGTGGGAATTCTATTGACCCAGGTAGCAAGAGTAATCAATGAAAAACGGAGCGCGGAGATGGAATGAGAAACAGTTGAGAGCGAGTCCCTCCGTGCTATCACTACGGAATGACGTTATATAGATCAAAGTATAAGAAAGGGATCTCTCTGTGCCTTGGAAGTGATACATTCAGAAGTTGTTTTCACATGTACTATTAAGGTACACTGTATAGGTATATTTATATATCCGCCAGCAGCTTTGAGACTGCTACCTCTATTTCAATCTAAACGACTCCCATCACTCCTCTAATGGGAATCCATACCCGACCAGCAGAGCAGGCTCATCAATGTTATGATGCTGGTAACTGTATGGCCGTTAGAAAAAAGCGCTCTTGGTGGCTATCTCAATCAAAGAGCAGGGGGAATTACCTCAAGACACCAACGGCACCAGGGTCAAGCATCAAGGAAAGGGGGAACTCCATAGGATACCCAAGCCAGCGCTTGGTGAAGGCGCGAAGCAGGTGGCCATGTGCCACCAGGACAACATCACAGTGCTTCTCGCCGTGCATGTTGTCCTTGTGGATCTCACGAATCTCAGCAATGAGGTTATCAATACGGTCCGTGACCTCTTGTGCAGATCTGATAGAACGGATCAGTCGCGCTCGCTCACAGCAGGTAGATGTTTGGAGGGGAAGAGCCTAGAACCCGGCAATAGCGACTTACTCTCCGCCCTCGCAGCCATCGCGCCAGATGTCCCAGGGCCGCTCGCCATCCAGACCATGCTCCTTCCGCAGCGCTCGGATCTCCTTAGTTAACAGACCCTCGTACAGGCCGTAGTCCCACTCAGCAAGCCTCTCAGTCTCACTGATCTTCTGCGCATCCTTCAGCGTCTGCTGATCCGCCTCAGAGAAGGCAATCTGGAAGGTCTGCATCGCGCGCTTGCGCGGACTGATGTAGACATGGGCCAGGTGCGCCGGGTCAATTAGCTTGCCCGACCCGACAATCATCTTGCCGGATGCGCGGACCTGCTTCTTGCCATCGTCCGTGAGGTCCAGCTCCGTTTTACCAGTGTACTGGCCGCTCTTGGACCAGATCGTCTGCCCTGGGGGGGTGTGTCAGAATGCGACGGGACAGAAGCGGTTTCCGCGGTGCCTATACATACCATGTCGATAGAGGAAGACACGGGGGGTGCCGGCGTCCTTGTCTGGCATTTTGTAATGATATAAGGGGGTTCAATGGTTGCAGTTCACTTCCTGTATAATGAGAGTCAATTGATTGGGAAAGTGGCGGATCGGCGGGTAGGGAAAGATTCAACGAGGAACCCCGCGGCGCCAATCGCTGGCCTTCACCGGTGCCCGCTTCGTGGATTTGAGCTGGTTTACGAAACCCCATCCGATTAAGATAATGAGGATCATCTCGTGCGTTCTACAGTATTGTGGCCTACTCCTCTATCCATCTATAATCGAGACGATCATTCTTTCGAGAAATGTGGCCGCTACCACCAAACGCGGGGCATCTCCTAGGTTGCTCGGGGGCATGCCCGAGGGGAAAGGACGTGAGGAAAGCGCGTCAGGTAGGAGGATGCAATGTATGAAGCCCGCTGAGTTATCCATAGAAAGGTCAAGGAACTTGTAGACACTTCTTATTACACAAACACGGCACTATTCATTAAATCACTAGTCGATTTAGTATCAGCCGCTCGGCTTCCACCGATCTCGACGATTCTCGATCCACCACATCTTTTTCTCCTGAGGTTGCCAGAAGGAAGAAGAAGAAAAGAGCTGGGACCTCATAAATGCTGGTGAGAACCAGAAGGTAGTTTACAAAAACGAGAATGGTGTTAGTTATCCATGGTAGGTTGGACTAGATCCATCCATCCCCTCTAAAACTCCAATTTTATGTGACCGAGCTGGAAAAGTACATGGGAATAAGTTATATATGTAGCACACGCAAGAAGCACTGGTATCCTGGGGACGAAAAACAACACATCATCCCCACGTTCCACCGCCACCACCTCTGCCTTGCCGCCGCTGGGCAGAAAGGCGCCAATCGTCCTCGCCAGCAAACCGATTATGCAGAGGCTGGATGCGCTCGGCCTTCTTGCGCTTGGACAAGCGGTCCGTTGGTGCAACCTTGAAGAAGGTTGGCGCCGCCTCCACAAGCCATTTCGGCTCGATTGATGTCGTGCAATGCATGTACTCCTTGGTGGTAAGGACCAGCGTGTGATAGATGACATGCTCGGAGGGCTTGCCGAAAAGCGCGGAGCTCGGGTGCATGTACACCGGTGTACCTTCCACCAGCGTTTTGTATCCCTCTTGAGGGTCCTTGCGAGCAGCATTACGGAAGAAACCAGTGCAGAGGGCCTGTCGTACCAGGGTAGTGTTCCGCCCGCAGGAGACGATCCTGTGGCGGTAGCGGTTCATAATGCCGAGGAGCTGCTGGCGTACATCTTGCGCCCGGCGAATCTGCCGGGCCTGGATGAAGTTTTCGAAGCACCAGGCGTTGTTGAACTTCGAATTCTTCCAGCCGTTGTAGACATTCAGTAAGGTCAGATGATCACCATGAGGATCGTGGAACTTGGCTTTCTTTTGGTCTGCTTGCTGCTGCTTCTCCTTGGGGCGGTAGAAGACGGATTGGATGGAAAGCATAGCAACGATGCTAAGGATCTCATCGGAACACCCCATATCAACGGATGCGATGAGCACCTTGGCAAGAGCCGGCTCCATGGGGAAATCGGCCATCTTGCGACCCAGGCGCGTCAGGAGACCTTCATCGTCCAGAGCGGACAAGGCGTATAACTCCTCGAGGGCAGTCAACATAGTGTTGGTAGGTGGCGGGTCCATGAAGTCGAAATGGAGGAGATCGTTAATGCCCATTGCCTTGAGCATGAGAATGGTGTGTGACAGATTTTGCCGCTGAATCTCGGGAATGGTCGTAGGAAGCATTTCAGACTGATAGGCGGCCTCGGTGTATAGGCGGAAACATTTGCCCGGTCCCGTTCGTCCAGCACGACCAGCTCGTTGCTTGGCTTGTGCTTGAGAGATGGGCGTGACGACCAGGGAATCCATGCCAAGCTTTGGATCATATGCATTCTGCTTCACGAAGCCAGGATCAATGACGTAGTAAATATTATCGATGGTGATGGAGGTCTCGGCGATGTTGGTTGCAATAATGACTTTACGGCCGCCCGGCGGTGCGGGTTCGAAGATGCGACTCTGCATCTCACTGGGAAGTGCCGAGTAGACGGGAAGGATGACCAACTCGGGTACCGATGGCCCCAGAGCTTTCATCCGCTCGTATAGAATCTCACATGCTGTGTCGATTTCTTCTTGACCCGTAAGGAAGACCAGGATGTCACCACCTGCCTCGGTCAGATGAATCTGCATAACCGTGATAAGAGCCGCATCCAGGTAGTCGGATTCCGGCTCCTTCGAATACATGACTTCGACCGGGTAGGTTCGTCCGGGAATTGAGAAGATAGGGCAGCCATTGAAGTACACGGAGAACTTCTCGGCATCCAGCGTCGCGGAAGTGACAATCAAACGAAGATCAGGTCGTCGCTTGATGGTCTTCTTCAGCAATCCAAACAGGATATCGGTGGAAATGGTGCGCTCGTGAGCTTCGTCAAGCATGATCACGGAATACCTCTTGAGATCTGGATCCAGCAGAATTTCTCTCTGGAGCATTCCGTCGGTCATATACTTGATCTTGGTGTCGGGACTTGTGCAGTCTTCAAAACGGATCGTGTATCCGACCTCCGCTCCCAGTCGACACCCAACTTCTTCCGATACACGCTTTGCCACGGACATTGCAGCGACACGACGAGGCTGCGTGCAACCGATCATCCCGTTATTCGCATACCCGGCCTCCGCCAGGTACTGGGTTAATTGCGTGGTTTTTCCAGAGCCAGTGTCACCAACCACAATCATCAGCTGGTTGTCCTTCACGGCGTCAAGCAATTGCTTGCGGAACTTGAACACGGGCAAACTCTCACGCTGTTGCTTCATGGGCATGTCGGTCCGCCTGCCCAGGGATGGATTCTTGCCCATCGTCACTCTCTTCCACTCCGGAACCGCCTCGTCCGGCTTCTGTTGGGTATTCCTCAGATCCGCAGCGAATTTTCGATCCTCTGGCGCAACCATAGGATCCTGCCACTGCGCATTGAGGTCGACATCAGCAGCCCTTTCAGCGGCCTTGTCCTGTGCCTCCGATTGTTTCAATTCGCGTCGCTCTTTGGCAAGATTGGTGCCAGACATGGCAGCACGGTTCATCGAGCCATCAGGAGCCTTGACAACACGGATGGGAGACAGCTCGAGCGATTGCTTCGTCTGGCCAGCCAGGAAGGGGGGCTCTTCGTCTTTGACTTCGATATCGACATCTTCCTCTTCTTCAAACGTCCCTTCGCCAGTGAGAGTGGCGTGGTACTCCTCTTCGATATCCGGGTAGTCTGCGGCGGACGCAACACCAGACGCAATGAGCTGTCTGATCTCCCAACGCTCAGGCGACGTCATGCGTTTCCGGTTCCTCATCGGCCGGCCGTTTGATTCTTCAATGACAGGTACATCGGAGCTGAGATTGCCATATCTGTCCTTGCCTGATGTTCCATCAAGACGTTCCATATTAGCTCCTGAAGCCAGGCGCTTTTGCGGAATCAGATCCATTCCGGTAGCCTGATCGACCTCCTTCATTGACAATCCAATGCGGTTGCCCTGGATGCTGACGACCTTGACCTTGACTGGCTGTCCGCGCGATACCAGATCGGATGGATGGTTTACTCGCGCCCCTTCTTGCATTGCGGAAACATGGACAAGACCATCCACCTTCCCTTGGACTCCCTGCAGATTGACGAAGGCTCCAAAATCCTTCACACCCGTCACCTGCCCATCGTAAACCTTGTAGAGAACTGGTGCATCATCCAACTCGACAGGTGGAGGCCGGCGTAAGTACTCGTCGTTTTCGTCTCTCTCGCGGTCTCGACGTCTCCGGCGGTCGCTGTGGCCATTGCGATCATCGTCACCGCCGCCGTACTTGCCAATAGACCTTCCAAATTCATCGATAAAGTCGTCGTTCTTGCTGCGTCGGTGTGCGCTGCGCGATCTGGACCGGTACTTGTCTCTGTGACGGCGCCCGCGATCGGGGCCATCGTACTCTGGGCTGCGACTTCGTTTCCTGCTGTTGCGATCGTCTCGTGAGGCGCGGGGCTTGTCTTCCTTCGGGTTTCCAGCCAATCCTTCAAGCATTGCAAATGTGTCGTCCATGGCGCCCGTCTGCGCGTTGGTTTCGTCTGCGGCCTGGCGCTCCAGGTACTCATCTTCCTCCCAGCGCCGGTCTCTATCTGGAACAGCAAGTCCCTTGAACACGCGAGACTTCCTCTCCAGAGCATTCAACTCATCCATAGTGTCAGCCCCACTGGCGCCCGAATCCCCGTTTTCCGCCTTCTTTCCTTTGTATTTCGGGTGCATCGTGAGCACTAGACGGTCGACACTCTCCATCAAGCTCTGCGGAAATTCGGCGCCCATTTCATCGAGGCCTTTCTTGAATTCTGGAAACACTCCGCCGCATTTGAGGTGCTGGTCGATCACAAATTCCGCCAGCGTCTTGTCGTTTATACCTAGGTAGTTCTGGAGCTCGTTCGTCACTCGCGACACGAGCGAGAGCAGCTCCAGCGACTCCAGGTCATCCATGATGGCGACCGAGCAAAAGAGCTCCAGCGAGAAAGAAGGGAGAGGCACAAGTGAGAGGAGTTTCGAGCGAGCGAGTGCGCGAAACACACTGTCGAGTGGTCGTTGCTGTGCTTCGCGAGCAGAGAGTGAATGCGGCGGAAAATCAGTCCGGCCGAAGTTGCCACCGATAAGAGATAAGCCTAACAGTATACAACACGACCTGGCCCGAGTCTCGACTCGGCCAAAAGATTTACAAAACATTAACATTATGCAGCTAGGGAAAATTGAACATTCCTTACATAAGGCTTGCCAAGTCTGGAGAGCAGTCCATTTTATACAGCTAGTATACAGATGTTATTACATTTGTTATTACATTTGTTCAGTCATGCTGAAGGGGTTTGGCCTCGGGTGACGAGATTGAGTCTTCCAAATCTTCCACCAGGTCGTCCTCGGAGAGGTCATCTTCAAGGGCATCGCCCGAGCTCTCGTCCAAATGACCTTCGTCAGGCATCTCGTCTGCAGGTGAGGTTGGCTGGCTGTTCGCAGACTCGTCTCTCGACAGATCTACTTGCATCTGGTCCTCCCCTTCGCCGTGAGGAGATATGAGATCCGCATCCGAGATGATACGCTGCTGGTCAAGTATTTGCTTCTGTAGCGCAATCTGGCGCCTGAGAGAGGCATTCTTTCGCAGCTTCTTATTGGCAGAGAATTCGGTCAACGCGCGAATCATTCTCTCTTCAACGAGCTCTTTGACATGGGCCGCAAGGGTCCGATCAGTAAAGATACCACCAAACCGGAAGCTCAACCACGAGTAGAGGATGATGGCTTTGTGCAGGCTTTCTAGCGCATGCAAATAATCCTTATTTCCCGAGACCGTTTTTTCGAGGATCTCCAGATCAAGGCTGGGAATATCCAGCAATCGACCACGCGTATTTTCGGCGACACAGGCGGCAAAAGAACCACAGACCGCGCGAGACGACTGATCTTTAGTTTCCATGGGCGCAGCCATGAGTGTGAGCTGGTCCTGAATCCGCAATCCCTCCACAGTGTCAATGATCTCCGCATTCTGCAATTGGCCGTCCGTCTCGCACAAGAAAAACAGAGGGTTGACTTGAGCGATTTCCATCAGTCGCTTGATTAGGTACTCAAAGGGAACACTTCTTGGAAAGTAGGCAGCAAACTTTTGGAAGGCGAAATCTGGTGGCCAAAGCCCAGCAGCCCGAAGAGGCGGAGGTTCCATGCCCATCGCTTGTTGGATATATGGAAGGTCGACTTCTTCAATGCAGGTGACGAGGCCGACGTTGGGCTCTGACGAGTCCTCCGAGCCATTGTGGACGCCAGCTGGGCGATATCGCCCAGCTCGTCCACCGATCTGCTTGATCTCAGGCACAGAAAGGCGTTGCAGACCGGCAGGAGTCCGTTTGATCAGAGTCTCAAAGATGATACGCTTGCAGCTCCTATCAAGAGTCAGTCGAGGTCGGCCAAAGCAAGTTGTTGGGAACCAGACTTACAAGTTCAGCCCCATACCGATCGCGTCGCTTGCGACAAGAAAGTCATAGTCGTTATCAGGATCGTTGAATAGACTGGCCTGCTGAGTCCGTATCTCAGCTGGTAGACCTCCGTAAACAATAGCCACCCGTCGCCCGGTCAACTTCTCGATATCTGCTTTCAAAGCATGAATACCGACCCGAGAGAAGGAAACTATGCAATCACCCTTCTCCAGCTTGTTCAAATTACCCCTCAAGCTATGTTCCATCACCTCGAGGGGATTCAGGCGGTCATAGCGGTGAATCTCTAGATTGTCTCCTGTGAGAGCGCACAGCTCACGAATGAGCGGCACTGCACGGGTTTCGCCACAGAGATGCAGCTCCTTAACCTGTGCGCCGAGTACAGCTCGAGTCCATGCCCAGCCTCGCTTGGGATTGGCAATCATCTGAATCTCGTCAATCACCCCAACATCGAACTCGCGTCCCAAGCCGACCATTTCCACCGTATTGCTGATGACACGAGGAGTTTCACCCCTTTCTGGAACCTTGACGTCGTCTCCTGTCACCAAACTGACCGGAACCCCCTTGTCCTTGAAACGGTGGTATACCTCCTGCGCCAGCAATCTCAGTGGTCCTGCATAGAACCCAGATTTGCACCCCTCCAATCTTTTCAGGGCGTGGTATGTCTTTCCGGAGTTCGTGGGTCCGACATGTAGATGGACTGTTCGTTGAATCGAGCGTGCGCGAGGGTACCATTCCGCCGGATATCGAAAATCGGCCACTTCTCGCTGCGCGTCCAAGTTCGGGATCGAGTACATCGAGGTAAGGCTATCGGCATACAGAATGTACTCCAGCTCGTCTCGAAGACCTTCTACCCCGGATCGCAGATAGGATTTTTGCAGCGAGACTTTGATGTGCCGGAAAGAGCCCTGTGATCCTTGTTTCTCGCTCGTCTTCGCTTCATCTATCCGGCAAGCATTCATCATCTGGCGCTCGAACCGACCCCATGTTTCCGGCAACTGGCTTGTGTTGTGTAGCCTGTATTTGACATCGCGTAGAGCAGTCTCTACCACCCGACCAAAATCTCGCGTCGCTGCAATGTCTTGTCGGGCGATTTTGGTGGCCGGCAGGGTCTTCTTCTTCAAGGTTCTGCCGAAGACACTCTCATTGTCCTCGTCCCGCTTGGTTTTCGGCTTCTGGGTTCGCTTCGATCGTTGGAGGGCCGGGCTCGTCGCGAAATGCCGCTCAGCAGGTCGAGTTAGTGATCGCAAAATGCAGAAGAGTGAGCGGCTGCCGCTGCCAGTCCATGGCTGCATTCCTGTGCGCGGTGGGCGTCAGCAAGCAGACTGATGAAAAGAGAGGGGCCAGTAGTCAAGGGCAGGTTTGCGCCGGCGATAATCCAGGAATTGGATTGGGAATGGAGGAGCAGCGCACCACAAAGAAGTGGGTTTCAGGATGGTTTCAAAAAAAGAATCACGATGCTAAAGTTGCTTATCGGAACGAGTTCCCTGGCGCGCCACCCGAAGATCCACTTCACTCCTTGTCGAAGCTCCCCAATGGTGGGGAACCCTCTCCTCCCAATATACCTCCTACAACAACCACTACGGACCACCTAAGCCCGTTGCGCACCGCCTCGGATTGCTTGCCTCGGGCTTCTGGCGCATTGGATTGTTCTTTCTCTTCCATCTCCGTGGGTTCCGCCACTTTTCCCGTTCCAGTCCTGTGGGCTGCCCGCCAACATGGGCTCATCCATCATCGACATCCAGCGCGACAGTACGTGGCCTCACCTTGTTACTTCTTGTAGTGACCACGATTGATTGTGTTTTCCTCGCTCGCAGTTATCCTCAATACGATTCGCAATGTCGTCGGCAATGACGTGGGTTATATCCTTACCCCTCCCCTCTGCAACGGACACTGACGACCGCCACTTCTGTACAGTGGAAAGTTTTGGTGGTGGACGAGGCCAGCAGAAAGTTGATCAACAGCGCCGTGAAAGAAGAGCAGATACTGAACCTGAATGTCTCCAGTGAGTCAAATTTCCCGCATTCTGATGCCGGATAGTCTGCTAAAAAAAAAACCACCCCGCAGACATCGAACAGATCGAGCAGCGCCGGCCGCCGAACCCTGACATGAACGCGCTATACATCCTTTCGCCAGAGTCATGGATTGTCGACTGCTTGATGGCCGATTTCGAAGTCGGTCGGTATAAGAAGGCATACTTGGTCTGGACCTCATGTGCGTCATGGCGAGAGGCAGTCCCGGCGAAGTGTGGTTAGCTGATGATGTCCACAGTCCTCGACCCGCAACAACGCCAACGCCTCGACCGGTCTCAGATGGCGCGCGATCGCATCGCCGATTATCGAATCCTGAATATCGATTTCTATCCCCGAGAATCACACTTGGTCACCTTCCGCGATCCATGGAGCTTCCCGGTGTTGTTCCATCCAGGCTGCAACGGGTTGGTCCGGAAACATCTCGAAGGACTGGCCCAGAAGGTAATTCTAGCCCTTACAAATGGAGAGCGCTTTTGAGAGCCTGCATGCTAACCTCCAGTCGAGGTTGTCTCCCTCTGCGCTTGCTTGGGCGAATATCCTGTGATCCGGTACTACCGGCCACGCGCTCCGACCCACGAAGCCAGTGTTCTATGCTCTCACCTCGCACGTTTCATCCAGAACGAGCTGGACCAGTTTGCTCAATTTCAACGGGATTTCCCTCCTTCGTCAAACCGTCCACGCGGAGTGCTACTTGTTGTCGATCGTTCTATGGACGTCGTCGCGCCTCTGCTCCATGAATTCACGTATGGGGCCATGGTGTTTGACTTGTTGCCGGTCAATGATGGAGAAAAGATCACCTATAAGACACTGCTCAATGTGGGCAAGCCAAACGAAGAGCTGAAGGAGATGGTCATCGGCGAACAAGACAAGGTTTGGGTGGACAAGCGCCACATGCACATGAGAGATGTGCTTGAGAAACTAGGCGATGACTTTGCCAAATTCAGAGCGGCGAATCCTCAATTCGCCGAGGAGTAAGCTTTAAGAACCCAGTGAGCGGATGGGGCTGATGTCATTGACTAACGGTTGGACTTGCAGCAACGAGAAACTTAGCGTGAACACGATCAGGGATATGTTGGTCGGGTTGAACGAATTCACGGAAGGCAAGGATGCGTACACGCTGCATTTGAATATGGCAGAGGAGTGTATGAAATTCTTCCAGGAGCGTAAGCTTTTGGAAGTCAGCTCTATTGAGCAGTCCTTTGCCACGGGTCTCGACGAGAATTTTAAGAAAGCCAAAAACCTGGCAGCCCAACTTGTGCAGTTGTTAGATGACGAGGCTGTCATCCCGCCGGATCGGCTTCGGTTGATTCTGTTGTATATCATCTATCGCGGCGGTTTGCTTGGGGGCGACATCCGAAAGTTGATGGCACACGCGCAGCTCCCTGGCCAAGACGGCCAGGTTATTGCCAATCTGGACCTTCTCGGAGTCCGGGTTGAGAAGCCACTCAAGGATGAAAAGCCGCCAGTCCAGCCTTTGTTTAACCGGCGACCCCCCTCTACCGATTCAGAGGAACTCAGTCTGTCCCGGTATGATTTGAGTCTCAAGCAGATGGTCGAGGAGCAAATCAAGGGTACATTGGACGCAACCACATTCCCCTTCACAAAACCTCAGACAGAAACCGATGGCGGGCTGGCCGCCCAGGAGATGCTTTCGCAGCAAGCATCTTTGCGCAGCGCCAAACCGACCTGGGCGCGTACCCGCACTGTTGACCAGCCCCGTCAGCGTATCATCGTCTTCATGGCTGGCGGAGCCACGCACTCGGAGGCGCGTTCCTGCTACGAGCTTTCTTCTGCCTATAACCGGGATGTGTTCCTCGCCACCACTCATATGCTAACCCCAGCGCTCTTTGTGCGCCAAGTCGGAGACCTCAGCGTTGACAAACGCCGTTTGGACCTCCCCGCCGAGAGACCCAAGCCTACTGCTCCTGCTCACCTGTTTGAAAAGGACACACCCTCGCCTCCTCCTCAACCACAAAAGAAGCCCGTGCCTCCACCCAATCTCAATCCTCCAATAGCCCCGGGCGACATGATGGCGAACATGTCTTTGAACAACGACGGCTCAACACCCCCGCTAGCTGGCAAGCTCCACAAGAAGGACAAAGACAAGAGAGATAAAGACAAGGACAAGAAGGATAAGAAGTACAGGTTCTTCAAATAGCTGGCTAGCAGAATCGTCTACCGCCAAGTTCCTAGTCTCTTTATCCCTTTTGTCTTCCTCGTCTCTGTTCAGCGCTGTTGTGATACCATCTTTCCTATGTCTTAGTTTGGTTGATCTAGTCCCGAGCATTCAAAGGCGCTTCGTTGATGGCAAGCTTCGAGATTTACTGCCGAGGAAGAAAGCTGGTCTTGGACTTGCTGGGTCCGCAGGTCAGCGTAGAGTGCTCAACTACAGTAGTATCACACAAAAGCTCAAAATCTAGACAGTTGGATTTCACACATCGCATTTGTCGGTTTTCCTTGTGCTTCTCGTATAGTGGTGGAAGTCCATCGTCCATGCGGGTGCAGAACGGAATGAAGTGGACTTGCGAAACGTAAACCTGGGTACTCTCTTGGGCTCTCGGAATAGGAGACAGAATGATGACAAAGCCTCATCTGGTCCATAATTGGTGTTAGAGACCCCGCGTTCAATTCTTCAGAGCCATTCTACTAAATCAAAATCTTAACACCTAAATTTGGACTGTCAATCTGTAGATTTTCCGCAGTCTTCGCCGTTTCAAAGCCGAAGGGGTTTGCGGAGTAGCCCCGGCCAATCAGCGCACGTGAAATCTCGATGGCATTGGAACATCAAGACTTTGAAAAAAAAAAATATAACACCGCCAACAACACAACACTGCGAAAGAATGGCACACATCACAGAGCACCCATCTCGGGCCAAGCGGAGAAAGCTCGACGATGAGCAGCCGAATGAGGAGGTGAACTTCACTTCTCCTTCCCAGCTGCGTGACCTACTGGTCTTCCAGCAGAATGCCCCGGCCGCGAAGCAAGGTGAGCTTCAGCCCGCGAAACTATTGCAATCCTGCTGCTAATTTAAGATGGGGCAGGCATCCTCAAATTTAAGGAATTTCTGGTCTCGATTGGCCAGTCTGAAAAAGAGAGCGACAAATCCCAGAAGCTCCGTGTTCTGAAGGGCTATTGCGATAAGCAAATTTCTCCTGGCAAAGAGGAAGATTCCTCCGTTTGCTTTCCAGACCTCATCCAGACTTGGGGATTCGCCGATAGCAACAACCATGAGCCTCTACTCACTAATATTCCGTCAGTTCTGGCAATCTTCCTGAAGACCATCTCCCGCCAGCTGGAATTCCGGGAGTTCGGTGTTGCCCTGTGCAGGCACCTGCTACAGAAGGACCAGCTCAGACTTTTCAACCGTGGTTTGACTGCCACCAAAACAAAGGAGCACCTTATCTCTCCATGTCTGCGTCTGCTCACCGAGATTGTGACCTTTGACGGCGGTGCTGTTGCCCGAAAACTTTATCTCTGCCGTTATATCACCTTCAAGCGGCTTGAAATCTTTTTAACGCCTAATAAGGTGCAGCTTGAGGCCGCAGAAGAGGATGCACAGAAGTCAACCCTCAGACGAAATGCCCAGAAATTTGTTCTCGCCAACCTGAGAGTGCAGCACACCCTGGAGAAAAGTGACATTATCGAGCAGCCCAAGCTCACCCGATCGCTTCTTGAACATGCTCGGAAAGACTCTCGGGCGGATGTACTGGAGACTATCAAAGCGGTTGAGCGAGACATTGTGCAAGATGATTCACTGCCGCGTAAATCCAAGAGCAAATTCTTCAATCGGTGGAACCTGGAGAAGTTGGTGACGCTCTATGGCTATGACCGCGAATCAGATGAACCCAACCCCGAAGGGATATCGATCGCCAACGAAGTTCACCGAGTCCTGATGAATGTCTGTAAGACCGCTGGACTTGGCGTCCTGCTCCCTGAAACAGGCTGGTATCCAGTTGGGACCGATCCCGAGACTCTACCCGTGGAGGATGATGATGGGATCGAACTGGGCCTCGATTCGCCTATTTATGTCGACAAGTATCGGGAGTCGGTCCCAGTGCGAAACAACTCTTTGTCGTTCCTTATACAATGCCTCCGTCCAGACGTGGATAGTCTGCAGATCGAGTTGCTCGTGACGATTTTCAAGGCCGCACCGGAGCTGATCGCCGATTTCTTCACTAAGAAGACTATGTTCACATCGGACCCTAAAGTGACCCCGTCATGGATGGCAGAATCTGCCTTCCTTTTCTCAACCGTGCAGCTGCCTGTCCCTACAAACTGCGGCTGGAAGGACAAGCAGCCCATCCTACCACCGCCCGTGTCAGTTGTCATCGAAAATGTCCTTCCTCGTCCTCTCAGCCAGAAGACCATGACTCGCTGCCTGAATCAGAATGCCGAGATCATCACTCTGTTCGCAGTGCGAATCTTGACTCTCGCCTTCACCAAATTGCGGGCTGTTCTGAAGCTCTTCCGAGCCGATCATGGACAGGGCCAGTTGTTTTGGAACCAGGCTTCCTCCAAATTACTTGCTGAGTTCTCTCGTCGAATCCCCGCTGTGAAAGATGCCATTCTCTTGTTCCGTCGAACTGCCAAGGACGACCTGCAGCAGCAAGAGGCTGTTGCTGAGCTCTTGGCATGTTACTATGAAGTTATGCCAGACATCGCATTGGAGGAGAACTTTGATGTCCCATTGGTCTTAGTGGATGTTTTGAAACGCCTGGAAGACTCAGATCTCAGCCCTGATCACTCTGAGATGCTTCTGAGCCAGTTGCAGAGTGTTCTCCAGATCGCACAACAATCTGCCGCGATGCGGTGGTGGCAGAAGCCAGGTATGCAGATTTGCCCTACTATTGACTGTTTTCCTCTTCTGACAAGCTCTCAGCTTCTATGCAGTATTCTCCATTTACATCTATTCTCAAGGTCCTTGCAGAAACATCCGACAAGGACTCTGCACGTCGCATCTCGGCTCTGCTGAGGTCTGTTCTCGCGGATAATTCCGTCTTACAGAACTTGCCTAAGTCATTCAACGCTCTTTTATCAAGCCTCGAGGACTCTGAGTCCGAAACTCTTCACCGTCAGTTGCTCTTCATTGACAATTGCGTGGCCCGTGTTGCAAAGAAGCCTGTCCACTACTTGGATCTGATTGGATCTAGTTCCAAAAATGAAGCCGCAACAAGTCCTCTTGTCGCTGCTATTGTTGAACAATGGCCCTTTGTTGTCAAGGCAGGTGACGAAGCTGCTGAGATAGCCACGGGGTCATGGATTGGCAAGCTGCTTGCGCACTTGAAACAGGCTGGAGAGAACTCGGCTGCCTTAAAGGCTGCTCGTGATGCCCTGGTCGAAGCTACTGAAACCAAAAAAACTCGCTCTCTGATCAAGAAATGTTTCCAAGGCCAAGATGATGTTGATGACGAGGACAAGATGGATGTGGATTCTGGACCTACTGCTTCGACTTCGTCCAACAAAACCTCGACGGTGGATCTTGATGAGATCTTTGGCTTCCTGCCTACTGAAGGGACCACCCATAATGCACTGCACAGATGGGAGAGAGAAGATATAGAGCAAGCAGTGGAGCAAGGCCGTATTGCTGAGCTGATGCTTTGCTTGTGTTCGGAGCATGAGGAAGTTCGGAGACAAGCATTTTCCAGCATTGTTCGCTTTATGGCTCAGTTAAAGGTAGGAGATGACTTTTAGGGTGGGCTTGAGTTTTGACTGACATCAAATTTAGGAGTCCAAATACGTGGAGTGGCGCACAGTATATACCCTGACGGGTGAGCTTCTTGAGACTGTCAATCAGATCGGTCTGGGTGAGCCTATCCCCTGGATCATTGGCGAGTGTGCCTCCAGCTGCTTGAACGTCCTTACCCAGCCCTTGCACAAAGTTTACGGGAAGGTCAACAAGTTCTTGCAGAAGTCTCCCGTGTGGGAGCTGGAGAAGATTCCATCCTACTGGATTGACAAGATATTCCTGAATGAGCCTGAATTAGACGACGGTTACTTCGACGAGATTGACTGGTTGTTGGGGCTATTCGTGAAGGGTCTTCGCAGCAAGGCTGTATGTATCCGAGCCATTTCCCACATCATCCCCACAATAGAAGTTGCTAACGACATTTCACTAGGATATGGAGATCTACCGGAGGGCGAATGTTTTCGAGCGCATCCTCTCCCTCTACCAGTCCCCGACTCTCGGCGACGCGGCACGACGAAAGATTTTGCACATCATCTACCGAGCTGCACAGGTGGGCGGTAGCACCACGCTAATCACTCGCGCGGCTGTCGTCAGTTGGATTCAAGTTCAAGTCGCGGAAGCTGATGCGAAGGAGGTTGCGTTGCTCGTAGCCTTGGCACGCTCGTTGTATGAGACGTCCGACCGTGAGCGGGTTGATGCGTGGAGCGCTGGGACCCTCGAGCAAGCTCTACAGGAAATTTCGCAAGCAGGAGAGAATTCCCTATGTACAATACGTTGAATACTGCTATCTGCCGAACAAATATAATCAATGTGCCTGTATCCGGCTCCTTCCTATACTTTTCGAGAAAGTGATACTAGAAGGGCTATGATGCTGGTTGGTCTCGCAGGTTCCAAAAGACCTTCTCGGATCCTAGATTTCCTAATATGCCTCGGTCAAACGGTCTGCGTGGCACAAGGTATACTCTGTGGAACATATATTCCAGTCTTCTTGGCTGGCAATATGACTAAAAATCTATACCTGTCGCCTTACGGCCTGTAGGAAGGGGGAAAGGACCATGCCAATATTTGTTATTTCCTCTAGCTTGATATTTTATATTCAGCAGACGACCGTTTGCTTGTTAATCCCGATAATGATTCATTTGGACAACGAAGGGCCTCTCGAATCATAGTATAGGATGATGTTTCCTCTGAAATATCCTTCGCGATGTTTCTTGAATTTATAATATCCAGCATAACACTGCACCATTGGGTCTAGCAGATGTTGTTTCTTTGACTGTGCTGGATTGATAACCCTAAACACACTTTTCTTACTTCATGTCGCCGGTATACCCACCCAATAAAAGCTGAAGACCTCTCTACCCATTATAAATTATCTGATTGTTGGTTGGTCATCAGATTCTACCTATTGTATGCATCGGGGTACCCCCGCTTTCATTAGCATTGACTGCTGCCATAGTAGCTTCGGTGCCTCAAGCAACTTCGAGCTTTTCATGATGAGAATATACTACAGAATACACAATGCATGACCAGCGCGAACATAATGAATTGTTCTCTCCAAGTCTGCCTGTTTACAAAGGTTAGGAGCACAAGGAGTCGGCGACCCCGTCTCCCGACGCGACCGTTGACAATTGGCCGGCTTCCCTTTTCAGCAGTGCCTTGGAGAAGACATACGCACCAGCTGGGGTTTTCTTTCCCTTCGCTCGTGCATCCGCTCGTCATTCGATTGTTGCCCTTTTCCGTCAGGATTTTAATCCAGCGTACTCGTTCTGCCCACCTCGGAGCATCCCCTGGGCCAAACCAGCAAGCCACCCCGACCCTCTTCTCACCGACCCCGACTCCGCCTTGAGCCTCGCCACAAAGTGGCTAAGCCTACTACTGCTTCTCCTCAGTCGACCTCATTTTCCCGAATAGCCTTCGTCCCCCTCCACGATCTCCCCTCCACGACTCTCCTTCCTTCTCACCACCTTTCACATCCTTCCGACCGCCCTCTTCTCTCGCACACTGCAATTTTCAAACCCCGTGGATCAATGAGAGGACCCTGAACTCCCGTGGATAAAGATCGCACACACCGTTCCTAGACAGGGCCGTCATGGCGCGACGGTACGAGATCGATGAGCTGTTATGGCTGCGCTCATCGCCTCTTGTCGCAAAACCTCCTGGCCTGCCCCCGATTGAAGAATGGATGTACGTTCATGATTTCCCCTCAACCACGGCCACTCCGCATCCCCACGTCAACGACTGACCATACCTGCCTCTCCCCTCTACAGGCCTCAACCCGACCCAACTACCCAAGCCAAACAACGGAACACGCGTGATCCTAGTAACCCCTCTGAGACGACTACGAACAGAAGGCCAAGCTTTTTTGAATCTCGTCATATCTCCCGCGGTTCCAATTCAGGTAGGCTCCTTCTCCTCTTCCCCCGAGAACCAGCCCTGGTCAATTTATTCTGCAATGGCGTTTTCTAACTCGGCATTGAATTGATGTAGAGGATATCATTCTTGGCCCCCGAAAACTGCCTTTGCGTCATCGCGAATTGGCGGGGTTGGGAAAGGATCGTTCGATCTGACGGACCGGTCCGTGCGACCAGGCGACTCGGATGAGAAGAATGACCGTTTCAACTTCCGGGACAAAGTTTTCAAGGATAAGGATACCCCGGAGAGAGAAATTGACCGACGAGATGGAAAGGTCAGTGGTCTGAATGGCCGACGCGGGGAAAGAGAGGATTGGAATGCTAGCCGTCCTCGTCGCGGGCTGGGACCCGAGGAGCAGGATCGCAAGCCACGCCGCAATGGCGAGTTCGACAGATGGGAAACGAGAGAGAATGCCCGAGATCCGAACATTGAACGAGGAACTCGGGACAGAGAAGGCCGTTTCACCGCGAAAAAGGATGGCCAGCCGGGACGAGCCAAGTTTGAAGGAAGCTGGTTCCGTGATGAGAATGGCCAGGAGGGTGCCGATGCTGATGACGACAAACCACAGGCACGTAACCGAGAATGGCGTCGTGACAGACACGGCGCGGACCGCGACTGGACCCGCGGTGCTAAACTTGAGCAAGAGCCCGAGTGGCTGGATAGTAACGACGGAGATGAGCCACGACGAGCACATACACAGGAAGACTTTGAGCGTTGGAAGGAACGAATGAAGGCTGGATCCGGTACTGGTCAACAGGCCCCAGCTCAGGAAGAGAAGCGAGACTTGCCTGCAGAATCAGACATTGCTGCGCAAAAGCCGGAGTCTCACCGCACCGACGGAGAGATTTTCAGCCACTCTGGCACTCCTTTCATGCCGGATTCTTCAATGGAGCGATTCTTTGGCATGCTGGGAGATACGAAGCCCTCTGTTCCCGAGGTCGGCACACCAATTGCTGCCGAGCCGACACCAAGGAAAGACCCTCTAGGTGCGGGTATGAGCGCAAAGCCTGGAAAGTCGTCTCGCTTTGCTGGGCTGTTTAGCCCTCCGCCGGAGAGTCCTGTTAAGGATCCTGAGCCACAGGTACTCTCAATGCCCATGCTCTTTGGCGGAGGTAGCCCGGCCAATGCCCACGATGCCGATCAGGAAGGTTTCCAGCGTATTCTGAAGATGCTGGGTGGCGGAGGTGGCCGATCCAACAGTGGTACTCCTAACCATGGTGAACCGCCTCAGCGATCGCGACCATCCTCGATGGTGCATCCGGAGCAACCCCGTGCCGTGGCCAACATGTCGTCTCCAAGAGATTCACTTACCCGATCAGAGTACGTGGCCCTCCACGGGGATACTTTGGCCCATGCGGCTGGCAAGGATCCTCAGGCTGGCGAGAGAGAGCATCTCCTCCGACTGATGCAGCAGGTTCGTGTTGGACCGCCCTCGGGAGTTCCATCCCAGCAGTCGCCTCCCAGTGCCAGAGTGGTTCCTCCAGGCCTGATGCCGGAAATGATGCCTCGCCCTCCTCCTGGACTGACCGCTCAGAAGACACCAAACTTCCTGGATGACCCGGCCATCGCCAACATGCAGCGACCGGACAGCGAGCAGCTCCGTCGGCGAGCTCCTAACGGTCCCCCCGCCCATGGGGTACTTTGATGATGTGCCCTTCCCCCCACAAGGTGGTCAGGGTCCTATGACTCCAGGTGGTTCGCGTCCTCCCCAGGGCCCGAACCTACCTCCTATGCCGCTTCCGCGTCCCCCAGGGCTGGAGCATATGCCCCCTCCTGGCTGGGCGGGTCAGCCCCCTCAGGGCAATGGGCCTAGCCCTATGGGTCCTCCTCCTGGTATCCCAGCGCCCAACCGTGGCTTCCCACCAGGCATGATGCCAATGCCTCCCCGTGGTCCTCCACCAGGCATGATGCCGCCACCAGGATACATGGGCGGCCCTCCACCCCCGGTTTCCCTCCCATGCCCCCTAACCCAGAAGCCATGATGGGAGTTGGCCCTGGTGGCCAAGGTCCTTTTGGTCCCGGCGGCCCCGGCCCCGGCCCACATGGCCCTCCCCCTCCTCCTCTCGACACCTACTGGAGATGTTCGGCCAGCCCAACGGCGGTGACGGCCGCGGCGGCATGGTCGGCCCCGGTCAATTCAGGTAAACCGAATATGATTGAGATTACCCTTGATGTCTGCTTGTTTCCGCCCATCATCTTTTTACTGCTCAACGCAATCTGTGACTGACTATATGGGCAAATGTGTGGTGGAAATCATGCGGTCCAACAATTTCCGTTTGTTTTGACCCGGCCTGGTTACACGGCAACGTTGCATCCCCTCGAATGATCAAAGCACTTTTTTTTTCTCTCTTTCCCTGATTTCTTTTTCTCGTATCTGCTGATGCCCATTTTCGGTACGATGATGCCTATGCTCGATGCCGCTTTTCGATAACCCTCAGCTCTGGCTTGTCCTGTGTCTTCCTTATTGCTGCATACTACTTTTCTGGGGCTTTTTATTCTTCTTTTTCTACTGTCTGATGTTCTTGATCCTCGAGGGGAAGTGACTTTGCTGTGTATCTAGTGCTGGCTGTGAATCGAGTACATCCCGGGGACTGGGAGATAGCATTGATCGATCTGGTGGTTGATACATTGCCGTTACTCTATCATCATGGAGAGTCGAGGTTGCTGATAGCTTTCCGTACGCTCTTGCTCCACTTATAGGTGGGCTGGACAAACAATCTATCTATCACTTGATCGTATGTGGCGTTGTGTTAACTTCACGGCTCCGGGTTTGAAGTAGAGGAGTCTCCCAGATGACGACAAGTGTTCTACGAGCTTCACAGTATGGCGCACTAGAGTGCTGTATAAGACTTCCGAACCACATCGTATCATTGATTTCGCGGGAGGAGAGGCGAGCGACCCAGGAGCTGCACAACTTAGATGTGGATGGAGTAAGATATGCAAGTTCCTAACGTTGCCTTTGTCCTGGCTGTTGCTAATGGATCGTCGCCGCTAGGGCCTCTTGGCGTGCTTATCTTAGGGCAGCCATAGTGACCCACATGTGGAGTCGAGGCCGATCGGGATATGGAGTACATACAAGTATCTGGACTGTTGCCAATGTCGTGAACATAAAGAATACAACTAAAATCCCATGATACATATGAAGCAACAACAGGAATCATCTGCAGGCTCCAATAGCACGGACGCAATGCAACAATGCTTGTACCATTCATTCTGGAAGCAAACGAGCTGGCAAAAGAAAATGAATATGAGGCTGGCAATGGCTTCAATAAGGCTACTACAGTAGGCCCGAAAGCTTAGATGACTAACCAGCACCGTTACTGAATAAGTTATTCTTATTTAACCTGGGCCTGAAAGAATCGATTGAACGGTCTTCACGGCCATAAGCTAGCTCGTGAGCGGCCGATGCCGCTTTTATCGATATCCCAGACGGAACAATTTGATTTTCTAGCCTTGAATATAGTCCTAGAGAAAGACTGAGAAATAGCGAGACGATGGGATATACGGAAAAGGATGATAGTTGAACGGTCATACAAGTTGTTCGTTTAGAGTAGGATTACTAAGGTACACGGGCCCTTGCACTCTAGCTTGATAGAAATATTGAGGGGAAATCATATGCTTTATCGAATATGGCATGGCATTTTACAAGGTCTCTTCTAGTATATTAGCCACTCTATAACAATGGCGGTCTTCCAGGAGCAACACAAACAAGAGGCGGGAGTAGAGGTACTACCTAACCTGGCCATATATCATCAAGATAGTTGACAACACGTCAGTTCACTTCACCCACACGACAAACCCCGCGCTAGTCACCCTTTCATTCCCCTCTAGTTACCTAATGCTTTCGCTTCAATCGTTGTCATTGATCTGCCCCTATCCTCACCATGAGTCTCAGATCTCGACGGCCAAGCCTGGACCTCGCCCATGAGGTATTTGCCAAACATGTCACTATGTTGAGCTTCAAACTAGCAGAGAAGACTAATCTCGCAGGAATAGACTGCCAGGATCCACCTCACGAGCCCGAGCTCACCTAGACCTCTGCCTCAGGGAGATATACTTACCTCGCGAGACACGATGACCTCGCGATCCCCCCGTCGGACTGTTGCCTCCCCTTCCAGCTTATTGTTGGCCAGTACCCCGCCACCGCTCTCCAGGACCGCACCTGGGTTGCCTGAACGTAGGTTCTTGAATGCCCGATGTCTGTGAGCTCTGTCCGTGGGAGGAGAAGTAACTTACTCCGTGTTTTTTATCCAGCTGGACTTCAAGAATCTTCCACGCCGGATGTGATGATCTACGAGATGCAAGCACAGGATTACATTTCGGAGACAGACAGTGAGGCTGAAACCGACATCGGGCCTTTCTTGGGAGTTCCAGTGACTCCGGACTGCCACGCATCCCGAGCGTGGCACTGTGCCTCTCCTGAAAACCAGAATTTCCTAATTTTCGAGGATCCTCAGGAGGAAGGTTCTCCCTTCGTCCTCTGCCCGCTCCCTTACTTTGATGGGGACGAGGAGAAAGAGAACACCTTTGCAACTGTGTCGGATTACGACTCGCAGGAGGAGCGAGACCCTCCAGGCGACGCGGTTGACTGGACCCATCTAGAAGCCCGACCCCTTGATGCCTTTGGCCTCCCCGTGGAAACCATGCTTCACCCTCCTCCCCTCGTCACTGCCCAGCTGGACAGCGACACGGATCCGATGACCACTCCCCGCGTGACAGATACACCCATTCGACCCGCTATGAGAGTCATTTTGCGAGATGAGGATGAGCCAGAAGAGGAGTGGGACGACTCGCTGTCCAATGCACAAACACGAGAGCTTCAAGAGCTGAGCGATGTCTACCACCGAGGCGCCGAGAACAGGCGACACCATGACCATCACCTTCCGCTGCGGGACGGACATATTCAGGGCCAGGCAAATATCTTCCTGGAGGTGCGACGGGTCACCCATTTCCAGCGTCATGAAAATCGCCACCGGCGCGTTGTTGCTGTTCACGATCACTGGGACGAATTTTGAAAGAGGAGATGATTATGGCATGTGTGGCGACGGTGTTGCGTGAGATTCGAGATCGGTCCTCTCGATTCGGTACGTAGTATAACGATTAATTTATGAATACCCTGCAGCCACATCAAAACCAACACAACACTGGCCGAAGCCATGAGCTGCCGGTCTTAGTATGCGTATACAAATGAGTGAAGTTAATTATTGGGACTGAAGGAAGAGCCCGTCTCGCTCAGCACGAGTGCACCCTATTCCCCCGGTATTCCATCTTCCATATCCCATTGTGTGAGCTATTCTAGTAAGAGTTGAAAGCCGGTAAATTAAAATGGGTTTGTTCTGGCCACACGGGAATTTGAGGGTATTTCGCTGTATGAGGAGCTCCCAGATCAGCTTTGGAAATGGTCGCCTCGGTGGTATCTCCGTGCTCTTTCTTGATGGTCCCGGTCTTATCAACATCCGAGGTATTGGAGAAGGTTGTAGGAAGGGTAGTAGGTCAAGGGCAGTCGGGTGAGGAGTGCAGATGTGGGGGGGTGCGTCCACTGAAAACATGCCATGACTGTCTAGATAAACAACAAAATAGGCAAGATCTCGGAACTACGTCCATTCATACCGGCAAAGAACAGCAGGAAGAAGGCGTCCACCTGGACGAGGACAAACTGGTCGTACTCATTCATGCACACCCAACTTGAAACACCTTTTTCAATCTTCTTCAATTCACTTCACTCATCTTCAACCACCATATTCAGCCATCTTCAAACATCTTCAATCATCTCCCACCATCTTCATCTTCAACCATCATCCTCAAACATCTCCAACTATCTTCAATCACCATCTTCAACCATCATCCTCAAACATCTCCAACTATCTTCAATCACCATCTTCAATCACCATCTTCAATCACCATCTTCAATCACCATCTTCAACCATCATCTTCAACCATTATCTTCAACTATCTTCAACCACCATCTTCAATCATACTCAACCATCTTCACACATCACCTTCAACCCACCTTTCGTCACAAACTACACACTCCCCCTACTCGTGCTGCTTCCGACTCATCCCTCCCTCATCTCGAACCTTCTACACCCTTGACCTTTCATCTCTCTCACCAACGTTGCCTGCTCTACTCCCCACATCGAACCGGCTATTACCTGCAGTCTCACATCTCTCTATTCCGAGACCTTCATACTGGTCTTCCTTCCCACCTACTTCGTTCCCACCTTCTCTCTCTCCCAGCTACCTTCACTCGCCCTTCTTATAGCCCCCTCTTCCTCTGTCCGAACTTACTTCGCCCCCCTCAGGATCTCGTGCTATACTGTCACTTTTCTCATCATCCTGACTAACTTGCTTCCTCTCTTCCGACGGGGATTCCACCGACTGCCATAATCTTGCTTTCTCCAAGCTTCACTTCATTGACACCAACCTTCGCATTCCTTGAAGCCTTCCAATACCCTTCACACATACCGTCCACTCTATACTCATCGTCATTACCCTGGCCGGTTTCTACCAAAATGGAAGATGAAACACGGACTACTCCGGATCCTACAGTGGACAAGGAGTTGGATGTCGCAGCCCATTTACACATGGAAAGCCTGGACGCTATAGAACTCACTGCAGGACACACATTAGGCTTCCCGTGGGAAGGCGCACCGGGCACCGAATTTGATTGTGCAATGAACATTGCTGCCAATTCCATAATGGATGTTCCTACTATTCCTACCGCGGATTTACTGGAAGGGGTTGCGGCAGATACTGAGGCAAGCCCAACATTCAGCATCGACTCGAATACTGTCGGCACGGCCAACCCGGACGAAGTCCTGGAAGAGGACCAGGTCACTGTCCAAGAGCCATACACTGGACGTCCGAGACAGGGGAAAGAGAATCTCGCACGTGCGATCGACAAGATACAACTCAGCTTGCCAAGAAATCCAAACGAATCGTCAGAGATTCGCTCGGTGTCCTCGCATGGCGAGGATTTTCGGCGCGAGCTGCAAGACGCCGAAGACGATGAAGTGGTACCCAATAACGCAGGTGCCGGCCTTCAATCCAAGATCCATGATTCCGACGACAAGGCGGAGCAAGATGACATGGATTACGAATGGCAGAAGGAGGACTATATTGCCCCTGAAGAACTGAGTGATAGGGTGTAAGTCTTGTGTGCTTGGAGTGTTGAACTGTGCGTATTGATTGATATCCTTGTCAGGTTTCGCGTGGCCGAAGAGCAATACAAGCGATTGAAAAATCCCTCCGCTGAAGATACGGTTCTTTTCGCAAAGGCGAGAAGAGAAGAGGAATTGCGACTGAGGGTTCTCCAGAGTCGCATTGCAACCACCAACAACTTGAGCGAAGAGGTTGAGGACAGGATTTTCATGGAGGAAACAAATGATTCAGAATCTTTTTCCTCGGTTCAGAAACCAGCCCTTGCTACGGCACCAACCGAATCCACGCAAGCGCAGGTCACAAGGAAGAGGAAAGTACTGAAGCCCTCTCAAAAGGAGCAGATAAAGTCCATGGAGATCGGACTTCAGAAAATGATTGGAACAAACCAATATACAACGGGCCTATCTAAAATCCAACCTGGTGCAGATCAGCAAAAAGATCCGGATAAGACAAGCCAACGAAAGTCGCGGAAAAAAACGACCAGGCTGTCTGAGGGCGAAATTCTAAGTCTCTTCAGTGCAGGGGATGTGATTTCAGCTGCTCAAGCAAACGAATCGTTGCCTGAAATCCCCACTTTTACCAAGAAGGACAAAGAAAAGGCTCTTACTGAAATAGTCGCGAGTATTCCAGCTGCAGACCAAGCCGTTGCAAGGTCAGATAAACGCCGAATCCTCGAAGCTACGCGAAAGTTTGATAACAAACCATCAAGCAAAGAAGATGGAACATGGAAGATGAAAGGCTTGAAATGTGGCCTGCTGCATCACCAGGCAAGTAGAATCATGGAGAACCAAAGCCTCAAAACTTTTACTAATATCAAATAGGTCCAGGGAGTTGGCTGGATGGTAAGGTTGATTGAAATCCCTAAGAAAGAAGCTGGCTAACTCGAACTCTAGCGGGAGCGAGAACGGTCACCCACTCTGCCTATAGGTGGACTGCTCTGCGACGTCATGGGCTTAGGGAAAACAGTGACAACTCTGGCCAATATCCTGGATGGAAGGTGTTTGGACAGGTCAGAGGAAAGAACACCTACACTAATCATCGTCCCCGCAGGCCTAGTCGGCCACTGGTAAGTCTCTGGTGCCTTATATCTCGAGGGTCGAGATGCCAATTCACATCTCGTACCACCGGGCTAAGTAATATGCTGACCTTGAGCAGGGCGGAGCAGATAAACAAGCATTGCGAACAAGCAATCTTTGGTGTTGTCCTTGAGTACCACAGAAACCCGAGAATGAGCGCTCAGAACGACATCAGCAGCATTCTTTTCTATAACGTGGTGTAAGACAGCGATTCATACCCTGAATTTAGTCAAGGTTCATCTAATAACGCCATTCCTGTTAGGCTTGTCTCGTACGACGAGGTACGGAGGTCCTACCCACCACCAAACCCACCAACCAACCTACAATCCCACGAGGATATCCAGGAATGGTGGCTGGAATTTTACAAGGAAAGCGTGGGCGTGCTCCACCAAATCCGATGGCATCGGATTATCCTGGATGGTCAGTACTCCTGCTTATCTTTCCAGGCTCTAAGTAATGACGGAATATCCTACAGAGGGGCATGTCATCAAAAATCGCGACTCTGCCGTTTCTACGGCGGTCCGCGCTCTTACCGGTGTCCACAAATGGATTCTGAGCGGAACTCCTTTGCACAAGTATGTCCGATACCTGACAATCTTTCGCTGCTAATCGTATTCAGCTGCGTCGAGGAACTGTTTCCATACTTCAATTTCATTGGAGTGCCTTCCAGTGCTTCATTTGAGCAATTTGAACATGCATATTGCGACGTAAGACCACCTTTCTGTTGAATTGTTTACTATATTACACGTCTTCCAGTCGTTCTTCCCAGAATTCATCTGACCGTTTTTAAACGCATGCAGAGAGGCGAGAGGTCAAGAAAGCGACTGGTCAATATCTTGCGGTCCATCCTTCACCGGAAGACGCATGAGAGCAGGCTCTTTGCACTGCCCATCGTCAAACTCCCCCCGATTACTCAGAGAAATGAGTTCGTGGAACTCTGCGAAGCTGAGAAAGTTTTATACCGTAAGATCGAGCAAGTTTTCATCGACAAAATCAATGGTGAGTCTGACCTCCTAATTTCTTCTAGTTGATACTGACGCTTTTCACAGATCTTTCTTCTCCAAACCGGAAAGCTTCTCAGTGGCAGTGTATTTTGACCATGTTCCTGAAGCTACGTATGTTTGCTAGCCACCTCCTTGCAGCTCAGGACATCGTCAGTTATGTGCTCACAGAGGAGGTCTTCACTACCTTGAGGCCTCTATCGCGAGAAGGAGACACCTGGGATAATCCATCTAGCATGATCACGAAGATGCTACTTTTGGTGAAGAGTAACCATGCAGTTCCTACGGCTCAGAAGGTCACGACTGAAGATGATATTGCTCGAATACAGCCCACAGGAGACTGCGCAAAGTTGACAGGAAAATTCCGGCAGTTTATGGAAATGCTTCAAGGGGAGGGAAGATGGAAAGAACAGCTTCACAGACTGGTCTGCCCTTCCTGTGCTCAAGTCCCCGTCCAAGCCGTCATCACTTCTTGCTATCATCTGTATTGCGAGGAATGTTTCCATCAACTCCCAGATGAGGGTGGCAGAGTCGGAGCAGGGATCAAGCTTTGCTGCGTTTGTGACACCGTGATCCTTGAAGCTGCTGACTGTGGTACCTTCGACAAAATCAATCCGGACAGATATGAATCTTCGGTATCGCCCAGCTCGTCTTTCAACTCCAAGAGAAAACCATCTGGCAAGTCCAAACAGTCCAAAAGCCAGAAAAGGTCTAAAAAGGCTTTGAAACGCCTCCAGTCGTCTTCAATGTTTCACCAACCTCGCCGTGACTCTGAGCATAGCAGTAATGACGATTCATCAGATGAGGACGATACCTCAGAAGATTGGATTCCAATTATTGGGCCAATGACACCCAGTGCAAAGCTCCTGAAGGTCCGTGAGCTGACAAAGGCGTGGATTGAAAGTGACGAGGATGTCAAGATCGTGTTATTTACACAGTTCTTGGACATAATCCGATTACTCCAGGCCATGTGTAGCCGGGAGGGCTGGGGTTTCACCACCGTAAGTGCTCGCGTGTGGCTTGGTTACCGATCGCTGACAATATACTTCAAGATATCTGGAAAATTGTCTCCAACTGCCCGTGATAATAACAGAGCTATCTTCTGTGAGCAGAAAGAAACCAAAGTCATGATTGTCACACTCAAGACTGGAGGGGTCGGCCTCGATCTCTCAGTCGCGAATAAGTGCATTCTTGTAGACCTATGGTGGAACGAAGCTATCCAGGATCAAGTAAGTGCATTATCTCTTGGGGGTGTCTACAAGTTAACAACTGCCTAGGCCTGTTGTCGTCTGTTTCGAATCGGTCAGAAACGCGAGGTTGAGTGCGTTAGACTTGTCGCAAAGGAAACTATTGACGAAAAAATGATCAGCCTCCAGGAAAAGAAGACTAGGGAAATCCAAAACGTTATTAGTCTACGTATCCTGGAGAGCCGGGATACTGTCAGAGACATTCTGGAGTTCTTCGGCGAGGTCACTCAAGTGGAGGGCGGTGGTTTCAGACTCACACGAACCAGTGGAGAATGATTAGCGCCATATCATTCGAAAAAAGAGGGGCAAGGGACAACAAATGGGACTCAATAGGGGTTATGGTGCGGGTTGCAGCGTGCTTTATACACAGATAGCCTTAGTATAATCTTTGCTTAGCATTGATTAATTTTAAAAGTGGGCGATTGCATATACATCTCCTAACAAACACATGCATTCATTCCAGCTAATCGCTTTTTTGAAGCTTCTTTCGACTTCTCTTTCTGGTAGGTTGATAAATAGCTCTCCGGGCTAGCATATTTTCACATTTCCTATCCCGCCCTCTCCGACTTGTGTCGTCCATTCCGATTCCACGCCTCGACTCTTCGGGATTTTCATCCTAGCTGCGAGAACAAACAGGGCCAGTTTCAGTTTGACAATGCGGATTGCCAAGCATAGATCTTAAGGATACCGGATGTCGCCGCCAAGTTTTTCCATGTGAAGGCGAGGTATGCTCAAGTAACTCGGCGTAGTTCATCTTCTGCTTAAAGCCATGAAAAAGCACTACGTTCCAATATTTGAGTGAGCAGGTCCATTACTGCAAGTTGGTCACTATGAAGCAAACATACTGAACAGGTTGAGGCTACGAAATTTTGGTCTTCTTCGAAATGTTCGCCAGATGAGCTGAACCTGGTTAGGCACGTTAATAATACCAATTGCTATGTCATAAAAGTACATCGGTAGAAATACACCCACGCCCGATGCCAAAACCCCAACGAACGCCCTCTATGGAAAGAGTTTCGGGTATCATCATAATATAGAACAAAGTACAAAGCCGGCCGTCAAAGCAGATCATGAGGCAATGATGGCCGATAGAGAGCCAAGGTCATCAGCAGGAGTCTGGGTGTTGATGCCCAGCACATGGGAAGTCTTGAGAGGCGGGGAGGTAGCCTTGATGTCGACGTCTTCCACGGGCAGCGGAGCGCGATCGGGGGCCGATACGCTTGTTGCGCGGGACGTGGTAGACTCGGCGTCTGTCACTGTTGATGTGGTTGACATGCCCTCGGACATGGTGAAATTTGACACCAAGTCTGAAGCCTCGGACTGAACTGATTCTGGTTTCGTGACTTCAGAGGGCGGCAATACGGGACAATCGACTGCCTCATAGAATAGCATGAAGGCGCCTGGTTGGGACATGGCATGGCCTTCGCTAACCATCTGCACATCGTCATCACTGAGTCGGTACCAACGCTCCGGCTTCTCCTTATCTCCTTCAGCCTGTAGGATCTCATCGGGAACCGGTGCTGGGAAGATAGATGTTGGATATTTACGGTAACAGATATAATGACCATTCTCATGGCGGCCATAGTGCGTGATTATGGCGCGGAGTTCATATTGTCTGCTGGAAATGCGGACTGCCTCGCCTGGGTGAGGAAGCATCGATTCGGAGGGATCCGTCTCCCATCGCTCAGGCATACATTGAGACTGTTTTGCAGGCTGGGTACCGAGACACCAGTCATTCATATCCAGAGTTTTAGAGAATTTGACCGTGGCATGATTCTTCATCAGCGCCCCAGTCGTCTCATCGAAGAGGCTTCGGTTGATATGGACGATAAGACATTGGGGTGCCCGAGCAATCACAGCCTGACGAGATTTTGTTGTAGACATTCGGTTCTTTGACGGGATGTGGCATTTTTGTGCCAATGTTTTCTCGGCGAAATCATCCTCTTCAAGAGCAGTCTCCACGGCGTCAAGGCGTGATTGGGCAGAGGACTTCACAGCATCCGAAAGTCCAGGTGATTGTAGCTTATCAGCCTCATCTTCGTCAAGCATACCCCCTAGAAGGATCTTCAGTTGCTGTCGTGCACGTAATAATGTGCACTTGGCACACTCCACCCCCTCAATGGGCTCCAATGTCATGTACTGATCCAAACACTCGCGTATGTCATATTCAGACTTAGCTCCGAGGGGAACCGTGAGGCAGTTGAACGGGATGAGTGACAGTCCTTCTGTCCATCCACATTTCATACATCCCACCCGCTGGGCCAGTAAACCTTCCAGGGGGTTGCGTAAAGAAGCCTTCTCGATTGCTGAAACGATATTCTCGTCGACAGCAGTTGTATCCAAGCAAACCTCTTTGAGAATGTTCTCCTCCGGTCCGGTCATTTTCAGTCCCATATTCCTTGTTTCCCCTCGCGAAGCCTGCTGAATTTCGATGTCGATCTGATCAACCAGCTTAGAGAAGTATTCCTGCGCATCCTGCTGTTGCCAGCTACTCATTGATTTCAGATCTGAGGGGATCCAGAGCTTGTGTCCATAATTCGACGCGCTATTCAGGAGGTCGATAATCCCTTTGAGCGCCTGGTGTGTCGAGAACGAGCTCTTATCTCCCAGACGATCAACGTTGCGTGCCAAGAAGGCTGAAAACGACTTCAGCGAAGCCAGTCCCTGAATAATACTATTTTGATAACAGGAGTTGTCCCAGTTTCCAAGCCCTGGAGGAATAGCGTCTTTGTTGTGGCCCAGGAGTGCGTTGCCGAGGCCTGAGAGGGATCGCGATCGAGGGAAAAACGGGAAGGAGTTGTTGTCCAGGCCCAGTATCCGTTGCATAGACTCGCTCTTCGCGTGGAAGGACATATTCGAGGGACTGGAGGGGGAGGACTCTGAAGGCGACATGCGGGAATCCAATGCGAGGAGGATCCAGGATGGAGTAATGTAAACGAGTACGTTCCAGAGCGCCCGCATAAGCGAGATTGGAGCGAAACCAAAATGATCGAGAAGTAAGTAGACGGGGATAAGGGCGAGGGCCGTGTATCCTAGTGCCTGGTTGTTCTGCTGCGCCCTAAAAACTGTCTCATCGTGGCTGCTCTGGCTTGCGTAATGATGAATGGGGCCGTTCGAGATGTCAGCTCCCACTCTGCGGGCACTCATGGCGGAATCAAAGATCAAGCAAGCCACAGCGGCAGGAGAGAGACCGGTTTAGCATGGGCCGAGCCGAGGGCTACGGTTGTCGAATACCGGGGAGCGCAGGTTGAGAGGGACGAAGGCGGAGGAGGCCAAGCCTCGATGTATACAACTTTCCAGCTTTCCACTCGCGCGTGGTCCGAGGCTGCGCTTCGGGTACATCGCGCCGACCGCAAAAATTTTTATCGATAGGCTCAGGTCCCCCACACACATCTGGTTACTCTTCATCCCAAAACAAATCCCACCATGGCAAAGAATAAGCGTGAGTCCAAGCCGTCTTTTGCTTTGATTCCGACCTAACATCTTTCAGCCAAGACGAATAACTCCCGTGCGGCCCGGCGAGGCGCCTCGCCGAGTCTCGACTTGGACAAGTCCCTGACCTCTCTGCCCCGAGTCGAATCTTCTCCATCCACTCAGCGCCCTACCCTCTTGGCGGATCGCGCAACTGCCGGAGTTCAGAAAAAGAGGAAGGGTAAGAACCTCACTAAGGCACAGCGGTTGAGACAGCAGAAGGGTATGGACAGGGCCGAGGCGGTTATGGACCAGTTGGAAATTAAGAAGGCTAAGAGTTTCGTCCGGGCGAAGATCGTGAACGAGCGAAGAGTATGGAATCATTGCCCTTGAATTGTGCATTTATTTGCGGTATACATCATGTGTTGACAAAGTCTTCTCTTTCCAGGCTGATTGGGAAGACACGAACAAGAAAACATCCATTCTCGCCGCTCTCCAGCAAAATGAGGAAGCCGAAGAGGATGATGATGATGACAATGACGACGATGCTATGACCACCGAGAAAATCGAACCGGCAAAGCCTACGACAAATGTCCTCCCCTCCTCCAACCTAGTTGCAGCCGAGTCTGTCCCTGCGGATGAATATGATGAAATCACCTGAACGCAGCGCAGCCTAAAGACTGACCCATTTGAAAAACTACTTCCTCGGCCTGAGCTGGTTGATCATGCGCTCAATCTCAGTACTTGCAGGACCGGACGCTTTAGTCCGGAGGAGTTCGAGGGTGTTCACGTCCTTGGCCTTGTGTGCCTCTTCTCCCGCTTTGACAATCATTCCGCACTTCACCCACATTTCAATTCGGTCGGCGACAGGAAGATTCGTGCATTTCGGGACGAAAACCGAGGCGAGCTTTGTATTTCCGGCGCCAAGGATCTCGTTATAGAAAGGCTAGATCCGCTCATGTAAGCGTGTGTTCAAACATAATGGGAATTTTATCTTACCTCCCATCCGATTGGGGATTTCTTGACCTTGCCAATCTCCTCCAGCTCACCCCAGTCGCGCTTAGCCACCAAGGCTCGGAGTCTCAACCACCAAAACGCCTTTTCGGGCATCTTGAATTCACCCTGCACCTTTTGTGCTCTTTTCCCGTAGCCAGCCCGAACGAGTCTGTAAATGGTCTCGTTCAAGCTGAGGCCGAAATACTCGCTGTGATCGGCGAGATCTTTATCGAGCGACTCTTGAACCTTTAGAAGCTGGGAGGCTTCGGAGACCAGTTTCTGCTGCAACACCACCGTCGGGTCCTTTGAGTCTGACAGTAGGCGCGCCGCCAGATGGAGTTTCTCTGTTTTGCGTTGCGGATCTGTCGCTCGTAGAGCTTCAGATAGCAAGACGTTGGATCCATCCATCGGCCGATCGTCTTGGTAGTAAAGATCCTTGAGAAGCTCGGTGTCTTCCCCTCGAGCCGCCGTCTCGACTAGTGCGGACGCCATCGGGCGGGTGTTGATCATTCGGAAGAAGCTTGCCAGAGGATGTTTACTCTTCAAGTGCAGTAGCACGTAGTTCACCAGGTCATCATCACCGCTCTCAATCGCTTTATCCAGAGCGAGCTCATCTTCTTCCATGTTCAGCAACAGGGGGACTTGTTTCCCTGCCCGCGGCTCATGGTTCAGCAATTGCGTGGCCAGGTGCGATCGACCTTCGTCGTAAGCTGTCTGTGCAATGACTTCGAAAGAGATGCCCGGTTTCCCTTCCAGTCTTTGGACAATCAATTTGCATACGGCTTCATCATCGACCGTCGATACCCGGACCTTCTGGCTAGCCCAGTGGACATAGATTCGGTCTGCGGGTATTTGGAGAAATTCAGAGACACGGATAGCAAGAAGATACTCGTGACGACAGATTAGTCGTTCAATGAGTCCTTCTGGGGTTAAGCGGAGGTATTGCTCATATGAAATCGGCAACCCAATCTGGTAATCTCTGGCTGCTGTGAGAACTCTCAGCTTCTCAGTCATCTCAACGAACTCATCACTGTTGTAGAGCTCCAGGACTGATTTGCCAAAGGATGCAGCTTTCAAAAGCCGTTTCTGCCAATAAGCATCAAATTCATGACCTGCGGCTTTGATGCAAGCATCGACTGCGGCAGGGAGACTCGAACGGATGCGCTGAATGTTCTCATCGGCTTTGGGGGACTTCTTTTCCAATTGATCTACTGAATCGAGCAGCACCGAGGCAGGCGATGAAGAGCCCAGTCGGAAAATCTCTTCTGTCACGTCTATATGAAATCAGTAAATTTTCATGAATTCGTGATTTTGTATCTGACCTGTAACCTTGTGCAGGAACTCGCAAGTATCGTTGGTGATGAGGCGCACACCATCAAATTCAGGGATGACATGTACCCGACCATCGTAGTAGTACCTATTGGTGGTTAGTGATTGACAACGATTGAGTGAGGATAACACCTACTTTGAGGCAGCTCCATTAGGCCCGACAAGGTGGATTTCATCCTCCCAGGCAAGAACAACTGCATCATCACCGCACCAATTCACACTGCTAGGAGCCACACGGGATTTGGAATCGTATTCGCTGATTTTGTTTTGAAAGTCATTGCTGACAACCCATAGTTTTCCTTCCCCCGTAAACAGTGCCACGAGGAGACCGGTGGGAGACACAGTGACATGCTTGAAGGGACCATCTTGCAATATCTTGTCTTCCGCTTCGGTGGAGTCGACTGAGTAAACCGTCTTGTCGACAGCGAGCAAGACCTCTACAGATCGTGACAGCGTATGCGCTGGGGGAATCAATGACCAGGATGACACCTCTCCCTCGGGGCATGGTGCTAGTAGCCTCGGACGTGGCTCGTCATATTTTGAGACGGCGATCAACTGATTGTTGGACAGCAGTGCCACAAGACCCGATGCCCAGAACTGGCAGGCTCTCACGCCATATTCTTCCGCACCCTGCATATTGTCAGTTCACCACAAATACATGAATCTCAGTGTCAATTCTGTCTCACATTTCCCAGCGAGAATGAAGTGAAATCACCGTCTAAGCCGAAGTAACGGCGTACTGTGCCGTCCTCAGACACAACTAGGAGCTCCTCCTTGTCGGACCAGCCGAGCCCCCGAATCGTAGCTTGCTCCCACTGCCAATCGATTAGCTCATACATCCAGATGTCCGTGATGGAGTATAGGAACAAACATTAATGCGATTAATCTGCTTTCCTGAGCAGGAATAAATGCCAATGCTGGACCGGGCCTGACTATCCCGTACCTTAAATGGCTTACTCTCATCGCGATGAAGCGCTGCACGAAGCTTTAGCTAGAGTGTCATTCTGCGACCAGGACTGACTCATACCTATGGCTCCCCCGTAAGGGGCGCCGGCGACAATGTAGTTCTCTAATTCAACATCATCATCAAAGACGGCGTCATACGCAGGAATTTTGCGGTAGAAACTGTCGCCAACCTTCTCCCAGTTGGCGAGAGGGTTTGAAGGAGCCATTACAGGGCAGATTCTGTCGTAAACGAGGGCCCTGAAAAGACCGTCAACCCATGCCCCGTGTTGTTAGGGTGGTTGGCGTTGGTCTGCGGCGAAGCGCCGCCGCTCCCACGGGGGAGGCCGCGCTAGTCCACTCTGGGTAACTTTGATGTCCTATTATTCAGGCTCCAACTCTGCAGTTCCTCCCCGCCCATCACCGTCCACGGTTACACCATCGGATCTCGCCTGAAGAGACTCAGTGGCCGATGGAGCTCAAGAATGGATTATTTGAGCCTCGAGGAACTTGTGCGACAACTTTCTGACCTTGAAGTGGCGCTGCTTTTGTCTTTGGTCGCGTATGAACATTGCTTGATCGAGACTACGGGCGACTGTATCGACGACCTTGCCCAAGAGTTAGCCTTGGTATGGCGACTTGAAATCGCCAGAGTAACTTGCATTCAGAGCTAATGGATCTGCAGATCTGCTCTAACACATTTGATCTGTCTTATTCCATCCTCGATTGTTCTTCAGCAACTTCCATCGAGGATATCCACAATGAGGTCCTCACGGCGGATGCCCGCAAGGGCCAAGAGCGCCCGTCGTATTTCAAATTGAAGAGTGGATCTGTATGTATCCCCAAGCTTCTATTCGAGGCGCGTCATTGGTCATGAACTAACCAGTGCAGTCCAGTAACGTCTCGACATATATGACTCCAAGGGAGCGGGAGCACAGCAGGTCCCCGGCCCCGAGGAGTGCGGCCCCGAGGAGTGCCATTGATGAAATCAATGTGGTGAACATCATCATTGCCAAAAATCTCAACCTGACTGATGATGACGTACAAGTCCAAGCTTTACAGGTTAGTCTTATCACCTAGTTTTGGAATTTTGCTCATGGCTATTGCAGTTGATGCGGACCCGGAAATTAGCCACGGAGTGTGGGATGTTGAACGCACCCACAGAATTTCTTTTCATACCACTCTTGGTGCGAGAAACTGATCAACTCGAGCCGCCGCTGAAGACGCATCTTGTCAGTCGTTTTCTCTGATTTGCATTCGCTTCTCTTCCTTTCTAATCCATTCGCTGCAGAATGAGCATCTTTTCATATCTCATTTCCATAGTCCTGAGGATGGCTACACGTATCTCGAGGCAGATGATTGGCTATCCGATGGTCAGATGTCGGCATCATCTGTAATTCACACGCCGAAGCTCCCACAGAAAACGAGCGCGAGGGTCAGTACAACGGTGAGTTCATATTCTCCCTCTTTGGTGTTTGGGGTTGAAGCTCATCGTAAGATTTCGCCTGTATAGATGATGGACAAACTTCGAGAAGCCAGCGAATCGGTCACTACCAGTGCCGAAGTAGTTCGGTACATCCAAGATATCGTGGTCTTCTTACGTCTGAGCCGCGCTGTGGGTGGCGGGATATCTGCTCGAGCGAACTTTCAGTTCGCCCGACTTGCAGAGTAAGGCGATATCTGTTGCTGTAGGCATAGTTCGAACGGGTTAACTGACACAATTCCGACAGACTCCTTGCACCTCTACATGGTATAGACTACCTTACTCCGTCAATCGTGGCACTTGCTGCGAGAAAGGTGTTCCGACACCGTATTGTCGTCACTGCCCCTGGTGATGATCGAAGTCTGCAATACGGGAGTGACTTAGCGGCTGTCTCCCATGTCCTAGCAGATGTAACGCCGGATTCAATTCTGGACGGCGTCTTGGCGCTGGAGCCTCCCATCTGATGTACATCCTTCTATCAGCTCTGCATCACCTTGGTTTAAGGCGTGTTCACTCTGGTCGCTTGTTTTTTCTCTGAGGAGTTTGCGTTTGAAATACCCCTGATACGCAATAGAAATTCGATAAACTCCCCCCGCTGTGTTCCATTCAACTATTTCAAAAAGTCTGTGCAGCATAGTTAAACACGAAAAGGAATAGGAAATATGGATACAAAAAGTCAAACCAATAATCATCAAGTTGTGGTCTGCGGCCTCAACTCTAAGAACAAATCCGGGGGCGTATACTTGCGTTGACCCTGCTCATCTCCATTTGCGGTCGGTTTGCGGTCTGCGTCTAAGCATCGCTCCCCGTGGCTGCGTTCTGCGCCCTCTCCATGCCACGCGCTCTCCATGGCCTTCGAATACGTGCGCCACTCTGCCAGGACGACATCAATCTCTGTCTTCGCGTCGCCGACCAGAGCATCCATTTTGATGTCATTCCGATCATAGCCGAAGGGGTCCTCTAACTGGGAGCCTATACCCTCGATACCATAGAGTGTAAAGATTACTAGGCAGACGATTGGAATAGCCCACCAGCCCATCTCATCAACCATAGCAAAGGGCAGGACGCAGCCAAATAGAGCGAGGACCTGTTTCTGGTGGATACTGTTTTTTACAAATCAATTAGCAATGTCAACCCATAGGCAACCTACCCTTGGACTTACAGATGTGCCACCGGCATTGGAGTCAGCTTGATCGTTTCCATTCTCCCATATGCATCCAAAAATGTATTCAGCTGTGCCTGCATTTGACTTGCGCCAGGCGCATTGAACCACCCACGGTTCTCTCCACGCTTGATAAACCCATCAACGAAAAACGTGAGTTGGTACGGAAGGCCGAGTCCCTCATCTTCATGGCCCTCCAGTCCAGCTGGAAGCAAGCCCGCGTAGTCGGGGTTATACGCAGCGGTGCCATGCTCGTCCACGTCATGCCCCAAAGTAGCACCTATCGCCCAGGCAGCTCCCCATTCTGCGCGGAGATGGTTTTTGACGGCGAATGGGATGGCCATCAGGATGCGAATGGTGCGTTCGACGTCCTGGCTTTCCGCGAGAGTGGGCGGGCCGCGGGTTGCGCTGTAGCTGTTAGTGACGATGGTGCGCGTTAGGTTGCGCAAGCAGGTATTCATCGTGCTCATGGCATTTCTTCCGTCCCAGAATCGGTTGTAGGAGGTCTGGTTGCGGAAGACGAGCATCAGGCCAACCACGATAGACAGCGACGGGATCTGAGGGCATGTCAGCGAGATATTTCGTTGATAATTGGAAAGAATTCATACGATGCTAGCCGGGAGGCCGACAGTTTCGAAAACATAGGTGTCAAGGTAGACGACAAAGGCTGTGAAGACGGCATGCAGGAAGACTGGTAGTAAAATCTCCGCGTGGATCGCCCCCTTGATGAAACGGAAGACCAGCGGCCATCTTCACGAGATATGAGATATTGTTCGGTCCCGGAATAATTGGGAATCGTACCTTCTTGGCTTCTTCCGCGACGACAACAGATGCGGATGTGTCGTCCGCCGTTGGTGGTGCCGCCCGTACGTCAAGGTGTTTTGGCGACTCAAAGTCGGGGTCGGCGGCTCGCTGAAGTTCAACCGCATCTTGCTTCGAGTCGATCGGCGATAGCGATAGTCGGTCAGCTGTGGAGATGGCACCGTCGATCGGCGCAGTTACCCGCTTGTCACCGGGATTAGATCGAGGGAGAGGTGTGGAGGTAGTCGGATGGCCAGCTATCTTGAGAGACAAGTTTCTTGAATGGCCCTCGCGTCAGGGGTGGGGAAACGCTATGATCACCACGCACGTTGACATCCTCGTGGCTTTCTTGATTAAGCGCCACTGGCGAGTAACTAACTTAGTGCGGTAAGTACTCCTCATTGAGACACCGCCATTTGCCCATTTGCCCCGTAAGTAGTCTACATCGAAAGAAAATGTTCGAATTTAGCTTCTTTAGTTGTGATGATTTACTACATTCTCTCCAATTAAATCGTATTCCGCTACAGAATCGCTGGGTCTTGCATATGCGGGCGGAGCGCTAGATTTTTTGGGTGGATCAGCCAATCGTAATTGCCAATAAAAGATTTAGAATCATACAGGGCGACCCAGCTTGGGAATAAGAAGCCTCAATCAATAAATCAATGAATAATATAGGGCTAAAAACTGCTATACCGCATCTGATCACCACATCCGCTCCCAGGCACGTCGCACCCAGTTCATCTGCGCCAGTTCGGCCTTCCGTCGCTCCTCCCAGCCACCATCTTCCCATTGCTTGCATTCCTCGTCCACCTCCGCTTTGCCAGAGTACAGGTCTGCCTGGGCGGGATCTACAAACTTGGTCCGGTGATACACTTTCCAGAATATGAAGGTGACGGCCCAAAAGGCAACGCCAAAGTATGAGGTCACAAAGCCCTGCACACTGAAGGGCTTGAAGACAGAAAATCCGTTGAAGATGGCTGTTGCGATGCCAATGACGACAGCAAACCAGGCGAAATATGGCTGGAAAGGAGAGGCCCAGGGAACGAACGATTTGCGATCAATGCCCTGTGCCTTCAAGGCGCGGTACCAGGCCAGGAAAACGAGGAGCATGCCCGTGTAGGTCAGCACGAAGGCGATGGTGGTCAAATCGACGAACCAGTAGAACACGGTCACGGAAGAGGAGCCCGCCACGAGGAAAGTGATGCACGAGAGAAGCGAGACAGTAAGCACACAGTTGACAGGAATACCGGATGCAGTGCATTTGAGAAGGAACTTCGGGGCTTGGCCGTCGCGAGCGAGCGAGTAGAGGGTTCGACTGGAACTGTAAACATACGCGTTTCCGCAGGACCAGCCAGATAGGAGAATCAGGAGATTGATCAGATCAGGGAGGCCGGTGATGCCGAGATTCTGAATCCCGATCACCCAGGGTGAGGCCGCGGATCCGGCGGCGCCAGAATCAATAGCGGACATCAGACGAGGATCGCGGGGGTTACAGATGATACCGACAGCCAGCACGCCGACCACATAGAAACCAACGATACGGTAGAAGGTCATTTTGACGACTCGAGGAATGGTGTATCGCGGGTTCTGAATCTCTCCTGCGGCCAAAGCGGGCAGATCAGGACCAGCCACAGAAAAAGCAGCATAGACCATGACGGAGAAGAACCCAAGGAATCGGCCCGTAACCCCGTCGGTATAGTATTCAAACATCACACCATCAGACCAGTTGCGGAATCCGTATGCATCGTGCTTCGGGTTGCCGCCAACCATCGTGATAAAGGTTATGAGGACGAGACCGATCAAGAGCAAGATTTTCGTGGATGCCATAATGAACTCGCTCTCGCCATAATATTTGACAGCAACAAAGTTGAGTAATGAGCAGACCACGAGGGCCATGGCCACCCAGACTGCGGGATTAACGCTCGTAGTCCAGAATTGCATCACGGTCGCAACAGCTGCGTATTCTGTACACACAAGCATGACACCCCCATAGAAGTATACCCAGCCCCTACAGTCATGAGTATTGATCCCGGCCTCGGGGGGGGGGGGTTTCCCAAAACGGGAAACTTACATAGCAAAACCAAATGCTGGGTCGATGAAGCGCGCAGCCAATTCGAAGATTGATCCTCGAATAGGAAGATAGGCACACATCTCGCCAACACTCAGGTTAGTCGGCAGAATGAAGAGCACGCCCCAGACCAAGTATCCAAGAAACAATGACAGCGGACCTGCATCCCGGAGGTAAGACCCAATGCCGACGAAGAGCCCGGTTCCAATGGAGCCTCCGATGGCCATCAATTGCACATGGCGGGATGCGAGACCGCGCTTTGTTTCGCCGTACGCCTCGACGGTGCCAGTGCCAGAGCCAGCACCCTCGCTAGGAATGGAAATGTCTGCAGCAGAAGCCTTCTTCTCCATGGTGGTCGTGTGCTGGAGCACCGTGAGGATGCATCCAGCAGATGAGCGGGGACATAGTCCTTATATGCACCCTGACGTTGGGGCCAGGGAGAATAGACTCAGGGTACGGTGCGGGGACAGTCCCTACACATTCAATCGCTGCGGTGGAGATACCACATCCCTATCGGGAGATGCAAGCGATGCAGCGCATCGGACGACTTCCATTGCGCATGCTCCATCTTGGCAGCACGTCTAGATCATATCTCGGATTGATAAGAGCGATACCAGGTTCAGGCGTGTTATCGGTGACGGACTGAAAAGGGGAGGAGAAGGCGGCGCTAGTAAGCTGCCAAGTGATAAGCTCATCAGGGATTGGGCCATAGCGTGTTAACCCCGGACGGCTGCCGTGTCCAAGGGTTCCATACAGCCGCTGTGCGTATCATTACTCTAATCAGTCTCGGGGAGGGGCTCTTCATTTTATAGAAGCTGTATGGGAAGGCTTATGGTCGGCAGAAATCTAGCCAGTATAAGGGACAGTTTCAACTAGTTATACATATACAGCTAAGGTAACAAATGACTTCAAAAAGATAAAAGGCAAACCAACACAGAAGAAATTAACTCCATTATGCCAAGCCTTTCCGGGACTTGGCAGTCAAAGATCGTGTGTCTGTCAACCAATTCGAAGATAATAAAATGAGATAGAAAAGGAACTCAATAAATGGATTTGCGCATTACGCATCGCCAAGCGAGCTTGGCAGACCCATGTTCTGCTTCATTCCCCAACTATATCCGCAGATAATGACCAAATCAGCTGTGAATTCTGGATTCGAGGCTCCTTGGACGATCCCCGCAGGCTTCTCGAAGTCCATCCGAATAACGGTTGATCATAATTTGATGTTGACTCCCCACCGGATTGCCTCACAAATCAGGATGCGATGGTAGCCCGCCCGATGGACTTGGAGATAAGGGCGCCCATATTTCTCTAAGACAGGGCTGTGTATTGTGAGTTGATATGATTTCCCCGCTCTTGGATCACAAATGGAATTAGGTAAAGTGTGATCGCAGGGATTTGTTGCAACAAGCCCCATTCGTCTAAAGCTCCCGATAATAACGATATGAAGTTGATCGGACATGATTAATTTAGTTCTACACTTGACACTTGACCCACCATCACCTCCGGGGAAATATAAAAATCTGGGGGCGATACGCCTAGAGAATCGGGCCATTCGAAACCACCCCAGTCTTTGTGATTAATAGAGCTCCTTAGTATCGGGTTGTCGCATTGCGTGAGTCGGAGGGTCTGAAATTGACACGCCTCGAACAGAAGGAATAGAACGAATACCCACCCTGCTCTTGGAAGAATAGAGTTCCTTGAAAGCTTGGATTAAATGAACGTATTGCAGTATGGGTATTAAACTAGAGCTTTTCCCCCGTGTCCCTTGGCGCTTGCTGATAGGTTGAGCAGCCGACGCTGCTTACACGTCCTCGAGGTTGGAGCGCAGTGATAATCCTTGAACATCCTGGGCGACATCTCACAATCTAAATCGTCGCTGCAAGGATCGCCGGGGCAACTTCTTCCAAACTTTGATGAAACAAGATAACTCCTCCAGATATGGCCGTCTCTGGTGGTGACTCCCTTTTGGCAATTCACACTCCCGGCTTGTCGGCCGATGGGCAATTCTCTAGCCCTATCACCGAAGGTAAATAAATCATAATGTGGTCGGTCGAATGTAATTATTTCATCTTGACAGTTGGTGTCTCTGCTTCTCGTTAATTCGATTGCTCTCTAATGGGTCTCGGTTTGAATCCGGTCCACCTACTGGTAGATTGTGCAGATGTTCTCGATTCCAGGTTCGTGGGGGCACGGAATATCGATGGATCCAAGACAATTACGACTATTTTGACATTAGTTACTCTCCATGGATATCAGGGGTCGTAGGAGCGACTGACGCCAGGCCCTTGAGCTCAAAACACGCGCCCCATTCCGCACGTTGTTGGATACCATTCATAAACCGCGTGGACGTTGATATCACGGGCTTTCGATGCACGTTAGCTACCGCTACACGCCAGGGCTGGATCTGTAGAACAGATGGACAGGCGTCTTACCAGTGGTTCAGCTATACTATTGGCCTGCGCCGACGCCAACCCCGCCAGCATGAAACAGGCGGTAACCAACAGCTGCATTCTCAAAGAGGTACGTGACGGGGGCGAAAGCAGATCTTCCCTCAAGCCTCTCGTCTCGCGGTATATAAGGGAAGGGAGTGATGGACAAACAAAGGAAGTCAATCCCCAGCAGCGACACCTCCCACACGAACAAAGATCCATTCAAGCGCGCGCATGATGGCCCATGTCCGTCGCTATAAACGGCGAGGTCACTGCAGGGCCGGCCCCCCACCCCGCAGACGAAGACCGCCCCAAGGGCCAAGAGCCACACGCCCCAGCCCCGGGCCCGCCTCTGGTTGAGGGCGGAGTTGCTACCCGAACACCCGCCGCCCTCTTAGTGGCTCGCGTGGCGCTGGGCGTTCCCTGCGCCTGCCCCCTTGGAGCAAGGCGCGAAGTTGATTGCTAAGGCAGAGAGCAAGAGACGGGCATGACTAGCGTCATATCGAAAGTTCCCGGGTTCAAGATGGTTGTTGCCGTCAGCTTACCTAGTGCATACGCTCATCAAGGAAGATTTGGCCTTAGAGATGCAGCCGTGAATGAATTGAAACCGCTTAATTGTGATGCTGAGTAGCTAGCAAAGGAAAACTATGTAGCACCTACCACCAGACACTATGATAATTTCCACCGAGGGCAGATGGTGTACATGCATGCAAGGGCGCTAAGCAAGTATCTGATACGGGACGCAGAAATGCAGGGACCAGTTCATCCTACTGCCAAGCGGGCCAAAAACAGAACCAGTAGGGGCGAAGAGCTCCATCGGGGTAGATGTTGGGCCCCCAATATCCGAAGCACTGGATCTTTGAGGGCCCATTCCAGGATGTATTAATCCATCGCCATGTTGAGGCTTGGATCCTGTGGGCGTTGGCCCCACCGGTCAGGTGGCTGATCAGTCCCCGGCACCAAATTCGGACAGCCTGGAGGCGGGGTTCACCAGCCCGCAGGCTCAAGAATGGTTCATAAACCTTGAGGAGGCAGGCTCGACGAAACTCAGAATCCATCTGGCCTCCTCGGTCGAGAAACAGGGCAATAGGGTTACAAGCTTATCAATAAACCTTACTACAGATACGAGACATCACACGTTCGATGTGCTTCAGACAAAGGATCCAGATTGGCAAAGAATAAGGTTTATAGATACCCGGGTTGTCAAGACATAAACTACTAGATCGGACGCCAACCGCAAGACGAAGTCGGAGAAGATGGCAGAAAGAAAACAGGGCAAAGCAAGAGACCGGCCCAAAAGAAGGTTCCTAGTTCACCCCACAGACGATCAAGCTCATGATGACCAGCCCAGGCGGCTCAATGGGTATATCGAAAAAAGGGGAGGGGCGGAATGCAATACAGTCAAAAGGAAATTAGGATGAAAACGAAAAAGGACATTGTAGAGGACAAATGAGGAAACGCCGAGGTGCCATGAGCAGTTCCAACTGGACGAAGAACGCTATTGAGAAGGGCTGATAGATGGACCGGAAAAACTCAAAAGGAGACCGAGACTGAGGGTATGCAAACCCGCTCCGGAAGGGTTCACAAGATGCAAAAGTTGGCGGCTCAATATGGGGGATTAAATGCTCATTTTAAACGGCACAGGAGGAGTGCGGATGATTGCCCAACAGTTTGTCCATGAAAGGTGTTTCGAAATTGCAGGGCCTCGTCACCGCATGCCTGCGCGACCATCAAAGGCCAGCGGGCCCGAGTCGTTCCGTGGGGTCAGAGGGTTTTCATCAGAGGTCTCCGAGCGAACAGGGGTGTCCGCGCGAAGATGTGACTGTCGCGCCGCAGGAACGTTGAGTGGTGGAGTGGGCTGAAAACCGGGGATGCTGATGGTGGCACTCCGGGCAAGGTCATCGTGACTCGTGGGAGGAGCGGAGGAGCCCGAGCTGCGGCGCTCTTCTATGTCTGCCACAGACCCCGCATCATTATCGTCTTGTAAATGTAGATTCTCGACGTCGGTGACCAAGTCTGGTTCTTCCGAGTGGGGTTCCAACGGGGCGGGCACCTCCTGGCTCTCGTCGCCATTTGCAGGGTGTGCGTTTGCGGATGACAGTGTCTCTGAGCGAGGCTCCGCAGACTCATTCGACGATGCCGCGTCGGTTGGCTCCTTCGTCTCGTCCTTCTCGACAACGTCGGCCGTGTCGTCGACCTCCGCGCTAAGATCGGTAAAGGCACGGCAATTAGGACACTGGAACATTGGATAGTCGGGCGAGTGAAGTAAACGACTGATGCACTTATAATGCCAAACATGGGCACATGCTGCCATAAACAGACATTGGTAGGGACGCTAGATCAACGGTTAGCGCCAGATACGAGCGAGAACAGGTCGCGACAAGACGAACCAACACGGAGCCGAGGCAAATCGAACACTCTCGACAGCCAGAGTAGTCGGCCCCATCGCCTTTCCCCAAGTTCTTGATGAGGCTTTCGGTATTTTTACTGTTCCGTGTTAGCCCGGCACCAATCTCCACAAGAAATAGAAGAGAACGCCCTTACTTGAACTCATTCGGCTGCTGCTGCCAGGAGCGATTGCACTCGATTCGGATCCGAACACAACGGAAAATCATCTCCTCGCCTCCCCGGAAGTCAATCCCCAGCTGCACAATATCGCCATCCTTGATCGAGTAGAGACGAGAGACCATGTTCGGCTGACTCAACCGCATGTGATTCAAAAAAGTTCCGGACGAGCTCCCCACATCCTTGATGTGCCACTGGCCATTGCTGTACAGAAACTCGCAGTGCTTGCGGCTCACGACCTTCGATTTGAAGCCCACTGGAGCATCCGAAGGTTCGGTGGGATTGGAAATCGGGATGCCGTCCCGTTCGGAGTATCGACCGACTCGAATCACGCAGCTCTCGGAGGGTAATGTGCGTGCGGTGGGCACGAACGGGAGGGACGGTCTCGTGCTCTGGAAGGTGTCCTGATAGGGGAAAAATCGAATGGTCGGCTTTTGTTTGGGTTTTGAGGCGGTCTCCTGGACCGCGTCCGCGGGGGTCGTGCTCGTCAAGTCTGGCGCATCGCTCGCGGTGGGCGTGGATTCCAGGGGGGCGGTGGCAGCCTCCGGGGCGGCGGTTCTCGCGATGGTACGAGGCGGGCGACCTTGGACGGCCGAAGCACTCCTCAAGCGCGCCATGGCATTGGAGGTTGCGGGGGCTTGCTCGTTCGGAGGAGTCGATCGTACGGACTCGGCCGACGACGTTTGTGTATCGACACTAAGGCCGTGGGAGCTTGCGGTGGGTGCAGAGGTGTAGCGAGACAGGGCTGGTTGGTCGCTCTCGGGGCCTGCAGCAGTGGAGTTCCCCACCAGGTTCGTTGGAGACTCCGGGCCCGACGACGGGGACAGCCAGGGGACTCGACTACTCAAACTAGTGCGCGACCGTTGCACACTGGGGGAGGAGTGGGAGAGGTTCTGCGTGTAGGCGCGCAGCTGGCTGAAGCGGCGGAGTCTCCCCGGGCGAGGAGAGTCGGCGAGCGCGGTGGAGGCGGTGGCGGTTGAGGCAGACATGGGGCGATTTAGTGGGTTCTTGGCTGGGGGGAGGGGGGGCTGGCGGGGGGTGTGGACGGCCTTCCTGGTGCTGCTGCCGGTCTCTGCATGCGACGAGGGAGTCTGGTTTCCGTCCCACAGATCGGTTGGAGACTGGCAATGGCAATGGGCAGCTTGGGAGAGGAGGTCGGAGTGGGAGCTGCGACTGGACTAGAGCGGCTCAAAGGGAACGGTTTACCAAGACATAGCTCCCAGTGGAACAAAGAAACAAGACCGCGCGAGGCGCACGAGGTGTAGAACAGACAAGCCCAAGAAGAGGTGGCGGGGGAAAGAGAAGGAGGGAAGAGAGGGGAGAGGAATGAGATGTATGGAGAACTCAACCGGGGCACCAGGCTTGTGGTATGTCACTGGCGGTCGAGATTTCGCGGAACCAGACCCAGCCCTCTTTCGGAGGGAAAGGCACGACAGCTACAGCCGCCACACTCCAACGCGATAGGGCCTTGAGGCGAGGGATTTCCACCGCTGGACTGGTTGGGTCTTTTAAGATGGAGGATTCAGTCGGTTACTCGGTATCCCCGTCAACAGCAATGAACCTATTAGCCCACCCACCTCGGGACGACCATCAGACGGACCATCAGTCTATCGGACCATCCCAACCTCAACCCCCCTGGCCAGCGTGCTCACACCTTTTTTGCGGGGAAATAGCCTCTTCCGGCCCGAAAGGCCTCTCGTAGTTTTAGCCGACGGCCCTACCTCCTCACTGGCTCACTGTACTACTCCGATCTGTGCTGGTCCGCCTGGTATTCCTCCCTTCTCTCTTCACTGCTCGCATGTCTCTCCGAGCTTGCTCTGATGCTGTACCCCCTCCATGTGATGCGAGAGACCGCCCACGCCACACTCCGACTATCTCACCCTCTTCCGTTTCTTCGGGATCGTCCGGTGATCATCTGCGTCACGGCGTGGAAATCACAAGGGCGACGAGAGAAGATCGGACGTCATTGGGCCTGTCCTGCACGGACCCCGGAAACAGGCGAGGCAAGTTGAGGGCAACAGCCAGGAAGTATACGTATATCATGGGCGAGAAACGGAGGATCGTCGCAGTCTAGAAGGATAAGGCCCTGATAGTGAAGATGAGTAGTTATTCTGTACCTTCTCGGTGCGCCAAAGGTGCCTTTGCCTAGTCCAGTCAACTACGAGCCATTCATGGGGGCATGGAGAGAGACGCGGAGCATGGGGATTGGCCACAGCTCTCGGGATGATGTTATGCGGCCGCTGGACGGACCGATGGGTGATGGGTGATGGGTGATGGGTGATGGGAGATGGGAGATGGGAGATGGGAGATGGAGATGGGAGAACTGGTTCGATAAGCCCAGAAAAAAAAAGCAAGAGATCAATAGTCCGTCTGCTTCATTCAGAAAGCTCCTGTCTTCTATCTTTCCTGTCGGGAGGTTCTTCGTGCAGAGACCCGCCACTTGAATCACTCTCCTACGCGAAACGACCGAGCTAAGTGAGCTAGTGAGCTAGTGAGCTCGCGCCTGCAACCTCGTTTCCCTTCCCTCCTCCGCCCCCCTCCCATCTGATCGCCCTTCCCTTATCTGGAGGCACTTTTGGGATCTATCAGCGTGGAACCCTTGGTCCTCCTGCCTTCTCGGGACCCTCCTTTTTATCACGCGCCACTGCTTTGTGTTCCCATCCCAAAGCTTGATCCCATATGCAACAGCCGCCAACCTCCAGCCTCCTCACCCCGACCACTTGAGAGCGCCTCCCCGCCGACTTGTATCGCACCCTCCACCCTCCCTCGGACCCCCCAGCCTCGACACAATCTTGTTCTCGGCCCTGATGCGGGTCTGTTGAGGACGGCATGAGTGGAATCGCGACCACCTGTCTGTCGTGCCTGTCGGCGATCGACCAATGGTGTCAAATCACGGCCTGCCTGGGCGGAAACCGCTCTCGCGATGGCATCTACGAAACCACCCTCGCCGATAATGAACGAGAAGCCGTGTCCGACCTGCTCGGCTATCTCGAGAACGTACGTTGCAATCCTCTCCTCTCGCGGTTCCCGCCCCCTCCTTTCCCGATCGCGAATGCTCGAGATATCCTCTCCCCCCCCCCCCCCCAGCCGGCGGACGTTGCTAACCATCCCGGCCCCCTTTTTGCAGCGCGCCGAAACCGATTTCTTCGCCGGAGAGCCGCTTCGAGCTCTGAGTACCCTGGTCTATTCCGATAATGTCGATCTCCAACGTAGCGCCAGCTTGACCTTCGCCGAAATCACCGAACGAGGTGGGTGGAAGAAACTCGCCTATGAAGATGTCAGACCTAACTCCTACCCTGCAGATGTGCGCGAAGTCGATCGGGACACCCTCGAACCCATCCTGTTCTTGCTCCAGAGCTCCGACATCGAAGTCCAGCGAGCTGCCAGCGCGGCGCTGGGCAATCTGGCGGTAAATGGTAAGCATTGATACCCTTGATCTGTCTATGAGCCCTGTCCGATCGCTGACCGCGACCTCAGCGGAGAACAAGGTGTTGATTGTTGCCCTCGGAGGGCTGGCCCCTCTGATCCGCCAAATGATGTCGCCCAACGTCGAAGTGCAGTGCAATGCGGTCGGTTGTATCACCAACCTGGCCACCCACGAGGAGAACAAGGCCAAGATCGCTCGTTCGGGAGCATTGGGTCCTCTCATCCGTCTCGCCAAGTCGAAGGATATGCGGGTCCAGCGCAATGCGACGGGCGCCCTGCTCAACATGACCCATTCAGGTACGCAAACTGGGAATGTGGTGGGAGTTTGGGGGGAATGACACAGCTAATGCGGTGCGATAGATGATAACCGCCAACAACTCGTCAACGCCGGTGCCATTCCTGTTCTTGTACACCTCCTCTCCTCCCCCGATGTCGACGTCCAATACTACTGTACAACCGCCCTCAGCAACATCGCCGTGGACTCGACCAACCGGAAACGCCTGGCCCAAACCGAGTCGCGCCTGGTCCAGTCGTTGGTCCACCTGATGGACTCATCAACCCCCAAGGTCCAATGCCAAGCGGCACTTGCTCTCCGCAACCTTGCTTCCGACGAGAAGTACCAACTGGAGATTGTGCGGGCTAGGGGCCTCTCTCCACTCTTGCGACTTCTCCAATCTTCCTATCTTCCTCTGATTCTCTCCGCCGTCGCGTGTATTCGGAACATCTCCATTCATCCGCTCAACGAGTCCCCGATCATCGACGCCGGCTTCCTCAAGCCTCTGGTGGACCTTCTGGGCTCAACCGACAACGAAGAAATCCAATGCCATGCCATCTCCACCCTCCGCAACCTTGCCGCGAGCTCCGATCGCAACAAGGAACTGGTCTTGCAGGCCGGAGCCGTTCAGAAGTGCAAGGATCTGGTCCTCCGGGTCCCGCTGACTGTCCAATCCGAAATGACCGCTGCGATCGCCGTGCTGGCCCTCAGCGATGAGCTCAAGCCTCATCTTCTCAATCTCGGCGTGTTTGATGTTTTGATCCCGCTTACCAGTTCGGAGAGCATCGAGGTGCAAGGGAACAGTGCGGCTGCCCTAGGCAACCTGTCTTCTAAAGGTTCGTTTTTAGACATGCGCTGATGGTCTCTCCGGAGACCTCATGAATCGCGACTAACAAAAAGTAGTTGGTGATTATACAATCTTTGTCCGTGACTGGGCCGATCCGAACGGAGGCATCCACGGCTATCTGCAGCGATTCCTTGCCAGTGGGGACCCCACATTCCAACATATCGCCATCTGGACCCTGCTCCAGCTTCTCGAATCCGAAGACAAGACACTGATCGGCTACATATCCAAATCCGAGGACGTGGTGCAGATGGTGAAGTCAATTTCCGATAAGAACGTCGAGTCCGATGAAGAGGATGCAGAGGACGGCGAAGGCGAAGTCATTGCGCTTTCCCGGCGCTGCCTAGAGTTGCTCGGGGCTGGTCCTAAGCAGACCTTGGTTGAGGCGTAAGCCCTGCCAACGATTCCTTCTTCTTCACGTGCACGATAATTCCCACCCTTTTCGGTCCTTTCTCTTCTTTCTCCCTCTATCTGCTTCCTTTTTTCTCCGTTTCTAAGGGTGTTAGTATGGGCATTGAATTCGCCGAATTCTATTTTCTTTCTGGCAGCGGGCATTTGGAGTGGGCCGGGCCGTGGTTTCTGTGTTTTCTTCCTCTGTTCCGCTTCTTCCATGTCCATCTGATTTCTGGGCCGGTGCCGCTGTCTCTTACTTGTGTCTACGCATACACCGTGTATTCTCGCTAGATCTGGGCTTGTTTCATAATTAATTAGTCCGCAGTGCACAGCAAGTGTGGGTTGTCATCAGCAAGGTAGTTTAGACCAAATTATAGTTCATGAAAGCCATATGTCCGCTGGCGAAGTCGGAACAACTTTCTTCCGTTTCAAACAAAGCTTCCTGCCTAAAAAAATCCCACACCCATCCACCTCTTCGGTCTTGATACTCTGCAATTACATGCCTTCCGGGGCCGGCAACACAATGTCTACCTCTCTTCCACCTGTGGCTATTCCTGGACAGCGCCTGGGCTCAGTTTCTGTGTATGCTGCCGGACCGGGCACCCACGTTCAACAGGCCAACATCTACGCCTCCATTGCCGGGCCCGTCGTCGTTGATCCTGCACAGCCCAAGACGCAAACCAAATCAACTCTGCGCGTGTCAAGAATCCTTCCTGGCATATCCCAAGATGTAGTTGCAGCTCCGCTAGCACCAGCCAAGCCAAAGCCACGCTACAATACCCTTCCCGCCGTCGACTCTATCGTCCTTGCACGAGTAACCCGTGTTCAAAAGCGCCAGGCCACAGTCTCCATCCTCGTGGTCCTTGACAACGCTACCGCGAGCACGGGCGATCTCTCCAAGCTGGCGTCGGATAACGATAACGTCGCCTCCATCCTCACCTCCGCCGCCAACCCGGAGAATCACAGCAGCACTGACGAGCTGCGGTTCCAAGCGCTGATCCGGAAAGAGGACGTGCGGGCTGTGGAGAAGGACCGCGTCGTCATGGATGAAATGTTCCGTGTCGGCGATATTGTCCGCGGCTCGGTCATCTCTCTCGGTGATCAGAGCTTTTACTATCTGACTACCGCGCGCAATGACCTTGGTGTTGTCATGGCGCGGAGTGAGGCCGGGAATATGATGTTCCCAGTAAGCTGGAAGGAGATGAGGGATCCAGTCACAGGAACTGGCGAGCAGAGAAAGGTTGCTCGGCCTTTCTGAGGGTCGATCCTCTTGTCTGACTTTTCCCCCCTGAAGGTCTGGGCCTTCGTTCTTGCCACGAATGCTATTTTGAAGCAAATTTATGGCCTACGCACCACCCGCCTGGTGTGCACGGTCTACGACCCATCTGAGAGTCACGGCATGCCCAGTGCATAACATGTCTTGTTGGCACTGGGGTGTATTCAGCCCTGCACACTCCGGTCGTCACCTTATCTGAGTGGCCCACTTCCGAGTTCCCTTGCGAACTTTTATGCCCTCACATGGACCATGTCATCCTGAGGAACTCTGTTTTCCTCGCTCCGCCCAAGCCACACCAGGTGGCGTGCAACACGGAGATATGGAAGTACCAGTCAATCCTGCTGCGCCGGGAACTCAGTTCCCGCCCGATATGCAGCATAAATGAGATACGTACTAAAGAAATGAAAAGGACATGATTACTTCTCACCCCCTCAGTTTCGCACTGTGGTTATATTCTTTTTTTTAATCGTCGACTATATAGCTCCCTACCTATCCCTCCTTAGTATACACGGTCGAGACCTAATCCATGTCGGACTGTGTTTGTCAATGGAGGCAGATTGACAGATTCTTTGAATCACGCAGTGGACTCTCATCTACTGCGAAGCCCCCGGACTCGTCTTTCCCGTTTCATAGAGTGATGGGATGGAGATCCGGGGGTTACATTTACCTTAGAATCCTTCGTATTTACTTACTGGTCTCTTGGCTACAAGACAAATCATCACACATTTCAGTCGCATGAACAGTAGTATAATCGTTCCACTTTTGTATATTCACCCATCTAAACCCAAACGCAAGACAACACAGGGCCAGAAAAGTAACCAATCCCAGTAAATGCATAAGATCCTTACTTTTTTAACGTCTTCTGCTTCTCCGCATCAATCAACTTCCGCCCCTGCACAACAAGCCCCTTCCGATTCCGCACGGCATCCATATACCTCTTCGCCACATTCTCACGGTCCGCTAGCTCGCCCAGATCCTCCAGCTCCTCCTCCGTCGCAGGGACCCAGAACGGATCCTGGTCGAGGGCCTCGAAGCCCGCGAAGATGAGCTGCGGCTGCGCCGCGCCGGAGGTACGCTTGCGGATCTCTTCGGCGAATCCGAAGGACTCGGCCACAGGGAGGAGGGCAAGGATGGTGAAGAAGGGTGTGCCTTCTTTCATTACCTCGGTAAGAATGCGGCCGCGACGGCGGGTTATCACGCCGTAGACACGCCCGAGAACTTCCGCTGTTCGGGGGAAGAGGGCGGGATGTTAGTTTTTGAGCCTTGGGAGGAGGGGGTAGTTTCTTATTTGGAGAACGTACTGGTGGCTTGGATTTCGCAACTGTACATTGCGAGCATGATGCGGGAGCTCCAGTCCAGGAAGCCCTGGGAGATCCCTTCGCGGACGAGCTTGATGGATTCACCTGTCAGGCGGCCCATGTCCAGCTCGTCGCTGGAGCTGGCTTCCACGGAGAGGTCTTCCAGGAATACAGCGACGCCTTGCATGGGCTCCTGGCAGAGAGGACCCTGGCCCGTGGCCAGCTGGAAGGCGTATGCGATTTTGTCGCAGAAGTCACGGACCAACAGGGCCTGCATATCATCGGAGGAAATGGAGTTCTGCTTCGGGTCCTCAAGCAAGCTATAAAATAATCGTCAGTTTTTTTGGAAAACCATGTGGAGACAGTTTTCTTGTAGACTCACAATTTATCGCAGGTGTTGACTGCAGTAGCGTCCACCAAAATATTGGGCCCAACTCTCCGAGGTCCGAAAGCAGTGATTCTGTTGACAACATCCTTCCAAAGCTCTTGGTCTTCCTTGACCTCCTCGTTGAACACTTTGTCTAATTCATCCCGGAACTCTTTCATGGAGAGGACGTTGCCCTCGCCGACCTCGACAACAGTGTCGGCGCCAGTAACCTCAATTTGCTGAGCACTCTCTTCAGCTGTATTCTCTGCATCTGGCTTTGCTTCGGCAGCAGAATGCTTCTCAGCCTGGAGTCGCTTGATAGTACCAACTTGCTTGGTCAAGAAGTCGGTTACAGCAGTAGGCATTGGCACTACGCGCAGGCGGAGGGTCATCTGCTTGGAGGCAGAGACAGATAGGACGGCTCCACGGCCCAGTTCTGGGTTCTTGGGCGGAGCCATGTCTGGTGCATCGACGATAGTTTCACGGTAGGGCACAATAGCCTCGCCAGTCTGGATTTCACAGCGGGCAAAGCGCTCACGTAGATCCTTGACGCAGCGCTCCAAGTGCAACTCACCCGCTGTCAAGATAACGTGTTCACCGGACGGGAGAACCTCGTACTGTGCGCATGGATCACTCTGCTCAAGGAGACGCAGGCCGGTTATCATCTTCCCAAGATCCGCCGGGTTGACCGGTTCGAGTGCAACGCGCACAATAGGGGGGTGCTCAACGAAACACCAGCCAAGTTAATGCTACCTTCGAGCTGGCTGCACAGAGTACCAGTCTTGAGCACATAGCCTGCAAGACCACCAATTCCAAAGACCACACCTGCGGGAACTGATTGGAGCGGCTCCAAGCTCCTGCCCATAAGCAGGTACAAGTCGGTGACAGTAACCTTCTTCGGCTCCGGGCTCGCGTGTGGATTTGCGGGTGAGAACTTCGGTGGCAGCACATAGATCGAGTCTCCAACTGAAAGGGTTCCCGAGTACAGTCGAGCGAAGCCAATGAGATGTTCGGGGTCTTCCTTCTCCGCCGGCTCTTCGGGCTCATCAGTCTCGATAATCAGAGACGTATTCTCAAAGGCGGATGTCATTCTCGCGAAGTCATCGCTCTGTCCTGCACCAGCTTCGGCCTGCATCTTCGCAATCTCTTCTCTCTTGCGACGAGCAATCTCTCTGGCTTCGTCTGCAGTCATAGTCCCACCAGCGAGTTTCTTGCTAGAGCTCAATTCGCTTTCAGGGATAGCGACCATCTTGCTAACGTAGGCGACGACGGGCTCCTCGGGGCCGGTTTTAAAGCTCACCATGGCTTGTTTGATCTCTTCGCTGATTTTATCTGAGCCAGGTGATGCTTTAATCATGTCCGGCAACCGAGCGGCTTGCGCAGACACAGGACTTGGGAGGTATTCGATGACAGAAACGAGGACGGCAGTGGATAGCGGCAACCATTGGGAGAACAAGGTGGTCATGATGTTCTTTGGGTCACGCGAACGCAGCACGTAAGGAGGAATGTTGATGTTCAAAGATTTGGTGATCTTCTCCAGCAAAACAGGGTCACTATTAAAAGAAGTCAGGTTAGGTATCACACATTATGGCGGCCGTGCACAGCTTACCCTTTGCCCTTTCCACCTCCAGTTGTGGCTTCATATGCAGCCCAAATGCTGTCCAAAACCAATTGCACGAACATAGGCTTCAATGCCCTGCCCTTCAAATGCTTCTGGCCCAGCACGCGCTTTGTTTTAGGGTCCAAGTAGAAATCACCCCAAAGCACTTTCTCCAAAATAGTCCGCTTGATACCAAGTTTCTTCTCGTAGATGGCAGCAAATTGTCTGATCGTAAAGGCCCAGCCATCGACCGCGCTGCAGAAGATGACGTTGTTCTTCTCGGGTGCGAAGTAAAGGTCCTCGTCATCACGCTCCTCAAACTCGGCGAATTCGCTGACACTTTGGACCGATTCGTCATCCAGAGCATGCGTTTTGGTCTTATCTTTGTCCCGAGCAGCGGCGGCGTTGACACGATCTTCCATGCGCTCTCGCCACTGCAGGTCCTCCTCCATGCGCTCACCCTGGTAGAAGCTACCAATGACGGCATTGATCTGCTCCAGAAGTCTACTGAGATGCGAATAGGCCTCGCTGGGACTCATCATGAGCTCCGTCACCAGCCGGTCCATCTTGTTAATGACGAGGATAGGCTTCAGCTGCTCGACCCAGGTTTGACGCAGCACAGTCACAGTTTGACTGCAGACACCCTCAACGGCGTCAACCAGCACAACTGCACCATCGCACAGTCGAGATGCCGTAGAGACCTCACTGCTAAAGTCAATATGGCCGGGAGAATCAATCAGATTGATCAGATACTCCTTCGGCACAGGCGCGGCCTCTGGGCTAGGACGACGCAACATCGAGAAAAACAGCGATATGGCCGAGGACTCCATCGTGATACCTCGAAGCTGCTCGTCTGGCCTCGAGTCTAGGTAGCGGATCTTGCCCGCTAACTTGGGCGAGATGATGCCATTGGTGGCTATCAGGCTATCCGTCAATGAGGTTTTGCCATGATCCTAAATAAATCAGGAGAAAAGCGCAGATGATTAATAGGGATCTCAGGGAGCAGTTCGATTATTTGCTTAGACTTACGACGTGGGCAAGAATGCAGATCTACCGCCTTGGTTAGTATATCGCGGGCCTGACATCAGAGGTGGGATGGAGGGGCAGAGAAACTCACATTGCGAATGTCCTCAGGCTTCCGCTGCAGGCGAACAAGATCGTCCACGTTGACCACGGGCATCTTGACTGGCACTGATAACCTCTCCCTGTGTCCAGCGGGTCTAGCGAGCGTGAAGTGGTGGGGAGGAAAAGCTGTCGGACTGAGCACCGGAGAAGAAAAAAGTTGCTGAGAAATGCAAATACACCAGGCGCCCTTCTGGCCGACGACTAAAATATCTGAGCCGCGAAACAAGCCGTTAATAATTTGGTTTCCATGTGGTTACCAAGAATAAATCGAATTACGAAATGTTTGACTTTGTTTTATTTTCCAATTATTCTAAAGAGGCTAGAAAGTGGCGCTAGTGCTATACAGTTTCGTCATTGCATTTGACTCATGATGAATCAAGACTTCCGATCTTTGAGTCAAGATGTGATCTAACTCTTTACTCCTAGTACGGCTGATAGCAGAATGCCCTTTGAAGATACCAAGCTTACTCCTCGTCAAAGGATAGTTTGATCTTCTTGGCCTTTTTCGACTTCCGAGGAGCTGGCGCCACGGGCTGCGCCGCGTCGGTCTCTGGCTTCTCCCCTGACTGCTCCTCGGCCTTGTCTTCGCCGACAACCTTGATCTGTTTTCGCTTCTTCTGGCCGCCGACTTCGGTGAGGTTGCTCTGTTTAGCGCTCGTGGTTTCCGTCAGAGACTGCGCCTGGTCCTCTCCGTCGGCCGTGGCTTTGTCCTTTGCAGTCTCGCCGTCCTTCTTGTCCGTGTCTCCCCCGATAAGAGCTTCATACTCTGCTTTTGAAATCACCTCGTTGCTTTCTTCGTCGACATAAACGGGCGCATCGTCGTCTTCTTCATTCTTATCCTTGAGCTTTCGAGGGCGTGCGGAGGGTCGCTCCAGGCGACCGGAAGTATCCCCATAGTGGCCACGAAGCTTCTGAAGAAACGCAGGCTCCTTTGCCTCTAGTATATGCGTGAGAATGGTTTGGGAGGCAGGCAAGGCGCGGCATACCGTAGGCAAGCTTCGGGTTCTTCGACATGGTCGTGCGACACTGGGTGGTGTAGCTAGCTGCTCTCAGGTCAGGTTCATGCTGTACACGTGCTCGAAATATAGCCCGTAGTCAATCAGTTCAATCTAGGCATTGAAGCGAATGCCACTGGAATGGACGCTTAGGCAAAGAGCAAGGTGGTAGTGTCAAAAGGGCAATTAGCAAGGCGCAAGTCGGCGCCGCGAACAGCTCGCTCGGCGCTAAACCATAACAGGACACATCGAAAAGTCCAAAGGAGCCGCTTCGCGTCTTCAGGTCCTCTCCATCCAACTACCTCCACCCACCCCCAATTAATCATGCTCTGCGCAAGTGAGTGCTCTATCTTTGATGGTCTTAGAGTCGCTGCTGTTGAGCCTCTTATTCTAATGCAAAAAATTTGTTATAGTCTCCGGAGAGGCCCCTCAAGTGCCGGTCGTCTCTTCCAAGAGCGGTAGGTCTTCCAGCCTTTGGACTGCGCATAGCTTATGTCTAACGCCTCAGCAGGCAGTGTCTTCGAGAAGCGCCTGATTGAGGCATATATTGCCGAGAATGGCAAGGATCCCGTGAACGGCGAGGAGCTCAGCACCGACGATCTGATCGAAGTCAAGTCGCAGCGCGTTGTCCGACCCCGGCCTGCCACCCTCACCTCCATCCCTTCTCTGCTCAGTGTATTCCAAGAGGAGTGGGATGCGCTGGCTCTGGAAACATATACCCTGCAGCAGAATCTGGCACAGACACGACGCGAGCTGAGCGCTGCACTCTATCAGCATGATGCCGCCGTGCGAGTGATCGCGCGGCTAACGAAGGAGAGGGATGAGGCCCAGGATGCGCTTTCGGCGGTGACTGTTGGTGCTACTCGCTCGGGAGCTGGCGGTGAAGCTATGCAGGTAGACTCCGCGGGCCTGCCCCAGTCGGTGTTGGAGCGGGTTGAGAATACACAGGCAGCGTATGTGAATCCCGGTGACTCCCAAATAGGTTGCTTTGTAATACTGACGTCTATACCCTTTTTCATAGCCTCTCGAAGACTCGCCGTAAGCGCGCAATCCCCGAAGGCTGGGCCACCAGCGACTCTATCTCAGCATACAAGCCCATTGATAGCTCCGAGCCTCTTTACCCTGGTGGTCGGGCCCTTGCAGTCAAATCGACTGGTGATGTGGCGCTTGTTGGAGGGGTTGATGGTGTTGTTGGCGTCTACTCCCTCTCCCAGAAGGGTGTAGTGCAGACTCTGAAGACAGACGGCCCTGTGACCGATGCTACATGGGCCGGTGACAAGGCCGTTATTGGATCGGCCACAGGCTCAGTCAAAGTGTTTGAGAATGGCAGTGAAGTGGCAAGCTTTAAGTCTCACGCTGGTGAGGTGACTGCTGTTGCCACACATCCCACTGGTGACCTTGTCGCCTCTGTGGGCGTCGACAAGAGCTATGTGCTCTACGACTTGGCCACTAACGCGGCCATTACCCAGATCTGGAGTGATGCCGGTAAGACCCGTTCCTTGGTATTTTCTCATACTGAACCAATGACTGACATGTCTTGTCTAGCTTTTCTGTCTGTACACTTTCATCCCGATGGTCATCTGCTGGCCGCCGGCGATGCCAATGGACATGTTAAGATCTTTGATGTCAAGACTGGAGTCGAGGCTGCCGACTATGTCATGTCAGGCCCAGTCAAAGATGTCTTCTTCTCTGAGAACGGTACCTTTTTGGCTGCAGTGGCTGCGCAATCTACTACCGTCTCCATCTGGGACCTGCGCAGCTCTAAGGAAACCAAGGTGCTGGACACCGGCAGCCAGGTCAACTCAATCTTCTGGGATTACACTGGCCAGTTCCTCCTGACCGGAGGGCCCAGTGGCGTGACCGTCCAGCAGTTCAACAAGTCAGCGAAGGAATGGTCTGAGCCGCTGCGCAGCGCAGTCCCAGCTGTCTCCGTGGCGTGGGGATCTGCTGCTCAGAGCATTGTGGCCCTGAACGAGAGTGGTGCAGTTACAGTGCTGGCAGCATCATCATGATTGATTGGGCGAAATATGTAATTTTAGAGCTGGTTATCTGAGTTTCCATGGTGTTCCTTGCGTTTGCGACAGCTCTTGATGCAGGAGAAATTCACGGTTTTTCTTCCAAAATGAGTGATTCACAACCCGAAAGAAATGATTGCTGGGATGTAGTAATCCAGCTACATAATACCCGAACTTCAGACCTTAACTTTTGGACCCTGACTTCTTTTAGGAACCACGCCATCTGCATATCTACATCTGCTCGATATAGACATTCTTGTCCATCTGGCTTACCGCCTAACGTTCTAGTGGCAGTGTCTCACCGCTGTCTATCACCTCAGCAGAATTGTACCGCCCCGGGGACTCGGGCCTGGTCATCATGTCGACCCGGGAGGATCGTTCCCTTTGCTCGGCTACTCTGTGGTCGTCTTGCGTGCCAATTCACGTTGTGGTGCCCTTCTTCCCAACTCTGTTGAGTTTGAATACTGACATGAGTGAAGACCCTGGCGTCCAGTTCATGGGCGCCAGGTCCAAGGTGAGTAACGACCTCAAAGCGCGCGGGGCAACTAATCATGATATAACCTTTTGATTGACGATGAATGCTAATTTCGATAGCGAACTCACCGCCAGATGTCCCAGGAGTCCAGTGAAGGGGGCCAGCCGTCCTGGCACCATCACTTTCATCCTCCGCGCCCCGACATGTCAGGCTCTCGTCCGGCCCGCTTGCCACCCATGAGAACACCCCGAGATGGCTTTGATTTTCGCCGGCCAGCCGAGATCACACCCCAGGAGGGTGATGTGATCGATCTGACAAATGAGCCTGAAACTCCTCCGCGGAGCACTCAGCCTCGCATTGCCGAGAGCCGATCTCCACACTCCGCACGACTCCCACGCTTTGGAAGAAACATCATGGCAGAGGCAGCGGACGTTGTCGATCTAGAAGATGACCGGGATAATGCAGGCGAAGGGCCTTCCAGCAGTCCAGAGGTTCAGTTTGTGCGGGCCACTACTGTACGCCAACAACCGCCGCCTAGAAGATGGGATCCTCTAAGCTTGTTCCAGACCAACTTGCCACTACCTCGTCCCCGACACCACAGTGAGATGCATCACTTTGGCGCTTATCCAAGGCCACCAAGGCATGGCATTATGCCTAGTCAGGTGGACGCCCTCTTCCTAGGTACAAGACCCACCATTCCTAATCTTGGATCTCCCGATGTTCTTCTCGACTACGCTCTTTCTTCATTCTCCATGGAGCCAGTGCCAGGCCGGAACGAAGAGAGACGCCGACGTGATACGTATAAAGCGCCCAGTCCAGTTCCAGAAGGGTTCAGTCGAACACTGGGTGAGGATGACATTGCCATTTGTCCGAATTGCAACTGGGAGTTAGGCACTGGTGAAGGAAAGAAGCAAGAAATTTGGGTTGCAAAACAGTGTGGACATGTTCGTATCCCCCGACTTGAGCTGGACTTGAATATTTTCGAAGGCTAATCTTATACATTTCGCAGGTCTACTGTGGTGAATGTGCGGAGAACCGGTCTCTGTCGAAGGCCAAAAAGACACAGGCAACTCAAAGGACTAAGCCATTTTCTAAGTGCCAAGTCGAGGGGTGCGGCAAGCCAGTCAGCGCACCTACGGCCATGCTCCATTTATACCTTTGATGCCGTCCAGGATCTCTTCATTTGTTCATTTGCATGACGGGCGGTGTTCTCTGGTTGCCTTCTTAATCTTTATTTATCTTGTCGATACCCAACATGCATGGACACAGAGGGCGTTTTGTATTTATTTCCATCTAGGTCATCTTCACGTTCAATATTTACCCTTCTTCGGGCAATAGCATGCGAAGCCTATTGCTTTTGAGTCTGACGACCCAAATCGTAGATCCGGATCAAAGTAAGAAGGCAGAAAAGACACTTAACAGGAAGGAGATGTCGGCGATCGTGGATTGACTGTAAATTCGAATTTATTTCGAGGAGTATGGTAACTCGGCTTTGCGATGCAAAACAACACATAGGGTGAAAAAAAACACCGTTGGCTTCCCAGAGAGTAGTAAAAAGGATGAACAGATAGACAAAGAAAAGAAAGAAAGAGAAACCAGTTCAATAATACAGTATGATGCAATGGCAGAGCTTCATCCTTTGCCTGGATGACCGCAGTCATTGCCGGAAAAGAACGCCATCAATACACGGCCATAATCTATACACCACGCAGATCACCATGGTACGGCGACCAAATGCCACGCACACTCTCGTTCAGACTTGCCACCGGCTTCTTCTGCTGCTTCAACTTCTCTCCGCTGGCGTCCTTGAGGATCATGGCCTTTGACAGGATATCGCTGGGTTCAAGGTTGCGCACACAGATTGACTTTTCACGACCATTAATGTAATGGCCCTTGATAATTGGGTGCTTGGAATGTCGAGGGGAAACACGGATCTCGATCTGGGGGTTTTCGCGGGCAAAGTTGGGAAGAGTTTGGGTGAGGAAGGCCCTGTAGAAACCACTAGGTTAGTTCCGTGGACAGGGAGGCAAAGATCGCAAGTTCAATGTGAGTTGCTCTTACAGCATGCCGCGCGAGCTGCCACCGTAGTTGCAGTAGTGGAAGTCAAGGCGTTTGCATTGTAGGATGAAGGCGCCGACGCCGTTCTGTGAGGATGCACCACGTCAGTTCTGAAAGTCAACCCTCCTCTCAACCATCTTCCCATCTGAGAGCACATACCCTGGCAGCCGTAACCGTCTTGATTCCCTTGACCGGCATTGTTCTGGTTGTTGCAAGCAAGACCTGGTTCCCAATCTCCAATCTCCAGGTCCCCCCGGGACAATTTCTGGTGCACGTGAGGGCGGTGAGCGGCGCCAGATACGGCTAGAGCGTTTACCGCGCTTGGTGCCCTTGCTACGACCACCGCAGAACGCGACACTCCTGAGGTGTTCGTCAGCCTCTCAGCCTTCATCTTTTTTCCACGCCGCGAGCACAGGGCCGAGGCGTCACCATGACTGACAAGCTCCCCCCGCCTTTGCTGGCCCTCTTCCAGCCCCGGCCACCCCTTCGCTACATTGTTCCCACAGACCGCGCTCCAGAGGACTGCAAGAAAAGCACCATTTCTGGCGTCGCCCAGTATCTTCCTGCAGCAAAGGAGTTTGAGGAGGAGTCGCCGTATAATGCGACTGAGTGTTGGTTGCAGCGCAAATGGCGCGAGAAGCTTCAGAAGAAGGAGGCGTTGGCCTCAAAGATAACCGATGGCCTCCAAGAGTGTATGCGTCATCTACCTGCCCCCTTCCGCCATTGATTGACCTGGCTAACGATATTTTGATTGGGTCAGTCAATCCAGAGAAGGATACACAAGCTCGGGGCGATCCTTTCAGAACACTCTTTGTCGCGCGACTTAACTACGAAGTGAAAGAAGCAGATCTAGAGCGAGAATTCGGCCGTTTTGGCCCGATCGAACGTGTAAGGCAGCCTTGACTGAGAACACCAGGCTCTTTCGTGATGACTGACCATTTTTCGATTCAGATTCGCATCGTCAAGGATACTGTTTCCCCGAACGCAGCAAAAAGGCCTCACCGGGGATATGCATTCATCGTCTACGAACGAGAGAAGGATATGAAAGGTACAGCATCCAGATCTACAACTTGCACTCGCTTCTTGCGAGCTTGGAATTATGGTAAGAGAGCCATTGCTAACACAGTGACCCCCGATCGTAGCGGCCTACAAGGAAACAGACGGCATCCGGATCAAGGACCGACGAGTCCTGGTAGATGTGGAGCGTGGTCGCACAACTAAGGGCTGGAAACCCCGTCGCTTCGGCGGTGGCCTCGGAGGCCGTGGATACACCAAAGCAATGCCCTCGCGGCCTATGGGCCCTGGGTTCAATGCGCCATCCGGTCCGGGTGGATTTGGTGGTGGATTCCGTGGTGGCTTCGGTGGCAGAGGCTTCCGTGGAGGAGGCTTCCGCGGTGGCGGCGATCGCTTCGGCGGCGGCGACCGCTTCGGTGGCCGTGGAGGAATCGGCTTCCAAGGTAATCGCGGTGGATTCGGAGGAGGAGGAGGAGGACAGGCACCGCCGAATGCTCCTTCCGGCCCCGGCGGTGGACGCAGCGGTGGATTCGCAGGTGCAGGCAGGTTCGACCGTGGTGCGACTGGCAGCAACCGGGAGCCTGTGCGTCCCCGAGATGCATACGCAGAACGCCGCGACGGGGCCGACCGAGGAGGCGACCGAGGAGGCGACCGAGGAGGAGACCGAGGAGGAGACCGAGGAGCAGACCGAGGAGCAGACCGAGGAGCAGACCGAGGAGCAGACCGAGGAGCAGACCGAGGTGACCGAGGTGACCGCGATGGGGGTGACCGCTACAGGGACCGAGAACGCATGCCAGACCGCAATGGAGATCGGTACCGTGACCGTGACCGTGATCGCGACCGCGACAGGTATGGCGGTGGTGGCCGGGAGGACCTTGGACGGAAGCGACACCGTGAGGATGATGGCTTTGATGACCCGCGCTCCAGGAGACGATACTAAACGTTCTCACGCTCTCCCCTTTTGGTTTTTTCCAACGAGACTACCCCTTCCCTGCTCAGTCCTGATTTGCCGGTGGGTATCCCTGATCTTATCTGCTGCATATCCCTTTCATCGCAAGGGTAAGGGGGTAAGCCGAAAGCCTGTGCAGGTAGAAAATTGGGTCTGAGATGTCCTGCACGCGCAATCGAAGTTTGTCAACGCGCGCTACCGCTTCATGCTCTTATTGACCACCGGTTATTATTAGCATGCTACCCTGCTCCGTGCGCCAGCATACGCATGCATGGCGAGGCACAGGTCCAAAAATCGTCGGAGTGTTTTTGTATTCCCCGTCTTTCTTCCAGAGTTTCCCCCTCGATATTTTCATTTCTTTACTTGTGTTCCAGTGTTTTTGAGGTTCCTCAAGGGACTCTTTTCTCTCCTTGGGGGTAAGTATGTATTTTAGTCGAGGCAGTATTCATTCGGGTGGTGGAATCAAATGCGATTGCGCTCAGGTAAGCCCAGGTAAGAGCCATTGCAATAACATGAAAGCAGGCATCTTACTAGGTATATGAGAATGGAAGTACAGCGTTTGCGATGGAAGGGAAATTATGAGCAGTAAGACTTTTTTTTATCCAATCTGGTATCTATCGTCATAGGCACATCAATCGGAAGAACCCATGCTCTTCCAAAGGAAATATAAGGTAAGATAAAAATTGTTCAATATATTTGGAAAGCAAGAAAAAAACGAGCGCCCACCCCAAACTCCGGAAGATGCCCACAGAGAATCTTTTTTTTTGCATCGACCACACGGAGGTCGAAGAGTAGAGGCAAAAGAGATTGAATCTATGCATCAGTGTCCATGCCACCCTGCTCCAGGATCTTGATCTCCCCGGTTTCCCGCGACCACTGGGCCTTCAGATCGACCTTGAACTCGGAAGAAGTCACACCGAACATCTTGAGAAGGGTAGTTTGCCGGGAGTCAAGTGTCTCGCCCTCCCGGCAGATAGGGAAGCCCTTCTGGCCCTCGGTCAGTTCGAGCATGACCTTGCCCTTTACCAAACGAGTGGGAACGCCCAGCTTGCGCAGTGCAGGCTCGATAGTGTGGCTAACAGGCTCGTCCTGCTCGGCTGGGATCTCGCCGCCGCTAGCACAGACCAGGCCATTAGGGAGGCTAAAAGAGCGGGTGGCCACGGTGCCAGCACGGGCAAAGTCTGAGGGGCGGAAGTTCTCAAAGTACTCGGTGACGGATTCGGCGGGGCGAGAGGTGAAAAGCAGACCGACAGCACCTGTCAGGTAAGACGAAAGGCGGTGCAGGTTCTCAGCGGCTTCGTTTTCGGGGGTGGTGCCAAGGGCGACGGCCATGACTTTGGTCTTGCCGAAGAAGAGACTGGAAATATCGTGTCAGTGGGTTGATGTTGCAGAGTATATCGAAGGCCTAATGATGCATTCCAGGGCGAGATTCTCAATCACACCTGCATGAGCAAGAGTCAGAGGAACTTACCGGCTGTCTCCAAACTCGGCGCGCACATCCTTCAGGTAGGTGTTCCGCATGTTGTCCACCGAAAAGAGAAACAGGTGATCATATTCCTCGAGACATTCCCGGATATTGGCGTACAGACGGCGGGTCTGCTCCTTGTGGTCCTTCTTGACGGTCTTGGACTCGTGGACAATGCGCGCACGCTTGGAACGAGGCATCTTGAGCTGTTGTAGAAATCAAATAAATTGGCGTAGTTCGTTGCGTAGCGGCCGTCCGCAGTTGTGGCATTAGTTTTTTTCGCTGATAACCGGATCAACAGTTGTGCCGAGCTTATCCGACTCCACTAGCCCCGATGGGGCAACCAGCTGCTGTTGACTGCGAATCGTACACGTTCCTCCCGCTCGACTCCTGGACTTCTGCATCCCCAGGGTCGCCGAGGGACAATGCTGGATTTTATGGACTATATCCAGCTCGCCTTTGCGGAGGCGACCAACTGGAACCAAGACAATTCTTACTCGGCGCTCACGACGACCGCGCAATGTAGGTCGCTTCGGCTTCAGGGATGCGGAAGTTACGCTAACAAGACCGTACAGCCATTCTGGAGTTTGAGACTCCCGAGCGATTACGCGTTCGGCTGTCGTCGCTCTCAACCCCTCACTTCGCCACTAGCTATGCACTCGGTACAGTGGGATTGCTCGATGGCTCCGTATCATACCTCTTCAGCACGGTTCCCATGCACAACACCCCCAGCCGGAGCGCCTTGATTCCACTACGAAAGATTTCTCCGGGTTACCGACAAGTACAAGCGCCTGGGGCTCCAGTGCACACTTGGGGATGGAGCTCTCTTTTCGATGGCGTCAACATCCGCGGGGAGACTGCAGCGCTCAAGGGTGGCAATCAAACAGCAGAGGACGCGGCGCAACGGAAGGCAACCCTTCTTCATGCCTCGCTACACCTCCCATCGCCCACTACGCTATATGCGCTGTTTCTGCGCAGAATGTCGCCAACCACGCAACTGTCGCTCGCAGTCTGTTCCACCCAGGGACCGCCCCTCTCCAAGTCTGCACCGCAGGCCTCAATGCTGGCCCATCTCTCCCACGACACGGGCAAGTACTGCAATGAGTACCTTTTCAGCACAGACAACGCCCTCTTCGGCTGGCGCGGGCTTTGGAACTTCGGCGCCGATCCTCGATACACCCCTGATAACGCGCCTCCCCGCCTCTCTCTTCTATCTGCCGGCGCAGAAGCATACTACTCTCCCATATCCTCGTTGATTGGCATGTCAACAGGCCTGCGCTTCAGCACACTTCCCGCTGCGACAGAAGTGCCCTCTTCCTCGTCTTCATCCAGCCATCCCGCCCCCATCTCTACCTTCCCGTACACCTTAACCCTCACTCTTACCCCAATCACTGGCTCTCTATCCACAACATACTCCCTCCGCGCCACGCCAAACCTTTCCCTCAGCTCCCGATTTGGCTTCAACGTGTACAGCTGGGAAAGCGAGATGGTCGCCGGGTGTGAACTCTGGCGCCGGTCCCCGAAACCCGCATCTCCCGCCGACGACGGGCTCGAATGGGCCCGCCGTAAAATGCGCCTGCATGACTTTTCCGCTCCCATGCCGGGCTCCCCGCCCTCTACTCCGCTCCTCTCCGACCCGGCTCAGCCCGAGTCTGCTGTCGCGCCGGGCGAGCGCCGGACGGACGAAGCCAATGACTCCGTCATCAAACTTCGCATCGACCAGTCCTGGAACGTGCGTCTACTTTGGGAAGGCCGGGTTAAGGAACTGCTGGTGAGTGCGGGCGTTGGGCTGGGCCCGGGCTCGTTCTCCCTGGCACCGAATGTTTCTTCTGCGGCGGGGAGTGGGTCGGCTCAGAGTGGAGGCGGTCCTGGGACGTCGTACTGGCGCGGGGTTGGCGTGTCGGTGATGTACTCATCATGACCATAGTGGCATGGTAGTGGCCTTTTCTTGGTCCGCGTTCTTCCTTCCTGAGTGATACTTTTTTTTCTACGTGTCAAAAGAGGTGTGTTTAGTCACAATCTACGATCACCTACTGCATGATTATGAGGGTGCCGCAAACCGGAAATACTGGCGGTTCACACATTGTACATATATTCTCATGACAACATATCTCACGTTTCAAGTTTTTGACTCATTAATCTGAGGCTTGCATCCAGGCCAGCCAATCCTGGCGGTAGAGTCATTAACGGGATATCATATTATCCAGGAAGACCTTAGATGCGGGCGTTGATGATGTCGACGACTATGATTCCAATTAGTATCGCCTATGGCCCAAAAAGAGTCTGCGGGTTTGAACTTACAGGCAGGCTTCAAGCTGGCACCGCCAACAAGGAAGCCGTCAACATCGGGCTGGGTGGCGAGCTCGCGGCAGTTCTTCTCGCTGACGGAGCCACCGTAGATGATACGGACGTTGTCCTGCGCTTGGGCGTCGATGGTCTTGCCGAGCCACTCGCGGATAGCAGCGTGGACCTCCTGGGCCTGCTCGGTGGTGGCGACCTTGCCGGTGCCGATAGCCCAGACAGGCTCGTAGGCAATGACAACCTTAGCCCACTGCTCCTTGCTCAGCTCCTTGGCAGCGGCGTTGAGCTGGCGGGTGACGACCTCGATAGTCTTGCCGCCCTCACGCTCCTATACAAGTGCATATTAGTATCGGGTGTAAGCGGAGGTTCTTCATCGTGGACCCGTCCCGATGCCCCACACCGGGTGTCGGGACGAAAAACGGGTAACCGAATTGGAATTGGAATGACGTACCTCCAGGGTCTCACCAATGCAGAAGATGACGGAGAGACCGCCCTCAATGGCGGACTTGACCTTGCGGGCAATGAACTGGTCGCGAGCAATTGTCAGTTCTGTGTCTGATTTCGGCGGGCTTGTAGAGGTGGCGTGGTGCCCGTTCCCGTCGCTCGCGGGGTTGTACATACCTCGTCGGTCTCCTTCAGGATGACACGGCGCTCGCTGTGGCCAATGACAACCCAGTCGATCTTGGTATCCTTCAGCTGCTCGACACTGATCTCACCGGTGAAAGCACCGTTGGGCTTGTCGAAGACGTTCTGGGCAGCAACGCCGATCTTGGGGTCGGCCAGGCTGCGGGTGAGCGTGAGGTACAGGGTGGGGGGAGAGATGACGACCTCGGTGTTGGGGTCAAGCTTCGCAGCGTTGAGGTTCTTCACGATGTTGGTGATGCTCTCCGCAACACCGTTCCTGTAGTTCTGGTCAATGGTACGGTCCTGCGTGCTGAGGTCCAGTGGGCTCCCGTTATGGAAGGGCAATCCATTCAGGTACCGCGGGGTAGCGGGAGGATGTTGAACGTACATCTTGAAGTTACCACCGACGAAGAATTGGCGAGGCATGGTGATGGAGTAGTGAGAGGTGGACTGGAAGATTGAATGCAAAAGAAACGTTGGGAGAGAATGAATGGGGAAGAAGATGGCGGTTAAAAGAAATGGAGGGGCACCTCATCCCGAAGATCGGCGGACGCCTGAGCAGCGAGGCATCCGCTATGACATAACTAGCTGACCGGTTGACCGGGATACCGCTTCCAATCATGGAGGGTCAGGACCTTTTGCAATAGATCAGTCTGCGAAAACTGCCCTGGGAGGGAGAGGGAATCAGCAGTGAATCAGCAGTGAGATGATGTGAGGCTAACGCGTGATATCGTTCAGGTTTATGTTCTAGATGGTGACTTAGGTCTTTCCCTGGCTCTCAGCAAAGCAAATTTATTCTTCTTCAACTAACTACAGCAAAAAGGCGCAAAACACGACGTCCGATATATTTCCCCAACAGCATTGTTTCATGATTTCAAATCTTTCTCACAAACAGGTCGGTTCAGTGATTGTGTTAGGCCATTGCCACTGTAGCGCATAGCAGCCCGAATAACAACGTAGACAAAGAACAACCACGCGCTAGCTAAGCCGAAAAGCATGGTATCGAGAGATTAGTCCGAATTCTCCATATTACTGTTCTTAGGGCAATCGCAGCCACAATGATGGATCGCAGGCAGGTCCCAAAACGGCCGACGCCTCTCCAGCTGATGCTGGCGGGATTCTTCAATAGTCTGTTGGAACAGTCTGCTTTGGCATTCAAAGGCCCGTTCCCATTGTTCAATCCGAGCCTCACAATCCAGTAGCCGACTGCGTAGCTCCTCATCATCTATGCGCTGTATACGGTACCTCTTTTCCCACAGCTTGACATCCGAAGTGGCTGCAGTCGCGGTAACCCCCGGGCCTCGCACCCGTCTGCCAGGCATGACGTTGCCCAGGCCATTTTTGGACGCCAGGATATCCAGATAATGATATCGGAGCTTGTCCTTTCGGCCAAAATGTCTGCCTCGCGATTTCTGTCGGTATTGAGCCCCATGGCTGACCGTTTCATGCTTGTTGGGGCTGCAAGATCGGTTCCGGGGAGGTGTTGGGAGACTTCGTGGCTCTTGACATTCACAGTCCATGTGGTCTGCATCTTCCGTGGACGAGCTGTCATCCGACTGGGATTCATCAAAAATCATGGACTCACCATCCTCGGCCTCGCTCGTCTCGGATAAATAGCCTGCCTCATCGTGGTCAACGTTGGGCTGGTCCCTATTGCCGGAAAAAGAAGTCAGACCGCGTGCAAACGTGGCTCATAGGAAAAGGGAGCATTCGTTTTTTTTTAAAGAAAACTAAAAGAAAGAGAACACGGTCTGGGTCGTGTGCGGAATGGCTTACTTCTCAGTCGCTGTCTGTCCACGGAGGGTTCCATACTGCTCACTGGGGGCCGGGGTGGATTGACCCAATTCGAGCCGGGTGAAAGGGCTGGTCACTGAGACTGGGCGAGGCTGAGGACCTTGCACCACGCTACTGAGTGGTGCACTAGTAGGATCTGAGCCCAAAGCCGCATCTTTCTGGCCCGTTGCCGTTGGCGCCGTCGGGTATCTAGGTGGAGGCATCGCATCATGCGCGTGGAAGTGTTGCGCTGCGTCCGTTTGGCGCTGAGCGAGGTCCACCAAATCCCCCATGGGGGTTCGGGGGTAGGGCCGCGTATTCATCGGTCTCTTCATGAGAATAATATTCATAGAGACGGTCTCATAATCTGAGCGGTGGGCGTTGCGGGCCTTGGACGGCCGGTCGCGCTCCTTCGCATAGACACAGCTCCACTCGACCTGCGGATCAATCTTCTTTTGCTCATGAATTAACCGAGTGACATGCGCGCGGCGAGTATCTGACAAGTTTTGATATTGCTGGGCCGCCGAGACCTTATCGGCCCGTTTCTGCACCATTTTGTAGAACTCGCTTTGCGAGAGATGCATTTGCGTGCGCTCGACCCGAGTCCATGTTGGCTTTTGTCCCGGTAGAGGATCTGCCTTGAAGAATTGAAATCCTACATAGACAATGGCATTGGCAGGCAGTTCGGCAACCGGGGCTGGGTTGGGCAGGCCATGAGGGTCTTGAAGCTGCCCGGCGTTGTCGGCTGGAGCATTGCCTGGGATTTGCCCGGGAGGGGGTGCAGCTTGTCCTGGCGGCGAGGACGCTGGTTTCTCGTGTGCGTCGCCTGGTGTTTGGCAGTCCAGCCATACGGTCGTCATGGTTCTAAAAGAAGAGAAGATGCAACAGCGTCGCACATAAAATCCCCAAAGGTTCCCGAAATGCAAAAACCCTTGTGGTTGAAGGATTGACGATTGTTGGACACTGCGTATTTATAGTGCCTCAAATTGTGAAAACACGAGCATCGCCAGTATGGTTCACCCGGGCGAGGAGGCTCTCACAACATGGCGCATTGAGACTAGACTCGAAACGATGCTAAGTGGCCATGTGCGCGCCAGAGCCGCACGGGCACCCGAGTCAGCCTCACCTTGGGAGAATGTGCCCGCAACCCGGGCGGAAACCAGCTTATGCGAGACGAGATTCCAGGGCTGCAGGGACCATGCTGGAATAATCCTGGGGAGGTGGACGCACTCCGCTCTATTTAGTGCTACTTGGTTCCTGCGATCGTCTGCTGATCTTTTTTAACCGCCCCCCCCCCCCCCCCCCCCCCTTCCCTTCCTGTGGTCAATTGTTCGATGTTGCTCAAGGCGGAGAAGTAAGGCGTAGGGCACCAAACCCTCGTTTGGCTTTGCTTTCGTAGCAACGCGTAGTTCTCCCTACGGGCTGAGGATGCGACCCTCCACCCATCCCCACCCTCCCCACCATGCGATCCAAGCGACGAGCACAGGTGAGCCAAAAGCAACACCACAGCACCGATCGGGCAGATCAAGATATGTACGGGCCAGGCCCATTGCGCCATCAGGATTGTGTTTGGTGTGCGACTCCATATTGCGGGGATTTCGACAAGCTGTACTCCGCGGCGGGGCCCGGTTTTCGATCGAAACACGGGAATGTGCAGGCGGGTGCTCTCATTGGCTCCGTGAGGTTGCGGCTCTAAGAACGGGGACACCTCGGCCTCGATAGAATCAGGGTCAAAGCAATGCCCCCAGACAACGCCGGCTCAATTCCGTTTATCTTCTCATGATTCGGGTGGTGAATCGAGTGGTGATTTTGGTGGGGGTACACCAGTCTTGTCTAGTCGGATTCCATTGCATGCATCGTATAAGAGCCTTGATAGATGGATTGCGGGTTGTACTCGTGAGACTATAAACCCCTGTCTTCACTAGAACCACTCCCGCCGTTCTTGGATCGCTTGATCAATCATTCTGTCTCTACTCAACCACCGAGATCGGTTTCGCAGGATCTCTCTTTTCTGATCTCAATTAGCTGACCACTATGGTTCGCATACAGGGTGACCCGACTCCGCCAATGCAGAAAGGCACCTTGGCTTGCACCGTCAAAACCCTCCTTCCTCCGAGCAAACTAGCTCCACAACATCCCCATCTCGATCAGGTTTTCCAACACTGCTTAGAACCGGTTGACGCCAACCGAGAGTATAGGCCAATCTCGTGCTGGCATACATAGTCTGATTATGGATATATCAGGGCTGTCGGGTAAATAGTATCGGCTTCCAAAACGACGATCATTGATCGAATTGATCAAGTCGAGAATAGCAGTTCGCTTCCCTACTCCTCTCGACTGGCTGTTTGCCCCTCTTTTCTCGTTTCTAGTCACCTCGGATGCGAACAGCTTAAAGCGTTTTTCATGCTCGCGAAGGGAGCGGCGACAACGTCACCCCGGATGATCTCGAGCACTATATCATCAAATTAGAGGAACACTGACTGTCCGAGGCGCTTTTCAAGCCGAGTATTGGGATCCCCCGATGGGACGGATTCCGGTCAAACCCAAATCCCGTCGTTCTGGGACTATACTAAAGAATGTCAGTGCATTTTAGAGAGGCTCTAGTGGCGAATTAATTCGAGTCATCTCTTGTTCCTACACGCGTGACCAATCACATTCTAGTTTTTTTTAGAATGGATGTGTAAGATGCGAAAGAAGGCAACAGGATTGGAGCCTTTTGCTGGACTCCGCCACCCGGGCGAACCCAACGAGGAAATGATATCGTATGGTAGGCAGCAAGAAGGACTTTCAGATTCAAGTAGTACGCTAAAAACAACATAAAGGATCGGTGGAATCATGAGGCTTACGCCAAGTATCCGCCCACTTGCAGAATCCGGTCAGTGCGCAGTGCAATACGAAAGCAAAAAGAAAAGAGAAATAAACAACAGAGAGAGGTCGTCGTCATCGTCGCAGGCTGTCCAGCCGCGCTTGGAGGTCATTATCGCCAGCATCGCCACCTCCACCACCACCACCACCACCACCAACAGCCTGCGCAACCCGAGCTCCACCGGTGGATTCTTTTTGAATCTCGCCCGACGGTGTCTCACCCAGCTGTTGTTAGGTTGGTCAGCATCTAGTCCAAAGGTAAGGCAATGAGTAGGTAGACGAACCGCCTGGGTCAGATCGACACCAATCTCGTCGAGGACTTCCTTGACAATATCCTCGCCTTCCAATTCGTCGTCCTCCATTCCTGTCGCCTCGTCGATCGCATCGTCCATCATCTCTTGTCGCTCGTCCATAACTTCGTTCTCTCGTTCGAATTCCATTGTGATGCGTTGCAAGGCTGGGAGGTTCATCTGTCGATTCATGCTTCCCAAAAGCATGGTTGCGCCCTTCATCGACTGCATCATCTGCTCATTGCTTCTAACGGTCTGCAGAGATGTGAGCCACGCTATAAGCGTGCAAATGTCGACTCCAGCGTGCGGGTGTGCATACCTGAATGCGAAGTGAGATGGCCTGTAATTGGGTGCGCATCTGGTAGAACTTCTGAATATATCTATGGGGTACCACAGTCAGTGGGGTCTGCGACAAGCAGTAAAAGCGAACGGTTGTGTGGAGGCCACACACCTCCGAGTCCGAACCAGGTCTTTAGCCTGGATCTTGCAAGCTCCAATCTGACCATTCTTGGCGCTCTTCTTGATATCCTGCACGAGTTTCTTCTCTTGATTCTCCAACTTTGTACGCTCCCGGTCCAGTTCGCGCTGTGTCCGATCGAGGGCCCGCTGGTGTTTGCGCAGACGCTCCGCCGGCGTCATGCGCTTCCCAAATGCCCATTCGACAATCTGCGAGTCAAGTAAGTATAGTATCAGTGCATTGTATGAGTAGGGAAGCTCACATTCATGGTGGGCGCGAGGAGAGAGGAGGAAGCCTAAAGAGGGTGGTCGGGGCCTTGCCTATTTACTGGACGGACAGTGACATCAAGCGGGACAAATCAGGTAAGATAACGGTAACTTACCGCCCAGTCACATGGCGGCCCTAAACCCTTTCAGACCGGGACGTCAACTTGGATGCAAAACCGCCCACCAACAAACAATCTTCGTCGATGGCCCTGCAGCCCGCCTTGCATTCGTCATGAGTCAGGAATACTTCCCCGGCGAAGGCTCTTCAAGGGCCGGTTCGTCTCGGTTCGCCGGCGAGAACGAAGAACGGAACCCTTTCACCCCCCAACCCCCGCCGGCATACATGACTGTCGGCAACGGTTCGACCTCGGAAAGTGCTACAGCTCTGATGGCGTCTCTGAACAACGACTCAGGGTATGGTGGTAGCATTGCCGGTGACTCTGCTGTCGACGCCGATGCGAGCGCTGCTTGGCGTGCTGGACTGATGGAGGACAGACCGACTCCGGTTCACACTCCGACGCGCTCCGGCGAGTGGAATCCTGCGGGTGAGTGGACGACTGGACCTAGAATGCTGTGATAACTTCTAGGGATGGCTCAGGGCTAATATGAAGCTTTCTCGCTGTAGCTGAGCATGAGAAACAAGTCGTCGCTAACCATGTTCACCAACTGCTATAGTATGTTCACTATTCAACTGGTTCTAGTCCCCGCGTATACTGACAAATATCGTTTTTTAGCAACTCAAACCGGACCAAACTTGGTCGCGCAATCAGCCGAACCATCGAAACATTGAAGGAGCTTCAGGATATGAATCGACAATGGCCTGCCCACTACCCTTCCGTGCAGAACATACCTCAGTCGCCTTCGGATCGGCCGCAACTCCAGCACACCTATTCGCAATTCACACGTGATGGTAGCAGACCGGGTACTCCGCCTCGACCCGAACTGAGGCGTGCAATGACTACAGCCGCAGGGGAGGATCTGGTCGAATCCAGTGCCGCTGCTGAACGCCGCGCACCTCCCGAACCCCGATTAATGACCTCTCAGATCGCCCAAGAATTTTCAATCTTGAAGTTGGATCTGAAGCTGGGTGCCTTATCTCAGGCCGAACTAGTTCACTCTCTGGAAAAGGCTTCGATTGCCTCATTACTTGATGGAAAGATCAGCCAGAGCATCAAGCACCTTCTATCCCTACGAGACCGGATTGAGGACACATCAAGCAAGGTGTTGGTGACGGGAGATTTAAATGCCGGCAAATCGACGTTTTGCAATGCGCTTCTGCGACGAAAGGTCTTGCCCGAGGACCAACAGCCCTGCACTAGCATTTTCTGCGAGGTTCTCGATGCTCGCGAAAACGGCGGAATTGAGGAAGTGCACGCCGTGCGCAAGGAAGCACCGTACAACCGCAATGACGAGAGCACATACGACGTGTTCTCCTTGAACGAACTCGAGAACATTGTGGTTGATAACACCAAGTACATGCAGTGCAAGGTTTATGTGAAGGACGTACGGTCTATTGATGAATCTCTGCTCAACAACGGTGTGGTTGATATTGCTTTGATCGATGCGCCTGGCTTGAACTCTGATTCTCTCAAGACAACGGCTGTTTTTGCTCGACAGGAGGAAATCGATGTCGTTGTTTTCGTGGTGTCCGCCGCTAATCACTTCACTCTTTCGGCGAAGGAATTTATTCTGAATGCTGCTCATGAAAAGGCCTACATTTTCATGGTGGTCAATGGCTTCGATCAGATTCGCGACAAGCAACGTTGCGAGCGCATGATTCTCGACCAAGTGGGCAAGCTCAGCCCTCGCACATACAAGGAGGCTGATGAGTTGGTGCACTTTGTTTCGAGCAATGCTATCCCTGTTGCTCCACCTGGGCCTCTCTCCCACTCCGGCACGAGCAGCGGTGGTGGCGGCGATGGTGGTGATCCTCACGATGATGACGATGACAAGGACTCTAAGGATAAGGGCAAGGGCAAGGAGAAGGAGAAGATCCAGGACTTTGAGAATCTTGAAGGGGCCCTCCGGCGCTTTGTCCTTGAAAAACGGTCACGATCAAAGCTTGCTCCGGCTCGCACTTACCTCTTGAATCTCCTGGCCGATCTCAATTCGCTAGCCACGGTTAACCGTGACGTTGCTCAATCGGAGCTTAAGCGAGTTACGGATGAGCTGGCAGAGCTCGAGCCTGCTTACGAGAATGGCAAGAAGCAGAAGGGCGAGCTGGCCGAGGGTGTGAACAAAGCCATCGATGAGTCCAGCGAAGATGTTTACAATCACACGCGCTCCACTTTGACTAACACTATCGCCCGAGTTTCTGAGGCTGATCTTGGCGTCGAATATCCCGGTATCTTTGCGGCATTCCAATATGCAGAGGATTTGAAACTTGCTATGCTGGAGCAAATCTCCGCGGCTGTCACTGGTTGTGAGGATTATGCCCGCGACAAGACCGTTCAAGGAGTCGGCTTCATTCAGAACATCGGTCTTTTGCATGTTGGCGAGGACAAATTCTCCGCTCTCAATTTCCGTGCCGATCTGATGTTCCGCCGTGGTCGCCGTCATGCCCTTGCTCGGCAGGTAGATACCGAGGTTGAACTCTGGGACTTCTTCGATGTTGCTGGGCTCTGGGAGCGTCAAGAGAAGATGGCAGGAACAGGTGTTGCCATGACCGCGGTCACTGTTCTTGGCAGCAGGGCCTTGGGTGGCTTCAGCTGGGTGGATAGCGCATTCAGTGCCGCCAAGTTCCTTGGCCCGAACAACTTGCGCCGACTATTCCTCCCCAGTATCGTCGCTGCTGGTGAGTTTTGACCATTTTTTTCCTTTCCAAATATATGGTTGCTAACTATGAACAAGCCGTCCTAACTACGGCTTACGTGCTGTCCACTATTCCGAGAACTCTGCCTCCCCGCCTGTCCAAGAAGATCGCTGCAGCCCTTTCCGACATGGATTACGTCCACTCAAATGCCAACCGCATCTCATCTGAGGTCCGGCGCATCCTGCGCTTGCCCGCTAACAATCTTCAAGCAAGCCTGGCACAGGACATTGAGGACCTTGCTCGACGCCAGCAGGAAGTCGGAAAGGTCAAGCAAGAAAGCGAGATCGCCAGCAAGTACTTCTTGAATCTTGTCCGCGAAAGCGGAGAAAACCGCCGCTCCGTGGAGGCCCTCGATCTCGAAGGCCCCTTGCCCGGTGCTATGGGAGCTATCGACCCATGAGAACCCAGTTGTTCGTGTACCAACAGCCATGATGCCCACTGCACTCTTCATTGCTCTTCCTGTTACCTTTTTTCTATCTTCCCCCCACACCTGTACATTTCCCTTCTCCTACATCTTTCTTCCGATATCCCTTCATATCTATGTTTGGTTTTCTCTTTTTGCGGGTGCTGCGACCCTTTCTTTTTCAAAAGCACATCTTCGCCCTGGTCTCCTCCATATCACGGCGTGTGCTGGCGCTGCATGGACGTTGTTTTAAGTTTCAGCCCATCCACCTGAATTGAACATTGTGATCCTCTCCACCACTCCCCCATCGACTTGCTCATTGGTTGTTTTTCACTCATTTCGCTAGAATAGGCAGCAACGTGAGAAAGCAATTTTCACCTCAGGCTATATTCGGGACCGTCCGTAGCTGCCGACTGTTTACCTTCTCTCACCCCCACTTGACCGATTGCCGGGGAGTACAAGGTAAGAAATGCGGGGAGATGACTAGCCCGCCATTTCCGGATTTTCCAGCGGAATGTCTGATTTGCATGGAAATAGCTTGAACCTGAGCGTATATTGCAGGGGGGCTAAGCACCAATCAACAACAACCTACCCTGGCCGGATACAACCGTCGTCACTTCGCCGATCTATTACGCCTAATCCGTAGGATGTAAACACATATCATTCATCAATTAGGCTACATACAAATTCGCTGGGTAGAATCAGGCTAGTTCCATCTTGAAGTATGGCATGACCCTCGAAGTCAGAGAGTTCACATAGGGAGCAAGTGAACCGCGCTCCCCACACTCTTGTTGCTTCTCCAATGTCCTTTCGTTGGTGATCTCTTCTTCAACTCTAGGATGAACCGCCTATCTCTTTTGACAGCCTTGGGGCTTCAATTAGCCACCATACAAGTCCATGCTCACAATGTGACTTATAACAACCCCATTATTCCTGGGTGGCATTCTGATCCAAGCTGTGCTCATGTGCCAGAATGGAATAACACCACCTTCTGCACTACGTCTTTGTTCATGTCCTTCCCAGGCTGCCCGGTATTCGCAAGCACTGGTCTGGTCAACTGGGACCTGATTAGCAACGTTTTAAACCGTCCGGCGCAACTTCCACAGATCCGCACCTCCACCAATGGACAGAATCTGGGCATGTTTGCCACCACCTTGCGCTTCCACAATGGCACTTTCTACTTGATCGGTGCTTGGGTAGACTCTGATCACGGGGGCGTCGAGATTGTCCTTTTCACGACGATCAACCCATATGATGATAATGCGTGGACGAACTCGATCCGAATACAAAACCCTACGCGCGCCATTGATCCAGATACTTTCTGGGATGATGATGGCAGCGTCATCATGGCCGTGGCGGGGTCCCCCATCCAAGCATCCTATATTGACTTGGCTACTGGGAACGCGACTAAACCGTTCGATATGTGGAATGGCACTGGCTACAACAACCAAGAGGGACCTCACCTATACAAGAAATATGGTTACTATTATCTTCTCATCGCTGAAGGAGGCACGGAATTACTCCATTCGGCCACCATTGCACGTTCGAGAAGTATCACGGGGCCCTGGGGGAGTTCCCCTAGCAATCCCTTGGTCACGGCCAGGTATACCGATCGATACTTCCAGACCGTGGGCCATGCGGACCTGTTCCAAGATGATGCGGGCAACTGGTGGGGAGTTGCTCTGGCGACTCGGGCGGGATCTGCGCTCTACAACGAAACCACCTACCCTATGGGTCGAGAGACGGTTCTATACGCAGTAAGTTGGCCAGACGGCGATTGGCCCGTGGCTGATCAAGTAACTGGCGAAATGAGTGGTCCCCTACCATCGCGCTCTCCCAAGGCATCTTCCGTGCCCGCTTTCATGGGGGAACCCGACATCGTAGACTTCGCGCCGGGTAGCTCGATTCCTAAACACTGGGTCTTCTGGCGGGCACCAGCCAAGCCGCAGTCCTTCACGATCTCTCCTCCTGGCCATTCTGACACCCTCCGTTTGACTGCTTCCCGAGCCAATTTAACAGGAGACAAAGACTTCAGCCCTCCTGATGGCTTAACTTTTCTGGCCCGCCGCCAGACGAACACCCTATTTGAGTTCTCCGTGGACATAAATCCCAATTTCGCTACAGCCAAGGGAGACGAAATCGGCGTGACTGCCTTCCTACATCAAGATCAACATGTCGACCTGGGAATCGTCTCGATGGGCTCGGTTGCCAAGGGGAATCTAGGCTTTCGCTTTCGGGCCACGGACCTAGCCGCCGCCGATTTCACGGTCCCGGCTCCAAAAGTCACGCCCCCTCCCTCCGTCATGGCTATCAGGATCTATTCGTCTCCACCTCCGTTCTGAGAATAGCACTCATTATCAACTCTCAGCAGCGCCAGCCGCTCGGCCTCGAGAGTTGCGGGTGTTGGCTGTGTTCAGTGGAGCACTCATCAGTGGCCCTGACGTTTTCACCGGTGCCCTGCTCGGAGTATATGCTACCACAAATGGCGGGAACCATACGATGGAAGGGTACGTCAGTCGATGGAGGTATACTCCCGTTTGCGCAGCAGATTGACTATGACACTTTCAAATGGAGCTAGTGGTACTGAAGACCTAGTTATCTACCGGGCATCTCCCCACCAGCTCAAGCCCAGGTTCGGGGCTATCAAACTGTTATTTACACTAAAACCAGTACTCGAACACAGTATAAGAGACCAATGATAATGAATGCGTGCGATATGCATTTTCAAGGGAAGCAGGGTGCTTCTCCACTCATGCACGTATCCTAAATCAGATGCATCTTCGTAAACAAACTCCATGAACCGTACCATCAGGACGCCATTCACAATGCAATGTCATGTCCCAGCTTTATATAATGCAAACGTTAAAAACCCGACCGTCACTCCTCGTCACCTTTGGGAGCATGCTTCCTTGTCCTACGTCCAGACCCCCACCCAACATCCTCCAACTCTCGGACTTCACCGAGAAGCATGCCAGGATCGGCTTTCTTCGACGTCCCAGCTAACTTCCCGGCATTGCGCAGAAACTCTGCTCGCATGGCAGCGGCGTCGGAGTCCTCATAGTCTAGCTGTGTCATCTGGGGCTCCTGGTTCTCTTCGTCTTCCTTATCAATCTGGGCAGGGAGTTGGTCTGCCAAGAAGTCGAACTTGCCACCGCTGAATATAGACGATAGGCTCTGCTCATTGCGACTGTTTGCGCGGGAAAATGAATTTTCTCGCGTTGGCTCTGCGCTCTCGAGCGCGGAGCCGAGACCATCATCGTTGAGAGTATCGATGGAGCTGGCCCGTGACATGGCGCGGGTTGTCTCCGTTGCTCGATTTGACGAGTGTGAGGGTGCACGACCCAGAAGCGGTTTACGCTTTCGGCGCGCTGGGTAGCTGCTATCGTCGTTGGTAGTCATACTCTCCGTCTGTTGCCGTGACTTGGCTGCTTGGGCCTGCTGAAGAAGACCCTTCAATGCAGTGTCCAGAGCAGACGGCGCTGGCTGCTTTGCATACTCTTCAGTGGGTGGTTTATCGGTTTTGCTGTGGGGTGATGGAGACGGCGATTCTGCTACGCTTGCTCGTGGCTGGTCAGGTGGCTCTTCGTCGGAGAAGCCGTCGCCAATGACAGGCATCATTCGAGACTTGTCACTTTCCACTGGCAGTGACTTGGTTTTTAGTTCTGTGGCGGGCCCATTGGAGGGTCTAGAAGGCCCGTCGCCGGTCTTGCTGGCCGGCGCGCGCAATTGTTTCTTAGTGGCAGATGCAACACTCAGCTTCTCCCGGTCGCTGCTGGCTTGCGACACCGGTCGTCTGACGATGTATGGCTCAAAGGGCTTCTTCTGCCCCGTTTGGACGGATATCCAGAACCAATCCGCCGATACAGCAGGGACTCCCCATTCGCTCGTATGTCGGAGCTTGTCATGGCTCGCGGTTTGGGGATCATTACAAACAAGAACGGAAGCTTTGGGCGTTAGGTACTCGTCATACGAGGCACCCATCAAACCAACCAGTTTAGAAAGGTGCAAAAGATCGATGCGTGCAAATCCAGTAGAGCATATCCGCATTCCTGGGAAGCCTGGGATAGGGAACTTTACAAACGGTGTGCTTGCAACATGGGATTCTGGTGGAACCAGAGCTCGGGCATCTAGGCACCTTTCCAGCCACATGTCGGTGACAACTTCACATTCGAATGCCATATCATCGGTGGACGGGATATCTGACCTAGGGGTCTTGTATGGCACCATGACAAAAAGCCCTTGCCCTGTTTTCGGTATGCTCGGGCTAGAAAATTCGCTCAGAGAGTCAACGCACTGAGCTGCATTGAATTCAAGGTGATGTCGAAGAACGCCTTTCTGAGGGGAGATTAGTGGTAGTCGTGGCAGCTGAACAATGGAGAACTTACCTGCTTAGAAGTAAATCCATGGATGTAGAAATAACACCCGTCAAGAAACCCTTCCGGAATTCTGGCTGAGGCGTCGGGAAGGGGGCGATGCTCCATGGTTTCAGGAAACGTCGTCTCACTCGCGAATGATTTGGCTGCTTGGATGAAAGGTTTGCGCTTTTCAGCGTCCGGTTCTTCTGGCTGGTCATTATTTGATTCGGCCACGTCGTTTGCGAAGCCTGCGCCGATGATGTCTCCCCAGATGTTTTCGTTCTGGCCCACGAGTTTGGTGCTCGCTGTTCGGCGTAGCTTTTTCCTTGGCCGCGGGTTCGCCGAGCTGTCATTGGCAGCTGCCCTTCCTTTTCCAAGCTGTACTTTTGCTGTCGCCGGTATCGTTCGATCCCATGCCCCCATGCCTTGCTCTTCCAGTGGCAAGGTGGGGTGATATTTCTCTTCATCCAAGATCATCCCGCGCTCAAGACAGTCGTGAAACCACCTCACAGTGACAACCTTGATATTCCATTGCGTCGCAAACTTGTATTTCTCGCCCTCTGTGTTCCGAGAAACGAGATGTGTGACGCTTTTGGTCAGGTCCTTCCGAAATTCAGCACCATTCTCCACAGCCATGTCGTGCATCTGCGTTCGAAAGGCCACTAATCCCGTAGGTTAGTTCGTTAGTTCGGTGTGTGCAGTGAAGACTACAATTCAATTAACTCACTATCTGAGAAGCCCGTAATACAGAGCGTAAGACCAAAGAAGGTCGGGAGCTCGTATTGTTTGACCAGTGCCTGGATGTCCGTGTCCCCGCCCTGCATCCACGATTGTCGTACAGCTTCGATCCATTCCGGTCTCAACACGGTCACGTCGTTCCGCTCGCGGGCGACGAATTTGTACTTTGGAGAATCAGTCGCCCCGACAAGGAGGTGCGTTACATCTGCTGTAAGGTCGGGTCGCTCAATTGCGCCCATTTCTTTCGCGATGTTGCTGAGCTGGGTCTATTGTGAATCCAGTTGTCAGTCTCAGTCCCTAAACTCCTCTGTTTGCCATACGTACTCTCTGCTCCAGAGGGACTGAGGTGAAGCAAATGACCGCGCCCATGAGCGGATGCTCCTTGTCTATAGCGAGGCATGTTAGAATGAAGTCCGCGCAACTGAAGCGGGAGGCCTTGGTTCAACTTACCCGAGGCGTCGGTCTCTGCCATCCTTCATGGTCGGCAGCGTTACCATGCGCGTCCCACTGAGATATTGAGTGAAATATGCTTGTTTCGGGCAATGGGTGTGGAATTGGGATCTTAATGCCCGTCTGCTCCCGCGCGTCGCGATATTCAATAGTCACGTGTTGCAACCGCGAATCTTGTGGGGCATCGGGGCATGTGCCTCATTAATTCGCAATTTTTGGCTCTGCTATTTTTGATAATCCAGAGGAGGCAGGAAAGCTTCTGCTTTTAAATCATTTAGTTTGTCTTGTTCGGCTCATCTAGTATCTCCCTACATTCATCGTGTCGCGTAATGCCCGGTTCATACTTCCAGAAGTGTATACCGCCGCAAGTATATATTTTTACATCATCTTACTTTTATAGCCTACGTAGGTAGATGCCTCTATATGTAACTTTTTATCACCATTAAATAGGTAAATTGGCAGCAGCATACCGGGGTTGAAGATGCACCTCTCAGGGACGGAGACAATGAGAGGCTCTAATCATACTCGAAACTTCTCGCAGATAGACTATGAGGCTCCACTGACTTAGGCACTTTCGCAGTGGAACCCAATGTTTATTAAACATAGCGAGTATAGACAATTAATGTAAAGCAAAGCATCATTCATGTAGACCAATACGTGATGGCCTGAATAGAAGAACCCTCAATGGATGGTGAACTTGCACCTATTAACATAGTTCACCAAATCAGCAGTTTGTTGGTCACTCATGCCTCAGGCATTAAAAGAGGGTCAGCCGGCGCGTCTCGACCACGCGTTGTAAAGAAACCCATCAACCCACATCGGCATTGGAACTGTTTGGTATCTCCCCGGCGTTCACCCCAGAGTTGTCGTTGTTTATGCACGCTTCCAGAGCCAGGACTCGTGGCATCAGAATTACCCGATTGCTCTCTGTGAGTTGCTCTACGAGGCCGCCAAATCCCTCCGCGTACTCGTCGACACCACCACGGCCAATCTCCGAGGACACTGTGATGTTCAAGAAAGCTGTCAAAGACCATCCTGGAGGGGCCTCCAAACCCCTTCAGTCCAATTTTCTCCGCGCAAACTCCATTGTATCTTCCAAACCCACACAGCCACAATCCGTCGGCGTCAAACGAAAAATCGACATGGGCCATGGCGGGGAATCCACGCTTGGTTCCCTCCACAGCACGGTTTATTTTGACGAAAATGACTTCGACGATGATCTGGATCTCGATATTGACGAGCCCATCGCATTGAATATCCCAAGCGCAACGAGCACCACCTACGCCTCGAAGCCCGACCCCGTCGCCTACCCGACCATCGACCTCACATCATCGGATGCCCGCGCCCCGGCACCTGCCCCAGCGAGCAAGCCACAGTCAGACATCGCATATCCGGATCTGCCGCCTGCATCCCAGGAATATGCTGCTCCTACAAGCAGCATCCAGATTCCGTGGTCTTCCTCCCCTCCTTCACACTTCCAGCCGCCCCCCAAACCGCGTACGCTACCATGGTTGAAGGAAGCCAAGGAAGAGGCAATTCAGGACAAGCGGAACAACCTCATTACACCAAAGCGGACAAGGCCTGCAGAGCCTTGGAATAAGAGTGCGAGTGCCATTAAGGAGGAACAAAAGGAGCTGAGACGGGAATACAAGAAAACCCAAAATGTGGACGGGGCTCCAAAACAGAAAGAGAGCAACAAAGTGCCAACTGTTTTCCTGAGTGATGAACAAAGACATGTTTTGGATGCTGTAGTTGAACAGGGAAAGAGTATCTTCTTCACCGGCTCAGCAGGTACCGGAAAGTCGGTTCTCATGAGAGAAATTATCAAGAAGCTACGCAACAAGTTCAAGCGAGAACCAGATCGTGTTGCGGTGACGGCCTCGACCGGTCTGGCAGCCTGTAATATTGGAGGTGTGACCCTTCATAGTTTTGCCGGTATTGGATTGGGCAAAGAGGCTGTACCTGAATTGGTCAAGAAGGTGAGAGCTCGTTCTAGATAAATCGATGCATGAAGGCTGACAGTTGATTTAGATCAAGAAAAATCAGAAAGCCCGGAATCGCTGGCTCCGCACCAAGGTTCTTGTCATTGATGAAGTATCAATGGTTGATGGTGACCTGTTCGATAAGCTTGAAGAAATTGCCCGGCGAATTCGGAACAATGGGCGTGCATTTGGAGGCATCCAACTCGTTGTTACCGGTGACTTCTTCCAGCTACCCCCTGTGCCAGAAGGGCACAACCGCGAAGCAAGGTTTGCCTTCGCGGCGGCGACTTGGAACACGTCGATCCAGCACACCATCCTCTTGACGCACGTCTTCCGTCAAAAGGACCCCGATTTCGCGGCCATGCTCAATGAAATGCGATTGGGCAAGATCAGTCCCAAGACAGTCGAAGCATTCCGAAAGCTTTCTCGACCACTTGACTTCCACGACGCGCTTGAGGCAACCGAACTGTATGACGCCCCCCTTTCCTGACAATGTACCTGAACTGACAGATATTTGTCAGGTTCCCCACACGTGCCGAAGTTGAGAATGCAAATTCCGCACGGATGGGCCGACTTTCCGGCGAGATGATTACGTTCAATGCTGTCGATTCAGGGACTATACAAGATGCCCAGCACCGGGAGAAGCTGTTATCTAACTGCATGGCTCCACAGACTATTCATCTAAAGAAAGGTGCCCAAGTGATGCTCATCAAGAACATGGAAGACACACTTGTCAACGGGTCCATTGGCCGTGTTGTTGCTTTCATGGATGAGACGACTTTTGACTATTACCGGGACAATGAAGGCGACTTTGCCGGAGGTGATGGCAATGACAACGATGAGGACGCAGCTCTGCGCGCTCGGAAGAAGCTGAAGCCCATGGCTCACAAAGAGGGCGGGGTTACAGTGACGCGCAAATGGCCCATGGTGTGCTTCGTCCAGCCCGATGGAACAGAAAGACACCTACTTTGTCAACCAGAAGCCTGGAAAATCGAGCTTCCCAACGGTGAAGTTCAAGCCCAGCGTCAGCAGGTGCCTCTGATCCTGGCGTGGGCATTGTCCATCCACAAGGCTCAGGGCCAAACTCTTCAACGGGTGAAAGTTGACCTGGGACGAGTCTTTGAAAAAGGGCAAGCTTATGTGGCACTCAGTCGCGCTACATCTCAGGCAGGGTTGCAGGTTCTGCGGTTTGAACCACGGAAGGTTATGGTGCATCCTAGAGTGACTGATTTCTACTCCAATTTGGTATCCATAACCCAAGTGATCAAACCCAAGAGATCCGGCGCTGATGACTTTGAGGATGACTGCTTTGATGGTTTATAGGTGTAATGGGGCCATTAAGAGGCGCATATTTGTTTATAATGGTTTTGATTGGAGCATTTGTGCTACTCACGTATAAACTAAACACCTAGCGATATCCCATGATCACGATTTAAACTTATTTTAACATACTTCTCTTTTGATGCTCTCCTGTGAACGCGTTTTGGGTCGATTTAGGTACTCACGCGCTTGAATTGCTACACGTATAGTCGCATCTGTCGACGTGTGGGCCCCCCACACCGAGTCTTATCGATAGTATCCTCTCACGTGACCTGACATGGGCGTGGAGGTTGAGCTGCCCGAGCTTTCTTTTTCCAACTGCAACGCGTTTCGCCTGATTTACTCTGACATTAATCCGTATCAATCTCATACCTCAATGATCAAGCCGTCGCTGTGGCTTCTCAGTGATATCCAGTGACCATGGCTTCCGAGTTCATCGGTTACAACGTGCTCGTGACACTGCAAGTGCCACCAGGTGGGCAGCTTCAAGGCCAGGTCGCTGATGTGATTGGGCAGACCTTGCTGCTCCAAAATGGTATGCTGCTGAAACATGACTCTTTTTTCACCTGAAACTCGGACTGAATCCATTCTTTACAGTCACCTTTCTGTGGAATGGCCAACGCCATGCTCAATTTTCGATTGATGCCTCCGCGATCACCGATCTCTCTCTAGGATCGACCAAGCCAGCTCCCCCGCAGCAACAGCATACAGCGCCGAAACCTCCAGCAACTGTAACTGTTCCATCTCGACCCCCTCCACAGCAGTCGTTCGTTGATCCCGCCATCTTGAGCTTCTCTAAGCCCCCTTCCCAGCCTGCTGTACAACACACACAGACTCACCTGGTGGGGCCGAGTGCTGCCCAAGCCCCAGTATCCGTCGGCGCATCCTTGACCGAGCCATTCAGCAACCTAGAGCTGGATGTGAGTGCTGTCCGAGGTGGAGTACATGGAGCTCCGCATGAGACGGAGCCCCAGGTTGCACAGAGCGTGACGACACCTACCAAGCAAACACCGAAGCGAAACCGGCACGGAACTGATGATGGATTCATTAAACATGGCGCCGCAGCAAGCACCAACCCAAAGAGCAAGGGCTGGCGTCAAACTGCATTTGTGGAGCCTGTGTCCTCAGTCACCCAAGGATCGCCCGAACATGCCAAGCAGCCTGGCGCAAAGCCTCGCAAGAAGAAGGCACGCCGTGCTTATGCTGAAGACCCGAATGGATGGGCTACAGAGGATGCAACGGACATCCAGGAACTGGGAGAGTTCGATTTTCAAAGCAATTTATCGAAGTTTGACAAGCGGCGTGTGTTCGAGGAGATCCGCAACGACGACACCACGGCTGATGAGGCTCGCCTGGTCAGTTTCAACCGTAGGGCGAAACCGGGCACCAATGGTGGAAAGAACCTCCACTGGACCGAGAATGTGCTTGATAGCGCACAGAACAGCGACACTGGCGATGATGTCGAAGGTATTAGCGATGCCAGACACAGCAGTGAGAACATCTCCGGCCGTGAACGATCGCGAGCTTCAGGGCGCATTCAAACTTCCCGCATTAGCAGCACCATCGTGGCTCAACCCATGGTGCCACAGATTAGTGCGCTTGGCCGGAGCCAGATCAACACCTCCCGCGGTGCGAGCCCCCGACCAAGCCGATCTTCTGCATCGCCTATGGTTGCGGTCAACCCAGCTGGTGCATCTCTGCGACTGACAACGACAAACCGCAGCTGTCCCACTGTGAGCCCGCTGCAGACGCTCGAGGTTGAACAGATCGCTGCGGCCGAATTCGGCTTGTCTGAGGACGTTCTCACTGAAAATGCAGGACGGGGTATCGCTGAAGCAGCAGTTGCTCTACTTACCAGCGACGCAGCCGCTCCAACCATGCTGATTATCACCGGTAACCACCGTACAGGTGCAAGGGCTATTTCTGCTGCCCGCCACCTTCGAAACCGTGGCCACCGTGTCACTGTGTGCCTGCTAGGATTGGAGCATGAAGAGGAGTTACTGGAAAACTGCCGCAAGCAATTGGAGATTTTCCGAAAGATTGGAGGGCGCGTACTCAAGTGGGAGGACCTCTCAGCCCGTCTCTCTACTGCTGACCTGGCCCCCGACTTGGTCATTGATGCCTTGTTTGGCATGCATATTGCCTTTGACGACCTTCGGACTGATGACCAAGGCGTTGCGTTTGAAATGATTTCATGGGTGAACCGCAGCAATGTCGAAATTCTCTCTGTTGATGTCCCGTCTGGGATGTCGGCTTCCAGTGGTATGTATCTTCCTCTTACTCAATGTTCGGACTTGGCTAATCACAGTATACTACGCAGGCGAGGTGACGATAGCTGATGGCGGTCGACTATGCGTTAACGGTTCATCTGTGGTGTGCCTCGGCGCACCTAAGACCGGAATTCTCAATGCTCTACTTTCCGGCGAAGGACACTCCTGGAACGTATCTGTAGCCGATATTGGCATACCGCAGATTGTGTGGCGCAAGTATGGCACTCGTCGCCGGCACGGTATCGACTTCGGGAATCGATGGGTGGTGCCGCTGCGGTTCCAGACACTGGTTGCATAGGTGCCTAGGCGGTTCTGGCTTCATTGATTTCGATTTCGAATCAAAATTACTCATCACAGGCGTTATTTTCTGGGATGGAAGGATATTACGGGGAGCTCGTGGCCCCATCGGCGTTTCTCCTAAGTGTCGTGTTATTCATGGGCACCACATGTACATGTATGATTAGCGGCCGCACACTCTCGATTGTCATTTTATGTATCATTTCTCTCTATCTGATCCGTGAGTAAACTTGTTCTGCGCTCAGTACACTGTCTAGCCAAAGGATCTTAAGAACCGCTTTGAAAGACCACAATTTCCCGGTCTAATATCAAACTGACGAAGACGCGTAAATGACCTTTCTGTTGGTATACGATACTTATCATTCGAGCTAGCCGCACAAGATAGTTTTGTAAAAAATTGGCTACGCAGTGTAGAGTAAAGTACCTCCCAACCGAGCTCCTTTGGACCAGAATCTCAGCGCACAGTTAAAATGCCATTACTAGCTCACATTATAGACTCATGTCTGACTAGGCATCTTCGCCCTTTTCGCGAGCGGCATTTTGCTGCTCCGCAACCACATCGGCGGGAATACGGTCAGGTGTCATGTTCACAAGCATAATCATTGGGACCAAAGCAGCCCCAAGGAGAGCGAACGTCACGCAGCTAGAAATAAAGTTAGCTGGACTTTCGTGAACAGAGTCTAAGGCAAAGGAGAAAACATACAAGCCAGTGAGAGGGTCACCAGTAGTTTGAGTGTTCATGCCATAGGAAATAGCCTGGCCAATTGCTTCGATACATCTGAACGCAGCACCATTGCGGACGTTTTCTGTTACTGCCATTAGCGATCACTATTCTTCTCCCTTCTCTTTTGAACCAGAGTCGACGAAGACACTCACCCTGTGCATCAGTTGCAAATGATGACAGAAGCCAATACATGTAGGACTGCGACAATGGACCCGTAGTCTGTACAAAGAAGTACGGCAGAAAAGACGAAGGGTAGAGTCCGTCCTCCCAATCAACCTTGCCAGGGTCATTGTGGTTGAACTTGACTTGCATAATGATGGACCAAATATACACGCCAACGTTAAGAATCACGACGGTGAAGAGACCAATTTGGGCGCGGCGACGCTGACTGAGGTGTTTCATATCGAGGATGAAGCCGAGACCAAAGCAACCGACGCTAGTGGGAAGCTAGGTTAGCTGATGTAGATAAAAGAAGATCGATAATTGAATCCTACATGCAGAAGAAGGGCGAGACCAGAGATGACAGGGCGCGGGCACGAACGGTGAAGTAGGTCCCTAGGTAAGTGGACCAAGACCCGCTGTCATACATGTTAGCTGAGAATGTTGAATGGATCCAGTAGTGGCCATGGGCTTTACCTGTAGAAGAATGACCAAAGTGCCCAAAGAGCGGACAGCATGATAAGTTTTGAGGTCATCGTCTTCGCAATGCGCTTGAATTCCATCTTGGTGGAAAGAGTCTCCGCCGTGATGATTCGGGTACCATCTGATCGGACGACATGTTCGAATGGTCTAATTAACAGCGCGAATGGGAGGCTGCAGAACAGCATGAGCAAAAAAGAACCACTCGGGATCAGGATCAGTCGCTAGATGGGGGCACTCACGCGAGGCACTCGATGATCACAAAGGCAATGTAAGTATCGGGAGTAATTCCCCCATCGGCTCCTTTCACATGATTCTTTGAAAGGCTTCGCAAAGTGAAAGGGTCAGTCAATATGCATCCCGTAGGCTCATTATTTGGGAATTGGACGAACGAACTTGATTGCACCGCCTACCAATTGGCCAAGGTTTCGAGACACGATCCACAGAGCCAGATATTTACCACGAGCACCAGAAGGCGCGAGCGTCATGATCGCTCCGGCCTCGGCGACATACCAACAGGCTGTACCGATTCCACTGATAGCACCGCTGAGAATGAGATACTGCCGAGAATGATTCGATGTCAGAATGCGTTACGTTGCGACACACTTCCAGCTGTCAGCTGGTGAGCCACAAAGTGCTTGCCACTTACCCATTGGTTACCAAACTTGCTGTTGCAGTAATAGGCGGATCCTTGGATAGGAAAGGACGCCGCACCAATAACTAATGCCCACTTGACACCTAGTTTGTTGACTAACGGACCGCCCATAAAGCAGACTTTCGAGTGGATCTCAGTCAGTACCCTCAAATCACGACTGGAGGCGCCGAGTTACATACCAACAGCAAGCATAGCATATAAGATCGCGGTCGAAATATTAGAGGTCTGAGTAGTTGCCAGACCACCACCACCGAGACCTGCCAATGATTAGTCGGACCTCCAGAGTATTGCAGCTTTGGTTGCAGAAGGCGAGGGTGTAGAACTTACCAGCAATCGCATCAGCCATGGCTGGCCCGCAAAATGCTTGCACACTCAAAAGCATCATCTGCGTCAAGCTATGCTGCCAGACCCGCTTCCATAGAGGCACAGTCGCCCTGTATTGCTCCAAGTCGATCCCCTGGGCCCCATCGACTGCATAGATTGGCGAGGAATGGAGAGATTCTTCTCGTGCACTGGGCGCCGCAGTCTTCGAATCGGTCTTCGAATCGGCCATTATAACAAAATCAGATGATCACAGAGAGAGGAACAAGAGATATCTGAAGAACACTGGAACAGCGCCTCGAGCTCGGTTATTTATACACACGCCATCAGGTCCAGGACATGTCCACTTATCACCTACTGAGCTTATCTCCGCAGTAGCTCGCATTCTGGCCTGGGGTGGTGGTGAGTGGGTCTTTCCCCACGTTCGTCTTCCCCGGGGGTTGAATGTGGTGGAAGGTCCAGGCGAAAAAAAACCGCCAACGTCGCTTCGCGCCGCATCATCACCGATAAGTTGGTTGACGACCACCAATCGCAATTATCGGTATGATTATCATTCGCTTCTCTCTCCCTACCTCTGGGCACTTCGTATCTTGGAAATTGGGGCGAAACCGGAGTCATGGTTATTGGTGGAGCGGCACATGATATCGCATGATCCGTCGCTCGGCCTGTCTCAGTCGCTTATAACTGACCTACTTTTTGGGACTCCGCCCCTTGGAGCTCGTCAGGACCTGCCACAGAATTTCTCCTGAGTGCTGCAAGATGGCGAATTTGCGGGCTAACACCAAGGTCGTCGTCGTTGGGGGAGGTGGGACGATGGGCTCTTCAACCGCGCTGCACTTGGTACGGTCTGGGTACACTCCCTCAAACATCACCGTTCTGGATGTATATCCGATTCCTTCCGCACAATCTGCGGGTTATGATTTAAACAAGATCATGAGTATTCGGTTGCGCAATGCACCGGATCTGCAACTGTCGCTGGAGGCACTCGATATGTGGAAGAACGATCCGTTGTTCACGCCGTTCTTTCACAATGTTGGCATGGTGAGTCATCCGCAACGTCTGGTCTGGGCGATAGCATGTTAACACGCCGACAGATGGACTGTTCGTCGTCGGAAGCGGGTATTGCGAATCTGCGACAGAAGCACCAATCCCTCATCAACGCCGGGCTCGGGAAGACAAATGTCTGGTTGGAAAGCGAAGATGAGATCTTGGCGAAAGCACCGCATTTCAGCCGTGAACAAGTCAAGGTAAGGTGGTATCACCAAGTGTCTGGGGTGCTAAGGCTCACCTGCGGGGACAGGGCTGGAGAGCCGCATTTTGCGAGGATGGAGGCTGGCTGGCTGCAGCCAAGGCCATCAATGCGATCGGACTCTTCTTGAACTCACAGGGTGTCAAGTTCGGGTTTGGCGGGCAAGTGATGCGACCTTAGCAGTTCTTCGGGTCCAGAGAGGTCCACTGTGCTAATGCGAACGCGCAGTGCCGGAACGTTCAAACGACCCATTCTCTCCGCTGATGGGACGGCATGTCATGGTGTTGAGACAGCAGATGGAACGAAATACTACGCCGACAAAGTGGTTTTGGCCGCCGGTGCATGGAGTCCCACCCTGGTCGATTTGGAGGACCAGTGTCTCTCGAAAGTAAGTCGACCGCCTCTTTATCTGCGTATTCCGAGCCAAAAGTTCAGAGAAGAGAACTTACGCACCAACTGACAACCTCAGGCCTGGGTCTTTGCTCATATTCAACTCACCCCCCAGGAAGTGGCCGAGTACAGGGACTCGCCTGTAGTATATGACGGGGAATATGGGTTCTTCTTCGAGCCCAACGAGTAAGCAATCGCCCCATTCTGTCTAGAACGGACACTGAATACTAAGCACTCATCGCAGACATGGCGTGATCAAAGTGTGCGACGAGTTCCCCGGATTCTCTCGCTTCAAGCAACACCAACCCTACGGTGCCACCTCTCCCAAACTCATCTCCGTGCCCCGATCACACGCCAAGCATACTACAGATACTTACCCAGACGCATCTGAAGACACAATCCGGAAAGCGATCGCAAGATTCATGCCTCGCTTCATGGACAAGGAGCTTTTCAACCGCTCTATGTGCTGGTGCACGGACACTGCGGACGCCAATCTACTAATATGCGAGCACCCCAAGTGGAAGAACTTGATCATGGCCACTGGGGACAGTGGGTAAGTGAACGACAAGGTTGACGGAGTGAAATGTTGCTCACGCTCCATAATCTAGACACTCGTTCAAGCTTTTGCCAAATATTGGCAAACACGTTGTCGAGCTGATCGAAGGCTCTTTGTCGGAGAACTTGGCGCATGCGTGGCGGTGGAGACCAGGGGGCGATGCTCTTAGGTCCATACGCGCTGGTCCAGCAAAGGACCTTGCTGACATGCCTGGCTGGCAACATGATGCAAAGCTATGATTGCAGCTCTGCAAGCCTGTCCAGCATCCAATTCCTCTAGGCATCTATGTCTCCTGACTGCGGTCTCCGACGGTCTCCGATGGCGAAAAACATGGAAGAATATGGCGGACACTCGGGAGCAGAGAAGCAGAATATTTGATGCTATAGAACTAAATGTTCGGTACTCGAGGCTATCTCAAGTAGGTAGACATTCGAAGCATCCATTGCTGATAGGGAGAACGCATACACATCTACATGAAGCGGAAAGCTGTTCCAAAGTTTCCAACGTTCATCTAAAGAATTAAAACTATGTCATACCGAGGATGTATTCCTATAGGGAGCTAGGTAGACTAATTCCGCGCGGATCCCTGCCTTCTTTTTGCTGTGCAAGTCGAAATAGGGAATACTTTTCTATTCAAAATTCAGGATACGGTAGACGAGTTAAGCCGACCGAAAAAATTCACTTCCATGAAGCATCAGCTATGGGGGTCTTTACGTGTTGCAATTTTCATTCAAGTAACCAAAAAAATAAACATGGTCAACCTTTGAAGGGAGCAAGTCTCACCCCAGAGTGATTCGGTGCCACCTTGGTTTAGGCTTTGCGAAGAAAGCCTCCGTCATCCTTCACAAGTAGGTCGGGTTATACTCCGAAATTGATCGACACAACAATGGATGTGTCTTGATAGACATAACCCTTCGTTTACGAGAATCTTTCGTCACAACTACTTTCTTTAGCTTCCCTCTGAAAGCCCATAACTAGTATGCACCTGGGGTCAGGGCTCTGCCTTTTTCCTCTACGAACTAGTTATTTACGATATGACTTTCCACTCGATAGGATATTTAATGAAGAGTGCAGGAAGTTAGTCGTTTAGCACCACTTGCCATACAATGTTCAACAGTGTAGCGCGTGTTGTACTGATGTGCGCCTATATTTTGTAGTTGACCGTGTAAGGCGGGCGGTCAGAAAGCGGGTCTACTGGGGTACAAATTTTTTGTCTGTCACTGTATTTCTTAGCAGAACGTTAAATTCAAGGTTCGTTAACCCATTCGAAATTCTTCCTAAAGTACTATATTTTAATAGTATACCCCAATAGGATATGGGTGCTGGGACATGAAGTTGTAATTTAAATTTAACGCAATGTTACAGTAGGTGTCTATGTATACATAACCCATGGTACACGCTAGCCCGAAAGGGCTAGTACACCCTGCGTCATTCTCGCTTTCTTTCGAGTCTCCAGCGATCGTCGAGCAAAGCTCGAGCTTCAAGCACCATGGGTAAAGGTACGTTTCAGACACTAGTTTCCTTGCAGTGAATCTTACTGACGTGTCTATGCATAGGAACGGACAAGCTCTATGTACGCGATCCCCTGATTACCTCCGCCATCGAGCCACCCCGCTGAGGCATGTCGAATGTGTACTGACTACTGTATAAACATAGATCACACACTCCGAGTGGGCGTCGGAAGATGCATTTTCAGCCAGCGCGGGCGCGGGCGTTGCGAGAGCCCGACAAGGAGGATCTAACGCGACGTTCAAGCGCCTTCCGTTCAATTTCTGCTCCCTCTCCCTCCAGCCATTCGCGCATCCGGTCTGCACACCAACGGGAACCATCTTTGACCTTACCAACATAATACCTTGGATCAAGAAGCATGGGACGAATCCGGTAGACGGGTCGCCACTGAAGAGCTCCGACCTGATCAAGCTCACAATTGCGAAGAACGAGGACGGCGAGTATGTTGACCCGGTGACTTACAAGGTCCTGACGGATAATACCCACATCGTTGCGCTACGGAACACCGGCAATGTGTTTTCCTGGGATACAGTGGAGCGGTTGAATATTAAGGGAAAGCTATGGCGCGATCTTGTCACAGACGAGGAGTTTAGTCGCAAGGATATCATCACCTTGCAAGACCCGCAAAACATCGAGTCACGCAACCTCAGTTCATTCAACTACTTGAAGGAGGGTGAAACTGAGATACTTGAGCAGAATCAATCTTCCGCAAGCGTCAATGCCAACGCGCTGGGAAATGCGGCGAAGATCCTGAAGGCGAAGGAAACCGTAGCCAAGGCGCGCGCGGAACGGTCACAGCAGCAGGCTGGCTCTGCGGCTTCGAAGGCAGTCTCGAAGGCCGGATCCACAGCTGCGAATGCCTCCAAGTCGGGTACAACTCAATCGGGGAAGGTCACGCCTTATAACGCTGCGCGATTCACTACCGGCAAGGCCGCCGCCTCGTTCACCAGCACCGGATTGACACCGCACACATCGGCCGAGTTGGCGCTTTTGTCCGAAGAAGAGTATATGCTGAAGCGGGGACGGGTAAAGAGTAAAGGCTATGCGCGGATTGACACCACGGCCGGCCATTTGAATGTGGAATTATACGCGGAACATGCCCCCAAGGCCGTGTGGAATTTCATCCAGCTCGCCAAGAAGGGCTACTACAAGGATGTCGCCTTCCACCGAAATATCAAGGGCTTTATGATCCAAGGCGGTGACCCTACTGGTACTGGACGAGGCGGCGAGAGCATCTGGGGCAAATACTTTGCGGATGAGTTTGACGGGCCATTGAAGCACGACGGACGAGGCACACTGAGTATGGCCAACAAGGGCAAGAACACTAACAGCAGTCAGTTGTGAGTCAACTTACCTTTGTTTCCGTCAAACCAGAATGTCACTAATACGTATCTCTAGCTTCTTTGCCTACCGGGCCTTACCTCACCTCGATCGCAAGCACACTGTTTTCGGCCGACTGATCGATGATCCGACACCTTCGTCTACTACACTCACCTCCCTCGAAACACATCCCGTGGAAGCGAACACCAATCGACCTACACCCGACGTCCGTATTAAGAATGTAACAGTCTTCGTGGATCCATTCGAGGACTTCCTCAACCAGAAACGGTCGGAAAGTATCCAGGAAGCAGATGCCAACAACGCGGACGGCGACGAGGACATTCGCCGCGTGGATGACGACCGTGTTACTTGGACCGGCAAGCGCGTCCGCGGCGCTGGTGCTGATCCCAACGCGGACGGTTCGACGGGCGTTGGCAAATATCTGAAAGCCGCCTTGGCCGACCGTGGCGGCGAGGAAGATGAAATCGTGGAGTTTGTGGACGAGGAGCCCGAACCTGAGCCGGCACGCAAGAAGGTCAAGGGAACGGGCGGCTTTGGAGACTTTAGTTCCTGGTAATCATTATTCTTCATTTCGTTTCATCTCCACCCTCTTCTTGGCGCTGGGGCGTTTGGACAGGGCGATTTTTGTACATACTTCTTTTGACTCGGCGAATCAGGCCCAGGTGCACGTGGGAAGGAGTCTAAAGGTACTTGGGACTTGGGATGTGAGGCTACTATAGGACTTTTCTGAGTAGTAGATCATACTGCCTCTAGTGACTTGCACGACAAAGTCAGCTCTGTTCAAGTAAGGAGCATATTGGAAAGTGTTTTCTAGGCCTAAGAAGGGTGCTATTCTGTACGTAGGGGCTCTTAGCTATTCCAGTCTAGATGGAACAAAAGCCAAATTTAGACGTTGAAAATAGGTTCTTCTTTACTGCGAGTTTTCTGTCCCAATATTCTCATATGGTCAGGTGCGTTGGGAAGCGGTTCTGGAGACCCAACTGCTCGGTGATAGTTCGGCTGTCCTTTCCTCCTTACTGAGTAACCAACCAGACGGTAAGTCTCCGGCCAACTCGCTACTTTCCTAGCAATAGCTAGTTACGACATCGTCTTAGTAGTCCTTTTTAGCTAGTTGTTTGCTAAATCATTACGCTTAGCGGAGTAGATCTGCGGATCAGGAGGATAGCACACCGTCACGCAGAATAATGTTGAGGCAGACGCCAACCACTTTGATATAGTTGCTAGTCCACGTCAACTACCGAGGTAGTTCACGCTCATTGCCTGCCCTATGTATAGAGTAGGGATCGTCGAGGGAGATCAGTAAGCTGGTCCAATCCCCTAGGACTGCTGCGAAGCATTCTCTGTATCTGTCTTCCTTTTGTCCTCAGGGAAGCAGGAACGAAATCTCCACTCCTCCCCTCTCCGTTCTTGGCTCTCCTCCGCCCGGCCCAGCCATACGCAACGGGGCGGAGTTAGCAGCACTTCCACTTCCATCGTTTTCCCCATCCGGATCGCATCATCACCCCCAACTCCAACTCTCAACTCCCCACCTTGTTACAACTCTTGCACTGCCACACCTTCCATCCGCCGCCATTCTCTCCACTTCAACGGTCAAACTCTGCTGATTTCGGTTCTGTCTACCCTTTTGGTAAGTCCGTCTTGATTCGCCCATAGTCTGCACAGCTCCCCGGGGGTTCCGGGGGGGGGTTTGGGGCCAGGATGAGCAACGCGCTGCGGAGAGCTGGTGTCTACGCAACTCGCTGGGCCAGACTGCGACCGCAGAGCCTCAGACAGTTACTAGCGACGTGGATCGCCTCAATGGCCGGTCTTTTTCCTCTGAGCGCCGGTTCCGCGCTGAAAAGACAGGGCGCTTCCCCTCCTCGCCTTTTGCCCCAGCTGTCTCATTGCCTCTGCTCATTGTCATCGGGCGCACCCCGCAGCTCTCGCTCACCTCTTCTGAGCGACTAGCGACTATGCTGGTCGGATCGCATCCTCATTAACACCCTTTTGATCTATAGTCTGTACTTTCGCCGTCGACCGACCCAGCGAGACTACGTCAGTCCGCAGTATCGCCATCTGTCCACCCTCAACCCCGACATCTCCCTCTCCATATAGTCCACCCCATCCTTGTCAACCAGGGATACAATCAAGCTGGCAGGAAATAAGCGCCGCAGCTTTTCTTCGCAGGGTGGGTTGCTGAACAGAATGTTCAGTGGCTCCTCGAGCCCACCCAAAGACAAGACCGACGCCGCCCCAGTTCCCGGAATTGAAACGAGCACCCTGAGCATCCAGCCCGAAAACGCCAGTCCCCGCGACAAGAGGTTCACCCCTCCCGGCGCCGGATTCTTTAGCCGTCGGCAGAGCGACCAGGAGGGTCCCGCAGGTGATAAGAAGCGTCGCAGTAGTACTGTCACTAAAGCGGCGAGCTTCTTCAGCAACGCCAAAAACTCACTGAGTCTGAACGGTACGCGCGAGTCTTTCTCGGCCATCAGTACTAGTCCGTCAGGTTCAGAGAGCCCCCTCCAACGGCTGGGCAAGATGGACCCGGCTCTGAGCGTCCCGCAAGGGTCCCTTAACAACTCTGCTGGAGAATCGGTACCAACACCGCGATCATCCTTCCGCGTGGGTGTGACAGAAGACCGGAACCGAAAATGCCGCCGTACTATGGAAGATACACATGCCTACCTCTACAACTTTCTCGGTACTCCCTCCCCCACAGCGCCTGGCCTAAACGGCAATGACCCTGCCGGGACCGCGAGCGAGTCACAGGCGTCGGAAGATTCGTCAAGCGTGGTAGAAACAGACAATGGCTACTTTGCGATCTTTGATGGGCATGCTGGCACCTTCGCGGCAGAGTGGTGCGGCAAGAAGCTGCATTTGATTCTCGAGGAGATCATGCGAAAGAGCCCGAGCACCCCTGTTCCCGAACTTCTCGACCAGACGTTTACCAGCGTCGACCAGCAGCTGGAGAAGCTGCCCCTCAAGAACAGCGGGTGTACGGCCGTTACTGCTGTACTCCGCTGGGAGGACCGTGTGCCCAGCTCACAATCGGCCACTGGATCAGCTGGTCTTGCTTCTGCGGCCGCGGCCGCTGCGGGCAAGAGCGACGCCAACTCCAGCGCCAATGATACTCCGACCCAAGACACGCCCTCTGGATCGATTTCCAAGTTGCAGGAGAAGGCCCAGCGCCATCGCGTTCTGTACACGGCTAACGTTGGCGATGCGCGCATCGTGTTGTGCCGCAGCGGCAAGGCCCTACGTTTGTCATACGATCACAAGGGCAGTGACGAGAACGAAGGCAAGAGGATTTCCAACGCTGGCGGCTTGATCCTCAACAACCGCGTCAACGGTGTGCTTGCAGTCACTCGTGCCCTTGGTGATGCCTATCTCAAGGATTTGGTCACCGGGCACCCGTACACAACCGAGACTGTCATCCAGCCTGATGCAGATGAGTTTATCATTTTGGCCTGCGACGGGGTAAGTTTTCATTCATTCCTATTTTGAATTTTCATAAATAGCTGACGATTTCTCCAGTTGTGGGATGTTTGCAGCGACCAGGAAGCCGTTGATCTGATTCGCAGAGTACAGGATGCCCAGCATGCGTCCAAGATCCTCGTCGACCATGCCCTCGCGCGTTTCAGCACTGATAACCTCTCTTGTATGGTTATCCGGCTTGATTCAACCCGGCATAAGAAAGTCGTCAACAACAAGACGGAGCTGATTGGTGTAGATGGTGACCCGGCTACGAATGTGGCTCGCGGTGTGAGTGAAGCTGATAAGATCGTGGAGGGAGCGCGGAGAAGCATGGCCGATGCAGGAATAAATGATCCAGAATCTGCTGAAAAGGCTGGTCAAGAGATCCTTCAGAAAATGGCCAGCAGTGACCAAGAGCTTGGGCCCGAGGTGTCCACCTCGTATCACGATCTCCCATCAGTGGATATTCTGAGCTCGACGAATGGCCCCCGGGAAACCAAGTGATCTTTTAGATGTGAATGGCCCCCAGGTCCCAATCCCGAAGGAGCACCAATCAGATAAGACGCATGCATGTTCTTGCTCCGTTCATGGCCTTTGATGCTTCTCAAACAATGTCATTGAGGCACTGGGACGTGGAGGTTTTCATGTGTTCATCTTGATTTCTTTCCATCTTCTGATTTACGTTGCACATCGGCGTCAGTTTATGACTTGCCACAATTTCCCCGTTTATGTTCCTTTTACGTGGTGCCGCCTATGAGGAGATTGGGCCTGGTCGTCTCAATTTTCCTGTAATTCGGCTTGCTTTCTACCTGTTGGAGATTTCGCCCCCTTCCTTCCACCTCCCTTCCCCTAACATGGCTGGGCTCATGAGATTAAGATCTTTTATCTTTGTTATTATTATTTGTTCTTGAATATCACTTCGTGGCGGATTGTGTATGTATGGGTATGCCATTTCCACAATGTAAACTGAGCCCCCAACCGCTGAACCCACGGGGCAGCGTCTACAGATAAGCGCGTAGGGATTTTACTCGGCCTCGCCGTTTAAGAGTCAAGGAGATATAGAGTCTGAAGAGAGTGAATGTGTTTGAGCATCTTTGTCTCTGCAGTGATTGGAAATCTCTAAAAATACAATTTATACAGCAGGCACTGTAGTAGCTCAGGAAACAGCTAGGTAAAACACATATCAAGTACAACGTATCACCCGTTGCCTGAGACCGAAATCAGTGGGAGGGAGATATCAACAGATGAACATCGCTTAATGTAGGCAAGGAGACACAGTTCAAAGGAAAAGAGAACCGCAAGGGCACAGCGAGCCTCGCTGCCTACGGCTTTTCCTAGAACTCGTGTTCTATCTCGACCTTCTTGACGACATGGCTCTTTCATGAGCGCTCCACACCGATGATGTTGTCGCGCTTCAGTTCTAGCTCGCCATGCTGGACCTCCTCAGGCCACGAGGCGGCATAGTTCGCATCGTGCACATCGCGCCAGAGGATCTTGACATTCTCTGGCGACTCCGGATAGTCACCAACCTCGCCAATCTTCACCTCAGCCCCAGCACGTTCACTCAACTGCTGTTCGAGTGCCTTAATGCGGGCATTATGCTGCTCAGCCTGCTCGGCCTCGCGGTCCATAGCCTCACGCTGACGCCTTCTCTGACTGCGAAACTGCTTCTGGCGCCATTGTTCTTTGTCCAAGAGCCCTTCCTTTATTTCTTGCTTCTGAATTTCCAGCACAGCGGCGATGTCGGCGACCGAGGTCGCCTTCTGGTCCATTAGGACCCGCGCGCGCTCCTTCTTCTCCATTGGATGACCAATCCTCTTCTTGTTCATCCTGTCGTATTCCTCCGCATCGGTGGGGTCCTTTGGCCGTCTCGAGGCCAGGAACTCTTCGCTCACTGTGATCATCTCAGGGGGAGGGGACAGTTGTCGCCGCATCGAGAACTCGCGGAGCAGCTGGTAGGCTCGCAGGCCGAGGCGAGCGTCGCCGAAGTGGACAGAGTAGTACGGCGTCCACATATCACGGCGGAGCTCGGCGGGAACAGTCTTCTTGCCATGATAGACCATTTGGCGCAGGACATTGCTTTCCTACAAAAGGCGCAGATGGTTAGACACTTGCAGACAATGCAAAGACGGGGATAGAAACAGATTGACGCGCCAGCTGACGACAGGGTATCCCAGGGCGAAAGCAAATCGGAAAAGGGACTTACCTCCAGATAACGGGTCAGGGAGTACACAACCTGCTTCGTTTGAACATTGTGGTAGACAAAAATGTGCTTCCCGTGAGAGATCGAATTCAGCGCCTTTTGCAACCGCACCCCTTCCCGCTTCACGTGTTCCTTGAATGCATTCGATGTTGCCTCTCGGATCTTTCCTTGGATTGGCTTTGTCGAATCAACGGGCGGGTGTCGTACGAATTTCCTCAACGAAGCGATTCTGGTCGAGTCCAGGATCTTCTGGATCGGCTTGGAGGCCGTGCTGGTCGAGGCCATTGCGGCCGGAGGCTGTGCGCAATCACCGGAGAATGAAAGTCTGAGTCAATTTGGCGAAACCTATCGCATTGGCAGGGGGATGGCAGACTGTGAGTTGTGAGGGTTGCCAGTGTTGATGAGAAGTGAAGACGGAGGTGGATTTTTTGACGGGGCATCCGCTCGTCTTGGCGCTGCCTGCTCTCCGCATCACCTTATCGCTTGACTTCCCTCCGCCATTGCTCACGCGTGCGAAATACCTGGATTCCGCCTCGGCTCGTGGATCATGCGCTTGGTCCTCGCATTGTGCTCCTGCTGCTAGCTTTTGCGCACCCCCTGGTCGCTCAAACGTCGTGATGGACGTGTCGGGCGGCGTGGACGCACCTACGGAGCATGACGCAGTCGCGCGCAGGGAGCGGCCATGGCTTTATGCATCAGTATGGCATTTTCCCTGGATGGCCATGATTTGGTGCTAACAATTCCTAGAACCGCAAGCTTCGGCATCTCCATGGCATCTCCGTTCGCAACTTGGTGGCAACGCCGCCCCCGAATCGAGCTCGCGGCAAGACGATTGACGACGACGATATCCCCAACGCTCTGAGATCGCCCTCGAAGCTTTTAGCTCAAAATGAGACTCGACCATTGCATCCTTCACGATCTTTCACGGATCTTAAGTCGTGTTCGAGTCAAGATGGCCATGCGGACAAGAGACCTGACATGCGCGAGTCGCGTCGCCGAAGCCTGCTGCCATGGAACGACCCCAATCCTCGAACGTGGCAGATCCGGCTAGAAGACATCACTAAGAGTCGTATGGCGGATACATTCTTTTCCTTACACTGCAATGGCATCGAAGAGCCGGTCTACATCAGCGAAGTGGTCGATAAGGCAACCAACCCCAACTTTCGAACGTTCGACCTCGACTTCTGTGGTCCGGCAGTTTCTCGCCGAGATAGTTTGACTATAAAGCTTTGGGTGAAGACGGAGAATATGTTCGAATTTGTCCTGCTGGTTGAATTGCAGCAACATCTACGCTCCTTGCAATTCTTAGGGAGGACCCTCGAGAGCTTTCACCAGCCTCTTCCTGCAAATTGCATTCTGTTTCATTTTCCCGATGGCGTTTACACAAATCTGACTGATATTCCGCCGGTTGAACCACCTCTCAATGGCGCAGGTCAACGAACCACTGCCGATGGAGCAGTGCTGCCTACGTCTTCCTACGACGCGTTGATGCGATTGGCGAATCTGGACGAGTGCGTTCAGGACGCATTGGCGATCCGAGAGAGATTGGAGACGCAAATTGGGGATATCTTGAAGAAGAACGAGAGTGCACTGGCAATCGAGAGTGGGGCTGCTAAGGCGCAGGACCGCCTTGCCTCAATTAGACAGGCCATCGCCGCTGAGCGAAAGCAGATTCGAGCTGCGAACAAGCGCAAGGAGGAGCTTATCACCAGCATTAAGGCCCGAAACGAATCTATGAAACAGGGTCTCTTTGCGCAAGAGAAAGCCCGAAGTCACCTCCCAGATGCGAAGGAGAAACTGGTCAGCAGCGAACAATTGCTCAGCCGGAATGCGGAAGAAACCAAGGGCCAGATCCGGCGGATTGCAGAGGACCTGATGGTGATCTATCCGATCGATCCGATTCCCGACAAGACACTGGCGTTTACCATCGCCGGACTACCACTACCCAACTCCAATTTTGAGGATATTGATCGCGAAGAGGTTGCTGCAGCGCTGGGTCATACCGCTCACCTCGTATATCTGCTCTCTTTCTATCTCTCTGTTGCGATACCCTACCCGATTAGTCCGAGCCTCTCAACCTCCTTGATCCACGACCCGGTGTCCCAGGATCTCCCGCAGCGCACCTTTCCACTGTACCCTGTCAGCGTCCACTACCGATTTGAATATGGAGTCTTTCTCCTGAACAAAAACATCGAGTTCATGTTGAACAAGCAAGGCATCCGGGGTCTCGATATCCGACACACCCTTCCCAACCTCAAATACCTCTTCTACATTCTGACCGCCGGCACACCCAATATCCCTGCCCGCAAAGCAGGTGGTATTCGTGGTCTTGGTGGCAGATTGACCCCGAACCTGTCTCGGCGTGGTAGTACAGACAGTGCCGCCTCAGGTGAAATCGTACACTCTCGCAAGATTTTCGATTTGGTCTCCCGGATGAATGGGCTGGCACTAGATGGGGCCAACCGAAGGGGCACGGCAAACACCGCCGCTGCCGTCTAGGGCGTGAGTTGTTATTGAAAGAATTCATGCTTTGGGTGGAAAGCCGCTCTTCGGACTCTGGCATTGTCCGGGGATTTTTTGATGTCCTGATTACCATGCATCGTTTTGTGTCTATGTAGAGGCGTAAATACCAAGGTGACTTGCATGAGTGTGTAACACGTTCTTTTTGCCTCTTGAAAATTTTGGGCTTATTTAGCGGGTGCTCTTCGACCAATATCTCAGATTATGTTCAGTGCAAACTTATTGAGCTCAGTCCTAGCCCCCTAGTCGAACAATAAGCAATGCGCGCCATTGCATCGTGAAGAATCTGGGGTAAGGACCGCTTGTGTCTGCCCATAATTCAATACCTCCGAGCCGATTGGATTCACTAGAAGAATGGTGCCCCTTGATCCACAGCGATGTAACTCTTTACACTTTCGCTACCCCGCAAGTCCTATTCCATTATACAATGAAAATTGGTGGCTGGCCGAGGCTACTGGGGCTCTGCGTGGGCTCCGTAGGGGCCGGGAACTTTCCATAGCCATCACGGTGTGGTCTTTTTTCCTCAATCCTAAATTTTCCCCTCTTTTCTTTGTTTGCTTGTTTCCCGACTCTTTGGTTTCCTGTATTTTTTTCCCCGAGAGGTCTCTCGCCCAATCGGCCGGGCGCTCCTCTTCGCAAAGCAAACCCCACCGCCTTCAGGCTTATCTTCGCTTTGCATCGGCTTTCCCTATCATTCGCTAACTACCCTGCTGCTGCCCGACTACCTCTCAAACCCTTAGCATGGGACAGGACAATAATAGCGCGGCTCATGACTCCGGCAAGTCGACGTCGCCGTCGCCGTCTGCCCCGCAACATAGGCGCGGCTACCAGGCTTGCGATCCGTGTCGCAAACGCAAGGTCAAATGTGATCTAGGCAGTATGGGATCAGCACACCCCCCCGCGGTAGCTTACCTTGCATGGCTGACAGACCACAACATTTTCGCAGGTGTTGACAATCCTCGCCCCCCACCTTGTGTGCGATGTCGTCGCGAAAGCAAACGCTGTGAATTCTCAGCTACTCGTCGCAAGCGCAAAGCCTCCGACGCTACTGAGGATGTCGAGGCCGCCGAAGTACTCCGCCGCGATAAGCGCATGATGACTGGAGAGGTACCTGCAAATGAAGCACCAACACAAGTGGAGGGCTCTCAGTACCCTCCACCAGAGCCGATTCTCGATACCGATGCCTTTCGCGCCCAGCAGAGATGGGCCGAGACGTCCCCCGCAGCTGCCCCCCCGCGATCTACACCCAATGCGCCCATCTCTTCTACAACCAGACAATTCATTGAATCAAGGAATCCTCGCTTACCTACCTACCAGTCCGGTGAACGAAGCTCTGTGCCTGGATATGGAGGACAGCCGATGATGAATCGGACTGCTGTGGAACTGCTGTCCCCGGCGATCACTAACACACATGATGCTCTACATCTACTTTCTGAAGCTGCGGGACGAACAGAAGACCTAAATCGCCAGACTATCGAGAACAGATACGGCGCCAGACGCTCCGTCTCCTCATACAACTCTGGCCCTTCTCCCCTGGCGCACGGAAACTCACCTGGCAACCTAAGCGGGTCCTTCTCACGGACCCCTCGATCTGGTATGGCGGCAGGTGGAAATGGCTTCTTGCAAAGCGGTGGTGGTCCAGGAATTGTGGAGTCTCAGATTCCCGAGGACAGTGGTCAGCGAGACAACTCTCCAAACCCCCAGGACCCTGGGTTTATCGATGCGGTGCGAGCGTGGTCACGACTACGATTCGTTCGTGCCGGGTGGATGACGGTGGAAGAGGGCATGGAATACGTGGCATACTACTACGAAAACCTCGCGCCAATGAGCCCTGTGGTTACTCCCGACTACTCCCACCCTTCTACGCATCGCACGCTGCTCACCGATGAACCGGTGCTGGCGGTGACTATCCTTACGATTGCTTCCCGACATCTGAAACCCAGGGGTGATGGGGCAAGTACTCGTGCATTTTATATCCATGATCGCCTCTGGTCGTACTTGCGCGGCATGATCGAGCGCCTGTTCTGGGGCCAAGAGAAATTCGACGCAGGAGGCGGTCGGCCTCGATCTCTAGATCTCGGCCCGGGTGCTAGCGGTCCCACATCCAAAGGGAATCTGAGGGCTTTAGGAACAGTGGAAGCTCTATTGATCCTCACCGACTGGCATCCCCGGAATCTTCACTTCCCCCAGGGGACGATGAGAACGCACTTCTGGACAGAGAGGCCCAGTCTCAAAATCGTGCCGACAAGGACCTGGATAATGAGAGCGAGCAGACGGGCAACAAGTCCTCTGCAGAGGGTCGAGTTGCCTTTCAGAAATGGCTGGAGCCCGCCTGGAGATCGGACCGAATGTCCTGGATGTTATTGAGCACCGCACAGGCTTTGGCCTTTGAACTGGGTGTTTTTGACTATAGGAGCGTACCGAAAGGAGCTCCGGAATTGCATTCCGAGCAGACACGCAAGCGTCGACTGCAGCGCCTGATCCTAGTTTTTATCACGCACAGCAGCGGACGACTGGGGATTCCATCTATGCTTCCCCTGACAGAATGGGGCCGTGATATCCCCGCAACTACCCCTGACTCAAAGGATGGAGATCTGGACCTGGATCGAATGCAGGACTGCTGGATGGATATTTCGAAGATAGTTTACCAGGCGAATCATCAGCTGTTTGCGTCCAGCGAGCAGACTTCAGAGTTGATTCGGAGTGGGAGATACCGGGAGCAAATCGACTGGTTTCAACCTCAGTTGCGCGAATTCCGACAGAATCTGGATCGTGTCAATCGTAAGCCGGACTTTGAAAAGCACCTCCTTATGGGTGAAGAGCTAACCAGCACCAGTTACCCCGGCTATGCGAAGCATCCTGATCATTGAATACGAATATACCCGTGAGTCAATTACCTCCCAGGTTGCTTGTTAGCCATAAACTCATCTCTCATAGGTCTATATATAAACTCCCTCGCTTTGCAGGCGGTTGTTGACCGGTGGACTACAATGTCTAATGAGTCTTCCCAAGTTCAAGCTGGTCGGTCGGGACCAGGGCCGTCCGCCGGTAGCAGTGGGTGGTTCCGGGCATTGATGGAGCTCTACCGCGTCAACGAGCAATACATTCAAGAAGTTGTGGATGCTTCTCGCAAAATCCTACAGACCGTTTTGGAAGGACTCGTTCCAGGCGGCCGTCTCAAGCATGCCCCCATTCGGACGTTTTTCCGCATTCTGTCTGGCATGATCTTCATCCTGAAAGTAAGTCCTATTAACTTGTAGTGTACGAAGTGGGAATTGAGAGTTTCAGTCACTGACCCCGCCCGGCAGACTTTCACCCTCGGTGCCCGTGAAGATGACGTGCGAGTCTCTTTAGACCTGCAAGACCGCACGGTAGAGGCGTTGCGGACCTTCGTCGTTGATGATGTGCACATCAGCAACACAGTCGCCCGCCTGCTTGAGCTCCTCACCAGCAGCATCCGCACGCGGTTCCTTCGCTTCGCACCGCACGACCGCGGCGCCGACGGCGACGGGCATGCTCCGACACCCGTTTCTCGCGCCCATTCCCCCCCGCGCGACAGTGTCGCGGGTCGCCGCGACGGCCCCCACACACCCTGGTCATCCACGCAAGATGCAACTCCGAGTGGTGGCCTGGGCTACGTGGAGAGCAACGGCGCCGGCGGGAACCCGACAGGGCCGATTGGATCAGCCCACGACCCGCTGGCCAGCATCCCTGCGCAGCCGATCAACTCCTCCAACCTAAACGTCTCCTTCATGCCGCCGCCGCCATCGGTCTACTACAACTACTATGACTCGAATTCGGCCATGCCGGCGAGCGAGATGGAGCGGTCGTCGCCGAACCATGTCGTCTCCTCGCAGGCTGTCGGAGATAGCAACGGGGTGAATTCGACATCTGGGGGGCTGCCGGACTGGTTTGCGCTTCCACTGGATCAATTTTTCAACAGCTCCAGCGGCGTGGTGGACCAGGGCCTCGGCGGAACGGGGCCGATGCTGGGCGAGTTTGATATGCTCGAGGTGCTCCTCAACGAGGGCTACGGTGAGGGCGAGTCTGGGGGAGTCGCATCGCAGTTCATGGGCTAAGCGTGCACGTTTGCACCATGCATCATGCGCCGGTTATTCCCCTCCTTTGGGCGAGGTTTTGGAATATGATAAGTCCTTCCCCCACCCTTTTTATTTCTTTTGATTTTTTTATTTCTATTTTTGGGGTACTTTCTGGTGGTGATTTTTGTTTTCCCGTTTAAACTATATACCCCTACGGGATCTTCACGTTGGCGTCGGTTGCATTGGAGGTCTCCACCTGGTTTAGCCCGTTGGTTGTTTAGTGCTTGGTGGGCGATGATTGGCCGCTGCCACCATCTGGTTGAAACAGCGACTTGTGCCTTCCCCCTATTACACGCGCACCGTGGTGCCTATCCTTTCCAGTTGTCTCTGGATTAATATCAGATGACATGTGTCAGGTTGCATTGGGCCCTGGAGGCGGGTGGGCGGTACTTGGTCTGGTGCTGGTCCCTGCAGGAGGGATGGCGTCGCAGTGTGTGGTTCAGCCTGTGGGTGGAAGAGGCGTTTTCTATCTGTCCAATGAAAGGGGGTATGGGCTATGGACTATCATTCTATTGATACGTGATAATGATGATAATGACAACATCCTTCTGTTTTTCTGCGCTCTCCGCCCACCGTGGCCTTTCTTGTAGATTAGTGATTGTCCGTTCCTGACAAGCCTGAACAACACCGTCGTCCCACCATTTTAATTTGTCGTCTGTCGCCTCGTCCCTGTTTCATCATCCCAGGCTTCCAGATTCTGTCCTGCCAGCTCCAAAATTCAAGGCATACCCGGCCGGTCTCCGTCGGTCGCAAGGCTGCGGGGCTCAAGTTTCATCTCGATATGGCAGATCCTCCGCGTTCACGTGCTAGGCATAGTCCATAGTTTTCAACTCACTACGAAGCAACGACGGCGTCCGGACTTCAGCCGCGCCAAGTAAGGCTATCGGGCGGCTTGAGTCTGCATGTCTTGGAATTTTTGAATTTGTAGAAGTGCCAAGCCCGACCTATGGCCGGTTAAAGAAAGCCTGTCTATATTGATTAAGGATGGCTATCACGGCATCTGCGACGTCGGTGCTGCAATACAGTGGAGGAAGGTGCAGGGCAGCGTAGAAAAGAGCAATAACTACTTCGGACAAGCCGAAAGGTTTAGGATACTACAGTAGTCTGCGCCGTTTAACCTGTACCACTTTCCGCGGCCGGCCTCTGTGGTGAAGATTTTGAGAGGACTCTGCTGTGATGGCTACACGGTCTCCTCACCAATCACAATAGCCAGGGCTCACAGACCGCGATTGTAGTGTGTACAACAATGGCCGACCCGCAAACCCGCTGGCGTCGATCTATCGGCCTCCATCTGCGCCACCGAGCGAGCCAGCCGATCCCCTACGCAGTTGGGTTATTGCGGAAGTATAACCGGGTATAGGGACGATCGCCGCATCGAAGGATCTAGTAGCCGGGGGTGCTGCAGCCTTCCGACAAGCGTGTCCCCCTGATAAGCCCTGGTTTGTGTAGCGGCCAGAAGGCTCAAACCCTAGATTTAGAGTGGCTTAGGGTGCGCTAAGTGGCTTGGTGCGCTGCACGGCATCATCCCCGTCAAGGGTCACATCGGCCGAGTCGATCATCGCCCCATTTTTGGCGCGTGCATAGCAGATGGATGGAAGGGGAAAATGTGTACGGACTATACTAATGCATCAATGCACCAAACGTGCCGGGGTTGGGTCGTGTAGGGTCCGACAGATCTGCAGGGCCGATCTGGCCACGGAGTCCGGTCGGGGTTGATATGAATCGCCGGTAGGAGATGAGATTCAGAAAGAATGTCATATAGAATACTAGGACCGTCGGGGGAGGAGGCCCAGGTTGGTCAATTAATTAAATTGTAGGTAGTTAGTTAGAGTAGTTGGAGTTGTTAGACGTAATCTGTACCGGTTGTTGATACCCTCTCGGAGTCTGCTTGCACTATCCCGCATCCTGCGCAGTTCCAAGCGGCTGTCTCACCGGTGGAGTCCCGGGCCCAATTGACCCGCCGAGAAACAACGACCATTCAATCAATCGAGTTGGCTCGAGGCGCGATGTGACCCCAAAGGAAAGGGGAAAGTCTATGAGTTGCTGGTCCGGACAAGTGATTGGTTGTGCCTGGAGATAACCGGGCGCTGATCGACAGGGCTAAGGCCAACGTCAACGTCCAGTTGCTCCCCAGAGACCTTGCCAAATCAAATCCAACACCAACTGACTCAGTCAAATCATACTCCGTCCCAGGAACCAAACACACTCGCCTCTCGCGCACGCTCTGCGCGAATAGCGATCGTCGGGACTCTGCCAAATGGGTATCAAGCTTCCAACTCGCACCTCATGTTGGTCTTGGCCGGACTTCTCCGTTCTGGAACGATGGAAACCCAAGATAGCTTGTTGCAGTCAAGCCTCCGTGCTTCACACCACCGTCGCAGCTGCGGCGTATCCCCCGCCTTCTCTGGGGCGCAGTAGCCCTAGGCCCTCGGCCCTAGTCGCTAACAGACCCATCAACTTCCGCCATCTTTACGAGACGCCGTCCCATGCTCTCTTTGGTCTCCGGCGCAACCCCTAATTCCCCATGGCCCCTCCTGGCGGACTCCGTCGTACCATTCTGGCTGTTCGATGGAGTATGCGATGATCTCGAAGTTTATGCCCCGGGTGTCCATGCAGATGCTGGATCGGCGGCCCTGGCTTCCAGGAAGAGAAACATCTCCTGTCCCTTCGGGATCTTGGTTTGGCTGTAGCTCCACTGACACCTTCTGCGCATGTCGTGGATTTGCCTGAGGACGATGGTCATGCCTATCCACAAGGCTATAAAGGAGCCATGGTCTCCAGCTGGTAGAGGGTCTTATCATATCCAGTGCCCTCAACTCCTTTCTCTTGAGTCTAGCATCCTTCTTTCTAGAGTTTTTCTTCATTTTTCTTCCCTTGCCTCCGCTTTCCTCTCGCTGCCACTCATTATGGTCGTATTCAGCAAGATCGCGGTCGTCCTGGCCGGTTTGTCGACAGTCGCATCGGCTGTGCCAACGGGCAGCTCGCGCAAGAGCAGCTTCACCATCAAGCAACAGACTCGCACCGCGACCCAGCCCAAGTCTATCAACTTGCCAGGCTTGTACGCTGCCACCCTCTCCAAGTATGGTGCCTCGGTTCCAGCTAGCGTGAAGGCCGCCGCAGAGAGCGGCTCGGCCATCACCACTCCTGAGAACAACGACGAGGAGTACCTCACTCCTGTCGATGTCGGTGGCACCACCCTGAACCTAGACTTTGACACTGGCTCTGCGGATCTGTAAGTTTTCTGCTACCATTGTTAGCCATTTGAATCAATAGCGACATCAGTATCCTAACATGGAATAGCTGGGTCTTCTCTTCGGAGCTGCCCTCGTCCGAGCAGTCTGGCCACAGCATTTACAAGCCCAGCAGCAATGCCAGCAAGCTGTCCGGTTACTCCTGGTCTATCACGTATGGTGATTCGAGCTCCGCCAGCGGTGACGTCTACAAGGACACTGTCACCGTCGGTGGCGTCACGGCCACTGCCCAGGCCGTTGAGGCTGCCTCCAAGATCAGTCAGCAGTTTGTCAACGACAAGAACAACGACGGCCTGCTGGGCCTAGCTTTCAGCTCTATCAACACCGTCTCGCCTAAGTCACAGACCACCTTCTTCGACACTGTCAAGTCCCAGCTGGACTCGCCCCTGTTTGCTGTAACGCTGAAGCACAACGCCCCCGGCACCTACGACTTCGGCTTCGTCGACAAGTCCAAGTACAGCGGCTCGCTCACCTACACCGATGTTGACAGCTCCCAGGGCTTCTGGAGCTTCACTGCCGACGGCTACAAGATCGGCTCTACTTCTGGCAGCTCCATCCAGGGCATTGCCGGTGAGTGATTCTCGCGCAGCTCTTCATATTTCTCGATCCAAGATCATAGCTAACCTCCCTGTCAGACACCGGCACTACTCTGATGTTGCTCCCCGATGACGTTGTCTCCGCCTACTACAACCAGGTCGATGGCGCCCAGGATGACTCCTCCATCGGTGGCTACACCTTCCCCTGTTCCGGTCAGTTGCCCGATTTCACCGTTACCATTGGGGGCTATGACGCCGTCGTCTCCGGCGACCTGATCAACTACGCACCTATCCAGACGGGCAGCTCCACATGCTTCGGCGGCATCCAGAGCAACTCTGGCCTGGGCTTCTCCATTTTCGGCGACATCTTCCTGAAGAGCCAGTACGTTATCTTCGACTCCAACGGCCCCCGCCTTGGCTTTGCTCCTCAGGCTTAAGAGAGCGGTTGATGCTGCGGGCGATGATTACGCAACCAGTTCGGGCCAGGGGCTACCCCGAGGTATGAGGACGGCAGACGATCCTCATTCCCTTTCAGATAGAGCTGGCTAGCGGGCTAGCTTGGTTTGGTGGATAGTGGATTGGGTGAATTCTGATTGATTGATTGATTGATTGATTGATTATTTTGGCCTCAGTCTTGACGCGGCTGGGCTTGTACATGGTGTCCTTGATAATGCGTGCGGCACATAATATATATAACGCATGGTGATTGAGACTGATGCTACAAGTAGATTTCTTTGTATGCCGTAGTCAATGGCGTAATGTTCGAAGTGGCGGAGCTTTCTATAAAGTCTCAAGTGAAACCTCCAGTCCGAAGACAACATCGTGACACTTTTATTTCGAATTGAATCTATGTGACGATCCCTGCTCTTGGTAAATGAGTAGCAGGAATGCAGTATCAGGTTCCATGTTGTGTCTCCTTGATACAATACTGTTGTTTATGCCGACCTTTTCGTTCACACTAGGGTAGATTTTCCCGCAGAGAGTGGATTTAGCCTCAACTTTGGGGTGCAATTTATCGAACAGGTGAATATGCACTTCGTCTGGCCACATCCTATAGTCACGGGTCCAGCATTAGACCATTATAAAGAGTAAAGACTGGTGAAAAGAATGTATACGTGGAATTCCTCTAGAAATGTCCGTGCTAGCCTCGCCCATTGAGACATTTCTTGGGCGCGCGAAGAATTGGAATCGTGTGTGGAGATGCAGGAATGCCGGGAAGTGAGTGGATGGGTGTGGATCGGGTGGCGGATCATCTCGACCCGCCAACTCCAGATTTCTCGACCAACTCCAGACTTCTCGACTTTAAATCATCCCGCAACTTGAACGTACACTGTGCGCCTGACCCCCTGTCGAGGCTACGTGCGATTCCCTGTCTATACCCTGACCCTCCCACATCTTCCCGACTGCCTGCGTTTGCCCGATCCGCCAGACCCCCTTGCGAGGCGACTCCCCACTTTGCCTTTCTGACCGGCGCTGTACGCGCAGCTTGAGGCCATTCGAGAATGGACGTCTAGTGCGCCGGATCCGACTGTCTGCGCTAAGATTTCGGAGAGGGAGCTGGCGGACTTGTACTCGCTATATGACTAGTAACCTCCGGCCGGCGAACGCAGCCCGGAGAGCCTGACCATGGAAGATGAGCCCCGTGTGACTCCCCGCCAGATCTGGGCGAATCCGACCTCAACCACGACCCATACGTATGCCTCCGGGTGTACACCATTCGTTTTGCCTAGCGAAGGTATGTAGCTCTAACCCCCGTCCTTTGGTTCTGTGTGGGCTGGGCCCCCGAGTGAATCTTCCCCGGTCTCTCCGCCCAATGCTTCTACCCGTATGCCCATACTGACCTCACTATTTTGCGGCACACCGCAGGGATTATACATATCAACAGCTCGTATGCCCTGACGCTGAGCGGAAATGCCGTCTACGAGCCTGTTTGCACCGGTGACCCGACCGATTATGTCCATGTGTCCGCGGTTCTGGACACACGCGACCCGTTCTACTCCTCCGTCACGCCACAACTATACGCCATCGGCTGTGCGACTGTGGTCAGCTACGTCCTCGTCATCATCCTCTTCATCACTCCGCGCACGTTTTACGTCGGTGGCCCCGGCGGCGGCGCGAACTTCCTCGGACGCCACGGCATGATAAGCAGCTCCTACAGCGGAAACTCATCAGTTGTTGGAGTCGGCGGGCGGCCATGGCTGCAGAAAGTGGCCGCGGTTCTTGTCGCCATATCGCTGACGATTGCCACGGTGGACTCGTTTAAAGTCGCCGAGCGCCAGTATGGCTATGGGTACTCGGATGCCGAAGCGCTTTCGGAGGAAGTTATCGACGGCACGGAGATCCGCATCGTGCGCGTGATTTCGAGCACGTTCCTCTGGCTGGCGCAGGTTCAGACGCTGATTCGGCTGTTTCCGCGACATAAGGAAAAAGTCATGATTAAATGGGCGGGCTTTGCGCTGATTGTGCTTGACACGACGTTCAGTTGCTTAGAGAACTTCATGGTTAAGAATACATCGACACGCCCGCGGCTATACGACGATGCGATTCCCGCGCTGAGCTACTTGTTTGAATTAGCGCTCAATCTGTTATATGCAGCATGGGTCATCTTCTATTCGATTTCGAAACACCACTATGCGTTCTTTCACCCCAAGATGCGCAATATCTGCTTTGTGGCGCTTTTATCGCTCTCTGCGATTTTGATCCCGGTTGTGTTCTTCGTTTTGGATATCGCGAAACCCGAGATTGCTGGGTGGGGTACGTATATCCGATGGGTTGGTTCAGCTGCGGCTAGTGTGGTGGTGTGGGAATGGGTGGAGCGTATAGAAGCGCTCGAACGAGATGAGACGAAGGATGGAATTCTGGGCAGAGAGGTCTTCGATGGGGACGAGATGCTGGAGGTCACGCCATCAGAAGAGGTTGACTGGCCGCGCTATTCGTCTCAAGGACATGACAAGGGAGGCGGCGGTGTATCATCCGGCTGGGGAGGAATGATAAGCCTGGCTGGTCGTCCACTGCGCACTCGAGTCGGCATTCCTCGTGGAAACCGGAATCGGGGCATGGGAGTGCTGGGCCAGAGGCCTAACAATACCGCCGCGCCGCCCCGACAGAACCCTCACCCTACTCCACCACCGAATGTAGTGACTCCCATCAGCCGGGCTGATACGACCAGTGCCGCAAGCACAGTGTACAATGTTCGCTACCACCCAGTGGCGAGCCCAACACCACCGGTGACAATGCCACACATGGAAGAAGAAGACGAGCTGAAAGAGCCGAAAGACATGGAAATCGAAGGGGCACAAGCCCCCCACGCTGCTGAGCATATCATCTCAGCCCACGACACCAGAGAAGAATCACCGCAGATTGTCCACCCCGATCCACGGTGGCGCAACCTGCTCAATCCATTCAAGAGGAGACGTGCGTCTTTGCCAAAGGAGGTTGCCTCCGCCCAAGCTGGCGAGGAACACGGCCAGGAACACGGCGAGGATGATCGTGACTCCGATTCATTCGAGAATGCCCCTGAGCAACATCCCGCACAGCCGCGAGGCAACCTTTTCTTTTCGCTTCACCTCAAGGGCCCTTCTGGCGCGGGATCTCAAAATGGCGATGTTCCATTGCCTGTTACAGTCATCCCCGCTCGACGGCGAGGCCAGCAGCACACCTGGTCACCCCAGAACCGGCTTCTGGAGCCCGCCGCGGCTTACGAGCCCCGGCCCGGCCGCTCTGATCTGCCTGTGAGGGTCATCCCCTCCCAACCGCAGGCTTCTGCTCCATGGACGGACGCAGACCTTGAGAACGGCGATGGGGATTATACCTTGCGCTATGATCCGGAGGCCGCTGCCTTGATCGATGAGAATGTGAGCCATCCCCGGGAAGAGCACACTGTTATTGGTGACCAGGCCAGCTGGACAGAAACGACGGTTTCAGACGAGAGGAATGATACACTGTCTGGTCAACCGGATAGAGAGCAGCATGGTGATAGTGATGGCCATGGTGCCTCCTGATCCCACATTTCACTTGCTCTGGCGTACTTTAACCTGAGCGGCTTTTGTCTCTAGCGGGCATGGCAGGCATTGCGCGGTGTTTCTTGATGATCTGATTTTGATATATTGATTGGGCTTCGTGGGCTAGGGGTCTCAACATGTGGGTATTCATTGGGAAGGATTCCATGTTAAATCTGGATTTGGATCTGGATTTGGGGCAGAAGGACTCGGAGGTATTTGTTTGAATTAATCTGCTCGCCGTAGAAGATACCCCGAAAATACATATAATACTTTTTCTTGACAATTGTTTGTCGTCTACTGGAAATATCCGTGGACCTATACCATCACTCGGCGCTTTCTTGCCGAGGTCGGTCCTTTTCTGGTGTACTTTTGGACCCGAGGAAGATGCGGGCTAGGAGGGCCATGATGATGGAGATGACGCCTGGTCAGATCAGCAGGAGTCAACGGAACAGGAAAGTGCACAAATGACTTACTGAACGTCCAGCACATTTGGTAATATCCAAACCGCTCCGTAAGAGCTCCCGCAACAATGGGACCCAGTGTCATGCCGCTTGTAGCAGCCACTTCCACTAAAGAAAAAACACGCGAGAGGCCCCCCCTGGGTCCGAAGATCCCTGGGTTCCTGGCCTCTTCCGCTTTGACCACGGCTGAGGTACAAAAGGTGAGTACTGAACCTTTTTAGATGGATATGGTCAGACACTCACCGGTCAATTCCACGGGCCCAATTCCCGAGACAAAAGGTCGTAGAGTACCAAAGACGACGCAGCAAAGGATATACAGTGCCTGGCCTCGGCCCGAAGCACTAGCCCATTCAAACTGCTTGTTCCCGGCGAATCCCAGCAGGACCAAGAACACTCCCTGCATGCCAAGGGCAATGAAAGCAGGCGTCCGGGTCCCGATCCGATCACGAAGGTACCCCGCGAGTGGACTGATGGGCACACCCGGCATAGCCAGCAGGAAGAACATCATCCCCACGCGAGACGGGCCCCAGCCGAAGATATCCAACACATGTAACGGAAGGGTGGCGTTAAAGCTTGTCATCAGGGTCGAACCCCAAATCCCAATGAGCAAGGCCGTCATCACACGGCTATTGCTCAGCATCATGCGCCAAAAGTTCGCAGCCGACATCGTTGAGCCCTCGGGGCTTCTTTCTCGACAGGCAGCGGAATCTACAAGAGGATCTGTCTCGTGTGCATCAGACGACGCCTTGGTGCTCGCGCTCTCCGGGTTCTCGACCATCAGCAGCCGGGCCACGACATCCACCACCAAGATCGCCACGGGCACACTCCAAGTAAACCAGTACCCGAACGTTTCGAGAATCAAACCCGAGATCATCGGCCCGGTAATCATGCCCGCACTCGCACAGGCCATGATAATTCCCATGGTCGTCCCGATCCGCTCGGGCTTAACTGTATCCGCCGCCGTCGCAAACCCGATAATCCATGCCCCAGACCCCGAGATCCCCTGCAGCACACGTCCGCCAAAGAACACGCCCACGTCCACCGCGCAGGCGACCATGAACGTGCCGATGATACACCCTACCAGCGCAACAAGAAAGGGGATTTGGCGGTTGGGGGCCTTATCAGCAAGGTGACCCATGAGAGGGCCCCCGAAGACCGAGACGAGGCCGTGTAGCGCTAGCGAGACCGATGTCAAGCGCTGCGTTTGCTTGGGGTCCTGATGCATCCGCTCTTCCAGCATGTAGGGCAGCATCGGGACGAGAAATCCATAGAGGAACATTTCTGGGGTGGTGGGGGGTTAGCGAACAATTCGTATCCTTTCGCGGGTATAGGGAAGGCACGAACCGATGAAGAGCGCAATGGCGACAGTGGTTAGAATGAACCATCTGGCCGAGCGCCATTGCCAGCGCGCTGCTGCTACCATCGAATCTTCCCTGGGGATCCATTCATTCTGCAGTGGCGCTCGTGAAAGAACCGACATCTTTCTGAATGAATCAGGCTCCTGACTATCGCTGACAGATCGCTGCGGGGCCTTTTGTCGAAGGTCGATCCTGCCTTGTGGGAGCGTCTCCTGACATCAAACCAACACGATTTCTTTGGAAGTGCCAATGAGTCAGTGGGGGAAGATGCGAAGCCAGACGGCGATCCGCAGCGATGATCCATCTCACCCGGCTAGCCCTTGGTAGTCCACTAGTTCATGCGTGATGCGGGCCAGGGTTTACCTGTGGCCGAAAGGTGCATATACACCGGATACAAGCCACAGCCCGTTCTTAGTGGTAAGTTACCACGCCACACATTTTGACATGACTCACACTTTGGATAAAGTACAACTGTATAGACCTCTTTACTGCAGCTTCATCGCACGCAACTCTACATTTCCTTTCCTCGGAGGTTTAAATGCAAAATTTTGCCCAGCATGTCGGTACCGTCAATGGAAAACAAAGGCGCGGGTCCGTTGCGCGTCCCTGGCTTTGGAGATATTCCTCTAGAGGAGGAGCTTCCCATTTCACGACGGTTCGCGCACGGCATCAAAGAGTGGAAGCAAGTCCCTGCAATCACCCAGCGCGAACGCACGATGGTCGCCGTCATGAACGAATTGACTGACAGACCGAATTGGGACATGGACATTTTCAACCAATATACAGTGGATCGATGGCGGGACGAAATTCTTGGTTCGACACCCTGCATGAGCGAAAAGGCATGGGAGTGGTGCGTGGCCGAGCTACGCGACAAAGGAGCTTACTTGAAGGACAATGGGTATTTTCGCGTCCTGGACACTGGGTCATGCGTTTGCAAGTCGGATACGCTAGTCTCCCAAGGGCTTTGCGCCAAATTTCGGTCAGGACTTGAGTCAGTGCTTGCACAACATGAAGGACACAGACAGGATGGCGTCTACACATATGTTGATCCATCATTGTATCCGTTGGTCTGGGGGAAGAGTCCGGTCCTGACTCAAGTCGCGCGTCAAGGTGATGTTGTGAGCAGTCCCAAGTCCGCAGAAGAGAGAGCACCAGAACATGCAGACAAAAGAGTTGGGTCGGAAAGAGTGCAAGAGCGTATGAGTAGTGGGAGACATGAGCCTTGGCACTATGCTTTCCAAGAGGAGGAATACGAAAGCAAACAGGCATACTTCTGGTCATACAACTTTCAGTGGCTCCCGAGCGAAGTCGAGTTTACAAAATCTGCGAGTACCGACGTGCGGCTTACCTCGTACGTCAATGGCCTCAGCCCTACTCATACATCTCTCTATGAAAGCCTGGAAAAGATCATATCGCTGTCAATCGAGCCATGGAATGATTGCCTCATCAAGGGGCAGACAGAGTGGGAAGAACCTGGCACAAGGCTTCCCAATGGCTGGGCGCCGCCTGGCAATTCCAGGAAACAGCGAGGACGAGTACCTTGTCGAATAATCACTTACGGCGTTGAGTGGGAAAACGAGGCTCCGGAATGGACTCCATTATTCGAGACTGGTCGGCGAAGCCGGCTCAAGACGTACTTGGATAAGCTAGCTGATGTCGAGGCCATCAAGCAAGAAAAGCCCCCAAAGGATGCGGACAAGAGAACCAAGATGGAATACAAGCTGCGTCTAAAGGAGGCCCAGAGGAGGCTCTCAGGGCTTTCAGACATGGAGGGCCTTGAGCCGTTGCCTGAGCCAACCCCTGACCAATGGATTAAGGCAAAAGAATATCTCGAGCGCCCAGAGCCTGGCTTGGGTGCGCCCATAGTACTGCCCGAAGGATGGGAGCAAAACGCGCGTCTGCTACTCAGTCAAAAAATCAGACGACTCCTGCAATACAAACACCCGGAACCAGGCTCGGCTTTTTCCTACGATCAGTGGAAGCACGGTACCCACGGTGGGAGAGCAGTAGTTGACATGGTTACCGATAGACCGATAAATCCCAACGCCACACCTCTCAGGACTCCACATGAGCCTTACACGGTTTGTCTGCAAGACGAATTTCAATGCCAAGGTCTTCAAGTGATCACGCGCATTCAAGGCGTTTCACTGAGCCCCGAGAACCCAGAATATGCTGGAAGCACGTGGGAGCTTGCTGGGCAGAAGAACGAGCACATTGTTGCGATTGCCATATTGGCATACGACGTGCATAACGTTACCAAAAGCCACATGTCCTTTCGACAGGAGACTGAAGTTGGCGAAGGTTTCTTCCATTACGGACCATATCTCTATCAAGACAAGCAGAATCGGAATAGGTACAAGGAACCAGCTCATCGGATATACAAGTGGGGTGAGGTAGAAGCCATATCCGAAGTCTTTGGCTTCGATCCATATCAGATGTGTGGAGACCATCACGACTTTGCATTGCCTATGCTAGATATCGGCAAAGTGGCTCTCCCACAAGGACGGCTGCTAACTTTCCCCAACATCATGGAGAGCCGACGAGAGCCGTTCCGGTTGGAAGATCCCACACAGCCAGGGCATCATCGGTGGGTAACGCTGATGCTGGTGGATCCGAATTATCGAATCTGTTCTACGAGGAATGTGCCACCGCAGCAGGCGGATTGGAAGGAGAAAGACGGTGAAGGGAAGGGGAATGAGAGATGCTTCCGCAAGGAAGAGGCAGAGGATCATAGAAGGGAGATGGAGAAGGAGCGTGCTTGGATGCAGTATGCGAGATATGATAGGATGGGGACATTTTTCTTCTGTTAACCAACGAATTATTTGGCCTTTGTCAAGGGCGTACTCCCACAATATATATATATAGATATGTAGTTACATAGAAATTATATCCGAAAGCCTTATGTTCTGGTCCATCTGGGCAACGGCAGAGCTGCAATACCGGTAACAGTTGGAGTAACAGTTGGAGTAGCAGTGGCTGGGAAAGTGGTCTCAGCAGTGGCAATGGAGCAGGAGGATGAGCCAAAGGCGATGACGGCGCTGGACCGCGGCTCCACAGGCGCCGTTGGAGCAGTCCCTAGTTTCGTGGCCGAAATTGATATTGCGGCAGAGGCAGGCTGGGTTGGGGGAGGACCAGCCGAAGGCGGAATACTGGGCGAGCATGTTGTTCATGCAGATCTGCTGGACAGAAAGTCAGTCATTCTCGGAGCTTGATGGTGCTTTGGCAAAGGGGGACTTATGGGGCTAAGTAGCCTATTAGTCGATCTCTTTTGATTAATAGGATAGATAGATCGCTTCAGTTAAGTAGGACTTTGCAGTACTTCAATACCAGAATCGCTTAATAGTTAATCTAGTAGTAGTAGTAGTTGTCAGGGTATTCGGTCTAATAAATATATTAATATTTAGCTTAGTAGGCATACAATTCAGGTCGGTTATAATAGTTCTATAGCTACGAAGTTATTCCAGCCCGGTAGTATCGATTTTGAATACTTTTCTTCTGAACCGATAGATATACTTCGAGGAAATCAAACTGTTCGACGATCTTTAATTATACGACTATATAATCATTGTAACAGGTAAACTACTTGTTAGAGTAGAAGCCTATCGGTTAGGTCAAGATTTGATAGCGAAAGAAAAAAGCAATATAGTTGATTTAATTAGTGCTATTTAAAGAAGTAGGCGGGGTATTTCACCGCGAGCCGCGAGGATAATATTAGCTATATCTCGAGTAGCAGAAGGTCTAGACGCGGGACCTCGCATATCTTTACTAATTATATGTCGTAGTAGCGAAGCCTCTTCGGTGGAAGATAATTTTAGGTAATAGTGAGCTTTAGACGTAGCAGAATACGCGCATGCATGGTAGTATCCGATATTTTATAACGCGTTGCTTCTGTGAGAAGAGACGTAAATTGACCATTATTATAGCCTATATTGCGAGTAAGGCCCTGCCCTCTCCCCCCGCAATTTTGACACGATTTCGACACGTTTCGTGGCATAGTGTGTAGTGGAAGAAGACGTGTCAGTGGGGAGGACGCGATTTTGGTTGGGTGTTCCCCGTAGGCGAGAAGCGCGTTATCGACAAGCACTGATTAACCAGCCATCGCTGACTATCCATGATTGGTCACTGACCAATCACATGACCGCACTGACCAGATCACTGAGCATGAGCAGCCCAGACAGAAAAGCCCCACCCGGCGGACATAATCCTGTGCATATAGCTGCATAGTAGTTGACCCAGCCATCAAGCCAGTCCCGCTTTTATATCCACGAGAGGCCATGGATCGAGCTTTCGTTATACGAAGACCCCCGGATGTATAGAGAGAGAGGAGATGGAAGTGTGGATACTGTGGGGTGGCACAGCAGACCAACCGGAACACAAAAAGCATCGAGATATGTCAGATGTTCGATATCGAATATCGAATGGCAGTCAACATGTATAATACATGTCCATCCTACTGGGCGTGCTGGTCCCATCGGGAGTTAGCCACCGCCCCCATCTACCTCCAGTCTGCAGGCATAGTTTCGCAGCGCCTTTCTAGAGGCTTCGATACGGACTGGAGGCCCTCGAATTCCGCATTTTATGGGTAATGTTTGGTGTTGAAATATCCATCATCGTGTCAGAGGACACTCAAAACACTGGTCATAGGCGATCGGTGGTATGAGTAGTTTGTATGAACCTTAGCCAGGCATCTCGCACAGGCCTCTCGAGTGTCTAATTCGATCATCCGATGGTTCAAGTGGGGCGCGGTCTTGCACTCGGGAACTTTTTGCTCCGGGCCTACCCCATACTGCTTCTCCTTCGACAATTTCCACCCACCCCACAGTCGATGCTGTGCCGCATTCCAGAGGTCGCATCATGGCGGCTGTCAATCGGAACATGTTCGATGCCAGCATCGCGGCTGATCAGCCTGGCGGTGCCTCACTGATGCTGCTGCCGCTCCACCTGATCGCCCAGATCGTGTTAAATGTCCGCACCTTGCCTCCTTCCCCGGCCTGTACAGCTGGCCAAGATCGTGTTACTAACTTGTGAACCTGGTAGGTCGAGGATACCGGGGACATCGCGCGACTATGCCGAACATGTCGCGTCCTCAACTACATGGCGCTGCCCCAGCTCTACCGCAGCTTGACCCTCACCTCGTACGATAAAATCCGCTATCGCGGCGAGCAGCCCGAAGGCAGCGGAAGCGCCAGTCCGTTTACGATGGGCCTCAACGCAGTGATTACGAGGCCATACGCGACACTGGTGCGGTCAATCACATTGCGCGGCGACTGGAAGGAGACCGACATCGAGGAGCATGCGCAAGTCGGACGGGTGCCGGACTCGTCCATGCTGTTGAACATTGCGGCGCGCGCAGCCGTGGATCGCATGACAAACCTCGAAAGCTTCAGCTGGGAGCTCAACACCAAGATGCTCGAAACAGTATATACTGGATTAACGCAGCTGCCCCGACTAAGCTCGTTGACGATTCGATTCCCCTCCACCCGCCACCCCCAACCGACGTTTATTCTCCCAGGCATGCCAAACCTCCGCTCCTTGAAGATCACCCACATCGATCCTCTCTGCTACCCCGATGACATTGCGACAATCCTCTTGAAGAGCAAAAAGCTGCGCGAGCTCAAGCTGCATTGGTCGCCCCGCATGCGAATTGCGCAAGAGCCCAGCATATCCCTGCACGATTATTTCAGGAAATGCATCGCGGCGAAACAGCCCCTCTCTGTCAAAAAGCTCTCCTTCCAGAATTTGTACGCCTTCCACAGCAAAGAGTTCGATATTTCATTCGACCCGACCACCGTTGAGGACGTGACCTTTCTGAGCGGGACCGATACTATCGGTTTGATGAACAGTTTTGTCGACAACAGCTGGCCCACTGCTGTTCCACATATCAAACTCAAAATTAAGTCTATGAGGATGGATGCGATATCAAAACGGAACTCGGAGTTTCTAGGAAATTTCAAGGGCCTGGAGCGGCTATACTTCGTGAATGTGTCTGCCGATTCACCCGACTACTTCAACTCCCCGCGACCGGGCGTGGGCCCTGCCTCTTCTGCATTTACACCCCCTGTATCAGATTACCCAGCGGCCAATGGGACGACAGCGAACTCACCAACTGCTATGGCCTCCCCAACCAGCCAGCTGAATGCTGCCCTGAGCATGCGAGATAGTTATCTTGCGAACATTACCACCAACCACGGCGCAAGCTTGCGCCATCTGCTCCTCTGCTCAAAGTGGCCCCTCTCCACATCCATGATTGCCCGCCTCGTCCATAGCTGCCCCAACTTGGAGCAATTAGCTCTCGCGACCGAATTCTCCAGCATGGAAACTCTCGGAATGCTGGTCCCGTTCCTCCGCAAATTGGTCGCACTCCGACTCCTCATCCCTGCGGGCTCTCCCGGACCGCAGAGCGGCACAACCACCAATGCTCCGCCCTCAGCATCGAGCACTCACCCTGGAGACGCACAATGCAACGCGTTGATCCCCCCTTCGGCGTCGAACCCAAGCCTAGCTGCAAAAACGAATAGGTACCACTTTCCCAAGGAAATAGAGAACACGATCCTTAATGCACGCAGCCTCTCAGACATAGTGGATATGGATGACGAATACCTTATCCAGATGATGAGCTATGATCTGGCCGACCACCAGATCTTTGGAAATGTCAAGATCGTGGGCATGGGCTGGAAAGCTTTTGAGCTGCGAGGCCTCTTCAAAGATCGCATCCCCACCCGATCGGATTCCGAGACCCAATCACCTGCTTCTGCCGTTGACCCCTCAGCAGGAGGTGGACACGAGCACCTCAGACCTACCATGGGACTCAATGGCCATACCCAAACGGGCTCACATTCACCAACCCGGCCTGCTGCCACCCCGTCCAAATCCCCTGCCGCATCTTCTACCGCCCCCACCGCCAACATTCCCCCTTTCCACACTTGGAAAGCGCACAAGGGATGATGATAGCGACGCCAACTCCCAACCAAGCTCGTTGGCCAGCGAGGCGCTGCCGAACTCCCAATACCCTTACCGCGATACGAAGCTGGCAAACTGTGGCCACTTCCCGCCAGTTGTCACGAACGATGGATACGTCTACAGGCGCCGTATGCGGCGAGTCGGCTGGGAAGTACTGCAGCACTGGGAGATCTGGGCACTGGATTCCCAAGAAATCTAAGCCACTAACAGAGGTCATGGGTATTCCGCGGCATGCTGGCATGCTCATTGCTTGTTCTGTTCCAGATCTTTTGAGGACGCAATCAAGTGCTTCCTTTCCATGCAGCTCTTCGTCTTTTCTGCCTGGCATTTCCCTTCTGTCAATAAGCCACGATACAGCAGCTTGTCCGTCATACATTTCGCGATAAACGGAGTTTGTGGGGTCCCGAGGCTGGTTTTTGTGATCGGCTTTTCGGATTTATTTTTTCCTTCAGGAATTGATTATCGCGGGAGTCGTGCGCTTCTAGATGGTGGGATGGGTTCTAATGTAATTTATTCCCATTTTGATAGCTGGGCCTGTGTCGGTTTTTTGTACAGGACCGAGAAAGCCTTTGTCCATATCTGGTCAATTGAATGCCAATAATGCCAGTTGGCAGCACACCAGCGTGTCCGTTTTAACCGAGCCTACTGATGTTCCGTCTTTCCTACGCAAACCTAACATTTTTAGCTACTAAGATAGGTCTCGCCAAACGAGCCTTCCGCTTGATAGTCTAATATTGTGTAGACAGACATCTGATGGGATCGATGGCTTGGGAAGCAAGGAAACTAATTGACATAGTTTCGATAATCTCTCCGGTATCTCCAGGATCTTGCAGTCAATCTCATCTAAGAGAGTTGACACATAGTTGTAAAATTCCCGTGTACTGAATGAAAAGCAGTGGCGCCATCCCTAGCAAGCGCGGTCATCAAATTGACCCACTACACCTTCGATAAGGGTCCAGGCTCATGCACCAGCTCAAGCATAGCTTCGTACACGGACATTTGTTCACCGACATATCCCGGGCGATTTGCCTCGTCAAAAGTCCTCCACTTTCTTTTGAGCTACACCATGTCTGAGGGCAAGGACTTTGTGAGCGTAGGTTGGTCGGGATGAAGGAGTCCGTGTCGGTTCATTTTGGTTCTTGGTGTTTGATAGCAGTTTCTTCAGCGAGCCAGGATTGTAAGAGCTCTGTGATGCGCAAGCCCAAGGCTGTTCGAATATTTCGAATTCCTGGTTGGAGCTAATAACTCCTAGTCGCCGGTCAGCCAAATGGATAAACAGGATGATCCCACTATTGTTTACTGACTCGGTTGCGAACGATGTTATATGATCAGAATATGATTGGGAAATTTGATCTCCTTTCGTTTCGAGTCTTGATTGGTGGGAAATCAAAATCATATCAATCTGCTCGTCCCACCGGCAGGTGCGTGGGGTAGAGAGCCTGGGGATTATGGTCATGTGGCCTTCAGCACGGATGGCAGCCAACCCGATGGTCAAGTTTATAGTTTATAAAGAGGGTTATGAGACTGCGCAATGAGGTTTGTCACCAACCAATCTTTCTTGTGAACAAGAACCAGTGCTGCGGCTTAGATCGAAAAGGAGGAATCGCGATGAGGTGTGCTCCCGTGGACGACGGCTATGCACTCCATCCCCTTGCCGTAATAGGGGGCGGGCGATGAGAGAATCTCCGTTCAAATGATACGCACTACGCCGGCTGCTTCATATTAATGGGGCGCCCGCTGGGAATTTCACTTTCGTAAACCGGCTGGGCAACGATTGACCAGAAAAATTGACTTGCAACCTTGCAGAAGTTGCGTAAGATGTCTCTCAACTATACAGGAAAGGAAGCAATTTTTGACACCGGAGAAGTGCTCCGTACCAATCTTCAGATTTTAGGATATGATCAGTTCCGATCTTCGGATGCTAGGAAGATTAGTTGAATTTGACCTGGAGAACGAGAGGGAACAACCATCTCCTCAAAAGTATCATTAGGACCACACTATCTATAAAGTCCGATGGCGAAAATCTAGTGAATCTTTTTGATAGCTTATTTTAGCTCTTGAAAGGGATTCGGTTCATTTTGATCAAGAGTATGTCAAGGCTCACGTTGCATATGCTGTGTGTGAGTAGCGTAAAACAGAATTGTAAAACTCGCAAACAATGCCGTTAGCAATAAATAGCGCCATGCACTCTAGTAGAAGCCTAGCGGCTTGCTTCTTTGCCAGAGGACGATGTTCCTTGAATGAAAAATACCCTGTTGCTTGGGGCACTGGAGGGTGCCCGCGGGTATGAATTCAACCGCTAAGCCCTAAAACGGATAGCGACTCCACAAGATCCTTCGAATAAGCAGCTTAATTGGCCCCTCTGACGAGGCATCCTGGCGAAGTCCGATTCTTGACCAATCTGGACGGAGTACTCCGTATGCGCGTCAGGAAGGGACGGATATTATGATCTTCGTCACCATCACAGAGGTATCCGTGCCTCCGCGCACCCACCGCTTTCGCTAGTGGGTGCGCCCGGTGTTACCGTCATCCCTGTTTTACCGTCATTTTCTATCGCCTCGCCTACCATCAGCTATTTCAACCACACAACATGCCTAAAAAGGACAATTTCGACGAAGCTCGCCTAGCCGAGGCTATCAAAATCGCTCTAGCCCAAAAGAAACCAAATATCGCTAAGATTACGCGTGAATTCGACGTATCTCGCACTACCCTCTCCGACCGCGTTAAAAAGGCAATAACGCCTACTACACCTACCGAATCACGCAGAAACGCCCTTACAAGCTATTAAGAGAGAGCCTTAGTAGCCTAGATATACCAAATATACAACTAGAACCTCCCCCCCAACGCGTAGGTTATAGAGACGTAGGCAAATCAGGCGCTTAGGCGCGTAGGCTAGGATAGACAGGTCGGCAAGAATTAGGCGTATAGCTTCATAGTACGTATCCCTATATATATCAATCTAGTACCGGTGAAGCAGAAGACTAAGGAACTAAGGCGAATTTAAGCTAAAGACGTAGGGTTTCTTTAGTATTAGTATAACTAGCTTACGATTCTACTCTATAATATCTCTACACGATTAGTATATAACTTCGATGAATACGGCTTCTAACTAGGTCAAGGGCAATCGCGAAACGTCCTTGGTTATAAATCATCTTACCCTAACCTTACTAAATCTAAGCGAGGCGAGACTATTACTGCTATCGAGTGTATCGCCGCCGATAGCTAGTAGATAGACCCGCTATTTATATTTAAAAGTGGCGTTTTTATAGAGTGTTGGTTTAATGGCAGCGATAATCTCCTACGAAACACTATCACTGCTATATCACTGAATAGCTAGGTTTCCGATGATTTAGCTATTACCTAGCTAAATTCGTTTATTAAATTAACTAATAGCCGCGTTAAGAAGGGGGAAAAGCGCTATCTAATATTCGACGGTTATAGTTCGTATCTTACCCTCGAATTTATATAAAAATGCGAGGCTTATGATATTATACTATTCGGCTTCTTACCCTATTCGATACATCTCTGCTAGCTACTAGATAGTAAGCCCTTTTTAAATTATAAACAGTAATTTCGACGTATAAATAATAAGCTATTGTTTTAGGGTAGCCAGCCCTATAGGAAATCAGAATTCCTCCGAATTATTAGCCCTATACGATTAAGGGCGTTTACCTAACGAATCATCCGCGAATCCTTTAAAGATCGAGGTATTTAGCCGGTTAATAGTAATCAGATCGTAGCGAATCTATCGAATTAGATAGAAATCCCTGAGCTTCAGTCTAATCTTCGGTCGTATAGTTTCTATATACCATCACTACTACTACTACTAACCGCCCTCTCGTCGTCTAGTGTTAAAATTACCCTACTAAAATTAATTAAAGCACTCCTAAAGAACTAGATAAAGATAACTAAATATCTTAATACGTTATTGCTAAAGATACAGCGAGATATTACTAAGATCTTCGACCACCAGCGAGAGAAGCTTAAAGAGCTTTATATGACCCAGGATATAATCCAGCGAATCAGAGCTGCGTAGGCACCCCTACGACGTCAATTGACTAGGCGACAGGTTAAGCCGCTTAGCCAGTTAGGTGTATTGAAAGTTAATAATGCAAATCGATCAATTCAGGCTAGGAAGGCGAAAGATATAGCTGTGGAGGAGAGGAAGCTAGCCAGACAGTTCGAAAAGGTCTATAGCTACAAACCTACACAGAGGCCTGAGGAAGCTATTCGTAAGGTAGCTGAGGCTGAGGAGGCTGCGACGCGACAGGGAGAGTTTTTTTTTATTAATAATTAGCTAATGTGTTGAAATATCGATGGTTTTCATCAAAATGTGACGGTAAAACAGGGATGACGGTAACACCGGGCGCACCCACTAGCGAAGCGGTGTGGGTGGGCGAAGGCACGGATATTGCCCGAAATAACCCCTAAAAGCATGGATCGTTTGGGGTCTCCGCAGTTTCTGATCTAAAATAAGCGGTGGCTATGCCTGGAGGACGCGCAAAACCCTATTTCCGTTAGCTCGAACCGGAGTACGTTACCATGGTGGCCAGGCCGCTAGATTTTCCAAGCTCCACATCAGATTATGTGGATATTTGGGTTTAGATCGTGTGGCTCCCGACCAACTCTTAATGGCTTCTGCGAATTGTGACGCATCGGCGGTCATATATTTGAGTCTTCAGCCTTCTTGGCAGGCGTCGATCCCGCCTCAAAATTCCTCCAGAGCGGATCGCGCCGGGAGACCTTATTCTACTAATGTCTTGGATCTGGCGTGCCGCGTTATGCCGCGTCACGGCCATTACGACGAGTATAGGGCTGTACAATGACAGCAGGGGTTACTTATAGAACAATGCTTCATCTTGAGGTGACTCACGGCTCAAGACATTCATTCGCTTCGATACGGTCTCCTCCCGAGCCGCAATGCATTTCTTTACTATCTTGCTGCCTCTTGCAGCCTCTCTCGTCTCGGCAGTTCCGGCTGCGCGAAGTGCCACTAAACCGACGGTGACTCTCGACTATACCACCGTTGAGGCGGTTGCTGGCAACGAGACCCTTGGGTACTATAAGTACCAAAACATTCGTTTTGCCGCGGTCCCTACCGGCAGCTTGCGATTTGCTAAGCCTCAGTGGCCATCCAAGGAATCCGGCATCAACAATGGCACGACCTACGCCTCTGCCGACGTCGACTGTTCCTCTGAAGAGGACTGCCTATACATGGACGTGTGGGCACCGGCCAACTCCAAAGGCAAGAAGCTGCCAGTCATGGTCTGGACCTACGGCGGTGGGTTTACTGGCGGTTCCAAGTCGGAAAATACCCCCGAGGGTCTTTTCGACTTGTCTAAGGACTTCGTCTTTGTCTCCTTCAACTATCGTCTTGGCATCACCGGTATTGCCAACTCGGTGACTGCAACCCACCAGGGTGCTACTGATAACGTTGCACTGTATGATGTTGAGCATGCCTACAAGTGGGTGAAGAAATACATCAGCAACTTCGGTGGAAACCCGGACGACGTCACTGCATTTGGGTTCTCTGCTGGTGCCAGTATGCCCCTCTTCCAGATCACTCGCTATGGTGGCCACAACGAGCAACTCTTCAACAAGGCCTACATTACCTCTCCTGGCTTCGTGCCGGGTGCCGGTCACCACCAGGGCGAAATGTTCTGGCAGAACGTTTCTACTGCTGTTGGTTGCAGTGGTGGGGATTTGAGTTGCATGCGCAACGTTGCCTTCGCTAACCTGACCGACGCCGCCACCGATGTCTATGATGCTTACGGCTACCAATTCCAGCCTCGTGTTGATGGTGACTTTGTTGCCGACACATACGAGTCACAGCTCTACCAGGGTCGGTTCAACTGGTCTGGTCCTCTGGTGATTACCCACGAACAGCATGAGAACAACGGCTCGCCAACCTCCGGCGTCAACACTACCGCAGATGTCGAAAGCGAGCTCCGCGTCTTCTTCCCCGGTATCACCGACGATGTTGTCGAGGAGATTATGGATCTTTATCCCGAGTCCGACTACACCAGCCCGGGTTACCGCTTCGCGGACATGCGGCAATCGTTTGACCTGACTGCCCATAACTATGCTCTCACTCGTGCCCTGAATAACAACACCTGGAACGCCATGGTTGCCCTTGAGTCGGCCACTCACGGCACCGACCAGAGTTACTACTGTAAGAATCCAATTCTCCTCTCGATGCAAGATCAAAAGCTCACAGACATATTCCATGCAGGGTATAGCACGTATTCTCTCTCTTCCAGCTCCAGCTCCAGTTCCTCGTCTTCCGGTGCAGGAGTTGCTATTAGCAGCACTTCTTCTGTCAGCTCTACGGTTGCTGTTCGTTTTATTCCTGCCCCACCCCGTCGCGGGACTTCTGGAGCCCAGGCTAATATTGTTTCCCTCACGCAGCGCAAGATGCAAAAGTATCTGCTTTCATTTGTCCTTACTGGCAACCCTAACACAAAGTGGGCCAGCGACAAGCTCTACTGGCCTAAGTATGGTAGCAATGCTACCGAGCTCGTCTTCAACAGCACCATGTATACCATGAAGGATGACCTTGCGAATGCCGGGACCATCTACTGGAACAAGGCCCTGTGGTACTAAGCATAATGTGGTGCCAGAAGCCGTTTGGGCTGATTTTCTTTCCCTCTGAAGTGGATTTTGCAAACTATCTTTTACCTCAAGCCCTTTCGTTCGGACATTGTATTACTAGTCATTACTGAATCCATTGAAGCCGATTAACAAAAGATATCACCTATTTCCTGGAATTTATTAAAGAATATCCAAGTAATCTCTGATGTGCTTCTGGAACACGTGAGTAATGAACACATTCTTAAGCCCTACGTTCGTTTTCCTTTCAAATAATCAAAATATACAGTAGCCCACTAGCAAGGAAGCCCGTGTCCACTCCGCGAACAATCACAGCCTCATGCCAGGGCTGCCAGGGTGTCCATACGCATGTTCAAACTGATAAAACATGTTCGTTTTCTCGTATTTTCCTTGCTGCAATGCAAGTGGCATAGGTGACTATCGCGGAGCTCTTGTTTCGATCTGCACGAAATTCCCATTCAAACTTCCCCATGTCGATATTCCCAATGCTGACAGCCTTCAGGTGTGGTGACCCATTGAAGGCGCTCTTTTTCTGATTCTTGGTCAGAGGTCATGATTTTCTATCCTACTCCCTCTCGGGTGGTGGGTAGGCATGGCTGCTAAGGCTCACTACACAACAGACAAGCAAAAATACAAGCAACAGAGTGATAGGCCAAGCATGGCCAATTCAAAGTTTCTACACAGCGGAATTCCACTCGGAAAGTACGTGTGGAGCTGAGGCAGAGCGACCGCCCCAGCCCGTCGCCTGTGTGGATTCTGGTCCTGAATCCGCTTGTGGACTGGCTCAATTCCTTTCTTCTCTCACTCGTTAGACATCCGTGGTGCATAGCCCGTGTGATAGAATGGCTGCAAGACCAAAATACTACATTTGGGGACAAAGTACTCCGTACGCGTGAGCAGAAGTGGCTCGTTCAAGTAAAACTCAGCGGTGGGCAATTGCTACAAGAGGCACAGAACTACTACCCGAGGGTGGAAACCAGAAGCTGCTAAATTGACGAACGTAACGGTAGCCTCATAGTTTAAGTAGTGACAAAGAATTGAATGACAAACACAACATGAAAACCAATATGTACGCAGCAGAGTTGGATTGTACTCCGTAGGTACGTAGCACTTGGATGATCTCACAGTAGCATATCTCCTACGGTAAATCAAGGCCTTCATGCCATCAATCTCTCGGTTGGACTGGCCTCTTTTGCGTCAATCTTTTGATTGTACTCTAGGCAGGGGGCGTACCACTAGCCCCAGCAGGGCCAGTCGAGTTAGACGAGCCGGGAGAGCCGGAAGTGCCGGAAGAGCTGGAGCTGGAAGAGCCACCGCCAGACTCGGCAACACCACCGCTAGAGGTGTATACAAAGCTATAGTTCGGGTCGTAGGTAGCAGACGTGTCAACTGCAACAGTAGCCCAGCCCAGCAGGCCGTCACTAAGATCATCACCCAGCCACACGTAGCTCAAGACCGGGTCCGACGTGGAACCCGCAGTCTCGTCGGAGAAGACTCGGTCCTCCGCATTTGTGGTGATCGTGACGGTGTTGGTGCTGTATGGAGAGGTTGCTTCGACCTCATAGATTAAATCCTGGTCCCAGAAAAGTTGGCCAATATGTGGGACAGTGCCGCCAGTGATGGTCCCATTTGCCAGGACAGTGGCGTTGAGGTGAGCGACCATATGGTGGTGAGTTGTACGTCCAGAGTAGTGACCAGGAAAGAGGCTGTTGAAGGACACCACACCGTCGCTATCGGTGGCCTGTATGCCGCGCAAGAAAGTAGCATTCAGGTTGGAGGTGTCGGCAGTGTTGCCATTGCCCTCGGCGACAAGACCAGAATAAACACCGGTGGCATTACAGTTCCAGATGTCAGCGTACAGACCTTCGATGGCCCCACAGGTGCTGACATCGACAAACTGGATGTCGAGGATAATCGGAACGCCGTCTTGCCCTTCACGGAGATCGGAGCGGACCAGCTCGCCCTTGACGTAGTAAGGACCAGTTTCACCCTCAGGGTTCAACACACAGGTTGAGCTGCTACTGAATAGCGAATCTGCGCAGGAGTTGGCAGTGATACTTGAGTCGTTGACCAGATGAGAGGTGTTCAGGACATCATCAGTATCACGAGCTCTCAGACGACGGCGGTGCAGATCATAGAGGCTGCGACGACGAGCCTCCGCACGAGCATTGAGTCCAGTGCTCTCAAATCTCTTGGCACATCTTTGCAGGCCTCGACGAGTATGCTGGCGGAATTCGCGCTTCATCATCTCAGCCCGGGCGTCGCGTTTCTCGTGCTCGCCCGGGTGTGCAAATACGAAGGGAACTGTCATGCCGACAAGGCAGACATTCCAAAGAGCAGTGAATCGCATAATGAGAGTTTGAGACTTCCTAAGAGCGGACAAAAAGCTTTGGGTATGAGAGGTGCTTGATTGAGAAGATTTTGTGAATATTCACCAAGGTCAGGACATAGTAGCCCCTTTTATATCCGCTGTACTGGCTCATATGACGGGGAGACGATGAAGTATACAACTTCAAACAAGCCCGCCACTCCACACCACCTCCAAGCCCGTAAATAGTCTGCAAGGACTACGACAGGCGCTATACCCCGGTTTCTGATGATGCGTAAATTGTGGCTTGCAATTGGCCGGCAGGGAATTCTCAACCGCCAAGACAAGACAAGCCAAGCACTTGCCAAGGAAGCTAAAAGTATGGCCACGCACCCCCGGGGCTTGACCATGCCTATTATGCTGCGGGTTTGATAAAGATATTACCACTGGTTTATGTGTGAAAGCCCCTTAGTGGGCATTGAGGGATGGCGATGGGCGTAATTTGCAGCCATCCCGTGAGACCAAGGACATGATACAAAATGATCGACACTGCTAGACTAGAAGCCGAGGCCCAACTTTGCAAAACGGGGCCTAGGCGCATGCCCCGAATAATCATTTATCGCACTAGTCATCCTCGATGGTTGTTTCTATAGCTTGCTCCCGGGGACCTTTATAGCCACTCAGTATTCTTTCCAATTGTGATGCATTCTTGTCTTCTTTCTGAGATCTTCTGTCGAGTTGTGTCTACCAACTTTTTAAATAGAACGTAACAGATAGAACTGAAAATTCTAGATTCGACGCCAAGCTGGGAACGGACAAATAGCCATGAGAGAATTACGCGTCGGTGCTCGCGGCCATGCGTACGGGAATCCTTTATCCAATCTGCATATTGCAGGGATGCAGGTACGTTTCAAAGCATCATTGCGCGTCACTTTTGACACGGATGAAATTCTAGACTGGTTTGCGATTTGGCGGGAGCTCAGCCATGTGACGGAAGCTTCAGACGCGTCACCAACGACGCAAATATCTTGGCATCATAATGAATGAGCGTAGAAGCGTTTTTATCGTATGCACGGGTGATCTTCCTGATGCTAGCCTTTTGCTGGGTACTGGTGGGCTAAATACGGCACAGAAGAAATTATCTTCGCCCGCCAGGATTGTTAGCCTTCTAGTGTATCTAACCAAGAATACTCAATTTTCGGAGCACTTTGACTCCGCCGAGTAAAAAACTTATCTCTGGATGAACCCTGAGTATAAATGTTCCGTGGGTAGACCGGGATAGACGGGAATTTCTTAGTGTATCTCCTGCTCATGAGAAGCACCCGCATATGCGACGCAGCCTCTGTACCTGAAATTCGATGCAAGGTCTTGGCTTTCCTCTTCCGTTTTAGCGCTCCTCGAGCGCCCCTTTATGCTCTCTGAGTTGATATGAGTGTGTCTCTGAGTGATCATCTCGTAATCACTCTCAGCGCCCTGATTTACTTTCCGAGAGCTGCTTACTTGGGCAGCTATCTATCTGACTGAGGCACCTCAATCAAGAACCTATAAGATAGAAATATCATTATTCGATTAATAATAACTGAAAGACACTAGCAGTCCTGTAACTCTGTAGAAAACATATCAATCCCCTTCAACTGAAACTTTCTTCCCCTTGCTTCTTTCTAAACCATTACTTTGGATCCTTCGTACCCCGGGGTGGTAAGTTTTCGCCTGCAGCTTGAACCTCAGCAAGGGTATGGATAAGTGAGGGGCCGAGTGTGACCATAATGATTTCAAGGTCTGCTACCATCCCCCAGAGGGCAAGCGATTCCCAAGATAGGCCCAGAATGAAGCCAACGGATGCATCGGTTTCGTATGCATCCTTGACCTCCACATGAAGACGGCTTGGGAGGTCACTGATAGCAGACTGGAATAGCCTCGCCATATCAGAAGGCTTGCCATCTAGTACTAGCTTGACTAGCACGCTGGTCCTTGTATGCATATTTGGAGGAAGTGTAGGTAGCAAGCGTTGGGTCTGCGAGCTTTGCGGAATCAAGACAATAGTACTTGTGCCACCGAGAGTCTTCAGGAGGCTATGTGGTGCCTCCTTGGGCTTGTGGTCCTCGATAAATTGAAATAGCGCGGGGACTGAGATAGGGCCTATATACAGGTTAGCAACGATTACCTTGAGGGCAAAGGAATCTCACGGCATACCATTGCTCTTCAAGGCATGAATGGCCTGATGAATGCGCTAGGTAAAAGACTTCTAATACCCACGGGCCCGAGTTTTGCTATCTGCAGCGCAAGCTGATAGGATTTGCAGCGTTCGTCTGGATTCGGTGCGCGATGCCAATCCCGCAAAACAACAATCGAGAATCACAAGAATATCAATATTCTCGAAAAGGTCGTTATCGCAGCCGAGAAGCTGCTCATGAATAGGTTGCCACTCGACTTTTGCGGCCCCAGAGGTCATCACCAATTTCCCATTCTCTGGTCTTCCATGCCCAGCGTAGTAGAAGATAAAAAGCGTGTTTTAGTTCGGGTGATGGTTCTGTTCAATGAATGGGACATATGCTGCAAGTAGGACGGTCGTATTGACAAGGGATTTCTGGATCAAGTGAATCTTGATCTTAAACTTGAAAATGTCCTTCAAAAGATAGGACATTGTAGCGATATCATCCGCTGTACCAGTAGTATCATCCTCGAATCGGCATAGAAAGGCCAATCTAGCGAGATGTACTTTGCCTTGGGAGGACATAACTTGGGCAAGGTTGGCCTTTATTTGGGCTGTATCCTTGTTCCTCCTAATATGTTGGGTAAGGTTACGCTTAGTGCTCGTGATTAGAGAGCTTAAGCCCTTTAGTAGTAGGTTAGAGCCTTTAGAAGATATCTAGTAAAGAGACAAAAGTAGTTAGGTAAGAGGGTAGTTAGTAGGGTTAAAGATAAGGAAGGGTAGGAGTTAAGAGTTAGGTAAAGATGAAGTGAGAGTTAGGTAAAGAAAAGAAAGGTTAGGAGTTAAGAAGCTAGGTAAGGGTAAGATATTCTAAATAGTTTCCCCTAGAAGTTATAGTATCTCCTAGCTATACTAAAATATATAATAGCCCCTAATTAGGACTAGTAGGTACTATCCTAAACTATACCTTAGTTCTTATCTAAACTATACTTTTAATGGACCTTCGCTGGTTCATAGCTACTTTAGATATATGCTATTGATTGGCCATGTTTCTTTAGAAGCTCCTAAAGACCTATGTATGCAAAGCCACGTAAAGGTCTATCAAAGTATAATGGGCTATAAGTACTTTCATATTTTAGTCCTGTCAGTTATAATAATTGATCAAGTCCAGTGCCGATGACTGTGTAAAAAGGGGGGCCATTGGGGCTAATATAGAATGTTTGACCTAGTCCACTTGGTAATATATGCAGCTAGCCGATGCTTGGAAATTTGTCAGGCTTGAAGCCTACGCTGAGAAAAAACGTATTTACCATTTTGGCCTTTCAAATTCCTTGGTCTTCATAGCCCACATACGCTCTTGTCATCTTTTCACGAATATACTAAATCAGTCGTTGTTAGTGGCTGTATGAGATAGTTTCGGGGCTTATTACCCACATCACCAGCTTTGAAAGGTGCTCTGCATGGTGGATCCCTGTCCGATGTATATTTTTCTAAGACCGACACCGTGGCATCATAGTCAACACCAAAGAAAAAGGGTATTGAATAGCGTTCCTCCCCTGACAGATTAGTCACGCGATGAACTGTTGACTTGAATTTCTTGTTTGTCCTTTACAGGTCAGATAGATGTAGCAGGGGTTGTTTCTATATACTGTTTCTTACCAAGTCGACAAGCAGTCGGCAATATTGACCACTAGTGTTCCTGGGATTGGAGGCGCTGAGATCCATTCTCCATTGTAGTTGAGAACCTGTAGGCCGGGCACCCTTCCTTGAGAGAGAATCGTAAAGCATTCCCAGTCCTGTATTGGGAAGAATCGTAAGTACCATTTAAGAGAGAGACATCTGAAATATACTCACGGTGTGAGCTCCAAGTCCCTCTCGCGGTTCACCGTTCGCTGGCTGGGCGGGATAATGGATCATTCTGGAAGTCACCCCTGGGGTCTGGATGCTGGAATTAAAAAATGTTTCCGGCAACTCAAGTGCAAGAGCAAAGATTTTCATCATCTTGCGACAAAGATCGAGAACGCTGCCGCAATACTTGATATATGTTTCCGAGAATCCGGCAAGTGTCTCCTCGTTAGGCCATTGGTTATCTCCATAGAGTCCGTAAGTATCTGAAGGTAGAACAGCATATTTCAACTTCTGAGAGTCTAAGGCTAGTTCGTATCCAATATCAAATGCTTCTGAAAGAACACCCACAGCCTCTTCCTCCGCTACGGGATCATCCTCGGTGCCTGTAGATCTCTCGCCGCCTATGGGGCTGTATCCACGAAATTTCTAAAATGAAGTCAGCACCAAATAGCTTCCATGTATCACAGAATGCTCGATAATGATGACCTGGGAGTTTCCAATATAGACCTTCATCTTTTCCTCTTCTGGGAGGCTGAAAAATAGCTCTGCTGCATGGTGAATGTCGCTCACCATGGCCTCTGGAATCCCATGATTCTAATTTTAGTGAATGCCATTTTAGCATGAGGCACTTATCAATGAAGCCTTGGGAGATGATGTCCGCATACCTTAATGTAGAAGAATCCAACCTGGGTGCAAGCATCGTAGATTATTTGTGCGAGCTTTCGGCGATCCTTGAAATGTGGACTGTCTATGTCCGACAAGTCAATAATAGGAATACACTCACAATTTGCGGCCTGCGAAGAGTTAGTCTGCTGGTTCATGATGTTTGAGGTGCCTGTGAGGAGAGTTGAGGATGGAGGTTGCAGGGTTGGCTTATCGGGCGGGGATTTGGCAGTGATGTTCTTGCGCGGCCGAGGGGCGATCTTATCTCCCCGCAGTGCTACCTCTCATATCTCCGCAATTACGAATTGAAATATCCCACTATCGGGTTTTAGGTGTGAGTGATGAAACATTTTGGGTCCGATAATGGTGGGGCTAATTACAGGAACGTGCTCACAGATGTTGTACACTGTTCACATCAGCATGGGGTTTTCTGTTGCACAGCTAATTGACATTCGATGTATGCGGCTGGAGTGGTCTCTTCAAATAGTCCGAAGAGATTGGGTATATTCTGATGGGTTTGAGGGAAGCCTTAGGTTATAATCCACATTCTTGCGCTAGATGACGGTGGTTCTACTATGGCTCCTTACAAGCCTTCTACAGTAAGTTCAGTAACTACTAGAAGCTCGACGATCCACCATAGGTGGTCTGGGGAACAGGCTGCACATAACCAGTTGCTAATAACAAGGTTGACGTGGACATAGAAGCACATTCTGTGAATAAGACCTTTTGTAAGAGACTACATGTCGGCTCAGCCCATTTTTTATCGGCGCTCATCCATAAGTTTTTCCGTCCCCATATGACCTGAGCCGACCCTGTTTCAAAAATTACCCTCTTACACACTATAACACATTGTTAGCAACTAATTTGGTCTAATATTGCTAAGTGTAAATATATCCTTTAGTTATAATTTTTCGGTCGCAAAATTAATATATACTCTTTAGACCCTTTTTAGGTTATTAGCTAACTCGCTATATAGAAACTATTACTTATTACTACTAGATTATTAGAAGTTGTCCTAGTATACTTAATATTATTAGTAGTTAGTGTAGGGACGCCAAAACTACCTATTAATTAGTTTAAATATTTCAAAGGTCTTATCATCACGTTATGGGCTGAGCCGACCGTAAAATCACTCTGAGCCGACCTGTAACCTCCTTTTGTAACCATATTTCATCAAGATAAAATCTTATCTAAAATTAAGCAGAAGAATGTACATCTCGGCGTAGATACGCCAAGAATGGATTGTGGGGCCAAATGCAGTTGGCGCGGAATCATCCCCTTTGGGTTTAGCATCGGGAGCTATAGGGGGCCAATCTCATTGTACTTGCTTGGCATCCCGCCTAACCATCTTTCTACTCTGCAATGTAGACAAGTTCTATCCACGCGTTGTTCCAGCCAAGATATGAATACGAGTGACCAGGCAGAAGGATACAGGATTCCAGAATGCTAAGCCGCTACTTGGATACTGAATTGGACATCAGCCCCAGTATGCCTTGCTTGGCCGCAAGTAATCAAATCTCATGCCCCGGTCTTATCCTCAAAACTATAAGAAAGGCTGGAAAGACCCTTCCCACAAAACCAGATGACAGTTGAGAACAGCCTGCTTCTTGACATATCCTTCATCATCCTTTAACCACCTTCATGTACCTCGTCACATTCTCACATTGGTTGGTCGCAGCCCTCTTTGCTCAGTGGGCTTGGGCATGCTCCCCGAGATCAGACATCAATGACCAAAACAACCCTTTTGTCATTGGTGACGACGGCCCAGCACCTGCGGCCACCCTGGGCTTTGCGATCAACCACTTTGGTCTACTCACGACCAACCTCACCGGGATGAAGCATTTCTATGGGGACATTCTGGGTATGCGGCTTCTTTTTGACGCACATCTTACCCCCGAGTATACCGTGACCTACATGGGCTATTCGCAGGGGGGACGAAATGGCACCGGCTTCCAAAGTGGGGCTGAAATGACCCGCGATAAGAACAACCTATACGGTCTCCTTGAGCTTGTCCAATTCAACGTGTCGGACGATCGCCTCGTGGGGTCTACCAAGCGCACCAATACTTTCGGCCATGTTGGCCTGATTGTGGCTGATGTCGAGAAGGCGCAGACTTATCTGGAGAGTAGAGGAGTGGAAATACTCAAGAGGATTAAAGAACCCCTTTCCGGCTTTACGGGATCGATCCAGAATGCTTTCGGGGTTGGTGAATTTGCGGGTGAGCATATCGCAGCAAAGATGGCCCTGCTGAAGGCCCAAAGCCTCATTGGAATGGAGATGTTTTTGATGGTGCAGGATCCCGACGGAAACCTAGTGGAGATTCAGCAGCAAGACGCCCCGAGCAGTTCGTGATTGATCGACAGACCCGGAATTAGTTAGAGAGTAAGGGCTTATAATGTAGGGTTCAGGGGTTCTTGCCTCCAGACTCCATATCTATGGCAATTGATAGCTAAGATGTGTTTTTGCCGCCCTGGTATTTCATGAAATCCAAGGGGATTGTTCCCATACGGCGAGAGGAAAGAAAGGAGTGAGCTAGACTTAACACTACTGGAGTAGTCCGTAGAGGATTCTGAGTTGGCAACTACGGAGTACAGAATTGCAAAAAGGGGTCTCAGGGTCTGATGGCAAAACCAATTTTTTTGCCGATCGACTCGAGAGTCGGCGATTTCGAACGGGCGGATAGCTAAACGACCCTTGAGCCAAGGGAATCAAGAAACAAGAAACAAAGCCGATAGGACCCTCCGACCTGAAACCCGTCAGGGGTCCACGCGTCGACGTGTACTCTTCTGCGCCGCCGCCTCCCAACCTCTGCGCACCGCCAATCAACTGGCCGCACCCGCCGTCACCGCCCCACGACCGCCGATCCTTCTTCGTGCCCCTAAATGCTGCCCCCGTTCTGCATTTTTTCCTTGACACAACATCTCCTTTAACTCACCATAGTCACTCTTTTTATCGGTTCTCACATTCCTGACAACCATGGCAAACGGTCGCTCGTCCCAGGATGAACGCAAGCTCGAGAACGGTGCCGCTCCAGCGCCCCCCTCAGAGCAGCGGTCTGCACCCGGCTTTCTACATTGCGTGCGTTCTCGCTGGCGAGACCCTTCCCCTGGGGTCTCCGCGATTTCTCCGATTTGTCGATTGCTAATGCACCCTCAGTCTATGGATTGCCTTAAGTTCCAGCGTCATTCTCTTCAACAAGTGGGTTCTGTCGAGTGCCAAGTTCAGTGAGTGCCCCTGCTTTTTATTCCCTCGATTCGAGTGTTGTTCCGTCGATTCGAGCCACCAGAGAGATCCGTTACTAACCTGCTTGGCTTGTAGACTTCCGTGAGTCCTTACCCGGCCTGTCACCAAACCCAGACACCCTCGCTCTCTATCGAGCTTCCGAAATCTAATGTGCCAAACACAGCGCTCTTCCTTACGACATGGCACATGATCTTCGCCACTGCCATGACCCAGGGTCTGGCCAAGTTTACCACAATCCTGGACTCCCGTCACAAGGTCCCGATGACCCCTAGCACTTATGTGTGAGTGATTGACGAAACCATAGATCTGCGATTGATCTGCAACAATCTGGCTCTGACAACCCGATTCTCTACTTAACAGCCGTGCCATTGTCCCCATCGGTATCATGTTCAGCTTGTCTCTCATCTGCGGTAACCTGGCCTACCTCTACCTCAGTGTTTCCTTCATTCAAATGCTGAAGGTAAGCTCCCAACCCCTCTTTCTCACCCTGTCACCGAGTATAAGCCAATATTTCTATATCTAGGCGACCAATGCTGTCGTGACTCTCTTCGCCACCTGGGCCTTTGGAATTGCCCCGGCTAACTTCAAGACCCTTGGCAATGTCGGTATCATTGTCCTCGGTGTTGTTATCGCTTCCTTCGGTGAGATCAAGTTCGACATGATTGGTTTCCTCATCCAGGTTGGCGGTATCATTTTTGAGGCCCTGCGCCTGGTCATGGTCCAGCGCCTGCTTAGCTCGGCTGAGTTTAAGATGGACCCCCTCGTCTCCCTGTATTACTACGCCCCCGCCTGCGCTGTCACCAACGGCGTTGTTACCCTCTTCACCGATCTCCCCCGCATGACTATGAACGATATTTACTCTCTTGGTGTCATGACTCTCATTGCCAACGCGCTGGTTGCTTTCCTTCTTAACGCCTCGGTTGTCCTTCTGGTATGGTGATCTGCTATTTCTCACCGGTTAAATCATTCACTGACTGTTCAATAGATTGGCAAGACCTCGGCTGTCGTCCTGACCATGGCTGGAATTCTCAAGGATATCCTCCTGGTCTGCGCCTCCATGCTCATTTTCCGTGACCCCGTCACCCCCCAGCAGTTCTTCGGCTACTCCATTGCTCTGGCTGGCCTCGTTTACTACAAGCTGGGTGCCGAGAAGCTCCAGGCCCTCACCACCGATGTGCGTCTGCAGGTCGGTGAGTACCGCCGGGCTAACCCGGCAAAGGCTAAAGGCATTGCCGTCGGTGCCACTCTAACCATTGTCCTGCTGGTTCTGTACACTGGAGCCCCATCTTCTGCCCGCCTGACCAATTAAGGGCACCTATTCAACTTCTCTCGCTATTCGCAAGCAGGTGAACTTGCAGAATATGCATGACAATAGCTTTTATTGTATATTGTACAAACGGCCGAGGTTTATCCGGAGCTGGTTTTACTCTTTTTACTGTTCTGATAGAAGGGAATGCTTTGTTTCTTAGTTTGGAGGCATGTACATTTGAGAGGGTATAGACGAAGATCCATGGGATTCCAGGCGAACACAAATTTTATGCAGGCAGTGTCGTCGTTCTAATGATTGTGTTTCATTCGCCTGGCAGTCTTGATATTATCAATGGACAATATCGAAAGCACTATCCTTGTTCTACGACTTGGAGTCGGTAAAAATAAGGCTCGGAGCGGTTGTTGAGGTCCATGACTTGTAGGGATATCGCTTGAATAACAAACCGGCCAAGCCATTCAAGATGGCACTTGCGGCAAAAAGTTGCTGCGAAAACAGCGAAGACAACAAGGTATTCCGGAGCGTCCTTAGGTCGGCTTCTGAATTTTCCTTACGATAGACTTTGCGCTCTCAGGCCCTATTCTGTACGGCTATCTCCCTTCGAACAGGCAAGACCCGTGGAAGGCCAAAGAAAGGTGGTTGTTGTCCAGTGCCACATTTCCGTTTTGGTCAAATTAAGTCATACAGCTTGCGTGCTAGGAACAATTAACCAGGGACCTAGTTTCTATGGCCAAAAAGGACTTCTTCAAGGATGATTGCTGTCAAGCTAGCTGCGACAGTGCCCGGAATTGCGTCAACTAAAAGACCTTGTCTGTGAAGTCGATGACTTGCGCCTTCTCAATAACTCCATCGAGGCTTCGAATAAAGGCCTGGTGGGCTGGGTCCTCCCGTACATAGTAGTCTCTCTCTTCTGCACTAGCAAACTCAACAACAAAGGCATGCGTAATGCCGTTCTTGACATAAAATATTGCCATCAGCTCGGTTTTCTCCCGAATTTACGTTACCAGCATTATTTGTGAAACTTGGCCAATAACATGACTCACATGAATTCCTTCTATCGAATTGTTCACCCCACCCGATGATGCCTTGATGTATGGTTTGTTAGAAGTGGGGTGAATGCAGCTCTCTTTTAGCCCGAGCATACGATCGCATGTCTTTCGGGGTACACTATCAGCTTCCAATTCAGAGGTATCACATTTAGCAGAGCGCACAGTTCGATGACATACATCCGTTATAACTTGCGCGTCTGTCCCAGACTGAAACTGGAACAGGACGATATGCGTAATTGACATAATGATTACAGTGAAGGTGAAGTCAACGACGAAATGGCTGATGATAACTGTTGAGTCGTTCCTAGCTTCTTGACAGATGTTTTGAACCGCCGATGCGGGGTTGATAGTACGGATCCACACCCACCACGTGATGTTAGGTTCTTGACTTAGACGCAACCTGTCCTTCTATATCATTTTGCAAAGCAGTGAATCTGAATCTCGGCGCAAATGAGAAACCGTTTAATGAAAGTATTTAATGGAAGGCTGCCTGATTGCAAAGTTTATCTACTTTTGTAATTAGAAGGGTGGTGGGCGCAGTCAATAGGAAGTAGCGTCTGAATATTCCCCAAAGAATTTAATAGAGTGTGAGGGATGAGCTATTCTGGTATATTTTCACTTCAACATAATCTACTGGATCAAAAAATGCAATGCCTATAACTTAGAAAATGGACATTTCATTACAGGCTGAGGTAGTCAATTTTGTCAAATAAACTGCCTATGCACTATGCGCTAGTCCGGGACAGTCTCGAGCGATTTGCTTCGCTGAACACAGTCATTTGCTCACCATAAATACTGTCGGAAATTTTCGGCAAAATAGAACGCGAAATGAGCCATATTCGCCGCGGAGATCGAATCTGGCAATAGCCGGGCGCGGTGGTGAATGCCGGATTTATTTCTGGGGCACAAATTTGTCACTCAACTACTCTCCGCTTCGTGGTTGCTGCTCTTATCACCAGGCAAGTCTTCTCTTCCATCCTGCCAGCTTGAGCAATTGAGGCAACGGGAAGCCTAGACAGCAGTCAATCCCACCGTCAGATTTGTATTGAGTGGAAGACCTCACCTCGACACTAATGAACTTCCTGCAATATCTGCAACGGACAGTGGGCTTGATTATCTTGTCTTGTGAGATGAGCATGTACAAGTGTGCGACCGCGAATAATGTCAGGCTGACTCCAGCAAAATTAAGCATGTTTTGGACAAACATCCTGCACAATCAGTCAGAATCATAATTTGGTACCTTTAGCTATCCGGGCAGGGATCAGCAGTAGGTGGGCGTCCATGTATACACACCCCCATGCAAGAACCAGTGCACCGTCCTCCCTGGCCTGCTTGACCGTGTTATAACCCTCACCATTGGCATACCGGGGTCCCTCTGAGAGGACTGCAAATTTCTGGTCCATATTCCGATTCAGGAATGGCAGCAGGGAGACGATCGGCAAAGCGATGTCCGAGACAAAGGAGGTGACGACTTTGGTGAAAGCATCCGCAATTCTGAATTCCACGGTTCAGGTTAGTAAATTGCAGTGTCCTTGGGGAGTGGGAGCTATTCGGAGTTTCTGACATCAAACCTAGTGCGACCTCAAGGACATTGTCCCGAGCCGCAAAGTTGACGAAAGCCTGCCATCCATGCTTCACCTGCTTCCCCGCGGTGTGGCCGACCCGAACAAGGACGTCAGTGCTCTCGTCGAGTCCGCGCATATTGCTAGGTTTGTGGAACCTCAACGAGGCCCTGGAGGGGGTTCTTAATTGCCCGCGGTGATGCTTTAGGGGCAGACGTCCCGCGCGTCATCGCGCATGGCTGCTCGTCAGGTGGGCGTGCGGGTGGGGGGCTCTGATTTGGCCGTCGCTTGGCATGAGGAGCGGCCCTGATGCTTCACCCGCGCGGCCAATGGCATGCGCAGGCGGGGTCCGGGGGGAATATTCACTAGGATCGACATCTGGTTATCTACAATATGTGGACGAATAGATTACGTGCGATAACCTATGTAAGGAAGGGATCCACGTTAGCCTGGTCGTCTGACTTGAACATATGTTAAGATGGTCCACTTCCAAAATCAAATGTGAATGAACAGAAACCAGGCTTTCTTTTTAGGATATAATCCAGGTGTGAGTGATTAGAGATTGAGTGAGAGAAGGCAGACCTATGGCCAACACCGATCATATTGAACCAAAGACTGGGCTCTTGGAGTATGTCGTTTGAGATTGAAGGGTCGGCCTAGTTGTGTCTCCAGCTGCCCAAGTTAAACGCTTCTCGCCATCTCCACTACCGATTTCCTGCTGGGTGGTGTTAGCTGTTGAGCCGACATGGTGCATCCAGTCCTTGCGATGCAGACCCTTGAACAACGGCCGCTATTAGACAAGCAGGCTGCAACAGTCCCCACGGCAGGCTCTAGGAACGTAATGTTAGTCTGTAGAAGGGAGACCCCAGGAAGGTTGTTCCGTACAGGAAATCCAGCAGGTCCCAGAAAGTGTGAATGGGCATGAGCAAAATGATAGCATCGGTAACCATGTTGGAAATCTGCAGACCATAGTAGAGCTTGCCTAGGTCCATGAAGCCCCCCGGTACTATAGGATGTCAGAGCTTCTTGGTCGCGATGCAAGTGAAGCAGCCTGCCAGAATACCGCCGGGCGGTCCAAAGGACAACAGCTATTGATACGATCTTGACGGCGATGCCCATGGGCTTCACAGGAAACAATGATCGGTAGAGTATCAATATGGGGAGTTTGATTGACCCGATGCAGAGGTTGTAGAGGATGGAGCTTGTAAAGAGTGTCTGCAACAGGGTTCATGTTAATCCAATAAACTTCAATCATCAAGCACGAGAGCGCGATATCTTCAATTACATACACGCGGACACGGTGTGTGCCCAGGACTGTCGCGGTTAGCGAAGAGACAACACGTCTGCCGAGGAATCACCCACGGACAATTCCTGCGATTGAAATTCCCCATTCCCATAACTTCTGATGCTTAGCTCCCGTTGTTTTCGCTGCAATTCCATCAAGGCAGAGACCAGGAAATTCATCTATGAAGAGGCCAGTTCCATCGATCTTTCGTGATAGGATCCGGAACCCCACTGCGGTCATAGACAGGATGAAGGCAAGGCAAGTGGAAGTAAAAACCACATGCCGGAGGTTATCATGACCCAGTATCACCGTGAGACTGTCGACATCTTGGCAGTAGAAGAAGTATACCAGACCTAGCCAGATAATAGTTGCTAGGGGACTGCTGGTTGACTTCCCGGGCAAAACAATCGTAAAGAGGTCCATAACTTGCTACGGACCACACTATGCGGAACTGGCGGATATTTGCCTGCTTTGATATCTTCGTCGCCAAGCATATATAAATCACTCTGTGAAATCCAAACAGGTCTATATTTTAGCTTACACGCGTAGGTCCTCAGACAGTGAATAAATAAACCTGGTCAGTTAGCAAGGTACGTTCAAACTCCTTCCTCTAACATTATAGTTCAAGCATTCTACGTTCAATAAGAGGCAGTGGTTGCTACGGTATGCCATTGCTTGGTTGTAAGTAAAAGATCAGAAGCTATATGCTACATCGGAAAGCTTTGTGGGGTGTCCCTGTCTCATTTAGGGTGGGGCGTAGGACATTGGCCCGGGAGCTGTATACGGTGAAAGCAGATTTGCACCTCTCTCTCGAGCCGCTCTACCCCTCCGCTCCTCTCGTGTCTGAATCTCCTTCTCATCTTGAATCAGAGTGCAACACGTGCAGCATGTTGCTCGAACGCAATCGGAGCAAATATCACCTTCAATTCCATACGCCTTTCTTGTGCGGGTGTGTTGGATGGTAGCCAGGAGCCCTATTATTCACATTGTCAGCGAGCCATCTCATTTGTTGCAAAAGTGAGGGTAAAATGATTCACATTGACATCCACACAATAGGCTCATAGCAGCGCAAGATCCGTTGCACGCGTTATACCCGAGCATATTAGTCGGGTCCTCCTTCCGCGACTTCATGGTGAGACGATGCTGAGTTCGTCCGTACAAAATGCATGGGCAAATGATCCCCAAACAACAAGCACCTATGTTCGAACATTGGCATAATCCATGACTCCATGGTCCACCTTGCACTTCTTGATTTGGATGCATTATCTGCCCCGGATGGTGAGATACGCCCAGGTCGTCCGCGGGCGGTGCTCGCGATGAGGTGGTTTGGGGGATCGGAGGAGGAAAGTAGGGAGACTGTGGAGATTGTAAAGGATTTGTGTCGGGCTCCACAGACCGAGTACCCCTTCGGTGGGGTATCTCAGGGTTTGTCTTAATGGGTAGTGGCCCTGGGGAGGTAGGAGGATGATCATAGGCATATTGTTCCGTCTGAATAGACTGTTGCTGTTCCGGGGTATCTGAAAATGGTGCGTGCAGAGCCGGATGATGCTCTGGTGGAGGATATCTGGAGTATGTAGAGATGATACCTTCTTCCTGGAGGCGTTGCTCTTTCTCACTGGGTATATATTGACTTAATTGATTCCGCTGTTGCTGTGGTTGCTCAGGTGCTGGTGGCGGCGAGGTTGGGGGCTGTTCTATCGTATGTTGCTGCACAGCCGCGTCCGGGTGAACAGACAATGGAAGAGGAGCAAAGGAAGGCTCCTGAGGTCGGCTCCCCGGATGCATTTCTAGTGGCGTCTCAATAAACGAATATCTCGGGTCCTGGCCTTCATTTATTTGGGTCTCCAGGTGTAGTGGCCGACTCATCTTGACGCCTGTGATCTTCAAGGGTTCTGTACAGTATATATTTCTGTATGAGGATTTGTGATGAGGCGCAATAGCTTGGACCCGGATTTATTGCAGGTGTAGTTTGATCAGCTTGAGGTTCACTTCAACAGCGAGTGGATGCCCAGGGGAGTTCACTTAGACGCAGCTATTGCATCCAGGCTGTTTTCCCCTGGCGATCAACATAGGCTGTGCGCGCTCGAATAACAGATCGCCCGTCGGACCACTGCACGATGACATGCGACATGCGACGTGCGCTCGACCGTGATAAATGGAGGAATTTCAATCCCCGACAAGATTTGTCCTAGTAAAGCGCGCGTGATAAGGGGGAATGGGCAGGCAGACGTGTTAAACCATCCAAGCGGAGATGCAGATTCACCTGAGGTGGACCAAGTCAGAGCTCTGCGGGGACGGGGCGCCATGAGTGGCTGCAGAGCTCCAGCTTCGCTGCGAACCAGCTCGTTAGGGTGGCCTGACGCCCTAATGCATCTTCTTCACGTAGCGGGGAAGGCTGATTGGCTTGGAGATTGCCCGGCTCCTCCCGTTGGGCGTTCGGTGCGTTAGGGCCGTTCTCATCACACGCCGCCAATCACACCAACAGTGGAGGCTACTCATTCCTACTCACGCGATGCAATCGGGACAGGTACATCAGTACAGAATATGTAATGGTAAAGCCTCTGAGGTGGAGGGGGCCGCGCAGAGCCCAGTTGGAATTTCCCTCCCCCAGGGTTCCTCTTTATTCCCTTGGGAGGAATGGCTCTCGTCAGCAAGCCCCCTACCAAACCAATGCTAGATCTAAACGTCGAAGTATCAGAGAGCAAACCAAATGGGATGCTTCCATTCTAAGTTTTGTACTTCTAAGGAAAATACGAAAATGCTTCACCAGCTATAACACTTTGCCATCGCAGTTATGGTACAACCTGGTTCGAGCCTCTATGGTTGAATCATCGATCCCGCCTACCCCAACCTCTCCGGCCTCTCTCTTTCTGTTTATTTAATTTTCTTTTTTGCTCTCCTCAGAAAGAGCATGTATGTTTCCTTTGGATCAGCACAATACAGTTCATTTTGCTCCGTTGTTGCTTCTGTATCGAGGACCTCCGCTCCTCCTAACAATGTCCACCAATGGGCCACAAAAGAAAAAGCTCGCTTTATCCCAGCTCTATAAAGGCTTAATCTATTTCTACACAAAACATCTTGGTCATATATTGGCTGATCTACTGTCCAGTTGTAATAACTACCAGCCACGTATAGCCAACCGCAAGACAATGGCCAACCGAGTTGTTAGGGGCTTTAATATCTTCCATATCCCTTCGTTTTGCAAGTTAGTTAGTGCTGTCCGTCGATAAAATTGGACACCTACTACGAGCTTTGTTCCTCTTGAAATCATTGCATATCAGGTGCCACAATCGAGCAAAAGCGAATGAGCAGAAAGAACTTAAAACGCTGGGTTATTCTCCCAGTCAAGATATGATGAGAGACGTTCTGGTTTTCAAGATTCCTTAATGCTCACGCTCACACTTAGTCTTGCCAATAATGCACCCGTTTGAATCCTCTATACGTTTCAGCCTATCTATATAAACGACAAAGACGAGATCACTGATTGCATTCACGACCAGTAGGGAGTCTAACTTACGGCTGGCTACGTTCCATACGTCCTTTAATTCATATTTTGCCAGGGGATAGTGACCGAACAAGCTTAAAGGCTCATGTGGCCCAAAGATGAAGCAAAAAGAAATACTTTCTTTTATATGTTAATATCCATTGGCAGCAACACTCCAATCAAGGTAACTAGTTATCTGCCCCGGGGGCAACGGTACAGGCATGCTCAAAATACTCTGGACCACAGTAATGACAGGGAGAGAACTACCAGACCAGCATCAGCACACCCAGGCTTTAAAAGCTTCTCGTGATGCTATATGACATTCTCAAGTTCCCATACGCCACAACATGTCTCGCAGCTATACCGCCTGACCAACCTCTCCACCCTTTAGCCCGGAGGGAGCCTCCTAGAATGGCTCAACACGCCTGACTAGAGAGTAATGTGGTTAGGTATCAAAGCCTCAAGGAAGGGGCTTGGCTAATTGGAGTAAAAGTATGGCACGGGGCTTCAACCGGGTGTGAAGTGTAGTCATACGTCATGCCAATTCAAAGATTTTCTAGCCAGTCAAAAATTCCGTCCGCTGCATTCCTCAGAATCATATCACGCCGCAACAAATGCTCCCCATGCTTCTAGATCAGGTTGGGATGGACTGGGACGGGATTTACTCAGCTGGCAATCCCCCAATCAGCGAGAACATCATTGGATAACCGAAACACTAGCATTTGGTCTGCCTTGGTTTACCGGATATACGTGGCTCAATCGAAATCCATTAAATCGGGCGTTTTAATCTGTAGTAAAATAACATAGCCCGGGGCTCCCGAACACTTGTGGTAACAATTTTGAATCTCGTCGTGATAACGAGTGGAAGGTTTCAACCAGCGCCCCGCCCGGCGCGACGAGTAGTTAAAATGGTGAACATAGCACGATAGTCGGAGTACCCCCCAAGGCATTCATATTTCAGAACAGTAGCCTAACTTCCGTGAATATCAGATGTTTTATACATTTAATCCACCTACGTACTGCCTCTCTGGTAACTTTTCACCCCTTGCTTGTAGACCCCCTTGACCCTTGAGGTGGGCGGGAGCGGTCAGCAGATTCCCCTGCTGACCGTCTTCAGTTCGGCCTTCTCGCCGGTCATGGAAGCCCTTAAGGCGCCTGAGCGATCGGTGAATCCATTGAGCAGTCACATTATCCGCTAGTTCCATTGAATAACGAAACCGTGACTATCCAGCCACAGTTTGTACAGTCATAGTCGGATTGTTCACTTCAAGCGTGACCAATAGCCCCCCCGCAAGAGTCAACTCCCGCTTCGTCCTACTGTTAGGGTAGTCCCTCCAGCTATATCAATAGACATGGTGTCATAAGATCTGGTTATAGGGTATCACGGTAGCGGTAGATCAGACCCTCTGCAGCTCTTGCTGAGCACCACCAAGAGATCAAGCATAAGGCTAAAGCTAGCGACCCCTGACTCTTGGTGGCTGTGCACTTCGGACAGGTCAAAACGCCCGGGAAGTTTTCCAAGATTGGACGGAATGAGAAGAGAATGACTGGCAAGGAGGTATGTATGTACCAATGGTGAATGAAAGATTATCCCGAGTTCGCAAGAATGGTGGGGAAACGCCTATGACCGGCCGCGACAACAGCACGCCATGCGAAATGCCCCATGATTGGCAGAGAGGTGAGGAAAGAGCGCTCTGGGAAAGAGCCAGATCGACCCGAAAACTTTGTTCTCCTGCGGCCCCCTAGAGTGCTCGGGGAACGGCGTTGGAAGCTGAACCAAGGATCCCGGCGAATCTAGGAGCCAGCTGGGCGCCAGCGGTACTCTGCAACAGCCGTGGCGATCGAATACCTATCTCACTCCCTACGAGCATCCCGAGACTCCGGTTCCATCATTGCAGGTACATTGAGTTTGGGGTTAGCTGAGTTTCGAAAATAGCTTTTTTTTCCACGGTGGGAAGCAGAGCGCGTGCGATATTTGAGGCGCGAATCAGCCGCTGTCAAGGATCCTGTGGAAAAGGGACAGGTTCTGCAGTCTCTGGAGATATCAGGCTGGAGGCGGCTAGTGGTGAGAAAAGGGCTATCTTCGATGTTGCCATATCCCGCTGGCGGATCGTCGATAGGTAGGAGAGCAGCATTCTGGCCCGAGGCGCGGTCCCAGTTCTTGCCCGATCGGGGGGAGGAAGGTGTACACCGTAAGAACGTAAAGTGAGAAGAGCAAGAACGGGCGGAGCCGAGAGGCAAGAAGGTGCCCCGGTGACTTCATCTGCCTTTGTCTTCGTCCATCTTCATGACTTCCCCAACTCCCTACTATCAACTCGTAGCACAACTGTCACCGCGATTTTCCCCATTCTTCTTTCTCCACCTCCTTTGATTCTCTTGAACGATCGAGTCAACTCCCACGAAGCCGTTCACGAGCCTCCAGATCGGAACGGAACCACATTTTCACGTTCCTCAGACCAAGGCGGTGACGGCGATCGGCGTCACTGTGCTACCAGCAGCCCGGGCCAAACTCCATTCGGGTTCGCTCCTCGATCCTTTATCTCCCCAGAAGTGTCTGAGCTTCGCTTCTGATCCCAGCTCCGAGACCGACTGGTGGCCAGCTCCTCCTCCACCTGTAAGATTCCCCCCTCGCTGAACGTGGCCACAGCCTGTCTTCTGGGGGAAAAAATAACCACTGAATGCCTCACTGCTGTGGCACGCTGGTCAAGATCTTCCCCCTCCCAAATATCGCTTTCTCCACTAACTTGCCTCTGCTTGTCTTCGTGACGCCAGCTTCTACTCTGTCTCGCCCAGCTTCCTTGGGCGTCCAATCCTCACCTGTGTCTCCATTCAACTCTTCTCTCACCCCCCCCTTCTCCCCCAATAACCAACCCCCGCCGGCTCCGCTTCCCTTCCATTCCGACCGTGCAGGCCTGACCAATGTCCTCTCCATGTCAAACCCGCCGCCCGCTCCCGAAGACACCTTGCCTGACCCCCTGGTGACACCTGCCGCGCCTGCCCATCATGATTGCTCGAAGAAAGCCGAGCAAGCTCGGCCCAGCCCACGTCACCACCTGGCGCAGGACCAACACTTGTTCCAAGGGGCTCAACAGGCGCAATCCCCATCCCGCGCAGAATCCCCCACAAACACCCATCAATGGTCCCAGCCCAAGTCAACTTTCGCCCTAAAAAGGGCCTCGACGATCCCGTTGGAGAAATTCCCCCGTCCAGACATTGCTTACAGCCCGCAACTGTCCGAACGGGATAGTATCTTTGCGACACATTATCTACCCTCAGACAGCGGCGCCAATACCCCACAATTGCCCCCCGAAAAAGCCCCGGACAATGAGCGCCAGGTCAATCTGATCCCGGGCCTAGATGATGTGTCTGGATCTCCAAGTCCTCTCTCCAAGGTCTCTCCCCATCGTTCTCACGTCGACCCTTCCCACATGGAAGTTGACGTCCGCAGACACATTCCACTGCTCACACCTTCCCTCTTCTCCCCGTCCGATGCTTCCCGCTTGTCTCTACTGCGCTCGTCTATCTCGTCCGCAGACCAGGTGAAAGACCAGGAGGCGGAGGCTGTTGCCCAGTCGCGACGCCCCGGGCCATCGGATGAATCAGGTACGAAGACCGGTGGCTCACAAAACACTCCGGTTGGACGCAGTCTTCTACCTTCCATACTAGACGATGTTTCTCAGTCTCCTCAGTCCCTGACAGCTCCTGCAACCGGTCAGGACTGGCCGACGGTCTACTCGGAGGCTGCGTCCTCCACTTCACGGGCAGAATCTTCTCGGGGCATCGCGCTGGAACGGAGCGCAAGCCGAGGTCGTCGAGGGCGCGTGGACAGTTCAATTGAAGCAGATATAAGCAACGTAGAGCCCGCCTCTAACGTGCGCAGCCGTAAGTCCAGTCACTACCTGGGCTTATTCAAAGAAAACACTACCTCGCCAGACCGCAAACGATGGGAGGACCGTGCCCGACAGCACGATGAGACGTTCGAGCAGACAGCCCGGACCATGGAAATTGAACACCCAGCATTGCATCTAGCGGCAGATGAGGAGGGACTGCTCCGGAAAAGCATTTCTCTCCCCTCGCTAGCCGATGGCCCGTCGTTTCGCGCGCAGCGGTCGACCGAGTCGACTCTCCAGTCCGAGGAGGATGAACCGTCAAAGCGCCGTCCACCGACTTTGCCTGGCAACCTTCTTGAGGAAATCCGAAACTTCCATCTAACACCCGGTGGAGGCCGCGGCTCCTCCTTTTCCAGGAGCATTCCGACGCAGTATGCCGAACGCACTCGCGACTACTTTCAGAAGGAGCCCCACGTCGATCGATTCTCCGAGTCGTTAAGCTCCCTTGACGAGGAAGGACGTCGAGGATCTGCACAATTCGAGGACGAGGACGAGGAAAATGAGCAAATCTCCTCTGCCGTTTACTTCCCTCACGAACGCGTTGCAGTGCCCGAAGGAGTCGAAGGCGCGGAGCCATTAGTGGCAGACCCTAGTGCGCAATCGGTGCAACTGTCTGCCGCAGAGGAGGGCCATGAGCTGATGTTGGTACCCCAAGAGGGTATCGCTTCACCTGGACAGGACGTCAGTCATGTGGATATATCCTTTCGATCTAAAAATGAAAGTAAAATCCTTTACGGTGAGCTTGGAGACATTCGGCCTCCCACCGAGAGTGTGTCGGAGAAGTCTCTGAGTACAATTCCCGAGCGCAGCTATGATTCCACTTGCGAGTCCGACGCCGTATCTGCGGACGAAAGTGGTCAATCTGTTCACGACGAATCGAGTTTGACTGATGATGCGGAGTTAACGCCGACAGCGACTCCAACCCAGAGTCCGCGTTTTCCTCCCAAGCGCAAGACGCCTGGTCCGCTTGGAGCAGTGGAGCTCAAGCCTTATCGGCATCAAGTTGGTGGTCATACGACTGTATTCCGTTTCTCCAGGCGCGCGGTGTGCAAGCAGCTCAACAATCGAGAAAATGAATTTTATGAGCGAATTGAAAGGAGACATCCTGACATGCTAGTGTTCCTTCCGAGGTAAGTTTTTTTTTTCTTCTCTCTCTCACTCTCTCACTTAAAAGCTTGATGGTGATGGTCTGAGAAATTGCTGCCATGGGAATCCTGTCTCGACAAGCCCAACTTTGTGCCCTGTCTATTTCAATAGTATACTGATGACAGTTGCAGGTATATCGGCGTCCTGAATGTAACATTCTCCAAGACCTCAAAGCGCTCCAAACGCCGAACAAATCAAGCCGCGTCGGAAGCAATGCATGCCAATGGGACCGCGTTAAATCCGCATTCCATCGAAGCTCCAGAGCCGCAGCGAATCGTGAGCCAGAAGCAAGTCACTGGAGTGATCCCTAAAGTAATTCTCGAAAATAACCGGCACATCATCCCAGCCGATCTTTTTTCTCGCCCACAACGACCACGACTGATTGATGATACGATGCTGGGTAGACCTCGCTCAGCTGACGGCTTGGGCGAAACATCCACAGAATCTGATTCGTCCGCCCTGCGGAAGCGAACCAAGATTTGGGGAGCTACCACTGTTAACCGGAAGCTTCAGGAGCAGGTCCTTCGGGAAGTTTTCAGTCCACCGGCCATTCACCAGCATCGACGCCACGCTCGTGGACACATACATCTACCTAGAGCTTCTTCCTATATTCCTCGTCGCCGTGGAAATCTTCCAGAAGATCACACCTCTAGCAGTCAACCCTCCCCCCCCAACCAAGATGGATGCTCTGCACCCCCCGCAATGAACATCAGAATATCCTCCGAGAATGGCCAGACCCTTTCCTCATCCGCCTCGACTGCATTAGAAGAAAATCGCGGCCGACTGGAGAAAGTACAAACGGAGGACCAGCCGAACCGTTCCAACTCCCTCAGCCGAGGGCAGCAAGTACGAAGGCGTCACTCTGGAGGTGGTCTGCAGCGTCGTGGGAGTTTGAACTCGCACAAAACTGGAGATCTCATGTTCTTCGAGGATGAAGGGTATGGTGGTGATAAGGAGGATGAAATCTTCTCGATGGAGAGTGATGTCGCTATTCCTCCCAGCCAACCTCCGACAGTCAAGCGTTCCTCATCTCCATCCTCGGAAAGCACCTCGATTAGTGAAAGATATGCTACGGAATCTACAGCTGGAAGACCTGTTGACAACCTTCGTACCAGCGTTAAGGACGACGACGACGTCGGCACTCATTTACCTAGCAATCCTAAGGAGGCGCAGCTGAGGAGGGATGAACGGGTACAATTCTTCCTCCTTCTGGAAGATCTTACGGCTGGCATGAATAAGCCGTGCGTCCTTGACCTCAAAATGGGTACTCGGCAGTATGGCATTGAGGCAAGTGAGAAGAAAAAGAAATCGCAGAGGCGGAAGTGTCAGTCGACCACCTCACAGCAACTTGGAGTTCGTCTTTGCGGTATGCAAGCCTGGAATGTCAAGAAGCAAGAGTACATTTTCGAGGACAAGTACTTCGGTCGCGATTTGAAGTCTGGCCGAGAATTCCAGGATGCACTTACCAGATTCCTCTACGACGGAGTCAGCTACACCAGCGTGGCCAAAAAGATTCCAGTCATTCTAGAGAAATTGTCACTCCTGGAACACATGATTCGTAGGCTGGATCGATACCGCCTTTACGCTAGCAGTCTTTTGATCCTGTACGATGGAGAGCAGGCGACACCCCCACAAACCCCCAAGCACCCAGGCGACCCCCATCCTCCTCGGCGCCAGGCGTCTGATGATGGTCACAACAACATTGATGTCCAGCTGAAAATTGTCGACTTTGCCAATTGCGTGACTGGCGAGGATGAGTTGCCTGCAGACACACCTTGTCCGCCGCACTTCCCTCAGGACATCGACCGAGGCTACCTGCGTGGTCTTCGCACCTTACGGATGTACTTTCAACGGATCATGAAAGAAATCACCCAGGATGAGTTTGTGGAACGTGGCGAGGGAGAGGCAGTTGCGCTGGGTTCCCAGCCCGCTGTTCGTAAAGGTCCCTCTGATCAATTTTGGGATGAAAACGTGATGGAGACCGATGTGGGTGAAGTCAGCTTCTGAAGCCATACCCTCTCCTGCTTTTCTTTTTTGTTTGTCTTTTTCTTTTTCCACCATTCGGCGTTGTCGGCGACATCATGGCGTTTGGGGATAGACAACATTTCCCACACCGGAATTGTCCTGTGAATATTCCCCGACTTTGTGCTCCTCCGACGGACCTGCTCTCCAACGCTAGGGTGGAGGGCAGTACGATTAACGACCTCCACGGACGCTTCGATGACCCCTTTCAATGCTTGGATGCATTTAGAGCCCGGCTGGTTTTGTTTCAGACATTTTCTTGACCTCTGCCCGTTTCCTTTCGAGACTTCGCGTCTCCCGATCGCGTGTACGAAACTACCTGCCCTTGATTCCCCTTCGTCTTGGTTCACTTCTCGGTCTTGTTTTATTGATATTCCCCCGCCACCGGGCTATTGGTTGATCTTCCAGGTTTCTTTTCAATATATGGGGCTGGCGCGGATCCTCTGGTCTTGTAAATGATATTCTTTAGGCCTAGACAATAAATTATTTACTTCTCACCTGGCTGTTCATCCTCTACCTCCACTGCCCGGACTGGCTTGCCTTGACATTTTACTGCGATGTCTAGGGGAGAAGTCTCATTCCCTGGCCAATTCGTTGACAAGGACACCTTATAGAGTTAGTGTAAGAATTGAATATCACGTTCCAAAACAAAGATCCTCCCATCCTTTCGTGGGTCGGTTCTATGTTAACCTGTTCGCTTCCAATCGTTTGGCCAGGCGGTGTGGTGTGCCTTGCCCGTCCCGATATGACGCGACCTCGGTCACGGTCACGTGTGCTCCGATAAGCTGCCCCAGCCCCAGCTTTACTCCACTCCGACTTGAGTCAGGTTACCTGAGCTGTACACTACCCCTCGTCTCTCATTTTTCAGAATTTCCTCCTGTACAGTGCTCTTGCAACTCTCCCTTTCACATTATGCGCCAGTATTGAATCTTCAATGACGTAGGGTGGGCCCGCGACAACGAACCAACTGATACCCCCCAGCTGACCCCAGCGCCCACCTTCCAAGGCCCGCCTGAAGTCGCCGAGCGGACTACGGCGCTGCCAAACTGACCGTACCCCGGCCGGGTCCTGATAATAAACAATAAGCCCCTAGGCCTGCTGTCTACCGTCCGCCCTCTCTAACCAACCTATCTACCCATTGGCGATCCCTGTCGGCAAGCACAATGCCCGGCCCCGAAGGCCCTACAGAGCGTCTCATCGATAAGCGGGACTTCGATGCGAACCGACCTCTGCTCCAAGATGCAGACGCTGAAGGCTCTAATGGAGATTGGAGTCCAGAGCTAGGTCGGTCGCGACCGGTATCACACTACTCTCGCCGTTCGGGCCGAAGCCACCGAGGCATCGGGAGCGATGATGGGCTATTGAGCGATGTTGTGGATGGAATCCTTGAGCGAGATCGACGGAAAATGCATAAAGAGGTAGTGCGGGTGATAAGCTTCGCTTGGGGTGTTGTAACCTGGTATGGATGTCTGGGTAGCCCGCTCTGACGGATTGAATGCTGACCCTCATCTCATCTAGTCTAGGAGCAGGTAGTATCACCGCCTTCTCCTTGTACGGCCATCTGCTACTTACTCGCCTTCGATATACGCAGCTTCAGGTGAATGTGGTATCTATCGCCGCCGAGATTGCTATGTACTTGCTCGTTCCACTGTTCGGCTACCTATGTGATCGATACGGTCCATCGCCGCTGGCTCTGTTCTCGGGAATCGCATTTGGGGTGGGTTATCTGCTTGCTGCAATTGCATATAAGAGCGGACCACCTGCAGAGGCTGGTGGTTCCGGATGGCCATTCTGGGTGATGGTTGTGGCCTTCATTGCCATTGGCATGGCCACCAGCTGCATGTACCTGGCGGCTGTGGCAACATGCGCGAAGAATTATGGCAGGGGAAAGCACAAGGGAATTATGCTGGCTATTCCCATCGCAGCTTTTGGCCTCAGTGGCATGTGGCAGAGTCAAATCGGAACCTATGTACTATACGAACGCAACGCGGATGGCAGGCATGGCGATCTGGACGTCTTCCGATACTTCGTTTTCTTGGCACTGCTACTGCTGGTCACCGGGATTATTGGCACGTTTGCATTGCGTATTGTCGATGATGACGAGGAGAGATATATTGACGAGACGGTCGAGGAGCTGGAGCGCAGTGGATTGCTCGAAGAGAGTGATTTCTTCCGGCCGCTAAGCGAGGTCAGAGCCGCGGTTGAATATGGTACTTTCCCGGATGGAAATGACGACGAATCAATGACTCTATCTGAGCAGGAGCGCGAAGAGAGAAGGCGAGAGAAAGAACGAGAGGAGGAAGAGCGTCAGAAGAAGAACTGGTTACTGAATTACGAGACCCGAATCTTTGTCCAGGATCCCACCATGTGGTGGCTGGCTGCCGGTTTCTTTTTGGTTACTGGACCTGGGGAATCATATATCAACAATGTGAGTCTTACCTATTCGATTTTGACACGCTGCGTTTGGTATCTAACACCTCTAGCTCGGCACTATAATCCCGACTCTGACTCCTCCGTCCTACGCTGCCGAAGCGCCCCCGCCAGCTGGTCTTCCCTCAACCCATGTCACTATTATTGCATTGACTTCAACTATCGCCCGTCTTCTTACCGGATCCCTTTCGGATTTCTTTGCACCCGCGGCGACACACCTTTTCCCACCTATTCCAGAGAATGCCCGTCACCGACCTGCCACCCCACACGATAGCCGCCTAACAATTTCCAGAATGGCCTTCCTTCTCCCCTCAGCCCTTCTTCTCTCTCTCGGCTACTTGATCCTTTCTACCCCTTTGCCACTGAAAGAGCCGTCTATCTTCCACCTAACAACCGCCCTTGTGGGCTTTGGCTATGGCAGCGCTTTCTCTCTAGCCCCAATCATCATCTCAGTGGTATGGGGCGTGGAGAACTTCGCCACGAATTGGGGGATCGTCGCCATGATGCCTGCCCTCGGTGCTGCGCTTTGGGGCGTAGTTTACTCCTGTGCCTACCAGAACGCCATTGATGCCGGCACTGGTTTCGGTTCTCCTGATGGGCAGTGCCATGGCTGGAAATGCTATGGATTCTGGGCTCTAGGCTGTACCGCCAGTGTCTGGATTGCTATTGTGGCTTGGCTTGCTGCATGGAAGGGCTGGAAGAAGAAAGGTGTCATTGTTTAAACTATCATTCTCAACCATTTTCGGGTCTTTTGTCTCTTGTGTTTTCCTTGTGGTGCATTTGACGGCGATGAACCTTCTATGAGTATACTTAGCGATAGCCAAATGGAATATTCGTGTAGAGAATGATTTGTTTTACAAAGCGTTTTCAATGAAGAGTATTGAACATTTGATTTATAAACCTACTTGAGATCTCAAACCCTTCTTAGTTCTTTCACTCCCAATTCTGCGTCACGGTAGGTTGTTCCACATCTCTCTGGTCTTTACGGCGTTCCAAACATCCTCGCTGGGTAGATCAAACTTCCTATCCATGTCCTCCAGTCCTAGATTTTTGTCTCAGGAAACACAAGAAGAACCTAACGAGAACTGCCATAGCCGAAAGAGAGCCGTAAATGAAGCCCAGCTTACCGCCAAGATCAACATGTCCAGGCGCGTCGGTAGTTTCCACGTACGGGTATGAGAATGTCACAGCGAATCTATCACAAACAATTAGTATTCTGTTCGACGAAGGATCCGAACAGTGAAGGCTAAAACTGATACTCAGTAATAAGCCTCACAAAATACACCGGGGACAAAGATCCCTGTCTAAGGCTATCGTTTGAAGGCTTGGTGATTAGTTCCTTAAATAGCTCAATCATTTGATTTATAGAATTTTTGGGGAACGACAATGTTTTACGGATTAGAAATAGGATTCACTGAACAGACCGTCCTACAGCATGTCCGACCCGGTTGCCTTATACAAATATTATTTGGCATGTTCCCCAGCTAGCCATATTCTGACCAAAGCAGCCGTCCTCGGTCTAGTACTATTCCACCATCCTTTCCTCAGATTTGCACTGTTTGAGAAAAAGATCACAGATAATGATCGGATTGAATATTCCCAGAAATTCCCGGCCTTATATCCCCCCAGGTACCACATTCCTGTGGCATTGCTTGGCTTTCACGTCCCGATTTAGTGTTCATCCCTCGCCGCTTTTCACTCACAGAGTTCACCCTGCTGACTCAGATCTCGTTGCGGTTGCGGTTCCGCGACCACTCGTACTTGCAGATCCTCTTCTACACTCGGTCGTTCAGGTAAATAAGTACTGAATCTTTCATGGCACTCAATAGCTTGGCGAGCTCCTGTCACATTCCTCGGTCTCGAAGCCTACGGCGAGTTTCCTGCTAGAACAGGCCGCCAGTGCCCCGACGCACCCTGTGGACACTGCGTCAAGCTCCGCGCAACTTTGCCGACGCTCCTCCGCACATGTCTCAAAACCCACGCTCTTCCCAAACTGGAATGATCTAATGAGAGAATGTCGCAAAAGCCGCGAAAGCTTCAGCGCGTCTCCAAGGCCTGTAGGTCTCACTGCCTTTCGATTTGATTGATTCGGAGGGCACTCTTCAGCCTGGCTGCCTAAACCGCGGACAAGAGGCCTGCATTCACTGACGTACGCAACCTAATGCAGGCGACTTTTGCAACAGACGCAGCATCAAATGCAGGCCAATCGAGGACCCGCTCGGCCGCTGCCAAAATTGTGCGGACTTCGATGTACCGTGCACCTTTGACCGCCCTGCAAAACGCCGGGGCGTCAAGGGTGGCTCTCGGGCGAGTGGCCGTGATGTTCGGTTGGTGAGTGCATCCGTAGATAATGATGTTCATATCGCGGCAGGAAGTGCAGGCGGAAGAGCCTCCGGCTCCCCGACTTCTCGCAGTTCGCACCGTCCATCCGTCTCCAGTGATCCCTGGTCTACCTTTAACCATGGCTGGCCAATAGCCGAGGGTGATGACCATGATGGGCCACTGCACAATTCTTGGAAATCATTTGCCATTGCCTGTGACCGGCAAGTAAGGAATCTAGTGCAGGTTTATTTCGAGATTGTCTATCCAATGTATGATGGATCTCTAAGGCGCCCCCTGGCTGACTATGTTGACTGAATATATCATTTCTAGATTTCCCTTATTTCACATGCCGTCCTTGATAGAGCAGGTCAACAGCAAGGAACATCTCCGCAATCAAGGGCTCTTTGCCTCCACAATGGCTCTTTGCTCTTTGGTCTCCGCTCGTGTTCGGGACGGTGCATTGTACTCTAACCGGTGGCACCGAGAAGAGCTCATTGATCCACCTTCCGAAGCGTTTTTTGCAGCCGCGAGAGACTCGATTCCTCGGGACCTCGTCGCAGTCAAAGGTATTCATTATATGCGTGCGTGTGCCATACTGGCTATCGCCAGTATTCAAAATGGCCAGATCAAAAATATGCAGAAGTATTCCGGATTCTACCACACCCTGACTTCCATGGAAGGCCTTTATGACGAAAAACTCTGGCCAAAAGACTTGACGCCGATTGAGACGGAGGAGCGGCGCCGACTTGTACGAAATGTACACCCCTAATATGTTACCGCCTTACTAACCGATACGGCAGTTCTGGTCTATCTATACGCTAGACATCTATTCGACAATCGTGTGGGGTGGTGTTATTCGATATCGCGAGACCCATTCCTTGGTGCGCTATCCCAGCGAAATCGACGACGAGTTCATCACGCACCACGGCTATGGTGTGCCGCCTATACTTCCGGGATCGGATTCGCTTTCGCCTAGCAACGTAACCGTTGTCTCCCGGCAGCCTGTGACCTGGCTGCGTGGTTGGAACTTCACCACAGACCTTTACCGGATTCTTGAGCACGTGGTTGATGGCAATCGACGCCACTTCTCTTCGGCTAATGGGACGACACCAGTGTGGCCACTCTTTAGCCCGTTATCCATATCTGAACCGGCGGTGATGGATCAAGTCCTTACTATGTACTCCGCACTTCCACCACAGTTTCGCGAGACGCTGCCCACTACAGGAGATATGTCGAAAGACTTATTCGGGTTCCAATCAGCCAATATTCAGGCAACGCTACAACTTCTTCGGATGGTGCTCTTGTCTAGGGAGGAAATTGGGGTAGAGCGAAAATGCGATGTGGCGGGAGAAGTGCTCAGCGTGTTTTCGAATGTACCCGTCGAGTACTTGAAAGCGATCAGCTCCCCTCTGGTATGCGTAGTCTTCATGCTTCTCGGGGCCATGTACTGATTATTTCCAGCTCCATCACCTCGGCGGAATTGGCTACATCCTCGGCTCTGTCATGGAAGGGAGTTTATCTGAAGCATCCTACACCCGCGTTCGCACATTACTGTACGTTATCCCAGTCACGTGGAAGACAATGGACGCCCGGGCTTCTGGCTGACATTTTTTGCATACAGACTCGAAATGGCAGATCTTTTAGAACGTCTCGAAACGGGCCTACACCGTGCCTCCGGTGCCGGCGAACGGCTGCGGTCGCAGGTTGATCGAATAGATGGCTACATGCGGACCTCAGTTCTGCTCAACCTTACTGCACCCAGTAACGCGACGCAGATCGTCAACGCAAAATCTGATCCTGCTGTTCCGACATCGTACACGCCGGGCATCCCGGCTGCCGGAACCTTGCCTGGTGCCGGCCTCGACCAGATGTCACAATTCCAACTGCCACCAGAACTGCTGGCAGATTGGCCATGGCCGTTGGATTCTTGCAATACCGAGGGATTTCTGCCTCTGGCGTTCGAATAGTCTCATTCTTACGTGGCGAGGGACCGAAGATGGCATGTACGACTAGGCATAACATAAAAGCAGGTGTATTTAATCTTTCCCATGCAATTCTTGTTGCTACTGTACAGTTGTACGCAGAGGTTCGACACAAATCGAAATTTGTCCCAGATGATTCACCTTTTTTATCTTCATATTTTTCGACTGCCGATCCGGGTCGCTGGCCGACATATGACGTATCCGGGCGATGTAGTATACGCGACGCGTCAAACCAGCAATGCTACCCGCGCAGTGTGAACCTCGGCTGTGGTGGCGAAATTCCGGTTGGGCGCACAAGAGGGCGCCCCGACCGAAACCCCACGGGGAGGAGCATGCCCGGATATACTCCAGCATCGGCTTTGACGCTGACGGCAAGTTCCACATCGGCGTCGGAAGTACGGTACCCTCGGAGCCGAAAACCGGAAAGTGCAGTGGCTGGCCAGGCGCACCGGCCAGCTATGCCCGGGAGATTCCTTCCTTCCGAGCGGCTGGATCCCGGAATTACGGAGGACGCATACCGTGGATGCTGCTTGACGTGGGGATGTGGATCGAGACGGGGGCGGACTTGTCGGCGATAAAGCGCGTGATGCTCGGGGGAAGTAAATTTTTGAAATGCTAGTGAAAAGAGCCTATTCGCATTAAACAGGGTAAAAAGTGCGTTGAATAGGTACTGGTGTTAACGTCCCCCCTACCTCTTACATTTTGAGAAATCTTGTCTGGATCATGATGGATGGACTAGACTGAGAAAAACATTCGACGGCTGCGTCAATCATCAACGGTATATACACACAATGAACACCCCAAGAATAATGTATCCAACCCATTTCATCCCAAAGAAAACCGAGCTCATTATAGGTAGTTCCCTTTCAAGAGACATTTATCTACCACTTGTTGTTGAAAACCTTGCCATCGACATAGTTGACCAGCTCCTTCACCGGGGAGAGATGATCGCGACCAGCACCGAAAAGCACACCTTGGCGCATGACCTTGCGGTAGTTCTTGCCCGGAGAAACCTTTCCAAGCACATACTCTTGACGAGTCTCGACGCGTGTGGGGACGGGAATGGAGCGGCCCACCACCGCCTCCATACCCTGCCAGGCGAAGGTGATAGCCTCCTTTGCACCGGCGGGAATACCGGCCTCATCCAGCATCATAATGCGGGTATTGGGGTAGTGCTTCTGGATAAAGGCCGTGATGTTGGGGTTATACGCGCCGCCACCGCACATGAAGATCTCGGCAATCTCCAAGCCTTTGGGGGCATAGCGACGGTAGTGATCCACAATCGCCTGGGCGGTAACCCGGGTAATCGTGGCCACGACGTCGTCCGGACTCAGACCCTTCGCCTCCGCCTTCTTGATGAGGTCGTGCGCGAGCGTATCGCGGAAGACTTCGCGGCCGGTCGTTTTCGGCGGCTCGAGGGCAAAGTACGGGTGGCGGAGGAAGTCGTCGACAAGCTCCTGGTCGACGGTACCACGCGCGCCCATCTCGCCATCTTTGTCATACTCGCGCTCGCCATTCGTATAATGGCGTACCACGGCATCGATAAAGACATTGCCGGGGCCAGTATCAAAGTCGTAGCACTCGTCTACGCCCCCTTGGTTGTCTGGCGGGATGAAGCACACGTTTGCGATGCCGCCGATGTTCTGGCAGGCACGTAACTTGGTTGGGTGGTGTAGCACCAGCGCGTCAAAAAAGGCAATGAGCGGAGCGCCCTGGCGTCCGGCGGCTTGATCGCTCACGCGGAAGTCAGTCACTGAAGTGATACCAGTGCGGGAGGCCAGGAAGGAGCCCTCGGCCATTGTCAGGGCGCTGCGAGTCTCGCCTGGCTCGGGCATGGACAGCAGCCAGATCGTCTGGCCGTGGGAGCCCAACACATCAATCGAGCCAATGTCAACCTCATAGTCCTTGCAGAACTGGTGCACTGCCGACGCAAATGTCTCGCCCAGGATGACGTTCACCTCTGACAACTCGGATGGCGAGGTTTGGTTGTGCAGGATCATGTTCATCACCCGCTTCTTGATAACTGGCTCCAGCGGGATCTCTCCATACTGCGTCGAGCGTTAATTGTGTTTTGTGCGGAGGACGAGGAGGACAAGTTACCTTGAGCAGCTCAAAGTGCATAGGCGACTCGGGAGTCTCCTGACGGAAGCGACAAAGGGCACAGTCGATGCCATCCTGCGTTGACACGTGAGTTGCAATTTCCTATGATAATCAGGCTGGGGCACTCACCATCGACGTCCCACTGTTCAGGCCTAGGACGGTCAGATCCAAGGCATGGCCGGTCGTGCCGTTGCTGATAGAACCCATATTGATCTACACACGGGGATCCGATGACTGTATCGAGATTACTCGCAGAGCGTGGTGAGCGAGGACTTGGCCGTATTTAACGGAAGCCCGAGTGCATTTGCCGTGGGTGGGGAACACAAGCTAGCGCGGTATACTTTGATCTCCGCTGAGCCCCAACGTGCATGCTAAATGGTTGCGGCTAAGCGGGAGAACGGTTAAATGCTCGTTTCTGGCCGTTGCCACCGCGGGGCGCGTAGAAATAAGCAGAAATAAGCAGAAATAAGCTCGGATTTAGCCAATGCGGGTGGCGTCGGGTAAACGGCAGAACGGTAGAAGGCTCCATTCTCGCCCTTGCCACGATGGCGAAGTCGATTTAGCTCAGACTTCAGAGAGAGGCTGTTAAACGGCTACACGCCTGAATGCGGAGCTGAATGGCGTCCCCGCGCTTTCTCCACGATGAACTCCATCCCGTTCGTCCGGGGTCGGAGGATCCACCGTATAAAAGATTCGTGAGCCTCGAAAATTCCGATGTACAAACTAGGCCAGAGCAAGTAACCAACATGGGCTATACGAAGCTCTGGAAGCGGCTCTCGCCGCGGCAGCTGAACTTCGCCATCCAGTTTTTCTCGCTCATCTCCATCTTCTTCGAAGGCTATGACCAGGGTGTCATGGGAGGTGTGAATGCCGCGCCCAAGTACGTCAGCGAGGTCGGCATTGGGAACCCAGATGGCACCAACATCGACACCACACACCAGGGCGGAATCGTCAGCGTCTACTACCTGGGTGCCATCTTCGGCTGCTTTGCTGGAGGATGGTTGGCTGACCGGATTGGTCGAATTAATGGCCTGTTGATGGGCGCATTGTTTGCCTTGGTCGGCGGCGCTTTACAGGCGGCCGCTCAGAGTTCGGACTTTATGATCTGTGCTCGTGTAGTGACGGGCGTTGGTACCGGAGGTGAGATCTCTACGATGACCGATTGTTCTAACCCTGATCTGACTCGTGATGTTGCAGCCTTGACGGGCATTACCCCTGTCTTAGTGTCAGAAACCTCTTCCGCGGAGCACCGCGGCGGATTTCTGGGATACGTCTTCATTGCCAACTGTCAGTACACCCGGAAGCATTTTCGTTGCGTCCTGCTAACATCTCCTAGACCTAGGAATATCAGTCGCATATTGGATCTCCTTCGGTCTCGCCTTTATTGACAACGGATACTCGGATGTGCGATGGCGGTTCTTGCTTGCCTTCCAGTGCGTCCCCGCCCTGATTCTGGTCTGCTGCATCAAGATGCTGCCGGATAGTCCCCGGTATCTCGCGTCAGTTGGTCGGAATGAAGAGGCGCGTGAGATTTTGACGTCTATTCGCAAGCACAAGGCTAGCCCCGAGGAGATTGATCGGGAATACTTGGAAATTGTGACCTTGGCAGAGGGAGGCGAGCGTAGCTCCCCTGTTCAGTTTTTGAAGATCTTGCTCGGAATGGGAGGAAAGCAGCATCCGAATGTGGGCCGACGAGCTTGGCTGTGTGTCTGGCTTCAGATCATGGCCTCCTGGACCGGTATTACGGTAGGTGCATCCCGGCCAACATTCCTTTATGGCTATATCTAACGAGGTCGAATTACAGGCCGTCACTGCGTATTCTCCAGTTCTCTTGCACCAGGCTGGATACAGCACCATCAAGCAAAACGGTCTAGCCGGGGGTCTGAATACGGTTGGCATCATCGGTACCATCATCAGCGCTCAGATCGTCGATCGCCTAGGTCGCCGTATCTGCCTCATTGGTGGCGCAGCAGTGCTATTTGCGGTGAATCTCATTGTATGTCTCTACTTCCCATGGATATCGCGGTGACTATCTCTAACGGTCTACCAGGCTGGAGCTATATACGAGGGCTCATTGCAAAATCCTAGCAAGGCTTCTCAGTATGCTCCCGGAGCTATTCTTATGTTGTTCTTGTTTAATATTGGGTAAATCGACCCACATCGACGTTCCATTGTTCTTTACACTAACCCGATGTCTGCTACTAGTTACGCTGCCACCTGGGGTACTGTCGCATTCTTGGTACCCACAGAGATCTTCCCCAGCAACTTGCGAGCCCAGGGTAATGGCTTCGGTATCACTGGGTGGGCTATTGGTGTGGGCATGACCACTCTCGTCAATCCGATTATGTTTGAAACCATGAAGGTAAGCTTGGCATTGAATCTGTGGTAGACAAAGCTGACCATCCACAGAGCCGCACCTACTTCCTCTTCGCCGGTCTCAATATGCTATGGATCCCCATCATTTACCTCTGTAGGTTTCTGCTGTTGCAAAATCTCGTTTGAATTCCCTGAGCTAATGATTGTCAGTCTACCCTGAAACCCGCAACCGCTCCCTGGAATCGATCGAAGCACTATTTTCCACCTCCAGTCCCTTCTACTGGAAGATGGAGCAGGCGTATAAACTGCATGGTGACGTTCTGGCGGAACACGGAGTCCGCAAGAGTGTTGGCCTTGAAGGTGACCCAAATGAGTCATCATATGAGAAACCAGAGGAGCAGACGATTGCCTAGTGCCCCAGATGGCTTGTACGATTATCGCATGTTTTTTATAGACAGTTTCTTACACGGTCTCAGACCTTAGCTAAAAATCAGCTGAACTGGTTTCGAAGACACACTACATGACTTTATATCGGTCGAACCGACATAATTCCCCGGATACTGTACCTACCATATTTCCTCTACCGCGTGGGGCTATCCCTTTCTAGCTGCTGCCGCGTTACAAGGGTGGGAAGACTCAGCCTCATTGAGTAAATTTCAGACCGGGCTCAAAGTCAGAGCTGCTTATCAAGATGACGTGATGATACTGCGACATCCACTCAAGCGCTCAGTGTTCTCTGAGAGATTCATCTATGCTGGCTATTGAGCACCCAGCCCTACCATAATCTATGTTTTGTGACCTTCTTTTTGATGACTATCATGATAATCTTATCTCTTAAGATCCTCCATTCTCGGTCCTGCTCTTATTACAAGTAACGGACAAACTTTGACAAACGTACACACGGGTTTCAGCCCCTATAAAGCCGGAGTCTGGCATTTCTAGCTAAATGGAGCAAATATGATCTCAGCCTAAAGCTAGTGTACAAATTAGAGCTGCATGCCTCGTCAAAACCCCCCAAGCAACAATGCCGAACGTTCTACTTCTTTCTATTCTTCTCTTCCAATTCATCCCTGAATTCTCTACCGCAGGTTCCAATTAAGGGCCAAAAACTATTATTTACTAGGCGAGATGAGCTTACGAAAGGACGGCACTAGAAGCAGTTGGAAAAGAGCAGTTACGTTTTTGGTTCTCATGCGAATGATGACGCTATACGAGGAAAAGATAAAGGGATACCCAAGACTGATCTGGGGTGAAGTTTTTCTGGGTCATCATATAGAATTGTGACTTGTTGCAATGTATTCGCTTACAACCGTACTTGCTGCCAGAATACCTGGTTGCACAGCTTCTTGAGAATAGGATGACTATCTGTGAGCACTCAATCCTTTTTCTCCTTCTGAGGCCCATCCCTCGCTGCATCCTGCGTCATAACCAAAACCGAGGCGACGGAAGCAATAGAACTAAAAAAGGCCACCATGGAGCTCCAGCCGGTATTTATAAATGGGTAGATGACAATCGAGATGATTGCAAAAAGCAACCCCAAGGTGAAAAACATCCACATCGTGCCGTAAGCTGGTGAAAACAAAGACTTCTTCAATAAGGGAATAACCATGACCAAATTGCCGAGCACGGACATGAGACTGCTCTGGATCAGGTACATGAATTCTGCATCATGAAACGAGCCTGGTGCGCTAGACTTCATGGATATTGAGAATGCTTTGTATCCTGGAACGACAGCCGCGATTAGGAATATAAGGATCAAGGCTATAAGCCCGACGTTTTCCTAAATCGGTATCATTCAGTCACACTGTGGTTTTCATGAATTTGCATTCAGATACTTACTTTTTCTTTCATCAGTCCCGCGGATGTCCCAGCAACCAAAGGCTCTCCAGGGGATGTGGACTGGGAACTATGCGGCTGGGAGACTGGGAGTGTCAACAGTCCCTGCATTTCCAATTGAGGATTATTGCCCAGATCGCCCACAGACTCCAGGATGGCGATTCTTTCATCAATTCCTTGCATGATTGGAGCCAAATCTTCAGGGGAGTCCTCTGACTGTGCTTTCATATCGCGAAGAAGCTGGTTTCGGCCGCTTCTGATTTCCCTTTCTAGGCTTCTCAGGACTTTGAGGACGATTTCTCCACTAAGACTTTTCGTGTTCCTATGCCACTGCATAAATATGTCCAGCATTAGCTCCCAGTAATGTGTCTCAAAGGCATCTTGTAGGTATTCGAAAATTTCCTGATTTTGCCGATGGGTAGAATTGAAAACTGGGCTCAATAGCCGGGGTGGGTCCTGATTGGCATCGTAATTCCATGTTTTGGACAAGGCTTCACAGAATGCGCCAAGATCTCCAAGATAGGCTGTTTCTGGGTTCTCCACGCTGGCTGGATTGGGACTTTGTCGTTTTGTAATATCTTCTCGAATATGTGTGAGACGTTGCTCGACATAGTCTCGGTCAAAGGATGGTACAACCGACTGAAAATATTCCGCAAACCCGCAATCCAGGAAATTGAAGCGATCAGCGATGTACAACAGATGCTTCTTGATATTTCGGTTTATGACCTTTGTATACGGCTTATAGTAGCTACGGTTGTCGCTTGCTTGTTGATACTAAGAAACCGTCAGGAATGGTTCGTGAAGGTGCAAGGAGACCTGCGTTACTCGCTCTTCTACCTGCTTGCAAGCGAGCCTTCTTCAAAAGAGTATCGCAAGTCAAACCTAATAATTCTTTTTGGTAGCCTTTGATAACCAAAGTATCAAAAAGTGACGCTGGGGGACCAAAATTGACTGTGCCATAATTCTGGCCAATCTGAAGAGATTGCGCGTTGTCTCGTAGCGAAATCCTGATCTGGGAGTCTGGGGACTGTTCCTTGCGGCCTGCATGTGTATTGAGCTCTTCATCAGCGATTTCGTCAGTGTTCTCCCTGATAGCCCCGCGCCTGGGTATGTTGCCTGCCATAGGATGTATAATCAGGTGGAGCTGAACGCTAGAGCTGCGATTCAAAAGTTTCAAAGGACCTGATAAGACTTGGGCTTATGGGCTACGTTTTAATAGTGCCCAGGGCACAATCCAACGTGCCGTGGCTTGCTGATGTGGCTGTGTATATACTGATATTGTATTGATTGGACACAAAGCTTCTAGACTACGCGCCGGGCGCACATATACCGCACTAAGAGATGTACAAGGAAAATCTGCAAGCACTCAGCCACTTCGATATTGACCCGGGTCGGGAAAAGCAGGCGGCGGTGTGTTGTCAATTAGTACCTGCTCCGAGTACTAATTGTCGCCCGGTTGAATGGGGCTCCGCGTGTTTACTCCCGCCATATCCGCGCGGTGCCCCGACCAGCATCGCACAACTAGTCAAATATATACAGGTCCTAGCTATAATGGCTCAGATACGTGCTTAGATCCACTCAGATAGCAAAACGCGGCGCTCAGCGAGCACTAAAAGGAAGAGGAAAGCCAAGAATTGGATTCCGGTACCTAGGGCGCCATCTTCAGAGAGAATCTCGTAAGGGCTTACTCCCATGCATGCTCTTTCAAGCAAGGTAGAAAGCAATGATCAATGTTTGGAACCACATGTAGCTTCCTGTGAGATTCCAAAGGAATTTACAAGCCGCCGTCATCTGCTGTAGACAAAATTCCGAACGATATCATACGAATGTACCCAAGATATTTCGGATGACTAACTACCTGTCGTAGTAATTATTCGAGTCCACCAGGGATATTCAGACTTGACCAGCAGAATACCACGTGACATTGTTTCCAAAGAGTGGGCTAGACGTCCGTGGAATTCGGGTCCTGCCCAGTAAAGACTTTGTACAGTCGCTTGCTGGCCGCGGGGCCCACGCGAGAATCGGTGAGAGCACCGTTTTTGTTCGCAGATTTCTAATACAGTCATTTTGTCAGTGAATTCGGAAGAAAGCGACAGATAAGACAGAGCAGAACAGAAGCGTACCCTGACATCCTCCAGCATAGTGGGCCCATGCATGCGCATACCCCGGACCAAGTCAGTGACACAGGAGTACTGTGATGAAATACCATATGCCATGGACGCAGTGACACGATTCACTTCCTGGAGCATCTTTACAAATGTGTCAAGCTTGTCGTCCCCAGATTTCACCTGGCCATTTTCCATACAGAAAGCCGCGTCATGGCCATCCATTCGTTCCCGTCGGTAGGGAATGGTAGAAATATGCTCCGTGAAAATCTTGATCCATTCCGCCGAGTCGGGTGGTGTATTCGTGTGATAGATGAGGCATGAATGTGTCACTTGTAGCGCGAGGAGGGCGTCTTCGATCATATCGTCGTCGACAGGTGGGGTACTCTCTGGTTTATTTTGGGGTTTCCTGCCTCGACGGGGCGCCGTGGATGTCTGGGTGGGAGCTGGTTCCGGTTCAAACTGACGCAGCACCTCGGCTTGATAGGCTCTGTTTCGGGAGTTCCGGTTCTTGCGCATCCAAGACGTGAGTCCTTCAATGAGATAGATGACTGTGCAATGCGGGTAGGCACTCTTGATCTTGAGGACATGCAGTTCCAATGATTCTCTCTCTTCGCCATTTGGGGCTTCAATGACCATGTCGACAAAGTCTTGTGCAGGTACCAAACAGAGCACATGTTTTTCTTCCAAGATGTGAAATGCACATGGCTCCCAATGACCAGCTGCTTCATTATACGTGGCGTTCATTTTTCGACGCCATTTGATTACGTTCGCGATCGGGCCCGTGAAAAAACCATGCTCAACGTTAAGTCGCTTCATGAATTCAACGGCCTGGTTGCCAACACTGGTTCCTTCCAGGGAGCGGGACAAATCAAGAATCATCTCTGGTGTGGAGTCCTTCTTATCCACTTTGAGCTTGTTGACTTCAGCAATGTCCGCTGCCAACTGCTTCTCCTTGGCCTTTTCTTCCTTCAGCTTTTGCTTCCGCTCCTTCTCGAGCTGGCGTTCGTGATCTCGCTGTGCCTTCACTTCAGCTCGGGCCTTGGCCCTAGCCTCCTTCTGTTCTGTTGTGAGTTTGCCTGACTTCTTTGCGGGTCGCTGTGGTTCAACAGGTTCATTTATTTCGTCGGAGAAATAAGCAGCTGGCGGAGTGTCCATCCTGGCGCCTTTTCCTTTTTGAGAACGGGGCCTGGCCTTGATGTCGGATCGAGTACCACTTCTCGTTGGTGCCGTGTGCAGGGTAGATAACAACGCAGCAGTGTTGCTAGAGAACCCGGAGTGGGAGGCGCATTCCCTCGTTCCAGATAGCGCAAAAGTATCCGCAAACTCCGGAAGTGCAAACGGATCACTGAACTCCTCTATCTCATCTTGCCTTGCACGTCTTGTGTTTCCATTCCCTGGAAGCCTCCAAACATCGTCCTCATCATCGAGCGTAATGACTTCGGGAGGTGGTTTGGGCAGTGCAAAAGACTCATGCTTAGAAATTATTGGGGCGGAGGAGGTGAAAACAATGGGATCGGATTCTTCAATATCGCAGCCTAGGTGTTTCTTCTGCGCCGCGGGGTTCGAGGGCGGGAGGCTGAAGTCATCGTCTGAGAAGGAGAAGATATGATTTCGGTCTGGCCGGGTAGGCCCATGCGCCGTAAGGGTTTGCCTAAGAGGTGAGCCCTTTTCATTGCTCACTCGGCGTTTTTTCGCGGGTTTGTCGAGGAAATCATCGTGGTTGAAGACGGACACGTCGATCGAGTCAGACGATATCAGCGCCGAGTTCGTCGTGAGGCGGGCCGGGGGTTGACGCGTCGCAGCTGGCTTATTCGGCGGTCTCGAGCTCTCAGGAAGAGGCGGGTCCGATGATATGAGGTCAATAACATCACGCATGTTGGGAGATGCCTGTGACACGAGAGACGCGGTGCGGGAGAAGCGCGACGTCACGTTGTCAGGTGACCCTTAATCGGATCTATGCGCGGGAGATGGAAGACCCAAGTGAAGTGAAGTGAAGTTAAAGGAAGACGGACGGAATGGGTATTATCTCGAAATGAGCTAGCTAGTTTACGCTTTACGAAGTAAAAGAGCAATGGCCACTGCAAGGAAGGATCCAAGGAGGGCTAGGGTGACAAGCACCTGCTGCCACCCGTGGAAAGGACGCCTCTCCGCCAACAACATCGTGGAGATCTCCTCTTCCAGTCGATCGCCCATGGCTGTGAGCGAAAATTCTCGCTCTACTCTAGCTTTTCCAGCTGCAGCCATACGATCTACCTCCGTTTGGGTCATGCCATAGAGCACCTGGTCCATAACCGCGGTCCATTCGTCAACCGCGTGAGCGTCCCGGAGCCAGCCCGTTTCGCCTTCCACGATTGTCTCTAATGGTCCGCCGGTGTTCGAGGCTAGTACAGGCAGCCCGGCACGCATAGCTTCAACGGGAACGATCCCGAAGTGCTCGTTGATCGGGGTGTATAGAAGTAGCCTGGACTGTGCGAGCAGAATATTCTTAAAGGTGGTGGGGACGGAGAGAAGGAACAGGACATCGATATCGTCGGGAATAGACAGCGCGGAAACCACTGACTTTGTGGTTGCGGTTCGTAGGCCAAGTCCCTTCGCGAGATCGTCGAGTTCTTGGTGGTACTGAACATTTTCTTGGACGCGATTGTCGTAACCACCTGGATGGATGTTCAATCAGTATGCCACAAGCGAATCAAGATTACCTAGGAACAAGATAGGTCGTACCAGCAATTACCAATCGTGTCCCGTTCCTTTTTTCTGCGCCCAGCCCATTGTATGCGTGGACGGCTAGACCCATGTCCTTCTTCCGCTCGAAACGATTGATGCTCAGTAGGATCTTCTTGCCAGGCCAAAGCGCCTCTTCCGGCTCCTTTGCTGGCGTCGCAGCTCCAGGGTCTGTATCGACACATGGGTAGACCACTTCGACATCCCCGAGCTTCTCGGATCCAAACACACTGCGCACTACGCCGCGCGAAAAGTTCGAGTTGGCGACGACTCGATCCGATGCACTCATCGCCCACCCCTCGAACCAATCGAAAGGGAACCGGTACACGGTCTTCGCTAATCGGAGAAACGAGCTGCCTTCGTTTCGTCGTGCGAGCAATTGATCGGGGAAATGGCAGTAGAACAAGATTCGTTGGCGTCGGGACTTGCGCGGCTGACTAAAGGTTTTGAGGATAGGTACACAGGCTGGTAACTGGTCAACAATGAAAATATCATCTTGGTCTTCCTCTGCAGGGACAGCCTTGTCTTTTGCTGTTGATTCGCCCCTCGATCCGAGCTCCATCAATAGCGACAGTGTCAGATGGAGCTGACGCAGCGAAGCCATGAGGATATGAAGCCTGCCGAAGACATGGGCTGGGAATAATGTGTCTCCGCGAACACGAATGTCCAGTGTGCCATCGCGCGCTTCCTCGAAGCAGTGCGTCTCGTCGCAATGGGAGGTGTAGATCGTCACACGGTGGCCGCGGTTCTGCAGAGCCAGGGCGACGTCGATGATGAGCCGTTCTGCGCCTCCAATTCCTAGGTCCGGGTGAATGATAACCACGTTGGAGGGCGCAAGACCCGACATCGTGGTCGGGTGGTTGGAGAATGCCCGAATATCTGGGTGGTTGTCGATATCAATCATCCACCGCGTCCCGCAAGAGCGGCGATAAAGACACGTAGGGGCACGTCATCACATGACGACTACAGCTTTGATGATGCACCTTGCACTCAAGCTGCTTTACAGTAGCTCCTAGTTTAATAAAAACTATCCTTAAATCAACAGGATTAATAATAAACAGGATTGGCCGTGTTTGCTGTAAATCCAGCATGTTTTTTGCATAACTATAGATCTTGTGATCCTTGCTTATCCAAGATGAACAGCTCGGGTCGCGCACCTTTATCCATCTGCCGATGGATATGAATACTGCCGGCCCTGCCTTGCCTGCAACATACAGAATGTGCACCATCAAGTCAGCTAAATACAAAAAATATCCAGGCTGTAGGTAAACAACACTTGGAGGTACAGGAACACGCACGAACCTTCAAAGGCATCTGTATGGGTCTGGCCGTAGCCCAACCCTTGGCCCCTTGCCACAATCCGGGGACTTAAAGCGCTGTGGGGACCCCAGCTCGACCGGCTAAACACGTCAAAGCCGGGCATCTGGCCGCGATCACTCGGAGCTCTTTGCGGTCGTTTGCTAGAAAAGAAGCCTATATCTGTGCTTTCTGTTGATCTTGATGGGTTTTTGAAGGCCTTGAGGGCATCGTCATGGCAGAGGAGGAGAGGAACCACAGAACTAGCGATAGCGCTGCACCTGAGCATGCGGTGCAAGCACTCGCGACACAGGAAGATGAGCTACGTCCGCCAACAAAGCTGTATGTTCTACCTTCCCCAGTCATTAGCGCGTCCTTATGCACCGCCCAGCCTCGCCGTACAACGGTTAGCTATCACATATGCTAAACCCTCCGTCAAAGGCGTCAAGCGATGATCGCTGCAGCAGGCTTTATAGTCATGTTCATGACCTGCGCCATAATTTTTGCCTACGGTGTATACCAAGCTATCTACGAGGAAATGGCCAAACAGACCCAAACGCCATTTACTGGGACGTCTTCTTCCGTTATCAGTTTGATCGGAACTCTGTCCATCGCCATCATGTCCATGGGCGGGCCTTTCGTCATGACATGGGCTAAGCTGTACGGTCCACAGCCGGTGGTTATGTGCGGTGGCGTTGTATTTGGACTGGGGTGTATTCTCGCCAGTTTGAGCGAGTCTGTTTGGGAATTTGCCCTAACACAAGGCGTGCTGGTCGGAATGGGCACCTGCATGGCCTATGTACCGACCATGTCCGTTGCACCAACATGGTTTGATAAGCGCCGTGGCCTCGCCATGGGCATCGTGATCTCAGGGTCCGCATGCGGTGGGATGGTCTGGCCCCCCGTGCTACGAGCCATCACTTCTTCCATCGGGTTCCGAAACGCGCTCCGTATTTCCGGCGGCCTTGTGATCCTGTTCGTCCCGCTGGCTGGCTTCACCTTGCGCTGGGAGCCCAGCTTCAAAGCCAAAGTCCAGGGTCAAACGGCCGGCCTTTCGAAGAAAACCGGCTGGATCAATGTACCACTGGTCAATTGGCGGGTAGCCAAGTCCAAGAAGTTTGTCTCGCAAGCTCTGGGCTGCTTCTTGCAGTCGTCTGGGTACGCGACGCCACTCTTCTTCTACGCGGCGTTTGCACGTTCCCTGGGGCATAGTGAGAGCATGGCGGATAATTATATTACAATCAGCAATGCGGCCAACTTCGTCTCTCGTATCTTCATCGGATATATGGCGGACAAGTTCGGCCGCCTGAACGTGCTCTTTTTGACGACAATTCTGAGTTCGGTTACCGTCTTTGCGTTCTGGCTTCCGGCAACGTTTGCTGACCACTCCATCTCCGGGACTGCGGCAGATGTGCTGTTCGTCTTGTTCGCTATCTTGTATGGCTGCTTTGGCAGCGCATACATCTCGCTGTTCCCGGCCAGTTTGATCGAGTTATTCGGGGTGCAACACTTTACCTCGGTTAATGGTGCACTCTACCTCATTCGAGGAATGGGTGCTCTGCTGGGGACGCCATTGACCGGGTTATTGTTGCCTGGACAGTCGGCGTTGTCGGCTCCGTTCAATTACGAACGGGCGACTATAACTGTGGGAGTCCTGCTCTTTGCTGCTAGTATGGCGACTCTGTGGGTGAGGATCGAGGGTGCAGCTGGCAAGGCTTGGACGTGGAAGCTGTAAGCATATGTGATATCAATCTACTCTCTTGTGTATTGTAGGTAGTCTCTGTCATAGGCCGTCCACCCAATCAAGTCAGTTCAGTTTGCAGCCCACCTCCAATGCCAATGGAACAATATTTGCAAGACATATCTGGTTCCCCACGTGCTTTACAGAGTGCTCTCATATGCTCTTCATAATCTACAGTTGAAGTTGACCAGCAGCCGTGACACAGATCTAGTCTGGATAACCACTGTCACCTGTTTCTACTACGACTATACAATGGTAAAGCAGACGAAACCTAAAAGGTCCCAGGTATTCGACGGAAAGATTTGAATGTCAGACCAGAGAACGTACACAGCGCAGAAAAGCGACCACAGGTTTGAAATAATGAGGAAAAGCCAAGGGAAACTCCACCGAGGAAACAAAGTAGTGGTCCCGGACCATTTAAGCACCAGTCAATCTAGAGATAGCCGACGGGGAAAAAGAAATGTACAGTGGAGATAATCAGAAGGAATATAGAATTCTACCAGTCATAAAAGAGGTCTGTTCGTTGTGAACGCGAGGAGGTAACCACACAAACAGAAATATGTGAAAGAGAAAACAAGACAGATCAAAAAGAAATGTGCAAAGGGTAGATAGTAGTCGACTATATCACAGGGTAGAAAGGAGAAAGGCAGAAGAGGTATCGATGAACTGACGGGGAGATGGAAGCAGGTATGTGTCATAATACAGAATATTGGTCGGGGAGAGTAGGTTGTACGTGCAGGGGCAGAGACGGATTGGAGACAACGGAAAAGGGAGAGAAAAAGGAAGAAAAGAGGGGGTATGAAACAAGTAGAAAGAAATAAGGCAAATGTACACATCGAGGGCGAGAGCGGTAATGACAGGCGTAAAAAAACACGACACGCTTTTGTAGGATGCGAGCATGTGAGGGGTTTTGGTGGGTGATCCCGGTTTAGAAGCAGTTAAGCGTGCTCTTCTTCTTTTTCTTGTTGAGAGCGTTCATGCGCTCTTCCAGCTGCGCCCGAGCGGCCTCGGCTTCCTTACGGGCGCTGCGCTCCTCCTCGACAGCCTGGAGCGACAGGCGGGCGGAGTTGCGCTCCTTGCGAAGAGTAGACAGCTCATCTTCGAGCCCCCACGCCTTCTTCTTCCAGCTCTCGCAGTCATTCTTGACCTTATTGCTTTGAGCTTCGAGATCCCCAAGGGCCTCCTCCAGGGTGGCAGTCAATTGCTTCTCGGCGTACAAGTGCTTCTCGATGGTACGGATCCGGCTTTCCTGGTCCTCGACGAGTTGGGCGCTGACCAGCTCCCTGCTCGCATGACGGGAGCTGGGCGGGGAGACACTGCCGGTACCGTTGGCGGTAGAGGCAATGGTTGGAAGAGGGGGAAGGGGAATCGCCGGGGGAGGCGAAGGCAGGGACGCTGCAGATGAGCTCTTGCGGAGGTTGGATGTCAGCGAGCTGCTGCGGTCGTGGGAACCATCGGAGGTTCCGTTCTTGACTTGAAGCTCGAGCTGCTCGATGCGCACATGGTATGTCTCAATGTCATTCTCAAGAAGAACAATCTTGGCCTTGGCATCCTCTAAGGCCTGGTCGCGCTCCTGCTGGATGACAGACAAACGGTTGTGGTGCTGGTCGAAGCTGCTGGTAATCTGCTCCTCGAGCTCCTCCACCAGGCGCACGCTCTTCTCCCTCTCGATAGTGATCTCCTCAACAAGAGCCTCCTTCTTCTTAACCTGCTCATCCTTCTGGCGAAGAGTGTCCTCCAGGGTGGCAACCAAGAGAGCCAGCTCGTTCACCTTGGCCTCCTGGGTGGCATTCTTTTTGTTCAATTCTTCCATATCACCGCTAGCATTGAGCTGCTTGCGCAGTTCCTCGTTGGTATCCATGAGCTCAGCGTACTTCTCCGAGAAGTGCTGCTTCTGGGCCAAGATGTCTTGGATCTGGTCCGCGAGTGTCGCGGTGGTGACATCGGAATTGAGCAGGGATGAGACAGCCTGGAGCAGATTCAACAACTCATCACGGGAATCAGCAATGTCCTTCTGCAAGGCTGCCATGGCCTTGTCGTGCTCAGCATCTTTCTCAGAGAGGCGAGCCTCGTGCTCAGCTTGAACCGCAGCCTTGGTACGTTCCTCGAGCTCAGCAAGTTCACGCTTGTGAGATTCTTGCAGAGAGTTCAGGTCTGCCTTGTGCGAATCGAGGGCGGACCTGTGGGTGGCAATCTCCTGCTCCAAATTGGCAATGCGGGCCATATCGACTGGGCCGTTGCTCACTTCGGTGGCAGAGGACTGTGCGAGCAATTGCTCCTGGAGATCCGAGTGGGACTTCTCCAAACCAGCGATCCTCTCAACGTGGGTGGAAATCGTAGTCTTGTGCTCCTCAATATCCTTCTTGAGGCACTTCACGAGCTCCTGCTGCTTTGCGCGCTCAGTCTCGAGAGCCTGTGCGGCAGCCTCCTTGTCCGCAGAGGCATCGTTCGCTGCAGAGCGCTCCGAGCGCATCGCCTCGACAGAGGCCAGGGAAGTCTCGAGTTCGGCCAAGGTAGTAGCGAGCTGCTTCTCCGAGGTCTGCAGAGACTCTAGAGCAGTCTGGTGCTTGCCCTTCCACTCGGTCAGTTCGCCTTCTAGGACATCAATTTTCCTATCCTGCTCCTCGGCGCCGGCATCCAAGGCCTTAGCCGCGACCTCTTGGCTCTGCAAGAGAGCATTGAGCTTCTCAATTTCGGTCAACAGCTGCTTCTCCCGGGTTTCGTGGGCCTCCCGGAGCTCATTGATTTGGTTCTCTTGGTGCACAACCTGATCACGGAGTTGAGAAACAAGGCCCATGTCAACGGATGAAGCACCTGACAAACTGGATCGCTCTCGGGTGAGACCAGAGATAATGGTGGCCTTCATTTCCATCTCCTTCTTCACGTTGTGATTCTCGGCCTCCAGGGACTGGAGACGCTCCATCCGTGAAGACAGCTCATGCATTGTGGCATCCAGGTTGTTTTCAAAGTTGTGAAGGACATCGGGCTTGCTGGCAAGCTCCTCATTGGCAATAATGCGCAGCGCGGTGAGGGACCGGTGAGCACGATCGACACCCGACAGAAGGTTTTGGCTGGTCATACGTCGGATCATTTTGAAGCCAGGGGTGGAAGGAGGGCTAGACTTATTGCGTTGAGCCTCGGCTTCGGCCTTCAGCTTCTCGACAAGAGTCAAAATCTCCTCGTGCTCAGTCTGGAGTTCAGCGTACTTCTCGGTCATGCGATCGGCATCAACCTGGTGCTCAGCAAGCATCTTGCGCATCTTCTCAACCTCCTCAGTGTCGGCGGAGGCGATGACAGAAGAGGCGATAGGAGTCGCAGGCGTCTCGATGCTGTCATGCTTGGTGGCTTCAGAAAGCCCGCGCAAAGCAGGCGACTCCCCGGCCGAGGACAATTCCGAGGAGAGTGATTGCGAGAATGAGTGTTGTGCCCCAGACTTCGAGTTCACAGCGGCTGCTCCGTCTTCTAAAAAGAAGAGACAGGCCGGGAGACTTCGTTCTGGACAGCGGGGGCTGGGTGACGGGCTTCGTCCATCTTGTCCTGGCGGAGCTCAGCGAGAGCCTTCAGGGCTTCTTCATATTTAGCCTCGAGCGACTCGTAATCACCCAAAGTGTTCTCGTGGCTGAGACGAAGTTCGAAAAGTTCTTGGGTAACAGTCTCAAGCTTGTCGACGACAAACATGGACTGGGCAGGGCTGGAAATCGGCTCTTCACGAGCAGCCTCCGTACGTCGGGCCTGGAGTTTGCTCGTAACATTCTCCAGCACCTTCAGGTCCTCTCCTGGCTCCTCGGCCGACTTTTCGGCATCTTGGACGGTCTCCTCTTCTTCCTCTTCGGGGATGGGATCAGAGAAATCCTCATCAGACTCGGGAATAGCGGTCTCCGCAGCCTCATTAAGGACGTCCAGGGACGGGGTGTGCTTGTGGTGGGAGATCTTGACCGGGGGAGGCGTATAAAACGAGTCGATGCCGTTGGTGCCAGCATACTCCTCGCCATTCTGCTGGTGCTGTTGGTGGCGAGTATCAAGATCATGGAGTAGGTTGTCGAGAGTTCCGAGACCACGCTGGCGCTGGATGACATGCTCCAATCGGATCACCTCGCGCTGCATCAGCTCCATGTCCTGATCAGACTCGGCGAGTCGGTCTTCCAGTGTGGAGATATATTCTTCGCAACCTGCTTCATTTTCGCGAGCACGGCTTAGCTCCTTGCGCAGCTCTGCCACAATGGTAGCATGCTTTTCTTCTCCAGTGGAGGCACCATCCACCTTGGATTCCAACTCGTGGAGGTAGGTTTCTGTGCTGGCTTCACGGTCCAAGAGCTTCTGCACACGGGATTGCAGTTGCGCGTTCACCGTCTCAACATATGTACACTTAGTCTCACGCTCTAAGAGGGTGCTTTCCGTATTGGCCAGGGAAGAACGGGTATCGGACAGAGATGATTCCAAGCTTTGAATAGTCTTTTCATACTCGAGAACAACTTGCTCCACGGACTCCGCAAAGGATTTGGAGCGTTGGATTCTCTCAATTGAACTCTTACCCAGGTCATCCGGGGTCTCGTCGGTCCCTCTGTTGGTAGTCTCTGATTCATTAGCCAGACGTGAAATCAGCTTGGTGTGGCGCTGACTAAGTGCGTTATAGCTCTCCTGGGCATCGAGGAGCTGATTCTGAAGCTGGATCTCTCGCTCATTCTTGCGTTCGCTGCGTTCCGCAGAGACTGCCTCTCGACGGTCAGAGCCTTCCGTGTTGCGAATCTGCTGTCGGAGGAAGTTGACCTCGGCCTTCAGGCGCTCGATCAATGCCTGTTTGTCGCCATCGTCGGCGACCTGCTGAATGCGGGGCTTGCTTTGAATGGCCCGAGCTCGCTGTGCGTACTGGATGGTGTTAAGGGTCTCGCTCAGATGGAATTCAGCGGGAGTGACACAAGCAATCATGTAGGTGATCGCATTGCCACCCAAAGAATCTTGCAGGAGACGGGTGAGCTTTGAGTCACGGTATGAAACATGGGACCCGGACTGGCGAGAGGAGAGCTGTGAAATAACCTTGCCGAGGGCGGCAAGGCCAGCATTGATCGAAATACCTTCCTTGGCACGTTCGCCGGAAGCACCTGTGTTCTTCAGGCGTTCGCTACCTGCCAGGTCAACGAAGTGGAGCTTGCTATCCACGGTAACAGACTCGCCATTAGAGTACGAATCCACGGGCATTGACATGCGCTTTTCCTTGGGGGACATGGGTTGTGTTGAAGTCTTGCGCTGGATGAGGTTCAAGCTGAACACGGCGTGCGAACGAGACGATTTGGCGTTGATGGCGGTTGAGTCGGTTTGGCGAATGGTCGAGCCAAAGTTCAGAGCTCCAATGAGGTCATCGAAGGAGTTGATGCTGACCTGGTGCAGGCCGGTCAGAAGAATGCGTCCCTTGGCGTCCTCGCGAATGGTGACAGTGCTGCGATCAGTGGAGGAAACCGAGTCAGGAAGAAGCAAGTCCCGAAGTTGTTCATTATAGATCTAGATAGTAGATGTGAGATCTTGGTCAGGTGTCCCTACGCGACGTTAAGATGAGCCGTACCTCAACGTAGGTTGCCTTCAACTGCCAGTTCTTTTCCACATTCGCTTTTCCAAAGCTCGAGGCGGAGCTCATGGAGTATCGTTGCGGGGTTCGGAGACCGGTCGAGGCGGAGCCATTGCGGGCGTGTTTCGGTCCATCGAGATTTTCAAACAAAGCCTGGGCAGCGCGGGGAATAATACCTGCATTGCAAGTTGCGGTCAGTTCGCCGCCATCACTCTCTCATTCGCATTGGGGACTCACCCATTGCCCCAGAGTTATTCTGCTCATTCGGGCCCGAAGTGCCCATCGTATATGACTTTCCAGCGCCGGACTGACCATAGGCCAAGATGGAAACATTGTAGCCCTGGACGAACGAATTGACGCTATCGTTCAAATAATCCCAAATGCCATCTTGTTCCACCGTCTCGGGGAAGACTCGATCGAACACAAACAACTTGCGGCCCTGCGGGACATCTACAGCCACGCTGGTTGGGGACGTGACGTGGACCATGGAACGCTGAAACCGCTGGGGAATCAACTCGTACCCGGGGTCGGTAGACTTTAGAGGCGGTCGCACTCGGACAGCTGTTACGGAAGTTAGCTGATTATTCCTTCTTCAGTATCTTTGTGTCGCCATGAGATTCGCGGTGGTACGTCCATCGCCCATGCCGCTGCTGTGCGCGCGTATGGCAGGCGAGATGCTGGTAGTATTCGAAAAGGGACCACGTACCGACTTTGACCGCAGTCTTGCCATCCTCGTCCGATGCGCGACTTCCACCGTGTCTGCTGCTCATGCTCATGCGACTGTTGCTGCGCGATGTGCGCATCATCGCACTGATGGGCCGCGGGGCAGGCCCCGTCGGCGACGCTGGCGGTGAGGCGGTCATTCTCCCCAGGAGAAACCCGGGCGGGAAAAGGAAGGGGGGTTGACGATGAAGTCAGAGAAAGAGGGGTATGAGTCGGCGATGTCAAAGAGTTGCAGTCATCAGGCGTAACCAAGACAAAAAATTGTCTAGAGTGTGGAGAGTTGCGATGGTTAGTGTCCAGAACCCCTTAAATTTTTTGGCTGAGGGGACACAGCAGTTGGGCTGGCGCGCGGCAAGAGTCGGTGCGCACCGAATAGCCCCGATCAATGAAATGAGACGTACCTGGAGAGTTCAGATGGGCCTCTCCGACAAAGAAACAATCAATTGCCAGAATCAGAATCACCGGCAAGGAGCGAGGAGAGAAGAGGAGGTGTAAAAGCGCAACGTCTGGAGAAGAGACCGTGCATGGGCTAACTGCAGGCGGCTTAGCTCCGATTAAGATGAAGGAGGATGCGGTGCGGTCGATGGTGGTGGTGGAGACGGTGTGGACTGGGCCAGTCGGGGCCAGGGTGAACGGCCATGGATGAGTGGATGAATGAATGGATGAATGGATGAGTGGATGAAGTGGATGAATGGGGGATGGATTGGCAGTGTAGATGGGGACGATGTTTGCCTTATTTGTCCAGGACGAGGTGCGGACAGTCAACTGTTGACGTCCGTTCGGGCCGGATTCAGGGGGAGACTCCCCTTGCAAGCCAACTTTCTATTCCCAGCCATCCTCGGTTCGCCCCGCCAGACACTACCGAGTCTACCGAACCCTGGCCTATCCGACGTTTCCCCCCTGTCCACAGCCATACTACGAACCCGCTAAGGACACACTATGATAGTTGACGTTGACTGACGGCGGGGCTGGCGTTCCACGGGACCCAGTCAACCACGCGCGCGTCCCAGCATTCCGGTCGGGACAGTTGATGACAGGTTTTTGCCTCCGGTCGCGAACTGCGACTCCGTACTTTGTGACCGTTGAAATAACTGATCCATCAGCTTTCTCGTCCTCGTCAGCCACCAAGAACCGGTGCACCCACCTGTTCTACCTGTTCGTTTCAGATCCATACTTTAGGTTGTCATTAAAAGTGGGATGGGCCGCCCACTCAGAGACTCTCCACTGGAGACGATGTCGCCAGGATATCCCTTTTGCACCCTCCTCTGACTGGCGCCCGCGGAACCACGCTTCGCACTTTGCAATGTTGATCGCTGCCCGTCCCCTCGTCGATGGAAACCAGGGCTAGCCAGAGACGGGCCAGCCGACCAATGCGGCAATTTCTCCTAATCCCGGTCCACCATCCAGCCCGCTGCGATCTCCCCTACGGACAGTCTGACAGAGGCTGAGACCCAATATACTTTTGATTTCAGGATCCAGAGATCCAGACCCCGGAACGCTAGTCCTGTGTGAATTCAACGTTGACTTGGGGCGTTTTTGCTGATGAACCAATGCCCCTGAGGGGCAGAAAAGCTGATTCGCCCGCTCTCAAGGGATGATCCATCCCAAAGTCCATCCAGTAACTTCAGCCTTCAGCCCAAATTTGAGTTCCAAATGGCCAGTGTCGAGAACTCGGCCACGTCTATTTTGCACCTTCGACCCCTTTTGAAAATTCTGCTCGGCGCTCCTGCGTTGCCGGCCAAGCCCCAAACACACATGGAGAAAGGGGGCTACTTGCAGCTCGGATAGCGAGGGATCGACGTTGTAATTAAAAGTGGTGTCCCGAACCCTGCTCAGCGAACGTCAACGTGAGGCGATTCGTGTTGGAATTGAAGATGCCCCCCCTCGGCCTCGAAAATGGAAATCATACGTCCCTTGCACAACCCATCAATGCTAACGAGTGGAGCCCGCCCGGAGCTGGTCTTGTGCGAGGCAAGGTCGCTGCAGGTTCCTGGGATATGAAGGATCTCTCCTCTATCGATCGTAATATTCGGCTGGGATCCACCCTTGAGCTGGCAGACCGGTCTTCGGCCGAGCCCTGCTAGCATTTCGTCGGGCCCAGTGAGGCATCTCGAGCTCTGCTTACATTCACGTGTTGTTTTGATCATGTGCTAGCTTGCTGTGGTGGTATATGGTACTATATAGTATTCCTTTAAACCTCTCTCCGAACCCTTCACAGTCATATCGAACTATTTCACCCTGTGTAGTCTATAGTCTGGGTCTCCATCCGCTCTGCTCATCGACCAGCTGCCTACTCTGTGCGCACTGGCAAAGATCGAGTCCAGCTAGATTCTCCCAGACCAGCTGGCCCGACGCCGTTGACCCAGTGCATCTGCATGGGCCCGGACTTGTGCCCGATTATCTGCCGCGAGAGTCGGGTTCACAGCAGCTGCACTGACCAGGACCCACCGTTGGTTTCAGGTTTCGAGGCTTGGTTCGTCTTCTCCACCCTGGCGGGATAGCTTGCACAGCCGCCAGAATCGACCTTTGGGCTTTGGGTGCCGACCGGTACGACTTAGAGTCAATCTTCCTGCACATTTCTCGGTCGCGGCAGTTTTATGCCAGCAATGCCAAACTAAGTTCGCCATGTCTTGAAACGAACCATCAAGTGAAGTGGGGTGGCCGCGACCCACCGCAACGTTTTAATTTAGGTTGCATTCCTGCGATAACTCAATACGAACACGAGGTTCTGGATGTAAACATAATTGCTAGCACGAAGACTCATGAGGTGAATTATGGTCGATATCGAAGGTATATCTCTCGTAGCTACATAACGTACTTCTCGCTTACGCCGCCAGCAAACCCCAAAAACACATGGTTAAGTGCGAAAAATTACAATTCCATATCTCAACAGCTAGGCTATATATTAATTTGGATTATAGTTTGTACACTCTTATGAGCATTAAGGACAATATATTTAACTCCAAGTCTATTGAAAATAAGATTTTACTATATTACAATAGATTAAAGTGTACTTTGGATATCTAAGCCTTAAATATATATTACTAATACTGAGTTCCTTGGGTACATTAATATATTAGGAGCCTTACTTTGAATACCTATTATATTCTAATATTTTCTCAAAGCTAAAGGAGATGTGGTCGTGGAGAAACGATATTGTAATTTATCGCATTTACTATGTGTTTTGGGGGTGGCGGCGTGGGAAGTACTTTAGCGGACTCTTCCTCATCCTGTTGGTTCAACACGTAGGGAGGTCTATGCACAGGATATGTTTTCGAAATATTTCCATATGCCCTCGGAAATCAAGCACAGAGCCATAACAACCAGAGGCTCTCAACTGTGCTAACTAGAATACTTTTCTTGATAGCTAAGTTACACCAATACCGGGGCGTCCGTAACACTCGACGCCTGATCTGTTTCCATCGTCCCCGACTCCTTCAAGCTCCACCTAGTTAAGCTATTCACATGGGTAGCTGGTTACATAAGGCGCAATGAATCATCACAGCTCGTGTGACCGTCCACCAACCGATAGCGGCCCCTTCTTCACCATGATCGTGAGAACCTCGTACAGCACATCCGCAGCCGCCCTGTTCACGTAATTAGCTGAGGCCAAAGAGCTCACCTAAGGGGAGGAAAAAACCGCTCACATCGTCGACAGCTCCGCATTAGTATCGTAAGCCGGTGCAACTTCAACAATATCTGCACCAATGAAGTTCAATCCATCGAGGCCGCGAATGATCGTTCGCAGCTCGCGGGTGGACCAACCGCCAGTCTCAGGGGTCCCGGTAGCCGGGGCAACTGGATATTTCCGAACATCAGTGACTTGGTTAAAAAGAGAGATAGAGGAGCCTAGGGAAAGTGATTTACAAGCTGGGTCCAGGGTATCGATGTCAATTGAGAGGTACACGGGGTTCTCTGTCCCGACACGGTCTCGAATCTTCTTGATGATGCCGTCGGTGCCGATCGTGTCAATCTCTCGGGCCTCGACAATCTCGAATCCACAGTACCCGTCATTCTCATAGTCTGAAGGACCAGACAGAGTTGTGCGAATGCCAGCGTGAATGTTCGTATCGTTCTTCAGTAGGCCCTCCATGGCAGCGTGGTAGAAATAAGTGCCGTGGTTGACGGCTGCGACTTGGCTGGGCGAACCGCCGAAGACCTTGGGCTTCCAGGTATCTCTAAAAGTGTATTAGAAGACAGCGAGCACATCGTTTTTGAATGGAACTTACAGATGGCTATCGAAGTGAATCACAGTGACGGGTCCGTAGGCCTTGTTGATGCTCCGCAGCAGGGGTAAAGTAATAGTATGATCTCCCCCGAGGGTGATAACTCGCGGGAGAGTCTTGCCCGCGCGTGAAAGGCCGACTTTATGGGCATCGGTGAAGGGCTTGCGCATCAAGACACTGTTATGACCTTCCTCAATCTGCTGAATAGCCCAGGCATTGTCATAACTGGAAGAGGGACGGTCGTGTCAGTATCGAGGCATATCTGCTTCTTGATTATGCCACATACGATGTCACAGGAATATCACCACAATCCATAATCTTCATGTCGCTGTGGAACGGGTTCGCTTGTAGTGGCACGTTGTAGCCACCGCTGCATTCAAATAACGGTAAGCCCAAGTATTCACCATCGGCTAGTTTTAGGTGGAGATCAAAGCGTACTAGAGGTTGAGACGGCGAGAGCCTTGTCTGATGCCACTCGGCCCAAAGCGTGCACCAGGTCTGTATGAGGTACCGGTATCGAAGGGAGCTCCTATAGCGACATGAGCTGTGGAACGTGGTATTGGAGTGCAAGATATTGTGATGTCTACCCAGAAAGGCAATATCATAGCTCTCGTCCTCACTAGAGAGACAAGGGAAGTAAGGAAGGCGTCCGAACGTAGAGATCCCGGAGAAAACCGAGTCGGCCTGAGAATATTGTTTCATGGGTTAGAACTATCAAATTCGTTCGCCGCTTTGAGAATTGTTTGGACATGTCCTCGCACCTGCGTACCGCCATCTCCCGGTAGTGTGTTGTACCATAATCCCTTGTGTGGCCCAGCCATGGGAACCTGGTCGTGGTCTCCATGTGCCGATGAAAGGGCAGAGAGAACGAGGAGACCTATAACAGTAGTGATCATGGTAACTTATCGCGAGAGAAGCAAACTAATTGGAATGGTAGTCAAACTGGGACAAATATGAGCCAATGTGATTTAATGCAAGTAGGAGCACTGGGATTATATGTACAAAGAGCCTGGCAAACCCGCGATCACCTTCCTGAATACTGCGGAACCAGGTATTATCCGCAGGTTCCTACATAGAGTTGCATCGTTGTACCTGGCATTACCTCGTCTCGCCTTATTGCCCAAATCTAGCGACTGATGGCCAATCACATATCAGCATGCCTCTAGGTGACCCTCTGGATCGAATGTCCAAGATAATTACGCAATCGTAACGGTTGTACAGTCGAGATGCTGTATTCTCTGTTTGACTTCCCAGTTGAGAAACCACGCTGTAAATCCACATGGTGAGGGAGTCGCGGCTTGGCTACATAACGCCTCAAGCAAGACCCTACGCATTGGCCAGTAAACCAAAAGGGAAGGCCGGGGGAGAAGGACATTAACGACCTAGTCGTGGGGTAAAGATAAGGTCTGTTGTGATGCTGGTTTTTTGGCGTGGCTTATCGGGAAGTCGTCATTGGTGACAGTTCATCTATGAACCCGTATTCAGTAAGGCTCTTCTCCGGGAGCGGAGTTAGCCTGTGGATCGCAGCATCCCGCGGAGAACAACAATATTTCAAGAATCATTTTTGAATCCTGATATGAATCTCGATAAGGGTTTTCTCTATTTCTCGCTATTCTGACTTTGGAAGACCATCTGAGGCGCTGCAGGAACTCCCACGGAAAATCCGGCAAAAGCAATCAGGACAATACCGAGGAGAGCTAATGGATAATTAGACGGGGCTAGAACATGTCGTTCTCCAAGATTACTTCATCCTCTCTGATTCGCCCTGTTAATTTGACTTGCATGAAGAGCTCTCGGGCCAGGCGTCACTTCAATGATAAGACTCACCCCTGTGTATGGAGCTATTTCCAACCCCGTGGAAACGCAGGGATACCCTAAATTTAGGATAGACATATATTCTCTTCTGATTGAAGAAGAGGCGGTGCCTGTTATGATTTTCGATTTTTACAATTGGAGAATTACGAATCTATAAGGCAGAAGTATCGCGGGTTGATACACATTGAGCACCATCGACTAAGAGCTATCCTGCGAGCGACAAATATGAGCGAGAAGAAAGATATCGACAAGACATGTCAAGGTGATGGGCTTGATATTCCTGCTCAGGACATGCAGGTACCTATCGAGAAGGGCGATGCTCAACTTGTCTGCAATGCAGCAGGTACCGCAAACGGGATCAAAGTTCACCCACAACCAACCTCCGACGGATTGGATCCTTTGAACTGGTCAACAATGCAGAAGCATGTTATATTATCAATTGTGATGTTCAAGTGCGCACCATCTGGTACCTTCTTATGAATTATCATTTAAATGCGTCCCTATTCGGTGGGGAGAGGAGTGTGAAAATGCTAATCCAATGAATCTTCTGTTAGATACTTTCTTTTTACGTACCTCACAACGACAACTGTGCCATCTTTCACCGCAATTCAAACCCAGTACCAGATAAGTTATTCGCAGGTGAATTGGACTGTTGCCGTACCGGCCCTAGGCCTCTCTGTCGGGCCACTCATTTGGTCTTCTCTGAGTGACATATATGGTCGCCGTCTTATTTTCTTGATTGGAACCACCGTTGCCCTGGTATCGACGATCGGCGCTGCTGTCGCTGATACTTACTCCGGGTACATGGCTGCCCGCTTCTTCCAGGGGTTTGGAGTAAGCCCTGCCTCTACCGTTGGCATGGCAGTCGGTGGGTTTTTCTTAAAAATTCAGAATAAATGATGTTGGTTGGCTAAAAATATCAAGTCAATGACCTGTTCTTTGAGGTTGAACGTGGACAAAAGCTTGGCCTGTGGGTATTGGCAATAGATTCCGGACTTCTTCTGGGTCCGACCTGTATGTTCGGGCTGTTATCTCCTTTTGGATAATCATACTAACAGGTGTCAATTATTAGTTGGTGGATTTTTGAACCTGGTCAGTGCTGCATGGATCAATTGGTTCAATGCCATTTTATTCGCAGTGCTGTTGATCCTTGAGTTATTTTTGATGCCGGAGACTCTCTACCCACGACAAAAAATGCTGCTTCATCAAAGTAGTACAGTGATTAACAAATGTACCCCAACCGACATCGAGAAACTGGCGAACAAGGAGCCCGACTTGCCCTCAAATACCCCTACGCTCGAGATGTTCCAGTCCGATCTTCCTCGAACAAAACGTCTACCTTTCATCAGCTTACGTCCTATCCCTGGCATGAAACACCCCAAGCCATGGGACTCAATAACCCGGTTTTTTCTCACTTTTCGGTTCCCTACAGTTGCTATCGCAGTGATTGGATATTCCTTCACCTGGTACTGGTGGGTTTTATCAGTCATTACGATGGTACCAGCCGCATACGCAAACTATACCCCACTCATTCAGGGCCTGCTGTTCCTTGGCTTGTTTTTGGGGACCATCATCTCAGAGATCTGCTGCTCAGGGCGATTGAGTGACTATATCATTGAGAAGTTGGCAAAAAATAATGGGAACGTTCGTGTTGCAGAGATGCGGTTATGGTTGGCATATCCTGCCGTTTTGATCACAACAGGTTAGTCAGTTGACCGAAAAAGAAAACCAACTTTGAGATTAACGTAAATATAGTCGGATTGATCTTGTGGGGCATCAGTATTGATAGGAGTTATCACTGGATGGTTGGACAGGTTGCATTTTTCCTCTGTAAGCAAAGCTTATATTCGGGAAAAATACTTGCAAAAACTGACAGTTGAATAGTCGCGGCAGGAATTCAAATTGGGAATACAGTCACCAGCAGCTACATTGTCGACAGCTACCCTCTGCAATCAACCAGTATCATCACATTCTATGCTGTGTTTCTGAATTTGAGTGCATTTATCAACCCTGTATGTCAAAAAGCTTTTATTCAGGCATATGCCTTCATTTTGAGGAGCTTTGCTAATCCGATTTTTGACTAGTTCTTCATCGCCCCCTGGGAAGTATCTGTTGGCTGGACTTGGACATTCACGTCACAAGCATTGATCGTGCTTGTCGGAGGATGCTTAGTCTTCGGGATTCTACATAAGTATGGTGCATGGATGCGGAAACGGGCACCACAGCCTTCTTGGGTTAACCCTGAGTACGATTTGGGTGTTGACGTCTCTGTAAATTAATCAATATTTAGTTTGCGAAAACAGCGTTATGAGCTGGGCAAATATAGCCTTAGTTTGGAGTGTTCTTTCCTTTTGTCATATTGCTGCTATATATCTCGTCTGCTATAGAACTCAGTCCCAGCGATCGTTGGTATGAAACCGCCGCAGAGTCAGAGTTGGAGAGATCTGCTTGCCAAGCTGCGGCGCCAAATAAGGCCCTTAGAGATAAGAGTGCTGATCGGGCCAAGCAAGGCCCTGCGGGGACAGGCCAATTGGTGGTAAATGGAAAAATCACAATAATGACGAAACCGTTGTCATAATTCGATCGAACCCAATTTCGCTCCATTTTAGGCTTATCTTCTGCCATACACACGAGTTTGGGGTACATGCATTCCACATTCACATGGGACTAGTGGAAAGTTTGTAATTCTCCGAGTTTGGATCGCACGTCGTTGAAAGTATGAAAGACAAATACGGAAACACTGGGATCTCACCTGCCACGTCACTAACAGGGTCTTGTGTATCTTACAGAGACGAAGTCAGAAGCCAGATAGGCTGGGGCACGGATCTGAGAACCAAAGACCTCGAGCGATGAATAATTTCTAGCACCAAGTAAGTCCTTGACTGAATTGACGAATGAATCTTTCGACAGGTGTGTGTGCTGCTCCCAAAGTCCGAATCTGCGTGTTATGCAGCACCCTCATTTTTTTTTTAAAAACAGACATGATCATACTGTAGAATCTCGACTTATCTGACTGACGAGGCAAAGATCTTCCCCTCCGACGCGTATTTGTGTAATGGTCCTTTTGACCAATCGCTTGCGCTAATTCGCGATCCAATCAGCCTTCCTAATTGGGATAATACCTGGAGAAGGCACGACCCCGCCATTCTCTACCCGCACCTACAGTAGATAACGAAATCATAATATTTCTACCAATAACTCGATCCTAGCTCAACATTGCTTCACGTAACCGATAGACATCTGCACCTTAACTCCTTATCTTGCTACGGCGGGGTACCACCTCGCTCGGATTCACCCAGATGCATACCTGCATGCAGTATCACCCAGACCTGTAATTCACTGACATATTTGGCCTTCCGAGATAGGATGTACAATGAAGATAGGGAATCTCCACGTGCGGCCAAGTGGAGGTAACTGCCGTCAGACTCGGGCCGTAAGTCTCCATTTCGGCCATCCGCTGTGGCAAGGCGAGGCAGGTACTGACACTGAAGTACGCAGGTGGATACCATATTTCGGTCATCTATTGTCTGAGTAGTCTTATCAAGCCAGGGTAATTAGATATACCCCAATTATGACCCCTCATACACAACATCCCATTTCTCTGTTATTTTGCTGTTCTACCGAGCAAGACACCACACTTTCAGTTTGGTTTCTCTTCTCGAATGATCGCCAAGATGCCTCACAGTGGCGAGCATGGCAATGATATTGTGCCAGATGAGGACTTCCAGGAATGGAATGAAACACCTCCCAACGAGTACACTTCCCTTCTCCCGAAGCCGATCGACCCCGAAGCCGCGCCAGTAAATTGTCATTGGAGCGGAAGACACGAAGGCAAAGTGACAAGGGTGCGGATACTGCTTGCAGAGTTTTGGAAGTTGACGCAAGGTTCCATTCCTGTCATTTTGGCCTACACGCTGCAGATGAGCCTACAAACCGTCACCGTCATCATCATTGGACACTCGTCTCCAATGAATTTGGCTGTCAGCGCATTCTCAATGATGTTTGCATTGGTCACTGGGTGGATGATTGCACTTGGTGGAACAACTGCGCTGGATACGCTTGCTTCATCTGCGTTTACTGGGAGTGGAAACAAACACGACCTCGGAATTCTTCTCCAACGAGCATTCCTGGTTCTTGGTCTCCTTTACGTCCCCGTTGCTGTTCTATGGGCCTGCTCGAATGCATTTTTCCAAGCTCTTGGACAGGACCCGGAGCTATCCTATCAAAGCTCCCGATTTTTGACGGCTTTGATACCGGGCGGCCTAGGGTATATTTACTTTGAAATCATGAAAAAGTATTTGCAGGCCCAGGGTACGAATTTCATTCATTCAGCGCCTCTTGCAAATTGAACATGTCTAATCCACCTGCGTATAGGAATAATGAGCGCCGGAACGTACGTCCTCATGATCACCTCGCCTTTCAACGCAGGGCTTTGCTATTTCCTCTGTTATACCCTGGATGTCGGACTTCTCGCGGGTCCTATCGCCGCAGGTATCTCATACTGGCTCTCTTTCATTCTCCTGGTGCTATATGCCCGATTCGTTTCTGGTTCTGAATGCTGGGGTGGGTGGTCGCGAGCGGCCCTGGAAAATCTGGGGACCTTCGCAAGACTAGCCATCCTAGGGTTCTTCCACGTCGGTACTGAATGGTGGGCATTTGAAATCGTTGCACTGGTAGCTGGGCGACTGGGCACAATTCCACTTGCTGCACAGAGTGTCATCATGACGGCTGATGGGATCCTCAATACAATTCCATTTGGACTTGGCGTTGCGACTTCATCCCGCCTCGGTAACCAGCTTGGTTCCCGAAATGCGAAGGGGGCATCACTGACCGCGCACTCGTCGGCTGTCCTCTCGGTGATATTCGGCGCCGTGGTCCTTACGGTCCTCATGAGCACTCGTGATAATTTTGCCAAAATATTCAACACTGACCCACGGGTCGTTGAGTTGACTGCAGACATCCTACCATTTGTTGCGCTGTTTCAAATAGCGGATGGTTTGAATGGGAGTTGTGGCGGTAGTCTGCGAGGCATGGGCCAACAGCATCTTGGTGCTGCGGTGAATCTTGTTAGCTACTATTGCTTTGCGTTACCTTTAGGTATATACCTCGCATTCCATGGATGGGGACTCAAAGGCCTATGGGTAGGCCAGTGTATTGCACTATATTGTGCTGGAATTTTGGAGTGGGGTCTTGTGACCTTCACAAATTGGGAGTCTCAGGTACACAAAGCTTTCCAGCGAATGGATGACCAAGGCAACTTGGACTCGGGAGTTGGACCAGAGATAGGGGAGGATCAATGAGACATTGTTGATTGAGATTTTGTCAGCTAAAAAAATACTATAGCTGCTTACAATTAAAGGACTATGCGAGCACTACTGAGATCTGATGTACTAAAGCTTGTTTATAACAATGCTAGGGAAATGTTGGAGATGATTCAGTTTCAAAATAGAAATACCATTCTGAACTTTAAGAAATCGAAGCAGCTTCGATAACAAGCAAATCATTGGGATTCACCATCCAATAATGAATTAAAGGATCCAGGCTCAGCTCTCCACATCAATGATACTACTAGTGTTCTCTCAACATTGCCTGCTTAGGTAGAGTTCCGATCAAGAAGCTTCAGCCGCCAGCGCCACTCCTCTCGATGTACTATTTGGATCCAAGTATGGCTTTTCTCCAATACTAACCGCGCGATGGCCAAATCGCTCTCCAAGTCCTTCATAGTCAAAAGTGGCGGTATGGAATGCGGACCGATTGTCCCAAATGGCTGAAGAAGTTAGTTAGAGGTACAGGGTGACATCATTTCTCCCAGAGACATACCGATATCATTCTGGTTCCTCCACTTGAATCGCACTTGAAGGTCATGGTTTTCGAGAATGGTGTCATAGAATTTCTTCAATAGTTCATCCGACTCCTTAGAGCTAAGCTCATTGATTTTCTTGGGGAACGGCCCAACAGCATATATACTCTTCCAACCCGTTACCGGATTCGTGCGCACGACAGGGTGAACTGTGGATAGCTCCTTGCCAATATTCAGGGGACTTCCTCTTGGTTCGGCGTATATCTTGACGTTATTCGGATCTGCCTCGGCAGCGGAAATGAAACCAGATCCGACATACGTGGCCGTCAGCGTCTCGAAGAATTTCTGATATGCTGCAGAGAATCGATCATAGAGGTCGTACCCAGACGCCCAGAGAGTGTCACCACCTGTTTTGGGCAATTGGGTTAACCGAAGGGACGTATAGTCGGCTGGGGCAGGCTCAAATTGAACATCGGAATGCCATTGCGCCGAGTCATAACGACGCTTGTCTGGCTGGTTTTCATGACGAAACATCTTCTTGCGGGCGAGCGAGCTGATGGTGCTGACCTGGGCGTCGGCGACACCGAACTCATTGGTGTTATTGAGCACCGGGTGGATGTGTAAAGTCGAATCTGCCGGCTTGCCAGCCAACTGGCCTAATCGATGGACTAGCTGCTTCTGCAAGTCATCTGTGAGGTTATTCTGGGCACGGAAGAAGACGACACCCCGTTGGGAGACTAGAGTAAACTCGTCAGAATCGGGATGGTTGAATGTGAAAGCAGTCGCTCCTACTTGTGATCGCAAGATCCTGCACCAATTCATCCGAGTTCGGGGCATGCAAGATCTCATCGGCAATGTTCACATTAATGAACTCGCGACCGATCGCTGGTGTCGTGTCTTCGAAGGTAAATCTATCCAGCGCTCCATTTAGCTCCAACGGTGCGGGGAATCGAACCCCCTCGGAAGCCTTGGTAGGCCCAGGGCGCAGCGCACACGAAGGACCAGGAACTTGAGGAGCCATCGGTTTCAAAGCAGGGAAAGAACTCTGCGTTGGATTGCGACAGATTGAGTTGACTCCCCGAGATTAGGCCTTTGTCTTGTAGGTTCTCGTTCTACCCTACTGAGAGACAACGTATGACGCCATGGCTTGTGGAACTCGCACCTTATCCCGCCATCCCACCAGTCACGAAGGTGGCGGGTATCTAGCGGAGAGGCTAATAAACACATCTGCGGTGGGTAAGATCTGAAGATACTAGATAAATCATCACGATCAGAGTTCAGTCATTCCTTTATACGTTTCCATCGCGGTATGATAATCTGGATGTAACGTGGAATGTGATTCTCATGCATGTACATTCTTGTATTCTTCTCTAGTACTATGCAGACTTATTCCGGAGTATACACATGGAACGTGATGACGGAATATTGGCTCCAAATCACACACGCCAGATGACGTGGGCCCGTCGAGCCGAGACCCGACAGCCGATTATCAACACGAGAAGACCCGTTCTCGCGCATCCAGGCCCGACAGGCTGACCCAGCAAGTCTGGACTAAATATTTTGCTTACTTCTCGAACAAGGAGAGTGTGAATGGCTGCTGTTGCAGTATTTATTCATTCGCACAACACATATGAATAATAACTCTACGTATTCCTGATTTTCGACCGAGCAAAGTAGTGTAATCCGACTTTGGTATATAGCATCGATGACAGGAACGCTGACTGAGGAAATACGTCCAGCTAGAAAATGGCTTATGAAGGCAAAGCTCTGGCCGGGACCCGCGCGGGGTCGATTCGGGGAGGCAGAATTTGCGGGAAATGCTTGAAGAAATTCGTGGACTCAACGCTCTATCGGTAAATGATGTACAGATGCCGGAGGTGTGTCTATCACCAAAACAAAAGAATAGTCCAGTATGCAAAATATGCGAACATCTAGGTGGAAACGATCGAAATCCAAGAATATGAAAATGGGGAGTATATGAAACCAAAATGCTAAGAATGAGCACGACCGAAATAAGTGTGAACAGAGAAGCAGGAGGGTTGAGCAGATTCCGGTTCTAGGATTACGCTTCAGCTTCCTTTGTGGTGCCTTGGGCCGGCGCCACGCTCGGGATATCTTCGCCCTTGAGATAGTTCTCAAACTCGCCGACCTGCTTGCCACCTTGAACCCAGCGTTCGCGATAGGCAATGCGGCGCTGCTCGGCTAGCTCGTTCAGGGCAGGCCAGTAGATCGAGTGATCATATTTGAAGTCAACATCACCGCCCACGGACTTCAAGAGATGACTGGGAGGAACATGTTGGCGAAGGTCCTCGTTGAACTTGAGCTTCTGTCGGGTATTCGGATCGATGAAGGGAGTGATCAACTTGAAGAATCCCCAAATGACGAAAGGCACTGCGTAGAACATGGAGTTAGAACGGACAACGGGATGATAGCATATGTGTCACTTACCATTGATCACGAGGGCACGTCCCAGTCGTTCTGGATAGTGGTTCTGCAAGATGTCTAGGGTCTGTTTTGCCTGGCCCAACGTTGCGCTCTGTCCGGACTTGGTCTCCTTGAAGTTGACAAGCAGCGCCAACGTCTCTTGATCGGGACCCATCAGGTCAATGACTCGCTCCAGCATAAAGACAAGATGTTGGATCTGGCGCTCGCTCTTCTCGGTATTCTGGTTTGAGGGCAAGAGATAGAGACACGGCCGTCCGTGAATATCAAAGCCCATGATGACCTGCTTGCCGGTCTCGTTCTCGATCGAGATATAGTCCGATGTCAGCTTCTCCATGCCATACTCCCGACGCCAGGTCAGGGTGCGTCGGAGCCGAGCTTCAGCCTCCGAAACATTCCACTTTGTAGCGCGGAGGTATCGGAGCAGGCATTCGCGAGTCAACCACATGCGATCATCGTCGGTAAATGGCTCTGTTGACGCATTCTTCTCGGCCGTGGTCGGGACCTCCGTCCAGGACGAGACCGTCTTCAGGACAGCTTCATACTTGGACTGCTGGTCAGGGGTAAGCGTCGCAGGCGGCTCGGGTTTGGCCGTGTCAATGGGGTTGGGGAAGGGCTTTTGGATGACCGATGGGGCAGCCGGGGCGGTAGCTTCAGGCTTCACGTCGCCATGGTTGGTTGAGGGTACCGCAGCGGCCACTTGGGCGGAATCATTAGCAGTCATGACGGCGAAGAGTGGTCTGCACAATGCACGGGGCGGTTAATCGCCAACAGCTTAATTTCTCCTTGGAGGTGCTATTGTGTAATTGGGCGTCCGGTCGATCGTCCGGCCCACTTGGTTCTTCCCCCAAAGTGGCATTTTACTTTTTCTGGAGATGCTTATGTCAGCTACACGTTTCACGCGACGAGCGCGTCGCGGAAGAGTGTACGTCTCCAGCGCCTACTCCACCCCTCCGCACTCGACAACCACCTCGACCAGACGGCGCCAACATGTCCGATACGGCGGTCGAGCTCAATGAGCTCTTCGCGGCGACCTACCCTAATGGCCTGCCCAAAGATGTACTCGCCGAGCTCCAATCTATCTTACGGATTCATTCGATCACGGCGGAAGAGCTCTTCTACAAATGGGAGTCATATAGCATGAAAATGGGCGAAGAGGTGAAATTGAGTATGGACACAGTCCGAGGCTTTAAGCAGGATGTCCAAGAAGCCCTTGAACGCGAAAGTCGTGGCAAAATTGGCCGGCAAATGGAAAAGAGGGCAACCGTCACGGCCACCCCGCGTGCTGCAGCCGGCGCTGATGTATTCGGAATGTACGAGGTAGCGCACAGTCACATATTGTTTGAACAAGTAAGCTTACAATGGATGGTCAATATTTTAGGTTGGACGAATTGACACCAAATACTGCGAACAACCGACCCATGAACGGGGTGAATGGTTCGGTGAAGCGCAAGGCCGACTTCCCACCATCTACACCGAAAGTAGGAAAATTCGAAAAGATCGGGACGCCGACGGGTACAAAGACTCCTGGATCCGCGGCAAATGGCACCGCAGTAACCTTCGCTGAGCGACCGAACCCTGGCCAGACTCTAGAAACACTCAATGCACACCTGTCACTGCCCGAAACTCCAATGGCACCATTCTCAGAAGCGCGCGTTCGACCGACAGCCAACACAGACCTGAAGAAGTTCGGATATAAGCCAATGGGAATGCGACTGTCGGAGGCCTCTGAGATTCTCGACGACCGGATTGACGAATTCGCCGCCATTTTCCAGAAACATTATGATTCAGACGATCTTACCTTCGGCAGCGCAGCTACTCAAAGTACAACTGAAGTCATTGCAGTTGGACGGATTGCCTCCGACTCTCTAGAAGGAAAGCTGAACCCGGCGTCATTGGTTCTTGAGACCTCTCGCCGCACTGGTGCTGGAAGAAGGGTTCCTCTGAAAGTTGACTCGTTACCATCGTTAAACTTCTTCCCTGGTCAAATTGTGGCGTTGCGAGGAATCAACCCCTCTGGTGATTACTTCACCGTCAAGGAGATTCTTTCCATCCCCCTCTTACCACCCGCTGCGTCTTCCGCTGTGGCTCTGGACGACATAAACGAACGCCTGGAGAATGGCGGTGCCAATTCACCGCTCAACGTTATGATAGCGGCTGGTCCGTATACGGCCGATGATAACCTGGACTTTGAGCCCCTGCACGAACTGTGCCAGAAGGCTGCAGATAGCTATGCGGATGCCGTTGTGTTGCTGGGCCCATTCTTGGATATCGAGCACCCGCTACTCGCTTCTGGCGACTTTGACTTGCCGGATATCAAAGGTCTCGACCCGGACACGGCAACCATGACCGCCATCTTTCGCCACTGCATCTCAGCCCCTCTGTCGCGTCTTGCCCAGGCTGTACCAAGTATCACAATCGTGGTTGTTCCATCCGTGCGGGACCTTGTCAGCCGTCATGTCTCATGGCCACAAGAACAGCTCCTCAAGAAGGACCTTGGCTTGCCAAAGCAAGTTCGTATGGTCTCGAACCCGGTAACACTATCATTCAACGAGTTTGTTGTAGGCATGTGCTCTCACGATGTTCTCTCCGAGCTGCGCCGTGAGGAAGTTCTACACGGCAGACCCGCGGAGGGAAGTCTGCTCACTCGCTTGCCCAAGTACCTTGTCGAGCAGCGCCATTTCTTCCCACTCTTCCCTCCAACTGCCCGTGCCAATCTTCCCAAAGCTGGGCCAGATACTGGCCTGGCAACCGGCGCGATGTTGGACCTGCCTTATATGAAGCTTGGCGAGTGGTGGAATGTTCGGCCAGACATACTAATTGTCCCCAGTATGCTCCCGCCTTTTGTCAAGGTACGTTACACCCGGTATTCTTTCCACTTCTAGTTTCCCCATTGACCGTACATTCCATTACAGGTCGTCGACAGCGTCCTTGTCATCAACCCTGGTACCCTGTCGAAGCGCCGCGCCGCAGGATCCTACGCCCAGATGTCGGTCCACCCGCGTATTGTGACTGACGAGGAGCGCGAGTCTAAGCAACTCGACCATAAGCTATACGAGCGTTCTCGCGTGGATATCTACAGAATCTAGCGAAGCTGCGGCATTACTTGTACAATCATATCGCATTATCACTTGGCGTTAGAGGCGCAAGGTGATATGACAGCGGCCAACGGAGCACTGTCGAGAGGGATCAGAATTTGCTTGACAGGCAAAATCAACTGAATGAATCAATGAAAACACATTTTTGCACCTTGGCTAGTGCCACCCCATTGGTATCATAGTAATATGCAACCCATCGTAAACCATACTCCAATAATGCAAGGCCTGGGAATCTTGCAAAAAAAAGACCTACACAAGCGGAACAGAAAAGGCTCAACGGACTCAGCGCAGGCAGACCACCCTTCGCCCACCCATCTTCCTACCTGCACTGCGTACCCGCACCGCAGCTGACGCAGCGGATGCCGCACCTCCATCACTCCCGCGCAGAGTTGCACCAGGCCCAGAACCCATGACGCCAGCACCACTTACTCCACTCGCAGCCATCGCACCTCCACCATGCCCCTGCCCATTCACCAGCGCCTCAAGTCCGAGGTCTCTCCACACAGCTTCACGTCTGCGTTCCATGGCGCGCGTGATCCCAAATGCGGCGTGTTGGTCAGGCACGACATCATCTTCATCTTCTGGGTTGGGTGGCTGGTACTGTGGCTGGACGTAGATGTCTTCGACGGGGAGGAATGAGGGGATCGTCGAGGGCGAGGAGGAACCGTATGTCGCGGCATTTGCTCCATTCGATTGGTGAGCACCTGATGTTTGGGCTAAGTTCTGCTGGTTTGACGAGGCCCCAGCTGTTGATGTATGAGGCCGAGTGAACTCTTCAAAGAAATCTGCCAGCCGAGGCTGATGCATGTGGAGGTGTGTTGCAGATGAGTCTTTGCTCTGCGATCGGCTTAGTGGATTGCGGGGAAAGACAGAATAGCTCAAGGATCTGAACATACCATATTTGCATTTGGCTTCTTGGGTGCAGCTAGTTCTGATCTTTGCAGATAAGAGAGCTCGAAATGGGGTCTACCTTCAAATGCGCGTGCGGCTTGTTGATATCAAGTGGCAGAATATTGATAGGCTCGCACCGCCTGGCGAGGCGGCATAGACAGTCACGTGTGTGGTGTTGTAGTAGATGCCATCTGAGATGGGTTTGCCAATTCCTACCCCTTCATAGGCAACTACTTTATGTGGAAAAACTAGATGGAAGAGTGCTGTGATTTGCTATACTATTTCCCGGGTGATTCCGAGATACTAGCTTTTGACTAGTTTCTCGTCCCCAAACCGTCGGGCTGTGAGCAACCAGATTGCGGATCCCGTTTTGACCAAGCATGAGGTAAATATCCATCGAGCCTGTAGGCTCCAAGGGGACAGTATGAGACTCACTGAACAATCCCTCATGCTTTCCTCTCCATTACTACCATCACTCGTTGTTCTAGTGACCAGGAAAAAGCAATCTGCAACTCCGGAGCAACAAGATCTAAGGGATGTCCAATTCATTCATGTTCGGGTCTAGCAAATCGTTCCCAAAACACGGGGGTGGAAGTTAAAATCAAAGAGTAACAGCATTGTTGTAAGAGAAGCCTGCACCAGGGCATATAATCCTCCCCCGGGATAAAAAGAGGCGAGAAAGAAACCCGAGGGAAACGAAGAAGCACCATCGCAAACTTTTGCAGCATACTATCAGAAGCCGTAATTCGTATCTCACATGTTCGTGCTCATCCGGTGGACAATCGAGACCGCACTGGGCGGCAAGCTGCCCATCTCGGTGACAACCATGTCCACATACTCGGCGGGGGTGACATCGTACATGATATTGAGCAACTGTAGGTTGGGAGTGTCCTTCCAGTTGGTGAGGGGAGAGGAGGATGCAGTGAGGGAGGAGTCAGAGGGGTCGGTGGTTGGGGCGCTGGATGTGCCTTTCTTGTTGTCGGCGGGCTTGGTGGTGGTTACTGGGTCGGTCAGGCCGGTGACCTGCTGCGGTGGCGCGGCCGAAACCAGCTCATCGGCATCGGCGATCTCGTTGACGACGATACTGTCCAGGGCGACGCGGTCGGTGAACTTGACTGTCTCGCAGCACACAATGACGGGCACTTCGACACCGCCGGCGCGTTCTTTGGCGGACATGGCCACCAGCGCGGTACCGACGCGGGAGTAGAGGCGGCCGTTACTGGTCATAGCGTGGGCTCCGAGAAAGACCTTTGTGGCATCCTTGATAGCGTGGCTGATGCCGTGTACGAGGGAGTATTGCACATCCAGGCCCGCATTGGCAAGGGCACGAGCAAGCTTCTTGCCCTCGAATAGTGGGCGCGAATCAATGATTGACACGCGGAACCGCTTGCCTTGCTTGTGAGCTGTGAGAAGGGTCTGCTTGACAATCGAGCTGCCAGCAAATGTAACAATCACGTCGCCATCCTGAACCTTCTGGGCGGCACTTCCAGCAATAACTTGATCAGCCACCGTGATCTTCTCTCGAATGAAGTTGTCAATGAAATCGCAAAGTGTAGCCTTGGCGGCTGATTCGGGGGTGGAGGGGTCGACGGAGGCGATGGAGAGCTTCAGTGCACGAATGGCATTGCCCTGGCTGATAGAGAGTGGTCGACATGTCGAGAGGTAGGTAATCTGGTGGGAAAGGTGTGTCGTTAAGTGGCGTGCCAGCGAGGTGCCCATGGGCGTAGTATAGGATTCGACGACCTTGAACCATTCCATGTTAGCACAAATAATCCTCCCAAAAGGTTTAAACGAGCATAACTTACCCGTTTAAAGGCAAGCAAGGTCGCCACGCAACGCGCACTGCTGCCGCACACAACATAGTCCCGCAGCTGCAGACCCAAAGCCAGCACTGCGGGGTGGACTTCCTTGCCCGCGCCAGCGATAGTCGTCCGACGCTGCTGGCCGTAAAGGTGACCGAATACAGCGACGCTCTTATCCTCCTTCTTTTTCTTGTGCTCCACAGCACCAGTCTGGCCAGTAGGGCCCGACCCGCGGCGCGGCGGCACAGCCTTTTGCCCCTTCTGCGATGCGCCTCCTCCAGCAGCGTCCTTCTTCGGCGCTGTCGGAGGACGACTCTGGCCACCTCCAGGAGCTAAACCGCCTGCAGTACCAGCTCCACCCTGTTCTCTGTCAAGCTTTTCCTTCGCGCGCCGGGCAGCTTTCTCTGCCTTCGCCTTCTTTTTCAGCTCCGCGGGCGTGAGCGGCTTGTCGGCACCCGTGGCACCGGGAGCATCAGCGCTGGCTGGAGCGGGCTTGGAGACATCCTTGGCCTTGCCGGATTGCTTGTCGGACGGTGCGGGGGTCTTTGCGGTCTTGGAATCGCGGATGGGGAGGTTTTGCGTCTGTTGCGAGGGGGTGTTCTCGGTCGCGGGTTTGGGCAGTGGCTGGGCAGGCGCAGTGGCTGACGAGGACGGCAGCGCCAGGTCAACGGGGTCCGCCATCGTGTATGACTCAATCTCTCGGGGCGCGGGGGGCGGCGTTGAGTTGGGACCTTGAAGCGCTTGGTGGGGAGGGAGAGTTGACTCACGGAAAAAGAAGTGATGCCATAAGCGGCCCACCGAGCGGCGCAGCCCTAATCTCCGTCTCCGCATCTGCAGCTTCATAGGACCAGGCAGGATGGAATCTCAGGATTAGAACAAGAAGAAGTAAAGGGGCACGGTGGTAGACGATGCCGAGCTAGGTTACAGTCCAAGGAGATGTCTCTCACTTCTAGGGGGGAATGTCCCCAAAAGAAAAAAAGGGGGCTAAGAGTAGGACAATATACATGAATAGGCGGCGTTGAGAAGCATGGATTCATAGCAGGTTTCGTTATTCATTGCAGGGAATCTCTCGCTACCATAAGAAATAAACAAGAAAGGACAAAGGTGTACCCTGACAGTGATCTCCAGCAACGACAGGCTGCTGCCTGAGGGCGTGGCTCCAGTCCAAACAAAGACACACACACAAAGGATGCGCGGCCCAACATCGAATTCTAAATTTACACGCCGAAAGTCAAGCCAACCAGAGCTAACGAATGTTGGCAGCTATCGTCCCCAGCACGCGTCGCTTGTGGGTCCTCGACTGATCATTGAGACGCCAACGTTCGTGGTCGGATGCCAGCTTGCGCTTGAACACTCCCAGATCACCGAGCAGGTCCTGCATGCGCTCCTGCATATGATATGCCTCCTGTTCATTGGAATCCCAGGAAGCGGTCTCAACTTCTTCTTCATCGTGATCGTCTTCCCAGAGCTCTGGTTCGGAGTCAGAAGGGTCCACCGGGGAGCCCTCGCGGTTCTCCTGGTCGCGGGTAGGTAATTGCTCTTCTTCCACAAATGATGCCAGGCTAGGTTGGCGTGACTGCTCGAGAGTGACAGGTGGGATAGGGTTCTTGAGACTGTCGAGGGCGAGCTTCAAGTGCATCCTAAGTGCCTCGTTTTCGGTCTGCAACTGGCGAATCTTGCACTCGCTCACCATCTTGGTCTCCTCCATCAGCCGTTGCATCTTCTCTACCTTTTGCTGATACTCCTCCAGCCTCTCGTCCTGTATCTCAGTTGCACGCTGGTTGGCGTTGGCTTGGCTCACGCTCAGCTGCAAGGTACGGATGGTCTCCGCCATATCGGCGATCTGCTGGTCACGTTCAGCAGCTGACACATGGTCTTGGTTGACCCGAGCACTGGTGCGAATGTGTTTGGCTTGATCGGCGTAGCGTAACGTTGAAAGCGTCTCCTCGTAGTCGGCGGGTGAAATGCAAGCAATCATCGCGGTCTTGGAGTTTCCGCCGAGACTATCCTTCAAGAGCCATGTGAGGATAGAGTCACGGTACGGCACCAGCTCCTTGCCCTTTCTGCCTCCTCGAGGCTTCTTCGAGTCAGCCAGAGCCGCAATGACTCGGCCAAGGGTGGTCAATGACTTGTTGATGTTCGATCCTTCACGCAGTCGTGCGCCTGTTGCTTCGGTGGATTTGGCGCGCTCGGAACCCGCAAGATCGACCAATCGAATGCGTGCCGTCCGCTCTGTCGTCTCGTCCGTAGAAAGATCGTGGTGAATTTGCTTCAATGTGATGGTGAAAACGGCATGTGACCGCGAGGAGGTATCATTCATCTTGGTGCTTGCGGTGGTGCGCGACATATCGCCCTTTCGCATATATTTCATCAACTCGGTGTAGTTCCTTACCGTTAGCTCCGTCAAGTCTTTCACATACGGACCCTCCGATGGAGACTCGCGGATCCGGAGATAGTGCGGGGGGTCAGTCCGCGGAACCAGCAAGTCTCGGACATGCTCATTGTAGACCTCAAAGTATGATACTCGAACGTTGTAGCTGATGTCGGGGGATGGCGATGTTTCGATGCGCTGGAACAGGTCTTCGCAGGTACGAGGGATCAAGCCCGGCTGCTCAGGTGTGCCCATCATGGTGTAACTCTTGCCCGAACCCGTCTGGCCGTACGCGAAAATACACGTGTGGTATCCCTCGAAGTTGTGATCCAAGAATTCCTCGCCCAGGCAGTTGTACACGTCCTCCTGGTGCGCATAGTGGTCGTCTTCCTCATCATGCGACCAGAATGAGTTGTCAAAGATAAACGACTTGTCCTCGAGGACCTTCCCACGTGCTTGCGATTTGGGCTTTCCTCGGTCTCCGGTGTTTGCTTTCGGTGCTTGAAGGCTGGTCATTTGGGTATGGGGATCCATTGCGATGAGACATTCTGCCCGACGTTCGATCTCTATAGCCATGGGTTAGATCTCGACATCCCGGTTGTCTACATCCACACTTCTTTCGCTCCCTGTCTCGGGCGTGACGCTCTTCACCGCGCTTACCTCTCTGGAGGAACTTCCGGACGCGCACCACGACGCGCACATTGCCCCCGGGTGATGGGCTTGCCATTCCATCTTGCGGACCGACCGCTACGGACACGCCTTCTCGAGCGCGAAGCGACGGGCTGGACGCAGTTGATCGCATTGTAACGGCGGATGCGGACGTCGACATCACGCTGGGCGAGGTGATACCGGTGAAGGCGGAGGATTCGGATGAAGTGGCAGACGAGATCGAGCCAGGGCCGGGGCTCTGGCCGATGTGTCGAAAGAAGCGCGGATCCAGCGCCATATCCCTACTGTGGACCCTCAATAACTGAACACAAGCTTCGACGGCCTCGCGTCGTCGTTCGACAAGGTGATTGTACATGCAACGAATTGGCAGTACATGAAAAGGTGGGGGAGGAAAGATCGAGCCGAGTCGAATCGTTTTAGACAGGAAGAAGAGAGATAGGAAAAAAGTGAAGGGAGGGAGGGGGGGGGAGTCGGTACAGTTGCGTGTTTGGTTGTTTCCTTTCGAGGTTGGCAGTTGAATGTTCACGTATGAAGTGCGTTCATCCCCGCGGGGGAGTCGGGAGGTAAACACGGGTTCGGCGGACAGAGGACGTTAAACGGGCATGTCGCGAATGCCAAATGCAAGTACAATGTCAATTGAAATGAGAGAAATAAAGACAATATTAAAATGATACAAAAGAAGACGATATGTTTGAAACTGAGAGAGCTGGGGATGACTGCTTTGGTCGCCATACGAGGCGATAGACGGTGGGCGTTGCCAGGGCAATATGCACCTCAACTCGCCCTTATCGCGGCTGGGCTACTCTGCGCTAACGCCAGGGAACTCGCAGCTCGAGCCAACGAGCCAACTAGCCAACAGTCCACTTTATCTGTCAAAGGAGTTTGATTTCAGCTGCACTATAAAATATACCCGGTACCCGTACCCCATGCACTTATACACAGTCTGGGTGCTCCATCACTGGCACAAGATTCTTAGTCCCTAGTCAAAGTCTGCCGTTTCCGCATTCATCGCCTCGAACAAGTCAGGCTCCTCGGTCAGGTTGCCCTTGCCCTGCTTCGTCGGCGTTGGCGGGTCAAGCACAGGGTTGCCGGTCGCATCCATGTGCTCGCCCAACAACTGGTTGGGGCCCATATTGGCACTCTCGCTCTGCTGGGCCTGGTTCTTGCCGGAGCTGGGCTCGCTCGACCTGGAGGCAGGCTTCGTGTCTTGGGACAAGTTGAAGAGGCGGCGCTGCTGGTCTGGTTTGGAGGGCATGATGGATATCCTTAAGCTAGACTGTAAGGATCCTTGGTTAATGCGATCGACCCTGAGAGTATCCCGCCCACCGGATACGACACCCAAACAAACCACAACGGCCTCCTCTCTGGTGCTTACTTCTCCAGCGTGGGCGAGTAAGGGGAACCCATAGAGGGGAGGACATACCAGGTAATTGAATACGTGGATTGATTGTAGTCATCAAGATGGGGAGGAAGCTATTCGGATAGGCGCAGTGGTCTCTATATTTAAGACGGTTGAAGGTGGCGGGCGAGACCACGCGATGATTCGATTATGACGGCGACACTTATCCCCACCATGGTCGCGTGTCTGCAAGCACCAGTGAGGTTTATTTATTTGGAACCTAGCTTTCCGCTTTGTTTTCGAAAAGTAGTCGTTGACTGCTTGGCCAGTCATAATGCGCGCGGGGGGGTTTTCTCAAAGCATGGTTGGGTTCGCGGCGATTCCGTGGGAACGAGCAACAAAAAAACATCATGACATGTTCGCCACAAGGTTGTGGGCTTGGGAGCTTGCTGGGCCCTGCTGCGTCTACCTAGTGAACAGGCATTTGGTAGCTAAGCAAGCTCGAAGCTATGCTAGTTTTGCTCAACCACCTCCAGCCAGTAGGGAGATATTGCATCGGTTAGGCACAGTTATGGCCTCATTCTACTACCTGGACACAAGAGAGCTCAAGAGAGCTCAGTCCTGGGAAGAAATAGCCGATCGCATGCAACAGCGTCATCCTGCAAAATGCCGAGACTGTCTCGAACAGGGTGGGGTCTAATACGTAGCTAGAATTTCCAGAGAAGTGCAAAGAAGTCAAACATGGGGAGCCAGCGTATGCCTTGAGAATCTGGCAAGGTGGCACTCCCTTCTGCCATTCTCGCAAGTGACCACCTGGGAGCCTACTCGGTGCGAGACAGCACTACACTAATCCGGTCTGCAATCCACGAAGATAACCAGGTTCTTGTTGTGTTGTTCGTCGAGAACTTTGAAGGCATAGTCTTGGTCATAACCAGTGGGCTCTTTCAAATCTTCAAATTGAAACTTGAACCAGCTACTAACGTATCTGCGAGCAGCGAGATTGGTCAGGTACGCTCGGACTAAATAAAGTAAGGCATTGACCCCATTCAATAGCCAGGCTCGGCGATCATCAATGTCATAAAGAAGACAAATTTCTGTAAAGATGGAGGAGTTGCTTCGTGTAATCTGATTGTCGGGTTAGATAGTGTCAGTGGATGAAGGGATAACTTACCACTAGCAACTGATTGGTTGCTGATAGGCCCACATTCGTTTAGTATTTCCTATGTAATCAGGGAACCGAGCTGTAATGCAGCCATTGTCACAGCTGAGTACCGGAGACATCAGACACATCGAATAGCGGTGTATCTGAGTGTGTGCTTTTAAAACAGCGCTTCTCCGCCCATCTTTCTACTGAATCAATCAATGTTATTCATCTATATTGGTTCCGCTTGATATCATTCGTCGTCTCTGCATACTAGGCTATACAGTATCAGCTTGTCTTGATAGATAGCAAGTGAGGTCTATGTTTCCGCACCCAAACGTGACTCCACCCACAAGATATTTCCTGCCAGATATGGACACTTTTTCCAACATCCATCCCGGCTGGGGCTTATCGAGTCCAGACCATCCTATCTTGTGATTGGCGGCTTTGCGTGCGTGAATTTCAAGAGGTTACAAGGATTATGAAGCCAAAAATGTAAGTAGATAAAGCTGTCAGGAGGCGTACGAATCTGAAAGATGGGAGCGAGCTAATAACACATGGAACATACTCATTCCGCATAAGCTGTAGACGGATCGGCGCTTCTGGTGAGTGGGTCCAGGGTGGCAGCCTATAAATCTGATAGAATCAACCGCCCATCAGCTTCAGCTAGCGCCAAAGCTGGAAATTATGGGGTCTTTTGTTTCCCAGCCTTACCGATCTCCCTTCCCCCCTGAGATCCCTGCGATTCTAGAAACCCCGCAGCCGCGCCCACCACCGATTCAGCCTGCTTTCCGTCCCTCCTTGTCCCTTATGCTGGGTATTCGCCGTCATTCAGCTTCTCAAAAATATTTGCAAGATACAACCTCTCCGGCCAATGTGGAAATATCCTGGCGTTCCCATAACCCTGGTCTATCTTTTTGGCCATGTTCAGGCCCAAAATTCTACTTCCAATCCCCTCGAAGGCTGGCAATTTGACGACGCCAGTCGGTCAAGCTGGGATATCTTGTGGACATGTTTGACGACAATATTTGCCTGCACGTGGGCCGCACTCCATTTTCAACTGCCCGTATACGTGAAAGGGTCGGCACGAGCTTGGGGAAAATTCACCGCGTGGATTTACACTCTCATTGCCCCGGAAATTATGGTCATATACGTGGCAGTTGATTTCCATTCCGCGAGAGATGCCGCCGCACACTGTAACAGGGCATTTCGAGCCACTATGGACGAAGCCAAAACTCAAGAAACCCGGTCCACTCAAGGGCAGTTACTCACCAGCGGCGTCAAAGCCGACGGGAGGGAAGATGATCGAGAGTGGACAACGACACATGGCTTTTGCATTAGAATGGGTGGGTTTCAACTGCGGACCAAAGATGGTTGGCTGTATACAATCAGCGTGGAGAATATTATCCCCCTTATCGAAGCTGGAGTTATCCAGCCCGGCGACCTCGACGAAGAAGAAATCAAAGATCACTCAAAGGCGGACGCGGTTGCAAAGCTATTAGCGATACTGCAGAGCGTCTGGGTTACGATTAATATTCTCGCGAGAGCCGCTCTCCAATTGCCTATATGTCCACTTGAAATCTCTACTGTTGCCTACGTCCTTTGTGCATTCTTCACATATGCACTATGGTGGTGCAAACCGAAGGACATGAAAACACCGATCACCCTGCATATCCCCTACAATCGAAACAGTGAAGAAATATCTTCCTGGGTACACGAGATTCTCGATGCGCGATCGCATTGCTGGCGGCACCCAACGGAACAGACGGTTGATAGGGAACCCAAGGAGGCTAGTGACCCCAAAGAATCCTTATTTCGAAGATCGAGGCACAAGCTCTGGTCGGATCAGGCTAGGGATGGCATGATTGGCAGACTATCCCCATTGGACGAAGCGCTTTTGACAATATGTGCCGCCATTGGCCTACAGGCATTTAGTGCAATTCATGTGGCCGCGTAAGTGCTCAATTTCAATCCTTCCCCACTGCAAATAGCGTAACTTATCTGATACATTCTAGGTGGAACTTTGTCTTCCCTACTTTGGCTGAAAGGTGGGCCTGGAGAGTTATCTCATTGATCGCTCTTATAATACCATGGATCTCTTTCTGGATGGCTGTGGTCCCGTTGTTCCTGGCTTGGTGTGTCAGAAAGTATCGCCTACATGTGCCATGGTTGGAGTCTTATATCGACCCGGAAAGCCGGCGAACTTTGCTGGAGGGTGTGATTTTTGAGGGTGTTTTCTTTGTGTACTATTTCGCACGAGTGGGAACGATCATTTTGATGATGATCTCTCTTCGGGCTCTCCCCGCTGGCTCATTCATTGGCATCGACTGGCTGTCGACCATTCCTCATATATGATTTTATGATGATTGGAGGGACACACTTTTCGCTTGCACAGATGGTTTGAGATGAAGTTTAGGTCCCATAAGTAATATGTCCAGCTCCAGTGTAGTCTTCTCCCATATCCTTGCCCCGCGACCAATCAAGCGGAGGTAGCGAGGTTCTTGTGCTTTCTGCCGTCGCAGTTATCAAGGCGGCAGAGAAACTCAATCTCCTATCGCTGTCTGCTTTTTAAGTGATGCTTCTCTAGTAAGTGACGGGAAAGATTCTGTCGTATGTAGCAGCAGCCGTGTCTCGTTTCTTGGGAGCTTTAGCATCGTGTCCTATTATAATATATGGCGGTGTGTGCGCTTCTAGGTCTTAGTGGAGCGGTATCAAGTACCTCTGGGACTGAGAAAGGTCCCTAATCACACGAATTTCCTACGGGCGATGCTTGTGGTGTGATAATGTTACAGCTAAGCATTGATAATTACACGACAGATTCAGTCGATCTTCTCCTTTACATGTATGTATGACAAACCACTGCGTATTCTTGACAAGTATTTTGTACTGTTTTGTCTTCCTGCTATCATTGCTAGCTTAATTTTTAGAAAAATATTTCGCTAGAATAATTTAACCTCATAGATCTGTCATCTTACATCTGTTGTGTTGTGTCACAAGTACACGTAATTTTTGAAGGTTGTTATCTTGCTAGCTATTCTCGCCTTGAGAGCCTCGTCGCAATTTGCCATCGGATCTCCGCTACCCGCCCGGCACTTACCCCTTACGGCTCGCGCTAGTAAATGAGGTTGCCTGAGATGCGACAAGGTCTAAAAAGAAAAGATGTCCATTCACGAATGAAATTGAAGCTAAGGAGAGAAGAAAACAGGAAGGGGAAGCTACTATAGTATACCCTCCCTAAACCGGATTATCCTAGCAGATCTTCCTATCTTTCAAACGGAACCCGATGCTTCCATTCTATTCCACAAATAGAGGCAAGACGAACAGGCAAGGCAAGCAGCAGATGGCAGCACGTACAATCGGCGACGGCTATCCTCATGATTCAATAAACGATCTTTTGTGCACAACCAACACTATGCTTAGGCATCGATTAGGCAACAAGTTATTTGATAGACTTAGTCCATCACAGTACCGAGCTAGTAATCTGATGTTCTCGCCCTGAAATTCGGATCTTTATCTTTTATTTTGCAGATTAAAATTGAGGGCGACCTCTCGCTCGTTAGCGTCGGCGACACGCACATCGCTTTTCCCCTGGGGCTTGCATGGTCTGATTTTGACAGATAGCTCTGTTGGAGCACCTGAGCAGTCCTGCACTTCACATCTCTGTTTGACCGTGTCATAGACACGGTGTATCCCCCCGTTTTTCATTCAACAAGCTCCTTATTCGGCCCCTATCATGGACGGTAACAACGTCATGCGATTAGATAGTATTGCAAGTGTCGAAATACCCTTTCCTTTGAAATATAGCAGGCTTGTACATGCAGTTGCCTGGATAGCCATGGAGTAAAGTAGGGACTGCTTAAAATACCTTTGAAAAAGGTCCATTAATTCGAGGACAGGGAAATCTTAATTCTGAGTATCTGTCTGTCAAGTCTGCTAAGTAAGGACATACTGATTAGCATGCATCCACTTCTCCGTATGGTTTCGTATAGTAGTATACTGTATATGGTCAATTCGAAATGCCCGTGTTATGATTTACCAATACTAGCCCCTCGGGCTATGAGACGTTCTTAGGGGCGATCCCCTACGTATTTTCTCAACCAATTTACTCCATTAACTCCCTTAGTATTGGTGCATATAAGTATTTTATGATATGAAAAATGTAATACGCAATAAAATACCGTCTACATGCGATAAAATACGCTAGCTATCTCTCATAGAATACTTAAGGAGGATCAAGTGCTGAGTTTTCGCTGATCGAGCCCACCAAGTAGTGCTTTCGTCTCACCCCAATTCCCATATTGACAGGCCCCACCCCCCTACTCCACCTTTTGCCAAAATATGGCCTCGACCCACGATGCCGAAAAGGGCCCATCTATTGCCTTGCCTGTGGATGACAGCCTCGCAGATCGAGAGAGCATGCCTGACCCCAACGAAGTGTTCTGGGATGGCGACGCAGATCCCTCAAACCCTATGAATTGGAGTGCCACGTACCGTTGGTGCCATATTTTCTTCATTACAGTCCTAACATTTGTCACGTACGTATTGCCCCAAATACTCCGAGGGCGGCCCGGCCCGTCCTCGCAAATATTGCCAAACTCACTTAAGTGGTGTATATACGTGTGACTGATGCTTGATGTTACAACACTAGTTCGCTAGGCTCATCCATGCTGGCACCTGCAGTTCAGGACGTGATGAGATCTCTTGGATCTGACAGTTCAGAACTAGACTCGTTTGTCGTATCGATCTATGTGATCGGATTCGCTGTTGGTCCACTTGTTGTGGCGCCGATGTCTGAATTGTATGGTCGCGCCATTGTCTACCATGTGACAAACGTGATCTTCCTTGGGGTCACCATTGGGTGTGCCTTGAGCAGAAATGTGGGGATGTTTCTGGCATTCCGATTCGTCTCCGGCTGCGCAGGGGTAACGCCTTTGGCTTTGGGAGGAGGTACGATTGGCGATCTCATGCCACCTGAACAGATGGGGACCGCGATGGCCGTCTGGGGTTTAGGATCGTTAGTGGCGCCTGTAAGGAATTTCCAGCCGAGACCAATAGATGGTGCTGTGAGGAGTGAGACAAGGCTTCTAATATTAACATGGCATCGTGTCTAGGTCTTCTCTCCCATTGCGGGAGGTTATCTTAACGAGGCTGCTGGCTGGAGATGGATCTTTTGGGTTATTGCTATCCCGGTAAGCGTTGGGCAAACGGACCGACAAATGGACATTGGATGCGAAAGCGAGAGATATAGTACGTTCTGACTCACAGTGGAGTAGATGGCCATCCTTACGGTCTTGTGCCCCTTTCTGATTCGTGAAACATACGTTCCCGTACTACTGGAGGCCAAAACTCGGAGACTTCGTAGGGAGACAGGTAATCCTCAATTGAAGTCCCGCCTGGATCCGGGGGTCTCTCGCCGGGAAGTCATCGTTAAGGCTCTCATTCGTCCCCCTAAGCTTCTGTTGACGTCGTTCGTGGTGACAACAATTGCACTGAACGTAGCAGTGGTATACGGATATCAATATCTTGTCTTTACAACGCTGGCATACATTTTCCAGGACAAGTATCACTTGTCAACCGGCATATCTGGGTTGGTTTACTTGGGAAATGGACTTGGGACCATTTTAGGTAAGTCGACTTCGTGCATCCCTTGCCTGGCTTTATTTTAGACTACTTGCAAAGTTTCGGATTAATGCAAGGCCACATCATGACTTTTCACTTCATCAGGCATCTTCATCATTGGTTATACGTCAGACAAAGTCGCCGAACGAAAGAAGAATAGAGCATCCGCCTTGGGCAAAGATGTTCAACCAGAGGAGTATCTGTGGCCTATGCTTCCCTCAGGCCTGTTAGCTCCCATTGGTCTTCTTTGGTATGGGTGGTCGTTGCAGACTAATGCATACCCAGTGGTCCCAGTGGTTGGGCTAGGAGTGTTTGGATTCGCCATGATGGGCATTTTCCAGCCAGCACAGATCTATCTGGTGAATGCATTCCCGACACATTCTGCCTCCGCCCTGGCGGCGATGAACATTCTTAGAAGTTTGGCCGGAGGCTTGTTGCCTCTCGCAGGTCAGGGCCTATACGATAGTCTGGGGATGGGGTGGGGGAACAGTCTCTTGGCTTTTATTGCGTTGGCGTTCGCTCCTGTGCCCTTTCTCTTGCACAGATATGGGGCAAGAATTAGGAAGAAGGATCAGAATATCAAATGATCTCCATTCGGGGAGTTTGTGGTCCGACAAAAAGGTACATATTTGAAGGTACTCGATATACGAACTTTTAGGTCAGATGAACGACCACATACACACTTGAAATGTATTTCTTTCTCTTTATTATGGTAGAATCATCTTTAAATTTAAGGAATGGTTTTCTAATATGTTGATAACAGGTTTTTCTGAACACTATCATAGAGTCCTTGGTGGACATTCAGGGGCCACTTTTCTTGGGAATGCGAACACAGCTTGTGAAACAACCCGATAGAAAGAATAGACCAGCCGCAAAAATATACGGCAATCCCACCAAGAACCCATCCTCCTGCATTCCCCGACGAAATGCGGCAGCTAGTATGGGCCCTGAGGCCATGGAACCGGTACTTTGAGCGAACCCAATAGCTGTGTTCACAATGCCGACTTGTGATGGCGATGCGAGTTCCATGGCCAAACTTCGCAGGGCCGAGTAGAACCCCCATCCACATGCGAGCAAGATAATGCCCACTATGAATGCCACCGGATTAGTAGAAACAGCCATGATAGTCGAGCCAACAGTTAGAATCCACACACTGCCTTGGACAATGCGGAGGTCCTTAGCGGCAGGTGACAGAAGTAAACGTTTATTCAGATAGTCGGAAAGCCAAGGGAGAATAATCAATAAAAGCACGAGATTAATAATACCCTTCAGCGTGATGAGTGAGCTGGCGCGCGCGATACTCCAAGAAAAGCGGTTTGAGGCATATTGAACCATAAGCTGTAGTGCTTGGCGACCGATACTTGCTAGTAGAAATGCACAAACAGTGTAGAAAAGATTGGCGTTCCAGGATACTGTATACCCTTTTTGAATGTCGTTCCAATGTTGCTGCATAGCATTTTTCCAACGCATACAAGTTGTATCGTGAACCAAGGTCGAAGTATGCCGTTCTTCCTGGCCGTCCTCCTGCTCCTCTAGGCTGCGTTGTTCATTGCATTGCACTGAGTTGAAAGACACATCGGAGATGAAAGCAGCTCCAAGCAGCCCTAAACACTGAAACAAAAGACCTAGTAGTGAAGGAATCCATGGGCTCCACGTCATGAGGAATGCAGCAAGCGGAGTGGCGAAAATTTCGCCCGATAGAGTCCCAGCAGACAGGATGAAGAAAACGGATGCCCTAAACAAAGATCCTCCTTGTTAGTCAATGCATAATTAGCATAGGGAAGGTATAATCGCTACCTTTGATTACTTGGTACTATATCGGTAACCATAGCATAGGCCATAGCGGTCGCAATTTGGGGTCCGCCGCCTATGATCTGAAAAGCGGGCGTCGCCCAAATCATCCGCAGCGGCAGGGTAGAATTAAACAAGAAGATTAGTCGCATTGCGGTTTCTTCGAGAATGAGTCCAACCAAGCTAAGTGCCAGGATGGGCTTACGCCCTATGCTATCCGCCGCAAACCCATAGGGAAGCGCAACGAGAATTCCCGGTAGTTGGTCAAATGTGTCCTTCCACCCATTTATCAGGGCTAATTCTCCTTGCACTTGAGGCGACTTGCAGTTGTCATCGACCCCAAGCGAGTTGCTCCCTCGAGCCTGGCGGCAGATAATGGACTCGAGAATTTCAATATGAGGGGCATAGCCAAGGTAGTTGCCAAAGTCAGCGGCTATGATGGAAAGGCATACAAGGAGCAAGAGTCGGTGGCGGAGAAGGGAAGTTATCTTGGGTTGGTCGTCATGGCCAGCCTCATGCGCCCTTAAGAGGGGGGCCTGCTCGTCAAGCTCCTCTGGTGGGCGAGCCGATGGTGCTGATGGCTTTCGCGCCGGCATAGCAGGCAGGGTGAGTATTGCTGTCGTTACTATCGTTGCTCTCGATTTGAATTTTCCGGAACCTCTTGTGGGAGACGGTTCTGTCCAGTTGCCTGAGAAGGAATATGCTAGAAACAAAAAAGACCACCTCGGGGAGGGGGGCGGAGAAATTACAGGGGGCGCGTATGGGGGTTAGGGTTGAGGCGTTAGCACATATTAGGTATCCTTGCACCGGGCGGTCGGGATTCTCCGGCGGCACAGTTGATGTTCTTAACGCCGTGTTCGAAGCTTGGCTCTCACTCTTCTGTCCTCTGCTCCAGCGAAGTCTGCTGTTCTCTACCTCCTTCGCATCTCCCTTCATTTCATTGCATTATGTGTCGGGTTCGTCGTTGAAGTCGACCACATTGATCAGTATAGATAACACAACTTCTCAAAGCCGTAAATCGACATCTGATCGCCCAGCTGGACGATGGCGCACCTCCCAACCGCCTTATTGAGATTGCGGACTCCTTTCCGGACGACCTCATTGTCAGATGCTTTGTGACACCATTTGCCAGACACTCATACAAGTAAGAGATGCGTGAGATTTTGTGACGGGACTATCATGCTGATGGAATCAGGGCCCTACTAGCGGTCATGATCTTCATCTATGGCTCGTTCATCACATGCAACTTTTGGGACGACGGAAAAGTTTGTGATCGAAGGCTTACCTCCTTGCTCTTCTTTATGGGACTTGGATTTATGATATTAATCGGCTACACGGCTCACCTTCGGAGGAAGCTCGAGAGGCAGAAGCGATTGCCGCAGGACTTTTAAGCTTGGCAGTGCTGTGAGGCAGTGATTTCCATCTACCTCAAGTGACGAGGAATGGCCGGCCTGATTGTCCCCTCTCCGAAGAAAAGATCAGTGGCGCACTTGATCTGGGTGCCCAAACGGGATTTCTCTCCCCTCCCCTTCAAGGTCGACCACGCTGCACATACCCTCCTCATCTTCGGTTCATCCATTTCCACTGAGGAGTTGACCTGGAAGCCCCTTTATTCTTCGAAATTATTCTGTTTATTCATACTGGGGACTACCCGTGTCAAACTTACTTGCGATATCAATCTTCCAAGTCATACAGAAATCAAGGAAATCTTTTGCATTCAACAAGGCTACAAATCTGGAGAGAGAACGAAAGAGAAGACTACCGAGATTATTGGAACCCATCAACCAGGTGCAAACACCGACACACGAAGTTCAATACCAAAGAATCAAGAAGTCACATACAGAAACTGCTATCATGGTAATATTCATTCTTCTGTATTCTGAATTTGGACAACTTTCAATAGTTGCAAAGGGTGCAGAGAGCAGAAGGAGACCTGAGAATAATCGCATCAGATGTAGAGTGGGAAAGGAAAAGCTGCGGCTGCGACACCAATCAACACGATCATTCACGGTCGGCCATGTGAGTGGAGAACAGGGCACGTTGGCCCTCGAGTGAACCGTAAGGTTCCTCCCGCGACTCCGCCACAACTCTGTCAAGATCAGAGACAAAAATCACGACCTATGATGACATTATCTACGAGCGAATGAAAGTTAACTTTCCCGTTGAGCTGGAAACATGTCCAGCCTCACCGTGCCCATCAAGAATCGCTATTTTTGGTTCTCGCGAGTCAGTTTGCATGGTCCGCCCCCTTTGCCTGTCCTTTTGTACACACCGTCGGGGTTCTGGGGCCAATCATAGAGGGGGCTAACCGCCAGGCGCAATCTAACACACCCATCTTTGCACCACTACCCCTCGGTGCGCCGAACTTATGCAGAGCTAGCAGAATGAGCCTATCAATGGCGGATTTGCTCCAACCAAGCCCCAAGTACTCAAAATGTGGTCGAACCGCGCACCGGCCCGTCTCCGCCATCTGCCTCCGTTATCTCAGAGCTGCGCCATGGAACCGTGGCAGGGCAGAGCCTTATACTGCAGGCTGCTGGCCGACGACAGATTGAAAGGACAGCGTCATGATGTACTATAAAGTTATCGAGATTTCCCCGGAAGCAAGCGTTCGTTACTTAACCCCACCCACCTACCCTGTCTATCGTGGCATATTACCGACACATTCGGTCCCAATTAATTATGTCTTCCGGGAATTACAATATGGCGCGTGCGTCTCTACCTGCACTTTCCCAAATCATCGGGCTTGAACCAGAAAAAGAGCCTTGGTGTGCTGGTTACGCAAAGTCCCAAGGTCGGCGCTGCCATAACCAGACGAACGCCCATGGCCGCAGCCGCGCCATGCATCTTCTGAGTCAAGGCACTCAAGCGCTTCGTGCTGGGCAGAGTATCGAGGACATACTCGAAGATCTCGCTCCTTATGTCCTATGCAAACGTTGGCATCAGAACCAGGCCTCGAATCTCGTTACTCGTTGGGAGAAACAAGTTTGCTCCTTCCTACGCTCTCAATCTCCTCCTCCGTCGCCCAGGAGACAGTCCAGAGATACTTCCGTCTCAGAGCCATTGAATGCTCGCCGAGAAACCTCGGAAGAGCGATGTTTGAGGTTGGAGACGAAGATCTTGGAAATGGAAAGAATGCTCGCACGCCTTCAAAATGCTCATCACAATTCGGCTGTGCCTGATAACACCCGACACAATGCCACCGCACCTACTCGTACTCCCAGCACCGATCCTGGCTACACCCTTGATGCAAACTACCAAGGCCCAAGAGCCCGCTCGAGTGGCCACACAGATCAGACACCGCGGGGGAGCGGAATACTATCGCCCGTTTCAAGACAGCAAAGTACCAGTACGACAAGCACTCAAGCGGTACGACTTGCAGGATCAATTCGTGGCCCTCCGGAGCGGGTGCGAAGTAGAGAAGCCATAATCCAGCCGACAGCCACACAAGAGGTGTCCAATACAACGATGACGGAAGCAGCACGTCCACAAGCATCTCTTCGGATGTCTAATGTCCAATCGCGCGGAACGACGCCACCACATGTCCATTCTAGAAGCCCTCCTCCTAGGGCCGTTCAAAGAAGAACTGAACAAGCCGTTGCTTCTGTCGCTCGCCCTCCTATTCCTACTCGTCGGACTGTTGAAGGAGATTGTGGAATTTGTCTGTGTGCGCTTCAAGAGGGCGCCGACGATACCAGTGATGCGGGGGATGAGACAGACAATGAAGACGAGCATACTGGAGATGAGGAGGAAAGATACGAAGATCTCGTGTGGTGCAAAGCTCAGTGCGGAGTCAACTTCCACAAGACGTGCATGCATCAGTGGTTGCAAACAGCTCCTAGGACGACGTGTCCTGCATGCCGGAGAGTCTGGAGGGGATGATGATAACTATTTATTAATATTTTTAAATTGCCCTGAATTATGAATGTCTTCTGATACTTCCAACAAAATCCAATCTTTGGGGCTCAGAGCAACCAAATAAATTTCTTAATAATGCCTCTTCGGGCCAGAAAAAGTGATATTTTGATCCATCTATGAAATACGATTATTCCACGAGGTATGAATCATATAATTAGGGTGGATAGATCCTGTTCTCAACATCGAAATCTCGCTCATAGCCCGTTACCCTATGAATCCTATCACGAAGAGGGGGTTTGACCAACTGAGTGGCTGTGATACGGAAACGCCGTCGATGTTTCAAGACGGCAGGAGTCACGGAATGTGGACCCACTTATACTAGCACCAGGCAAGGGCACAGGACGCTCTGAATCGCCTTACAAGTGCTTCCACTTCTTGCAGGCTGAGCAGTTAACAACTGGCTTCAAATCCATTTTACGCACGAGAGACATCGTCATTCTAACAGCGGCCTAGTCATTTACATGAGACTGCAAATATTTGCGAAGGATTCTTGGCGGGGTCGGATCGAGTCACCTGGAGCCTCCGCGTGATTTGGCCCCCAAACTAACGGGTCAAGGCTTATTTTCTAGCTCCTGCCTAGCATGGCGCGTATTCCCTGGCTATCTCGGGACGGGGCGGTGCATCATGCGAAAGTTGGTGTGTTGGGCTGTATTAACCAATTAATTGAGAGCTAGATGTGTTGGGCATACGGCCATTTTTGTGGTTGCGTCACAGGCAAGAACACTGGTTTCGTCCCTTGCTGTTTCGTTCGCATAAAATAAGCCTCAGGGTTACATCGTACACAGAAGGGCTGAATCGGGTTGTGAGTGTATGCCTTGCTACCACACAGACCGCCGGAGAATTTTACGAAGACTGAAAAGAGGCATTCAGAATGCCTGGATAGGCCCAAAGTCCAAAAGGCAGCCAGCGTTAAACAGTTTAATAGTTGAATACAAAATCTCTCCTGGAAACCTGGGTTCGTCCTTAGGCATCCACATTATACGGAATGGACTTTTGGCGCCTACGACCTTGGAATATCGGGCTACCCGTTAGCGCTATCGGGCTGCATTATTAGTTATGCGCCCGGGCGACTTCGCCTGACACCTCGAGGCCCTATATCGCCCCATACTTATTATAAGAGACGGTTGGCTTGTAGCATTCGCTCATTATCCTTCTTTGCCCTCATGGCCATGACCAGCATCGGTTATGGGAGATACGACCATGCTCTCGCCAGCCCCATGCCTTCAGTCACAACCCAAAGGGCTTCGGTCACTTGAGTCCGAACATGAAACCGACTGTCAAACAGAGAATTTCGTCGTTTCTCCGCGCTTGATTGCGAATGTCATCAGCGGCAATGAAAATGATCTTAGCGTTACTTGCCGGATTACCACGATAACTCCCGATGCAACCACCATACTCAAATCTTTGTCAAAGTCTGGCAGCGAGGCTGATCCGGAGGAAGAAAATACTTCCACCATAAAGTTGGAAAATGCGGCCCATTTGCCAATCTCCGGGCGTACGCGCAGAGCCAAGACCTGCAAACTACAACTCCGGACCTCGTTCTCCGATCCAGAGACAAAATTGTCATCAGTATTGAGCAAGCGTACAAAGAATAAAGTGGCTCTTCTTGGTAATGGCTCAGAATTCCACGACAGAGAATATTGGGAAATTAAATCGCCAGAGGAGCTTGGCTTGCTTTCTGCCCTTTTTGGGTCAAAAGGAACGAAGCGCTCCCGGCATACGAGAATTGAATTATGGATACCGGGAAATGTCGGCGACATCGATCTTGACTTTTCAGGTCCCAAGTCAATGATGTTCAGAACCAAACTGGGGAGTTATAATCTGGCCTGCCAGAAGTCACAAAAGCAAAGATCCGATATCAATCCCGTTCCACCAAACTCGACAGGCATGGTCCAAGGTGGAGACAGCAAAGTCATTACCTCCTGCAATCGAACTCCTTTCAACCCTAGTGAGAAAGCTTTCGTATCACTGGGCACGCTCGGAATTCCCTCATCAACATCAACTAAGTACAAAAATGAGGTTGAATGTGTTCAAAAGCCCCTTTACAAAATTATGCCTCTCGAGATTATACAGCATCTAAGGGAAGATAGCTCACTATGCCCAGCATGGACGGCCAAGGGAACCCGATGCCGCATCCGACATTCTACAGGACCCAGCGTCCCGTCAATTGCGAATTTGGCTTCCGTGGAGATTAGTGGGCTTTTCTCACAGATCCAGCGCCTCATACATGTGGCACTTTGTTCAACGCACCGGAGGGTCGCATTACGTGACCTTGAAGGGTGGAAACCAGATTTTGAGAAACTCTCCAAGGTTCAAGGACCTCAAGACAGCCTCTCCCCTCATGACTGGCGGCTACTGGCTATTACTAGCTGGATTTGCTTCGTAAGCAAGGAGGCAGCTTCTCAAAAAGACAAAAGCCCTTCACCACTGCCAAGGATAAAGCCAGACCTTGAGAGCAACCCAATTCAGATCAATCCAATTCAGATCAATCCAATTCAGATCAATCTAATTCAGATCAATCCAATTCAGATCAATCCAATTCAGGAATTCAAACCCTATATTACTACGCCTCTCGCAGGGGGGCTGGCCAAAAGTATAGCGAAACTCCTTACTAAGCCTCTCCTGCCGAGCGAAATCAACCAAGAAGGGTTCCTCTACATTTTCTGGCAAAAAGGAAACTTTGGACACCTGAAAATTGGACGTTCTGCAGATGTGGTTCGCCGCCTCAAAGAATGGGCGAACCAATGCAAAAAGGAAATCGGTGCACACTTCCCGGATCTTAACGGAGGTGAGGGCCACGAGGATTGGCAAAAGGTCCCGCATATCTGTCGTGTGGAAGCCCTGGTGCATATGGAACTGCTTGAACAAAGGAGAATTGAGAAAAAATGCCCTGGTTGCTCCAGGTCCCACAAAGAGTATTTCAAGATTACGCCGGAAAATGCAATTCAAGTGGTTCGGAAGTGGATCAGTTGGATGCGATCCCTCCCATATGAAAAGCGTACTATAGGAGGGAAAGAGCAATGGGTGCTCAAGAGGGAAGAATCGAAGCGTTTGGCTGATTTGTGTCAACCGCTACAGCTAACGTCAACACCTCGCTCTTTGCCCGACAAAGAGAGGATAGCTTCTCTTCGCCCCCGTCTTTCGCTTCCCAGTACAGTGAGAAACGAAGGGCGGCGAAGGGGGAGGAAGACAATATAGCATTCTATAATGCCAATTTTGTTGAGTGTCTCATGCATGATTCGTGACCTCCTTGGATAACCAAGTCGAGGTATCGACTTGCGGCTCTTCGAGCAATTGGTGGAGAAATGAGAGACAGAAAGAATAAGATTCAGCAACCCAATTGGTGTTATTGTGAATTACACAGAATACCGTGGGGCGTATTACTCTCAAAATACGCACACCGCAATTGTCTTGGCCCGAGGTGTTTTGGTAGTTCAATCAACACAGTTCCTTTCGCTCCTCTTTGATTCCTGTGCGTACAAAGCTACCGCTGTCCCCACCGTGCACAACGCAATATCCTATTTCTTCACCTTCCAAGTCGCATGCACTTCATTGTCAATTTCCTCGATCGTATCCCACTGCAGAGTGCTCCATACTTGAGGTTTCTCAAGCGCTGCAACGAAATGCTTAAGCGCCAAGGCCGTCTGAGCCGACCAGCGCTCCTTGCTGACCTTCCCAATACCAGCAGCCAGCGGTGCCATTAGAATCGTCTCAATTCTGTTATCGACATGAGAACGGTTGTGCCCCTCAATCTGGCACAACAAACTCCATACACACTCGTATACCACCTCGCGATCCCAATTCACATCCTCAGGCTCTCTCATCGTGGGACAAAGACCGACCCAGCTGCAGTTGTGATCGTTCTGTTTAAGATTCTCGGGGAACTCAACGAGGGTACATGAGCCTGGTGGGGCAAATCCCCGCCATTTGTCGTACAAAACGAGTTGAGCCGCACGAGTCAGCGCGTGGTAGTCCTTTCGGGGACTGAATGTCTGCGAGATAGCATGATCAAAGGCGCCGTCTAAACGGCCATAAGAGTTGGCGGGTGACACCACCAAATCGAATTTTACCGACGGGGGAAGGCTATTGAGGCGCTCGTTGACCGTGGTGATCTTAACTTTTCCCGGCGAGTAATCTGGCCACTGGGTTTGCAAAGCCTCATCAAACGCCGTGATGAATTCGGAATCCATGCAGAGGAGAATAATTTCGGGGATGTTGGACGTCATGTTGGTCTGTGGTTGCGATGAGTGGGGATGAATCCGGTCTTTGGAATGTGGGCGGAGATGCTTGAAGAAGGGGGTCGGAGTGTCCTTTTAAGCCGCCAAGGCATCGAGGGGCCGATAAATCAGATGGGTGGATCGGTTGCGCCGTCACAGTTACAAAACGACATGAGAGACGAGGTGGCACGATCCGAGCAGGAAGTAAATGAGGCTGCCTGCTAAGGCATGAAAGATGTACATTGGAAATAAAATTGTCATCCAACGCGCAGACGGGAAAGCGAATATGCAACGTTGAATTTAAATCATCTCAAACCGCCAATGCTATATTGCTATACGCAAGAATGAGGTATAAAGAAAAGAAAATCATCAGTCCATCCAATTCATCACGTCTCCTCGATGCCTAAATCTCTCTCCTTCTTTAATGTAGGCTCCTCTGCCGCATCATCATTTTGACCACGTGATGCAGCCCGCGCCAGCTCTTGCGACGACATATAACGGATCAAGCTCTCGCACAATCGGTCCAGAATCCAATCAGGTTCCGATTGGTGCGCCAGCATGGGGCTATCCGCACCGATCCAGTCCCAGTTCAAGGTGCCGAATACAGCCTCATCGACGCTAATGCTATTGCCGTCCGGAAGCGCAGCACGATCCGCGGACGAACCGGGCCGCGAATATGGATCGGTGAACTGGATAAGACGGGTGTATTCCACCCACTCCTCGTAGGTGTACCGCTTGTGCTTGCCTTCTCGTGCGTCGTTTGTGGTGCGGCGGATAGCAAAGGCAAGTTGCTGCGCGAGTTCAAAAGGAGAGGGGTTGGACTCGCGGGCAAGCTCTTCGATGGTTCGAAGTGGGTGCCCATCAGACGAGCGGTTACGTAGCGGCACAATTGGCTCCATCTTCTTAGTATTCGAGGCCGAAGACGGTCTCTCCTCTGTCGGAGCTGCCTCATCTACTTCCATGCCGACCTGAAATCCGCGCCTCAGCCGCTTTTTTTCCTGGTACTCTTGTACCCGCCGCTGGAGGGCGGGGAAATGGGAAAGAACGCCCTTGTATGCCGCTTGGCGGGGCATTACAAAGAAATCGCTGAATTTCTCACTGGAATGCTTGTAGCCCGCAACAATAGTGTCGCTCATTTGCGAGATGAGTATGGTCATAGTCGGGATCGCGATGAGAGACCACACGACGAAGAAAGGTCGGCCTGCGTTTGACTGCGGTGTAAAGTCACCGTAACCGATAGTAATCAGCGAGCAGAAGCAGAAGTACAAGCTTTCGAAATAAGTCATATCCTCCAGCTGCCAGAAAACGACGGCACCGCATGACCACACAATTCCGAATACGATGATACTGATGAACAGGTTGTTCCAGCGACGAAACCGCAGAGTTTCGTACTGGATCGCACGCATCGCGTCAAACCGATCTTTCTCCTCTCTCATAATGAGTAGTTTGGGCCGGTGACCAGACGCCAACGCAGTGAGGGTTCTGCGGATGGGTTGGTGTTTGTGATGCCGGTGTTGTGAGATGTTGGACCGTTCCCGGGTAAGCTTTGGAGTGGCAATACCCTTTCCTGGAAGTTCGCGACCACTTCGCAGCTGTTCGAACGTGATGGATCTGTCAAATGTGGACTGTCGTTTGTTCTCGATATGCTTGCGCACAACATTGTCGTAGTGAACTTCGCGGGCGAACTGGTGGATACTGCCAACCACCAGACCAAGCATGATAATGCCGATCACAGCATAGGGCCAGATCAGACCTCTTCCAACCGCAGTGTGGGCAGTGATATCGCCGAACCCTAGAGTCAAGACTGTGACGTCAGAAAAATAAAGCGCGTCGGCGAATGATATATCCAACAAGCTTTGAAATATTGCGGCGCCAATGAGAAGCCAAACAACAAATCCAGTCATTTGCAAAATGAGAGTACGCTGATCATCCGTGAGAAGAAAGTGCTGTGGGTACTTCCCCAGGAAGCAGCCAAGCATGTTGATCATCAGAAGAAATCCCAATATGTAGTAGAGAATGGCTGCAATAACCGCGCTCCAATATGCCTGGGAGTAGACATCGCTCGGCGGGATAGGTGGGCTGTAAATGGAAAGGGATGCGGTCAGGCCGCTCAACTATGGAAGGCGGTTGTTAGCAGAGGCAGGGACGACGTGGTCGAGATCGAGATGCTTCGTCACTTACTATCCCCGTAGCAATAAACCACAAAACAATAGTCACGGGCAGAGCTATTATATATCGAATGGTCTGAGTAAAATTCAAAAGCAAGAAAATATTGCCGACCACACCGCAGAAAAGCGATACCGCGTTCAGCGCAGTCACCCTCCAGGTCCCGTCCCGTCAGCTAGATGCCACACTTCCCAGACCCTTGCACGACTCACCAATGAGGGTCACCATAGCCCTCTTGAACCCAGTTCCCAGCTGGTCCCACGTCTCGAGAAATGATCTTGCTCCTCCACGGCATAACGAGCGCCACAATAGACATGACATTAGCCAGCGGTCCAGCGGTCGCAGCCACCAGTGGAATAGCAGTTGAGGCAATCCACCACGACTGAGGCTCATCGTCCTCTGGGGGCCTCATGTGAAACTGACTGCGAAACCGCTCCCATCGTGACGGTTTTGCAACAGCATGATTGGTGCGAATCTCCAGTGGGGGAAGTCCATTCTGCATGGCTCACGCGGCGACGCTATGTACAGGAGCCGGAACAAAGGGGAAGGTGTGAGAGACAGAGAGAGCCCCCAAAACCACCGAGACCTGAGATGAAAGGTTTGATGCGTGCGAGAACGGAACAATCCAAGCCTATCGCGGTGGAGGTGCTTAAGGCTTCATCCCTAGTCTCCCAGCGCGTACCCAGTACGCCGTAAATCGCAATGTCAGATGGGGGTGGAGAGGTCGCAGGGAGTTCGGGAATCGCTTTCGAGATCTGAAGTCAAGCTCTTATCGTTGCGGTACTGAATGGTCAGCATAAAGGGGAGTTTTCCGAGCGTACAAGTAAGGTACAAAATCTCATTGTTGATGCACCAGATGATGTCAACGAGCGTGTCTCAAACTTTGGCTTCGATCTACGGTCCCGTGACCGTTCCCCACCCTGCACCCATGGGTCATGCGGTGAATTGCAATGCGTTGTCAACATGAGAGGCAAATATCGCGAGATCGGAAGGAAGGTATTGGGGTCAATCCGAGCGTGCTACACTTCACGGTAGTAGCTGGGGCTAAGGCTGTGAGCCAGGGCCGTTAGAGTTTAAAGTTGTGTCTGTTGTGGGACCTCCAGCTGCCTATCTAATCAGGGCACGATCGGTGACCTTCTCGACTTGACCAGATTTGGGACTAGGAAGCATTTTATGATCTGGTCTCCGGTCGTAATCAGCTCTCCATTTACAAAGAAATCGGACTGGATCTGATCTGCACTGTTCCAATGCTGTGCAATTCGCGGTAACAGGCTCATTTGGACAAAGAATTTTGTACGTTGAAAAGGGGAATTAATTACACTAAAAAAGGACGCGCCCGCCAAATCCAATCCCGCCTCGCTAAAAATTCCTGAAGGTGCATGAGCTTTACCTTTGATTGTTCATATCAGTTCTTCCACTGAGTCGAGCCATCCAGTTCTGCCCTCATCATGCCCGGTCCCATTTCGGATGCGACGGTAGACCCAGGCAGTTCACGCAACCTCTGTCCATGGTATACGTCTTGAGCGTGTCCCAGGGAGGCTGGGGAAATCACGGAAGTGGGCGAAGCGGGCTTCTTTTCATCGTCATCTGCTAGCTCCGACATAGCTGGTGCTGGCTGCTCTGGAACTTTGGAAGAGCCAGCCTTTTTGCGCGGTCGCCAGCACAGGAAGAAGAACAGGATGCCCGCGATCGCAGCGGCAGCTAGCACACCAACAATGATTCCCGCAATTGCCCCTCCAGATAGCGAAGAGCCTTTGCTCGTCCTGTTGTCAGAACTTGCGGCGATCGGTGTAGTGGCAGGCGAGCTAGTGTTTGCGGCGGTAGACGTAGACGTGGCGACGGCTGATGTCTGTGTTGTACTCGTCATCGTCGATGTTGAGGCTGAGCTTGAGGTTGAGGTTGTTGATGTGGTGTTGGACGTGCTAGATGTAGTGTCGGTACCATTCGCTACAACTTCGTAGGAATGGATATATGATCCTGCCACATGGTTGCTCCAGGGCCATGACTTGCATGTATAACCGGCCGATGGGTCGGTGCAGTTATTGTTGTTGTAGAGATAGATGCAATAATTTCCACTTTGGGGGTCCCAGTCGAATATGTTCCCCTTGGGATTGTCCACCACCTTGCAAGACTGAATCACATCGCCGTGGTCGGTAAGGAAACCCCCTGAGGAGTTGGTCCAGCTGAAGACCCATGCTGCCGTTGCAGGGATATAGGCGAGGCAGAGCGGCAGCACAAGCAGTGACGAGGACACCATCTTGGATAAGCGAATAGCGCTCTGGTCACAATCAATGATATCAGAATTCTCACATAAAGTTTTCGAGTCCAAATTTTCAAGGGGCCCATCTGCTTTTAACTATGCCCCACGCACATCACCCCCAAGAAAAGCTCGTATCCTGGGGATATTAGTCGCATAATTAGTTGCATGAGCCAAGCCTTGAAGACGGCACATTCTCGGGTGGTCGGATTCTGGCTATGGCCCCGTCCAATGGTACCTCAGGAAAGGAAGGGCGTATGTCTGGGCGCCAGATGTTCAGGGCACGCGAAAGGGCGGGCAATTCCCCTAGGGGCCCACCGAGGCTGAAGAACACGAGGTGATCGGCAGGCTACGACTCTGTCCAGCAACATCCCCCGAACAACTTCAAACCCCGTGCAGCATCTTGGACCTGGTCCTGTCGCTCGGAGCCGTGATCTATCCTTCAGGCGGCGATCGATGATCGTCGGAATGACTGCATCTGAGTTCTGGCGATGCGACTGAGATTGGGTCAATCGACGCTGGGCCTGGAAAGGTGCACCGTGACTGATGAATTACGCCGTGGACGGGTTCAGGCCAAAAGCCGGGACTGCATATGTGGCGCCAGAAGATTACCATTGCAACCCCACGTATGGTTTTCCTCCTGGCCACTTGAAGGCTAATTTTTAAGGTCGGAAATCAGGCATCACATGCATACTCCACCCCTTTTCAGCATGTTTGCCAGCCCCGATCGTCTCGACATTAAGGACCAATAAGAACGGTCCCCACTTAAGAATCCTCACAGCATGCTTCCAGCCACTAGCCTTTAAAAAAAAAATAGCCGGCAGTTGACCCCGTAGTTGAACGGTTCAACATCAGCTTTTGACGAGAGTCACATTGTCCGGATGCTTAAAATATGGGTCAGCACACTTGTTCCAGCGCCACATTTTCGGCTTAAGAATTCCGACCTACCAAAGAAGCTTTGGCCAGAAGCAGTCCATACGGCCGTCTATCCGATCAACCGGGCACCGACGACCCCGCAGAACGGTCAACAAATTATCCCATGGATCGAAACCATGCAGAATCAAAACAATCAGGATCAAAATCTAGGCCTAAGTCCTCTCGAATCTCCGAGTATATGGCTGCAGAGCGTATGTGCGCCGTCAGGGAATTCCACAGAACGATAAGATGCGCCGCGCGTAGAGATAGGGTATCTGGTCGGATACGCTGCATCGAACATCTAGAGAGTATGGTTCCCGTATCTTGACACCGTCAAAGAGGTGAAGGATGTCGTATTCGATGAGAACATACGATTTGACCCGAGAGAACTGGAGAAACCACCGCTAGCAGATGTTCCAGGAAGAGCTGCTATTGTGAGGTTCTATTATCTCTGCGCGCGGTGCCATCTTATCTTTTTGTGGGATTCCCTCACGGCGCGAGCATATGCCCGGAGATTCGAGAGGTTTCGGCGCAGGCTTTGATCCTGATTGTTTTGATTCTGCATGGTTTCGATCCATGGGATAATTTGTTGACCGTTTTATAGTGTTGTAGGCATCCGGTTAATCAAATAGCTGTACGGACTGCTTTGGCCACAGCTTCTTCGGAAGGCCTGAATCGATGGTCAGAGCTCTTGCGATGGCGATGATAATACCTCCTGCTCTCTCGATAAAGCCATTCTGTTCAGGCGTTCCAACGACGCTGAACTCTGCTAAGATACCCTCTTCCGCGCAGTGATCCTTGATAGCCCTGCCTAGTGTCTGTTTTTTAGCTGATTTCCACAGACCGCGATGCATTTGTGGATAGCCTCGCCACATCCGCTCTTCTTCTTATGCGACTGAACCATATGAAGATGAATACCTTCAACAGGCGAGTGTCTCGACCCGTCGGTCGGACATGCGCCCACGTCTTCGGTGCCAAATCTGAGGGGTGGGACGGATACAAGAGGGTTTTGCAGACTAAAGTGTTGGAACGGCAGTCGGGGCTATCGCTGTCACCGTCGGAGTAGGCTGACCGTCCTGGTAGTGTTCTAGGAAACATAGTCCGTACTGTTTAGTGCACGCTGCGACAGGTTTAGCCTGCTTGGTAACAGCTGGAGGGATAAGCTAGATCGCCCAGATCCTAACCTTCACCAAGCGTCGGGATAACAAACTAAGACAGCTGTCTCTGACGTTCAATATTTTTCTCCGCGATATTTTCTCCGCGAAGTTTGACGAAAGCGGGTATATCGAGCGTCTGTGCTTCTCGATGGTCCATGAAAATGCGGGATGGACGGGGGCCGCTTGGTCCGGGCGCATGAGGTTCGAGGACACGTGCCTGCATGAACAACCCAGTGGGAGAGACATAGAGCCGCCTGTACTGAACCGATCCCTACTCGCTGCTCCCCATCCTTTGTTTATTCCTCTATGAAAATTCCGACCCGTCGGAGATCAGCCGATGTCCGTGATGAGCGGGGAAGAGACCAGGAGTAGAGAAAGGCGACAATCGCGACACCGGCGGCAAGCCCGGTCAGACCCGACGATCCAAGCCCCTCCGAAACAGGCAAGGAGCTTGGCTGCATGCTGCAGGCAAGCTCAAACGCCCACTGGCCAACTTGCACAAACGAATCGCCTATATCGGACCCCACCGGACATGGAAAACATGGAAAACATGGAAAACATGGCAAGCACGAGAATTGCAAGCACAAAATTGTTGGGATCCTGGCACCTTCACATGCAAAGGATGCCTCCGAAGTGGGGCAGAAACGGGGCCCACGGAGAACGAAGGGAGGATTTATGGAGCAGCATTTATGGAGCACGCTGGGCAGCAGACCGCGGGGACGAGGACGGGGACGGGGACGGGGACGGGGACTGCTCCTGTGGCAGTGCATTTGGAACCGGTGTAAAGGCATCGCAAGGGCGTTCGTACACATGGCACTGCCATCAGTCCGCACGGCGGACGATCTGCCTGTAGGGCCGGGGGGAAATGGGTGAGTTCCGGCAAGATCATTGGTTCCGATAAGTAGGTTAGCTCTGGAAAATTCCAAGGTTTCGCGGGCGAGGCGGTCAACAGTCTAGTCTTATTGGTGTTGTCTCCGTCATAGGTCTGGATTAATCTACGGAATGTTGAGAAAGGGTGGGTAGGATAGGGCATGGTCGAACATCTGAGCGGCCCTGGCCGTTTGCCCCGTCCCTGCTTTGGGATCTAGCTCCGTCCTACGACTCTGGTCACTCTGTCTTTTCCTAGAAGTTCTTCGGCCACTTGTACTCCGTACTCCTTCCTTGACCACCTTGACCAGCACCAGGGAGCTTGCGGTGCCCCCAATGACCAGATCCTTCCCACTCTGGTAGCCCACGACAAAGCCGATCCCAATCCGACGGCGTCATATTTGCTTTTGGCAGACGTCGTCCGCGACCGTCGCCATTCCAACTTCCTCGTTGCCCCTCTTTTAACCGTGACACGACACACTGCCAAAATATGCCCATTATCGACACAACCAAAGACCTGCCGACGCTGTTTCAGCAACAGGCGCAGGCGACGCCTGATGCCATCGCCCTGGAAGATGACGCCATTACATACACCTATCAGCAGCTCGATCGCGAGGTCGAAGCGCTCGCTAGTCGGCTGCGTCTGTATGGCGTCAGCCGGGACTCGCTCGTCGGAGTGCTCCTGCCTCGCAGCGCGAACTACGTGATTGCGTGTCTGGCTGCGCTGCGCGCGGGCGGTGCCTTTCTCGTGCTGGAGTTGGCCTATCCGGCGGGCCTGCTGGCGGACGTCATTAGCGATGCCAACCCCGCCGTGGTGATCACCCACCAGAGCGAGGCGGAGAAGGTGAAGGCCCACTGTCCGCTGATCGCCCTGGACCTGCCCGCGGCCACAATCAACGGTCATACCAAAGAGCCGGCTTCGGGGCCGGCCGAGGATGATCTGGATCGGCTAGCCTTTGTCTCGTATTCGTCGGGCACGACGGGCAAACCCAAGGGGATTGCCAACCCGCACCGTGCCCCCGTGCTCTCCTATGACCTGCGATTTGGTGTGCAGGATCTCCAGCCCGGAGACCGAGTGGCGTGCAATGTATTTTTCATTTGGGAGATGCTGCGTCCGCTGCTGCGCGGTGCTACCGTCGTGGCGGTGCCCGACGATGCCAGCTATGACCCGGCCGCGCTAGTGGACCTTCTGGCCTCCAAGGGGATCACAGAAACACTCATGACACCGACCCTGTTGGCAACGGTGCTCTCGCGATACCCACAAATTGCAACGCGCCTGCCTGCGCTGCGCACCCTCTGGCTGAACGGTGAGGTGGTGACGACCGACCTGGCCCGCAAGGCGATCAAAGCCCTGCCCCATACCCGCCTCCTCAACTGCTATAGTGCCTGCGAGACCCATGAGATTGCGTGCGGTGATATTCGGGATGTGATGGACCCTGATTCTCTCTACTGCCCAGTTGGTGCGCCTCTCGACCCGGCACACACCTACATTTTGGACCAGAGTGGACAGGAGGTCGCGGCCGGGTTGGCGGGAGAACTCTTCATTGGTGGAGACCTGCTGGCGCGGGAATACCTCAATCTGCCAGATACCACGGCCAAGGCGTTCTTGCCGGACAAGTTTGATCCAACGCCAGGCGCGCGGATGTATCGAACGGGCGATCTGGCGAGGAAGTTGCCTTCGGGGCTGCTGGAAATCACAGGTCGTGTGGGCGCGATGATCAAGCTCCGTGGCTATTCGGTGGTCCCGGCCAAAGTGGAGAGGGACATCTGCCAGTATTTGGCAGTGGGTCAGTGTGCCGTGATAGCTCACGGCGAGGGTCTGGAGCGGCAGTTGGTTGCATACATGGTGGCCGATCAGGAGGCTGGAGAGCGGCCGGCGGTGGAGATCAACGAGACGGGACACAGTCCAGCCGCTCGTCGGATCCTCGAGCCGCACCTGGCTCACTATATGATTCCCGCGTTGTGGGTGGAGCTGAATGAGTTGCCCACAAGTGAAGTGTCCGGCAAAGTCGATCTCAAGCGTCTCCCTCCGCCTCGCAGCGCCAGCCCCAGCGGCAGCGACCTGACGACCGACCAGGATCCGATTGGCATCAGCGACATTGCCACAATCTGGGCTAATGTCCTGAAAACCTCCAAGGCCCTTCTCAAGCCAGAGGATAACTTCTTTGATTTGGGTGGCCACTCTCTATCCCTAGCCGATCTGGCCTCAAAACTCTCCCGGCATTTTGGCTTCCGCGTTCCGATTCCCCGTCTGGCAAACAACACGACTCTCGCCGCTCATTTGGAGACGGTGCGCGCTGTCAGGGATGGGCACACGGCTGCAGTCCAAGCAGACCTACCCGCCGTCCTCCTCGCTGATTCGACTCTGGAGGACGAGATCAAGCCTCCTTCAAATACTTCTATCACTTCTATCGCCGACGCGAATACGGTGCTCTTGACCGGTGCGACCGGCTTCTTGGGTGCATTCCTGCTGAGCGATCTGCTGGACAGCACCTCGGCGAAGATTATTTGTCTTGTGCGGTTCAATGATCCCGAAGATGACGACCAAGCTGGAGGGGTGGCCCGTATCCGCCGGAATCTGCTGGACCTCGGACTCTGGCGCGACACGTTGATGGAGCGTGTTGAGATCCTGCCTGGTAACCTGTCTCGGCCTCGCTTTGGACTGTCCCCCGAGGCATTTGATGAGCTTGCGGCTCGTGTCCAAGTCATTGTCCATGCTGCTGCCACCGTCAATTTGGTGTACCCTTATGCTGCTCTGCGCGGAGTCAACATTGGTGGAACTCGAGAGATTCTTCGCCTGGCATCCAAGGGCGGCGCTACCGTGCAATACGTGTCCACCAACGGAGTCCTGCCGCCATCTGGAGAGAAAGGTTGGCCGGAGCCTACCATGCTGGATGTGAATGATGTTCCTACGAAGCTGCTGGATGGCTATGGCCAGACCAAGTGGGTGGCCGAGCAGCTCGTCCTAAAGGCTGGTCAGCGCGGCCTTCCGGTCAAGATCCACCGCTGTGGTACAATCAGCGGCCACAGTATCACCGGCTCTGCCAATGCATGGGATCTGCTGACTGCCCTGCTGGTAGAGTCTATCCGCCTGGGCTACGCTCCGGAAGTCGAGGGCTGGCGTGCGGAAATGACTCCGGTGGACTTTGTTAGTAAATCCATCATCCATCTGGCCACACAGACCATGGCAGATCAGACCATCTTCCATCTCGGTGACCCCAATCCGGTCAACACCCGGTCCGTCTTTGAAAACCTGCATGAGCTCGGCTATCCAACGCAACATCTTCCATGGGATGAGTGGGTGACACTGTGGTACGAGAAGCGAGGCTCGACCAAGGGTGGGGATGGTGCCTTCACCGTCGACATTCTGCGCAGTGGTATGCCGACGGTGGAGTTCCTTCGTGGCATCGTCGTTCTGGATAACTCGCTGACCCGGCCTTTCCGAGCGGTCGTGGAGCGACCGAAGGTGGACAGTCTGCTGTTGGAGACCTATACCCGGCACTGGTTTGCCCGTGGATGGCTTCCCCGAGCTCCATCTCGCCAACATGCCCTCAATCGCACTTCGCAGCTCAACAAAAAAGGCCCGCTAAGCGGCCAGGTGGCTGTTATCACCGGTGCATCTTCCGGCATCGGTGCGGCCGTAGCCGAGGCCCTGGCTAAACAGGGCTGCTCGGTGGCTCTGGGTGCCCGTCGCCTCGACGCGTTGAAGTCTGTCCAGCGCAAGGTCGAATCCCACGGCGTCAGATGCATCATCCGCTCAACGGATGTCACAAACAAGGCCCAGGCCGAAGCCCTCGTCCAGGCCGCCAACGACGAGCTCGGTCCAGTGGACATCCTCGTCGCCTGCGCCGGCGTCATGTACTTCACCATGATGGCCAACACCCAGACAGACGAGTGGGAGCGCACCGTCGACGTCAACTGCAAGGGCCTGCTGAACGCCCTTTCTTCCACCATTCCCGGCATGCTCTCTCGCAGCCGCGGCCACATTGTGGCTATCTCCTCCGACGCCGGCCGCAAGGTTTTCCCCGGCCTGGGTGTCTACTCCGCCAGCAAGTTCTTCGTCGAAGCCACGCTGCAGGCTCTGCGCCTCGAGACTGCCGGCACCGGCTTGCGGGTTACCAGTATCCAGCCGGGCAATACGTCCACGCCGTTGCTTGGCATGTCAACGGATGCCGAAGCCGTCAAGAAATACGGAGAGCCCTCTGGCGCAAAGATTCTTGAGCCCTCGGATGTGGCGAATTCGATTGTGCATGCGCTGTGTCAGCCGGATTACGTGTCTGTCAATGAGATTCTGGTTGAGCCGCGCGATGAGCCTATTTGATGCAGTTTCCGACCACCTGACGAGCGATTTCACGGATTTGAATCTAGCTGGATCTTGGTTGAACTACCGTTTTTTTTGGCTGGAAAGCAACCATGGTACAAGATATAGATTTGATTAGCTTTTACCATACTTGGAAGAACATGATAAACAAGCATCCCATCATCCTATCAAATATAGTCCAGCCATGTACACAGAACATCTCAACGTATTAGCATCTCGGCCACTCATCGCCAGCATTCTAGAAACATCACTGCAGCGTCAGCATGATAAGCACAGTCATCACCCCCACCTTGCCCCTCCCCCCCCTCGTATCTCCTCTTCCATGCTCTCGATCCCCCCTCCTCGGGTCCAGTTCCCCGTAAGCACGCACATTAGCTTCCCACCTAACCCCGCCGTACCCACTACCGCACACCACCCACTTCAACGCCCATCCCTGATAGGACCGCCACCTGCCCTCCCACCTGCAGCCGAGCCATATAAAGTTCACCCTCACACCGGGTCGTCGCCTGCAGCGGAACACCTGTTAACGGCCGACCAGTAGCAGGCCCTGTCACCTGCAGCCCAGGGCACGCCTGGGTCTGACGGCGGTTGTGTGACATCAGCCTGTGCCGTTGTGGACGCAGTACCTGCTTTCCGCCGTCAAGCAGACGTAGGTACTGTGCAGGGAAGCGCTGCATGCGTAGCGTGGGTGCTTACGGCACAAAGTTAGGGTTGCGGCGTAGTCTTGGCTGGTTGAGAGAATTACTATTGATGGGAGGTGGATAAGCCCGTCGGATGGATGGGGCCTACCGGGGGATACGAGATACTACACGTGGAAATAGGGTACAAAGAGGGGGGGAAAATGGATGGCGAGGAAGTCCCCAGGTATTGTAATGTAAATGATATCATGGCTTTTGGATTAAACGAGTGATTATTGCGGCCTGCTCTATGTGATGGGCGGAGTAAGCTGCGGAGGTCGTGGTTCTATGTACAGCCGTGTTCCTCCGACCTCAACGAACAAGAGGGTCGCTAGCTGGGTGGTGGTGCCAGGAAGCGGCGGAACAAGAGAAGAGAAGAAGAGAACAAAAAAATCAAACCACAAGACAAAAGGAAAAGGGGAGACAAAAGAAATAAAGAATCCAATAGCCCGATAGCAATAGCAGTAGCAATAGCAATAGCAATAGCAAAAGCAAAAGCAAAAGCAAAAGCAAAATGAGGAATCGCGAAATGGTATCACCGAAGACAGAATGACACAAACTTCAACGACAGCAGGAAACAGACTGCATAACACGCAGCGTATCAGTGCGGATAACGCCGTGTCGGGAAAAACAAGACGCCGCCCCTTGACGAAACGAAATGGCAGCAATAGAAAGAGGCGCCGAAACCATGAAGCTTTTGGGGGATATCACCCCCCGACCGGGGGGCGAAGGAGCTGCCGATTGGTGGAAAGAAGCAGAACGCAGCAAAAACAGAGCGGCGTTAACGAGAAAAGCTAGCCGATGCCACACCCCACGCGATGCAAATGCAATTCAACCAGAGTGTCCAATGCTCGCCAGAGAACAGAACAGATAAGGAAAAGGACCAAGAGAAGATAAACCCCAAGTCTCTTGCCAGGATCGAATTTTCTCGTTTGCGGTTTCGGAAGGGGGATGATAAAAGTCCATAGCATTCCCCCCCCGTATTTTTTTGTTTGCTGTTTTTATAGTAGTATGTGGTAGGTTCACCCACCATCTATTTCGCCGAGGGCCGGCGCAGAATGTCCTCGCAGTTGGCGTCGAAACGCATATTCCACAGCCGGATACTATTCATCAGCTTCTCTGTATTCTCGAGCTCGCGGTCGCGGCCGAAGATCGAGTCGACAAACTCGCAGCCCGCATTGCGGCCCATGGACACGGGCCCCTTGCCACTTTCCCGCTTTGCTGCCTTCCACATAAACATCTCACACGCCTTGAGCAGCTTCTTGAACCGGTTCCAGAGACGATCGCCGCTCTCGAGGAAGTCTTCCACGACATCTTGCGCCTCGGGTCGCTGGATCCGCGGGAGACACTCGTCGGCGCGCTTGACTTTACCGGCGAGCTTGATCAGCAGCAGCCACAGGTCGCCGGCCACATCGGCCATGGGAGTGGATGCGCCGTGGTGGAAGACCGTCCAGTCGTAGATCCACTTGCCGAGCGAGTTGGCGTCAAATACGCTGCCGAGGAGAATGATGGGCGCTTCTGTTGGATCCCAGTTTTTGGTCGAGTAGCCAGGCGGGATGCCGGCGCGCTCGGCATCCTCTTCGGTGGCGGTGGGTGGCGGCTTTGAAGACGGGGGTGCTGGCTTGGGCTTGGATGGGGTGCGGGTGGAGGTGGACTGGCGGCGCGCATGGGAGCGGCGAGCTGATTCGATGTCCTCGTGGTTAGGAGCCTGGGTGAAATAGAAGTGAGAATCAGCGGCTGACGATTTGCGGTAAGAGGTCGACGCAGTCCGACGATGCTGGCCTGGGCCATCTCGCTTGGGCATCGAGGTTGGTGCGGCTGCGGGAGGACGGCCATGGCGGCTCGGGCGAGGCTGGGATTGGGGCTGGGGCTGGTGCGGCTGCGACTGCCACTGCCACTGCGACTGCTTCTGGTGGGAGGCGTGGCGCGGAATATCGAATGCATCGTCAACCACATCGGTGAAGATGGGCTGTTGCTGCGATTGCGACGGGTGGAAACCAAATGTGAAGCCGATGCCGGTGCCGAGGCCATCCCCCGCAGGATGTCCAGTCGTACGGGTGCGACGGTGCTTGGGTCCCGCAAAAGAAGCACTTACATGATCGTGCTTGCGCGATGGGATACCATAGTCTGGCGTCGCCTCGTAGTAGGACTGCGGGAAGGCCGAGTACCAGCCGGGCTCCTTGGAGGTGGCCGTGTAGCTGGCCTTGCGGGTGTGTCGTCGCGAGGTCCCTCGCGGCGAGGAGTAGGCGTTGGCGTACTGTGAGGCGTATTGGGCGTAGTGAGGCGATGTTGGCGGGGACTGTGTGTAGTCGTAGGCCGCCCACCCCTGGGGGTGGACTGGAATAGTGATACATTATCGATATCGAACGAGCATGAGCGACTGTGCAAAAGTAGCCGTATATAGCGAGGTATTGGGCGGGCTGTCTTGTTTTGCCGCTGGTCGGTTCGAGCTAGGAGGTGGCGAGTATGACGAGAGGCCAGGCGAGTAGTAGTCAAAAGAGATGAACCCCAAATGAGACCGAACCCAAATGAATGGTGAAAAAAAAGACAGCGAAGAAAATCAAGCGCAAAAAGAACAGCAGAAACAGAAACCAATTAACCCGAATATATTATACAGGATATCGTGCGCAAAGAGCAAAACGACGCCGGATGTGAACACAGGTCCCAAAAGGTTGAGTAGGACCGTCACCGTGGCACGGTTTCCGATCGGAGAGAGGAGGAGGGTTGAAGCTGAATGTGCTGAGAGTGCATTTGAACGTTGTTCGGTCTGGACCGGACGACAAAGGGGGCTTTGGAGGACGAGGCTGGTGGGAAGCCTGGTGAAGATAGGATCTTGAGATCCAGGGGTTTGGACGATGGACTCCGACAAGGCCGAGTCCCAGCAAGTTGAGACTTCCCGGTTGTGGGGGAAGAGAAAGAGTGGTAGTCGAGAGGAACCCAAAGATTTTGGGGGGAGAATAATGTGTGTTTGTGGATTCGGGAGGAGAAGTGGAGATGGAAAAATTTCCAAGGGAGAGTGAAATGGATCCGAGCAGGTCGGCGTGTGCTCCCTTTGGGGGCTTTTTGGGGACTGTTGGTCCTTTGGGTGCCTGTTCGTGCACGCCCTGCGCCAATCAGCGTGCCCTTGCCTGCCGGGGCTGTGCGCGTTGGCGTCGCTACGTGTGGCGATAGTGGATGTTACTTACGCGTATCCGGATTTCCTGAAATACCCAATCTCGCGTAGATTGATATTAGAGCTATCTACGTACAACACGGCTGAGTCGATAGATAGATCCTCTCTTCCTTTATACTCCCTGGGCCCCTCCCTCGGCTTTGCACCGGTCCCCTCTGACGCTGAATATGACTCAAACCCGGGGGCAAATGATCATGGTGTTCTTCCCCAAATCTCGATTTCTCTGTGAATCATGTAATGTTCCGCGGACACACCACTGCCCTGGCCCCTCCCCCTCCACAGGCTGTCAACAGCTGGCTACCCCTCAGACTAGTCCAGATGGAGAGATCTCTACCTCGCGATGGTCACGCTAGATGCGACATCTGCACCTGCGCTTGCTGACAGACCCCCTCCTCATGCCCTTCGTTGGCTCCCTCTGCCTTCGGGCACCGGCCAACTGCAGGCGCGGATAGTTGGGATCGCGAGGCAAGGCAGATAGGCAGATACCTAACGATGACTCTAAACGCAACTCGAGTGACTCGGCCAACTTCGTCAGTACATGGCTTGCGAACCAGATCTAGACGGGGCCACTGAGGTCGCCACTAGCGAGTCCAGCCATTTAGCGCTTCAGTCGAGCGGATTTGATTGGCCAGTTTGGATTCAGTGCAGCCATATATCGGCCGCTGGACAGCGTGTCAAGTCTCTGTTGGATGCAGCAACCTTCACCATGTGCCAGCCTTCGAGAAACTACCTGAGGATGCGTCACTGCCATGCCACTTGGTACAGTTCATTCTGCACGAACACCCGCGTAGCCCAGTCGCGACCCGACGATGGGAAGTATACCACGAGGACGGAGTACTCCATCGGGGAAAGTGGTCCAGTCCTAGCAGCGACCATCAGTCCTGCCCAACAGGAATGGCAGAACCACCCAACGATAAACTATACATACATCATGTATGTCGGTATGAACGGACGGGGACCACCCAGATAGCAGCGATAGACGGTTTGAAAAAGTTGAGACGGTCGATATAGCAGTCCGGGTTCCATGGTTGGCCCGCGGCAACTCGATCGCATCCCGTCAGTCTGAACGGGCGCTCCCGTGTCGTCCAGCGGTTCTGACTCCACCGACCCATCTTTCAAACCACTATTGTCCCTGGTGCCCACCCAAAGTCCACTACGTTGCCATAGCAAGAAAGAAACAAAGCACTCCATCCCGTTTCTTATTTACACACACTGTCTAGATTCTGTTGGGCAACACCACGGACCACACATGGGCGTTACCGCTGCGAGGTCGCTGGGCAGCAACCACCACTTTAGGCGAAAACGGGGTTTCGATGGAGCGCGTTCGCAGACCGCAACTTGCAGAGCAGCCAGGCCAATCCACGGCCTAGAAGGGCCAAAAATATCTGTGTGGGTTTGAGCATTTCCAAAAATCTAGATTGCTCCGCCCACTAGGATATTCATGCCTGCTATCATCTGGTCATGTCGTTGCGACCATGTACTGTAACTGTAGTTGTAGATATAGATGTAGATATAGGTAGACGGTTAGTAGCGGACCACTCATAGACAGTGTCTCGGACACCTAATTTCTCGCATCGTGGAGTGGTCCCCAGCAACAATGTCATCGCTGTTGTCTATCGTCATGGGAATCGGATGCTAGCAGGAATAATACGATCCCGGCTCGCGTGGGTCACCGCTCCGTGCGACCGCGCCAAATCAGCCCTAACCAACTCCTCTAGCCCACTAACTAGCAAAGCTGGCTCGCCCGGAAGCAGATTGGCTCTCGTTCGACCCCAACTCCGCCCACATCACAAACCTATGACGTCCAATACTATCGCCCACTCCAGTAGCTCACGAAACATCTCGTGAATCACCAAACGGCTCCTCCATACATCTGCCCGTAACCTATGAAAGACCAAAAACACGAGCCTCACCACACCTGCTGACCACCACTCCCTACGTTCACGCACCAACCGCAGGGATGGAGTAAACAAAAGAAAAGCATGAAGCGGCCAATGTCCAACCGCGTCCTTACAGACCGATACCAGGGCATTCCAGGGCCATCCCGAATATTCAATCAAGGGCTGCTGGCAGTGCCCTATGCCCTATTGTCTGATTGGTCAGTCCAATTGGTGAAACAAGGTTTTTTCTTCGCTCGATGAGTCAATACTTCGAGAAATCCCGCCTCTGGACTTTGTGCCAGCTAGCCAAGCGGAGCGCCCTCCTGCGCCACCGGTAGGCAGCGCCGATCGGTCAGGTCGCTGGCGTGCATTTTTTATGTGTAATTGCTTTTTTCGGCTGTTTGGATTCTGATGGATCTTCCTTTATTTTTCGGTAATGATTATGATTCACTGTGCAGGCCAAAGTCGGGGCAGTGTGGCTACCAACCACGTCCAAGAATTCCGGTAACGCACTATAAACGAGATGGTTCTTGCCCCTTCACACAGTACCCGAAATAAACACCAGCTGAACAACACTCTCTCAGCCGAGATGCATCTGTGCTGAAAACACCGCCGACCTCAGCAGGTCTGGCACCTGCAACCACTGGTGAAGGATATCCAGCTGTAAGCGTCGCTTGCCTTCCAGAACAGAGACTAGAGCCAACAAAGAACCCTAGTCCAGTCGACTGGGAGTGTGCAAGGCCCACCCACTCGCACCAGGTGGGCCACGGCCTGTACAGCATGGTTGGTTAGGTTCGGCGGGGCAGCGGGATCAGCACAAAGAACGGCCTGCGCCAACGGACACGCCGGAACCTCGCGCATATCCGCCTTCATCCCAGCCTCCCTCGGCACCCAGCCAGTGCAGAGTACTCCGTACATGCCAGCATATAGGAACATAGCCTTGCCTGCGCGCAGTGCATACATGAGCTCTGATGCAAGAAGGCTTCTTTTTACTGCTGGTATCACAATAATAGCACCTACACATATGCACGAGGTACAGTACATCCTTGTCCTGTGTGCAACAGGTTTATTGGTAAGCTTACTGTGTTTGGAGGCGTGCGGCAGGGCTTGGTCCGACCTCATACCATGTCCAAGGGCTATGGATCTTTCAGTAACGAAATCAGGGGCCACCACACTCGCGCGTGTCTATAATGCTGGTTCCTCCTCGACGGCCGTCACGTTCGGATTTCTAAGTACTGTAATTATCGCCGATGTGGTCCATGCTCTGAATTTTTCGGGTTCCAGCTCGGCGGGATCCAAAATAAAATTCAACGGGACCCAAAATATTTGGGGTCCCGCCAAGCTATTATACCTACGTTTATATATTTCATGTCTAAATTATGCACAGTTCAACTGAAGTTGAAACCATATTCCTTTCGCGGGCTTTAGCTCTATTACCAGTGGCGGAGGCGAAGGTAGAAGCAATGGAGTGGTGGTCCGCTGATATGCCGCCGACCTTAGATGAGGAGGTAGAGGAGGAGCAGGAGGAGTTACCTGCCTCCTCCTTCGCCGCCTTCCAGTCTCTAGAGTAGTTCGGTGGCGTTCGGTATCTAAATCCATTTTAGTACAACTACGTGGAACATCTGTAGACTAGATATTGAATATAGATGCAACATCTGCTAAACATCTGCTGAAGATAGTCTTAAAATGCAATGTAATCGCATTAACTCCTAAAGACCTGACTCTAGCCTCCGTACCAGATCTTGTTTTTTCTTTTGAAGCGCCAGAATTAACTCAAGTTCAGCAATTTCCTGCTGTAACCGTGCTTTTTGGTCCTCAAGATCCCGAGTATGTTGCTGCGACACACTATCCTGCGGTGCAAATATAGGTGATTCAGTAGAAAATAAATTACCTCGATGCAGACTAGAGGACGGAGAAGGCATCGTCTGACTACCACGTACAGAGCTAATACCAGTTGTCTCTGGAACAGCTATTGAAACTGGATCTGAGACATCTGGAAGCTCAGGTCGTTGCATCACTGGGTCAGGCGTATCATAGGGATTAGCCGGGTCCCAAGGTAGATGCGGTTTCTGTATACGGCGATTGGCCGCCTTTCTTTGGCGTTTTTCTAATATAGAGTTAGCATGTATCTGACAGATGTTAAACATATGTACAATATAGACACAAACCCTTTCTGCGAATCTGCTTAGCAATCCGAAAAACAGGGTTCCGAGACCGCCCTGTTGGAAAAATGCTTTGTTCTTCTGCAAGTTTGTTCTTTTGAATCATCTCTCAAACATACCTTTTGCATCTACAACCGATAGGTTAGTCATATTCCCTGGACATGAATAGGATATGAGTAGGATAATATACCTTAGGATTGCAGTCAATAACGCTTGCTCTCGGCCCACTGTCTCATCGTCATTAAAATGGCTGCTTTCGCTAACCCTGGTTTGATGTGGAGCGTTTATCCACCATTCAATAGGCATCATTGACGCTTCCGAGGTTATTCCAGCAAGAATCCAATCAACCTTCTTACTTTGAAACCATTCCATGGTCTCTGGCCACTTTTCCGCAGCGTCGTCCATGATTTGAATGACTTCTGCCCTTGAATTCGCATTCCAGATCATGTCAATAGCCGCACTGGCTTTATGTCTAGGAAATTCCTTCACAAAGGCCCGCTTCACATGCTTTTGGCATAGAATCAGCACATTTTGAAGATGTTCTCTCCATGTCCAACGATGGTCTAGGCTAGCAAGGTAATCTCCAAGCCCTAGATGTAAAAAGAAATATTAATATAGTCCAGGCATACGTTAAGTATATGGGTAACTTACCAGGTACTTGCTTCTCACACAAGTTAATAGTAACCGTCAGAATTCCACCACAGGAATCATCTCCCCCAAGCTGATATGCCCATTGAATCGGCTTCCCTCTAACATCACCAAGGATTTTAAAGGTTTTCTCAAAAAGAACCCGATATGCATCACGAGATTCAAGGTTCACGAAGGCATAGATATAGGTATCTAACTCTATTGTATCAGCATAGCGTTAGCATAGCGTTAGCATATGTTTAACATATATAAATCGTCAGATGAAATCCTACTTCTTGCCCGTTCATTCCACCCGGAGATTGAAAAAACCTTAGTGCGTCCCTGAATCATCTTGAAAGTAATTTCAATATGCCATACATTTTGAAAAAGCTTAGCTTGTTCAGATGTGCAACAAATGATTAGATAATGCTCCCGATTGTCGTCAAAGTAATAGACTTCTCGAATCCATTGATCATCGACGTTTTTTGTTAGATCAAACTGATATTCACGCCATACCCCAGCAAGGCTTGCATCTTGTGGATAATGAAGGAATCTCTGCTTATGAATCAGGGCAGTTACTTTATCCTCAATCTGAAAGCTTTTGTGGATATTTCGAAGTGCAGAATCACCGTGTTGATGTAGGGTCTTGGCAAGAAGTGGGGACACCAATTTACGTGCGGTTAACCCTGAGACATCCTGTGCATTAATTGCATCTATAATTTCCTTACCAATTTCAGCTGGTAGCTTTGTGGGTGGTGGCGGGGCATGCGAATGAGATCCTCGACAAACGAGAAGGAAAAAGGGGAAACGGTCCCATGAGCAGGGAATATAAAGGTCGAACTTAACAGAGCAAGTGCTCTGAGTTAGTAGACCCACACCATCTGTATGGATTGAATCTAGTAGAGGATCAGCATATGTTTAGCGTATTGATTATATTAACATACCACAGTGGCGACGCCTAGCTGAACGATGCCCCACAAAATAGCAATTGTTAGTCCCATACTCAGAGACTTGTAAGCCATCCTTCTCGCAAAGAAGCTTTAGAAACGTGGGGTCTATCTTTGCAGCGCTTCGTGACACATCTTGAGAATAGTGCCAAGGCTGGGATTCAACCAAGGCATTCGGACATCCAATGAAGGTGAACTGCTTATCGTTAACATATGTTTAGCATATCATAACATTACATACGCACACCCCCTTTAATCCACAGCGTTGGCTTTTGACCTCTACATGTCCGCTGACCAGGTGCATAAGTACATGGCCCATCAACGTCCCAAGTTTCGAGAAATTCGAAGTAAAATCTACGTTTAGCGTAAGCTTAATAAAGGTACAATCTAGAGAGGGACATATCTTACTCTCTGGTTCGCTCCTAGATTTCCCGGGCATAATTGTGATGCACAGGCGTTGCAGCAAGGGTCTGAAGTTCACGGAAAAGTGTTGGTTCAACTCGGTTATACCTTTCAGACGGGGTAATAAGATCAGGATGAGCTTGGTGGCAATGTCGAATCCCTGTACATTGAAAGGATCGATGCCATGATCTTGATTCTTTGTCTTTGGAGTCTTTCTGGAGAAGATTCGTATAGATTTGCTTTGCCGAACTAAGGTGTTTAAAGGAAAATTGAACCTGGGGTGATTAGTTATATTAACCTATGCTGAGAATATGCTGAGAATATATCAAACATACTGACGACATACGTTGTGAAGAGACTCGATTGATGACAAGGGAAGCGTCCTCTGTGTTTTCAAGTGAATTTTTTGAGGCGTGGATGATATGCAGAATACCATTGTCATCTGTATCAGGATACTCCGGAAGAATAAGGTGCTCCTGGGCTTCATAAGCAACCACAGCATCTCTAGCACTACTGCTAATTTTAGTTCCATCTGTATCTATGCCTGTTAGGCTAAGTTGCGTTCGAGTCGTAGAACCTAAGGAGCTGATATTCTCCTCGTCATCCTAATTAAAATCGATATCAGACGATTCATCTACATCAACGCAATCTTGGTATACTGAAGTTTCAGAGTCCGATCTGGTTCGCTAACATAAAGTAAAATTGAGCATGTCTCTAGGTACAGGTATTAAAAATATTACATACAGGTGGAAGATCGTAAAGAACACGATCAATCTCGAATGTAGTACCCTCCGTAGCTCGTGTAGAGGAAATGACCTCAGGATTAAGAGAGTTAGGACTAGCATTCCCGAATAGGGGTAGTGATGACTAAGACGTTGACATCTTGTGGATTTCGATGCCTTATACGGGGTAATTTTCTTGAGAAGGGGTAAACAAAAGTCTAAAAGAAGTTTGGCCTTAAAAATATTCATAAATACGGGGGCCTTGGGTCCCGTAAGCTCCGGTACCTTAACGGGACCCAAGGTCAGTCAGAAAATATTAAGTCCCGCTGAGCTGGGTGCCCGAAATTTTTAATTTCGCTATCCTGACCGGTGTTTGATTAATGATGAAAAGTCTGCGTGCACGGTCCAATGAGACCGAGTCCTAGCTGTCTTCCTCACGCATCTGACCGATCATTTGCTGCCCCTTGCCGGGTTTTGATTTGTGAGGATCGAAGGAAAATATGCATGGTGCATGGTTGGTCTTCGACCTCTTGAGAAGAAAATATGGGCTCAAATCGAGAGACGAAGAAGGACATTGCGAGAGCAGCGTTTCTCGTTTTCGAATGGCACGCTTTGATTTTCTGCGATTTGTGCGTTGTGCGCGCACTGATCACTTACCGCACTGTGGCTGCCCTTACCCCTGAACCCTAGCTGGATGCTTACCTTTTTCAATAAAAGGGGGTTCTGGAAGCCCATTTCCCGTGCCGAGCTCCAGGCTATGCTGGGTTAGATGTCGTGAATAGAGTGGAGTGGCTGTGGTCCTATATTACAGTAGCAACCAGCTACGTTTAAGTATACGGAGTATAAAGTGGACTACACCCTTTCCGAACTAATCGTTCCCCCGGCACGCCACAGCACCCTGGTTATTGCTGCACCCCATCCAAGAGACCTTTTTTCCCCTATATATATGATACACTCGTGGGCTATTGTTTGACTACACGACGATTAGATCTAGGATCTAAATATTGATCATGTTCATTGAATTAATCTTTATTCCCTCGACACTTATGAGTAGAATGCGTACTAATGTTCAAAATGGAAAGAGCCGAGATCGCGCAATATCTACACAAATATCGGCAAAGATGCAACACAAATGAAGAATAGAGGGTATTGGGGCCGCAAAAATAATATCCCGGGGGTTAGGTTCATGCTATCCGCGTTTTCCCATATCCAGTTGATGTTCAGCCTGACGAAGGCTCAGCATACATCCACAATCTTGAATAATCTAAAATTCACCTCGATTGCGAAGCAAGCTGTCAAATTGCCACTACTGCGCGCTGGCACACAGTCAACGTTGTATGAAATGCCGCCGACTTGAGGACAACCGGTATCAAATCCAATGCGCTTGCAAACCATATAGTCGCTGCGGCCAGTCTCGTTTTCTATTATTGTGTAGTTTTACACGCATGTATCCATGCTTCCACAGTTGAAGCCTGTACAGGTCCACGTCAAATAAGCGAGACCAAAGTGAAACGAATTTTGACCGCAGCCCGGTTGCTGGTCGCGCAGAGGAAGCAGAAATCGGGATAGCTAGCGAGGGAAACTTGGTACTGAGCGGGCCAATACTTGCTGCAGAACAGTAATAGGGGAAGGGGAAAGGGCATGGAGAGAGAACAGAAGAAAAGAAAGGGACGACAACACAGAAGGGAGGGAGCCAGGGGTGCGAGACCTAACAGCATCCAGAAGGGGAAGGCACGGCCGCGGGATCTTTCATCAACTAAATCCTCGTTATGATGTTCATAATAAGTGACTCTCAAAAAGGGGGTTTCCGCTCGTACTGAAATTTAGTTTGCCATTTTATGTCTAGAAAAGGTATGAGCGGTTGATCTGAGGCAGTATGTACAAGCAAATCTCCCGGCAGCGTAGCGACGGGCCCCGACAAAAACCTTCATGTAACATATGGACAGGGCAAGCGGTAGGGTATGTAGCATGTCAAGAATGGTATCATGTTCATCTAAAGCACAAGGCTCCAGTGAAAAGTCGTTGAGGCTTGAAAGACCAACATCCAGCCAGTCCAACCAAAGGAAAAATCAAAATATGCCGGGGCAGGTAGGCTATTTGAATGTAGCAAGCCCTAATTACATGACTCGAAAAGGGAATACAGATCCAAGCAACTAGATATGCGGATCAAGCAGTGATTTATGCCACCATGTACTCCCCATCCCCTCGCTTAGCCTGCATCACACGGGACCAACGGAAGGCCTGGGAAGGAACCGGGGCACCGCTACCATCCAGTGGTGGCGGGGCCCCTAGCTCAGATGGGTACACGGGGTACGAGGACTCGTCAGAGTGCTCCGCCCAGATCTTCTCCAGCAGTTCCAGGCAAGAGAGGTTATTCACGAAGCCAGAGTCCTTGGAGATATCCTTGCAGCGGTAGCGGATGGTGGCACGGTGATCCTCTTGAACGCACTCCGAGCCTACTATGAACAAAGGCCAAAGAAGGTACACATCGGATTGCACAGCGCAAAGGCAGTGCATGGCAAGATGGACGAGATGCTGGATGCGCGGATGTCGGGATGGGAGACTTGGTTCGGCGAGCCGTTCGCAGTAGAGGAGCGCGGCGTGCCGGAAACATTCGGATATTTGGTAGATGTCCTGGAGATTCTCGGGAGCCACTTGGTATGACATGGAGGGAGAGGGAGGGGCGGGTAGAAAAGTGGGGGAGTTCCAGGATGAAGGGGAGGCGGATAGGGGTGGAGAGGGGAACGAGACTTGAGCAGGCGGATCGAATCGCCAGGATTCGAGCCGTTGCCGGAGTGAATACCATTCGGTCCAGAATGCAGGAGAAGAGGGCTTCGGAGCCTGATCACTGCTCTGTGGAGGAGTAGGCATTGAGAATCCTCCATATCCCTGACCAGATAGGGACCCAGGTCCAGCAGCTGACGTGACGGTGTCCCAGCCAGGGAACACCATGGTGGGAGGGAGGGAGACAGTGGGAGTCGTCACATCGGCTGGCCGAGACTCATTCGGCTGCTGATCCTGACTGAGGAGGTTCAGGCGTCCTAGCTGAGATATCATTTTGAAGAGACGGCCATCACAGCCAGCCAGATTCTCTAAGCCCCACTCCCCATCTGTGATCGAGCTGATCTCTAGGCATTTCCCACGCAGCTGCACGTCACGGTCATTCGTGGTCGCAGTCAAGGTATCAAACCACGAAAACATGCGAATGAACCATTTGAGATCGTCCGTGATGATTGGGGAATGGCGCATTCGGATGGCAAGTAGTCTTGTGACTCCAGCAAACTGCGTCCGGAACTCAGCGACGCCGGTGTCGCAGCCATGGAAAAGGCAGAGAACCAGTAATGTTGCCAATACCGAGTCCGAAAGTCTGCGACGAGGATCGGCCAGATCGGCGTTCAAAGCCTTCACGGCCATGCCTCGGTGGTGGTTCTCTTCCCGGGCATAGCCCTCTGGAATCGAGATGCCATATCGATTTTGGAATGCTTCGTCGGTAAGCGCACGATGGGCCATAGAAGACATGCGGGCTGGCAAAGTTCTCTCGGTAGACATGTGATTTCGCTCCCGCCGCTGGCGCAAATTGCTTGTCGCTAATGTTGCAATCGCCTCTTGTAAAGCGGGACTGTCCTGGGCGAGACGAAGAATTTGAATGCGGAAGGGGTTTGAGGGGGTGTCGAAAGCGACAATCATGGGAGCAATGACTTCCGCGAAATAACTGATCAGATATCGGAGACGAGGGGTCCGTCCCACTGATCGGGCAAGAAGCATCTGGGAATATGACGGGCGATGACCAGAATCCCAGAGCATTGACTGTTCAGGATCCATTCGCTCATACTCCTCGTCCGCATCCTGCGACGGGGATGTCACATTTTGAGCGGGCCAATTCTGGGCGAGCGGCCAGACTGGAACGGTGAAACTGGCTTCAGGGCTTAATGTCGGGGCATACTGCATCGATGCCTCTGATGCGATACTTGGGCTGGAGCGACTCGCAACCATTGACCGACTCGGCAAAGGAAGCCCAGATATTTGTGGCGGCACGGTCGAGGTGTGAGCCCATGAGTGTGGATCTGGCATATCCAATGTCCACGACATGCCTGCAGACATATCTGGGAATCCACTAAACATGGCAGAAGGGCCCCTGTGATCGGAGTTCACCGAGTTTATTACCGGGATTTCCATCCCTGTCGGGGGCGCCGCAGCGGAGGCCGGAGAATTTGAAGGTATTTGCGACGCAGGTTGAGCCTGACTGCTCGAAGCCACTGGTTGCTCTCCTCCTTTGAGACTCGCTGACGGCTGCCCTTCAGCCTCCATTACCGGCAGTTTCTGACCTCGCAGTTTGCCTCGGCTTGCTACGCCCACCCCCCATGTTAAAGTCGTCTTGTATCCGGAGCATTCGCGGCCCATCTCAAGGCACTGGGAGCAGTAGGGCCGGCGCCGGTCACACCGAGCCCCGCGCTTGGCGCATGCAAAACAGTCATCGGGTGCGCCGCTCACCACCGTTCGCTTGCGTCGTTTCCGAATCGGAGTCGCGTTGGGATCGGTCTTGCGGGTTTTGCCTTTGGCCGCGGGGTCCCGAGCCGGCTGCGCCGTATTCTCGGCCATGGCAAGTTGAGCAGGAAACACCCTTGCGGGGTTCCATCGGGGGTTGGAACGGTCAGGGAAGGGGGCAGGGCGGTTGCCGTGCACTGAAGGTTCGATAAAGGCGTTCGCGGGCGGATCTGAGCCCTCAGGGTGAAGGACGGAAGGGACCTAAGAAAGCCGAAGCGAACGATTACGCGAGATCGAGTTTGGCGAAGTGCATAAGGTGGTGGGATGCCGAGGTCATTCGGACTGGTTCAGTCCAGTGTTGGAGGGAGAGGAGGGAGAAGAAAGATAAGATGGGGATTAGGGAGGAACGGCGAGAACCGGTTGGCTTTTTGGTTGGGGAGGGGCGCCGGCGCGGAGGACTAGTGGATATGCGATCCTCTCCGGTGGAGGATGATCCGCGTTTTAGCCCAGACTCCACGACTGCGCGTTCTGTCTTGGGAGGTCGCTCTCCACCGACGGTGATCCAGGTGATCCGATCAGGCAGATCAGGGGGGGATCTGCTTCGCACAACTCCGTCGAGACGCACAGAGAGGTTTAGCCAGGGAACTTCCATGTGCTGGCCGTGCCAGTTTCCATCCCTGCGCTAGAAGCCATGCCCAAGCCACTAGAATGATGTTTCATTGCGGTTAGGCACTATGCACTGGTATGTCTCAGGCAGAGTGCGGCGCTCGAACCAGTTGCCCTGAGGCATAGTCAGCATACATCCATCGTTCCATTTCTCCCACCGTTCAATGTTTCGACAGGCCGAAGTTGAAGATGAAGCGAAATGACCGTCGCCAAGCAACGCCGCTCCAAATGGCCCGTGTGCTTCCCGTCCACTTCAACTTCACCTCCCGGACATTCTCCCTGCAAACGACCCCCCAAAAACGGGAAGCCTCGGTTCCTTTCTCTACTTAGTCTGTCCCCGGTCCTGTCGTGCCATTCCGCTGAGAGAGATCCAAGCCACCGTCTGCTCTCCTGATTGCCTGCTTTCAACCGGCAATTGTCGATCGGCCCGTGCGCCGTCGGCTCACCTCCCTGTTCCTGGGTGCAAACAAGCCGCGAACCCCCCAAACGTTCACTCCCCTGGCCCCAGGTCTGCTGCTCAGCACAATGGGCATAGTCAGGCCCGGGCGGGTACGATCCCTCTTGCTCGCTTTCCTCGCGACAATCCTCGTATGCACCGTTTATCTCTACTGGACCCCGACCACCGCATCATCCACCGTCTCCGTCGTCCCGAGTACCGCGTTCGAAGTCCCGCTCGTCGAACGCCAGAAGGACTTCTGGAAAGTCTTCCAGCCAATCCTCGAACGCCACAATCCCAAATGCCCGTCTCCGGAGAAAAAGGGTGATGCCGGCGCAATTCACTTCGACGCGGTCAAGGACAACCCGCGGCCTGATCTGACAGTGATGAGCGAGGAGACTCAAAACGCGATGGAGGATGCACATGCGAACTTTATTGAGGACATCAAAAAGGCAGGGAAGGATTTGAAACCTGCCCACACCCCCGGTAAGCGAGGGTTAGTTTCGACTGCCGGCGCCAAGTATCTGCCGGTGTTTGTCTCGACTCTGCGCATGCTTCGCCGAGCAGGATCTACACTACCAGTCGAGGTGTACATGAAGGACGCGGGCGAGTACGAAAAAGGCATCTGTAATGAGGTCCTTCCCAACCTCGACGCGCGATGCATGGTGCTCGCCGACGTGGTAGGCAAAAACGTGATCGAGCACTACCAGCTCAAGATCTTTGCGGTCCTATTCTCTTCTTTCGAGGAGATTGTTTGGATGGATGCCGACTGCTTCCCGCTCGGCAAACCCGAAGAGCTTCTCGACTCCGAACCCTTCACGTCGGCGGGCTTGGTCATCTGGCCTGATTTTTGGGCTTCGTCCGTGTCTCCCTTATATTACAAAATTTCACGGCAAGGTGCGCCGCCCATGACAGCCCGCCAGTCGTCCGAGACTGGCATTTTCCTGGTATCGAAGAAGACACATTTCCTTCCTCTTCTGCTAGCTGCCTACTACAATTTCTATGGGCCGTCGCATTACTTTCGCCTGCTGACTCAAGGTGGTCCGGGAGAGGGCGATAAGGAGACATTCCTCCACGCTGCCATGGCCTTAGATGCCCCCTTCTATACTGTGAGCGAACGAGTGCAGGCAATTGGGCATCAAAACGGAGAAAAACTATCGGGTTCGGCCATGGCCCAAACCGATCCCCGTGAAGACCACGCCCTCACCACACAAGGTAAATGGCGAGTCAAAGACCAGGCGGTGGCTTCGCCTCCACACATCTTCTTTATCCATGCGAACTATCCGAAATTCAACCCCGGAGACAACGTGTTCGGGATGGGCTGGGAGACCACCCCTACCATAAAGGAGGATGGATCAGATACCCGGGCATGGACTGCGCCACCGGAAACCATTCGCCGGTTTGGATATGATGTGGAGAAGGCCTACTGGGAAGAGATCAAGTGGGTGACCTGCCACCTTGAAGGCGTCTTCAAGTCGTGGGAGCACAAGGCGGGTCTTTGCATGAAGGTGGAGGACTATTGGAAGAATGTCTTCGCCGAGCCGCATGACGATGATCCCAAGTTTACCCAGAGTGGATGATCGGGTGGTTCAATTCGATGTCTTCCTGCGCCCCGGGCCGCACCTTATGGCCGTCGGTCCTCTTTCTCTAGTCCACAGGCTCAGTGCATCTTGGTCTGCTTGGCCCTAGCCCTCTGGCAGTGGGTCGTGCTCTTGGGACGAACCACACTTTCAGCGTGGCCTGCCCAATGTCTGGCCTGTTGTCGGGGTATGAGCCGCTCTGATACGAGCGGAACCCTACAATGGGCAGCAAGTGCTGTTCTGCTGGTATGGGAATATCTTGAATTGGAGCGGTATCCTTGTCCGCCTCTATAGCCCCCGGATTACCACCACCTTTTCTTGGGCGTGATCACATACTGTACATTAGCTACCTGGCCTCCCCATTTCGGGTCTGTTTGCACATAATAATGCCTAGTAATATATAAATGAATGATGAACGCAATCCCTGCCAATTATGATTTCGACTTCATGGATCGCAAAATTGATTTTGAATAAATTCATTCGACGCTCTCAATGCTTTTGGAAGGCAAGAGACCCAATGTTTCGTGATATTATACATGGAACACATCCCCATGGAACTCCGAATCGACAGATACAGGATACGACCTGACTTCTTTCACAGGGTATTATAGTCATTCGTAGCAGCATGTCTAGATAATTTTATTTCTTGATGCCTTTCTCGCGCAGGCGCTGCTCATCATCAGCCTGCAGCTCAGCATCGATCTTGGCGCCCTTGGAGGGAGCGTTGCCGTGCATCTTGGCCTACACATGACCACGACGTTTATTAGCCGAATTGCCTTGAAAGGGTGTCAATGGAAAGTTTTCTCAAGTCTTACCGGCTTGGTAGGATCCTGCTTGCTCAACTCAGCCTCGGGATCGTAGTCATTGTTGTGGTGGTGGGAAGAGTTGGGCTTGCGCTCCTGCGAGGCAAGCTTGTTGGCGATGGAGCGCTGATCCTTAGAGTCGAGGTTCTTGTGGCTGCCCTTGATACCCTCGTTGTAGCGCTCACGCTCGTTCAGGACAGACTGAGGCTCGTTGCGCTGGTCACCAGCCTCATAGAGGGAACGGTTGCCAACGCTAGACTGGCCGGATCCGTGGTTGGTAGACATCTTGATGTAAGGATTGAGGTTTTTTTCCAGAGATGCAAAGTAGACTGTGGTAGCAAATTGTTGCTGCTCTCAAACTATGGAAAATCTCAGTCTTATACCTGGCAACACCATAGGCTGTGATGTCATGCCAGAGTCACTGAGATCATAACTGTGGGGCGAGGTCCAGAGCGGCTGGAACGGCCAACACGGCTGAGGATTTGATCGTGTGCATGTTGGACCCTTTTTTTTTAACGGATTTGCATCAGCGCAAGCTGCAATCAAGGCAAGGCATGGCATGAGCGCTGTGACATCGTCAATGATCGGGTGTGGCGTGAGGTATTACATCGGCGCTCCACCTCTATCACATCCATACTACACTCGCCCTCTTTCCTCCCCCCTTGAGAGTTGGTCAAACGCGTTCGATCGGATATTCTTGTTGGTCAATGGATTTGTTTCTTTTACCAATAATATAGAATGGCTCTAGTACTTCAATCTGATGGTGTATTTTCTTATGTTCAATTCCAATCTCTGCCGTGCTGTTGCCAGCCATAGATAGCTACGGTCTACCCTAGCCTGGTGCAGGGTACGCGCCCCGCCGGGGGTATTTTCCCTTGACCGGCGTAAAGTGTCCTTGTCCTCTTCTTGATTGGCCTCTCCGCTTCGGCTTTTTGATGCTCAATGGCCGTCAATATCCCGAGGGCCTTGTGCAGAGCACGCTCACAACCGTTCTGCACAGCGTGGGCTTTGAATTCTCCGACCTATTCCGGCCATCGGAGCCGGTTATGCACACCGCGCTCGCTCCTGAGATCACTCCAATCCTCCTGCTCGGGCCCCAACACCCGCACTAGAGACTCTAGAGAACCATCTCGAAGACCATTAGCCCACCTCCATCGTCACACCCTCCATACCCTGCCCATCCGAGCAATGAGTTCATCCAGCCCCACAACAGAAGTTCAACCCCGCTTCCAGCAGCTCTTCACCGGGCTCGAAAAGCGCTTCCAGTCGACCACTCTGGGCAGCGACAAGTGGTACATCCTGGCCATTACTACGCTAGCAGCCGGCCCTGACCCGGAGTGCGCAGACCAGCTCTACCTGCATCTCTGCTCGCAACCAGGCAACTCCGCCCCTTCCGAGCGGCAGGCACTTGTTCGGCGTCTGCGCGAGGCCCTCTTCAAAGCTGTTCCTATAGTCGGAGTGTGCAGGCCTCTTGAGGCCATTTTGTCCATCGGCAAGGTCGAGCGTGAAGAGGACAAAGACTACACATTTACCCGCGAGGGCTGGCAATGTGACCAGGCCAACCACGACCGCGGCGCGGCGTGGATGCAGAAGCTGTATGCGCAGAACACCAGCGGAACGCTGAATCTGTTTGCGGCGCATAAGGACTTCTCGTGGTTGTCTGAGGATATTACCTACGGCTTGTTCCTGTCGGATCGCCAGGTTTTGGATGATGTTGATACACAACTTGTTGTCCTGCCTGGGATTATGAGCCAGAATCTGCCGAATGAGACGCACTGGCACATTCGAGGAACTCGACGTCTCGGGCTGCCGAAGGAGGAGGTGCAGGTTATTTGGGACTGTGTGCAGCTTGTGGCGCAATTCTTCGATGTTAAGTTGAATAAGGTGCCTACAGTTGAGCAGGTCGAGTACGATGTTTAGACCTCAAAATGATAACAATACATTCGTATGAAACGCCAGTTGATAGCCTTCTAGCCAATTTTCTAGACACGCTACATCCATCTTCCAACATCAATGTGCATCTTCATCCGCCTACCCAATTCACTACTGTGTCCTTCTTTCCGTACCATTTCTTCCGGGGCCGAGGCCTTTCCAGTGCTAGACTGGCGTTTCTATGATACCGCCTCATTAATTTTTTGCCAATGAATTATCGCTGCTGCGGGACGTGATGCGAGTGCAGGAATATATCGGGCGTATGGCACGAAAAAGCGATACGGCACTACACGCAATTGTGGCATTTCCTATTTCCATTTGCTCACGCAATGGAACAGCACTCTCTTCCTAGAACCAAGAACCAAAACACTCAAATTGGCTAGAAAGAATGATGAAGAAAGTCGATAGGAAAATAGCATACCTATGTTGACTATCCATAGATCGAGGCCACCGATAACGACCGATAAGGTGCAAAAAGTTCGCAAGCGGCCGAGGGGCGGCCGAGCAAGTTAAAAGGTCTTCCCCTCCGCTTCTCCCTTCACAGCACCGCAGAAACCGAAGAAATCATGGGAAAACGCAAGCAGGACCTCGGCGATGTGCCAATGGGTGGCACTCAGCCTGAAGACTCTGATTCCGACGACGTGAGATTCCCTGCTGCGCATCCCCACTGCCATTGACAGGTACTAAATCCCCCGCAGGACGTTGACATGGTCAATGTCGACTTCGAATGGTTTGACCCGCAGCCCACGGTCGATTTCCACGGCCTCAAGAACCTCCTTCGCCAGCTGTTCGACAATGATGCCCAGATCTTTGATATGTCCGCGCTGGCCGATCTGATCTTGTCGCAACCGCTGCTCGGCTCTACGGTGAAGGTCGACGGCAATGAGTCGGATCCCTATGCGTTCTTGTCTGTCCTGAACTTGCAGGAGCACAAGGTATTTCCCATATTCTTTTTTTACGACTGTTTGCGTGGAACTAACAGACTGCTGTAGGACAAACCTGTCATTCAGGACCTGATCAAGTACCTCCAGGGCAAAGCCGCCTCGAACCCGGCTCTCTCCCCCCTCAGCGAGCTCCTTTCCCAGACCCACGTGCCGCCAATTGGCCTCATTTTGACCGAGCGCCTCATCAACATGCCCTCCGAAATCATCCCGCCCATGTACAACATGCTGCTGGAGGAGATTGCCTGGGCCATTCAGGACAAGGAGCCATACAACTTCTCGCACTATCTGATCATCTCGAAGAACTACGAGGAGATCGAGTCGAAGCTCGATCTCGAGGAGTCGCGGCCGCAGAAGAAAAAGAAGAAGGGCGGCGAGGCTTCCCAGCGGTTCTTCTTCCACCCCGAGGACGAGGTGCTGGAGCGGAATGCGCTGTGCACGGGTACGATCGAGTACACTCACAAGCAGGATGAAGGCCACGCGGACTCGAAGCGGGCCTTCCAGGAGCTGGGTATCCGCACCAAAGGCAGCTTGACCCTGATCGATGGCGCCAAATTCGAGGATGCGGTTAAGGCTGTTACGGAGTACTTGAAGCCACCTGGCATGTGAAGTGTTTTTCGTCGTTTCATTCATGTCCCATTCACGAAATATTCCATATGTTGGTTTCTTCTCTTTTTTGCTTTAGTACCCCGGCGCTCTCCCGTCAGCGAACATGCTTTATAGAGATCCATATAAAGAATCAAAAGTTCATAACTTCATGATAAGCCCTCTTCACTCCCATTGAGTGCCCTTCAGGCGCTGCATGAGGTATTCGACTTCGACCACCTTGGTCAGTGGGATAACACATTCCTGTAGTTGAGAGGAGTTAGCGACATGTGGCTCCAAAGCTTCCCAGCCGAAGGAATTCTCTCCCTACCTTATACATAGCTACCACAGCATCAATGTTGATCTTGGAACCCTTCTCGTCGGGGAAAGCAGGATCGGTGCCGTATGTCTTAGCCTTAAGGCCTAGACGCTCCAGAACCTTCTTCTCAACTTGAGCATTTGTGATGGCAGCATCAATACCCTCACGGTCCCCCGAACGGATCAAGCGCACGAAAGTCTCCGGGTCTTTCTGGAACTTGGACTCGGCAACGAGCTTGCCAAAATGAATGCGGCGCGACAGCGCCTGCAAGCAGGAGACATCGCACGTCGCGGCCGAGCCGTAATTCTCCTGTGTCTCGCCACGATCCTCCCGACCGAACTGCGGGCAGACCGCGGGAAGGATCTCCTTGATGTACCGCTCCTTGATCACGTCGTTGACGTTCACATCGTTCTCGTGTAGGATGTGTGGGTAGGATAGAGGCTGCAGAATCGGTTCTTCGAGCACATCGGGGAAGAAGGGGTATTCGTCGGGTGATTGGTAGCGGCGCACGCGCGACTGTAACCGTTCCTGCTCGCGCAGCAGGTAGTCCATCAGACTATGCTCGCTGTTGGGGATTTTGACGCCGCCGGGGACATAGATGGTTTTGTTGAGCGGGAATTGAACCCGTTCGATCAGATGGAAGGTGATTGTGTCCTCCAGGCGGCTGAAGACCTGGAATATTAGCAGCGGTTCACATGACGACTCGGTGATGGTGCGCAGTGGTGTACAGCAGGGAGCAGAGGAGGATTATAGCTGTTTGTGGTGGTGGTGGTGGAAAGTTTTGTGGCGTGCGTGTGTTGCCGCGGGGCGCGGGGAATAGAAGGAATGGAAGGGAGATTGACTGGGGTACTGAAGACAAATTGAGAGTACTCACATCAGCTGGAAACGGATGTTGGCAAGGTCCAATGCCTTGGAGGCATCGGACAGATCAATGGCAGTGTCCATGGCGGGGTGGTGAGTTGGGAGAAGAAGAAGTGACTGTTCGGCCTGCGAAGTCGGAGTCGCTTTCTCGGACGGAGCCCCAGCCCACCGGTCCTATTAATGTGACACGGGGGAAGCCAGAAGCTCTGTTCCTTCATCCTATTGGGATCAAACTACCTGCGGCGTATTCGTCGTATTCAATTATCCGAGTAATTCCATCGGTGAATCTCTGCTATGCCGTTTGTTGCGCCTCCATCGGGTATTCGGTACTCGGCCTGTACCGAGCTCAGCGGATGGGGATGACGAGCACACCCGTACCAACTAGGTACCGGTACAAAATCAGCAAAAGGGGCAACCTTGTAGTATCCTCGCTAGCATTTAGATTCAGGTGCAGAAACTAGGGCTCCAACTGACTCGTCGACTGAGGTCCATTCTGGTCTCAACCTGTCGTAAAAGTACGGTACTAGGCGTACCCGGGGAACGCGGTAATTCATCGCGTGGACACATGACGATTCTCTCTCTTGCAACCTCCGAACCCTCCGTTTCTCCAACCGCGTATGGGTTTTGGTTGAGCCCCCAAGACTATCTCCGGGCATGGAGAACCACCGCCGCGATGACTCGCCATCCGGCCTCTCAGATATTGTCGAGGGCGATGGCCTCTTAGGCACCGGCCTGACAGTAAGCTTTTTCCGGCACTTCCCATGCCAAACCCCTCTCCCTCGACCCGCGCCCGCTAACCGGCCGCGCCATGATGATAGACACGGCATCTCGAGGCATTTGGGCGAAAGGTCACGTCAACCGCAGGGCACTTGATCGGACCGACCGACCAGACCCACGGCGCCCATTATCACAATGCGATGAGCGGCATCCACCGCGAGCTGCGCCGGCCGTCGGCGCAGCGGAAGCTCTTTTCCTTAACCCAGACCACCGCGACCGATCTGGTACGATCCAAGCTGTCGACCACCGAAATCCAGTCGCGTGCCCTTTCCTCCCTTCCGGACGACCTTCTCGCCAACATCCCCGAAGATTCCAGCTCCTACTCCCTCTTCCAAGGCTTCCAGGCGTCTCTCCCTGAAGAAGAACATGGACATAAGAAACACCGGAGGCGCGGCTCCAAGACCCAGAAGGCTTTGAGGGACAGTCAGAAGAGCGGGGGTTTAACAGCAGGCCCTGCTGGACTGAAGGAAGAACGGGACGCACTGGGTCGCCGGTTGGATATGATGGGTGTCCGAAAGAACATGTGCAGTGCCGAAATACACGAGATCGACAATAAGATCGCCAATTTGCACAAAATGCGCCAGATTGTGCTCGATCGACTAGCCGGGTTAGAGATGGACGAAGCGGCAATGGAAGTGGAACGTGGGTTGAGCCCATCTGACACATTGATGAGAGAGCGAGCCCTTCTAACATGAGCCATACAGTTACGGAACTCGATAATAAGCTGGAGGATCTACAGGGAGACGAGACACTTGAGACATCTGCTGCGGCCGAAACCCCCCAATCTTCCGAAGCCCAGGACGACTCCATTGTATCGTCCGGTGATCCTGCCATGGATGCGTCGTTTATGTCCGAATCGATATATGAGAGACTGCCGAGCTCGTCCCCGAAAAGTCTACGACACCGATCTATCCGTAAACGGTCGATGCCGATCCTCCATGAACACTTCGCGCCAGGATCCCTGATTAAAGAGATCGAAGCACACACTGATATGGTCACGGCCATTGATTTCGACTATCCGTTCGGCACTATGGTCAGCGCAGCGCTGGACGATACGGTGCGGGTTTGGGATATGAATGTTGGCCGCTGTCTAGGATTGTTAGAGGGACACCATGCCTCGGTCCGATGCTTGCAAGTGGAAGACAACATCGTCGCGACGGGATCCATGGATGCGTCCGTTCGGCTATGGGATTTGAGTCGTGCTCGGCCCGCGAGTCGCGATAACCGTTTAAACAAGCACGAGCGTGACGGGCAAGATGACGCAGATGAACATTCCTCGCAAATGCCACCATCTTCAAACTTGGAGGACTGCCATGTCTTCTCGCTGGAGGCGCATGTTGATGAGGTGACTGCTCTGCACTTCAAGGGCGACACGCTCATCTCTGGATCCGCAGACAAGACCCTACGACAATGGGATCTGAACAAGGGACGCTGTGTTCAGACATTGGACATTCTCTGGGCGGCAACTCAGTCCTCTTCGTCCATGTCTGGAGATGGAAACTGGCGCCCGTCTGGTCGTCTTCCAGACGCCTCTGCCGACTTTGTGGGGGCCGTGCAATGCTTCGATGCCGCTCTGGCTTGCGGAACCGCGGATGGCATGGTCCGTCTATGGGATCTTCGTAGTGGCCAAGTACATCGCAGTCTAGTGGGCCACACCGGGCCCGTCACCTGCCTGCAATTTGATGACATGCATCTGGTGACGGGCAGTCTTGACCGCAGTATTCGGGTAAGCTTCAGTCTCAATTCTGGCGCAAACGAACCATCTAACTCGGAAACAGATTTGGGATCTGCGTACCGGCTCCATATATGATGCCTACGCCTACGACAGGCCCATCACCAGCATGATGTTCGACTCCAAGCGCATTGTGGCCGCCGCCGGCGATAGTGTGGTCAAGGTCTACGACAAGGCCGATGGCCACCATTGGGACTGCGGCGCCGGCGTTGGAACTGCCGACGACGGACCATTCCCCGCGACGGTTGAGCGCGTGCGCCTTAAGGACGGGTACCTCGTTGAGGGGCGTAAAGACGGCACCATGGCCGCCTGGACCTGTTAAAGCACCGAATGCTTGGTCTAGCGCCGACGGTAACCTTCCCCTTCTCCTGCACCTCCTTTGTGCACTCTTGCTGGGGGCTTGTCCTCGCTCTCCTCCCCCTTTGTCCTCTGCGCCCGTTGTATAGTATTACACCCCATGTCTAGAGCGTCGGAATGTAGCGAGCTGGCGCACTTGGAGTGGCAGGACCATGATATCAACTGCCCTTATTCTATACGTACAGTAGCATGTTGCACCCCAATCAAACCCATTGGACCTCGTTCATTTCTTTCACGACTTGACACTCGACAGTCAAGGTTCGAAGTTGCCAAGACGCCACCGCGCTTCTTCGTAAATCATAAAGAAACGTAAAATAAGCAGTCTGAACCCACTGCCCGCAGACTGGAGAAGCAAAGGAATCGTTGGATTAGGAAGAAGGCGTAGAGTTTGTGGCGAGGGACAAAGAGGTCGACGAGGGAAAATTAAAAGAGAGTCTTGAGCCCGCTTGCCGCGTCGAGGCCGAGATTCTTCGCAACTCCAACTGGCTGGGTCGCCGTTCCACCCGAACTCTTCTTCCCCTCCCACTTCTTACGTCTTTTGCTCCAGTTCTGCGCTCGAGAAGATCGGTCGAAATTATTACTGTGCAGTGTGGCAGTACAGCGTCTTGGCTCCTGCGATCATCGTCCAGTTGCGGGCTCCACACCCCTTTAGCCCGCGAGCCGCAGTCACGTTCCGTCGCGTGTCTGCGCGTCTCGCTCTCTGCCAGTCTGGGGTCGCGATCTACAGATAAACCCTACAACGGCTGCGCGTTGAACTGAACTTGGACATTTTATTCTCCATTATCTGTAAGTGCCGATGAACTTCCGTCACTTCCAACTCCCGGGCACCCCGTATCCCGGCGTTCCCTTGACACCCATCCTCGAGAGTGGTGCCTTTCGGAGCCCCCCTCTGGAGGCTATACCTCCCCACCCAGGATCTCAACATGTACAAACCCAATTGGGCCTGTATCTCACAACTCCATGCTTCTAGATCCTTTGTCTCGGCATTTCACACAGAATCACTCTCCGTCTCCAGTGTGGGATATTCCAGTGATCGTCACTCCGTGACTGCGGAAGGTACGTGTTTGATTCTGTGTTGTTTCCCTGCTATTTGATCCGAGCATGCATACTGGCTTCCTTGGACGATTGTGTGTTACATCTGCCTTGATCGAGTTTGTGGATATCCTCGAGCAGGTTCCCCCCCACTAGCAAGCGCCTGGTGGTCTATGTTGCTTGCCAGATCTTGCTGTTCCCAGATCGCTCAGATCACCTTTTCGTATACCTCCTTGCATGTTTTCCTTCTTGGTCCTTTTACGTTCCTACTCTTTCCCATGAAGCTGGCTCCCTCTAGTTCAAAGCTCAGGTTGGAAGTCCTCGAGGAGCATCGAAACTAACACACTTCACTTAGATGTCCGTCAGACGTACACGTCGCCGTCAGAAAGGCTATGCCATTGAGCCAGAAGATGACGATGCCGTTGAGACTTTACTGGATCTAGTGCCAGGGCCAACTCTGCCCGCGGTTCCCATTGCAAATTCATGGAATTATGGCGCTACATCAGGCACAGGCCTCCCTCGAAAGATGGCTTTGCAGCCTGCTATGGATGCTAGTCGAATGGCTAAGAGAATTAACGCTGGTCTTGATATGGCACAGACACGATCCGCCAGCCCTCCTTCTGGGAGGATCGGACCAGGCATCACTGAGCGCCCCAAGACTCGTGCACGACGAACTACTGCCAAGAACTTTGCTCCAACTCCCCGACAGTCCAAACGGGAGCCGACCCCGGATCAGAATCAGCTTATGCAGTCGCTGCGCGATGCAACGCCGGCCGGAGATGATAATACCCAGCGGTCTGATGCTACGCCGCCACCCCCTGTCCCTCAACCAGTATCCACAGACTCCAGTCCCGATGCTGAGCCGCCTCTACCCCGCCACCTGTCAGTAATGTCAAACGAGCCAATCTATCCCTCGCCGCTGCAGCGACCTGGAGATCACAATAATGATGATGTTGTGCAGAGCACACCGGATCGTCACAGCTCGGTTGACAATGCCTCTGAGGTGTCTTGGAATCTAGAGCGTGATATCCATGAAGACGACTTGCAACGAACGAGACCAAGCAAATATCGCGGGGAACCCCACGGTCAAAATATCACCAAGCCTCCCCGACGCCCTTCAGGCCTAGCCATTGTCCAGGAGACGATTGAGGAGGAGGAGGAGGAGGAGGAGGAGGAGGAGGAAGCAGAAGAAGAGCCAATTCCGGAACTGGCAAAAGAGACCGCACCAGTACTCGAGGCTGCTTCTGCGCAGGCTTCACAGTCGTGGACCGCGCCGGCGCGGACCATCATCCCGCAGTTCTTTCGCTCTAGGGACGTCTCAACGAGTCCTACTCCCTCAGCCTCCTCCGGGAAGGATCTAGTTCAACGGCGGTCACCATCTAAGTCATCAACGCGAGGTATGCGCGGCATCAAAAAAGACAACTGGATTCGAGCAACTGTTGCCCTACTCATGTCACTGGGCCTTGTCTTTGCTTTCCTGTTCCGGCATGAGATCCTCCAGAGCGACATCGTTGAGAGGATCCGCTGGTCCTTCCAATTCAACGATTCTTCAATGGACTTCTCATCTAATATGACCGACTCTGCAGCCTTCAACAGCCTTCGAAGCCAGTTGAACAAGGTGAACTCGCAAGTGTCATCCATGTCGCGCGAACTGATCTCGATACGCTCCGACTATAGCAACCTTCCACGCCCTACCTACATCGCAGATCCCGGCGTGATTCCCGGCGTGGTTGCTAAGCCGGTCCACAAAGTTAATTTTCTGTCGCCGGGAATGGGGGCTCTTGTTGACCCTCGGCCACACAACACTGCCCCAACTGCCGGCCGCAAGCAGTCGTGGTACAAGCGTCCCTTCGTTGCCATGTTTGGCCGCAAGGCTGGTGTGCGGGCCCCCTTGGGCCCCATGGCTGCTCTGACGCCCTGGCAAGACGTCGGGGACTGCTGGTGCAGCACCCCTCGCAACGGCGTCTCCCAGCTCTCCGTGCTTCTGCAGTACCCCATCGTCCCAGAAGAGCTTGTCGTTGAACATATCCCCCTCGGCGCGACTCTTGACCCTTGGGCCGCCCCCAAGGATATCGAAATCTGGGCTCATTTTGGGATTTTCCCCACCGATGCGGACTTGAAAGTGCCCAGCTATTGGAAAGTCTTCCTCCCCTGGAATTCCATTCCACCAGCACCGTCAATCCCACCCCGACTCCGGCCCGTGGCCCAAGGTGGACTGACACCCCACACCAACAAGGAGGACCACCTCTACCCGGTGACCGAGAAGACCCTTCACGAAGTGGTGATGGAGACCCTGCGCAGAGCCAACCGTGGCGAGCGCGAGAGCGAGTACTCGGATGATCCCAATCTTGGCTATCATTTCTACCGTATCGGCCAGATGAGATACGTCGTCGGCGACGAAAATCATATACAGTCTTTCTCGCTCACCGGCACCATGGACATCCCGAATCTTCGCGTGGATCGGGTGGTGTTCCGGATGAAGTCGAATTGGGGCTCAAATCATACCTGCATCTACCGTCTCAAGCTGCATGGGCATCGTTGAGTTTGGGTCCGGGTATAGATAAATTTCCGCTTCTGCGTCCGCGAAGGTCCTGCTTTTTTTCCGGCCTCTTCGTGGTTCCTTTCCTTCCATGCGGGGCTTTTATTTACGATTTCTCATCTATTTGTTCAGGCTGGGTTTGGAAGATGGGGAGTTCGTTCATTTCTTGCTTCTCCCGGGTCTTCTGCTCTGCGGTGATACCTTGCATTTAGCGCGTTGCATGGCGTTGATGACGGCGTTCGAGGAACTTGGGCTAGTAAATTTGCAATCAAGTTAATTGTCACTTCATCTTCGTTCGCTGTAGGGGGCCTCGCTGAACTTCTATTGATATAGAGAGGTCCCCTTAGTCGTGTTGGGTTCATTGCTCAAGTCGATAGTCAGACCAAGAAGCTCGCTTGACTGCTTAGAGTTTAGTTCAAAGGTTAAACGTAATACTAGGAAGGAGAATCATGGCTACAGCAAAGGAAATCAAAAGCCCCTGTAGCCGCGCGCACTGGCCGGGCCACGCCCGATGTGATAGGAGCAAATGATGTGATACGCCCCCGCCAACGTGAGAACCCAACAGAAGACATCGAACGAGTTCGACTGAATCTACATACATTCCCTACTTCTGCAGATTCTAAATTTATGGCGTCTGACGGCCCCGCAAACTACCAAATCCATACTGTGGATGTCAACACCAGCAATGACTACTTCGGTGGTTCTTTTCGCTGGTCTGAGGCGCCTCCTTACAAACCCCAAACCATGGAAGAAGCCCAGGGTCACATCGACTATCTCTATGAATCAGGAGTCCCTTTCTTCTCCAAGGAAATGATTCGCGCTGTCTTTGAGCAGTGCCAACGCAAGCCGGCTCGGGGTGAGTTGATCTACGTTAAAGGCGTGGACGGGGCGACAGTCGAGTTTGTGAGCAAGACTGGGGAAATCAAAAAGAGGACGAGTGCGGACGGTGTCTCACTTGAATATTTACTGTATGTCCCTCTTTCTATCTACCTGCAGTCGCTGTGGTGCTAGCCGAGGCGGATCACGATGAGCAGGCTCGATCCGGTCATCTCGTACGACTGTCGAGCTCATCTGAAGCACCGCCTCTGGTGGACCGGCCTGCCGGGCCGCCCGCCATTCTGTAGCCTCACGATCCAGCATCCGTCCCTGGAATTCAAGGCAGGCAGCAACGAGCCCGTGGTTCACTGGCCCACCCAGCCCCGTGAAGAGGTCGCCCAGGCGTTCCAGGGCCATTTCCAAGATTGGCAAGAGACCGAGGTGTGCCAGCAGCTCAAGCAGGTTCTTCACCGGCATGCGGCGACCCATCGGATCACCAAAGTCGTGGGACTTGCCTTGAGTGCCATGTCCATTCGCGTCGATGATTGTCCGCGGTCGTATATCCAGCACGCATTGCTGCTCACGCTGCGGAACTGGCTGGCCGAGCGAGATGGGACAGAGGTGACATGCTACGCCCAAGATCCCGGCTATCGGTCGGTTGACAAAGAGGTTTTGCGGGCACACAATATTCAGGTGATCGATGACCCCCAGGCATGGCTCGAAATCGACGATCAGTCGGTTGTGTTCTCGGTGGCCCCTAATGTGCCCGTCAAGGAGATTGTGGCTGACATTGCTCGGCCGGGTATTATCATATGGGAGCGGGTCGGGTTTGAAGATGCCGATCAAGAGGGGAAGACTTCCAGGTGAGCATTTCTTGCCTGTCTGCGTAGACTCGGGCTGATCACCAGCATAGTACAGATCCGAGTTCGCCCCGAGTGCGGGCGATGCTTGAGGGCTATGAGCTGTTTGACTTTGGGGCTGAGGACGACCCGAATTTCTGCCGGACGGTGATGTATATTCGACGGCACCAAGGATAAGCTAGGAGATTAATTGGAGATTAATTCAGACTGAAAAGGGTTCCGGGGAGTCTACTTTTCTCAGTTCGATTCGGTCGTTGCAAACTCGAGGTATGGAAGTAATTTATATTATGGCCTGGAAAATCGGGCCGCGACTCCCGGTCGAAGGTGGGGAAATGGCCGAGTTGGGGAGGATGCGGCTGCCACACCGTTCGTATCAGAGGCAAGAGGAGGGGTTCAGAAGAATATAGTTGTGGATGTTGGCGATAGCAGATCACTTTCATCTGTCTTCTGTCTTCTCCTCCCCTTTCCTTTCACTCCCTTCTCTTCCTCTCCCTTCTTTGTAACCCTCCGACCTGTAGATCTCCACCTACCCCACCGAACATGACGAAGGCGGAAGACACTGGGCCTCACCTTCCCGGGACCTTCTCCTCCCTCGGTCACGCGCCTTTCGTGCAGCCATCCTCGTACCTTCGCCCTCCAATGGCCTCCCACTCCGAGAGACCAATCGATCGGGAAGAGCGACAAGGCCTGGTGAGTCGCCCGCTCCTTTTCTTTTCTCAATCGGTTGCCCCCCCAAAGCGTTTTTGTCCAGCACCCCTCCCAACTTGAGTCCCTAGGAATTCTTCGCGACCCCCCTCTACAGATCTGGCGGCCACAAGCGCGGGGATCAGGGGACCAGGGGACCAGGGGAACCGACGAAGCAAACCTGGGGATTGCCGCGGAGATAATCGGGGCCCCTGGAATTGCAATCCTCCCCCAGTTCGGGGCGGCTCACATCCAGATCTTGACTAATGCAGCGTCGAACAGCGTGCCATTCGCAACTTCCTCAAGGTCCGCACCAGCTACGACGTCCTCCCCCTCAGCTTCCGCCTCATCATCTTCGACACCTCTCTTTCCGTCAAGGAGAGCTTGAATATCCTCATCCAAAATGGCATGTGGCGCCCCCACGCCCTCCCGGCGAACCATCCCTCCGAGAGACTCGAGAAAGAGACATCCGCTGACTGGAAAGGCAATCGGGAAGTACAGGCATCGTTTCAGCCCCGCTGTGGGACTCTAAAGCGTCCAAGTTTGCCGGTCTTCTGACCACCTCCGACTACATCAACGTGATTCAATACTATTTCCAGAACCCGGCCGCACTCGACCAGATCGACCAGTTCCGGCTAGATAGCTTGCGTGGTGCGTGCTTCTCGTTGATTTCCCCAGCCTGTTCCGGTGACTCAAATCCTAACGCAACGGGGATACCTGCAGAGGTAGAAAAGGCACTGGGTGTCGCGCCGCCCGAAACCGTCTCCATTGATCCCGAACGCCCGCTTTATGAAGCCTGCCGGCGCATGCTCGAGTCCCGCGCTCGCCGTATTCCCCTCGTCACGAACGACAGCCAGACCGACCGCTCCCACGTCCTCAGCGTCATCACCCAATACCGTATCCTGAAATTCGTGGCCGTCAATGTGAACGACACCCAGAAGCTGCGCCGCCCGCTGGGGGAGCTGTTACTCGGGACATATAACAATATCGCCACGGCGTCGATGGACACGCCTGTCATTGACGTGATTCACATCCTGGTCGAGCGCAGCATATCTAGTGTGCCGATTTTGAATTCCGAGGGTATGCCTATATCCCCAGGGTCCTCCTTTTCATCCCAAGGTGTTCCCAGCCAATGCTAAGAGCGTCAACTATCTAGGTGTTGTCTACAATGTGTTCGAATCAGTCGATGTCATTGCGCTCATCCGCGGTGGGGTCTATGATGATTTGAGTCTTACCGTGGGGGAGGTGCTGAAGAAGCGCTCACCGGTATGTCCTGCGGTCCCCAAACGATGTGCTATGCGATGGCGCACTAACTCAGCCCCAAGGAATTCCCCGGCATTTATACCTGCTCGCTAAACGACGGACTGGACACGATCTTCGACACGATCCGCAAATCCCGAGTTCACCGTTTAGTGGTTGTGGATGAGCACTTCAAGCTCAAGGGGGTGATCACCCTCAGTGATATTCTCCACTACATCCTCCTCGAAGGAGAAAATGACGAAGTATGATCTTATTCGGCTGGAAGCCTCTGTCGACCGCGCTTATACATATCCTCTTATTGCATGACCGGCGTTTTTGTTTTTTTAATTGTTCGTATTTTCGTGGAAGGCTCCTGGCGCTTCATGGCCTTGAGCCTCCCTTCGAGGATTTTTGGCCATCCCTGTTAGCTCTTTATCTTGATCCACTTTTGGGCTTCTGATGAATGTACAAAGGTAATTACATGGCCTCCATACTTTGGTTCTTTTGCGTGCCAAAGACCGAGGCTGGGCGCTTGGGCAGAAATAGATTTCCTTGACAAGTCGCCCTCTCCTCTTCATTCTCCACTCTGCACTTTCTCTCCAGATATCCGATTATTGATCATCATGGCTCTTCGTTCGCCTCTCTTTCTGCGGCAGGAGCAGCTGCGCAGGTTATCTCCACCCCAGACTGACATAGAAACAGCGAGTAGAGCGCACTTTCCTTTTGCTGGGCACATTCCGGAGAACAAGCTGTTTGGCTTCGCACCTTCATCGTATCTCGTGTTTCAACACCTACAATGACTTAACCCCAAAGCATTATTGATGGTTACATCCCGCCTAGTACCCAGCATGACGCTTTTCCGAACGTTCTTCCGATCACACAAGTCAGAGGCAGACGGAACAAGTCGGCCCCGTCGCACTTGGCCTCGGTTGCGCCGTTCACAGTCGGCTGCAGTCGTGCTTGATGCCCATCTCCAACTACTCACACCAACTGCAGATGCGAGTCCGGTTCAGACTGGAAGTGACGAAACAGATTCTGCTGCGAGCGAACGCCCTGCCGTTGCCAGTACTCGTGCCGGGCAGCAGTCCTCTGGCCACGACAACCTGACTCGGACAGAAGATAACGACGCAGCTGCCGCCGAACCTTCTCACAAGAGCAACGACTCTAATGAGCTCTCACGATTCCCGCAAGGTTCCAAGCGCCTGAAAACCTTTGTAAATCGGCTCCGACCCCGCAAATCCTATGGGCCGAGTTGTGTCTCAGAGAGTCTCCAACCTACTGGACTGCAAGATGGCAGAGAGAATGCCAACACGGATCCCGTCAAGGAAGACCCTTTTTCTCAAACGCAATCTACCGTTGACGCAGGGGCCCAGGAGCAGAACCGAAGTGTGAGTGCTCGAACCGTCCAGTCTGAAGAATCGAACCACACCACCATTACTGTCTGCCGGCATCCCTCTCGGCATATTCCACTGCCCGTGCAAGAGCTCGGTGAGGACTGGTTTGTGGAAGGTTTTATGACCTATGGTAAGCATAGTCGGGAGACCACACATTTATCAGAGGCATCGGACCCTTTTTCCGATGGAAAGATCGCGGATGCTCATCGTCGATCACACACATCCTCTCGCTGCAGTGACGACCCGGTCCAGAGAAAATCTGAGGCCACGCAGCGATCGAAGAGACGCAGCCAAGCTGAGACTTCTCATCACACTGTGGCTAAATCCCACAGCGAACATAGTTCCCACAACTCTCATTCTTCCCACCCTGCCTCGACTGCTTTGAGAGACCCCTCTAGCAGCAGTCAGTCGAGTCGAAGTAGCCGCATGAGTCGGCTTGACCCGACCCGGGCGAGAGAAGCTTTCAACACAGGAGCAGTTCAGTTCAACCCCCTGCTGTTCATCCCGTCTGGTGACGCTGCAACTACTGAAGGTAAGGAGCGGGCACTGTTATAGCTGCATTTTGTGAGGCCGGGATCTGACCGTTTCTTGCAGCTGAGGAGAAGCCCACTCGTGTGGTTGACAATACCCTCGAGCGCCGACGTCGATTTCTCGGTCGAATTCACCCAGTGCAATCCCACCTGACACTGGGAAGTGCTACCCCGACCCCGACGCCAGCTCCCAAGCTACGACGAACGAAGACATTCGCGAGCTTGGTCCGCCGCCCTGAACCGATGACTTCTTTGCGGGGGAAGTCTATCGAAACGATTGCCCGCCTTGGGGGATACAGTTTCATCGTCTTACCTCCCGATCTGGCCCCCTGTCCATTGCAACTGCCAGCCAGTATAGTGGCAACAGTTGTATACCTGCGAAGATTTGGTTGGTGCTCATCGTTTCCCTCAACGTCATGGCATGGCCTACTAATCACGGGGTCTTTGCAGGAGTCGGTGCCCGGGCCGCCGACTTATTTGTTGAGCCGGGCAATGTCAAGAAAGCTATCCGCCTGTACGAGTGTTTCGCAAGGCATGTCCTAATAGCAGCGAAGGATGAACCTAGGATCGCACTGACCATGCGCGTGATTGCCATGCCCATTTGGGAGAACGAGGAGGAAGGGACTCCGATACTCAGTACAGCCTGGGTTCTGAAAGCGATATTGGCTGGATTGCCTGGCGGGATCCTCGGCTCTGCACAGCTCTACAAGACCCTGAAGGACATCTACCATACGGAAAGCGTTCATACTGCGGCCCGCACCCGGCTCATCGCCCTCGCGATTGTCGCATTGACCAGTGAGATGCAGTGCGCCCTCATCTGCGCCGTATTTGGGCTTCTTACTGCACTCCTTCAATCGACTGAAAGGGACGAGCCCCGGCCAGCCGGGACTCCGGTCCGACCGGTGGCAAGCATGTCGAAGGCCGACAGACTGGTACGGGTATTTGGACCGCTGTTGACTGGGAGTGGGCCGCGCGACCAGACTGTGCAGCCGAACGTGACAGAAGAGGTGGAGCGGGAGATCGCCGAGGAGCGCGTGGCGGGGATGTTAGTCGAGCACTGGCGCGGCATTAGCCACCAGCTGCGGGCGTGGACGAGTGGGTACCATTCGAGCGAGAGTAAACGGGAGTGAATGGGGGAATGGGGGCCATGGGTGAACGAGTGACTGGGCGACTGGGGATCATCCTACCGTGTTGGAATCTTTTCTTTTGTCTCTTCTGTTTTGTCTTGCCGGTCTACCTTTCTGGTTTGATGCCTTTGTTCCGGTTTAGCTGTTTCGGCGTTATTTTTTCAGCTAGCACACCAGTCGCGGCCTCCCTCTTAATTATTATGATATCCCATGCTGCTCCGCCTGCCCTCTAACCCGTGAGAACCTGCACCCGGGTACGGTATATATTCAAGATCGGCGGGTCGCGATCACTTGCGGGCTAGAACGTTGTATACTTCCAGGGCCCGGCGGGTCTCCACACCAAACCCTGTTTCTCGTCCGGAAGTGGATGGCCAACGACTGGGCGGCTTGAGATCCCGTTAGCTGGTTAACCTGTCAGCCCGTTTCGAAGGCTTCTTTGTGATCGGCCGCCTTTCCTTGCCCACTTCCTGGTAACTCTTGAGGTGATGTCAAAGACCCCCCCTCTCTTCCCCTCACACCAACTGGGACCGAACTAGCCCACTCCAAGCTACGAGAAACCACTAGAAACGCGGGATGGCCTTGGATTCCAGGTTTCCACTTCCCAGTTCCCTCGTTCCCTAGTGCCACTCGAGTGTATCTTGCACGATCAACAGCTAGGGTGGACCTTGGCCCCGGTGTTTGTCATGGCTGCTCTCCCCCCATCCGCTAGACCTCGGAAGGGCCCGCTAAGCAGTTTTCCAAGTATAACCTGTAATCCGGAATATTCCAATTGGGAATGGACGTATAAATCATGGTCTATACCCTGCCGCACCCTCCCTCTGGGCTTTGTCGCGGTTCGCTTGGCGGTCCTGGGTCCTCAACACGATCTCTGGCACCGCACTCTTTCACTCCCATCAGCCCATCCGGCTCTATCACACTTGCTCGACCCTGGCTCTGTCCCACTCACACCAACCCCAAGCCACCAAATCGCTCGGCAGCTTCTGGACGGGTATTCGCCCGGATCTGCTGGACCGCTGGAAGTCCTGTCCGACCGTGGCTCCAGCCGGTCGACCGACACCTGTCTTCGCTTCTTCAGGCACCGGCCAGTCTGACGACCGCGGTTCCCCTCTTTTCCCTACCCATCCTGGAACGCGATCCTGCTGGTCTGGACGCCGTAGACTTTGTGGTTGACGGGCCGTCTTATTATCCCGTACCAGAAGCTCGAAGCTGGACCTGAGGGAGCTCTACGTTGCACAGCTCCAAACCTACCGCGATTCCTATTGCTACTAGTGGTAGCCATCTAGCTTCGTTGGTGCTCCGCAGCTTCACCCATTGCAGCTTCCACAGTCTACGGACACCACCTTCCACTTTCCGCAAGAGAGGACGCGGCTGCCATCTGCTCTTCCTTGGCTTCATCCTGGCGACTGCGCCTGCCCCTCCCCCGACTTGAACTTGCCATGTCCACTCGCAACGGGAATCCTCCGCCTCTGCCCTCCGGCTTGCCAGTCGCGGATCCCATCGGCGCCATCGGCGCATCCCCCTTCGCAGCAGCCAACACCTTCTCAGGCGAGTTCTTGGGCCTCGCAATTCCAGACGACGATCAACTCTGGGGCCTCAGCCCTGTTTCACCAATCATGGGCACCGGTGGCTGGGACACCAAAGCCGACGCCGCGGCCTTCGCCAGCTCCGCGCTAGAGCGCGACCTCAAGAATGCCCAGGTCCGCAACGGCCAGCCCACACCTCCACCCTACGATGACCAGCACGGGCGTGACACCTCCAGCCTCGAGGCGGAGCCGGCCAGCAAGCGCCGCCGTGCCCGTGAGTCTCAAACCGCCGCCGCCAGCCTGAGCCCGGATCTGGACGACTGTCCGCGGCACCAGCAGCCCGCTGCGCGGGCCAAGTTCCTCGAGCGCAACAGGCTCGCTGCCAGCAAGTGCCGGCAGAAGAAGAAAGAGCATACACAGCAACTAGAGTTTCGGTACAAAGAGCAATCCGAGAAGCGGGAGCGACTGGTGAGCGAAATAGCGCGGCTGCGCTCGGAGATCCTCAGCCTGAAGAACGAGGTCCTGAAGCATGCCCAGTGTGGCGACGAGCCGATCAAGCTGCATCTCGCGCAGATGGTGAAGAAGATTACCGATACGGATGGCCCGCCACCGGCGCCCGTTGACCCGCCCATGCACCTGCCTGAGCATGTCCCAGCGTCGCCGTCCGATGCGCCCACGCCGACCCCGGCTACTTGTACGGCGCCGGCACTTTCATTTGGCTTTGATGATGCGCTGCAACTGGAGCCTGCGGCGGTGGCGGCTGCGGAGGCGTTCGAGCAGCAGTTGCGTCGGGACTCGGAGGTTTCGCTGGTTTCTGAGTCCTCGTATGCCTTCTCGGCAGACGATACCTTTGACGACCTAATCAATGTGTAACGCATCAATGCGCGTCCTTGTGAGGTGTTGTTATGATAGCTGACTGGGATGTCGCCTGGGTTGGGCTGGTGTGGTTTGGTTTCTCTATGTGGAGCAGCAGGTCTGTCATCGCGGCGTTGGTTGGGCAATCGGGTCATTCAAAAGCGCGGCCTGGATCTCTGAGTGTCTATTGTTCCCTTGTACTCTCAAGTGCGATCCGGCTTTTTCCACCGAGGGCTGGAGGGTGTCTGGCGTTGGCTCGCGTGTGTTTATGACTTTTTCGAACAGCTGTTTTTCTATCTGATGCAGGCTGTGACGGTCCTTTCTGGTTTTTTGCTTTTGTGTCTCGTGTTTATCATTGGGGGGAATGCTTTGTACTTGGCCGGTGGCTCTTCTTTCTTGGTTCTGGGTGGATGGCATGTCGTCTTTCTTTAGCCCCACCTAAGGCAGTTACGCACGTCACGATACCTAACTTATCAAAGTCCCTTCCAGCTAGGGTTTTCTTACCCTAGCTGTCGTCGCTCTACTTTTAGCCACCAGGTTCGTTGTTTGTATGAACCCCCTTTTTGGATTATCTTTGGGAAATACCAGATATCCCAAATAGCTGCGAGCATATGCGACTTGTGCTGTATATCTCCTGTAGAACTCGTAACACCCATTCGTCTCCAGAATACCAGGGCCCAAGGCATATTGGCCATCTGGGGACCAAAAGATGTTCCTTACAGTAGATACGAACGAATTCAAGAAAATAATCATTGAGCTAATGACCAGGTATAAGAAAGCAAACTATTCATCGGCAAAAGGAGCTTATTCAGTTCTTGGACCCGGTCAACACTGGTGACAATTGGTTAACGGAGGGGAACCCTCTACATGCATCGGACAGGCCGAACTACATCACAAATCGTCACAAGTAGAATCAAGGCCATCTCGTCACAGAGAAAATATACCGAGAAAGATCTATTTATATCGGGAAATGAGTGTATTCTTAGACTTGGAATCTCTGGTATATGTTCATGGATTTTCGGCCTGGGGAACGAACAAATGATCTCCTCGTGCTGATATTAGGACGTCCCGTGCACGAAGGTGTGTACGGTCTCATCGTTTAAACATTTAAATGTTCAAATAGGGACATTTATCATCCGCCAGCGTAATGTTCTCATCGGGGCCCGATTCCCCGCTGCGAATGGAACTTGGCTTTCCTTGGCTGAGATCGTAGTGTCGCGTCTTCAGAAGGAGTGATATTATGGAAAGTGATTAGACTGGTCGTTACGGCGATGATACAATGCTCTCATTCTCAAATGTCTAATTGTACAGTATAATTTCGTTTAGAACCGAGAACATTCCAGCCGGTACAATAAACCTGATGCCAAGCCCGGATTCTTCGACGGAATCAAGCCCGTCCGGCGGTTGACTCCTCAACATGCATCGGGTTCTTCTTAGCTTATCCAGACCTAACAGACTCTGTGGCATCAAAGTGCCGGTTTTGTCGCTGGCCATGGTTGTCATGGCCCTCAGGCTCAACATGCAGCGTCGCGCCCTTCCAGCCCTCCTCGGTATCAGGATCAACCCCGTCAAACATCTCATTGATCTCCTCGAGGGTCTTTCCGGCGGTCTCTTTGAGGCAGAGTAATGTGAACGCGACGATAAGAATGTCCAGTAAGCCGAACAGCAGGAATGTAGCCCAGCCAATCCCGGCCATGATATAAGGAGTCGAGAAACTCCAAATGAAATTGAAGAGCCACTGTGAGCCCACTCCAAATGCAACGCCGGGTTCACGGATGCGTGTCGGAAAGATCTCACTTGTGCACGGCCAAGGCAGCGGACCCCAGCTGAAGTTGTAGGCGATGATATCAAGGTATATCAGAGCCACAGTTGCAATGCCGGCGGATGTAACTACGCCGTCATGCGGCGGGTACTGCTTGACCACGGCGGCGGTGGCGAGCATGCACACGGCCATGCAAGCCGCTCCGCTGGCCAGCAACGGGCGGCGCCCGAACCGGTCGGACATGAAAAGCACGAAGATGAGACAAGCAACCACCTTGATGGCGCCAAAGATGCCGGTCAGCAGCAAGTTCTTGTCACCTGGTCCGACAAGCAGTGAGAAGAACTGTGGACCAAAATAGGCCAACGCCGTCGAGCCGGTCGACTGCTGCGCCAGAAACAGCCCGCCACCGATAAGCAACCGATGCAGGTTGGGCCATTCGAGGAGCTCACGCGGACGGAAGCCAGCCGTCGCATGACGCTCCTCTTCAAGGCCGCGCCGCATATCTTCAAACTCCTGGCTCACAGCAGGGCTATCGCCAGCCCGAATCCAGACCATGCTGCGCCAGGCCTTGGCTGGCTCGCCATGGGCCAAAAGCCAGCGTACGCTCTCGTCGAGCGAGAGCATGCCCAAGCCCATCAGCGCACCGGGAACAAGTTGCAGGCCAATGGGTATTTGCCATTGCCTAGCGCTGCTGGGCATTGCCTTGACGCCGTAGTCAATCCAGTAAGATACTAGGATGCCAATCGTGTACGTCAGCTGATAGCAGCTGCCAAGCTGGCCACGGATCTCCTTGGGGCTCATCTCGGACATGTAGATCGGAATGACGGTTGCAGACCCGCCAATCCCCAGTCCACATATCACTCGCCCAACATAAAACGCTGGAAGTGAGTGGGTTTCAATGACTTCGAGCACGACACCGATGCAAAAGACCACCGAGCTAACCATCATGGCGATACGTCGCCCATACCGGTTCGTCAACGGCCAGACGACGAAGCATCCGGCTAGTGCGCCAGCCTGCTGGATACCGACAGCGATGGAGCTCACACGGGTCTTCTGTGCGGCAGTAAATTCAAAGGAGTCCTGAAACGACTCGAAGGTGAGGACACCACCTGGAATGGATTAGAATGACATGGACAATATAATTAAGGGACGGGGAGACATACCAATGACGCCGGAATCATACCCGAATAACGCACCACCACAACACAGCACCGCTGCCAACCAATAAGTGCGCCATCGGGCTTGAGACAGCCTCCGCATTTCCATAGGAGAATAATCCTGACCTTCACGCTCCGATTGATGATCTTGAAGCTCTGGCTGTTGCGGAAGCTGCGAATACGAAACGAATGAGGTAGAAATACCGTTCCACCAGCTTGATATACCGGTCCACCAAGACGAGATGATCGACTCCGAAGGAGCAGCGGATGACGAGGCGAGCTGGGTGGGGGTGGTTCTTGATATAGAGCCCCGGACTACATGGTCGGACATAGTCGCGGGGAAAGGTAGAAAAGAACGAGAACTAGACATAGAAGCCAACTAGGGTAGGGACTGGATACGGCCGGTTCGAAGCTGCCAGATTGGGAGGGAACCAGCTGTTTCGGGATGTATTGATCTCCGGATTTGCAGCGCATTATGTCATGGACTACCGACAGCCGACGCGCAACCCAGTGGGGAGATCACGCCATGCGTACAGAGCGGACTGACATGATGCATGAATGCCAGAAATCCGGGGGGGAGGGAATAGAGTGCAGACAACGGTCAGGAACCAGGGTGCAAGCGAAACAGGACGCGGAACAGGACGAGCATCCCCAAGCGTCCCGCGATCCGGTGAGTGTATCGCGTACGTCCCGAGCGTACTGGCTCCTGAAGTGTGGGGATAAGCTTCCCCCACATGTAGTATGGTAATATTACAGCCGATGACGCGGCAACCACGAATTGCCCTCGTCTCCACCGCATCCACATTGCTGGCTCTATCGCAGCCGACTGCCGACTAGCGATTGATAGCTTGATAGCAGCCGAGCACGAAATGCAATTCCACGGTGGTGCTATATGCACCTATATAGACAGGAAAATGTCTGCCTGGTGGGGCCTTTCCTATCTGGGCTGCCGCCGCTTTACGAGGGCGCTCAGGCTCAGAATCAGTGAGTAGATGTCAGCACGGGCTCGGGCTCAGTGAGCATGCTCTAGTTCGGTCACGTGTATGATGACTAATCCGCGGCGTGCTCAGTGAGCGAAAGTGCGTGCTCCGGGATTGCTCAGTGAGTGCTCAGTGAGTGCTCAGTGATACCTTAGTAATGCTCAGTGGGCACCCCTGATTTGTTTAACTCAATCTAGACCTTACCCAATAGAGACAGGCCCCACAGGGCTATTTATTCTGTGATAGTTAGTGCGTTGACGATATTTAGGCTGCCCTCGTTTTCTAGAGGAACCCTTGCCTCCAAAATCATGTGTTATGTCTATCAGGCGCAAAGAAGACGGCGAAGGCCATCCGATTAGGGATAGTCTAATAAAAGTTTCCTGTCTTTTTCCAGTACAGCGGGCGACTCGAGCTCGAAGTCTTAGCTATATAAGGACACTATGTCCCTATAAACCAGCTCTCTTATCATCTCATCTAAATCCTTCTATTTTATTAAGCTGCTTCTACAGCCAGCATTCGAGCAAGGTTTATAGTAATAGAGCGAATAGACTTCTTCGTTAGACGCGATAAGATAATTTGTAACGCATAACAGAACGATAGACTGCGCCAAAAACCGCAAAACCGCAAAACCGCAAAAAACCAAACCGCAATTGGGGGGTTTTTGGGGCCAATTCTAGAAACCGCAATGGTTCTTGGGGCCCCAATGGTTTTTAAAGCGGGGCTAAAATATCACGTGGATAATATTCTATCGATATTTATTGGCTATATCTTAATTACTAAGCTATTTTAACTAAGTTAGTTTATAACTAGTTATTATGCAGTTTTATGTAATTTTATGTAAAAATGGTTTTTGATGGTTCCCCAATAGGGAACCGCAATGGTTTATGGTTTGGTTTGGTTTTTGGTTTTAAAAACCGCAACCATTGCGGTTTGGTTTTTGGGGGCAAGGTTTGCCCCCAATTGCGGTTTTTGGCGCAGTCTACAGAACGATAGACGGAGATCGCCTAATGGGGCCTGTTTATATAAGCCCTCTATAAGATAGTTACTAGAGCTGTAACGGATTTACTATTGTCAGGGTAAAAAGCCTGTTGATCAGGTAAAGAATCGATGGCGAATAGATAATGAAACAATTTTGATGCAGTTCAACCGTTCTTCCTTTCAAAGACTGAATCTTGACGATTCAGATTGAAAGGAAACGGGGCACTCTCTTTTATTAGGGAATAACGATACAGAGTGATGATAAAGAATGACATAACCACTTTTAATATCAACGCTTCCCCATATCAGACTAATAGGCAATCCTTCACACTTAGCATCGTCGGCGGGGACTCGGGAATAGCTTTAGGCTCAGAATCGGACAGCAAATTAGGCTGTAAGGAAGCTATTGTAAAAAGCAATAGAATGCGAGAGAAATAGGTGGAAAAATGGGAGGTTTGAAGGTGTAAACAACAATTATTTTGGATTTCTTATTAGGTACTATAGTAGTACGCGAGTGACTTATTTTTACTAGCAATTTACATAGTAATTGGAGGTACCTAGGGTGTGATATACATGCAGGGTAGTGGTAGCAATAAAATAAAAGTTCGATGATGAAAGCGGTGAGAAAGGCGGTCAGTTGATACCTGACTTTTCAGGCAGGGAGTGGTGTCAGCATCCAAAGGGTGGTCTCTGTATCAATCCCTATATTCAAAGCACTTGCGTGTTGAGGAATACAAAGTAGAAGTTTTCAATTAAACTCGTCTATCCTGGTATCCCAAGACTTTCTATAATCATCATTTTGCACATATCCGAGATCATGTTCTGGGTTAAAATATAGAGATCGCTCAGCCGTAGCCGTTTTTTCGGCCATCCAGCCCCGTAGCCTGCTGATATCACGGCAGGTATGCAAGACATCAAAATTTCCAACCTCGGAATTCACACTTTCAAAGTACATAACAGGCACCGGTGTCAAATCCATGTGGCATTGAATACTTTGACGTATGTGGTTTAGACAATGGTCTGAAAAGAGAAAGGGTTTAGCTCGAAGTTCTCTTATAGGAGGTCAGGGAAACAAAAACCACATACCACCATGTATTCTGTCTCCACGGGGTAAATTGACTAAACTGGCATTATAGTAATATTCGCTGTCAAGAAGTTTTCGAATGTAATTCTGGAACCATCAGTCATTTTCTCAATTCAATTTAACAAAAGAGAGAATGTTGCTGACCACACAGTGCAAAGTATGAAGGACATCCGGTCTGCACACCTTTTCCATTAGCTCTGACAGGAAATACTCAAACTCGAATTCAAGTTCCTAGATAACTGCAGGATGCAAGGTTTACTCACCCGACATTTGTAGGATATAAGAGAGGTTTCAATGACTCTCGATCTAATGCTTCCGACTCCTGGATAGTCGTGCCGACTTGAAAATGCTCTAAATCAAGAATTAGATCGGAAAAGATCGCTCAAACCAAAGTCCTACAAGGAACTCACTCCCAATAAGTTCATGCCACGCTTGATCCACCTCTGGGCCAGGCTCTCCAAAATATCGCACGCCATCAGGGCCTAAGTCAATATAAAGGTGACCGGTATCGTTGTAACTCAATGTTCCACTGAATCGAACTTTTGTGATGCTTATAGTTGACCGAAATGGCTCTTTGAAAAAGTGAAATAATCAGTAAGAAGGGGGTGCCAGTCTTTTGTTACGGATTCTACAGATCTTGAGAACTAACCGAACTCCGTCCCAAACCCAACTTCGTATGTGTCATTTTGTAATTTTATATGACTGAATATCTGAAGTCCCAGAAGAATGCCGGTTGAGATGATCCAAGGAAGAGGGTGCAAAAAGAAACAGACCCATCCACCCCTTTTCCTACTATATGTAGTGGTTTCGTCCGAAAGTCCGAGGCCTGCACTGGGAATCTTTTGGTATCTAAAAGACATAGTTTAACATGGATGAGTTCGATGTTAGTAGCAATGAGTAGTATATCGGCAAGATCCGTATGAGAAGCGATATATGCACATGTGAGTTCTGTTTATTGTCTACATGTATGGGGTTGCACAAAACTTGAATGCGAAGAGTCCAATATCGAGTAACTAACCCAAGTCACGTAAATTACGTGAGCCATCAGTCCATGACTCGGTACACGTTAGTGTGTCGAAATATGACGTGCGTCTCAGAATTATTTGAATCTTCTGAGGCATAGTGTATTCTACGTAATGGAAATTTTTAACTAATCTCAACCATCATTCCTTAGTCGAAAGCAGGTTTCCCCGAGGTCCTCCAGGGCTGTACCACGCTTTCCGCATTCAAGGAAGACGAAATATAACTAGGTCCAGTTCTACCTTATATTCTTTTTTTTTTTAGAAAAAACAAATCCACCAAATCCTAATCCATTCCACCCAGAATGCATTTTTTCAAAGTATTCGTTGCGACCCTTGCAACCACGGCAAACATTGCTATGGCGGCCCCTGTAAGTGGTGTCGCCCAACTCGAGGCGCGGCATCCCGAGCCGCAGCCTGAGCGCATTGCCCAAGTCTATTCGGACAAGATAAGTAAGATCAGAAATATGTTTTGTCCCAGGTTTGACAACTGTTAACACGAATTCTAGAACGAGAGCCACAGCGTGATGGTCAGGTTTACTCGGACAAGATAAGTAAGATCAGGGATACATTTTGTTCCAGGTTTGACAACTTTTAACACGAATTCTAGAGCGAGAGCCACAGCGCGATGGCCAGGTTTACTCACGATTGGACGAGGAGTAATCTGTATTCAGAAAGGGGCGCTCAGCGTGTGATCTGTGCGCCGCTTGGACCAGGTCTATAGGTGGACTGATGAATGCTAGCCAGTGCCAAAACCTTAGAATAACTAGGAATCAGTAATCACATTTTGTTTACTGGAAGGAGCCAGTTCTGAGCTAATTGGCAATATGTAATTCCATTGGCCTAGATTACTCTTTGGTCTTGCTCCAACTTGAAATTAGTACTCCAGCTCATAATCTGTTTCTTTAATGTTATACCTTCTGTTAGTAGTGAAGATGATGGATTTCCATTTCAATGGGCTATGCTTGTTGATGATATCTTTCAAGTAAATTAATTACGTGGTAAATTTCTAAGAGTCGTCCTGCAGGCGTTTCATGGCTTACTATTCCGAGTCTGACATAAATAACGAGCTTTAGTTACGTGAGAAAATTATGCGTAGGGCTAGGGGTGGTGGTTGACCTAACGATTAGACTTAGCTAACTAATAACTATTACCAATGCAATTCAAGTTCATATTCCTTAACTAAATGGATCCAAAATCAGAATTGGGCGTTTATTTCCTATGATATGTGTTTAACAAGATCGCCTTTCTTGACATCTTCGAGACTTGACAATGTTCCAAAATTGGTTATCAAAGTCAGTATTTTTTTCGAAACAGCCTCACCTTGATCAACGCAAGAATGGCGAAATTCTGGATGAGGATCCTGTTGATGGAGATGAACTTCTCCTAGACTCTACCAGTAGAGTTCACTGGGTAGACGATGAACGCGTAAAACCACACTCTTGTTTTTCAACTTATCGTCGCTCCAAACCATACTCTACTCTACTACTCTGGTGGAGCGTGTTTAATGCTGGGCTACTAGTCATTATAATGGGGCTCGCGACCCGGCACACGATGAATATTTCACGGACGAATCTCTACGACTCCATTATGACCGATGACGGTAAATCTTTTCCTTCCGGACAATTGAGCTGGTCGCAAAGATTCACACCGTTGCCATGTGGCAAATCTCCATCGGAGGCCATAGCTCGAGGCTGTCACTTCGATATAATTGCTACCGCGTGGCTGCCCCCCAAATGTATCGACCATGAACTGGCCGCTGAATTTACGGCGTTGCATCCATGGCAGTATTTTCGAAACCCGAATGGCACTGATCCAATATCCCATGACCCTGATGTACTGGGTTCCCAAAGTGGACTCATCTGGACTACACATCGTTGGCATTCGGCGCATTGTGTATTTATGTGGAAGAAACTGAATCGGGCACTGGTAAAGGGGTGGCCAACAGATGGAGAATGTATCAAGCAGGAACACATTGATCATTGCTCCAAACATGTCTTGGGGGAGCATGATTTGGATTCTATCGGAAGTATCGTGGAGATAATTTATCCCCCTTGCTGAAGATATCCTTGAATATGTGTCTAGCGGAAAATCAGCCAATTCAAGTTGTTTGATGGTGATGGGCAAAGATAGTACCTTCCATTTATCACCAATATGAGATTCAACCTTGGAACGTTTGAGATGTTTGTTCCCAGCCCTGGAGGGCTGCTAAATATGGATTATGTGTTCTGTAGTTCAATCAATCGTTTCAAGTTCAAGTTCCACATGCACATCACAGGTCACGGTGCATACACATGTCTGTGCAAGGTCAACCGTTCAACCTTGGAACATGGATTTGAACTGAAAGGTTGAATGTTTCAGATGTCAATCTCAACCTTGAACTTCCAAGGTTACCTCCAGATGTCAAGTGCTCTCACTGGCTATTATAAAGGCCGGTGCTCATATCCAGATGTCCTGATGTGACTGTATCCATTGATGGATTGCTTTGATATATTGATATATGGTAGTGAGAACATTTGGAAGGAGATGAAACTAGCCCTCGAGTTAAAACCGGTCTTAATATGAGCCTAATCTACTATGAATATACTTCCATTGACTATCAGTTCCTTCTCATTGTAGTCTGAGCGCCTCTTGATTGCCAAGTCATGAATCACTTCAAAGTTTCTACATGTGTGCATAGTGTCAGTGCTTAGAATGAGTTTATTGCCAGTCAAAGTCCATTCCATCGGGGTGAGATCGGCGTGGCATTGGATGGCTTGGCGTAAATGATTGATACAGTGGCCTCCTTTCGATTAGTGAAAATCCAACTAACATTTGAATATTGAATTTTTGGAAGAACCAACCTATATGATGCTCACGAGGAGGGTCATTTGGATCGTTGAAGATATTGTAATAGTTGGGATATAGTGCTTGGCGGAGGCGATTCTTTGCTTTGTCTTAAAACTTGTGGAACTTGAAGGCTTGCAGGTTGATTCATAGGACTTACTAGACAATGCAGAGAATGAAATACCTCAAGCCTGTTCTATCCGTCAGTGTATAATGTATTTTGAGGCTTGACGCCGAGTTGAAATCAATCTCACCCAGTAAAATAATGTCCTGAGTCAGGCCATTGGAAGGTTCTCCCATGAAGGTGGTCAGCCTCATGGCCCTCAAGGTCCATGTTTAAACCTTGCATCAAGATTAATAATTGTTTTGACTTATCTTCAGCGTAAAACTAACCTGATAGAAGATGCGCCCAGGCCTCGTCGATTTCCCGCGAGGGAGATCCGACGTATTTAGGGGTAGTTTGTTCCATTTCAAAGTCCCCGTTCTCTGTTATTTTGACTCCACCAGTAAAATGGTATTGAGACAGCTCTATTTTCGATTTGACTGAGTCTGGGGGTCTTTGTTAGCGATCACCACAGAAATAATGCTCATCCAAACTGTACTGTTTATTACCTAAATCTGTTTCGAATCCATATTCGTAAGACTGCGGGCGTTTATAGCCGAAATCGATACCGAGAAGAATGATATTCAGTAAAACAGAAAATAGCAAGAGAAAATTTAGGATTCCCTTTATTCTTCCGCTCCTAGCTGAAACTTCTTTCCCGAGTTGCCCTAACAGGCTGTTGGATTCTGCATCGCCCTGTTCCTCTTGCTCGAGCATCATGATTATTCAGATTCTTTGTTCCGCTAAAGAGAATTCAGAACTATCTGACAGAGAAATCGAAGTAATGCAGCATTACAAACTCCCTCATGTATAGCAACGCCAAGGCTGTGCCGCAATATCCCTGAATGACAGAGTCTCCATATGAATTCTTACGTAGGGCTAGTATTGGAAAAGGGGTTTCTATGATGTTTGCCCTGTCATATCATCACATAATAGTGGCTTTTCAAGGTGAGGAATGTACCGTGAATTCCTTGGGGGTATTTGGGTTAGTCAGGGGTATGAATTACGTGAATGCATGAATCTAACGTAATCTACTAACCCAACTACACAAGTTTAGAAACGTTGTTTGTTTATTGAAAAAAGTCTCTAGAAAAATTGATTTAGATAATTGAAAAGATACTTAATTCATGCCACTTACGTGAGAACTTCCTCTATGTACTCACTCTGCCCAGGTGGTTTCTTAGGATATCAACACCATGACTCAACATTGAAACTTGGTATTCCGAGCTTCAAACGTGGTATTTTACACAACAGACACCTGGTTCCTGCAATCCAACAACCCATCATGTTGTCCGAGGATGAATGCGATGCATTCCTGAAAGAATCTCAATATACCACGCAAGACGAACTCAACGATTCACCAGTCGTGAAGAAAAGATTTCGCCTTTTCCGGGCTGTTCAACATTGGGTGGAAAGCAGAAAAAGAGCAATTCCATTTTTCACCCACCTGCTCGTGTTTTTGATCACGTCCGTGATTTGGGGGGATCTCTTCTTTTCTTTACGCTCCCATCCCCGCACAGTCACAAATCGGTTGGACGAGTCGGCCACTCTCTGAATGATGCGCCCTTTTTTTCCGGAGCCAAGTACTCGCATTGCGGAAGATCAGCTCCAGAGGCGAGGGCCTTGGGCTGTCAATACGACATCCTTAGTAACCATTGGGTGCCAGGCAAATGCATGGATCAGAGCGCTGTGGAGGAATATCAATCGGATGAATCATGGTACGGATATGCCGACGAGAATCGGACAGAGGTTTTGAGCATAGATGCTATGTCAGAAATTTCTTTTTACTACACCAACGAACGAGACCATATTGTTCATTGTGCGATGCTATGGAGGAAGCAATACAGGGCATTTGCTGAGGGTCGAACTACATATGATTCTATAATCGCAGACTCTGGGCATACAAATCATTGCTCTGAATATTTGATAAACATGACCACTTGGGGAATCGACTTTAGGACTATGCCAATCAAAGTGTTTGTGGGGTATGCTGGTTGTTACGACAGGGGCGAAATTACGGATTAACAAGTCTCCACATCTTAGTTAGCTCAAATGGATTGAAAATGTTAGAACTTGAATGTGATAAGGCTAGTCAATCCAAGGGAAACGAGTCCATTCAACAAGATAACTAAAGCTAGAGAAAGAAGAGAAGAGGAGAAGGAGACAGGAGGGGATAACAATATAAGGACCCTCAGTTCTCAGGCCTCAGGCACCAGCTCTCAGACACCAGGCTTCAGCATATGATTCATCACATTGAACTTCACGCAATTTCCATACCTTCATACTGACTCAATACTACTATCCACGTGTGTGTACTAACATTTTCAACATTGAATAATTCAACATTTGAATGCTCTTCTTGGTGTTTAAATTACGCATCAGGTCAATCTAATATATGAGTGGAAGGCGACTGAGAGCTAATCTGGTAGAGACTATCAAACAGAAACAGAAGACGTTAGCCGTTCTATGACTTTATTGATGATTAAAAAAACAGGAGATATGCTTGTTAGCGATTAAAAGTCAAGCCAGACCGAGTTCTTTGAAAAATGCCTCTCTGCTTGGTTCACGACCTAAGAACTCAGTCAGGGTCTTCATCCCATCCTGGCTGTCACCCTTCTCAAGAACAAGGTGTCGATATCTTCGGCCTTCTTTGGCATTGAGAGGGTCAGACCGGAATACCGAGTCGAACATATCAAGGGCATATACTTCCGACCTTCATATAGGTGTTAGTGACAGATCAATTATCTTCAGGTAATGAGTTCTTACCATAGGTAACTGTAAAAGCCCGCATCATACGTGCCCATCCAGTGTGGAATATTTCCCTCACCATGTCCCCACGCATAACCCTGGCCTAGTGTCTCAGGTCCATCAGTCAGTCTGATTGCCTTTCGTAGGCTGTTGAATTTCGATGAGATATCCAAATCTATGATCTCTTGGTGAGTTCTAGGTGTATGGACTTTCAAATCAAAAACACTAAGAAATACCCGAAACAGGTTATACAATCCCGTTTTCCAATTGCGTGATTGGATAAGCCCTGTAATCATCTCATCGGGGATTTGTTCAGAGGGCATTGACTCAGGTTGACGTTCTCCTTTCCCTAGACTGCAGCTTTCTGCTGATAGAGTTGAGTAGTGTCGACTCAGCGACTTTAGTTGTGAAGGTACCCAGCACCAGTTCTCAAGCATCTGGCTGGGCGCTTCTGCAAAGTCTTCCGTTGATTTTGTACCATGAAAAGTTGAGTAAGTAGTCTTTGCCACAAGGTCATGGATAGCGTGTCCCAGTTCATGAAATATCGTTACAACGTCATCATGTCTGAGAAGACTGGGTTTATCAGGGCTAGGCTTGGGGAACTGGCATAATAAAGCTGTGGACGGATAGGAGCGTGTCTTGTCTTGTCGAATAAAGCCCTAAATGTAGTCAGCTCTGAACGAAGTCATCAATAGAAAAAGTAAAGTGGCAGTATCAAGTCACTATTCGGGAAAGACTTTTCTTCAACTAGCAACTAGGACAAGAGATAGTACGTACTGGCTGGAGATTCCAATCCGATGGGTTTGGATATTTACCGTCTCGTGAGAACAGGTCCATGTAGAGGTAGCCAACGAATCCACTTCCTAGGTCTTTATCGTCCCAAACATTAAAAACCAGCACATCTTCATGCCAAACAATGTCACTGCCTTTGTCGACAACCATTTCCTTAAAGACGAGACCAAACAATCTCTCAAAAATCCCTAGCATACCTTGGACAGTGGTTTGCAAAGGGAAATACTCTGCGATCTTCTCCTGGTCGATTGATAACTCTTTTTGATTCATTAAACGACTGTAAAATGAATGGTCCCAGAGATAAAAGCCGTTGAATGGTTCTCCATGAGACTCTAGATCTGCCTTTTTCAACTGCGTTTGCTGGGCAAGCTCTTTTTGACCACTGCTCGTCAACTTGGACCACAAGTCATCTAAGAAAATCTCCACTGTCTCAGAGTCTTTGGCCATCTTCTCTTCTATTCTGAACGATGCGTGATTTGAATATCCAAGCAGCCGAGCAGCTTCATCGCGAAGCACCACAGCCTCCTTAAGGATGGACGCATTCTGTGAGCATTTATTCTCATTGGCAATGAAGATCTTCTTTCGGGTTTCTTCATTTTTTGCAGATTTCAGTGCTATGGAGATATCCGATCCCTTGAAACCAAGCCAAACTTTGCCCGAATGATTTTCATCCGTTTTTCTGTTCTGCAAGCTGGATATAAATTCCGCAGGTACTCCATTCAATTCCTGCAGAGTAAGCCAGATGCCCCCATTTTCGCTGTTCAGAATCTTTTTGTAGTCGATTCTCAGCTGACTGAGATGTTTCTGGATTTCTTTGAAGCGACCACGCTGAGACTCGGGCAGTCCCAATCCCTTCCGGTAATAATCTTTGTATTTCTTCTCTAACAGTCGACGTGATTCCGGATCCAGTTCATCAGTGTTGCTTTTGTGGAAAACCGACTTGACTAGGTTGTAAAGGTCTTCCCGAGTCTCCGTCTCAAAAACAAATTCGTTAAAAAGCTTCTCAGCCTCCCCTGATGCATCACGTAGTTCCGGGTCGGTCGACACAGATTGATAGAATTTAAGAATTTCAAATTCAAAAGCCAATAAATTTTCATCGTTTGCGAGTGGTACCAGAACATTCGCAAAAGTTGCGCCTTCTAGCGGCACATGTGCCACAAGCTCATCTTTCGCCTTTCGAGAGCGCTCTATCAGATCCTTAGCCTTGCTGAGAACCGTTGACGGCGTGTCACTGAATCTTGGAGGAGCTTGAGGTGGCTCTTGAATCTTGTTTGAGGACATTTTCGTATCTGGTGACGCTTTAAGATATCGCAATTGCAGGATGGAAGGAGAACTGAATAAGGGAGCATGGGAAGAAAAAGGGAGAGGGCGCCAGCGAAGTTAGAGATACTTCTACGGGGATCAGGTGACTACGTGACTACGGTGGTCCGATCTCCCACAGCAAGGGAACAAAGAGAAGGGCCATGTTACTCCGGAGTCCGAGGTACCCCTTAGTGGTGGTTGCATTACTCTCTACTACTCCGTACATATTACATGTTAACGGAACCAAGTGCGGCTGACGTGGCCTAGTGGGGCTATGTATTATACCTGTCATTACGTGTTTTGTTTTTCTTATGTCATATTCCGTTATTGCACATAGAATATTGCCAGTTCCAAGGTTCTTACAGTTTTGGAATACACACTTTCTCCACATGCTGTCTCCAAGTGTACCCCTACGGGTCTTCCCGTTGTCCAAAAAACTCGAAGCGTGGTTGTGATTTGCTCCATGGAAGCTCAATCGACCCGTACATCTTTAGCGTGCACGGCTTAGAGCGATCCCCTTTTCACTGGGGTATTGTATAGAGCCCAATTATACAGCCAGAAAGAGAACACATACTAACTTAATCGGTAAGCGAGCTGGCCACCCCAAAACACATAGTAAATGTATTAAATTACAACTCTATTTCTCAACAACCACAATTTAGACTAGATTCTTATGACAGTGTGGTGTTTGAAATATATCTCTGAGTGAATTTGAAAATTTCTAGAGAATAATAGCTCAAAAATATAGATTTAAAGCAAATCGATGAAAAATGGACAGTATTTTTGGTAATCATGATAAACACTTATTTAAACGGCCCTAAAGTTCGGAGTATGACTAGAAATAAGGTTAATAGCCTAATCTATAAGTTTTAACCGAATTCAACTTTCAGTTGTTGAGAAATAGAGTTGTGATTTACTACATTTACTATGTGTTTTGGAGTGGCCAGCTCGCTTACCGAATACGTTAAATTTCGCCGAAGGCTTACAAAGGAATCAAGAATATGATCACCCGTTGCCAGTGATTGGTTAGGGAGATTTCCATGGCGTACACTACTTAGCTGCATATAGATAGCTTCATCCACATAGATAAGTGATTATGTATGCACCTTGTCAACTTTGGAACCTATCCAATGGTAACGAGCCTTCCAGATAATTAGCACTTGAGGATTACCTAGGGCTACCTCGGTGTTAGTAGTATTTATTTGTCAACGGAGAATGACGCCTAAAAAGGCAGCATTTCTACGATTACCAGAAGGCCCCATAACTTGAAGGGATCCCTTCTAATGTTCGGTGGCTCAATGATGAAAACCCCACTGTTGGTATGATAAGCCTATCATAGTGACCCTTAGACTAGCACCGTGACGTTACTCATTAACCGACTTCCTCATTGATTGGTGTCTTTTTTATCTAGGGATATGTATTATATCATCCTTAGGTAAGTTGGGATTTAATAGTATACCGAACAATTAGTGTACACCAATTCTCACCTAATATAGTACGTAGCTAGGATTTCCGACTCGATTATGAGTTAGTAGAATACGGACCAATAAGAAAGAATTGAGCTATTGAACGACATTTCCAGATAAATGTGCTCTAGCACGTTAACAGTATCTTACGTTAGATTTATGCACATGCGTGTATTCTACACTGAATCTTGTCTACTATCCTCCCCTGACTATAATTCATGTTCATCTGCTTCTCTAGTCTAAGAACGTCTGTTGTGTAACAACAGTGTTAAGAAACTGGAGATAGAAACCTTCATTTCTCAAGTCACCGTGCTGGTATGTCGATCATTCTTCAAAAGAATCAAAGTCAAACTCTCTAATAAAATGTCCAGCTTCGAGAAGATTTGGGTATTCCTTTCGCACACAATTTACTTCAAGTTCTAGAAGTATGTTTTCGAGATGGAAACTGTCCTACAGCAGACTTGGGTCAGATAACGTCGACAGCGACTTGGGTCAAAAGTCAGTTGCTGAGGAACATATGAAAGACGAACAAGACCTATCTCCAGCGCCTAGAAAAAGGACGATGGCCGTTTCTATTGCTATAATTTGCGGAATCGCCATATTGGCGTTCATCGGTCTCTTGACAAATGCGAAGTTCCGCAATAATGTCGACCAAGTTCTTCCCTGCGGAAATTCATCTGCCCAGGCGTGGGCGCGTGGATGCTCATTCGATCAATTGATGTGGTCGTGGTATCCTAAACACTGCCCACACTACGCAAACGACGAATATCTCAACGTTCAACACTGGAAATTCTACTCTGATCCATATGCCAAGGAAGTTGTTGATGGTACCGATTGGACCAAAGTATTAGACAACGAAATATTGGTATACGGTGAACGAGGAGAACACTTGACCCATTGCATTTACATGTTCCTCAGTCTTGCACAAATCCTTCACGATGGTGGTAGGTATACCCAACGCTATGTAGACTATCCGCATATGGAGCATTGCGCTGGCATTCTTTTAGAAGCTATCCAAAAGGATGTTCACTGGCATGATATCGAAACCTTTGCAGGCCGTGTTGTTTATGATCAGAACTGTTAAATACCCCGAGTTTATTCACGACGAAAGATAATTTAGTTCTCAATACGGGGTGCAGGCAATAGTAATTGGTATTATCCTGATATCAGAGATTTCTTCCCAAATATCCATAAATGGTAGGTATTCCTCCATATCGAACATACTCGCGCATACTATCGGATAAATTTTGTTTAACGCAACGTCAATCTTTAACTCTATGCCTCAATATCAGCCCCATGGGAGAGAAGAAGGCTTGTCAGAGACAATGACCCGCAATCCACGGCTAAATGCAATGCAACCTCCCCATATGAGTCCCTCATATTAACATCAATGGATGCCTCTAAAAGCAGCTTTGCAACATTCTCATTATCACTCTGGACTGCTGAGAATAATGCAGTTCGTCCTAGGGAGTCCTTGACATTTAAGTCTATCTTCCCTCCAAGCAATATACGGACTAGAGGCTCATCTTCACTTTCCACGGCCAGATGCAGTGCAGTTTTCCCGTTGCCGTCTTGTCTCCCAACATCAGCTCCTCGCTCTAAGAGAAGACGCGTAATCGATTCATTCCCCGCGCAAATTGCACGGTGAAGTGCGGGCTGGTCCCCATTTTGTTTAGTTCCTGGGATGGGAAGCTCAGGTAGGACGGAGTCGCTCTGAGTAAACTAAAAGATATTAATTCCGAGTCTCATATTGCCCAAGTTTGATGATATGGTCTTTTCATCTACCTTGTTTCTTAGAATGTCGATCTGTGAGCCAGGCAGACTCAGAGGAGTGAAACTCGAGTTTGTGGTCACAGCCTCAGTATATGGGAAAGACCAAAATTCATCATGTTTGGGGGGTTCATGAGGGATGGCTAATTCGCTATTGTTCACCAGGCATTGTCCAACAGCTTCCTCTAGAGCTCGAAGACGTTGCTTTTGATTGTATCCTTCATAACTCCGTTAGAAGTCATTCTCTAGCTGACCTGATGAACGGGGCTGTCTCACTGTAGGTACGCTGAGCAATACGGTTCTGATTCCGTTTTCGCTCTTTTGAATCTTCGGGTCTTGTGCTGCTCACTTGGCGGTGCTGTGGGGTTACGACCTTGTCGCTAACGACGTTACTCATGCTGTCACTCGCTGGACCGGCCATAGGTAAAAGTAAGATTATATTCAAGGTCGACCAATTTGCAAAGTAGTATCATCCCTTCGATTGAAGGCAAACCCCTGGTCTTCTTATAACGACGGACTCCAGGGCGATCCCCGCCTTTTTGCATCTTTCAGTGGATTAGCACCTATTTGATACCATGAATGTCTTTGATGCGAGCATGCTAGCATGTACTAGGCCCTACTAGTGCCGACACCTCCCACCGATGGTATTGTCACACGCTGTTCTGTGTATTGTTCTGTTCTGCCGGTCTGTTCTTACCGCCTAGCTGTTCTTACTATAAGATAGCACCTCTGCTATACTTCACTCTCCTCTGTTTTTGCCCTATGAGTTCTTCCTGATGTCTGCTACGCTAGACTGTGGTGGCGGTTTGGTCCGTTGTGCTGGATGGATCGACCTGTGCTGAGTGTACTCCGTACAGCCGAGAGCGTTCCCCTCTCCTGGTTAGGAAGTTGGGCCACCATAATCATACCTAACATATGCCGCAGATCACATCCCTGCACGAATAGTTATTTTAATTTAGTTGAGTTTATCAAAGCGCCCTGATACGTAAATCAAGGCTATCCCGAACCAGCGCTTAAAAAGACTATCTCAGTCCAGACGGTTCTAAGAATGTGACGAGTTCTCATGCATCTAACCAGATGGAGTAATTACTGCCATGCGGAGCAATCTCAGTTTTGAAAACAGTGTAATCGTAGTAGATATCTTCCAAAACTGTCCATTTTACCGGATTTATTATGTCCCCTTATGCAGGTGCCAGCCTGGTGTTCACATTGTATGATTTACCACGTCTGCCTGAAATTAAACTCGCAGAAAATTTATAAAACAGAAGTACAATCCACAACTGTATTCGAAATTTAAAGTGGCATCATTCGAAATTGTAAAATTAACATGTCGCCGCAGGTGCTCATAGGGAATCTTTGGATTCATGCGAATAATTCGAAGAATAGCTCACTCATGTCGTATAGAAAGCTTTGGAGGGCGCCATCTGCGAAGAATTGATTTATCCTAATTGCGAGAAGCATCATTGTCCAGAGTATATTGGACGGTACTAGGTATATGCGCAGCCGATCTCATTGGCAATCTGGCTAGGTTTTTGACCTGCTTCTCAACCATCTTTGCCTGTATATATGCATATGTGGACTCAGCTCCTTATTGGGTATAATATTTCAAGAAATTGACCTTAAAGGCGTGCGATGAGGCATTTGGAATAGCTTTCAATGATTGAAGTCCGTATGAAATTAGGAATGCGTATTACATGGTTGACGCGATTAGGTTAGTATATTACGGAAATTTTTGCGCTTTGACAACGGAAATGGGGCATAAAACAAACATTTGAACTCCGAAACCCCACTAAGGGGGCCACTGTGGGCTGCATCACTCTCCCTATCTTAGAGCTAATATGCAAGCACTGTATGCAGGCAATGCGTCTAGGAAGCCCTGAGGCCAAAGGTCGAGTTCACTTTCCGAAAGCCGTTAGCAACACTAATATTATGTCTTCAAGAGGCGAGCGCTCTCGCGGGAAACGAAGAGGTGGGCAGTTTTCCTTTCTCGCGAAGCATAGGAGAAATAGCAAATCTGACCTTATCAGATAAACACAATTCTAGCAAGCCTTGGTGGCCTAGTGTAAGTGGACATCCAAAGCGGCGGTATGGTACACGATTTATGCTTGCGCACCAGCGGAGCCCATTACGCGTACTAAGTTAATCGTCCAATAAGCTGGCTTTGGCTTGTTAAGCCCAAAGCTTGATACTGGTCTCCCGTCGGTTCTCCGCCACCGCCCTATTCTCCTTATTTTAATCCGATTGAAAACCTTTGGGCGTTAATGAAGCAGGAAATTTATAGGCTATATCCTGAGCTTGAGCAAGCTCGTGATAACGCGTAAAGGCTCGAGGCATTAAAATCTGCTGCTAAGGAGGCATGGGAGAATATTAGGGACGAGGTACTAGTGCGTCTTATCACAGGCGATACCGTATCGTGTGCAAGCAGTAGCTACTTATTAGCTTCAGCGGTCGGCTAATGTTTGGATGTTTTATCAGCTAAGGAAAAAAAAGAGCCTATAGTCATAAACAATACTTAAGACAGTAATTTCTCCTATAAAAATGGAAAAATTCCGCTTGGCCGCACGCGTGATTTTGAAATCCCGGACCGTTCCAAGGGAAAAGCGAAACCTCTGTCGGAATGCGATTTGTCGACCCCCGTTCCACCCAGTTTCCAAGATCGGCCATATCACTTCCGGTAAACTCTCTTATGAGCCTGTATCCCCTATCTCCAAAATTCTAATCCCGTTCGCTTATAATCCCGCCCTAGCGGAACTTGGGCAGGCTGGCTGACTGCCGGGATCCTTAACCCACTGAAAATGCTACGCTTTTCGAGGGATGTACAGTGCCATGAGATTAGTTTTTGACAAACACTAAATTTTAGCGCATCACGCTAGATTGAAACAGAAAAACGCGGTATTGAATCGACTATCTATTACATACAGTTACCGTAATATTTTGTGAACCAACCAACCATGTGCCTCGATTACATTAGAGATTATATTTCCTCAGAAAGGTCTAGTCAGTAATCTATCACGAAAGCTCGGAGCTATTTTAGATAATTGTCTCGTAATCCTATATTTCCCCCCGTCAGGGCTGAGCCATCGGACCCCAGGATGGCCAAACTGATATGGCGTGCATGAAGCAGTGGATTTATAGAAACCACCCAGAGATAAAATCACCAACTTTGAGCTACTTAGGAGAGCGTTAGGCGAGATGAACTGTAAAACCTGTTAGAGATGATGCCTCAAAGGATACAAGCAGTTAAGTGTTGATATAGGGGGGTTATACCAAGCACCGAATTTCGGTATGAGTATGGCAGAGATTATATTGGAGAGAGCGTAGAATCTAGACACCAAGCTGTATTGATCTGTCATAAAGACCGCTAAAATTTAATATGGGGCTGCGGAGTAAAGTAGGTCGCTCAAAAAGCTTGTCATGGTAGACAGGTGACATTGTTTGAAAGGTGCATAGGTAACAGATTTGTTACAGTAAAGGGCACAAAGGTGGCGTCGAAAGACCTTTTCATGCTAAATTCGATAAGTTCGTGCTATTTTGTTGCTATAGGTAGTTCTGAACGGGGCTACGCCATTGACCACGTTGGCTCTCCCGGGGGTATCAGTATGCAATCCGGCGAACAGACATCCGTGAGCCTATGGTAACGGGCACGGTAAAGGTCACCGCTTGCGAGTGGGAGTGGGCCCAGCTCCACGCCACTATCTCGCTCCCCATGTGGCGTAGGCATCTGCAAGTGACTATGCAAGCTGCCGCAGCTGTTAGATAGCCAGCCGTGTCGTACAAGCGGTGAAATTTGCATCGGCGGCTCAGAAATGTGGGCACATGTAGAACAGAAAGCTCGCTACAGCCTTAGTATTCCAAGGTTTCATTTTGCCTGTCACCCAGAATAGCCCCTTATTCCATTACTAACGAGAGATTTAGATTACGTGGGTTCACTACCCACAGATAATATTGTGTTGCCACTGGTAGTTTTGTCTAGGTAGTTCTGAATCTTAAGTGAGGTACTATATGTCTCCGAGTCATTGATTATTTTATTTCAAATGTCGCATTCATTTCCTTTCCAAGGTTCACGTATAATTGTCACACGCTTTACCACTAGTGGTGTGCTGACCAAGCCGTCTTGCTTGGTCAGCACACCACTAACTTAGTTAGTGGTCAAAGCGTGTGACAATTACAATCTTGCTATTAGTACTGATTTTTCTATGTCATAATGATTATATTCAAATGTTCACTCTTCATTCAAGTTCAAATGTTGCTTTACCTACACTCGTCCTAGTAATTTGTAAGACCGAATACTGACTCGGAGCATCATGATATAATCCTCGCTAGATTGTGTCTGCAATTTCTCTCCTCAGGTCCTTTGCTTCTAACCCACACCTTGGATACCAAGGTGTATGTCGTGACACGATACTCTCGCTTTCACGCTTTTCCCTTGTCAATAAATCAGGTCCGCAGTGTGCTGCTAATGCATAACTTGCCGACCACTCCTCCAATGGCCAATTTCTCATCGCCGCTCTTTGCACCTTTTGCCATCCATATGTGCATGAAACTAGATAATGCTCCCATGTTGCGAACACTTCATCGCCATTTGTGAGGAGCTCAGAATCTGTAGCGGATGTTGCGCCTAGCGCATAGTTTTCTATTGTCGAAAAAGACAGCGGGGTGTACTTTGAAGATGGAAGTGCAGAGCTAGAACTGGAAAGGGTGTAGAATGCTGGAGAACCTTCTAGCTGGGAGTTCAAAGTCGTCAGGCTCTCATTATAAAGTTGCAAGTCCGTACATTCTGGCGGAGTCCATCCAAATAGGAAAATGTCGAAGAAGCAATGAGCTGCGATGGCTTCAGCAGGCGTACGTCCGCAAGATGTGATATCTGTGCGAGTTTGATTGATAGCCGTTTTCTCTGAATTTTTCCCGTTCAAGTTTTGGTATGAACCTTGATTTTTGAGGATCCATGCTAGGAGCAGAACAATCGCGAGGTATGTGATAACTTGCACAAAGAGGATAAAAATCACGGTCCTGACGCCAAAATTTCGGAGGTGGTCATATTTCGTCCATCCTTCAGCGGCAACAGAGTCGTTGTCGCTGGATTGCGAGTCCTCCCCGAGGATCTTCTTATACTCGGCCATGGTTGCACTTGGGGTAGCTATCTACTAGTTAAATTATCTTCAATAAGTATTGATATACAATGAGATTACATAGTTCAGTATGGGGCAGGACGATATACCGCGACTTCAATCCCTAGAAGCTCCAAAACTGACGTAAGTCCAGCTTGCAATTTTTTGGTTACGCCCAAGAGAAACATTTGAAACTACTGAAGCATTAATTTGTACCTAGTTAGTATGGAAATGAAATTATTGAATGGTCGATTTGGTAATATTCCAGATTTATTACATCTCACCTCATGGCTTACGAGGGTCTACAGGTTGCATTGGTCTAAAATTTACCAGAGCAATCCAAAAAGCTCATGTTGACCGTAAAAGCTTTTTATTGGGCCGCTATGAGCAAATACATGAACCGTAAGTGGATATAGCTTTGAGCCGCCACGGTGCAAGATCTAATGATTTCTTTAACAAATTCTTTTTTAATATTCAAGTCGTGACTGCGGCCGCTAGTTAGGGCCTCAGGCTGTCAATCGGGCCTCTGTGTAGATGTCGGTATACTCAAAGATCTGCAAATTTGAGGGGTTTTCATAAATCTAACTTAGAATTACATATGCAATGAAGTTTCCAGCAATCAAAGTAGAATTATTAAGCACTTACAACACAGGAATTCCGGCCTAAATGAACGTGAATGAGGATACCTGATCTCGTATTGGTTAAAGACTTTAGACTAGCCCAAGTAAATTGGGGTTTTGGAGCAACATTTGAATCTGAGCTAATTTCCGGGTAATGCGACCTCATCTATAACCCGAGCTTACGAGATATAACCCTAACCTTACCCCTAGATGATTTGCGGAAACCTCGCACATGTGCAAATATCAGTTGTTTCAAATGTTTCTTACCTGAAAAATCCCTTTACTTTGGATAGGAAAAGTGTCAACCTAACATGGCAAAATTCACAAAATCAAGTGACTATAATCGAGAATCCGAAGAAAGTCTGCTTACAGAATTTCGTCCGAAACAGGAGAAGGAGCCAACACGAAACCATCATTACTATGCGATAATCATACCTTGGGTTTTATGCTTGATACTTTCTGTCTTATTAACAGCTAGTCTGGGATTGAGATCGGAACCCTGTATTCCAAAGAATTTTTGGGCACCTACAGAGATCGGTACGTCCGCCGGATTAATGTTCTTCTTATTCACAGACCAATCTTGATTAAACTCATCTTCACAAGAACCTATAACAAGAGAGCTTCCCGCGACCACTAAAGAAACGCTTTTTACTGCCGCACTAAAGTATAACGAGGCACACGAACTGTATCGGCCTGTCAACCCAAATGGACCCGAATATGTCGGTATACCGAGTCCAGAAATTGATGCCGCCTGGGATGATCTCATCGGAGGCAAGTCCTGCCTTGCAGCCTTGATTAACATTGAATGATATCCCTATAGAACCAAGCTGACTGGAAGTTAAAAACTCAGCGGTCAACATTTTTGTATCGGAAGAGGAAGCCAAATTGCTGGGAGGAGGTTTATATCTTGATCCTGCTAGTGGTTTGTACATGGCCGAGTAAACGATCCCATTGTTGTCTTTGTCGGAACATTTTTTGAAACGGAAAAGAGCTTGTCACTAACTTGGAAGTATCAAGGGTCACTGTATTCCATGACCTGCATTGTTTAGTAAGTCTCAATAATCGAATTTGATATGAAGGGTCAAAATAAATCTCATTCTTTTCCCCTAAAACAAGAACATGATACGCCAATCTTTGCGTTTGGACTACTATACCCCGGAGAAGAATATGACAGCATGGCCACCTCATTTAGGTATGTTGGCTTCCTCTGCAATCCCCAATCCATCATGATACGGAATTGATCAACTTTCCACAGACCATTGCATTGATAGCCTTAGACAGAGTCTGATGTGTGGCGGGGACATGACTCTTTCACCGATAATATGGACGACAAATGGAAATAGATTTATACCAAACTTTGAAGTGATTCATACCTGCCGGGATTATGAGTCATTGAAAGTTTGGGCAAATAATCGAGATTCTGCGGATCCAGATCACTGGGAAGAGAATGCAGCAAGGTTTCGTGCTTCTTTAAAGGGAGGAAGTTCAATTCCTGGACCTTTGGGAATTTCCAATGTTTTGTGGGATTAGTTAGACTTTATCTCGAAAGGATCTTACTCTGATTTCTATTTGCATCTTCTTGACATCTCCTTTAACGCCAGCTCCATCTTCAAATGCTTACAAAACTAAGCAGGTTTTGACTCCGAGCCCTTTAGCTTATTGACTCACATTTTTGTACTTCGACTAAGTCTTCGTGAATATTTCAAGTTAACGGGTCCTTGATTTTTTCATCAAAACATTATATAAGCCCCAGCTAGTCAGGGAGTGTATTTTATTGCCAACATCTATAATACGAATAGTCCGACTGCTCCACCAGAATATGACAGCGGGTATTAGATTCTCTAGAATACATGCCAGTGATAAAACACGCATTCAGAGCTGCGTATTACCTGTCAGCCTTCTCAGATAGCCTAATATCTGTAGCATTCTATGAAGAGTAAGCCTTCAAGTTGCGAGAGCGAAGTACCTAGGCACTTGCATGTGGCCAGGGGAGAGACAGTTTTTCATGGTCTCCATGTATAGCATGATGTACGTTCAAGCTAATTCCACTCGCTTCCCTTGGTCCCAAATCGATACATCTCTTCTGCTGTCAATCCGCAAGAACCAAAAAGAAGGTTAGCGGTCGTACCGGCTGTTTCATTTCGGTGGGTTTTGTATTTTTGCAACAGTTCATGAGAGCAGTGATAGGAGTGCTCAAATCTCGAAAGCTTTATATCCAGAGGCCTCTCGTTGGCAAGAGCACGAATCAGCCGGTGCCATTCGTATGTGCAATGTAAATCATGAAACTGTCCAGATATTGGACGAAGGTGGATATAGGTTCCTGTAAGAACCTCGGCGGCCGTTACTGGAGTATAGTCCATCATTCTCCAATCAATCTCATGGCTGTGGACGCGGAAGAATTCGTCATGTAGCTCCTTGTCCCAGCATGGTACTGGATACCATGCAAAGGAAAACATGTCAAAACGACAATCCAATGCTTTAGCCTCAGCTGGAGTTGAACCGCAGTGAAGGATGTCTGCTGGCGCAACTGGAGGAGAAATAAGATAGGCATGGGCTGTAAGTAAAAGATAGACGACCAATATCAAGGCTCCGTAAGTCATTTTCGAAGAATAATTGACTATAACGAATATGGACGGAGATTCGCTATTTCCTGCGAGAAGAACTGCATTGACAGTGAAATATGACAATCTGCTTCGATTTAATAAACGTAACAAAGTCTGTAAATAAATTACCTAGGTATACTCCAGGGCTTCTTCAAATCTTCGTAATATTTTAAGGATTACGTGATGAGGAACCTTGAACCCTTCCAAGCTTGGAAGTCGGTTTTTCTTGTAATACGTAAGTAAAAGCTTTATAATAAATCTCAAAGATAAAATCCAGCTAGTAATCTTATATCAACTCTATCATCAAGGGATCATAGGGATTGTCCATGATTCACCACTGATATAATAGCAGAATAGTACTAGATTATAATTAGTTAATCTAGGGGAGATAAATAGTCATAATTAATTACTTGAGGAGGTCTCAAGAATTAGTTTTAAATCCAATCTAATATATTATTTTGGATGATAAAAATTAAATTGAAGTAAAGAGATGAGTCAAAGACGAATGCAATCGAAATTACTATGACCCATCAATCAAAAGTTCGCAACAACTATGATGGAGTTCTGTTCCGGTAGCTCTAAATAATCGCGACAAAAAAGGTATGCTTTAATGAAATAGTCAACAACCCAACCATGGCTCCGCCATCTGTGTCCAATTAAAGAAACAAAGCAAGGGCCTCAAAGATCGGAAAAGTAGAATCTGACGGTCATGTTCGAAGGCCATGGACACCCTCGGCATGCCTCCGCAAGTGCATCTCGTTTAGGACAGACAAATCGCAAAAATTACATTTCCGGTCCGTCAAATGTGATGTCCTGAAATGCCTCTTCACTCCATTATAGTCGGAGTATGTCTTGGGGCATTGAAAGCATGTGAATGTTTGCTCTGTATTCGGTATGTGTTTCCCGCCAGAGGTACGTCCCTTCTCCCACGACGTAGTCGGCGGCGTATCGGTCTTTATCTTTCGAGCTAGCGGAGAGGGAACTGCATCGTCACTATTGGACGGCGTAGAGCGCTTCCGTCGTCCCCGAAGAGGCCTACCCTCTTGAAAGCTGCAATATTGTAATCCAGCAGTAACAGCTTTGTTACGCCGCATCCACTCGTCTTCTAATGAATCGGTAGTGGGCTAAGTAAAGAACGTCTCCACGAGAAGAATCTGCTCCGATAGCATTTCAAACTCCTTCCGTAATACCTCGCGCGTAGGCTCATCACTGACAGCTCCACTAGTTAGCTATCTTTCAATGTCAATCACCGCCTGTTTCCGACTAAAATCGCGGTGTGTTTCTTTCCGCCGTTTTTCTTGCAGACGCCGGCGTAGATTATGGACTTAACGCTTCTGGTCCTCCAGCATCGCCCGTAATGCTGGGTTGTGAGAGCGATCAGCGCACTAGGTCTCTAAATCGACTTGCTAGTGTATGGCTGATTGCAGTTCTGGGTCTTTTTCCACTAATTCCCGATAAGCGTCGCTTAAATATCGTGGTCGCCGCCGATTAATCTAACGGCTTATCCGGTAAGGCACAGGAATTCGAGACGATAGCTTTCCCAGACTTATCATCACTTCGCACTAGAGCGACCGGGAACTCCGCCCAGCCCCTTATCAACCGTCCCATTCCCGCGTGATTCAGATTTTGTCCGTCGCGACAAACTGTTTGATCAGCTTCATCACAAACGCTCGGTCCCTGGGTCGAGAACAGCGCTGGTCGGCCTCGGCGGTGTCGGGTAAGTGTAGAGCGACCGTTATACGAGCCATATATGACCCGTTGCTCACAACTCGAAGGAAATCACAACTTG